GGGGGAAGTGTGCAGGGACGCTTATGAGCGTTCTTTTTTCGTCGTCGTCTTTCTTTCATATGAGCGTTTTCTGAGCGTGTTGCAACTGCGATACCAATTTGGTGTCTGCGTGGTCTTTGGATAAGAGGATGAAGAAAAAGCAATCAGTGCTTCGGGGCTTTGATAGATTCAGAGAAGAATGAATCAACATGGTTCAAACAACACTCACCTGGCCAAGTGTCTCGTTCAGTAGACCAGAACCATACTTTCTTTCGGGTTGGCATACCATTTCTGCTGTCCTATCCCTGAAGCGTGCCCTGTGAACATGTAGACGGTTGGCTTGCTCAAGTCGTTGCAGGAGTTTTACACAGCCTCGCTTGATGCAGATGGTGAAAGAGGCTGGAGGCGTGAGTATTTGTAGATAACGTCACTAATCAACATCTGAGGACGAGCGAGGCAAATACATAGCTTGCACAGGTAGTAGAGGAAGAAGTGTTGGTTGGGTGCGACTATATATGCTGCTTTGAATCCATCATCAGCGTATTAAAAGAATCCACGATGATTCTCTGTCAAATGCTTAGATGGTCGAGCGGTGATGTTGTTGAGAATTTGGCGGATCCAGTTCCGAAGAAGGCTCGACGACTAGCTATTTCCTAGTACACAGTTCGAATGAGGAGGGTGGTGGGGTGAAGGGAAAAAGTAGAATCATCAAGGTGATTTTCTCTAGGACTCTTTGGCGGAGAGTTTCTAGTTCTTTTGATGTTTTTTGGTCGAGGAAGTGGGTTCGAGTTCTGGGGGTGGAAGCTCAATTTTTGGTTCGATCGTTTTCGATGCCGTTCAATTCAATTCAGTGAACTCCATTCAAAGCTCTGGTATTCGTTCGATTCTTCCACTACTACTCCCCACGCCTTCGCTCAACAACACAACTTCAATCCACTCTGTCCGTCTGCCCATCATCCTCAAGCAGCACTCTTCTTCTTCTTATCCTCCACCAACTCAATATTCTCCTCGGGAATCTCCTCATACTTCTCCGTCAACCAATCAAACACATCATCACTCACATCCCCCTGCACCGTAATCTCCTCCCCTCCCGCCGCCGTCTTCGTCACACTACTCCCCGTCGCAAACTTCTTCCCAAACTCCTTGGCCACCTTCTTCAACTCGAGCCCGAACGCCTCGAGCCCCGAAATCTCCGTCACGTATTTCCGCTTGTTGCGCTCCACGCGCTTGATGATGATCTTGGATGTGGCGCGTTTCTCGGATTCTCGGGCCTCTTGAGCGGACGCTTTGGCAGCTTTCTTTTGGGCGTCTTTTTCGGCGCGTTTTTGGGCGTCTACGGAGAGGGTGGAGAGGTTTTGGGTGACGGCGTCGGCGGAGTAGAGCTGGGCGTGGAGGGTCGGATGGTTGCTTTCGAGCCAGTCTTGGCACTTCTTGACGGTGCCGCCGTATTCACAGAACTGTGAGAGTGGAAAGTGTCAGTAGTGGTTGGGGGACCTCGATGTGAGGTGTTTGGGAGATGTCTGGCTGTATCTGCTCGTGAAAGGCGCCGTACCTACTTCTGGAGGTAGAGTGCAGACTCCACAGTACACCACTTTCCGCGCAGGCTTGAGGTCTGCTGCAGGCGCAGCTGAAGTTTCTGTATCTGCCATGGTGTTAAGTTGTTGTTGCTTGAAAAAGTGACGATGAATGTTTGGAGTGAAGTCGTCTGAGGTTTTGGCGGGGCAATGTGGGGTGCAAGTTCGAGCCTCAGGCAAAGATTTATTAAGACACGTGATGCTTTGCTTCTTTTAGTACATTTTGATATCTATTTGGATATTCTACAGCTCAACTCCGAGCATGCTGAGAGTCACTCAGTCAACACGGAGTGTTCTTGGGCCTCTCCTCTTCCCGGCCTTCTTCCTCTTGTTCCCCTTTTCAAAGCCGACCGCTTCTTGGTGGCTTCGACCAAGGTTGTCAAAGTCCTTGACCTTGTAAATTCTGATGATCCAATTCTCGCTTGTGAAAGCCTCCTCAAGGGTAGACAATTCTGGTCCCTGAGCTGGCAACTTGGAGCCACGAACTCTGTCAGTGGCTTGGCCTGCAGGGAAGAGCGAGTTGTAGTTGTAGTAGCTCATCTTGTACATGAGCGAGTTGCGCATGGTTGGCGTGGCCTCGTCATCGACGCGGTATTCGCCGCGAGCGGTGAAAAAGTCACGCTCCTTCACCTCATCGGGCCAGATGCCTGTCAGAGTTGTCAGTAACGAGGTCGAAATCGTGGTCATAACTTGATCACTCACCCTCAGCAATTCTGACCATCCACAAGAACTTGTTAATATCATCACCAGAGTACCCAAGGAGACCGCCGAATACAACCAACACATAGTCTACTTCGTGCTGTTTCATGATAGGATATGACACTTCCTCTCGGCTGGACATGGCCTTGCCGACAGTGGCGATGTGCGTATTGTTCCAGGTGTTGTTGTCGACGAGAGTGGGCCTATCAGCCATACCACCAATCTGGTAGCCATAGTCCCACCAACTCATGACCTTGGCGTCCGAATGAGTGTTCTGTCGCAGCCAATAGTAGGCCTCGCGGTAGTCGTCGATGATGTGTTGGCTGCCATCTGGCAGTCTCGACGCAAGGACCACTGAAGGCGATGAGTAGGCGTTGGAGGTGACCCAAGTGCAGTGCAGCACGAAGAGCAATAGGTATGTCGTGACAGCGCCGGTGATAACGGACTTGGACAGGTAGCTGTAGATACCGACAAGAGGCGCCTTGGTAGATCGAAGCGATTCTGGGATCGCTGCGGCAAGCTTGTCCTTGATATCTGCGTTGCCATTCGCATTACCGTTGGCCCTCGTCGATTCAGTCGGCTCAGATGGTTGCGATGCGACAAGGAACTGGTCGAGGATCTGGCTGAGCGCCATGGCAGCCGCAACACAAACGATTGGCGTCAACGTCAACATCAAGCGAACCATAACGCCAGCAAAGTAGCTGGCCAGAACGGCGTAGATCACGATGAAGACCTGTTCATCCTTCAGGTTGCGGAAGCACATGTAGACCCCCGCCGGGAACAGCCAGATGAGCATGTTCAGGTCGAAGAAGAAGGCGGGCCAGGCAGTAGGTTGATGTTCCGACACCGACGCGATGATGGGAATGTGGATCTTGGCGTAGCCCGTGTCCCACAGTGAGTAGAAGCGTCCACTCCAGGGCGCGACGACGCCAGACACGGTCAGCAGAACAAGCCCTCCGAACGCGAGACCGAAAACGACGAGCACCATCGCCCGCAAGAGGGTCTGGAATTGCTTTGATGGGAGCTGGTGACGGATGTACTCCGCAAAACCGACCAGCTGCATAAGGCCGAATACACCTGTGATTGTCAGATCGAGATCTTGATGTGTTTGCGGCTTGGAGCTCACCCAAAGCGGACATGTGGTCGCTGTTCCTGATGGGCAGGAATCCAACGAATGGGATCTGCATGCTCGCTAACGTTCCCAGAGCATACCAGGTGGTGTATGCGACGTAGAGACGCGCGCTGAACCGCCCCATGCAGATCAGCACGAAGGCGTGCAGGGGCAGCAAGTTTGTAATGAAGACGTATCCTCCCCAAGCGCTGACCATGTATCCGTAGAAGAGAGCGCATAGAGCTCCCCACATGATGCTGCCCTGCTTCACAGCCTTGATCCAGAGAAAGAAGGTGAAGACAAGTAGGAAGATGGCAATGGCCTCGTTGTCGTATGAACCTGCAACACTTCTGCTGATGTATCCAGGAGTAATTCCCATGAACGCAGCGGCGAGCAGACCGGCGGATGGACTGTCACTCATCTCGGAGGTGAGGAGGTAGGACGCCCAAGCGGTCAGGCCTGAGAAGGCTGGGGCAAGCAGGACGCAAATGTTTCGAATGTCGACAGGGAGGGTCAAGAATCGGAGGAGATGGTAGATGACGCCGGACGTGACCATGAGGCCTGGGTAGAGCGTGCCACCGGTGACACGGCCCAGAGGATGCCATGTTCCTGAACGATGTCCAATTAGCCTCGACCGCTATCACAGTATCCCATTGCTGCTCTTACGGTCATCGAACCAATCCCAAAACTTGTAGAAGCCGTGGTTCACGAGGTACTTCGTGGCTCGAAAGTTGAACCATGGATCGACTGTTAATTCATCAGTATCATGAGATATTGCAGCAATGTCGTAGGCGGACTGACACTCGTGGATAATGCTCTCGAAACGAATGACGGAGAAGAGTCGAGCAGCAATGGCGGCGGCCGCAATGGTGACGAGGATGAGCAGACGGAGCAGGCCTCGCGTGTTGCGGCCGCTCTCGCCCTTGAAGAAGAAGTCGGCGCCGGGGACGGCGGTGTCGACGGCCATGGCGGGATCGATGGACGGCGAGATGCAGGCGACAGAAGAGACGGGTCGCCGTGCTCGTTGTCGTTTCAATGCGCAAGCAGTCGTGAGCTCTTGGCTTGGCGCAAGGTGTCCCTTTGCGTCGGTCCAGCGAGCCGACAGGGGTGTGAACTCTAATCCAGCAGCTCGCTCGCACGCCTCGTAGCCAGACAACACCCTGCGCTCCACTTCCTCGCCTCGGCATCTTTAGACGATTAATATAACAGACATGACCTGCCCGGCACAGCTGTCGCCAGCGTCCCGCTGCCTCGCCCTGCCCTCGACCGCCTATCCACCATGACGCTGCGCAAAGACTCGGTCCTGGAGGGCTTCAACGACGCCTCCGACACCAAACAACAACCCACTGGCTTCTTGCATCTCCCCAGCGAGCTGCGGATCATGATCTACGACTTCTTCATCGAGCACCTTCTCAGGACATCGCGCGACTTCCAAGGATCTCAGTACCGGATGCGTCAAAACCAATGTGCTCTCCTGTATGTGAGCCGCCAGGTCCGCGCCGAAGTGGACGAGCATTTTCGCAAACAATACCTTGGCCTGCCGGTTGACATATGATACTGCGATACCTGTCGCCTCCAACCTGCCACTCGATTGCCTTGGCTACCAGCCACGACTATCTCCGCCACCCATTGACGCCATACTCCGGCCTTTCGCGCCCGTGGATTCGTGGAATATACTCCATTTCCATGAAAGGCGGCTTTGCCACGTCCTTCAAGATGACTACGCCGGAGATGTGGGTCTACGCACGCTGTTCAAGCCTATTACTCTGACTTGTACGTACTGGTATGCTCGAGTTGCTGCTGAGCTTTTCAATGGCCGGGCCACTTACGCTGCACAGCACTTGCAACGAGTTATCGTCCCGAGGTGACGTTATCGATGTCACGACAGTAATACCAAGCATTCGGCATTCTCCCACATGTCGTCTGCCGTCATGTATGCTCATGAAAGAGCATCATCCCGGTCAATGGGGTATGCGTAGCAAATGGACCTAGTTGGCACTTGGTGATAGCGAAGACGAGTGGCCGGCGAGTCTACAGTCTGCATCCTGTTTGTGGCCAGAACTCGACAAACCGGCACTTCGACTTGGAACCTCCAATGGGTGGTTCCAAAGGCAATGCACAGCAACAAGTTGTACTCGTCTTCGATGTCGATATTGCCGACCTATTTACACGCACTTGGTATTTCATCGCTTCATTCATGTTGCACATATACGAGGCATTCTTCTAACTCTCTTGATTGGCCGACAATATTCACCTGCAGCATTTGCCACTTAGATTGAGTTTCACTGTCGATCTGCACCCAAACCTCTGGAATGTCATGAACAGCATATCAAGGGGCCGATCGTGGCAGTGTGAGCTTGGAAGTGGAATCGATCTGCAGTTACATACCGAACCGAACATTTGGTGACTTGGGGAACTCGAAGCATTCGCGCGTAAGATCTCTATGAACTTTGATATTGATTACGGCAGTGAGGCTGAGGACGAAGGATTTCGTTGCGAAAGCGCTTGTGGCGGCCATCTACAACACCAAGTCCTACATCTCTCGAAAGTGCCCTGATGGACTTGTTCCTCAACATCAATGGTTGGCGTTCCAAGATCTCGAGGATGCATCAACTGCAAGAGGAAGAAGAAAGGGTGTGATCTGGCACAACCGACCTGCGGGCAATGTGCGAAGCTGAGAATCGAATGTGTCAGTGGCTGAACTCATCATTGGACTCGGAGCTGAAGAGCTGACCTAAGGACAACAGACGTATAAACAACGCGTGTGGACCTTCATCAACGAGCAAGTCTCGACAGACGAGTTCCAGCCTGCCGTAAAGGTCACGGAACGAACAGCAATAATCCTTCAACACCGCTCCTTTTCTCGTACCGCCTTGGAGATTCAAGTTGTTGATCAGTTTTGGAAAATCTACTTACCTCGAGATGATCCCAACACGGTCTATATCGGTGCCATCGTTAAGGCACCATGGAAGCGTGCTGTTCAGGCGATTTGTCTCCAGGATCGATGGGTTCTGATAGCGTTGCAAGCATGTGCATTCATGGTACGTACAGGCAAATCGTAGCATACCGGTTTCCATTGACATGTCATCTAGAGCCTCGGAAGATTACAACGGAATCGACATTATGTTCAATATGGTCGGCAACTCTACGGTCGTGCACTCCGAGAGACGAACAATGCAATCCGAGATCCGGCCCGCGCACAAAGTGACGGGACTCTCGCCTCGTGTAAACTGCTAGGCATGTACGAGAGTTTTCGCCTGGAGGAAGACGGCCGCCCTTCGACTCAAGGCAACGATTGGCGACAACACGTGGAGGGAACGTGCAGGATCGTCGAACTCAGAGGACCAGAAATGGCGGCATCAGACTATGGTCATGATCTCTATACCGACGCGAGGTTCGCGGCGACTTCGTCTGGGATTACGCAGAAGAGACCGGCGAATTTCTTCAGCAGCTCAGCATGGACGACCGTGCCCTGGACGAAGCATTCCAAAACGCTGCGAGACGAGCTTTTAGATCTCATGGCCGGACTACCAGGGATCCTGCATCAGCAAGAAGCTTTGTACGCAGAGGTGTCTAATGCCACAGACGGTGCAACTATGACCAAGGTCATCAAAGATGGCGTCGATGTGCTAAAGCAATGCATAAGTCTTGGAGCACGGCTACAGACTTGGGAGGAGAAAACCATGGATCTGGCCCGTGAGGCTCGCGGGGAGAACGAGAACGATACCCTGACTCTCTTCCACATCAGCAAAGACCACGGCTTCGCCTTCTTCCACCTCATCACCCAATTCTGGACAGTCTGCCTAATCCTCCACGGACCAACCTGGCTCACCTACTGGAAACTACTCCACGTCGCCCAGAGCACCACCTTCCCAGCAACAAAAGATCTCTCCCAAATCGACATCCCCTTCTGGATGAACCCACAACCCTTCGCCTCGAACATAAGCCACCAAGCCTCGCACTTCTTCAGCGAAGAAGCTGGGCTCTGGGGCTCTTCGACCGCCAGCTTTCCCATGGGTGCAGCATTGCATTACTACGCCGCGACCGGGGGTTTCAAGACTCCTGAAATGAGAATGTTGAAGGCCGCGCTGGGGAGTTCTCCGAAAGCTAATATGGTGTCGGGGTTTTTGCGGAGCATGGCGTCGAGCGCGGCGCCGCAGGGAGGTGATCCGAAGATTCCTGTGCAGCATGAGAAGATGGCGACCTCCTGGTTTGATTCGACGAGTCGATGAGGGCAGATACGGGGGTGTTGAGGAGCTTTTCGATGGCCGAAGTTCAGACCTAGAGCATCCGGCAGGTCATCGACCCGTTAGGGAGGCCGCAGGAGGCTGGACATCTGAATCTCTCATGCACTGCTAGACGCCATACTGGGTTTATCTCTCGAAAGTCCCAAGCTTGACGTGTGCAGCGGTTGATGGCATCACGCAGTTTGGAGCATTTCATCAAACGCCGAGTGCGTTGGGAGGGCACTTTTGCGTGGCAACCTCACACATCACGATTGCACTGCTAGAACCCAGATCCAAGATGTGGTCCAAGTCCACAGTGTATCGAAAGAGGCTTTCAAACAGCAGCAGCAGACTCATCTTGCCAATGTTGCACCAACAACTGCGCGTTTGACCATCTCCACCAACAGAGGACTTTCGACCACCACAGCGTTCAGCATTTCACAAGAACAGGACCCTCTTTCTCCAGAGATCAAACTCTACATTCGCAGAAAAATGGACCATTCCTTATTACACCTACTGCTTTACGAGCTTGCCACCTATGGAGACCTCATCTCTAGAGGCGGGGTCGCCTATGAGGATCGCCTCTGACAACAATCAATAAAAGAGCCGCCATCATACCCATTCACTCCCCATCTCCCTCCACCCAAGACGAACAACACAGCAACCCACCATGTCCGGACTCGGCGGTCTCAACAAATCCTCCGACGACTCCATCACCATCGGCCTCTGCCAATCCCAACTCCTCCGCGTCCTCACCCCCGCCGACCTCCACGCCGCGACCCAACACGTCTGCGCCCTCGTGACCAAAGCCCGCAAGTCCTACCCGCTCATGGACCTGATCGTCTTCCCCGAATACTGCATTCACGGCCTGAGCATGTCGACCGACGACGCGATCATGTGCACGCTGGACGGGCCCGAAGTCCAAGCCTTCCGGGAGGCGTGCGTGGAGAATGCGATTTGGGGCTGTTTTAGTATTATGGAGAGGAATGCGTTGGGGATGCCGTGGAATACGGGGGTGGTGATTGATGATCAGGGGAGGGTGGTGAATTATTATCGCAAGATGCATCCTTGGGTGCCGGTGGAGCCTTGGGTATGTCTGTTGGTTTGTTGAAATTGAAGGGGTGGTTTTTTTTTTTAGAATTGTCTTAAGTACTGACTGACAGGAACTCAGTACCCAGGGAATAGGGGCATACCCATATTCGAGGGCCCGCGAGGAATCCGCATGGCTCATATAATTTGCCACGACGGACAGTTCCCCGAAATGGTACGTCCATAATATCATTGAGCAAAAAGTAAACCATCACCAATCCCCTAACACATTCTCCCACCTTAAGGCCCGCGAATCGGCCTACCAAGGCGCCGAAACCCTGATCCGAACTGCTGGCTACACCGCGCCCATAAAACCCTCCTGGGAAATCACCAACCGCTCCAACGCCTTCTGCAACCTCCTCTGGACGTGCTCGGTGGCGCTCGCCGGCTCCGACGGGACCTTCAACTCAATGGGCGAAGCCATGTTCTGCTCCCCAGAAGGCCACATCGTACACTCGTCGACCCCGTCTAACACACCCGACGAGATCTTCGCGTGCGAGATCATCAAGGGCGACGCAATGGGGAAGCGGGAGCGGTGGGGCGTGGAGAATAATCTGTATCAGTTGGGGCATCGGGGGTATTGTGCGGTGGAGGGCGGGGCGGGGGATTGCCCGTATGGGTTTATGAGGGATCTTGTTGCGGGGAGGTATAGGCCGTTTGGGGAGGAGAGGGTGAGGATTACGGATGGGACGGGGTGTGGGATTGAGAGGCCGAGGGGGAAGTATGTGGTTGATTGAAGTTGTATTAAAATGTATATGTCGGTGAGAATGGTGAGTATCAAGAGACCTTCGTGAGTCGTGCTTCCTTCTAGAAAGGGTTCAGGCGAGTGGGATTGTCCCCTGGTCTGTTGCGAGGGCCGAGGGCTTTCGCGCCGAAATGGTTGAATTGGAGTCTGATGGTCATCAGTCGTTTGTAGAGGCTGCTCTGCAGCTATGGAGTTTGGTGTGCCCTCGTGTGCTGGACAGGCATGTGACAGACTCCGAAGCCTGATTTCGCCTCAGGGTTTGTCGTCCTTGGTAGTACCACGACTTGTATAATGTTATGGCGCGAGTTCGTCGTCAAAGTTGTAGAGATTCTAGCAGCTGCTCGATGCTCGTTCATCTGCGAAGGAGCGTGCTATCATCGATGGGATGAAGAAGTGTGAAGGTGTTGCAGCACCAGTCTGAGTCCAGCACTAGAAACGAGTAGTCTCTAATAGCACACCTCTTAGTCCAGAATCGCGGTTGCGTGCGGTATCAGATGTAGTCGAGTCGTGTGCGCTGATAGCCATGTGTCGTAGATCAAATAGCTTAGGAGATATGTGCCGTCGAGGCCGGAGTCATCGTCGACTTGAATGTGGGATTAATGAATGGAAGTGCAGGTCCAGCTGCGGTGAGGGTAGGGTCCATTAAAGCCTGTATTGAGGCATTGAGCGCGCGAGAGGGGAGGGCCTCATGATGGAGATGCTGGAGTGGGTAACAGGTCAGTATCCTTCACGGATCCTCGCAAAGCACCACGTACCACGTGCTCCAAAATTAACGATCGTGGTGCAGAATACCAGGCGTGAACAATCAGTGTGATCGATCGAAAGCGTATGGTGTTCGCAGATTTGAGGGCTGAGTACGGCTCAGTCATAAGAATTTTGTCTGGCTCAGGTGCTAGGAAAGGCTGTAATCAGAAACGTACTGGTTGAAGATGTCGCAGAAGAGAACGCTCAGTTGATCATTTGTCCCAACCTGGGATAGGAATCTTTTATATTTCGAGGTTCGGAAGCCTGGCCCGCGGTTCTGGAATGAAGGTCGGGAATCGTGAGACGAGGCTGGAAGTACCGTGCCGAGAGGTTGCTGTGGTTGCCAGGAATGTGTTAATCTTGCATGAAGGGTTTGGCTGTGTAAATATTGTTCTCAAAGATATGGAATAGTTTGGGATGCACGAATGGCGCTACTGCGGTCGTCGTGTCAACGTTGTTGGTGGTGAATCAATGCCAGCTCGAGAACAGAGGGCCCGCCTTCCATCGAGCCTGACTGATGCCACAGTGCTGTTCCCTCCATGAAGTCTGATGATGAAGTCAATGTCGGCGGCCGCAGTCATCTACCCACGATGTCGCTGCCATGGACGACAAGCCCCAACATCAGGGTATCGCTGAAATTCACCTCATGACGAGCACCACGTGAAGTCGAACACAGCCCCTGCGATACGAGCAAGGATCCCAGTCGAGGCAGCATGGAGCACAAGATCTTCATTCAGGTCTAATCTCCAGATCCTGAGATCCTGGTGGTCGCACAGGGCGTCCCAGGGTGCCTGCAAGCCTCTCTTCTTTCTGCAAATGTGGCAGGTCGGATCGGTCCGCCGTAATGGCATGACGCCGTGAGGGCGGCAGCGCATGGTCGCTCCTTGGGACAGGCTCACACAGCAGCTGGTGTGACGTCGAATATCAACTACACTCTTCGATCTCGACATGGCCATTGCGATGGTCAGGACTTGAAAGCATGGCAGTCAACATCGTAAGGTGTATCGTTTAGATTCAGTGATGTAAGCTGACGTTCAGGACTTCGGTAGGCATGTCGAGAAGACCGGCATACGGAATTGCAGTCCTGGAAGCCACATAATACAGGCTCTGGCAAGAATGATATGAACCCCTGCTAGTGGCATTCCTTCTGCTAACTATATATGGTTGTTATTGTGGGCCTGCTTCAAAACACGCTGTACGCGTCTTGATTCCTACATTCTTCGATACAGCAATGCCAAAGAGGATATTCTCAGCCTTTGAGAAGGGCCAGATATGGGCCCTTCACAAGCACGCATACTGGCCACTTCAGCGGATTGCTGAGAAACTGGATACCTCAAAACATGCTATATCTCAGGTTATTACACGCCTAGAACGCGAACCACGTACACCACCCCGACGAGGACGCCCTCCTGTAATTACAACCCGCAAACGACGTCGTCTTGTAAACAGACTGACTACTGATGCCTATCATAGGCGGCTCAGACTGGATCAAATTACGCGCCTTGAGGACCTTTCTTATGACTTCCGGACGATTCGAGCAGCACTTGCAAAAGAAGGCTATCAACGATATATAGCAAGGAAGAAGCCATGGCTTACGGACAAACACAAGGCAGCACGGCTACAATGGGCAAAAGAGCACGTCGACTGGACAGATAGGCAGTGGTCAAGGGTTTTGTGGACTGATGAAGCCTCAATTCGCTGTGGCTACTTCGGACAGGTCTATGTAACAAGAACGGTTGATGAAGCCTATCATACAGACTGCATTGTACCACGCTTCCGCAAGTACTCAGCCTGTATGATTTGGGGCTGCATATCAGCAGATGGACCGAAGGAGTGTACTGTATTCGATGCTGGATCAATTAATGGGGATATCTACCGTCAGAAGATCGTTCCATTAATACAGGCTGCTTGCCAAAAGCAGCAACAAGAGGGCATCTTCCAACAGCAGTCTTTAGTGATGCAAGACAACGCATCTATTCACAAGGCTAAGGCTACATTGGCCTTGTTTAAGGACTGTTATATACAGCTCCTTACATGGCCAGCAAACTCACCAGATCTTAATCCAATTGAGAATCTTTGGAGTCTTTTAAAGCATAGGGTTGGGCTTTATTTCCCTACAACAAGGGCAGAGGTTATTCAGGCTGTACAGACTGAATGGACAAGGCTGTCGACATCTGATATATCAAGGATCTGCCAGAGTATTAGGGAAAGATGTCAGGCAGTAATCGATGCTGAAGGAGGCCATACAAAGTGGTGACCCACTTATTCTTCCATATATAGCTAGATAAAGGCTGAGAAACTAGCAGGGGTTCATATCATTCTTGCCAGAGCCTGTACAGTCTCTGGCATAAACGTTAGCAACCCCTGCTAGCGTCTTGCAAACAAATCCTGTCTGTGCGATTGAGCACTGACAGCGTGTGCGTGTCGACCTTTCACCGTTAGGCTAGCAGGGGTTGCTAACGTTTGTGCTGGGGACTGTAGTAGGCGAAGGCGGCTTTGAATTCCGTGAACGCCAAAGGTCCATTCATAGAAAATCTCTGATCCTGCGGACAGCTAGGACTGTCTGGGCAGGACCAATATGGGAGAGACGGTGCTCGCCCTTGGAGGCTTGCAGGCGTGGAAGATTGGATGGACCATTACCCGCGATGGGGCCAATCCAGGCGAGTGGCGCATCGCTACCACGCTCGACGAGTGCAAAGGCCCTCTTCTCGCCTGCTTGTCTTTTTCTATAGGCAATGGAGGCCAATCCTCGGTTGCAAGAGATGACCAGGATAGACGTGTATCATGCGCCTAGCATGGCATGATATGCATGCGTTCGGAGATGCATGGTGAGGTTGCCGTATCGGGCGATCTCAAATATGAGAGCCGGGGGAGCTACAGTGTGGAATGCCAGGAGCGAACAGCAGGCGTAGAATCAGCGTCGTAGGCCAGAATTTGAAACACACGCCCACGAAACCGTACTGTGAGGAAGGGCCATTGCCTGGGCGAGCGAAGAACAGATGTTGTTCAAGGGGCACCGAGAACATGGGCTGGGCCACGCTTTCGCGGGTTTAGACTTTTGGCAGAATGATCTACGGCGCAGACTAGTCGAGATTGAAGACATATCATTGGCGGGACCAAAGTCAGATGCCCCTCAACAAGACATGGCCCGAGCACATCTGGGCACATCCTGGTCGCACAACGAAGACTTCACTCGCTTGCTGGGACCTGCTGCCACCCTCGGCTTGCCGGCTGCGCTCGCGCACATGTGCTGCTGCGATGGTGGAGCTGTCGTTGCTTGCTCTGCTGCGGCCAGGAGCCGGGTCGTGTTCCCGGCTACTGAGGCGAACGACGGGGAAAGATATCGCGAGCCGGCCGCTGCCACTGGCGCATGGATCTTGGTTGGCACATGCATTGGGCCCAAACCACGTGCATCGAAGTCTTGGGGAAGCCTCGCGCCAGCCTGAGCTCGGCCGTCTTCCCCTTCGCGGCGCAGAGGAGCGTGTTGGTGGTGAAGGAATTCAGGGGCAATTACGGCGGCGGATGCACAGGATGCGAGGTGGTGGCTTCTGGGGGGCCTTCTTCGTTTCCGGCTCTGGAAGCGGCGCCGTCGTGGTTGCCATGTGGAAGCACTACCGTCAAGGATAGCGGAGTGGAAGGTGCGCAGGTTAGGTAAGTGCATCTGGAAAACCTTCTCGAAGGCCCGTGTAAGGTTGGCGTCGGCTGCCAATGCATGCACACACCTTGGCCGTGCTGGTTCAAAGCGTGCAGTGATCGCCCATCTACAGCTGCAGGCCATCGCACAGCTCCTCCACTCGTTCTTTATCACCACCACTACCGCCCAAGATCTCGTCGTCGTGCGAGTCACCTTGACTTGAGCTCTCCGCCCAGCGCGAGCAACCGTTCGCCGCTGTCCTCGCCCGTGCAACACCGCCGTCGTCTGCGGCTTCCTCAGCAACGCCATCCACTTCACGGGCCCTGAGACCACGAGGCCGCCAGCCGCGGGGCTTTCCACCATCGTCTCCCCTTCATCCTGTCCGGCTATATCAACATCATCACTCACGCCATTCCCTCTGCAACTCACCACGGCGGCCCTTCGCGCACTGCTACTTCATCATCCACTACGCTCGCTGCCTGTTTTCCATTGACTGCATCGTCTGGTACTTCTGAATCAGCTATCACTTCTACACATCGACTTTCGTCACCACCATGGTCTACTCACTCACCTACCGCCGTCCCTCTCACGTCACCTCCTCCCGCGACTCTCTCAATGGCGACGAGAAGCAAAGATCCGTCAACGAGTCGATCCAGTCTGGCAGCTCTCACATGAGCAGCGGCATTCCCGATGCCCTGTCCTTCGATCGTATCATCTCTGGCGGCACCTGTCCTGTACGTATATCCATCGTTCGACTTCTGATCAATGTCACTTACCCATCTCTCAGCCTGTCACAGTGAGGGAGTTCATGAACTACCTCAAGTACATCGAGTACTCGGCCGAGAACCTCCAGTTCTTCCTCTGGTACCGAGACTATTCATCACGATGGGACAGCCTACCCGCCAGCGACAAGGCATTGGCACCCGAGTGGAGTGCATCAGCCGCAGACGCCGATATCTACGGCGCTTCACCCGTCAGACCAAAGCGTGTGCCGCCGCAAATTGCAGAGGTTCTGAAAAACACCGACTTCGCAGACGCACCAAAGGTCACCGTCGACCGTGCCGACCCATTCAACACCCCACCAAAGGCCGAATCTTTCGACGACAAGCGGGACCTTGCCTCTGACTACGGCTCCTCTGTGGGCGACGACAAGACCCTGTTGAGCAGCACCGCCAGTTCCCATCGAGTAGTAACCGAGCAAGCCTTTGATGATGCTGGTATGAAATGGAAGCCCTGTATGCATTATCAATATATTTAACTCTTCGATGGTGATTTTGAGCTAACTAACGACGAATAGTCTCGAACCAGCCATACAGAGATGAGATTTCTCGAATCATCAGCATCTACATCGCTGAAGGCAGCCCTCGTGAGCTGAACCTCTCATCCCGGGAGCGACAGTCTGTGCTGCACGCTCTTCAGCATACCACGCATCCCACCGCATTCAGGACGATCATCACCACCGTCGAGTACTCTCTCCGCAGACAAGCACACCCCAACTTCATCCGCTGGACCATCTGCAACGGCAATCGACCTCGTGTCATCTTTGCCCGCGGATTGGGCGTCAGCTTGATTCTCTTTGGCTTCCTGGCCGATCTGCTCATCACCCTCAGTCATGCAGGCCGCGGGTGGCGAGTGCTCCCGATCGTCGGCTGGTTCGTTGGTATCGCAACGCTGGTCGCCGCCTGGAAGGGTATGTGCGTGGTTCTGCATGGTCTGCATCACCGACACTTGAGGCCTTGGGAGCTGTTCTCGGACTCTTCAGAGGAAGCTGCCGACGAGAAGGGAATGTCTGTCGACTCGTTCCTTTCCGGCACTCGCAACTCGTTCGAGGAGGAGCCGTGGGTGCCACGTTATAAGAAACGTAACATCATCCGGAAAGTCTTTGACCGCGAGATCTGGATCCAAGAGCCGGCTCTTCGTCAAATCCAAGATACCATCTTCCTGCAATCCGTCCTGGCATCGTTCGTCGTCTCCTGCGTCGTGGTCGGCATTTTCTGCGCGGTTCCACATGGCAACCTGTACTAGGCCTCGATTTTGAGCATGGACTTTGTCGATCAAGGAGCCACATGTCACCGATGGCATGACTATGTGTGTTCGCTGTGGGATTGTTGGCGCCGGCTGTGGACGAGAACCACGTGCACAGGCAAGGCGAAAGTTTTTAGGCGTTTGGGCATTTTGGGGAGACTATACCCTTATCATCAAGCATTTATATGGTTCATCTGGGAGGCGAAATGGGTGTATACAAGGAAACATGTCGCAGCGGCACTGGAAGGAGGGGAACTCTCGCTGTGGAATGTATGTCGAAAATGAGGCGACGTGAAAAGCTGAATGACACGAGGACGAGTCTGTCCCTGTTCGAATAATGACCCTACAGTTTCTCAGTTGCTGCTCCGAAGGGTGAGGTGGGATCAAACGCGAGTAGCACTGCATCACCAACTCGTGGTCCTGCACGGCTTCTCATCCTCGTGTGCCAACAATAGGACCGACTAGCGCGCTAGAAGCAGCCAGTGATCTAGAAGGACGGGGGATCTAACGAAAGACGGTTCCTGCAGCCCAGCCCCCGTCAAACAGCTTCCCCCAAAGTTTAAGGACAGATGCTGATTTCTACACTGTAAATTCGAGTATAGAGGCGCCGAACAGCCATTCCGGCAGTGCCACCGCTGCTTGTTTCAGCGCGATGGAAATAGACAATGCTTATGTGTTCAATCAGATACGAGAGCCCTCCTTTACAACAGACAGCTGCTACTTACTCTCCCTCCCCTCTCCCAGACTGTCCCACGACCCAGCCTCGTGAGCCTGACGTCTTCTTTGTCGTGTCCCTGAACTCGTAAACAGTCGTCTCTCCAACAACCTCCCTTCAAGCAAACACAACCTCACTCACCACCAACCATGACACACACCAACGGCACCGCACCGACCGACTCGCTCTTCTCGCCCTCGCTGATCTCGCCGCAAGTCAGCTCCGCGCTCCCCTCAGGCTACTCGATCCGACCGCTCGAGCGCAGCGACTTCGACTACGGCTTCCTCGACGTGCTGCGAGTCCTGACGCACGTGGGCCAAGTCACGAAAGATGAGTTTGAGAACCGCTTCGACGAGATGAAGGCGGGCGCAGGCGGATACCACGTGCTGGTGATTCTAGATGGGGATAGCAAGATCGTGGGAACGGGGGCGTTGATTGTGGAGAGGAAATTGTAAGGACACATAACTATACCCTCTGTGATTGTAGTCGTTAGGGCGTGCGTTGCTAATTGCTATGGTAGTATCCACCACCTCGGACTCGTGGGACACATCGAGGACATTGCGGTCGCCAAGGACCAGCAGGGCAAGAAGTTGGGACTGAGGATCATCCAGGCGTTGGACTACGTCGCGGAGAATGTGGGCTGCTACAAGACGATTCTGGACTGTTCGGAGGCGAACGAAGGGTTCTATGTCAAGTGTGGGTTCAAGAGGGCTGGGCTTGAGATGGTGAGTTTTGTGCGAGGACATTGAAGGCTTATGGGACGGGCTGCTAACAGGTGAGCAGGCTCACTACTACGAGCGACCACAGTAAATGATAGAGGTGAATGGGATGGGATGAATTGGGAAATGGTAGAAAACGGGGCTGTTCTCTCGATTAAGAGTTGATAGTAGAGACTCTGGCTGGCAATGCATTTGCGTGGCAGGTCCACTTGGAGTTGGGACGAGATGAGGTTCTGCAAAGTGTCTGCAAACGACAGGAAGGAGACCTTTTGGTGCTGTACTGTTTCCTGCGATCTACATAGACTCGCTGATACCCGAATATTTGAGCTTGACAACTGAGCACATGGCTTGACATCTCCTACACATGTGATGCCGCTAGGGGAGGATTGAAGCGTCTTGGCGGGCCGTACCTGCAGCAGACGTGTAGCACAACACCTTCGAGACAACTTTTGACTACTATTTGCATGTCGATCGGGTCGCAATAGCACTGCCGACTTGATTCACACAATCGATTGATCGTACAATGCCGAATTCTGGCGGAGTCGGGAACGACGAAGAATGGCTTGAGTATTTGCGAAAAGGTCTGCTTTTGAGGAAACTACCACCACTGTGACGAACAATGCTCAAAATCTCTGCAGGCATAAAATCAGATCTTCTCAACGAAAAGGCCCCCGAATCATCCCAACCCGGCGGGCAAAATGGAACCGCGCCTCTCAAGAAGAAACCCCCCTTCGAGCCAAAAGAAGGCAACGATCTGAAGACACCTCGAATCACCCTCCCCGACGAGCTCTGGCAACTCGTCCTCCAATGCCCTGTTACATTCCCATCCGAAGTCTTCCACGGCGTGATGCTCAACCTGGTCAAGAACCCCAACATCACATCAAGCCACCTTTTTCGCGCGGACATTTTCTACGACAGCGAGCCGGATCACCTTTTCCAACCCGACGACCCAGATCCGCATCACGGCCTGGCGAAGCATCTGAAAGAGGAATTACGGCCACTACCCGCTCGGTGGCCTGGCTTCCAACTCGAGAGGACCATCGTGCGGCAGCTCGTCCCGCGGAATCCTCAACTCGACAAACCTCTGGTGCAGACGTGCCATTTCTTCAAAGGACAGGACGATCAAGGCGAAGAACACAGCCTCGTGCTGTACATCCCTCACGTCGCCCAACCAGAAGACATCCCCTTCTACCACCCCGCCGTCTCCCAACTCGCCTTCCTCCACTCCTGGCATCCCACCCCCACCCCGACAGGCACCCTAACCCTCCTCTACCACCCCTTCCCCACCCACCCCACTCTCACCCCGAAACTCCACCGCACCGCCCTCAAACTCCTCCAAACCCTCCACAAACACGGCCAAGGCCAACTCCTCGGCTACGAGAAACGCGTGCACCACGACGTCCTCATCCCCCAAAAATCCTACCAGGACACGTACAGCCGCCTGAAGTCCAAATACGGCAAACGCCTCTCGGAACAATGGGTCGAAGTCACGGATCCGGGGAAACATGTCTTTGAGGATATCGCCATTGCGGCGTTTTTGATCGAGTTGTGGAGGGGGATGTACCGGATACCTAATACCACCTCCTCTAACATCGATGACGACGGTGAGGATCAAGAAGGAGGGGGGAAACCTCCCTTCCCAGGCTTCATCGACATAGGCTGCGGCAACGGGCTCCTCGTCTCCATCCTCCTGGGTGAAGACTACCCCGGCAGCGGCTTCGACGCCCGCCACCGCAAGACCTGGTCCATCCTCCCGCCAGACGTGCAAGCCAAACTAGAGCAGAAAATCCTCGTGCCCAAGATCTTACAGGACACCGTCGTCACCACCAGCACCATCGAAGAAGAAAAACAAAAAGAGGACTGGCACGACGGGATTTTTGGTGAAAAAGGCCCCTTCATAATCTCCAACCACGCCGACGAATTAACCCCCTGGACCCCCCTCCTCGCCTACCTGAACCATTCCTCCTTCATCGCCATCCCCTGCTGCAGTCACGATCTTAGCGGCGCGAGGTTCCGCGCGCCGGGGGTGAGTAAAGGGGTGAAGCAGCTGGAAGGAAGGGGGAGATTACCCCAACAGCAACAACAACATCACCAGCAGGAGAATGAGAAGAATGGCCACCACCCCCAAGCCGCTGAAACAGGCTCCCTAGCACGAACCCCCGCGCAAAAGAAAATGCCCTCAGCCTACTCGACGCTGTGCTCCTACGTCGCGAGTCTCGCGAGCGAAGTGGGCTTTGATCCGGAACAGGAGATTCTGCGGATCCCCAGCACGAGGAACACGTGTATCGTCGGACGACGGCAAAACTGGGAGGGAAATCTGACGAGGGAGGAAAGGGAGGCACAGGTCATCGACGTGGTGGAGCGGGAGTTGAAGAGGTGTATAGGAAACGTGGCGAGCGATTGGATCGCGCAGGCGCAGAGGTTGATGAAGAAGCCCGGTAGTGGGCATTGAGATGTTTGGTGATAAGTGAATGCAAGGGAGCCTTTTCGCTGGCGGGCTTTCATCTCTCTATTTCATCAAAGCAAGTAGGTATCTTCTCGTTTTGTGTCGTGGGGTCCCGTTTCTCATGCCTTCGTGGGCATTCATAGGTCTCGTGTTTCGTCAGTCGTAGATGTCGAAGGGTCGGCCGTTGGAGCGGATTCAGCAGGTGTCGCGAGGGTGTCTGGACTTCGCGATGAATTAGTTCCGACATCATCGTTGAGGAAAGGGCTCAAATAGTCCAAACTCACCTCCTAGTCCGAGTAGTATCCCGATTTCCCGCCCCTATGCGCATGCCCATCATCCCTCACGTACTCAGACCGTCGTCGGCCCTCCTTCTTCCTGCTGTACCGTTAGCATCTTCAATCCACCACAGTACCCTTCCACTGGCGATCCAGCTGCCCGGCCACAACAGCGACTTTGCGAGGCTGTGTTGAAGCTTACCTCGACGGCGGTTGTTGTGGCATCGACGGCATCTGCGCGCTCAGCGGCGGTCCGCGACGGGTGTCGACATACCTCTCCCTAGCTTGGAAAGCGTTAGCACCAAGAGCTCCCACAGCAGCACCTATCGCAGCGGGCACGCGGCCTTTTCCAATCTCACTGCCGACCAGGCCTCCTGCCAATGCCCCCACGGCGGAATATCCAAGTCCTCGTTGGGATGTGTCGAACGCCTCTCGGATTCCGGACTTACCTCTGCCAGGCGGTGCCCGGCCATCGTCGGGGCGGCGCTCACTACGCGCTCGGCGAAGGTCGCTGCGGTGGTCATAGCTGTCGGGGGAGTAATCGTCTCGTCGGGAATGTCGTCGTGATGGTGAGCGCGAATGTGGACGCTCCGTCTCGGCGTCATACCCATCATAGCGCTCGTCGTAGGGCTGGCCGTAGCTTTCATCGTAACGTCTCGCGGTATAGTAAGGGTCTGGCACGTAGCTCGGCTGGCTTCCAACAGGTGCTTCCTGAGCAAACGGGTTCTGCTGGTAGGGCTGCTTTGCCACCGGGGGCGCGACCTGGTTCATGAAGTTGGGCTGGACAGAGCCAGTATCGGAAGCTGGTGGCGGATATTGGGGTTGCTGAGGCTGGCCGTAGATGTTGGCGTACGGCACATATCCCGTGGCCATGCCTCCACGCAGGGTGGACGTCGACTGGCTCGCAGGATTTGGTTGCCCTGCTGGTGGTAGCGGACTGGCGGGATTGGAGGCTATCGACCCGCCGGGATACATGTAGCCAGCACCAGCAGCGGCGGCGGCTGCAGCAGCCTGCGGGCTTAATGGGCTCAACGGAGGCTCGACTGGGCCGTTGTGATATGAGAAGGCTCCATTCAGTTCGGGGTCACCATTGCGATGTTCTCTGGGCGCTCGCTTGGGCCGATCGGTCTCGCCGCCGTTTCTGTATCTGTCGGCTCTGCTTCGTCGTCTCCGTGGTCGATCGTTGACGGTGTCGTAGCTGTCATCAGGCCCATCGTACGACCGGTGCGAATGTCTGCCATGGCCATCAGAGCGATATCCATCGTCGTGGTCCTCCCGGCGCGACCTTCTGCTGTCCTCGTAGTCGTCGTCTTCGCTATAGCGACGACTGCTGCGGTGCTTCCTCATGTCCTCGCTCTTCTCCGGTTTCTCGTGGGTGTTGCCCTCCTTGTCTTTGTAGAAGCCGCCGGGAATCTTCTCAAACCAGTGGTCAGGGACTTTGTCGGCCCCCCACATGACACCTTATGCCAACGAATCGACATTAGCTTTATCCGGTGGGCAAGCCGGGATGCGGCCTGCTCGTTTGTATTCCAACCACGACGTACCTCGTAGTATGAGCTTCTCCATGGCGGGCGTCGTTTAGCCCTGCCTGTGACCCACGCTTCCGACTGCGCAGCGCAAAGTCAATGCCGGGGGTGAGTGGCCGCGGACAGCGCAAGGCGGCCAATATCAGGATGCGGTTGTGGTGTGTTCCCTGATTCACGTGAATCGGGCGTCAAGACAAGCAAGGATCGGTATGTCGTAGATGGTCGGCGCGGCAGGTCTGGACGGCGTTGGGTCGCAGCGCAGCGGTCAAGGGGGTGGAGTGTTGTCAGCAGCCGCTGCGGTTGAATGTGAGTCGATTGAAGAATGGCAGCAGGACGCGCATGTCTGTGCCGGGGGAGAAATAGCAAGCAGGAGAAGCAGGTCGCCGACGAGCGTAGCCTTACCACTGGTGTCTGGCGCACCTATTACGCGGGTGTACTGGGAGTGTCTGGTGGTGGTGGGTAGCGCAAGAGCCGCGTTGCTCATTCCTATTGCAGCCGTACGTCATTGGTACATGCAGTGGCGGCCCAAACACAACCGCGCAATGCACGTCGCTGGTCATGCGCGCTGCCGGCCTGGCGACGATGAGCTGGCCGACGGACAGCGCAGTCTGCTTTTTGCTGTGTGTCTGTGCAAGACGAATCATCCGCCTGCAGACGTTCGCCAACCGCCCGGCCCGCTGTCCAATTACACGCCAGTACGGGCTCAACCTAGAGCTTGTTCACGTGAACGGCTGCACATGAATGAGTCGCGGGCTCTCGCAAACACATGTTCCTCACATGTCACTCGAAACGAGAAGGTAGTCGCAACATGTGCAAATCGTCCCATCATGTGCTATCTCACATCACAACCGCATAACCTCATAAGCCCCTCAAACAGCACCATCCCTCCACGAGTTCGGATTCCGACCCGTCGGTGAGAAGAAGCCAGCCTTGTCGTAGTTCTCAATCCCCGTCATATCGAAATTCACATCCTCCATGTTGTCAAACGTCATCCACGACGGCGGATACTGCCCGCTGCCAGGCCCCGTTCCGCCCCCGACCATCGCATTGCCTGCGATAGGCATATCCATGGTTCCAGGTGTCCCTCCGAAGCCGTTCATGGGGAACGTATTGTCGTTGAGTTGTCCCTCGGTGAATTGCGCCGTGCGTTTCGTCATGCCTTGATCGAACATGTCCCAATCGATGTTGCCCGGCATGTCCAGCATGTCCCCGATCATGGAGAAGTCGGGAAGAGAGCCGTCTTGTTCGGGCGATGTGTCGTTGGAATTGGATTGCGAGAGTGACGTTGCCCCATTGGTCGACCCAGTGTTGGCCGCATATGCATTATTGTTCAGCGTCAGTCCGTCGGGGACGCCGGTCATGTTGTCCCATTGATGATACGAGACCATGCCGCCGAATTGTGGACGCTCTCCAGTAGACGTGTGCATCGGCGTCGGTATCCCAAGCTCCTCGTTCGTGAATGCCATTTGAGACGGGGTATCTTCCTGAAATTGTGCGAGAGCATTCGCCTGCTGGGGGAAGCGGGCTTTGACCTTCTCCAACATAACTGCCATCGCTCGACTGGCCTTTTCCGTCTCATCGAACATGTGCTCGCCACGGGCGTGCTCGTCCTTGGCCACGAACTGATTGGGCCGACGCTTGCGTTTGCTTGCATCCGACCAGATCTTTTGGCTCTTCTCCAACGCATCCATCATCGCAGCCCGCTGTGGACAGAGTCGGCCTCCGGGATTCATGACCGCCGAATCAGGACTGATCTGTTGTGACAATTCAAGGCAAATGATCATTGCTGCAAGAAGGAAATCGTGCGTGGATATGGATCCCATGTACCACTTGACGCTTTCGAGCTGTCCACCAGGCTGGCTTGCCGTGTAGATGGTGTGATGGTGCTGTAGGACCCGTAATGCGCACGACGTGCAAGCTTTCCTGCTGATACCGATGCCCATTTGTTGTTCGTGCGGAGACAGTTGTGCAAACGGCTTTTCCATGTAGCGTCGATGCAGCACCATCTTGACCTTCAAATATAGCAAATCGAGGTTAAACCGGCACATGAGCTGCTCTGCAGGATCGGTAACCAGTTCACTAATGTCCGGCATCTGCAAGAGTGGCGGTATATGCGCTCTAGCTTCCTCCAGCTTTCTGTCCAACTCCATCATCTCCTCGTGAGACGGTGGGATCGTGGCGTGGCTGAGTTCGGACGCATCGGCAAAGATTCTCGTGATTCGCAGCTTTGCCCGTGTGTACGAGGATGGCGTTAGTTCGTCTATGCCCCTGCTTGGTGGTAGTACTTTGGTGTTGACATTGAAATCTCGGTCGAGCAGGTTGCGTGGCGACTGTGTATCAGACTGAAGCGTTCTCACCTGCGTCCCATATCAGCCATGCACGTTGACAAACAGATTTCTGTTGCACTTACCATCGAAGGCAGACCAAGCTGGAACGAGATCAACACGTCAATCATGCTAATGATTGCCCAAACCCTCCTTCTCATCTCACCATCAAATGTGGATATGGCAGGATAGCTGGCAGGGTCTCGGTGGTAACCCATTCTTAATGCCAATCGCACGATGAGCCCAATCATAAGCCATACGTTCACAAAAGCATCGTTACTCCTCAGTCCTGCCGAGTACAAAATAAGGCATTCAATCGTGTATTGCTTCGGTTTCGTAAAGTCCGCCATTACCGCAGCCGATCCGCACAAGGTGTGGTATTCGTTCACATCAGCCAAAATCGCCTGCGCGGCCGCGCTTGTGGGATCGCTATCACGTAGCCCAAAGGATGCCGCAAGGCTCAGAATAGCGTACAGTAGACCAAGCCACATAGTTGGTGTCTCTTGCGGGTTTCGCCAGAAGCGCCTGTACTCGTCTTGGAAGGTAGGCGCGTGGATAATGGGTTTGAATGGATCGGGAGAGTTGAACCAAAGGCTCAGCAAGCGATCTGCCACCCTCTTCTCTGGTACCGACGAGATGAGTTGCTCCCGAGACACAAAATTTGAGGATCCTATCAAGAAACCAAGACCCGTCGTAGCGTGAGGCGGTGAGTTAGCTTTGTCTCCTCCTGGGAGGCTGGTGAGCGGGACGTTGCCAAAGGCATTGCCATACAGATCCGTGTCAGGTTCCTCAGGCTCGGTATGTCCATTCGTTTGATCACCTTCGCCATCTTCGTTGTCACCAAGATCTCGTTTGAGCTCTGATATGCCGTTCAGTATCGCTTGCCAATGAGTCTCTCCAACATAGCTGATCTCGTTCTTGCTTATTCGCATCTGGCCAAACGGTTTGGTCGCACCATCCACATCATCTTGCGTACTCCCAGAGCCTGCAGTACCGACATTATTAGGAGAGTTTGAATCGTTGTCGCTGGGAGGCGTGGGTTGCGAAAAGGTGGTCGATCGACGGTGTCCGTTGGTAGTAGGGCTCTCGTCACTAGGACTGTGCTCTTCTTGCTCGTCGCTGCCGTTGGTCTGAGGGTTCTTGGTACTCTGCTGGTTCATCAGATCGACCACCAGGTTCTCCAGCTGACGTATGCGACCCTTGACATTTTGCGCGGGCTTCTGCTTTACAGGCGGCGGGACGTAGAGGCACGACGATTCTCGATTACGCTTGATGCACTGGTCGCAGGCGGGATCGTGGGAGCGATTACATTTCAATTTGCCTTGTCGACATGGGATACAGCTGAGTTGCGATCGGGCGCGCTTCTGCTTGAGATGGGCGCCATTGGCGAGGTTGTTCAGCGTCTGCTGGGTCTGCGCCTGCGACGCTCCGTTCGCAGTGCCGTTCGTATCTTCGGACATGATGGCGGTTGGTGCGACGAGTAGAGGCGCAAGTGGCGAGGAGTCCTTGACGCGGAGAGACGTCGAAAGGATGAGTAGGATTCACAGGCCAGACGCCGAGGGAGTTTTGGGCGGTGGAAGTGTCCTTCCTGCTTTGTAAGGCTGCTGCAGGTGTTGAAGCTCCAGCAGTGGTAGATGACGTTTTCTGGTCTTGAGTGTAGCCGTCTTGTACTTTTACCCTGATGAACGACGGTAGTCGAGTAATGGGATGAGTGAGGCTGAAAGGTTCACCAACAGACTACAGTCATGTCGTCGCCGCGCATCGAGTGCGTCGTTCGATCCTTTGTCGGCCGCTCGAGGCTCGCATCGACAGCCAAGAAACGGCGATAAGGGAGCAAACTCCATGCCACCATGAATATGGTCGACAGAGGGTACATGGCAGTGCAATATAATATGTGAATTGCCTTGCGAATGTATCAAGAGAGTTAGATTGCTCTGCTAGCCACGAAAGATGGCCGACGTAGTTGCATGGTATGAATACGGGTAGTAGGTGGAGGAGCAGATCCCTGCAGGGCTTCGATAGAACCACCCTGGGCATCGTATCGTGTTGTTGTACAGCTCCTGGTTCTGCTGCAGCAGCTCATTCAAATAAAGCATCGACATACAGTAGCGTCGGTCGTATTACAGTTGGATAAAGAGGAGAGAGAACCTCCTCCGCACCGTACTACTAGGCGACAATCCCAACTCTCACAATCAATCTTCACAAGCATGGCTCTAGTGCCACCTTTTAATGCGGAAACAGCCCACCAGAAGGTCAAAAAGGCTCAGGACTTGTGGAATACACGGTACATACAAGCAGGCGAGAATGCCTCCACTGCCACGCTCACATATCTTGCAGAAATCCAGAAAATATCGCCAAAGCCTATACAGAGGACTCCATCTGGCGCAATAGAGACAAGTTCCTCAAAGGCACTCAGGAAATCGTCGACTTCCTCACCTGGAAGTGGAGCAAAGAGCACAACTACAAGCTGCGCAAGGAGTTGTTTGCCTTCACCGACAATAAAATAGCGGTTCAATTCTGGTATGAGATGCAGGATGCCCATGACGGTATGAAATGGAAAAGATGCTATGGTCTCGAGGACTGGACTTTTGCCGATGACGGGAGGATGAGGAAGCGGCAAATGAGTGGTAACGAGATAGAGATTGGCGAAGCGGAGAGGTGGTTCAAAGACGGGGTCGATGTGAACAGTGTAGAGATTGGCGAGGAGCATTGGTAGTTTGTCGCTGCGACATCTGCTGCCTCGTCACCCCAGATCGCATGCTCATAGCACGCCCTCGCTTCTTCCCTCGAGCGTCCGCGTCCCGCAGCTTGCTTCGCTGCTATTGTTTCAGAGTCTCGTCTGTGACAATTTTGTGCCATGCCCTCCAGTACTGTATTGTAGGCGGAGCGTCCCCGTTGCGACCGGTAAATTACACCTGAAGTGTTCCTGGGTATCTGGCTGCGCGTTTGGTGACAGCATGAAGCAGGCCACTTGAGTTCACGCTCCTTGGCAAGCACACTGGGACTGCTGGGCTGATGCGCGGATCTTCGCGTTGTGGTTGGGATGGGAGGCTGTTTGTCCTGGTCCAGGTTCAAGCGGGAGGAGTGTCGTGAATAACGACGAGGAGAAACTTCGAGTCTGTATAGATGTCAGCGCGTGCCTCCTTGCCAGACCTGCCGACCACATACCAGGCACAACCACGAGCTCATTCTTTTTGGTCCGTATACGCAAAAGTTTGGCCTCATCAGACTCGCCATTCAGCTCTTCAACCATTGTCCCGGCGCTTTGCACAAACTTCCACACCAACATGGCGACATCTTCAGCCCTCCTTGTGCCTTTCTTCTTGACCTCGCCGTCAACGCCATTTGTCTGACCCCCGCTGCTGCCCGGTGGCACGATGTCTCCTTCCACTTCTTCCTCTTCAGTCACAAGCCCAGATGATCGCACAATGGCACCGTTGTCACGCGACAAGATCAAGGTACCCTGGACGCCCGGTCGATTGGAGAGCCGCGCGAGGAGGTTGGCCGTCTCTTCTGATGGCGACGGCTGCTGCATATCGCGCAGTGTCGACGTGGGATCTCAGTAGTGAATCTGGTGGGTTGGCATGGCGCGACAAGTTCGTGTGCTGTCTTGCGGAAAAGTCATCGGGAGAGGCGCGTCGGGCACGTGTAGCGGTCCGTGCGTGATCGGCGTCTTGAATTCTTCAACGCCGACGTCTCGTCTTCTTTCGCTCCAAATGCTGGGTATGCGCAAATGACCAGCACAGAACTCCAAACCTCCGTATCTACTTTCAGAGTGCATCTGGACTGCGGATAGTCAGCCATGGGCTCATCATCCAAGAAGAAGAAGGAAAAGAAGCAAGACTTCCAAAAGCCCAAGCTCAAGGTTGGAAAGGCTCGTCCTAAGAACACAAATGCCACCGATACCAGCTTCTCTGCGAAATCGATCGTGCTCAAGCAGCAGAACCTGAGCGAGTCCGGACGAGATGCGAGTACCTTATTCAGCCACAACCTGTCTCTCTTGAGCAGCAAGAACGATGTGCAGCGCCGTGATGCTCTCACGTACCTGACCGCAGCCGTTGCTACCAATCTCGATGGTCTGCCACAACCTCTTTCCACGGTCCTTGGCAAAGCTCAACCTCTGATACTCGATGGCAACTCTTCCGTGCGCCAGCAGCTGTTGAAGCTGCTAAAAGTTCTGCCAAAGGATGAGATCGGGTCCTTGGAGCAGACACTGCTCTACACTCGGGCGGGGCTCACGCATCTCTCCACCGACATCCGCTTGACTGCTCTCGATGTCCTGGACTGGCTGTTGGAGACGAACGGGCATGCTGTGATGAGTGTTGCAGGAAGCTGGATCAAGACGCTGCAGACATTCCAGAATCTGCTCTCCTGGCAGAATGTGCCCACCGCCACTCCAACACCGACGGATGGGAACTGGTCATCCGCAAAGTCAACTTCAAACCTGGGCAGCAGCAAGTTGCTTGTCCATCAGCTGAACAGCCTCTCTCACTTCTTGTCAACCGGCCTCACCAAATCGCCGCCCGATCCAAGCGCACAGCAACGTCAAGCTGCTGCGTGCTTCCCACTTCACCAGACCAGCGCTCACTTATTGCTCACCAAGAGTAACTCTTTCGCTCACTTGAACCTGTTCGGTGCTCCACGAGACGTGGAGAGTGAGGTTTATGAGGACGCGGAAGAACGAGTGAACATCTTTGTCGACATGAAGATGGATTCAGCGTTTCGGCATGGGGTCAGCGAGGTGAAGAGGGCTGGTGGTGAGGTTGGTAGAGCGGCAGCAATGGTTGATAAGGCGCTCAAACTCGTCGAAGTGAGCTGATGCACAACATTGTCAGTTTGCGCAGGCTCTCCGATCGATCTCAATGGGCCTTGAGCACTCGTCTGCATTCATTCCGCCAGAAAGGTGCATTGTTGCTTCACCTCTCACTCACTGTCATATGCCAGTGTGAGGACATTCTCTCACTTTCCAAAGGCGATAGCGATGCTCTTCCCGGGGCCCGCCATATTTTATTAGTCCAGCTCTCACTCTGCACCTACTTCGCAACAACAACAACACATCCAAAGATAACAAGCCGTTATACCAATCATCATCAGCTACGCCAACCCCGTCCCTCAGCACGCACAACCTTGCGCGTAAGTTATAGCTGAGCACGGCACTATCGATATGCATCCACCCCTTCTCACGTTGGTTCGTCTTACAGGACGCGCTAAGATACCGACGCCATTATGGCACCGCCCGTCAGCCGAGAAACAGTCAAGACCCAACTTCAGTGTGACGAGCGGACCCTTCGGCAACTTGTGAAGAACGTTACAGCTAAAATGGACAACCTGAAGCTGTTAAAAAAGCCAGCAAAAGATAAGCTGGAGAAAAAGGAGTGGCGACTGGCTAGCAAAACCGCGCTGGCACAGGTCTTCCGCAGTACCGACTACGACGATCTTAGGACCCGTCGAACTGCTCGCGTGGATAAATACCTTGTCTGGTGCGCATCAAGAGGTCGAACAAAAGGCGACAGCGCATACGCCTCCGTCGAGTCCGAGTCCGACGAGTCTTCCTCCGGGGAGGACTGGCGTGTCGAGCGGAACAAGGACGACCCCGAGCGCACCGCAAGGCGCAAGGCTTCTGCAGGATTAAAGAAGGCCAAAGAGGGCAAGGGCGAGAAGAAGCACGCGGTTGACAGGAAGTGAGCGGGTGTGAAGAGAGGCGTTGAGTAAGGCGGTGGAATAGGGTCTGGTAAGAAAACATCTTGAAATCCCCAATGATGTACATCGACACTGACAAATTCTTCACCTCAGATTCTTCTCAAGCGACGAGAACGGAGTTACAGAGGAGATGTACGATATCGCCACAGATCTGTACGACGAAGACAGCGAGGCCTAAGACAAACAAGCACACACCTCTATCACTATCGATATTGCTATACCATCATGCATGAATGAAAGGCTCATCTGATTACCTTCCCGACGTGGACAGCCGGTGAGAGTGGTTCAAAGAGGACGATTGCGTCGTAGTCTACGCCTCAAACCCACCGAGCGAGTTCGCAAGTTGGCAACCTCGTGATCATGTTCCACTACGACGCAGAGCTCTCCCAACTCTAGGCAAAGCGGCCGCGGTGCAAGGGCCACGAATGTGCAGACGACTTGTAGGATTCGGGTGTAGTGTGCCGGGATAAGGGCGGCAGTTGCTCACGTAGCCTAATCCTGCTGTGAGGCTCAAGCAGGGACCGGGGAGGAGGGCTGCTTCTTCTCATGAACAAGAGGTTTCTTAAGGTGGTGGGATAAGTGTTTAGGAACGGCTGTAGCATAGCAAAATACTGCTTCAATACACATTCCCATCGACTTTCACGTCAACACCAAGCAAATGCCATGTCCGTGGAAAGAGACCACCCTTCCAAGGCAAGCCGCTAGAAGAACTCTCCCGCCTTGGTCAAAGCATGAGTGGATCAAGCTCATGCAAGAAATCGGTCCGAGAAGGCTTGTATCCACCAGGCCCAACGCCATTATTGGCTCCCATCCATCACAAACACATTCGCGTCGCACGACGCTGTCGAACTGCCCTGCCCGGGTGAAGCGTGGAGTTTTTGTCGGTCGACACGCGATCGTCTCTCCTCGTGGCGGGCGCGGAGCGAGTTGGAGAGTCCCGAGGGGAAGTTTCCATGTCTGTGGGAGTATAAATTGCGGAGGCGTGGCTCTGGGAAAGGTAGGTTTGCTCTGGTCCGTTTTTCTGTACTGGTTCTTGGGTGGCCTTTCTGCCCTCTATCTCCATCTTGTCTTGACTGGCTGTGCCATCTAGCAACTACACCTCCCCCCTCGAGACACGCCATGTCGACGGAGAAAGACATCAAGGCTGCGGAAGCCACGCAGGCTAGCAATGTCGAAGATACAACTTTCAACGAGGGACGCAAACTGTCGGCCGACGAGATCCGGGCGACTATTCGGTCTGACAGCATTCCCAATGTACACTCAACAAAGGAAGCCATCGAAGCAGCCCAAGCTGGTGGTTGGGAAGCCGATGCTTTAATCGAAGAGTTGGAGAAGGAGCTCCAAGCTAGTGGCAAGAAGAAGGGCCATTTCGATCTCGAGTTCGACAACCCCAAGCATTTCACATGGCTGCTGGTTGCTTTCGCATCTGTGAGTGGTCCACATAAGATACTCCCTCCTCTCTAACATGATATCCAGATGGGAGGCCTGCTGTCTGGCCTGGACCAATCCCTCATCTCTGGCGCCAACCTCTTCCTCCCAGACGACCTGCATCTGAGTGCCCAACAAAACTCTCTTGTCAACTCAGGCATGCCCTTGGGAGCAGTAGCAGGTGCTCTGCTGCTCTCCCCATGCAACGAATGGTTCGGCCGGCGATGGTCTATCATCATCTCATGTATTCTCTACACTATCGGCGGCGCCCTCGAAGCTGGTTCGATAAACTACGGCATGATCATTGCAGCAAGAGTCATCCTCGGCATGGGCGTCGGTCTCGAGGGAGGAACAGTCCCAGTCTATGTCGCCGAGACAGTCGAACGAAAACTCCGGGGTAACATGGTCTCCCTCTACCAGTTTAACATCGCCCTCGGGGAAGTCTTGGGATACGCAGTGGGCGCAATGTTCGTCTCCGTTGAAGGCAACTGGCGATACATCCTCGGCTCATCCCTCTTGTTCTCCACTATCATGCTCATCGGCATGCTCTACATGCCGGAGTCCCCTCGCTGGTACATGCACAAAGGCCGGGTGCTCGACGCATACGGAGTCTGGAAACGCATCCGTGGAACCCGCACGCTGGAGTCTCGTGAGGAGTTCTTCGTTATGAAGGTGTCGCAGGAGGAAGAAGATGCTGAAGTCGCCGCTGGTGCTGGATCTCGTCGGGCCCCTTGGTTGGACTTCTTCACCAAGCCTCGCGCCCGTCGCGCTCTCATCTATGCCAACATGATGATCTTCTTGGGACAAATGACGGGTATCAATGCGATTATGGTGAGTTGAATGGAACGTTCCACTAGTGTGGAGACCAGTTGAGAGAAACCCATCCTCTGACATCGCGACAACAGTACTACATGAGCGTCCTCATGTCCCAACTCGGCTTCGACCAATACCAGTCCAACTACATGTCGCTTGTCGGCGGCGGCTCGCTGCTCATCGGCACCATCCCCGCCATCTTCCTCATGGAGACCTGCGGCCGCAGATTCTGGGCCATCGCCATGCTTCCAGGCTTCTTCATCGGTCTCGTGCTGGTCGGAGCCAGCTACCACGTTACCGGTCTCCAGGGCAAAGAAGGCGTGTATCTTACCGGACTGATCATCTACGAGGTCTTCTTTGGGTCCTACGCTTGCTTAACCTGGGTCATTCCTGCAGAGGTAAGTCGAGAAACATGCCATGTAGTCGACCCCCATCACCACAGTACACTAACACACCCCTTAACCAGGTCTACCCAACATACCTTCGTTCCTACGGCATGACAGTCTCCGATGCCCTCCTCTTCCTCTTCTCCTTTATAGTCACGTACAACTTTACCTCGATGCAAAACGCCATGACGCCCACAGGCCTCGCCCTAGGCTTCTACGGCGGCATCGCTGTCCTAGGCTGGTTCTACCAGATTTTTTTCATGCCGGAGACAAAGGTAAGCAAATCAACATCATACCCTTGAACGAATCCTCGAAGAGTTTCGACAGCAAGCAACATTCGACTAACGTATGCTGTGTGTGTGTGCGTGTGTAGGACAAAACCCTCGAAGAAATCAACCTGATCTTCGAAAGACCCACGATGGACATCGTCCGTGAGAACGCCGCGAGTGCGTGGCAGAATACCAAGGACCTTGGAGCTTTCAGGTTTAAGAAGGTGTTTATTGATCGTCATACGCCAAGGAGGGCGAGTGTTGTGGAGCAGGTTGGTGGGAAGGGGGCTGCGTAGGTTGAGGGGGGAGGAGCTTCGTGTGATCTGGGTTTGATCTGGCTGGGAGAGCTATGCTGCGAATTGGAGTCGGGTTGGTGGTTTGTGATGGACGTGATAATAGACCCCATGGAGGTAATGAACAGCAGACCTATGCTCGCTTTAGAAATGGTGGCAGGACCCTATCAGTCGGCGTTGTGAGATGACCAAATCAAAGCAGACTCACAGCCTGACTTGATCATCCTCTGCCATGTACTACGTTTCTATCTCCAGCCCGTCCACATTGACACCCGGGTGAACCTGACCTCACAACCCATCACCACTCCCCCCAAGTCTACTTCGGCGCCTCCGCACTCTCCACAACATCACTCATAAACGCACCCCCCAGCAAAATCGCCGGCTCGCCCAAACTATGATGCTCATAGCTCAATGTCCCAACACCCCCGGCCTCCAAAATCAAACTCGGATTCTCAGCGATATCCTTATTGACCCACCGGCCGGCGAACGCCCGCAGGATATGTCCGTGGGCGATGATGAGCACGTCGAAGGGCTCCTTCACGGAACCTTTAGGTTTCCCAATGGCGTGGGCGTGGAAGCGAGCGCGGATGTCGGCGATGAGGGCGTCGAGGCGGGCGGTGATTTGCGCGGGGGATCTGGAGTCACAGCACACGTCAATCACCTATACTCGTGCAGTTGAGAGAGAAGAAAGATATACTCACTCCCCACCAGGACACCCATCCCTCCAAATATCCCACTCGCCCTCCCCGCTCTCCCTCCTCCTCTCCCGAATCTCTCTACTCGTAACCCCCTCATAATCCCCATAATCCCACTCAGCAATCCTCTCCGTAATCTCCACCTTCGCCTTGACCCCTTCCTCCTCTTGACACTCCTCCACATCCCCATGCCTCTCCCACGGAATCTCCCCTCCGAGCCCCAGCAGCTCCAACGTCCGCTGCGCGCGTTTCCGCGGCGAGACGTAGATGTGCGCGAGGTTGCGGGGCACGATGAGCCGGTCCTCGCCCACGAGGGCTTTGCCCGTCGCGCGGATGCGTTTTTCGCCGTTCGCTGTGAGGGGGATGTCTGTCGTGCCCGTGTGTCGGCCGTTGAGGGACCATTCGGTTTCGCCGTGGCGGATGATGAAGACTCGGGGCGTCGTCATGGCGAACGAGGCTGGGGTCTTTTATTTCTTTCTCTTGCTTTGCGTGGGCGGAAGGGGAGAGGGGAGAGTAGCAGGAAGCTCAAGGGAAAACAGTCGACATTACCTTACCCATCCATGGCGGGGAGGGAGGGCGCGTCGACGTCACAGTCCATGGGCCCCAATGGGTGGATCTTCTGATGCCTCTCTCCGAGCGCTCCGAACTCTTGCCATTTCGCTGGCCTGGACCGACCTACTGCGCAAACACGTGGAGAGAACAGAGATGACAATATGTGCTGATGCAGACTTGACAAAGCGAAGCATCCCATGTCGAAGCGTAACGTCTGGGTCCGTGCCTGTCACACATCACGTGGAGTGCGCAGATCACATTCACTGGCATATCAACGAGAAAGGAGGACGGGAGGCGATATGACAAAGTGGACAAAGGCTAGTCGTATATATGGCCGACTAACGCTCATGAAGCTCGGCGAAAAATCGCTGACCAGACTTGCATGCACTGTAAAAGTCTTCTCCCTGAGACTGCGCAGCCCCATTCCCTTCCCACTGGCGGCTGCTCACTTAGACAATACCAATACATCCATTGCTCGATGCTTTGGGCGTGCGTGTTGCTTTTCTCACACGCAAGCCCCAACTTTCCCTTTCAATCCAATGCTTCTCTGGCCAAAATGCAAGAAACACCATCAACCAGCAAGCATGCCAGGCAGGAAGGTAGTCGATGGGCAAGGAGAAGACTCTTGGTGAGGAAACCCAGTCCACGCTTTCCCTCAAAACGCCGTAATATTCCCATATTAGGTACGAGGCACCTTCGGCCTCGCATTCGTAACCCAGTCCCAGATGCCGTCTATGTACGTTGTGAGCAGTATGCAGAGAAGAGGAATTAGTTCGGCTCAAGTCAAAAGTCCGCCGTCTATCCGTCATGAATGAAAGTCGCCGTTTGTCGTGATCACGGGGAGGTCGGTCCGCGGGAGATATGCTTCGAAGACTCCAATGTAGCTGGCTGACCGCCTTCTACGTCGTGGGTTCTCGAGAGATGCCGTTATGGATACAATCACGCTCAAGCAGGATATCCAGCGTGAGTCCAATTGTCGGCTTCAAGCGTCGGTGAAGAATCGGCCGTTAGTCGCGATCATTACCGCACACCAATGGGTGGTCTTGGACCCAAGCTGCTGCTGGAGCTGTGGGCGGAGGGCTCGGAATCGATGGGTGCGGAACGGTTACTATCACCACTCCCCGCGCTGGCGCTCGCAGAACCTGTCAGACTGCGTACTTGATTGGGAGGGCCGCTCTTTGGTGGATAAAGATTGCTCACCCCAGTTTGTTGCTCAATTTGTTGAGGTGCGACAGCATTGCCGTGTCCTGGTGGATGCCGAGGAACAGGTTGCCTCACACCAGGTGGACTTGGTCGCCCGTTGTGACCAGGTGGTGGAGGACCGTAGCCGTTTGGCGGCGACGGTCGCTGTGGTGGTGGTCGGCCGGCTGGGCCCAGTGGATTGCCGGGAGACTGACTGCCTCGCCTGTTCATCGGATAGCCATTGTTTGGGAAGCCGCCTGGAGGACCGCCGTGCTGCAACTCGCTGAGTCGTTCAGCTGTGAGCGAGTTGGCTCTCGATTCCTGTCCCATGTTCATTCTGTCAACAGTGCCAAAGCGATCGGAGGAATACCCCATGAGTGGATTGTTCATCAGCTCTTGGCGCAGGCCTGGCATGTCGGCCATGAGAGCGGCGCTGGTGCGGTTCTGCCTTGGTCGTGGCCGCATTGGGTTCTTGCTGTGACGGACCGGCGGACCCATCAACTCAGGGTTGTTGCGTAGCTGGCCTGCACTCGGGGCTTTCCTCGTTCTCCTAGATGTGACGCTCATCATGTCAATGTTGTCTGGGTCGACGCCTGGTGCGTGGCCTGGCGCCATGGGATCGAAGTAGTCTTCGCCATCTTCCTCCTCCTCGTCGTATGCATCTCTGGGTGGAGGCATTCTGGGACCGCCTCTACGCATATGGTATTCTCGCTCTCTCAGTGCAAGCTCTTTCTGTCTCAAAGCCAACTCCCGCTCCCTGAATGCAAAGTCTCCCGACGACGAGGGTGGTATACCATCGAACTCCTGGCCCTCATTCATATTGTCGTAGAGCATCAAATGGCTGAACTCTTCCAAGTCGTTGCCCTCGAACGATCCACGACGCTGCATTTGTTGAGGATGGCCCCGAGGTGGCCCATATCCATTTCCATTCATTCTGGCAGGAGGTGGGTAGCCGCTCATCGAGGGTGGGCCTCGTCGCATCGGTGGTGGTGGGCCGCCAGCTGCAGATGGTGCTCTGCTGCCAGGCCGCATGCCGTTTCGCATTGGAGGGCCATTCATTGGGTGTCCGTTTATAGGAGGAGGGGGTCCACGGCCGTTGGGATATGCTGGGCCATGCGGCGCTGGAGCCGACGACATGCGCGGTGTTGCTTGTGTCGGTGGAGACGGTGGGTTCTGGGGACGGTTTTGGTTGACAATATTAATGTTGTGAAGGAGGGCGTAGAGGGTTTCGATGCGTGGCACCTGCATGCCGTTCTCCTGAGCCAGCTTGATCGGCGAGCCCAGGTACGTCTCCACTTCCATCGGTCTTCTCGCCATGTAGTCCTGATACATGATACTGTTGGTCTCGGCGGGCGCAATCATCTTCTCCATCGTCTCTTCGCGGAAGCCAGCTTTTAAATCGCACCCTTGGGAGTTTGCGAGGTTAACAAGTTCATCGATGACTCCAGTGATAAGCGAGCGCACGCCGGTCTTTTCCAGGAGTTCGGCATGAACAGAAGTCTCAAACAGTACGCTGGCGGGATAAAATGCGATGGGTCTGGAAAGAGGTCAGTAATTGTAGCGGAGAGGACTGTACTCGACTTACCCAATCATGCGCTCGAACTGCTGTTGTCGGATATTGGTAGCAACCTCGCAGTCCACTTGGCCAGATTTCAGAGTCATCGACAGCGCCTCGGCCATGTCGGTCTGTATTGATGCGGGTATAGATGGGTTCTTGTTGGCCGCTCCGACCCAGAGTTCTGTCGACTCCTTGTGTTCAAATTCGCTGGCGCCCAGCTGTGTGATCTCAACTCCTGACACTAGCGACAATACGACGTTGGTGGGAAATCGCTGCTCCAAATACGACTCGATGCCGAGGGTGTGGGTGGTGTTGACGAGGATGCAGGTGTGTTGCGGCGAGACGACGGGTTCGATGACCGAGGCCAGGTCGTAGACATCGGGCAACGCTTTGACGCAAAGCACAACGTAGTCGAACGAGGCGCGCGAGGTGCCGGCGGCATCTTCAGGGGATCTCACCACTGTCGCAGGGTTAGCAGAGACATTGCGATGATGGTGCCAGGGATGAGTTTCATACCGGCTCTTGGCTTGAATCTTTCATTGCCGAACTTGTCGGATCTAGGCCAGTAGTGTCAGCGGCAATGTCGTCGGTCACAGGCGTAGTGGATATTAGTGGCGTACCTGAAGGAGATCCCATACTGATGGACGCTCTCGAAACCATTCTTCCACACCAGCGTCACGTCGCACGCCTGTGTTGCCGAGAGACGCCATGAGAGGAACGCCGAGACTGCGTTGCCGCCAACTGTACACACACAAAGGTCAGCTCTGGTGCCATTGGGCTCATGCGCGATAATTGACGACGCCAGCTGGCCATGTTCTTTCCCAAGCTGGCGCGCAGCAGCTGGACGCGAGAAGCGGCAGGCGGGCGTGGCATTGACGGCGGCGGCGGTGGATCACGCACCTGAGAGAATACGCAGCCGAGGCGTAGTTGGAGGCATTACGGCGATGCAAGAGGGCGCGCCAGGCTGGAGCGCGAGGGAGGAGTATTAGTAGTGAGTCGAGGGCGCTGGCGGTGCTGTGTCTGGCAGCCGGTGGTGGACTTGCTGGGCCGCGTGTCACGGGCTCAAGGGTGGATCGGCGTCGCAAAAAGCGTGGTGCAAATGGTGTCTGTGCCGCTGGGGGTCGCTGGGCGGCGAGGTGGGCGTAAACGAGCGGACTGGTATGCGAACAATACCGAGAAGCACAAGCGACGGCTGGCTGGCTGGAGGTGGTGGGCAGCGAGCGCAGCGCGGTGGTCGTGGTGGGAGGAGGAGGAAGAGCGAGCAAGCAATAGCAGCAGGCGTTGGCAGAGGGTGCTGGCGACAAGCACTAATGCGGATGGCGGCTAGGGCGAGCTTGGGGAGGATCGTCCTGTGCAGCAGCTCCAGTCCTCGCTCCCTCACGGGTCTCTCTTTCGGATGCAGGTGATTGTTGCGGTGCGAGCGAGAGGCAGCAGCAGCTCTTACGCTGGAGGAAGCAGCTCTCAGCAGTCGCGGCGTGCACGACTGCGACGATGCAATGGCGTTGGCGTTGCGGAGTGAATGCCTGCCTCACTCTCACACAGCAGCTGCGGCACTTCACAGGCAGGGCAGCGTGGTGATAGCGTGGTTTCGTGGTCGGCGCGGGTATTGGCGCTCCGATGGACGACGGTCAGTACTAGCGACGGGAGCGCGAGAGGGTGGTGTGAACAACGGGCGGAGGCTGGTCCTGTTCCTCCTGCTTCACGACGATGAGACTCTGAGACAACGCGTTTCGCCTCGTCTTGTCGGCTTGCCACACCTCACCGCCTGCTCCTCCTGCGTTATACCACATCTCGCAAGCACCTCATGCACAACTATGGGCCAAGGAGGGCCGGCATTGCGAGCGATACGTCCCCGAATGCCAGCAGCAACTCGGCCAATGCCGCAGCATGTGCATTATACAGTAGTAGCAGTAGCTGCCTCTGTTAAGCTCCAGCACCTACATACATACGAGACGCTGTCGTCGTTCGGGCTACCCTATCACCGTGTCTCCGCGACGCATCCCCTCGACGTCCGCCAGTCTCAATGGCCGTGTGCTGCTATGCTGTGTCGTTACTCGACCGCGGCGCGCCTGTGCCAATTTCCTGTTCCTCTCGGAGACGCCCTGCGTCCTACGCGACCCAACAAAGGGCTGACAAACCCGCCAGAATATCCACCACGCCCTTATCGCGTCTCCCCAATAATCCACGCCGCCCCTCCCTATATCAATGTATTGCCCTGTGGCTTTCCTCTCCCAAATGAGAAGAGCTCTCTAGCGCCGGAGTGCGGCGGCATCTAAACCCCATCGCATGCTAAACTCAGGAACGCAGGAACGTAGGAACGTCTCCAGGTCAGCACGGAATCCGGGTTAAGGTGAAAAGCAGGCTAGGGAGTTGCCGCAAAGCAGGGCACGTCTTTTGAGGCACGCTGATGATCGAACAACCGTCGACAAGAAGAAGCAGTCTTTCACATTCACCTCCAGCAAGCTTCAAAATCCCACGACTTCGCACTCGCGTGCGTCTGCGGCTATCAGCAGATCTCTGATGAGGTGCACGGCCGCCGTTTCATGCGTCAAACGTTCGGTACGTCATCCCTGTCGCACGCCGAGTACACCAAAGGCCATGTTCTGTCAAGAAGATTGTCATATCCGGTGTTTTGTGCTCCTCGCGACAACGTCCAACGTCAACCACAAAGCCGTTGTTACGGAAAACATCAAAAACATTGGCCGGCGGAGAGATACCAAGTTTCATTGAAACGTTCGACGCGCGATAACAACGACCAACCACGTCCTTGGCACATGTGCCCACCCATGCAGTCTCACAACGCCTCTCAGCTGCCACACACCTCCGCTGAACGAATCACTTGAGCTGATATCGACCTCACTGTCAATATTTGAACGCTGTGCGCAGCGGACCTTGATAATAGATCTGTGAGCAATTCACATGTCCTACAACAGCCCTTGGATCTTGGCGTCGCCTTCGAACTCTTCCGAACTTAGAATCGACGCCGTCTCCACGTCCACCTCTCGCCACGATCGCACTATTGCTTCCTTGACAATTTTTTTCTTTCTAGCACGCTCCTTCGAACATTCCAATAGGCCAATCGGGACCACCTCCGATTACCCAATTTGGACTCGTCACTCGCCGAGACGAACGCTGGTTCTGAAAGTCATCCGTGCAATCATTGCAGCAAGTTCTTGCGTTGCACATCCTCGTCGGTGCCACGAGGACGCAAGTGCAGTTGTCCTTCCAACCAGGCGATTGTGCCTGCAGCAGAGCAATGCAGTGATCTCGTCCGGCAGACCTGAAACACAGGCTCGCCGACCACCACCAGCCCGACGATGTTGAGAAGGAATGCCTGCCCAGCCCACTTCTTCTTCGCAAAATCCCAACTCGCGTCGCGTCCGCAATGGCGTCGTATCCGCTCCGACGAGACTTCGACAATTGACACTCTCGCTTGACCTGAGCGGACTTTCCTCCGCTCCAAGAAATTCAGCCTCACAGTCGCCAAGCGAATCCAATCTGTCGTTCGCTTGTAGACTTTCAACCACCTCAACCGTTGAGTCTACGGACTGACTACACCCTTACCTTACCTGCGCCGTCAAGCCCCCGTCGTCCGTATTCGCTATACGATCATGCGAATAGTACGAGCATTGCACGACACCCAGCCTCGGCCTGCATAATGGAGGAAATTTGATGGCGCTTCACCTTCCACGCCGCTTGCACAGCTGAGAGGCTGTGTCTACCCCCTTTCTCCAGGCGAGATTTCGCTATAGGCAAGGTATAGACGGCTATCATTTTCACTCTTTCCTGATTCGTCATGCTATCGAGAAAAGAGTCACCCTTCGTGAACCCCTAGTATTTTGTGGCGTTGAACCCTGGAAAACAATGCACACAGCCTACCGCAATTAATGCATATCCTCAAGAGCGACGACGAAGCACTTCACCCCATCACACGCAAGTCGTTGACGATGGTCCTTAGATCGTCGCATTATCACCTGCCAACACATCATACCCATCGAACCACGACGATCCCCAAGCGCCTGAAGACAAAAATACCACCAACCGCAACTCGTCGCCACAGTCAACAGACACATCCAACAACAAGTGCACCATCCATTGGCCCTCACGCAACCCTCTTGACGCCAATAGCGCGCACAAGCAGCAATACCATCACCCACGCTGTCGGGAATCCCACATCTTCCGCTCGCAGCCCACGAAACGAGCGAGGCCGACCGAGGATGTTGTCTTCGATGGTGAATACGAGGTCGCTGATAGACGGCCGACTAACTGCGTCGTAGTCGCCGCTAGGCTGATGCTTCTTTTTCTCGAACGGTGGACGTGCAATTGAGATGACTTCCTTGCACGACTGTGATGGTCTCCTTATTCACTCGGGCGTCTGACGATAAGGGGCGCAAATCAGATCTGCTGAAAGACGTAGTATCCGTTGGACCACACGCTCTTGCTAGTAGAGACGCAGTCCAGCTTACCTGTCCCGCTAAGAATTCAAGCCGAGAAGATCGATGAATCCCCACGACCATACCATCGACTCCCAAGACTGCCTGCCCGACCTTGATCACGCGCGGCGTTAGGTTCGCGAGACAGCGGAAGAAATCAAAACTCGACATCGTTCGGAATCTACAATAGTGAGTCGCTTGAGTCGAAGGCAGGGATAAAGGGAGGGTGGTCAAGTCATGTCAGGTCGTAGAGCTGTTGAACGGAGACGGACTACTGACCATCTCGTGGACCTCGCGAGCCTTCATTACTCGGAAGGACGGAAGGACGAACTATCCCCAGGACTACAGAGCGATGAAAGAGCGTGTGGCTGCAATGAGAGGCGTGGTAGTTCGCCAGAGGAGAGAGAAAAAGGGGGTTGGTCTGCCTATGCACACCGATCAAACGGAACGACGGAGGCCTGCCAGGTGGGCATTGGAGACCAGAAGGAAGAGGAATCATAATCTGAGTGTTCTTGCCCTTCAAAAACTTTCCCCGAATTCATACAAGCATCTACGCTACCAATGACCAATACCGCCTCTCTCTCGCCCGACTTTCTCTGGGGATGACCACTACCTCTACTTCATAAGCTTCCTCACCGCCCAGTCAACATTGAGCCCCCTCAGATCCCCATAATGCTGCCCGACCCCCAAAAACACCACCGGGATCCCCGTCGCATGGACCATACTGACCAACGTGCCCACCATATCGCCGACCGTGTCACATTTCGAGATGATGAAGCCGTCCATCCCCACGCCGCCGTTTCTCATGTGTCCCTTGGTATCCACAAACTCCTTGGCGAAGTTTCTCGCCTGCGCGACGGAATCGGTGCCGACGAGCGCCTCGCCCACCATGAAGATCTTGTCGGGGTTGGCGAGTTGGCCGAACTTCGTCAGGCTGCTCATCAGACGGGCGTCGTTGTGTCGTCTCCCCGCTGTGTCGATGAGGACGACGTCGAAGAGCATGTTACCGTTGCCCTTGTTTCCGTTCGTGGCGTAGGAGACGGCGTCCCGTGCCACCACCGCTGCGTCCTTACCGTAGCCTTTCTCGAATAGCTCGATTGAGCCGACATTCTCGCGTTGTGAGAGCTCTGTTAGGTTGCGTACGTGTACCCGGAGTTGTTCGACCGCGCCGCTGCGGAAGGTGTCTGCGGCGACTACGAGCACTCGATACTTGTTTTGGAGCAGGAAGTAGGCGATCTTCGAGAGATTCGTACTCTTACCGACCCCATTGACCCCTACAATGCTGATAACGTAGGGTCTCGGCTTCGAGGATCCAGTCGTATTTGCGATTTCTCTCAGCAAATCAGTGCTCGACGTGGGTGTCAGTATCCGTGTCAGTGCCTTGGTCATGCTCTCGCGAATAGTCTTGTCGATCGATGTGAAGGAGGCTGTCTTTTGATTCAGGAGGTCGGTTTCCACCGTTGAGCATAGCCTGTCCGCTGCCTCAAGCGCTACGTTCTTCTCCAGGAGAAGAGTCCTCACACCTTGCATGGGCTGCTGAATGTCCTGTCTTGACAATGTCTTGCCTCCCACCACGTTGCGGAAAAGTGATGATATTTTACTTGTCGCCGTCCCCAAGAGACCAGCATCATCCCCGCCACTCGTATCTGCAGCCGCCTGTTTGTTTTGCTTGGCTTCGGCGAGAATGGCGTCCACCTCATCATCCAAGTCTTTCAGGACGAACTGTCCTTTGCCAGTCCGGCTACCCATCTCCGTCGCATTAACTTCCTCAAATGCTCCATTATGTGTACTGGCGCCAGGGTCGGTCGCGCTGTAGTCGAGAACAACGTCGTCATCCCCTTCAATCGCACTTCCGTCTGTGTCCCATCTCCGCTTTTGCTTCGCACCAGGCTTCTTCACGACCCGCCCAGAGCTCTCGTCTCCCGATGAGGCTGGTGCCGAGGTGGCAAAACTTGTGTTCCCAGCTTTCCTCGCTCTTCTAGACTGCCGAGCCTTGCCAGTCAGTAGATGCGACGACGCATTGAGAGGTGTTGACGGCCGTGAGGTATCTGGTGTCGCGACTGGTGTAACATCTGTGCTCGTAGTATCATCTGTCGTGGTGTCCTGCGTTGTAGGCCTCTTGAACTGCGGAACTGGAGGAGGGGGAGGGTCATCATCAGTCGCAGAAGCCGAGCTCGACGGCGGTGTGAATTCGACTCTGTCGTCGGAATTGCCGCTCGCTCTCCGTGTACTGCCTGTGTCAAGCTTTCTAAGAACCTCATCGAAGGCCTGGTCGAATGCGCTGGTGTCGGGAGAGGTCGTATAAGGTTGCTTGAGCTGATCTCCATATCGCTTGACGAAGACGCCTTTGACTGCCGTCAAGAGGTTGTCGACCCATGAGAGGTGGAGGAGGGACTGATAGACAGCTACGAAGATCAGACCAACATCACTGGCAGTCGTGTATCGCAGGGTGTGCTTGTCCTTGTTGTAGGCATTGTGGGTAGCTGCGGCGGGCTTCTGCCGCTCCTCGATAATGTCGTTGATCAGGCCGTTGATGAGACTCGATGGGAGGCGCGTAAAGTGCCGTCGCCAGAGGACGATCCCCGACGTGGTGATGATCTCGAAGCCGTCCAACATGGCATCGACTGCGCAGACGAGGGTGTCGCTGGGGAGAGAGAGAGTCGTCAAGTGGTGAGTCGCATGTGAGGCGGGGAGCTCGCGAAATGACGGCAAGCGGGACCCTGAACTGAGCCCAAAGCCAAAATCTGGGCAGCAACTTGTCCTCCTGTGCTCTTGCTGCTGTCACATGTCAACAACTGCGGCCTCCATCCCCGGATTTGCGCCCATCCCCAACATATCAAACACACTGTGCAGGGCTTGGACATCGCGCGGGACTTGGGGATAGTGTGTCTTTGCGATTGACTGACCACCTCCTCCCGTACCTCCCCCATCTCTCACCATGCAGCGGCCGGGCTACGCTGTGCCTCCGGCGCAGTCACCTCCGCTACACCACCCTGTTCCGCAACACGTCTCGACCGTCCCTCAACTCCGATCTCCTCCGCCTCCCGCCGCGCAGAATGGCCAGCAGCAAGCAGGATACGGCTACGGTCAGAGCCCGCCGCAAGGTCAGGGGAACAACTACGTCCACCCAGCTTTCGGCGGCTTCATGAACGATCCCACGGCACAGATGGGTTTTCAAATAGGCAAGAGCGCGGTGGATGCTGGGCAGCAGTACATGGAGCAGAATGTGGGTTGACTGAGGATCATATGATGGGCAGGGCTGACACAGCTGAACACAGTTCAACCGCTACGTCAACGTTTCGGCTTTGAAGCACTACTTCAATGTCTCCAACTCATACGTGATCAACAAGCTCTACATCGTACTCTTCCCCTGGCGGCACAGACCGTGGTCACGGCAACAAGCTCGAAGCAACGACGGTCAAGGCGCAATCGAGTTCCTCCCACCTCGCGAAGATGTCAACTCGCCCGACATGTACATCCCCCTCATGGCCTTTGTCACATATATCCTGCTGTCCACCTTGATCGCAGGCCTCAATGGAAAGTTCGAACCGCAATTGCTGGGCATCACCTTCAGCAATGCCAGCGTCATCATCCTGCTTGAGCTCGTGGTCCTGTGGCTGGGGAGATACCTTTTGAACATCAACAGCGAGAGTCAGATATATGACCTGGTGGCATACAGTGGATACAAGTTTGTTGGCGTCATCTTCACCATTGCGGTGGCCGCGGTCTTCAACAGTGGAAAGGGCACAGGAGGCTGGGTGGGATGGGTCGTCTTCGCCTACACGTACATGGCGAATGCGTTCTTCCTGGTAAGCCACTGATCGAGCTGGTAGTGGCCTTCACACTGACATGTTCTCAGTTACGCTCCCTGAAATACGTTTTGCTTCCATCGGACAGCGCACCCGGAAATCCCGGCATGCAAACCATCGCACGCTCTCAACGATCAAGGCGGACGCAGTTCCTCTTCATTTACAGCTACCTCGTCCAATTCGCCTTTATGTGGTGGCTCAGCTCTTTGGACATCAGCGGTGGCAAGAAGGCTGGGAAGTAGGAGCATCGGCGCGAGCTGGGCTTGCGAATGTAAAAGTGTACGGTGGTCAAGCGTTCCAGCGGGCAGCATAGGGGAGATGGTCAGGCGTAACAAGAGGCAAGGCGCCATAGACTGTGAATGTCAAACATAAAACCAAGACACTCCCTCACGACTTGTTCTCGTTATAACCGTTGTGTGCCTGAGGCGACGTCGGGCTTCGGAGGGTCCTCAACTTCCGCCCCTTGGAAGATGGTCCACGTATACTTCTCTTCCATGCATCAACATTGCCTGGGAGCAGCGTCTCTAATTATTAATCAGTGTTGGTCCTTCTGAACAGGTGGCTCAAGCAACAATAACAATGATTCAGATCGTGTAAAGCTGTGAAGAGGACTTGCAATCCCTACCACAGTTGCTGACCTCCGACTTTCAACCTCACCTCAACTTCCCGCGCTCAACGCCAGCACAATTCGACCCACCACAGTTCGGAGACAGGTCTTGCACAGATATATCAACTCGATCTTGTGTGACTACAATCAGGCAATTCAGTGGACATTCGGTCCATAAATCTTCCAAACTCGGCGGAGCGAGAAACCGCCAGCTTGATCATCACATAATCCACGAAGCACGACATCATCGCAACACCACACGAAACCATCTTCGCCTCACCTCTGAACGCATTAGTGCTCCATCTCAAGAGCTCCCTCGCACCTATCACAGGGATCGAACCTGGCCATCCGCTCGCTGACTGGCAGCTCCGTCACGCAAGCGCGGAAAACTCCCTCAAACGACCTCATATCACCTTGATGGTCAAAGACACCCCGCTTCGAGAGGGAAGATGCAGCTCTCCAACTTCTCCTTTGCTCTGGGTTTCTGGGAGGCAGCAGGAAACTGGATGGTGAATTCCGCGCAGTCGAGACTTGAGTCTATCCAACAAAGGTAAGTCGTCACTCGCCCAGAAGCAAGGACCATGATGTCCGTGCATGTACTACTGGGTGGATGTTGATGCTTTTGCGTTGCCTTGCAGCCTTGGTGCCAGTTCGAATAACCAATCCGTCGCCGCCATGGCTTACTCTCTCCCACCCCTCGGATACAGCTACGATGCTCTCGAGCCATACTTCGACAAGGAGACGATGGAGATCCATCACTCCAAGCATCACCAGACATATGTGAACAACCTCAACAACCTCCTCAAGGACCACGAGCTCTCCTCGCTGGCCGTCGACGAGCTCGTCACCAAGCTTGACCAGGTTCCGGCTGAGAAGAAGACTGGCGTGCGAAACAACGCAGGTGGTCACTCCAACCACAGCTTCTTCTGGAAGAACCTCAAGCAGGGCACCAAGTTGGACGGCGAGCTCGAGGAGGCTATCAAGAAGGACTTTGGCAGCGTCGATGACTTCAAGGGTCAGTTTGAAAAGGCTGCCACGACAGTCTTTGGATCCGGATGGGCGTGGCTCGTTGACCAGAGTGGTACGCTGAAGATCGTCACCACTGCCAACCAGGACAGCCCTCTCAGCGGCGAGGCTATTTCCGGCACCAAGGGCTTCCCTATCATTGGCCTTGATGTTTGGGAGCACGCTTACTACTTGAAGTACCAGAACCGTCGTCCAGATTACATCAAGGCGTTCTGGAGCGTGGTCAACTGGGACTTTGCCAAGCAGCGATTTGCTGAGAGGAAGTAAGCGAATGTCGAGAGGTGCCTAGCACACTTGCGGAAAGCATGCGACGATGCAGTGGTCTTGTGTCAGATGCAAGCGTCCTCTTCGTAGCACAATCGCTTGAACGTGAAACCCCTTTTCTCCAACACCTTCCTGCTCACGACTTCCCCCTACCGAGAATCTTGCTCCCAATCGTCGACACTTTCTTGACGTCTCTGTACGTGAGTGAAATCCTCGTCGTTCGCGTGTTCAGTCCACCATTGGCGATGAAAGGCTCTCTGTCCCCCAGCAACTCCCAATTCGCCACCGTCTCCGCGTTGAGGTCGTCATCTTCGTGCACCTCCGCAATCCCATGTAGCGTATCCGTATACGCCGACCCCATCGTAACCAACAACGACCTAGGTTCCTGCAAAATCCGCCACTTCCCCAACTTCTCACCACCACTACCACCACCCTTCTCCGTAACATCCAGCACCACCGTCCCTCCCAAACTGACCGTCGCCACAACCGGATGATACGCCGCGCCATCCTCATGCGGCATGATGCCTTGCCCGGGAAGGTACTCGTTGATGAGACAATGATTGACGCCGTGGGGCGCTCCAGCGAAGATTTCCAGACCGTTGAAGCGGGGGGTTATGGGCGTTGTGAGGAATTCCGGTAAGGGAGTTGATGAGAGGAGGGTGTTTGTTGCTGTTAGGCGGGCGGGGAGGGATTGTAGACGGCGGTGGGTGAGGGTTATCCAGCGGTTGGAGGGGATCTGTAGATGGATTAGTGTGAGGTTTTTGTGTGGGTTTGTGAGGGTTTGGGGGATGATACTTTGTTTAGGATGTGGGATTCTTCGTCGGGGGAGATGAAGTTGGGGATGTAGTACATTGAGGCGGGGATGGAGGGGATGCGGTGGGGTTCCATGGCTGATTGGAAGTGTTCGTTCGCAGTCGGGGTGTTCTTGAATGAAAGTCAATGGCAATTGATGATATTCACAAGGTGTGGGAGGAAGGAAGGAGCCTCACATGTCTAGCTCCACTTTTCCCAAAGGTCCGTGCGCCCCTGCCGAACATCATCAAAGCTTCACAGTTCAACATCACCAACATTACCTTACACTTTCTTCGATCATGGCGCCCAAAGGCAAAAACGCCGACAAATCCAAAAGCAAAGACGCCAGCAGCAGCGAAGGGAAAACCCAAAAAGGCGCCCAGAGCATCAACGTGCGACACATCCTCTGCGAGAAACACAGCAAAAAGGAAGAAGCCCTCGCGAAACTGAACGCCGGGACGAAATTCGATGAGGTGGCGAGGGAGTTTTCTGAGGATAAGGCGAGGCAGGGTAAGAGGGGATTCTTTTTAGAATTTTTACCTTGAACTTCCAAGTTTGGCTGATTGGAAGCAGGTGGTGCTTTGGGGTGGAAGACGAAGGGGGCTTTGATGCCTGGTATGTGTGGACTGCTTTGTCGATGTCTCTATGGTTTTGGGACATGCTAATTGGGGATTTGCAGAGTTTGAGAAGGTTGCTTTTGAGTTGGCGGTGTCGACTACAAATAGTCCGAAGTGGGGAGAGGCGAAGACAAGTGAGGGATACCATATTATTATGGTCGAAGGGCGGAAGTGAAGTGACTTGGTCAGACCGATGAGGGAGACGTCACACGCAGGTTGTACGTTTCTCAAGGCGAGATTATATGACGATGTGCTTTTCTGAGATGACCAGCAGGATCTTATCGCCTGAGACCTTGTACTAGTCTTCTCAAATCCCGACTGATTTTCATTCTTGAGCCCCGAGCTATAAGTCCCGTCGACTCGCATAAGCTTCAACGGCAGGGCTAGTCATGTTATAGGCAATCACGAAGCCTTGCGTGGGTGAACGATAATCGACCTCCCCAAAACTTGAGCTGCCTTGTCCGACGTGTTGAGCCCGACCCGTCGCCATCAAAGCCATGCAGGCAGGGAAGCATGTCCTGGATGACCGAATCTGAGACGGGCTTCGAGACTCGACGCTGTCAGTGCTCAGTATGAGGCCGCGAGGTGAAAGCGAGTCTCTTCAGACGCCGCGTCCTCGCCACTTTCTACAAGACTTGGAATCAAACATGAGACTGCGAATGAGTCGCGATGTAACAGATGACAGGTTTGGCTTTCTGTCCCTGCTGCCCACACAAGACTAGCTGGAATTCTCCAAGGGGGCGATGGGCGACTCGAGGGCATGTCGGAGCATGTCATGGGCAACGTTGTCCGAGCAAGATATCTTCGACCGTCAGAGCGACTGTTCAACGGTGGTCTTGGAGGTCCACGCTTCAGAGTCTTGCTGAGATGACTTTCACGACTCCATCCCGTGAGTAAACAATAATGTTAAGAACCTTGTTCCGGAGACACACGACCCCCTAGCGTCGTCACCAATGCTTCGAACCCCAGCAGCCTTGACACAGTCCCAAAATTGCGTCTCGGGTCCGCTCGAGCACCACATGCTGACGAAAGGAGCCGTGTCGATGGTTCGCAGCATCACATCTGCCGAGTGGCGAACGAGCATCCCCAGACCAACCTGTGCAGCGTCAAGTGAGGAGAACCTTGTCCAATGTTCGCCGGCGCCAGGGAGCAACAAGCATCGGAGAGCTGGAGAAAGCTCTCGACAGGTACCTCTGTACCTATCGCTTCGCGCGCTGGCTGAGAGGGTGTCGTGCAGAGCCACCTGTGGCGGCGGTGACAGATTTCCACACGGACGATGGAAGGGCGAAAGAGTCATGAAGAAGTGCGATCGGCCACCGTTGGAGCTGTGGTCGAGGAGCGAGCAGAATAAGCGCGCAAATTTGGCGCGCGGCAACGCGGATGAGAGACTCCTGGCGGGCGTGCTGAAACTCTCGCCCATAATTATTGTTCGCTCCGTCCGCCAGCCCAGCACAGCACAGGCGAGGCTCGAGCTGAAGATGCTCTCAACCCTCTCGTTTCCGCCGCCGGGATGCTTTTGCGTCTCGAGACCATCGGCTGTCCTGTGCGACGTCGCGAGACAAAGATGGCATCCACGCCTGTCTCAGACAGCACCACCGCTCCCATCCATCACCGATACCACCATCACCAGCTCCTCCTCCTCCTACTACTTACTACCTGCCGCACTGCGCTAAGTCACCACTCCCTCCTCCTCTTCCTTCAACATCCCTATGCGACGGTGCCCCATGCAGCCCTCCTCCCAGCAGTAGTCATGCCATGGCGCTGGCCGCCGTCATCTGATTGATGAATGCCTTCCTCTTCGCACCATTCCTCCTCCTCCTCCCACCACCACGGTCACGGCCAACAACATGTGCGCTCCCCACCGCAGCCCGCCACACCCTCCGCCGGCTCCGTCGCCGACAACCGCCTGGGCCTCTCGCCGCAAGACATCGCCACCCTCCGCCAGCACCAGCAGCTCGCCCACGCCCAGGCTCGCAGTCCCGCCGGCTCGCAGGCCAGCAGCCAGGGCCGATTGCTGCTCGACCCGGGCAGCCTGCAGTTGCTCTCGCGGCATTTCGACCACGTCATGCAGGCCATCTCGCAGCGTCTCGAACAGGTGGGGCAACGAAATTCCTACACTCCATCCATTCCATCCATCCCCGCAGCCACAGCAAAGAAAGATAAATATCACTTCTCCAGAAACACATTTCATAACCACAGCACCAACTAAAACAACTCATGTTGTTCTATAGCTCAATCAAGCCACCGAACGCGCTACCCAAGCGCAATACGACCGCTCCGGCAACGCCATCCAAATGGCCGACGCGGAAATCGCTCGCTTCCGCAATATCCTGCACCAGATCGACGAGCTCGAGACGGAATTCGATAAGATCAAGCGCATCAGAGAGATTGTGAGGGGCTTCCGCTTGAGGGTCGAACATTTGGAACGGAGGATTGGGTGATGCTGTTGTTCAGAGAAAGAGAAAGAGTAAGAGAAGAGGTGGATATGTGGAAAGAGTAAGTTTTTTGAATATGGCGTTTTGATTGGCGTTAGAAAAGGCAAAGATTGGGGAAGCCTCACGGCGATCAAAGATGTACCCTCTTATTAGTGCTGTTGCAAGATGTTGGGTTTTAGTGGGAGGTGCTGGTTGGATAATCACAAGTCGATCGTTTACATCAAGATAGAGCGCTGGTGTGGACTAGCCTCTCACATCTTTCGTCTTCGCGCTCAAGCACTCCAGTGTCACCTCCATTCGGACAGAGTGAGTGAGTACTATGTGAGGATGATTGCGCACAGTAAAAGTTGACGCAAACGAAACACTGTCACATCACTCAAGTTTCACCTCGGAACAAAAAACAGGCCACAGTCAACTTTTTCTCGTCATCAACGAGGATACCTAACAAACACCCCTCCTCGAAACCTCCGGACCACGTTTCAAACACCACCAACCTGCAGGGCCGCAACCCACACTTGCCGCACGAATGACCTGCATACGAAAGATTCTCCACATGAGAAGGTCCCTATCATAATAGCGTCCCACAACCCGGCTCTTTCCTCCTTCTCCCCCTAACAAACAGCCCTATGCACGCCCTCCCCCATCGGTCTCTTCGCCTTGTGCTTCTCTTGCCCATGCACGCCCCGACTGGCGTGCTTCTTCTCGGTGCTGCTGTCGAACGGCTGCCAGGCCTGGAGGTCGACGGCGTCGGTGTTCATGATGTTCTCTGTCACGGCGAGGATGTCGGTGATGAGGCGGTCCAGGAGGTCGAGGGACATGGATTCGCGGACGACGACGCGGAGGATTTCGGTTTGGGATTCGGCGGGCGGGAGGGGGTTAGTCTGGGAGAGTGTGGGTGTGAGGGGGTGGTTAGGTTGGCGAGAGAAGGAAGACTACTCACTTGGGATGATGTATTGTTTTGCGCGGAGCAGGTTGCTGACACTCGCTTGCTTTACGTGCGGGTATTTCGTCTTGAATTCGTCCGTGAGGCAAAAGGCCACGACGGGTAGACCAGCATTGTAATCCGCAGACGTCTCGCCATCCTTGGTCGGGGCGATTTCTCCCTTCCTGTACTCGTGCTGGCCCTTGGGTCGGTGGATATCGCTCACACAGCGGTACCACCCCGTAGCCTCGAGGGATTTGGAGAGAAGACGTGCGTTGGAGAGCGCGTTCTCCATGATGGCTCGATAGCCCGTGAAACCCAGGTGCATGAGGTTGTAGTACTGCGCGATGATTTGAGCGCCCGGTCGGGAGAAGTTGAGTGTGTAGCTCTCCTCGGTGCCACCTAGGTAGTGCAGTTCGAAGATCAAGTGCTTGGGCAGGTAGGATTCGTCGCGCCAGACGATGAAGCAGACTCCAGCGTATCTTGTTCACAATCAGCGCTTTATGGCTTAGAAAGTGGTTATGTCATGGCTACTCACACGAGACCGAATTTGTGTCCGCTCACGTTGATGGACTTCACGCGAGGAAGCGCAAAATCCCACTTCTTCCCACCAGCCTTTGCATGCGCTGTTACACGTCAGACATCGACTTTCACCAACTTAAGAGCGCGCCCTTACTAAATGGCGCGATGAACGCCCCTGAAGCGCCATCCACGTGAATGGGGATATCATTTCCAGTGTGCTTCTCAAATTGATCCAGGATGTCGTGGATCTCTTCCACGGGCTCGTAATGTCCGGTGTATGTGCTTCCCATAATCACAAAGACTCCAATGGTGTTCTCGTCAATGTTCTTCTTGACAAGCTCGGGGTCCAGGCGATAGTCGGATTTGGCGCTAACAGGAAGGATACGGGCCTCGACTTCGAAGTATCGTGCGAACTTTTCCAGAGCAACCTGGCGGTCTTATCAGCACTGTCATGGGTGAGAAGTGTTGTGCACGTGATCGGACTCACCTGTGCGTTGGCACCCATCAAGATGTTCGGCTTGCTGGTGTCCTTCCCAGCGGCCCAGCGTTTCTCCTGCCATCTGCGCTTCATGGCGAGACCACCCAGATGAATTGCCTCTGAAGAACCTGTCGTCGCCGTCCCTACAGCCTTCTCTCCCTTTTGCTATTTAAGAGTTAGAGTCAGGAAGGCTCACAAACCTGAACCACGCGCGCACTACTCACCACATTCCACATGTGTGCGAGGATGGAAACGCAACGGGCGTGCATCTGCATCATAGCAGGGTACTCGTCTGCATCCGACATGTTCTTTGACAGGTTCTCGATCATGAGGTTCTCTGCCTCCTTCTCCATGTAGGTTCCAACAAAACTGGCTAGGTTCAGATTCGGCCTTCCGTCCAGATCCAACTCATCTTTGAGCATCTGGTGGACGGCGTCGGCCGGCGCTCCGTCGTGAGGGATCTTGAACTTGGACAGCTCGAACTCGGCATTGTAGCGGGTACTGTAGGGAGTTTGGTGGGAGAGAGCCCCGGCATGGGGACGATGCTTGTGATGTGGGTGGTGGTTGAGGCTCGCGATCAGCTCGTCCGGGTCGACGTGGGCAGCAAGCGCCATGATGTGCAAAGTGAAATGTGAGTGTCTTTCAGGTCGGTCTAATGGGCTAGAAGATGTAGACTGTCCGTGAAAGATATCCACGGATGTGAGAAGAAATAGCAAAGGAATGTGCGGTGAAAACAGCAAACACAAACGCTTCAACAAGTTTTGACCGCCGACTTACTCTCATGCAACATGCCACATTGCCATCATCACCGGGCCCGTGGCCTTGACGTAAATGTCGCGTGGATTGCTTCAGCGGGTTACGGAGCAGCTTCGATGTCCTCTAGCTGCATGGGAGGCGGTCGGAGGTTGCTTCACGAGGCATTTGTCACCTCCGTCCTCAAGACTCCAAGCCAATGGCGGCCGAACAACAAGCAGGTTGATCGTTTTCACTCGTTGCGACCTCGCGTGGCCCTGAATCTTAAGATACGCGTCTTGTTCCTGAACTCGGACGTGCATTTCCGGGCGGGCCGAGTCCAGATGTGGGAAGTCCTCAGCTCGCTCGCGCTTTCGTGGAGAGGATGAAGGGGGCAGTTCGACAGGTTGAAGAGGTCTGAGAGAGGAGGTCAGGCACTGGATATGTAGAGGATGTCTACGCGTGGATGCGCGTTGTTGATATCGGAGGTCTTGGCAAGATAGCAGTGCAGTGTCGCCCTGGGAGATGACGTTGCAAGGGCTCTCCAAAGCGCTCTCCAGCGCTTCTTTCACTCGCTCTGCAGAATGCACTGTCTTCATCCTCTTACCCTTGCCCTTTGGTGAACTTAGCTCACAGTCCGGAGACGACCAAACTCGACATTCGACACGCCTCTCGAGAACAATCAATCTGAGCTTCTTCTCCCAGAACTGCTCGACCTGCGGCGTTTCAGGAGAGCTGTCTCGCGATTCGTTTGCCCACCCCTCAGCGTCAGGCATTTGTGCAAACATCTGACAGGAAAGCGCCCGTGGCTTCCGCAGGCTTGGGTCTGATCCTGCGTGCACAAGGGACTCCCTTTCATTCGCACTCGCATGTCGGGCAGAGGCTGCACCGACGACGCGTGGGTGCTTGTTGGTGGAGGGGGAGGAGAAGGGACCAGACCTCTCACACTCTCGTCATCGATTCGCTCAGGCTGACACGCATTGCGTGCTCCTCCTCTCGTGGCAGGTAGGCAGCTCTATTACGCCTCTTACCTCTCCCTCTTCTTCTATTCACCCATCCACCCTTTCATCAATTGGGTAGCCATGAAGTTTTCCACTGTTTTGCCGCTTGCGGCGTTGACCACAGCCTTCGTGCTGCCTGACGAGCAGGTTCTCGGCGAGCTAGCCATCGAAGACCACCATGAGCATACTAGCGTCGTCGACAGTTGGCTCGAGGCCGCTGAATCTACCAAGAACGATGCATTCTCCAGCTTGAGGGAGCACATTCAAGAGGTGACTGAGACATCGAAGAAGACCTGGAACAAGGTGTCGTGCCATGCAAAGAGCGTGCTTGACAATGCTTTCGACAAGGCCAGCGATGCTACCGACATTTTTGGCGATAGGATGTCTGAAGCAGCCGCTGATGTTGAGTCGTGGCTTGAGGAGAACGACGATATCGATGTATTTGGAGGTCGTCATGGTCGTCGTCCCCACAAGCGACCGCACCACCACAAGCCCAATGAGACCGTGTATCAATTGATTGCCGGGAGCAAGTACACAACCAAGTTGGCCAAGCTCATCTCCGAGTACGATGACTTGGTTGAGGCACTTAACAGCACAAAGGCCAACTACACGATCTTTGCACCAACGGACAAGGTACGTAACCTGAAGTAGTCATTGCCATGCATGCTCGCTAACATAATGTAGGCTTTCGAGAAAATTCCTCAGAAGGCTCCTAAGCCCTCCAAGGAGCAACTGAAGGCCATTCTGTCTTACCACGTGCTCCCTGGCTTCTACCCGGCCGGACGCGTGCTCTCTACTCACACTGCTCCAACCCTGCTGAAGGGCGAGCACCTCAGCTCCGAACCAGAGCCTCAGCGTGTGACATTCAAGCTCAGCCTTCGTGGTCTGACTGTCAACTTCTACTCTCGTATCATTGCTGTCAACATCTTTGGCACTAACGGTGTTATCCACGGTGTGGATAGCTTGATCTTGCCACCCCCAAGGTAAGCTTCACCAGATACAGTCGAGCAGCCCCTTAGAAGATGATGCTAACATTCTACACCCAGCATCATCTCAATCGTAGACCTCTTCCCTACCCAGTTCAGCACTCTTGAGCTTGGTCTCGGCAAGACAGGCTTGTTGGAGAAGCTGAACAACACCGAGCATTCTGGCGGTACCTTCTTCGCCCCTTCCAACTGGGCGTTCACGAAATTGGGACCCAGGATCAACGCATTCCTCTTCTCACAATACGGCACAAAGTACTTGAAGGCCCTGCTTGAGTACCACGTCGTGCCACACACTACCCTGTACTCTGACGCCATCTACCAAGCCAAGAAGGAGGACGTCGACGCCATGAAAGAGCTGCCTAAAAAGGGTCTCTTCCACATTGACCTCCCCACTGTGCTCAAGGACCGATCTCTGTCTGTCGACGTGGGACGCTACGGTGGCTTCATCAGTATCAAGATCAATGCATTCGCCACCGTCGCTCTGCAGGACATTATTGCCAAGGATGGTGTCATCCAGAAGGTTGACAGTGTCCTCATCCCGCCCAAGAAGCTGGGTGGTGCTGAGGAGGAACACTGGGATGGAGACGAGATGAGCGTTGAGGAGTTCAAGGAGCGTCTTGAGCCGTACATGGCCAAGAGCGACTTGTAGGCCTCATCCCTCTCTTAAAGAGTCTAACAACGAACTTCGATGTGAAACGATTACCTGGCAAAAGTTCTGATGTGAAGTTGGAGTAGCTTGCATCACCCATGTATGAGTGTAACGACCCTACTCAAATCAGAGGCATAAATTTCACGCCTTTGAGACGGGTCACTCCTTCGCGTGTGTTCTCTCGAATGCTCGCTCAAGTAATGACACCGAACCCTCACCGCGGCAAGGAAATCGGCAAGTGGTATAGTATCACGCATGGCTCGGGAAAATACTCTACAAAGTCACGACGATCGCATGATCTAGAAGCTGTCCAACTGTGAGGAGACACGCACTCGGGTGCATTAGAGTCATAGCCATCATATATAGCTCATGACCATCAGCGCACCTCGAGCTGATCTGTATCAGATGCGAGGAGAAGTCGCCAAGTATCGCTTGTGTCGAACCCTCTTAGCCGAGGCGCGATGGCGCTAGCGATGAGATCGACGCCACAACCTTGTGCCGGCAGGGCATCGTCATTTGTTTGTTGCCCACCCGAACCGCATGCAGTCTGCGTGTGCAGGCCACTGCGGCTGCGGTGTTGCACTGCTGTCACCACGCTTGCAACAGCAGCATCTGGATCACATCGTCATGGAAACGACACCGACGCGAGGAGCTGGGTGAGGGCGCTCCCTGCGAGCGACGAGGCGGCCGGCGGGGAGGATGGCCATGACGGATGCAAGCTCGACCGTAACTCGTGCCAAGCAAGGTCAGGTCTCGTGTCGTCGCCGCTACCAGAGAAGAGATTCAGTCTCTGTGCATCCCTCCGAGCCCTGACGGCGGCGAGGCTGCAGCCAGTGAGACGCGCGAGGCCCTGTAGCGCACGCGAAGACCATCCGAACAAGCAGGGCAGCCCACTTGCCGAATCTCAGTAGCGCATCTTGCATATCGATCTCTGTTCCTTGTCGCCCTCCTCCCTGCGACCCTCACGATCTCACCCACGTCCTGCCCTACCCTGCGCCGACTGCACCGCCGACGCTGCCTCACTGGCTCGCTCGCTTGCCGTGCCTGCTTCTTCACTCGCTCTGGTCTGTCCGCCGTCGCTAGCAGCACCCGCAAGTATGACACCCTCACTTGCGCCTTTGCTATTCCCGTCTAGCACCCACAACAAACCTCCGACCTGCCAACCACCAAGCACGCGTGCCTGGTATCCACGCCGAAGGTTGGCGGCAGACCGACTTGCTTGGGTCGTGGATCGGCGGAGCTTCTTCCAAACCACCTGCAACAGACTCGCATCGACCTTCTGGCCGGTTCTTGATAGGGCCCAGGTCTTAGCCTCACCCCACTGATATTTCGCATCTGCAACGTTGCTGCTTCAGAGGATTTCATTGTTCCGACACCCTGGTCCCATTCTTGAACTCTCGGCACCGCTATCGTCTCCCCCAATGTGGTCGCCAACGACATGTCCCAAATGCAGCGTGTTCTGGTCTATCTCCTCCGACGAGACCTTCGACTGGCCGATAACCCAATCTTCCATGAGATTGCTCGATTGAACTCGCAGTCACAGAAGCCTTTCACTCATGTCTTGCCGGTCTACGTCTTTCCCGCTGCGCAGGTCGAGGTTTCGGGCTTCCTCACGTCAGATGGAGATAAATCACCTTATCCAGAAGCGCGTTCCAAGGTTGGCGGGTTCTGGAGGTGTGGGAAGCTACGATCAAAGTTCCTGGCCGAAAGCATCTGGGATTTGAAGACTGATCTCGAACGGATCTCGAGTGGACTGGTGATACGGGTTGGCACAGTGAGAGGTGCTGTTCAATCGATCCTGGAGGGCTTTCGTTCTCAGAAGGACGCCGAGGTTCATGGAGTCTGGATGACCAGCGAAGAGGGATGGGAGGAGAAGATTGAAGAGAATGATGTCAAGGAACTCATGGATGAAGAGAAAGGAGAGTTCAAGCTATGGCCGGATGAGAAGTACTATGTCGACGAGTAAGGTCCTATGCGCCCCCAATCATATGCAAACAACGAAGGCTAACCAAAGGACAGCCGGGATTTGCCAATCCAGGAGTCAGAGGAGCTATCAGATGTCTTCACTACATTCAGGAAGACAGTTGAGCCTCTTAGAACAGCCCCTCGAAAGGAGCATCCCACGCCAGGGAGTCTGCCTCCCCTGCCAGATTCTATCCCTGACCAGGCTGCACCGTTCTCAATACCTTCCACATACGACGGATTAGAGTCTGCCCTCTGGAAGCCTTTTGAGAATGACGAGCCGCCTCCAAATGCTCCTACTCATCCCCCAGGGGCAGAATCTGCACATCCGTTTACTGGAGGCTCCAAGGCTGGTCATGAGAGAGTTCTCGACCTCATCGAATCTGGATCGATGACTGCCTACAAAGACACTCGAAATGGGTTGTTAGGTCTGGACTTTAGCACGAAGTTGTCAGCTTGGCTGGCACTGGGATCCATCTCCGCGAGGCAGGTCCATTGGAAATTGATCGATTTCGAAGACGGCAAGACCGACGTTGGGAAGGGCGTCGATGGGTATGGCCAGGGTGAAAACAAGGTTTGAGATATCCTGCACCAAGCTCGACGTTGCATACTGACAGCAGTCTCATGCAGGGCACAGCAGGCGTTCGTTTCGAGCTGCTTTGGCGAGACTACATGCGACTTTGCACTCGCAAATTCGGCGTCAGGCTCTTCTTCGTCGACGGATACCGTCAAGACCCCAGCGCAAAGTCCAAATTCATCAGCTCGCCATACACGCACTCGACCCAGAAGAAGAACACCCAAGGGGTCGACGACACCAGCACGCGCATCACAGTCGAGCGCTTCATCACAGGACGCACCGGAACGGGACTGATAGACGCCTCGCAGCGAGAACTTTTCCTGACTGGCTGGACGTCTAACCGTTCGCGGCAAAACGTAGCATCCTACCTCTCAAAGCACCTTGGCATCGATTGGCGCATCGGAGCCGAGTGGTACGAAATGAACCTTATCGACTACGACGTCTCGAGCAACTGGGGCAACTGGCAGTACGTCGCGGGAGTCGGCAACGATCCACGAGGCGATGCGCGCGTCTTCAACCCTGTCAAGCAGGCCGTCGACTACGATACCAATGGCGAGTACGTCCGGACTTGGGTCCCGGAACTTCGCGATGTTGGCCGAAGCAACACTACTGCAGCAGCTACTAGTGCTGGAGCTGCCGACGATCGTGCTGCTGCGAAGCCCGCCAACGACAGTCTGGAGTCGCTCATGGGGGTTTTCCAGGCGTGGAGGATTCCTGCGGAGGAGAAGAAGCGCTTGGGACTCGAGGGCGTGGAGTGGGTCGAGAAGCCGCTCATCCGGATCGACTTTTCTGTCAATCGGCGCGGTGGGGGGTCGAGACGGGGGAATCGAGGAGGAGGGGATGGTGGGTTTCGTGGTCGTGGTGGGAGAGGGCGTGGGAGGGGAGGACGAGGTGGTGGTGATTATGGTCGTGGGCCGAGGGGTAGTGGGCAGTAGGAGAAGACAGGATGGCACTAATAATGAGTGGAAGAGTTTGGATCACTCACCGCTGTCTGTTTACGCGCTTCGAGATCTCATTAATTTAATCATCACAAAAATGCACCAGTTTACTCACTGGAATGGCCTGCTGGTTTCGTTGAACCGCCCGGATCAGATGCTCCATCACTAACTGTCCTAGTTTCACCTCCCCAATAATGACAAACCCAGCGAGACAGACTGACCACTCTCTTCACACAGCCCTTAGGCGTGAAAAGAAGAAGAGCAACAAAATCTTTCACCTCAAATCGAAACCCACTTATAACTCTCACAGTTTTCGTCGAGGCTAGAGAAGAGACGAATTCGTAAACCTCTCCTCCTTCCCTACGTCTCTAGAACTTAACTCCCTTTCCCTGTCAACGCTTTCCCTGTTAATGTCACCGTCACTGTCACGGGCCTATCTTCTTATGACCTTGTGACATGTGAATCAACCACCGAAAGACCGGGTTCGATCACTTCGCTTATTACACAGATAGACAGACTACACGCTGTAACACCAACGAGCGATTGATCTGAAGACGGCATAATCACCACATCACACACCGTTCTCTTCCCCTTCTCTCATCATTTCATTCATTTAATCAAACGGATTCATTCAACCCAACCCTTAAGGAAGAAAAGCAAGGTCAAAATTACCAAGTGGTTCGCGCTGATGACGCGGCCAGGATACGCAAGCTGGAGCGTTGCGTTCAGCTGAGGAGCCAAACCTGAGGCATTTAAAGAGAGACGCCAGGGACGCGCTCGTGGGAAATACAGAGTTGAGTGAACATTTTTATAAAATTTCATCTTCAGAAGTAATATGGAAGAAAACCTTTAAAACGCCCCCGAGGTCCGCATCATCGTTACTACAATCGATGGTCGTCGATTGGAAAATGGTTCCCATTCATGACTCCACCCGAGCAAGAGCCGTGGCTCGCTTTTCGTTCACCAACACCACAACGCCAGACCGATTCGTGAGCAATGCTTAAGCAGCAGTTGGCAAGCTGGGGTACTTGACCTCGCTTTCTTGCTGCTGCTTGCTCTCCGTCTCGGCGCCAGCAAGCTTCTCGGCTACCATCTTGGCGACCGTCTTCATGTCGACATCCTCATTGCTGGACGCGCCCTCCTTGGTCTCGCACTCTTTGGACTCGTTGCCCTTTTCGGCTTCAGCGTAGTCTCCAGTCTTCAATCGGTCGCCGATCCATTTCCTAAGCGCCTCGATGACTCGAATGTTCTCGACCCATTCTTCCTGGCGCTTGTCTTCGCCTTCCGATGCCGCGGCTGGCGTCGACGCCGAGTCTGATGATTTCTCGTCCTCACCACGAAGCGCAGGGTCAATGCTACTGTTCCCTTTGCCCTTGGCGTCCTTGGCATCATCAGCCTTGGGAGTGCGGCTTCCGTCGTCGGCATCAGCCATCTCAGTGTCCTGGTCCGCCGTTGGAGGTGCTTGTCTTTGGAGTCTGCCACCGCTGTATCGGCGACCGTCAAGACCCTCGAACCCGGATGCCAGGCCAGAAGCTGGAGCCGACGTGGTGGTTGGGTAGTTGGATCCAAGATCAGACATGCCAGTGACGGCAGGAAGGTTGGGGTACATGTTACCACTGACGCTTCCAAAGCTTGCGCGGCTATGGCTGCTCATTGGAGAGTGGCCAGAGCTGGTGTACGAAGACACAGAGGCGGGAGTGAGAGCTGGAGTGTCAAGGGCAGACGACGACGAGGTGACGCCCTGCATGCTCGAACTGTTGCTCATGCCACTGACACTTCCGAGGCCGCTGTTGCCAAGATGGTTCTGGAAGTTCGGCGGGCTGTTGCTGGAGCGGTATTGGTTCTGGTTGTTACCCATGCCAAAGTCGCCGGTGAAGTGTGCGTGGACGCCAGGCTGCTGGACACCGGCTGCGGCGGCAGAGCTGCCGTTCTCGTAGACCTTGCTGGTCTCGTAAACCGTCGCCTGCAGCTGCTCGAGGAAACGATCGATGTCCTGCAAGTCGTTCTTGGTACGCGCATTCGGCAAAGGCAGCGAGTAACCCTGAGTAGCGACACTACTGTGGCCGCCACCGCCGCCCATACCGCCGCCATGGTTGAACGAGTCAAGAAGGCTGGCAGTGTTGAAGTTGCTACTGCTATAGCCGCTGTTGTTGTATCCAGTGTTGTAGCCGGTGCCGACGGGAAGAGGAAGCGAGTTGCCCTGGAGCCGGTGGCCGACGTCGTAGTAGTTGTTGGGATCTATGGCGCGGCGCTTGATGTCACCAAGAAAGTCATTAAGCGCCTCAATGGCGCGCCTGCGAGTGTCCATGCTCTGGATGTCGGCCAAAGCAGAGCTGTTGGGGTAGCTGACGGAGCCATATCCAGCATATTGAGCGCCACCAGGACCGGGATAAGAGCCAGCACCAGCGCCGTTGGTCATGGCCGGCTGGTATGATGGGTAGGGGTTGCCCATCGCAGAGTCGTGGCCTCCGCCGTAGTAGGAGGATGCTGTCAGGAGGCCGTCAGCATGCCGGCTCAGAAGTTCGAGGAGAAGGTATGCTTACGCTTCCCATTCTGCTGTCCCATGCCGCCGCTGCTAGCAGTACGACCTTGGCCGTGTTGAGGCGAGTTCATCAGGACGCTGTCATCCGCATGGGTCTTGACATGCTTCTTGAGATCCTGAGGACGCTTGAAAGCCTTGCCGCAGAAATCGCACTTGTGGGGCTTGAGCGGGACGTGGACGCGAATGTGGGAGGTGATGTGGTCGCGCTTCACGGTGGTGGTGCGGCACGCACCCCACTGGCAGGTGAGGTTGAGGTTGTTGGTGCTCTTACGGCCAACATGGCGCTCGCAGACATGGTCCTGTGTCGCGGGTCAGCACTGATTGACATGTGTAGTGCAGCGCAGCGCGACATGTGCGCGTGGCCTGGCAGGTGGGTAGACTTACGTAGAGAGCTTCAGCGCTGTCGCATCGCTCGCCGCAACCCTGCCACTGGCAGGTCAAGTTGTCGATGGTCGAGCTCTGCGTGGTTTGCGGTGCCTGGACCGGCGACGGCTGCGATGCAGCTTGTTGTGCTTGTTGGGTGGCCGCTTGCACCGCCTGGGCGACGGTCTGAGGTGTGCTGCCGTCCATCTAGGCGACTGCGCTGGATGGAGTGATGAAGGTCTTGGCGTGTAGAGATCTTGGCAAACGATCTCCAGATGGGAAACGCTCCGGGAGAGGTGTGGTCGTGTTTGCAGCTTATGAAGAAAAATTCTAAGGCGGCTGTGACGCCGAAAGAGTCTGCTCGTTGAGGCAACCCACGCGCGTGAAGGCAGCGGCAGGAGGCAGTAAAGGGCGGTTGCGGATGTCGCTGGGGACAAGAGCAGAGCAGAGGGTCGTTCGGGGGGTGAAAGCTGGGCAGCGGGGCCAGAGGAAGAGGCAGGCCAGTTTATAGAAAACCGTCTCCGGCGCTCGTCAGCGGCCTGGGCAAGGGCAGGAGCGGAGTGCCAAGCTCGCTCGGAAACTGCGATCGAGACAACTCCCTCAGTCGAATGAGCGTCGTGAACGGGCGGAACCTTGGCTTGGCTGGCTCGCTGCCAAGGGCTGGGCGTGCTAAGTGGCGGTCGTTTTAAGCAGGACCACCTCAGATAATCACGTGATACGAAATGCAGCGGTCTTCATGAGAGATTTGATTACAACAGCATGACTTCCTTACTTTTCACAAGCCCAGAAAACTTTCCTCTGGCTGCCACAGCGACTCACTCACATCACCACACGAAAAAAAAGCCTTCACTCAGCACAACCGGATGCTGGAATGGCAGTTACTCCGGAAAAGTCGCGCAGGCAGGGATGCTCCGTAGCTATGCTTGGCGTTCCTCGCGAACCTCGCGACACCACGCCACACTGTACACGCCGGACAGCGCCATCGACCTGGCGAACACGCCTTCGAAGCAGCTCTCGAGGCACAGGAACAACGAAGAATCGTTCGAAATATCTCTCGGGACAATCAAGGAAATTCCATTCCAAAAACACAGTCCCAACACCCGCCTCGATCCGTCGCCGGGCTCATCCCATCTATCGATCACTCCCCAAACCCCAGCCCCAGCCGCAGCAGCTCGCCGGAATCCGCCAAGCATCGGAGATGAGAGGGGGCGCAAGGCCAAGGGCGCGCGCTCTTGGACTCTTGGAAGTTCCGCTCCGCTCTTGGTATTCTTGGGCAGGGACAGACACCCTCTCCTTTCCCGCTCACACGGAACGCGCGTCTCACCCCCCTTTGCATCGCCACACACGTTGCTTTCTCGGCACGACTCAGCGTGCGTGGGTTGTTGCGTGCTTGACTGAACATTGGCGCTGGCTGGGGTTCCATGTGCGTTCTTTTCTTGCTCCCCATGAATGGCCCACGTGAACTATTTCAAGCCTTGTGAGGATTGATGGGTACCTTTTGCTTTGATCTTGATGCCATCATCTTGCAGAGGTCCAAGACTTTGAGTCCGTTCACCTGCTGCATTCGGGTTCCTTGTTGCTCGGTGTACATATGGTAAGTATACATCTGGCCCGCGGCACGCCTGTTCTGGGCGAGGCGAATGTGTCGGTCTGGCGGCCAGTCTTGCATCGGCAAACGACAGCGGCTGAGATTATCGAACGACCTGCCCTTCTTGGGAACAGAAGATAGCGATCTCGTTAGGTGTCTTGGTTAGTTCAGCCCTGCGAGCAGGACGATGCGCTGGTGGTACTGTAATCGTTCCACCGCATCGTCTTGCTGTCGACCAAGCTGCTGACGACAGCGGTGATCGTATTCTTGTTCTGTCACAGCGCAGCTGTCTTTGAACTGGCGCCTATGAATTCCAGCTATTCGGTGCTTTGAATGCGGTGGCTTCTGGCTGGCATTCACTTCCTCCGCATGTGCCACACTCGCTTGAGAGGCAGACGAACTTGGCGCTACGGTAGAGGGGATGGTGCAAGCGACAAGTCGACCATATAATTTAGTCTTTGGGGATCGCGAAGTGTACAATCTGCACATGATTTCAACCATCTGGCATTCGATACGTTTTGTCGTGTTGACGGCAGAGCTGGTTTGGCCAAGCGCTCACGACGAGAGAGCGTCCGAACTGCAGTGCTCCAGTTAGCTTTGAACGAAATTACGGTGAGAATAGATATTGGTTGTCCTCCCCGTTCATCACGCTTCAAGGACACGCCCAGAGAGAAGTCGGTGGCACAGACTCCTGGTAATTGCTGCTCTGAGAACATCTATACTTTGTTTAGCATCCTATGAAGCCCAGCCGAGCCTAGCACCTGAACTGATTGCCTCTGTTGATCTGGAACTCGACAGCTGACTCGCAATGACTATTGTATTCCAGCTCGTACAACATACATATACCCTACAAGAAAGGCTCCGCGCTAATGACATGTGGGATGCAATCCTCTAGTCCCTGAATCGTCTGTTCTTGTTCTCTCCGAACAGTGTTGCCCGCACGGCAGGTAACGCTTCGGTCTCGAGTAGATGCAATCGCTCTTCGAAGGTGTTGTTGACGTCGATCTTGCCGTTGCCGCTGAGGATGATGACACCGCCGGGTCTGAATGTACTTGTTAGCATTGCCACAATAGCCCACGATGCCCCAGTCTTCGCAACACTTACGAGTCGTCGGGCACCCGCTCCTTGCCATCGATCTGAATCTCAACATCCCGCTTCAAGTTCTTCTTGTACTCCTCCTTCGCGCCCTCAGCTGCCTTCTTGACAACGTCGTCATCCTTCTTCCGACACCGCAGGGTCACCTTCTTCTCATTGACAAGTGCATACAGTCCCTGCAGAATGATGTTCTTCAAGACCTTCTCGTACTTGCTCTTGTCCTTGGATGCAGTATCGGCCAGCTTCTTGCTCGCATCCTCAAACAGCTGGTCCAGAAGCTCCTGTCTCGAGCTGAGGATTCGCAGTCTCGTCTTGTTGGCGAGGGTGGACTTTGTGATCTGTTGGCTCATGCCAGCCTGGGTGAACTTCTTCTTGTACTCGTCGTCGATGCGAGATGTCTCCGAGCGGACCAGCTTGGACTTCTCGATGCTGAACTCCTCGTCTGCCTTGAGTTGAATCTCGCGAGCCTTTTCCAGCGCTTCCTGCCGAATGAAGGCAGTCATCTTGCGCAGCTCCTGGTTCACCTGGTCGTCCGACATGGCGTGTATTTGGGACATGGTTGCGGGTTTGGAGCTGCTGTACAGGCAGCCGGCTGGGAGTGGGTAGAAAGGACGCGGACGGGGTTGGCGGTGGGTGATGCAGCTTCTGTCGGTTCGGTGAAGCTCGAATGTAGTCGTATGGAGACCTTGCAGGGCTAGATGGAGGTTGAGTGACTTCAATGGCAGCTCTCAAGAAAGCAACGCTGCTCGCTGAGCAGCAGCAGTTGACCGACGCACGTTGCTGTCCTCGCTTGGCCGACCAATAGCAGAGCTTCATCCCGTGACCTCACGGCGCGCAACGTCTCGACTCGACTCGTCTCGTTGACCACACAACAATCCGGGGATCATCCGTCACTCTTCGCTCACTCGTCTACGCAGCCCGTGTCTTGCTCTTCTGTCCGCCTGACCGCCGCCTGACAAACACAATCGGCGAAGACAGACAATCACCGCAAGGGACTCATTCAACCACAGCACCATGGGTCGATAACAGCCGGGCTGCAGCCATACACTACTCGCCTTCCATCATCATGAGCGACTTCACTCTCGACCCAGCAGCTGCCATAACGCTGGGCGTTATTGTAGGCTTGCTTTCGACATGCGTCCAATCGATCGGCCTCACTCTCCAGCGCAAGTCGCACATGCTCGAAGATGAGAAGGAGGATCATTCTTTGCGACGGCCTCCTCACCGACGACGACGATGGCAGATTGGGATGTTTCTGTTCTTGGTCGCAAATATCATAGGATCGACTATACAGATTGTGGCGCTGCCTCTGCCACTCCTCAGTACATTGCAAGCATCTGGGCTGGTGTTCAACAGTATTCTGGCGACATTGTTACTGAAAGAGCCATGGACTTGGAGATCAGCGTGGGGAACAATACTGGTCGCTGCGGGGGCTGTCTTGATCAGCTACTTCTCTGCCATGCCAGAGCCGAGCCATAGTCTTCAGCAGCTGTTGGTTCTGCTGGGCGAGGCAAGCTTCCTGGTCTGGTTCTTCCTGTCTCTGTTCTTCGCCATACTGGTAGTGGTCGTGACATTCACACTGCGCAAGTGCATACCGGCCCAGAAGCGCGAGAGTCCACGAGTGCTCCTGATCAATGGTATGATATTTGGGCTGGTGTCAGGAATTCTATCCGCGCATGCTTTGCTTTTGGCCAAGAGCGCAGTCGAACTGGTCGTCCGCAGCCTGGCCCACCACAGCAACCAGTTCAAGTCATGGGAGCCGTGGGTCCTCATCCTGGCTTTCGTTGCCTTGTCGCTCTCGCAGCTATACTACCTACATTTGGGTCTGAAGCTTATCTCGACAAGCATTCTGTACCCTTTTGTGTTTTGCATATACAACATAGTTGCGATCCTGGATGGCCTGATTTACTTTCAGCAAATGCACCGCCTGCCCCCGCTTCATGCTGGTCTGATTGCTTTGGGCACAGTCTTACTCCTGGCCGGCGTTTTGGCTCTCAGTTGGCGCCTGCAGGATGACGACGACGAAGATCATCATCTAGTGCAGACCGACATCCCACAGACGGTTCTTGCGCCTGGAATGGGATTTGTGGGCGATCCCGACACAGATACAAACGACTCGGATTCTGTGCATACGGACGACGATATCGAGAGCGAGAGAGAAGTAACCGAGCATACCAACTTGATACGCAAGTCCCTGCAAAGAAGCCATACCACGACGAATAAAGTACCCAACTTCGTGCCTGGCCACACACATGTCCATACTAGCAAGCGCCGGCATCGTGCGGCCACACTGAAAGAAGTAAGGGCGATTTGGGAGGCACTGGGCGACTCGGAAGACCAGTATGGCACTTTTGAGCGACCGACCTCCTCGACGTCGAATCCCACAAGACCCGCTACAACAGGCCAGCAGCGTCAAAGGAGGCGTCGAAGATCAAGTGCTGGAAAATCACTCGGGCAGGGCGACGAGGAGGAGGGGGTAGGTCTCGAGCCCGGCCTCTCGAGAGCCAGCACGATGCCAGCGCAGCCACATCGATCACGACATAGGCGCAAGAGCACGTACTCTGGCAGCGCCCTTTTCTCGGATTTGTTTAGAAGCTGGGGCTTCAAGAGGAAGGACGACGACCATGGCGACGCGCCTCCGTCACCAAGTAGTAGCAGGCATCGTCCTTCGAATGGCATGGCGTGAGGCGCGGGAAAGGTTGAGATGCATTTCGGATTGACGATTCCCTATGTTGTTGGTAGCACGACTACTGCTTCTGAAGTGATGATACCCCCAAATATGTATATGGCTTAACGTGAATATCTTATTGACTACAAGACATTTTGCCTGATTATTTCTCTCATACCTATCGGTCCAATCGACCATGAAATTCAATAGACCGCCTCGTTGGCCACATTTCTCGACAACACCTGCCCATTTCACAAGGCCCATCCCCCGAGCCTTCGTGTTCCTGTAAGACCCTGACTCCACGACCCAACCTCACACAACGCCATTGAAGCCAAAACCGCATCAACGCAACAACCCAAAAATGACGCCGAATCCCCCATCCACGTAAACCCACCACCGCACCCAAAACACCATGGCCCGCAACCCCTCAAAATGCCACCCCAACCCTCCCGTCCCATCTCCGCCACCTGGCCGAGCGAACACCTCACCCTCGGCGCCGGCGTAGCCATCTTCCACCTCGCGACCTCGCGCGTCGTACTATGCTACCACACACGCGACGAATACTGGTTCCTGCCGAAAGGGCGCAAGAACGCCGACGAGGACCTGGCGCGGGCGGCGGAAAGAGAGGGGTTCGAGGAGAGCGGGTTTAGGAATCGGTTGTTGCCGTTGCCGGTGAGACATCGGCAGCCGGTGGAGGATGGGGATGGGGGTGGGGAGTTTGTGAGGGAGAGTGTGTGGGTGCAGGCGGAGCCGGTTAGTAGGCGGAGTCAGTATTTGTTGTTTTGGTATGTGGCGGAGACCGTGCCGCCGGAGGTGGAGAGGGGGTATCGGGGTGGTGGTGCTGGGGGATATAGGCCTCCAGAGCCTTTTCCGAGGGAGGGGACGTTGAAGGGGAGGATCGAGGAGGATGTTGTTGTTGGACGTGGTGGGGAGAAGGTGATATATGAGCCTGTCAGGCATGAGGGGACGGGTGTGGATGAGGAAGAGGCGCTGTATACGTCGAGGCTGATGTCGGTTGAGGAGGCTTGTGGGAGGCTGAGGGGTAGTATCATGGAGGATGTGGTGAGGAGGGGATGGGATGGGATTCAGGAAAGGCTGAGGATTGAGGCTGCGAGGGCTCGTCTGGAGTGATGATGCTGGAAGATATGACCTCTTTTGGGTGCATGCGATGTGTTTTCACCAATGTGATCACTGATGCCCGTTCCCGAGATGATGTGAGACTTCACGATCATGGACACGACCACGACGACATTACAAGCATGCGCGACTACTTCGAGTGAAGTGGAAGGTCAATCTGGGTTTGGACTGCCACTCTCGATTATACATGCTTCAGCAAGAACGAGTAGAACGCCTCGTTCTCATAATCCGGTGGCGTGTCCAGAAAGTGGTCCTTGTCATGAGGCCTCTCATATACAACCTCGATCCCACATCCCAACATCGCGCCAACCACTTCATCTGCTTGTTCGACACCTACACAGGAGTCTGCAAGGGCATTAGCTATCACTACCACTGGAACGGGAACACGCTTTCAGAAAACGGTCTACGAAGGGCTACTCACCCGCATCGCCGTGCAGGAAGTATGCTGGCGAGGATCTACGACCATATATCTGGCGTGAAAGCCTGAATTTGTCTACCGCCTCGCCCTCGGGGACATGCCATAATTTGGCCAGGTTCGCATCATGCAGCTATCAGGTATGAAAGTCAGCAAGACATCACTGATGTGCATTCTCGCCAACCTGGTCGGGGGGATTTTAGTGCCACTTACCATACGGACGTACATGTTCATCCGTGGACTATCTTGCGCATTACTCGCAACCTGGTCCGCCTTGGGATCCAGGAACTCGGCGATATCCTCCCGCTCAACCAGCTTCCGCCCCATAGGCGGCGGCTGAGGGTTGGTGAAGAAGTAGCCTAGAGGATCCGTAATGGGGTATATAGGCAGGATGACATTCGGCTTAGGCTCGACGTAAATGCCCGCCAGCAGAGAAAGATAGCCACCCGCCGAGCTCCCAGAGACGGCCAGTCGGTTGACATCGAGCACACCCTCGCCGACCTGGGAGGCCAACTGAGTCCGAATGAACTTGATGCCGTCCTGCACGTCTTCGAGGATTTCTTGCACGCTTGCTTGCGGTGCTAGCCGATAGTCGGCGGAGATGACTGCCAGACCGTACTTGTTGGGCGCTTTACGCATGTGCGGAGCGAGTTGGCCTTTGTGGCCTTGCAGGAGGCCTCCGCCGTGGTACCAGAGGAGGATGGGGAGGTTCTTAGCATTGTTGTCCGGGAGGAAGAGGTCGAAGGCTATGTTCAGCTTTCCAACGGTCTTGTAGACGATGTCGGCTTTGGCGGGCTTGATCTCGGCCATGGTTCGATGAGGAGAAACTGTATGGTTAGGCCGAATCGGTCAGTGGTGAACGAGAGGTTGTATAAGACTGGCAGAGAAGTAGGTTTTATTGCTATTCCACCTCGCCCTAACATTGCCCTCTCTGGACATCGCTAGGGCTGCTATGCCGTTAGCTGATCGGCCTGGGGTGTTGTTGGCCGACCGAGCTGTGCTTCTCGATCTCCCCACTTTCCACCTTGAAGGTCCACCTCACGTCTACCTGTGACGTCCAGGAATCACGCCTTTGCTCGAGCGCGACGATTGGCTGCTTTCTGTGCTGGCCATGCAGTCCGGCCAAAAGATTTTGTGAGGATGCGTTTCTCTTAGCAGGCATTGAGTCTGCCTGGATCAATATTGACTGCTATAGCACGGCTAGGCGATTGTGCTCACTTAATTGTGCAGAGGCAATCGCGCCAGTCGAGCTCTTATGCAAATCGCCAACACCGCAATAAACTGCAAGATATCTCTGGCCGACTCATAGCTGTCCAGCAACGATCTCCTTACTCCATGCCATGGGTGAGAATCAGGCTGCGAGCCACCATGAAAAATACTTCAACCTAGGATCGTACAGTCGCCGAATCAGCACGAAGAACTCCGCAGCGCAAACATGGTTCAACCGCGGACTCGTCTGGTCGTATGGGTTCAACCACGAGGAAGCATTGCAGTGTTTCGAGAAAGCCATAGCTGAAGATCCAGATTGCTGCATGGCTCATTGGGGCCTGGCATATGTCCTAGGTCCGAACTACAACAAGCCATGGGAGATCTTCGACGAGCAAGAACGGAGCGAGAATCTCAATCGGGCGAGGAATGCGCTCAAGGAAGCGAGGGATCTGGCCGAGCGAGAAGACGCCAGTGTGACCCCGATCGAGAGACTCCTGATCGAGGCTGCGCAGTTCCGGTATCGAGAAGACACTGATGATAGTTCATCGTGGAATCAGGACTATGCCCTGGCTATGTCGCAGGTGTACGAGCAGTTTGGGTATGATCTCGACGTGGCGGCACTGTATGCGGACTCACTCATGCAATTGACTCCATGGGCTCTTTGGGACATTCGGACTGGCGAGCCCAGCGAAGGCTCGAGGACGCTGGAGGCCAAGTCTGTCTTGGATTCGGCAATCTCAATGCCAGGTGGGAACGTACATCCCGGTTTGCTTCACCTGTACATCCATCTGATGGAAATGTCCGCGAGCCCTGAGTCTGCCTTGCCTGTAGCTGATCGCCTACGAGGACTGGTTCCCGATGCTGGCCATTTACAGCACATGCCGACACATCTCGATGTGCTCTGCGGCGACTGGAAGCGTGCGATGGAGTCCAATGCAGCCGCGATTGAGGCTGATGAGCGATATTTGTCTCGCGCTGGTGCTTTGAACTTCTACTCGCTCTACCGCTCACACAATTATCACTTTCGAGTGTATGCCGCTATGTTCGCTGGCAATTTCCAGGCTGCGATAGACACGACTGCGAGGTTAGAAACCTGTCTGCCAGACGATCTGCTGAGGATTGAGTCCCCGCCAATGGCTGACTGGCTGGAGAGTTTCCTCTCCTTGAGAGTGCATGTACTCGTGCGGTTTGGGAAGTGGCAGGATCTCCTTGATTTGGCGATACCCAAGGATAGAGCCCTGTACTCTGTCACCACGGCGATGACATATTACGGCCAAGGAGTCGCATTGGCCGTGAGCGGGAAGGTAGCAGAGGCGGAGGCAAAGCGAAACGAATTCCACGACGCCGTATCAAGGGTCCCGGAATCACGAACCCTCTTCAACAACACCGCCATCGACATCCTAAAAGTCGCAGCAGCAATGCTAGACGGCGAGCTCGAATACCGTCGCGGCAACATCAACACCGGCTTCGAGCACCTCCGCAAAGCCATCGCCCTGAGCGATAACCTCCCATACGACGAGCCGTGGGGCTGGATGCAACCGCCACGCCACGCATACGGTGCCCTGAATCTCGAGCAAGGCAACGTGGAAGAGGCTCTTGGAGTATACAAAGCCGATCTCGGGCTTGACGATACGCTGCCTCGGGCTTTGAGGCATCCCAACAATATCTGGGCTTTGCATGGGTACCATGAGTGTTTGAAGAGGCTTGGGCGGGCTGTGGAGGCGGAGGAGGTGAGCAAGCAGCTTGAGCGGATGAGGTTGGAGGCGGATGTTAGGGTTACGTCTTCGTGCTTTTGTCGGAGGGAGACGAATGGGGTGTGAAAAAGGGGCTGGTAGGGAGAGCTGGAGGTGAGGTCGGCTCATGACCTCACTACAGCGCTCTGAAAGCATGACCACGGGCGAACACTCTTGCATAAAAGCGCATCGTTGTAGCGAGCATTGAAATTCATATCTTTTTACAGTGGTAACACATCACCTTTCTCCAGCTGGTTCATGAAAGGGATATGAGATGCGCCCGCTCACCTGAAGCGCATCCCACAACATGATGGTGCCACAGACTAAATTGAGACCAGATCACAGACATCTCGAGATTGAATGACCAGTGCTCGCTCTTCCACGTGAAGTAGATCGTTCACTGGCAGACCTTTGGAGTCTTCTGATGTACTTTCACTTGGAACTTACTCTCTAGCAAGCGCTAATCCATGTATGACCACATTCTTGACGAAGACGCAGTTTCTCTGTGACAAACATCACAGAACTTTGACAGTGCTAGGAGCTGGCAAGGAAGCATGCGTCACTGGGTCAGGCTGTCTTCTGGGTTGGAAGTGATATTCGCTCTCAGTTGAGTTGAGTTTCGATATTGTCAACGACGCAATTACTACACCGGACTCTGCGCGAGTGGAAATCGTGCACCGAGCGCTGATGAAGAGATCACCCTATTCATGGACAATACAGGATTTTCAAAAAGTGGGAAGAATATCGAGGTATTGAGTGAGGGTACCGGATCAATGTTTCAGCGCGGCTTTAGCGCTTTCTAGCGCTTTGCAAGTGAATGTAGGGGATGTTTGTTACCTTGACCTCGTTCCCGAAGTAGTTCAGGTCTTGACACCCTTCTTTGGTGCGGAAGTGCACAAGTTTCACGCCATGTGAGGTGTCACGGGTGTTCTCATCTTCACGTGATGAAGTAGTACAGCTCCACCTTAACAGGGATCGGTGGCATCACCGCAACATCATTCACATCGTGTCAAACACGCATACCTACAGCATGTGTCGTAATCGAAGGGTACGTCTGACGGTCGTCAGGATCAAGGAATATTTTCCTTAAGGTCGAGGAGGCAACACTTCTTTCTGTTCTTCGACTTCCAACAACCGCTTGCTATACTGCGAACGGATTCCCTCTTCTCGTCCAGTGCTTTCCTTGCTTAAAGACTGAGCATGCCCGATCCGAGCACCCCATCGCCGAAGCCTGCGAGCGCTCTAAGCGGAGGAAGCAAAAGAGCGGGAGTTTTCCTCGCCGCGGCGGGAGCAGTAGGCATGTTGATCATGGCCACTTCATCCAAGAAGACGACCACCAAGTACGTGACAATCGCTATTGGTGATCAGGTAAACTCCAGACTGACGCCCGACAGCAATCTCATAGAAACCAACGCCACCAAGAACATCTCGGATCGTTTCAGCGCGGGGGGGAGCCAAGGGAGAATACACCCCGAGTGTCGCGACGCCTCGCCAGCCCGACGATGTTTCCTTACCGGTCGTGGACGAGTAGAAGAAGGATGTCTAAGCTACTGATAATCTTAAGTCGAAGCAGTACAATTTTCATAGTTCAAGATGTATGTTCCTGCTGGCGGATAGACGAGAGGGTTTGCGGTACTGACAGGTTTTAATAGGACTACAAGAGCTTCAAGCGGCGGTCTGTGAATCTGCGTTGTCAGTGTGAGAGTTTTGGGGAGATGGTCATGGTGAGGTGAAAAATGAGACAGTCTTCAGACTTGCCACAGTGTATGTGCTCGGTCAAACCTCGTGCCCAATGTTACAACTATTCTTGCACCTCCAAACACCCGCCATGGCGGGTGTTGCTTGTCTCTTCCCATCCCACGTATAACACTCTTTCATCATGACCACAGCCACATGAGCCCACAGTCACGTTAAGCCTGGGAGCTAGTGCCCATGCCATGTTAGGCTGCGTGAAGTTATTGTGGGTGCAGACATTGATGGATGTCGATGTAGCGTTGAAAGACTGGACTTATCTGCCACTCCGACAGCGTGGACACACTAGCCACGCGGATCTAACCGGAGCTAAAGTGATCGACACGGGCCGCGGTGGCTTCCACGGGCCCACATGTTCAGGTACCTGTGCGTGAGACGACATGGAGAGCCGAGCATCACGACGATGGTGTCAACATTGGACGAGGTCGAGCAACGAGGCAGGATACATCTTGGACGGCCTTGATAGTCTGTCGTCAGTCAAGTCGAGCCTTGCTTGGAATCGGGACTTCGCGCGGAGGTCGACTGCGACAACGGCCAACGCACCTCCACGTGCCACTTCGCCATGGCGTATTACCCGATCAGAAATACCCAGGGAATGATTTGATGCGCGGGTACCCGCTCTCGCCTCTTCAGCTTGCATTTTGCGGGCCACGAGCAAGACTATAGCCGCAGTCTTACGTGCCTCCACCATCACAGCGGCCTCCAAAATGTCTCAATCTGGCGAGCCATCACTGGGGCAGATCGCGCAAAAGATCCTCGAAGATGCGCTTCAGAACATCATACACGATATCGTCATCCACCGGCATCGCGAACACAAGATGCTCCTCGCCTCCCTCGACCCGCAGACGAAGCTGCCGCATTGCGAGACATGCAATCAACCGCGACTCCTCGATCCACCCCTGGCGCCCAAAGTCCGCGGCGCACCCTCAGACCCTCCCGCGAATACGAATTATTGCGATCGAAAACCATGGTCCAGAAAGGCGGGTCATGATATCTACGGGAATCCTTTCCTCAAATCAGATGTAACAGGCCGGCCCTTGACGAAGAAAGAGCGAGAGGCGCAAAAGAACAGCAAGAAGGAAGATGGCACGCCCGCGAGCGAGGATGCGAACGCAGAAGGTACAGGTCCGCCGTCACCTACTGAAGAGAATGAGAGCAAAGGAGGAGACAAGGGCAAGCTGGAGAAGGGCGAGAAGAAGGCGAGCAAGATCGATGAGAAGCTGAAGAAGGGAGAATATGTGCCCTGGCATACTTGCCCAAGTTGCAAGCGCAGTCTGCTTATCACGCGATTTGCGAAACATCTGGAACAGTGTATGGGACTGAGTGGGCGGGCCGCCAGTAGGAATGCCATGGCCAAGATGAACGGGACCCCGTCAGGCTCAAGAGGTGGCACACCGAACCCGAGCCAAGAAGGCAAGGACAACAATAACAACGACAATGAAGAGGATGACCTCGCTGTCAAGGGTCCAGGAGGCGTTCGAAAGAAGCTGCTTAAGAAAGGGCTGAAGGACAAGGTGAAGAAGGAGAAGGCTGGTGGAGGGGCAAATGGCAAGGTCCCCAAGAGCCTTGCAGCGAAACGTCCTCCGAATGCTACGAACACGGGCAACGGTACATCGAGATCGTCACCGGCACCATCTTCAGTCGGCGACGGGAAACGAGACCGCGATGAGCTGGGAGATGATGAAGAAGACGAGATACATGTCAAGAAAAGGCAGAAGCTGCAGAGAGTGGGCAGCACAGCTAGCATCCTCTCACAAAGCACTACTGCGCCGGACATGGAGAGGCAGGAGAGCAACGACGGCAGCTTCGTCGGTGACGGGAGCATTGTCGACGATTGAGGCGCAGAATAATTCTTTTGGGACCACTGCGTACGCTTGGTTGAGCGGACGGCGTTGTTTGAGTGGGAGAAGGAGGCCCTTTCTGGAATGGCCAGCATTATCAAGATCTCGCAGCGTTGGTATAACAGCACAAGCAGGAGATCAAGCACCGCCTGTAGCATTACCGCAAGATACCTAGTTTGTCATTCACATTGCGGCTTGCACATGACGTTCAGAGTTGCCTGGCGCTACGTTTTGCTCCTTCACATGCCGTTCTGAGGGTTGAGCACCGCCTCTGACATGTGCTTGACTCGATTTGGTAGCAGGGTGCTTTTGCAGTAGCAGGCCGTGATTGGCCGGTGTGGCTGAGTCGCACGGACTGTCGAGATGCCGTCATCAACTTTTGTCGCGTGAATCGTACGAGCGCGTCTCTCCCAAAGCCTTTATTAATGCGTCTCCCATCACTCGATCGCTGAGAATCACCAGACATCAACCCAGCAAGGCCTCGAGAAAACATGGCGCCCAAACGTGCGACCAAGAAGTCGACTCCCGCAGAGGAAGAACCGCATGGCTACGAATTCGGCGGCCCGTACGTTCGCTCAAAACAACCTTGAAAAAGCACATGCTAATGGATTGATATCAGAATCGGCGCATCTTTGATCTCTTTCGGCCTGCCTGTGGCGTGCTACGCGTTCGGCTTCCTGTGCAACGACGTGACTGGATGCCCGGCTCCTTCGCTCCTCCACCCCAGCAAGCTCTTCACGCCGAATCCCTTGACGAATGAATCCGGCTGGCAGCATGCTCTGGCGACTCTCAAGGCCGAAGTTGCATGGCCAGGATTCGCGGGGTTGATCAACCTCCAGGCTGTACTGGGCATTGCTGGCTGGTATGGCTTCAGTTTTCTGCTCTATGTCTTGCTCCCGGCGCAAGAGGTTCAAGGCACTGAGCTGCGCACTGGTGGAAGACTGAACTACAGGTTCAACAGTATGTTCAGCATTACGTGCAGCAAGCATCGAATGATGGCTAACGATGTGTAGCTTTCCTGACAGCGGTCACAATCCTCGTTGTGTGCGCTGCTGGTACCGTTGTCCAGGGAGCCAACTTTCCTCTGTGGACCTTCATTGATCGAAACTACATTCAGCTTCTCACATGCAGCATCCTCATCGCTTATGGACTCGCCATCTTCGTCTACCTCAAATCGTTCCAGGTCAAGCCCGGCAACAAGGACAAGCGTGAGCTCGCGGCTGGAGGACACAGCGGCAACATCCTGTACGATTGGTACATTGGACGTGAGCTCAACCCTCGTGTGACGCTGCCAGTCGTTGGCGAAATCGATATCAAAAGCTTCATGGAGCTGCGACCTGGGATGATCGGCTGGATTGTGCTCAACTTGGCCTTTGCGGCCAAACAGTACAGAACCTACGGCTATGTCACTGACTCTATGGTCATGGTTGTCATCAGCCAGGCTCTCTACGTTCTCGATGCCCTCTGGATGGAACCGGCCATACTCACGACCATCGACCTTACCACCGACGGATTCGGCTTCATGCTGTCATTTGGTGACCTTGTGTGGGTACCTTTCATCTACTCAACGCAGGCCCGCTACCTCAGTGTGCATCCTGTCACGCTAGGACCACTCTACGTAGCCGCCATTCTCGGAGTCGCAGCGTTTGGCTACTACATCTTCCGCGCCAGCAACAGCGAGAAGAACCGCTTCCGCACCAACCCCAATGATCCCAGTGTGGCACACCTGGAATACATCGAGACAGAGACTGGATCCCGTCTCCTCACGACCGGCTGGTGGGGAACGGCACGCCACATCAACTACTTGGGCGACTGGATCATGAGCTGGGCATACTGTCTCCCAACACTGGCAGCCGGATACAAGCTCACCCCAAGCATCATGTACCCTGGCACACGACTGCTGACGACCGAAGGCATGAAAGGTGCCGCCATCCCCATCACCTACTTTTACATGCTGTACTTTGCCATTCTCCTCATACATCGCGAGATGAGGGACGAGGAGAAATGTCGACGCAAGTACGGCAAGGACTGGGAGGAGTACTGCCAAAAGGTTAGATATAGGATCTTGCCGGGTGTGTACTAGCAGCGGTATTTTGGTGTCGAGCGCAGGGTGTTGGCCGTGTTGAAGTTTGGTTTACAGCGATGCTCTTTGCCATAATATGTACAACAGACGTATCGAGTTTCTTTGTTGCTCGGTGACATTTTCATGTTTAGATGTGGCTGTGCTTATACTGCTATCGACTTGGTGCATTCACACACGGTCCACCGGAGACTTTCAGCAGGGGTGGAGACCTCTCGGGAGCTTCCTCAATGTACCTGCATCAAACTCTCCAGTGCCATTCCTTCGCAATTGGATATAATCTCCTCCATTAAGTCCTCACAAGTCTTCAAACATTGACGACAGACTCCTCGATCGCCATTTCACTGTCCAAGCCTACCTGTGACAGCCCCGCTTTCAGGTGACGAATTGCCCAAGAGCTCCCTCAACATTCACTTCACATCATGAGTGCATTTACAGAAGCCAATCGAAAGGCCTTCGAGTACGTCAAATACCCGAACCACAACACGAATCAAACTGACATCCCTCCAGCGACCTCTCAGCATCCTACAACACCAAACCCTGGCAAATCAAACTCGCCAACCAAGTCGCCGAAGGCCTCCAAGCGCGCAAAGACTGGCTCGGAGCCCAATGGATCGACCCCCAAGAGCCCTCCGGCAAACGAGACGTCCGCCTGCTCGACTACGCCTGCGGCACCGGCGCCATCACGAAGGCCCTAGGACCCTACGTCACCACGATCCGAGGCATCGATATCAGCGAGAACATGGTGCAGAAGTACAACGAAACTGCGCGGTCGTCGGGTCTCAGCGAAGAGCAGGCTCATGCCGTTGTGGGCGACCTCTGCGGTGAGAAGGTCACGGAGGGACTGGAGGGCCCCGAATGGCAGGACTTCGATATTGCTGTTATAGGTCTTGGATTCCACCACATGGAACACCCCACCCTCGCGCTCCAACGCCTCGCCGCGCGCCTCAAGCCCTCCACGGGCGTCCTGGTCATTATCGACTTCCTCCCCTTCGACGTCAAGAAAGACCACGACGCCGGCGGCCAGGGCGGCCAGTTCCCGGAGATGAAGCACACGATCAAACATAACGGGTTCACCGGGGCGCAGATGCGAGATCTGTACCAGACGGCAGGGTTTGAAGATTTCGAGGTCGTGGCGCTGAAGGAGCCGGCGGTGATGGAGTTGGCGAGCGGGACGGTGCAGCGGACGCTGTTTTTCGCGCGGGGGAGGAGGGCGAAGACGGTACGTATGTAGTTGTTGTGTAAAGTCGTTCCCGTCTCGTGTCCCAAACAACTGCTTTTCTCCCCGCGCGTGCGATTACGATGGTGTACACAGACCCTGACATTCGGCAGGTCTGGCAGAAATTCTCGGGATGGGTCGGAGAGATGCAGAGTTGGGCGGCGGCGGGGCCGAGCATGACGAGGGTGGATCAGAGTCGTTGGGATCCTGGGTTCAGTCATGGCGGGGAGAAGGTGTGGGATATTGGGAAGGTCAAGGAGGAGCAGTATAGTGGGATGGAGCAGAATGCTCCGAAGAAGGCGTGGAATGGGTTTTAGGGGTTGAGGTGTGCTGTTGATTGGAAGTGGTGGGCGATGAGGTGGGGGTTCGCGATGTTTGGGTGTGAGATAAGGTGAACTGATGGTGGTAATTTGAAGCTCGTGAAGAACATGTGATGATGAAGAGTCCAGGGATCTGCCTTCTGCTCATATGGTACTCACCCACATGGATGCTCTTCCTCACCGAGAGGATTATCCACAGGCTGGTTTCCATATACTCCACCATCGAGGATCCACTGCTCGTTATCTTCATCCATTTGCACCCGCCTCCATGTGCTCTTCTTTTCTCGGACAACCTCCTTCCCCTTGTCTTCCCGAGCAGTAGGTCGAATGAGACCTGAGGCGAGTGGGTTGTTGCTGAATGCACCACTTCCATTAGTCGAAGTAGGCATCTGGTAATCGCCACCCTCACCAGATTCCTCTGCGACGTCAAAGTCCGGCTTCTCAACCTCGGCCATTCGCCGCACGACTTTGCCTCCCTTGAGATCGATGCTCGCCACCACACGCCGCTTCTCGTACTCTGGCTTCGCATTCCATTCCATCTCCCGCAAGATCTTTTGCTGCTTCTTCAGCTGCTGCGCTCGTTCCTCGGGACTCGCCCACATGTTGGTACCTGCAGACGGGACGTCGTAATCCGCAGCTTCGTCGTGGATCTGTGTACGGCGAGCGTTGTTGGCCTGGAAGCCCAAGAGCTTGTCCCGATGAGCTTTGGCTTTCGCACTGGCCTCGTCGTCAGATCCCGCAGGCGTGGCTGGTTGTGAAGAGAGCGGGGATGATCTGGTCGAAGATGCTTGAGCGAGGAAGTCTCGACCAGTGTAGGCTTTTGCCTTTCCGTGAGCCACGTCGGCTCGCTTGTGAGCGGCATTGTTCACTTTCATCCTCTCCTCTCCGCGCTCATCTTTCAAGACTCTGAGCACTTTTTGAATTTCGTCTGAACTCAAAAGTTGGGATCCACAGAATGTACAAGGCCCAAGGCCTTCCTTCACGCAGATGACCTTCCCACAACTCAGACAATTCGGTGCCATGTCCAGCAGTGGATGTCTTGTCGCCATGCAGTTGCATTTGCGCTTCTCGTTGTCCGCTGTAGACGTGGCAGATAAAGAAGGGTTGGTCTGCATCTCCAGGCTACGGATGGCAGAGTCAAGGTCTGAGAGGGCGGTCGATGCCCCGTGCATTGCAGTACCCCCAGAGATGTTTACTTTGGCCGCTTTCGGTGCGGGCGACGATGTTCGCGAGCATTGTGCAGAAGCTTTGGACTGGCCATTCTGTTTGCGAGAAAGTGAGTCTGATATCAGTGGTCCCGATGCGGACGGCGGTGGCTTGGATGTGATGGGCTGACTCGTGAGGCTTGCATCATCTGTAATGAGAGGTAATTGAGTCGCATCGGGATTCTTGTTCAAAGCCAAGTTGTCGGCTACTTGATCTTTGTGTTTCTGGCGTTGCTGGGAAGAAGTGGGCATGTAGTCTTCGACAGCACCCTTCTGATATCCTCCCGAGACATTTCCACGAGCATTCAGCTGGCGAGGTGGCAGGGCGTGAATGTTGGCCTTTTTAATTTGCGGCCGCCTTCCGCCCCTGGGTACTTCTGCGCTGGCAGATGGAGGAGTGGGATCGGTCGGCTGCGGTTGAGAAGTCGACAGCTGTGGCTTCGATGATGCAGGCGCATTTTGACGCCTCAAGTTGAAGCTCGATATGAACTCAAGACTCTTTGCCTCATCTCCCAGCAGGTTCTTCAAGTGCTCCGCGGCCGCATCTTTCGGTAGTGTGTTGGTGTATTGAATGACTTGGCGCAAAGACTCATCATCGAGCGGCAACAGCTGCTGCAAACGGGGGAGCGCCCACGTTTCGATGGATGATGCCATATGAGCGGTGCAAGTCCAAACTTGGAGAAGCCTGCTTTGAGAATGGTAGCCGCTCTGAGTCTTTACTGGAGGTTGGTAGATTTTTGATAGAGCTCAAGAGAGGTCGTTGCAATAAGGCGGACAAGGAAGTTCGCAAGCGCGGGTTTTGCCGCGCCGATTGGCGCGGCGCGTTCTCTTCCGCCGCCCCGAGCCCGCAGCCGCGACGGGAAGGCGACGACATCGTCATCGAGGCAGGAGCAACATATCGGAATACAGCACGTCAGGCCAAGCTCTACGCCTCATGTGAGAGTACAGTGGTAAGCGAAGCTTGGTGTATTTTCACAGAAGTCCGGAGGCGCTCCCGATGCCAATCAGCTGACCAACAAGACGATTTTGCACCCATAGGCTACGCCGCTCAAGATAGGCCCAATCCACCCTCCAAGACATGGCTCGCAGATCGGGAAGACTGTCTTCCGGCAGAGAACAAGTGGCGAAACACAAACGGGCAGCATCTGGCTCGACCGAGCTTGCAACTACGACGAAACGCCCGAAGAAGCAGCAAGCGACGCCCACCAAAAGCCAGTATTTTGAAGGAAATGGGCATGATGTCGCGGATCCGGAGCTAGAAGATGAATCAGACCCGCCGACGGCAGACGAGACAGCGTCTGAGTTTGGAGATGGTAGCGAAGCCTCTGCTGAGTCCCCAGGGCCAGACGAAGATGCCGAGGAGGACGAAGACAGCGATGAAGCCACTCCCCGAGGAAAGAACTCAGCCAAAGGGGCCAAAGTGTGGAAGCCGGGTACGAAGACGGGACTTGGCCCCGGAAAGCAGCTGGTGATCAAGAAACCGAAGGCCAAACCAGCCGGCAAGACACCTTACACGGACGGCACGATTCATCCCAATACTATGCTGTTCCTTGGAGAATTGAAAGCCAACAACGAGAGGTCGTGGCTCAAAAGTAAGTGATACTTCTCATCTGTAGTTTGCAAGGCCACAAGGAATGCCTTGCCTGCGGCACATGGCCCCTTCGCCATCTGACCTTTGCAATCTATCTTCACTACGCGTCAGTATGACGGACAACTGGCGGCCGAGTGCGAGACTGCTCTCTGCAAGCTAGGGATTCCATCACAGTTCCACGAGAGGATATGGAGCCTTCAGTCTATCTACGAGAGCATCCTTGCACACCGAGGCGTCGCGAAACCTCGAGAGCCGGTGACCACTCTCATCCTTGTTCACCGCGCTTGAGTGGCAGACATTCACTGCCAGTGAAGCGCCGACGCAGCTTCAACAGCATTGACGCATCCTTCTTAACACATTGCACACGCCGTGAAACGCAGCACGACTGGGATGCAAGTTGCGTGTCCTTTTGGATGGCAATACGAAAGCCGTGGGACGACGGCCCTCATCAATTTCTGGGGCCTGGAAACAAGGGCACACCCGGAATGTGGCTCGCATACGAGGTCGTTGCCCGCGAGCAATTCACTCACACCCTCCAGGACCCATGTAGAGTGTATTCGCGACGTGCCGACCCACAGGCAGTGCTACCAGGACGGGAGAACCCGCGACAGGACGCGGATATGTGCACGATCTGGACGGACGCAGCGCGCCGGTCCTTGCGAGATGCAAGCCAAGAATGCAGACATTCGCAGGCCTGCCAACACATCGAACAGCGGTCGCAGAAGCTTACCGAAAGAAGGCGCGCTAACTTGGTGATTTGACAGTGCATGACGCCGAGTTTCGACAGGCCGAAAAGGACTGGCACAGTTTCGTTGAGACGATGACACAAAAACTGACAATTGCAGACGAAACGGTCCCGGAACTGCCGGTGAAAGATGTGTCAGTACAGCAACACATCGAGGATTGACCATGCATTGACAAGCCGCAGCATCTTTCGAGTTTACAGAGACGTTCGGTTCTCGAAGGATTCTACGCCATACAAGGTTCGTCGACGTCGGGATACCCTCCCCGCTGCATCAGTAGCGCACGGTGCACATGCATAGGCCTTTCGCTAACGGTCGCCCAGCCCTGGTTTAGTGCAGCGTGGTGTGTAATAATGCGATGCATCTCTGCCCTTGCCAAAGGTGCTGATAACGAACACAGGTCACGGACGGGTCGGAAGTCGACGTATGCCCACTACTACATTCAGATCGCTCCAAATAAGAGCTGGGTCGGTGAGTTCAATTTCATCACGTGACAGTTTACAAGCCCGAGCCCAAGCTCTGGCTTTTGAGTTTTGACCATGGCTATCATATGCTGCAGAGCGCTGCAGTATAGAGCCGCCGGTGCAGCTGGTTCAGAGCCCGCAGAGGCGGTGCATGAGGTCTACACCTGAAGGAGGCATCGGCCCTGACTTCACGGAGCGTAATGCGTTGCCAGCGACGAGCGAGTCCCTCCTACAGGACACCGCCAAACTGCCGTCGACGATGTTCTCCTATCCATGGGCACTGTCCAACTGCTTGGAGTGCATATATAGTGGCCCTGTTGTCCTTGAGCGTCTTCTACTCTTGCCTAGCTCTTCTTGAACGTGCAGCAAGACCTGGCGATGTTGCTGCACTCCGTTGTTAAGGTTTTGGTCTCGCCGAGGGGTGGTCAACCCTAGACAACGCCGGTGTGCCGTTTACGCGCAGGGAGCTGTTCGGGATTCGTGGCGAGAACGCGTCGATCAAGAGTCGAGTCGTTAGGGACTTCGCCGGGCATTGGCATTGGCATTGCGAGTGAGGGTCGATGCGGTACTGTTTCCTGTCAGCAGATGGAGGGGAAGGAGGCCAAAAAATGCGCTGTCTCTCGAGCTCGCGCTTGTCTTAACCGATGGCGCATGCGGCATATTTCCAAGGCCCGGGCCTACGCCTTGAGCTTGCTGCGGCGGCCAGCCAGCCGGTCGTGACGGCACGTCGGGGGTTCCCACGGCGTCAATATCGAGCGACGATGCTCAGTTGCAGGCTCACTGCACCTCATGAGCGATTTGCTATGACTTGTGCCTTGTCCGACTCTTCTACGCGTCGATATGCGTGCAGAAACTGCCCTCGCGAAACCACCACCGCAGCTGCAGAACTCTCCAGCTCTGAACCCACCCCAGCGACACGAAGTTCCCAGCAATGGGGTTCTGAGATCTGCTCTTTCTTTGATGAGGTCCAGGAATGGGACCTTGGAGGCGAATATGGCATAGGGGATGCTCTGTGCTGACTCTGCGTCGTGAGGGTTCGTGGGATCGATCGGAGGTGTACTGCGGGCACGCTCGTCCGGTGCTCGATGAAAAGGAGGCTACAAATGATCAAGAGATCGGTCAAGAGAGCTCTGAGTTCGACGAAGGAGATCCAGCGAATGGAAAAAGCAGCCTGAGAGATCCGCTGCGCCGCGTAGATGTGCGCTATGAGCGCTGGATGCGCCTTGAAGCGCTGCGCCAGCACGTACCTACGAGCGCTCTCGTGAGCAGATGTCACTCATCTCTGAGGGCGACCGAGGCCAAGAAAGGAAGGAAAAACCAAGAATATCTGGACAAACCGTACCCGGATCTTGCTCGCAGAGGTCGAAGTGGTCCGGTAGACAGCTTCCAGAATTTTCAGGATGATGCAACCCGGCCCAAACGCACAGTTCGTGCTAGGCGGAGAATGCTTCGATGCAGACTTGCAGAGATATCAGCGGTCGATGGTGATGTATGGGCTTCACCGCATGTCAGGAGAATCTGCGCTGCCGGAGAAGCGAGCTTTGTCCAGTCCAGCATACTTCCAATGGCCTCTCCGCGCTATGAGGCAAGCCAGTAACGCCTCTCGAGCAAGACAGTCTCTAAGGGCCAAGGTCCAACTTCAAGGGCCACGGGAAAGGCTCTGAGCTGCGCAAATTCACGACCGTCCGAGCTTTTGACTAAAGGCATCCGCTCCAGTACCGGTTGGAGCGCGGGCCAGCAAGTGAGGACGTACCACATCCTTCTGAATCGGTGTGATCAGGTGGTTGCGATACTTCAACTTGAGACTGCTGCCGACGCTTGTGCTCTGGATCGAGTGAAAGCTGGCTGCACGATTGGCGCTGAGACGTGATTTCACGACCGCGATCCTCTTGTGCCCCTGAGATGTCTGCCACTTTCTGAACAGCTCCGAGTAGGAGTATGCGTGCTCTTTCATCGTCTAGCGCTCGTTCGGTCGTCTTTGAGGCTTTCCCGGACAAAAGACGCGTCGTGTTGCGCGCGTAAAAGTCGTGTTCGTGATCCAGGCCCGGCCTTTTCATCGAGCTGACTCCTATTCGAGCACGTGTCGGTCGGTTGATAGAATGAAGTGCTGATAAACGTTATAGGAGGTGGACTGTGGCATCCAGAGGCCCCGTACGTCGCCAGGATGCGCTCATCCATCGACAGCAACTCTCGAGCGCTCAAGGAAGCCCTGTCGGGTGAAACCATTCGCAAAGAGTTCCTCGGCGGAGTCAAGAAGAACGACGCGGCGGTCGTGAAGGCGTTTGTGAAGAGCAACAACGACAACGCGCTCAAGAGCCGCCCGAAGGTAATGTCACCCCCCTCCTGAGAGCGCGTCAATTATCTTTTTGCACCACCGTCGAAATCCCATCGAGACTGCACTGTTGCAGCAGCACCGTGTTCATGATGTCCGTCGATGCGTTGCTCTTTTGCGGCGATTTTTGATGGCCTCGACCGGCAAATCGTGCGCAGTCTGGTTCCGGGCACAACGTGACACAGCGACTGGAGAAGGGGCAACCGCGCATGTCTTCGACAAGTTCTCCAGGACCAACAACATAAAAGAATGACAACGGAGTTGCGAATGACGTGAAGATGGCCAATTGAGCAACCAAATACTTGTTCACCTGGACTAGAGGGAGAGAAGACTCGCAACTCAAACACGGTCAATTCGCTTAGGCTCTCGGGCGGCGAGGGGGGGCTTCATCGGTCCTCCCCTTCCCGGCGGCCAACTAGCCAGCGGAATCTCGATCACGCCTATTCTGCAACCTGCTCTGGCGCCCTACAGACTCGGCGTCGCTTATGGCATCGCTGGCATGAGTACTAACAAGTCTGCAAACCTCTGACTCTCTCAAGGCCGACTGAAGCCCCGAACGGGACAGAAGATCGGCTCACAACACGACGGCTCCCCCGGCCAGCAGAGTTCGGTAGGACCTACAGCTGGAGCTCGGCAACACCAAGGAAGCCAGGCGAAGAGGGCGGGCTGGCAAACTGGCTTGTGGCACCATCTCATCTGCTTGCATGCCTGTCACTTTCCTGCGCCGTTCCGCATGCTTTTTGTGCCGCAGCACAACCCACTGCAGCTCGTTAGCGCGTTTTGTCCACCTGCCCATCGCTTGCGTCCCTTCTGCGAGCACCGCATGTGACGAGAAGAAAATGTGGAGGGGACCGTTTCCTTGCTAACTGGGTGCTCTTTACACAACAGGGCTTCTCCGCCGATCATCCAGACCTAGACCTCTTACGATTGAAGAACTACACCATTGGGAGAAGTCTCAGTGATGACGAGGTGGTGGGTCACTCAGGCGCGCAGCGCATCGCAGAACTGCTCTCTGCGTTTGAGCCTTGGGTGAGTTTTTCCACCTTGTCTCGCCTTACCCTCTTCCTCCTCTCCAGCTGTTCGGTTGCCTTTACGTGGCGTCTGATCAGTCCTGTGGCTCTGGTTCATAAAGCGCCCACGAACCATGGGACTGCCAAAGTCAATTTCTCGCATCGAGCCCTCCTGGGCGAAGAGAAGAGAGAGGCGCGCGATCTTTGCCGCGCGTGTCTTTCCTCATCACTCCCACTGAGCGAACGGCTTCCCAAAGAGGCGCGTCCAGGTGTGAGTGAGAGGAAAGACTTTCTTGCGGCACAGCGCATATGCACGCTAGCGCCTAGACACAAGCCCACTCCTCCAGCCCCGTCGACTCACATGCAGCTGCGTGTTGGGCATATCGCCTCGTGTCACAAATGTCAAGATTGGGGAGAGGGCTGTCGGCTGATGGAATCCTCTAGGTCACATTCCTCAACTCGGTCGTGATGCCTGACCAGGCTGCATCTGACAGTGACGAGGAGGACGAAGACGAAGAGCAGGGATCTGACGATGAGGAAGAGTAGGCTGCAGAGTGATTGTACGACGTGACGGGACGACGATAGTGAAGAGATGGGCGGATGCAGGAGGGGGACAGCACATTGGCTTGGGAAAAAAATACATCGTTCGTTGAGAATGGGTCTTGGGAGTTTTGGGTGGTAGTTTTGATGGAACGTCTGTCGCTCTTTTCACAACACTGCTATGGCATGAAATCTTAACGTCGACGTGCACTTCGCCGTCTCTAAATCACCAACAAGGTAAACGCATCGAATGTCTCGCTTGCTGCGCCGTAACGTATGGACTTGGGCTGGCAACACAAACAAGGTGGGGTCGATGTGAAGGTCTCAAGGTCACGATAATGGCATGGCCAACCGCGTCAACTCGATCAATTCATGTGTCTGCGAGCAACCACGTCGAACATAGCACAACATGTGCTGTCGTGGCCTCTTCAGGCGTATGATCATGTCATCCAACTCGAGCAGACGGGAGTTTTGGTGGCTCGCAAGGCGAGCGCGTCTCGTCATTGGTCGGGATCATCCACGTATCCCGCAAACTCAATTCACAACAGACGCCATCGAAGCGTTTTGCGCGCCTTTGAATAGCAGCGAAGGGACCGAGCCGTCCTCCCTCGCAGAGCTAATCGATCACATGATGGAAATCGCGTCAGAAGCGTGAAACGTTCTCTGGACGACACCTGGGAATCGGCGATGTCCAGCGACGAGCAGCGGGCATTGGGCGCAGAGGGCAGCTGCGGGCCTTGATGCTTCGGTTGGAAGGCTCGTCCAGCCGCGCCGCTCCGGTATGTCTCTGCAGAGGGTTTGGCTTGGAAAAGGTTTCGGCGGTGCCATGCTCGTGTCGTCTCGTCTCGTCAGCGTCGTGCCGCCCCCGTCATCTAGCCACCTTCTGCAGCGAGGATGATCCCAGTGTCGAACAGGCGGCGCTGACGAGAGCTCTGCTGGTCCGCCGGGGTTTGAGCCCGATTTTTATGCTTTGGCGACGGTTTCTGGCCGATGGACGACTCGTGACTTGCTGAGACCGGAGGGTCTGTAACCGGCAGCCGCCTAGTCGGGTAAGCAGCACCCAGGCTCGAAAACAGCTAGGCGTGAAATAGAGTTCTTCAGGGCCGCGATGGCGCACGGGCCGGACCTAAAGTAGGCGAGCCCTATGTGCGTCTGCAGTGTCACCGACCGGCCCTCGATGAATGTCGTCTGCCCAATGCTTCTGACTTTCTAAATCCAAGTCGTGCTTGCAGGTGCGCTTCGCAGTCGTACATTAGTGTGGATGCTCCTGTCACTCTTGGCTGTCGCAAGATCCTAGGCGCTTGAATCTCGACGCCGTCCGGCGCAACACAAGCGATGCAGGCAGGCGAGCACAAGATTGATGAGAGCAGGTTTGGCGGACGGCATCAGCAGGAGGCGCGAGTCCGAACTCGCAGGCGCTGTTACATACCCGGGTCATGGCTATCCCCATCCCTTGCCTGGTCGGGTAGATGAGCGGCGCAGCAAGTGCTTTGAGTGGTTGTCGATGGGCGTTGTCAACATTTGACCGGTCTTATGATTCTTCCTGCGTTCCACTGAAGTCGAGCATGCCAGTGGATGGCTCTGTTTGAGGAAGGTGGTGTGATGCCGCGCATCTCGGGTCGTCGCTCTGGAGGTGGTTGACGGTGGGTGATGTTGTCTGTAGGGTGTCGTGTAACTCTCGCAGGCATCATGGGGGCCCCCTCCCGCGTTCTGCCACTGCACATGCACGCACCCACCATGCAGGATATCATGTCAAGCCTCCGTCGTGCCGTGCCGTACGCCGCGAGAGGGCTGTGGAGTACCGCCTGGGAACATGGGGACACATTGGTATGCATACCGCCTAGAAGTATTGTAAGTCGAGGGATGGAGAAGAGCGAAGTGGAGTAGTGGGATTGAAAATGAAAAGTGATGGGGAGTTGAAATGCATGGAGCCATACCCAAACAAGCACCTACACTTGGGCTTTTGGAAGGCAGCTTGCTTGCCCCGTGTTGCATGCCTAGCCTTCTCGAAGCGAATGGCATACGTATAAAGGCCTGTGGCTCTACGCAGGTGCTCATCTGTCTTCACACTCCTTTTCGTTCTTGCGAGTCAGTGTCTCAAGCTGTCCACAAGCATTATCGTTTGAAGACAACCAAACGGAAGCCTATTCGGTTAGAGTTCATCCCTTCTCATCCTCACCTTGTTGCGTCAGCAGTTCTGACATGATTCTTCACAGCCTTTGGGGTCAACAATTCACCCATCCCAACCACGGAGCCTGATCGATACTCGTTGTCGTCAGCCAAACGACGTCGGCAAATAGGCTCACTCAGCGGTACTCCCCCTCAAGGTTCGGCACTGCGACGCATCCAGATTGTTCCGTTCAGCCAGCCTTCAAGTTCCTGCCAAGGTCCAACGCCTGTATTCAAGGTTACTGACGGCTGCAGCGGCCCACACCCAACCGAGATACGCCGTCTGCAAGTGCATCGGCGTGCAGTCCAGCAACCAAGGTGAGTCCAGCGTCGAATCCAACCACCCATATCATCAGCAGCTGATGCAGTTCAGATCCGCCGGCCGAGCAGCAGCGCAGAGCACCCGCATAGCTGTACGAGGTATGTTGGATAATTTCTCACGGATCCAGGTAGTCCTGACGTCAGGGCCGCCGGGCATGCACCCTCATCCAATACATTTGTGCGTCCATTTCTCTGATTGGCTGGCGACAGGACATTTTCTGCATCCTCTAACGCACGCGCACACCTTGAGCGTGACCGACGGTCGTTAGGTCGAGCACACCGGCGCACGAGCGGCAGCGTGACAGCAGAGCGGTGAGGAGCGAATTGCAGGAGTTGGTCGAGGTAAGCAGGCATTCCCTTCGTATCATTTGACCTGCGCCGCGAAGACCAGCGGCGAGGCAGCTGGCAGTGAGCTGTACCGCTGCACCACATCCCCCGTCCGTCCGTCGCCTTGCCTCGTGGCAACGGAAGGGCCGAGACGGAGCAGATCGCAGCGGTGGGCGGGCATTGGACGGCGCGTTGCATGCTGCCTTCTAGCGCAGCCGAGTCGCCGCAGAATGGGCTGCAGATGGTCATCTCGCTTCCTCATTCGCAGCAGTGCTGACCAGTCGCAGGGCGAGTTGGGTGGCCGCGCGACCGCGACCGTCTGGCGTGGACCAAGAACCAGAAAGGTGGGTGCGTCGGCGGTGAAACACGCGGCTGATCGCAGTCAGTCCTGCGAACCACTCATCATCGCCTCGCTGCCACCTCGGCACTGCTCTGTCGCACGGCGCTGCACGTTGGCGAGTGCCCGCCCAGCAGCAGCGACAGGCCTCCTGGTCGCCATCACCGTAGTGTAAGGCAAGTGTAAGTGCACCCCTCTCCCGCCCTGCCCAATCCCCCGAGCGTCATTCGATGCGGCGCCGGCGACAGGCAGCGTGCAGCCGCAGCGAGGCGGGACGTACCTTTCCATCACAACCCTCTGCAGGATCGGCGGCGATGCAGTAGCGCGCCGCTGGTCAGCAGCAGCAGCGGGCGAAGGAAGACGGACGGCCCACTCGCTCGCCACGCCACGCCGCAGCCGCAGCCACGACACGACGGTACTCCATCCACTGCTGCTGGGCTGCTGCCCATGTTGGAGGCACCGCATCGCATTCGGCAGCGGGACTCGCTGGGCCATCCGCGCCTGACGAGAGCCTGGCGGCGAGCCACTCGAGGGGACCGCCGGCCCCAGCTCTAGCACGCAGGTGTCAGTGACTAGCAAGTGACAAGTGACGGCGACGGCAGCGTCTTCGTCACAGGTCGTGTCTCGTGCTGGTGGTGGTGTGGTGCTGCTCGTGCCATTTTACCATCACTGTTCTGCCTCCGCCCTGTCTGTGCTCGTGCGCTCGCCGAGCGTGGCTCCTCTTTAACCCCACCACCATCCCGCCGTCCCAGCGCCTTGGGACACCCCCGTCGCTTCTTTTCCTTCGACAATTCTTCCATGCGCGCGCTCGCTGTCTAACACCCGCCAGGCCATTGCATCACCCCTGTGCGCCCGCGCTGCGAACCACCTGCTGTGTCACCACTCTGTCGCGCCTTCGGTCCGCCGTCGCAGAATAATCAGCAGCAAGCACAATCAGCAGCAGCGACCGCCGCAGCGGCCTCCAAACAGCAGCAGCCGCGTCGCGAATCGCCAATCTCACGGCCCGCCCCTCGACTTTGTGCGACGTCAGGCATTTCGCTCTGCACTGCTGCAACACCGGCAGCCTTGCCAGACAGCGGTTGCGCCCGTCTCGCCGCCCGTCTTCACTTCACCAAACACCCCATCATCGCGACCCTCGACGCCGCCGCCATCATGAACCCCGCCGGCAACAACAACCCCAACGGCAACGGCAACAACAACAACCAACCTCCAAACAACAACCCGAACAACCCACCTCAAAACAACACCTACCCCAACATGCCGCCAAACTACAATGGCCAGTGGTCGCCTCAACCGCCAAATGGACATTACGCACAACAAGTAAGTTGCTTCTAAACTCAAGCCGGGCTGCTGCAGCGCGCCAAGAGCCGTGACCAGCTCTACGTTCCACAGCGTGCTCGCTCGCTTCCACTTTTCGACCTTGATTTCTGAACCCTGCCTGCTTGCTCCGCTGCTCCATTACCTTCATCATAATCACCGCGAACACCAACAACTTCCCCCGATCCCTCGTCGCATTCCACCCACGCATACACAACACCCACCACCATGGGCGGCACTGCTATTGATCCCGCACTGTCCTCGGAAGACATCACTGAAAACAATACTGACCAAGATGGCGAGCAGCTTCCACCCGGCACGCAGCCAGGCCATCCAGGCCAGCCAGCCCAGACAGTTCTCCCACAACCCGTGCTGCACAACGCACCAGACCCATACCGACTTCCTCCAGTCTTCGCGACAGGCTATCCGCAGCAGCCGCCACAGATGGGAGGCTATCCTCCAGCTCAGCCCGCCCCTCGCCAGCGTACTGCCATCGCGTGCCACTACTGTCGGAGACGCAAGGTATGTACTGCAAACGCCTCGGGGCAAAAGTTGCGTAACTGACGAGGCGACCACAGATTCGCTGCTCTGGTTTCGATCAGTCTGAGGACGGCCGCTGCACCAACTGCGTGCGCTTCTCGCAAGAGTGCATCTTCACTCCCGTGAGCGCCCAGACTCAGGCATTCGTCCCGGCGCATGCGCTGTATCGGGGCCAGAACGCACCCGCCAACCAGCCGCTGTATGGCGCATACGGCCAGCCTCTCCCACCGCATGCGAATCGCGACCAGCAGCAATACCAACCTCAGCAGCAGCAACCGGGCCAATATCCTCCCACGCCGCAGGGCTACCAGCAGCCGCCCATGTATCCGCAGCAGCCTCCTCAAGGCGCTCCTCAGATGCAAGGTACGAATTCTGACGCCGGTCGCAAGCGGCCAAACGACGAGCCACACACACCTACCCTTCCGCCACCCAACCCGGGCGCGCACGCGCAAATGCCTCAGCATCGTGGTCCAGGTGGTGACGGGTACAGCTACCCCGATCCATCTGGTCATCCTCCTGCTGGTGCGTCGCCCGCTTCTTCTACCACCTCTTATCCCTATCCTCCCCAGCCATACTACACCCAGCCCATGGCCCAGGCGCGTCGTGCGTCGCCGCAGAGCGCGTACTCGTACGACGGCTCGCGTGCGTCCTCGTCGCCGCACACGCTTGGGCCTCCAGGCACTCCCAACAGTTTCCATCACCACCCTGGCATGCCGTTGTCTCGTGATGGTCGCGCCCCTCCGACTTCCGCTGCGGCGAATGTGCAACGTTCCGGCGTCAAGATCAACGATCTCGTTGGCCAGGCGAAGCTGGAAGGGCGCACCTTTACGGACAACAGCATGGTCCAGGCTCTCAACCGCGGGCCAAAGTAGCAGAAGGAAGCTGACTCGTTCAGCAGAACACGACGCCAATGGCAACGTCGCGAAAGAGGCGGGTCGGAAGAACAACACGAGGGATATTGGCGTTCAGGCGAACCTTTCGACTCCGCCAAAGGAGCGGGACTCCAGAAAAGACGGATGAGCTGCGATGAGGATAAGGAGACATCGGATGGGCGTTCTTGGGGCACTGCGTCTGGCTGTCAAAGGTCAGTGCGGCCACGGGCAATGCTCTGCAGATGGCTCAGACATTCTGGTCCGGCAGCAGAGGCAATGCCGGTGGGTTTGATAATGGGAGCACGATACCCTCGGCGTTGCGGGATACGGTGCGAAAGTACATGCTTTTCAGTGCGAAGGCGTTTTTGTTTTCGACTGCTGCGGATTCTGGGTGGCTTGCGTGTCGATTTTTCCATCAGCAAAAAACAGTGCGCGCCTTGATGCGACTGTCTCTACAGCAGCAATCAGCATTGGGAGGCTTTCTTTTTTGCTTTGTTTTTTTAATGATGTTCTTTCTGCGGCAAACGACATGGGGAAAAAGACAGAGCGCGGCTCTCTTCTGGCAACGGGGTATGTGGTAAATAGCAAGTCGGTATCATGGAGTGTGGCCTGTATGCCAATATTTGAAAAGTTTCCGCAGACCATCTGTCGTCTTCTGGCTGTGAGTGAGTTGGGATTCGAAGAAGAAGTGAAGTTGGGAAGAAGAAATGAAGTCAACTGAAGGCTTTCGTTCCCGCCCGTCCTTCGACGGACCGTTCCAGCAGATGGCTTCTTGGACTTCGCACGTTTTTTGCTTTCGCGGGCGGCTACGTTTGTGAAATGCACGATTCGGACGGCTCGGGGCGAGGGGACTGTTGGAGAGGACGGGAGACTTGACGGGAGCGGGTGTTGGTTGGGGATTGGACTGGACTGGACTGGCTTGTGATGAGGAAGTGATGACAACAACGATGAGCATGAGTATGATGGTGAAATATACGAGTCGCAATGTTCCTTTTTGGGCGTTGTGGATTTGTCTATTTCGTCTCTACGTATGTGGGGAGGGCTTCTTGTTTGGTGGATTGTGATGGTTCTGCCGCTTATTCCTGGTACTGGCAAACAATGCTGGATGGGATTGTTGGGATTCATGTATGGTTTTCTCTCGTGACGTGCGTGCTTCGTGAAAGTGACAAGTAAAGGAGGAAGATGTCTGTTAAGTTGGTGAGATATTGGTTTTGGTATGCATACCTACTGTCACCACTGTCATTGAAATGCGCTGCCTGAGTGACGGAGGGAGTGAGTGAAGCCTTCTGGGCCTTTCTTCTGTCTTGAATAGAATGCAATCCGTCAGGGGTTTGCAGCAGCTCTCTGCGCTTCTCCCTCGTGCCTGATCCACTCTCTCCTTTTCGTTCTCCATATACTCCCATCATGAGCCGGCCCTCCCTCAGCCGTTCCAAGCACCTTTCTTGAGTGCGAGATCCTGCATACTGTCGAGAAGTCGACCTCCCAATGAAGACGTCCGACACTCCATTCCCTTTGAATTCGGCATCCACCTATTCACGATTTCGGGCGTTTTGGCTGAAGAAAGCTGAGTGATCTGCCGTCCTGGCGTCTTGATCGTTTGGTTCTGCTTGGTTGAGCTCATGCTGATGTGACAGTAATCGGAAGTCCTGTGTAGCTCATTAAAGGTCCCCGTGGGCAAATGCTAGTTGGGGGTGAGGGTAGCATTGTGATGCAAACTGTATCTTCGGCTCTAATATAGTCAATATTGAGAACCTCTTCTCGCGGATATTGATCAGCCATCATATGGAATGGATTCATGATTCTGATCTCATGTGGAGATGTTGACTTCTGTTAGTCCCCTCATACTCATCCCATCAGGCTCATCTGCGTGCTGTCAATGCGGACGGGCTAAAAAAACTTGAACTGTAATTGAACTCCGGCTACCTGCGGTATCACAAGAGCGCCTCAACGCCCCTAGCCAAAGTCTTCCACACCAAACGTAACAGGTGCTGCTCTTCTCCACACGCATGGTATCGGCTGATCTGGACTCAATGCTCAAAAGGAAGTGGTCGTGTCGATGAAATGGATGTCATGTCTCCGTTGCCTGCCGTGATAGCATCGCCTAGCAGTTGCATCCTCCTGGTCCACCGGCACCTGATCCTGGCTCCGTCCGTGATCCCAGATCGACACCCGCTGATCTGCCAGCAGCTCCTCTCATACCGCGCTGACTTGCCTGTTCTATCGGTAGCTTCTTCGCAATCGCAGTGAACAGCTCCTTGACGTTTTCAGCGGTTTTGGCACTCGTTTCGAAGAAGAGCAGGTTGGCCTCTTTTGCGTATGCCTCAGCATCTGCGGTTGGAACGGCGCGCTTGTCAGGTTGCTCGGCGACAAGATCGGCTTTGTTGCCAGCCAGTGCGATGATAATGTTCTCGTTGGCTTGTCGCTGCAGCTCCTTCACCCATGCCTTGGCCTTGTCTAATGAGCTCTGCTCGAGTATTAGCCCACGTCCACTTCTTCTAGACTCCAATCAACTCCACTCACCGCCTGTGTTATATCGTAGACCACCACCGCACAGTTTGCGTTTCTGTAGTACATGGGCGCCAGTGATTTGTATCGCTCTTGGCCTGCAGTATCCCAAATCTCGAACTTTACTGTGGTCTGCTCATCTAGGGCAATCGTCTGCGTGAGGAAGGCGGCGCCGATGGTGGATTCTCTGTAGTCATCGAATTGGTCCTGCATCGAAAGTCAGATACTGATAGGCAGCTGTATGGCTTTGCTGGGGGACTATCACACCTTTACGAAGCGGAGAACGAGCGAGCTCTTTCCGACGGCCGACTCTCCTGCCATCAATCAGTCTCATGTGATATATCTGTACTTCTAGACCATGCGCATACCGAGTAACACCAGCTTGAACTGGGCAAAGCGAGCGCCTCCGGGACGGCCGCCTTGCTGCACTCTTGACGCCATCAAAGTGTGCTGATATGGGTTGCAGACGAGGTTTGAGGTGGTGCGCTCGGCGAGGGGTGGGTGTTGTAGGCGGGTTTGCTGGTTGTTGTGGTGCAAGATGTGTGGTAGCGGTTGCTATGATTGATTGTGGCCTGGTCTCGTTTGGCGGCTCGACAACCGATCTGGATCACCTGACCAACGTCATCAGCTGCTGCTGCCGCGTCTCCCAACACGCCAAGACATCAAGCTGTCCTGTCCTACAGCGAGCACCCTTGCTGCTGATTCAGACTCTATCTCGACCACTTCACCTTGGACGACCTCCCTTTTGTGAAGCCGATACCTACACTTCGGCCAGTAGTTGCGCCCACCATGAGCGCGACTCTCCCGTTCCGAGACATCAACGTACACGCGTCCTCGACTTACTACGCCTTCTCCTCGCCATCGTCACCCAATGCTCCAACTCTTGTGGTAGACCGGCCATCTGGCGATCTCAGACTCAACGATGGCAAGCTCACCGGAGGCCACCGTGTGTCCAGCATCTCCGGGATTCTGGGTATCATCAAGTTGCGGCTAGGTATGGATACCCGGTTGTGGCGAGGACCAACTATTGATCATAGTGCTGAACTGTACTCGTTTAGATAGCTACGTGATCATCATCACCAAGTCGCAACCAGTTGGTCGACTGAAGGGCCATCAAATCTACAAAGTCATTTCGACCGAGTTCTTGCCTCTGCGCGAACGTCAGATCCATGATCCAGATGAGGACACCTACCTCAATTACCTGAAAACTCTCATGAAGACTGGACCTATGTACTTTTCCTATTCGTTCGACTTGACCAACAGCTTCCAGCGCCAGGCACAAAGCGATGCCAATGAGCCCTTGTGGCAACGAGCGGACGATCGCTTTTACTGGAATCGATTCGTCTGTTCTTCTCTCATCGACTTCCGAATAGGCAAGACACCCGGGAGACTGTCCTCGGCACCTCAACCTGCGGTTGATCCATACATCTTACCTATCATGTATGGCATGATGAGCATTACCAACACATCGATCAAAGGCAATGCTCTTACTTTTGTACTCATCACACGACGCTCCAGGCATAGAACAGGCACACGATACCTCTCGCGCGGAATTGATGAGCAAGGTCATGTGTCGAATTTCAACGAGACCGAACAGGGCATCATTCTCAACGACAACGCATCGAGTGGCATGACGAGCTTCGCTGGCGATCAAGGCTTCATGAACGGCAAGCCTGTCAGCGGACCTGAGACCCAAGTACTGTCCTATGTGCAGACCCGCGGCAGTGTTCCAGTTTTCTGGGCTGAGGTGAACACCTTGCACTATACTCCTAAGCTACAGATTCGTGGTGTGGAGACTGCGGCAAATGCAGCTCGAAAGCACTTTGACGAGCAGATCTCGCTGTACGGCGAGAATTATATGGTCAATCTGGTCAACCAGAAGGGCCGTGAGATGAGAGTTAAGGATGCTTACGAGCAGCTGGTCAAAACTCTACAATCAGCACCGCGAGAAATAACAGAAGCAGACCGCAAGACGAACGAAAAGTTCAACGTCATTGAGCCGACCGACAAGAAGAGTTGGTATGACCACCTCCACTACATCTACTTCGACTTCCACAATGAGACCAAAGGATTGAAATGGCACAGAGCGCAGTTGCTGCTCGATCAACTCAAGGATGGCCTTACAGCTGGAGGCTACTTTCACGGTATCGACATGCCTTCGGGTGGCATCGATGTTCGGAGAAAGCAAACGGCTGTTGTGAGGACAAACTGTATGGACTGCCTCGACCGCACGAATGTGGTACAGTCCATGCTCGGTCGGTGGACACTCACACGCATGCTCATCGATTTGGGCGTGCTAAGACCAGGCGAGACAGCGCAAGATGACCAAACCTTCGAGCACCTCTTCCGCAACGTGTGGGCAGATAATGCGGACGTTGTTTCGAAGACTTACTCTGGCACAGGTGCCTTGAAGACGGACTTTACTCGCACAGGCAATCGCACCAGAGCCGGAATGCTGCAAGATTTGAACAACAGCTGCACGCGATATGTGCGTAACAACTTCGCTGACGGGCCCAGACAAGATGCCTTCGACCTCTTCCTCGGTGCATATTCCCCAGACGCTGCCGGAATCGGATCAGCACATCAATTCGCAGATCGACGACCGCTCGTCATTCAAGCTGTGCCATATGTGCTGGGCTTCTGCGTATTCTTTGTCGTAATCAGTGTGAGCACCAATCGCTTGCCAGATTCGACCATCTGGCCGCTGCGATTGTTCACGCTGTTCAGTCTCGCAGTTGCTGGATATGCAGGCCGGTTCATGTGGACGTATGGAACTCTATATGTAAGTCATGCACCATCCACAACATCACCTTCATTCCGCTAACGTAGGATGTGCTAGGTCAACTGGCCCAAGCTGAACACGCCTCAGTGGGCGGTCGAAGCATACCAAGACACGCTCGACAAAGTCACCAAGGACCCTCTCATCGGTGCTCTCGTCGGTGGAGGCAAGACTGATGCTCGTCTCGGTATTCTGGAGGAGGGCAAGAAGAGGAGAGAGTGAAAAATTGCATTCTATTTCACGCATTGCGTCTTGTATGAGTTTTGTAACACAGGTCTTGAGGAGGATGCAAATAGTATAGATTACCTGCTTTTGATCGAGCATTAATTGGATCCGGCACACAGGTCCCAAAGGCGTAGCGAGGTGCGTCTTCTCATAATACAGAACAGCCTTTTGCCTATCGTTCAACAAGATGCCGTGGGCATTCTCTCATTGGGTATCGACATGTTCGTATAAGTCTATCGATTCTGCGACGACGATGCCTGTGCTCTGAGCTCCTCAAAGAAGACCGTGGCTATTTTGCAGAACAGTAGTCGTCTCGTCTGCCTCAACAAAGCATCCCCAAAAAAATCAAAAGCAGAAATTCTCGACTTCATATCAACTTATCCAGCCTGCCCATCATATCTGGTTCTTCCTGCTGCTAACATTTGCCATTGCAAAACTTTTCCCAACGCAAAATGAGCTCCTGAACACGCTCGTGATAGCCTTGAATTTGTGTACTGCAGCAAAAACGCCAAAAATTGGACTAGCCCGGAGTCGAACCGGGAACCTTCTCCATCTTAACATGAGCGCCCGTGAGGTTACTCAGGTGCTAAGAAGATGTCATACCGCTAGACCACAAGCCCTGGAAGGTTGTATCGAACTCAGGCGTACGATATGTCACGGGGAGAAATGAAAAACAAAAGAAGGTAATTTTCAAAAATCTGACCCAATCGGGCCGAACGACGATCACAGGTTGTGTTGCCCTGGCTTTTTTGGGTCCTTTTCGCCGTGTAGATGCCGCTGGACAGATGGATTAGCTTCTACCTGGAATTGTAGTAGATGATATGATGAAGTTTTCTTGGGAAGCCTGATATGAGACTCGCAGCCTTGGAACGGCGAATGGCGACGATATCGTGACAACGGAATGCTCTGGCTGCTTTACTAGTAGGAAGGAACATTTATGCAAAGCATTGGAGCTGTTTGCTACGATTCAAACGTTACCCGCATGCCGCATTGATCACGGTAATGGCGGAAAGCTGCATGGTTCGTGTCAATCGCCGCTTTGCGAGGACTTCGTTCGCCGACATTGCGTGTGAGACGGCGACAGCATGGCACCAAAGGTACTCATCCCAGTGGCATGCAATGCGTGCGGCAAGAAGATAGGTCCAGGTTGTGGCAGGCTGTTCCTTTCTACAAGCCGTAACGAAATGTCTGCCATTCGGTCGAAGGGTGATAAGAACGCATGCTGATTGGGTTGCCAACGAAGGTCATGATGTCCATACTTTTGTACTGTCCACGAGGAGCGGCTTCGACTGAACAGAGCAGAACGCACAGACAGCCTGCAGTGCCTGATGTTCGATAGCGGTCTGAGATATTCGGCTTGGAGTTCATCTGAAAGTCTTCTGATGCTCTTCCAATTTCAACATGCAGCTTCTTGCAGTTGCACGCCCACTGTAACTTATCAGCAGACTGTCATATCTCAACGCCAACTCAACGAAATGCCCACTCATCTTGCCCTCTTCTACAAGCACATGAACTTTAAGATCTCAAAAGATAAAATCTCAAGCAAACCCATCGTTGTACACACCGACCTGCTTTTCGACAATACACTAGGGTATATACACATCCCATCCCATCCCATCTCTCCCTCCGCAACAATCTACCTCCCCGCCTTCTGGATAAAAGCCTGCTCCAACTTGCCCACCTGCACCTTGAACTGCTCCACCTCCTGCCAGCAATCCAGCGGCCTCCGATCATTCGTCCGTAAACACTGCACGAGACTCTCCTTCGCCTTCTCCACTTCCACTGGCACCTGCTCCACCTTCTTGCGCGCGTCTAGCTTCGCTCTCAAATCCATGATCTCTTTCTCCACGCTGTCGTGGCTGCGGCCGGAGTCGGTGTTGGCGGGGGTGTCGAGTTTGGTGGTGGAGTCGTGGTAGAAGGGGGAGCTGAGGTGATAGGCGAGGCCGGTGGTTGCGCGCTGGGGCTCGGCGGATGGGGAGTCTTCTTTGGGTGGGTTGGTGGTGAGGGAGGCGGTCAGGGACTCGAGTTTTTGGGCTTGGGCGTCGCGGATTCGTTTGAGCTCCGAGTTGACGCGGTCTTGAACTTTGAGCTCGAGGTCTTGGGCGCGGGTTGAGTCGGTCTAGAATTTCATATGAGTGATGAGTTCGGTGATTCTGTGGGGAGCTCTCCGTACCTCAGGGCTGTTCTGGAGGTTGTTTATGACGGACTGGCTTAACCGCACCGGGGCGTCTCTGGTCGCTCGTCAGTATGGGATATCCAATGGCTCATATGGTGGATGACATACGCATTAAATATGTGCTGCTCCGGCTTGGACCCGCCGTTGCCCATGCTTCGTCCTGGTATGGGTGTTGCGACAGAGAGTAGTCGGAACGTTGAAGCTGTTTCTTGCTCTGCTGCTGCTGGTTCCTGCATTGCCCGGCCGCGGATCCGAAGATTTTCCGAGCGGACTTCACCTCGACCACGTCAATTGAAGAGCACGCGTTTCAAACCACAACACGACAAACATGACTTGCGTGAGAGATGCCTCAGTCTTCTCTTATGACATGGCTGAACAAACCCAATACTGTCCGTGAACCGCCGCCGCAATCCAACAACACGCCTCAACACGCCGCCGCTTTACCATCTAAGGACAAGGCAATCGATCAAGATGTCGCCAACGAAAAGAAACAAACCTTGGCCACGACTCCCAATATGACCCCCCTACCACCAAATGTCGAACTCCGCCCCTGCACCAAAGACGACATCCCCCACCTAAAACGCCTCATCAGCCTGCTCCTCCCAATCCCCTACTCAGACAAATTCTTCCGAGAAATCATCGAGGACCCCTTGATAAACAACATAACCCTCCTAGCACTCTGGCACGACGACGTCTCCCTGAAAGCCGCACAAAAATGCCGCCTGGTCGGCGCAATCAGATGCAGACTTCTCGCCCACCCTCCCTCACCATCGCAAACCGACGGACCGATGCTCTACCTCAGCACGCTGGCATTACTCTCCCCCTACCGCGGACATGGAATCGCGGCACATCTCCTGCATACGCTGACGAGGCGTGCGATTGAGGATTATGGGATCTCGAGCGTCGGGGCGCATGTGTGGGAGGCGAATGAACTGGGGTTGGAGTGGTATCGGAAACGGGGGTTCAGGGAGGTGGGGAGGGAGGAGGGGTATTATCGAAGGTTGGAGCCGAAGGGGGCGGTTGTTATGCAGAGGGATGTGAGTGTGATGGATTTGTTGGGGAAGGGATGAGGGTCTGTTGGTGGGAGGATGGGATTGATGAATGGCCACCTTGTGTGCGGAGTCTGAAATGGTGCTGCTGTCAACATAGGCTTGTCGGCTTTGATGAGGATGGTCTCGGCCTGCTCGGATGGTGGACCTGAGAAAGGCCATCAGCTGGTGTCAAACTCGGTTGAACCAGAGGCAACTATGTTGAAGGAAACGCAGACCACACCGTCAACACCATTGGAGCCTTAGCTGAGAATGGGGCCAGATAACAACAACACCGCAAGACGAAAGTGGAATAACAACGTCCAGGCATGCGTCTTCGTTTAAATGATACGATGATGCCCCGATCACGAGAGACTATAAGAAGCAAGCCCTGTCCTCTCGCACTCACTGATTCCCCTGCCCCACAACATCCACATCCGCAACAAACTGCTCCAAAACCGTCGGAAACGCCGCAAACGTACTCAAATCATTCACATACAGCCCCGCAACCCCCTCCCCATCCTCGACACTCAACAAATCCTGCACATCCTCCGCCAACCTCTCCGTCCCGGACGAATACCCATAAACAATCAACGTCGACTGGCTAGCGAAGTTCCCCTCGCCCGTCAACTGTGTGACGTTGACGGTCCGGAGCGCCGCCTCGTTGTTCTCGAAGACGTTGATGTAGTCTGCGATGTCCCAGTACCCGGTCTCCTGAATTGCCACGCCGGTGTTGAAGAGCGCCGTGCTGCCGCGCGTGAGGGTTTGTTTGGCGTACGAGGTGATCTGGCGCATGTAGTCGAGGCAGGTGCTGTTGGAGGGGGACTCGTCGTAGAAGATCCCGTCAATATGGATGTCCTTGTTGTTGTTGTTCGAGCATCCTGCCGTTGGCCAGTTTTGGTAAGTCGAAATGTTGGCCTGCAGGGCGGATTGGGGCTGGGTGCAAACGCAGATGGCTTGGCCGTTGCTACCGCAGGTCGAGGAGGCTGCCGTGTGGATGTAGCCGAGGGTTTTGATGTTGGAGATGGAGTTGAGGGTTGCGATGGCGTTGATGTAGTTTGTGTCGTTGCCGTTGGGGCAGGCACCTGCGCCGGGGCCGGAGTTGGGGTTGACGATGACTTGGAAGGTTACGTTTGGGTGGTTTTGGGCGGCATTGTAGAGGGGTTGCCAGGTTGTTGGGGATTCGGGGTAGATGTAGAGTGGGACTTGGAAGTCAGTCAGTCATTGTGTGCTGTATGGCAGATAGGTAGTTGCTACAATTCAGACTTACTGAGGACGAAAGCGTAGTTGACCATCTTGAGAGGGGATGAGAATGTTTGTTGAGTTTGATTTTGGATACATTTCTCTTTTAGAGGAGACTTCTCTGTTTATACACTTCGACCCGTTCAGCTCCGCCACAATGTTGCACCATCTCAATGGTTTGTCGCTAGCCTTCAGCTGCCCAGCTTAAGCTGAAAGTAGCCAAAGCGCACAATCTAGTTAGTAAAACCAAGCTTGCACTGGAATGGACACCGACAACACAGATGACACCCTCGTGGTCCGATGAGTTGGCCAGCATTCGAGCAGACCGTGAAGAAGCTCGCGAACTGCTTCGGGATCGTCCTTCGTGCGTCTTTAGAACCGATTCTCAGCTTACACGTGAGAACGGCACTAGTTTCTGTGGTTGTTGGCTTTAACTCTTGCGGGGCGTCCTAGTTGTACTGGGTTTTTTGCCCCTGTTGTGGACTGTGAGGTAGGGTTCAATCCCGAATGAATATTCTTTAGGTTAACAACTCGCTCAAGCGCCTGACATGCGCTGGAGCCAGCTCCACACGCTTTGCTTTTGGTCGGGGTCGATGTTGATAAGTTTCTGCAAGGGTTTGCCTTCGTCGAGAAGGGAGCATCCCTGAAGGTCGACCTTGAAGTTGCCATTGCCTTCAATGCGAACGTAAGCCATCGATTCACGCAGCCACATACGCCCGATGTCTCGCTTAAATGCAGGCCATGCATTTACGAGCGACTTGTTGAACGATGAGAGCCGACTCAGCACGCCGCCGTTGTGTGAAGCATCCTGAGATTTCGACAAATAGCTCTCAGTAAAGGCTTTCGCTTCTGAAAGTGGAACGTTGTGTATCTTGACATTCGTCGAGGCACTAGAAATGCCACGATCCAGCACCACCTTCGACACCGGCGTCTCCATGATGTCTGGCTTCATGAACGGTAATTTCCTCTTCACCTCGAAGCGGAGGATCCGTCCACCGTTCTGTGTGACAATGGCAATGGATTTGATCATCTTCATTGGAGCTAAGATGAAAGTCGTTCCAATTATGGCAAAGAAGAAAGCAGGCAATGCTGCTGTGGCTTTCGCCCACCATTTCAACTTTGGCTTGCCGGGCTCGTCCTTTATGAATGTCACTGTTGCGAGGTATCCCCCTACCACGAAGATGGAACCAGCGATGTATGACATCGCAAAGAAGCTGCCATGTCGTGGGGCGGTGTAGAGAAGAACCCTTTCGAGATTGGGGGCGATCGTGTTGATTCTTGATAGAACGGCCGAGCCTCTTGAGTGGACCGGTGTAGGCTGCGGCGGCGTGGAGGGACCTTTTGGGCTCGAACGGGCTGGTAAAGGTTGTGATGAAGGCGCCGGATATTGACCGGAAGACTTCTTCGCTGACTTGGGGCCATTCCGTGGCGGGGGGGAATTCTTGGTGGATGCGAATATCCTGGATGAGGAAGTCTTGATGAAGGAGCATTGGCCGTTAGATGCGAACCGTGCAGAGCGGCCTGATAGTATCGAATGCCTCAGGCTGGCCGGCAACCTCAGCAGGAGTCGTATGTTTGATGCCATTGGCGATGCTGCCATCCTCTTCCGATAGTGACACGTGAAGACGCGTGCAGGAGACAAAAAGTTGCGGGCGGAGGTGCTGCAGTCAATTCGGGCCGCGTGCAACGTTCCCACCCGACCTCCGGACTTCTCATCCCAACAAGAATAGCTCTCACCTTTTCCCGACGACAATACCTGGGAAGGCCTCACTCTTCACCGCACATTTGAGCAGTCATTGCAATTGTAGCCAGTCTGCGCAGCAATGGCGGGCGTCGTCAACACTGCGCGGCTTTCAGCCCGCATTGCAAGCAGATATGCTCCGCGATATGTCTCCCGCAGAGGTACGGACAACAAGAACAACCATGAGGAGGAGGACCGCGATTAACATCAATCCCAGGCTTTCAAGTCTCTGCGCAGGACCGAGCTGCCCAAAACTACCCAATGCCCGCCCTCTCCCCCACAATGACCGAAGGAAACATTGCGAACTGGAAGCTCAAGGAGGGGGACTCCTTCTCCGCCGGAGATGTTCTGCTAGAGATTGAGACAGACAAGGCGACAATGGACGTGGAGGCGCAGGACGACGGTATTCTCATGAAGATCACCAAGCAGGATGGGTCCAAGGGTGTCAAAGTCGGCGAACGGATAGCAGTGACTGCGGAGCTGGGCGACGACGTGAGCAGCTTGGAATTGCCCGCAGATGACAGCAGTCCGAGTCAGGGACAGAAAGATGCCAAAGGCGCACAACAGGGAGATGAAGAGGCGAATGTGAAGGAGACGCAGGAGAAGGCGCCTGAGAGACAACAAGAACCGCAACAAACGTCTCAGAGCGATGCGAAGCAGGGTGGTACGGCGCAGAAGCAGAAGTACCCACTCTATCCATCAGTGGAGCATATTCTACACCAGAATGGCCTGTCTGCCGCGGATGCAGAGAACATTCCTGCAACTGGCCCGCTGGGACGACTACTGAAGGGAGACGTGTTGGCATACTTGGGCAAGATCAACAAGGAATACCCTGCGCAGTCATCTGCTCGATTGGAGAAGCTTTCGCACCTAGACCTCTCGAACATTCAACTTGCGAAGAAAGCAGAGACCAAGCCTGAGCAGACTAAGCAGCAAGAAGCTGCTGTCGAGGAGCCCATACAAGCAACCGAAATCGCCATCCCCATCAGCCTCTCCTCCGTCATCGCTACCCAGAAGCGAGTGCAAGACTCTCTCGGCATCTTCCTCCCGTTGTCGACTTTCATCGCTCGCGCTTCGGAACTCGCCAATGACGACCTCCCCGTCAACAAGAACCGGAAACCGACTGCAGACGACCTCTTCAATGCTGTTCTTGGTCTTGACCAAATACCAAAGAGCAGCAGAGGCCACTATTTCCCCAACATCACTGGTATCACGCCAGCTCCTATCCCAGCCAGGTCGACTAAGAAGCCGGACATCATCGACTTCCTCGCACCAAAGAAGGCCAAGACACCAAAGCCTGTAATTCCAGTAGCCCCAGGGATCTCGGCCACGAACAATATCTTCTCTATCGTTGCGGAGGCTGGTGAGGAGGCTCAGGCTACTGAGTATCTCGAGCGAATGAAGCTCGCTTTGGAGCAGGAGCCCGGCAGGCTGGTATTGTAGATAAGTCCGGATCGTGTCGTGTTATGGAGGAGCATGAAGCGTGGAGTTTGGGTAAAGCGTATAGTCCGTCGACAGCTCGAGAGCGTGTAACATAGCGCAGTCCAGCAAGCATTCTTCTTTACTCCATCACAACCATCATCCGTCTCCATCCCCACCATCTGTCGTAAGATTGTCATATCCTGTCCCTCATTATATCATTATTCAACGCCATCCACCTACCCCTCATTATATCATTATTCAACGCCATCCACCTACTCGCCCTTCATCCCAACGACTCTTCCTCTCCCTCCTCAGAAACGCAACCTTCCTCGCCTCCTTCACCCTCCTCACGAAATCCCCAACTTCCCTATCAGACGCCACGCCATCCTCCTCCAACCAGCTCTCCTCCACGCCCCTCACGAGCAACTCCTGCTCTTGCACACTCGCATTCAGCCTCTGATACAGCGCCATCGGACTGAAATCCCGCAACGCATCCTCCGTCTCACTGATCTTCGTCCTGTGCTGCTGTTCCAGCGCTCGCAGAGCTAGGAGTCGCGATTGTGTTCGTTCGCGAAGGCTGCTGAGTCGAGTCTCTAGTTCCAGTGCTGAGATTGCGAGGGCGAGATTCGAGTTTATCAAGGGTGTGAGGTAGGCTTCTGAGGCGGGGATCGCAGGATGGGTTGTTTCTGGGTTGGAGAGGTAGGCGGTTTGTAAGGCGGGCGTGGAGAGGAAGTGGTGCAGGTCGCCGGTGGTTTTGTCTTTGAGAGCTGAAGGGAGCCAGTTGGTTTCGATTGCGGGGATGGAGGGTTGGACCTGGGTTTGGTGGTGCGGTTGCTGGGGAAATGGTTGGCTGCCGTCAAGTTCGGAGGGTTCGTTGGGTGGTGGTGGGAGGGGAGGGCCTCTGGAGGGAGTTGAGGAGCCGCAGGGTTTGGGTGGTGGTGCGGGCGGGGTGGAGGAGTAGATTGGTGTGGCCTGGGGTTGAGGCGAGTAGATGTGCGGTGTGTAGGACATTGTTGTGGTTGTCACATGTTGGAGGGGAAGAAGTGTGGTTAGGTTAGCTTGGACTGAGTGAGTGAGTAAGGTCCAGGCATCCCCACATGGCTGACGACGGTGTTCCTTGCAGCTCGGTACAACCACCTCTGCACTTCACATCCTCGTTTCGAACTTGGCACTACTACACGATCTCCAAGACATGCGGCACTATCTGCGCGCCCGATAGCGAAAACTGCAATGCGGCGTCGTAAGAAACATTGACAGCGCGTGTACACCCCCGACATCGACCAACCAGCCACGAAATTGCAATTATGAGCTCCCAGAAGAAGGGAGGAGGATGGGGCTCCGTCTTCTCCAGTGCAATCACCAATCTAGAATCGCGTCTAGATACGATCCTCGCCGATGAGAACGAAATCGCCGCGAAAGAGCGCGCCTCTGAGCAAGCCAAAGCCAACAGACCGCGAACGAACTCTGGCCGTCTCGGGGCTCCTTCTTCGAATGTGTCCGCTTCAGGTTCTAGAGACGCCTCCAGGACCAGGGTCAACGATCGATTGGCCGAGCGATTGGCGAAAGCGACGGAGAAGAGGGCTCCATCGAGGACATCTACACCAGCGAACGATGCGGACAGTCTCAGGAGCAGCGGTGAGGTAAAGCGTTCATTGGAAGCACCGAGATCTGTACCAGACATAGAGGTCGAGAAGCCTACGGTGAGCGAGACAGAAGCTCAGAACCAAGAGGCTATTAAGGAAGACGAGGACAAGGCGGCCGGTGAAGAGGTTGGAACGCTTTCCGCTTCGGCGCTTCCAATCAACCCTGCACGAGTCTCTGTCGAAAGCTCGCGGCCTTCGATTGAGGTCTCGCCTGAAGAGCTATCCTCGCGACCTTCGTCTGATGTTCCCAATGGGAGTAAGGATTCAAATGAGATTCAGGCCGAGATGAATCAGATGCAGTCCGATTACCAGAAAGCTGAGACTCAACGACAAGAGGAGATGCATGTGTATCTGGAGAGGATAGATGCCCTGCAAGCCAAACTCACATACCTAGCGAAGGAGACTGTGGCTGCTGCAAAGGAGGCGAATGCTTCTGCTTCGTCGGGAAGCCTTGAAAAGCAATTGGCCGAAAAAGATGAGAAGATTGCGTTGCTGATGGAGGAGGGCGAGAAGCTGAGCAAGACTGAGATGAAACATTTGCAAACGATCAAAAAGCTTCGTGCGAAGGGTACAGAAGATGAAAAGACCCAGAGTGAGCTCAAGAAGAAATTGGAGCGAGTTGAGAAGTCAGAATCAGATCTGAAAGCAAAGCTACGGAAAGCGGAAGTTGGAGAAAGGCAGGCGAACGAGAAGTCGAGACAAGTCGCAGGTATTGAGAAGCAAGTCGAAGAATTACGCGTGGATCGTGAGAACGCTGCAGAATTGGTACGGAACTTGACGACACAGCTCAAGGAAGCCAAAGAGAAAGCTGCGAAGGCTGAGAATGATGCTGCAAGCAAGGCTTCAGAGGTTGAAAAGGGCATAATTGCAGATCTGGAAAATGAGCTCGAGGATGCTCAAATCGAGAAGAAACTTGCCGAGGACAGAGCAGTTGCAGAGATCAGCAAGACGAAGGAGGAAGCACAGCGGCAGTTGGAGCGTTTCAATGTGCGGGAGTTCGAGTTGAAGAATGAGATTTCGGGATTGGAGTCTCGTGTTGAAGCTATGCGAGCAAGAGCAGAAGAGGCGAGTGCTAGCTCTGGAGGTGGTGGCGAAGGCGAGAGCAGTGTCAAGCTATTGCGGCAAGTCGAAACCCTCCAGCAGCAGTATGCTCTCGCGAAGGGCAATTGGGAAACGATTGAGGGTTCACTTAACGCTCGAGTTGCAGCGCTGGAGAAGGAGAGGGATGAGGCGAGCAAGCGTGAGAGTGACGCGAGGAAGAAGGCGAGAGAAGTCGGAACCAAATCCCGAAAGGCTGAAGAGGAGTTGGAGAGTCTGACCGATAAGATGAAGTCCTTGGAACAGGACCTGAGAAATCAGCAGGAACAAGTCAATACATTGACTGCCAGACTCGAACAAGCTGAAACAGCTCGTTCTGACGCAAAGGCTGATCTGGAAAGACAACGGAAAGTGTGGGATGCTGAGATCTCACAGCGTGTGGAAGAGGAGAAGCTGAGATGGAGGCGAGAACTGGGTTCTGGTGCGAACGTCCTGGGCTCACCTCGTGCTGAGTCGCATGCTACATTTGCACGGAAGGGCTCAGGAACGGACATCGCCCAACGCAAGACGTTCTCCAGGCTGGCTTCTCACGATCTCAGCGCACTCCACACAGATCGACCATCGAGCCGACGCAGCTCAGTCATGCCTACGCCTACGCCGTCATCTGCTCGTGCTTTGGCAACTTCCAATGAGCCTTCGCCGTCGATAAGTCGGCTGGAGTCAACACTCTCATTCGAGCACCACAACATGCCTCCAACACCATCGATCGAGGTTGACACCCAGCGAATCAGCGAAGTCGGCGATTACGAAGACCACTCCTCTCCTCAACGCACCATCAACGACCTCGTCAGCACTTCCACCGCCGGACCCGGCGCAGGACCCTCCATCCAACTCGTCGAACGAATGTCCTCGCTAGTCCGCAAACTCGAATCCGAAAAGGCTTCCTTCAAGGACGAGCTCGGCCGTCTCAGCGCACAGCGCGACGATGCGAGGAACGAAGTCGTGGCGTTGATGAGGGAAGTTGAAGAGAAGCGCGGTGGTGAAGCCAAGACTGCCGAGTTGGAGAAGGAAATCCATGCGTTGAAGAGTCGGTATGATGCTAGTCTGGAGATGCTGGGCGAGAGGGAGGAGGAAGTGGAGGAGTTGAGGAGTGATGTTAAGGAGCTGAAGAGGATTTATCGGGAGTTGGTTGAGACGAAGGTTGGTGGTGGTGGTGGTGGTGGGAGGGAGGCGAAGTAGGGTGGTTGTTTGAAGATGTTACTTTCCTGTATGGACTTATGCTAAGCTATCCTGCTAGGCTATTCCTTACCTACTTTGCCTTCCCGCTCAAGTACTCAAATACGCAACGATGACGGTGACCGTCCCAATGGCGCCGTCTTGCTTCACCTCCGCCGCTATCGTGCTGAAGAACCGGTCCTTCGGACTCTCGCTTATTTTAATGGTCTGGGCGTTGAGATGTCCGTCTTAGGGATTGAGCTTGGCAACATCCATGGGAATCTTAAGGAAGATGTTGGCTTGGATGTTGATCTATTCCCTAGGGCTGGATCCATTTTATTCCGTCTGCTTCATAGCAATCACTTAAGGTGAGTTCCTTCTGACCTTTCGATCGTTGCATTGAGTGCTCAGATGACTGATTGATGTCGATGTAGGTGCAAGGTCAAGCTCAGCGTTGACTTCAATTGGTCTTGGGATGAGGATGTCTATGTTGTCACGTTTCAGGGTACTCAAAGATGTTCCCAGACTGAGAAGGGGACTGGGGGTCATTCTTTATCTCGAAGCAAGTTCACTATGTCGACTTCCAATTTCCCCTTGCTCGCAAACTATTAGGAAAAGTTGACAGCCTCGTACTTGGACTATCGTGGCCAGGCTTCATCTGATGCTCAACGTCGATGCCGAAGGCCACATCTGTGACATATAGCTGCTCGTTCCAAGATACATTGGGAATTGATATGGCAGCCTCATATGGCAGCCGGGGAGAGAACATTTCGACTTGTCTCTTCCACTTACCAGTATATGACAACCCTCTAAGAAGCCGAGCATGTCGTGTTCGACATCATGGCGCCCATAATCGTCTTTGAACCATGTGTGCAAAACGTTTGTCTCGACGTCACCGTCGTTCGAAGCCGTGTCCACATTTTAGAGCCTGTGGCCTGGAGATATCGTTGTAAACTAAACCGAACATGCTCTATCGTTCTGAATGAAAGTAGAATCCCTTAAAAAGAGCCGGCATCTCCATTCTAAACGGCATAGAAGGCTGCAGGGCCGAGCCTCGACCAAAAAATCTCATATCTCCAAAATTTCGATTTCCTCACCTCCTTAACGACCACCAGGTATATTAGAATGCAAAAAGAAGGCCAAGAGAGTACGACGTTGGCAGGACTCGAACCTACGCCCCCGAAGGGAATTGATTTCTAGTCAATCGCAGTAACCACTTTGCTACTGGAGAGTAAATTAGCAGGTGTATTGAGATGAAGAGATGCAGTCGAGTTCGACTCACCAACGCCTTGAAGGCCATCAACAACCGTTGATTGGATGGCAGCGGAAAATTGTAATCAAATTATGACTTCTCAAACAGCGGCGGCGTGGGTGGGGCGACACCAGAACGGCGGTGTTTAGATCTTTCGACGTGGCTTCGATTTGGGCAAGACTGCCATTGAACAGGTCAAAATTGCTGCTTCTCGCTGGCTGGCCGAGGACAGAGAGCTCTTTATCGACTGCTTTCTTCGCTTGAACCTTCGGATATGCGAGAATGATACCCTGGTAGAAAGCTACGCCTGGGCTGAGCTGCAAAAGCTAGTGCGGCTTTCCCGGAGAGGCAACTCCTGGCCTATCAAACCACGGCGGACAACACGATTGGCATATCGATATGTCTCATTCCATAATTCAACCATTCAAAGATCTGAGCCCAAATATTTGGACCATCAGGCTGTGGTGGGCATGAGATGAGGTCGACGCCCAAACTTTCGGCGCCTTGATGCCTTACCACCATATTTCTGGCCAAAGAACGTCGACACATCTAACATTCGTCGAAAGAATCAAGGGGGGACAACACAGATTGCAAGACCGGCTGCCTGAACCATCGGCGAGAAAGAAGAATGCCTCTCCCAAACATTGACCCTCCGCTGCTCAACTCAGCTTGCCCGTGGGCAACGACCAAGGAAGATCTTCAAGCTCTCTTTGACTGCGAGTCGACCGGCGCAGTCACGATCAGAACCAGCCTGCTTGATGGCTTCGATCACAACCCATCGATCCACCAGTACGCATTCTTCGATGCCAGCGATCATACTCCGCAACCCGCCAACTCCGCACATGCTACTCCCACATCCAACAGCGGAAGCCTCAACACTCTGGGCTATAGTCCAATACTCTTTTCAGAATACCTTTCAATCCTGATCAAGGTGGTTCAAGAATCCAGTCTGCCGCAACAAGTACAAGACAGTAAGCCGTTCATCGTCTCTGTCACCGGCAGCGCTCGAGCGGTAGCCGAGTGCTATCGCAAGATTCAGGGGACTCAAGCACACCTCTCGATTCCATTGTGTATGGAGATCAATCTATCTTGCCCCAACATCCCGGACAAACCGCCACCAGCGTACTCATCTTCCGCTCTTGCTGAATATCTCCACGCACTGGCTGGCATCGACACAACAGCTGGACAGCGGAGGGTAGCTATCGGGATCAAAACCCCGCCCTATACGTACCACGATCAGTATCAATCCCTCATTGATGCTCTCTTGGCTGGAAGCAGCTCAAAAGGCCCAGTCGACTTCATCACCGCTACGAATACGCTGGGATCCTGCCTCATACTCCAGGATTCCGATGGGAAGCCAGCATTGGATTCAGCATCTGGGGAGGGCATTGGCGGAATGGCAGGCGCACCTCTCCACCCGCTGTCCTTGGGCAATGTGAGGACGATACGATCAATGTTAGATCAACACGAGAAACTGAGAGACATCGATATCATTGGTGTTGGCGGAGTATGTGACAAAACGAGCTTTGATAGAATGCGATCAGTAGGTGCGTCCGTCATGGGCGTTGGAACTGCTCTTGGCAGGGAGGGTGTTCAGGTATTCGGGAAGATCACGCGAGGACTTTGAAATCATAATGTATACCACATTCAATATTCATATCAGACCTCTGGGTAGACGTCCCTGCGCTTAGTCAGCATCCTATCGACTCAATCTGCTTCGTCCGACCACTCACGTTCGTCTCAAAAGAGGCATCTGCGTCCTGATCTTGTCAAGCTTCTCAAAGTCAATCTCCGTGAGAATGAACTCAGGCTCGTCCTTCTTCTCGCCGCCAAGCTCGCCCAAAACCTCGCCCCATGGATCAATGACAATGCTATGTCCATAGCTTACTCGCTTCTCATTATGGTTGCCCACCTGCGCGGCTGCGATCACATAGCACTCGCACTCAATGGCGCGAGCTCGCAGTAACGGCAGCCAGTGCGCCTTTCCCGTTGGCACAGTAAAGGCTGATGGATAGAGCAGGATATCTGCTTGTTGGCGTTTGAGGGCGAGTGCGATCTCGGGGAATCGCAAGTCGAAGCAGATCATGGAGCCGATCCTGCCGACAGCAGTGTCGAATGGTTTGAGAATCTCGCGCCCTGGCTCTGTGGTGTTGCTTTCTTTCATGATGGGCCCATTCTTGATCTCCAGATCAAAGAGATGGATCTTGTCGAACGGATCAGCAAGTCGCTAGAATGATGAGGACGACAGACACGGCTGACCTTTTGATAACGATGAGCTATCTCCCCCTTCTCATCGATCCAGATTAAAGTGTTCTTGATACGATGGCTCTTTGGATCATCACTAGGTTCATGAACGCCCACGGAAATAGGCAATGAGTACTTCTTTGCATCTTCCCTCAGGCCCAAAATGAATGGCGACTTATCGGCCGGCTTGCAAAGGGAGATACTTTCTTCTGGTGATCCGCCAATGTAATCGCTAGCTTCTGGAAGAAAGAGTGCCTACCTGGAGCGTAATAAGTAGATGGATCAAGCGATCTCGATGATGATGCGTATCACCTTCGCTCCAGCATCGACTGCCTCTTTGATAACGATTCGACACTGCGCGAGATTATGCGTCATGGACGACGTTGATGTAATTTGTCCTACAGCTGCGAGAGCCATTTTGGTCGAATGGTATCTGAGCACCATACTTTGATGTCGATAATGGTCGACGATGGGACAGAGATGGGACGTTGAGGAGAGGACGATGTCGTTATATTTGTCGCCTCAGGCATTCAGGCCTCTCCCGCCGCTAGGTGCACGGATCCGCCGCGGCACTCTTTGCCAATCTTTCTCGAAAATAATCTCCCTTCTCATCCCATCCTCACCATCAAACGCATCTCGACGAGCACATCGACCGCCGCCATGGCTTCGAGCTTTGCAGCTTCTGCTGCACGAGCTGCACTTGATGGCGCTGGCTGAGGCATTATCAGCCGCCGAAATGTCCGGCAAAAATTGGTACGTCCTCACCTACTCCTCCACCCCCCAGTCAAGGATGCTACATCACGAACAATCCAAATCCTACAAAACCATGAAGGATTCATACAAACTCTAGAATTACTCTGAGCACTGTCGATTTCAATATCAGCTTGCGTCCGCTCCACCTTGGCACCGACTGACAATTTCTCTCAGATACTCCTCTCGAGTGATGGCCAGCCGCGCCGACCACAGCGTTACTCCATGAGCCAGCCATCAAATCTATTTTTTCAAAAGGTACGCGCTCTTCACTTTTACTTATCAGCCTTTTTCGTGATGATACTGTGACAATATGGCATTCCTCGAACTAAATACCCCATGTCGATTTTGTCAATAATAGTTTCAGCCTTGTCTGACTTTTCCCCAACCATCATACTCTGCTCCTGCAAGATCTTGAAGAACTTGTACTGACTTGGTGCTCAGGTACATCATACTCATCCCTCAAAACCGCCCTTTCCAATGATGAGTCCTACAACGCAACGGGCGGACAGATTGCACTCGGAGCTGGCACCCATCAAAGTGAGGACGTACAATCCTTGCGGGTGTTTGGCGAAGAGATGCTTTGTTGAGAAAGCGTCGACTGAGTCCATCGGACTGCACTTGCGTGATCAGCATAACCAGAAGAAGCACTCGGCTAACTGTTCACGCAGGTTAGCATATCTCTCTTCTCCTACACCCATGGACTAGCAATGATGATCACTATTCACACTGTTTGAACGGTCTACTGTCTAACGAACGTGGGCCGTTGTGAACGTACAACACTGAAAATTCTGATTTAATGAGGTACGTTATTCTCAAACGGGACTGAAATACACAAGCTGATGATTGGCAGCCTGATTGCAGACTTCACCCACTGATGCCTACCTCGGCGATCTTGCTGGCTTGATGCTGACTTTGTCATTCACAGGTCGAGTCGAAAACAACGAATACGCCCACAGGTACGTGCGACTCCTCCTCTTGAAGTCTTTGAATGATGTCAAATACATCCGCGGATACATGGTACAAACTATGAAGCATTTCGAAATCAAAATCTCTGACAAGACTCATTACCTCCACTTCTCTTCCTCATTTGCGGGTGACTGAGTACTAATGTCAACCTGTGATCAGTGCGAAGCTTCAGTATGTTGCATTCTTTTCTTCCCTCTTACGCTGCATGATGAACAACAATATTCGCTGTGTTCTTACCGAGAGCGCCTTTGACGATACCCATATTTCACCTTGGAGAACTGATATCACCACCTACCTACGCCTGATTCCATCCGATTCAATGCACAAGGGATCCTTCTGACTTTCAGCCAGGCCAACTCTTGCACGCCGCGGGTTCTCAGCTGGCTGCCATGCTCACAGCCACACTTGCACTGCAAGCGCTGGCTGGCGTTCATGTCCGATGGGATCAAGTTGAGGAAGTGCAAGATGAAGAGTCAGCGACTGAAGCACCAGAGGGTACGGCGAAGGAGAGGGGGCTTGCGAGTATGCGAATTGTGGGAGACAGCGCAAGCGGATGCACATACATGAAATTGAAGATGTCGTATACTGTACAGTGGTTCCATTTTCTGCCCTTCCATGCTTTGTCCTCACTGAACGCCTGACGCCTCGCCTGAATCTTGCAGCATCTGATCCATCTTTACCACAGCCATAGAAGTACCAAGAAACATATCGCAATGAAAGAGCCCAGTATAATCCCATCTCTCCGCTTCTTGCTTCCTATCCTCTGCATCAAACTGTTGATGCCGGGTATCTGAGCCGCAGCACCAGTAATCCTTCTCTGTATACTCGTCAAGCTCTCCCTCTGCAGTCCAAAGCTCTCATTGACCGCATACGCCTGGCTCAATACCGAATCCGCCACATTGTGGCTATTGTCCAACCTCCTCCTCTCATCCAGCATATACTCCGCTTCTGCCGCTTCGGGGTTCTGCGCCGACCGGTAGGCATCGATATCGTTTCGCACATTGGACAGGAGGTTCGCGCGTTCTCGGGTGTGGGAGATTTGCGACTTGAGGCGCGAGAGCTCGGTGCGGTGTTGGGTGAGGATTTCGCGGTGTCGGGCGAGGTTGGTGGATTTGAGGGCTGAGGGGGTGGGTTCTGAGTCGAGGACGCGGGCGAGTTGGGAGAGGAGGGAGGATCGCTGGAGGAGTATGGTTAGTTGGGTGTTTTGCGAGGTGGTCTTGGAGGTTGTGGAGTATACCTTTTCGAGGATCTCGTTGAGCTGGTCTTCGAGTTTCTTTTCTTCGTCGCTGGGCTTGGCTTCTAGGTCTGTTTTCGAGGCGAACTGGGCGTATGAGTGGAAGAGCGTTTCTGTCTATCGATTCGATATTAGCAAACTCATCATCTCTTCCACACCGTTGGATGTGTACTGACTTGTGTCTCTTGCGCTCTTGCCTGCTGCCGTAGCTGTGCCCATCCTGTCGCGTTGGTCGCCATGTTGCGGTATGTCAATTTCCCTGATGTTCTTGTCTTTCCTGCGTCTTCTTCAACGATTCCAAGCCGCCAGACACCTCCAAAAGCGAGCCACTTCCAAACGAAGACCCTCCAGCAGCCATCACCTGCACGTGCCCCGTGCCGCTTTGGGACGTGAAGTCCGAGCTAGCTCCTCGGCGAAAGGTTTCGCCGCGGCGCTGATTGGCGTGTGGGCCAGCGCCAAGATTGCACCTCGATTTTGCGACTTCGACGCCCGACAGACGAGCACGAGAGCGCACCAGCGACGACACCACACCACCTACTAACCCACAGTCTCTCACGATGGTACGGATTCTTGCATGCACACCCATTCGCTGCGTCAGCCATACTGACATGTGCGTGTGACAGTCGTCCGGCAAGGTCAAGGCCTCCCAGCTCTGGGGCAAGAACAAGGACGAGTTGAAGAAGCAGCTCGACGACCTCAAGGCCGAGCTCGTGCAATTGAGGACCCAGAAGATTGCCGGTGGTGCCCAGTCGAAGTTGACCAAGATGTACGTGCCCTGCACCCTCCGCACACCGACCGTCCGGCGAATATGGTGAAGAAAAAGATGGATCGCACGGATACTGACACCCTCACCAGCCACGACGTCCGCAAGTCGATCGCCCGTGTCCTCACCATCATCAACGCAAACCAGCGCGCCCAGCTCCGCCTCTTCTACAAGAACAAGAAGTACCTCCCACTCGACCTCCGCCCCAAGCAGACTCGCGCCATCCGCCGTCGGTTATCCCCAGAGGAGCAGAAGATCGTCAGTGAGAAGCAGAAGAAGAAGCAGAGACACTTCCCCCAGAGGAACTTCGCCGTCAAGGTATGATACAAGCAAGAGAAGCGGGATGCGGTTTGGGTAAAAGGAAATCGGGCTAACACACGAGGGGACAGGCCGTTGCATAGATATGACGGACGCGGATTGCGGGTTTCTTCCACGGTGCATGTGCTTGAGCGCTTGAGTCTTTTCATCATGGCGAAAAAAGGACGGATGGGAAAGGAGGGCTTGTGCTAGCGATATGACTAGGCAGCTAGAGACCTCGAGACGGTCCAGAACGATCCCAATTCAATGCGTGTGAGCAAACGAGACTACTTCTTCATTTCTTGATGTCACTGGCGGCGTTGAGTTCGAGGGTCCTTACAATGTCTCGCTGCATGTTGACTGGCTGCCGTCGAACTCGGCTCTTCCCTCGCCAGCTTCCTCATCCTGACGCCGCTCTCGATCTCCCCATGTCCTTCCCTCATCGACATTCAGCCACTTCTTCCTCGTCCTCCCAAATTCCCTCCTCATCAATCCTTCATCTGAGCGTCACCCTCCCAGCGTTGCATTGAAGGCCTTGCAACTTCAGCGCAGCGTGCATCAGATTGCTTCGAGGGACGTTGTAATTTCGAACCCTCAAGGCCCTCACCGAGCATCACCCCGACCCACCTCATGAATGTCTCTTACCGTGCAAAGACCAAACATCGCCACGGCAATGGGCTCAGACTGGAGGAGGAGGAGGGAATGCGCACGTACGATGCTGGGTCTCGTGCACTGCCGCCCATACCACCTCTCCAGCCACGAGATCCCCAGCCCAAACCAGAACTCAACACTGCACCAAAAGAACGAAGACATAACGGAAGATCATCATTCAGCAAAGACACGTTCTCATTCAGGGGTACTCGAAAAAAGCCGTTCATTGCCCTTCACCAGCAAAAGTCTCCTTCTTTCCAGCCAGAACGTCGCATCTTTATCTTTCTTCTTCTTCTTTCTTCAGCTTGTACAGCTTGGAGCTGTGATGAGGACCCTCGTATCCTGCTCTTGTCTCGTCGCATCTTCGCGCAGTCTCCTTCTTCTCTCTGTGGTTTGTGGGTTAGTGTGTGTTGGTTGTGGGTGGGTTGGGCGGAGGATGGATGTACCTTTGGTGTCACTTCATTGTGTTGAAGTTTCTTCGTGGGAGTGGAGAGGGTGGGTAAGTATGCTGCAGAGGATGTTAGTATGATTAAGAGGAGGGGGAGGGGATGTTGGACTTACTTTGTGCTCTTGCGCGCTGTGCGTGGACTTGCCACGGGGATGTCAGTGTTGATCTCTTGAAATCTGCTCTGCTCGATGCTGCTGCTGCTGCTCGATTGCTCGGTGCTCGGTGCTCGATCGTGGTTGCTCGATATCGATGCTCGGTGCTCATTGCTCGTTGCTGCTGGCATGCCGCATGCGGTCGTCACGTCACGAAAACCGCAAAACAGAAAGGAAAAGTAGGATTTACCTGTTCGAGTTGATTTCAACTCAGGAGGTGCAGTTGCAGCCCTTGCTTCAACGTCGGCGGACTCTCTCGCAGACGTCGCAGATGCTGAAGTACGTGTCATGACCAGGTTGGCGGACCAAGTCGATGTACTCTCTCACGAAATGCAAGAGGCCGTAGCCATTGACGCGGTGGTTCGGCCGAGGAGCAAGGCGTGTCGCGATGGCACGAACCTCGCAACGACAGGGCTCTGCGTAGGGAGAGCGGAACTTGGCGTAGCCGGGGCAGCCAGGGAAGGGGATCTCTTCGTTGCTGGGGCGAACAATCGTGATGCGGCCTTTGATGATCTCGACGATGAAGCTTATGACGATGGGCTTCATGTCGCCAATGGTGTAGTGGCGTCTGATGCCGATCTTCTTCAGGCGCGGAGCGTGGCTGGCGAGAATGTCTTCGAACAAGCTGACGCCTGTGACATTCAGCGTGTCTTGTTCGAACCAGAATGTGTTGTCCAGGAAGTAGATCGAGCCAGCTTCCTGGAACAGTCTTGCTTCTGCGAAGATGATCACCGGCTTGTGGAGCAGCAATTGGCCAAATCTGTCGACGTTAGTATCCTCAGGCATAAGGGGGGAGGACACCAAATGCTTACCGATGACCATCCAGAGAGATGCCCTTGCCTGATGGCATGGAGTAGCGGTAGATCTTGTTTCGTAGCTCTCCTGGCAGCGAGAAGAAGTTCGTCTTCGGCTTTCGGATCATGGCGAGCGATCTGGTGAACTTCTTGACAGCCCGCTTGGGAGTCGGTATGGTGGTCTGCTCAGAAGTGATCATGTCAATGGCCATGGTGTTGGTTGGTGTCTACTGTATGTATCGGTTTCCTGTGGAGTTAGTCGAACGACGTTGAATTCGTCGAAGGTCTGGTGTCGAGTGTCGTTCGGAAAAAGAAAAGAAGCCAAGCTTCTATCGAACTTATAGGTCCGGCCGGCGGAAGCATGTGCAAATTGAATGAGCTTCAGCACTTCCGACAATAAGCGAGAAGAAGAATAGCAAACAGGCACCAATGCCTATTATCCGCGCTTCGCTCAATGGCCTGCGGTCGCGCGGACCGCCGCAGATGACGTGGCCAAAATGCCTGTGATTGTGCTCGAAAGCTTCTCATTGGCCGCATGTGATCGTGAGTGAAGGCGAGACGTCTTCCGGAAGTCTTTCGAGAAGTTGCGGGTTGGCTTTTGACGCTCGGGCCGGGCGATGTTGTGTTCGATGTCGGAGGGATCCATTGGAGATGAGGTACAATATCATGAAATGCTGCATGTGCTCTATACATCTGTATTGGTGTGGTTAGCCGTTGATGCCGTGCTATCAGTGCAGTGAAGTGAACATACCTCTTCTATATATCTCGCCTGCCATTTTCCCCTTTTCCTGGAACTCACCTCCGCCCTTCTCGTCATTTCCGATGTTGCGAGGCAAACACAGGCGCCGTATTTGACGCGCTTGCTGCCTAGAAGTCTCTATCACATGCGTTTTCGAAGTCTTCGAACAAACCCGTTGGCATATGTGGTGAAGTCTGGGCGCATGTGAAAGGTGAAGTCAAAGTTCACGCTTGCCATTTTTGCGCTTGCCCCGTTTCAGCAGGAGGGACCCACAACCCTATTTATGCTGACTTTGACCCATGCATAGAGTGCGTATGTTATGCATGGCATACTTCACGTAGCGAGACCATAACGGTATCAGCTCCGAGATGGAAGAGTCGAGTCAGTGCAGCGAAGAAGCTCCAGAGCTCCATACATGATGCCACTGCGTGGCGATGTCCCCACCACGTCACTGTGACCTCGGCTGGAGTTCGGGCGAGCTTATAAAGCGAATGGCCTGGCCTCAATGAAAAGGAAAAGGTATTTTCATCGAATCGATTGAGAAAGACAAGCGACGTTCAAAGTATCCTCATCAACCATAGTCAAGACACGTCAATGGCAATTGGCCCACAAGCCGCGACACGAGCCTCAGCTTTCAGGCCCTGAACAGACTTTCAAATTGGCTGAAGTCGACTTGCCAGAGCCCAAGGACGACGAGGTTCTTCTGAAGTTACTCTCGTACTCAAACGATCCAGCACAGCGAGGATGGGTATGGGACAGCATGGTCCTCTTTGGCGCTTGATGCTAACATCCTCTCCCAGATTGACCCAGATATCCCAGCCGAGCGACTTTACGTGCCTCCAGTGAAGATCGGACAGCCCATGAGCGCCTTTGGCCTGGCGGAGGTTGTTGAGTCGAAGTCTTCGAAATTCAGCAAGGGCGACACCGTAACCGCACCAACTGGCTGGACCGAGTACGCTATCGTCAAGGCAGGGTCTTGCCAACCGGCCAAAGATCTCCCAAGTGGCCTGAGCAAGACTCACTACCTTGGAGCTTTGGGTCTGACCGGCCTCACCGCGTACTTCGGCCTGACTGAAGTAGGCCAAACGACCAAAGACGATGTCGTTGTAGTCTCTGGAGCAGCCGGTGCGACTGGCATGATGGCTGTCCAAATTGCGAAGAAGATCATCGGCTCCAAGAAGGTCATTGGCATCGCTGGCACTGACGAGAAGTGTCGCTGGGTTGAGAAGCTGGGTGCAGACGTCTGCTTGAACTACAAGAGCAAGTCCTTTGCCGAGGACCTTAAGAAGGAGACTCCAGCCCCTGACGGCTACGCGAGCGTGTTCTACGATAACGTTGGTGGCGAGATCCTTGATCTGACCCTCACGAGGATGGGTTCAGGCGGCCGTATCATCGCCTGCGGAGCCATCAGCTCATACAACACCTCTGCCGAGCGTACTACGGGGCTGAAGAACTGGTTCGAGATTATAATCATGCGGCTGAAGGCGCAGGGCTTCATCGTCCTGGATTATGCCAACAAGTTCGGACAGGCCATCGAGTTGTTCAACAAGTCGCTGCAAGACGGCAAGTTGACTCTTGATGAGTCGAGCGAGACGGTTGTGAAAACTCCTTTCGAGGACGTGCCAAAGACTTGGTTGAAGTTGTTCGAAGGTTCCAACCAGGGCAAGCTGGTCACGCAGCTTGTCTAGGATCAGGGTCGAAGAATGCTCTCCACGTGAGGGAGCGCCTTCAAGTTAACAGCCGTAACGTCGATCATGTAATATGAAGAAGAATGCGCAAAGCAAGTCCCAGACTCTCAGATCATGTCCGTCGCCTTTTCCTCGGCCGCTTCGAGATTGTGTGAATGTTCGACCCTCCCAATCCAGCATATCGGTAAATTGGGGCCGGTTTGAAATAATTGCCATTGAGGCCGACGAAGTCGATGCATCTTGCAACGACCCCTGAATCTTAAAAAGGCATTCGCAGACGTTATAGGTAAAGTCGATATTCTGAATAGCTTGCCCATCAATGTTGAAAGGTGATGTTTGATGGAGTTACAGGCTCCCCCCGTACCGGCCGAGAAAGCTAGAGTTTGTCAGCGAACACTCTGAAGCTTCGTGACGTTAGAAGTGAGAGACACTGGGGTCAAATCACCGCTAGCATGTTCTGGGTAGTCGTTGAAGGATTCCATGGCTGCATGATGGGAACAGCTCCAGGCAAGGGTGCACACAGGTTTCTTGCAAAGCTGCCTCTTTTCTTCCGTTTCTGACAATGGCTCATCAGGAGAGTGCTCCGATGAAGCAGCATTTTCTCGTCTGTTCGATGAATTCGCGTCGTTCGCTATCACGTCGTTTTCATTGGCTTACAGATCAGCGTAACACAACGTGGCGGATGTGATACTACGTACCGGGTTTGATATAAAGTTGCAAGAGACTGCGCATTCGACATCTGGGCCAAAGAACCGAAAGGTGCCCACCACGCACAAAATAATTACTTACTAGCACCAGACACTGCCTGATACGCTCCTGCCACAACAACTTAAGCTTGCGCTCGAAATGACTTCAGACCTGACCAACGCAGATGCGACGGAGCTGGCAGAATGGATTCGCAACGGCAAAGCGTCTGCAGTCGAGGTGATCGAGGCCCATCTTTCTAGAATTGCAGCTCTGAACGAAAAGCTGAACGCCATTGTCACGACCAACGACTCCGCGCTCGAGGCAGCAAAGGCTGCTGACCAAGCCGTTCGAGACAAGACAGCACTTGGTCCTCTTCACGGCGTTCCATTCACAGGCAAAGATTCCATCGACACCGCTAGCGTCCCTACGCAGCGTGGCTCGCCAATCTTTCGTGGCCGAATCCCAAGTGTAGATGCAGCCAGTGTGGCACGCATGAAGGCGGCAGGCGCAATCCTCCTAGCCAAAACGAATATTCCAGAGTTCTCGTACTCCACCGAGAGTGAGAATCTCCTTTCTGGCCGAACCAATAACCCGTGGAATCTGGAGAGAACGCCCGGAGGATCGAGCGGTGGTGAATCGGCGGCCATTGCAGCTGGGCTTTCTCCCATAGGTCTCGGCACTGATCTTGCCATCTCGGTTCGTGGGCCTGCCGCGCAGACGGGCATCGTCTCATTGAAGGCCACTCATGGAAGGGTACCGATGACGGGGATCTGGCCACGAGAGCCGCGCCGCTTTTGGCACGTTGGCCCGATGGCGCGCAGCGTCAGAGATCTCAAACTTGCTCTTTCAGTCCTGACAGGACCGGATGGGAAAGATTCGCTGTCGTCAAGGGTGCCAGTCCTCGAAACTGCACCTCCGCAGAAGCAGCTTAGAGTTGGGTGGCTTGTACGTCCTGGATTTGGTCCGATTCAACCACAAGTCGGAGACACAGTGGAGGCTGGGGTAAGAGCACTCGAACAAGCCGGTTGCGTTGTTCAGCAGGTCACCATTCCTGCCCTCGAGCGTGATCCTCCGCTGGACGTCTTTCTCAAATTGCATGTCAACGAAATGAAGCCGGTGTTTGAACAGACCACCCGGGGACAGCCTGATGAGCACATCGGGCCTATCGCTCGCTTCATGCTGGACACCCCGGAGACATCCATCGAAGACTGCGTCCAAGCAGAGCAGGCAGCTCAACGTCTGAGTGATGCGTTTGCGGAGTTCTTTCAAGAGTATGACGCTCTTCTCTGTCCTGTGCTACCACTTCCGGCACATGAGCACCGACTGACGTCGGTCAAGGTTGAGGGAGAGGATATCGATGGGATAAAGATCATGGCAGCGACGGTTCCATTCAACGTGACTGGCCTGCCGGCGATATCACTTCCTTTCGGCTTGAGCGATGAAGGTCTCCCTATTGGGCTCCAAATCGTAGGTGCTTGGAATGCTGAAGCGACAATTTTGGATCTTGCCTTAAAGCTGGAAAGTCAGTCTCCAATCCAGGGCATGCGTCCTAAGATCTAAGCTTGCAGGGCGGCGGTGGCTATACTCGTATAACCTGGAACGGATAGGGATTTGTTCGCTGCGGTGCTGAGAATAGGCAGATTTTGCATATTCACTGTCTTGGAAATTATGCTCCCTTGCTGGAAGCTGCTTACGATGCCTCTTTCAACTCATTACGTCCGCTCCGTGTCCTTTGGAAAGTGTAAGTCCAGTCTGTACTGGTTCAGTGTAATATCTCGTAATGTCCCCGATAGACGCAGCTCGAATGGCGATGTTGTGGGTAACGATCTCAGTGTTGACATTCCCACACGAGTAAAAGGTAGCGAGCACCTCTAGGACGCTCAGATCATGCCCATCGCTTCATTCGTAAAGGTCTAATGAATGTTCGAGGCCAGCTCCAGCAATGCGTGATTGGTAAGTTGGTTTCGGTTCGGAAGGATCACAGGTCGCCAAGTATTGGTGTATTTGAGCCGCAAAGGCATGATGTAGGGTCGCGTAGGTATACTAGAAAGGCAGTGTGTCAGACGCATAGGAGAAATATGCGGAGGAATTATGCGAGTTCTTGGGCTCGTTTGAGTTAACGGTCGGTGAAAATTAGGCCATCTCGAGCAAAGTGTGCGACCCGCCTAGAACGGAGTTAGGTCGTGCAAGTCGCTGTATGCGCGAATGAGTTCCGATGTCGATGCCTCTGGGAAGAGATGTGTCCTTGGAGGTTTCACTGGTCGAGACGAATGGATGACGAGAAGGTATCGGTGTCGAGGAGGAAAGGATGAGGAGACTCGAACTCGGATTCGGTCACGCCACGCAAGGTTCAACGTCTCCTGCCGACCTTTCGCTCGGGCTCTCGACTTCACATCAACATTATCATCATCATCATCTGTATATGGAAGCCTTCACGACCGCTGCGGGGCTGTTTCGCGAGCCTTACAATGGTGCTGAAACACCAGTCAGACGCAAGTCACAGCACTGTGCTCGTCCTGATGCCCATGGTGATCCTGTCAGACTCAGGTCACTACTCCCTCCGCATCTTAACAACCACGTCAACAGCTCGCGAACCGACTGTAGGGCCTCCAGCGCCGTGCGGAGATAAGAGTAATTGTTGGATAGGAACAGGTATCGCGCCTCCTGCGATTCTCGGTACAGGCGATTATGTAGGATGGTGCCCCAGAAATATACTTCCACAGTCGAGAGTTAGTCAGGTAAGCAGGAGCTTCATCCTCTGCATAAACTACCTATTAGTACGCAACACCAAGTTCTTTGAGTCTCGGTTCCTTCTTCATATCTCTGATTCCTCATCACTTCCCTTCCCCTCCAGAAACAAAAGACCGACTTTCCTCTTTACAAAACCCTTACCACGAACAATATGGATTCCGTCCCAGCACCGTTGAAAGGCAAGGCCGCCATTGTCACAGGAGGCAGCCGTGGCATTGGAGCATGCATCTCAGAAACATTCGCCAAAAACGGCTGCACGCACATCGCCATCACGTACAATTCCAACAAGTCCCTGGCCGAGGAGACTGAAAAGAAAATCACTGCCATCAACAGCAAGATCAAGACTTTCTCCCTCCAAACGGACGTCGCCGATGCCAACTGCGGCAAATACACCGTCGAGGAGAGCTTGAAGGGACTCGGCGTCGACCACATCGACATCATGGTCTCGTGCGCGGCCCTTGCAGATATCTCGACGTTCCAGACGGCCGAGCAGATGACTAAGGAACATTGGGACTGGCTGTGAGCATTCTCCGTTTCGCAACTATTTCCTTTTAGACGTGAATCGCTGACGTACCGGTGTGTCGTGTAGGATGACGGCCAATGCGTGGACTCCATTCGCGCTGGCGCGAGAGTCTGCCAAGTATATGCCCGAGGGAGGCCGGATCATTCTGATATCCTCCGGTGCCTCCAGGGGCGCGAATCCCGATCCCGTGATGGCCTACTCCGCGGCGAAGGCAGCCATGGACGCCGTGAGTTGCCTCTAATTCAATGAAGCTGTTCAACCCCCGAAGACTAAAACGTGCACAGGTCTCCCGCAACCTGGCGGCCATCTACGGCATCACCAAAAAAGACGTCACAGTGAACAGCATCAGCGTCGGTGCGATTCAGACCGACGCTCTCCAGCGGGCTTTCGATACCCAGGGTCCGGAGTTTAAAAAGTATATCGAGGGCTTTTCGTTGCTCAAGCGCGTTGGCCAGCCACAGGAGATTGCGGATGTTGTGGCATTCGTGGCGTCGAAGGGGTCGTCTTTTATGGTTGGAAATGCTATTCCCGCCAATGGCGGTGGACTGTCTGCTCTGCAGGGTTAATATTCGGAATCGGATTGCAGAGACGAGGCATTTGAAATGTCTCAAGGAGCAGAACAACCAAGCAACGATCCCTTATGATATGCCTCGTTCCTGTCGACTTTCGATGCTCCCCCAATGCCACGCTGTACAAATCATGGTCGCTCAACCGCATTTCAAAGCACAAAGACCTCGCTTCACCTCGACAATGTCCTTCAAGCGGAATTGTCGCTCTCACCCTCCTCGCCCTCCTGACCTTCCATCTCATGCTCCCCCTCATCAACCTCACCCGCTCCCCAGTCGCAGACCTTACGCCTGCAGATGAGGACCGCCTTGAATCCCTCCTCAGTCTCAACCCAGAACCCCATTCTCCCCGTCCGACAGCCTCGATTTGGCTCAGACATAGGCTTCCTGCAGTCCACCCACTGCTTAATTATCCTGCCTGGCATCGACCAGGTGATATCCTCTCGCGTATGGATGCGAAGAAGACGTCCCTTGGGTTGGAGGTCTGAGTGCACGTACTCGTGATGGCGCTTGGCCGCATTTCTCTCTTCTTGGGCCTTCTTCTCTTGGGACATCTGGCTGGCTTTCCCCGAGGTAGCGTTCTTCTTTGAGGCCATGGTCGCCTTGGTTCTGGTGGAGAGTTGAGGATATACCTCCAGGTCTTGGATCGGAGGTGATATACTCTGTATGGTTTCGAGAGATGTAATGCAGGGTAGTCTAAGGTAAGGCCCTGATGGTAGTGATACTGGCTGTTCGTGAGCTGAGTATGTGTGTTCAAGACCAAGAGCTCTCAGTAGTCCGAAGAAGTTTACTTAACTTAACTAGAAACAGGTGAATACAAAGATGCAGCAGCTTGCTTTGCTACTTTCAGGAGCTTTTCCAGCAATAGTTTAAGCAAACAGGTGAAACGGCTAGATTCGGATAGGGAGGAATCAACTCCAAAGGAATTCAGAAGTTACTGTTAGGCGTCCATAAACCTCGGTAGAGCCGATGCATATGATACCGAAACAGAAATGGGAGGTGAATGCCCTTCTAGTATGCTGTCTGGCTTGAGGCTGTAGACTCTTGTGGGCCCAGTCGGCGGCTTGCACGCTTGACCTCTCCTTTGTGGAATGTCAAGAGTCGGTGGTGGCTGTATTGAGGTTGCTGGATCGTTCGTGTCCAGTCTGGCCAGAATTTTGAACAACACGTTGGAAGCACTGCGTTCCCATGTTTTTCAAGTCGTGTATCATGGCTCGATGCAAACTATATGCATATTGCGTGCATGGCCAGCACCAGACTATGCGGTGAAGACAGGTTGGAGGCAGCAAGGCCACCCTACTTTAGGAGAACAGGTCCTGCGTGCGACTACATTTGGCCAGTCCCTCGACCTTGTCAGGACGTGACGGCCATCGAGAGCTTTGTGGGAGTCTTAAATCTTATAGATTCAGGAACGGTTCTTCCTTTGGGGTTCCCGAGTGAAGACTCCTGATGAGTAGAAAGCAAGTGCCGTGAGAAGTATCGTGGGCGTCCTTTCCTGGTTGGTCAAGCCATTGCGAACCAGCGGACAGGCTGTATGGGATTTAGAGAACCATGAAGGTTGAGGAAAGGAGAAGGATTGACGTCGGAGTGAAAGTGAAGCCGAAGACCGCCCACGGGGCCACCCGCGACACGTGCTGTAGCCGTTTTAGCTCATTTTGCGGGGAAAGCTTGTTTCCGAAAACGACGGGTGGCAGCATGACGAGATGGACGAAGTGGCATGAGGATGAAGGTCAGCAACTCTCCTTCTCCCATCACCTGTGCTATGAACACCTAATCGCATCACCATGTTGCAATTCAAACTCCCTCAGCTCCCTACCTTCGGACTGTTCAGAGGCGGCATCCAGGTCCCCAAGGCAGAAGTCCACGATGTCGAAGAGCGACCAGAGAAACGGGCCAGGACGCTGAAACACCTTCTCAAGGCGAACCACATCAACCACAGCATCATATACAACAAACTGCGGTTCCACAACCACACCCCACACATCCTCAGTTCCGCCTACATCCTGGGCGCCGATTCAGACGAGTTGACGCACATATACGAGGCCGAGAGCAAACACTTGGAGCCGTGGCATGATAGCCCTGGCGAGATTGCAAAGCATGATTGGCGGGACTTCCTGGGAAAGAGAGAGTCAGTGGGCTGAAAAGGCGATACACATACTCTTGCTGACAGCCTGTCGCCAGGTACCAGCGAGCGTTTATCGACTTCTTCGAAGACGAGCTTGTCCAGCATGGCTACGATTGGCATGCTCTGCTTGATGAGTTTCTCCTCTCTGGCAAGGAGCCGTTGATCAACAACCTCATCTCTGGCCTTGCACATCCACTCATACATCTCGGCTACGCTCATGAGATGTCGTCGAGGACAGTAGCCATTGAAGCTTTGGGCCTAGCCGCCTGCTTTCACAATGACTGGCATGTCTTCCTGGACGATCCCAAATATACCAAGCCCGCGAAAAGCCCCACCGACTCCCTCTTCAGCATCCTTAGCAGGGTAGCTGACGATCCAAAGTTTGACAACATCTCGGATCAGCCGGGCAGTGATAATATCGAAAAGATTCTCGGGAACGAGGAGATGGCTGCCGCAGCATTAGAATACTGGAACTCGTGGGACCTGAAGAAGCCAGCGGAGCAATTTGCAGAGTCACAGAAGCTGGCAGTTGCATTGCTTGTTGCGGCACAATCGAAACAGGACGAACGATACGACTTCTTCGCCGTCCATCTGTTGACCAGCTCTCACGCTGTGCGCACCCTTCTCTCCGTCCTGCCGAGTAAGCACCACATCCCTCTTGTCCGGCAATGGTGGCTCTTCACACTGCTCGTATACATTTCACAGCTGCGGCCGAAGATCAACATCGATAAGATCAAGTTGGTCGAATTGGAAGGCCGCGATTGGAAGTACGTCACCGAGAAGGCTCTCAAGGGCAAGTACAGAACAGACGCACACTACGTCAAGGCTCTACGATCGATGCATGAAGCCAGCAAGACTTGGGGTGATCCCAACCAATTCTACCTCAAAGCTGCTGTCAAGATGGCAGAGGAGTTCGACGGCTGGGGTGGCTTTGGACCGCGGGATGCTGATGAAGAAGCCGAAGCCAACGATATCAGGAACCAGAGACGGCATTCTGGTCAAGGCGACTCTCTGAATTGAGAATGTATCTATGTGGGTTGTATGAGTACTACGATTGATGATAGGCTGATGCCAAGCCTGGAACGAACATTCACTCGAGCTACGCGCTGTCACGTGTATTTCCTAATCGGGAAACTGCGTTGTTTGCTTGTTGCCCCTTGTTGCTGTCTAGGCTTCCGTTCACCTCTAGTAGCTCGCCGTTTGTTGCGAGTGACTAGAGATAACAGTGAAGCGCTGCGACCCCTACAAATACCTCCCTTTTTTCCGCCTTCTGCGACAAACAGACACTCCGAGACAGACCTAAAACAAGACACACTATCATCGCCGCTGCCTACCGCGTCCACAACTACAAGTACATCAAACTACACACGACTACTTACCCGAACAACACTGTCGACATGGACCACATGGACGGCAAGGTATATACTCTCCCCCTTTTACTTCGCTATACTTCGCTATACAATCTCACACTTCTAGACCCTCCGCGCTTTCTGCCTCCGCGCTTTCTCCCGCGTAGAGTACCTCCCTGTAGACACCAAATACGACGGACCACCAATCGGCTACGCCGCCAAGGTGGTCCAGCACACCACGCCAGGGGGCGCGGTCACCACCAACACGGTCGGCAACCCGCTGGCTCCCCGCCCAACGTACTACGTCAAGTGCGAGAAGCTTGACTGCAAGCAGTGCTCCGCCACGTCGGTGAGTTCTCTCGCCCTCTACTGCGTGAACCTGATCTTACTAACGAAACCCGAGGCCTCCAACAAGAAGTCGGCCAGCGCCTCGAGCGCCGGCACTGTTGTTTGCGGTATGGACGTCAAGTGCACTGACAAGGTGGACGAGAAGGTGGATGAGAAATTTGTCTAGGTCTGCGGGACTTGGACGCTTGATGTACCACGATGCGATGACTGCGGCGACTGTTAAGGCTCTGCTTGGATGGCATGGACGCCTGGTGTTTGTTTGGGATTCAATTGGTTCCGCGCTCTTGGGGAGGCATTCAGCTTAGTACCAGGAATGCTGTATGTAATGGATATGCTCATGATAAGGCACAATAGCCGTGTTTCAGATCGCGGTTGTAACAACTCTCACCTCTCCTTTACCGCTTCAAAGGCACGAAGCCCCTGATCCTCCCTCGCGCCTGTGATGAAAGTAACTCCTCGCCGCAACCCGCCCCAAAGTCATGCGAACCGCGAACTTGTAAGCCATGGCTGACTATCAATCTACGTCAAGTGGACAAACAATAATCAATCGAGAGACCGCATTGACTTCTACCAAGACATACATGAAGCAGTCTTCTCTGCTTGAAGGGAGAAGGCTTTCTCTGCCTGAGGATTTGACGATGTACCTATTGTCTCCGCACATGTTTGCTCCCACCCCTAACAAAAGACATCCAAACATCTGAATGCCTAACAATCACCTGCTTCCCAAAGAACAGCCCGCCGAAATCCCCCCTTCCCTTCTGATTCAAACAAAATTCAGCTGCTCTTGTATACATTCACCACCACAATGCGAAAAGCATCTGATTACGCAGTCCTCCTGCTTTATAACCTCCGCGTCTCCCTCTTAACAGTAAGTTTTCGGAAGACACAGACAACAGCATCGGCTCCGTCAACGGGTGTGACGAAGAAGCTGTCCGCGCCAGAGGACTTTGGGCGGCGACCTTCGACGACGACGACCTCAACGTGTGCTGCTTTGCTCGACGACCACCTCGACGTGTGGCATCGAATCCATACCGTCGTCCATCGCTACGACGCTCTCGTCGACCAAGCCGTCGACTCGACCTTCGTTCCTATTCTTCCCTTACTCAACCTCGAGACTTCAAGACAAGATGAGCAAGTCCACCGGTTCCTACAAGGGCCACAAGGAGCTCACAAGGGACGAGTTCAACGAGTCGCGCCGCAAGCACGTCTATCCCAAGGAGAGCGAAGTCACCGGCGGACCGCTCAACTTCATCAAAGTCCACTCGCCGGAGCCGCGTCAACCTCGAGGCCGGCTTCTGCGGGATTGGACGCGGTGTGAGTCGAAGGGGAAGGGGGGGTGTAAGTCTGGTCACCTGGGATTTTTTGTGGAGTTGGAGGATGGTGTCATTAAGCATGCTATGATGATGCTGAGTGAGGAGTGTGGTGAGGATGGCCAGGAGGACGAGGAGCGCGAGGAGGAAGTCAACGGCCAGGACGAGAGCGAGGGTGGAGGAGATGGCGCTCCTGTGACGAGAAAGAGCGCCAGGGTTGCGCAAAAGGTACATGAAGCCTGTGCCTGAGGTTGTAAGTACAGAGCGCATCAAATTCCGTAGCTCTTGCAGCTGCTAATAGTATGCATAGGGCCACGAGGATTCAGGCCGGAAGACCTCCAGGCAGACCAACAGAGAAAGCTCGCCCCGAAGCTGGAGTATTTCGAGCCATGGAAAGGGGCAGCAGTCACTCACATCAGGTGCTGCCTTGAAGGACACGTAGGAGAAAGAATTCGTCGATGAATCATGATGGTATCAAAAAGACTTCACGTACCGCTCCATCCCCCAAAACCCCAATCCCAACTCTCCACCCCTTTCCACCATCTCAAGACGTCGCCGCAACAACTGCAGCATTACTATTATTCTTCTTCCTGCGAATCCTATCCTCAATCCCAAAAATCGCCGCCAGACTCAACAACTCCAGATTCGGATCCAGCTCAGCGAAATAGTCAATCTTCGCCACGTTGGACGAGTCGAACCACTTCCGGTCTTGGATGTACACGGCGAGGACCTGGCTTTCGTTCTGGCCGTCGAGGAGTTTGAAGTGCGTGTTGCGCGACGAGCTGGCTCCGAGGTCTTTGTCGTGGGTTCTGTGGACGAGTTAGACCTAAAGTTCAACAGGCCTTTGTGGTGGAGGGTGGGACTTGCCTTCGCCAGATGAATTCTCGTCCTTGGAAGTTGAAGACATATTGCTTCTGACTCCACTTGTCGCTGTGAACATCGATCCAGTCGTCCTTCGCAGTCGCATCCGGATTTCCCAGCATGACTCGACAACTCGCACTCGATGCCTTCAACGCCGCCGCCGCAACCACAGGTCCATGTTCCGATTGTGTCTGAAGATGCATCCTCGGCCTGGCATTGAGAAAGCCCGATCCGCTCGTGTTGACCCATAGGAACGTCTGGTTGTTATGCTGCACCTGCAAGTGTCGATAGTTCCAGCCCGAATCTCGGGTGACGTTGTAGGTCTTGATCGCGTTCATTTTGAGATTCTTGCCAATCTCTTGGTGTTGCTTCGAGACTCGTACATTACAGCGGAGCCTTCTTTGTTATATCTTTGATCGCGGCTGATGGCTCATGTGGCGTCATAGTCAAATCGTATTTGCTGCTAGGAGGCAGGATCCGATCGGCGCTCAGCTATTGGTATTGCTCGCTGAACTCATTGCTGTGTGAGGCGCAGCTAGTTTACTGCGCCTCCAGTAGTTGTAACTCCTAAAGCGCCGATGCCGGTCACCTTGTCCAATTCAGGCGATTGATCTAGGACGTTTTATCGGCGTGATGCATGGCTGTGCCTAGAATCTCGCAGTTTGTCCCGAAATCGTTAATGTCATCGGCTATGCTCATCAGACTGCTGGTTTTCGTGTTTCCACACGTACTTCCACGTCGTGTACAGCATCGTCAAGATCTTGTGGGGCTTCCGATTGCCGGCGTTAAGAATTGGCGAAAGGGGAATGTCGAAGCATTTGTTGATGTTGAGAAAGAAAGTGTGGATTGGTGGCTGGGCGAAGGATGTTGCTTGCCGCACGGACCATTTGACAACAATGCCTGGCGCAACAGATCTTGTGCAAATCGAGAGCGTAGATGCGAGACGAAAGAAGAGCAGAAAGTTTGACGAATGACAGTGGTCATGTTTTCCACAAACATTACCCAAAGATCTATGTGCTTTCTATATGTATGTCTTGGTCATAGTAGGCTACCAGGCCGATCGAGTCCATCTCTCAAACCAATCTACATCACCCCACGCGCGTGTGTATCATTTAGCACGCGGTGATGTAAAGACCCAAGCTCGAAGGGTTCCAGTCCTCAAAGAACTCCAGCGTCAACCCATTCTGCGAGCTAAGCTCAATCGTCTCCGTTGTACCCGCTGCACAAGGCCCGGTGCTCACAACGTAGCTGTTGCCCGACTGGATGGCAATCGTGTCGAGAGTGCCATTCTTAGCGGGAGCATTGTTGTACGTTGTCTCCTCGGTGGCGACGCCGTTGCACGACGAGAAGACGAGGTCACCGGAGCCGGAGAAGGTGTAGGCAGACGTCTCGAGGTCCTTCTCTTCGGGGAAGAGGAAGATGACGCTGCATGTCTTGTCGGCGTAGGACTCGGGGATGTCAAAGTTGAAAAGGCTGCTGCAGTCGGAGTTCACGGTGCCGTTGACTGAGTTGCCTTGTGGGGTGTCTGGGTAGCTGGAGGCGATTGGGACGATCAGGTGGGGAGTCTGGTAGGAGCCGGTCAATGAAGTCTGGCAGGCAGTGGCAGAGGTTGATGATGCTGGCTGAGTGCCGGACGAAGCAGCGGAAGTGCTTGCGGCGCCAGTGGTCGAGGCTCCGTAGCCTGGGATCGAGGTAGCTTGAGATTGGGATGGAGTCGTTGCACCAGTCTCGGAGCTCGCTGAAGATGAGCCGCCGTAGCCGGGAATAGACTGAGCTGATGTCGCGGGATAGGTCTCGACGCTGCTGGAGGCAGACTCGGCTGGAGTAGTTGCAGCAGGAGTCGTCTCAGTCGCCACGCTGCTCGATGGTGCGCCATAGCCTGGGATAGACGGAGCCGAGGAAACAGGAGACGTCTCAATGCTGCTGGAGGCAGACTCGGCCGGAGTTGTCTGAGTAGCGAAGCTGCTAGAGGGTGCACCGTATCCTGGAACGCTGCCAGTGCCAACTGGCGCACTCGTGGAGTGGTTGCCGACATTGGTGAGGGTAGACCAAGTAGAGTAGACGCTAGTAAAGGTTGATCCGCTCGTCACATGAGTTTCAGTGACAGGGCAGTAAGTGGTATAAAGAGTCGTTCCGACGGTGACGGTGGTGTCTTGAGGTGCGCTGGTGGTTGGGATGCCGCCAGATGGAGCGCTGCTGGAGCCAGGGACACCGTACGAGGGAACATCCTGGGAAGGTACGCCGGTTGAAGGTGCTGAGGCAAGCGAGCTGGGAGCGCTGCTACCTGGGACGCCGTACGAAGGGACACCTTGAGATGGAGCACTGGAAGATGGAGCAGAGGCAGGCGAGCTTGGAACACCAGTAGACCCGACAGGAACGGTGAACGTCGACTGCGTAGTGTAAACGCTCGAAAATGTGGTGCCGCTGCTGACCTCAGTCTCAGTCGTCTCGCAGTCGGAGGTCAAGACCGTGGTGAGTTGTGTGATCGTGGTCTCCTCGGGCACGCTAGCAGTTGGCGCGGGTGCAGAAGTGGTCTGCTCGGTAACGACGGAAGAGCTCTCGACTGGGTAAGATGGGACGACTGGAGTGCTCTCGACAGGGCTGCTCTCTTGGGGAGTGCTCTGAGCTGGGGTGCTTGTCTGCTCAGTCACAACGGAAGAACTGCCGGCTGGGTAGGATGGAACAACGGGAGTGCTCTCAACGGGGCTGCTCTCTTGCGGAGTGCTCTGAGCGGGCGTCCTCTCAGCTGGTGTGCTTTGGATTGGAGTGCTGACAGCAGGCGTGCTCTCAACAACCGAAGAAGTCTCGCCGCCATATCCAGGAACGGTAGCCTGAGACTCCGAGCTTGGAGCTGGCGCAGAGCTGGAGTAGCCCGGAACGGAAGCCTCAGAAGTAGCTGGCTGAGAGTATCCTGGAGCAGATGGCTGGGAAGCGGTGCTCTGCACTGGCGAAGTCTCGATCGAAGAGCCGTACGCAGGGACAGAGGCAGAGCCGCCATAGCCTGGAACAGATGCCCGCGAGGAGGCTGGAACAGTCTCGGCGGAGGTCACAGCAGTGGAGCCGCCGTAGCCGGGGACGATGGGCTGCGAGGCAGAGCTTTCGACTGGTGACGTCTCGATAGATGAGCCGTAGCCAGGGACCGAGGCCGAAGCAGAGCCATAGCTGGGGACGGTAGCTTGCGAGGTCACTTCAGACGAACCGCCATAGCCGGGAACGACGGGAGTGCTCTCTACAGGCGAAGTCTCAATGGAAGAAGCTCCATAGCCAGGTGCGGTCGAAGCAGGCACGGTGACAGCAGACGTGACTTCAGAAGAGCCACCGTATCCAGGAACAACAGGCTGCGAGGCCGAGCTGTAAGATGGAGCAGTCTGCGAACCGTAGCCACCAGTTGGGACTGGAGCAGTGCCGTACGAGCTGGAGGCGTATGGAGCAGTCTGCTGGCCGTAGCCGGGGACGCTGCCAGCAGCGGAAGAACCACCGTATGCCGGGATCGAGTAGCCTGGTGCCTGACCAGACGGAGCAGCGTAGCCACCAGTAGGACCAGCAGCTGAGCAGGTGCCGTTGGTGCTGAGCTTGACGGGGCGGCACTTGTCCTGATTCTTCAACCATTGCGTGTAGACGTTGTACTCGTTGACGTACGGGCAAGCGTAGAACTGGTCGTTGCCCTGATAGAGAATGCTGCCGTTGTTCGCGATGGAGAAGCCAAGAGTCGGGGGCTTGCCTTCGTCGCACTGGAATTGGTGGGTAGCGTCGTCGTCGATAGTGACGATGCAGCCACGGCCATGGGCATCGATGATGCCGCCGTTGCTGTAGCAGTACGTTTCGGGAGCGTAGCTGCCGTTGATACGGTTTTGTCCGTCAGAAAGTTGGCCGAGAAGGCCAGAAACGCCTCCGGAGGCGTAGATTTGGAAACAGCATTGGTCCCGTCGAAGGACTGCTGCTGATGCGGCGGCAGCGAAGGCCGCCGTGCTGAAAACTGCTTTCATAATAGACAAGGAAACAAGATATTAATGTAACGAAAGAGTGACAAGAATAGCGAGAGTGTCGAGGATGAAAGTCTGAAAGGTGAGCGAGGGAGAGGTAGAGAGTGAGATGGGGGAATGGTCTTTAACAGACCCAAGTCGAGTGAGAAACTAGTTCGTCGACTCGATGACAATGCAACACAAACCAGTTGGGAGACGTGGTCCACAGTCATCGAAAATAGCAAACTCGCAAGGAACAGAAAGAATAAAGACCCACCAAAACAGAGCGTCGTCAAGGTCGTGGAGTCTGGCAGATTTTGGTTCTTGCGTCGTGTGCCTATGGGCATTGCGCGGAGGGCGTCGCCATGCCTAACATAGTAATTTCTCATTCCTCGCACGTGTCAATCGAAGGTACGAGTCTCCGACTGCAGGGAGCCGGAAGGCAGGATCTTCAGGTACCCGTTCGGGAGACCAAGTGTGCAAGCCTTACGCGGACTTGAAACACGCCGTGGACGAATCGTTCGAGAAGATGACGGACACTTGACTTCGGTGCTTGGTCGGACAAGCGTTTTGCGGTCGGAGACTGGCGGAGATGGTTGGTGATGGCTGTGGTTGTTGGACGGATATCTGCTCAGACTGATCGCCACACAATTCGACAATGCGATTTTTCATTTCTTCTACAGCGGTTCGAACGATTTACCACCATCAATTGGCCTCCCATGAGCAAAGCCAGAGAGACAGCAGTGCATCGGCCGAAGGTTGCTAGCTTCCCCTGAGTTCTTCGATCTCATTCATTGTTGCTGTTCACACAGCCACCAAGCAGTCGTCGTCAACCGTGTGGAGCCAGATGAGATCACGATGTGGGAATCCGTGACTAACCCGCACAACCCCCCGGCTAAACGACGCGATTCCGGGGCAGGACGGCATTGGGATGGAAGTTGGCTTCCTTTGTCGTCCGTTTTGACGCAATGTGTGGTGGTAGTGGCATGCGGTGATAAGTCAGAGTCTTGATAGATGTGTTGAAGTCTGGAATGGAAAGGAGTAAATGGTACGTATTCGGCAAAGCGTCAAACTCTATTTGCGTTGCAACACGTGACTGAAAAATCGATACGAAGGAGGCGGACCACATGAACCTAGACAACGAATTCCTACGCCGGATATCGGTCATGCGATATGGCGAGAGAGCACATGGAAAAGGATGAAAAAGGCTCGTTTCATGAGAAATGTACAGCCTCTTCCGCGCGTCCATGCGCATCAACGAAGGCGCACGGCATATGCCGCGCCATGCGATACAGACCCAACCCAATTCCCGTTGCATCGGCCGGAGACCCAAATGCATGCTGTGTCTGCACCTCATATTCCATCATACGCCCGAACGCTATCAAAGTCCTTGCCAAGAAGGAAACAATCTCCAGTCCAACCCATATCATCACCGGAACTCCACGGCCGGTATGCAGCCTTTGTCTTCCACATGTCGAAGCTCCAGCTGTTGGTACTTCTCGCTCTTCGCGTGGAAGTAGATGCCGCTTACGCTGCCGGAACATTGGTTGAAGCATATGTAGTAGAAGCCCTCGAAACTGGCTCCAGTGATGGTCTTGACACGATGGTCCGGCACGAGGAAGTACTCTTTCCAGCGCATGAAGAGATGTTCTCGTTGCTGGTAGTTCTTGAGTGTGAAATTGGGCGATTTTGCTGACTTTGCCAGTGGTCGCCACGCAGGGAAACGGGCCCAATGTTGAAGATCGACTTTCTCATTGCTGCCCCATGATTTATGGTCCGTCTTGAAGAGGTATTTGGGACCAATCACTTCGCCTTCGAAGAATGTCGTAAGTGTTGGATGGTCGTCGGTGAGACCTAGTGATCAGACCAGTTAGTCAGGAACCTCATTCGGACACAGTCTATCATACCTTGTATACGTAGGTAGCCGCAAAGAAACGACTCTGCCAGATTGACGTCCTTCAATTCGACTTGAACATCATACACCTGACGGTCTGATTGTTGAGTCCCTCTGAACCTGCTCCCCGGCCTCAAAAACGATGTTGTCGATGTCGGTGAGACGTGCTAGGGACATTTCATTAGCATCCCGATGCTCTTGCCAATTGTTTCGAGTACCTACCCTGTTCATCTCTAGCTCTGGGAAGTGAAGGTACTGCGGCGGCGGGGTTCCTGGTGATATCGCAGCGGTCGACATCGACTGCGCCAATGATTGTGCTAGTCGAGCATCGCTGTCGCTTGGAGCATCGGGAGAGCCAACGGGACTCGGTGGTTCCACGCATATCCCAGCGTCTTCGATGTGCTCGCCTTTTCTGACCTGCTCTTCTGTCCGATCAGCCCCATTCGATTCTACCCTGGCAACTCTTTCTGCTGGCAAAGGCTGGCTCATGCGCTCGTCTCCTTCCGGGCCATCACTTCCGGTCTCGGCAGCTGATGATGGTATGCGCGGTTCGGTGTGTTCTACTCGCGCGTCGCGTGGCGCATAGCGTTCGCGCCGCTCTTCAGGAGGACAGCTGGCGAAATTGTTCTGTTCTGAGGTGGTGAAGTCGACAGGCGCGGGCGGATGGGTATCGTCACTTGGTGTCGGCATCTCAACAACTCGCGTGACGTCGGGGTAGCGTCGGGGATTAGACAGGCATTACAGACGAAATAATGTACACGAAGAAGCAAGAACGGAGTCGCGCCCGCGCGGTGCAATATCGCGGATCAATTGGGAAGCTGTAGTGGTTGTGGGTGGTGAATTGTTGATGACGTCTCACAATGCGGTCGCCTGCAGTAAGTTGTGAAGCCGAAGTCGAAGCAACACGGAACTTCACTCGCGGACCCCTGCAGCAGGCAGCACGTGCTCAGGCTTGGCATGTAAGACAGCCACGGCAGCATCGCTCTGTCCCCCCATCGTACGTCCATGTATCCTCAATTCCATCATGGCGTGGGTATCATCAAAATTGCCATATTCTGTCGCATTGCGTTGGCTTGCCTGTTCCTCGTTGTAGCTGCCGATCCCTCAGATGGGCTTGATCTATGGAGTGTTAGCTTCGGCTTGGAATATGGGAGCCCAGCATACCTTGAAGTGCAGTGAGATGAGCGAGAAGACCAGAGCCTTGAGGTCTTGAACCAGGTAGTAGAAGACACGGAGTCCTTCTGGATCTTCCGACTCGTTCACATCCACCAAGGAGCCGATCTTCGCCGTCTGTCGCATCTATGATCAGCATAATGAAAGCTTGCCAGTCAGTGACACTTGGAACTGACCTCGAACGAAATGTGTTCGCTACCCAATCGAATCTCGAGTTCCTGTCTGCCGTCCTTGTTCTTCTGGGGCCACTTGGTGTCGTCTTCCCTGTAGACAGTCAGTCACATATGCCCGCCGCACAGTAACTTGTGGATCCATACTTGACGATTTCGCTGTCCTTGATGATGCGCTTGATCTCCTGTACCATCAAGGCACTCACGCACACTATAAATGTCAGCTTGGGAAAACAGATTCCGAGAGTTTGCCAATTGGAACATACTCTCTTTGCGGATAAGGGAGTCATTGCGGTAGTTGGAGTTGTTCGCATAGCGTGCTATGGCAGAGCGTCCGTCGCCGACTACGCGGAAGTCGAATTCTGCGGCGATTAGAAGATTGTTATATGCGAAAGAATCTCAGAAGCCGTACCCAAGAACTCGTGCCCGAAGCGTCCGGAGTGACCTGAGCTATGAGTAGTCAGTATCGGGGAGGCCAATATGGTTGTGGTCGAGGATGCGCTCTCAAACATGCCGCGGTCGGACCTCTGAGATTGGCTGGCGACGACGACGAATCGTGGTGAGACTCACTAGTAGCGCAGGTAGAACGGCTCGGCAGTGCCAGACATGGTGAAGATGTCGTGAGGGCAGTGGTTTTCTGGCAATCGGAGAGCAAACAGTTCGTCTGAAGCGTGGTGGCACGGAGAAGAGAGCCAAGCCTTTTGAGGTGCCTGAAATGGTGCCTGGCGCGGAATTTCGAGCAGCTGCTGATGCGGAGGGCACTGAGGACAGATTGGACACATTCACAAGCCGCGCCAGGAGCTGCACCGTCGACGACAATAATCCACCGCCCTTCCCATACTCTCCGTCACCCCTCCGCCGCCGGCAGTCACCTCTCCCCCTCATTCCGCTCGATACCCCGTCCCCGCGGCTCCGAGTCTAGTGGAAATCGACCCAGTCCCCACGTGTCAGGAGCAAAGGGCAAGTCGGAGAGGGTTGGCTGCTCATACAATAATCCGCCGCCTGCGAGGAGGACGCGCCCACCCAATCCCATACACATCACTGCTCGCCCGCCATGGCGACCTTCCTGGAGAATGCGTACAGCCTGGTGCATCAGGACAACACCGCCGACCAGCCCTCCCTCCAGGACCTGCGCAACCAGCTGGAGAAAGGCACCGATGAGACCAAGCAGGAGACCATGAAGCGCATTCTGACGGTCATGCTCAACGGCGATCCGATGCCACAACTGCTCATGCATATCATCCGATTCGTTATGCCCTCGAAGAGCAAACCGCTCAAGAAGCTGTTGTACCTCTACTACGAAATATGTCCCAAGCTGGACTCCAATGGCAAGCTCAAGCAAGAGATGATTCTCGTCTGGTAGGACAGCAGGCTACAAAAAGCAAGGGACTCAGGCTAACATACTTTAGCAATGGCATTCGAATGGACCTACAACATCCCAACGAGTACATTCGTGGCAACACCCTTCGCTTCCTCTGCAAGCTACGAGAGCCTGAACTCATCGAACCACTCCTCGCCCCTACCAGAGCATGTCTCGAGCACCGACACTCATATGTTCGCAAGAACGCCGTCTTCGCCATTGCGTCCATCTTCCAGCACTCAGAAGCCCTGATGCCTGACGCTCCCGAGCTCATCCAAAACTTCCTCGAGGGGGAAAGTGACAACACTTGTAAACGCAATGCTTTTGCTGCTCTGCTCAGCATCAGTCACGAGAAGGCATTGGAATACCTCAGTGGAGTGTTTGAAGGCATCCCAAACTCGAGCGAGCTCTTGCAATTGGTGGAGCTGGAGTTTATTCGCAAAGATGCCATCACAAACCAGCAGAACAAGGCACGATACCTCAGGCTGATCTTCGACTTGCTCGAGGCCAAAGACTCCACAGTCGTCTATGAGGCAGCGTCCTCGCTCACCGCTCTCACAAACAACCCAGTTGCAGTCAAGGCAGCGGCAGCCAAGTTCATCGAGCTGGCCATCAAAGAGTCGGACAACAACGTCAAGCTCATTGTATTGGAGAGAGTCAACACCCTCAGGAAAGCGAACGAGGGCATTTTAGATGACCTGACGATGGAGATCCTGCGCGTACTTTCGAGCCCTGACTTGGATGTGCGGAGAAAGGCATTGGAGCTGGCAATGGACATGGTCTCCAGCAAGAATGTCGAAGAAGTGGTAATGCTGCTCAAGAAAGAGCTCGCCAAGACGGTCGACGAGCAATACGAAAAGAACAACGAGTACAGGTCACTCCTGATCCACTCGATCCACCAATGTGCAATCAGATTCTCTGAGATTGCGGAGAGTGTGGTTGGCCTGCTCATGGATTTTATCTCCGATTTCAACAACTCCTCTGCGGTGGATGTTATCTCTTTCGTCAAGGAGGTCGTGGAGCGATTCCCCAAGATGCGCAGTCCGATCGTCGAGAGGCTTGTTTCAACACTCAGCGAAGTGCGCGCTGGAAAGGTATACCGAGGCAGCGTCTGGATCATTGGAGAGTACTCACTTGAACTCAACGACATCAGAGAAGCATGGAAGAGGATTCGGGCCAGCTTGGGCGAAATTCCCATTGTTGCATCTGAGGCTCGACTGCTGGAGGAGCAACCTGATGGGGAACCAGAGCTCAACGATCAAGTCAACGGCCACCCCAAGCCATCTGCACCAACTGGCTCGCGCAAGGTCCTCGCAGATGGCACATATGCTACGGAGAGTGCACTTACCAGCCAGTCTTCTGCAAAGGCCAAGCTCGATGCTGTGAAAGCAGCTCAGAAGCCTCCGTTGCGACAACTTATCCTGGACGGCGACTTTTTTCTGGCCACGGTCCTGTCTTCCACCCTCACCAAACTCGTCATGCGGCACTCTGAGATCTCTACCGATGCCGCGAGAACGAATGCCCTCCGTGCCGAGGCTATGCTCATCATGATTTCAATCATCCGCGCTGGTCAGTCGCAATTCGTCAAGGCACCCATCGACGAGGACTCCGTCGACAGAATCATGTCTTGCGTTGGGTCGTTGGCAGAGTTTGCCCAGAAGAAGGACCTTGAGACTGCGTTCCTGGACGACACGAGAAAAGCTTTCCGCGATATGGTCCAGGTGGAGGAGAAGAAGCGTGCTGAGAAGGATGCTGTCCTCAAAGCTAAGAACGCCATTCAGGTTGACGATGTTGTATCGATACGACAACTCAGCAAGAAGAATGTCGATGGTGCCGAGGAGGCCGAGATCGACCTCGAAAAGGCAACAGGAGGCGATGCTACGACCGAGAACTTGACGTCCAAACTCAGCCACGTGGTACAACTCACTGGTTTCTCGGATCCTGTCTACGCCGAAGCATACGTTCAAGTTCACCAATTCGATATCATCTTGGATGTGCTGCTTGTCAACCAAACACGAGAAACGCTGCAAAATCTGTCTGTCGAGTTTGCTACTTTGGGCGACCTCAAGGTGGTGGAAAGACCAACTACTCAGAATCTTCCAGCATTGGACTTTTTGAACGTTCAGGCTACCATCAAGGTGTCGTCTACCGATACTGGTGTCATCTTCGGTAACGTCGTATACGATGGAGCATCCTCGACCGAATCGCACGTTGTCATCCTGAACGATGTGCACGTCGACATAATGGACTACATACAACCCGCGCAGTGCACAGAGACACAATTCCGAACCATGTGGACCGAATTCGAGTGGGAGAACAAGGTCAACATCAACACCAAGATGCCAGAAGGCACTGGTCTCAGAGATTTCCTGCAACGACTGATGAAGGTGACGAATATGAGCTGTTTGACACCTGACGCGAGCTTGGAGGGCGACTGTCAGTTCTTGAGTGCCAACCTCTACGCCAGGAGCGTATTCGGTAAGTTATCTCGACTGTGTCTTGACCACATTCTTGGTATGATGTACTAACTTTTTGTGTAGGCGAGGACGCACTTGCGAACTTGAGTGTGGAGAAAGAGGGAGACAATGGTCCTGTTACCGGGTTCATGCGGATACGAAGTCGATCACAAGGCTTGGCGTTGAGCTTGGGATCCCTCAAGGGGCTGAGCAAGATTGGAGAATTGTCTTGAAACTAAGCTAGCAGGATAGAGACATGATGACGAGAATCTCACATGGATGCCAATTACGATGCAAGGCGTCCGGAGCGAAGGGGTAGGAAAAGCGAAGCCTGTCTCAGATGGAGGCCCAACAGAGGTCGGGTGGGATGTGGCCAAAAAGCTGGCAAAATGGCATGCTTGTTAGCGGAGACGAAAGGGGGTTGTATTGAGCACTAGATGGCATACGTATTGAGAGGACCAAAAGAGCTTTCTGAACCCAGCCATCTCTCATACCGACTTGGAGAAGGAAGGCAACGACCAACTGGTGAAATGTGCTTTCCAGCTATGCTGCGAGTTGCTTTCACACAACTGACCCAGACACTTATCCCGGCTTCTACATTGCATCTCCAGGGCGCAACAACGACCTCGACCTCGACCTCGCCCTCGCAACAAGTAAAACCTCCCTCACTCCCGCGCCCTCCCCTCCCCTCCCTCCACGCCACAAAATTCCCCTCGCCCCTCCACGCCATCCAAAACGTCTCCAAAATCACCCTCAGCCCTTCACTTCCAATTCCTTTGATCGATTTGACATCGGCGAGCCATGGCCCATGCCACTGCGGCATTTACAAGCACTACCGATGGTCCTCAGATTGGTGCTGGTCTCCAGTAAGGGGCAAAGAGCCATGACCGGTTTACTCTCAGTCATCCGTTGTCAAAGACGAGAGACGATGCTACAATCGAACATGAGCCTGATGCCCTTGTTGACGGTGGCTTCCTGCGTATGTTCACAGGAGGTCAAAATCGAGAACAGAGGGCAAGGACGACCTGCTACTCGTAGTGGGGAAGGGAGGTTCAGAGCATCCTCTGTCCCGTTGATCCGAAGCGGAGTCCATACGCCATCACGCAAAGTCGAAGGCAAGCTATTTGGAAGAGCATGGTCCATTATAAGAGGTTGTCAGAGGTTTTTATAGGAAGACGAGCCATTGTCAACATACGTTTGTTGTTGTAAAACGCACCGGAAACTCCAAGTATCGATTGTCGTCACCATGAAAGTCGTTAGAGTTGTTGAATATCACCAAAACCTCCAGCTAGACGAAGCTCCAGAACCCAAGATCACCTCGCCCCTAGACGTGATTGTGAAGATCGGTGCCGCTGGAGTGTGCAGGTAATCTTGAGACAGTAGCCTTGTTGAACGATCATAGCTGAGAAAATGAACAGAACGGACATACACATCTTGGAAGGGCAATGGGCCGATAAAAGTGGCGTTAAGCTGCCTTACACCATTGGACATGAGAATGCCGGTTGGGTCCATGCGAAAGGCGATGCTGTCACAGGCATCGAAGTCGGAGACGCCGTGATCCTCCATCCTCTGGTGACTTGTGGTTTCTGCCGAGCCTGTCGATTCGGCGACGATGTCCACTGCGAGAACAGCACCTTCCCAGGCATCAACGTCGACGGTGGATACGCAGAGTACTTGAAGACGACAGCCCGCAGCGTCATCAAACTGGACCCAAAACTCAAGCCCGCCGACGTAGCAGCACTGGCAGACGCCGGGTTGACAGCCTACCACGCCGCAATGAAGGCTGCAAAGCTCCTCCGTCCCAGCGAGTTCTGCGTGATCATCGGTGCTGGTGGCCTAGGACACATAGGAATCCAAGTCATGAAAGCCATCAGCGGAGCAACCCTCATTGTCATCGACCGCAACACCGCAGCCTTAGACCTGGCCAAACAACTTGGTGCAGACCACATCGTCCAAGCCGACGACTCTGGCAGTTTCGTAGAGAAAGTCCTCCCCCTCACGCAAAACAAAGGCGCCGAAGCCGTCCTCGACTTCGTGGCCGAAAGCGGCGCCACAGCCACTGGAATCAAAATGCTCCGTCGCGCAGGAAACTACTACGTCGTGGGCTACGGTGAGAATATCAATATCCCGACGATCGATATGATCTCGACGGAGATCAACATCATTGGAAATCTCGTGGGGAGCTATAACGATCTTGTGGAGTTGATGGCTTTGGCGGAGCAGGGGAAGGTCAAGTTGCATACGACCGAGTATAAATTGGAGGATTTCCAGAGGGCGATTGATGATCTTTCGAATGGCAAGGTCAGGGGGAGGGCGATTTTGGTGCCGTAGATGGGTCCTGAGCTTCTCGTTGGAAAGGGAGAATGTGAGTGGCGTGGAGGGGGACGTTCATATGAGTATGCGAAGGCCTTGAACAATAATGTACCTGTCACTGGTGTCCTAAAAGGATGAGAAGGTCGACCAGCACCAAGTAGAGGTGAGGTTAAGGTTGTGTCTGTGTCCATCAAGGTTTCCGGATGGACGAGCCGGAGACAGGGAGGTCAATCCTGAAGGCGTGAGAGACTTAAGAGATGGGATATTGAAACACATATGTCAACTTAAGAATGTCTTGATTGTTTATCACATCCTACTGTTGTACCACGTATATGACATCTGACTCACTCGAATCATTCACGAACACCAGCCATGTTGGGCATGAAGCCAATCCTTCCGGTAGCATCGTCCAAATCACTATGACGAGCGGCATTGAGTCACCATCTGCACCGCCGAGGAATTTGCGACGTGACAATGAAGCAGAATAGACTCTCTTACAGACAGGCATGGTGTGTTCCTCCTCTTTCTTGGCAACGAAGTCCTTCGTGAAGAAAACAGGGAACGAGCCTAAATTGACCGGTCAGAACTGCTCGTTCGCCTTTGTAGCCTCGGACTCGGGCTTCGGGCGGGAATGGAGTATGTTCTGTACGCGGCTTCGTTGTCGTCAGTCGAACGGCGCATTGTGTCTTGTGCTCTCAGCATCGATCGGAGTCCGGCGGCTGGGGCACCATCGAAGTTCTGGGAAGGTCCGGCCTCGATGTTTGTGGATGTCCGTTGTCTCTCTGCCAAGGTCTGCTCATTGTCACGAGAACTTGAAGTTGGTGTTGGGCCGAGTCCAATTCATGCTTTTGAGCGAGTCCAGTTACGAAGAGTTGCCTTCAGTTACGAAGAGTTGCCTTCGTTCTCACCTTATCCAGTATTATAGGAGCGTCTTTTGTCTAAAGAGGTAAAGCCTCCTTCCTGTGGTGCGAATACACTGTAAGAGGGACCCTTAGTTGGCAATGGGATTCACGAGAGCCATCCGACAGATTGTGTGAAGAATCGAGAGTTCAACGGTCGGGTGTGAGCCGAATGATCGATTGCCTTGTCCTTTATGCCTCTCTGTCCATTGGCGAAATCTGCGAGCCGCCCTGGAGTGGGTTGCTGTGATAGCAAAGGTAGGGTCATCGCTGCGGTGTGTTGTCCTCATTCGATCGAACGAAGCAAACGCATATTTCTCAAGCAGCACCTTTCCCGCCAATGCCTTGCACTCGAGTTCGACCGTAGATGAATCCCAATGTCAAGGGTCGATTGTTGCTGCATTCTGAGGACCAGGAGTCATCGGCCCTTTCCAACTCTTTAGAAGTCTGCGATCTTGGCCACTCCCAACCCAGTCTATTCTTCATGCCAACGAGCCAGGTATCCCGACGAACAAGGTGGTCCTGTGTTGTAATGGTATCCATCCTTCTGCCTCGAATGGCCCCTTCTTCTGCAGTCTGGCAAGGTCAAGGAACAGTCCGTCGGCCCGATAATCCGTGCGTGAGCAATGTCCAGGTCTCGAACTGTGAAGTCCATAGCGGCAGTCGGCTACGTGTCAAGCGTGTGAGCGACTGGAGAAGGCCGTGTATAGTCTGCTCAACGCTTGGTACCCTGTAGCGGGCATCTCTCCGTCTTTGCTAGGGGGTCGGCATCCCGATCCGTACGTATTGACAACGATCAAACCTTCGGCTTTAAAAAGTTCAACAATCAATCGAGTCGACGCATCTGGGCAGACTCAACGTAATCGAGGAAGCCACGTCAGGTTTATGCCTCCACCATCACAATCTTGAAAGACACATCTGTGGCACAGCGAAGTGCTGCAATTTCCACTGCAAGCCATGCAACACAATCCACCTCCACTAATGCTCTTCGTTGTGGAGTGGTCTTGGTAATTTCGAACAGCGGAGCAAGTGCACAGCCCCAAAAATCTCGATGCTATTCAACGAGATCTCGCTTGGATGATACCCCGAGGTGAATCCGTGGGAACCCCCTGGTCACAGCAACGTGTGGTTGGTGTTGTGAAGGTTCATGTTTCCCTCTCACGGGGCATCTCGTCGTATCGTCTCATATACAAGTATGTGTTGGCGCCTGGCAGTTTCCTTGCTTGATCCTTCGGTGTGCTGCAATGTTTCAATTTCTCGTCCTCGCTTCTCGCACTGAACAGCCCGGAGAGCCAATGCCGAGCCTTCTCGTCCGGTCGAGGTGGAAATACAAAGATGAAATGACAGGGGTGTTCGCTGCCACCCTTTGCTAGCTGGCCTCACACCTCTCCGTAGAACGTGCAGGCCATCGCGTGACACCAACTGCATAAAGCGGGTGTTGGGCTCGGGAGTAGTCGTGTCCGGAAGGGGTGAAATACTTGCATGCTGCAGCGTCGTGGATGGCGGTCACGCAGAACCAAGCCGGATATGGCATTCGGCAGTGGGTGTTCTCAGTGTTGTACAAGATCAGAGTGTGGCATGGCTCCTCAGGCCTCGATGTGCTGCTAAAGTTGATGCGAGATTTGTGTGTACGATATTCTTTCCAATCGGGTGCGATGAAAGATGGGCGTCCTGTCCGCTGCCTTCGCTACGTACTGATGCCAGCAACAGATCTTGCTGCCTGGACGAATGTGTTGATAGCCCACATGGTCGCTGTTCTGTATGTGATCCGACAGAAGGCCCCGATTCGTGTTCCCTTGACTTGTTGACAACACAACCGTCCTGGAGCGTCGGAGATCGCGACGTGCCCATCAATGCTCAAATAGTGCTGTTTCCCTGTTGCTGCTGTCGCCGATAACCTCCATTGTTCGAGCCTGTACTGGCTTCTCCGCCATCATTTGCGAGCATGAACTTCGTCCCAAATCATCCCGCTTCGTCGCCCTTTTGCCCTCCTGTTACTCCGAATGTGGACGAATGTGTAAATCGCCATAAGCCGAAACGGGTGCACATTGGCAATGCAGTGCACCGAACAACGTATATGTTCAGACAATGTGCCGGAAAGATTCCTCTTTCTGCGCCAGTGCGCTCTCACCGACATCAGCGCCGAAGATCGAGAGTGGTGAATCTTCCCTCGCGCAAGATCCTTCTAGCCATGTCGACCGTGATAGCCACCATACCCGCTGTCTCGCGTCTCTTCTTCGCCAGGGTGATGAAACGACGATGGATCAGGATACCAATTCGCGGGCATCGGTTGCTGAGGGGGGTAGCCAGGCATGACGGGCATGCTTGTGCCTCGCTGGTCGTGTGGAACCATGTATTGCTGATGTTCGACAGGAACTTGCTGAGGAGCCATCTGAACTAAGCGCGGGTCATGTCGCTGCGCCTGAGGGTGTGGCTGTCGTTGCACATAAGAGCCAGGAGCCTGTTGATCGAAAGGGAACATGTACGCGTTGTGGCCTGAATAATCGGCGACTGGGTAAGACATCGACCGAACGGGTTGATGAGTCTGTTGTTGCGGCCAGGCTTGCTGGAGATGCTCAGGAGGGTAGTTCATCGTTTCTGATCGCGTGTTCTGCGGCGGCTGATCCATCGAGCCAGGAAACGGTGCAGTGTCTCCTGCTGTACTTCCGTACCTCGCGAACGGATGTGGCATACTACCAGTCGCAGGGACTGATACTGCCTGAGGATGTGCGCCGAACTCCTGACCGTTCCACGACGGGCTCTCTCGGTGAGGATGCTGGTATTCATGAGGCGCGTAGCCACCTGCAAGATGGTCAGACCGCTTTGCTTTCTCTCTGACCATCTCATCATTACCTTGTGGTGGCATGCCACCGCCAGGGGGTATTGGAACACCCTGAAAGCCTCCCGGAGACTCGGTCGTCGCGTTGTGAAAGCTGCCGCCAAAGTGCTGTCCCGCGGTGTTGAGCTGTCTCGTTACCAGCTGTGTAGGCGACGAAGAGACGGTCGAGGATGCTCCCGATGGTATGCCGGCCTTGCTCGACGCTTCAGATCGAGCGTCCATGGCCGCCTGTTGGTCGACCGGGTAGAAGACGCATTCCTTCTTGAGGCGGATGCAGTTCTGACATCGTTGCTCCGGGTCATCTTCTGCGACCAGGCATCTGATCTTCCGACGACGACAGTGCGCTGACTAGTGTCAGCGGTGTTGCGATCTTGCGCGCGGCGGACGGGTAGGGTGGCGCGTGGCAGGCGGCTCGTAGAGCAGTTTGCAGGGCGGCGCAGCGAAAGTAACGTCAAGACTTACCACAGGCTATGGAGATTCTCTGGTAGCCAAGTTTGTTCCGCTTCTTGTCGGCGGATTCGGCGTCTGACATAACGGCACCGCGCAAGAGCGGAGTCGAGAGAGATTTGGAGAGATGTTTGCTGCCAGGCTTTGTTTTGGACGCCCTGGCCTTTTTCCCATTCGATCCTTCAAACTGTGGGGCTCCCGATGCAGAGGGTGCATTGGCGCGAGCCGCTGTGAGATAGTCGTTGGCAACCGGGACTGCAGCATGGCCTGGTGGCCTGGCAGTTGTCGAGGGGTGTGAGTAGATGTCAGGCGCTGGGAGGCTCGAAGGCATTACAACTGTCCCGGCACAGGGTCAAAGTTGCGGTGACGGCGTGTGGCGTCTGATCCAATCGATGGCAGATCTCTCGCGTCCGCCGAAGGACATACCAATGCAGATTGCAGATGGGGACCTGTCGGTTTGAGTGGTGGCGGCCTGGTCGCATGAAATGACGAAACCCTGTCCGCCTTGTCGGTGCCCACTGCGCAGGAGTGTATGATGACCACTGCACAACGCATAAGCTGCTAAACTAAGGCCCCTAAAGGTGAGGATGCTGCGTCAGGCAATAATAACTGAGAGCCTTTAATGCTGCGTGCGAAGGCCGAGAGTACCAGGGCAATGGACGCGCTAGGGACACATGCGCCGGCAAGGAATGGCTGACCAAACGGGTCAAGAGATCGACGCCAATGACCAACCAATGGACATGTGAACAACAGAGTAGCAGCCCCGATGTATTGAGAGATGATAAACGAATTGGCATGGACAGTCGTGAGAGGTAGGCTCTGTAGGGTAGGCTGCGCAAGCTCGCAGTCGATGAAGGACACAACTCCGATGCGAGCCTAGCCATCTGTGAGTAGCCTGGGGCGCGAAATTGCAGTGGCAAAAGCGACGTGCTCCTCATGGGCCAAGTCGCTGCGTCCATGGCCGACGTTGACGTCGAGGAAGATTTGCAGGGCCACTGCGTAGCGTGACTTGTTAGAAAGCGTGGCTTTCGTTAGCCCGAAGACATCACACCGATTGCGCCAAAACGTTTAAAAAAAAGGATGCCGCCAGCCGAGCCTCTTGTCGAAAGCGGTTCTTCCAAAACGACCAGAGTTTCGCCCAGGGTTAACCGAACCAAGAGCCAAAACCCACGCGCATCATCACCCCAGACGCCATGTGGTGCAATGCCAGTTGGGCGTTCATTTGGTATGACAACGCATGCGACCCAGTTGTATGTACATACAGCTGTCGCCTGCCTGCACATGTGGGAGATCAACCTTCTCAACGCAACCCGAAAATCCTGCTGCGGAGGGCCAGGGAGTTGTGAGGGGCGAAGATCAGATGCCATGCGGCTCTTGATTCCTCATGTGGCACAGCGAGACCTCGGAATTTGCCAGCTGTCGATGGTGTTTTGTGGATGCTTGTTGGTAGCAAGGTTTATGTTGCGAGCTTCTTGCAGTACGTATCTGAGACTGGGCTGCTCGACGGTGCCGACCCTTTCGGTTCCGATCGTCCTATTTGCAATCCACAGTTCCCAAGGAGCTGCCCTTTTGGGAAAGCTGTCTACGTTCCACTGCTGTGGGCTGGATCTGAGTCAGGAGATGAACGTCCAAACTGCTGGAATAGGCCAAAGCATCATGCCACAAGTTGGCTAGCGGGCGTGTGCTGAAAGAGAGCCACATTCGCCAAAGGATTATCGACTTGCTGATTGCATGCTGCGACCATACACAGCGCATTCCTTCGGTCACTGTCCATCACATGTGTGCTCCAGGAGTGGTGTGGCAAAGAGCGTGGCGTCAACTCCGATCGAGGGAAGTGGAGTTAAGATTTGACCTGCTGCGTCGCCCGTGCCAGACGCTGGCGCCAGCCGCGATGCCGCTTGGCTGGCGTGTTTCGCAATGCATGGCGGGTATCCGAGTCACACAACGCAGCGGGAGGCAGCGATGATGGCGCAAACGCACGAGGGCCGGATTCCTGACACACCAACGCACTGCCTGGAGGATGAGGGACTGCTTGTCGACAGCCCCCGACCATCGTCACGACCGACGAAGCGGTTGTGGTGCCGCAGCGTGTGCTTTGGATGACCGCTGTGGCTGGCTTTTCAGGAAGTGATGTCGACGATCGCGAATCACAGATCGTGACCAATGCGCGCGGCCGCTCTGGGAAGCCACGTGAAAGTCAATAGAAAGGTTATTGCCGCCACACAGAGCTGCAGCCAAGATAAGTCCGTCAGAGTGGGAGATCTGCTTGTCAGTCCCTGCTGCCCGCTCCCTTTGCTGCCAAGACGTGCCCTTCTCATGCACCAAAGTGAGACATGTCTCCTCCACGCTCCGATGTCTGGCAGACCTCTCATCGTATCGGCTGGCTGACGGCGTGGCATAGATGAGCTGCACGTGCGCGGCATGCTGCCGCAAGACATGCGGCGTGGTGTGACCGGGGTGGACGCATGGCACGGCACAGCAGGATCAACTCGTACTCGCCCTTTGAAAGTCTTCAGCTGAAGATATCTCCTGCCACTGCTGCACTGTACGAGATCTGCTCGGGCGCAGCGGCAGCACATCCGGCGGCTCTGTTCTGGCGATAGTACGCTGAGATCGGCACATCGCATATCAGTGCCAGACCAGAGTCGTCGTCCATGCTCGAATGGGAACCCGGCGCAATGCCGCCGCACAGCTGTCCTATCCATTCGGCATGTTGACCGCTATCGGTCCTTCTGCATCTGCCTGTCGTCCGGCAAATGGCGACTGCCGCATCGAACCCTTCATCAACGACGGATAGACCGAATGTGAACTCATCATCGGTGAACTCACATGCCAACCTGGGTGAAGCTCGCGAGACCGCTGCTGACGGCGCGAAACCCAAATCGTGAGATCTATATAGAGTAGGCTTTCTGCGGGGACCCCTCAGTGGGCTTAAGCCATGTTGCAGGTCAGATGCGCCTCAAACCTCCTTGGCATTCACATATGCTGTCGAATCTGATGTCGTATCAAGCCACAGGCGCCTCCAGCGATGATATACTGCCCTCCTGGCGGAGGATGATCGGAGAATTTGGCAGCAAGGTTTTGTTCCGAGGTCAGGCGTGATGTGGGGATTGGCATGGAGAGAGGCTTTGACAATTTCACTTCCTCGGACACCCGCCGGAGAAGGCGACATTGTGAGCAATCTGGTTGAAGATCGATAAGCCACCTTCCTACAATTGCATCTTCGACCGACCGCCTATCCAAAGCTAAGTCGCAACTGAGATTCGCTGTATCCACTGCGCAGCAAGGGCACCGGGTGCGACAGTAGTCAAATCACAACACGCCGTACTCTTGCTTATTCTGCCGGCTGGGGACATGAAAAGATGCGGTCGCAACAGACAGTGAAATGACTTTGTGGTGAAAGTGTCATCGTTGAATTCATGAGCCGGTGCAGCCACAAGCGCAGTGGCGTCCTAGCTTGACTATGTCGACGACGTTGCTGCATGCGCGATGGCATCTGCGGCGTCACAGCAGACCTATAGTCAGTTTGAAGACATTTACAGTTCCAGTCGTCTTCCAGGTCAGGGCCGATCAATGAGCGGTGGTTCTGACCGCCAACGCGCGGTTGAGTAGCATCTTGAAATCCAGCTCCTTGTGGTCTTCGGGCATGTACTCTCCAGAGGCGATACAGTGCACCTTCATGTTGCGGTGATAGCGAAGGTTGGGGAGCAACTTTGGCGTGATGAGAAAGTACTGGCTGGTATGCTCTGCGCAGGCAATGTCTACCATTCGGGAATGGACGAGTCTGTTCAAGAGGTCAGTCTATTGCTCTGTTTGGGCACCTCAGTGACATACCTTTCGTTGCGCGGATCCATGCCCTGATTGATCTCATCTACGACACGGAAGGGGGCTCTCGCAAGGCTTTGCAGCGCCATCAGGTAAAAGATGGTGGAAACCGCTCGTTCTCCACCAGATTGTCGGTGCGAATCGAGAATGCTGAGCTCCTCCTTCTCCCTGAAAATCACCAAGGGTCAACAAAGGCCGCAACATGTGTTAGTGCAAGCACTTACCTGAATTTGACTCTGATTTGAATGGCCCACTGTTCGAAGTCCTCATCCTTGTGTATCGCAACCTCGCCTGCGCATCCAATGCCTTGAAAATTCTCGGCGAAAGCTGTGGATATTTGGTCGACGATAATGTCCAGTTCGGGTTCCCATTTCGCCCTGATGTCATCTATCTTGTTGCTGAGCTCTTCGAGGCTGCGTTGCAATCTGTCCCGTTGTACACGCTTTTCTTCAATCTTCTGAGCACGCTGCTCGAATTCCCGGATCACGTTCTCATTGCCACCCAGCAAAGAGTCGAGTGCTGCTTGTGCGGATTGGATCTCAGTTTCCAATTGGTCCTTGTCCCATGAGCCGGAATGCTCGTCATGATAGGCTTGCTCTTCCTCGTTGAAGCCGTCGCGCGCAGCAACACAGTGCTCCTGAAGGGCCTTACCCCTGTCAAGTGCTTGGCGCTCTATGGCGCGCAGTCGCTCGACTTCTGCCTTCCTCTCTCCCAGCTGTCGCTGGTCTTCAGCACTGCGAAACTCCAACTGATCAACGTCTGACGTGGCTTCAATGCACGATATTTCGGCCTCGAGCACCTTCCGATGGAGATCTCGCAGACTCTCCACAGTCGCTGCATAGTCCAGGGCTTGCTGGCCTTTCCTCAAATGGTGATCGTCAATCTCTCGCAGAATGGCCATTTTCCTTTGCCCTTGCTGCAGTACCTGCGCTTTAGCGTTATTCAATTTCTCCTCAGCGGCCTCGAGTTTGGGCTCGAGGCCGTTGTACTCCGTTTGCTGCCTTTGCTTTCGCTCCTTCTCGTCCTTCAGGGCTTTTTGATCTGCCTCCAGTTTGGCTTTGCCGACTCTCAGCTCGGTGAAGCGCTTGTGGACGCTGTGCATCTCTTCCTTTATCTCGTCGAGCTCTCCTTGAGCCTCCGCGATACGCCGATTGATGTCTCTCTCTTGTTGTGTGTCGACTGGCGCATCAGTGAGGAAGCTCGCTGGCTTAAGAGACTGAACACGACTGGTAGCATGATCGCCGTATTCTCGGCGGCGGATCACTTGATAACTCTTCGTTTTCGTTACCCAAGCATTGATGGAACTCCGCTGAAGAGACTCAAATTGTGCGTTCGAGGTCTCGCTGGTGCTGAACGCAGTCGCATGAAGGTTTCTGTTGTCACACAACATCGCAAGCACTTCCCTAGGCCCTTCAATGAGGTTAATCAACCAGGACTGCAGGCCAAATTGTCTCAGGTCTTCCTCGGAGCAGGGTGCACGGAAGTCCTCCAAAGGCTGGAGAGAAGAGCGAATGTTGATGTCAGTGAGCTTGAGCTTGCGATACAGCTGCTCGTCCAGGACCTTGAAGTCCCGCTGCGATGTGACAGTGAATGCTAGCAGTTCAGCTCTCCCGAGTACGTATTCCACCTGGCTCGCGTGATCAGTGTCCTTGAGTGAGCATTCGATCATAGCTGGACCGAAGACGGGACCTTCGAAAGCGTTGCGGTTGGCCTGAATCCAGTCCCAGGCTTGGGCCGTGTCCGCGGATTGGTTTTTCAACTTGTTTGTCTGTCTGCCAGCCTGAGACTGAAGGTTCTCCTTTTTCTTTTCCTCCTCGGCAATGATCTCTCGGCGTTGTTGAGCCTGAGTTGTGAGGCTGTCTTTGTTCTCGTTGATTTCGTTCATCTCTTCATTGAGCTGGCGAATACGACCAGTCAATTCTCGGACTTGGTCGTTGATTTCTGCGGCATTGAACGGTTCTGGCGGACTCTCCATCGTTTTCTTAATGCCGCGAATCTGGTTCTGCACACTGTTGATCGTGCCCTTTGCTTGTTTGGCACTTGTCTTTTCGGCATTCAGACGCTTGCCACATTCTTCAATGGCGGTCTTCGTGTCGATGTAATTCTTCAATTTCCTTTCCGCATCCTCTTCGCATCTCTTGAGAAGTCGACTGCGCCCAGCGGCGAATTTCTTCAGTCGGCCGCAATACTCGTTCTTCTTCTCAATGGCATCGACATTCGGCTGGATCTTCCGCTCCAGAATTTGAAGCTCCTTGTTGGCCTCCTTTCTCCGGACTTTGGCCTCGCCGTGCTCCTTGACGAGTTGAGCGTATTCTGCATACGGTCTCATCTTCTCAAGCAACGCCAGCTTTGCCTGGAGGGTCGTGCGCTCTCGCAATCGATTGACTTCATCTTCCTGTGATTTCTGCCGGTCCTCCATACTCTTGAGGGTCTCGATCAAGCCCTGTTGCTCAGTCTGCTTCTGCTTCTGCTCTTTGCCCATGGTTTTCAGCTGGTCATGCCAGTCGGAAACATGTTCTGGAGCTGCAGCTCTTTGAGTTTGGACTAACAAGTCGACAGGTGACAACGCGGCAAACTCCACGACTCGGTCTTGGGGCAGAAACTGGCAGAGGTTGTCGACTTGGATTGAGAAGCTGCGAGCGAGCTCCTGTGCCGACTTGTGATTGCTCTTCTTGCCGTTAATCAGCCAAGTCGACTTGTTCTGGCCTGATTTGCTGCCTCCGTCACGATTGATCTTGTGTGTAATGACTGGATTTTCTGAATGGCGCTCGGTATCAGCTTTGAGCTCGATTTCAATCTCTGCTTGCTTTCGCCCATGCTTGACGAATTCGCTAATGTCTTTGGCTCGACCGAGGTGGGAAGTGCTCCAGCCGAGACCGATGCAGATAGCACAGACGAGCGTGCTCTTGCCCGTGCCATTTGGCCCAATGACCATGTTCAAGTTGGGGCCGGGGAAGAACTCGGCATGAGTGTAAGTCACAAAGTCCTTGAGAGTGACACGCACGATAGATCCCGGATGATGCTCCTGTTCGCTGTTGCTCTCTACGTCTCTCGCCCGGGCTTTGCCCTTTGGAGAGCGCCGATAGTTGTCGGGTAAGACGGGGCCATCTTGAGACTGATCTGAATGTAAGCAAGGTCATTATATCGTCTGATACGGATCTGGTACCTCATCGTCTTCAGTGCCAGAGTCATCGCCATTCAGTCTTCGGCGTTTGCTGCCGGGCGTGTTGTCTTCGTATAGCTCCTGATCAGAGTTTGATCCGTTGTCGTCTTCTCGTCGTCGCCTCCGTGAGCCCGAAGGGCTCGACATGGCGCAGGTTTCTGCTCGAGATGTAAGAGGTGAGGTCCGACCTCGAAGACGCGCTGGCAAGTCGCGACAGGAGCGCGTGCCAAATGTCGACGTGTGACTAAAGTGTTAGCCGAGAATTCACTTCTGACTTCCAGTCAACTTCAGATTTGCGTCGCTCGCAGTCATCCATATGAGCAATCTGATATCCTGGTATTTATGGATGAAGAATCGATTATAATATCCTTGACGCTTCAACTTCGGTGACTTTGGGGCCACTGCGCACGTGCAAACCAACATGGCGCAACCGAACTCACAAGCACCTCGAAACCACGCTGGCAACGGCCAGAAGAAACGAAGAGAACACCCAACGGACGCGAAGAATGACTCGCACAAACGAGCGAAGACAGATCATCGAGCCAAGCAACGTGATGCACGTACCCTGTCTGCTCAGACCTCTTCCAAAGCATTCAGGAACGGCGAGTTGGATGTGGACAAGTTCGTGAAATCGCGCGAGTACGAGATCCGAGCGCTGGAGGAGGGTATGGCGAGGAGCAAGAAAGCTTTGACAACGCGAGCCTTTCAGCATGTCCCGAAAGAGCTGAGGAGACGGACGGCGAGCCACAATGTGAAGCGTGTTCCGAAGCGGCTGCAGCCCAGGGCAAAGAGGGAGGTATGTGATTACTCGTCTGACTGTGATTGAAGGTGGGTGGCATTTGTTACATGGAGGACTGCGATAACTGAGAAGCTGCAGATGATTGAGGACAATACGCCTACCGTCACAGCCCGTAAGAGGAAACCCACGAGGCACATGCGACTCAGATTGGAAACGGCCAAGCAGCTCCGGGCGCTAGGTACTCAAAAGAAGCGGTCTGAAGAGACCAAGAAGAAGCGGGATGGCGAGAAGAGCGTTCATGGGTCGCAGTCGGTCAGCTCAAATGCACCGGGCAGAGGACAGCCCAGTCTACACACGCGTATCTCTAAAGTGAAGAAAGTGGTGCCCGCATTTCCCCCACTCGCAAAAGCCAAGTTTCGAAAACGACAGATTCACAAGACCTGGCTACCCACGCATATGTTTCACGCCAAGCGGGCTCGCATGACAGAGCCCAAGGATCCGCTCTGGCGCTTCGCGATACCGCTCACGCCCACAGCAAAGAGCTACAGACCAACTCACAGAGCCGCCAACGATCGAGGTGCAGTTGCTTGGGATGCAAGTTACATGTCGACTATTGGTCTCGAGGGCCAGCAAAGGAGCATTGTAGGTATGCTCAAAGGCCTAGGCGTGGGATCCTATCATCCGAACTTGTGGCAAGCCAACGGCGAGAAATGGAGAAACGGTACTCGCGTATGGGAGGGGTTTGCCTTCGAGCGGGAAGCACCTCACAGACCTGTTGCTCCTGTTACGGTCATCTGGTGCGTGCCAGACAACAAGCTAGCAGAAGCCGAGAACCGCCAGAGAAAGGCTTTCGTGAGAGTGCACCCATCTGCATTTTGGCAAATCTGGGAGGAACTCGTTCGCCTTGCGAAAGTGATAAAGCCACAGGCCAGCGTCCAAGATCTTCGCTTCGAGATTGGAAGCATTGAGATCACAGGACCAGCGGCAACGGAAGCACTGCAAGCGGCGTTGTGGCCGACCTCGAAGCAAGACAGCCCGGACGCGAAGGGCTTTCAAAGCGTGGAAAGATTGTGGACCGCATTGGACAGCCTGGTAAACCCTGACATGCTACCTCCAGATGTTTTGTTGGGCTTTGAAGTCCAAGATCCTCGACTCCATCACCCGCCTCGCAAGGTCGTACCGCGAGCGTCTGAATATGAACAGGATCAGCTCCTTGAGCTGCTTGCTTCCTGGCCGTTCGACGCAGCACAACGACCTCCCACCATCTTCGATCGTCGCACTCGTCTGGCCGCTTCGTCCTCATTGCCAAGCCAGAAAGCCATCAACCGAAGAAAATCTCTTGCCCCACCTGGTGAATACCCTGCACCGTCCTCGAAAGATCCTAGAATCCCAATTCTCCTGTACCGTACTTCTGAGAGGAGTCATTCGCGGAGTACATGCAGTCTGCTCCTGCCCTGGAAATGCGTTCAAGCGGTGTGGTACAGTTTGATGTACTGCCCGCTGTCTACGGGTGGGCAGCCACGGTTCGGGGGACTCGATGAGAGGCGACAACTGGCTTTTGAGATCCAGCAGCCGTGGTTTCCCGCCGATTTTCCGGGAACTGAAGCCGGTTGGCAATGGGAAATGAATGAGCGTAAAAAGCGCGAGGGTGAATGGAAGCGTAGACCCAAGTCTAAGCGCATCAATTGGCAATCCGTCGATACTGGATCTGGAAGAAAGGGTGAAGTTGGCACAGGATGGGCCTGCGATTGGGAGAAGTTGATGTCTGAACCAAGCTCAGAAGCCAACCTTAGCGGGAAGACAGCTCGCGACGCAGAAACGCGAGCAGGTACTCTGCAACCAGCAGACATGATGCATCTTCCGGGACTTCAAGCTCGAACTGTCCTTGTCGGCCAAATTCGCTTTCACGAGGATGGGAATGCGCAGCGCACACTCGTTACGGTTCGCATCAAGCTACTCACGCGTGGGGTTCCGCAGACCTGTGCGCGAATCTACCGCCTTCCTTCCGCCAAAGGATCTAGCCAGCTACGCAGACGTTGGTTGACTCTACATCCGAGAGAGCAGGCTACAAGACGCCGAGGGCCCAAGAACGGATTGCCCAAATTGCCCAAGGATGCACCAGACCACCTTGTGCAACGCCGGCTTGCTCAGTCTCTGCTCAATCCACCTCAGGTGGGACACAATGACTACCCAGGCTCTCCCGGTGAAGAAGATCTGATTGGATTCGTCACCACTGGCAACTACAATCTCGGAGAAGGGCAAGGGACGGGCATTGGTAGCATTGTGCTGAGCAAGGTGCTGAAGGATGTTAGCGACAATGAGAAGGACAGCAATCTTTGCATAGTGAGGAACTCGGGCGATAGCGCAGGGAGGCTCGCGATCTGGGAGGTTGCTTGAGTGTAGTTTCCAATATAAATTCAGGAAACTGAACAGATTGCTATCCTGTCTGCACGTGAAAATAATGCAGCTGCACAAGTGACTCCCCCGCTCGTGATAGGTTCTCGGTTGACCTTCCGCAAACGCGAGTGATCCGTGCTCAAATTCTTGACTCCGATAAGTTCGACTCTCCGCTGTCAAACCTCCTCTTCTGCCATCAACCATCCACCAACCGACGTCGCCCATCATGTCGTGGAGACAGAACCTGGGCCAGACCGGCGCCAACACCATCCCTCTGGGCAACAAGCGACGCTTTGGCGGCGACGACGACGCGCCCGCCGCCGACTTCGACTCGAACGGTCAAGACAACAAACGCGGTCGCAGTCCTGAGCGCAAGGCGCCAGAGCTCAACCCCGACGGCACCAAGAAGCGTCGCAAACGCAACCGATGGGGTGATGCAGCAGACAACAAAGCGGCGGGTCTCATGAACTTGCCCACTGCCATCACGGCGCCCATGACGGCCGAGCAGCTGGACGCCTATGTCACTCATCTGCGTATCGAGGAGATCAGCCAGAAGCTGAGGATCAACGATGTCGTGCCCGCTGATGGCGACAGGTGAGTGCCCCTATGCTTAAGAACATTGACACCAGACACTGACCAAATGACTACAGATCGCCGTCGCCCCCTCCCCAGTACGACAACTTCGGTCGCCGTGTCAACACGCGCGAGTACCGCTACCGCAAGAAGCTCGAGGATGAGCGCCACAAGCTCATTGAGAAGGCGATGAAGATCATCCCTAGCTACCACCCACCATCTGACTACCGTCGCCCCACCAAGACCCAAGAGAAGGTCTACGTGCCGGTGAACGACTACCCGGAAATCAACTTCAGTATGCATAGCAACCCACTAACCCTTTCACTTATCCACACACAAGCTCTTTTGCTGCACTCTTTGTCCACGGCGATCGAAAGCCGTACTAACCCCTTAAAAAACTAACGCACCACACCCTTCAGACATGAACCATGACTAACACTTAGCTTTCTCCCACTAACAGTCGGCCTCCTCATCGGCCCGCGCGGTAACACACTCAAGAAGATGGAGACTCAGTCAGGTGCCAAGATTGCTATTCGCGGCAAAGGCTCTGTCAAAGAGGGCAAGGGAAAGTCTGACGCTGCACATGCCAGCAACCAGGACGAAGACTTGCACTGTCTCATCATGGCAGATACCGAAGAGAAGGTCAACAAGGCGAAGCAGCTGATCCACAACGTCATCGAGACGGTAAGACGATGCATGTGTCGGATGACGAGAATTAATACTAACACAACAAAGGCTGCCTCCATTCCAGAAGGCCAAAACGAGCTGAAGCGCAACCAGCTTCGTGAGCTTGCCGCGCTCAACGGTACCCTCCGCGACGACGAGAACCAGGCCTGCCAGAACTGTGGTGAGATCGGCCACAGGAAGTACGACTGCCCACAACAGCGCAACTACACTGCCAACATCATCTGCCGTGTCTGTGGCAACGCAGGCCATATGGCACGCGACTGCCCCGATCGTCGTCCAGGCGCGGACTGGCGCAACATGCCACCACGTCGCGGACCGGAGAATGCCCTCGACAACGAGTACGAGGACCTGATGAAGCAAATTGGCGGCGGCGACACTTCCGTGCCAACTCGCCAGATCGGCTGGGAAGAGGGCGCCGCTGGCGACGCGAACGGTGGTGCTCAGCCAAGAGTCGCTCCATGGCAGCGTGGTCCGACTGGCGCCCCTGCTCCATGGCAGCAACGCCAGCAATCGTCGGGTGGTCCAGCCCCATGGCAGAATCGTGGAGGCAACGACGACTATGGCAACGCCGGCGGCTACAACGGCGGCTACAATGCAGGACACTCATCTGGTGGTCCTCCACCATGGATGCGGCAGCAGCAGCAGCCTGCCGGCGGTGCAGCACCATGGCAGCAGCAACAGAATCAGAACTACGGCTACGGAGCACCCCAAGGTTACGGAAACGGCTACGACGCCCCGCCTCCACCACCCATGGACCTTCCACCCCCACCGTAAGTTCAAAAACCGGTGTTTGATGATCTCGAGATGTGACTGACCACTACGCAGACCACCTTCGGACATTCCACCACCACCTCCGCCAGCTTAGACTGTGCTTCTTGCGACTGACCGATGAAATAGCTGACACTGTGAAAGGAGCCCTCCGGCTGACTGACTTTCCGTGCACCTATTAGATTGCATAGCGAGTAGAATAGCCTCACCAGAATGAATGCGTTTGCCTTGAAATCTTCGAGTACCTCGTCTATACCTATCTCTTCCGTTCTGATCACGTGCAGTCGTGCTTCTCGCGCTTCCCGCTTCACGATCTCTACGTCACTCTTGTAGTCACACTTCATGTTCCTTTCAGCATCAGCGACTATTCCGAACTTTTCACCACACTCGACATGATACACGATCTGACTCCTCGAAATGGGTGTCACGGGACTCTGGCAGATTGTGCAGCCCTGTGCGCGGCCCATCAAGATTGAGACACTGAACCGAAAGCGGCTGGCTGTCGATGCGAGCATCTGGATCTACCAGTTCCTCAAGGCCGTTCGCGATAAAGAAGGCAATGCACTGCGCAACAGCCACGTCGTCGGGTTCTTCAGACGTATATGCAAGCTGCTGTTCTTCGGCATCAAGCCCGTATTCGTCTTCGATGGAGGAGCCCCAGCACTCAAGCGACAGACCATCAGGGCCCGAAAGTCCCGAAGGGAAGGCAGGCGCGATGATGCGGTGCGGACTGCAGGCAAGCTGCTCGCCGTGCAGATGCAGCGCCGTGCGGAAGAGGAAGAAGCGCAGCGGAAGGCAGAAAGAGACCGTGAACATGAGCAGGAAGAGACGGTGCCTGATGAAGGGCTGGTATACGTGGACGAGCTGCAGATGACACAACAGGAGCGCCAGCAGAACAGGAAGTTCCGCAAAAAAGACCAGTACCATCTCCCAGACCTAGATGTATCCCTCAGTGAGATGAGCGGAGCCAACGACCCTCGTGTCATGTCTTTGGAAGAGCTGCAGACTTACGCCCGGCAGTTCGACACGGGCGAGGATATCAACGTATATGACTTCTCCAAAATCGACTATGACAGCCCGTTTTTCATGTCTTTGCCTGCCTCTGATCGATACAACATCCTGAACGCCGCCCGGCTCCGCAGTCGATTGCGTATGGGGTATTCCAAAGATCAGCTGGATACCATGTACCCCGACCGCATGGCCTTTTCAAAGTTCCAGATCGAGCGCGTTCGTGAGAGGAACGAGCTTACACAGCGTTTGATGCATTTGAACGGCTTTGAGGGCACGGAGTTTGGAGGCGGGAGAGTTGCTGGCGAAAAGGGCAGGGAATACGTCTTGGTCAAGAATGATGGTGTTGAAGGTGGTTGGGCTCTGGGAGTCATCACCGACGAAGGCAAAGAAGAGATGCCTATCGATGTTGACAGACCGGCGCCCGCGATCAAGCAGCACCAAGACGAATGGGAAGACGAGGAAGACGATTTCGAGGATGTGTCTGTTGCTGGTCTAAACCGACTGCCGAAACGACCGACTCAGAACGACGAGGTAGCCGATAAGCTAATGGAACAGCGACGTGCTGTTTACAGCTCGCGGAAACAAGCTCCCAAACCCAAGCCGAAACGCGTGGCTAAGAAGGACCGCAGCGAATTGTTTGTGCAAAGTAGCGAGGACGAAGAGGAAGACTGGGAAGAAGTGGAAGAAGACAGAGATCTGTTCGGCGATGGTGAGGGCGAAGGTTCAGAGGATGAGGAGCTGCGCAAGGCCATTGCACTGTCGCTACAGAAAGAAGATGGCGGGCAGGGCCAAGGTGTGGAAGGCGATGCAGTTGAAGATGAAGACGATGACATGCTCGAAGTCTTTCAGCAGTCTGCCGTGGAAGAGCAGAAACCCGTTCCAAAGGGGAGCGGTCGAGATATTGCGAGCATCGTGAATAAACGTGCTTTCAACACGGCCCCAGAAAGCCGTGAGATCACATATTTTGGTGTTCCGCATGAGAAATCTGACGAAAGCGACGAAAGCGATACCATGGACCTGCAAGCAGCGCTCGCTGAGAGCCGTAAGACTAAACGAAAGACCAGCCCTCCACGACGGCCGCAAGTGCCTCCAAAACGCACCGAGTCTGCCACTGACATTGCCAAACAAGCTGGTTTCAAGGGACCTTTACCGTTCGAGAAGCTTGACCTCGGCTCGTCGCTGCTAGGAAAAAGGAAGATGCAGGAACGTACCGAGGAGACAGCCGGAGGCTTCGAGAACCCTGAGCTTGCTGAGAAGCAGAAGAAGAAAACGGCAGAGCCCCTTCCGCCATGGTTCTCAGGCGATCTCGAGGCTGATATTGAAGCTCAAAATGCTATCGAAAGCGAAGACCGCCGAAGAGCTCGTGAGTTCGAGAATCAGTTTCAGTTCCAAGACAGGGGTGCGCCAACGCTACGACGGGACCCGACGAACGAGGTCATTGATCTTGAAGCGGATGACATCAATGAGCCATCCGGTAAAGCAGAAGTAATCAATCTCGAGGACGATGGCGAAGCAGCAGCAGCTCCTGTCGACCACATCATGGAGAAGAACCAGCTTACAATTGCCATTGATGACGATGCGCCAAGTGTGACTCCAGACAGAGACGTGAATATGGGAGACATTGCGGATGAAGTGCGCGCAGAGCCTGAAAAGGCTTTCCCAGACCCAAGTGTGGACATGGCTGATGTTCCGCCTGTCAGGAGGGTCGAGAAGGAACAGCCTGAGGAGAGAGTAAATGTGCGGTCCGCATCCCCAGCAAAAGCACGGCATGCAGATGAAGAAGACGAGGCCCTGGACTGGAGCGACAGCGATCATGAGGAAGATCGTCGACGTATGCCTGACGACAAAAATGGATTATCCACTGTAATGCAGAAAGATCGATCTGCAAATGACGCTACTCCGGCCACATTCGCTTCCAACTCCAAGGACGCAGACGATGAAGATGAAGATGAAGATCTAGGCTTTGAGGACGTCGAGATCCCGGATGCGCCGCCTGCCCAGAGGGAGCAGGAGGCAGTTGAGGAAGATGACGACCAACCCAGGCCACCTACTCTACCGGCTCAAGAAACAATCCCAGAAGACGATGACGAGTTTGATGACTTCTCCGACCCTGAAGAGGCAGAGATGCTTCGCCAATTGACATTAGAGGCCGAGGAACATGCTCGTTTTGCTAGTAGTCTGAACAACAAATCCACGGCGCAGAATATCCAGGAGTACGAAAAAGAGCTCAAGCAATTACGGAACCAGCAGAAGAAGGATCGCCGTGATGCCGACGAAGTCACACAGATCATGATCCAAGAATGCCAGGCACTCCTTCGCTTGTTTGGTCTGCCATACATCACGGCGCCAATGGAAGCTGAAGCACAGTGTGCAGAGCTCGTTAGCATGGGATTGGTCGATGGTATTGTCACCGATGATTCTGACTGCTTTCTCTTTGGCGGCACTCGAATCTACAAGAACATGTTCAACCAAGCCAAATTCGTGGAGTGCTACCTCACGTCTGACTTGGAGAAGGAGTTTGATCTCAGCAGGGACAAGTTGATCGCTGTAGCGCATCTGCTGGGTTCTGATTATACCGAAGGCATTCCTGGCATCGGTCCTGTGACTGCCCTCGAGATCATCTCTGAGTTTGGTTCACTTACTGCATTCAGTGACTGGTGGACAGCCGTGCAGATGAACCAGATCTCCAAGGAAGAAGACGCCAAGAACCCCTTTCGGAAGAAATTTCGACGGAATGCAACCAAGATGTTCCTCCCACCTGGATTTCCAGACGAGAGAGTCAACCTCGCGTACAAGACTCCCGATGTCGACCACAACCCCGAAGCTTTCCAGTGGGGAGTGCCAGATCTAGGTGCTCTTCGGTCTTTCCTCATGGCAACGATTGGGTGGACGCAGGAACGCACTGATGAGGTCCTCGTCCCGGTCATCAAAGACATGAATCGTCGTCTGGATGAAGGTACCCAAGCGAACATCACCCATTTCTTCGATGGTGCCGTCGGCATCGGTGCGGCCGGGGCTTCGAGCAGTGCTGGTAAAGGCGAGGGCTTTGCACCTAGAAAGCGAGCTGCGGGAAGCAAAAGGATGGGCAATGCTCTCACGAAGATGGCTGAGCATGCGAAGCGCAACAGGCAACTGAGGGAAGGCGATGTTCCTTGCACTGAGGACGGAGATGCTGCCGACGAGGAGGAGCCGACAAAAGGTGGCAATAACACAGCAAAGAGACGAAAGACCAAGGCCACAGCATCAGCCAATGCTTCTGCCACCGCCAGTGATGGCGACGACAGCAGCGAGTTCAACGAAACCCGCAGTAAGAAGACGAAGGGAAAGAAGACGGCGAAAGCTACAAGGGGCACGTCCCGCAAGAAGAAGGCGGTTGAATGAGAAACCCGATCGGCTGTGAAGTCGATGCGGGCATCGCCTTAGGCGTCTGACAAGTACCTCGTAATTGCAACTGAACGCTTGTCTTGAGCGCCTGAAGTCGATTCTAGCTTTGAGGAGCCGATTTATGTACGTCGATCGCCTGCGTTGACGGTGCTGCTGCCGGTAGAAGGAACGATCTCCTTCTCCATCTGATCTCGAGAAGCCGATGTGTTGCGTCAATCGGTAAATAGGTTGACTTGGTCACTTCGCCAGCTCACTTTCCAAGCCTGTATTATCAACCTAATGCTGCTTGCAGCGTCTTCCCGCAGCCTAGTCTCGAGGACAGGAGGACACGCCTTATCGTCGTACCAAAGGTCGATGTCTCCAATCGTTCTCTCCACCGGTACGTACCCTTTGACATCACGATCCCTCCCGGAACCTTGAATTTGCTTTTGCCCTTTTCGGGCGAGACACATGTCCAGCGTGGTTGGGGATATTACTCAGCTGGGCGAAGCATATCGACCCCTCCATTGAACTGAGAAGGCTGGTGGTCAAGAGGGGAATCGGATGTCTTGTGGACGGTTCGTCAAGTCGATCGACGTTTGATATCTTACAACTACTCCGTCTCTGAACGCTTCGAGAAGGTTTTTGAGTATATACAACATCTCTGGAATCGAAACGAAACGTGCTGCCTCGCAAGAAGGGCTCTCCCCCTCTTCTCGGCGGCTCCTCCGCCTCTCTCTTCTTGCTTTTTCGCCCTCGGTTGTGCGAATACCAAGGCCATTGATCGTCGACAGGGCTAGCGTCAGCTGAGTGTGCATTGGCTCTGCATGAACGCTCTGCGGTCATCGTCACCCGTCCCGTGGCATCGGTGTCAGATGTAGATGTGCGAAAGCGGCGATCTGCTTTCTTAGATCTCGTTGAGATCGATGTGCATAGCCTGATATTCGGTACCTGCTTGCCCAATGTGAAGATATGTCCACGCTCTTGCCTCCGTTGTGTAGTCGTGTCGCTGTCAGAAGGTATAACGCAGCATGGCGACTATCCTTCGATAGTGTCAATCACGGCGACATTTCCTGGCGACAGGTACCCAGAGTCTTCTCACTGAGCATATTGAGAAACGCATCCGTCAACTTGGATTGTCATTCGGGCCAGAACTGACCAAAGTAGCCGTCCTGCGAAGTCTGGTGCTGTGGAAGGTCGGGTGCGGCTTGTGATGTTGGGGTGTCGAGGAATAAGTTCGTTTGTTGCTGGCCTAGGTTCATGTTCTGTATGCTCTGCCCGGGAGAGAGCATCAAATCGCCAGCGTTGATGTCCCACCAGGATGAGAAGTCATTCAAGCCGGGAGTCATTCCTGTCCCTGGCGTCCGATTCGCCAGTAGTAGTGCCATGTCATCGAATATGCCGTGTTCTGTCAGTGTGTTAGCAAATGTGTCGGCAAAGAGACTGTTGGTCCATCACGTACGGTTCTGAAGCACATCGTAACGACCGTCGAATCCGCCCGGCGACGGTAGAGGGAATGCGATGGTCTGTCGCCTGGACAACATGTCGTGTGTATCGTTGACGTTCTGTTGTCGGTTCGCCATGAGTCGCAAGGATTGCGCCTGCTCCTCCAGGGCGCGGGCGGTTGAGATGAGGCTCGGCGCATCGTCATTCGGGTCGTCGGTCCACCACGGTTCGTTGTCTTTGATCTGCGCCCAGTCGACAGGTGATGGTTCCAGTACAGCTGAGGGCGGTTGTGCACCAGGAGAGGCTTCCGATGGTGGCCTAAGATGAGGAACATCGAAGCTTCTCGAAGTCTGGTGCCTGATGGGCTCAGGCTCGAGGCGCCAGGTATCAACTCTGAGCCCAGAAGGCATAGCAGAGTGGGCGGTACGAATACTCTCAAGCTTACTGCCAGACATAGAGGGCGCCTCCAAGGTTAAGTCAGTGGGTTGTGAAGTAGTCGGAGAAAGGATGCGCTCTCCAAGCTCTGGCTGCGTGCTGGCGTATCCCGAGTCCTCACTCCCGGTGGAAGTGTTATGCTTCAGATCCGAAAGGGAAGGCCTCTTAGGTCCAGTCTTCTTGGTCGAGCTGATTCTCCTCTTGCGGTCGATGCCTCCAGATGGTATGGGATCCAGTATAATAGAGCCGCCATCCCTTCGAGGTCGTTTGCGTTCTGGCATGCCCTCGCAGACCAATCCTTTCGCTCGACATGTCCGACAGTTGATCTCGCCACTGCACTGTCGAATTGTCAGGGACCGTGTTTCGAAGGCAAGGGTCATGATTTGAAGGCATACCTTAATCTTCTTGCGACGACAGGTCATACATGCAGCTCGCACTCGTCCGGAGAGGTTCTCTTTGTGCCCAGGATCTGATATGAAGCGGTATGTCCGCTCATTTGGGAACGTTGGCGAGTTTGGTTCCGACATACCGACTAATATATGTGAATCAGGTTGCGAGGGTATTGTTTCCGTAGCACTTCAAGCACCCCAGCTTGAGAGGAGGCCAAGGCTCCGATGTTCGCTGTTCACCCTAGTCATTCATGAGTAGTCGTGTGGAGGTGCGTTCGATATGTCTGGAGATGGGAAGCGACATATATCCACGTGATGCCGTGGGAACGGCCTGGCAGTATGCGGGAGCGCAAACCAGCAGGTGCGCCGTATTTTGTTTAGAACCTAAGTCTCGAGTGATCCATTCAAGTTGAGAAAAGGGTAGCGGTGGCTGCACCCCGCTTGAGAGGGAGCATGACGCGCCACTGATCAGGCATGTCGACGGGACCTATAACCAATCGAACGGTTTTCAATTATTCCCGTTTCCAAATCAATCGTGCGAACGCTGCACGCAAAGGACTGTGGTAAAGGCCTCCGAGAAAGCGCTGCTAGCGTGCGGCGATTAGGCGAGAACGTAGGGAGACCTGATTCCCGTTAGCGGGAAATAAGCTGCAGCTGCTGATCGTCCATATGGGGTGAAAATCTGGGGTATCAGCGTTGGATCAGAAAGTAGACAGACGACGATCTCGCCTCTTGGGTCTCTTAGCCAGCAGGTGCCTCCGCCTTTGTGGCATACGTATGCAATTCATGATTTGCCAGCAGCATTGTGGCCAGATGCACTCTCGCCTGACACCACCGGAGCGGAGAGCTGGCCGTAAAATCAAGGCCAAAATGACGGTAAGGCGGTAGGGCCTTGCCGGCGGCATTTTAGTCCCGGTCGAGAACGGAAACCGCGTTGATGCTGTCCGGACTGTCTCCACAGCTCCGCAGTGGGTGTTCTCGTGTTGTAGCATTGCTACTGTTGCACTGCCGTCTGCTCGGCACACGGATAGCGCACCTTTGCGTCACCTGCATCACAAAGGCCATGAGAAACTCGATTGATCGGCCTTGCACTTGTCTGCAGTCTTGAAGATTCAAGCATGGCAAGCAATTCGGTCATACCTGGATGTGCGGACGCACTCTTCCAGCTCCTGCACAGGATTGCCGACAGTAACATGAATGAGAGGACCGGGTTCCACAGCGCATTTGACGTAACCTCTCTCAACGATCGTCATATTCACGAAGTGTATGATGCCAGGATATCCCAAAAAGGCCGCGGTGGGCTGCAAGCCAACAGATTTGTCGACCACACTGGAATCTCTATCTCTTCAACATTTGACTGACCAGGGCTTCCCGACCGTCTCTCTTCGCTCAACCATCAGTGTCTGCCATACTCATACCGACGGAACGGCTGTAGTCTGTGTAATGATGTCTTCGGGGGACGTCGAACATTGGCGTGTGGAGGCCGAAGAAAGCGAGATACGCCGTCATCGAATCCAGTGCCATATGGACCCCAAATGAACCTGAGCGGGCAAGTCGCGACCAATCAACAACTCTGTGGGCTGTGTGATGTGATGTTGACAGTGGATTGCCGGGAATATCACAGCCTCGTCATTGAGCGTCATTCGTTGCGCATGTCGATGTTGATGTCGTTGCCATGTGGCCGTTCTCCTTGGCAGTCAGCAGCACATTTTGGCAGCGTGGCCAGGTCTGTCGTCGGTATGTTCCGCGTAGCCGCTTTTGCCGGGTCTGCCGTGCGGGCGCGTCAAACCTAAAAACTCTAAACTCACCTGAGGACGATGATCGCGACGGTCTTTTGACCAATTGCGCGTCTGCTGGTTTTGGCTGAGTCGTCTCCACCACTCCCCGCCCAACGTCAGCCTCTTCTTCCGATGGACACACTGCCAATCGTGGTTCGTCCGCGATCCTGTGCATGCCGCCCCAAGCCAGGAACACTCCACTGCAACTCTTCGGACCGAGCACCTTAGATTGGAAGACTATGCGACGCCCATCGTACGGAGACGACCACATCACGTATGGTAAGAGCAGTCCAGCAGTCCAAGAGCTGGACATCATGCGAGGATCCCGTATGATGAGTATAGTGGATATGGGAAGCATATCAACGAACAAGTACAGGCCAGCCGGGACCAGGTAGGCCAGGTTAGAACGCATTGATGCGCGTTATTGCTAGCTCCAGCATGTGCGTGTCTGGCACGTGTTCGTGCATTGCAATAAGGAGCTGATGCCGGTGTCCACCATTGCTTTGCTTTCGTTTTGAAGAAGAAGAAAGTTGCGGGCGCTGCAGCCTGAGAATTGCAATTCGGGACTTTACCTCACTCTACCTACATCCCGAGGCATCTTGCACAGGCTCACGTTTGCTCGGGGGGCATTCTCTTGAAACTATACAGACCTTGCGCTCATGAAGATTTTGTCTTGCAACTGGAAAAACGGTTGGTGAAGAAGACCTACTGGATTGTGTCGGCTTTTGCTCTGCTCAGCATGCAAAGCTCTTGTGCTGCTGCTGCTGCTTCTTCTTGATGTCTTTCGTCGAAGATATTGACACGTAAGAACATTTCACCGCCTCACTCTCTTTGGACTGGATACTGATTACCATGCCGCTAGATCAACCAACCAGCCATACACCGACATTCTGCAATGCTTCTACTCTGGGCTGGCCTCGATCGGGAACATCACCACGATATACATACTTACTTCGTGACATTCGCAGACCTGCGTTGCAGCTTGTCAGTTGACTTCTCCATGGTGTACAGAGAGCCATGGATATGCCCTTCTACGCACATTTAGGAGCATTTAGATGCGACTTAGGACGAGCACAACATTAACATCGACTGAATGAGCAACTGAACTCCGACTAGTCCGCTTCCAGTCGATCACAATCTGGAGGTCATGTTACCATGATGTCCATTCGGCCTTGGAAATCCTACTTTAACGCCATCTCCCGTGGACACCGTACAGCTTCTATATGGGCATGACACCAGACACTTATTCTGAAAAGACTTGCTTGTTGAACGTATCCGCAGCACAGTCTTTGGGGCACGTTTGTGAGCATGGCTCGATCGTGTACCCACCGCTGTCTGCATCGGATGTCACTGCCCAAAGATGCTTCACAATCTTGCAAGCCTACACCTGGATACAGATCGATGTGGACGAGACGACAGGGGTCACAATTTGGATCAAAAGCATCTGTGTGGGAAGCAAACGGCAGATCGAAGTTGATCAAGCCGGGAATAAGGTTTTGGCTTTGCTTCCGCTGGAAATACAAGCGATGGCAACTCACTCATCAGAAGTTGGAGCTCCTTCATGTTGAATTCTGAAAGCAGGTGTTACACACAATCCATTCTGCGGGTACGGCTCACTTGCAAAGCATGACTGTTTCGCCCCATCTACAGGCTGCAGGCGAATCGCGAACGTTGCGTCATGCTGCTCAGGATGCAGTGACCCCTCTCTGACCGTGTCTCGTGGCTTCACAACCTTTCCACGACGCAACTCCGACACTTCTCGGCGGAAAAAGCGTTATTGAACTTGGACGCCATCTAAGTCATTGGAACGAAGCAACAAGAGTCGATCAACACCTGGGATTTCTTATTGCCGGACACCCACAAACGTGTTATTGCAGCACGGCACGTACTGGCGTTCTGGAGCCTGGAACTCATGCGTTCCTGATAGCTCCTCACGGGCGAATAGCAGATCAAGCTTACTCATCGCAACATCGCTCCCGTCACTGTGTTGGTCTACTACGCAGGTAACAGCGTTGCAAAGCAGTTCAAACAGCAGTTGTGCAAAAGACCTTTGGCGGCGGGGAGAATTGCGGGACGTACCATTCCAGCCTGAACAATTACTCCAGGTCAAAATCTTTCCAGAAAGAGCCGTAACTGTCTCGGTGGGAATGAGTAGTTGCTGGAAGCACCTCTACTACAGCTCATAAGCACGCGGGTGTCTACACCGCGAATGGGGAGCCTGAACCCGACACATGGACAACGGCAGGGTTCCGACGCCGTCCTCAATCGTGCAAGTTTGTGATAGGTGCAGGTGTACGTTGTCCTTGAAGTCATTTTAGGGGTCATTTTACTGACCCAGAACCAGGGAAGAAGATTAAATGTGACGCTCCCAGACCTGTACGCCGCATTTCGTTTCACCAATTCTACCCCGTGCTCTAACCTTTGATGTCACGCAGTGTTCGAATTGCCGCAATGCCAACTTCCCTTGCGAATCAAGAGCTCGTCTGTCCAAGCAGTCAACACCGCGATCATATGTTCAATACCTCGAGGCACGCGTGAGACAACTTGAGCTAAGCCAGGAGAATGAATGGTCCCCAAGGGCCTCCTCATCCCACTCTCCATATGGAGACAACGCCGTCAACAAGACTTCACAGTCTCCGGCCTCCAGCAACACATTCAAGCCAATTGGCGCACCCGATTGGACTGTCCTCAAGGAGCTGGGGATGCATGTGGTTGACGAAGATGGCTTCAGTCGATATATGGGTCCTTCTTCAGGGGTCGGCTTTTCTGCCATGGCACTGGATGAGATCTTAGGCAAGGACGCACCTTCAAACCCAGACTTCAATGGCTTGTTCACCGTGGACGACTTCACAAGAGGCAAGGCACTTGAGCAGGCCGACTATATTCTTTGGGAACTCGTCCCAACTGACCTTCCTGACCGTGCTGAAGCCGACCGAATCCTCAACTACTTCTTCCTCTTTACGGAACGGACGTTTCCCATCTTACACCGACCCTCCTTCGAGAATGTTGTCGACGAGCTATACGCCCTAGATCCAATCACCACAGAGTCGTTCGAGCAACTGTCTCAATTCTACTTCTGTCTGTCTGTAGGACATTGCTTCGACATGAGCAGATCAAGAGAAGATCGCATCAGAGATCAGATCCGAAATCTGGAAATAGGATGCAGATGCCACTTCACAACGCTGCACACCAGAAGAGACGGCCTGACGAGGATACAGACCTTGGCGCTGCAGGCTTATGCTCTAATCATGCTTCGACAACGCAGCGAGGCTCTTCGAATCAGCGCGATGGCCAATATGAAGGCTCTCGAATGCGGTTTGCATCACGACGGTACACAGCATAGCGGTAATCCACTGGAGACCGAGATGAGAAGACGAGTGTTCTGGTGTGTGTTCATGCTACATTTGTTTGGAGCCTCGTTTCTCGGCCTACCAAGAGCACTGCACGAAGCAGACATAACGATATCCGAGCCGAGCGACATTGATGATGAATTTCTCACCTCTTCGAGAGTGCTGGGTGCAGTACCCGGGCGGACAAAGATGCATCGATTTGTCAATGTCTGCCGGTTGGTTCGGATCTTATCCAGGACCGTGGATGTGCTGTATACTCACAACAAGCGAAAACACGCCTCGACTCGCATCGAGCAGATGGTGTGTGGCGTCTTGATCTGTTTTTGAGCGGCGTTGAACACTGACAACGTCTCACAGAACCGTCTTTGCTGCGAACACCTACTCGACCAGCTCGACTTCAGTTTTCAGGAAGTTCCTGACGATCTGCCAGAAGCAGATACGCAAGACCCGTTGCAGATGGCAATCCTCATATCTCACGCTAACGAACAGCTACTTTACCACTACATACGTTGGTTGATTCATCGACCTGGCTTAGCATTGGGTCGATCAGAAGCCCAATTCGCTTCATGTTTGCAGACATGCACGGAAGCCGCATCTGCAATGCTCGAACTACTGGACGTAAGTATGCCACAACAATGACACGTTTCCAACACCTACTCACACGCACCATCGCAGCTCTACGCCCCACTCCTCCCCTTCATCAAATCTTCCCCGGTTGCCCACCACATGACCATCTTCATCGCCGCCCTCACACCACTCTACCGCACCCACCTCCTCCGCTGTCAGCCCATGACCATCCCCGCCCCAACCACCTTCGTGGAAGACGACATGCGCGCCGCTCAGCACGGCATCAACGCCATCCGCAACGAACCATACGACAAAAACGACCTCTTTCGCGGCGACCTCCTCGCATCCATGGTCGCCAAGGTCTTCGGTCAGCACGAGGCTGGCCACCAAGGTGAGTCCACCTCATCATCAGCGAATGCTGTTTCCGGAGCGGCAGGGGTCAGCCGTCCCAAATCCTTCTCAATGCCGCACGCCTTGCTATCGTCGAGAAATCACAACTCACTCGCGCCTCCTCAAGTCAAAGTCCGGCCTCCGAGCAGCGACCGCTCGATCCCCACGGAGGCTTCTATCGCCGTGACCCCCTCTTCACAACAACATCGTAGCAACAGCACAAATAGCCACAACCACAATCAATTCATGGGTCCGCCGCAAGGCACGCCGATGGATTGGTCCGAACATCGCATCGCGCATCTGACAGCACAGGAGGATTTGAGGGATCTAGTGCATGAAGTGTTCTCGCCGGCGATGGATCCTTGGACGGGCGTGGAGAGTAATCAGTACCCTGGTTGAATGGAAAGGAGTTTAATGAACTTGTTCAGCATGCTTCGTTCCAAAAGTCGACAGTGTCGTTTGGGAAGGAAATGAAAACAAACAAAAAGCGCGCAAGATGCACGAAAACTGGGATGACAAGGACATTAATGGAAAAAACGCACAACAACATCCGATCAGCACCGTACTACAGTAGACAGGGAATCCATGTTCTCTGCGTGCGACCGAATATTGGAAGAGACGCATGCATGGTCAACGGTGAGCCTGCGCAGAAAGGAGGAAGTCAGGGGCCAAAGTGGATGCCTGAGGCACGGAAGATCCAAGTGTCTTGTCTTGCAACTGAGCCTGCTCAATCTAACTCTTTCAAACATGCGCTGACACGCTTTGCATCTACAAATAACCCATGCCCGGTGTTGAGACATTCAAAAATGGCATCGTTTGCTGTCATGCCTGCTCGAGACAAGGGGAAGCGCAACATGCGCCGGGAACGGTATGTTGGCATGCCACATTCCATTGTGAGATTTGCTCTCCCTGCCTTTGTTTACAAAACCCCATTTGGGCCGACTTGCTTCGCTTTTCACGACTTTCCAACTCATCAGCATATCACTTACTCGCTGCTTGTTCTGTCTTGAGACCATATCAACATGGCTCCGAAGAAACCCGCCGCAAAGTCTGCTAAGGCGAAGGGTAAGGCGCCCGCTCGAGCGTCGGCTTCAACTGCGAAGAAGACTACCCAGCCAGCTTCCAAAGTCACCAAGAGCGCTCCCGCAAAGAAGAGGATCGCGGTCGCCAAGCCCACCGCGACACCGTCCGCGCCCAAGACGAAGAAAGTCACAAGCGCGTCAAGAAAAGCAACCCCTTTAACCAACGACGAGCGCATTTTCAAAGACGGCCCCTTAAGCGAACTCGACTACGACGACGACCAACCCCTCGACGACATCAGCCAGGAAATCGGAAAACGTTCCCTGACCAAGGTCGACAAGGAGCTCATCATCGGCATCCACCAACTCGAGGCTGGAGAAGATCATGAATTCGCTGCCATGGTGAAGGATCTGCACACGCGAGAGCGGTACGACTACGCCGAGGGCAAGCCGTTCAATTGCCACTTCAAGCTGTATATGAGGTTTATGGATCGGTACCGCACCAGTTCTACTACTGTTGTGACTGGGAATCGGGCGACTCTTCCTGGGAGATCTGCTAGTCCTGTTGATTTTCCGTCGGTTGAAGGGCCTGCGGCGGCGTCGTCGAAGAGAGGATCTAAGGCTTCGACGGGATCTGGCGCTCGGGGTTCAAGCAGGCCTGGCAGTCCAAGCAAGCCTGTCAGCCCAAACAAGGCTGCCAGTCCGAACAAGGCTACCAGTCCTGGCAAAGTTACCAGTCCTGCCAAGGTTACCAGTCCTGCCAAAGCTGGCAGTCGGGCACAGTCTGTCCCTCCTCGAGGCAAATCACCAAGTCCAACCAAAGCGAACGCAGCAGGCGGATGGTCCGTCAACAAAAGCCCAGCTAAGACCACCTCCCCGGGCAAACGCGTGAGCCCCATCAGAGCCAGCGCTGGAATCGAAAAGCCCACCAGCCGAAACTCCCCAAACAAAACTACCACCACCAGCCGTGCCAGATCCGCCAGCCCCGCCAAGAACCTCCCCATCACCCGCTCCCTCCGTGGTCCAGGAAGCACCTCCCCCAAGAAAATCCCCCTCGCCGAATCCGAGCGCCGCTTCAACCAGGACGACGACTACGGCGACATCATGCGCAACGTCGAACAGCATCAGTACGCCACCGTCCGATTCGGAGCCTTCTCAGAGCAAGCCATCAGGAGCCTAGACCACCCATCGGAGCCCGAATTCCTGTCTCCTGATGATTTGGCGTATGTTGTAGCGCGGGGCAATCGGCGAGCGGAGGAGGAGAGGCGGGCGGAGGAAGAAGAAGAAACGATTGATGAGGTGGATCACAATGGGGTGGTGTTGAATCAGAGGGTCGCGGGCCGGGCGAGGGGGAGTCAAGGGAGGGTGATTACACGCCCCTCGCCATCGCCGAGTCCGCGGAAGAATACCTCCCCTGCCAAAGCGCGCAGCAGCGCGGCCCGAGAGGGCTCTGTCCCCACCCTCCGCCGCTCACCATCCAAAGCCCTCCCGGCCCTCGAACCCCTCCCCGCAGGCGAACCCTCCAAAGAAGGCCACGGACTCATCCGCTCGACCCTGAACCCGGAGTTCTTCGAGACCAAAGGGAAGCTCTCTAAGAAGAACCCTTTCTTCGAGACGATGCCGCAGCCTGAGACGTGGCATCGGAATATGCCCGGGTTCTTGTCGATTGGCGAGACGCCGTATATGGAGCGGGTGGTGAGTAATCAGATTGAGGAGGATTTGGGGAGGAGTAAGTCCACCGTCTCTCGCCTACCACTTTGGATGTCCTTTTTTTTTGCTGACGATGTTTGTCGTGATAGCGCATGAGGATGTCCAGGCCGAGCCGGCGCAGAAGAAGAGCTCGATTGTTGGGACTATCAGCAGCCTCTTTGGGGTCGGTGGTAGTAGCAGCAGCGGCGGCAAGGCTAAGGAGCCTGCTTCGCCGACTAAGAAGAAGGATGTCGCTCTGGAGACGGCGGACAAGATTTTGACGATGTGGGATTTGCCGAAGTTGGATGTCGAGGAATAGGAGGGTACTATTTAGAGGAGTCCGGTATGTTCGTCGGGGTTTATGGCGATGGAACGACGAGGAGCATCGAGCCATGGCGTTCAAGGGACGGAAGGAATTTGCAGACCATCGGTCTTTCATACTGGAGGGTTCTTCATTTCTTGTCACACAGAACAGAATATATCATCACATTTTAATCGATCTTACTTACTTACTTCATCACCTCCCCAGCGAGTTTACTCTTCGCACGAATCTTTGGCCCAAATAACAGCAGCACCCAAGGCACTGCCGTGAGCAAGAACCCAACGCCGCCGAGGAACCCGCCTGCGCCTTGGAATGTCATCTTGCGGAACATTTGTCTCGTGAATCTGTTGTTGAGGAATGTAATGTCAGCGATTCCACTCGTCATCGAACAATGGAGCGTGTTGCCAGGGTAACGTACAAGGGGAATGCACCAGCAAGCATATTCCGACAGAAGCTCTGCGCCGCGAGCGCGCTGCTGGCGTATCTGTGGTACGAATCGGCGAGATAATTGAAGACGGCGAGATAGATGACGCCCACGCCCATAGTCGCGCAGGCGACACCTAACGCGGGCGTGATCCAGTGGCTGGATTCGTAGGCCCCCGAGACGCCGAACCAGATGCAGCCGATGGGGAGGAGGGCAGAGGAGAAACAGGCGAAATACAGTCGACCTTCAGGGCTTCGTAGGATTCTTTTCTGAGATTCTGGGAGATATCGCATTCCGATGCGGTCTTGGTAGACGGCGATGATGCCGAAGAGGATGCTGGCGATGCAGATGGATGCGAAAATTGCGCCGCCTTGCTCGAGGGTGAAGTGGAAGGTTGTTTCGTAGATGAGGGGGACGGCGCTGAAGGTCATGTAGAGGACAGCCCAGGAAAAGGAGATCCACAGGGAAAAGAAGAAGACGGTGGGTTCGGTGATGAGCATGTGGAAAGGGCGGAGGAGGGAGATTTTGAGCATGGTGGTGAGGCTGCTGCGTTCTTCGTCCGCGAGGCATTTCCAGCGGAGGCGGTGGACGGTTGTTTTTTGGAAGGAGGAGGTTGCTGGTGAGGTGACGCCGTAGTAGCCTGCTGCTTCGAGTTGGTCGTACCATTTGTTCAGGGCTTTGGCTTTGCGGGAGAGGAGGACGGAGCCGCGGGTTTCGTGGAAGAAGAAGATGACGAAGATGATGAGGATGCCGTCGACGATGATTTGGACGTAGAAGATCCTAGGGCATATCGATTAGTATCGATTGGCGAAGTCAGTATAGAAGTTACAAGACATACCATCTCCAGTTCTTGTGCTGAGCGATGAAGCCGCAGACAAGAGGTCCTAGTCCAGTACCACACAGTGCTGAAGCCGAGAACAAGGCCATGGCGGTATTCCGATCTTTCGCGTGATAGATATCACTCAGCACACCTCCGACCATCGTCGAGAAAGTCGAGCTCATGCATCCCGTCAAAAATCGACAAACGCACATGCCGCCAAAGGTAGGCGTTACAGCAGAGACGACCTGGAAGACAACCCAAAGCACTCCAGTCACCAGAAAAACAGGCCGTCGACCGTTGATCTCTGAGAACGGGGCGAGAAACATGGGCGCAAAGCCGAACCCAACCGTGAAGAGAGTGACGCCGAGGAGGCCTACGACTTCGGAGATGTGCCATTCGTCTGTCATTTGACCCAGGCCGGAGGTGTATGCTCCTGCATTGACTATTGAAGAGCAAAGTGTAAGCCAGCGATCATATGGCAACTTCTCAAGGTGTGTCTCAACGAACAAGCAGTAAACATAGTGGCAATACACGAAATCCACACCAAGACACTCTTGCGCCCTTCACTCCAGAGGAAGGGTGAAGTGTATTTCTTCAGATTCGGACATTGCGGCGGTGGATTCCTCGATTGTTTCTCTAGGTCGTCGGGCGTCGAATGTGAAAGATAGGCCGGCGAAGGCAGTTCGGTCTCGAATTCAAGATACTGCCAGGTAATCTCCTCATCGTCGGCTTCGTTCCCCAGACTACTGGAAGAGTCGTTCTTTCCTCGCTTCGCGTCGCCACTTTTCGTTATCTCTTCGTTCGGCGCTTCGTAGTTTGGCTGCTGCTCCTCAGAATGGCGTCGAGCGAGCTCGACTTCGGGAGATGCCATGGTGGCATTGAGGCCGGGAAGGACAGCACAGAGGTATGAGGTGGGAAGTGATGTCTACGTAGGGATGTAAAGAAAGACATTCGAAATACTTAGCGCGTACGCCCTTCCGTCGATCGGTTCTCTGGCCATGTGGGTGCCGTCATGCAAGAGGCGCCGAGTTGCCGCTTGCACATACCGCTAAACCCCGAGATGTTATATGAAGGTGTCTTTGTGGCTCCCATGTGGTGCTTTGGGGACTACGTTCAGACGCCTGATCGGAGATGGGGCTCTCGTTCCGCAATACTTCCCTCTAGGCAGCTGATCAAGTGGTATTGATTGTGATGATGAAGCAAAAGGACAAGCTTCTTGGAGAACCATCCTCCGCACTCCATGGCCGAGCGGAGTCGTTTGGCTCGACGCCGACGATTTGATTGGAGCACGGCCGGCCGAAATTCGACCGCCAGAGTCTTTCACCCCTCACATGTCTCTTAACACCGAATGCAAAACGATTCGTAGACGAAATCTCGGAGCTAAGCGAGTTGAATGGGACTTGCACATTGGAGGTGTCCTTATTTCCCGCATTTGGCAAACGCTTTGCAAAGTCGTTCAATATAAGAGTGAGCCATACAATCTTCCACGAGTGAACATGGAGAATGCGTTGACCTTCCAGTCAACTTCGCCGACAGCGCAAGCATTAACACCGAAGGGCATTGAGAAATGGTGGTCACCGTCCCCTGAAAGATGGCACGTATGCCTCATGCCTATGACAAGAGGTGAAGTCGACTTTGGCTCCAAGACGAGAACCCTATCCGCAGGAGTAAGGGCTAGGACTAGGGTCGCAAAATGTCCCCAGTCAGCGCTGGGGTACAGCAAGTGCTGGAGAGTCGCAATGTGTCTCGTCAAGGACAACGTTATCAAGAAGTTGCTCACAATGCAGGACCTCCGTTCTCCGGACTGTGTACAGGTCATTCACTCGGGTGAGGTTAGCCTGGCTAGTGAGCAACGCCTCAACGGCCGTCCCTCATCACATGCAGTTTCGGGCTGCAAAACACCTTGCTGAAGTGCCACGAAAATGCCGGAACACGTGGCGATTGCTCGACCTCAATGTCAAATCCCTGGCTTGTGTATCAGGGCTTGGCGATGCGCCTGATGGAGTGAGGGAGGAAGCAAGGCGGTCCATCACTAGGTCCTGTCATTGTTGTCGAGAAAGGTGAGGTGAGCAGTGGCGACAGTGTCTCGGTATCTCACGTGCTCGCATGGCGTTATCCTGTCACTCGAAGGCTTGTAACATCGTTGTTTCCCTTTGTGGCCGTGACTGAGCTGGATTAGTTGTTGTTGCGGGGTGAGCAGAGAAAGACGCCCAGGCACGGCAGGGACTTCAAGCCTTCTGATTGGTCAATTAACCGATCACGACATTGCTACATCAAACACGCAAAGCAAGGTCCAAGGTGGGCTGGCGGGGTTCAAAGATTTCGCCGGCCACGAGCTCACGCACATGTTTGCTGCTCATTAATCAATTCCTTCTTCTGCTTCCTTTCCTGCATATCACTACTCCAGCTCCACTCGTGTCAAACGCCCTCACTTCATCTTCACCAGCCCCTCCAAGCAACACCAACCAGCGACAATGGCCGACCGTCCAGCACCCCTCCGTCTCGGCAGCGTTGCCCCCAACTTCGACGCCGAGACCACCAACGGCCCCATCAACTTCCACGACTTCATTGGCGACAACTGGGTCATCCTCTTCTCTCACCCAGAGGACTACACGTACGTTGAATGCTCACAGTCCTGATCTGCTCACATTGTGCTGACTTCGATCAACAGCCCAGTCTGCACCACCGAACTCGGCGCCTTCGCCAAACTCGAGCCGGAGTTCACCAAGCGCGGCGCGAAGCTGATTGGCCTCAGCGCCAACACCATCGAGAGCCATGGCGGCTGGATCAAGGACATCAACGAGATCTCTGGCAGCAACCTCAAGTTCCCCATCATTGGCGACAAGCAGCGCCAGGTCGCTTTGGCATACGACATGTAAGAGGATAGGAAGATGGATATATGAAAGAGGGACACTTAGCTGATATCATGTGTGCAGGATCGACCACCAGGATGCCACCAACGTCGACTCCAAGGGCATCGCCTTCACCATCCGCAGCGTCTTCATCATCGACCCAAAGAAGACCATCCGCCTGATCCTCTCCTACCCAGCTTCGACCGGCCGCAACACTGCCGAGGTCCTCCGCGTGCTCGACTCCCTCCAGACTGGTGATAAGCACAAGGTCACCACCCCAATCAACTGGGTGCCAGGTGATGATGTGATCGTCCACCCAAGCATCAAGACCCCTGAGGCCGAGAAGCTGTTCCCCAAGATTCAGATTGTGAAGCCATACCTTCGCTTCACTCCTCTGCCAAAGGAGGAGACCTCTGCTGCGTAAGAGAATGTAAAGTGGGTACCGGGGGATATGGATGCTGATGACAGGAGCAGATGAAGCCAGGAGGTATTCAGGCAGACCTGGGAAGCCGAGTGGGGGAGATCCGTGAATGAATTCGGGTTTTGATGAGGTTTGCACAAGCCTGTTGCTAATCGCCCAGGCCATGGCAAGGTTTCTTGAGCTCTAGCGTTTCAGAAAAGAAATGAATGCAACAACTTTGGAAAGCGCTCGCGACACGTTCCCTTAACCTTCCAAGTCAGATCACATCCGCAGAATCTCCACATGTAGGTCTCAGGTCGACCGGACGAACGCACACATTCCGGATTGAAAGTGGAACATGGAAATCATAGACATTGCCGATGATTGGGTCTGCGTTCAGCTCCTAGTTACCGCAAACACCACGTCCAATCGCCTGAAGCTACTCAAGTCGATTAGTAGTCTGTGAAGAGCAATCGGGATTGTCATGACGTTCGGGACGCCTTCAGCTCGGATAGAGATCCATGTGAGATGGCGTGGTTGTTCTGATGCTCTGCAGACGTGGTAAGCTAAGACGGAGGACGAAGCAGAGGATCCCGCTGGGAAAAAGCACATCCATTCAGTTCATGGCGGGGGAGTGGTCCGGCCGTCCTGCAATTATCTTCCCCGTCTGCGGCTGCGCTTCGCCCAAGCGCGATCGTGGTTGGACGGGTGGGAAGTTGCATGACAGCCGGCAGCCGGCAAACTGCTGTGTGCATCCGTATGAGGCTCCATCAGATTACGTGCAGCAGCGTGAAGAGTCGATATCGGCGTGACGATCGCGACAGGTGTTCTTGTGCTCGTCTGCGTCAAGTGCGTCAGTGTCTGAGATGGCAGCCGCTCGAGGCCCAGCAGCCTGGCTCTCACCGCGCAGCTCGTCTGGCGATGGACAGAGTGAGGTTGGCAGCGGGAGGACTTTGAGTGTGGGAGCGAACCAAAAGCGGCTGGGTGGAGACAGCAGACAGGGATCGGATTGGCGGGCTTAGCGAAGCTCCCACATCCGGGCGCGGGTCAGATTGAAGTGACAATTGCAGAGCATCGCACTCACCAGCCCAAAGCCTAATAGACGTCGCGCGCATCGGCCACAGCAGTCTCACGAGGTGAGTGAATGACTCCGCTTCGCCTGCTCTCTCAGCCCCTCCCGCCACTCACGCCTCTGCTCGCGCCCCGCCCTCCGTGCTCCCGCCCTGCGTTTGGCTCCATCCCTGCCGTCGCCGCCGCGAGGGACAAACACGCACCGCACCATGCAAAACATCCGCGCGCATGGCACTACAGGCTACCTGCAGCCCGCGGCCGTCAAATGTCCTTCCGCCTCGACGACGACCGCTCCGAAACCCACCAGGGCCTCGCCGGGTACAGCATCGCCCTAGCCACACTCGCGTCCCCAGGCTCTGGCCATACGCTTCCCGCGTCTCTGCAAAACCTCCTCCTGCCCCCGTGCTGTTCCCCTTCAGCGCTGCATCCCTTTGCCAGTCCCGTACCAGAGTATTCTTATTGCTACTTCGCTGCCCATCGAACAGTTAGGCTCCTGGCTGACCGCAGATGTCGTTCCCTTTAGGCGTCATCGCTTGCCCAGCGCCCGCTGCGGCAGACGACTCACTCACCTTTCACGCGGACAAGCCCAAGAAGCCCGCCAAGGACAACAACTCTTCCTCCTTGTCTGAATCGTGGTCCTTCAGCTCGTCGTTCTTCGATCGCGACCGGCCTGCGAAGAAGCCCAAGTCGCCCACCAAGAACCCCCACTCCCTCTCATCCCGTACGTGGGTATCGTTGACCCGAGACCGGACCGGCTCAAGCGGTGTCCAAGAGATCACCCCAGCAATCCCCATCATCAGGCCGGACTCGTCGTCAACAGGCAGTGACCGCCCTTCGCCACACGATTCCTTCGACCTGCCATTCGTTGCGCCCTTGAGCAGAAGTCCTTCACGACCGAAGCACGTTCCGATTTGGATACCGGACAAGTATTCTTACGTGCCTTCCACGCCTTCTGATCTTGGATCGGGATCTTTTTCATCATACATCTCAAGTGGCAGCGGGTCTCCAGCATCTTCACTCCCCGCCAGCAGTCACGACACTCGACCGAATAGCGCTCGCTCCGTACCAAGGCATGTGGAGATAAAGATCCCAGACATCGCGAAGCCGGCTTTTCTACAGTCACCACCAACTCGCAAGGCATCGGACAAGAAGCCAAAGCAACGAGACTCATTCATCGAGGCCTCAAAGCCACCTGCGACCGTCATGTCTCAGTCGACTCCTCAATCAAGCCGAGCCAACACTATGGACTCTCACACCTCCCGTCCCTCACCTGAGCGACTGTACGCAAACCGAACAGACAATGAGTCCAACGCGGCGTTCAGTTCATACAGCAGTCAGACCAGTCTCGTGGGAATGCGATCCGAGTATGAATCCGCATCGGAGGCAGAATCGACACCCGCAGAAGACGGTGCAGGCTCTCACACACCATCGCAGACTGGTGCCAACAGCTCGCAAAGTCAACTCCAAACACCCAGCAACAGCACCTCAAACCTGTCCGGTCTCGTGTGCAACGTCCATCGCACGACTGGCAAGGAGCCACATCCACTTGTTGGTGCCACGACAACCATATTGGGTGACAAGCTCTACGTCTTTGGTGGACGCCGGCTTTCTAGGACGAAGCCGCAGCTGACTGCGAACCTATACGAGCTCGACCTGATCAAGCGACACTGGACGAAGTTGGAGACAAAGGGGGACATTCCACCACCTCGATATTTCCACAGCGTATGCGCCTTGGGTGACACCAAGCTCGTGTGCTACGGCGGCATGTCGCCAGCTCCTGCCCCTGAACTCAGTGCAGATGCGCAGCCTGAAGTCATCGTCATGTCAGACATTCACATCTTCGATGTGACGACTGTGACATGGACCAAGATCAATACCCCAGATGCTCCTCAAGGACGTTACGCGCATTGTGCTGCCATATTACCGTCATCAGCAATCTTCGCATCTCAGAATGCGCCCATGTCGGCGGTCCAACACAACCCAGCTGGCAGTGCTCCCAACCAAGGATCTCTTGGTGTTGCGCTGGATGGGACTGGAGGAGCTGAGATGGTTGTTGTTGGTGGTCAGGACAGCGCGAATCACTACATCGAGCAAGTGAGCATCTTCAATCTGCGGAGTCTGAAGTGGACGGGTACAACTGGCATGGGTCGAAGCTGTGGCGCATATCGAAGTGTGGTGACACCATTAACGTCAATGAGTGCCGCACAGATTGGTGCTGGTCCACACGCCCAGCGCGATCTGGAAGAGGACGACGATGAGCCGACGGCGATCGGTTCTGGTGCGCCAATGCTCATCTATTCGAACTACAACTTCCTGGACGTCAAGCTGGAGTTGCAACTTCGTCTCACAGACGGTACGCTCACCGAGAAGCCCATGCAGACATCAGTATCGCCTCCCGGCCTGCGATTTCCAAATGGTGGAGTCATTGACAACCATTTCGTGGTCTCCGGCACTTTCTTGACATCCTCAAAGCAGGAGTATGCTCTGTGGGCGCTCGACCTTCGCACTCTCACGTGGAGTCGTATCGATGCTGGAGGCAGCATCTTCAGCCAAGGAAGCTGGAATCGAGGCATTCTTTGGAGTCGGCGCAATTCGTTTGTGATCCTGGGCAACCGCAAGCGAAGTCTAGTCGATGACTACAACAACCGCCGGATCAACTTCTCCAACATCTGTGTCGTTGAGCTTGAGGCGTTTGGTTTGTACGAGAATCCAAGAGTTGCAGAGCCAACGTCTGGATACGTGTCTGCCAGTTCTGTGCCAGCATATTCCAGCAAAGAAGACACAGGCTTCGGCAGGCTCTTAAGTGCAGCTGCTGAGGACATCGGCGCGCTGGCTCTGAACGTGCGCGAGCTTGCTGATATGGACTTCCTTGCCATTGACGGCACTCGAGTGCCTGTCAACTCACGACTCATTGCTAGACGATGGGGACCACACTTCATCAGTCTGCTGCGAGAGTCTCTGTCGGCGGCTTCAGACACTGACACCGCGACATTACGGCCGAACGTCTCCAGTCACCCTTCGCGGAACTCCAGCATCACCATCACGCCTTCTGTCAACTCTGGCACTACGACTCTCACGAACAACAGCGCTGTGACTGAACTGCCTGACACTCGCACGGCTCCACCCACATCACGGCCAAGACTGCTATACCTTCCTCACACCACGCAGACGATACATGCGCTGCTGCATTATCTGTACACCTCAACACTCCCATCACCACCGCATCCACTAGCCACACCGCAGATCTTTTCCTCACTCCTCCAGCTCGCTCGTCCGTACAAGATCGATGGGCTGCTGGAGGCGACGATCAAGAAAATGCACGAGTGCTTGGACGGTCGTAATGCAGCAGCAATCTTCAATGCCACTGCTATGGGCGCCGGCGGTGGTGACAGTGTCCACTTCGCCACGAACAACCGATCCATTAGGGAGAGCGAGATCCCCATTCGCACTGCGAGTCTGGCAGGTCTCGACGGACTGCTCGCAGCAAATGGTACACCACGAAGCACTGGCCTACGAATCGACACCGACATGGCGAACGGTCGCAGCGCACGCAACACCATGCGCCCAGGTCAAGCGAATGCCGACGATACGAGCGACGACGACATACCTCTCAGCGCGGCTACGGATACCAGCACGAGTGAGAACGAGCTCACTTTGAACGCCGGCAGCTTCACCGGCCGGCGTGAGAAGCACCAAGAAATCTGGAACGGCGCGTTGAGCTCCGTGATAGGCCTGCAGAAGAGAGGATTGCGAGGATTGATGGAGGGACGGCGGATGCGTGAGCGAGGGCGAGATTTCGAGGCGGGAAGAGTCGGACTTGGCATTGCATGAGCGTGAGCGTACGTGACATGGGAAAAGGCGTCATAGGTAGAACGGGGAAAAGTGGGAAATTTCTGGAGGCATGGCTAAAAGGTGTTTGTTTTGGGGCGATGGGAAAGGATGACGAATCGAATGCTGGAAGTCGCTTAAGATACCATTGCTGTTATCCTATCCTCGCTTTTTTGAAGATGCCGGTTGCTGGTGTTCTGCCGTAAAAGTCGTTTCGGGTCTTGGTGGTAGTTAGCTGGCTGTCGTAATGGATTGCTGATTGGCCTCTGCCGAATGAGGGTTTTGCCGTCCATTTCTTGCTAAGTGCAACAGGTGATACTATCTTGCGCGTGCAATCCGATGTCCCTTGAAGTCCGTTGTCCGAACGCACGTGAGAAAGAACCTGCGTTGCGAGCGGGACACATTCACTCAAGCTTGGCCTTCACATGCAGCTCTGCTGGTGGAGAAGCTAGGTAGTCTCTCCCGTCCAGTCTTAACGTGGCCTTAGTATGCACATGACAATTTTCGTTCATCGACCGACTTGCTTGCTTGTGATCAAGCTTCCCCAACAATACGGACTTGCACCAGCTCGACAACTTCAGATTTCGCCCGCATGCGCGAATTTCACGTGTGCTTATGTTTTCTGGATGTCTTTCAAGGTGCTTTAGAGATTGTGCTGCTGAAATCAACGTTTTGTGGTCGAAAGATCTTTATGCGCGATGGCAGCTGATGCGGCACTGCCAAGGCGCTAAAATGCTGTCACATGCAAAAGTTATAGACGGCTTCATATGCTGCTGATTTAGTGTAGTTACCCGCTTTTGAATCACAGCCTCAATTCATAATATCAGTCGATTCTCAAACAGGTGTCATTCACAGGCTGAATTATCGAATCACATTCCATCTAATCTAGACAGCCCTACGACACGAGAGGTCGCTGCCGTATGGCTTAGCGAATCCTTCCCGTGACGACAATCGAGATTCGTGTTAACAAGATGAAGGGTGTGTGGTTAGTTAACTCATGCAGCGCTAGAGTTGACAGCATCTTTGTTATACTCTCTACGATGATGGGAGCATTCCAACAGACGAAGGCACTGTAAGCCTCACTCTAGCTTTTAATCTGGACTTCACTCTGGACTTTACTCTTGGCTTCACTCTGGCCTTTACTCTGGACTTCACTCTGCTTTTTACTCCTAACAGACTCTATGCCTTACTCTGCAGCTCACTCTAGGATTCACACCGTGCCTTACTCTACCTATCACTCTGCTGATTAATCTACAGCTTACTCTAAGCCTTACTTTCAACTTCACCTCTACCACAACAAAAACAACCAGGCACGCAGTTGCAGCAGACCAGTTCTGGTCGCATGCCCTCTGGTTACGCCGATGCGCACATCACCGAGAGATGCACCGTTCAGGGAAGCGAGTAGCAGGTCGGGCAGCGAGAGAGGGAGAATGCCACCCTGAGGGAAGCTCTCCGACACGCGGTCGCCGCGAACTCCTTCACTTTGCAAAGAGATGACCACCAGAATGCAGCCCGTGAGTTCAGGCTTATATCGAGTCTTGCTAGTCCGATGTGACATAAACTTCAGATGCCTTGGGCGCCAATGTGCCGTGTTCTCACCGCCGACGTCGTCGATCAAGCATCTCGCCACATCGACAACCTCTGCAACCTCAGCGAGGAGCACCTGGTTCTGCTTTGGCAGCAGATGCCGACATCACCCATCGCCGACCTCGTCGACGACCCCGCCACCACCGCTGCTTCTGTTGATGCAAATGTCCACCACGCGCAGATGTCAGGTGGCCTCGGCCGTGGAACTCAAGATCGGCGAGAAGAGCATGGTGCTGCCGTGGGTGGCGACCCCCTCACCGTCCACGTAGATGCCTAGCGCAAGGCAGAGAGGAATGGCGCCTTGTTGGAACAGATGCGATTAGATTTCGGAAAAGGCAAGAACTTTTATTACACACACACACTCTCTCTCTCTGTTCTCTCTATCCTATCGTACATACCCCAAATGCCTCTGGGTCTCAGACGGTAGCTGCTAAAACTACAATAACACAAAAGAAAAGTCTTCTCTCAACTCCTGCTCCTGGTCTCGAGTGCCATGTTTTGGCCTTTTTCTCTACGCAGTCTATGTTCTCAGGGCACGCTGCTTCCGCTTCTGGATGATCTTGGCTTATCGGTCAAAGGTGGTCGTGACCGGCTTCGCCTTCTCTAGGCCATCGAGAGCTGCTGGCGTATTTGGTGCCTAGTACTTGTAGTCGAGCAAGGAGTGCACGGGGTAACTCTTCCAGCTGGTTGGCACGCCGTGCATCGCGTAGTTCGGGTTGCGGTTGGAAATGCCCTTGTATCCGATCTTGAAGACTTGAGGTGTGACACTTCATGTTGTATTGAAGGACTATGAAGGAGTATTTATACAAGCATGTGAATGCCAAGACCGAGTGAATGCCCAGAGATGGCCTAGGGCATCAACTTGAAGACCTCTCTGGCCATATCGGTATCGCCGGCACCAAACGCCAAACCGCCTCCTCGCAATGCTCACCGAAGTGGTATCGGAGGAGCCAATGCATGGACTTGGCGAGGGCGAGCTTGTCGGCGGGGCAATTGGTGTCGCTTCCCAGGATGCTCTCGATATTGAGCCCCTGCTTGGTGACGGAGAATGTCTTCTGCGAGAGGCAGTACGGCGCGGCGTCGAAGTGGTCGTAGAAGACCTTGATACGCTGGTGGTATGTCGCTGCCATCCACTTCTCGATCCTGGATAAAGTTAGCATCAATCCAGCCTTCAAAATCTCAGCAACGTACCCTCCAGTCTTCTCGATTAGTGCCATGACCCTCGGGGCCAGGTACTTCCAGGTTGACGTCCAGGCACGGGACGTAATCTTCTTCATCCAAGAGTCCAGGTTATGGCGCTGGTACGTGGGGAAGCGGGAGTGGGTGGCCGCGATGGCCTGCTCCATCTCGCTCGAGAGCAGCTCTCTAGTCGCGAACACCTGGAGGCAGGCCAGGCCCTTGAGTGCCTCGTCGGGATGCGGGGACTGCATGTTCTGGGTGACTAAATCGAACTTGCGTTTCTTGGGGCTGCCTTGCTGACCCGTCAGGCTTGAGTAGCCGTCGGTCGTGGTGCCGTCCAGGTTCCACTCTGGGAATGTTGTCAGTGTCTCGTCCATTGTGTAAACGGCTTCCATGACTTACCCTCGTCCACCGTCTTCAGATTCTTCTTGAAGTATTGGGTCAGAGTGGATGTGGTTGATGTTGAAGAGAAGAAGAAGAAACGGCCAGTCTTGGATTGGAGAGATATTTATGTTGAGATTGCATGTGCTTGAAGTGAAGGTATTGAACTGTGCGTGCATGTGAGTGATGGCAAAAACTTCAGAACCTACATTGCCGATTTGCATGTGCCTTGCAGTGAGGACATTGTACTGAGAATACACGTGAGTGATGGCAAAAGATTCAGGGGTTTCATTGCCATTTCGCATGTGATGGCTCGTGCAAATTATGTTAACCTGTAGTGAGAGCGAGGCGGCTTGTTCACATGAGGCTGCAGCCTAGCATCTGAAGACATCTTCAGTAAAGGAGAGCACCCCTTTTACGAGGACCGTGCTCCTCTCATTACCATTTCTCATTTCCTCGGCTCTCAATGTTTTTCTCCAGAGACTCTCCACTATCGATTCCAACACTGAGAACACCACCTTCAACCCTCAAGATGCCGTCGACATCTAAGAAGCAGGACCTCATGGCCCCCATCGTAAGTCCCGCCGCGCTTCCAGAACGCCCATTGCCCGCGTACTGACAATCCATTAGACTCTCGCCATCATCGCCCAGCTTGTCGCGATCTTGAGCCTCTCGAAGACCACTGTCATCTGTCTTCCGCCCGAGATCACACAACTCCTCGCCGATATTGTCACTGTCCCATTCGTTTGCAACATACCAATCTCGACTTGCTTCAATGGCCATCAAAGCCAGCTAGCCGACTGTCTTCCAGCACTCGCCTACACCTGCCGTGGACTGTACAACATGTGCACCGACGCCTTCTTCAGCAAGAACAATTTCGTCTTTGGCACCGATGCCTATCGCGCTCTGGCCATACGAGGCGTGGTTGTGAACATTGCCCGTCAGCTTCGCAGGAACTTCGGTGCCAACCGACTTCTCATCCACCACCTTGTGATCGTTCGTGTTACTGCAGAAGACGACAGATTCGGCTTTATCGACATGTTCGATTCCGACATCACCACCAACCTGCTCTGTCGACATGTGATATCATTGCTGTCGACCAACTGCAAGATCACTACTCGCCGTCAGCTTCGCATCCAGAGCGTGAGGATCATAGTCAAGCTCGTCCGAGACCAGCTACTTCCGCTATGCCGTGTCGTCGCCTATGATCGTCCAGAATCGTGGACATGTGATCTCGCATATGTTACATCAGCAAGCCCTTAGATGCTCACTTTTCCTGTAATCATGCGAAGTGAACAATTCACGTGTTTGTGTGCATGTGAAGATGTCGGCAGCCGTGCTAGGTGTCACGCGCTTCTGCCCGTGCTTAGCCTAATAACGAAACAGGGCTCTATTTCTGTGTACAGTCAATCAGGTTTTAGAGTCTGTAAACTTGTGAGCCTCATGTTAAGTATCTCAATGTCAAATGGCAAAGTAAGCATTCGAATAGCGTGCTTCTCAGCGATTACATTCCGCAACTTGTTCTTAGTCAACCTGCAAAAATTCGAGAGAACCCACTGACCTAGACCGAACGTTCAATGTCGTAACTTTCGTTGAGTCACAGGTTCAGATTTGGCAACAGCTGCCCCCGAGCGAACGCCAAAATATTCGTAAGGAGCGTTAATGCCAGCCACGATCGGGACGGTTGGAATACTCCAACATGATCTCAGGCCTTCTGACTTGGCAAGACTGCCTCCCAGTGTTCTGTGCTCTCTTCATCTTTCAAGGTCTTGCCCAAATCGTGGGCGACAGGGTCAGCAACGGCGTCTCCAAAGGCGGAAGCAATTTGCTCGAGGGTAAGCTGGTTTGTTTCCGGAAACCAGAAGTAGTATACGATGGCGGAGAAGATGTTGGTGCCGATGAAGACAAACTGAGGTCTGGGTTAGCTGTTAGCACAACAGAGAGAGGAGAAAACTTGCATAGAATTTCCAGGTGATGTTGTCGAATGCATAGCTCGCTGCATAGCTCAACCAGATAGCTGTCAGATACTGACTGAATGTCGACCATCCGACTCCTACGGCCCTTAGTTCAAGAGGAAAAATCTCAGCGACAATGACCCAGACGGCTGAGTTGAAGAACACGCTGTAGGACAGAGCGAATAGAAAGATAAACGCAATGCCTGCACGTTGACCCGCAGCGTTTGGATTACCCGTCTCTCCGTAGAGAGCGGACAACACAGCGAGGACCGTCAAGCATCCGGCCAATGTCAGCCAGCCAGTGATGACAGTTCGGCGACGAGGCCAGTGATCTGCGACGGTGAAGATGGAGAACAGCTGGCCGACCAATGCCATGAATCCGTAGATCGCGGTGATCAGGAGAGCTTCTTTCCCTTCGTAGCCAAGGTTGGAGTACATGAGGTCTTGATAGTTCTGAATGATGTTGGAGCCGCTCAACTTGCACATGTTGACGATCAAGGTGCCGAGGAGCGTCCTGCGGATGTACTTGCGGCTGAAGAGACGGAGGAAGTTCGATTTGGTCTTGTTTTGCTTCTCGAGTCTGATTTGCGCTTGCATCTCGCTCAGCTCCCTTGCAACGAACTCTTGAGACCGGTGGGCATGCAAGTAATGCATTGTCGCTTCGGCTTCTTCGTAACGCTCTTTCATAGAGAGCCAGCGAGGGGAGTAGGGCAGGAAGAAAGTCAGCACCGCTAGAACCACTGCTGGTGGAGCTTGAGTCGCAAGTGGAACTCGCCACTGAATGTCACCAGTTGCAAATGCTCCTGCATAGCCAATCCATCCAGCGAGAAAGAATCCAAATGTGTTCCAGAGACCTTTCAATCCAACCAGGAACGCTCTGTTCTCGGGAGGAGAGATCTCACTGAGATAGACGGGCGCCACAGGATAGACCATTCCAGTGGAAAAGCCAGAGAATGCTCTGCCAACAATCATCATGGCCGGGTTCTGCGCAGTCGCTTGAAGAATGGCTCCAATGACACTGACGATAGCGCCGAAGAGCAAGCTCCATCGACGACTAATGCGGTCCATACAGTAAGAAGCTGCCGCAGAGCCGACAGCACTACCAGCGTAGTATCCCGAGACGATGCCTCCTTGGATTGCAGTGTTGGTATCGAGAGAGCCGTACATGTACTTCTTGAAACTATCATGAGCGATTGTTGTGGCGATTATTCCTAAAGAGGTCTGTTAGTCTAGGAGAATTTCTAAGAGAATGGTTGCCTTACCAGTATCAAGTCCATAGAGTAAACCAGCCAGGCTGATCGCCATAGCGATCATAATTGAGCGGAAAGAGTTGCCTAGAGCTCCACGCTTTTGCACCATTTTGAATTTCTTCTGGATCTTCGCTTGTTTGATGAGAATGTCTTGTTGTCGAAGTAGAGTTCAGGCCGAGAGAGCGAGTTGGAATAAACCACAGACACTAGACACCCATCTTTCCTATCTTTTGGATGATAAAACAAGTGACCCCCACAATGCGTTCTCCGCAATATGTACCCCATTCTGGGGTCTAGGCAAGCGAATGCTAATTCCTGTGTTGTACAATTTGTGTTCTGTGCGGAGAACAGAATGTGTCAAGGGATGTCGTTTTCCGGCGGATTTCGTGGCCAACCAAGATTCCTCCCCATTTAAGATACATGGATTCTGCACGTGAAGACCAGACAGTTTGGGGGGCATTCGACCAGGCAAACGATCAATCTCGAGAACGATATTTTGCAGCATTTGTGGCAGCAAAGGTGATTGTCAGACATCGTTAGAAGTCCATCATCCGGGTTCCAGAGATGAAAAGCCACCAATGATGATTCCAATAGTTCATTTGATCTGGTCGATATCAATGCGCTCCTGCTTTCGTATGCTTCGCTCAGAAGCTGCTTCAATATCAGCGGAGTGTGCGGAGCACAGCATATCTTGCCTGCATTCGTCATTGCCCAGGTCATACAGCCTATACGTTTGAAGAGTCAGGTGGATGTCACCCCCACAGTAGCACCGGTTTCTATAGCATCGATGCACATCCCAAGCAGACATCCAACAATTGTGCCCCTGTGACGGAAGGCCTCGGACATTCGTCGATGCGTTCGTCACATCTGCCTGCATTTGGTTGTGACATGTCGCCTCGCCGTGAGAGAAGTATGAGGTGTTGTCGAAACCTAGAGGGATGGCTCTACCTCAAGATTGCAAGGTCTTTGACGAGCTGACATCGGCTTAGATGTCAGCTCTATTTGCTCCTGCTGTCGTCTTTTGCATGGAGATGTAGAACTGAACTTGACATGCCCTCATCATGATGTAGAATGACTGGGCATGGACCTCGTCTTTTCGGCAGAGATACCAACATTGTCCTGTTAGAGTAACGAGATGATAGTGATGGTGTCGAAGAGGGATGAGTGCGTAGCCTCATTTTGATGGATGAGAGCGAAAGGAAGCCGTTGCTAACTTCAAGCCTCCCTTCTGATCCTGGTCCGTCGGAGAAATGTTGAGCCGTTACCGTTGAACTCATCAAAGTTTGAAGAGCAATTTCAGTCAATTGCAAAAGAAGACAACATCTGCAAAAGTCGTTCTCACGAAGACTGAGCAAGACATGCTGTCAACGAGATACTAATAAGGTGGACGATGGGTATCGAAAATTTGTTGGCCTTGTCCTCACCTCGTCTCGAGCCACCGAGGAAGGATTCGCTCTCGATCCTGCCTCGGCCGAGTCCTTCAGCCTCAGACAACCATACGACAACTTCCACAGGTCTGGCACATTCTCCCTTCGAAATACTGGCCATTTCTGGACTACGAGCATGCCAATTTGCGGACGATGGTGCACCTACAGTGAGCCCTGATGATTTTTAAGGTCTCGTCAGCTGAGTCTCGAACTGGGCCATTAATGCGATGCACGTCACAGGCCGCGATGCCTAAGCACATATGAAGGAGGTAAACGTCGTTCATTCCATCCTCTTCCCTCTGTATCAGACCTTTCGAACATCCCCTTGTATTTTGCGGAAAAGAATCGATTTTCATTTTTTTTTTCGCTACAATCTTGAGCTTCCCTCGATAGGATGTCCACCCAACAAACAGCAAAGACGCAGTACATCCTCGCCAGCAATGGAGTCACCTTCGCCTACCGCAGCCTTGGGAGCCAGATCTATTCTAACATCCCTCTCATCATGCACATGCACTTCCGCGCCAACATGGACTTCTGGGACCCGCTCCTCGTTAACGCCTTAGCTGCTAAGCGCACTGTGATCCTCTTTGATCAGGCCGGTGTCGGTCGTAGCAACGGCAATGTCGCCACGACCTACCAAGGCTGGGCTGACAATGTCCTCGCTCTCATCGATGCCCTCAAGATCTCCAGGTTCGATCTTCTTGGGTTCAGCATGGGTGGATACACCGTGCAGATGGTAGCATTGACCAGACCTGAGGCTATTCGAAAGCTGATCATTTGTGGGAGTGGGCCTTCGCGACCTATCGATGGAGCTGGGAAGGGGATCGTCTGGCCGAGAGATGTTCCACCGGAAACGCCCATTGCTCTGCTCGCAACCGCGCAGTCCGATGATAAGGAGAAAATCGAGAAATCCATAACAGTCTCCTTCTTCCCCGACACGAAGCCTGGCCATCTTGCAGCTCGGGAGTACTTCGAACGCATCTACAGCCGTAACGCCTCATCCGCCGAAGATCACAAAGAACCACTCCATTCTCTCCTCAGTCCTCAGGGAACCAAGGAGCAACGCAAGGCAGGAATAGACTGGTACAAGCCGAACCCGCAGAATTCGTTCCATCGACTTGGCGAGCTGAAGATGCCAGTGCTGATCTTGAATGGCGACGATGATGTCCTGATCCCTACGAGTCAGAGCTGGGAGTTGCTGAAGGGGATCGAGAACGCCCAGCTGATCGTATACCCGAAGGCTGGACATGGCTTTCTGTGGCAGTACGCTGACCGGGTTGCAAGGGATGTAGGGGTCTTCTTGGACGAGGATCTTGACAAGGTAAATGCCAGGTTGTAGCGGCGTCTGAGAGCACGGTGCTGCCGGCATTTCAAGCTACAGCAAGATGTTAGGCAGCCTGAAGCTGTAAGGCGCTTGAGCTTTTTGGAAGTAATTCATTCGACATTCCTGGCTCAAAGAAAAATGCCTATAATCACGTGCCCCAGCTAAGAACAGCTACGCAGCAACACCAGTGTGGCCAAAAAATATAAGACCAACGGGAATCGATCCAAAATATAATGGAATTGAACCATTCAACTCCCACGGAGAGGCTCGACTGCAATTAAATCAGTTGTCTGCTAGTATACACGTCGATTCAGGAGATTAGACGTACACTCTCAACCTTGAGATCTTCTTATTAAAAGTCTCACGCGCTAGCCAATTGTGCCACGTGGGAAAGTCTGGAAAACATTGTTAATGGAAACATTGCTTCCGTGGCGATGATTGGTCAAAAAAATCTCAATTTAAAATATAATCTCTAGTCTTCTCAGCCGCAGTAGCTCCGAAAGCTAAATGGAAAGCTTTAGATCACACTCCAGCTCCTTCAGGAGTATTGGACTTCTACTCACAATGTCAACCTTCCTATAGTTCGGCAGTAGAGGCTCTCTAGCCTGGATACAGAGCTGCAAGGGAGAAGGTAAGGGTAGGCGGAGCACACCATCAGGGGTAAAACAGGCCTTGGCCATCAACAATGCCGAACCACAACTGTACAGAAGGCCCCTTGAGCACATGATCAAGCTAGAAGGATGTCCAATGCACTCAAGTCCTTTGAAAACAGCTGCGGGACCAAAGCTATGAATGAGGATTCGTCTTTCGTGGACTTCTACAAGACTGCCGGACGGCAACGAGTGAGACGGACTACCTTTCTACACCCGCTGGATGGTTGTGCCAGCAACATTGCATACTCCTCATCGATGGAACCTGATTGCTAAATGATGCTGGAAACATTTTCTAGGCGACCAGAGGAAGCGTTAACGTTAACGTCGAAAGTCTCGGCACAGCATCAGCTAGACCACGCCCACGACCATTCTGAGAGCCGCAACGGTCAGATGCGAAGCTGTTGCTTGCATTGTCTTCGAGGCATTACATAGTGACCGTGGATTCCTCCGAATTTCGAGGGCAGACTTTTGGAGAGCATACTAGGCCTCCTCGATTCCGCCCGTTGTCTTTCCCGCTGACTACATGCATCCACGACCAGGCCACCAACGGCTTAGCAGCCCTCTCATCTGCTCAGAGAACGGCAGGCAGGGAATCACGTTGACTAGGACCAGGCTACAAATTGCAGACTCCAAGACGTGTCGATACACAGCCACATGAGAACCACCGCTCAACGATTGTTCAGGGGCATTCCACGATCCATGTCCAGAGACACTGTCTAAGCGGCGGTTGCTGAACGATGTCTCGTTTCTGAGCCCCATCCATCCTGTGCAGGACTGCATTGATAGACTTTCGATGTTACGGTCAACTCACCGTCCAGAAGTAGCCATTAGGTTGAGCTGGGATAGTGGACATGCATCTTCCAACTGCTGAGGCACACTAGTGACGAGGTCTTATGCTATCAATGCTCTGAAGGTCTCCCTCCTCATATCACGGTCTGATGAGCTAGAATGGAAAGTGTGCTTGAGCAAAGCGTTAACGTGAATTGCAGACTCATACGTCCGCAGAGTACGCCAACGGGAAATCTTTCAACAGCTCGATCGCTCTCCTTAGGGTCTTATTACGTACCGGCTAGAATATCGCTACTAGATCGGCTATTAATATGCGAAGCTAGGTGCCTAGGGGAGTAGAGTTGTAGACATAGTTAGTAAGTGCTAGTCCTAGAGTAAAGGCGCACCTCTTAGCAGATGTTACTAAGCGCTCTAAAGTATAACGAACGGCTTCGTCGTCGGCAAGGTAGCTTCTGAGGAGACATAAGCATATACATAGCAGTATCGAGAGGTCCGCGTCGGAGTGCTCATACGGAGGTTCGTATTAATCTGTCCCGTCGATCGTCTTCGTATAGCACTAGTGTAAGTAGACGTTGAAGCTATAGGCGTCCACTTCGTCTTGCTCTACACTTCTCTACCTATAAGACTACCGAGGCGAGCAACGGGCTGCGAACAAGGCTGAGGTTGCGCAAATGTAGGATTTGTATACGGTAAAAGAAACCGCGTTATCACCTTTGCCTACTTAACCGACGATTGTAGAGACGAAGTCAGGCCTACGCCCAATGTCGAAGACTGCTACGCAGCGCTCAATGCTATGAAGACAGCATTGCAGTGACGTTCGATCACCTTCCTAAGATATGCACCCCGATGCCAGCGTCAGCCACTTATCAAAGCATAGATTGGACTTCGATAATGAGATAAAGCACACACTCTCGAAGATAACCCGATATAGCGGTTCGCCAAGCAGCTTTTTGTTCCGGGTCCTGGGATGCGCACTCGAATCGATAGCTTGAGTTGCTAAAGGAGATGTTTGCGACTTGGAGAAAAACAGGTCACTATGCCTGCCGGTCAAATTGCCATTGATGGTGACTCCAGGGTGACGAGGCCTAGGGGAGGGTTGCCGGATTCGGTGAAGCACAGCCGTCCGTGCCTGGATCAGATATCCGTGCACTCTGGGAATAAGCGGATGTCGACTTGCGGTTGGGACGAACCATGTTTAAACCTAGAAGTTCCAATTATCTAGCTGAGAGTATGGCCCGAAGGTAGTGGAGCGCGAGACAACTTGTAGCAGCCAGTCCAAACATTAGGAAGAGAAGAACGGGCAAGGTGTGGCTTGCTGGATGACACTGCCTCCTCTACGAGTAAGGCGTCATGCGTTCATGTGGCACATATGGCCTTTGGTGCCTGGCTAGCACTGGCACACCGCCGAGAGATCTTGCAGGGCGGCCTCGCACCAAAGCTCTCATGCCAACTTGTCGTATATAGTCTCCCAATAGATGCAATTCAGGCCCATGCAGCCAATGCCGTTCGATGTCTCCTGTGTGGTGTGTCCTCCGGACCGAGGATTGGTTTTCGTCACGGTGCCACTCTGCTCGATACGCCCGTTGCAGCAACCGTGACTGCCAACCACCTTGACCCAGCCGTTTAGCTGTGATTCAATGCCGACATTGATCCAGTCCTCTCGGTTGAACAGCACACACGCGAGCGGTGCGATGAACCAGACCAATCTCGTCTTACCCTCCAGGCGTTCGTGAACTGGACAGAAGATGGTCAGACTCTCGGTGTTTCGAGTCTGGAAGCACTGATGCAATAGTCTGAGACCAGCCCGTCGACCCCGAAATGTGGCACACATCCGGAGAGAATGTGATTGTCGAATTCTGGACTTGCTGAGATGATGTGAGGGTTTGCACTCTTGTCCGTCTGGCACCCACGGAAGCAGGTTTGGTTCGACTTGTCAAGGCCGCATGATCTACTTTTCCGCAAGTCTCGATCGTAGAGTCACGTCGCGGTAGCACGCAGGGAGAATCTCTATTATCTAACAAGCACAGCACCATCTTCGTGCTGTGGGGGAGTCCACGACGTCGTTGGCATTTGCTGGCCCAAGTTGTACACGACTACGTTAACATGGAGGTGTATAGCAAGGAGCACCAGCGATTCGAGGAGCGTTCGAAGCTGTTGTATCTGTTCCTGCCGCTCATTAAGACGTCCTGTATGATGCTGAAGAGACTGTTCGCGTTCTACTAATCCGTCCATCGGGCGCTGGTCTGCATTTTCATGAGGAACAACGGGACCTTGTTGATCTCAAAGAGCCAGAAAGATGAGCCGCGTTGTGGGTAGTCATTGCTGCGGGCAAGGCGCTGCTTGTGTCGGACATTTATGTGTCTCGTTCGAGTGATCAAGGGACAATTGGCGGCGAGAGAACTGTTCCCAGACGGAGAGATGTTACGGTGTATCTCCATGCGTGATGCGGAGAGGTGCGATTGCCGATGATTTCGTGAGCCAGGCAAACAGGCAGCTTGTCCAAGTTGGCAAGGACAACTTGCCTCGATACTGCAAATGTTTCTGTGGAGAGGCAACGTCTAAGGACCTCCAACAACATCTAGCAGAGTATTCTCTTTTCCCGCGCTTTGCGTTGGTGTGGCTAGAAATCAACTCTGTCGTCGTTTTCTTATACTGTACGATGATAGTGCCTATTGAGGCGCTGATTGATGGCGATCCAGGCTCCGTTCACGCAGCTTAGCAACATACTCCTTGGAAAAGTTAGTGATGATCCGGAGACATGCTGTTAATCTGTTAGGCGCCAGTCTGCCCTTTGGTAAGAAATGGGTCATGATCGTCTCCGACGGCCAGAACGATGAACGGGGCCATGTTGTTGGTATTTGTTGATGCGGGAGAGGAGTTGTTCGCACGGGACATCTCGGTGCTGGTCTTTGGGCCCTTACAGATATCCAAGGTATCTAAGGTGCCCAGCCAGAGACTGGGACGTGGACCCAGATAGGAGTGGTGGCTTCCAATGTAGTAGTGTAGATCTTCGATCGGCTCTTCCGATGCCTCACTTGCGTTGAGCACAGGAGTTAAATTAGGAGAAGCCCAATTTCATGGACGTCGTCGACGAGACCCTCATCTCCGCCGCACAGGTGATCACAGCGTTTGCCAGAGGAACCAAACGGCTTATCCCTGAGATTTACGAAAGACGTCGGAATGGATAGCACTTACACGCGCTGCACGGTTCGCATCCACGAGCAAAGAAGGCAGAATCTCGATGAAGTCGAGCGGCGGCCGAGGAAACACTGGATAGGGCTTGAGCCGGGCCTGGCTCGGTAGGACTTATGGTGGCGATTCGATACCGTCGATGCTCGAACGGTTCGTCTCTCAGGGCAGCAAGGTAATCCTGACCTTGCTGTCCTCCCATGGTATATGCGTCGCCTTGTCTTCTTCGAGGCAATCAAAAGGTCACCATGGTCGACAACGTTGGTAGTGCCATGCTCTCAAATAGTAAGAGGCTTGTTAGGAAAGGTTCCAAGAACAAGGAGTTTCCTGTGTCAAAGATAATAGCGTAATCAATGCTCTCAACCAGGCCTCTCATCCGTACATCGTCCACAGCCACAATCAAATCCCCACGCCTCCTTCAACCTCCGTTGACGATCTTCGAAGTTCATGTCTCTTTCGTCACCGCCCAGATACGAGATGCAGCATTGGTCGCCAAGGCTGATATCTAGCCCAGCGGTGAACTGCCACTGCCTGCCGACTCTCTGCTTCTTCAAATTCGGTGCGCACGAATGGTTGAAGTAGCTAGCAGATGGATAGACACCGTAGCCCATGTACTCTTCGCTGTCCTCTCCTCCCGAGCGAATGCCGAAGGCGTTGTGGTTGTCGGCTCGTACTATGGTCCGGCATAGCTCAGGAGTGATAAGAGGGAGCAGCTCGAGGGGGAGAACAGACACCAGCTGAAGATAGCTGTTGCAGTTACTCTCCAAGTCCTTCTGGGTCTTGTACGGTTCATCGTCCATGGCAAGGCTAAGCACCTCATCGGCCCACCTTGTGGGGTCCTTGTAGCGATACAGCAAACCACACAGGAGGTAAGAAAGTACGTCGCTGTCGATAGCCTCACCTATCTTCCGCATGATCGCCAGCGTGGCCTTGCGATCCAATTTCGACTGAGGCGTTTTCGACTCACGGCTCACGCGTAATATTTTGGCCTGCCTATCTGCTTCTTGCCACGCCGTCTCGATCTCGCCCGGCTGGGGCCTCGCCCCGTCTCCCATCTCTTCATCTGCATTCGTCCCTCTGCCTCTTGCGCGCAGGAAATCGGCCAAACACAGCCATGCATCAACGCCAGCCTTTCCTTGCTCTTGTGCCCAACCCGCTCGACATGACTCTGAACAGAATACCTTGGCCGTCGTATGATCGCGTATCGGCAACGTACGGCCGCGGTCCCAATGGAAACAATAGGCACAGGTCTCTTTACCGTAGAGCTTGAAGACGACGTGAAAAGCGGGCGGTCCGCTCTGGAGCATCAGCGTCCCTGCCGGTACATCACATCGAGCAATGACACCTCTGCCGGCATTGGGGATGTCGCGAACCTCGAACCAGCCCGATTCGGGAGGACTCATAATAATGCTCGGTGGTCATTCTCCTCGCCGGCGAGGTTGCGGGTCGAGGCGTCTCGACGCGTGAAGTCTGCCGAGCACGGGCCTCATCGGGCGTGCAGAGGGCTTCGACTTCTCGACCACTCGCGTCCTCGCCATGGACTCACCGACCTCACTCCATCCCTTCATCCCCCCCCTCACCTCAATCCACCTCCTGTCAAGCCCACATGCCGCGGCGGCATCCCTTCGATAAGCATTTGGCTGAGAGCGGCCGGGCATGTCGAGAACATGGGAATTGCCGCCCGCCACGTGCTTGTGCCAACTGGAATGCTCCTCGACAGCAACAAGCTTCCGCAACATCAACTCCATCGATTCGAGCAGGAAATGCTACGGAAAGACCGCTAGGACGATGGCAGAAATCTTCAGGCCCAGACTGAGCAATATCAATCTCGCGAAGTCTCTGGCACTACGCCAAAATTCCATTACTTGTGGCCAGCTTTCAATAAGCCTGTATTGCCTTCTTTGATAAAACTAACGACTGATTGTCAGCATGGATCACTCTCGAGTTTTCGAGCTGTCGATCATGGTCCGGCGAGGAGGTCGGTCCGGCATGCTCATTGTAAGTGGTGAAGGCGAAATCCAGCGAAGTGGGTAGCGGCTTGGAGTGAAATGATAGGAATGCAGACCGTGTTGTGGACGTGTTGTTGCAGTCTCGACTTTTGGGACTAACCCCCCATCGCTGTTTACAAACACCCTTCCCTTCTCGCTTTCTCTTCTCCTCTACCAGCAACCTCACTCTCGCTAAGCTCGCCTACCTCTGCGGAAGGATGGTCCGCTTCTCATCCAGTGCCTGCAGGCTAGCAGGCGCTGCACTTACACTCGTTTCCATCACCTACGCACAAGACGCGACGCAGGCATGGCCTGGTCCGCAACCAACATGTAGCGCCGGCATGAACGGAGTCAAGGGCACCTATACTGATCCCATGTTCGGATTGACCTGGCAGGTCAACTGTGGGCAAGATACCCTCGGCGCCGGGTCCTACAACTTTGGAGGGACCGGTGGGCAAGGTATCGCTGGCTGCTTCAAAGGATGCGCGAAAAGACCGAACTGCCAGGGCTTCTATTATGCAGGGGTCGTGTCAGCTGGTGGCAGTATGTGAATTTAATACCCCATTACCAAGCCATTTGCTGACAGATCTTCTCTCATCCAGCTGCTGGATCTGGTGGTTGTTACTGTAAGACCCAAAGACTCAAGTGAACGGAGAAGGCTACTTACAATTATGAAGACAAGACGGCACCTGTCACATCATTCGTTACTGATGCACCGTATACGTACACAAACCCGGCGACGCCTGCAGTGACTTTTTCTCACTACGCGGGTGTTGCTCTGCTCAATCCTGGTGTGACATCCTATGCCGTAAGTTCCACGCCAACTTGCAATGAACACTGCCTGGACTAACTCTTGCTTTGACAGTGTCCCATGTACAACAATTTGCAATTCAACGATCGCTCCGGAAACGTTTGGTCGGTATGGCGACTACTTGTTGATGTGAATTGGTTCTCCTTTAGTGACTTTGCTGCAGGTCACTTGCGGTGGGCACTACGCTGGTCTTCCAACTCCGAATCCTGTCGCCGTCAGTGACATGGCGGGTTGCATGGCTGCATGCAACACAGCCACCAACCCTGGATCCACATGTACCGCCATAGAATACGCGCTCACGACAGCCGAGCCAACGTCCACGGATCCCTCCACTCGCGGCCAATGCTACGTATGTGACAAGGCTCTAATTTGGTCAGGTCCTTTGCTTATCTTGTGCAGATGTACTCGACGGCATTTACCACAACTTTGTCAGCTAACCCCAACTATGGTTATGCTATGAGGGTTGGAGGCACGGCTACGGTGTCCGTCACATCTTCGCCACCTTACTATACGAATTGGGCGACGACCGTGACGCCAACGGGCAGCACTTCGTCAAGCACCGCAACTACAGGTCAGTCTAATTCTCTCTCGACTTCTGCAAGTTTACCGGCAGCTACGTCCACGGCCTGTTTGTCACAGGATCCTGTTCCCAGCCCACCGGCCAGCCCTGCGTCTTGTCCAATAGGGAACAACTATACGGTCACGAGTGCCTGTGGCAATACATACTACATTTACTGTGGCTATGATACGACTGCTTCCGATATGTCCTCCCAGCCCACAGTCAGTAGCGTGGCGGCATGCATACAACAATGCGATTCAAACTCTCGGTGTCAAGCAGCCACATACGCCAATGGCATCTGCTACTGGAAGTCTGCATACAAAAGCCTCAGCACCACGACCACCACTTCCAGGGTCGCAATTGTCCGATACATCCCACCAAATCCCAACTATGCCGTACCTCCAACCGCTCCCGGCACCAACACATCCACTGGTTGTGGCCAAGCTCTGCCTGCAGGCCTGACACCAGACGGATCAAGTGTATACTACAGCTTGATCGCTCCCGATGGCAAAAACCGCACATACAAGGTCCATATTCCGAGATTCTACAATGTCAATCGTGCGTCGCCTCTAATCTTCGGCTTCCCTGGCAACGGCGATACCGCTTCAGGCATTGAAAGCCAGACCGGGTTCAACGACGGCACTTTGAATCCTTACGGGATCGCGGTGTATGTCGATGGCTGGAACCTCGGTTTTCAGTCGAACCCGGACTGGGCAACTGGATCCAACTATGCTGATGACCTGGGCTTCATGAGGACGCTCATTGATACGATGAGTTCATCATTTTGCGTCGACACTGGCCGCATTTGGGTCACTGGACAGAGCAATGGGGGTGGTTTCACCAACTATCTGGCGTGCGATCCATACATGAGTTCACGAATCTCTGTCTTCAGTGCCAGCTGTGGTGCCTTCTACACCGGTGCCAGATCAGGCGATCCAGCTACAGTCGATCCGGTCAACACCCCAACACAGCCGCAGTGCTCACCCAGTCGAAACAACCTCCCCTTCTTGGAGTTCCATGGCACCAATGATGGTGTCATTCCTTATACTGGTGGGGTGCGCAGGGGTTACCTCCTGCCTACCATTCCACGCTGGGTGACCGCCTGGGCGATCCGGCAAGGCTACAGCTCCAGCAACGTCGCCTCCACGCCCAGCACTGGCGTGACAATGTATCAATACGGTGGACGTGGCTCCCTCGGCATCATCACACAGTACACTCTCGCAAACTGGGTACACGACTGGCCTAAAGTCTCATCAGGAGCACCTGTCGACGCATCGCCATTGATCATGAATTTCTTCTACGACCAAACGAACTACAACAGGGTCGTCGCGGACGGCCCCTCTCTGAGCTCGTCTTCTTCATCATTGTCTTCTTCTTCAACTTCTGCAAGCACAAGTTCACTAACTCCTCTTACAGTATCCACTTCGACAAGCAGCACCGGTCCGATCACTGTTTCCACTTCAAGTAGCACCACGACCACGCGGTCGACTTCTAGCAGCAGTACGAGCGCGATCAGCGGGCCTCCCTACACCTGTCCGTTGAATGCCATCGTGCCAGACCAAACCGGTCAACTCTATGACACCCGGTGTGGCGGGCAATACAATGGTGGCACGCTCCGAGATGTGTCATCAGGCATTAACTCTTTCAATGACTGCTTCACGCTCTGCTCTGCAGACTCGGCCTGCACGGGGTTCCAGTATGGTTCTGCCGCTAAGATCTGCTACTTGAAGGCAAGTCATCCCCCCGAGGTCCAAGCGTGCGCGCATCTAACAGCTCGCAGAACAGTTTCTCGTTTTGGGCCACTGTAGCCAATCAGGAGGCAGTAGGAGCAGCGAAGGTGTTTCCCGCTACAACTACTACAACTACAACGACGTCAACGACGAGCTCTTCGCTATCGAGCTCGTCGACGGTGACCACTTCCAGCTCTGCCAGCTCAAGTGTAACAACATCTTCTACACTGAGCAGCTCGAGCGGAAGCTCAACCGGTACGTTTTCGACCAGCAGTAGCACCGACTCTGCAACATCGTCAACCATCACCTCATCTTCCACCTTGACAACGTCTACAAGCTCCAGCGCTTCCGTGTCAAGTTCAACAACCACGTCCTCTACGGATTCATCGATTTCCACCTCTGGATCAGCAAGCACTTCGTCAACTGGCACATCGAGCTCTTCATCCTCTTTGAGTACTTCTTCTAGTTCCGCAACAGACTCAACGAGCTCGAGTACATCAACTTCGAGCTCCCTGTCGACTTCGAGCACACTGACGAGTTCGAGCACGCTGTCGACGTCAGAGAGTTCGTCCAGCACAACTTCTATCTCATCATCGCAAAGCAGCAGCACGCTCTCGACATCGCTCTCGACATCGCTCTCGACATCGCTCTCGACGTCGTTATCAACGTCGTTATCAAGCTCGACTCTCGATAGCACATCCAGCGAGAGCAGCTCGTCGACTTCAGTCTCTACAAGTAGCTCGCAATCCAGCTCAGCGTCCTCACCAACGACGACTGACACAGCCAGTACGAGCTCGAGTAGCACGACCAGCTTGTCATCCACTGGTGGAACTTCGAGTTCCGAGACGACGGTTTCGTCCCCAACCCTCACTTCTTCAAGTACTAACACCTCGCCTACTATAGTCACGTCGTCAACTGGTACGTCAGTATCTAGTTCTACGGGGCTCGCTACATCGAGCACCCAAACCACCTCCAGCGTCTCTTCGAGCGCTACGGACACGACGTCCAGTCTACCATCGACTGCGTTCACCAGCTCCTCTTCTTCGACTGTGTCTAGCTCCTCGAGTTCATCGACGAGTGTCTCCAGTAGCACAAGCTTGTCAACGTCCACAGCAACGACTTCGACCGCTTCGTCATCTGTGAGCTCGTCGGGAACTTTGAGCACGAGCACTAGCACAGGCACCGTCTCCTCCACTCTGAGCACCTCGAGCTCGAGCGTCTCGACATCATCCTCGGGGTCGTCGACGTCACCTACTGGAAGCAGCACTTCATCGAGTGCAACAACATCGAGTGGAACCACATCGACTGCGACCACATCGACTGCGACGACGTCGACTGCAACAACGTCGACTGCAACAACATCGAGTGGAACTTCTTCGACTGGAGCATCCACGTCTTCATCAGCTTCTTCATCGACCGCTCCGTCAACTTCTTCGAGTGTTTCCACATCGACGCTGTCATCAGTCTCGACGAGTTCCTCGGTGACGAGTTCTACCGCTTCCAGCAGTCCAAGCACCTCCAGCACATCTACAGCTGTGGTGTCGTCTTCGACCCCAGGATCTTCGACAACGGTGACCTCCTCCACTGGAAGTTCGACGCTGCCTTCTACAAGCAGTTCGAGTCTTCTGACAACGACTTCGTCTGTGGGAACGACGTCGTCTTCTAGTTCTACTTTTGTGTCTACTTCATCTTCAGTATCATCGTCGCTAACTACATCCACAGGGATAGGTTCCACCTCTAGCAGTGCGTCCAGCAGCATGTCGAGCAGCATTTCCAGCAGTCCTAGTAGCACTGTCTTTGGTACCACCTCTAGCAGCATTGTCATTGGGTCCTCCTCCTCCTCCTCCTCCTCCTCCTCCTCCTCCGCAACCACCTCTTCGCCGTCTTCAACTACCAGTCTCTCTATCAGCACGGCAAGACCGCCATTCAGCTGCCCTGGAGTGAGCGGCACTAACGTCCTCGACGCATATGGCGTGATCTACGAAGTTCGCTGCGATTGGGACATTCAAGGGGGCAACCAATACACCTCGACGGAGTACCCAGGAGGCACCTTCAATGACTGCTTTAGAGCTTGCGATGCTGAGCCGACTTGCGTGGCCTTTTCTTTCTTCCAAGGATACTGTTACTTCAAGGTAAGTTTCACAACTACAGATGAATGAGACGATGTTAATACTTGCTGCAGGCTATTACTGCAAATGGAGAGGCCCCTTACTTCCAGGCCACAGTTCAGACTGATGTCGTGGCTGCATACCGACGAGGAGGGACGTACAATCCAAATGCTGGAAGCACAAGCTCTTCGAGTTCTGTGGCGCTGTCCACTACTGTGTCGTCGGCGACCTCGAGTTCCGTGCCAGGAGTGTCTACGTCGTCATCTACGAGGGGCTCTAGCGGAGCCAGCACATCCTCATCTGCTGTGGTCCCTTCGTCGTCGACAACATGGAGCTCTAGCGGCGGCAGCACGTCGTCATCTGCTGTGGTCCCTTCGTCGACAAGGATCTCTTCATCGACTACATGGAGCTCTAGCGGGATCATCACATCTTCGTCTGCCGCAGTCCCTCCATCGTCGACTACATGGAGCTCTAGCGGAAGCAGCACATACTCATCTGCTGCAGTCCCTTCATCTACTAGGAGTTCTTCCTCATCGAGTGCATGGACCTCTAGCGGAGGCAGCACATCCTCGTCTGCCGCAGCTCCTTCATCAACTAGGGTCTCTTCGTTGTCGACAGCGTCTTCGTCGACTGGTGCATCTTCCTCGTCAGCTGGATCAAGCCCGACTTCACCTCTGAGCTCATCAAGGACATCGTCCTCCATGGTTGGTCCTTCACCGGTGGTGAGCTCCTCAAGCAGCGTGGCTGTGTCATCGTCTGCAGTGGTGTCAACAAGTGCAGGACAGCCATCGTCGTCAGCAGCAATCAGCTCTCAGCCTCCCACAACGACTTCGCCGCCTGTAGCACCCAGCAGCTCACCAGCGCCAACGTCGTCAGCAGTAAGCAGCACCGTCTTCAGGAGCACCACCGTGTACACCTGGACCTACCCAACGTCGTTTGTCTTCCAAATTACAAGGACGACATCCTCGATGTCGAGTGACACTGAAACTCCAACTGCTCCTGCTACCTCGTACCCTCCTCCGCCGGCATGCCCTGAACCAACCGATCTTTGCGCGCCCAACCAGGCCACGTTCGGCACTGATACTTGCGCATCGAGCAACGAGCAGGCATACCAAGTCAATTGCGGTATCGCCTATGTCGGTGAAGAGGTTGAGGAAAGCGCCGTTAACTTCCCGCCACCGAGGAAACACAAGCGCTACACCTTCCCGGCCATCGATTTGCAGTACTGCCAGGACACTTGCGATCTTTCGCCACCCTGCAAGTACGTCAACTATATCGAGGGTAACTGCACGCTGCTTAGTGAAGTCACGGGTTATACGTATATCAACGGCGCCGTCACTGCAGAACAAGTGCCCAACCCACCGCCGCCAGAGCCAGAGGTCGTCACGACCACGACCACGACGTCCTCTTCAGCTCCCACGCCTACAATGCCGTTCATATCCGCGGCCGATGCTCAGTGTCCACAGAACAACGGCTCGTTCGTCCTGGACAATTGTGGCGTTGGGTACATCCTGGGTTGTGGTCTTGATACACAGCCCGGCAGCAATGATTTTTTCCCCACGGCCACTTTCAATGATTGCTTCCAGGTCTGCTCGAGCGGTGACCAAGGTGTTTGCTCGGGCTTCTCCTGGCTCGGTGGGAACTGTTACCTGAAGCGCTTTGGCAGTATGACTTTCTTCGAGAACGGCGGGACGCAGGTCGGTGCCATTCAACTGCAGTACTACGACAATGGCAGCCCTGATCCTACGTCGGCGAGTCGAGCGTGCACGGTGCCGTCTACGACTTCCACGAGCTCAAGCACCACCAGCTCGTCCTCGTGGGCTTCAAGCAGTGGATCGAGCTCCATGGCCGCGGTCACTTCGAGTGTGTCATCCAGCTGGTCTTCATCAGCCGCATCATCCCTGCCGTCCACCACGAGCTGGTCCAGCTCGACAGGAGGCGTGTCTTCGTCGTCAACCACTTCATCGCCATCTTCGACCACGAGTCTTACTGTCAGCACATACACGGCGCCATTCAGCTGTCCTGGAGTCAGCGGCTTGACCGTGGCAGATACGTATGGAGTCATCTACGAAGTCCGATGCGACACCACCATTCCAGGAGGTCAGATCGATACCCAGCAAGTAACGGGTGGCTTCAACGACTGCTTCCAGATCTGTGACACGAATGCAGACTGCACTGGCTTTACTTATTTGGCAAACTACTGCTACATCAAGGTATGTGTCCCAGATTTGTGCTACCCCGGACAGGTACTAACATTTCAACAGGGTGACGTTCTCGCATTCGATACTCCACAACAGGATGTCTTTGCGGCTATCCGTAGAGGTGGTTCGTATAACCCTCCTGGAACCAGCTCTTCGTCCAGCGCGGCAAGTACTTCCAGCTCTACGGCCGTCGTGATTGTTTCGACCACGAGCACTCCTGGCCAGACCAGCTCAAGCTCGAGGTTCAGCTCCACTTGGTCATCGAGTGTGCCTGCAAGCTCCAGCGGCAGTGCTTCGCCATCGTCGAGCATCGCATCTAGCGTGGCCAGCAGCGGGTCGAGCTCCGCCAGCAGCGTCTGGTCGAGCACGGCTAGCAGCACTTGGATTGTATCGGGCAGCAGCACTTGGAGCGCGTCCGGTAGCAGCACTTGGAGCAGCACTCCAGGTGTGTCAAGTTCGGGCTCGAGCGCTTGGTCCAGCACATGGTCCAGCGTACCAGGCGCATCGACTTCATGGTCAGGAGGCAGCAGCAGCACCTCCTGGGCGTCCTCCTCGGCATCGCAATCTCAAGGCCAGGTCTCCAGCCTTACGCCTTCGAGCGCTTGGTCGTCGAGCGTGTGGCCATCCAGCGCTGCGTCATCCGTGTCTTCTGGGACCGTCAGCATTACCGTCTCGCCATACCCGTCACCGACTTCATCATCGATGGCGGCTGGCAGCAGTTCTGCTGGTGCATCATCTGGATCAAGCGCTGCCTCGTCTTCGGTATGGGCCTCGTCGTCTTCGGTGTGGGCTTCCTCATCATGGGCCTCCTCGTCACCTGCTGGCGTTTCGTCTTCTGCCGCCGGCGCATCTTCATCCTGGTCGGCGAGCAGTGCTCCAGGAGTCTCATCCAGCACCTGGTACCCCGCAGGCAGCTCCTCGCCAGGCGCCTCATCGGCCCCTGCCAGCTCAGGCTCAGTCGCTCCAAGCGGAAGTGCGAGCGGCAGTGCGAGCGTCGGACCAGCGACTTCTAGATCATCTTCTGCTGGTGTCCCTGTCTCATCACCACAGTCCGCTTCACAGAGCGCAGCCGCCTCGTCTTCCCCGACAGGACAGACGGTCATGCCCACTCTGCCGACCGGCTACTTCAACACCTCATCTTCCACCCGCCCTTGGCAGTCGCCGTCGCTTCCGATCTCTCAATTACCAGACGGATCGATATCTGCCGGCTCATCCCAGAGCCCAGGCGGCGCCTCCACAACACCAGGAGGCAACACATCCCCAGGAATCTCCCCTGGCGTCTCAACACCACCAGGCAGCTCAGGAGGCGGCGCGACCCCCACCGGCGGCTCCGCCACGAGCGGCAGCACCGCCCCCACACCCCTCGTAAGCGTCTGCCCGGCCTACGACGGCCAAAACTACACCTCCCCATCCGGCCAAACCTACGAAGTCCAATGCAACTCCGTCTACACGGGCACGCGCCTGTCGAACCCCAACGCCGCCCGACGCCAAGCCTCCTACACGCCCTCGCTGGCCTCGTGCATGGCCGTCTGCCAGGCCAACGACGCGTGCGTGGCCATCAACGTCACGCCGACGGAGTGCCAGTACCTCAGCAGCATCGACGGGATGGACACGGCGGCGGGGAGCATCGCGCTGTTGAAGGTCGATGCGGCGCCGAGTCCGAGCCCGAGCGTCATCGTCGTGACGGTTTGCGCGGCGACGCGCACGACGACGATTTTCACTACGGCGACGTTGACGACTTGTCGCGCGGATAAGGTTTGTCCTGCGTCGTCGTTGTCGTTGTCGTCGTCGGGAGGGCCGGTGGCGTCGGGGTATGGGAAGAGGGAGATTTGATTTGGGGGAAAAGCGGGATATATTGTATGGTATTGGATTGGATTGGGAGGGAAAAGGGTGGTGATGTGCACATGATTGCAGATTGAGGGAATGAGAATGAGAAGCACAGGGTTGTTGGTTTGGGAATGGATGGTTGTATTGTTGTGTAGTTGTGATGGAGTTTTTCGATAGCTACTTTAATGATAGGGCATTTTGATGAGTTGCACTGCGTTGTACTGCCTTTTTGGAGCTAGTGTTTCTTCTTTGATCTGATGGAGTTCTTGAGAATAGGGGTTCCCTGGGACATAATTTAACACGATAGAGTTAGAGAGGGCATGACAAGGGGGAATGGATGGATACAGAGCGCTTGAATCAAATGAATTCTCAATATTCAATTTCAGCTACTCGTCGTCAGTCCGTCTTCGGTCAGTCCCTCCTACTCCTAAAGCCTGAACTTTCACAAACCCGACCCTACCCCCTCTCCTCAAACTTCCTCCCCTTCCCTCCCCCCCCCCCCCTCTCATCAAACCCCCGTAACAACAGCATCCACACAAACACCAACAACCCTCGTGACCCTCTCCGTCGGACAAACACAAACGCCCACACCCCCCTCCTCCGTCACCGTCGCCAACCCACAACCCCCACAATCCACCCCCGTCGTAACATCGACACTCCCAACCCCACAATCCCCACAGGGGAAAGGGTTCCTCTCCGTCACAGTCTTCGTACACGGCACGTCCTTGGTGCAGCTGGTCGTGAACGACGGCGCGCAGGCGGTGATGGTCGTGGTTTTGGAGGGGTCCGTGCGTGTGGATGTGCCGCAGTACATCATGCACATGGGGCCGGCGGTGGTGATGGCGAGGGCGCAGGGGCCGCAGGCTGTGTAGCTGGTTGTGGTGTGGGCGGGGAGGGCGGGACAGCAGCCGGGTGGGTGGGTTATGATTGTTGTGCAGGTTGGTTCTGGGGGTGGTGGGTAGGAGGGGAGGATGGAGATGAGGCCTTCGTCTTGGGCGGATGCGGATGCTGAGGTGAGGAGGAGGGTTGTCAGGGTTAGGACGAGGGTGAGAGGTGACATTGTTGTTGGTGGTGTGGTCTTTGAGGCGTGCGTTTGTGTGGTGTTCGATGATGAGGTTTTCTCGTTCGCAAGTCCTTGTGAGTTGTGGCCAAACCCTTCCTTCGCGGTATATATATCGAAGCAACAACGCCCCAAGTCTCCAAAAGAAAGAAGGCACAGCCAACTTCCTCTTCCTAAACTCTACCCCAACCCAACGAGTCAGCAGCAACACCCACGACTCTTATACCACCCCAGCACCCGCACCGTCGCACCAAACACCTTCAGCCGCTTATCCTCTCTACCATCCTCCCTACCCCTTCAATCGCATTCCTCGCTGAAACCCGCCTCTGGGCATAGACAAGCCACTCCTCGCACTGCTGTTGGTACTACACACCGAAGGCACGACCGCTCAATCAATTATTAGCCAGCTGCAATGCAAAGAGCAGTCCGTACTCGCGAGGGAAGAAAATTTCCGACAAGTTGCAAGCCACGTGTTACAGAATCGTGGAGTCGGGTTGCTCCATCACCTCGTCCCGTTGGTACTTGTCTGCGCCAAGGGATAGAGAAGGACTTGGCTCTATACTTGTTGTCCGTCTAATTCGTATTGCTGGAATGCGCAGCTCGGAATGCGCTTCGAGCTCAACACACCTAGATTGTTGATCCTGGTCAATATTTCAGGGCAGTCGCAAGAGTGAGCTCTTTCGTAGTACCGTATTCCTATTTTGAATGCTTGAGGGCCCCTTTCCCTCTGCATGCCCAAAGAGACTCCCGTTTGAGTGAGACACAAATCCCCCTGCTTGAAATAGCCTGAACGATTCTGGGTATCATCGCATTTCAATCCTGCCGACCTTCAAACTCCAACTCCTTCGCCTCCTCACCACCTCGGAGCCTTCTTCTTGAATGGCTCGCCATCAAAATCGCCACGGTTCCACCGCTTGATGTTTCCTCCACACTGCAGCCACAACTTGGCATTCTTCTCAGCCCGGGCTTGCTCTGCCATACGCTCACGTTCAGCAGGAGAAGGCGATCTCCTTCTGCCTCTCATTGAGCTATACCTCGTCCCAGACGTTACTCTATTTACATTCCCGGGCCTATTCTTAACAGCGCGCTTTGGTGGAGTATCGAAGAGCTTGCCAGACGCTTTGCGGACCTGGATGGACTCGTCAAATGTGACATCCATCATGAAGGGAGAGTCTTCAGCGAGCGGTTTGTCGTTGTAGTTTGGCGGTGTGATGTTGGGAATCCTCAAAGCTGCGTCGCGGCTGGCTTCTGGTTGTTCAAGTCCTGAGTCTACGGGGAAAAGTTGCGGTCGCTTTCGTTTTGCGGGACTCTTGGACGGGCTCTTACGAGGGCTAGGAGGGTATTCTGGCTCCATATCCTCATCTGAGTCGTCATTATCCTCGTCATCCTCATGTTCCATGATCAATTCTCCGAGAGGAACTGGGACTCCATGAGGCCGTCGCGGCGTCCTCACAGGCTTGGGCGTGGTGGGCTTCGCGGGCGAATTGACTGAATCGTTCTCTTGCTCTCCTTCGCCCATGCTCTCGTCTTCCTCGTCAATGCGTGCGGTCGTCCGTTGCGGGACGCCCACACCAAAAACATCGTCGCCATCGGCCTGCAGCACGAAGGGTGGGTTTGATAGAGGCTGATATTGACGTCGACGAGCACCACCTGTCGGCGACGCATCTGATCTCCGTGCAGCTCTCACTTGCGCAATTGTTCGTCTCCGCCGCGCCGGTACTTCAGTGCGCTGCGCCGCAGCACCCTCCGTCCTGTCGTCTGATTGTGGTTCCTGCCCTCTGCGTTGAGCCTCGCGAGCAGTGTCCGCCAACGTCGTTGGGATCACAGCATGTATTCCTGTCATAACTTCCGCCCTCTTCGCAAACGCTTCATAGCTCTGCTGGATCAACGCGCCAGCATCCGCATTGAGCGCGCTGTCCGGATTCGGCTGTATCAAGAGACATGATATCGTGACCAGCACGTCCCGCAGCGTGAGCTTGCTGTGCCAGTCACGCTTCAGCGTTTCCACGCAGACACCTCCACTCTGCGGGTCGACATTTGGATGGAATATGGGTGTTCGGAAGTGGGCTGTCGGCGGTTGTTGTGGGTATTGCGGTGGGATCGAGAGGTGTAGCTTCCAGACGCCTTTGACGAAAGGCGTGTGCGTCGGGCCGGCGAGCAAGACGTCGAGCTGGGTCAAATCGTCACCGGCGTTCGATGCGGCGGGAAAGAAGTAGTTCGGCGGCAGGTCTTGGTTGTGCAGAGCAGCGTGGTCCGCTGCCAGGCGTCGAAGGGCGCGTGCATTCTGTGTGAGGTCAGCGCCGTGACAATGGACTGGAACTCGATCTTCGGACCATGGTGAAAGACTTAGGCAAACTCGTATAAGCGCTGTCGTGTTATGTCTGTGCAATCGCATGCAATTGTAGTCCAATGCCAACAACAAGAAGTCAAGCCATGGTGGTTGTTCGGGTACAAAGGTCGAGTCGCAGGTGGAGTTGAAGTCGAAGTGGCAGGCGGCGCGAGCTTTTGAGGTTGCTCGACGCGTCTGTGCGGCATTGATGGAGTGAAGTGACGCGACTTGCCCCAGCCACTCAATAGAATATTATTGCATGTGATAACACAGTCAATGGGGCAGTCTTGAATGTAATTTCTTCATTTCGCATAACTCATACAACCATTAATTCTGTACAACTACGCAGCAAAACGCCCGTGTCTTCATTAGTCGACCTCCCCATTCCATGATGCATATCCCATGCCGTTGTATCGAAACCCATTCACTGTACCCAGTCTTTCGCCTATGATATCCACTGGCGATATGCCTTGACCCAGAGGCGCTTTCAAAATCCGACCTCCCGCAAAATGGTGTATTTCAACGCTCGTAGACTCCTCTTCAATCATCGTAGGTCCTCCAGCGCCTCGGAGAACTTGCTCAAGAATCGACCTTGACCTCTGGCGCCTGAGTGTTCTCCGGTTTTGGCGCCTTTGCGACGTCTCCATTCTGTTGTATTTTCGTTTGCGGTACATCCTTCGGCTCAGGCTTTGCGACCGTCCCGTTGTCCGGCTGAACGGCCTTGACTTGTACCGGCTCCTCCTCCTTCACTGTCTCTGGCTTTGCGGTGGCCTCTGGTCGTACGTTTTCAGGCTTCGGTGTCGCCTCACGCTTAGGGATCGCGCCCAATTCTGAACCCTGTCCACTCTGTCCTCGTTTGCGACCCGTAATTGTGTTCCATACCCCCGTCTTCTCTTGACTCGATTGCGGCCGGCCATTCGTCTCTGTATGGTCATCGCTGTCCAACATGCGCGCAAAGATGCCGCGCTTCTTCTGTGGCTGAGGCTTGGGGTCGTCAATGTTCACATCTTCAAACTTATCTTCCTCTTGTGTGTGAGGGACTTGAAGCGGGCGGTGGTAGGAGTTCGAGTTCCGCGGTGGCGATTGAAAGGTCCTGCTGTCGAGCGACGCCCGAGGACGCCCCTCCAATGGTTGAATTATAGGTGATCGAGCTGAAATGTCCTATAGAGGTGTTAATCGTTGCAGTCGCACAGTGTGACTTTTAGGAACCACTCACGAATGACCTCCGGTACGAGTCAAACGATTCGCGTGAGATGTTGAACTGTTCATTCTCGTCGAATGCGCATCGATGTAACGACGAAGACGTAGTCGATCGCGACGCTGTCGTCCCCCAGAAGTTCTTCTTCTCAGTAGGCGACGGGGGCAAGTACACGCCAGAGTCGTTGATCTCTGCGATGGCGGCCGTCAGCTGGCGGCCAAGGAATGTAGCACGGCGCATGTCCACTCACCACTCAATTTGTACTCGACGGGCTGCTTCTCGCCGTTGACATCGACCTTGTTGACACTGCTAGTGCTCGGCGCCTCGTTCGTGCCATTGACCGTGGGTGGCGGGCGCACGTTCTCGTCGTTCTTCTTGAATGGGTTGCGCATGATGGGCACAGGCGACCAGCCGGCGGGGCAATGTGGCGGGTGGATGCGCTGCTATCGCTGCCCGGGAAGACTGCTGTAGTATATGCGGCGACGTAGAAAACGGTGGTTGACGATGGTGCGCAAGAGGCAGAAGCTGGAGATGCAATGCAATGTGCTGAAAGACCCTGGAGAAAGAGAACCAAGGAAACGAGGCAATGGCGCGACCCAGTGACTTTGTACTGGGCAAGAGCGGATGGATCGCAGCGGATGTCGGCAAGCGGCCGCAAAGACGTGGACGATCCTGCTTCTTTTTGAGTTGCGACAAATCACTGCGGCGGGCTTATGGCTGGACGATGATTGGGAGAGGGTAGGACTAGATAGGTACTGCGATGCTAGGTACATCTGTGGCTCAGGCACGGCGAAGTCGCACCGCTGGCCACCTCAGCTGGATGCCGTGCTCCATCCCACAAGACCATCGCCAAGGAGACCGCAGATGCATGTCACGCGCTTCGTGAAACCACCGACAGTTGGAGACTCTCCATACTGGAAGGCTGTGCAATTTTCCATTCCACGTCAAAGACCGACGGACCGACCTGCATCTTTAGGGCCGTATCTCACGCCTGTGGTTCGCCAACATGTCTCGGCATCTCACACGACTTGCTCGGCGTGCAAAAGTACCTGTGAGATTGGTGGTTTTATTCCCATCCTCCAGGCGGATGCACCGCAGCGTCATACATCGCAGTGTGGCATGTACTTCTATGTATAACGTCTGTGGCTTCTCTCTAAGCAGGAGATTGACAGCTTACAGAGACGACCTTTCGGATTGTGTCGGAGACGCTACATGTATGCAACGGCCGAGGCTCGCTTGGTGAGGATACTGTGCTCCGGCGCCTGTAGCGCGCTTCCTTGCCGACATACGGTATAGAAAGAGATATGGACAGGTTAGGAGAACGCTGCGCGACGCTCTTGGCCGTGTGAACGATGACAGCGTCGTTCAAGCGCGAGCAAACGAGATGTCGATGACCTCATACACGTGGTTCTGTTGATGCTCTCACGTGCACGGTATGTGTTTGTCGGCCGTCTGAGTTCGTGCACTTCAAGCAGGCGGCCATGAAAAGACAAAGGCAGGAGAAAGTAGGTGAATGAATCGCAGCAAGCAAATGCGCACCTACAATATGCTCAACTTTCATTGGCCAGCGGCCCGTTTGCTGGCCTGTGCTTTCACTTACTCCCAACTTAGAAGTCACGTCTTAAGATGACTTCCTTCACTTCAACGCGCGGTGGGTCTCCGCCGGCCAAATTCGACATGGCCGTACCGACTGTACTGCCAACAGAGGCTACACCGCTCGACTTCGGGCACAAGAGGAAGCACGGCGAAGTAATAGATTTAACCGAGGACGACGACGTCGCCACTGCCAACCAACAGGCCACCGCCAAGCATCCAGATAACCTCCAAGAAACCGAGTCGCAACAGACATACACGACTGCGAGCGAGAGTCAACAGATCGAACAGGACGAGGACGAGATGTTTGAAGAAATGCTCGAAGAGCTAGAAGATGTCGAGCCCTTCATCGATGGCAAGTGCACATCTCCGCCAACCACTGAAAAGTACCTCATCAGCTAACTCATGATACCAGATGGCACCCATGGCCTCACCAAAGAGCGCAAATCCGCCCTCCGCGCGCTCCTCCGCGACGTCGGTCCAGAGAAGTTCATCGAAGACACGCTAGGAAACCAGAGCATGTCTATGCGTCAGCTCGGCTTGGTTTTTAACCTGAATCCCGCGTGGCTGGCAGGAGACGACGATACCTACTTCACTCTCCTGGGACTGGCCATCACCCGTGCCTACTACAAGCGACGCAAACTGGAACAGTACAACAGCATCGATGACGCTGCCCAACTCCTTCGCCGAAGTCGCAACATCATGGTCATCACTGGAGCGGGTATCTCAACATCCCTCGGCATCCCCGATTTCCGCTCCAAAGGCACCGGCTTCTACGACAAGGTCCGTGAGAAGGGTTTCGAGGATGCTGAAGAAGTCTTTGAGATCAACAACTTCGACTACGATCCCGGCAAATTCTTCTCCCTCGCCCGCGACATCCTGCCGAACCTCCAGCGCGTGTCGCCCACGCATGCCTTCATTCGTCTCTTACAAGACAAAGACCGCTTACAGACAAACTACACGCAGAATATTGACAACCTCGAGGCGCTCGCGGGGATCGATGAGAACCGTCTGATACAGTGCCACGGCAGCTTCGCCACTGCGACATGCCGGAAGTGCAAATTCAAAGTCAAGGGCACCGAGATCTTCGACGATATCCGGGCAGAGCGAATCGCGAGATGCAAGCGATGCGCACAGGAAATCGAACGAAAGAAGGACGCCCCTCCACCACTGAAGCGGAACAAGTCAGCCAGTCGAAATCGCTACTCCGACGACGACGAAGATGAAGACGACGATATTCCCGAGCCGGGCGTGATGAAGCCAGACATCACCTTCTTCGGCGAAGCACTCCCAACCACATTCTTCGACCGCTTCACGCAACGAGACGCCCAGCAGACGGACCTTGTCATCGTCATCGGAACCTCACTCAAAGTCGCCCCTGTGAGCGAAATGCCAAACTACCTCCCCCATCCGATCCCGCACATATACATCTCCAAGGAACCGATTGCACACGTCAATTTCGATATCCAGCTTCTGGGTAATTGTGATGATGTCGTGTTCGAATTGGCCCGCCGCGCGGGATGGGATCTCAAGCATGAGATGATACCGGTTGGACTGACAGTCGATGTATCGCCAGTAGCCGACACGAGCCACTATTGGCGCCTCACGCGTAGGGAGCGTGAGATTGCCGCGACAGACTCTGAAGCAAGCGACGACGATGATGACGATGACGATGACGACGAGGATGACGAGAGGACGGAGGTACCCCTCCGACAAGGCCCTCCGAATGTCGACATCCCCGGCATTCCCGTCCCCTTCGAGGAGGAAGTATAGGAGATCCCTCAACTTTTCAAATTCTTCTCATTGGATCGTAGTGTTCCAAGGCGTTCGGAGAAGAAGGATAGTAGGACGAAGAAGCAGAAGAATAGACGAATTGTTCGGCGCGGAGTTGCATGGAGGACCAACAGGCACTGAGGATTCGGCATTCAGCGACGGCGTCATATGTGTAGATGGGTTGGTGGGGTTTCATTCAATGGCGGACAGACATTGCTGAGGGACATTAGCCTGCTTGGGTGGATCGTTGATCGGAGCAGGTCGATTCGTTATTCGTCGTCTTGGAATCTCTTCTTCACGTGCCTTCCGTCTCTCCATTTCAATCCGGATGCTGTGCATCACTTCGAGGCCTCTCTCCAATCACGAGACGGTGCTCTCCTCATCTTGACTTCATTCGAAGGCCTTGACCACGCCGTCTTCGCCAAACGCTCACTCATTCTCCTCGGTGCAAAATCGACCGCGAGACGACATTCCGTCCTGCGTAGACTCCTTCCTGATTGTAAGGGTATCGTATCGCATCCAAGCCCCGCCTCAAAATCAACTCCTCACCCCCCTCAACCCCTCCAAAACCTCCTCTCCAACTCCCCCTTTCTCAACCACCCTCTGAATCATCCGTCCCAACACCGCCCTCCCCACCCCACCCCTCGGCGGCCTCCAAACCGTCGCCCCGGCATCCTTCTCCCTCAACCTCAACGTCTCCTCCGCCGAAAGCCCACCCCCAGCCGTCGTATTCGCCGCCAGCGGAACCCCCGCGGACGTCAGTCTCGACGGGGGATCGATCGTCCTCAACGCGACCATTTTCAACCCACCGTCTTTCCCGTCTTGCGCGGCGGATACAGCGACCACGGCGTCGGCGACGGCGATTTCGTCCGTGGAGGGGTCGAAGAGGATGTTTTGGCCGACCGTCATGACGAGGAGGGTGATGGGGGGTTTGGTTCTCGGTTCGTTCGTGGAGGGGTCCCTGGGGAAGAGGTATGTCGAGGCTTCCCAGTCGTCGTTGAAGAGGGGGTCTTCGTCTTTCTCGGAGATGAGGGCGGGGAGGCGTGTGGAGAGGAGGGCGAGGTGGGTTGTGAGGGAGAGGAGGGGGAGGGGGTAGGAGAGGGGTTGTGAGAGGAGGAGGATCTAGATTGAACAATATACCGTTAGCATACATATTTGAGAACAAGGCTTGTGGGGGAGGGAGAAGCACTGGGCAAAACATACATCCACAAAAACCCTCCAATGCCACCCTCTACTAATCCATAACCGTCCCTTCAGCTCCCCATCCGCGAGCAGCGCCTCCATGAGCATCGCCGCGAGAAACACAGGCAATGCATCATCATCCCTCATCCCAGGAATCTCAATGCTCACATCCAACCACCCATCTTCTCCCTTTCCCTCCTCGCGCCCATCCCCATCACCACCACCCTCCACATCCATATCCACATCCGCATCCTCCTTCCCCCTCAACAACCCCCCACCCCTCCTCACCCTCTTCTCCACCTCCGCCTTAACGCCCACAACCGCCTCCGTGCCATCCGCGAAACAAATCCTCGCGCTGCCGTTCGCCGACGGTAAAATTTCTTTTTCGGCGACGAGGGGGCGGAATTGCGTCGGGGAGCGGCCGTCCGGACGGATCGGTGGGTCTTGGGAGAGGGAGGTGTGGAGGTAGGAGAGCTCGGCGGGTGAGAGGGGGATGTTGGTGTAGGGCGCCATTGATGGCGGGTGCGTTGGTGAGATTGCTATGCGCTTGGTTGGTGTTGGTGTGTGCCAGTGATGAGGAGTTGCTGAAGTGGTGGGTGGAATGAGGTGTGGAAGGTTGTTCGTGTGAGGTCGCAGAATGTCGAAAACGAAGCTTCAGCTTCAGAACTGCCAAATTGAGAGTACGCGTTTTTTCACCCTGCACAATGACGTCCACGCGAATGGCGAGAACATCCAAGACTTTCACATGCGTTTCATTCAATCACATGTAGTAGTGCCAGTATGAAGAAGACGGAGTAATTTGTGAGAGTTTCAAAAAACATTGTATACAGTACAATATGCCTAGCTAGCCATACATGTGCCTCCAGATAATCCAAAGTAACAGTCGAGCGGTGGATTTGTATCACACTCACTCTCGGGGGTATCGACTGACCAATCTTTTATGCCTTGACTTCTGCCAGGGAAAACAGAGTCTGCTCACCAAGGAGCCTTTTCGAACAGAAAAACACGCGACTTTATACTCCTTTTCCCTTTCCTTCCCTCCGCCCTTTCAGTTCCTCTGTACACCAGTCCTCTGCATTCCGTCCGCGCCCTCCCGCAAGCCGACAGAGGACTTTGTGACCAAGGAAACGTTGCTCGTATAGAGCCTGGTAGATGTGATGCTAAGAGATGGTCCGCAAGAGCAAGCAAGCTGTACATGCTGCTGATGGTAGAGATCCTGTACAAGATAAAACGCCGTTGCCGCGCTTTTGCAAGCGAATGTTGTGACCTTTGCCCCGATGACTCGCAAACGCCAGTGAGATGATGGTAAGGATAGAGATCTGCCTTCTCGAGGCCTGCCAGTCGAGTATTAATTAACAACTTCCACCCAGGGCGCCGGATGGAATGGATGACAAAAGAAATGGTGTATTTGAACATGACAGCGACGCCAGACGCCGTGACATGGACTGCGTGGTTGGATGGTGGCCGTCAATCGTCTATTGGTATTGTGCCTGGGTCGCAAAGATGCTTGCTGCCGCAGCGGAGGCCCAGTCGTTCTCATCGTAAGGAGGCGTGGGCCACTGAGGGTTGACGACAGGCTTTTGCTGCGGCCTCATGGGTGGAATGTCGATGGCCTTCGATGGAGTGTACTCGTTCGAGCTGTAAGTCACGTTCATCTGGTCCTTCGAATGTGAAGGCGTGAGATATGGTGTAGGGTACACAGGCTCGGATGTGACGTGGCCGATCGGTGGCCGTGAGGGCTGGTAGGTTCCAGCGACATTCGACCTGCCCTTATCCAGACGTGTGGCAGCCGCGTGCACTGATGCAAGGGCTTCGTCGAGTAGCTCATCCTCCTCGCAAGGCGTCTCGTACCTGCTGCTGGGAGCGTGGCGCAATGACCTGCGCGCCCTGTTCGAGGTCGATCCGCCAGTCTGGGAGGACATGATTTCCTCCTTGCCGTACGGTAGAGAGTGGTGCCGTTTAAGCGATTGGTTGCTGGGCATCTTGGTCGGATGCTTTGGCTGCAGGTTGGCCGGGTTGGCTGCAGCGTCGAGACTGTATCGTACATTCTGCAGAGCACGATCAAGCTCCGCGAAGTTGGGATCAGTCGAAGGATCAGATGCGGCAGGCGCAATCGGTTGAGGCTCTTGAATGGATCCTCTGTTATTGGAAGACCACGGCGCACAACCGACACTGGCTTCCGGATCCTCCGCACCTGGGGACATCGGGCCTGGGGTCCTGCCAGAGAGTCGACGGGCACGCTTCCGCAGGTGCGAAAAGAAACTTTCCCTTTGGCTTCCAGTAGGTGACTTGAGACCATTGGCACCTGTAAGAGCACGCTCGGCCTCCTGTCGATGGATATCCGCGTAGTGATTGCCCTGTGAATTGACCGACAATTGACGGCCAATCTTCTTGCCCGGTCGCTCCTCTGGTTGCTCAGTCCGTCGTGCGCTTGCTTGTGCAACAGATTGATCAGGTAGAGGGGAGATGGGTCGAATCGAGGGCAGAATGGGGATGGGAGCTGCGTTCGAGGCAGCACCGTTCGTCCAAGTCGCTCGTTTGGTAGCAGCCGGCCTGCTCTTACTCACGTAGGCTGCTGGATCGGTAGTATTGGCGTGAACAGGAGATGGCCGAGGTGATTGAGTTTGGGTAAGGTGCATGTGCTCCGGGACAGCTGGAGCTGCGCCCGTGTCACGAGCTCCCAGTGACTTCCTAAACCAGAGGGAAGTTTTCGTGGACAGAGTTTGTGCATCGGCGGGCTCGTTGTTTCCAAGCGTTGATCCTTTTCGTCCCAGAGCGCGACCGCTACTCTTCGGTCGCAGTGGGTCGATTGCGTCGCGGAAGTATACGTGCTCGAGTGCTTGCCTGGATGTCGGTCGCACCTTGGGATCCCACATCAAACACCAAGTAACGAACTGAGCGAGACTCGCAGGCCATTGGGGCGCTGCGAGTACCGTCTCCAGTGAGTGTGGTGCCATCTTTGGGAAGGAGAATCCCAACTTCTGTGCCAGCTTTATGCCGTCCTTCCATTCACCACCGCCAACCTTCTGACCGTGCTTGTTCACCCACGAACCTGGGCTGCCCATGATCTCGCATACTCTCCAGACCTGATCAACTTCATTGCCGCCTGGGAAAAGTGGCTTCAGTGTCGCGATTTCGACAGCCATTGCGCCCACTGCCCAGATGTCCACCGGTGCTGAGTATTCACCCGCTCGCAGCAGGACCTCTGGAGCGCGATACCACCTCGTCGAAACGTACGTCGTGTATGGAACACGCGAATGTGTTTCTCTCGCCAGACCGAAATCTGCAATCTTTATCGAGTACGCTGGCGGTGTTGAGGGAGGTGTGACGAGCTGTGAGTAGCGTTTGAACGTGTTTCCAGCGTCTGGCGCCGACGTTGAAACGAGGATATTCTCGGGCTTGATGTCTCGGTGGAAGAAGTGGTGTTCGTGAATGTGCTCCAGACCGCCAAGAATCTGGAAGAGGATGCTCTTGACGCTGGTCCCATCGAGAGGCTTGTGGTCTCTGGCCTTCATTAATTGGTACAGATTGCCATCCATGTATTCCATGGCAATGTGGAGTTTCTTGCTCAGTGGATCAAGAAAGATATCGTAAGCTGGAACGAGGTGAGGGTGGTTGGGTAGAGACTTGAGGAAGATGACTTCTCGAAGCTCCATGCATTGTGCATAGCTCTCAAATGTTTTTTTCATCGTCTTGATGGCCACCTATGGAACCAGTCAGCGTCACGTAGGTCACTTTCATCCCGGTCAAACATACCATCGTGCCTCGTCGAACGATATGGGCGCCAGCGCTCCTCGTCCGGCCCAGCGAGACGCTGCCGAAGCTGCCATCACCAATGTCCTTGATGATCTCAAACTTGTCCTCCAGGCAAGCAGCGGACTGCGAGCTGGATGACCAGCCGCGGTGTGACATGTCATATGCGACGGTCATGGTGGATTTGGGGGCTTCGAATGTCGAAGCCTTTGCTCGCACAATGGACAGTTGCTACCGTGGCATAGAGCTGGCAGATATGATGCAAGTCTGGAGAGGATGTCAGTCCAGTCAAGGAGGGGGTGGGAGGCAGTGACGACGACACGTACTTGTTGATGGTAAGATATTGGTTCAGGGTGGGTAGTATCGGGCTGCGATTGGAAGAGACAACCGTCGAGGTCGAGATATGATTAAGGATTAGAACGTGCTGGTAGATGGCGTGTAAATGCAAAGGGATAAGGATGGGGTTCCGTGGTAGAAGGAGGCTCAGGGTCCTGATCTGGCGTCGAGTGGGATGTAAAAGAGCGTAGACGGCGACGAGGTTGCGGGTTTGATGTCGATGTGATGGACCAGATCAAAGAAGGGAGAGCTCCCCAATCCCACGGTTCGGCGGAAGGGCACCCGAAAGGATGGACTCCTCTAGCAGTCGATCAAAAGAACCAGTGCCGAGATAGCGTGGGCCGTGGCGTCGACTTGTCGGGTCGCGGTGGGTCCTCTAGAAGGTGATGAGACAGGTCTTTGCTCAGGCACAGGCACTCAAAAGGAGGTTCGCTACGAGCCAGAATCCGCGCGCGCAGTCCACCGCGGTCCGGGGCGCTGCGGTGCGGCGGCGGCGGGCGTGTCGAAGGCGACGATCGGGGACGAGGGGTGCAGGTGTGGTTGCGGTGATGTCGGTGGTGGTGGTGGACGTGACGGGTGCGCGCATGCGACTTCTGGAAGCCTGCGCGTGGACTTGTCTCTGGAGAGTCGAGTCGACAACGGAGGATGCCAGACAGGCAGGCCGTGTGCCTTGTGTTAAGTAGGCGGGAATTAAGTGAGACACGAGCCTCCAGGGTGGGCGTAATGAAGAATAATGAGGGCGGATAGTGCCGTTTCCAGAAGGGTGGCCGTCCAGAAGACGGGAGGCAGCGTCGCAGCGAGGAGATGGGCAGCAGGTGAGCCTTGTTGTTGCTCAGCACAACGGCCGCGGGCGGACGGCAGGCGGTTCTTGGTGGTGGTGATGATGAGACTGGGCCGAGTTGAGCGATGGCCTCGTCGCGCAGCCCCTGGACGGGCACACTAGCACGCGGTGACGTGGGAGTGGTCGACGAGTCTGCTGGCTGCCCAAAGCGCAATGGATGTAGCGACCGATTCGCCCGCCATCGAGCGACGGGGGGCGTGAGTGGCAGGTGCGAGTGCGGCGCCGGGGGGCAGCAGAGGGTCAGTTCCGGCAGGAAAACAGACAGGCACGACGAGGCGGCGGTAATAACAAAGATGATTGAAATTGACGGGCGAGATGAAGGCAGTAGCAGCGGCGTCGCGACAGCCTCGCCCTCCCACGCAGCAGCAGCAGGAGCAGCAGTGCAGCGCAGCGCAGCTCTGCGGCAGGAACGACCGCGCAGCCAACAAAACTGGGCACGGCAGGAGGTTGTCCAAGGGAGAGAACGTGCGCGCGTGCAGGAGAAACGCCGCGCTAAAGTGGCTGAAAGCTTCCCGCTGCACTGGACGGGCGCATTAGAGTTGGCTGCTAAAAACAGGCCGGGAATCGACTCGACACCGGCCACGTCTGACTTTGCGTCTGTTTCCGCGCGACGGCGACAGCAGCGACGCAGAAACCTCACTCGCGCGCGTCGGGGTCGCGTCGACGTCTGATTTGCACGGCGCTCCACCAACAACATCGACCTGCAAGCACACCACCTGCACTCACACATCCGCCGCCGGGGTTCAGCAAAACAGATGGCCCGAAGCAGCACGCTTGCGCGAGGCCAGGCCAGCGCAGCGACCGCTCCCTGTTAGCAGAGACAACAAACAGAAGGCCATTCGCCGAGCCTGATGCGGTGGCGATAATCCTCGTGATGCCACGTACATAGCCAGCGCTGTCTGCACATCTGTTTTCCATAGCAACAGCACCTCTCGAGCAGCACGCGTGCAGCAGCACCGCAAAAGTCTTCTGTCTTGGTCCTGCTGCCGGGCACTGCTAGCGTCCTGTCGTTCCCCTGACTATCCGGCCGGGATCCAACCCAGGCCCAACTGTTCCGATGCGCTAGACCTTTGACTTCACCACTCCCATTGGCCGCGATTGTCCTGTTCCTGTCCTCGCCTGCCAGCCAAAACCACTGGTACGGTTGTCGAACCGTCCTGCATGGCAGCCCGTCTTGTACGACAGGTTTTGCAGACGCGTTGGCGGAGAACACTCATGTCTGCACAGCTCAGGGCGGCACCGCAGTAGAAAAGACATGAGAGTTGCATTCGACGAAAACGGCGGCATGCGTGTGTCTCTCCATCGGACTGCAGGTCTTTCCCCCGGCTGACAGACAACATGCATCGGACAGCGAGCGCCTTGAAAACAACAACACGCCGACGAAGATAGCCTGCCTTGCTCGCATGGTCTCTGTCAGCAGCGGTGCATCGCAACACACTATCCTCAGCCCACCATCAGGAATCCGCCATATTTTGTTTGTGTCGCGTTTTGCAGCATCCTCCAGAAGCCTGGATCGTGGATGGCTGTTGGAGTTGTCTGTGGTTGTGACAGCCATCACCTTTGTCACACTCGCGCCTCAAGCCAGGACGCTCTATTCCAATCCAATGGTTCACAGCGGCCGGCCCGTGGCAAGAGTACCTTATTCGGTGGTGATGCTGCAAGAAGCAGGATCGCCAGGAGTGCCATTCTGTTCGAGTCGTGCTCCGCTTGCATGTGACGAGAAGGCGAGTAATTGTGATTGATGAAGTCATCCATCGCAGAGTCGTGGCAGTCCCTCGATCGCCCCGCCGGCCCAACACCAGCATTCCCCGTCTATACTCGCCGCATAACATCCATCAAGACGAGTTTATAGATGTCGCGCAGCAATGTTGGTCGATCGTGGCTGGTGAGAATGCACGCGGCCGACCTGGCTGCTGCCCTGCGACCGAGGATTCCTGTTCCTGAGGCATGCATCGGCAAGCTGCAGACCAAGTCAGGAACCCGTTCTACATCACAGCAGTAGGTACATCTACGGCGATTCATTCCAGGCGCTACCTTGCATGCTGTTGGCTGTGCAGTCGTGCAGCAGCCTTCAGTAACTATCCCGATGAGATGCTCTCGTCTCGAGAAACTCGCCATTTCTGGTGAGCATGCCAGTCAGGCGCCTCAACCCGCCGCAAAAGCTACCCTACCACATGGCAATGCAAAACCATCTTCACGATAGCGATTCGATCGACGACAAATAATGGCACACGACCATCACGCCACCCACGAACCACACCTGAATCGCCATCGACCGGGAAGATGCAAGGAAAGACTTTGCCCGGCATCCGGGACTGACACCACCTCAAACCAGGCCGACTGCTTCCCATCCCAGACCGAAGATGCCGAGTGAAATGATGTGCATCCGTGCCGATTCATCTCATCACGAATCAATCCCAACCATCACCTGTACACGACCAAGCATGTGTCTAAGAATACATCGCGTTGAAACAAGGTGACGACGTAACAACACGCCCTCCCTCGATCTCCATCTCAAAACACGCGACATCTCCGACCTAAGCCCGCTGACGAGACTGCCACCTACGAATCATCACGAGGGGAACGGGGTTTGCAAGAATTAACGAGCCCAAAGCACGAGCGAGGCCTTCGAGAGGGCAAAATCTCGGATGTCGCCCTGGCAAGAACTGGCGTTGCTCATCAATGCTGCCCATCGCCTGGGGGAATAGCGCGCGTGCTCGCTCGCTCGTGCACATCAATCTCACGTGATGATGGCAATCATTCACTAGCACATACGACTAGACGGTGCTTAACGAGGGAGGCAAAATAATGGAGCCCAAAGAGGCGATCATGTTCCGCGAGTTACCGGGTTGGAGATGAATCCATTTCATCGATCAGCTAGTAGCAAGCGCGGTCTACCATAGCGACAGGCGATGAACGACCTCATCAACAACGGATCGAAAGCTCGTCAAAGCACACGGCTGATCATATGAAGTCCTGAAGCCGTCTTCAAAGAGCCGACATGGACTGTGAATGCAGTCCCTGAAGTGGTTCGTGATATCACCTCCTTTTCACGCAGCCTCGTCTCCGAAACGACAGTGACGACACGTCCTTCATCAACTTCGAACAGGGACGTCAAAAGGAGACGAGGCACCGAGAGTACAGCCAGCTCGGTGGCAGATCCCTCCTTACTACAACATCATCACATGGCTCCTCAACAATTTGGCAAGTCATCCATCTTCTCTTTACTCTGCGGTTGCCTAAATCACACTCTATGATTCATCTACCACCACACTCTCTTCACTTTCATAACACTAAGGCGCAGACTCGGAGCTCACCCAGTCTTCACATCTTCAACTCATCACTTCATGGCTTCCGTTGAAAGATCCCGTCCGCACCAAAGGCCCCCTCGAAAACCGTTGTCGATTATAATGCCCCGAAAACCATACCATCGTGCCCTCTCAATCACCACCACCCCCTCCTCCATTCATGTCATTCACATATCCTCAACTTTCCCCTTCCAACCCATCCCTCCCTCCAAACCACGGCACAACCACCAAATCCATCCATTCCCCCGAAATCCCGTTTCAAAAACTCCCCACCAGGAAGACCCTCGCCACGTGCGGCCTGTCAAGTTCCATCCTGTCGACATCGAGATTGACAAGGAAGAAACAGTAAGGCACGTCATCGATCTCGAGGTCAAAGTAGCAGGTAGGCAAGGTTGACGGGGTGAGGTTCCTTTTGCTTTCGAGACGGTGTCAACCTCCTCTGGTATTGTAAAGTACCAGGGATCGAAGCCGTATTCTGTTCTGATGAATGACAAGGACGAGGCAACGCGAAGAGCGCGAGGCGTTCGACGCATATTTCCTCGTGATTTCATTCATTCATTTATATTCAAAAGCCTCCCGTCCCATCTCATTCACTCGCGCAGAGAGGTGCTAATCAGTCTCTTCTAATTCTCTAACCAGCTCACAATCACCACTCCGCCACGCCTCACCTACCACCCACCACCAGCCGCACTCGCCAGCGCCGCCACACGATCCGTCTCCCCACCGCCCGTCTCCTTCCCAACATCACTCTCCACAACCCTATACGTAGTCGTGAGCAACCTCTCCAGCTCAATCCCCGTGACACTCTCCCAATGCTCCAGCAACTGCTTCACCCTCCTCCTATCAACCCCATCCACGATCCCCTCCGGATCATCCGCTCGCGAAATCACCGAGTCTCGCGCAGGCGACTGCTCGTCCATCTCGATATCCCCATCAGTGTCCTCGCGCAGTTCCTCCGAGTCGGCGCTCCAGTACGCCTCGTCGACTTTCGCGAGCCATTCCCTTTGCGCGGGGATGATTTCTTGGTCTTCGCTGCCGTTCTCGATGCCTGTCCCACCGACTTGTCGCAAGGTTGTCACGTCGCCGACTTTGATCTGGCCCCCGCCGTTCGTGCAGCCGCCGGGACATGCCATGACTTCGACGTATGCGTAGTCGCTATCACTGCCACCGGCGGACGCTGCGCCATTCGGTCGTCGAGTAACGCCGGGCTTTCGTGATGCTCCGGGCATGCGGCTTGCTTTGGCGGGTTTTAGTCTTCGGACGAGGTTCTGGATGTTGCGGAAGCCGTAGTATCGTGCGGCTTTGAAGACCGCCTTTCCTTCGGCGTCTACGACGCTGTATTCGGAGACGTCGTTGTTTCGTCCTCGTTGAGCTTTGATCTGTGAGCCGACATGCTGTGCTTGTTTTGTCTTGAGAATGTGCCAGAGATACCCGCCGCTGGTGCCTACGCTCTCGAGTTCTTCCCGCTTGCGTTTCTGTCCACGTTGTCGTCCGAAGAGGTAGTCGTCGATTGCCGGCTCTGGGAAAGGCGGCGCGTATTCCTTCGATACAGGTTGCTTGGGAAGCCTGGGAAAACTGATGTCCCTACTCTCCGCAAGCATCAGCAGCTCTCGAGCCGTGATCACACAATCCACATCCCTCACAGCATCCCCCTCCTGTCCATGCCATGAATGCGAAGTAAGTTCCGCCCTCGAAGCCTCCAACTTCTTATCGAAACACGGCATCACCGCGAGATGCCAAACATTCTGCGGCGGAATCCCATACTTCTTCGCAAGCACCGACTTCAACAACACTCCAGTCAAAGCCTGCGGCGACTTAAGCTTGCTGAGATGCGCCAAAATATGCGCATGCGTCTTCTCAGCATAGCATATCCACCCAGGACACGCGGACGTAATGATCGGCTTCTTCTGAGGCTCAACCTTGCCCTCCACAGGCGCGAGATTGGACTCCTCAACCTCATCAGCAGCCGCAACCAGGCTCGCCTCGCGCATAGCATTCGTATCCACCACCCACGTAAACCCACTCCCATGCTTCCCACCACTCCTCAATCCCAACGGTCCACTCAACAACTGCCCGATCATATACCCCGCCTCCCGCTCAGAGACATTATACGTCGCCGCGATGCTCGCCCTCGACTGCGGCGACACACTCGCCACAAAGAACTTCCTCTCATCGCACGATGTCTTCCCACAACATCCCGCTGCTTCCCCGTCCCCCAATTTCAACTCTTGAAACTTATCCAACGTATCCAAAACCTCCCCATGGCTCTGCAGACTGACCAACACCGCCTCCGCGCTCGTCACGCACCCGGAGCACGCGAGGCAATCCGTCAAAGAGATCTGCGCCGGCGGCGCGATGGTGTTGGAATTGACCTTCTCCTCCGTCGTGACTTCGTAAGGGTTCACGTCGTCGGAGGGCGGTTGTTGCTTGGGGAGCGTCTCGACGGGCTTGATACAGGCGACGCCCGGGTTTATGAAGTCATTGAGGTCGTCGGCGGAGAGGATGGCGGACATGGTTACGCAATCTCGAGAATGGCTGGCCTCGGCTGGGACACATGTGAAGAATTACACTCTAGAGAGAGTGGAAGAGTGGCGAGGAGAGAGAGAGGGTGTTTGTGTAGTGGTTAGTCAGGCATCCGTGGGACCAGTGAATGGCGTAGCATTTCTAATGCCGCTGAAAAGCACATGCGATGCGTCGGCTGCGATCTCGGCCCGCCGCTTCTGCTCCAACTCCATCTTCTCGAGTCACGTTCTTCTCGAACCTCACTTACTTTGCGCCAACTCAAACAACACCCACTCCACACCCTCGACAATCCCATCACCACCTCCAAACACTCGCCGAAATCATCCACCATGTCTCGCGAAGCCTACACCCCTCCCTCGCTGTCCAACAACGCCGCGGGCTCCTCGCAACCGAACGCCTTCGCAATCGGCGGCACGGGCAACACCTTCGAGGACACTTCCAAGCCCGTTCAGTACCTCTGCGGCGACTGCGATACCAAAGTGACGCTGAAGAAGGGCGATCCGATCCGTTGCAAGGAGTGTGGATACCGTGTGCTGTACAAGGAGCGCACCAACAGGTAGGACTCTGGCACATGTGAGGGTAGGTCGGAGGATGTGGCTAATACGCATGTGCAGGATGATTCAGTTCGAGGCGCGATGAGCGAGGTTGGATGGTGTGAAGGTTGAACATGGCGTACAAAAGACATAGCGAAATCACATGGACATAAGGTCAGGAAACAGGGTCGTCCAAAAGGCTTCAGCATAGCGTGGCGTTGGGGATGGAATGAAATCGACGACGAAAAGACATGATTTTGAAGCCCTTTGATGGTTTTGAGACAAGCTCAAACACGCCGCATCAGATCACGGCCATAATGCTATGCTGTAATGTCCCTGCATCAGTAGAGGCTCTGGCTCCCTGAACGCCCGATATGCGCGGAAGCATTGCCAAAGCCTCCCATAGAGCGCACTAGGCGCTTCGTAACAATTGCAACTTGCTCTCTTCCAAAATGCATCCTCATCATCGCTTATCGTTACACGTGCCTCCGTAAAGTTTCCGAACTCGCCTCTGATGCTGCGCCTGCCCGCCGCGCCCTTCCACTGCCGTTGTCGACCGATTAAAGAAGCAAGATGCGTGCTATTTAGCTGCCACGGAACGCGTCGAACCGCTTGTACGTGTAACCGATGAACGGCAGGCTCAGCGTCGAGTCGTCCTGTCCAACGGCGGCTTCCGTCTGAGCGCGGAGCTGGGCCGAGTTGTCGACCTGCGGAATCTCGTCGATCGGGAAGTACTGAGTATCGATGTTGCTCTGCAGCTTCGGCTCGAATGGTGCACGGATCTTGCGAAGGCCGTCCCAGTTGACGCCATGGAAGAATGGGTGGGCTTTCAACTCAGCTGCGCCATGCACACGACCCAGACGGTTTTGGGAGTCGCAGATGAGACTATTTAAATGTCAGCAATCACATGAGAGTGTATGTATGGGCGTCATCGTACCTTCTAATGAAATGCTCAGCCTCTGGACCCAGTTGCTGGTCTGGTGGGAAGTTGAGATGGCGTGGCCAGTCAACGATTTTGCGGTAGGTATCGTGTGGCTCCTCAGCACAGAACGGTGGCCAGCCAACCAGACACTCAAACATGATAGTACCGACGCTCCACCAGTCACACCCGAAATCGTATCCCTTGCCACTGAAGATCTCCGGGGCGATGTAGTCTGGGGTACCAACTGTCGAGTACGCCAGTTGACGTCTCGACTTGCGCCAAGTGTTGATCTGGTTGCGGTTGGAGACAGTGAGCTGGATCTGGTCGATGGAGACACTGTTGCGGTTCTGAGCCACGGACTTCTGCTTGCTCGACGACATGAGCTGTTGGTAATAGGATGCGGAATGCTCTTTAGAGAAACCAGTGGAGAGACCGAAGTCAGTCAGCTTGATGTGACCTCCACGGTCGAGAAGGATGTTGTCAGGCTTGATGTCACTGCATGTATGGTAAGCCACTATATTACCGCCTCGAATTGCTGGCTGCTTACCGATGAATGAACCCAAGCTTGTGGACGGCTTCAATGGCTAGTGTAATCTCTGCCATGTAGAACCTCGTGATGTCCTCCGAGAAGATCTCGTACTTGATGAGCATGGTCATGAGGTCACCACCTGGCAAGAACTCCATAAGCATGTACAAGAAGGTCGAGTCTTGGAAGGATGTGTGCAGCTTCACGAGCCACGGGCTGTCTGCGTTGGCCAGGATATCACGCTCAGCGCGGACGTGAGCGAGTTGGTCTTTCTTGTGCTGTGCGATGGTCAGTAGTGTTGTGGAAGTCAAACAGAATATTCGAACGCACCATCTCCTGTTTGATCAGGGACTTTAGAGCATAGATCTTTCCATCATGCTTCCTCTGCACCAGCCGCACCTCTCCGAAGGCGCCCTTGCCAATGATCTTGAGAGTCTGGTAGTTCTGTGGCTTCTCGTGTGTGCGTAAAAATCGCAAGAAGTTGGCTTCGGACTTGCGCATACTATTCTTCTTCTGCTCCTTGCGGTTGTCAGAGATGTCGGTCGCAGCGATGATGACGTCCAGCTCCTTGGCTCTGAATTCGAAGTCAACCACTGAACAGATTTGAAGCTATATTACAGACTTACCGCTCATTGCGGGCACGAGCACGCTCGACGTTCTCCTTGAAAAACTCCTGCGTCAGCATCTTCTGCACTTTCACACGCTCAGTGATGGCGGTGGAGTATTTCTCGGAGTTCTTCGCTGGTGGCTCATCGTCGCAGATGCTGGCAGCCTGCGGGACCGGGGGCATCGGTGCGCTGAGGAAGTTGTTGTGGTGACTATAGCCAGTCGCACCTGCAGTGCGGGGACGCTGGTTTGCGGGCGATGGCTGACGGTTGTTGTACGGGCTCGCAGAGCGTGGAGAGTTGCCTCCCAGGTTCTGGTGCTGGAACTGATGGGCGAGGCCGTTGGTCACGTCGTTGAACCCGCCATTGGGCGAGCGGTATCCTGCGCCTAGCGACACGCCGTTGCTGAACTGCGGTGGGTATGCATTGGGATTGTTGTTGTTGTAGAAGTAGCCTTGCTGGCTGATGCCGCTGGTGGGCTGGTGGGCTCCCCAGACCTCTTGCTGCCCCGCTGAGTTTGGGAACGGCTGCGGAAAAGTGGAGGGCGTCGTTGGGAAGGCACGACCCTGCTCGGCGGGGAAGTTTGGCGGGTTGGTGAAGCCGAAGTTGAGGTGCAGACGGTTCGGGTTGCGGCCATCGGAGGACTGCTGCTGGCCCTGCTGTTGCTGCTGCTGGTAGGCCATGGCGGCGGTGGTGTCCCGCGTGCGACTGCAAATGAGTGAGCGAGGGCGAGACGACGGCGGCGATGAATTGTCGCCTTACAAGTCTGTCACAGATGGTGCAAGTGAGGCGGATGCCGGCCGCGTTTCGTAGTCAGGGAGTAGTGTTTGGGCGTAAGGGGGTTCGAGGTGCTCGAGGCGGTGGAGTTACGGCGATTGGCCCGCGGCCGTCTGGAGCGAGATGGGTGCGGCAATGGGTTCGACCAAGCCGGTGTGGCCTGCGGAGGAGGGCTGAGGAGGTGGGACAAGGAAGGGATGCTGCTGTCGTGCTCTTGCGTTGAAGAATCGATCGCAGCAACCAAAGAAGAAGCAGCTTGGCGAGAGCGACTGCCGTCGACGTGAAACAAAGTGCTCTCCACAGAACTTAGACCCTGTGGCGGGAATAGCCGCAGCTTGTATCCCTGTCCTTGTTATCGGCACGTGAAACCCATATCAATCCTGCGCGTGAGACTGCAACACCGTTTCTGTGCTACGGATCTGAAGGAACGTGGCGTCGTATCGCAGGCAGGAAAAGAGACAAAGATTGTTGACATTGAAAAACTGGTTGATATCAGTCCGAACAACTGCAAAATACACTGGGCAAATATGGAAAGCAGTTGTGCTATGCAGAGTCAAAAGAGCACGAGATACCATCAAGCCCAGCTTCCGTGGACACAGACTGGCTCACCTACATGAACACCTGTTAAGAGAACGTTCAAAGCGATTTATTTAATGGACATTACACACTCGTCCTGACGCCTCACCTCCCAGCTTCTCGCCCCCTCCCCAACAACCTCTCCCTCCTCTCCTCATTCTTCCTCGTCCCACTGATCCTCCCAGCCCGATACTTTTCCCCATAAAGCACCCTCGTCTCCTCCTCCGGCCTCACCCAAAGAACATCATAATCCGAAACCCTCGTCATCTCCGCATCCCTCTCCGTATGCCACCCATCAACAACCTCAACCCTCAGCCCTCTCGCCGTGTACTTCTCCACATCGACAGGACCTCCCTTCCGCGGGTTAGTGGGCCGTGCGATGTAGACTGTGATGCGTGAGGGGGCGACGTCGTGGGAGAGGAGGTGTTCGAGGGCGAGGGTGTCGGTTCCTTTGGCTGTGGAGAGGATGAAGTTGTGGTTTGCGGCGACGGAGGTTTCGAGGGGCGAGGAGTAGTGTTGGTGGAATTGGTCCGGTGTGATGTCGATGTGGCCGGATATGAAGGCGATCTTTGGTGCGGGTTCAGTGGACTGTGATGGGATTTCAGCTTCTTTAATGGCCACCATCGTGCTGTGTCCGGAGATCGAGCGAGTACTTGCACATGAGCATCTTTCAGGAAGTCCACATTGCGTTACATATGAGAAGAACTCATGACTCCTTGCAAAGATGTGAGGCGGTGTCCACAGGAAGCTGATGGCAGTGGCTGTGCATCGAGACGCCGCAACATCGATATTTTATGGGCGGCCTCGGTGGGCTGAACACGAAGGAAACCCTAGGTCAAGTCTTCCAGTTCTCACATGCACGTATGAAGCAACGCTGACTCACCTTCTCCGTGGAGCAATGGTCGATTCAATGGTTTGATGTTTCTCTTAGGGTTCGGGGCAAGCATCACAACGATCGGCCATTCGGGAGTCGAGCAGTACGGCTCGAAAATGCTGGTTGTCGTTTGATATGACTGCCACAAGATCCAGAATCATGCTCCTAGCCAGTCGTCCATCCACGTATTGTAGCGTCGCGCCCAACTCCAGATACGCCTCACCCTCATGAATCCTCGCTGAACGATAATCAATTGCTGGACGACTGCGAGGGCCCATCAACCCCAATATCGCCACTCTGTAGCTTCCCAAGATTCTTGAGCAGGAAGCTGCGTTTGAAGTAGTCGTTCGGGTGAAGGATGGTATCGAGTTCACTTGCTGGCCAGAGTGACTCCTCCTTGACCTGGGAGACGTTAGCTGAAGTCGACAGGTCCTTGACACTGGTCAGAGCGCATACCTTCTTGATCTCATTCTTGTGAGCAGACTCGAAGACTCTATTGCATGCAATGTGGTATCTTTGCTTGCCAACGTCCTCACGCACGCCCTTCAAGAGCTCCTTGTCGGTGACTCCTACATTCTGCAGTAGCGTGATGAGATTCTCTGGGCTGTACGTCCGGTAAGGACATCCATGTTGCTGGCCACCTGAGGGAAGAGGTTCAGTGAGCAGCTTCTGGCAGCTGTAGGGAGTATAGCCACGGCCTCGTCGGTTTGCGTCACCACCAACATCACCGTATGAGTGGCGAATGTTGTAAAGATGCTCAGATTTGAATTTATCTGTAAAGTATATCAGCTTGGACTGTCAGAGCACCCAGAACGATGCAACTCACCGTCTGTCATCAGCTTGAAGCTCCTTCGCCAGAAGGCAATGCACTCCTGCATATTCAAGCCTATGCCCTTCAGGAAAAGTGTGTACTGTAGACGTCCGAAATGCTTCAAGTGGCTGTTCTTCCTCAATTCGCGATGCAGATTCTGCATGCACAGCGGGAAGTGCTGGCTATAGCCATCGATGGACGCGGCGTTTATGTTTGCAATGTCGCTCAGGCTCGAGCTCTCTGCATAGCCTGCATCAGGAGCCACGAACGATTGTGACAGATGGTGTAGTACTGGTGCCAGTCGGTTGTCCTCATCCATCCGGGGTAAGAAACGCGCTGCGAGCTCCAGCCCGGAATCCAATTGCCGCGAGAACTCGTTGACGACCATGCCCATCTGCTCTCGAACATGGACGTATGCCTTGCCTTTCTTCAGTAGCACCTGCCGCCTCTCCACGAGATCTGGCACATTCTCCCATTCACACTTGAACCAGCTCTCTTCGTCGGTCTTTATACAACTTGTCGCGGCCTTCAGATCATCCAGCCACATCGACTTTTCCTCATCACTGACCATCTCCCATGACATGGGCAGCGAGTCTATGAAAGACTTCCGCTCTCGCAAATCATCCTGCTGTATCCGCAGCTTGAACAGCTGTGTCTCTAGTCTCGCAAACCGCTGTCGAAGATCTTTCGTACTCGAGAAGGCTAATCGTAAGATCCAGTGGCTGTAGTGATCGCGTTTCCGTTCGAGTGAGATCTCACTACTCCTCGAGCTGTTGGTCGAGAGCGGCAGGTGTTTCGCGAGGATCGGTCGCATGTACTCTTCCGTTTCGGCGGGAGTCTTGTTACGGAACTGGCAAGCCTCCAGCTCGGCTAGAATCTTGAGGCGCGCAATCCCCCATTCTTCGAATTGTTCCAAGGTCACGTCTCCGGTAGGTGGGATGATGTAGAAGTTCATGCGATGAGGATAGTCCTGCTCTGCGAACTCCGCTTTCTGGAATTGCTGCCGCTTGATTGCGGCACGTTTCCGCGCATCTATGCGCGGTGCGGACGGTATGGCCAACATGTTGTGTGCTTGTGTCGCTGATGTTTGGAGGGAGTGAAGTGCTTTGGCTTTCGAAGCTTCAGATGTCAGTGAGAGGAAGACGCGACGCGAATTAAGCGAGATTTAGCGCGTTTATCTAAGGAGGCCCGAGCGTTTCTTGCATTCAAGTTCACATTCACGACATCTTTTGACCCTCCGACAGAGATCTAATGTGGCCTTTCGCGTTGAAGATGTATGCTCTAATGCTGACGCTATTCAAGCGTCGCATGCTGAATTGTAATCTGGGTATCACGTCTATCTTTCCATTCCCTAAACTCCATGCTGACGACTGTCCATCAGCCGTCGTTCTTATCCCACCGATGTGCCTCATCGCCGTCCACCCACGACTTCTCGGAATAGCCAACTTGCTCCTTGACCGACCGCATGAGCTCGTTGTTGCCCATGTTCTTGCCCTTGTCATCACTAAGCTTGATGGCATCATGTCCGTTTGCCTTGCTGAGCTTGATCACAATGTTCAGAGGGACACTCTTCTCGTTCTTGCTCAAATGCCAGAAGTCGTTGGTCAAGAACGTGCCAATGCCGAAAGACGGGGTGAAGTGTGCCTTTTCGCTGGCCTCCTTGTACTTGATGCATCGATCGATGTTCAAGCTGTCGGAGAAGACGATGGTCTTTGGCTCCTTGATGGCTTGGGCGTTGTAGAAAGTCCGCATCAATTGTACAAACTCGAGAGGGTCGCCAGAGTCCTGCCGGACACCGGTGAACACTTGAGCATACGTCGGCTCGGTCCAGTCGAGTGCACCGTTGAGATCTCCGCTCTTGGAAGCGGGTCTAGCAAAGGCTCTGAGGAATGCAGGTGTTCCGAATGTGTCCGTTAGTGCAATACCCAGCACTCCCCGTCCGAACGTGGCGATCCAGTACTGCATTGCTTTCTCGTTGGCGTTGCCATAGTCTTGTGTGATGGCAGCAATGCCCATGAACCACTCGTGTGCAACGGTACCGATTGGCGTGATGCCGAACCGCATTGCTATGTGAACATTCGATGTGCCCGTCACTTTTCCTTCCCAGCCTTTCCCGTTCGTCTCAGCTTCTTTCTGAGCTTCGATGAGCCCTTGTATCACCATCTCATGCGTCTTGTAGTCACGTCTTCTCCTGCTTCCAAACTCGCTGAACACACAGCCAGCTTCCAGCAGTCTCTCTCCCTTGTGCTTCGCCTTGGCGACCTGACCATCGTGATTCCAGTCCTTATCCACGAACTTGAAGTATGCTTCTGAAGTGAGTGCAAGTAGAGGGATCTCATAGAGGATAGTCTCCTTCCAGTTACCGTGGATTGAGAGGTCAATGTCGCCAGGAGTTGAATCTGGGACCTCACCGGCCACCGAAGGTGTGAAGTTGAGCTTGACTTGCTCTTGCGGTCGAAGACGAAAGCCTCTGAGATACTCCAGGTAAGAGTGGTTCAGGTACGGGCAAGTTCTCTTCAGCCAATCGATTTCTTCGTCCGTAACGGTGATATTCTGAAGCTTGGTGATCTGGTTCTGCAACCATGTGGAGGCTTCTTTCGTAAGCTTCATGTGAGGTGTGCGATTAGTGAACTGGTAGCTGACTTGGACATCCGGGAAGAACTTGAGGATTGCGCATTGCATCGTCAGCTTGTAGAGATCGGTGTCGAGGAGAGAGAAGATCCCCTCTGGATGGTCGGCTCTATCGGTGGGAGCCATGGCGGCGATGATGCTGCTGAGCCTTGTTGGTTGTCAAGCAGCAAGACTCTTGCCAGACTGATAGGGCTGGGATTGAGATCACAAGACGGTATGATTTCAATCTGCGGACCCGTTCGGCGACACTTGTCTCTGTCACTGAGCCGGTACTTCAATCCTGCTCATCTTGGTCGTTCGCGTTGTTCATGATTTAAAGTTGAGTGTGTTTGCGTTTGTCAACGATCGTAGACGCGGCTCGTGGTGGGGCAGCTGATCAAGCTTTCGGGAGCGTCCGTCGTGGTGATCCACTTCGACGTCAGTGCTCCTTCCCTGAGAGCTCTCATCAAGCGGACTTCCTAACTGAGGCAACCGCCCAAAAAACACCACTGACCTTCTGGCGTCGTTCTTGACATTGAACGACACTTGCCCCGACAGCATTCGCATGGGCACGCGATAAGCTGGACATCTACACTGGACCGCGCACCACCTTGACCAACACTCCTTCCGACTGCACCCGTCTTGCAACATCTCCTATTTCGTTCAGATCAGTTCAGTAATCCGTCGTCAAGATGTTGCGCTGGTGAGTACTCGGTGAGATGGAGCAAGTGAAGGCATCTAATGACGGACTGCAGGTACCAATCCAAGCTGGCATCGCGCCCTCTCCTCACTCAATCGATCACCACCGCCGTCCTATTCGCGACTGGCGACACCATGGCCCAGCAAGCCGTTGAAAAGAAGGGGATTCAGAATCAGGAGTGGGCACGGACAGGCCGAATGGCGCTCTATGGAGGATGCATCTTTGGTCCAGCAGCAACAACGTGGTTCGGATTCCTGCAGCGAAAGGTTGTCATCCCAGGCAGACCCAACCTGGAGATCGTCGCAAGAGTCGTCACAGATCAGACGGTGTTCGCTAGTACCAACCTGTTCTGCTTCTTGAGCAGCATGGCCATTATGGAGGGCACTGATCCATCGAAGAAGCTGAAGGACTCATACTTCACGGCACTGCAGAAGAACTGGATGGTGTGGCCGGCCGTGCAATTCACCAACTTCAAGTTCGTGCCATTGGAGCACCGGGTGTTGTTGGTGAACGTCGTTTCGCTGGGTGAGTTGCTCGCTCGACATATCTGATACCCTGCTAACAATGTGTCAGGCTGGAACTGCTACCTCAGCTTCTTGAACAGTCAACCTAGTGGTAACCTGGGAGAGTCGACCTTCCCGCCCGATGCTTAGATGGGTGCTTCCAACCCCTACACCACAGTCCTGGGATCCCCCTACCACGATTCACCTTTTGTAATCATGATGTACACTATTCTGCATCACGGCGCTGGGAGCCTTCCTGCATCGACATTGGTTTGGAGAATAGCGGCTTGAACTCGGACAGCCATCGAGACAGGAACCATAGACACTTCGACATCAGGAGCTTGAAGACTCCTCCTTTGCTTTTGCCTTCTCTACCTCTTCCACCGTCTTCGTCTTCAACTGCAAGGCATGAATGCCACCTTCCGCCGCTAGCTCATCCTTCAACAAGGTATATACCATCCGATGCCTCGCCGGCTGCATCTTTGACTTGAAAGAATCCGAGATGATGTTCACTCTGGATCACATTAAATAAATGCACTGCTTTGAGTGAAATAAGCATCGTACCTGAAATGGGTCTCTTTCGAAGTGCTCCCTTGCATTGCCTGATGATGTGCGTGTTTGTGCGAGTCATTGAAGATCTCGAGTGAAGTCGGTGCGAAAGCTTCAGTGATCTATATATGTACTCTGAATTAGATCTGCTGTTTCGAAACGAGACGAATGGTCGACTAGCCTTTTGACGGATGGTATCCTCCATCGGCGTCTGTGACGCAGCCATACCGATGAAACGTCTCTGCAGCGTCTGGCCTGCTGCTCGGCGGAACATAAGGAAATCTTTGCTTTGTTTTTGTCAAGGATGAGTCCAGATGGAAACGCGCAGTGTCTGTGACTGACGGTGCGACTGCGGCTCGGACTGGTAACGATGCCGCCCGAACGTGCGACGGTTATACCCGCCGCTAACGGCGTGTCATTATATGTACATGTAGTTAGTATACTATAAGAAAGTAAATGTAGACTTAATAGAGCTTGAAGTATAGTACTTAAAGAGGTATGGTAGAGTATATATGTCATAGATTTACTAACAAAATACACGGTGAAGCTAGAACGCGTTGTTGTACAGGTAGTTCCGCGCGGGCGTGACATATCACATATTATAGTAGCTCGTTCTAGACTACCGCTGTAGTCGTCTTTAACCCGCTTCTGTGTGTGCGTCTAGAAGAAGACGTTGGTGTAAAATCCATCCACAAATGGCGTGAGAAGAGGTGTATAGACGGACTTCGGGCAAGTCTATTGTCCATGCTTTGGGCACTCTATGTAGTCAAGTACACGTGTAAGGTCGCTGGGACAACGACGTTGCCATGTCTGGGCAGTCTACTTGGTTTTGAAGCAATTCTCCCTCTCTTTTCAAGCTCGCGGACTGGTGAAATAGTCAGTCGAGATGTTATATGTGTAAAAATATGGAGCTACACTTACGCCCAACACGGTTGTGGTCCATGTCGAAAAGGACATCGAACCGCTGAAATAGCCACAACCCCATAACAGCGCTTGTGGTATCCCACTCTTGCCTATGAATTGCTACAACACATACTCGTTCGTTCCCCGAAGTCAGCACACGAGTATAGTCTTTCCAGTCAAGAACCAGACTTTTATTCTGCCCGCCAAACATGAGGGTAAGCTCTGGCAAAGTCTGCCGAACTTGGCATGGAATAACGCCGCCTTCAAAGTCTTCATTGACAACTGCGCCCAGGTAGTCGTAGATCGCCCGTGCAATTTCATCAGGAAGTGTCATAACGAAATCGGGCGACAATGTCAGGGCTGCAATCAGATCAACCCGGGCTTCGAAAGGTTGTGGATAACCCCGGAGGACGACGTGACCCAAATCGACTGCCCAAGTCCCTTCTATAAGCGACAGCTTTTGGCGTTTGCTCAAAGGTATCCAGAAGTTCAGAGGCCTATATCTTGCTCCAAAAACAAGCGTTCCGACAGCGTCTGGTGTTTTTGGAAGGCTCAAGAACATGGTTTTGTCCTCCAGCAGACCGGGCGAAACCAGTTCGTGCATGAAGTTCTGATGGGACTGTAAGCCGCGGTGCCACCCGTCAGAGTATGAAGACGACGTGGCGTTTGGGGGCGCAAGGCCTAATGCACTGCAGATACCCAGATCAGCGCAAAAACGCAAATCGCTGAGGACCTGACGATGCCTCACCCATCGCTCATATCAGCCAAGATCAACAACATCATGTTCTCTCCGTAGAAGGTATCTGCTGCTCCAAACGTTGCGTTCCTGAGTGAGGACTCGCCTAGGTGAAGGTCATCCTTCAGCATTGCGCCCTGTGCAGTGTGACCGTCAAGAAAAAGGCTGAACCGATGGTCCATGCTCTCACAAGACACGGAAGCGGTGCGGTCGAAAGCAACATGACGGCCGCATTGCTGGCAGTCAACGGAGCGAACGGCGAGACCACCGAAGGTCAAGTCGACAAATAGCATGAAAGGCTGTGGAGGGGTGCCGATTGCGATGTTTGTGAAGATGAACGGCAACCCGAAAAAATCGCGTCTCTGGAGCTCGAGGATCGTTGCGGCATGGCCAGTGTCACCAGTGTCACCAGTATGACCAGTTTGACCAGTGCAAATTGGGTAAGAATCAGTCTCGGCAAGCACAAGCGGAGACTGATCTGGTACAGACTCGTCGGAAAGCCGTCCATGAAGTCGTGTGAAGGAAGACGGTAGAAGTAGCGAGAGAGCAGCATGATGCAAAACCTGCATCCAGAGAAGAATGGTCTCTACACCCGGCCAAAGCACCAGACCGGTATATCTCAAGGTCCGAACAATAAAGTCCAAGGCGCTGACGAGCAGGAGCAGGCTCTAAGAGGTATTGGTCGATCAGGACTCCCCCGGCAAGCCAGCGCAGCGCTCCCATCATCAGCGTTCTTATTGACCAGTGGGCACATTTAATGACCACGAGTATTCTCGACGCATTTATAAGCAGGCGAAGGTCGCAGGAGCCCAGCAGAAAGAAATACAGACTGTGGTTTGAGGAGAGAAAGGGAGGGTGTCGGGAAGGCTGGTTTTTTGTTGACGTGACGTTCTGTTAAGCGAAGTGGGGCGGTCCATATCAAGTAAGGTCTGGGACGCGAAACCCTCTCTCCCAATCAAATCAACTCGTTGCCTTCCATTGTGACCCACTTTTGGTCTTCTAGTGCATCTGCAGATTCGTATACAACTCCTACCCGAATACGTGATGCTGCGTTCTGACTTTGGCAGCGAAGGAACACCGCCATGAAGTCTGTCTAGGCCAGCCGCATTCCAAACCACGTGCAATCCTTCGATTGTCCTCGAGACCCGGTAAGGTTTGAGCTGCGGACTGCTTGAACAACAACGCCGGCAAGCACGTACACGAGCATTGGGAAATCGATGACTGGGCCTCGGAAAGACGCTACACAGCCTGTGAGGTTACAGACTACTCTCGACTCGCCTTCAATCAGCCGTATGTCACTGCATTAACATTCGCACACTGACCACTTAGGCTTAACATTATTCGGATGCACTTGTTGGGCAGCAGCTGAACAGCATACAAAGAACTCCAGACCATGCTGGCCATTGCTTCCGCCTGCATGTTGCATGCGCCCTGCATGCTTCAGGCTATCGATTCCTCCAATCCTGGGCTGACACAGTAGCGTTCAGGTCAGGGCATCACAAGCAACAAGAAGCACTGCCGGCTAGAAGGGCTGTACAGAGTGTCACATGCATACAGGGAACGCCGCTCAAAAGGATTTCGACGATTCTCCCTGGTTCAGGCTATGATTGATGACAATCAAGCCGACTTCATTTAAGCCTTTAAGAATGCGCAGACTCGGTATTCCCCATATGCATATGACACTCCATAGCCTGAGGCTTGTGGAAGGAAACGTAAGTACCGCTCCACAAAGCCTACTGGAACCTTACTTCCTTCGCACAGAAGATGGCGCGCTTAGCAAGACGGCAGTTCAAGGGCCCAGGTGGTGCGATTCCTTCACAAGCCTTGGGAGTATCACCTTCTGAAAAGAGCAAAAGTCGATACTCCATCTTCCACATTGGTCACCACGAAGGAATTCACCAAAGCCGATGTAACCAATCTCCTCCACCAGGAACACACCACCGCATGAGCGTAGCAGAGCGGCTGCGACCTGGACTTCCTGCAATGGAAACCATGTTCGTGGCTTTCCTGCTAGCCTCCGCGAAGATGTGACACTGAAGTAGAGTCCAGCAATGTTGAAAGTGGTCAGGGCGGCCCTGGACTTGCTCATAGCGACTAGACTCATCTTGTAGGAGACTTACGATCCTCCTTGGCTGCATTCGTTCTGGACGGTTTGACAGCAAAGTTCAAGACTAGGCTGAGGACCAGAGTAACCTGTTCAGCAGAATGTGTCTGGCTCGATCCATGGCAAATGTGGCTTGACACTACAGACAGGCGCGAGAACCAGCACGTTCAGTCGACAGCCGCAACCACGAGTCGCTTGGCAGAGCGGTCGGGGCACAAAAGTACTTAAAGGACTCTCGGGCATCATCAGAACTGGAAGACCAGCAGTCCAACTGTCTCCTCACCTACGACTGTAGTATTGCAGTCCTGATCATGGTTCTCTTTACGCCTCTTCTTTACAGCCTGTTGGCATTCTTGCCAGTGGGGTCATCTTTCGCCGTGGGCACATGGCTTTCACCATGGTTGCGCACCGAAGCCATCGCGGAACCTCCTGACGTCGAGATCATGAAGTTGAGCGGCCGAAGCTCACCCTTCCCGGTGCCTCTCACGATATGCTGTGTTGGAGACTCCATCACGGCGGGAGTCGGCTCCGAGGGTGACAACGCTGGCGACTCCTACCGCTTATACCTCTACAACATGATCACACAGGGTTCAGCACTCTTAATAACATACACCAACGAGACTCGATACTGACTGTGTCAATAGCCGGGACCTCCGTCAACTTTGTCGGCAAGCAGACCGGAATGTACCAGCCCACTACCACTAGCGGACTGGAGCCTGCCACAGGGAATGACCCCGAGCCTGAGTAAGTTGTCCTGTGAGCTGATCATAGCGTACCCAGCTGAACGAATCTGTGTCGTCTAGCAACGAGGCCGTAGGTGGCTATCGTATTGACCAAATCATTACCTTGCTGGAACAAGACAACACTATTACCTCGCAGCAACCAAACGTCGTTCTAATCCACGCTGGAACAAACGACAATGCGCTGCAATTTGTGTACCAAGACGGGGACCAAACTTGTGCGGATGGGCAATGTGTCGGTAACGCTCATGCGACCGAGACATATGCTGATGCGCCAAATCGATTGGGCAACCTTATCGACTACGTCCTCTGCCACCAACCCAACGCTATCGTGCTCGTAGCGATACTAATCCAGGACTACTATAATTCGACTCAAGGGAACTTATTCAATGCCGAGGTACCGAATGTTGTAGCTGCTAGATATGAAAAGGGCTATAAGGTTCGAGTCGTCGACATGTCTTCGGTCTCCCCAGCATTCGATCAGAAAGTTCATCCTGACAACGACGGATACCAGGAAATGGCAAACAGATGGTACACAGCCATGCTGGACATTCCTTCCAGCTGGTGGACCACCAACAGCAACAGCAAGCGCGCGGATTCGAGCTCGACAGGTCCGGTGCAAACGTGTACGCGAGATGCCGTGTCGTTTTCGGCAGCTCTGAATGGAGGCGTTGTCGCAGCTGGATGGCACGTGTCAAGTGATCCTGGAGAACCCCCATCCACGCCAGAGAACACAGGCAACCTGACTGGCTGGATTCCTCAATGGGGTGACGATGGGGACATAGCGATTGGGTCTGGGTACCCAGGAGAGGAGTGCGCCTGGCCGATCTTGACGGTTTGTACATCGTATTCTCCTCATTTTTGAGCGATTTGTGCTAACCAGCCCTTGTAGGAGATGGTGCGTGTGATTTGCTGCGATTCTTCTTCTCATACGTTCATGACTGACTCTACGTGCATCGAAGGGCTCACCGACTACCTCTGGGTCAACTTCTCAGATGCCTCTGTTCGTGCTTGGCTTAACAAGGGGTCAAGCGGCGGCTGGGTTCCTGTTAACAACGCAAACCGCATACTCTGGGGCACAGGAAACCCCGATTATGTGGAATTCGCCGACCTTACAGGCGACAAGAAGGTCGAGTACATCGGTGAGGCATGCGCAAATCATACTTGAGTAGACTGCGGACTGACTTCTTGTATGCAGTGATTGATAATGGTGCATTCCGCGTCTTCCAAAATGACGGACCCAACGGAGACGTCTGGACATTCGGCGAGCTGGTCGAAGCGGGCTCGCAAATAACCAATGTCTTTGGAAGTGGCGGAGTTGGCTTGCATTATTTTGCCGACATGAATGGGGACGGGCTCGCAGACCTGGCTGTCCTAAACAATAATGGTGTCGTTGATTTCTACATCCAGCAGGGAAAGATCGGAACAGATGGTTTCAGCTGGACGCCATGCTTAAATCACGCCGAACTCACAGGACTTATGGCTTTGGCCGACATTGACGGTGATGGACGAGCCGATTACGCCTCTATTGCCGATGATGGTTCCATGTCCGGGTGGCTGAACACCCCGGGCGGGACCTGCGACATCACATGGGTTGCGATTAATGGTCGTGGACCTGACAGTCTCCAGTTCAGCAAAGGCGCACCGTCTGATGCATTCCGCCTTGCTGACATCAACGGCGACGGTAAAGCGGACTACTTGACTGTGAGCAACGACACCGGCCAGCTCAATTCCTATCCCAACAAGGGGTATTTCGGTACCAAAGACAATCCCGGTATTGGAGGCTATGGCGCAGCTGTCCGTCTCGCAGACATCAACGGTGATGGCGTGGATGATTATCTCTCTGTGGACGACGCCACTGGAGTCCTCGCCTACGTGAACGGTGGACAACAGGGAAGTTCTTGGTCCTGGACAGAGCAAAACAACGGCCAAGTCATTGCCCTGGGCTACTCTGGCGCCTCACGCAGCGAGATACACTTCGCTGACATGAATGGAGACGGATTTGCAGATTTCTTGTTTATTGATTCCGACACAGGTGCCATCCACTGCTATTTGAACTTTGGTCCGGACCCACAAACTGGGTGGAACTTCACCATCCTGGACGGCGATATTGCGATTGGCGTGGGCGGACAAGGCGCCGGCGTCCGTATGGCAGATATCGATGGAGATGGCAAGGCTGACTACATCTATCTGGACGATGATGGCGCGGCTCGTGTGTGGATCAACGCCGACGACACCCTTCGCAAATGGGTCCCCTTGAACAACGGCAATGTAGCTGCACTCGGTGTTGGTGCCAATCGTAAGTCTTCCCGAGGGACAGAAGTGTTTTATTCGACTTCAGACAATCTGGGGCAATAGGCCGGGGCCCGCTGCACAAGAGGCTGGGCCCTTTGCCAACAAGACCCCTCTGTTTGAGACATATGCTAATTTTCGCTCTTTCTGCTTAGGTGACGACGTCCAGTTTGCGGATGTCGACGGCGATGGCCGAGCAGACTACATCTGGGTCCATCCCGAGGACGGATCTGCGGAGGTCTGGTACAACGGCGGGCCCACTGGCCCCAATGGAGATGCCCTTGCTTGGTATCCTGGTGGAACGATCCAGCAGGGTGTAGGCTACCCGGGCCAGAATATTCGCTTTGCACGCATCGGAACATCTGGTCGAGCTGACTATGTCGCTTTGTCTGACGATGGATCCTTCAAGGCTTGGCTCAGTTCTTGCTCTAACGTCACTGGCTCCAGTGGCCGTGCTGGCAGCGCAGCATGCAGCACCAACGTTCCCTTGCCACCGTCTTCAGGGCCAGAAGCACCCTATACCGCTGCCATGGGCGCCGGCTGCATCACAGCCCCGTGTACTGCCTGCTTTGGCCCCGGCTGTGGAGGAGCGTGTGGCGGGCAGCAATGCAGCACATGCTCGGGAGCTGCCTGTGGTGGCTGCAAGGGGAACGACTGCAACACTTGCACTGGCCCCGATTGCGATGGATGTCATGGATACGAGTGTACCGTGTGCTCTGGATCTGATTGCACCGCCAGTTGTCAGGGCTCCGACTGCGGTAGTCCAAGTCCAACGCCTTCTGCATCACCTGCCCTACCACCAAATACAACTCCGTCACCAGCAACGACCGCACCGCCAGCTACCACAGAGCCCGCAACAACTATCAGCGGCATAGTCATCCAGAGCAACGTCCCCGGAACCGGCAGGATAGTGCCTGTTGGGCGAGACAACTGGATCTGGGCTGGACTTGGAGACTCGTACTCAGCTGCACCTGGAGCGGGGAACGTGATAGAGACGCCTGGCGTTCCCACCACATGCAAGCAGAGGGATGGATCCTATGTTGTCCAGACGGGCAAGATGCTCGAGCGCGAGAATACCTACTTCTTCTATTCTTGCCTCGGGGCAAAGACACCAGATGTCGTTAACGTACAAGTGCCAATGCTCCAAGAGCAACCCCTCTTGGACTTTGCTCTATTGTCGATTGGAGGCAATAATGTGGGATTCAGCAACGTTCTCAGAAATTGCCTTCTTTTCACCACGACTGACGAAGCATGTAATGCTGCAATCGACCGGACATCACAGATCATTGACGACCCGGGACCTGATGGATTGAACCAACAGCTCCAGAGCGCTTGGAGTGCAGTCAGTACCCGTATCAGATCGTGGAAGCCGGTCATCATACAGGAAAGCTATCCGAGCTTCTTCGACATCTATGACGATGATACTGTGCGTCACCTCTAATTGGCACTTTAGGAAAACACAAATGCTGACTATAAGACAGTGGTGCGACGGGCAGACTTTGAATGTAGTAATGGGCACGTCCGAACCAAAGTTGACTTCGGATCTGCGTTCGAGGTTAAACACTTTGTCGACGCAGATGTCAACAAGATTGGTGAGCTACGTAAATGCTTGGAACCGGGCAGGTGAGTCCACCCGTTTGTGCTCTAGATGCATACGAAGATGCTAGTCATCAGCCTCTCCCAGCATCATATTGACGGCCATATAGCTCATCCAGGGTATGCAAGGGTGCTCCTCTCCGATTACTATGGTACCGGCGATACTATTTATGGAACCCATCGGTTCTGTCGATATGATGTCCACGATCTTGATGATTCCAGTATCTGGATATTCAAGGCATACGGTTACGACGTTACTACTGCTGGGGTCCAACTACAGTCCACCGCTGGCGAGAACGCGACTCTTACAGCCCAGCAGGTGGAATCGACCTGGGATGCGTCAACATGTGCCCAAGATCCGCAGTACGATACATGGAGTGATTTCATGTTTGGATGCGAATACGCGCTACTCCTTGCATCTGGCAACGTCTCTTCCGACACGGTCTTCGGATTGCCTGAGTTCCTCTCCAAGGTATTCCATCCTAAGAGTGTTGCATATACTGAAATTGCCGAATACACTAGCGACTACACCGACAGGTATATCGCTCCCCCTGCGATAGCGACGGGTTCGGACTCATTCATTCCGCAAAATAGCAATGGCCTGTTGCAATGCTTTCCTCCAGGGCCATCCTACAACAACGACACCACATATGTCAGTTCATCTGCGGCCAAAGATGCCATCGAGGACTTTTGCGGCGCCGCTCTCTACAACGCGGCTGTGGCCAATGGAGCCTATGGCGATTTTGGCGGGATGAGATTCCAGATCTCAGTCGACGACTCCTTGGAAGACAATTGCACTGCGCTGGATCCCACCAACTCATACTTCTACGGACTATGTGGCGATGCGTTCGAGCAGATGTTTGCCTGTGAGTACCTTCCATTGCCATTGTTTCCTTCGTTGCCTTCCGATGCTGACCTGATTCTCCACATGCAGGTGATCCACCACCATCTGGGCAGGATGCCGCATATCAGGGCGGAGCGTTCTACAAGAGTTGTGTCACTTGGTCTTTCATGAAGTGTCCAACTGAGGGTGTCTCTGACTGCTTCACCCCGCCCTTCCCGCCTATCGGGCCCCAAGGCAACGCGACGTAACCGAACATTTTGATGTGAGAAGATGGAAATGTATTTTCGCTCACATAGATAGACACGTCGTCCTTATGACAAATTGTACTCGAAAGTGCTACCAGTCTTGGTAATATAGTCTTCAGATCTCGTGGTATGGCCTGAATAGCACTAAAAGAGTTGATAATGCGTACGATGGATCTATGAGGTGTGGTTGATCTCTTAGCCGGGCTTCTCGCCGCACCTTCCCTCTCCAAGCAAGCACACTTTCACATGCTGCTCAAGCGTCACAGCTCCCGCTCGACATCAACATCCATGTCAAGTCGTTCACATGGCGCCGATACGACGCTATCTGCGCATCACCAAGTACTCTGTGCTTGAAGTGCGCATTTACCTACACAAGCCATCCGACGCCGCTTGGTTGCTTTCGTCACGCGACAACGTCCTCCCACGCATCATCGAAGAGGTCAGACCGAAGGTGCTACCGAAGCTCCGGGAAGAGAACGAGAACGCAAAGAAGAAGAGCGGGAAGAAGAAGAAGGGTATAAAAGATGTCGCTAGTCAAGGTGCGTAGGCGCAGGCTTCATCACGGCAGCGGTTGGGGGCAGAAGTGCTGATGAGACTGCGCTGGAACAGAGGACTTTGAAGTGTCCATCTTCTTGAAGGAGAACTCGACACGGCATTCGTTGATCACGAAGCAGAAGCAATTCAGCGATAAGCCGAAGATCAAGTCGACTGGCAACAAGCTCACTGGATGGTTGAATACCAGCGAGAACCCGATTCGAATCGATGAGGATAGGGAACCGCCGGCGATACTGCAGGAAGAGGATGACGATGTGGTTGAGCTCAAGGACATTTCGAAAGCGGGTGGTAGCAAGAAACGTAAATCGGTCGACGGAAAAGACAACGATGATGACGACGACGCTCTGTTCGTGAGCTCCAGTGACGAGGAGTACTTCGCAACGCAGCGAGCCAATCCCTCAAAACGTCGAAAGCAGACGAAAACGCCCGAGGAGGTGCCCGAAGAGCCAGTTGAGGACGAGGGAGATCAGGACGACAAGAAGAAGCTCCTGCTTGATACCTCCTACGACGGGTTCAGCATCTACGGGCGGATTCTTTGCCTGATTGTGACGCGGAAGAGCAAGAAAGAGCCTGCTGTTACAGCAACTACCGGTGGCAGCCAGATGATGGAGCAGTGGGTCAGTACGCAGGCTGCTCAAGATAATGGCTTGCTTGAAGACGATGATGGTTGAATGTGATCTGGGACGACGAGATGACCTCTTCAAACCATTGTGTGCTAAGTGTGCACGTTTGGCAGAGTCTCATACAGCCATCTCTCGCAGAGCTCGTAACAGGTCTCGAGAGCGACACGGTGTTGTCGGCGTTGTCGCTCGTTCGGTCCAGGATTCCAATTCCAATTCCAATCGCCAACGCAATGCAAGACGCCGAATCCAATCATCAACCTCGGCCATATCTTTCTGGCGCTGCTACGACAACGAACTCCTCAAGGATCCTCGACATGTCATACACACTTTCGCACGAGGATCGAAGGACGAGCACATCAACACCAAGCTTCGTGCATCAGCACTCGCTCCTGAGTACGCTCGCAGACTCACGTCAGCAGCTGCAGCGCATAACGAGCATACCAACACCACAGACTCGTGATCAGGATGCGGCACTTTGCACCGGCGATTTCAAACTTCTGACACACTTAAGCTCGTTCCTGACAGGAGCCGGAATTCTTAGGGCAGTGGTGGATGAGGGGTAATCAATCAACTCCACGCAGTGCGATGTCAGCGTCCTCGTAAGCGTCCTCGTGAGCAGCCGCAACCTAAGCTTGTCTCCGCATACAGTGCTGAACGCGAGGTAAAGTCGACGACAGCTGACAGCACGTCGCTGGTGCCATGGCGACGGGAGTAGTAGCGTCGACAAGGCGGTGTACCTCGTTTGTTGCTAATAATTGCGAAAATGGTCGTAAACTCTCTCCCTCTAGGGCTGATGCATGCTTTGACTTTTGCGGTCATCAGAAACTAGGCTTGAAAGTTAGGAGTAGCAATTGCCCGAAGTGCTGCGAAAGTGGCATCGCCGTCCAAGACCTGGCGTTTTTCGCATCGAGGAATATCTTGCTCACTGCAGTCAGCATTTGTCGAAATCAGGCGAAGAAGGCTTATTCTTGGGACTTGCAGCTCTGCAATACGGCCGCATCGAAGCCCCGTTCTCCTTGATGTTAAGTTTCAGGAAAAGAGACCGAGGGAAAGCTGCGTTTGTCTCAATTCAGTCGATACCACCGCGTCGTGTGGTGAGGTCGGATATCGCTGACCGAGAAGGAAGCTCGCGATGACCAGTAGCCCTACACCCACGAGAAAGACGACTCGCCTTCCTGCAGGAACGGAAGCTTGTTGCCTCCCACCACCTGTCAAGGACACGCCTCCATCGACCGATCTTATGGACCTCGCTGCACACCACCACCTCGCACGGAGGGCTTGTCGAAGGTGTCTCACATGATGATGCAGGTACGGAAAGTGAATCTTCCTTTTGTCATCTTCCTCCCCTTTGATCCTGAAGATTCAATACTTGCCTTTAGGATTCTCATCGAACGCCACGCTGGGTAGGAAAGGAGGATGAGGAGCGAACGCATCCCATTTTCAACGTCCACAGGGGCTTCGACATACCGAAGGGCCTTGCTCGATCGAAGATTTCAATGTCGGTGTGTGCATGTGAAGGGCTTGCCTATGTGTGATAGATCGAGGGCTGGACAACGAGCGTGAATCGCGGGTTCGTCACCGTCGATCAGCCGTTTTGCGAGCCAGGTTGAGGAACAGTGGGTGAAAGTGCGGCACGTAGCTGTGCTGTGTGGTGCTGGGCATCGAGATCGCAAAGACGACCAGGCGTGACCTGTGCCTGGCGAACAACCACCTGTACCTTGGCGCGGGTCAGGAACGAAGCCTTCCGAGATAGGCGGTGGGTGGTGTATGTGTCGTCGTCGTCATCTTGGGCGTCGTCCGTCGTGATGCTTCGTTTGGCGGAGGCAACAGGAAGCGAGTGGCATGGATTTGTTGTCGAACCCAAGGAACCTTCTCACCACTCCAAGACTGCCACAGCATGCTAGTCGCAGCATGTACCTGTTGATGTACGCAGTCCTCGCGAATTGTGCACGGCATCGACAGCAATGCTACGATTGCTCTTGTGGGGTCGTTATAGCTGTCGGATACCGACACGAAAGTGCCATTGAACACAGCCGTTGGCACCATCCCCGTCGTCAGTGAACCTTCAAGCGCGGCAGTTGATGTTCGACAAGGTTTTGGAGAATAGAGTTTTCTCAAAACGGCTGGGGCATGGTGTGTTGCAATCGAGACACCACCACCGCCATCGAACCAACAATCAACTCGTCCACGGAGTCAAGGTCGAGGTCTGTCCGAAGTCGACCAAGCAGCAACTCCTCGAATGGCCGCCTCCTGTTCACCGCGAAAGAATTCTTGCAAACTCTAATCGAGCTTCACCTGAGACATGCAGTGGTCTGGAGCTCGAGTCAGCTCGTCCAGTACCAAACGGCGCAAACCACCAGACGAGGCAGGACTGCGCCCACGTGTGATGGTGCTGTTGCGTTCGTTTGCTCGCACCAGAAAGGGGAGTCGTCACAAATGTCCATCGCATCACACATCTAGATCTGTGAACAAGGCCTCGTGGGAAGAAGTGCACTTGGCACTCGATTTCTGTGTAGACGCCGCAGCCGCAGCCGCGACAGACCTACTATGCCCTAATCAGAGCGGAGTGGCCGAATGTGTGGATGGCAAGGGCTGGTAACTGGACGTGCTATCGCTCGTAGACAAGGAATGCTGTCGGAGAGCACTTGCACTTTCTGTGTTGGTGGTCTGATACCCGTATGACCGCGTCCACGATGAACAGGTCTGGTCAATGGACACCCGACCGCCTCACCAGGCCAGGAACAGGTAAGCAGGGCACTACCTTGTGGGCGGTTCCATCAAATTGGTAACAGATTTCGGTAAGATCTCGCATGGAGCCGTGAGGACGGGGTTCACAGCCGAGGAGCCGAAGTTGATTGAAAGAAATATCTTTCGAGTCAAAGCTTTTAATGAAGTGGAATGAATTGGCGCCGGGTTTCAGTTGCTGCTGCCCGAGAGTGCGATTGCTCTTTGCAGAGACTGATGATGAGACTGATGAATCGACGTACCCCGACGTCGTTGGTCTTTGCCCATCAGCGATGGTCGTCGCGAGTCTCACGTATATCTGTACATCAACAGATCTCAATATCGATTGAAACACATTGATGACGTTGCCGAGCCAGACTTCCACATCGTCCTCACAAGCGAGTGTGCGAGGCACTTGGCAGATCCGGTGATCAAGCGCCAAACTGCGGTGGCATGCACCCCTGGCGATCTTTCAGGTACGCGCCAGGTGGGTGGCAACAGACCGCACGAGGACGCCGACCGGCCAGGCGTGAAAGATGGGGCAAGTCGGCGTTTGTACGACTTCCCAAAACATTTTCCGTCTGAGCAAAAATCGCGACCTTTCTGGACGTGTGACGCAGGAAGCAGGAGATGTTTCTGCGCCAACTCGCTCAAACAACGGGACGGAATCGATGGTCTGTCTCCATTTAGACTCGCTTCGGCCCTAGTCAACGACGTGGATGCTAGCCCCATCCTGGCGGCCACGTGTGAAGCCTGCAAGCTGAAAGTCAATTTGCGCAAAGCGAGAGCGGTGCTGACGCGCACAGTCATGCGCCCATATCGACACGCCTGCCCGGCGCATTGCATTGGCGAGAGGAATCGGTAGATGCTGCCCGTCCTCGTCGTGGATTCCAATCACTCCCGCCGCGGAGGGAAGCGGTTGCCCTGTTTCCCAGCCGTGGAAACGGAGGGCATCGCGAGATGGTGACGACACGACGGCAGAGGGCGGCAGACTTCCAAGTTGGTCACACACCGCGGAGAGGGTTGCGCAAACACGAAGTTCGCATCTGCTAGGCCGCGCTTCCAGCTTCTGCCGTTCTTCTTCCGCGCTTCGCAGACCCCGGCAAGCGAGATGAGGGTGTCACAGGCCGGCGCGACGCAGCGCTGGGGCGAGGGCGTGCAGGTCAATTTGCCACGGCGCAGTGTGTTTCGAAGGGTGTGCAAAGGAAAAATAATCATGAGGCCGCCGCAGCAGGTGAAACGGCAGCAGCGTGGGCGGCAGACGGCGATGGCGTTTCGCAGCTCGCCAGCTCTCCCATGCAGCAGAAGCTTGCTGGCCTTGGTGTGATGATCCTGCCACCCCGTACCCCTGCCGTTTGGACGACGCCCTGGAAGCTTGGAAGCTTTGCTAACCGTCCCTCACGTATCCGGCACCCGTTGCTCCCGCGGTGTGGCAGCTCGTTCACGGCATCCACCACGGCGGCGTGGCGCTGGCCGGCTTCTGGAAGCGCAGCAGCAGCTAGCCACCAGAAGGGCATGCGGACATGTCCGAGGCGAGTGCAGTGTGGAGGGTATGGGTTGGATATACCGTGCAGCAGACAGTGCGCACATTGCAGCAATATCGATTGCCTGAATATTGCCTGGGCGGATGTCGTAATCTGGGATCACCGGAGGGCGGATACGAGGGGCAGCGATGAAACAGGGCAAATGGCGCTCGTCAGCAGGACGGTCGGGTACCGAAGGCGGAAAGCATGCAACCTGCGAACTGGACACTGGACAGGGCTGAGCCTGGCGAGAGTTTGGGCCGGGATGGTGGCTCGCGCGTGACGGTTCTTCTGCAGTCATGCTGCAAAATTAGGCTTTGCCAAGCGGGCCTCTCTCCTTTACTCCAGCAGGCAGCTTTCCTTAGCACAGACTCACCGCCAGGATGCGCGGATTGGGCGGCTGTGCGTTGCATCATGGGAGATGGATCGGAATTTCGCCAACATATAAGCACTCGTCCTGCTCCGCCTCACCTCGCCCGTTGCACCCTACCATCCACCACGACTACTCTGCACGCCAGCCGTCGACGACTCTACGACCATACAACGATCCAACGTCTACTACCACCAACGACAACACCAACCCATACCACACGCAACCCGCCTAATCAACACCACCATGCCTGCCGCAACCTTCCCACCTTGCCCAGGCCCACCACCCACTCGTCCTCTGCCACCCATCCCAACCAAGTGAGAGCCTCACTCAAGACACCTACTCTCAACGGCAACGACGCAACGACATCATCGGTAATGGTTCCATCGAACGATCGACACCACCCAGCCGAGGGATCAACCGATTCCAAAACAGTCGCTCGACGACGACCTGCAAGCAAATCCAACACCAATGCTTGACATTGATCGAGCGAGCTCCGCACGGGATCTCGCTTCTGAGCACATCTTCACACGGCACATCTACGGTTTCGAGCAGGACAACTGAGCTGGCCCTGCTCACGAAGCTTTGATTGGCCTCTGTACACTATCTCCACGTTATTCGCAGCCTGTTTGCAAGTGGACAGGCATCCACGGGTTTGACTCCACGAACCACTATACTACGAACGCCCTAATACTATCGCCACGCCGACACCATCCGCCACTTTCGAGCACCTCTTATCAGCATCATCACCACATCATCTCGCAACAACACACCCTCCTCATCACCACCACATCATCGATTTTCCGGGAGCTGCAGGGCGGCATGTACTATTACGCAACCTATGTGGACTGTTTATCAGCGTTATCATGTGGGTCTGGGGCTCGCATTTAATGGCTAGCTACATGATCATGTATTTGTAGCTGCATTTGCATCGAGGCGCAGAGGGTTTATCATGTTTTGTTATATGGGTCTGGGAACAAGGACGATTATACCCCAATGGCTGCAGCACATGAATTGCGCGCCTGATCGTTACTTTTTGGCTGTTTATTTCTCATAATGCACAATCCAAAATGGATGCTCGTCAAATGAGCTCTTTTGACTGTTTGTCACTCTATGAACACTACAACCTTCTCTCTCACATGCCCTCCTCACCACTGCTACCGTATCATTCACCCAGTGACAAGCGTCTTACGCCCGGCTATCAGAGGCCCAAGCAGCACAGCTCTCAGCTCATGTTGGATGCTTGCCATGCTCATCCTTGTATTGTACAACGCATCGTGCAGGCATGATGCTCCCAGCTCCTGCCGCCCCATAGAGAGCTCTCATGCGATCTGCATAACATCTCTCGCGACCTTGCAGATGTTGGCGACGCTCTCTGCACCAATTCATTGGCCGGGCGTTCATTCAGGTCCTGGGGATTTGTTCTCGAAAGGCATCTACTCCGACAAATACTTCGCTCTCGTTCCCACACAGTCAGCAACTTGCCGCTCTTCATACGCTTCGTTGGCATCGACCCCTCGCTCGAGCGGATGGGGTCCTACAATCCTCGGTTTGGAATATAGCAGCCGCTCCACCACATTGTGCATGAGCCTCGCTAAACCCTGGCAAGACATTCACACTTCACGTTTGCAGCTTTGCTCGCTACCAACTCGGTCCCGGCGGGCACTTCATCTGTTTGCAGGCGACCCTACGTCCAACACAATGCGGTGCGTTGGCATCTTCTGCGTGCCTATCTACCACACGTGAGTGAGTATCTGGACCTGGGAAATGTTCGCCTTTGATCGGATGGAAGAAGGCGGCATGTCTGCCTGGCTGGCTGTGCCACGGAAGGACGCGGTACTGTACCTATCGTCCACCTGTCATGCATCTTTCGCCTTGCGTTGTGCTGCGCTGGCACCTGTGTACGAGCTGCCTACAAGGCTACGATTTTGTTGAGGATCGCACACGCCCTTCTGTCATCAAACCTCATTGGCGGTAGGGACGTGCTGATGAGCACATTGATGACAGATATGCTGCCTTCTCATCTATCTCATCGAATCTCCAGCCACAACACTACCATCTGGCATCGACTACCGACCACCTGGCCAGAACCCGAATTATCTCGCACAGTCGCATTCATCAAAACGTTTCTCATGACCGTTTAAAGGTCCCTGCATCCAACCCACCGTTGACTGGTCTCGAAGTCTGCCGGTTGTGGCTAGGGATCGACCTAGCAGTCGGGAAATCGAAAAAATCAAACTTAAGATCAAAGACACGCCCGTTTCACGTCAAGGGTCTTCCCTTTTCCCTCATCAGGAACAAAGTCCAGACCGCACCTCATGGTCCTCCTTTCGTTATGATTGCGAATGGACCTGGATTGAGCAAGATTCACTATTCTTGCTGATTACTATGAAGATGCACCGTCCTCGCCCCTGCACGACACCGCTCCTCGGGATCCACAAGGGCACGCAAAGTAGGAAGGAACTATTATGCAGCATGCAGGACAAAACTCCTCCTATACCGAACGTTAGCAGCAGCTGCTGCCGGAGTTGCATCTTCAATTCCCGGCGACACCACCACCACAAGGTTTGACGCTGTCATGAATCCACCCAGTCATGCTAACGGACGCAGTCTGCAGGTGGTTGATCTGATGAAACTGCGGCTCTGCGGTAAACAGCCCAAAACCTCCGTGAACTCCCACCACACACCCCCAGGACCCTGCATGGAAGTCTATGCTTCGAGAAGAGCCTCATCTCTCAACCAACTCAAAACGCCCTTGACCTGACAGCGCTTGCTTCGGCTCCTGCAATTCAAGCAATGCTATTCTTGAGTCCCGGATGCCGCTGCATGCATGCATGGATATGGGATGTTTCGAAATGCCGGATTTTCGAGGCCAACACCAACGTCTTGATGATGAAACTTGTGGGCTGGTTGCTGGTTATGGCCGTTCTGCAACCCATCGGAGAGGATGGCTGATTGCATGAACAGAGTGCTTCGTCAGCGTTGACTGATGGAGTTGGTCGTCAGCAGAGGATACGACGACTTCGATGCTTTGACGCCCTCGGACCGGGGTCATCGTGGACCTTTGCCCGCTACTGGACTTCATCAAACGTTGACGATTCGACAGCCTTGAGAGATGGCTATGAATCAATGTGCGCACATTCGCCCAGCCGTCATTGCATTGCTCAAAGCCCCAGCAACCCAGTCCGCTTCTACTTACCACCCGACCGAAGACCTACATGTATACGACCATCATCGTCGATCATACGATCGACCTTGAGGATCCCGTGGTCAATTGAAAGAAATCGAAGCTGTCAAAGCGTAAGAAGGATGTCTCGCATGTTTCATTCTACAACAAACCAAGCCAAAACACCAATCTCGTGGTTTCATCATCACTTGTTCTGGCATGATGCTTGTACTCGGAAAGATTGTTAACGAACTGCAATGACCGCATTGTTCCGTCTGCTGGTTTTTATCACACGACTATGCTACGTTACCCAATCCTAGCAGAACCAAGGGAGAACTGGGCGAAAGTAAGCCGAACCAACACGACCAGACCAGGCCAGGCTACCACAAAGTCAAGAGTATTGTTGGACTCTGAAACCAACGACACCAGAACCCTTTGAATATTCCGGAGCATAGCAGGTAATCCTGGTCAATAATCCAAACGAACGGCACCGCCGTCTGCCGGCTCCAGGTACAGCCCGTCTGCAGAGTCAACCAAGCAAGTACCGACAGGAAGGATGGTTCGGAAGTCAGAAGGACGTTATTGCAGAGCCGCACTACTTACTGTGTTGACGTTGGCATGAGTCGTTGGTATTGACTTCTTCGGCTTGGGTTTGTGAGTGCGTGTTGGATATGGAATCATGACCACCGGCGGAAAAGAGAATTTTTAACAATCCCATTGACTTTTTAGATCTGTGATATACTATCCCTAAGAAACTGTCCTTACAAACTCATTTTCTAGAAACACCAGACCCACCCACACCGCCCTCCCACCATCCAAGTCCTCACTTGCCTCGCCGTATCTTCGGCCCACTCCCCCTCTCCCTTCCCCAACCCACAACCCACACAGCACAATCTATATATTCAACCACCACCCCTCCCTCCCTCACCAATAACAATCTCACGTGATCAAATCAAAATCCTGCAGGCGGTTTAGCAAAGTGGTTACTGCGATTGACTAGAAATCAATTCCCTTCGGGGGCGTAGGTTCGAGTCCTACAACCGTCGGATATATCTGATCTGATTGGTCTTGATGAGAGAATGTTCCTTTTTGTTGTTGGTTTCATTGAGGTGAAGGACTTTGTTGTGTGGATCTTTTTGGGAAACAGTCCTGACAGACGGGGTTGGACGGGACATTCTCACGACATCTGGAAGTACAAACCACACGCTTCACAACGTCTTCTTCCTTTTCGAATTCCAAGACAAACTCACGAAAAACTTACAACAACCCACGGACAATCACATACCGGCAATCAATCAAAACCACAGCCGGAAAATCTGAGATTGGGTATCATCTATAGAGCGTTACGCAGAGAGTATCGAAGACGACCAGGATGACCAAAAAAGCAGCATCTTCCCCAATCTAACATTCTTCCATTTCCGTCGACAGCAATCAATCGTGTCGCCAAAAAAGTCGTACCACAACCAATAACGCCACCTTTGCGAGGCGAGTAGAATTTGCCAAGAAACGACATCGATATTTTCCTGCCCCCTTGTCGGTGGGGATGAGGTCAAAGAGCACACACACACAGCTTTTCTTTTCTTTCTATTTCTCGGGCCCGTTTAGCAAGCCAGTCCGTGTCCACAAGTCGGCTGCTTGGTGATGACTGCCGAGTGCCGACCGGGTTCAAATCTCCGAAAAGATATTGCAAAGATGCTGGTCGACGGCGGTTCCGAATTGTGCATTGATGTTGATTGAATGGGGCCGAAAAGCGAAGACGACGATGCCGACGGACGAGAATCGGGGTTGCTGGTGGAGTGGAAAGATAACACTTGTCGAGAATAATCAGGGCTGTTGTTCTCCAGGGAGGCAATGCAGTTGGTAGTGTCGCTTTACTGTACTGTCATCAGACGGTCGTTCCTGCCTTGGATGATATTGCTTTTCCAATATAGCCACCCACGCCTTCTCTGTTATAGCAACCTATGCGCCATGTCGGTCGGGGTAGATGATGGTAGTTCCCTTGGCGAGGGACTCATGTCGAGGGAGGGTAGGCAGGCTGGTCATGACACGAGGATGCAGCTCAGAGGCACGAGGTTCCACAGGGCCGGCGAAGGCAGGCGAGCCTGGAGGCACTGATGGCGACGTGGCGTCCGAAGCCCTAGGACTTCTTGTGTTGGGTGGTGAAGCGATTGGGTGGTCATCGCGAGAGGGTGACGATGAGACTGGTGGGGTTTCATGCGAAGACGAGAAGACAGAGGGCGTATCGTCGCGGGGAGGCAGAGTTGGTGAAGTCCGTCCCTAACTGGTCGACCCAGTCTTGCCTGCGGGAGATTCGTGCCTATGTCCGCCGGTGAAGGTGTGTCGGTGAGACTTCTTCTTATCCTTCTCTTCCTTCTTCTCACGCTTCGCTGTAGCTTCGGCCATGAGCTGTTCAAAAGCCATGTAGTCACCCTCATCGTCAGGATCGCGTTCAGCCTGGAAACATTGTTAGCACTGCACCAAATCTATAACGTAGAAGAGTTATTACCTTTGCGAACATCTCGCCAACAATCAACAGCGCCTGGGCACGCTCAATGCGCTTCTCCGGCTTGACTCTCTTGTCGTACAGGACCTTATCGCAGACGTCACGGAGTACGCCAGAGATCTCGAACCGGCTTCCCCTCCATGCAGCGGCAAGAATCTTGCCCGTCACACGCTTCTCGAATTCAGCCTTCTTCTCGTCGGTCCAGTCCTCGCCGCCCTTCTCCTCAGCACGTGCCATCTCCTCAATCTCCATCTGAGCTGAGATGGCCGAAGAGACAGTGCCCCAGGTGTCCTTCACCATAGTGCTCTTGTCCTTCAGCCTGCTGAAGAATCCACTCACACCTCCTATGAGTGGCTTCTGGGACTTGAGGAACGTGGTCGCCTTGCTGACGTAGATTTGTCCGATGGCGTGGAGGATTTCGATACCGAAAGACTCCATCTTCAGGTTCTCCACTTCCAGCCTCATCTTCTCCTTGAATGCCTCGGTCACATCCTTGCCCTTGTCGGTCTCGGTCCAGACGCTGATTCTATCAACGAGCTTCCTACTAAGCATGTCGACCCGCTCGTCACGAATCTTCTTGCGCTCCAGCTCAAAGGCAGCCAACTCCTCGCGTTGTTCTTTGGTGAGACCGCCCTTCTTCTTCTCCTTCTCCCGCAGCTCTTTCTCCTCCTTTGTCATTCCTGCAGCCGTTGCAGCAGCGTCTTCCTCGGTCTTGTCTGTTATGGCCAACCGAGTAGGGATACCTTGCGGGCGAGGGGTAGAAGTACCAGATGGAGCTGGAGAGACACCGGCAGGCTTGGAGTCACGAATAGGTATCTCTTGGGTTGCACCGGCAGTTGCGGGCTGATCTGGTGCGGCTTCGGCGTGAGGTCGCGGTGGCATTGGGGGTGGTGCTGCAGCAGTCGCTGGGGTAGTACCGCTCGTCGTCTCCTTCTCAGCGGCTGCCTCGGTGCTCGCGGCGACATCTGCAGTAGCACCCTGACCGTCTTCATCCATCTCTCTCATAGAGATTTCCATGCTCTTGGTGAGATCCTTCATCATGGAAATCTCACCGATCCAGTCGTGGAAGGCCTCACCGCCGAAGATCATGGTAAAAAACTCGGCAGGGTCTTCGAAGCCAGAATCAGGCTTCGCGCCTTCCTTGCCCAGGGTGTCATACTGTTTTCGAAGTTCTGGTTCACTCAGGACTTGGTATGCTTCTCCGACAGCTTGGAACTTCTCGGATGCGGTGGGATCGTCTGGGTTCTTGTCTGCCAGGTGTTAGCTGCTGAATATGGCGGTGTGGTATGAAGCATCGCACCTGGGTGCAGCTTGATGGCAAGCTTTCGGTATGCCTTCTTGATCTCTATCTCAGTAGCATCGGGCTTGACGCCCAAGGCGTCGTAGTAAGCGGTATCTACCACCATGATGGCTGCCTGTGATGGATGCGCTCAGGGCGGTCGCGGATGTGTGGAGTGATGGAAGGGCGGTGAGGATGCGGGTGATATAAAGGAATGTCCGCCTGGCCGATGGCAGTGACGGGTGAGAGTGGGAGTGATGAGGGTGGCGGAGTGGTTGCGTGTGCTGGAGGTGGCAGATTGCGGTGCTCGTTCGTCGGCAGAGGGAGGTCCAAGCCAGCAGGGACTTCTCGGCGAATGACGTCTCTTCTGACAGCTGAACTCTATGCGCTGCTCTGCTCCATTCACATGTGATGGCTGCGTTCACTCCTACTCGTTGGCGCTCTATACACTGCTACTTGCTACGGTCTTTGTGCATTTGCTCTGGTGACATAGTGCTACTGTCTTCATCATTCTTGTCGGATGTACAGATCTAGTCGGCAGGCACTTGACCGCGTCTTGACCATTGGCTACCAAACGAGATAGAGCATACATAGCTCTGCAGTGCAAAGCGTCTTACACAACATCTCGCTGTATTTACATCATTCTCTCGCTTCATCTCGGAAAAGAAAACGCGTGCTCCGCCCACGAGCGCATCTCCAACCCCATCGGCAGCCCCGCCAACTCCCGAGCGCGGCAGCCCTGAAATCGATGCGGCTCTGCGCAAACAATCCCTGCCTCGTCTCTTCGTCAACGACATCGGCCACTCGGGCAAGCTGGGCTGGGCAATCTTTCACTCACATTAGCCTCTCTCCAATGCCTCTCAACGTCTGATTCTCCGGTCCAGGATGCAGATATGGAGCCACGTTCGTTCCCGATGCCTTCGCTCTCCGCTACATTCATCTATACACATTAGACTTTCAACGGGCCCTCGGTTTGCTCCCGTTAATACGACGTCACGACCTGTACAGCTACTGCAATCGACTTTCTTTTCGACTACCAGGACCGTCATGGCTGCTTTGCAACGGTCGGCCTTTTTCGACGCTATCCAGCAGCATGACCCGGAGAGCACGACCGTGGTGCATTCACTGTCGGGACGCTCGTTCAAGTTTGGAGGTCTATTACAGGATGTCGCGAAATCCAAGGACAATCTGTTAAAGGCCACGGGCAAGACAGAAGACCAGCTTGCTGGTGAGAGGATTGCTTTTGTGGTGGAGAATAGCTACGACTATGTAGGTGCGCAGCGGACCCAATCTTCTCATTTCAATGCACTTGAACGTTTGAGGTTCATGGACTGACACGTTCTGAACCCAGTCACACTCCTCGCCTGCCTTGCATCCAACACCATAGCCGTGCCCCTCGCTCCTTCCTTCCCGGCGTCAGAATTGAGATACATTCTGAACCACAGCCAGGCCTTGGCTCTCCTTCACTCTTCCACGTTCGCCAAGGTCGCTCAAGAGGTGTTGAAAGATGGCCTGGACCAGCAACCTATCAGCGTTGCCCTGGAAAAGATTAAGGAACAAAAGGGACAATCATCCAGTCCAGTTGAGCTCAAAGGCGAATCAAATGCTGCAGAGGGTGGGATGATGCTATACACTTCGGGCACCACGGCACGACCGAAAGGCGTCCTCTTACCGCAGCCTGTGCTCATAGCACAATGTCGTAGCCTGATACAGGCTTGGAATTATACATCAAAGGACCGACTGTTACATGTGCTGCCCTTGCATCACATCCACGGCACGGTCAACGCTCTCCTGGCGCCTGTTTTAGCCGGCAGTACGATCGAATTCATGTTCCCGTTCAACGTCGATGCGGTTTGGAAGAGGCTAGCAGCTCCATTCATCGCGAGCTCTAATGAGCACAAACCTCCGATCACGTTCTTCACAGTGGTCCCCACAATCTGGTCGAGAATGCTACAGTCATGGTCAGATTTGCCGGACGACCTGAAGGAGGCCGCGGGAGAAGCCATTCAGAGGAAGAATCTTCGGCTCAGCATTTCCGGCTCAGCAGCTCTGCCTACGCCCACCAAGAAGGCATGGACCGACTTGTCGAAAGGCAACGTGCTTCTGGAGCGGTTTGGCATGACAGAAGTTGGCATGGCCCTGTCCTGTGGGTTGGACGATATAGACCGCATCGATGGCTCCGTGGGCTGGCCTTTACCCTCGGTGGAAGCACGGCTGGTAGATCCAGATACTCAGGAGATCATCAAGCCTGGCGAAGAGACTACGTCCGAAGGCAAGGAGCGCTCTGGAGAAATTCAGTTGCGCGGACCGACCATCTTCAAAGGCTACTGGCGGAATCCAGAAGCCACGAAGAAAGAGTTTACCGAAGACGGATGGTTCAAGACGGGTGATATCGCAGTGCGGAAGCCTGTCCATGGAGCAGGTGAGGGCAAGAGTGGAGAGTGGGCGACAGGGCCGGCATATTTCATCCACGGCCGAAAGAGCGCGGACATCATCAAGACCGGGGGCGAGAAGGTATCTGCGCTGGAGATTGAACGCGAGCTCCTTTCTCTCCCTCAAGTCAAGGAATGCGCAGTGGTGGGCCTACCATCCGAAGCATGGGGCCAAAAGGCCGCAGCCATCATTGTCTTGACCGAGCAAGGGAAGACCGCCGGCCGAGGCGGCAAAGAGTGGAGTGCGTTGGACATGAGGCGTGCGTTGAAGGACAAGATGGTGGCGTACAAGATTCCACAGGATATGAAGATTGTGGACGAACTACCAAGGAACGCGATGGGGAAGATCAACAAGAAGGATCTTGTGCAGAAGGTGTTCGGGGATCTTGTTGCGATTAGGAGGAGGAGTATTGCGGCGGCAGAGGAGAGGGCGCAAGCCAAGGCTAAGGAGGCGGCGGAGCAGGCGAAGGGCGGTGCCAATGGGCATGCTTGAGGTGCCGCGAAAGTTGAACGGTAGATTCCGCAATTCAAAGCAATGTTCAAACAAACCCCAATTCGACGGAATACGGTCTCGCATATCGATCCCGGAAAAGCCTTCATCCCTTCAAGTCACGCAGCTCCGACCCCTTCGTACGACCTCCACCTGAGCCGACAACCACAGCCGTGCCCCTCGGAGTTCACGATACGTCTGCTCACCACACGATCCATCACATGATATCGAAAACCGGCTTCACACTTCGGATGACACAGAGGCAAAGAAAAAATCTGTTCGAGCCTCTCTATTCCGATCTCGCAAAGAAAGGCCCACCCACCCTTCATGAACCGAGCAGAGTTTGAACAGCTTCAACTTTAAGTTGACTTCGTTCTTCTTCTTTGAAAATAAGGTACTCGTTTGATTTGTTTGAAAAAAAGACCTTGTTGCATTCCTTTCCCCTTTGGAAGTCCTGTTGAACGCTATGGAATGAATAGAGGAAATTATAACGGCTAGGCTAGGAGCTCGCCACACCAGCCTGTTCCTTCTCAGTCGGCACGACCTTCTCCCCAGGGGGCGAATCAGGAGGAAGAGGGGAAGACGGTTTCGCCTTCCTCCACAGCTGGCCGCGCCATTGCACGATAACAACGGGGACGATACTGACGACGAAGACGATTCCAGCCATCAACCCGCCACTGCCTGAACCCCCCAGCGAAGACAGCATATCCGGGAACCAGAAAGGTCCGATGAAACCCCAGGTACTCCTCACGACGTTGACGAAGACGCCAATACTCGCGCTCTGCTCGATGTGCGAGTCGATGCAGTATGTCACGATGACCGTCGTCACGATCTGGTTCCCCACCGCGGCGATCGCGACGCCGATGATGGGCGTCACGTTCCAATGCCCCTGGGCGGCTTGCTGGTATCGCACTCCGAAGACGATGACACCGACCATGACGAGCACGAAGCCGCCGTAGCTCAGCCAGAGACGATACTCGGGGGGTGGAGCGCGGTTTAGAGCTTTGGCGCGACGATTGACGAAGTAATCCGATAGTCGACCGCCGATTTGCTCGCCGATGATGCTGCCGATGATGATGCCTAGGAACTGCAGGCCGATCTCCTGGGCGTTGAACCCGAACTTCGGCACGAACAGCTGCGGGATCTCGACGGTCATGAGCACGCTCGCGAAGCCGAAGACGATCGTGTAGGCGACCGTGGGGATCCAGATCGTGGCGTACTTGAACAGGGCCAGGGGTTGGATGAACTCGTACAGCCGGAGGGGGTTGGGGTCGATGCGGCGGAGTTGGAGGTATTCTTGCTTGAATGCGGAGCCTCTGTGCTCGACGCCTCGCCGGATGTACCGCGTCTCCGGCCCGAGGAAGATGTAGGCGATGAACTGGCAGCCGTTGATGATGGCGAGGACCCAGTAGATCCAGCGGTAGTTGCCTGTCTGGTAGCCGACGAAACCCATGAAGAATGGGCCGCAGGGAGGGCCTGTCGAAGAGATCAGTTTGAAAGCGCGGTAAGTCAAAGAAAATGGGCATCTCACCTAACGTCACCAACAGCGTCCACACCCCCATGAACTGGGCTCGTTGCCGTTTGAAATACGTCTCGGTCACCACGCCGCTCCCGATGGCGGCTGCTGGAGATAAGAAGAACGAGCAAAACGCCCGACACACCCCCATCGCCCCGTAGCTGTTCGAAAGCGCACAGCCAACATTGAAAAGCAACGCCCCGAGCGTGCTGATCAACCACACCGGCCGCCGTCCATATCGATTCGCAATCGGTTTCCAGAACAAAGGCGCCCATCCAAGGACCGCGATTTGCAAGGACGTGAGGTAACTCGCTCGGGTTATGGATGTCCCCAGGTCCTCGGCGATGTTCTCGTAGACGGGGATTATGGCCGCGGCGGTGAAGGTCGTCATCATCGCGTGGAAGGCTACGAGGATGAGATTGGCCATTTTCTTCCACGATGGCCAGTTATAAGGATCTGCTGGATCGTCTGATGGAATGGGGTCCAGATCGAGTGTGCCGTGCCGCTGGATGAGGTAGTCGCGATGGGCTTGCGGGAGAGTCGCAGCTGCGCCGACGGAGATGTTCGTCAAGCGATGGCCGATCTCGACGTCTTCACTGCCGCTGTCGTGGATGACATCCTTCGGTGCTGAGAGGTTTTCGCCTTTTCCCGAGGCGTCCGTGTGGACTGCGAAGTCCTGTCTTCCGGTCGTTTGGTCTGCCATCGTTTCACACTGGTGCAGGTAGGTCAAAGGGAACAGAAAACAAGATCACGGCGGTAAGGTGTCTGGGCGAAGAAGTTCTTTTCTTCAAGAGCTCGCTGCTCGTTTCAACGCAGCATCATCTTATCAACCTCTCAATGCAGCAAAAAAGCCAAGGCAATAGATCCGCCCTCTCTCGCTCCTCAACAATGGTTGAGAACGAAGATAAGGCAGCAAACAGAGCAAGAGTCAAGTCCAAAAGAGAAAGTGGAACCACACGATTCCCTGTCAAAAGGGAAACGAAAAAAAGTCGTCGCCTGTATAAATAGACAGTCCTGCAGAGAGTGCGAAACAAGGAAAAAGGGCGCAGAGACGACATCCGCCGGTCTTTCACTCACTTTGTAACCTCCGCGCATGAGTGGCAGATAGAATCGAAATACCCCTCAATAAAACATGGAGAAAAGTAATAGTGAGGGAACAACAAGCTGCGAATCCTCCACATCGTTCACCTCTCCACACTGGGGCAGATGATTCTGCCCTTCCCATCATCCTCACACCCATTTCGACTGCCGTCCTCCATCGCCGAAGTCTCACTCACTCACACACAAACCTTCTTCGCTGGGTCGTCCGAGAGTGGGTCGTGCGCGTTTTCGCTTCGAAATGTGCAGAAAGGGTGATGTGATGTGGTCCCCCGAATTGATAGCCGCAGACAAGGCTAGCAAAGCACTGCGTGGACCGCAGCCAAGCCTTGTGATTCGTGTGCTTGGTCGTCGATCGCTGCCGAAGTGTTCCACGCGAGACGCACGTTCGGCCGAAGGATTGTTGGTTGGACGGAGGTAAGAGCGGTTTTTTGGGTTTTGATTGAGGATTTCGTTTGGGTGTTCGTGGTGGTTTGTCCCGACTTGATTGATGGTGAGGGGGAGATAGGACGCGCAAGTGAAACGGTTCGCGGAATTATAGCAGCACGTTCTGTTCTTTGGGATGGGATGGATGGGTGCTGATAAATCTGTGGAAGGATTTCACGTACCTTCACTACTGAGATAGCATGACGATCTGAACAGAGAAGGTGTACTTTGTACCTCCTCCTCCGTTGTACACTGCCGAAAGCCACCACCTTTGCAAACAGGATCCGTCTCACCCTGCAGGCGACACAACACAAGCACTCCAGTGGCGCTACTCAAGCTTTCCTACGCTGCGAAATGCGCACCTCCAAGCCAGACTGCACGACGAAGAAGGTCGAGTGGTACTGGAGCTCCTCGTCCGGCCGCAACAACTGCATTTCGTAATCGCGGAATAGCAGCGGCAGTGTCTTGTTCATTTCTAGCAAAGCCAGATTCTTACCGATGCACAGATGTGCGCCGCCGCCAAACTGGAATACTACATTAGCAAGAGCTGAGAAAAAGCGTACGAAGTTACCTACTTGGAACATGAACCTCTCCATCATTTTCGCATCGCCTTCGAGCCAGCGTTCAGGTCGGAAAGTTTCTGGATCGTGGCCAAAAATCTCCTTGTCACGATGCAGGACCCAGCCATTCAGTGCGATTCGGGTGCCTCCTGGGAAGAATTGACCCCCAATCTCTGCGCCCGCTGATGGCACGAGTCGACAGATGTTGAGACCGACCGCTGGTCTGAGGCGCATGGCTTCTTTCAGACAAGCTTGGAAGTATGGCAGGGACTGCGCTTCGCTCCATTGGGGCATCTCTGATAGTTTGCCGGATGCTGTCGCCTCGTCGAGCTCTCGCTTGAGGTTGGCGTATATGGCCGGATCTCGCAGGACGTGGTAGCTGAAGCTCTGCATTGTCGATGCGGTAGAGTCTGACCCAGCCATACTTTCCTTCAATCAGTAAGGTCTTTCCCAAATCGTCATCTTCTGCTTACATTGCGCCGTGTGCTACAGCGAAGATATCGCCTTCTTTGAAGGCATCAGGAGCCTTGGCATGGGCATCAAACAGTTGCGAGAGCAAGTCTTTCCTTTCCTGTGGTTTGCCGAACCTCTTACGTTTATCCATCTCTTCAACGGCCATCCGCGTGATCAAGAAGTTGCCAGCTCTGAGCCAAGGAACGAACTTCCAGAGAGGGTTCCGGCGGAAGACATAATCCCATTCTGGAATTTGGCCTACTATCCCGTCATACCACTGCACATCGTCGATGGTCTTGATGGCACCCTCGACATCGAAGCCAGCTTCCAGGAATCCAAACTTCCGCGAGAACGCTACTTCTCCAAGGACATCAAAGGCAAAGTAGTGGAGGTAGTTACCCAGATTGCAGTACTGATCTTGAGCCTTGCACATCCTGTCGAGCTTGCTCATGAGGAGTCGCTGCGTGTCCTCAATGAACAAAGCCATGGTATGCATTGTCGCCATGCTGTACGGATGGGATGCATGCCGCTTCTTGATCGCATGGACGTCCTCACGGATTTCAGTAAAGATATCTGGATTCTCTGGCGGCGGGAACACCCAGTAAAAGTCTGTCTTGTGGAAGCCTTTGCCTGCTGCTAGGACTTCTCGCGCGGCTGTCGGAGACGCCAGTGATACTTCGTCAGGGGCGATGCGTACGATCGGACCTGGAATGTCAGCTTTGCCTTGAGACGTCTGACGCACTCACCATATCTTTCGTGGATTCGGATGTGGTCCATCTCAGTGTGACCTGCCCAGGTACTCCATACTGGGCCAATGTCAGTCGGAGAATCATAGCGAACGTTCAGCGATACTTGCCTTTCCATGCTCTGCTTCCGGACGCCAACAAGGGCCCAGGGTATTTTCTCAACGGAGAGACGTATCGGTAGTAGGCAAACCTGACAAGCAGCACCAAAGGGACTACAAAGACCCAATACGCTCCTATGGCCTTCAGGAGTGCCAACACTGTAGACTCACGCTCTTCCGCATGTAGGACTGCCATGGTTGAGATTGCTATCAAGGCGAAGGCTCTGACTTGAGGGCAAGTAAGAAGTAAGAAGTACTTCGCGCTTCGAATCGGTCTCTTGAAACCCTGCTCAATATCACCGAAGCCCTGTGAACTCATTGACGACCCGTCCCGCGATGAGAATCGTCAGCCACGGCAGTTGGTCATCTTCGCTAAAGCGCGAGAAACTTCCCACGTTTGGAACGACTGTACTGGTATGCCCAGCGCTCTCGTGTCGTAAGCAGGCTCTCGTGTCGTAAGCAGGCTGTCGTCTCGATTTAGCGCCAGTTCCAGTCCTAAAATGTTTCGGCAGTTGAGCTGGCCACATCTCCAGGCTTGACCCTTGGCTGTTGCGGAGAAGATTGTGGGGAGGAATGGGCGTGATCAGTTAAAACGTCGTGTTTGGCGTCATGATAACAGCTGCGCTCCACTCGTCAAATGCGACTGTTGCCGTTGTGTTGTTTTGGAGAGAAGAAGGGCCGGGTGAGGAGGATCCCGCGAGATGGAGAGTAACTCGGTGAATTTAATGGTGTTTTCTTTGCTCAGCATGACTAGGTCCACGTCACCTCACTTCTCATGTCGTGTACTAGTGACTGGGACTTCTTGAGGCCCTGTATCCTCGACTCAAAGACAGTCTCGACCCCGTTGGGTAGTCCATCACCGGAGAGATACTTTGTCGGGACTGGAAATGTTCGGTGAAAGTCAGCTGACACAGGTCACTTTGAAGTGTGTACGCTGTATCTATCTTGCCGTCAGTCCATGAAATCGGGAAGCTGGAGTTTACGACGGCACATAGCATGAGGGTATGTATTGTTGTTGTTGTTGATGTTGTTGCCATATTCAAGGAGCGAGAGTTTTGGGAAATCGCGGACCCAAAATAGAGTTTGCACTAGCTCTGGCGGGTCGGAGCACGTGGCATGCGCCTGTGCACAATCTGCATCGTCTTCTAATCTCTCTTTCACCTCTTTCATTCCATCTTCTACACCATTTTTAGCTTCCATTACTAGATGGCGGAATATCGCTTGCCAAAGAACATCCAGTTATCAAGCTAATAGCATCACTAGGCCACGAGAGCTCCTTCCGTCCGCAGAATCATGTCTCCTGACTTCTGACACTGCTTGTGCGACTCGACTTCCCGTAAGGTTGAACACAGAAGACGAAACTCAATTGCAGCCTCAGGGAATGGAGACCCAAATGTCTGCACGCCTCACGCGGCCAAGCCTCAGATCTGCACCTGCTGGATGACGACCCCGCGCGAGTCTGTTGGTGGGGGGCACCTCAGCTTCCGAGGGTAGTCATGTTTAACATAGAGAATGAGAGGCTTGCCAATGTAACAGACGCTTTCCTGACTCTCGCCCTTCTCCAATCTGCTTCTGTGCCCCGACGTCAATACTCCGAAGATCTTTGCTCAACATGGCGCCTTTCAAACTTCAACAACCTAAGAACAGAGAGCTTCTGGGTGGTGATCTGGCGGCTCAAGCATTGAAGAATCTAGGCGTCGATGTCGCATTTGGTCTCCATGGTGGCCACTTGGATGCTTTCCTGGTTGGTGCTCATGATGCGGGTATCAAACTAATCGACACTCGGCACGAGACGACAGCCGTACAAGCTGCAGAAGGATACGCCAAAGTTTCTGGGAAGACCGGAGTGTGCTTCGTTACTGCAAACAGCGGGTATGATCATTGTTAGACGTCTCGAAATTTAGCTGCACTGCTAACGATCTACAGCTTCTGCAACGGCCTTCCGGGTCTTGCCACGGCGTTTGCGGACCGATCACCCATCTTCTGCGTCACCTCTAGTCCACCACTCCAAGATGCCGAGACGAATGCACTGCAGGGCTTCCACGACCAAGTTGTCCTGGCCAAGCCGATCACGAAGTTTGCCCATCGTGTGACAAACGTCGAAGAGATTCCTAGAATCGTAGCGTTCGCTTTTCGAGCGGCAAGTACTGGTATCAAAGGCCCAGTCTTGATCGATTTCCCCATCGACGTCCTCTTCTCGCCTCCACAGCTACATCGCGTAGCCTTCGGTGCTGTCGACGTCCCTCCAGTAGATCCGCCGGCTCCAAACCCTGCAGCACTTGATCGGCTGTTGGAGGCATGGAAAGGGGCCAAGCGACCTGTCATCATCCATGGCACTGGTGTTCGAGGCATCGACAATACACTTACCAAACTGGTTGAGGTAACTCACTCTCCTGTCTTCTATTCGAACAAATTGAGCACACCGATCGCCGCAGATCATGAGCTCCGAGGCGGTCCTGCTGGTGGTCTGGCAGCCTTAGCAGGGAAGGAACAGGCCGACTTTGTGTTACTGCTCGGTGGTCGAACTGGATTCCTGCTCGGCGGACGAAGTGGAGCCATCATTCCCAACAATGCTACAATTGCTCAGGTCGACCTTGATGGAGCGGAGATAGGAAAGACCCATGCTGTTAACATCGGCATTGTTGCAGATGCTAGCTTATTCTGCGAACAAGCTGCAGCAAAAGCATCTGAGGCTTCATTCAACCGAAATGAAGAATGGGTCAAGAAATGTCGCAAACTGTGTACTGATCCGCTGCCATTTGAGAACGAGCCCAAGATGCAGAAGGACGGTCAGATCCACCCGTATCATGCCATGGCAAGTGTCATGAGGTCTCTCCCGCGAAATGCCATAATCATGATTGACGGAGGCGAGGCTGGACAATGGGCATCAATGTCTGCTGAACTGGCTGGAGCAAAGCATGTCATCACACCACCAGGCTATCTTGGCTTCCTTGGAAATGGATGGGGCTATTCGATTGGTGCAGCTGTTGCTGATCCTAACCGATTGATTGTAAACATGCACGGCGATGGCAGTGCAGGCTTCCACATTCAGGAGTTGGACACCTTTGCACGTTTCGGCCTGAATATCTTGACTATCATTGCAAACAACTACGTCTGGGGCATGAGCGTGAATGGTCAAGACCTCATCTATGAAGGCAAAACCGACGCACGACCTGCAATTCAGTTGAGCAAGAGCTGTGCGTATGAGGTCGTGGCACAAGGGTTCAACTGCAAATCCGCCAAGGTTACCGAGTACGACCAGATCAAGCCTACCGTCGAAGAGCTGTCAAAGTCTGGCCCTTCGCTCATCAACATGATCGTTTCTGTTAAGCCTACCTCTCCTGCAACCCTTGGTAAGTATCGCGCACCGCTGAATATCGTCAATCTGACTGTACTAACTCAACGCACAGGTATGGTTGGCGCCACGAACGATCCCAACGTGATAGTGGTGCCGTACTACGACAACGTACCAAGACCTTACTACAAGAACGCAGAGAACGGCCAGGCTAACGGACACTCTTGAAACTCGTTATCCTCGAGAGCCTCAGCACGGGCATGTGCAAACGCGCTAACGCGCTAGCGGGGATTGTCGAGTGGTCCGTGCGCAAGCTCGCCGAGTACAATCCGACAATAGCCAATGGCGCTCTATTGTTCTCAATGACACATCTATGTTTAAAGGTTCTGCTTTCCTCTCATCCTGTCCTCAACACCAACATCACCTTGTCTTGGCCTCTCTCTCCAAAAGTCAAAATCGACCACAGCAGCACTTTTGCTCCATCATCCGCAGATTCTCATGACACACCAAGCAAACATGTCAAACAACGACGCCACATTCGAAGGCTTACCTCCTGAGATCCGAGAGATGATCTACGAGTACGCTTTTACCGCTTTCAACGCCGACTGCACCGCCCTGCCGATCGACATCCTCACCTACCGTCGTGCGGTCCCAAACAGCGGCTCCCTGCGCTCGACCAACAAGCCCATCTTCAACAAGAGTCGACGTGCGTACCTCAAAGCTCGCGCAGATCTCGCTGCCGAGCGCAAGCAAGTTCTCGCCGACATGGTTCGGAACTGGGAGGTTCTTCTCTCCAAGCGCGACGACCTCAACCGACCGCACGACTGGAAGGATTTCCACCAGATCGATACGCTCGTCAAGAACCTCAAGTCCGGAAATTCCACCTGCAAGAACCACAAGTGCGCCATCGACAACTGCTACATGTGCGAGAACCCAGAGCACCAGACCTGCTTCGACTGCGGCCGCAACGCTGCCACAGCGCTGTACGGCTACCTTCTCAACCACCTCTGCCCTCACGTCTACCGCAAACAGGCGCCCGAGCTGGTGATCCCAAACAGCGACGGCAAGATCTCCGACCATCCCCTCGCCAAGCTCATCGACTCTCTCCCGCGCAAGCACACCAGCCGCACCGTGGTCCACCCAACCACTGGGGTGAACATGAGCGTACAGTCGTGGGCCTTCTCATACTGGTACCGCCAACTACACCTCCAACGCGGCCAAGACATCCGCTGCTGCATCAGAACGCGCGCACACACTCGCGTCTTCGAGATGTTCGGCAACATCGGGTGTGATGCCGACGACAAGGTCCTCAGGGCGAATTTCGAGGAGAGCGATCCCATGATGGCGGTTTACGACGAGGCTAGGAAGATGCTCGATTACTGCGGAGGCACCAAGATTGAGTGTGAGTCTGAGTATTTGAAGCGAATTAACGAGTGGATCGAGTATCGCGATGGACCGGAGTTCATGCGCAAGGGCGCCGTGGCGAGACCGCTGCGGGAGGGCTAGGTACCTTGAGGTGCACATTTGGATTGGTCTCTCTGTCTGCTTCGTCGAGCATGGCGTCGATGTTGCTGTCTATGGCATGGTCTGCTGGAGAGCGTGGGGGATCACGTTCAGTAGCAGCACGTACGTCCTTTTGGCGCAAAGGCTATCGCTCAATGAAACATCTGCCAATTTCTCAGTATCCTCGTTTCCCACTGATCAACTGCCGTCCTTGTAGCTGTTGTAAGTACATACGAATCTTCTCCGCCATCCTTATCCGTACATACACGACATCCAGACAACTTGAAATCTGGATGTGAGGCGTGGTGAGACAAGTCGATACGGGGATACATATAAGAACGCATTTCGTGAGCGGAGCCGCTCTTGGACGACACCATGACCTCGCTCTCGCCCCTGTCCCTTCAACATCTGCATAGCCACCTCTCAATCAACATCACTCTAATCTCACCCCTTGACCACTACTCCTCCGCTCCATCCCTTCCCCCCTTCCATCCCCTTCCCCTCAACATCCTCCCTTCCCCCCTCCATCCCTTTCCCCTCAGCATCCTCCCTCCCCCTCCCTTCCCCTTTCCCTTCCCCTTTCCCTTCCCCTTTCCCTTCCACACCTCCCACCTCTCCCCTCTCACAACCCTCTCACCCTCCGTCTACTGACTCCCCCCAACAACACTCCCATCAGGCATAACAGCAATCGAATCCACCTCCCACAAAACCGGCGCATTCGGAGCCGTCGGGTCCCAGAACCCATCCTGACGAGGACGAAGGGCCACCGCGCGAGGGTACAGCATGGGCATTGCGGCGACGGTGCTGCTCAAGAGGGCGGTGGCCAGGAGGGTGAGGAGGGTGGTGGGTTGCATTTTTGCGTGGTCGTGGTTTGGGTTGGAAGGAGTGGATTTGTGTTGGTGTTGGTGTGGGTTTATTGGTGTTGATGTTGATGTTGTTTTGTTGGTCGACTTGGAAAAGGAGCGAATAGCTTAGAATGTCAGCTCTGTGTGTTGATGGTAAGTAAGTAAGTAAACGGTAGGCCTTTCAAGTCCTTTTATCATCCTCCTTCAAGACGACTGAAACATCCCGATCCATCAACCCATTTGACGGAACCTCATTCCTCATTTCACACCTCGTCGATCAAACAGGTCCCCCATCTCGAAATAACATCAGTGAGAAGCATCTCCCTCACCTTCACCCAAGAGTCCAAGCATCGTCCATGGTGACAGTGCTTCCCGAAACGCCACGAACGAGCAGCGGCTCAGTTCTCAAGACTTGCATTAAAGCAGCGAGGAGGATCATCGACCAGCTACATCGTGTCTTGTGTTGGCTGCATCATCCATATCTCTTGTTTCGAATCCATCTGTGGTTCTTCAATCGAGGCAACTCCACGCTCTTCCACGTGTCGCAGGAGGACGGGGAAGACCCCTGTGCAGAACAGGTACGAACGGCAGACAGGCTTGTCATCGTTCGTTTGATGGAAACTGACAGGCTGTTTGGGAGACCAGAGAAATGGGTAGGATGATCGTCATTGTTATGAGTACATGTATCTAATGTCCCGCAATTTCGAACGTCGTCTTGTGTCTGGGATCGAGCAAAGAGCAACGCAAGCATTCTCTCTCCCTTCACGTCAGCAAAACATTACCACGCCCATCATTCATTCAGTCATGCCAGTAGCGAAACCCACCCAGCCAGCCATAGCACATTCGTGTCTGCATCACTCGCATTCAAAGACCTCATCCGCATCAGTCCAGCCAAAAGCATGCTTCAACCTCGCACCCAGCGTCCTAACCATCGGCCTCGGAATCTTCGCACCTCTCCTCACCTCCTTCGGCTCGTGAAACTGAATGCTTCGATCGAGCTTGACCTTGCCGGGTCCTTGCTCAGCCTTGGGCAAGGGCTTGAAGATCCACACGCTGCCGTAGAGCTTCTCTGGCTCTAGGCCGACCGCATCCATCGCCCAGAGCAGCTCCTCCCAAGCAATCTCGCAGCGTTGTTGCACGACTTGCTTGGCTGATGGCATAAGTGCTTGGAACACTTTGAAAGCCTTCTTGGGGATCTTGACTCTCTCAATAGGTGGCTCGGCGACGTTGTTGTTCGCTTCGGTGGGCGGAGGCTGGCGACGAGGATCTGGAGCAGCGGGCTTACCGCGTGTCTTCACCTTTTCCTTAGTGGGCGTTGCGAGGACACCTTTAGGGGATGGCGTCAATCTCTCCGAAGAGTTCAGAAGATTTGGATCGATGTCGGCGAGAGGCTTTTGCGGCGTAGCCTGTGGTGTAGGCAGCTGGATTGGCTCCTTGTATGCCGGCGTTCTGTGCAGCTCACGCGGAGGTGAGGTCTGTTCTTCCAGGATCTCGTTCAGGTCGATGCCGTTGTAGTCAGTCAGAGCAACCTCCAGGGACCACCAGAACATGTCGAGGTTCTGCTCCGCCTTGATCATTTGATCCACATTTGCCTTGTTGTAGCGCTTGTCGACAGGATAGTCGAATTCTTGCTTCTTGAGTGGATTCCAAAGGAGCTCTGACGTCTTGCACACACCCTTGATGCCATCCATCAGCTTATGTGTTAGAAATCGAACCTCTTCCACTTGGTTCGAGACTGAGAGTACGCTTTGGAGCATTTGGGCCTTGTTTATGTCAAACCTGAGCAACTGTTAGTGAAGTCAGCGAGACTACGAGAGCTTCGAAACGTACCATGGGGCTAGGCCATCGATGGACTGGGTAACCTCCGACAACAACGCACAATCAGAGAACTGCTCCAAGACCCAGTGGTCTATCAAATGACTAGCCTCCGAATCGGTCTCGAGCATGTACTGAAACTCTTGGACCACACCATGCAGACCATGCACGTCTGGCGTCTTGATAGAAGTGAACAGCTGATCAACTCGGCGCTCAGCTTCAGAAGCACCCGGCATCATCTGCCACTCCCCATGCTCGTCTGTTCCAGCCCAGCGATAGCGGTGGCGCAGACGCGGGCTGACCGGTAAGCCTATGGCGAGGAAGAACAGTGAATAGTCTTTCACGTTGGAGATGACTTCGTAAAGAGCCGACCATCGATCTTCGTCCGCGTGCGACAGCCGCAATCTGCGCTCATTGGCGCGTTTGATTTGAACTTCAATCGAAGGCATAGCATGTAGCTTGTCGTTGATATCTCCCCAGCACACAAGAGAGACGAATGCATGGACAATCATATGGCCGCAAATGCGGGTCCAACAGGCGAGACATGCGCAGTCAACTTTGAACTTCTTCTGATCGGAATGCTCGTTCCATTCGCGTAAATTGTCCATGAAGTATGCGGGGTCTTCGCGCAGCATCCAGACGTGGTCTTCAGCCATTGAACGACGTGCGCTCACCAGCATCTTGAGTCGGTCCAGGCTGAGCTTCTGCGGTACGCGGTAGGATGCTTCCAGTGCGTAATTCGAGAGGGATGGCCACTCGTTCGGCTTGAGGCCACTCGGCATGGCCGGTTCCGCTTGGTGTGGTGCGAGAAAGAACATGTCGCAGGGTATATCGTGTAGCACTAGCTTGGCACAGTTGTAGAGGAAGCGGTAGATGCCCTCCTGGATTTCCAGTACCAGCAGACCCTCGGTTGATCGAGCCAGGTACTTCAGATGACTTCCAGCGATGCGCGTCACTGTGCGATCCACGACCTTACCGTAGCCCGTCGGCGAGCGCTTCTTTTGAAACAGCATACATTGGCGGTCCACCTCGTGGTATTTGTAGAACTCCTCTTTGTCACGCTTGTTGCACAAGGTGATGTCGCCGAAGTCGAGATCAGGAATCCAGCCATCTCCGAGGTGCGCGGCTTTGATGTCGGCCAGTCGAAACGTCTCTGGCAGGTTGCGAGCACGTGAGTTGAGGAAGAGCAGGAGTGGAAGCTTGAGCTGAAGGTCTTCGAGATTGATGTACGGCCATAGGTACGCTTCAGAGTGGCAGGTGCGGAAGCGGGAGATTTGCTTCTTGTGATTGCGGAAGTTCTCGAAGTCGGGACGGTGGGTGTTGGATATTCTAGGCCAGGCTTTGACGAGCAGCTCGCGTCGCTGCTTGAAATTCTTCTTCCTGTGTCCACAAGTAAGCATCTTTCACTCTCAAGGCGGGCCGTCTGCACTTGCGTCCACCGCTTCTGGATGGTGCCTTCGAAGCGCTTGATGACGGCGTTGAGCTGGGTCCAGTGCTTGAAGATGGACGCAGAGAGCTCTTTGGCGCATTGCGTAGTCTCTTGGATGGAGAGCTTCTTGGGGATTGGCAGATCGACGCCCTTGCTGAACCGACAACATTTACACCCCAGTTGGTGCTCCTCGCCCAATTCGTCCAGCAGCTCGTAGGTGAAGCTCTTTGCCGCCGTCGCCATCATGTGCTCCCTTCGCCGTGTCCGCACGCAATTGAGTGTGCGGTCTCGTCAGTCGGCGGGTGCAGGTTGGCGATTGGAGGTGGAAGGTCTGAAGTCGTCTGTTTCCCGCGCAGGCACGCGCCAAGGCGGCAATCAAACACGCTTTGAGTCAGTGTCGCTTTGATGCGCAACCAGCCGAACGGGAGCTTGCAGCGGCCTGGGGTCTCGCTTTCGACCTGTCGTAAATGGATGTATTGGAAAGTGTTGGCGCTCGTGGCGGTGAGATCGTGCGGTCAGCTTGTAGTGTCAGTGCTGCTCGTGCGGCAGGGTTGAGATGAATCTTGAGTCTTGAATCTTGAATACCGAGAGGCGTGTCTACAAACATGTGCCATCTCTCTCCACTCCAACGCCGAATCAATCGTGGTATCATAGGTAGTCTCCTGTCCAGGGCGCGTGGTCGCCCCTCCTGATGCTTGCTGTCCCCCCAAGTTGAAGACCGGGCACCCAGGCCTCTCAGTCTCCACGTGCTCCTCCCGTTGCAATGCCTCCATCCCCCATCATATGTTGCTGCTGCTAAATGCACGACCCACATCAGCGCTTTCCACCACCGCTCAAGTACTTCTTTGCCATGTTCAGGACAAGAGGCGTGACGATTGGTGCGAGCATCGCGTAGTGCTTCGAGCCCTTCTCGACTATCGGTCGAATCTTCTCAGGCAGGCGGTCGCTTATCTCTTTGGGTATGCCATCGTTCCCTCGTCGATCCCTGTCCCGTCGGTCACGTCGGTCGTAATCATCGGAGTCATCATCGTAGCGGCGTCTACTCTTGTCTCTGCGTCGCCTGGGAGCGTCGCGGTCGGAGAGGTAATCATCGTCGTACCTTGACGGCGGTGGTCGGCGATGGTCATCGAAGCTTCGGCGTCTTCGAGGCGGTCCACGACGGTCGTCGCGGCGATCGTACTCATCGTCAGAGTCGTCGTAGTCGCGTCTTGGGCGTCGCTCACTACGCCTGCGAGCTGGGATAGGCTCTGAACCATATTCTACGCCCGCTGGTCCACCACGTCTGCGAGGTGGTCCGTAATCGTCGTAGTCGTCTCGCCGCTTCCTCCTCGGTGGCTCATCGTATGGATCATCTCTCGGATCACCTCTCCGTCTGGAGACCTGGCTCTCAGGTGGTGGATAATCTCGATCTCTTGGGGGACGTCGAGGAGGAGGGCCTCTGGGATCTCCTCTGGGGTCTCCTCTTGGGTCTCCTCGTGGATCGCCTCTTGGATCGCCTCTTGGATCTCCTCGTGGGTCGCCTCTTGGATCACCTCTTGGGTCGCCTCGTGGTGGACCTCGTCTTGGATCGTCTTCACGCCTGCGCCGAGTATCTTCCATCATTTTCCTGTGTGCTTCACCTTCGTCTGACTCATAACCGTCTCTCATGTCACGAAATTGTTGGTGTCGGGGTCGTGTTTTGGCTTCGAGGTCGGGTGCGTTGGAGCCGAGATACGAAGCTTCGTCAGGGAATTGCGGACGTGTGTCCGGCGACAGTCTGCTACGGCTGCCCTCTCTTTTGAGTGCGGGTCGTGGATGGAGTTGCTCGCCTAGCGGTGGCGGCGGGGGCAGGTCGTTGGGTGCATGTGCAGCATGTGCGGCGGGCGGCGCATCGGCATAAGGCGGTGGCGGAGGCCTGCCTCGTGGGTCGAAGTCGTCCATCATCTCGTCTGGGTAAGGCGCGCGGTCGCGGCGGGCTCGCGGAGGGTCAGCAGCATAGCCCGCCATGGCGGAGTATAAGAAGAGGGCGCTGGCTTGGGCCTGTTTCGAGTCGTCCTGTTGTTCGACACGCGGTGAGATCACAGTCTGGTTGTGTTTGCGCGTGAAACTGGGGCACTCAGGGAAATCCTCGTCGGGCTTTCTTCATGTGTCAGGGTGCAAGCAACAAGTTAGCAGAGCTGCGGGTCGGCGTCATCTGTTGTGGCGGGTGCTGCAGGGCGAAGGGAGAGTTCACTCTCAAAACTTGATCTGACAGCGCTGGAAAGACGTTGATTGAGATGATGAGGAGCAGAGACGACAGGCAGATAAGCCTGTTTGAAGCCCAACCGGTGCACACGACCACATCACACCACGCGGGTCTCACAGAAGATTCCGTACCGCCACTTTTGATACTGCTGCGCACTGAGCTGAGATGTCATGTAACCTCTCCATCAGCCGCTCAGCTGCTGTTGTGATTCACTCAATAATATCCATCGGAGCTCGGGCACCCCGTACGTGATTTCGACCATCAACAACGATATTTGGTGTCTCTTTGCAGCTAGTGTTGTGGCTATTGTATCGCAGCTCGATCTTGAATTGCACGCATTAATCCATCGACGAATAGGTTATGCAAGACTATCCTCACGCGCCCTTATGATCTTACGGGACCTGGACCTGATGACAGGAGACAAGTAGACATAGATCTCGCGAGCGTAAGATTTGTATTGAGCCAGATACAATGAGAAGGCATAGATCTCGCTAGCGTAAGAACTACAAAGAACTAAACAGAGCAAGAAGGCACAGTTCTTATAGCTGTAAGATCTGCGAAGAACCAAACATAGCAAGAAGGCATAGTTCTTACGACTGTAAGATCTGCGAAGAACCAAACAGAGCAAGAAGGCATAGTTCTTATAGGTGTAAGATCTCCGAAGAACTAAACAGAGCAAGAATGCATACTTCTCGTAAGTGTAAGATCTACGAAGAACTAAATCGAGCATGAAGGCATAGATCTTGTAAATGTAAGGTCTGCGAAGAAACTAAAATGGCAAGAAGGCATAGATCTTTAGTACATAAGATTTATCAATAAAGGAGTAAGGCTAGAAGGCACGGAATTTGTTGTTAAGAAGGTTTTTGGATTTTGGTGATTGATCCAACGAACAGGATGGATGTGGCGGAGGCTCTGGATGAACGCTATGAATGGAACCCGAGAGCATGCGGGAGAGCAAGATGTATGGAGTACTCTGTCAGGACAATATTTGCAGCCTCAGGCAGAAATATTTGCTAGCGCAAAGCTTAAATTATCTCCGCTCTTCACAAGCCTCGAATCTCGAAAAGTTCAAGTCGCAGATCCCGTCTTTGTTCATTCGCCATGGCTCCCAACAGAGGCCGCAATCGTCAGAGCGAGTTCGACGAATTCGCTCAAAGTGGTGCTCAAGGTACGCGATCATCAGCATGGCACAGGAAATAGTCTAACAGTTGTGCAGAATTCGACCCCGAGCATGATGAGATCCCAGACGACGAGGACGAGTCTGATGTGTCGGCCGAGGATGACGGATTCGATGGAAGAGAGCACTATGTTGACGTAGGCAAGAGCAAGCTGCGCAAACCAAAAGAAGTCGCACTTGGTCCACAGTATCGAGGGTCGAAGGTGGGAAGGCAAGAGCTGGACAGCAATGAGGACAGTGATGATCCGTTTGACAAAGGATTCGACGAGGACGAGAGTGACGAACAAGATTTGGAAAATGTTGAAGACAGTCACGAGAATGAAGATGGAACAGACGATACGGACCTGAGCGAAGAAGATGAGGAGGAAGAACAGCTTTCTGCCCCGTCGGTACAGGCGAAGATCTCGGCGAAGGATCGCGCAGAACTGAGGGAAGCACTGAAAGATGGGACGCAAAAGGGTCTTGGGAAATCACTTGCACAGGCGAACCGAGAAGAGGCTGAGAAGGGAAGGGCGGTAAAAAGGCAGCGAACAGCTTTTGACTCGCTCCTCAATACGAGAATGAAGCTGCAGAAGTCTCTGATTGCGACAAATACGATGGTTGGATACCCTTCAGACCGGATCGAGAACGAGAGAGAGGATGCTCAGCAGGCTTTGGAAGCAGCAGAAACTGCTGCGTTCAATCTTTGGAGTTCTCTTAACTCTTTCCGAGAAGATCTCCTGAGCGCCCGGACGGGGACGAAGCGGAAACGAAGTACCTTCACAATCGACACGCCAACGAATAAACTGTGGAACCATGTCCAATCGCAGGAAGCAGAAAGCCGTCCAACTCGAGATTCCGTGCTCAAGAAATGGTCACAAAAGGCTTCAGGAGCTACGCTTCAATCAAGCAACCGCATAAACCAAGCCGCGACACAGACCTCGATCATCGACTCCATCAAAGAACAGCTCTCCAACACCGATCATCTCATCAAACGCACCCAGGCCCCGCGCTCATGCGCCCCCCTCCAGCTGTCAAAACGCATTACCACCGACGAGAAAATATACGACGATGCAGACTTTTACGGCCTACTCCTCAAAGAACTACTCGAGCAGAAGTCTGCAGACTCTGTGGCAGCATCGAACATCGACATCGGCTTTCAAATGCGACGAGAAGCGAAGACGAAGCGGAATGTCGATACGAAAGCCAGTAAGGGGCGGAAGCTGAGATACACCGTGCACGAGAAGCTGCAGAATTTTATGGTGCCAGAGGACAGGACGAATTGGGGCGAGAGGCAGGCGGATGATTTATTCGGGAGTTTGTTCGGACAGAGACTCGGGTTGAAGGAGGATGTCGAGAGTGAGGACGAGGAGATGGAGGACGGCATCGATGGCGAGGAGGCAGGATTGTTGATGTTTAGGAGCTGAGAAATGAAATCCTTCTTCCTATTGACCCGATTTGCTTTCATGGAGAAGAAGACATCTCCGACGCACAGCATCAAACAGGCCTTCGCAAGTCCTCATCGTCGGCTTGGAGCCTCGCAACTCCATGGGGATGTCTGTTGAAGCCCGCACCTTCTGATTCAAGGACCACCTATCTCAAGGATGTCTTCGCCGGATTTCTTCTCCGACTCTTCCATACGCTCTGCACAATCTGTCTCGTGGTCTGCCCTTTTGAAAGTGCGCGCCGTGGGCTTATTATTTGCCGACCTTGTGTAGTGGAGAGCAGCAGGGATGACTTTTTACAACGTCGAACTTCACCAAAATAACGCACGATTTTGACCCGGTGATGCAGTTCTATGTCGAGTGGCGATGCTCGTCATCCCCGACACATTGCACTGCACTAACTACGACGTGAAGCACCGGTGGCATAGATGGGTTTGGAGTTGTGGAAATGGCAGTAATAGCATGAGGCTCTGATAGCTTGACAGGATCAATTAATCGACCGTGACATCGAATGCTTTCATAATTAATCTGTCTCAACTACACGCTCCTCACATCAATTCACTCAACCGGCACCTGCTCCTCATACGTCGAGCCATACCCACCAACAAAGTAATCCTTATTCTGACCCCTCGCCGCCGGTGGCTGCGGCCACTCATCCAGCACAGCAGGCTCGCCCGTCAAAGTGAAATTGACCGTCGCCAGGGGCTGCGTGTCGATCAACAGCGCATAGTCTCCCGGGTACAGGACCTTGTTGCCCATATCGTCGACTCGAGCCAGGCTGTTGAGCGTCAGATTGAGCGAAGCCGTCTGCATCGCGCCGCCTGTGACGTTGTGCAATCGCTGGTAGGCGACGAGTCGTTTACGAGGGTATGGTGCCGGACCGTGAGTCCCCGCGAGGAAGCCTAGAGTCACGTAGTCGCTGGTGACGGCGCCGGTATTCTTGACATCGACGGCGAAGGTCTGGAAGGCGCAGCGGTCTTTGTAGGATTCTGTGCAGCCGTCCAGCAGAGAGGAGATGCTGTAGGATGAGGCGGAGGTGCTGTTGTTGGAGAAAGAGGCGCTGAAGTTGGTGTAGTGCAGTCCGTAGCCGAATTCGTAGATCGGTTTGCCGGTGTACCACATGTACGTGCGGCCGGGGCTGCCTGTGGTTGCGTTGGGGCGGAGGGTCATGTCTGTCATAGGGATTTGGGAGATGTAGTCGGCTGGATATTCTTTTTTTTGTCAGCATTCGAGTAAAGTTCTCGAAGCGTTCAACGTACGAGTAGTAGGCAGACGACCTGCTGGCGCTGCCTTGCCCTGGATGATGTCGAAGAGAGCAACACCGCCATCCTGGCCTGGGTAGCCTCCCCAGATGAGGGCGCTGATGTTGGGATTGTTGACGAGCGGGCTGCTATCAATCTGTCCACCGCCCATTTGGAGTACGATGACGGGCTTGCCATACGTAGCGAGTTGACCGATCACGTCAAGCTGGGCTCCAGTTCATGCGATGCTTACACGGTCCATACCCTCAGCTTCGACGGAGTTGTCGATGCCGCCAGCGTAGACGATGACGTCCGAATTGTTCGCGGCATTCCAGATATGGAGCCAGTTGTCGGTAGTCGGGTCGCCCTGGCCGCCAGGATATCCCGCGAAGTTCACAGTTGCCCCTGACTGTTGAGCAGCATATAGCGGCGAGTGGAAGTAGGGTGGGATGCCGTCGTAGTTACCTGCATACAAATTAGCTGCTGTATATTCAGATATTTCAGAGACGGTAAGTCGAACCTAGCATTTGATCCGTCGCATTTGCCCAGTCTCCGATCAGGGCGATCTTGGTGCTGTTCTGGATTTGGAAAGGGAGGGTGCCGTCGTTCTTGAGAAGAGTGATGCCCTCGACTGCAGCCTTGTATGCTAGCTGTTGAGCCTGGGGAGTTGAGACATCATCCCAGGTGAGACTTCGGTATGGAACGGCCATTCCGTCAAAATATCCGAGCCTGACAAGTGAAGAGTATTGGCGGATAAGTGCAGTGTTGAGGTCAGTCTCGTTGATGAGGCCTTGGTCGTACGCCGCTGGTAGATGCTCTTGGTAGTAGGTACCTAGGGCCATTAGCCTGGTGTTGTTGTAAGTAGATGGGAACACCTACCGCAGTTGACATCAGTCCCAGCCTTTAGAGACAAGGCTGCAGCCTCTTCGCGCGTCTTGCCATATTCATGGGGCAGGTATACGTTCTGTATAGCATCGCAGTCAGAAGTCACCCACTGCTCCTCCGCAGTCCAGTTCCAATGCTCTCGCAAGACGGTCTGAAGAAGCCATGGGTCGGCACAGGTCGGCACGCCGTTCAACGCATTGTAAGAGCACATGAAAGCGCCAACGTTGGAGTCTCCGGCGCAACTCTCGAAAGGCGGCATGTAGTACTCCACCAGGTCTTGCTGATTGACCTGGGCGTCGAATTGGTATCGAAAGTTGCCGTTCCAGTTCTCAATGTCGTAGGCGACGAAGTGCTTGCAGGTTGCGACCACTCGCTTGTACTTGTCGTCAGGGCTTCCTTGCAGCCCTTCGATCAGAGAGTGAACGTAACTGCTGAGGTGTAGTGGGTCTTCGCCAGGAGTTTCCTGCCCTCTTCCCCATCGACTGTCCTTGAAACTATTGTACGTCAGCGTAAGCCTAAGAGAGAGACTTATCGTGCCACATACGGATTGATGTTCGGCGTCCAGAAGTCCAGACCAGCTCTGTTGGCATTGCTAAATGCTCTAGCTTCAGTGCTTATGACTGTAGCAACGTCCTTAATGAGCTCGTCATCAAATGCTGCGCCCATTAATATGGGTTGGGGAAAGGATGTCGCATAACGAAATTCGCCAGAATCCGAGAAGTTGACTCCAGGAGACTGTGCCACTCCATGCAACGCTTCTTGCCACCAGGTATAGGCAGGAAGACCAAGTCGGGGGACGCCAGGCGCTGTACTGCCTGTATTGTTCAATTTCTCCTCGAGCGTGAATGCAGCGATCAGGGCTGTTGCTCTTGACAATGGATCTGTGTGATTGTGAGTAACACAGCACCCAAAGGTTCTCTGAAGACTCACCTGCAGATGTATCACAGACGGAATTGTTCCTCAAAGGCCCATTCTCACAGTCAGGAAAGCCTCTTCCCTCAAGCTGTGCCGTCGTCGACGCTACCAAAGCCAGAAGACCAACTACGAAGGCTGCCATCTTGACAATGTTTGAGGAACGCAAGAAAGTCAAGGAGCCGGGAGAAACATAGCCTACTGTTATATAGACATCACCCTATAATTTCTCCAGCACACTGTGGAGTGACGTCTCTCGCCGTCAAACCTACCGACGGTCAAGCAATGCCAGATCTACAAGAGGAGGTCGTCCCCCAAGATGGGGGGTCGATCTCGGCAGGATCCACTTGCACTGCATTTCAGCCGCCATTGCGGCAATAGAAGGTATGCCCATAGGTGACACCGCCATGAATGGCCTTGGCATGGCAATTAGAGAGGAGAGCGACCTAAAGCTCGTGGCTGGAAAAAGGATGTCGTCTTGGCCGAGTTTTGGCCACAATTCGCTTGCCAACAAATATGGCCACGTCAAATGATTTAATGATTTAGCCTCCTCTCTACACTTCATGTTCACTCATCACAAAGTACACCGTTCCTATACCCTAGCAGCGAAAGCTCTAAAGGCATACAAAGACGCCGTACCTACCGCTGGACAATACCGCGGAATGGTGCCACCAGCAAGGAACCTCGCTACATGTGCCGGCACCCGAATTTTGCATTCTGCCTAAATAGCCATGCCGCCAGCCTCCAGGTTCTGGTCAACGTCTGCTTGGGTCGCGCCTGAACAACTTCCAAACAAGTACCTGCATCTGGCTCTTCCATCGACCCTCAACAGCCTCGAATCTATTTTAGCCATGAACCGCATGATAATCAATCGATACGACACTCCTCCAGGACTACGTACCGAGTCTCTGAAACGGTAAGGTGTGGTTCCTTCAGATCCAGCTGGAGCTGACAATGGTGCTGTGTGTGAACTTGACGTGTTGTCGCTGCCGTCTGACCCCTTTCCATCATTGCTATTAGCCAAAAGACATACACGGACATGCCTTCCACCTCACAGCTTGCATACATCGCCGGCAACGGCATCGGGCTCGTACTTGCGGGCTTGTACACGGTGGCTGGACAGGCACACTTCACCAACCGCTTGACGCCAGGACTCGCGGCGAATATCAATGAGATGACGCACAACACTCACAAAGCTTTCTGGTTCCTAGGCCTGGGGTTTGAAAATGTAGGTGCTCTTGAAAAAGATCATGTCGCCATGGATGTTCATCTTTTCTACAGCTGAAAATGGTCCTTGGAGGGTTCGACCTGCTCGGTGCCGCCTACCTGTGGCGTGCTGAAACCAGACGTACTGGCCTACTCATTGCTGTTGTTGGCTTCAGTGGAGGACTGTATGGTCAGATCTACAACCAAGACGATCTAAGTCAAGTAGGCCTCTTCCTGGGCCTTGCTGTGGCTGGGTATTACTTATTGTCATCGTCATCAGGAAGGCCTGAAAACAAGCTGGAGTGAACGTTGGGTCCAATGTTACTTCTCGATGATATGGCCTTCGTCGTAACGGGAGCGACGGTGGGGCGAACATCACAGGGAAATATACTCCCAGAACACTGACTAGTCTCGCAATCACAGCAGAGACCAAACGATTGGGGCTGTCTTCTGCCGCCTGTTGCATAGGAGCCAACCTCAGATGTCGCAACGCGTCTCAATACATGTGATAGAACAAGTCAAATACACCATCGCCTCTACATGTGCCGTTACCCGCATCTCCCATTCTGCCTAAATACACCCACACCACGGACGTGGGTCCCCCGCCACACCCGCACACAAGTGCATGTCTAGTCTGGAGAATCCCTGCACCACAATTCAGGCAAAAGACAAGATCCCCACAGATTCACATGTAGGAGCTTCGCACTGGATCCGACGTGTTGTTCGAGAATGGCAGCTCGGCCAACGTACGCCTCGCCCGCATCTCGCTTCGCTGACCATCCCAATAGCGATATGTCTTGGCTTTAGCCGGTAAGGCCATACGACAGCTGATGAGGCACATGCGAGCTGGCTGAATGGCGTGGTACCACGAGGCACATGGCAAGGTAGGGATGGCGAATGTCACGCCAACATGGGTAAATCCTGCACATGGGCGAGGCGTGCGCGTATCCAAGCTGGGGGGATATGTAGGGGTGTCCCTCGCCTGCTTTGACTTCAGCTCTTGCATTGTTGTATTCATCGTTGTGAACGCTGCTTCTCCTTGGTCAACTCATTTCATCCATCTCCAAACCTCATCATGGCTCCAGTGGGAGGTGCCTCGCAGTTCGACCAAGCGGCCTTGCAACGTCGTCAGGCTCTCCAGGGCTCGTCTGGTCCAGCGGCTCTCGTTAAAAATGCTAGAGTATTTGGCATTGCGTGTTTTGCATGCTTGGGAGGTTTGCTCTATGGTTATAATCAAGGAGTCTTCTCCGGAGTCCTGACCATGACCTCGTTCGACAACCGTCAGTGATCCTCGATCAGTGGAAGACTTCTCTTTGCTTACGTTCAATAGATATGGGAGTCTGGGTCTCCGACTCGAGCAAGAAAGGCTGGTTGACGGCAATTCTGGAGCTTGGAGCCTGGATCGGTACACTATACTCCGGTTTCCTCGCGGAGATCATCTCTCGCAAATACGCCATCCTCGTCAACGTCGGCGTCTTCATCATTGGTGTCATCGTGCAATGCACTGCAGTGACTGGTGTCGGTGCAAGCGCGATCCTTGGTGGACGATTCGTCACTGGTATGGGCGTTGGTTCGTTGAGTATGATCGTGCCCATGTACAACGCCGAGGTCGCTCCTCCTGAAGTTCGTGGTGCTCTGGTCGGTCTTCAGCAGCTGGCTATTACGACTGGTATCATGATCAGTTTCTGGATCGGTTGGTCAAACCCTCCTTGTGGAGGGTCTCGTACTGACATGCTGCAGACTATGGAACCAATTACATCGGAGGCACGGGTGAAGGCCAACACGACGCTGCCTGGTTGGTGCCTCTTGCCCTGCAGCTGGCCCCAGCTGTTCTCCTCGGGGTGGGCATGGTAGGTGATACGAAAACCGATTCCTTAAGTCATACTGACCTTCAGGCAGATCTTCATGCCCTTCAGCCCTCGCTGGCTCGAGCACCACGGCCGCGAGACCGAGGCGAGGAAAACGCTCGCAAGTCTTCGCGGACTCTCACAAGACCATGAACTCGTCGAGTTGGAATACCTGGAGATCAAGGCCCAGTCGCTGTTCGAGAAGCGTTCGACCGCCGAACGTTTCCCAGATTTGGCCGATGGGTCTGCTTGGAGCACCGTCAAGCTGCAGTTCATTGCTGTTGGATCACTTTTCAGGACGATGCCAATGTTCCGTCGTGTCATTCTTGCTACTGTGACCATGTTCTTCCAGCAGTGGACCGGTGAGTTGACCACTTGCACTGTTATGCCTGACCGAGAGAGCTAATTGATCGCAGGGATCAACGCTATCCTTTACTACGCGCCTCAAATTTTCAAGGGCCTGGGGTTATCATCGAACACAACCTCTCTACTTGCCACTGGTGTCGTGGGTATTGCCATGTGGCTTGCAACATTCCCAGCAGTAGCCTACGTCGACAAGCTCGGACGAAAGCCAATCCTCGTCTCAGGGGCCATCGGCATGGCAACCTGCCACATCATTATCGCCGTCATCGTGGCCAAGAACCAAGATTCATGGGCATCCCATTCTGCCGCCGGCTGGGCTGCCGTAGCGATGGTCTGGTTGTTCGTGGTGTTCTTCGGGTACTCATGGGGTCCGTGCGCTTGGATTGTTATTGCTGAAATTTGGCCAATTTCGCAACGACCTTATGGAATCGCCCTTGGAGCTTCATCTAACTGGATGAACAACTTTATTGTGGGGCAGGTAACCCCGGACATGCTCGTACGTGCCCTGTTATCGAATGCAAGAAAGGAAGGCTGACTTTAATATAGACTGGAATGAGTAAGTGAATGTTCGCCGCCGGTGGAAAATTGACGGACTGACCTCTACGATAGCTTACGGCACGTACATCCTCTTCGGACTACTGACATTCGGCGGAGCATTCTTCATTTGGTGGTTCTTCCCAGAAACCAAAGGCCTATCCCTCGAAGAAATGGACGTACTGTTCGGCTCCATTGGATTCGCTGCCGCAGACGCCGAACGTATGCGTGAGATCAACCGCGAGATCGGTCTGGAGGAGGTCGTGCGTAGCGGCAGTACTGTCGATGCCGTTGATGTGTTCGATGAGAAGAAGGGGGCTAAGCACCAGGAGACTGAGAGTCAGTAAATGCACAGGGGGGATATACAGATTACCTGAGGACAAACAGTTCCAGCTGCTTTCAAATGCATTAATTTCTGATGCTTCGTCGATCTTGGTATTCATCGTTTTGTACAATACGTCGTCTTGACGTGTTATCTGTCCTCCATAAGAGCCCCCCCCCCCCCCCGCGGCCCCAAAACACACAACGGTCTCCCCCGCCCGGGGAGGGGGGTGAAAGCCTCTCTACAAGCCTCTCCAGGAGCACGGTCGTTTCGAGTGCGCTCTTTATGTCCACTGTCGTAATGACAGGAGATCGACTATGTTCTTTCCTTTTCCACAGTCATCATCCAAGCCTCGCCCTCAGAACTTCCACTCATCTAATCCTGATTCTGCGCCAACTCCTCCATCGCGGCAACCCCCTGCTCCAACTCCCTAATCCTCTGCCCAACCCTCCTCTTCACCTCCTCCGCCAACGCCTGATCCTCCCCATTCACCGCCTGCTGAAAAGCCTCCTTGACCTTCTCCAGCTCCTCCCGCGCCGCCTTGCGGTCCTCCTCGGCGTACACAGACACCTTCTCGGTCTCCTCCATGGCGATCTCGAATTCGTCTTGCGCGGTTGCGTAGAGCTCGGTGATTTCTTCGATTTTTTCGTCGGCGGCGGATTTGTTGGAGCTGGAGGAGTAGAGGGCGGTGGGTTGTTGGTGGGGGCGGATGAGGGATATGGGGGTGTTTATTAGAGTTGCGTAGGGTCGTTGTGGTTGGGGTTGTGGTTGTTGGTGTCGTGTGAGGGATCTGAGGGTTCGTTTTGAGGGCGCTGCGCGCCGGAGGCTTCTTGTGATTATAGCCCTGGGAATCATCTTGAATTACTCTGTCCAGAAGTCGTTTTAACCTGGATCATATATTGTTGCTTGTTTGTTGACAATGATCCTTCCAGAGTGAAGTCCACCCAAGTCGTCGAGCCTCGTGACGTCAAGTCGTGCAAAGTCGTGGTGCGATTTGAGTTCGGAGATTCGGCTCCTTTTTTGACCACATCTCGCCCCCTTCACATCCGCACTTTCGGGCCATCAAAGTCAGCATGTGACAGTCTGGAAGATGAATGTTGGACACAACCTTCAAATAACCCGTGAGAGTAGTCGCAGAAAAACCTTCCAGCGCCTGCTGAGAATGCTGGACTCGCGCTGAACCGCCACGCCATGTTTCTCGCCGTCACCATCCTGCTTCTGTCCCTTGCATTTCTGGCGTACAAATACCCTGAAATGCTTCGAGGCTTTCTTCCGTCGTGGTTCGCGCCTGGGCAGCAGAATGGCGACGCCGACCAGGTCTCGGGAAAAGGGGAAGAACCGAGTAGTCCAGAGATCAAACTGGACGAACCCGATGGCGAAACTACACCGAAGGCAAAGCCAGTCAAACCTTCAGACGAAGTACCCTCTTTCATCCTGAGTGACGACGAAGCCAAGAAGGACGAATCATCAAGTCCTCCATCTCCGCCAGTCCCATCATTCCCAGCGGCGAACAGCGCCCAACGCGCCTCAGCAATGCCTCCGCCACCGAGACCGACCGCCAAGAGCACCTCCGGCCTAATGCCACCACCACCACGCCCAACCCCCAGCCTGCGACCAAACCCAACCACATCCCTCCGCATCCCCACAACCGGCCCCCTCCCCAACCGCGGCCCCCCACCCAACAGCCAACAGCGCGTCAGCAGCAGCCTCTCCCCCAACACCACCATCAAAACCCCCTCCACCCGCGGCAAAGTCCTCCTCTCCCCAGGCCACTCCCCCATGGACTGGGCGGCCCTGACCAAAACCGGCAACCTCAGCGGCGTGTCCACCTTCCAACGCGTCACGCCCTCCCACCTCAAAACCATGACCGGCCGCAAGGGCAAACCGGCGTGGAGCAGTTGGCAGGGCAAGGTCTACAATATCACGCCTTATTTGCCTTTTCATCCTGGCGGGGAGGCGGAGTTGATGAAGGCTGCCGGCAGGGATGGGACGAAGTTGTTTATGGATGTGCATCCTTGGGTGAATTGGGAGAATATGTTGGAGGCGTGTTTGGTGGGGGTTTTGGTGCCGGAGGATTATGGGGTGGGTGCTGGTGGGGAATCGAGTTTGGAGGATATGGATTGATGGGGGGGGGTTGGTGGGAGATTGGGTTTAGATGATAGATACCCTTTTGAACCCTGAGAATGCCTGTATGGCCTTCTGTGGCAATCATAGATAGATCCGCAGCCGCGGAATAAATCGCATTAAAGATCCTGAATGCAGAACATCCCATTCGCTAAGTGCAGCATCATCCACCTCAGCGCCCCCTTGCAGCATCCATCGCATCCTCCTCCTCCAGCTCCTTCTCCTTTCCCATCATCGAACCAACCAAACTCTCATCGCTCGCATCATCACTCGTGCTAACAACGTGAAACGAGAAATCAATCTCCCCAACTAGCGTTTTGACATGCCTGCCATCACAAACATCGTTAGCACACAGTCGAAGGATACAGGGGAGAAAGAGGCGCTGGTGAGTAAGAGCGGGAGGAAGGACAAAGACAACATACCTCGCAATCTTCTCAATCTCCTCATTAATACACATGGCACAAATCGTAATCACCGCAAAAGCACTATACTCAGGCTCCGCCATATGCCTTACGCTCAAAATATCCTTATCGATCCGCGTCATCGTCTTCATATATTTCGCCGGTTTCGGGATCTCAAGATACGGCGGCAGGGCGCGGGCGTGCGTCATGCTGTTGGATAACAGGGCGAGGAGGGAGGTGACCTGGTGCGAGGTGGCCTTGACGGAGGCGAGCAGCAGGCGGAAATCGTGCGCCCATTCGGAGTCTCCGCCGCTGTGCGTGGAGAAGGTGTTGCTGGCGTAGGAGACGAGCGAGGTGTATTGCAGGACGCGGCGGATGGATTCCAGCAGGCCGTCGTATTCCTCGCGGGGGAAGCGGCCTCCCACGCGGAGCTGCATGCGGGAGAAGGCGGAGTTTTGCTGCAGGGTGGTGAGGAGGGAGACGAGTTTGGTGAAGACTTGCAGGCGGGCTTTTTCGAGGTGGTAGCCGCGGGTGCCTTTGACGGTGGAGTCGCCGTCGATTTTCTGGACGCGGGATTTGACGGTTTCGTGGACGACGGAGTAGAGGTTCGCGAGGAGGTAGAGCGTGCCGCCGATGTCTTTGCGGAGGAGGGTGCTTTCGGAGACGGGGTAGGGGAAGATGGTCCAGAAGTAGGCGACGAAGAGACCGCCGCAGACTGTGGCGAGTCGGTAGGGTGCGAGCAGGTAGGTCGGGTAGGCGGGTTGGCCGTTGCTGCGAAGAAAGAGTGTTAGTTATCATAAGTCTGAAGTCCCTGAGAACAGTACTAACCTTTCAGACACTGTCTTTCCAAGTGCCTTAACCTGCAGCTCATATCCAATGATCAAAATCGCAGTGACCAAAGACAGAATGCCCACAATAACCAGCTTCTGAAACTTCAGCACGACGTAAAACGCCAGGAAGATCCACAGCCAGAGGAACACAATGACTCCAGGCGTCTTGCCATCGACAATATACCAGATGATGTACGTTCCCACCATCGCAACAAAAGTTCCCAATATTCGCAGCGCGAAACTCCAAGTGCTCTGCCCGGCGGTCTTGGTCATGGATAGGGGCACCATGATCATACCCCACAGCAGACGATTCGTAAGGAACCATTGCTGGCTGGCTTCGAGGTAGCAGATGATACCGACCGACATCGTGGCCAGACTGACGCGGAATCCAAAGGCAGAGGCATCACTTCTAAGAGCTCTAGGAAGTAACCGTATGACTTCGCCAACCTTCTCGCCGAAGTTCTGAGGAGGGAGATGTTCGGGGTCCTTCCTCTGGCCATAGGAATCACCAAGATTGAGCGAGTCCACACCTCCGTGGTCGAGGTCCTGTGTGTATTGGTCTTCGTCTTGGAGGTCTTCTTTGCAGAACATGGACCGAAGCCACTTGCGGAGGGTCTTCAATCCAGGGACAATAAGTCTTGTCTTCTTCAGAGCGCCTTCAGCTTTCCGCTTGTCGACATGCAGTACCAGCTCCAGAGTAGCATGACCCGCCCGCCACAGGAGATACTCCACATATAGGGCAAAGAACAGCTGTCTCTGCGTTCTCTCCTGCAAATGCTCCTGATCAAAGGCAATGGGGTCCGTTTTCACGAAACTGTTGTCCATGAAGTCGTGGGGAAGGTCGATGTCGTGCGCCTTGCACCAGTCCAGCAAAGACTGCTTTTTCGAATCAAAGAACGCATCCAGCTCTGTCTTGAAGTGCTCGGCGAAACCAGGTGTACCCGGCTGAGCAGCACCGCCTTGATGCTCTTCGTCTGCCTTCTTCTTTGGTGGCTTCTCAATCTCCAGCGTGATGAGAATGTGCTTGAAGGCACCATTGATGCTGCCGCTCATCGAGGCAAAAGGCCCATGGAGCGCGCGCATGAGTTCGTGCAGATTCTCAATCTGCTTGTTGCGAGTCTTCACTTCATGCTCGGATAAATCTCTCCTGCCCCATCCACCGCTCTGCGCTCTCCGGATCAACACATCAATCACAGTGTTCAGCCCAGATATCGGGATCATGATCATTCGCATTCGACTCCAGATTTGCGACAGATCCTTGGCTCCTAGCTTTCCAACTGCAACCTCCCGCTTGGCAAAGTTGATGTCTCCAGGCAGTTTGGTGTGTAGGGCGTAGAGTTTCTCCAGCATGCCTTTCAGCTTGAGGGCGTCTGGTGTTTCGAGCATCAAAGGTTGCTTTTGGGGTTTGCTATGCGTTTTCTTCGGGTTTTGCTCCTCTTCCATTCGTTTCTTGATGATGGCTTCCGGGTCCAGATCCTCCAAGCCTCGCAAGTAGGATGCCTGCGTAGCGAGCATGCCACCCAAGAGGCCGAGATAACCCGCCCACTCTTTGAATACCACCTTTCGACAGCTCAAAGGTACGATGAACAAGCTAACCCCGGTAGCCAGAGCGAATCCTGTCAAAAAAGCTTCCAACAGGCGCTGCATGAAGCTTGTTGCGTAACTCATGCTAGCGAATTGCGTACCGTACGTCAAACTGACGATCATCAAAATACTGAAGATTATACAGGGGAACTGCATCTGGGGCAGTGCTCCTCGCAATGAGTTTACCAAGTATGTTTGGAACACCAGCCAAACAGCCAGCACGGCGGAAGCTGACGAGTTGTACGCATTGGGCCGAGCACCCGGAACTTCAGTATGAAGGCGAGCCTGAATTGCGCAGTAGAGTGCTAACAGATTCGTCGCGGCAGCAAGGCATGCGGCCATGGTGTTGAGGAACCTAGAATTGCCGTTAGGAGACGCGGTGAAATGCCAGCCTTTCGACACTCACATATTCTGAACGAACATCCCCCTCGGCATGATACACATCCCCAGAACCGACGTGATGGCGACAAGATATCCAAGCGTCTGGTAAACCTCCTGAACACCTCTGGCTTGGAACATGGCAATCGCAATGGTCGGAGGCAGTGAGCCCTTGAACATCATCAGGACCGTCGGCACGTCGAGGCCAGCTTTCTGCCATAATTCCTTGATCTTCGATGGCTTATTGACCTCTGGTTTCGATTCCTGGGCTGGCTTGTCTGTAGGTTCGCTGTTGTTTTTCATGTTGCCATTCGTCGTGCCGTTGGATCGCTCGGCCTCGCGCGGCTTTTCGCCCGCGTCGAGGCCTTTGTCGTTGTCTGCCATTGCGAGCGCTGAGCAATGTTAACTTGTCAAGGCGACATTGATGGGGGTTTTGTCCAGGGCGACGGTTGATGTTGTCGACTCCAGGAACAGAGCACCCAACGCTCAGTGAAGTTGACTGAACGGTACTTTAAGTGAAAGCTTAAACTCCACCCTCGACCAAACGATAGGCCGAAGCCGCGGGACTTCGTCGCCAAAATTCGGTATAGCCAATTAAATGAGTGATGTCTGCTGAGTCAAGGAAGGATGGAAATGCGTGCATATGTGTAAAAGGAGCTGGGCGATTACTACAAGGAGCTCCAGTCGGCCGGTCGAGGCTGTACTCCGCTATTTCAAGTACCAGTAATGAACAATTGGAATTCGATCTTGGTGCAAGGCATCTCTTAAAGTCTTGAAAGTGGTACGGAGTTGTATTGAACGTTGAGCGGATGGCGGTAAAAGCTGTTTCCGTGTCCGAAAAAGAAGTGGGTGTTCAGCTGCCGTTCAATCGTTTGATTCGGGTTAGATTCAATTAACAAGAGAATGGCCCCATCAACCTCGTTACAACAACATCCTGGTATTCTGCTGGTGATGATGACCGTTACCTGGTTCCACGTCACCGAACGCAGGATCTAGGGTTCTTGGGGCCAAAGCAAGATCCTGCGTTTGATGCAGACATCGATGCGAGAAGACCGTTTTGTCTGCCTTTGCGAACAGACTCGTCTGTCGTCGTCGAGACTAAACTCGGCAAAGTGCACTACAAATAGCACGCCATGGTAGGAATACAATCAATTATCGATCAGGGCTCGTTTGACAGATATCACTTCTTGCTGAAGTATCCCATCAATGTGTTCTTCTGCCCCGGATCTATCGTCTTGGTCTTCTGTTTCGTAGGACTGTCGTTTTCTTTCTTCGCTGCCTTGACACCAATCTGCATGCGTTGCATGAGCTCCTCGAACTCGTTGGTGGCGACGATGCCTCCAGATGCTTGCACGTGGCCCCTCGCGAAATCGTCTCCTAGACGCTCGAGTAGAGGTGCCTTCTCCTGTGGTTGAGGTGAGCTGGATCTATCCTCACTCCTCGGATCTGGCAGACTCGCGTACGCCCTCAAGCTTTGTATGATGTCCACGGGAGGATCCCTACTCCTCGCGCATCGAGGAATTCGGCAGGAGAAGTTCACCTTTCCAGGTAGATACCCTTCGTTGGCGACAAGAATTATTTCCAAAGCTTTGCTCTGGAGATGCCCTGCCCAACGAGTCGCTATGACAGGATGCACTTGCGCTTCAGAGCGAATTCTGAAAACTGCGATCTTGCCGTCGGGAGAGAATTTGGGAGCCGCGTGTGTGCACCTTTCGACCTCATCATTAACCTCAGCTCGAGCAGCTAGGAGGCGAGAGTTCTTCAACACGCTCGCAGGCTCGGCTGTCTCACACAGCGCATCCCAAGCAGACTTAACATTGTAGGTGGCGGTTCGTCGAGGTGCGTTGACTAGAGAAACGACGTCGTTCAAGGTCTTCTTCGTGTACTTCTTAAGTGTTGCTTTCATGTCAGGAAATGGCGGTTCCCATTTGAGAGTGTTCCCTAAGTCACCATGCGTCCCAACGATACAGAGCCAGTCGCACGTCGAGGCCACATCAGGGTGTAAAGGTTCACATATCTCGTAGGTGAGTAGAGAGGACGTCGCAACTGGTGGAGATTCGCAGGCCGTGACATGTTCAGCTCCCTGGGGGGAGTCATCGGGTGTAGCATGGTGATGGTCTATGACCAGCGCAGTGTGGTCGCCGTCAATGAGAGGAGGCGATGCTCGGCTGCCGTGGTCAACGACGAAGATGTACGCAGGATCTTGGCTTGCGATCAACTGCCTTTCCTCTTCACTGTGTACGGTATTGCCTTTTGTGAGGAGATGTACGCTGATCAATTCTTTCGGTAGGCCCAAGAGGATGAGAGTGTGTCTCAATATGGCGCCCGCTGAAAGTCCATCGGCATCTTTATCAGGCACGATCACGACTGGCTTGCCAGCCTTTGCGCTATGAACGGAGTCAGCGTATGGAAAATGATGCAGGATGGCACAACTTGACGGACCTCACAGACTGTACAGATTCGATATCGTTAGAGATGTGGATATGTTGAAAGGCGGACCTGGTAGGACTGACGTAGATAACTTTCAAGTTTGCCTTCTATCACCTACCTTCATTTTCACCGCAAACATCTACAACAGTACATTGAAAGCTTTACAATGACATACCTCTCGAGAATAATTTCCCTCGCGCGCTGGATTTGCGCTTTGGGAGCAGGCCATTGGATCTCCCCGTCTGCATCCTTCACCGAGGGAGTCTGGTGATAGTCTGGCACGTCTGGTCGCGCTCGTTTCGCTGGCGAGCTTCCTTTACTAGTGGAGCCGGTGGAAGGAGCTTTGCGCTTGTTGGCCCTGCTGGTCATGCTGCAGGAGAGGGTAATAGCACAAGCAGGAGTGCTGAATCGTGGCAGGGAGTGTGTTGGCGATGGATCGACGAAAAGCAAGCTTCTGAGAAGTCTGGACGACGTGCCTGACCGGATGGGGCAAATGCGATGGGAAGCAGCACGCCACAGCATTTGTTTTTGCCGGCAGCTCTCACGCACGACGAGCAGGTTTGGAGGGCAGAGGGGTGTGCATGGCCGAGATGGCGAGGTCGTTTGTTGGTGAAGAAGGATGGGAGGCGCCGAAGAGCGCTTTCGATCTGTACCGATTCGACGATGCGGCTTGATCGAGTGACGTATCGCAAGGATCTATCCGGCATCATGCCTCTCGAAACACGCAGACGTAGCCGGGCAGCGTGGTGTCGAAGTCGTACACTCTCCTTCAGCCCCATCGCCCGCCTGCCTGCATACGAGCGTCCCGGAATGCGAACAGCATCACCACCGGCATCACCGCAGCCTCATCGAGTGCCTGCAATTCTCCAGCTGCTCAGCCGAAGCAGGGCGAGCAACGCCGTGTGATTCGCCCGTCTGCACGCCAGCTGCGGCTCCGCAGCGTTCCCCTCACGCAAGCATCGCCTCTATCTGACAGCTCCCGTCCGCACACCCCCAAACCAGCCGACGCACGAGCACGCAGCCGCAGCATTGTCACTGGATTGATTGATTGACGGGAAAACCTCAACGACGCCGGCCTCAACCCGTCTCTGGTCCGCACCGCCGCCTCGGCAGCCACCATTCGGACACTCCCACTACTACTGACACACCGACAGGCGACGGTCACGAGCATCGTGTGCGGCGGCGTCGATGGTTTGGTTTGGTGGATGACAACAACGTGCTCACGCCGCCGAGGGATGCAGCGATCGGCAAACTGAGGCTCAAAAGCACTCGCGGATCCGAGCCGCCCAACTCTGTTGATCTCAAAGCCCACCAAAGCCTGGACCGCGCACCACCCAAGACACACCACCAGCCTTGCTGCTGCTGGCTGCTGCCGCGACTCTGCTGCTTGCTTGCTTGCTTGCTCGTCCACTTGTTTCTCTGCAGCCTCACGACTCTCGCAACTTGGATCACCTTGCCTTACCGTCCGCAGAGCCGCATCAAAACGTCGCCCACTTATTACCCATCACCGCGTTCTCCCTCCCGTCTGATTCTTCGCCGTCACGCCTCGGCGTGCCCGACGTCATTGCTCGTGCGGCTCTGAACATGCTTCGGTACGTAGCTCAGGTACATTCGTTCCACTCTGCCATCCGCTCAGCACCTCGACGGGCGCTGCGACGGGTAATCTGGCGCTCCAACTCTCTGCGGCTCTGCCAGTTCGGCAGCGCTCACTTGCATTGTCTTCAGTCGCGACACGACATCCTCCTTCCCTTGGCGGTAGCTCGTCGCACCACCCTTGAGCTTCATCACCATTGCTGCGCATTGCTCTGTGCCTCACTGTTGCACCAACTGCGTTTCTGGCAAGTGCACACTCCTCAGCAATGGACTGACAGGTCTCTCAGGCGTGTCTGGAGTGCCCATACAACTTTACTGCTGACGCCAGTAGCGGATGTGATAGAGTGAACGTCGACCAGCGGGATTGCGAGAGATTGCGACTCCAGCATACATAGACGCCAGCCGTCTTCCTACAAGACTCCGGCTGTCACTCGACTCTCCAAGCCTCGACTCAAACAACAAGACGCCAAGGCCAATTGCCCCGGTTGAGACATTCAAAGTGTTCTGGATGACCTCGCCTGCGCCGTACGAGTGTATTGACGAAGACGCTCCATCACACAACGAATCTCTCGAACCCAATTATTTTAAGCCGATGCCATCACCTGAACCGGAGCCAGATTTTCCTCCAACGAAATCCAAAACTGATCCGAGTGTCGAGGTGCTGGGATATCCACCCATCTCGGAGACTTCCTCGAGGTCGAGTTCAGGACCTGCGGCCACGTTGAGCCCTGAGCAACGTGACCATCGTGGTGACATGCCAGAAGCGGGAGCGCCTGCTCTCGCAGAAGGCAGTCCTCACGATGGATTGACAAAGGCGAGCAGTCCAGACGATCTGCGACAGACGGCTGCGATGGCGATCCGCGTCGGGGCAACCAAGACCCCTCCAACTGACGCCAAAGAACTAGCGGAGAGACCTGTTCATAGGGTCGACTCTGCGCAGGATAGTTCAGAGAGCGTGCCTCAACTCCCGCCTGAAAAGCGACCACAGCGAAGTGGACGGGCCTCTCCTTTGAAGCTGGAAACTGCTTCCGCTGTGACCAACGTTGCACCTGCCTGGGCCGAGGACTCAATTGCAAAATCGCCAACCCTCTCGAAGCACATGATTCAGGTGGAAGAGAAGGTGCCGAGCAGTTATCCTGCCGCTCAAGCCACTTCGCCAACGGTAGAAACATCGGCGAATTCTTTGCGAAAAGCAAGCCTTCCACCGTTCCGCCAACTGGCTGACCTGGCCGAGATTGCATCGCAGCAGACGCAGCAAGACAATCGTCCGCCAGCACAGCACGCTCACCACCACAGCCAGTCGTTCAGCTCGACGACTTCACAATCACCCATGAACCCGTACCATCCGTCTTACACGAACAGCACACAAACCTCACCAGTCAGCTACCACGGCTTTGCCCGGTCGCCAACAAGTACGGAGGGGTTCAGCTATGGCTCGCCAAGCCAAAACCCAGGCTCTGCTTACTACTACCCGGATAGAAGGACATCGGTTGCGAACGATAGCGCTCAGACATACCCGACACCGGTACCGTCTCTACCGTCGAATCCCTCTTCCGGCGAGAGTCAGGTTGGCAATGCCGGGTCTAGCACCGATGGCTACAGCACGTCACATACGACACCGATTGACCCAGGGACGGTCCCGCCAGATACGATGGGGCGGCCGATATTACCACCGGTGCCAGGGATGCCACCAGGGATGGCGATAATACCGGCTGGCGGCTTCATGTGCGATTATCCGGGTTGTACAGCACTTCCTTTTCAAACGCAATATTTATTGAGGTGAGTCGTGAATCAAGACAGTCAGCCCAGGCGCATATCTAATGGATGGAACAGCTCGCATCGAAACGTGCACAGCCAAAGCCGACCTCACTATTGCCCAGTCGAAGGCTGTCCACGCAGCGAAGGCGGGCGAGGTTTCAAGCGCAAGAACGAAATGATACGTCACGGCCTGGTGCACAACAGCCCCGGCTACATTTGCCCATTCTGCCCAGATCGTGAGCACCGATATCCCAGACCGGATAATCTTCAGAGGTGAGTGAGCATCATGAGCAAAATCGTTACCCTCATCATCAAGAAAAGAAGAAGCGACGGTGGGGACGACCACAAGCTTTGCTAAGACTGACACACGACTCATGCAGACACGTACGTGTGCACCACGTTGACAAAGACCGCGACGATCCCGCGCTCCGCGAGGTGCTCGCTCAGAGATCCGAGGGGACGACGCAGAAACAGCGACGACGACGAACGCAGGGAACGACCTCCCGCGAAGGTCAAGCGCCTGAATCAGCACCTTGATGCTCCTATGAAGAGGAGTTTCTGTACATTTTTGCCGATGTGGTGGTTCTCGCTATCATCATTTGTGGAATTTGTTATTTGTGTGCGCAGTCTTGTGTGTGAGTTCTGGGACGATCGGCGTTGTTTGCAAACGTGAGTGAGAGAGATCTGCAACCGTGAGTGGCATCTCACTCAGCAAGCAGGTTCTGGAAAGGGTAAGACGAGAAGAGAGAAGGAGGAGTAGGAGTTTTGCTGTTGCCGCGAGAGGAATGTGACGGTCGGCGCTCGATCGATCTCCAATGGCTCTCGCTCAGTCATTATCAGGGCTGTTTTTGAGGGTTGGATAGGGCATATCAGTGCTCCTCTTTTCTGTCTGTCAACACTGGGAGGGTGGTGAGGAGGATGAGGATTTTACGCCCGGGATGCGCAAGCGCGAACAAGGGCAAAGAAGGGACTGGATCTACAAAAAACTACTTCTTTCTCAAGAGGATTTTACGATGATGATTTATGAGTGCTGTGCTATGGTTTTGAAAAGGAAAAGAAAGGGGAAGAGGGGAAACGGTTGGATAGGTTGTACATTTTACTATACCATACCATGAGACCTGCCACGTGAAAAATTGATGATTGTGCCCATGATGACACAGATGACAATTGAAGCTTTCTTGTTAGCAGATCGCGCACGTTGTGCTTCGTGGCCCAATTCTAAAGTCAGTCTGTCTATCAGTCAGTCAGTAAGGCTTTTGGGTTGCAGGTGAGACTCCCAGTGCCCACTCACTTCCGATGAGGTGAGTGCTGACTACAGATAGTCGAATCGACGGCGATCCCATCTCAAGCATGCTTTCGCAGCGTGGCAATTGCAAGGATCCATGATAACTCTCCCTCGGTTTGTTGGCCACGATGCGGGAATCCTTTCGCACATGATAGGTGAGGATGAGACGGGAAGCCCGGCGGAACAAGTGGTTACTCAGCTCTCTTCTTGATGACCCGGCGCGGTTCGGTCAAAAGCTTGCGACGGATTTGCCATTTGGATGGATGAGGTGGATTGGGATGAATTTACCGTTTGGATGATGACAGATCTTACTGTACGGTGTCATTTGTCCTTGGAAGGGGTGGAGTATCCGAGGTGGTATCCCATGTCGTTGGATAGAGGGATGAATTGGGATGTTGGATGGATTTCGAACCGGCCGGGCATGCGTACGTGAGAGTATCACCTCACCTCACGCTACTCTCGCCCCGATAGACGAGACGAGAGGAGGATGGAGCCGCTTCTTCGCACATGCAGATGCAGATGGAAAGCGTGGTTTGCGTCTTGGGAGTGGGGCACAGCTCAGCGTCTGGAAGGGACTGCTGCAGCAAGTGCTTCTGAACTCTCTCGGCGGACACGAGGCGTGGAGGAGATGCGTGCCATGGTTGTCTTCCCATTTCGCAAACGATGGGGCGACTGTCCTCTTACAGTTTGCTACTGCTGATGGAATTTGTTAGTCGTAGAAGATGATACAGCGCATGTCAGAATCTTGTTGCTTGATTATTGATTGATGATTGCGTTGCGGGAAGGATTGCTGTTGGATGCTTCCCATGTGTTGGTATTACGGCGGTCGCAAGTCTACCGCAACGAATCGCCTGGTCGGATTGCGAGGGTGATGCTGTTCGCTGTTCGCTGTGCTGACGGTGATCGCTTTCAGTTTTCAGCTTTGCTCACTGTCAGGTTGTACCGCTGGTCTTTCGCAGTCCGATACGTGCAAACCGGTGTCGTCGGGCGCTCACTCGCAGGTACAGAGCAGGGCGTTGGTGGTGCAGCAGGAATCCTTCTGACTCCTGCGGCTGCTGACCTGGACGAACCCTGCGGGAGGTCATTCCCATTCGGCGTCTGCGACTCGGTGAGGACAGAGGTCAGGCGACAGGTGGGAGTGCGGTCGGCGGCGACGATTGGACTCGTGCGCCAAGCGGTTCGCGTGTTTGGCAGTAGGAGCGGAGGCAGCGTGGTGGTGCTGGGCCAAGGGTTTGCGTGGCGTCTTTCTAGACTTGGGACCACGGCGACGATCTCCTGCGCCAGCCCACAGCCGGGTCTAGGGCCGCCGCGGGCCAACTGCAATAAATGTCGTCTGAAGGCCGCGTGCGCGGAGGATGCGGATGCTCGACTGTTTCTCAATATTGTTTAGTAGTTGATAGCACATCTGTGTTGGAAGCTGGGTTGTTGCTGCTGAACCAGGCCTCTCTCCCTGCCAATCGATACTTCCCTGCGGGGAAACGACAGAGCACCAACGTCCGCGAGACCAAGTCCCTGCGCCGGCCAGGTCGATCTCAACTGAACAAAGGAATTAGCCCTGCACCACCACAAGGGGGCCTTTATTTGCCTCCTCTTCTGCGAGACACCTCATTCTTCATCGCAAACAACCACAAAGACGACAATCGCCCTCACCCGCTGTCCCGCCTCGAACGCGTCTCCTTACATGCGAGCAGCACCACCAGCGTGATCCACCATATCCGCCTCCGATGCTGCTCGGATAATCGCGGGCTGCGATATACCATCGCATGAGCTGTGGCCAGATATCCGGCGACGTCTGTGCCACCAGAGGCAATTAATACCACCTCGACATATTATTTGCGCCTCCGCTGGACCTGCGACGCTGCTCGCTGCCACCACAATGTCGCCCTTCAACCTCTCCGTCATGGGCGTCGAGAGCATTCATCGCCGGACGCGAACGCCAATTGAGGAAAGCCCGGAAAGCGAGGGATTTGGTACTGCTGTACCCGTACACAGCCAGGATCAACCGGATACCACTCACACGCGAAGCCACACCCATCACCACCACCAGCACACTCGACATTCACGGCCGCGACTCACTAGTCATTACAGCGTCTTCCAGACGTCTTGCACACCTGCTGTCGACAGCCCTCCAACATATGTGCAAGCGGCCAAACAACGACCCACGAATTCCAGATCCTTGACCGAGGGTTGCGAACCGCTGCCGAGCTACTCATGCACTGTCGGGGCCGAAGGCAAACTTCTCCTCAACCTGGAATCTATCAACCCTCTGTCACCCGTCGGCGAAGGCGAATGGAGGGAAGTGTATGCGGTCTTGCGAGGGACTTTGCTCAGCTTTCACCGGGTAAAGGATGGCGGTGCAGGAAAGCTGCTGCGCACGTATACGCTGCAGCACGCCGAGGTGGGCTTGGCGCTTGATGCCCAGCACACCATCCTCGTGCCACAGACACGGCTGGCCCACCTCATTCCAAGTGGCGTCAGAGTGAAGGCGTGGCAACGAGATCCGGATTCCTTCAAGCCTGTGCGGCAGAGTATCCTGAGGTTGCGGGTTGAGACGGATCAGATTTTGCTGGCTGATTCGGATGAGGAACGCATCCACTCATTGATCTATGCTTTGAGTGCGGCTATCGACATCTCTCACGCCATTGACGAGAGAAGCATCCCCAAGCAATGCACTGTACCACGGAGGCGTCGGAGGCAGAGACCTCAGTTCAACGGAGACTTGTCCGACCCTGCTTTGATCGCTGAGCAAGAGCGTATCATGAGGCAAATATGTCCTCAATTGGGAGGAAGTGCACTTGATACGACATCAGATCAGGCTGCTGCGAACGACTCGACATCAAATCCACCTCAGACTCCTGCGAGAGAGGAAGAGGAGATTGACATGTCCATGATGCGGGAAGAAACGGTGGCAAGACCCTCGTCGAATGATGGAACCCTTCGACCGTCGACAGTACGGCAGACGACAAGCACCACCATAAACACCATGTTCGGAGAGGATATGATGTACGCCACTCTACCAACCAACTTCAACATCGATGGCAAATGGCAGCCACCTCACAACCGCTCTCCAGCGCAAGTGCAGCGGTATATCAAACGGATAATGCCGGTGCTGCTTGCAGACGCCCCACGAGCAAGCGACATTGTCATCAGCCGCGGTCAACGGATGAAGATCAACTGGAGAATGGAGTTACTCGAAGAATGGGAGCTGCAACCACCGAGCTACAAGTCACATGCCTTCAACAAGGATGCTGGCGGGCTTGTGAGGTCGAACTCGCAACGATCGGCCGCTGGCTCTGCAACGAACCCTGAGCCACATTCGTCGAGCTCAATCATTGCCAGCGAAGACGACGTAATCACTCCACTCGAGTCGGGAATGGAGAACCTACAACTTTCGAAGATCACTTCGACATCAACCAACAAGGGTGCATCGAACCAAGCGCCGATGCGGACTGTGACGAACCCCAAGTCACAATCGCCATACCACGCCAACCCCGAAGTACACGGTGTCGTCTTCTGTTTCTAGGAGGATCAGAAAGAATGACACCTGTACGATACTACCCACGAACTTGACGACATACCACGAACCATCCGAGTGGCCCAGACACCAACCGGAAAAAAAGGATGAGCGAAATGTATTTGGAAGGTCAAACACCTGACCACAATCTGGCTCGACGAACTGCATCATTATCATCATCAAACATTTTCATCTGTGCATTTCAATCATCGATCGCCATTCCACCACGACGTGGCAGATTTCAGCGAAGGCGTTGGGGTGGGGACTGTTTTCGAGAATGGGAGAGAGAGGATAGGAACTGTATCTAGCTAGCTGTGATCATCGAGGAGGAGAAGGAGGATGTTCATCACTATTCTGTGACCAACGAGGTCGTGTTTTTCGCTCTGTCGGAAGTCTATATATTGGAAGAGATACCCCGTTCGTTTTCAGCATTCAGCATCACTACCACTTTCCTCGCTTGCTTGCTTCGCTCACAGTCTCCCTTTTGACTCTCTGGACTAATATTTTCGACCGTGTCGTATTCGTCGAAGCGAGGGAGGGATGGATGGATACTGTACCGAAGGCTTGCGTAATCCTCCTGCTATGTAGCTACTACTACTGCACCTTGGTTCACACCCGAGGACGAACCGCTTCGCTTCTGTGCATGTGCTTCTGCTAGTTAGCTCGTCTGGCTTATCGTACTCCTCTCTACTAGTTCTAGTGCATGTTGAAACGCCGCATGGATACATACAAGGGCATTGGAACTATCGAAGCCCACATGGAGGAAGGATGCACAATCTAGACCTTTTGATAATTGACTGCCTTTCACGAGCGGTTTGGCGACGACAACCACCATCACCACCGCGGTCTGTCTGTCTGTCTATGTATGAGAGAAGAACGAGCAAAGTCGTCGTCCTGTCGAAACAACTCCATGTAACCACAAGGACACACCTTCCCTTCCATTCACTTGTTAACGCTTTCCACCTCAAACTTCTCCTCTAATAGCAAGCTTTCGATTTTTCCCACGGTTTTCCGGAAAGCCATCGAGAATAAGATCATCCTTTCAAGTCTTCCGTCTGAACGACCCGGTTCTGGATGACTGAAACGCAACTTGGAGGCGTGATCGTGGCTGTCAATCGTTTCATCGGCCTTCAATTAGTGAGGTGAAACGAACGTCGTGGATCATGGGAAATGCAACACAGCACGTCAGCTTCTCAACCTCAACTCAACCGACTTTCATCCATCGTTCATGTCGAGGTATGCTTGGCTGGCTGGTGTATTTTGTGATGAAGAGATAGGAGTTCGATGATTGATAGCTTCTGTTGATTAAGGTCTATACAGTAGTAATAAAATAAAAAATACTTCTTTCCTCCCATCCTCAGGGGTATCACCATCTGATCATGCGCTTTGCTTTGCTTTACGTTGCTCTCTGCAAATGTATTGTGTGTGCTCATCATGGACAGACAAAAAGTGTTACAAAAGATTTTCGTCCTTGAGTTCCCTTGGAGTTCCCCCCCGAGACGCCATCGCTAAAACAAGATCAAAAAAGCACACACAGATCTTCCCTTTCGTCCCTCCTTCTTCTTCTTTCTTCCCAACAGATCAGCGCTTGATCTGGTTCTGTACAGCAAAATAAATCCAACAAGCATCTCATCTCGTGGTGATTGACGAGATCAGAATAGGTTCATGATCAAGGTCAAGAGGACCAGTGCCCCAGCCAGGGTTGTTGAGGTTGTAATAGGTATTGAGGCAGCAGAAGTTGCCACGCTGGCTTCGACGAACGTCGGACCGCACGTCATCTGTACTTGCTCTGCAGCACCGGTGTAGTCTTTGCTAAGAGGTTGGCTGCTGTTGCTAGCCGTGGTCGCGAAGATGGCCATGGTGTTCTGGAGACACTGGTTGCATGCCGGTTTTGCTCCACCGGGGAGTTGCACGCCGAGGGGGAGGTAATAGATATAGCTCGACGACGGTGCGGATGCATTGGTGACGGCGTTGGCGAAGCAGTACTTGCCGTCGTTATCCGTCAAACATCCGGCGTGGTAGAGCGTTGGGTACGCTACGAAGCCGTTGTATGCTTGTGTCACCAATGGGTTCTCCATCTCTAGATCGGCACCACATTGGGCGTCTTCTTGAATCTCTTGAGCTAGCGAGGCCATGAGGGTGGAGCAGGTGTTGAAGTCGATGTTGCAGGTTGCGTCGAGGGTTTGGCTGAGACGGACGAGGGAGCGAGAAGCTGTGAAGAAGCTGTTGGAAGTCTAGATGAAAGCATTGTCAGTGATCGTTCCAATCAGTCATCTGATAGCGTTATTGCTCACCTGCAAAAGTAACGAAAGAGGCAAGCAATTCTTAAAAGTCTGATTGTTCAAAAAGGACGAGAAGAAGGTCGGACAAGTGGTCGAAGTGAAGTTGTTCCCCAAACTAGTATCAAAAGGCCGGGGGAGATCGGCGGGTGCGGTCTGAGAAGCTGTTGCAAGGCCGCTTCCTGTGGCAGTAGTAGTTGCTGTCGAAGATGAAGCATCGTTGTTCGTCGGTCGTATCGTCGTCGAAGGGATCATCGACGAAGATTCATCACCACCCTCTTGCCTCCGTTCCAGCAGCATTCGGGGAAGCGGTGGGGGTTCGCTTCGATCGAAGAGGAGCTCTCGCGGGAAGACCTCGCTCGCTCCATACACGCTCTGTGCATTTGTCCCTCGACAGAGGAACAGCAAACAAAACAACAGGACGAGTGACAGCTTCTGTGCGACGCTCCCAGGTCGTAGGCCAATGGATGGGGATGGTCGTCGTATTCGACGCCGTCGGGCCGGGGGCGGTCGTATGCGGTGACACAAGGCGGAGTTGGGCTCATTCCAACCTGGTAGTGCTGGCGGGCGACAACACAGCCATTGCTGCACTGCAGGAGGCGGGGTGCGTGTTGAGCTGCAGGACGAGAACGCGCGAGTATCCGTTGTCATCGCGCCTCCTCCCCTGCGCTGTGTCGCCGTCGCATGTCCAACTCGATCGGATATGCTTTCCGTGGTGGACTTTTGTAGATTGGAAGGTCGATGAAGTTGCCTGTCCAGTCGAGCTGGAGGTTGCAGAATTGTCTAGGACAGGTGCCAGGCAAGACAAAGCTGGCGGTGCCAGATGAGCGGTCGAGCACAACAAAGGCTTCGGTTCGAGTCGAATGAATGGATTTAGAAATCTAGAATCGGGGTCCCTTGCACCACGAGCACCGAGGAGAGCTGATCCGGGTAGCGGGCCGGGGTCAAAGATCAACCCTGAACGAACGTGTTCCCTCGTGTTGGCGGGAGACCGTTGCAGGCCGGCGACGACAACGACAACGTAGAGCGAGGGAAGAAGTCGGCGAAGGTGGCAGCAGATGGCGATGGGCAGCGATGTTGTAGTAAAAGGGAAAAGAGAAGCAACGTCGGCCGGCGAGCCGCATGTGCGTGTCGCAACGGGATAGTTCAACGGGCGCATATATTGGCAGGCCCCGTAAACGGGCATCCAGCTAATCCCACCCCCCGCCGGCTAGTGCCTGGCCGTCGAGCGCCACGGCGCCCGCAAGAAGAGAGTGGTCTGCTGCTGCTGGACGCGAGTGGGCGGGCGCGGGCAGCTTGGCGAGTTGTCTCTTGATCGGAGGTGGTGGTGGCGCTAGCGGAGCTTTCTTGCCTGCCAGGAGAGATTAGCTGCAGTGAAGGATGGCAGAGGATGCCACGTTTTGGGCAAGGCGTCAGTCCGGCGAGCACCACTCCAACACCGCACTCCCTCTGCGACTGGCCGTGTGTCTTCATTATCCAGAATTCCTCATGCCGCGCAGCCGAGAGGTCTAGAACACCAGGCATCGCTGCTCCGGGCGGCCTCTGCTCAAAGAGAGCGAGTGCACACCCACACGGTTCATTCATCCATGCAAGGGACCGGGCATCGCGCATGACGGATGGGTCATTTCAAGAACAGACAACCAGCTGAACACTCGCACAAAGAAAGCAAAACCCGCTGCTCGCTGCCATTGGGCGCGCGGACGACATCTCACTTCCACCGACGCCCCCCAGCCAATAAAGCCACCCGATCCCGCTGGATGGATGCATGTGAAGAAGCGTAGCGTGATGCCGTGTACATGCTCGACACCGTCCACGCGAGAAAATCGACGACAAGATCACATCACGAACACAACTTCCTTGTTGCCCGTTCGGATCGCAGGCAACTCCCCTGCTCGCCCGCTGCTTGCTCGTTTTTCTGCTGCTGCTCACTCGGCAAAGTGTGGTCCGTCATCCATGCATTCTGCTCGCTCGTGCATCCTTGTCCAATAGTCCGTTGAATCAATGCAAGAAATGCCCGGATGATATGGTGTGCTAGCCGTGGGAGCCGGACGACATCGATGGACGAAGAACAAGAATGTTGTTGTTCTTTCTTGGCCTCTTCGCATAGCTTTGATCAATCAAGTGATGGAGGGTGGTCACAACCAGAGTACTGGGAACGCGCACAGTCTTTACAGAATACAGTACCCGACCCAAAATTCTCTCTCCCTCCCCCATCTACCAAATCAACCACTGCACCTCAGATAGATTCGCGCATTTTCCCTTCTGGTCAAAAGACTTCTGTCCTGCTACCAAACTTCTCCCCTCGAAATCCCTTAATCTTCTACTCTCATTGAAACCTCACTCATGTGGTTCTTCATCAACAAGGACAATACACTCGATGATGCTTTTCTCCGGAGAGAAATCGTTCATCTGCTAGGTGTAAATGATTGGTCCGCCCAGACTTTCTTTGACCTACTGGCAAATTTCCTCGGGATTCGAATTCGTATGGCTTTCCTTCACAACCGCCATCAAAGCCTCCAGCGAGATGAAGAGGCCTACTCTGGCTTGCGGCTTGAACGACCGCTCTTCTCCTCGGCTGCACCATCATCGAGATCCATTAATTACACGAGAGTGAAAGCAGAAGCCGCGTACGCCCAGTCAACGTGGATGTTCGGGTCTTCTTTCGCGTGGGCTGGCTGGAATGATTTGTACTCCTCATGGCGGACCGCTTTCGTGGCTCCATTATCAACTCCAAGTGCGCGTCTCCTTCGCGCTGAATGTCGTTGCATTCATACAGCTTTCGCTCATCTTCCTGCCTATCTCGACCGCTGTCCAGCCCACCCGAGCAGAAGCGATTGGTATAAGTACATCGGCGCCTTTTCAGCTTCTTTCGAGCCCCTTGTTTGCCTCGAGCCAAAGGTTCTCCACTTTCCTCGGACCTGCTTTTTCGAATCGAATGCATCAAATCGGTGGAGCTTTGATGACCCCGTGGTCTGGCTTGCTTGCTTTCTTGCTCGCTTGCTTGCTCGATCGATTGCTCCGTCTCTCATATTCTCTCTCTTATTCTTCCTCATCAATATACCGCGGGTCGCCCTTAAAGACCCTATTCAATCTCCAAGTCAGCTTCTTGTTGCGCGACCAACTTCAATCTACAAATTTTCTAAGCAATGTGTCCTGTTAGACAGCGGGGGTGGATCAAGCAGGAAAGTACTTACAAGTGTGACTCGTAGTAGTCGAGTATCCTCTGTGGGCACTTGTTGCGCAGGGTAATCATCGGATGTTGTGTCTTGCGACCGTCGTTCCACTGGAGCATGCCCACTAGCGACTTGTTGGCGGCCTGCTTCTTGGTGCTAGTAGTAGCAGGCAGCTCATGCTCCTCGATGATTGCGGCTACAGTGCAGAGGTCTTCCCATAATCCCATCGGTAGCTCGTCCTTCGTGGCGGTCCCGTTCGTCTCGCTCTTTCGTCCACGCTTCTTGCCAGAGGGTGAATCCGCAGCAGCAGCGGACGAAAGAGAGCGCTTTCCCTTGCCTTTGCCCTTCGCTGGGGGTTGTGGAGTGCCGCCGATTGACGTGTGATATGCCTCCAAGATCTCTCTCGCGTTCTCCCTAATTCTCGGTCAACCGGTGTTCAATGGCCCAATGCGCCAAGGAACATACAAGTTGTCCACAGGCTCCCACGTCTGGTCTTCCTCTTTCTCCCACCCAAGCCACTTGACTCTGTACACAATCTTGCCGCGCTCCGTCTTGTGGCTGAGGATCTTCTCAACTTGGAACTCATCGTCGTCCTCCTCGTCATCATCATCATCTTCATCCTCTTCTACTTTGGGGTTCACTTTCGCTGGCCGTGCGGGGATCGCGTCGGGCACATCAAGATCGCTCTCGTCGTCAGACACGGCTGCTGGACGCACGTCAGCATCTGGAAAACTCATCGTCGAAGAAGCAGCGCGACTAACGAGGCATGTTGGAGCTTGTTGGGGTCTTGAGAGTCCTGGCGCGATCTGCTGCATGTGATCAATGCGTCACTAGCAGAGGGTAAATGCGAGGTTGTTGATGTGCGGCCCGCGGCGCAGTGGGTGAGGTGGTTAAGTGAAGTGAAGGAAGTGGTGGTGGTGGTGGAGGCAGGAGCTGTTCGAGGTCGCGCGCGGAAGTTGGTCCGTGCATCGACGCGAGGTTTGAAGCTCGAAAAGCTGTGTCCCGCGAAGACGACCAGAAACACCGCAGACTCCCGCCGACCTACCTTCCTCGAACATCTTCGCTCGCCGCTCACGGAACGACATCGAAGCTGAATACTCTTGACGCATACTGGGCTGTTGATATCGTGTGGATCGCTGTCGAGGCGTGGTTGAAACTAGAGAGCGAGTGAGCTGCCTGGTTGGCAGATACACTGAGAAAAAAATGGCCGGACAAGGGGGTCCTATGCGTGAGTTGCAATGACATGTGCGAGGCTACATCCAAACAAGGCTAACACGTGGCAGAACTCGACCTGAGCAACGGTATGTCCGAGCACGTGCTCGTTCACGAGTCCTAGCTAACAAGTCAAACAGCCCAGTTCACCCAGGACGAGTCTGGCAGACCCTTCATCATCGTGCGCGATCAAGGCAGCAAGAAGAGGACTCATGGAACGGAGGCAGTAAAGCAACACATTCTCGCAGCCAAGGCCATCTCAACCATCGTCAAGACTTCGCTGGGTCCCAGAGGTTTGGACAAGATTCTGATTTCCCCCGACGGAGACATCACTGTCACCAACGATGGAGCCACGATTCTGTCCCAGATGGAGATCAAGGACCACATTGCGAAACTTCTCGTCTCGCTTTCACAATCACAAGATGCGGAAATTGGCGATGGAACGACAGGAGTTGTGGTTTTGGCGGGAGCACTCTTAGAACAGGCATCAGAACTCATCGACAAGGGCATCCATCCCATCAGGATAGCAGACGGCTACGATGCGGCTTGCGAGGTGGCAGTGGCTGAGCTGGACCAGATATCAGATGTCATTCCATTCTCCAAAGAGAACACAGGCAACCTGCTCAAGGTGGCTAAGACATCGCTGGGCAGCAAGATCGTCTCCAAAGCCCACGACCAGTTCGCACAGATGGCTGTAGATGCTGTGCTGACGGTTGCGGATCTGGAGAGAAAAGACGTTGACTTCGAACTCATCAAAGTGGACGGCAAAGTAGGAGGTGCACTGGAAGACTCGCTGCTTGTTCAGGGCGTCATCGTGGACAAGGACTTTTCACATCCTCAGATGCCTTCGGAAGTACGAGACGCTAGGCTGGCTATCTTGACTTGTCCATTCGAGCCTCCCAAGCCCAAGACCAAGCACAAGCTGGACATAACGAGCGTGGCCGAGTTCAAGGAGCTGCAAAAGTACGAGCAGGCCAAGTTCACTGAAATGATCCAACAGATCAAGGACACGGGCGCCAACGTAGTGATCTGCCAGTGGGGCTTCGACGACGAGGCCAACCATCTGCTCCTCACAAACGAACTCCCAGCCGTGCGATGGGTTGGTGGTCCGGAGATCGAACTCATTGCTATTGCTACGAACGGCCGCATCGTCCCACGTTTCGAGGATCTCAATGCGAAGAAGCTCGGCAAGGCTGGTCTGGTTCGCGAGATGTCATTTGGTACCACACGCGAGAAGATGCTTGTCATCGAAGAATGCGCAAACTCGAGAGCGGTCACCTGTTTCATCCGCGGCAGCAACAAGATGATCATTGACGAGGCTAAGCGATCGCTGCATGACGCTCTTTGCGTTGTGCGTAACTTAGTCAAAGATGATCGCATAGTCTATGGAGGTGGTGCGGCCGAGATTGCCTGCTCGCTGGCTGTCGAGAGGGAAGCACTGAAGACGCCGGGCCTTGAGCAGTACAGCATGCGGGCTTTTGCCGATGCACTTGATGCTGTACCCATGGCACTCGCAGAAAACAGCGGCTTGAGTCCGATCGAGACGCTCTCGGATATCAAGGCGCGGCAAAGCAAGGGTGAGGGTAAGGGCAGGCTAGGCGTGGACTGCATGCAGACTGGGTCGAATGGTGAGTCAACATCTTCCATCCATGCTTATAACTGCAAACGCTGACGTTGAATACAGACATGAAGGAGCACTTCGTCATCGACCCTCTGATCTCCAAGCGCCAACAGCTTCTCCTTGCAACTCAGCTCTGTCGGATGGTGTTGAAGGTCAACAACGTGATCGTTGCCGGGTCTGACGAGAACGACTTCTAAATGCTCGACTCCTGGAAGACTGCTTCGATCTGTTGGGAGAAGTTATCCGCATAGCGAGGGCGCACTGTCACGACGTTTGGACAAAAGGATAGATCCCTGCACAAGGGAGGTATGTATACCGTACAGCGATTGTATGAAAAGCGGCCAATGACAAAAGCAAAGCCATCGATTCGACAGAGGAAAGAGAAGTGCTTTTAGGCGTAGTTCGGCCGGCCAGGAAGAAGTTGTGTGAATGAGCGGATAGTCGGCACGATTCGATGCATGTCGCGGTCAACATAACCTCAGTACGCTGTACGAAGAGCACCGTTACACCGACACCCACGGAGTATGCGATTCTCTTATCGTAGCATTTCTTTTCTTCTCTCTCTTCTCCCCACAACTAAACAAAGACTTTCGCTGTGTAACCTCCCCTCACTGCCCTACATCCAACCCTCTTGGCAGAGATTTTCACGTTCGCCCCCAAACGCCGATATCGCCACTAGCCCACCCACACCCCACTAGTCGATCTGGTTCCGCGATCCCAAGAGCCTGGTTGCATCAACCCTTCGCCCAGTCTTTCGCTATTTCCTCGCCTGGATGACAGTTAGACAGCCTGATGATGATAGTCGGCCCAAGTCGGCAGGCTCGACTTGTGTGCAAGAGTTAGACAGCGCGGCGACCACACTCATCGCGAGCGGGAAACGCAGTTTTGGCGAGGGGAAGAGTTATGCTGATGTGGAGTTGGAGGCTTTTGAGGAGAGGGAGAAGGTGAGGAAGAGGAGGAGGAGTTGGGATAGTGGTGGTAAAAGCGATGGGGAGGATGACGAGGATGAGGATGAGGATGAAAGATTGCTGGCGAGGACCGCATCAACCGGTCTCCCAGACGAAGGCGAGCCGGCTATCACGGAGAAGGACGACCGACCAGTCTCTTGGAGTTCCCTCCCGAAGAAGAGTCAACTCGCCATCCTGACCCTCGCGCGACTCTCCGAACCGCTCACGCAGACGAGTCTGCAGAGTTACATGTTCTACCAGCTCAAATCTTTCAAGAACCCCGATGGCTCGACTCCCAGCGACAGCACCGTCGCCTCGCAGGCTGGTCTGCTGGCTGCGGCCTTCACGGGCGCACAGTTCACGACGGCGATCATGTGGGGACGTCTGGCGGATTGGGAAGGACTGGGTCGCAAGAGGGTCATCCTCATCGGATTGCTGGGCACCACGGTGGGTAGTCTGGGCTTCGGCTTTTCGGAGTCCTTTGCCGTGGCGATTTTCTGGCGGTTTCTGGGAGGTATGTTAAATGGCAATATGGGCGTGATGCGGACCATGATTTCCGAAATCGTCAAGGAGAAGAGGTTTCAGAGTCGGGCGTTTTTGCTCCTGCCCATGACGTTTAATATCGGCGTCATCGTTGGGCCTCTGCTAGGTGGATTGTTAGCAGATCCCGTGGGGAGTTATCCTGGGTTGTTTGGACCTGGAGGGGCGTTTGGAGGCGAGAATGGAAATTGGCTGTTCACCCGTTGGCCTTATGCGCTGCCGAATCTCGTCAATGCGACCTTTCTGGCGATGAGTGCTCTCGCGCTGATATTTGGGCTGGAGGAGACGCTGGAGTCGTTGAGAGATAAGCCGGATTACGGCCTTCGAATCACCAGGTGGATCGGAAGGAACGTGTTCAGACGACAGCCGAGACCTTCAGACTACGATCCAATCATGGAGCAGGAGAATCCCAGCGATATCGAGATGGACCGGGGGGACCAGAAAAAGACCAAGACCAAGGCGAAACTGCCTTTCCGGAGGATCTGGACGCCGAATCTCATCTTCACGCTCATCGCTCATGGCCTCCTAGCGATGCACGTCGGGACGTTCAACAACCTCTGGTTCGTCTTCCTCTCCACGCCTCGATACAACCCGGACGGACCCAACAAGACGCTCCACCTCCCCGACAACTGGAAACCCCACCTCCCCTTCTCCTTCACAGGCGGTCTCGCCCTCCCCCCAGCCTCCATCGGCATGGCCCTCGCAATCCTCGGCACAATCGGCATAACCCTCCAACTCGCCCTCTACCCGCGCCTCTCCTTCCGCCTGGGAACCCTCCTCTCCTACCGCCTCGCCCTCCTCTTCTTCCCGCTAACCTACCTCTGCGCCCCCTTCCTCGCCATCATCCCCTCGACCGCCGCCCCGCCCACCCAGGCCTCCGGCCCCTGGCTCTGGATCTATCTCACTTTCATCCTGTGCATCCAGCTCATGGGCCGCACGTTCGCGCTGCCCTCCGCGGCGATTCTGGTGAATAACGCTAGTCCGCATCCGAGTGTGCTGGGGACGGTGCATGGGGTTGCGCAGACTGTTAGTTCTGCGACGAGGACGCTGGGCCCGGTTTTGGCCGGGTGGATATATGGCGTTGGATTGAATAAAGGGATTGTCGGACTGGCGTGGTGGTGTATGGCGGGCGTGGCGGTTTTGGGGAATTTTGCAGGACGGTGGGTTAGGGATGGGGATGGGCATGAGATTTGGTTGGAGGGGGATGAAGATGGGGAGGAGAAGGGGAGGAGGTGAGGTTGATTTTGAGGTAGTAGTGTAGATGTGGAATTTGATGCGATCGTCTCACGGGGTTTGTTCAGGCTGAGAGATCTTCTTCGTCATGCTGTGATCCTCTGCGTAAGCGTACCGCTTGGTGGAGCGGATTGTGTGTATCTCCAGAGCAGTGAGATGGGCGACCTCGCTTGGGCTGCGGTCATCAGCTCAGTCGTCCTCCAATCTGAGAGACAACTATCTGACATCGCTCGCGTAGAAAGACGGCGTAGGTCGAAAGCTGCCGGTTGGAGGACGATCAAGGCTTGAAAGGCTGACCGAAGCAAGGGGTCACATTCTATCTTTCACTTCACTTCATTGCTGATTACGTCTATCTATATGCTGTCTCACATTACTCTTGCTGCCGTACTTTTTACTTTCCAACTCCCCCCTTCGACGGGGCCATTCGCTTCGTCTATTCACAACGACATGAGAAAAGTCCAAGCAAGAAGGTAAAACATACACCGTCCCAATATCCAATCATTACATCCGATTCAAGATTCACTTGCTCTTCAAGGCTCAAAGCTGCCATCGACATTACACAGCCTAGGTAGCGCGCCCGGACCGCACTCCTGCCAGTCTTCAATCAGGTCGCAGCCCCACGAGCCGGGTAGGGTGGAGTCACCCCCGCGGTAGGTCGTGCGGTATGGGAAACGGCAGTGAGCGCGCTCGAACTGCACACCGTTGGCTTGTTCATCGTACCAGTACTTGGTGCCGATGATCGTCTCCGGGGCGATGCTGTCCTCGACCCAGTCCTGGAGGTACTGGATGATGTTGTGGCTCGCGACGCTCGCCTCGCCGTTCTGCCCGAACATCCACGCGCCCGCGCCAGAGATCCCGCCGACGCCGCAGTGGGCCATGCCGGAGATGCGGAAGAGGCGCAGGAAGTCGTCGAGGCCGGTGTTGGAGAGACCCATGGTCTCGGCGACCTTGAGGTAGTAACGTTGGCTGTTGCCTTCGGAGACGAGCGGGTCCGCCATGCCGTGGTACATGATCAGCTTGCCGCCGGCGCTGGAGAAGCTGGAAAGGTCGCCTGAGTAGGCGGAGACGTTGCCGTGGGAGGCGTCGAGTTTGTCGGCGCGGGCGTAGTCGGCTTGGTCCATGTCGAGGGCGCTCCAGCTGTCGTCGTCGAGGACGGCATATTTGTACCAGTCCTCGGAGATGGCTTGGACGGAGCCTGAGAGCTGACCAAGGCGGAAGGCATCCACTTGGGAGCCGTAGAGGAGTGCTGGGAAGAGGAGGTTGCCGGCGGTGTTGTAGAGCTCGGAGAAGACCTTCTTGACAGTCTCGACTTGAGTCTCAGTCAAGCCATAAGTAGAGTTGGAAAGAACGGAAGCGTCAAACTGGCAAATGGTGGGATCCTCAAGAATGCCATCATCGACGCCATCGAGAGCTGCATCGCACTGCGCAAAGATCGCAGACTGAACGGTAATCCAGTCGTCTTCGGTAAGAAATCTGTCGTCTGAAGAAGAAGTTCCGGTAAGTTGGACGAAACGACCGCTCCAAGCCTGCAAGTGGTTGAAGTCGGCCGCGGCAGAGCCTGCAATGATGCCGTCGAAATCCTCAGGATACATTTGCGCAGACTTGAGGCCTTGAGCACCACCAGCAGAACATCCAATGTAGTATGAGTAGTCCGGTGATTGGTCGTAGAATTGGTTGACGACCTCCTTCCCAGCAACAACGGCAGAGTGGCGAGCGCGGTACACCCAGTCAAGGATGACCTCGTTAGAACCAGCGAACCATGTAGCATCGAAAGAAGAACCGTTGTGGCCGGCATTGTCTCCAATGGCAGCGAAGCCTAACCCAGACACGTATTGCATGTCAACGTAATGCACGCATCCATTGACACCTCCGTTGTCTGTGTTCATCGTTCGACCATTCCACTCGCTGTTGCCCTCAGGAAGCCAGACTTCGATATAAGTCTCCGACTCATCGCTCGTCTCCACGGTCAACACAACTCGGCACAGGTCGACCTCAGGCGTGATCGTCGAACCGCATCCCGCAGTTGCTTGACCACCAGTGATTGTGATGGTCGAGTTGGCCGCATGGGAAACGCAAGATACCGGGCTGACCGGGAACTCCGAAGAAGGAAACGTCAAAGACGAACAAAGGTTCGAACAGCTGACCGACATGATCGTGGTATTCGAATTCGTAGAATTGGTCAAAGGCGTTGATAAAGAGCTCGCGGTCGAGCTTGCTTGTTGAATGGAAGAAGTCGCAGCAACAGGCGAAGATGTGCCGACGCTTGCAGATGTAGTGACTGAAGTGGAAGGAACTGGTACGACGGTCCCTGTCGATATCGCAGCGTCGATCGAAGTAGAAGAAGAAGCTGTAACGACAGCAAGGCTCGACGAAGCAGCGTCGATGCTCGAAATTAAAGTAGCGACCGAAGCAGAGATCGAAGAAGCAACGGCCTGTGTATTAATCGAAGTAGTAGCAGTAGTAAAAGCCGGGGGCTGCTGTCCCGGGGAGTTGGGCGAAGGAGAAGGGGATGGTGAGGGAGAAGGAAGGTGTCCGTTGTAGAGGTCGGCGAGCTTAGAAAAGGCCTGACGCAGAGCATTCTCCAGCTTGGCGATATCATCCCTCAAGAGCTGGATGGCGTCCGCACGGTTCGCGGCACGAGGCTGGAGGTGGTGGTTGCTGCTGCTGGGTACCCATGCCGCAGATGCAGCGCCGAGCAAAGAGAAAACGAGTGGAACGTCGAACCGCATGACGAACGGCCGACTAGCAAGAACGGAAACGAATGAAAACGAAAGAAGGACCTTGACGGTGTACGAAGCCGTCGAGCAAGCAACGAAACGAAGACGCGGATCAGCAAGAATGGTTGGAGGAAGGATGGGAGATCCGTTTTGAGCAGCAGAGCGTCATGGCCGAACTGCAGCCGCGTGCATGGTGCAAGGCCCGTTGAGGAAACGACCGTTTGTATCAGAAGACTTCACTCGCCCGTTTGCATGCGAGGGCAACGGATGCGGTGTAGTTTGCGGGTTCCTGCAGGAGAACGAGTCAAGGGAGCCTTGTTCGAAACCACGTCCACGACCCTGGTCATACAGATCCAATGGCGCAGGTCGGCTACACGAATCGGTCGTCACGACGATGTGTGCATCTGGCCAGCCTTCTTGTGCTGCCGTGGCTTCAGTTCAAGTCTGCAAGATGTCTTGAAATGTCGCCCCTGCCTTGACATGTCAGCATTGTCCGGATGGGATGAAGTCAGATCGTTCAGCACATGTTTGTCCATCACAACGGTCGGCAGCAACAGACCGAGACCGTTTGGCAGTGGATCCGGCTGGTTCGGAGCGCGTATCGTGGCTGTGTCCTATAGGGCGGATTATTAATAGTAGAATACTAGATAAGCTGGCATCTGTCGCGTAGAGAAGTGAAATCGACCAAGAAGAAATCCCTTCGCGTGGCGTCCTGCAAATCCGGAGAGGAGAGACAGAGGCTGGCAAGCAACCACTCGACATCAACATCACCTCTTCCCTCTTGCATGTGTGCATTGTCGCACGCACGGCTGTTTGAACAAGCGAAGCTCACAGAATCAAGCTCAAAGGTTCCTTGCAGGATTGCATGTGATAGATTAAGAGAGAGATTGCGCTGGATGTGGGAACAGGAAGCAAAAGTGGAGTTTGAGCCCCCCTTTCCTTTCCTTCTTTTTCTCCGTGTGGGTTTCCTCCTTAAGCGCGATGCATTCAAAATCTCCATCCTTGACGTGCATCATCGATAGTCTTTCATCAATAGTTCCCCCTTCGCTACAAAGATATATACCTGCTCGAACGGCGTATCGCCTTCGCCTACACGAAAAAACCGCGCATTCGTGCGAACTTTTCATGGATTCTTTTTTGCAAGCGACAATGATGGAACGCCACAACCACGAGATGTGTTACGCACTGTACCACGGCCTTGTTCGGCGACTTTTGCACGACACGGGGGCTGGGAAAGAGAAGGGAGGCTGCATGACTTGCAAGCGTTTGCCTGGACGTGCCTGACTCTTTCTCTCGTGTTTCTTTGGCCCACTGCATCCACAACTGCAGTGCAGTGCAGGTCTTTGCTGGCGCTCGTATCCGGGACCAAGTTTTCTGGCCTTTCCACATCGACGGGTGTTCTAGGGTAACTGACGACGGTCTGGTTGATGGCGTTTGGCTGTTGAGATGGGGGCGGGAACCAGACTCATACCTATCGTTGCCACTTCTTGGGGAACATCACTTCTTCCGCTGTCTCGATCAAGTCGCTTTGTTGCTAATACGAATTTCTCTCTTGTACAAATCCAGGCCACCCAGCGCCATTGCTACCCAACATTGAAGCACATACCCTACGTCGTCCGTTCAGGGTTCAGGTTTTGATCATGACCCGTACAGCTTCCCCCTCTGCTCGTGCCCGCCATGATATCCGGTATCATACTCAAACTGCTGCTCCGGCACAGCATACCCTCCCGCCAACGGCGCAGCAGCCTCGTTGTAAGGCCCAGTCGATGGCCTTGGTGCCTCCCAAGCTTCGCTCTCGCGCGTGTGCATCGCGTGTTCGTCATCGGTGAAGGGACCGCGCGTGGCCTCCGGTCTGACGCCCCGTTTCGCTGGCCCATCAATATCATGCAGCCGGTAGACTCCGCGACGTGTTTGCTGGCGATGCACAATGATATCCAAAATCAAAGCCATAATAGTCGACACCCTGCCCAGCGTCAGCCCATGCCCTCACCACAGCCCACGAAATGTCATGTATACTCACAGTCCCAGCAAAGTAAACGTAAACAGCGCCTTATAAATCCTACACACCATAACCCCGACCTCCTCATTCCAATGCTCCACATCGCACATATTCGCCAGCGTCCCGCTCATATACCACGTCAGAAGCGACCAGCTCAGCGCCCAGAGCACAAACAAGCCCGAATTGATCACGAGGTTGAGGCGCGGGTTCAGGCCGATGCAGCAGTGGAGCACGATCGTGAAGAGCAAGGCGGCGATGCTGAAGAGGGAGGCGGCGGTGAGCTGTAAGTACCAAATCTGTTAGCATAGCATGAAATCCTGTTTCGCGCTTCTTGATCTCACCCAAATGAACGTCCACGGTGTAGACCAATGATCGTGCGTCAAGTGCCAGATGAAATAGCACATAATCCCCCCAACCACGCAGCTGCTGAGCAATTGGAAGAATCGCACGGCATGGAACATGAGTTTCGGGTAGTGCGAGGGCGCGGTTTTCGCGCGGCGGTCGAATGGGTTGAACATCGTGTAGATTTTCCTCCTCTCGTAGTATAATCGGTAGAGGGTTAAGAGAGATGCGGTATTCGTAGATAAGGGAGAAGGTAGAGATATCGCGTGATAGACAGGTAATGAACGAGGTATGTGTGATGATAACGAGAGTGAGAGGTTCGAGACACAGTCTCCAGAACTTGGGCGATTTACCGCAGCACGACGACGACTGGTGCGTGATGCGAAGGACGAGGAGACTTGAGGAGATTATTGGGGGGGAGATGTTGTAGTAGGAAGGATTTCAGGCGTGCAAGGAGAGACTGCCGAGCTGAAGCTGGACCCCTCGAAACAGCAAGACTACGATGAGCGATCACCCAGACCCAGACCGGGAGCTTTATTTAGGTTTAGCTTTCCCCCGGCTGACAGAGGAAACGCGTGAACGGCACGTGTCGTATGGTTTTCGTGGTATGGAGATTGCGTTGTTGGAAAGAGGTAGTATTCTCCGTCAAAAGATATATTCGTAAAGCAAACACTTGCTCTGGATTCCACTACCAACGCCATCGCTTGGAACGCAGCAAATTAAATCAGCTTTCTCTCACCACATTGTGCTGGACTTCTTGTTCAACTTCTTGCGCTCCTCGGGCTCGTCGCTCGAACTCCGTAGCCCGAAGAAGCTCTTCTTCTTCGATGGCTTGCTTGGCCCGGAAACGTTTAAGGAGCTTGCAGACGGGTTGGCGCCCGACATCATGACGGCACTACTGCTCGCGCTGGGCTGTACGTACAAGCCATTGCTCCCTCGCTGTGGCTGAGGTCTGGGCGGTTGAAGATTGACTTGCGCGCCTTGTGGTATTGGTTGCATGTATGGCCCATTGTTGCGCCTGGAGTGAGCACTATTGGGCTGTGGTCTTGGAGGTGGTATAGGTTGCACGCCGAATTGCTTCCTCAATCGCTCTGTCTCTTTGTCGATCTCGGCTTGCTTGCGTCGTGCCTCCTTCTCCTCTTCCTCGACCATCCTCTGCAGACGTTTACGCTCGGCTTCGTCGGCCTTCTCGCGTTCCTTGCGGATACGTCGCTCTTCTCTCGCCTCAGCTTCCACCTGCGCTCGCAGGCGTGCGGTTTCCTTGTCCTCCTCCCACTGCTGTCTCGGATCTGCCATCGGCGGTGGTCTTGAAGCAGAGGCCTGCTGGGGTGTCGTGGTCTGTAGTTTTGGTAACGAGTTTCTCTTCGCATCGTTTCGGCTCGAGGGTGGCTGTTGCGTCGGAGGTGGATGGTGTCCCAAAGGGTTTGGAGTGCCTATGATGCTGACAGTATGCTGGGGGTTGGAGAGCTTTCTACCACCTCCCGACAGCTTCCTCACATTGGGAACATCGCTAATGTTGAAGACATCTCTCAGGCTGTCCTTGCTGGCAAAGAAGAGGTCCTTGATAACCACCGCACCCAGCAATAGCACCACCTCCAAACCCTTCGGATCCTCCAACTCCAGTCTTTGAATATTTGGCTCATATATCGTAAGCTCGCGCATACTCCTCCACAGCGCAATCGCAATGTCAGGATCTTTCCTGCTCTTCTTCTTTTCCAAGCGATCCGAGCTCGTCCCAGTCATATAGCAAGTCAAGTCTTTACTCAATTTGCTCTCCTTCCTCCACACAAAGTTGATCTTCGGAGTGATGGCCAGACTTGCGGGGTCGCTCTGTCCTCGATCGAGGTTGCTCGCGGAAGGGGTGCGAAAGACGCTCTGAGGCAGAGAGAACTCGTAGCTATCTGAGCCACCCCATTTGCCATCCTTGACCTCTAGTCGTACCTGCTGGTCCGGCGCGTAGAGCTGGAGCACAACCTCGTGAGGGAGGATGGGTTGTGGTGGTGGAGGTACGCCTCCGTTCTTCCTCAGCTCTTCCGCAGAGAGGGTCGGCTGGGTCCAGGCTGGTCGCGCGAGTACTTCTCCATATAGGACGTCAGGGTTGTAGGCATCGAACAGGGCGGCGCCATAGCAGTTCTTATGCGTAGGTAAAGTCGACGCTGGATCGGCATTGTACAGCGCGTAGCTAGGGGCGGGTTCGCTGCCATGGTGCGACTGGAAGATATCTCTCTGGTGCTTAACACCACTCGTGGACGGCTTGAGAAAGAAAGCGGGGAGATTCTCGTCCAACATGGCGGTCGTATCGAAAGTGTAATTTGGCAGCCTAGAATGGCATCAAGGAGTCAAGATCGGTGTCAGGTCACGTCGCGGGCGAAAGTTGAAAGCAGCGGTGAAGGGCGTCGCATCGCGTGACCAGGAGGGAGGTATAGCAGCAGAAAAGGTCTTTTGATCAAGAGAAAGAGGCAGCCTGGTGAGACAGGGCCGCCTTCAACACCGCCGCTTGGCTGTGAGGCTTCTTGCGAATCATATGACGAAGCGTGCTGCTAAAACGGGATGTTGGAGTGAATCTTGCGCCCGCTTTCGGCTGATCGGCAGACGTCTCATGCGAACCATCTGAACTTGCGTCCTGCTGAAACACCTCCTCCTCTACCCATCGCCACCACCAATGAAAAATCTCATCACACAGTGGCAACACTTGCAAATGGCTCTACACATCTTGTGTCCAGAATGCCTCGATCCCTTCACACAAATCACCTCCTCCCCAAGCCCCCTCTCCGTCAAAACAAAGGCCGTCCTGCACAGCCCACCAGCAGCCCCTCACGATTGTCTCTTGATGAAGCCGCCGACAAGAGCCTAAGCTACAAAGGTCAGCAGCCATTGAGGCTTGTTTCAGCTAACTGCTCCCCTCTGCCACGCGTCAAGGAACATACCTCCGGCTGGAAGAACGTAAGGGCATCTCGCTTTCTCATGCCACGCGGGACGTCAAGGATCGTACGTGAGATCGTATAGAGTCCTTGGACTGCGAGTACGCGCACTGCCAGCTGAGTATCTGCACCAAGGGCACAAGAAGGGCATCCACCGACCGCTCAACTCTTACTCGACTCGGTGCCTAGGCATTTGACTGACCTCCCGTGGATCACTCATGAGCAAGCCATCGACGAGGCCTCTATCAAGCCGCCATACTCCGGTTCCCTTCGATGATCAGTAACAAAGATGCTGGAGAATATTCCTTGATGCCTCAGGACTGGCCAGATACTCAGAAACCAGAACAGACCAACGTCTCAGCACGATTTCGTCTCTTTCTCATTAACGGAAGTCTGATTGTACGCTGTAAAGTGAACGCCGTCTCCCCTATCCCCATTCAATACCAAAAAGCCTCATGCTTCTTCATCTCCCTCACCTTAAACCCCGCCTCCTTCATCTCCTTCACAGCCTCCGGTCCCCTACCAAAACACATCAGTCTCCATTCACCTCATCCACACATGAAAAGGAGAAAACGTCAAACTCACCTCGTCCCAACCTGCGTACTCAACCGCCAAGGCACATCCAACTTATCCATCACAATCTCCACCACCTGCACGCCCTTCGGACTCCGCACACTCTCCAACTTCAACACCTCCTCGAGCTGCTCCTTCGTCTCGCACCGATGGAAGTTCTTCTTCGCCTCCGAGGGCGACATGTTGAAGAAAGGGAGCATATGGGAATAATCGAAAGGGACGATGTCGTTATAGCTCTGATGCGCGCCGTGGATGACGCGTTCGATGGTGTAGCCGGCGTTGTTGATGAGGAGGATAATCGGTGAGAGGTTCTGTTTGATCATGTTGCCGACCTGGATCATATCAGCATTCGTCACATCTCCCTCACTGGGATCTCGCAAGACTCACCTCCTGTATCGTCAACATAATACTCCCATCCCCGGTAATGAGCAACGTCCTTCCCCTCTCCCTCTCCCCCTTCCCATCCAACTCCACCAACGCCATCTCCGCCCCAAAAGCCGCCGGCGTAGCATAACCGATACTCCCATAGTACGTCTGCGTAAACCAATCGACGTTTTCCGGAAAAGTTACATCGGGAATCCCAAACGCCGCCGTGCCCGTCTCGCCGAAAATCACATCGTGCGGCCGGAAGAAGTTCTGCGCGAGGTATGTCCAGATCCAGGACTGCGTGATGAGTTTCGAATCGTGGTCGTCTTCGAGGTCCGGGTCCGGGAGGGTGGGTTTGGAGGTTTTGGGGAGGTGGGAGGGATCGAGCTGTTTGAGGATGGATGTGAGGACGTACTTGATCGGGGTGTGTGAGAAGGAGTTCTTGCCGTTGAAGATCTGGACGTCGTCGGTATTGATGTAGATACCTTTCTCCGGGGCGACTTTTCGTGTGAAGCCGCCGGAGTTGGTGTCGGAGGGGAGGTTTCCTAGGGTGAGGACGACGTCGTGGGTTTCGAAGGCGGATTCGACGCCGGGGGCTGAGGCGAGGCCGTCTATCCACGCGGAAGGGTATTAGCCACCTGGTTCGCATATGCCTTCTACCCTTCAGACTTACTGTATAGACCCAGGTAGTTGGGGTTTGTCTCGTCGATGATGCCTTTGCCCATGTTGGAAGTATAGGTCAAAATCCCAAGCTTATCGACCAACTCCCTCGCTTCGGCAGTCGCATTTCGTCGATTAACCAGGCAATCAACGAACAACCCCGGGGATTTGCTTGCATAGATCGCATCGAGTACAGCCTTCGCCGCTTCATCAACAGTCGTTTGATCGAACCCCGGCTCCAAATCCAGGGGCGTCTCCAAAGCCTTCGCAGGAACCTGTCGATCAACCAAATCAATCGGCACAAAGATATACACCGGTCCAGACTTGACGAAACACTCCCTCAACACCCGATCAATCTCCTCAGCAGCACCCTCCTCGCTCTGAAGTTCAGCAGCAGCGACCCTAAACTCCCTCGAAGCTTTCTACAACAACACCATACCGTAAGCCAACCGCCACTATGAAGGAGATGGAACAACTCACACTAAAAACCCCATGATCCGGCCCAAACCCAACACTATGATGAATCATCATCCTCTCGCTCTGCATGCGCCGACTCGTCTGCCCAACCACATGAATCACCTTGATCTGCTCCGTCATCGCCCCGGCGATCGCATTCAGCGCACTCAACTCCCCGACCCCGTGCGTCGTGACCACACATCCCGCGCCTTGCTTGACGCGCGCGTAGCCGTCGGCGGCGTACGCGGCGTTGAGCTCGTTGGTGTTGCCGACCCAGGAGAGGTTCGGGACGGGGTAGATGTGGTCGAGGAGGGTGAGGTTGAAGTCTCCTGGGACTCCGAACTGAAAGTGGAGGGTAGAAGGTCAGCGAATGTGTTGGACACGAAACGGGGGACGTTCTGCCCTCCAGTATACGTACGATTTTGGTGATGCCGAGTTGGGCGATGCGGGTCCAGAGGTAGCGGCCTAGGGGGATTGTGTCGTTGGGCATGGTGATGTTGTTTATGTTGTCTTCTTTCTAGTGAGTTGAGAAGGGAGGGGAAGGCGAAAGATACAAGATCAAAGAGAAGTACCCTCGTCCAGTTGAAAAGATATAAATCCCCCTCTCGAAAAGGAAGTCAAGGACGAAGAAACAGCGAAGTTCGATCTCGGAGTCGCAAGCCGTGAAAGAACCCGATTGCCAGAGTTGCAAGAAAGGAAAAGATCAATATCGGCCGTAAAGAAAACCGTCAGCTATAACGACCTAGCAAGGTGATGTCGCGAGGTAAAAGGAAGAACCCAAACCCGCAATAGCCATCAATATCATATCAGCACGGAGCAGTTGGCACAGTATGTAAGGTGAATGATGAGGAGAGAGCTCTAGTGGATCCTTTCCCCCATCCTTCGTCGGCTATACGCCTGGGAACGACGGCAGGAGTTCCTGCTGCGGCATGCAAGCAATTCGGCAAAACTCGGGTATCGACGGCTCTTGCCTGCCCGATTCGCATACATACCAACGAATGGATATGTGAGAGGTGTGTCGTCCTTGGATGCCGAATGGAGAAGTGGACTGACATGCCCTGATGTGTTTTGATGCTGATGACCGCCAGACAATTCCTCATCGTGATTCATGGAGGCGATTAGCCATGTTCTCGCCTAGTTGTACCACGCAAGATTGCGCTGACCGAGGCCTTTGTTAGGTCTCATGAAGGCACCACCCGCCTGATATAATGCTGCCTGGACGCTGGCAACATCCTCGCTCAGTTGCCTCGTCTCATCGTCCATGACGCCGCTAACTTCGTCTGGGCCAGAGCCGAAAGGCACTTCGTCGACCTTGCAGGTTGTGTTGACTGGAGGCAGCTCTCCCTGCAGAGAAGATGTTAGAAGACTTCCTCATCGCGAATGCGTTGTAGCTTACCGTCTGGAAATACTTCCTCACATATCCCACTGTACACTTACTCACCGAAGCAAGCGTACAATGACCCGGCGAATCCTGCGTCAGGACAACAGCGTCCTCAAATCCCTTCGACATCTTCTTCGCAGCCCGCAGAGGTGTAACCGGATCCGCAGTATTCCCAAGCAGTAGGACCGGATGGCTCGTCTTAGCCTCCCAAGGCGCCGTGAAGCGGTGGTAAGGTCGAACATTATAGTGTGCACACGCCAAACGAATCATCGCCCATTCAGGTCCGATGGTGGGTGAAAGCTTGGTGAGGTTCTTGATATGCTCCTCGAAAAGTGGACGATCGAGGAATGACTGATCTTCGCCATCGGTGCACGCAATTCCCATACCGGCATCGGGAGACAATTGTGTGGTATCGCTGGTTTTGTTGCGTAGGGCATCGCTGATCGAAGGGGTGTTGCTGCATCCAGGGCAAGTGAATTTGTAGTAATCCAGCAGGAAGTTTGCAAACCACACTGCATCGCCCTTTTCGATACTAGCGAGCATGTTGGCTACGAAGGGGAAGGCCTGCACGGGAGAGTAGAGCGAGGCCATTATGAGACTTCTGACGTCGCTGTAGGAGATGACTTCTGGGTGACATTCCTGGACGACTGGCAGTGGGTTGTGGTAAAGGCTCTCCAGAATGTTGGCGAACCTCGCTTTGACGCCTTCTTCAGTCGTCTTCCCGGTCTCGTTCGCCAGGGTGCACGTAGGGTAGCCGACTCTGGCGCAGTGATAGTAGAGAAGGCCCATGTCTCGCTCAGTGTCGACCAGATTGTCGAACCATAAAGTCTGTCGGTAGTCGTAAGCATCCACAACTCCGTCAACCACCAAGCGATGAATCTTGTCCGGGAACATAGCAGCATAAGTCAACCCGAGGTACGTCCCGTATGAGAAGCCCCAGTACTGAATCTTCTCTTCGCCCTTGACATATCTCACCATCTCCGGAACCTCAGCACAAGGCATATCATTCTTCCTCGCCCTCGAACAAGCACACCCCTTCCCCAGCAGCCTCGCAGCCTCCTGCTCCCGCCAAGCCCCATGCGCCTCAATCAACGAAACCATATCCCTCGCCACCGACGCCGTAGTAATATACTGCCTAACATCCGCCTTCCCATCCGGCAAAATCGAACAACTCAACCCATAAGCCCCCATCATCGACCACAATCTCCCAATACTCGCATCCGAACTCCCCAGCGTCCCCTCCTCCCGCACCCTCAAAAGCCAACTCTTCGCCTCGCAATCATCCTTCACACACCGCATCTGCGGCGAACTCGCCCCCACCCCACGGGGATCAAAGCTGACGATATCAAAGAACTTGCCATCCTGCGAGTCGATGAATTTCTGAATCTTGCCCCCGGCTCCGAGCGCCATGCCGATGCCTGAGCCGCCGGGGCCTCCGGGGTTCAGCAGCACGGCGCCTCCGTAGCGAGGATCCGTGACGGGCACGGCGGCCGGTCGACGGATCACTGCGAGGCCGATGGTGTCGTTCGTCGTGCCGTTCCAGTAGTCCATCGGCAGTTCCAATCGCGCACATTGGAAATCCCCGTGGCAGCTTTCGTAGGATAGGTGCGGCAGGGCGGGAGCTGTGTCCCAGCTGAACTGCTTCTTCTCGTGACATGGCTTGTTTGGACTGGTGGTGCGAGACCATGGCGCCGTCCAGGAGGTGTTGGTCTTCCAGAAGTAGCCGATGCTTGCCACGCAGCCCAGGATGAGGAAGAGATGGAGCTTCACTCTGGATTGGCGCTTGAGTGGCGGAGGGGAGGTGGTGAGGAAAGGCTCTTTTTCCATCTTGATCCACGGCCTGCGTGTTGATGGTATGGCAGTAGGTGTCGGAGGAGGTTTGATAAGTGATCTTCAGATAGCGAGCAGCTTCTCTCAAACGTAGGTGTTGTCAATCGCAAGGTCGATCCTCGTAGATGGGAGAGTGCTGCCACAAGGTGTATAACTTTGAAGTGACAAGAGTTACAGGTACACACCAGGCAGCGACATTTGAGTAACGGCGAGTGATTATTGATAGGACTGCATCTCGCAGTCTGCGTGCATCACTCCCCCGCCGCCGCGGCCGTGCAGCTCAACGGCGATTGTGAAGGATTGTGTTGCAAGCTCAGCTCCATCGCGAACTCGAACTCCGTATCCGCAAATGCGCCAAGAAACCTTACCGTACCTCACGTGGATCGAAGACAAAGAAACCGGTGAAGACAGAAGCTGGAATTATGCAGTGGCATTAATGTGATTTCCGTCGAGGAGACGTCGAGACAGTGGATGGTGTTAAACCCTACATGTGATCCCCTCCGCTTCCTACATGTCGGCAGAAATGTCGTGTTCCCTTGCTCCTCTCGCCATGCAGCTCTTCCTGTTCCAAGAAGTGGAAGCAACGCCGCGAAAATGCACTCATGCAGTGCCTCAAAAGACCTCGTCCTCCGTGTCTCCATTTTGGCGTAAATCCTCAATGTCTTTCGCTCGGTGCCCATCTCTACTCGTCAGTCTTCTCCGGCCAATCCCAGACCGTCTTCAAGAACTGTGTCATGTCTACCCGTTTCGTCTTCATTTCGACCATCCAAGGATGCTTCATGATATGCCAAGGTGTTGCTCTCCTTGTGGAATCCTTTTCAAGACTGCATCTCGTTAGCACGTGCTCGCTCAATCGACTCATCAATGACTTACCAGCACTCAATGAAGTACTTGAAATTGGGGCTCCATGTTAAACTGTTCTCGGGCTCGTCCTTTAGTTTAGGAATTGGCTGGCGAACGATATATGTCAAAAGATCGATGAGGCCAGCTCTGGGGTTCATCTCCGTCCCGTCGGCCGGGAATGGGAATCGATGTTGCGCGACTTCCAGTAGCGTCACGCCCAAACTCCAGACGTCACTGGTGATGGTATAGCTCTGGCCAGTAATCCGCTCCGGAGCCATATAATAACTGGTCCCGATGAATGTGTTCGCATCCCCTTTCGTACCGAACTCTCCACTCACACCAAAGTCGCAAAGCTTCACCTCTCCTTTTCGTGTGAGCAGGATATTTGAAGGTTTGATGTCTCGGTGTATGATGCGGTGGCCGTGAAGGTACGTAAGTCCGTTGAGAACGCCTTCGGCCACCTTGCCCAGCACCTTCTCGCCAGTTCTGCCTCCAAGCTTTTTGACTTCTCGGTATACGCTATCAAGCGATCCACCTTCGCAAAACTCCATGCTGATACCAATAGTCCCACTCGTGTCGTCCATGAAGGCGCCGTAGTATTGGCAGATATGTGCCGAGGCGCAAGATTTGTTGAACGAGAGCTCACGAACGATTTGTTTCTTCACGTCCGGATTGGGGTCGGTCGTGATGATCTGTCACATGTCAGCCACCCAACCACGACTATTCAAGGCACAGACTCACCTTTAATGCGAAAACAGTCTTGCCGCCTTTCAATATGCATCGCGTCACTGCACCTCCCGCACCCTCACCTAAGCTGCCCAACTCTTGAATACGACCTTCTTTCTTTGCCGCTTTCCACCCAGCATCATCCAGATCTTCCACATCCAGCGGCCGGCCCTTCTCCAATGACAACTTCTCCAGATCTGGCAGCAAACCCTGCATGCTGTCCCCACGCTCCATCCCAACACCTGAATGTGCCGAGCTACTGCTGTATAACGAGCCTGTCGCTGATTGTGGGTCCTTGTTATCTCGTAGCATTTCCATGAAGTTGAGGGCCGAGTATGACGAAGCTGCCGACGATGTAGGATTGGTGGTACTCCCGCCAAAGCTGCCTGTCCGGCTATGTGCAGAATCATCACTGCTACCTCCACTCGCGGACAGTCCAGGAGCTATTTGTAGGGGCGGTCCTCTTCTTCGAGTTTGTGCATTCTCTTGTGGGGTTTGTGACGAGCCCATCGGGGTTGCCAGCTGGAGTTTAGGCGGCTGCTGTCGAGCTGGGATCGCCAGCGGTGGGAGGGCACCAGTGTTTTCCGACATTGGCGGCGCTGCAGTACTGTTCACAGGCCTTTGATTGGGAGACGCAGGTATCGCCAAACCCAAGCGTGGCACTCTGCTCGCAGACTGCTGGCGGCCTTGGCCTGGAATCGGCGGCCGCAGTAAAGGCGCTGGTGAAGCCATATTCGATCGGTCGTTGGGGTCGAGTGAAAGGTGTTGGTCGGCCACGGTGGGCAGAGTGCAGGCGGCTGTCGAAGAGGTGCTCACAGCCCTCTTGACAGCCTGCGGCGCGGTTCAGCTCGCGAGGTGGATGGGCTGACGGTGGTGCGTACCACTATCTTCGAGCGGGCGTCGTTCTGGGCGACGGAGCGTTGGACCTGAAGGACGATATCCGGCTCTGAGACGTTAATATGCGGTTGAAACGCGCGGGGCGAGGTGTCTGGAACGAGCGAGTGGGTGCGTGAGCGGTGCTGCAGGCCTCCGGTTAACAATGGCTTTGTGCTGGGCAGTGGGGTCCGGCTGGCTGGCTGGGTGCCGAGATGGTGTTGCTGGAGCGGTGGTGCGGTGGTGGCACGAATGTCTGGAGCAGCAGCAGCAGCAGCAGGTGGTGGTGGTGGTGGTGGTGGTAGTAATAGTGGTGAGGGCGGCACAGTCGTTTGTCGACGGTGCAGAGCTAGCCGTTGGTGTCAGCGGGCTGACTGCTGCAAGAGGCCACCTCCAACTCAGACGCCGACAGGGACGGGGACGTTTGTGCCAAGCTTCTGCCTGGGCCGGGAATGACGCCGGGCTGCAGAGCAACAGCGGCACGAGAAATGGCGATTTGCTGCTCGACCACGCGCTGCTTTGCGACCGACACCTGATGTTGTGGCCAGGAGGGTGGTGGTGATGGGAGGAGGAAAGACAACAACTCCCAGCTGGGGGCCGGCGCTCACGGCTGATCGGACAGGTTGTTGTCGTCGTGTTGGGTTGGGGCCAGGCAGAGACGTGGGCCAATCCTAAGCGCCGTGACGACTGTGGTTTGGGCAATGAAACATGCGCGACGCACCACTGACGCCCGTCTGCAATAAATGGCCGTCGCAGATGCTTCCCAGCGATGCGCCGTACGAGCGATTAACAGGGCCAGCGTGTCACACGACTCTGCCTCTGCTTTATGACGGTCGACGACGATTCCGACTACGCTATAAACACCCATCCGCCCATCCATCAGCACACGGCAGCAGATGCGGCAGGCGAAGGAGCACAATGCCTGCCGCCGTCCTGCGCAACGTGGTGAGGATGATGCACCTCGCCGACGGGCACCAGCTGCAAAAGGCTATCCTGCACGGTAGGGCTGATGGTGCTGGAGAGAGACACGCACCAAAACGCGACCCTCTCGGTGTACTCGCCGACGCGCTTCCAGCGATTGAAGCTGACGGCGCAAAAGCTACCTCGAGCTCCTCGTGAGGAGCCCGCCTTACGAGCACCTCCAACTGCAAAACCACGCATAAGCGCTGCTTTCTATCCACACCGGCCACGGCTTTCTACCGCCCCTGACGAGCAGGCACTTGACCGCGTCTTTGGCCGGTCGAGAATACTGACATCACCTATTCTTACGGTCTGCCTCTAACACCGCAAATCTTCTCTGCTGGCAATTCCCAGTAGTGGCCAAAGCAGATCGTAAACGAGCTGACGAATTGTACGTACCGGCTGCCAACTCATTCATATTCTCCGGCCATGATCACCGGCAGCGGTGGCCGTTCCCCTCGGAGATATTACGCCAATGTGTTGGAACTGTTGGCTAGACGCCATCCCGCCAGTCTGGGGATCCCTCAACATCGAATTGCCTATGATCCGTGGGCAGTCTAGAACGCCGCGCCCGGAAGCATGCTGGACCACGAAGCGATTCTTTCCAGTCTCCGTACCTCGACCAGGATCATTGAACATCACGTCCAGGGACCACCTGCGTGTCATCATCCGGTCGTTCTCGAGAGGCGCGATCTACGGATACAGCAAGTTGCATGATGACAGGTAGTCGCCGATCCGGCATATGTTCATGAAAATGCAACAAGCACCATAATAATCAGGATCTACCTGGAATGCATCTTCCTGTCTGAACGCATGCCAAGCAAGAGATGTCACTGCAGCGGCACGCCTCATCTGGAGCATCCGTAAACCTGGTTGTGGGTTTCGTCTCGCCAAACTTTGGCCGTGACAACAAGGGCTGTCCTAGTTCATCTTGTGGTACCTCCCACAAGCTTTCGGCATTTGGACGTCGAGAGTTTCGGACTTCCAACCACTGCAAACAAACGAATTGGACCAATCCAATCCGCATACCACATCAGCACGCTGAGCTTCTTTTGTGGCTGCTTATTCGATTCGTTCAGCTGTCTCTCTCGTACGACGTGGTGTGGACATCTTTGGCAGACTGGTTTCTTCACAACCACGCGTCCATCTAGAGTCTGATGAGCTGGCGTCAACTCAAGCTGCTATTAGCGTTCGGACAAACATACCACGTCGGCAAATGCGTAGGTAATGTCATTGCCTTCCACGCCGGCAATGCCTTATCGTCAAATGAGCCAGAGGACCAGCCTGCCCTTGGCCATCGTCATCATATATCAGCTCGTTCCTTCGTCGAAAGGGCACAGCAATAGCTTCACGCGATGTCTTCAGCTAGTCTACTATTGAAGTCACTTAGTGCTGCTCGTCTGCGGCTTCCCAGATTGGTAATCTTTCGATTCGCAACGATAGCTGTTATGGGCTACTTCTCTATGACTTCGACCGAGGCTGTCTCCCGGTTTCGAAAACCTTGCAGCCGGAGACGTGCAGCATGACCTTCCGGCGTACCAATTTCAAAAGCGAGTGTTGACGAAGAAAGGGAACTAAGTTGCCAATTGAACAAATGTTTTTACAATGCTAACACTAAAAGAGAAAACCTGCCGCCTCACAATCTGGTCTCTTCTCGCCAATGGTCAATCTTGGACCGATACGACCCAATAGCAACACAGCTGACACTATCACTCATATCCATCCCCGGGGCATCCCAGTCATCAACCTCAACATCGCCACTGGTCTCCTCCGGGTTCGCTTGATCTGAAATGCCCTCCACCCACTGCATGATCTTGTCTCGAGGAGCAGATGCAGTGCAGGCGGCATCATGAGACTCGCGATAACCATCATCATCCCTGTCCACAAACAGCGAGCACTGGTCTTCACCTCCAACATCCACACTGGCTTCATTGGCCGCGACCTTGGCGGCTGTAAACGCGGCTTCAGCCTCGATGAGTTGGGTAGTCAGTTCGCGGAATCGGTGCACCCAGCGAACGTCGAAGTCTTCGGCGGAGTCTTGTGTCGTCTGGCGGTCCATCTCACGATCATACTCGCGGCGGTCGAAGCGGTTTTGTGCTTCGATGAGGTGCTCGCGGGCTGCGAAGTAGTTGTCTCGGATCTCGTACTGGGCGAGCTCGGAGGCGGTTAGATGGTCGTTTGTGGCTTGGAAGTAGTCGTCGGGGGTGATGTCGAGCGGTGCGATGTCTTGGGGCTCAGCGTCGGTCTCTTGCTGTGGGTTCAAGAAGGCCTGGTACTCCTGTTGAAGATCGAGCTCTTCAATTGGAGATTCTGGCTCATCGCTCTCCGGGTCGACCGCGAGACCTTCAATGAATGTCTCCTCCAGGGTGTCGATGAGCCTCGTCTGGCAATTCCGAAACACCATAGCCTGGGTCAACACCTGGGCGTTGACAGCCTCGATTCTCAACTCGATATCCTCAAGCAGAAGGGCGAGGTTGTCGTGCTCCTTTTGGAGGGCATCCAGGGTCTCTTGATCAACGTCGGGGCCTTTCTCGTTCTCCTGGTCGATGCGGCATTGATGGCTTAACTTCTCGCACTCGACTCCACTCTTGAGGTTCGAGAGAGCTGATTGCTGCTTGAGGGCCTTGGACTCCTCTTTGGCGTATGTCCTGCGGGCTTCGATGGCGTCCTGGATTTGGGCGGCCAAGTCCAAGGTTACGAGGATGGCCGCAACATCTTGCACGCCATCTGAAGCGGCGACCAAGCGTGCTGGTCCACCTGTGAAGTCCTCTGTTGTTGCGCTCTGGAGGTTGACGTAGACTTGCTCCCGCAGGGCTTGCTTGTCATCAATTGGGTCAGTCTCGTAAGGGACGGTGTCTTGTGTTGTTGAAGAGACGTCCGTTGTCGTTGGCATCTGCTGGTCCTCATCTTCGGTCTGTGTAGATGCATCACGACACGATACAGGACGGCCTCGTCCGCCGAAGTCTTGAGCCAGCTCCGAGACACGTCGACGATTAGGCTTCCCGAAGAATTTGAGGAAGACAGCGATTCCGAATGCAAAATGCGTGAGGAGAGCAACCAGATCCATGTTGTTGAGAGTGGTAACTGTTGGTGAGTGAAGATTTCCTTTGGTTCTCTGAATTGTCGGCATTGAATCAGGATCAAAGTTTCTGGCAAACACTTATGAGGCAGGTCTCAGGTTTATATGAAGGCTTCTGCACGCCGTACAAAGCATCTTTGGATGGCGGTGTTTTTGAATACGCGCTCAAGCTACAATGGCTTTCTTTGCACGATCTATGGCTTTGTCTACGACTCCCTCGAGGCTGACTATTGGAAACAACACATTACACTTCACCAAGGCATTGTATCGTCCATGTGTTATACACACAGGCATTGTCTCATAACACATCTCGAGTCCTTGCAATGATCCAAGCTCTACCATGATGCATAACTATATCTACTCTCCACTCCAACGCCCTCATCTTGAGAACCACCATCACCGCACAGACAACCCAAACCCCACAACCAAAAGAGACATCAGCCATCATGCCTCTGCCCAGAAATCAAGGCCAGGCTACGCCCAGACCACCACCAGCAAACCAGAATTCCACCCGCTATCCGACGACTCCAGCATCGACCCGTGGACCGGCACCGATCACTCCATCGGCAGCGCCTCCATGGAGGCAGCAAACCCTCGCACAGCGGTCTCGCGCCCCGAACTTTGGTTTGATGAGAAGTGCAGTCAACGCACAAGCTTCTCGCATCGATCCATCAATGGCCGCAGCGATGCAGAATCTCAACATCAACAATCCTTCACCCCCATCCCCACCCTCTGACTGCTACGACCCATCACTAGGTCCCCTGCCTCCAGACGACCCCCACGAAGCCTGGCAAGGCAGTGCATGCCCCACCATCAACACCGCCCTCTCCACTCCGAACGTGGCCGTCTTCATCCCAACATGCAAGTGCACAAAACGCACCATTGACGACTTCAAACTCGGCCAGATCATCGCCCTACCCTTCCACATCCCCAACCTCAACCCCAAGAACAAGGCCACCTACCCGCGCCTCGCCCTCACCTGCGAAGGCCCCGTCTTCTCCAAGCGCCGCCTCGTCACCATCCTCCTCAAGCACCAAAACGTCCTCTTCTGCCTGCCCCTCTACAGCTTCGAAGGCCAGGACCTGGCATGCAAACCCGACAAGCTGAAGTGGGAGTACATCCCCGTGATGAACAAGGGCGACACCAAGTTCCGCAACCCCGGCAAGCTCCAGGCCTGCGAGGTCGAGACGTATGATCCTAAGCGGCCGATGAAGAAGACGAGTTGCATTCAGCTGACCGGTGGTGTCAAGGTCGATCCGGTCGAGCATATCTCGTTTGTAGGACGCATGGATCAGGCTTCGTATGCGCGCATGCTGGCGTTTTATGATCGGCGGTATGAGATTGCGAAGCAGAAGGCGTATGAGCCTGATGGGCCTAAGCTGAATATGGGAGAGGCTAGTGCGGTTAAGAAGTAGATGACTGCGGAGGTGAGTCTGTGATGGACATGATCGTAGAAGGGAGAGACTTGATCGTGGGAGAGTCCCAACACCGGTGAGTTTGCACTGTATTCATAGATGGAAATGACCTTCCTGCCCCCGAACTTTCGAACCCCGTCAATTCTTTTCTGTAAATCTCATTGTTAACGATGTCAGTTTCTCTCGGGCACATTTGTATGATGCCGTAGACTCTGAACGAAACATCGTCGTTACGCTCGAAGTGAAGACCATCGAAGCGTCATTTCTCCCGTTTCTGACAATGACCATCAGTTTGCTGCTACTAATAAGATAAATAGCGATGGATCGCCCTGTGATGAGAAAGGTGAGGTCCCTTTTTGCCTTTGCGACTCTGTCGATCATTTCTCATTTAGGACGAAATCTAACGATTTATGGCTAGCGCCTTTTCTCTTCGTTGTTCCCACAGACAACGCAGATGCCCACGTCTCCTGCAGCCTGCTGCTCCATCAACATAATGACCTCGAGCAGCTGCGCGTAGCGTTGTTTGACGATGTTGTGACTTGGGCTCCGCCAGACGACGAGGACATTTCACATGAGTATAATTTTAAAGAATCTATCTTGAGACGAGAAACAACGTGGCAATGCACCATGGCATTGAATTCGCTAAGAACGTATCAAGACAAGCTCTCTTTCACCACTTGACAGTCCCGCTGCCACCTATCGATCCTCTTCCTCCGACTCCCATAGTCAACACAGCTCAAGCTATCGCTCAGATCGAGTTCTTTGAAGTCCCAGTCATCGACATCTACCGAGCTTTCGCAGTCTGAACACGCATCTTCGGGGACGTTCGCCAGCCAGCTGTCGACCTTTGGCGTCACCCAAGCTACCGCTCCTTCGACATCGACCTCTTGGCTGATGGGGTAGCCTGTCCCGTCGAAGTCGTCGCCGAAGCAGGAGGATTGGTTGTCTGTTTGGAACTGGACGCTGGCTTCGAGGGCGGCGGCTTTGGCTTGGGAGTAGGCTTCTTCGGCTTCGATGAGTTCACGAGTCAGTTCTTGGTTCACCTGCACCCAATGGAGATCGAAATGCTCGAGGGACTCATAGGTGGTTGGCTCGCCTGCAAGTTCTGCTTGATAATTGACTTCCTGGTCGTATGCCTGTTCGTGGACTCTGTTGTCGAAGGCGACCTGAGCTTGCTGGACTCGATCTTCGGCGTCCCATACTGTTTTGAGGAGCTTCCGCTTGTTTGATTCTTCTTCCGTGGGTGGCTCGACTTCTCGGTCGAGAGGGAACGCAGTGGTGTCCAACTTCTCAGGGGCTTTGTGAAACGTCATCGTGGGCGTTGTTGCCTCGCATTCGTCATCGCGGTTCTTGAGAGCTTTCTGATATTGCTCTTGCAGGTCGAACTTCCCAAGCGGGATCTCATCCTCCTCCAAGGGTTCGATCAAGCAAGCGTGCGTAAATGCATCATCGAGATATGCAGCAACTTCAACTTGTGCCTCCATCGATATACTGCTTTTCCATCTGACGTTGGTCTCCAAGCTCTGCTTCTCGCAATCCATCTGAGTCAGGATGCGCCGAAGGATATCAATGGCACTGTTCCAAGAGTTTATACTGTCCTCTCGCTCAGAGTCTGGAGCATCCTTGTTGACTTCTGCGTCCATGATGCGGAGCTCATCGTTGGATATCTCATTTTTGACTTTGCGTTGGAATTTTTCGATGGCCTCGATTTGCTGTTCGGCATGGCACTCTTCTCTCGCATACACTCGATGCGCATTGACGGCCCGCTTTACTATTTGCGCGAAGTCGTATGTCATCAAGAGGCTGGCACAGGTCTTTACTCCATCGGAACCGGCGACAAGACGCAACGGGCCAGCAGTATAGTCTTCAACCGTATCTTCAGCATCGAACTGGATGTACGAGTCCTCTCGGAGTTCCTGCTCTTGTTCTGGGCTAAGTTCCTCGGAGAATTCGGGACCGGCTGCTTGTTCCTTTCCCAGCGGTGGAGTTGCCTTTGTATGGACATCTGCTTCATCTGATGGGAGCGGCAGCGGCAGCTCGATCTCTTCAGCCATAGGTCTTTCTGCTTGCGGGCTCCGTCGAGCCTCATGTTGCTCATGCTCTGATTCTTCAACTTGATGTACTGGATTTGGCCTTGGATCTTTTGGTATCGCTTGGAAAATCTTGGAGAAATTGTCGAGAAAGTTTTGCCTGAACATGACTGCCTGCAGTCTTTGCTTCAGGACCAAAATGATTACCGGATCCATGCTTGTACGAGTCGAAAATGTTCCGTGTCCTGCAATGGAAAGTGTGAAGTGGTTACGAAAGAATGAAGACTGTCATACGTCTTACCGTCAGGGGTCTTCCAGCTAGCTAATCACTGCAATAACGACTACTCTAAAATGATTCGCTTTGTCTGGCTTTATAGCTTCCAGATTTGAAATTTAATTCACTGTGATTAGTGGCGGTCTTGGTCAAAGGCTTTGTACTCACATGGAGTCTTACCCTCGACTTTGTCTCGTAAGCTATTCGTAGAACGTGGCAGACAAGACAAAGATGACGCGAAAATGCACACAGGCCCGAGCGACGACCATGCTTCGACGATGTTAATGGACATCTCGTGGAGATTTTGCATCCATCAAATTTCCGTCTCTTCATTCCTCAATTTCATAACTCAACTCAAGTGCCAGAAGCGCAGGTTCGCCTCGGTCAACAGTGAGCAACCACAACAGCCACTCCCTTCATATAGAAGACTACGATGAATTTCTCAACTCGTTCAAGCCAGCGACAAGGATCCAGTTCGGCGAACTGGAGAGGCGGTGCCTCAGATGCTTCTACGACTATTAGAAGTACCGGGACTTCCACGACTTATAGATCAAGTCCACTGAACTCCAGGAGTCGTGTGCCCTCGCCGATCCAAGAGGAGCCGGACTCATCAGCCACCGGCCAGAAGCGATATGTGCCTCCTCATCAGAAACCAGGAGCTAAGGCGACACCTTCGGCCATGGACGAGACCATTCCTCAGCTAGGGGCCATGACTTTGAGAAATTACACCAGGACATATTTCGTGGAATGCGTCTCTTGCCCCCAAACCAGCGCAGGCCGCACCATCAATGTTGACTTGTCACTTCGGCGCCCCTGGCCAAGCCAACAGCATGGCTACCATCGCACTCAACAGCGGCGACAAGAAGAAATGGCGCAAGACGGCCGTCTGCGTCAAGTCTCCCTGGACTCGCGGCACCTTCAACAAGGGAGACGTCGTCTCTCTCCCGTACCACGTCGCCAACATGAACCCAGAGCGTAAAGAGGACGATCCCGGTCTCCATCTGAGCGAATTCGGACCCGTTCTCTCGAAACGTCGTATGGTCATCATCCTCTTCAAGTACAAGGACATCATGTTCTGCGTTCCCCTGTACTCGTTCACCGGCCGAGACATCGAGTCGAGACATCCGGAAGTCATCGAGCAGTACATCCAGCTCATCAACATGTACGATGACATGAGCAAGTTCGCGGGCAAAGGCAAGTACGAGCCGATTAAGTTCAGGCACGTTCATAGAGGGCAAGGCCTCAATGAATGCACCACCGTCCACATCACCGGAGGCAAGACGGTTTCCTGGCAGGAAGACATCGAATTGGTCGGCCGTTTGACCAAGCCCAGCTATACACGGCTGATGAAGCTGTGGCGCGATTTCAACGACGTAGCTGACGACGAGGAGTGTTCATGGCCATCTTAGCCGACTGTCGACAAGGATCAGACAGAACCAATAAAATCTCCGAATACCCTCTCGCAACGCGTCTCAGCTCAGGGCTCCAGCCAGGTTATCGCGCTTCCGAAGAAAATTAAGCCCTCTCCAGCTGAAACGGCCCCCATGCCCGCTTCACATGCATGCATAGCCTTACACTAAGAGCTAGCGTTAGCGTAACCGGCCCGGTGAGCGAAAGGTAACCGACGGCGACGGCCGTGGCCGAAAGGAATCGCCGTGGAGTTTCCAGTGCCTTACATAAAGACGAAAGGATCACAACCGAACGAAGCGGCAGGACCGCAGCAGCAAAAATCCCTCTTCCTCTGTGTGATGACTTGCACGTTTGAGTTTTGTGGGAGGTTGGTAGGTATACATTCGATAGGTCTACATCTATTTTCGAGAATCGCCTTTTTAGGAAGGTCCACAAATCCCTTCCTTCAGGTCTTAGATGCTCTCGTGAGGATTCCGTTCGCCTTACGTCAGGCTTCGATTTCACAGTAATTGTGGCTTGTAGCCCTCAATGAGACCAATTCTAACCTAAGCATATCCGCCGCTTGGTCATCGGTCGTTCGTCGACCAACGGCGATGAGACTCGGGCCGGAGGGTCTTGTGTCTCCTGCTTATGTTGCCGCAAGCCTGACTAAGTACTAGCGTGGGTCCGGAGCATGTGGAAACACATGGTCCTGTGGTGAATATACTTCGGGACCCTAGGCTTCAATTCGACGAGGGAGTGCCGTGGAGTGACTCGATCGCCTCGTCACTTCGACGTGTTGGACTTTCCGCGGCTACAAGCCGGAACACTGACCTCGGATGTTGCCCTCGGGTGGTGCGCTTCCAGATTGCGTATGTACGCAGTCTCGTGTTTACCAGTTGGTTTAGGTCGATCGATGAGATTTCAGAGTCCAGTGGATTCCCTTCAAGGTGGAGTATCCGGTTGATCGTCTTCCTCAAACTCGGCGTCGTCGTCTTCCTCTTTCTGCTCTCGATTCCGAGATTGCGGATAACTTCGCTGGTAGATATCGCCCATGGAGTTCTGCCTTTCAAGACTCTTTGCGACCTTCTGGCACCAAGCGATTTTCTGTAGTTCCATTCGCCTCGAATACCATTTACAGGCATAGTGAAGGGCTCCACGTGAGCTCAAGACACCGCAGAAGCCAAATCTGGGTTGTGCAAACCATCCTACACTCTGGCAAAGTTTCTCCGCGATATCGTTCGCTTCTGCGACCAAGATCGCTTCGGCCTTAGGTAGGATAGGGAGCTTGAATCCTTGGTTGACTTCGTATAGCGTCTGCTTGATTTGCAGCAGTGCAATCCAGTAGACACTCTGTGCGCTGGCGTGACTGAAAGTCGGGAACCGCAAGACCTTTGGAAATGCTTGTGGTGCTCCTTGAGTGTGTTTCTGCAAGTGTGGATACTTCTCGGCGTTCTCGTGATGATACGGTAGCTTTTCGAAAGACGAATACCACCGGACCAACCAGGCCTGCATGCTGCGCTCGTAGCTTGCCAGTTCCATGATCGAGTCGTACAGAGCGCTCGGGTTTGCTCGCTTAATAGCTGCGTCGGCCCTCTGTAGAGCTTCGGGCAAGGTGATGATGTGGTCGCTCAGAGTTGCCATGAAGGCGTCTGTGATTGCAGAACAGCGTTTCCAGTCTTTGCCTGCGATTGGGACTTTCCTCCGCGCAGAGTTTCCCGCATTTGCTGCGACGTGTCGAAAGTTGTAGAGGAAAAGCTGCGCGAATCTGGAGTACTCGCCGTCTGGTCCACGTGCTACTAGCAGATCTTGGAGGCCTCGGTGATGGGCTTGCCAAGGTCGTCCCGTGGGACAGAGCGGTTTAAAGACTTCGCAGAATCCGAGAATGTAGGCAGCACTAAGCACTCCGTCGTTGTACATTGCTCCGGGGTCGGCAAGATCGGTGTTGAGGCTTCTCACTGCGGCTTGGTATCTCGAGTGGGCCTCGTGAACCAGCCTCTCGTCCCGTTGTGCCGTTCCTATTTGGATGAATGCCAATGCGTCGATCGCAAGTCGGCTGGCCGTTCCTTTGTCCTCGAGCATGTCGCGACAGAGGAATTTAGAGAACATGAAGTCGGTGTCGTTGTGAGATATGCCGGCCGGAAAGTAGAGTCTGAGAAACTCCTCCTTGAGCTGTATTCGGCACGCCGCCGAGCTGTTGAACGACACGATGCTGGATGACGGTGTCGCCGAGCGCATGTACGACAAAGCGACCCCTGTCCTGGATGATGAAGTCGAAGCCTCGGAGCGCTGGTCGACGCCATCTTCAGAAACGCAGTCTGAATGGCTGCCATCACAGCCTTGACACGTCTTGATATTGAAGGGGCAGTCGTGCATCAGATCGTCGTTGAGATACCAGTGTGGCACGAATTCTGGGTCGCACTGATAGGGTGACGAATGTGCCGTCGGGTTAAGCAGAGAAAACGGCGAAGCACACCTTGACGCCGACATGGTGTGTAGAGTCCACCGCTGTCTTAGCAGACAAGGGAGTGAACAGCAGCATATAATGTCGTGACGGCATCAGGGTCGAAGCCAACTCTGCTCTGACCGCTGTGGCCCGCATGTACAGTAGGGCAGCATTGCGGACCGAACGAACATTTCTGCCGCCATATCCCAATTTTGCACCTATCCTACAGGGCTGAGCTGAACGAGAATGTCTAGTCACGTTGGTAGTGACCCTCATTAGGGCAATTGATGGCCTGTGCGATCATGGCTATGGCCGAACACCGAGTGCAGAGGCAGCACTCAAGTGCAGCGAGCCTGGTGGAAGAGACGACACGATTGGTGGAAGACTTGGAGAAGGCCCCTTGGAATTGGATGGTGTGTCGAGGTCGGCACATGGAAATCCTGCACGGGTGTTGGCGCAGACGCATTGCCCTACCGTAGACGTGGGTCTAAGGATTTGGCGCTAGAGGGGGCAGATGTTGAAGAGTCGGTGGACAGGTGAGCCTTCCAGGTCGTTCGTGGCCTCTAGCTGCAATCAGTTAATTTCCATGCCAGAGGGTGCATTGGGCTGGTGGGCACTGCGGCTCTGCCTGCCAGAAAATGTGTCGTACCCTATGATTATTGCTCCTTTGCCTTGTCTAGTAGTAAGCAAATAGCTTATTTTTCAGAACAAGCGAGAGTCAAGCGAAAAGCTTAACTCTTCAGCTGAGCTCAGTCAACCTGCCTGTTCCAGTATCAACGTCGGTGCTGCGTCCAATGGGAATTGATCTTGTCAATGCAGGTCCCGCGATAGGCAAAGTCAAGTACTAAATTGACGTGCGTAGTCAGTTGACAAATGAATTAAGGTTTCGTTGTTTTGGAGAAAGGACAGACTAACCCGCACGACTCCAACATCTCCAACGTCGGCTAGATCGTTTCCCATACAACCGCGACAAGGCGACAGAATGGCAAGGTTGTCAGCACCCGTGCTGGTGGATTCCAGTGGCCACCAGGGCAGGAACAATCGCACACGATCTTCAAAGCATCGCCGCAGACCAACAGGCCGGCTCGCTAGACAGCCGTTCGACAGCAGTTGGATGCTCTGAGGCTCGGTGTTAAGGGCCGTGCATACATCTGGCTAAAAGATTAATCTGCGTCGCGGTGCAGTACTTCATTGAGCTCAGCGCGCAGCGGGACATTTTCGCCGAACATTGGCGTCGACGTCTAGGGTACGCTGTTTTTCGCCCGACGGTGAAGGATCTGTCATTTGCACAGTAGGGCAGCTGAAAGACAGGTATACGAAGTCGCTGCACTCCATGGTCGATGGTAGATGGCTGATTGGCGAGGCAGGGCTGCAGCGCGATGGTGAAGTGAGGTTGGAGGTGAGCAAGGGCCGAGGGCAAGGGTAAGAGCAAGATGACGAGCCGTCGGGTTGCCGCTCTTGGCTACCGGCAGGGCTGGCATTTGTGCGGGCTGCATAACTTCCTTCTTCTGTCCCTCTCCCGAAACCTGAACAACTTTCGGCGATTAAGTTATCAACAGTCGAGACATCTGCAAAGCCTCAACTATTGATGGAAATAGCATCTCCAACAGTGGTCCGAACTCCCACCAGCGCTGATGATGAATGGATGTCTCGGCTGCATACTCAAATCGACTAAGTTGAGCTGAACTGTCATGTTTACATTTGTGTTTCTACCATGCAAGCATGTGTCCCGCGACGAACTTTCGACGAAGAACAACAATTCTGCCCGTCGATGTTACGACCGCCCCTCTCCCATTCAGGTTCATTCACCTCGAGGTGCTCAGAGGCCATGACTCCGTAGAAACTGCGCAATCTGCTCGTACATTATCGATGATGTGTATTGCAAATTGATCAAGTGGCCTGCATTCGGAACAACGAGGCTTTGACTGCCATTCGCAGCGGCTGGAAAGAGCTTGGCAAGCGACAAGGCTGCTCGATCGAACAGCTGGTCGCAAGAGTTTCCACAGGCAATATAATCGTGAGAGCCCAGGACCACATCGACCGGTCTATCGTACCGCGGCGCGGGTGCTATCGAACCAGCATAGGTCAGGATCTGGCCGATTGTGAATTCGCCTCGATTGTTAAGGACATCTCCAAGTATGCCTGACTCAAACGGCCAACGTAGGAGCGACTGAGCTAGTGATACTGCATCGTTCTGCACCAAGTACCCCATAGGATCGTTTGAAAAATTCGCTGGCGCATTCTCGGAAGCTACTGCAGGTGCAGTGCCCAGCAGCGCAAGGCCAGAATGATGAAGGCGATCCGCCAAGCCGGTGATGATACTCGCATTTAAATCATTAGGGTACTTTCGCTGTGGGAGACTGTCAGTACTGTCGACATTTTCGGAGACTCGTGTGCTCACATTGACCCCAAGCTGGATCGCCGCCCCATATCCGTGGCCAATGCCCACAATAGATGAGAAGCGCTTCGATGAGAGCTGGCCGTTTCGCAGAGCATCAATCAATGCATGCAAGATCTCGATCTCCACAGGTGCCTGGACAGTTTGGAGTGGATTGGGATGATCGGAATTGCCTACTCCAAGGCGGCTGTACGCAAATGTCACATATCCAGTTTTGAGGAAGTTGTTAACGTAGCTGTAGTTTCCGGTATCCCAGTAGTGTTTTTGGAAGCCCATTCCGGGCGACATGATGTGTACAGTACTTTCGTTCGAGGTGTGCCCAGGCGCTGCACAGAGGACACACTCGATTTTGAAGGTGTCATTGATGTGCAAAGGATCCCCGAGTAGTGCTCTCATCTGATCAGGGGTGGAGAGAGCAATGTCTTGAATCGTTTGAGATATCTGCCATTGATTGCTGAGGTTCGGCAGCAGAACATCTGTGTTTATGGCAGATATTTCCAATGGCACAAGACCCTTGACGCAGTGGCCAACGTCTTCGTATGTAGAAACAAATACTGGGTTGAGGAAGCCGGCGCTATCTGGATATCCAGGAGGTGATGCGGTCGCGCCATATCTCCAAAGTAGAGTAACACATGCCAGTGTCCAGGCGTACATAATGAAGTTGCAGCAAATGATCTCGCGTCATCTCGTCCAAGCAACACAAGCGCTTTTGTCTAACCCTCGTCACAATGCTACTAGTATTGTTTTCATCAATGCGGAGGGCGTCCATGGGCGTTCGGACGGGCTCCGACCGGTCTTTTCTTCAGCATTCTTACACGATCGAGACGTGAAGGGATTGGAGCCATGAGATCATCTTTGCGAGATTGAACGTGGGTCGGAAGTATGAGCAACTGATTCTGAGCAACTCATTAGAAGCCTGATAAAGTCATTTCGATAGCCAGGGGCTAGTAAAGATGATATAACATCCATCGCGGGCCTGGCTCGCCGTCCACTTCTTCCAACTCCTGCTCAGCTTTCTAGGGTGATCCGTCGTGGTACGCATCGGACCCGAGCCGAAGGAATACGATAGCGTCTGCTGCCTGTGCAGACAAGACTCCAAAGGACACGATCATTCTCGATGATGACAATGATTGAATGATGAAGTGCATTGAGAATGGCCCTGGAGGTGACGGGAGCAGAGCGGAGGGCCGAGAGCAAGGTGACGTCTGGGGTGCCGCTCTTGGCGGCTGGCGTCTGTGCGCGCGAGCTGGAGCTTGATCCAAGCAAAACAACAACGCGACAGCATCATTCCTCACGCGTCGCTGTCCATGGCATCTCACGTGGCCCGCCTCTCTGTCCGCCCCGACGACCAGTTCAGCACCGAAGTCAAGTCGCGCGACTTTGCAGACACCAACGGTGTCGCCGCCGCCGCCATGCCCGCCTCCTCGTCGACCTGGATCCCACAGCAGCTGCGCTTCCCAGCTGCAGTCTTGATGACCTTCAGTCTGAGCTCGTTGCTTCTGACGCTTTCCTCGCCCGTGACAGGCCCAGAGCTGGCAGCTGTCAGCCGTGATCTCACGACGGCATGGCACATCACTGCCATGGTGATCTGGAAGGTTGCAGAGCTGTGGATCGCTTGGTACGCTTGTTACGATTGTGAGTAAAGCTTGTTCGACTTGATCGCACACGATCGCATGCGCTGACTGCTGGGCAGACCTCGATCTGGCATACCTCACCCTGCTGAACAATGTACCCCACTACTTCCTCCTGAACACTTTCTACGGCATCGACTTGTTCACGGCGATCCTTCCACTCGCCATTGACATCATCACGATCACCCTCCCCTTCGCTGTCTTCCGCCGGCTCAACAGTGGCCATGCCGACCCAGAAAGCAAGACGGTGAACCAACAGGTCGTTCAGGACAAGAGCATTCAGACACTCGTCACCGTCTTTGGCTCTGCAGTCTACACTATCGTTGTATTCGCGTGCTTCAAGTCTTGGATTCCGACATACATGGTCACCCACTTCGGTGGACTGAGGAGCCTTACAAAAGCGCATGACGCGAATGTCGTCTTGTTCCTGACGCTCTTCCTCCCATTGGGCTTTGCGGCGTCTCAATTCATCTTCGTACCGGCAATCGCATCGGCTGTGAACCCAGGTCTCACAGACCCAAATATCGTACCAGAGAAGGTCCCATTCAATCCCCAGACCGCCACATTGGGCCAAACGTTGGCGTACAATCTGGGGTTTAGCGAGGCTGGATTCACGCCACGGGCAGAGATTGTGGCGAAGCGCACCCTGATTTTGTCGGCGTGCTCGTTCACCAACTCTTTCGTCCGCGCGTACTTTGTGATCGAGGGTACGGAGGTGTTTGGTGCTTTGGGATGGGCAAGTGTATGGGCACTGGCGGCTGGAATCACCGGCGTCGGGTTCGCCTGGATTGGGGACGAGTAATCGAAACGGGCAGGTTCAGCCAGCGCCACCGAGGCAGACGAATGTAAAAGGACAGTTGGGGAGTTTCGGCAGAACGGATATACCCCTGGATCGCCTTTGTGTTCTCATGAAAACAGACTTGCAATTTGATGATCACGTGAAGTTAAACCACAGTCCCCACATTCAGTTCCTTCGCCTCCCTTACAACACACTCGCACATTCCACCTTCACGCGCCTTCGCTCACATTGCTCGTAGTTGCCTTTGCAATCACACATTGCTTCGCAGTCGTGATGTGCCTCCTCCCATGTCTTACTTCGACCATGTCCGCAACTTCCACGAGCAAGATACGTCATCCAGGCTGAAGCCAACTCCACATCACTCTCTACATGTCCTGGTCGTGGTCAATCAACCTCACCATCATCTTCGCCTGCGTCTTCGTTTTCCTCATCATTCAATTTAGTATCCAACATCCTAGGACACGACGCGCAATGAAGTCCTTCCTCAACAAGGCCAAGGCGGCGCTCGACGATGTGAAGCAACAGCGTTTCCCACCTCAAGTCGACGGACCTCCTGATCGACCTTCAGCATCCTCATCGATACAACCTCCGACGTATGCAGACGTAATCAAGTACCGATATCACCATGGCACGAATTTGGGTTCTGTGTTTGCGCTGGAAAGGTGGCTTACGGGGAGTATGTTCCGGGATGAGTTTCAGGGCTCGAGCGAGCTTGTTGCTGCTGAGGGGTGGGTGAAGCATGAAGGCATTGAAAAGGCACGGGAGCGATTTGAGCAGCACTGGAAGAACTACTGCAGCGACGCGAATCTCGAATGGCTGAGGTGCCATTCTGGATGTACGACTATCCGACTACCGATAGGGTACTGGACCCTGGGCCCGGCCTATTGCGATCACGCGCCTTTCAAGTCGGTGGGACCTATCTACGAACATGCTTGGGCTATGGTTAAGGATGTTGTGAAGCGGTGTCATGATCGAGGCATGGGCGTTGTGCTAGATCTGCATGGCGTACCCGGAGGAGCTAACAAAGGCGATCATTCTGGAACCAACAGTGGCAAGGCCGAGTTCTGGGACTCTCGTAAGAACAGAAATCTGGCAACTCGCTGTCTTTGCTTCATCGCGCAGCAAGCCAAGTCCATGGAAGGCGTTGCAGGTATCCAAGTCGTCAATGAATCGGAGTACAATGCTCCTCATATGTACGAATGGTACGAGGAAGTCCACAAGGAGTTGTCTAGTATCGATCCTACCATGCCCATCTACATCTCCGATGGTTGGGATCTCAGCCGATGTGCTGCATGGACCCAGCAAAAGAACACCGTACAAGCACACAATGCGAGCCCGCTTGTGGTCGACACCCATCTGTACTGGGCGTATACAGATGAGGATCACAAGAAATCGCCTCAGCAGATAACCGGCGAAGTCTGGAGCAAACTCGCTGAGCATGAGCTGAAGGATGGGAGTGTCCTTGACAGAGGCGCTGTGCAGGCGATCGTCGGCGAATACAGTACTGCTTTGGACGGCACTTCGTGGTCACTTGCTGGAAACCAGAAGTCTCGCGACGACCTCACCCGAGAGTTTGGCAATGCCGAGTCGTGGCGGTTCCAGCAGCGCGCCGGCGGAAGTTTCTTCTGGACCTATGTCATGGACTGGATGCCAGGTGGTGATTGGGGATTCAAGCACTTGACTGAGCAGAATGCTATCATCAGACCCAAGTCATTGGCAATGGAGACCGCCCATGTTCAGCCTGCAGTCCAGAGAGCGCATGCCGAGAAAGATCACCGTAGAGGGACGACGTGGGGTACCCATTGCCAGTATTGGGATACAAACCATCCAGGCCACTACGAGCACGAGCGCTTTCCTCAAGGTTGGGATGTGGGATTCCATGATGCCATGGCCTTCTTCGAGATGCGTAGTAAGCAGAATCACAGCGGCACGGACAAGATTGGAATGCTCGACCTATGGATCCTGAAGCGGCTGCGCGAGAGCGGGCAGAGCGGGAAGTTTGTGTGGGAGTTTGAGCAGGGCATGAGGCAAGGTGTTCGTGACTTTTATGAGGTCGCTGGTATTTGAGGAGGCAGTCCGCCAGTAAGACAGAAGTGCCGAAGGTAGAAGAACCTGGGGTCGTGGGAAGGATGAGTGAAGTCGGATAGAAATAGATACCTTTCAGCTAAAGCGGTAATGAGGAGGATCGGTCTACGTCCTCCAACGTTCTTGTTCACATGTTCCTTGAACTGGGGAATTTGTCGTAGGAGCAAACAAGAGTCACCAGCCATACCCAGAAAATCCTGGTATGCTTTTGATCTGCTGTGGCAAGGAGAACATGCGGTCCATATGCAAGATAGCCAAGGCTGAAGGGGAGCGAACCATCAACGGATCGCCAATGGGTGAGGACTGTGAGGTGAATGGCTTGTGTATTTATAGAGCGATCGGTGCCGATTTTGTGCACGGGCGCCAAAGCCACAGTCAAAGTAGGGGCGGGTGGTCCCGTGCGCGCCTGCCACCCACTTCAGACCGTCGCTAGCCTTCTTGTGATGCGCATGCATTCTGGCGTAACTGGCTCCACCTTCAACTTCACCTCCTGCCGCTCTCGTCCGGACTACTATCGCGGTATACTTGCATGCCCGACGCCCATCCCCCGCAGACAGCGAACGCCGAAGCAGCACACTGGCCAGCCACGGCCTCGGGCGCCCAACACTGCCTGGCTGGCGGATCAGCAGTCTGAGACAACACACACGACCCGGTCCTGACACCTCCATCTAGGAGCTGGCAACACTCGCATCCAGCGCGACACTCGCTGCTCACGACCCAGACCTGTGAGGACGACCTACGCCACTTGCCCACCAGTCACTTCTCCAGCACAACTACGAGCGACAACCATCAGCGGCCTCCCCCACCAAGCCGACCTCCACCCGCACGAGCTGCGACCATCACTCTTCCCACAGAATACGTTCACTTCCAGACACGTGCGCGCACACCTGAAAGATACGCCGAACACGACTCCCAGCATGTCGCGCTCTAGACGCCTGCAGCGCATGTCCAGCGCATCCAGCTCCAGCTCCTCCAGCACCTCTCCCGAGCGCGGAGCCGACGACGACAATGACTCTTTCATGCTCCAGGCCAACGACTCGCAGTCCTCGCTCGGCATGGACATGTCGCCGGAGCAATCACAGACCGAGGCCATGAGGAGGGAGTATGAGGAGCGATGTCGAGTGTCACCTGTTCACCGGCTGCCAGCCGAAATCCTCATCAGCATCTTCGCGCGTTTGACATCTCCGCACGATCTGCAGATGTGTATGCTGGTATCGAAAGAGTGGGCGCGGAACAGCGTGGGTCTGCTATGGCATCGGCCAGCGATGAGCAAGTGGGACAGCATACACAGCGTGGTACAGAGCATTCGGGCAGCAAAGAAGTTCTTCGCATATCAGGAGCTTGTCAAGCGGCTGAACATGTCCACACTAGCGGGGCAAGTCAGCGACGGTACGCTCATGGGCATGATCGAGTGCAAGCGCATTGAGCGGCTGACGCTCACAAACTGCTGCAAGTTGACGGACTTGAGTCTGCAGCCGCTGGTGGATGGCAATAGGAGCTTGTTGGCACTGGACGTTACTGGTCTCGACCAGCTCACTGATCGCACAATGATCACGGTTGCGGACAATTGCCTACGGCTGCAAGGATTGAATGTCACGGGCTGCAAGAAGCTCACAGACGCGTCGATTGTCGCTATTGCGCGAAATTGCCGGCACTTGAAGCGCCTGAAGTTCAACAACTGTGTGCAGCTTACCGACGTGTCGATTCTTACTGTCGCAACTCACTGCACACATCTCCTCGAGATCGACCTCTACGGATTGCAGAACCTCGAGAGTCCTTCCATCACGGCCTTGCTTACCTCATGCCCGCATCTTCGCGAAATGCGTTTGGCGCATTGCTCACGGATCAACGACTCGGCTTTCCTCGACATTCCCAACGACCCAGAGCTACCTGTTACATTCGATTCTCTGCGCATCCTCGACCTTACGGACTGCGGCGAACTGGGTGACAAGGGCGTCGAGAAGATCATCCAGTCTTGCCCGCGATTGCGCAATCTCATCCTGGCCAAGTGTAGGCAGATCACGGATCGCGCCGTGTTTGCGATCACCAAGCTTGGCAAGAATCTGCACTATATCCATCTGGGGCACTGCGCACGGATCTCAGATCTCTCGGTCGAAGCACTGGCCAAGGCATGCAACCGGATCCGATACATCGACTTGGCTTGCTGCAGCAACTTGACGGACAACAGTGTTATGAAACTGGCAGGCCTCCCGAAGCTGAAGAGGATAGGGCTGGTGAAGTGCGCTGGCATAACGGACCGGAGTATCTACAGCCTCGCCGTAGGTGAGGTGAAGAATGGGCGCAAGGTGAACGGTGTGAGCGTTCTTGAGAGAGTGCATCTCAGCTACTGCACACTCCTTACACTTGATGTAAGTTCACCTCAATCTCACTCGAGCGCAAAGCTAACGCAATTACAGGGCATCCACATCCTCCTCAACAACTGCCCGAAACTCACGCACTTGAGCTTAACAGGAGTGCAAGCTTTCCTTCGTGACGAGCTCCTAGCGTTTTGCAGAGAGGCCCCGCCGGAATTTAATGAACACCAGCGGGACGTCTTTTGCGTGTTTTCGGGAACAGGCGTGGCGAGACTGCGTGACTTCCTCAACGAACAAAAGGCACACGCGGCGGCCGCGGCTGATTCCGTGGCATCATCCGTGGCCGACGACAGTGACGCGATCGACGTGGACATCGACGACAACAATCCAGATTCTGATGGCAGTAACACGCCGGTTGTCAATGTCAACGTTCATGGCAACTACCCGCACGGCCACACGCCTATCATACCAGGTCCAAGCTCAGCCGTCGGATTTCAGGGCGTTATACCTCCAAATCATGGCCATGGATCTGCTGGAGCGCTGTCGAATCTCAGTCAGAGTGCACCCGCGACTACTGGGGGCGCGATCTGGGCTGGCGGCGGCACACCTGTTGTCATCCAGCACGGCGGTGGTGCGCAACATGTAACTGGCATGATGGGCGCGACCATTCTGGACGAGGTGGAAGGTGACGAAGCTTTCGGTGAGGGGAGCGAGATTATGGGTGATTGATCCACTCACGATTCTTTTCTTTACCAGCGACCTTGAAGCGCTCGCTTTTGCAGGCACGTGAGGAGACGGGACCGGAGCGAGAGCACGCCGCAGCGACTCTCGAAATTCTCTGTACGGCGTTTGTTTGTGTTTGTGTGTGTTTTCCACTGTCAATTGGATCAGCGAAAGAAGCGAAGAGCGTACGAAGCGAAGCGGAGCATGCATCATGAGTGCTTGTTGTTGTTTTTTTCATGGATTGCACTGGTTACTCACAGGCAGAAAGAAGAAGAGACGAGAGATTCCCAACGACGGTCATAGTGGACGATTGTACTGTATGAACATGATCAGAGCATCCAATCCTCCTCCCAAGCTACCTACAATGTGCTGCCTTCACGACATGTGATCAATGATCTGTACATGCCTAGCTTGGCATGTGACGTCCCTCCCTCCAGCTGCCCTAACTGAGGGCGATGGAAGGGCGACGCATGCATCCACCCTCTAGCTTCCGCCTTTCAGAATCCCAATCATTCACCGCGCTCGACGCCGCCCTATGTTCCTCCGGCCGTGATCTCGCCTTTTTGTGACTCTTTTACGAGACGCATATGAAGAGGCTGTTGTGTCGGGGGGTGTGATTGGAGGGGAGGGGGTTAGTCTGGGAATGGGGATGTAGGGCTTGGATTTGGCGTTTGGGACTGCATGGGCTTGATGAAGGGCAAGAGGGTTTTTTTTTGGATGTGTTGGGTGGTTTACTTTTTTTTCTTTTAGGGGATCTTTTGTGTGAGCCTTGCTATCTCATGGACAGGTCATGTACACGTTCTTCTTTCTTTTCCCATTTTATCCTTGCTTTGCGACAGCCTCTGGTGCGAAGAGTTGTTGGCCTTTTCCTTGTTGGCTTGAAATGCACCAGGAACGCAAGTGGTTCAGTTCACATGGGGACTCATATCCCTGCGGATGATTGCGGCCACAACTGCTCCCGATGTTGCCTCAATGGCCCGGCATGTACCAACATCTTGGAGAGCACACCACCACCCTTCTCACGCCCAAGGCATCTGCCCAACGACCCCATCAACGCCCTGCATATTCGTCCCGGGGTACTGCCACCCCTGCCACTGATTGAAATCACTCGTCATCAACCACGTCGGCACAGACCAATCATTCGTATCGAAAGCCGGTGAATTCGAATCCGGCATCAAAATCCCATACGCATTCGATGCATCCGCGCCCGTCGTCACAGCGGCGGGATTGTCGAAGCCTAGTGTAGCGTCGAGATCGCCCATCAAGATCTCGGGTTGCGTGTCGAGATCACGCATAGCTAGGGCGCGGCGGTAGAGTTTTGCGATCGGTTGCCAGAGACGTCCTTTGCCTCCATCTGCTACAATGGCTGCGGAGCGTTCCATGAAGCGGTCCACGACTGTCCAGGATTCCTCGGCGAGTGGGGTCTTGCGTATTGCGCATAATCCCGCAAGAGCAACGGCTAGAGGATGCCATTGAACCCAGGGGAGACGGCTCCACTTATCCAGCTCAGAATCGCTCCAGAGGTCCTCGGTCTTCCGCAAGACATCCACCGCAAGCTCCAAAACCCACGGTGCATCTGCGGGAGCGCCTTGGCTGGGGAATGGTCGCTGAAAGGACCGCACACAATTCAGCAGGTTGAGGGATTGGATGATCCGGCTAATTTTCATGGTCAAGCGCTGGAGAGGAATCTTGGGATCGCAGTGTTGAGTATACTTCTCCTGGACGTTTTCGTTGTGCATTTTCGTCAGCTCGAGGCGACGTTGCCAGGTATCCGGTTCGACTGATGGGTGGAGCACTTCGAAACGATCTCCGATGATGTAGAGCTCTTCGATAACGAGGGCGAAGTTCATGTTGGTCGGTTGTCTGCGGCCGATCTCGACGGTTGATGCCGTTGAATATTCCACAAGGTCTTCATCGTTGAGGTTCACTGGGAGAGGCCTCTGCCACGAGCCAGGTCGAATGGTGATCTCGGAGCCCCTGTCGAAAGCGAAGAATGAGTCCAGCACGAGAATGTGATGCCACAACCGTCGACGAAGCTGCTGCATGAAGAAACTCTCATATGGTGACTCCCTGTCGACATTGAGCGCTTGGGCGAGTCGGACCAAAAGTCCGAAGAGGGCCCAACTTCGATGGCTTGCATCGTGTTTGCGTGTGGTTGTCTTGAGTGAGTTAGCGGAAGTACAAGATGGATGCTGCATCAAACATGCTCACCACATATACGTCAAAGGCCTGCAGCGCCGCTAGCGACTTCGTGTTGAGTAGATCAGCTTGCACCAACGCAGCCTCTGCGATGCGGCGAAAGTAATTCACTAGATCTGCACGTGGCTGTCCAAACTTAGCTTGGCAGTCTTTGTCGGTCATCTGAGAGATGCCGCCAAAGTGTATAGCAGCCTTCAGGGCCCGATTGCACGGAGCTGCCGCGTCATGGTCCAGGTAAGGCCTGCCTTCCTGGACGAACGCGCTCACAGTTGGCACGTGGAAAACCTTCCAGCATGCGTCAATGTAGTTCACATAAACGTCAAACAGCACCGTCTGCATCTCGGCATGCAGCTCGGGAAGCGCCCCAGGGACTTCGTAGATGCGTCCCGGATGACACATGATGAAGTCGAACGAGCCGGGTGGCTGTCCCGGCGTATGGGCCACGGAAGACAGGACACCAGACGAGGGCGAAGTCATTTCGGAAGTTTCCTCGCTGCTATCGTGCTCGTCTTCTTCCAGAACCTCCCTTAGCGCCTGCACCTCACCTGCCAGGGAAGTCCAGAACCCGCTGGCCACATAGCGGTTAGCAGCTGCGACTTGGACTCCCGGGGACCTGACGTTCTTCGGCCTGATCTCCTCTATGATGGACCCGTTCGCAGGTTGACCCTGCATATTCACGACCATCGATTCCAGACGGTCGAGCCGATCGCGAAGCTCGGTATTGCGGTGCTCTAGGGCATGGCTCTCCACCGTGGAGCGACGTTTGCGGATGCCCTGGGAGCATGAAAGGCCAGACTGACGACAATGGTTGCAGGGCAGTGCTCGATCACACTTGATCTTCCGCTTCTGCGTGAGAAACCGATGTTAGCACCGTCTTGGCGGATCTTGCATGAAGCACGGTTTGCCCCTATCAGACTCACTTGACATTGTCGACATGCCAGTTTAGTGCGTGGCGTTGGGCTTGGCTGCGCAGGGCTGTCTCCTCCCATGTCGATGCACTCGCTCAACGTGAGATCTCGGTGTGCTTCGCGTGGTCCTGATGGTTGTCGCATCGTGCGGCGTACCCATCGTCGCCATCACGGACCCGCGGACCCACGGGCGATATATATGATTTGAGCTGAGCAAGGCTGTACATGACGTGCGGTATCGCTGGTTCGCAAATCTAACTCGTGCGGATAAGTCTATGCCAGGGCGTGGAGTAAGTGCAGGAACGTGGACCCGGAGGATGGGCAGAAATTAGGTAACTCCTACCAGATTCCTTCGCTACCTTGCATGAAGGGTTACGACAGTCGCGGGCTGTCGGCGGACCCGATGGAAGACGTATCCGGAGGCTATCTGCGACGGATGTTTGAACCGGTTACTCTTTAAGAGGCGAGAAGTAGGGTTGTCGCGTGCTTCAACTGCTCATGTGAGCGGACTATTGGCTTTCTCAGCATCGTTCAGTCGCGATTGCCTTTCATGATTAATGCTCCTCGAAAATCCTGCGTAGGATGCTATACGTTGTTTGGGGTTTCGACAGGGAAGTGAAGCCATCGTAGCGGGGAACATTCTCATTGGTACAGCCTTGCCCGCCGCCAGCGGCTGTCTTGAGCTTAAACATTTCTTCCTCGACGTCTGCTCCTCGCAACTGACCCTTACCTAATGACTGAGGCTGGCACCAGCGGCCACCAGCGAACGCCATGCCATCCAGATTCGACGAAAAGAAAGCGAAAACCTTGGCTCAGCTTTCAGCTCCAGAAGAAGCGTATTCCGATCTGAGCCCCAAGGGCTCAGTGGACCGAGGTGTGCGAGAACTCTGTGCGGAAATCAATGCTCTGGATGGCTTTGTCACGACGAGCAGCTGCGCTGGCAGGATGGCCGTGTATCTCGAGGGAGGGCAGCAGAAGATCCTTCCAGATGAGGATATTGACAATGCCACAATTGCTACCGCGGCGACGACGTCCACCGCGGGCAGCGGCAAAGGCGGTGGGGAGTGGCTCTTCGTCTCTCACGATCCTTTGGAGTTAGATGCTACGACAGGCGGCCTCATGAAACTCTTTGGGATGGACCCCGACACCAAACCATCCACCCCATCCACCTTGACCGGCATACGGTTTGTACATTTCAGATTCGAACCATTGGTAAGTCCCTACTAATCATCATTTCACGGCGTTCTTCCTGTTATCTCCTATATCCATCGCTCCCCCAAGCGGCAAACCCGATCCACCCAGATCAACAACAACAAATCTACATCCGCAAACCTACATCCGCACCCACACGCGTAATCGAAATTTCCCTATCCAGCGCCATACCGCGCGCGGGCATTTCCCAATTTCGTAATTCATCACCAATCGATCTACAACTCAGTCCCGCTAAACAACATGTCTTGCACATCAACTAGATCCTTCACATCCTGACATCCTCGCTACAACACGCCCAAACCGCTCACGCAGCCGGCCTATCAGCGGGATTCCGAGAGTCCGGCATCAGCTCCATCGCCGGCACAGATCCTACGCCTATAGTGGCTGTTCGCACCCAGGGCCTCTTCTTGTCCAGTATAATCGGCTACCAGGAACAGGGACAAGGTGTGGACCCCTCTTCCTCTGCTACGATCAAGCCAATGGTGACAGAGGAGTATCTTGCAACTCTCGTGCAGTTGGCGAATCGTCGATTCCTCACCAACGAAGAGCGAAAGCAGAGGTTTCGGCGAGCATTACTAAAGCCTGAGAAGACGCTTTTGGATGTTAGTAAGGCGACCTCGTCGTGGGAGCCGGCAGAGGAGAGGAGGGAGAGGAAGCGGGCCGAAGGTTTGAGGATTCGAGACGCGATTAGGAGACGCGGAGGGGCGACGGCAGCAGCAGTGTCAAAGTCTGAACCACGTGGGGAGGCAGCGAAGGGCGATGAGGAGGATTACCACACAGGCGGGCTCGACTTCGAGCCAGACGTCCGACCGCCGTAGTACGTGGATTACTAACAATACAAGGCATGCTGCAGCCAATACTGCGTGCCCATTACACGTGTGGAGTTGCCATGTGCGCCTTTTCATGCTTGTCCCAACTTCACCCCGATGCCATGTCATCAGCCATGTCCTGTCCCAGACCCACATCGAGACCCACATCAAATAGGGCTCACTCATATCCCTATAACGCCTGCCCATGAGTCCGCCTCGCTATGCACGAAAATAGTAAAGAGACTACGCTTGTCTCGACCAGCTCTAGCCTGTTGCCGAGGATTGCAGGAGAATTGCTACTTCTCGCTGTAACCTTTGCCGCGCGTTACGCGGCGCTTGTGTGATTCGCTGTCGTTGGGAACATCCAGGTCGGTCGAAGATACCACGACTGTGTCCTCGGAGATTGACTCAGATGTGCGATGTGCTTGCCCATCCTTCTCGGACGATGGTGACTCAATCTGGGTAGATGCAGACGCTCCTTTGAACTTGTGGTGAGTAACGTAGAGCGAGATGACCACTCCGTCGTCGGCGCCTGAAGACTTGACTTTCTTCTCCGCTGATTTCATGTCCGCGCCGTCAGCGATATCGTCCGTCTTCTTGCCATCCTGAGCCTTTTGTTGTTCAGATTTCGTCTCGGTGCCGAGTAGCTCGTCTTTCAGCCACTGAAACAACGATCGGTTGTCTTCCGGTGTCGTTTCGGCCTTCTTGCCGTCTTTCGTTTCGGCTGGATCCAGAGTGAGGGCTTCGCTGTAATCGAGCATGTGCTTGAGCTCGCCACGCACCAGTCCAGTGCCCCACAAGCTGATCAATACTCCAGGAACAAGGTACAACAGCGCTGGCTGCGCGTGCTGAAAGACGGTCATGACGATCAGCGTCGATAGCATTCCAAACACGTACCCCACCATGGTAGCAGTGAAGTACGGCTTTGGGAAGCTGGTTGTGAGAAGCTCAGGCATTACAGCGCGGAGTGATGAAGATGAAGTAGCGCCTCTTGTCCAAAACTTGTCGCCCCAGTGGCCGGTCGCTGCAACGTACGGAGCAAACTCGACCTCCTTTTCGCCATGTTCATCGATCGACTCCGGTTTGGTCTTTTGTTTGCGAAGGTAAAAAGTATGCAGATCGAATCTGAGAGCAAGAGCAATCATGAGACCAGGCAGCACAATGTCACCAAGTCCAAGCATGCTGAAGCTCTTGATAGGAGGCTCACCGGGCGCACCTGGCTCATCTGGCCTCGGAAAGACGAGCTTGATCGGCACATCAAGATTCTTGGCCACCGTGACCATCAATGGAGTGAAGAAGACAGCCCAGATATCATAGAAGAAGAGACCAGTCAAGATCAACGATCCCGTGACGAAAGTAGTCGGCGACATGAGCTGCAAGGCACCGTACGAGACTGCAAAGCCTTGGAGGTTGGTGAGCCACCATGGCTTGCCGACGAGGATCGAATACGCGATGGCAGAAGCGCCCAGTACTGACGAGATGGCATTGTGGCGGGTCAACACCACGCTGAAGTCGAAGTGATCTTTCAGATAGCCCTTGACCTTGAACTTCTGCTTCGTCAAGTCTTTCAAGCTCCAGGCAAGGCTAAGTAGCGGTTCTGGTAGTGGGAGACGACCAAGCGGTCCAGTTAGAGGAGAGGATCTCTGCATGTCACTCTTGCCCTTGGTGTCCACCGCAATCACCTTGCGCTCACTGTTATTGACCTTCCACAGCTTCCCTTGGTCTACGTAGTAGGTTGGGCTGACAAAGCTCTCAATCGTCGTCCATGCATCGTTGATGATCTTGCCAACGCTATACGTTCCGATCAAAGAGAAGTAGACTCCCAAGACCAAATTGATCAGGTTCGCTCCAAACTTCTTGATGAGGAAGTATAGGGAAGCGAGCACTACGCCAGCAGTGATTGGGAACACAATGGCATCCCTATTGCTCAAACCCTCCATCTTCTGCACATCGTCCTCTTCCTCTTCTTCGTCATCCTCGTCGATGTCGTCCTTTGGCTTTTTCTTGGATCTGCCGGCAGACAATGGCCGCGAGAGAGAAGCATGGGCGCCTGCGTAGATTGGGAAGAGGGCGGACACGAGTAGGTGGAGGTACATCGGCAGGAATCGTTGGTTCTCTTCAAGGTAGTCCGCCGCCTTCTGCAGAGCCTCGCTGAGGCTGCCGGTGTAAGCCATTGTCCTGGCTTATGGCAGTTGTTGGATGTTGGTGTTGGTGTGTTGGCGATGTCAAGGAATGAACATAGCTGGAGACATTAGCGGAGCAAGCGCGGTGGTGCTCGTGAGGAACGCACGCGGCTGCAGCAGACAAACCGAGCTCAAAGGCTCAAAATAGGCATGTACGAGAGGCGCAGATGCCAGATGTTCAAGCCTCACAGGGCCCACCCTGGTCGGCGATCAACGGATCGCCTACCCGCCCGTTTGGAAACGTTTGCACGTGCTTGGATCTGGCTGTCATTCAGTGCACTAAATGACCATTTGTAGAGATTTGATAGACTTGTCATATACTTCAAGGCATAGCTTGGATACAACTTGACAATTTGATCAATGCAATGATAAATGGATTGCTTCCTGCTACGAAGAGGAACCTCCTCCGCGGCATCTCTGCAAGCAGCATCTATTCCTCCAACAACTGGCCGCCGAACTTGAACAAAGAAGCATGACAGTGGAGTGATCTGATATGGTACCTGACGATCACTGCCCTCCAACAATCCTCACAGCCATGAGTCCTAGCAGACCTCATACAACAAGCCCATCGAACCCGTTCTAATCCGAACACGAATACGAGCCTAAACCACTCATCTCTCCCGAGGTACAGTCCTCACATCTGTCCCTTCGGACAAGGACTCGCCTCCGGAACATGAATTAGCGTGTCAACTATTTGAACAAATGGAGCTTCGATCAATCTGCTTACCAGTCTCGAAAACCGGTAGGTCTAACCAGAGCTGCGCCGTAAGCTCAACGGCACGGCGAAGAGACCGGGTCCGCGTGGCATTGCATGTGCTCGTCTATAACGAAGATGATGGTCAAGGACTGCGTGGCAGGCTTGAGGTAACTGAATGCTGATGGAATATGCGATCGGCGATGAACGCTTGTTCAATGCTGAAGATGGTGCATTTCATGAGAATGACCTTTAATTTTGATGCAAGACCCGGCTGTATTCACTATAGTCCACGACTCCCTCTGATGGCGGTCCTCTTCTTCGAACGCCTCGCTAGAAGAACAAATTTCCATCAAGTTCCCGATCCCAAGCTCTCCATCATTAAGGCTGCTCTTTTAGTCGTCAGTCTTCAACCCGCACAAGTCTGTTCCCAGAACCCAGTCCAACCACGCAAAAAGCCTCCAGTACAGACTTGCTCGGTCCCAGTCGAATGTACCATCTTCCTTGCGCGGTACTGCAGAGCCGATGATCTCGCTTGCACCGATCCACGAGGTCCAGGACGCCTTGGGTTGCTTTGGTGCTAGGGCAAGTTCGGCCGGGAGAACCTTCGCGGGGATGGCTCCGTCGATTCGTAGGCGGCGAGGTTGTGCGACACTTGCCGGAGCTGCTTGAAATCCAGTCGCCTGTTGCTGTGCAGGGGTGGCAGCCGCCGGGCGAGCAGCCAGTCCGTTGTTGAGTGTAGACGAGCTTGCAGTTGGCGAATCCTGCGCTCCACCAAGAGGACTGCGTAGCGGCTGACCTGCTGTGGTCGGTGCTGTCGCCGTCGCCGATGACACTGTGGAAGACCCATTGGGACTACCTTCGACAACCCCTGCTGTTGTTGAGAATGTCTTAGGCAACTGTTCACTCGTGATCTGAGCGCCTGCCTGCGTAGTCAACACCGCCTCATCTTTCTGTGGTCCTCTGCCTTGGTAGGGCTCTGCGTACACCAAGTATCCTCTGATCGTGTGTGGTTGTCTTGCAATAGCCAGTTCAGCTGCTTGCCTCGACTCAAATGTGACCTTGATCCAGTGCTCTCCCCCGGCGAACTTGTTCTTCTTGCGCATAGCCGCTCGTGAAAGGCTTCTCTGTGCTTGCGCGCGTCCCATTGTGCGCGAGACATCGTAGCGCTGACCTGGAGGCTGGCGGTCGTAGTCTTCGAGGATGTAGCCGTTTGAGACGCGCTCGTAGAAGTCAATTGCAGACCACTGTAGATCTTCACCGAAGCCATACAGTAAGACTTCAGTCGGCTCGCTATCTGCAGTATCCGCTGTCGACAATCTTGTGGACGATTGTGCACCTGCAGCATTGGGATCAACCTCGCCTAGGGCGTCTCTCTTTCCTGCATCTTCTTTTGTCCCGACTCTTCTCAGTGAGCCGAAGACTGCATCTTCAGCTGCCATGTTCTCTGCCTTGATTTTGTCTTCCTCTCGTCTCGGCTCCGCTGTCTTTGACCTGGACCTCGACAAACCACTCCTAGTCCGACGCATACTTCTTCCAAACGGGCCTTTCTCGACGGGCGGTCGCTCGCCACTGTCGGGTCCAGAGTAGTCGTACGCCCATGGAAGACGTCGGCCACTGCTGTCAATGGCACGCTCAGCTTCAGGAACAGCATGGACTTGCATGCCGGGTACGCGCTGATTCCGAAGGCCGTACATGTCGACGGATGGTGCTCGTAGCAGATGTGAGGGCGATGCGGACAGATGCGCTTGGGTGGGGCGTGCAAGTGTGGATGTTGTTGAATGTTGTCCGCTGAGTCGAATTTGATAAAGATGACGAAGACGATGCGATGGCGACACCTCTTTGTCTGGGCTGTGGTGAGACGACAAATTGTCGAAGGGTCGATGTCCGGCGTGGAAAGCATTCAATTGTGCGAGCAAGTTCGCATTCACTTCGAGGTCCCAAACTCTAGCTTCACGCGCAGTCACGAGACGCCAAGACTTTGACCAGGTGCACTGTTCTACAGCGAGCGTGCTAGACCACCAGTTTTGGTCAGACCTTCACCGAGTTTAAAACAGAGATGGAGAGCCAGAAAATGGATGTGACATCGAACAAACACGTCGCTTTTACAAGTACATTTTTAACCTAAGAGGCAGCCAATGTATGACTGCCACGTTCGCATGCAGACGAACAGCCCCCCCGACTTCCTAATCATGCAAGTAACGTTTCGCGCATGATCAAGCCGATATCATTTTACTCATCACCGCCCTTGACGTCGACACCCTTGCCGCCCTCTGGGTACTCCTCAATCTTCTTCTCGAACCGAGCCTCGATAGCGTCGATGACCTTCTCGTCCCGGGGAGTGCTGACGAAGCTGATAGCAACGCCCTTGGTTCCGAAACGACCGGCACGACCAACACGATGGAGGTATGTGTCTGCACATTGAGCCAGCGCTTCCTTTGCCTCCGCGTCGACGTCCTTGGATGCGGACTCTGGCATGTCATAGTTGATGGCGAGGTTGATACGCTCAATGTCGATACCACGACCGAACACGTCTGTGCTGACGCAGATACGCTTGTCGTAGTTCTTGAACGCCTGGTAACGCTTGATACTGTTGCAATAATGAGTTTGTGTCCAAGTTCAAGGATTGGTGCGACTTACCGCTCCTCCTGGCTAACTCCTGAGTGCACAGCGATGGATGGGAAGTTGCACTCGCGTAGCAGACGGTCCAGCTCGGTAGCACGGAGAGTGCTCTTGACGAAGATGATCACTTGATTGTAGGTCAAAGTGTCGAGAAGATCATTAAGCTTCCTGTTCTTCTCTTGTTCGCCACACTTGATGTAGTACTGCTGCAGACCGTGCAGTGTGAGCTTCGTCTCATCGTCGACGTAGATCTCCAAAGGACTCTGCATGAACTTCTTGCAGATCGGGCGGGTGGCTTGCGAAAGGGTAGCAGAAAACATCATGACCTGCTTCTGGGTGGGGGTCGCGCGGAAGATCTCCTGGACATCGCGGCGCATGTCTGAACGGCCATTAGAAATGTTCTGAACACGTAGCTCTGCATCCAAACTTACCGATCTGGTCCAGCATTTTGTCGCACTCGTCCAGAACGAAGCGAGACACACTTCCGAGTCGGAGCTTCTTGTCTCTCACCAAAGCATTCAAGCGACCTGGTGTAGCGACGATGATGTGTGGGTGTGTCTCCTTGTCTTTGAGCAGCTTCTCATTCTCCTTGATGTCGGTACCGCCGTAGAACACCGAAGTCTTGACCTCTGGCATGTACTTGCTAAAGCGGGCGTACTCGTTTCTGATCTGGAATGCCAGCTCGCGCGTGTGACACATGACCAAGACGCTCACTTCGCCGTTGACTGGTTCGATCTGCTGGAGAGTGGACAGCACGAAGACTGCAGTCTTACCGAGACCAGATTTGGCCTGGCAGAGGACATCGGTTCCGAGAATGGCCTGAGGAATGCAGACTTGTTGGACTGGAGGAAGATGTTAGAGTTTGTTCGTCCAATCGTAAGCGCGAAATGAGCATGAGCAGAGCGTCCGTCCATAGTCCTTGTAAAATCCTCGTTCTGCCATGCTCCTCATGACATGCGCCCCCAGCATGAATGTCTTGTGGTGCATAGACCCTTGCCCCAGTTTGCGCAACCCAATAGACCCCAGGCTTTCGCCGAGTCGAATAGCAACATTCCAACATGCACTCTCCTTCGCAGACGTTGCTCGCGGGTAAGATACCAAGAGAGCTGTCATCCAGACGCGCATGGCCACTTGCCCGCAGCGCTAATAACTCCAAAGCGATGTTTATCTGACTTGCTCATGATAGATATCTTACTGCTCCCGCTCTGATGGACTGGATGGACGGACGCTCCTCGCTCGTTCGGTAGGGCTCGTAGGTAGGCTCAAAGCAGGATGTATGGAGATGACTAACCCTCTGATGGATGCTCGAAACCGCAGTCGGTGATAGCCTTGAGAAGCTCCGGCTTGAGGAGGAAGTCGCGGAAGCTGGTGGAGTGGATACCGACATAGCTGCCTTTGCCCTTGTCGGCGCCAGCGCCAGAGACCGTGAGGTCGCCCTTCTTGTCGCCGTTTGCGGCGGCACCAGTGGCACCGGCGGCGCCGTCAGTTGGCTGAAGCTCCTCGTCGGAGTAGTCGATGAGATCCTCCTCGCCGGCAGACATGGTGATGGATCGAGAGTGTTAGTGTCGGTGGGTGATGAGGCTGAGGCGCCTGCGGGATCGTCGAGTTCGTTGACTGCCCAGTATCCAGCAGCTGTTCAGTGCGAAGACTTTCGCGCTGATGAGGCGGATGGGAGCGTGTCGCGGTCGAGGATGTGGACTCGGTGGGTGTGTTGTTTGTTGTTGATGCAAGGTGAGTGAGTGGGCGGCGACGCAAACGTCGAACTTGAGTCGCGCTTCCTTGCGGGACCAGCCGCGCGCCGCATCCCTGCAAGCGACCAGCGCCCGCGCACTTCAGCTCTGGTCTGCCACGACCTTCGCGCGAAAGATCTCTCAGTCACACGCTCTTTCCACGCGCATGTCAACCATGTGAAGACACCAGATTCCGAAGTGCCACAACGATTTTGTTTTCGACCTCCAGCTTCGCCATTAGCTGCATATTCCACGCTGTATCACGATGGCGAAAGACAAATCCAAAGAAAAGGCAAAGGGCGCACGCAGTGTGCCAAACAAGCATCTCCACGCACGAGTATCATTCCTACACCAAGCAGCGACTTTCTTCGCCCTCCGAGAAGCTAGTCCGCCTAGCCATTCTTCTCTTGACCCGTCGAACAACGTGGACAACGGATTTACACCGGGACCCACCGCCAGCATTTTACACCTGGACGACAACCAAATGGACTGTCAGGAATCTTCCGACCAAAGCCAGGCTACTTCAAGCCGCGAGTCAGCAGAAAGGCCGCTCCAATCTGGACTGTCATTTCACCTAAATTCGCAACTTCGGCAAGTCGCTCGTAAGTCCCAGATCCGGTTGCACCCAACCATCAAGCGGACTGGGTGCAAAGGTTGCAGTGCGGTTCTGATTGAAGGGCAAACATGCAACAAGTATGTGGAGAATACGTCGAAAGGGGGCAGGAAGCGACAAGCGGAAGTTCTGGTGTTGGAGTGCATGAACTGTGGCTCGAACAAGCGATTCCCAATTGGCGCCAAACGACAAGAGAACAAGGTCCTTCGAACTGGAGCTTCCGATCGCGGCCAAGAGAAAGATGTCATTGTCAAGGATGGTGCGTCTTCTCTCCCGCCGTGAGCGTGCATTGTCAACGACGATACCCGCCGAGCGCATCTGAGGGACCTTCAACCAAGTCGCAGAGAAGTTAGCCTCTGGTGCGGATTGTGGTTGCTGAATAACGGCCGCCGTCCGAATCACACGCATCAAGCCACGAACTATCGGTGTCGTTGACGTTTTGAACGATTCGCACTCGAATTGTCGTCCGTTCTCTGTTGCCCACCACTCGGCCTCGTGTAGTCTTGCACATTCCCCTGCACACTGTTATACGGTGCGTTTGCTGGGTACAAGGCGTCCTGGTCCACCATCTGGGTTCCTGCTCTTCTTCTTTCAACCTCGACCCCGAGACGCCGGTTGACCCTCCCCATTTCGGCGTACACAGAATCAAGGTTGTTGTTCGCCATCGCAAGGCTCAGATTGTTTTCTTCTGCAAGCTGAATCGCTCGGTCTAATTCGCTCTGTTTCCTGGTCGGAATCAGCAGATCAGCTTGGCGAGACAACTTCGTGCCAGGCGAGACCTTACTTGGGCGGCTGTGGATCGCGATACTGACATTCGATCCTTTGCTCCATGCATTGCCGGCATGGGCGTCTGCCATCGCACCTCTGCTTACGCTTGCGACATTCCTAAACCAAATCAATACTTTACCCGGTCAGCTTTGTGCGTTCCACGGCATTTACCTCGCATGCCTGGTGGATTATCAGTCTTGCTAACCTGGATCATGTGGTTTATACATCGCTCACTGTTCGAGTCCGTCTGATCTTCTCTCTCGGCCCGTCAGCTTCGATATCGGTCAACGTTGGCTGCCATTGTGGCCCGCCGGCGTTGGCGCTGACAGGCATGCCTGGGACCTGAAAGGGCGTGGGATGCAGTGGTTGTGACCACTGCCTCGGGTCTTCCCCATGTCGCGCAGTGGGATACGCAACCTGATTGGGGTAGGCTTGGTAGGGATTCGGTGGAGGGACTGCTCCATGGTATGGCTGCGTGTTCAGATACTGGTTGTTTCCTGGATTCGGAAAGCCTCCATAAGGATACGGATCCATGGAATATGGCAGCCGCACAGTCTTCAGCAAGGGTTGCCGGCGTGGGCCTCTGGCAAGGTTCACGACGAAATGGCGGTACCGAGTAGTTGGAGAGCGATGCGCAGGCTCGCCTATATTTCGCCCGCCCGTTTCCTTCTCGCCGCCGGCGATGTCATGCGGCCCTCGACGCTAAGAACTTAATGATCCATCACTCGGCAGCAAACTCCGCAACCTGCTTGCTGGCGCTGGCAACGGTTCAGCAGTACTTTTAAACTGCAAATACATCTGCGACAACTGGCATTGATCGCATGCAACAATTCCCTACACTCTTTGGCAAGCAATCGCCGCCTTTGCCATGCAGCAGAGTCACCGTCAATCAAGATGCCCCTCCGGAGCGTTAGCCACTAGTTGCTTACATGGCGGAGGGTTTGGCAACAGACTGACCCCGTACGTCACAGCAAGTTTTCCTGGCCTCGCTGAAGGAGCCTTGCATGCACAGGACAATTCGCGCACCTGGACCAGATCCTCCCACCCACGGCTCAACTACCAAGCTTGGCAATTGCGACTGCGCGCAACCCGAAGCAGCAGTATAGCTGATTTCGAGGATTATGATGATCTGTGAGCCAAAGAAAACGGATTGAGACGGGCGTCAAGTCAAAGCTTTGGACTCATGCGACCTCATGCCTAAGGCGCGGTCTAGAGCAGCCCTCTAACTGTGAGTGCTGCAGAGTGGGCACCATTGGTTTGGCATCGTTTCAGCAACAAATGGCAATGAAGGGGCGACTCCACATCAACGACGTCGCTCGTCAGATGGCATGAGGTCGTAATCCATAGTGCACCAAATACGCTCTGGTGCAGCTGAGAGTTTCGGGGAGTTGACGCCGCCCTCGGACGGGACAGGCCGTCAACCTAACTAACATCCTGCTAATGCGTGTCACGCACACGATGCACAGATTGAGCGACCAGTCTTGTCCAAGCAATGTCGCCACAACCATGGCCAGCACGACTACTTCACATGCGCCACCACACGAGGGACAACGTGTCCTGCAGTCGCACTGATACTTCGTAATGACTGCGAAACAAGTTGTCCATGATGCGAAATCCACTTGGTACAACAGGTGGATGAGATTGATCTGCCACCTCATCGACTACAGCAAGGGATAAAGACGGCTGAGGTGAGACGGCCCAGCTGCTTCACGAACATCTGCAGATCAAGACTGTACATTGTGTTTGCACCCACGCTTGGCTGCCGTCTGTTCGGTGCCTATCATCAAGCGGGAAATGCGGCATATGCAGTTTGAAATCTCGAGACTATCGGACTTGGCCCGATGAAGAACTTGCTGCAGCTGCTATGAGGTTTTCAAGCCAGTCCGCAGAGGCCGGTGGACCGAGAGCTGCGTGTCTCAATCTCTCAATCCACGTTCAACAGACCCATCCAGTCATTGGGGGCAGCGTGCGAATCACGTTGATGAACCCGGTCAACACAAGCCGTCCCTACATACTGCAGCCTTTCTTTCTGCAAGATCGGCGGCAACTCCAATTGGCTGCTCACATCACTGAAGGCACACGAGACGCGGGCTGCACGAGGTACATGGCAGCCGTCTGCATTCTGCAGACGCGATTCAACCTGGAAGGTGCTTCGACGGCAGCCGCGCCGCAACCCAGGAACGGGTGGTACAAGGCTAGACTTGGTCCAGCTATCTTCTCAGGATCGGACGCGCTGGACGTCTCCAAGTACCTGGACCTGGTCAGCGCAGGCTGCTGCACATTACGACTGTTCATTATTGCAAGACGAATTCCACAGGTAGACTCGCGTTTAGTCGAATTTCTGAGATCGATAGGACCGGAATGGCTGTTCACTTGCCTCATCAGCTTTCCCATATTCGGCCCTATACATCGTGGTTGTTCGTCTTGGCGTTCACGGCTGAAGGCTCCGCGGACGAAACTTTGAACTTGCGATGACATTCCTACTGACTGAAGGTTCACTCCTTCACGCTTGTGCCAGATTGAGCATGGGGCGTGGTCGACCTGACTCTTTCGACTTCAACCGTGCCGTCCTGTGCCTCCTCGTTGTCGCTGGATCGGACAGGGATTGACTTCAGCTGGAGGTCACAGAGCCTCGATCTGCTGCACCACGCCTTGTGAGCCCGATTGATGGTGCACAACTCCTGTTTCCCATCAGATAACTCACCGTCCGACGACACAGGCGCTGTGCGGTGTGCTCGAGACTATGAGAGTTCTTGATGCCTCTGAAATAGTCTAGACACTCTCAGGTAGGTACTCTCAGCATTCTGCTTAAAGTGGAATATTCATCCCAATAACTCACAAGCCATCTAAGCAGCTTGGGGTGCCATTAGCAGCGCAGTCGTTTGTTAAAAGTCGGGGAGATGACAATTGCATATGTTCCAGTTTGACCGGAAGGAAGAGGCTACATTCGACGATCGGGCTGAGTGCTGGGGAGCTCTCCGCATGACGTCAATACAGATGTTGGTCAATCTGTCTGGTATCCATGGATGTCAACAACCTTTCTCAACCTCTCTCCAAGACTATTCTGGTTGGATGTTATATTGAAAGCTTGCGCATCATGCATGAATCTCCAAGAACTGTCCCTGCTGCCTACTTGCGGGGAGGAACGAGCAAGGCGCTCTTCTTCCACGAACGAGATATCCCACCCTATGGGCCAGACCGAGACCGGTTCTTGATGCGTGTCATGGGCTCGCCAGACCACATGCAAATCGATGGCATGGGCGGTACATACCCCGTGACGTCCAAGGTCGCCATCGTAAGGCCGTCGGACCGCGAGGATGCCGATGTGGATTTCATATTCGCTCAAGTGTCTGTAAACGAGAGCTTCGTAGACTATGACGCCACATGTGGAAATATATCCGCCGGGGTTGGACCTTTCGCAATCAATGAGGGACTCGTGAAAGAGAGGAGATTGGGGAAAATGGCAGAGGGATATACCACCCAAGAAGTCAGGATATACCAGCCACTAAGCACGCAGAAAGCTCTCATGGCGCATGTGCCCATCAGTGAGAAAACGGGTAGGTTTGTCGAAAAGGGAGAATATCGAATCGCTGGCTGTCCAGGAAGCGGATCGCCCATACTCATGGACTATCGCGAGGTTTGTGTCCACAAGTAAGCGCAATTCTTTGCTGATGCGTCGTAGACGACTGGAGGCGGCGTTCACAAAGGACTCATGCCAACCGGCCAGCCGGTCAACGAAATGGATATCGATGGCCATACGATTGAATACACTATCTGCGACGCAGCGCACATCATCGCCTTCGCTAGAGCTGTCGACTTCGGACTCCAGGGCAACGAACATCCCCGAGCCATCAACGAGGACAAAGGGCTCTTGAAAAGAGTTCGAGAATTTCGAGGCAAGGCAGCACACTCAGTCGGCTTGTGTCGCGAGCCATCAACAGTCGACGAGGACTCACCTATCCTACCAATGATAGCGTTGATATCAGAGCCTTCACAGGAGGACGCACACATCCAATCGAGGCTTTTCCTGGACAACGCATGTCATTCGGCTATGGCAGGTGCAGGGGCGACGTGTACAGCTGCGTGTAGCCGGATGCCTGGTTCGCTGGTCGCCCAGCTCATGAGCCAGTCTGCTCTGAAAGACAAGGTGTTCAACGTCCAGCATCCGTCCGGCGTGTTGCCTATCTCGATTGATACAGAGGGTTCTGGAGACGATGGAATGCCAATCTTCAAGACTCTTTCGTTCGTTAGGACTGCTAGGTATCTCTTTAAGGGATAGCTGTTCGTTCCCGAAGACTTGGATGTATCGTGGGAAAGAGAAGGAGTCAACGGACATGGTGTCAACGGCACCTGAGCACTCACGGTAGTCATGGGTCAACACCTTGTTGGCTGGTCGGTACTGTGGAAGTGTCGTTCTTCGTCGGCAACGACAGCAGTGCGACCATGTGGTCAAGCCGCTTCGTCAAAAGACGCAAGTACAGTTTGCATACAGAAGTCTACGTTCTTTCCGTTGCGACAACCAATACCTCCAGACTGACATCGAAGCGAAATCATCATCATCCACGGCTACTCACTATTCCACAATATACCAATCGCACTATGAGAGTCTCGACATCTACTCTGAGCATGGCGGCAGTGCTGGGTGCACTATGCATCAGCACAGACTCTATTGAGGTGCCACACAGTTTACCACCTTCTCGTGTCGGCGGGTACCAAGGGTACTCGAGACCGACATACACTCATATCCCAGCGAGTATTGTAGCACAGATGTCCGAGGACTATGTCAGAATGGGTTCGGCATTGAAGAGCCGCAGACAGAGCATCGGTTTTGGTAGCAATGGTGAGCACAAGCCTCTCAGCCTGATCTTCATCACCATTGACCTGTAACATAGGGAGATTGCACGGCAAGCTGACCTACACCGATAACCATGGCGAGCCGGTGAAATTCCTGGCAATGGATGAGTTTGAGGAAGAATTGCATCATGCGTATTGCACCGACCAAACCGTGGAGATCAGCTTCCACGAAGAAGTCGACTTCCAAGAAATTATGAGAGATTGGAAGTTCATCAATGACCACGAGGACAATCATGTACTACTTATCACGACCACTCAGCAATGTGACAAGGGGCTCGATGCTACGAACAATCTTCAGCCTTGGATCGTCTCGAGCGCGCAATTTGACGACACGGCCAACAACGTCACGCTGATTGGGGACCCAGTCGAGTTCTCCCAACTACCATATCATGCTCAGCTCGAAGCATCCAGTCAGGGCAAGCTCATTCCCGCGAAGTTCAGGCGTGACGAACCTGCTACGAGCGAGGAGTACAAGACCCCCGGCGACATCGACTTCAACGTTGAGATAGCTAAGGTCGGAATAGCTCTGGGCAGTGCAGGAGACGTGCTCAAGTCTCTCCAAGGAAAGCCCCCAGATGTCACCATCGCTTGCATGAACTGCTCCATCCATGGTGGGCTGGACTTCGATGTCAACATCCACGCTGATCTCAACTCCAAGACGAAGCTCAGTGGTGGGATTTTCCTGAAGGCGAAGGACGTTGGGGCAACTATCCGCATCCTGCTGTCAGTCAATTCCATCTTGAAGGACGTTATCAGCACTGAGCAGCCTGTCTTTGGCTATGTCCCCACGGGGCTGGGATTCTACTTCGGCAAGATCATTGACATTGGGCCGACTGCAATGCTGTATTTCAAGGTGAATGTAGGCGGGAATGAGATGCCAGTTGCAGTGGAAACGGGCTTCGACCTGTCCATCGACCCCAATGCCGAGTTCAAGCTGGACTTTGCAGACCCTACAAAGTCTGATGCCAGCGACTGGCAGCCCAAGTTCGAAGCTCTGGATCCCCGTGTCTCAGAAGGGAACTACTCTCTCGACTTGCAAATGGGCCCCGTGCTTCAGTTCGTTATTGCGGGGAAAGTGCTCGGTATGGGAGCTGAGGCAGGCTTCGATATGGGTGGTGGAAACATGGACTTCAAGGTAGAACAAGGAGTCAAGAGCGATATGTGCAGCAAAAAGCGCTCGACAGGGCGTCCGGACAATGCTCAGGGTTCCAAAAAGAATGGATTCAATTTTAGTGACCACGTTCACAACCAGATTCAGGACAGACCAGCATACCTGAAATACGACATGGGCCTCGTCAACGAGATCAAAGCATTTGCGGATGCCAACTTCTTCGGAGCAAAAGCCTACGCAGGACACGTGTTGAAGTCTGAATCAACTCAGCTCGCAACAACCTGTGGTGAACTGCCTCAAACGACAGAGTTCCTCAAGACGAATGCTGCATTGGTGTTGCCTTCAGTGAGCACGTTCGAGGCGACGCAGATTGTCGGGTCGGCCATCTCAGCGGTTTCCAGTGTGGTGGAGAAGGTGGAAGAAGTGGCTACTGCGACGATTGCTTCCGGAGCGAAGGAAGTTGCCACGGGGGTGATTGCTCCTGCGGCCACAAATCTCGGCGACAGTGTCAAGAATGCCATATGTGCGCATACGATCTTTTGCTGAATGCGGAGACTGGCAATATGGAAGAAGTAGTCCTGTTGGGGTAGACAATGAGCACTGAGCACAACTGAATGATGGGCTGTTAATGAGCAGGCGTGGGCATGCAGAGAAAGAATACCCATGGGGTGCGGTCTTGTGTGCGGTGCTAATACCTGCGAATGCACTTTTATGTCAATCTCGAGACATCAAAAAGTTCGGGCTATCGCAGGATACCCGCTGCGGTCTATTAGTGCACTTTCATATGCTGTAACGTTCCTGCCCTGTTTGGATATGACATGACCAAAGTGCCAACCCTATTTCGACGACGCGCTTGCCGGTTCGTCGTGCGGCAAAGATGAGAGTCAATTGAACACTTTCTTTTCACGAAGAATGACCGGACTCATGCCATGCCCTTTTGTCGCCCGTCGGACCGTCGGGCTTTTGCCGATGGCAGTTCGGGAGCTGTAAGTCTGCATTTTCACATGATTGTCAGAAGCTGACTTGCTCACGCCACGGCTTCCAGGAAGACTTGACCTCCAAGGATATGCTTGCAATGGTGACGATGCCATGCCCTGGCTAAATCGTGGAGGTATGGATTGATGTATCACTGCTTTCACGACACTCGAGATCCCGCTGGCCATATCTAGCTTTGATGTCGGCTTGCGGCCTCAGACACAATGCATTCCTTCATTCAAAGCTCTCCATCAGCAGCCCAAGATTCTCAACGCGCTCAAGGAGCGGATGGGTGTTACGGGCGGTGCGGTGACCGGGAAAGCCAGGAACAAGCATCTCGTCGAGTCGCCATGTGGTGTAGCGCCAGGATAACTTTTGACGATCGTGGCCTGGAAATACGGCGATACCTTGCTGGTGCAGGCCTCTCATTCGTTCGGGCGGCAATGTCGGGTGCTGCGGTGCGGATGTCTCCAGTACTAAAGCTCGTCGTGGGACCAGACTGCGGAGGAGGATACCGCTCTACGGTACTCGATGCTTCACTCTACCATTCGAACGACTATCTCTCGACCACGTTGATGGAATGAAATGGGAAAAGAGACAGAAAACAAGTCCTGAAGAAGCACATTCACATGCAAGGATAGAGTTTCGGCAGGTGAAATCATCGGCCGCGGTCGATCTGGAGCAGGCTCCTCTGAGCCGAGCAAGCTGTCTGTGTGCTTGCAGGGCTGGGCCAAAGCCGATCCGCAGAGCGGATGTCATTTCTAGCGGGGTGATTGTCCTCGGCTGCTCCCAGCAACGCCTTCATCACCAGCAGCAATGGGACAAGCTCACGCTTGTGACGTATATATCAGAGCGCCAGCCGTGTCGCTCTTACCAAAGGTTTGCTTCGACCGACTTGCTCTCCTACTTCTCTCCACCAGTCTCCTTACCCCAGAAAGATTTGGAAGAACAGGAAATATAGTACTTGCCCAGCATGCCTACTCCAGTCAACACAGAACAGATCCTTAAGGATGTCAACATCCACGGCAGACTGAACGACCAGACACGCCAGATTCTTTCCAAAGATGCCACCATCTTCCTCGCCGTCCTCCACCGTACCTTCAACGCTACCCGCAAGGCTCTTCTTGAGCGAAGACAGATCCGCCAGGCTGAGCTCGACAAGGGCGTTCAGCTCGACTTCCTCCCCGAGACCAAGCACATTCGTGAGAACGATGCATGGAGAGGCGCACCACCAGCTCCAGGTCTCGTTGACAGGAGATTGGAGATTACTGGTCCAGTCGACCGAAAGATGGTTGTGAATGCCTTGAACTCGGATGTGTGGACATACATGGCAGATTTCGAGGGTGAGAAATGAGGTACTAAATTGCAAGTGGCAGTCGTACTGACTAAGTGTGTAGATGCAACTGCACCAACATGGGACAACATGATCAATGGGCAGCTCAACCTCCACGACGCCATTCGCAAACAGGTCGACTTCAAGCAGGGCGAGAAAGAGTACAAGCTTCGCACCGACCGCACCCTTCCAACCCTCATCTGCCGTGCTCGTGGCTGGCACCTTGAGGAGAAGCACTTCACCGTTGATGGTGAGCCAATCTCCGGATCTCTCTTCGACTTCGGTCTTTACTTCTTCAACAACGCCTTTGAGCTCGTCAAGCGCGGAACCGGCCCATACTTCTACCTGCCCAAGATGGAGAGCCATCTCGAGGCAAGACTCTGGAACGACGTCTTCAACCTCGCTCAAGACTACATTGGCATGCCACGAGGCACCATCCGAGGAACCTGCTTGATCGAGACCATCACCGCTGCTTTCGAGATGGACGAGATCATCTACGAGCTCCGTGATCACTCCTCCGGCCTCAACTGCGGTCGCTGGGACTACATCTTCTCTGTCATCAAGCGTTTCCGCCAAAACTCCAACTTCGTCCTCCCAGACCGTAGCGCCGTGACCATGACCGTGCCCTTCATGGACTCATACGTGCGTCTCCTCATCAAGACCTGCCATCGTCGTGGCGTCCACGCCATGGGTGGCATGGCCGCTCAAATCCCCATCAAGGACAACCCAGAGGCCAACGAGAAGGCTATGGACGGTGTGCGTGCCGACAAGCTTCGCGAGGTGCGCGCCGGCCACGACGGTACATGGGTCGCCCATCCAGCTCTCGCCAAGATCGCAGGTGAGGTGTTCAACGAGCACATGACCACCCCCAACCAACTGCACGTCCGTCGCTCTGAAGTCAATGTCAACGCCAACGACCTCCTCAATATGAACGTCCCCGGTAAGATCACCGAAGACGGCATCCGCAAGAATCTCAACATTGGTCTCGGATACATGGAGGGCTGGCTCCGTGGTGTAGGCTGTGTCCCAATCAACTACCTCATGGAGGACGCTGCTACTGCTGAGGTCTCCCGCTCGCAGCTCTGGCAATGGTGCAGACACGGTGTGCCAACCAGCGAGGGCAAGAAGGTCGACAAGCAGTACGCTCTCAAGCTGCTGTATGAGCAGGCTGAGGAGCTCGAGAAGAACGCGCCAAAGGGCAACAAGTTCCAGCTTGCTGCCAAGTACTTCGCTACGCAGGTGACTGGCGAGGATTATGCTGAGTTCTTGACTTCGTGAGTATCACCAACACCCTTTACCATCAGGACTTGTACTGACTTTGCATTCACAGGCTGCTATACAACGAGATCACGAACACCGGCGAGAAGCTGCCAGCTGCCAAGTTGTAAGCAGGTGATGAGATGGACTGAAAAAGTGAACATACCCAGAATGGTTTTTTGGATCTTATGGCGACGTGGGAATGGATGACATTTGTGTACAGCTTCGTGTATCTTATTGAAACAATGTTCAACGATTAAATCGTTAAATTCTCTCCCAGTTCTAGAAATCTGAAGGGAAGTCAGAAGGTGATGAGATACTGATCAGATCGTGATCTTACTTCCGTTATATACACGAACGCTAAGCTGTCCTGTACGCCTTGCACAAAAGTTTCCAGAGAGCATCAACTGTGGAAAGAGATCTGAGCTGGATGTCCCTTCAACGCACACTTGCTGGGCTTGCATATAAGTGTCTATTCTCTCACTTCAGTTATAACCCCCAAATCGGCTCATTGGTATGGTTTTCCACACCGCTCTCCAGAGCCTTCGCCTGCTCCCTCAACGCATCCGCCTGAAATCTCTTGAAGGCGTTCTGTATCCTATCCCTGCTCTCCCGATCCGCAGCAATCTGCTGCCTCGCCCTGAAAGAGCCCGTTAAAAGCCCCGTCTCCCCACCGAAGAAGATACCTCCAGCCCCTAGCAACGAATACGTCGCGATATCGCCAATCGTGCTGGGCTTGACGAGGGGTGTAAGGTCAGGCAGCGTCTCCTCACGTCCGTCAGCGAAGCGCACTGCTTGAGGCTTCTCTGCGGTCTTAAAAGCGCGGAACATGCGTTGGCGTCCACTGCGGATGCGGAAGGCGAAGAAGGCGCCCAGCGAGAGGCCTATGAGGGAGCCGACGAGCGTGTGCGTGCTTACGGTGGAGGCGGCTTTCTTGAGGGCGTCTCGGTCGGATTGCGTAAGGCTGTGGCAGACGCGTTAGCTACCTATGCCTTCTTCTCTCTTGAAGCTTTGGGAGGAGCCGCTCACTCACTCGTCTTTCATGTGCTTATCTGCCAGCGCGTTGAGGTCGGGACCCAGGCCTTTCCGGAAGATGGCAAGCGAATCGGACGACATCGCTTTTGGTGGATTGCCTTCTCGCCGTGCTCGGAGTTTGGTATGGTGGTCTGATAGGAGCTCTTTCTCTCTCTCGCGGATGTAGCAGCTTCGCGTGCATTGTGCTCGGCCGAGGCGGTTGGGGGTCGCTGTGAGTCAATAGCAGGGCAATCACGACAGACGGGTGGATGAGAGAGGTATAAAGAGAAGGGGGAAGACGTAATTGAATCGAAGATTGTTTGCTTCGCCTCACACAGCTTGCATAAACATTCTACCTTGGATATCCGCCGGCTAGTCGACCGGTACCTTCCTGGCTCTGCCTGCCATCCGTCACAAGCAACAGTGGAAAGAGCGTCACGTCACGCCGAGGAAGCAACAACCCCGCAATTCGGAAGCGTTCCTGCACGTGGCACGTTCCGGGCCCAGCCTCATCCGCGTTCTCCCGACGCTCACCTCACTTCTCACGATGCCATCCACCGAGAACATTCCTTTCCAACGCGCTGCCGATGCGGATGCTTGGGCGGAGAAGCGTCTGCTGCCTTCTGGATACCCGTTCTCGGAGGCGTTGAAGTTCGCGGCTGAGAACCAGGTCAAGAGCGGCCTCCCAGACATCGCCGTCTCGCCTCTTCAGGGGAAGTTTCTGGCGGTGCAATGCACCCTCATCAAAGCCAAGAATGCCCTGGAGTTTGGCACGCTGGGTGGGTACAGCACTATCTGGATCGCTTCGTCTTCGCCCGAGATCAAGGTGACCTCGATTGAGTACGATGCTCATCACAAGAAGGTCGCGGAGGAGAGCATTGCGAATGCGGGATTGAGTGATAGAGTCCAGGTGCTGCAAGGTGCAGGTCTGGATGTCCTGCCGCGGGTTCAGAAGGAAGTGAAGGAGGGCAAGAGGGAGAAGTTTGATTTCGTCTTCATCGATGCTGACAAGGAGAACAATACGAATTACGTGAATGGGGCGATTGAGATTTGCAATCCGGGAGCGTGTATCATTGTCGACAATGTTGGGAGACGGGGAAGGATTGCCATTGACGAGGAAGCGAGGACTGATCCGAGGGTCCAGGGCAGTCGGGAGGTGATTGAGGCTGCTGGAAAGGATCCTCGTCTGGAGGCCACGTTGGTGCAGACTGTTGGCGACAAGGGGTATGATGGATTCCTGCTGTGCGTGCTGAAGTGAGAGGTATGTGGAACGACAAAGTCTTGAGATCTAAAGCACTAGACGTAAGAACAGGCCAGACATGATGGTATCACAAGCACAAGCGAGAACTGGCATTCCCTTCACCTCTATTTCCCATCCCAAGCCTTCTCCTTCTCCCAGTTCTTCCCCATTAAGCTATCCTTCACAGCAGACTCACTGATCATGAAGGTTCTTCCCTTGATCAACCAAACGAAAATACTGGGCACCCGCCAACCAAAGACTGCACCAACACCTTTCGATTGCCCGACTGGAACCAGCTGAGTCTCCGCCGCTGTCGCCTTCCACTTTCGATCTGGTCCCGTGGGCTTAGCATCGACATTCTCATGCGCCGCGAGAAGGTCTCGCTTCAGGTTCGAATTCACAACAGGAACGCCGTCCATGATGTCCATTATTCCGTTGCGGGAGTAGGTGCCAATGTCGCCCACGGCATAGACCATGGGACCTGCTTCGTCGACGCGGAGTGTCTCTGGGTTGTTCTTGACGTAGCCATTTCCATCGAGAAGGCGCGATGGGACGTATTCGGACATGGGCACCAGACCTGTGGCGGGAATGTAGAGGTCGGCGATGAGTTCCTCTCCGTCATGGAGCAGGACGGTCGTCTTGCCGTTGGACGGCCCCGTGGCCGAGGAGACCTTGGTGTTGTACCGCACCTCGACACCGACGCGGTTGAGGTACGTTTCGGCTTGCTTGGCGATGGATTCGCGAAGCTTTGGGAGAAGTTTGGACGAGTTGGTGATGAGGGTGATTTCGGTGGTGATGTGAGATGGCCAGGAGGAGAACCAACCAGCAGAGCCGTTCAGCATCTCGCCAAGCTCACCGGCGGTCTCGACACCAGCTGGACCGCCTCCTGCGATGACAATCTTCTTTGCTCGCGAGACCTGATCACGGACGGTTCGCAGCGCTGCTTGGATATCTGTGTGCGGAGTTCCTTGGAGCGAGAAGAGCGGACTTGTCGTCTTTGTTCCCGTCGCGAGCACAAGAGCGTGGTATGGAAGTTGCTCCTCCTTGCCATGTCCAGTGCTGATCGTCACAATTCTCGTCTCGGGATTCCAGGACGTCGCACTCCCCTGGATGAACTGGAAAGCGTCTCCGTACTGCTTGAAGCCATCCACGGTGTTGAGAAAGACATGCTTGGTCGGCATCAGCTCCTCGCTGGCGATGGCTCGTGGCGATGCATGTCGAAGGTACCACTTGGCGCTGGGATCGACGAGAATGACCCGGTAGGTGACCTTGGAGGACTTGGGGAGGTGGGGATAGACGTGCTTGAGGAAGTAGTGTGCTGCTCCTGAGCCGGCGTAGGAAGCACCCAAGATGACAATGTTGCGAGTTTCTGCCATTCTTGAAAGATCTGTCGAATTATCCGTGAGATACGTCTTATTATCTTTGGTGTGGGCGTGAAAGAAGGTGCGCGATTGTTGCATTCCTCTCGAAGCAACCTCCCGTCAACTTATATGCCTACACCGTAACACAGCAGATCTATTTCGATCCTCTCAACGCACAACCACGACAGTCTGGGCAGACTATTGCGCCGTCCAAGCAACCCAATGGCAATCGCAACATCCGATTATCCAACTTACGTTTGGCTATCAAGGCTGCAGATTGCACAACATTCGGCGAAAATCAGACCATCCAAAGCACAGGTTTTCGGCGCCGAAGGAAGTTCGCCGAGCCGTTCCCCTGTGTCGGGAGTGCCAGCCGCCGACCTCCTCGACCGGAGACGGAGAGATATTGTTCTCTTTCACTGCGCGACTTTCTTGGGCCTTTTGTGTTTGTTGACGGCTCATGATTCTGCGAGGTTTGCTTAAGGAAGCAATGGCAGTCAGTGTGCTTGATCATCTGCGTTGCTGGATCGCTTCTAAGGATAGAACTAGACGTCCATGCCCCAAGATGAAGCTCCATCTCGACCTCCAGCTCGACGCGGTCTTGCTCATATCCGCCTCTGAACCGGCAGAGATCTTTGCCCGGGCGAACAACAAGCATCCGGTCGATAACAGGCCGCAAGATGTCCTCTGACAGGCTGGAACCCACCGCGATCTAACGGATGTGTGCTTACGGCTAAATTCATCTTTCCAGTGGGTGAGGCGTGTGGGATTGAGTTTATCAGGAGGTAGGTATCGAAATTAGGCATTGTTCGTTGGCACTTCTCGTATAGGACGGACGGAGTCTTCAACGGACTTCGCATTCGCCAAATACGTGCTCACTACTGCTCTCCCTTCGGCTCCACCCTCTCACTACTGGACCGACCAGACGACTCCTCAGGCTCCAAAGGCAACCGATCCCTCCTATCGCGCGGCATGATGAAGTTGAGCAGCACTGCAACCAACATCGCAAGAATGAACGGCGTCTCAACGATGAGGTTGACACCCTCCAAGAATCCCATCAAATGGACATTCGGACCACTGTAATCCAAGACCTTGCTGAACCACTCCGGCGTCACGATATCCAGGAGTCCGAGCCCAAACGAGGCTGAGAGAATGAACCTGTTTCTGCGCGTCCATGGAATCGTCGCGAGGATCCGCATACCAGATATGGCGATTGTTGCGTAGAGGAAGGTTTGCATACCGCCGAGGATTGTTGAGGGCATGGAGGCGAAGACCGCGCCGAACTTGCCAAAGATGCCCATTAGGACGATGATCACACTGGCGCAGTAGCCTGCTCGACGGCTCTGGAAAGACAGTCAGCGATATTGCGAGTTTTGAAGCATGAGCTTCGACTCACCGCATTGCTCGTCACCACAATAACCCCATTATTCCCAGCATGACTGACCATCGGAATCGTAAACCCAAACCCAGCCAGCAAACTCCCCGTCGCATCACACAAGATGCCCCCCTGAATCCTCGTATTCGCCTTGAGACCCTCCGTCTCCACGCCCGAAGCCTCAGAAGTCGCCGCAATCGAAGGCATACACACGAGCGCCTCGCAAACGAACAGAATCAGCAGCGGCAAGATCAGCGCCCCATCAACCCCCAGCTTGAACGTCGTTGTCCACAGGAACGTCACGGCGGGAGCTTGCTGGATCTGAGTGTCGGACCAGTACCCCGTGGCGCCACTGATCGCACTTCCCACGGCAAGACCGAAGATGATACTCGCGCTCTTCATCAACGGACTCCCCACCATCTCGACCAACAGAATCGTCACAAAGACCGAAAACCCCAACCCAATCAGTTTCGGATCGCCCCATGGCAACGGCCTGGGCGCTTTCGTGCTCGGACACAGAGCATTCACCCCAACACCATCGTGACAACTCGCCCCACCACCCCAACTCTCCCCGGCCGTCGTGACGAGATAAATCCCCAGAATCAGCAGCAAAACCCCCGTAACAACACTCGGAAACACCCTCTTCAACGTCTTCGCGGGAACAAACGAAACCAAAAACTGCATCCACACACAAACAAGCACACTCCCAATCAACTTCCCATAAGCCCCCGGACACGGCAACTTCGTGCCCCCTTCCCCAGTCGGACAAACCCCTCGGGCGTACAACGGCGCCGTATACTTGATACAAATCGGAATGATATCAAACGTCGGCCCGATCACGCTCAGCAGCCCCGAACCGAGATAATACGGCGTGCCCCTGACCTTCGTGCGCGTAATCTGCAAGAACGTGCCGATGCCGCTCGTGATGAAGGCTGCGGAGACGAGGTACTCGGTCGTGGCTGTGTCGAGGTAGAACGCAGAGCGTGAAATGGCGAGGACGGGGGTCACGATGCCGGAGATCATGGTGAGGGCGTGTTGGATTCCGAGGATCAGGATTAGGAGTAAAGGGATCTTGTCGTCCGGGTAGAAGAAGGGTGGAATGTGGTCTTTGTATCTTTTGTTGAAGGGCCATATGTTGGGCGTGAAGAGGTAGGCGTAGTCGTAGTCTCCTATCAGGCCTTCGCGCGTCGTGAGGGTGTGTTTGAGTTCGAGGAGGGTGGTGCGCCATGTGCTGCTCTTCTTGCCATTGTCGCTGGGTTCTTGCGGTGGGACGTATTGCTCCGAGGGGGACGTCGTCTGGGCGGTGACGAGGTCGTCGGCGCCCATCTTTCGTCGGTTTGACTGTCCGTCTCTTGCGACTTCGAAGAGCGAAAAGAAAAAGATTGAACAAACGGACAGAAAAGTCTCAAGAGCCCACAAGAGCGAGGAAAGCTGCTCCTCTATTCACCTCGACTTACCCACATGCACGCACAAGCTACCCTTCACTCGGTCCCGCACAAGCACAAGCACACGCACACGCACATGCTCCAACACGCAGATCCCCAAGTCTAGTCCCTCCTTTCTAACCAAAAACCTCGCAAAGCCCATCGGCACCGAAACCAGCAGAAGGTAAGAGGGCAGCAGTAAGAACGAGTTGCATATTCTAGCTGCAGTGCTTCCCTCCAAGCGGCAGGCACTTGTTCTGCAGGACGACGGTTGATGGACGGAGCACATGCACCTTCGCGCCAACTGCCAAACCTGACAGCTGCTAGTAGTGTTGGCGGGGGGAGGAATCTTGCTTGTCGGTTGAGGAGAAGGACCTGGCCTGACCTGACGTCTCTTGGTCTCGCAAGTCCGTCCTCCGTTGGTGGTTCAAGTGGAGTACCTGCATGCAGCAGTGTCACTACGTGTCGCCAATGAGGTCCTGGTGCATTGGCCGGCACTTCTTCCACCCGACGCTTGAGGAGAGTAGCTGCCGAGCGACATGCATGCACGCATGCAGGGTGGCAGCCGAACGAGGACGACGAGAAGGGGATAATAGTCATAATCTCTGTTTTCCATTGTTGCTCTCTCTCTCTCATCTTTCATTACAATAAACCATTATGCTGTATTACCGCTTGTCCGCTCTCTCGCGCACAACATGCAGACGTCTAAACAATCACTCTCAACACCAATGAAATGTACTTTCTCTCTTTCTTCCCTCCTCTCTCCTCGATCCGGTGTCGTGTCGAATGCAAAAAGTCCCAACATGCAAAGCTCGATACTTCAGCGAGAAACGTTGATCATGTCGGAATTTGAACAGGATGCTGTAATCGCAAAAGTCGTCTTGTCCAATCGTTCAAGAGAGCTGGTATGTCCAGGATCGTCGAAAACCAGTCCAAGTCATGCGCAGATTGTGCCAGCAAGATCATGCCAGCGAATTGTGCTAGTAGCCGAGATGGTGTATGGGCGGATAAGTATTCAACCACCAACCACCTCGCACAAAGCTCGCCACTTCTCCTCATCTTCAACCAGCTTGCCATTCTGTCTCATGATGCCGTCGATAACTTCAATGACTTTGCGGAAGCCGCTGACTGCACCTTTGACCTGCACGAAGCGGCCGATGCAAAGGCGGGCTTTGCGGCCATGCTCGAGTACGACGAATAGCTCGATGCGGAATGATACTGGCTTGATATCCAGTGAATTAACTCTGTCGACTCGTGCGGAGATGATGTTGGTCTCGCGCGAGTACTGAAGGTCACGGATGCCGTGTCGTTGCCACTCTGTCAGAAGAATGACAAGCTCCTGGCGGACTCTACCTCTTGGGATGTTGAAGCAGAGGATCTCCACGGCAGGCTTGATGTTGAAGAAGCGTGCGAACCAAGATCGCTCGTCACCAGTGGTGGGAGGAGCTTCATTGCTGGATGGTGCTGGCGACTGTGACGAAAACAAAGAGTCCAACGACTGGTGCGTGAACATGGTTGTGTCTGTTGCGAGACGTTAGTTGAAAGATTCGTTTTGCCAGTATACTTGTGAACTCACCGGGTTCCGTCATAGTGGTATCGACACCCTTCTCACGACCCATACGACCAATCCATTTGGAGAAGCCCTTCTTACCACCACCGAAGCGGTTCTTGCGAATCGGGAATTCGCTTGACTGTGCTGAAGTGGGAGGCTCTTCTGGGGAAGTCTTCTGTGGTGCGGCATGCTTCTGCAAAATCCGCGATTGACGTCGCTCCTGACGATCATCAAGACGGTCCAGTGCAGTGGGGTCCGAAATTGGTGCAGCCTTTGGCTCTGATGCTGCATCTTTCTTGCTTCTGCCAAACCATCCTGAACGCTTCTTGCGGACAACAGTCGGCGTCATCAGTGTACTCTCTTCATCAATAGACATGAGGCCACTCGTATCGGTGGTCGTGGCCTTGCGACTGAGACCCTCAGCAGAGGTCTTGACAGTCAGCCGCTGCTGGGTACCCTCGCTGCTTGTCTGGCTCCCGTTGCTACGCTTGCGAACGTTCAGAGGAGCCACCGTGCCTGCTGGTGACGACGGGGGCACCATACGTATGGTCCTGTCCTCAGGCTTCCTCGCTTTTCCAACAGGGTCAGTAACGCTGCGATGCCAGTTGGCGCCGTCTCTGCTGCTTCGCTGGTCGCTGCCTTCCTCGTTGATGATTGGCAAGAAGCTCATCTGATCAGATGGCTTCGGCTCAGGAGCAGTCATCACACGCTTGTCTTGAGACTGATTGACCATGCCCGGCATGGCTTGATCCAGCATCTTCATGACCTCCTCGAATTTGGCGGTATTATCGTCGCCACTACCCTTGTACGCCTCCAGCTTCTTGCGAGTCTCCTCCAGAGTCCTCGACAAGTACGTGTTAGGAGTGTCCTTGGGTAGCTCTGGCAGTGGGCGAGGTGGTGGCTTTTGATGAAGCAAGTCTGGCGTTGTGGTATGTGCTGCCGAGACTGACGATGGAGGCGTATCGTACGGCGAAGGCTTGTCTGTGACTGAAGTTCGAGCAGTCATGCCTGACCCAAACGAGTCGCGGAAGAACGCTTCCTCGCACGCCTTCTCAAGCTCAGCGCTATGCTTGCGAACCTCATTACGCAAGTGTTGAGAAGGAGTCTCCGTCGGCTTGCGCACCTTGATACGGGGCGTCTCCATCTTTGTACCCTTCTCCTTACGTGACTTGACTGCCTGTTCAAGGTGAGCCAACGGACTAGAGCCTGGAGCTTGCTTCGCCTCTGCCTGCAGTCTGGCCTGCCGTTCTCGAAGTTTGCCTGGCAGACTTGGTGTGGCTGGCGTGGAAGACTTGGAAGAAGAGTCGTTTCCTGTGAGCGCGCTGGTAGTAGAGATGCGGCGAATATGGCCAAAGCTGACACCACGCTTGTGAAGCTCAGAAGGCCGCATAGATGCGATGACGGGCGGACTGCTGGGCAAGATGGAGCTCGTCATCGAGTGACGAGACATGGACGACCGCGGCATAGATGGTCTGCTTCGACCAGACCGTGGGAGGCTGGACGTGGAGTAGTTCGATGTTCTGTTGTGCAATTGCTGCTTGTGCATCTCGATTCTGGTGGAGTGAGGATGTCGCAGACGGCGATCTGCCACACTCGTCCTCCGTGTGCTCGTACTTCCGTTGCGGTGGACCACGACGTTCAGGTATTCGCCACGTGCATCCACAATTGGATCCCTCGATGCTCGGTATGGGTCGTAGCTGCTTAAAGACGGTGGAGGTCCGACAAAGCTGGTGCTGGGTCGCAAGTGCTCATCGTTCATGATCGAGTACTGGGATTGCGAGCGTGGTGCCTTGTCTGAGGGCACGGGAGGAGCATCATCTCGGGCTGGAGGGCGGCTGTGATGATAGTCGCTTGCAGAGTAGCTGATGTCGTCTCCATCCCCAGCGTAATTCTCCAAATTCTCCTCTCGGTGTTTAACGAGTGCAGCGTAGAACAGCTTCTCCTGGTTGTATTCGTTGTTTAGGAGCTTCTGAATCAAACTCTGCTCAGACTCGCTGTGCCACAGCGTGCGCATGTTCTGGAGGATCTCGCGATCGATATCCTGAATGCGGTTGACCTTCCACTGGTCGATCATCGGCATGTCACCTACTGCTGCCTCCTTTGTGGCTGCTTCGCCGACAAATCCAAACTCCTCGTCGAATTTGTGAAGGAGAGGGTGGTCCCATACTTCATCCATGGTTATGCGCTTCGTGGGATCGGCCACGAAGATACGACGGATGAGGTCTTGGGCTTCGTAGGACAGGTCCGGTGGCATGAAGTACTGAACTCTCGTGATATCGCGAAAGAGCTTCCGAATGTCTGCATCTGGGCCGTAGTTGAATGGAGTGGTGCCAGTGAGCATCACATAGAGAATGACCCCACAACTCCAGACATCGGCTTGGGTCCCGTCGTATGGCTTGCTGCTGACGACCTCAGGGGCAGCGTAGTGAGGACTGCCGCAAGGTGTGCTGAGAAGCCTGCCTTCAGGCTGAAGTGCAGCCATGCCAAAATCGATGAGCTTGACAGACAGATCATCCGTATTGAGCAGGATGTTCTCTGGCTTCAGGTCTCGGTGGCAGATGAGCAATCTGTGGCAGTATAAGAGCGCCGAGACGATTTGTCTGAAGATGAGGACTGCTTCATCCTCGTCAAGTCCCTTCCTCTTGTCCACGTAATGAAAAAGCTCGCCGCCCGACACGTACTCCATGATCAAATAGCTAGATGATCAGTCAGTGAGAGTTGATGATGCAGGTCAATACTATACTTACAGCTCGTTACGATTCTCCCAAACATCGTACAGTCGTACAATGTTCGGGTGCTCCAGCAGCTTCATGACAGCAATCTCCCGTTCCAGTCCGTACGGAATAGGCTTGTACCCAGGGACATTCTGCGCGGGCGAACCTCGAGTGCTCTCTATCAAGTTGGCCAAGCTCTGAGCGCGCGTGCTCTCCGCCACCGACCTCGTAATGATCTTGACGGCGCCATACTGATCCTTCCTGTACTTGTGTCGAACCACCCGTACTCGTGAGCAACCACCCTTACCGATCGTCTTTCCCAGCTGCCAATGGCCGATGAAAGTCTTCCGCCGTCTGCTAGAGGCATTGGTGGACGTCGTCGATATGGCTGAGTTTCGCTTGGAGTCACGCTCGTCTTTTGAGATTTGGGACACGCGTTTGTTGGCAGGGGACTCTGGACCTTCGCTGCTTCGGATAGCAAGCGTGCCATTGGGCTCCAACGATTCGTTGTGGGGAAGGTGTGTGTGAGAAGATGAGTGGACCTTCACATGCTTCGGGTTCGCACTGCGTTGGGAGACTGGTGGTGTGTTGGCTGTGTTGCGTAGTTCTGCTAGCGGTTGCCGCTTGCCAGATGAGCGACTCGCGGGGTTGCGGTATCGGTCGGCCATGGTCAAATGGAGTGGGTTGTGGGCATGTGGGCGGAAGTATGTCGAATGTGGTGGGCGATGTTCGAATTGCTGCTCGTGATTCTGAATGGTAGTGTGCTGGTCGACGCGCTTATCCAAGTCCCCGACGTGGTGGCGGCGGTGGTGGTCGGTTTTCGGTGGGTGCCGCGGTGAATCCCCTTCTTCAATGAATATGGATGCTGCCGGGGGTGGCGAACATGGGCGAGGCGAGTGGGTGAACGAGAGGACGACGCCGCGAACAGACGCCTGGTTGATGGCGAGTAAAGCCGGGTTCGCTGCCGCAGGAGCAGATGCTGCGATGAGCGACGACAGCTGGGGGTGGAAGAGGAAGGCAGGTCGCCGCCGATGCACCGCGCTGCAAAATCAGAGAGGAAGGGGTGACATTCCCGCCGTGCCGTCGCTGCGTTTGTTGTGGGAGGTTGCTGGGTAGTCGCGAGGGTGGTGCCCAAGACAAGCGGGAAGGAGGCACGAGATCTCTGCCGAGTTGTCGTTCCAATCGATGGCGAGGGCTCAGATGGAGGAAGCGTGGAATGCGAGATGGGAGGAAGTGCTGCGATGTTTGTTTTGCTGTTTGCTGGGGGAGGCGGGATGGAATGTGCGAGTGGGAGACGCCGCTGTCGCCGCCAACACCTCGAATTGAACATTCACCAGAAAATGCAGGAACATACTCAACTCGATCGTCTATTCTTACAGTAGGTATTTGGGAAGATGCACATGTCTACAAGTGATACCCCGAAGGCCGTACTACGTGTTGAGAGTCAGCGCGCAGCGAATCTTCTTCCATCCCCCTCTCAGCAAAACCCATCACTGCCACCAACAAAGTCAATGACCCAGCATTCAAAAACAAGAGATACATTAGAGAGTGAGAGGTAAGACGAAGAGATGAAGTCCTCCCCAAACCCAAACCCCAACCCTCGCACAACGGCGCACCACTCTCCCGCCTCCACCGGCGCCATCGCTCTCCACGGGATCCCGCATCACGCCAGATCACAAAACACCACCCCGGTCCCATCCCTTCCCATCGATGCGAAAGACCATGCGCGCCGCCCAGATCGTGGCTACACCACCAAGCACGAAAAAACCCGATGGCTCGGTCGACGCTGCTGCGCCCATCCATGCACGGTGTGAAAGCTTTATCTGCACGACACCCTTTTCGCAGGACCGTCTCTCACCTGGGTTTGTCTTTCTCTCCTAACTTTATTCACCACTGACTCGTGATGCCATGCTGAACACTAAAAATCGTGTGTGCTTGATTAGCTTGCAACGTATCGGACATCGCCCTATTTCGAGCAAGTCCAGAGATACGAATGTAGGCAGGCAAGCAAGCAAACCTGCAGGCAAAGAAAGCTAAAGCTAGCCTCTAAAATAACAAACTCTCCTCTCGAAACGCAAGGACTCACTCGGCCCATCATCACTCCTAGCTCGTACATGAGATAGATGAATACCCGCAAAATCGGTGTGCACGTCGGCCATGCTCGGAGCAATCGGCTTTATGACATCCTTTGATGAAGAACACGGCAAACCGAGGCGAGACGGAGTGTGTTCGTTGGACAGGGTGGCGCTTGGACTGCCTGCTGCTGCTGGGGTTGATCGATGCGGTGGTCCACTTTTCTGGATCTCGCGTTCATCACCCAGCCCTGCGAATCTCTATCTGTTATCCCTGTCGTTGGTCGTCGGAGATGAGGGTGTGGTGTGGTTGTTCCATGGGTTTGATCGTCGTCGTTCGGCGTAGCTCGTTGATGAGTTGATAATGGATGGGATTCGTGGAGAATAATGTGATGAAATGTTCAGAAGATGAGAGACTGCATGGTCCTTTCCATTCCTTGCGTTGCGAAAACTTCGTGTGCTGTACCCAGATGCACTCCAACAAAGACCTATCCTGTCCCGTCGGCCCATATCCCTCGCTGTCGCTGCTTGCTCATAGGTATCTGTCGCTGATTCTCTGAATAAATTCCCATCAAAAGTCAATCCCACATCCCCAACGATCTATTCCAAGATCGTACAGTTCCCTTGCTTCCTTCAAGAACATCATCAACGCCTTGCTTGCTCCATGCCAAATCGAAACCACATGTCTGATACGCATTTTTTGCTGTCCGTCATATCAGGCTGAGCCGCCATCCCATTCGTAACGTTAAAACATAAACTTCATAAATATACAGTGCCAGGGTTCTGAAGAAGGGTATCGTCATCAAGTAGAAGAGTCTAAGGTCGTGAAACTGGGGTCGTCGGGGTGTGCTATGCGGTGGCAGAGACAATGGGACTGGTTTCCACACTCTCGCTCTTGGGTTCTGGGGACATGGACCCGTCGATCTCCTTGACTTCTGTTGTTGTATGTGCTTTGCCGCAGCCTTTGACCAGAACGTGTCGCTGGTGATTATGTTAGCTTTGATCGAGAGACATCGACATGTGATTTCACGAACCTTCAACGCGTCCTTGCGGGAGAAGCTCTTATCGCAATGGCCGCAAGGGAATGGCTTGACTGCCAAATGTATGCGCTTATGTCGCTTGAGGTCGTGGTTGCGGTTGAAGCTCTGTGGGCACTGATCGCATCTGAATGGTCTGTCGTTCTGTGGATTGGGTTGTTGAGGGTGGTGGCCATACAGCTGGTGCATAGTCGCAGCATGGCCGCTATTGAACGCTGGCATCATGCCATGAGGCATGCCACCTCCTACCAATGCGATTGGCCCGCTAGGGTTGTTGACATTGGACAGCACTGGCATTGGATAGCTGTATTGTCGATGCTGCGAGTATTGTGGCTGTTGTTGCGACTGGAGTGGTGGGACGTGTCCGTGTTGGTTCACGGGCGACATCTTGGTCAGAGGGCCACCGGCACTGACTGGGCTCTGCTGCATCTGCGGTGCTGCAGAATAAGGGAAGCTTGACTGCTGTGGCGTCGACGATTGATGCGAGTAGTAGTTGGTTGGTGTCGGAGGTGGTCGGAACGCGTCGTGGGCGCTAACTAGAGAGGCTTGCGTGACGGGTGCGGACACAGGTGTGTGCTGGCCACCCATCATCGCGTTGCCAATCATGTGTTGATGTTGATGCGATGGCGCAGCAGAGAGGCTCGGCGCAGACATCGGCATCGATTGAGAGTATTGCGGCATCTCGTAAGGTGGTGGCGGTAAGGCTTCGCTAGCAGTTGGAGAGTTGCTGCCACGAACGATCGAGTTCAACGATGGAGAGAACAATCCACGGCCCTGAGTGAAGGATTGTGGTGTGCTGCCCGATTGGAATCCGTATGGTGTAGAGCCACTGGTGGTAGAAGGAGGCCACATGCCACTCCCGTTAGGCGTGAACGGCTGCACGGCGCCGTGGCTCGACAGAGAGGTGGTGCTCGGGACACTGGTCGAAGTCGGGCTGAGGCCGTCTGCAGAGCTGTTGCTTGGAGGAGTCAAGAGGTTTCCCACGCTGGTCAGAGTCGTCGCCGTTGGCTGCGAATGGCCGTGATGGAGATGTGAGTAGGATGGCTTGTTGTATTGGTGCAATGACGAGAAGGGTGGTGGTGGTAGTTCAACAGATGGCAAGTTTGGCGCGTTTGGTCTACGAGCAGAGAAGCTGGTCGGCGCACCCATGGGGTCAGGCCCAGGAACCATTGACGGAGGGAACGCTACTGCTGCAGCCACGTTTGCGGTTTGGCGATCAGCTGGGGCGAATGGCTGATAATCCGCTGGCGGAGTCGGCAGCGGGTGGATGAAGGAGTGAGGATACGACGTGGCAAAGAACTTGTCGCCGTGCCAGGAGTCACCTGGGGGTGAGTGAGCGGAAGCCACGAAGGGCGGTTAGAGGAGCGGCTTTTTGAGTTGTCGAGTGTATGCTCGAGCAAGTGAGGGCGTCTCGGTCAGCGTTGATCGAGTGAATGCTGCTGCAGGACCCGAAGCACTGGATACGACCAGGCTTTGTACTCAAGCCAGACACCGAGCGGACGGATGGCAAAGCCTTCGGCGGCGAGGATGGCTGCTCGAGCCTGGGATGAATGGGCGCCGAGTCGGTCGCGAGTGACGCAGGTTGCTGCAGGCTGGACCGAAAGACGCCTAGAGGGAGTCAGTGGGTCGTTTGTGCGATGCTGGCGTTACCAAGTCCAGGACGTGGGAAATTGAGGCTTACGGTGCGATGTCGAGCAATCGGAGAGGCTCGTCGCCCACGAACCGGGAAGGCGAGATCTGAAGGAACCAGAAGCGTGGTCGTGCAGACGCTGCGTTACACCCCGGTGGTACAAGGGTGGTATGCGACTGGTTTTATTCTGGTCCTTTGTTGGGCGCAGCGAAATGTCCGAGGATTCCCAGAAGGGCGCGATCCCGGTCGGTCAATGAGGGCAACGCAGGCGATGAAAGAAGGCGGGGTTCGTTGTTGTCGTTGTCGTCGTCGCCGTCGACGAGATTGATCAACCCACAGGGGTGGGGGCAGCGATCGATGCAATGGCAGCGAATGGAGGCGCCGTGAGCAGAGTCGGGCGGTAGGGTGTGACGAGAGTGGATCAGGCTGGAGGGGAGCAGCGTCGTCGTAGTTGCGATGCCACGAGGTGAGGTCGCATCAGCGTCGGTGGGAGGCTTTGATGTGGGAGTGGCGATCCTTTGTTAAGCTTAGGTGCCTGGCGTGCGGATGGCGGTCGAGGGCTGGACACGGTCCATGGGGGCCTCTGGCCGGGCAGCGTTCACGTATATGTACAGAGGCCGCTAGAGCGGACGTGGAGGAAGGGCAGTAGGGAGCGCGAGCGAGGCTAGCGTGGCTGACCGGCCACTAGTAGGGAGCGTGAGCGTCTGCGTTGGAGAATCTGGATCTGCTGCGCTGTGCCGGGGTCGATGCTCAAAGCAGTGACCACTCATTAAAGCGCCTCCCGCCGGGGCCCAGGCGAGCAGCAGCACCAGCAGCAGCAGCACACGAGCGCGGGCACGCCAGGCGAGCAGCAGTCGACCGCATCAATCGATACGGGATTGTTTGACTGCTGTTGACGGTTAGACCGCTGCTGCTGGAGTCTGTCTCTCGCAGCCGCCCGCCGTGCCCGTGCTACTCATGGCGAGGGGCGACTCCTCGCGATTGGCGATGTGCGAGCTGGCGAGTCGCCCATATGTGCTCGTCTTCACCTCCGTCCACCAGTCTGGTCGCATGCCGTGCAGCACCGCAGCGCACCGGATTGATTTGGAAGCCCCTGCTGGGGGGGGTCGGCCGTCCGAATCAGGAAATTGAGGCCAACACGGACAACAAAGCGACCACATGCACGCGATGGCCTTTGTTCACACACCTCTCCCGTCCCGCCCAGCGCATCTCTGCCCAGCGGCTCGAGCAAAACAAACTCGCTGCACCCCTGCTCGCCGGCCGCCGTCTGATTGGCCCGCCGTTAGCGCTTGCGTTAAGCAGCCCCCAGCAGCGTCCCGAGCTTCTGGCTGCCCACCTCGTCGCGCACCGCACCGCATCAGAGCCTCTGCACGCTGCCGCGCCCACGCAGACACGCGCCAGAATCGCATCGCAGCATTAGCATCGAATTAGACCGTCTGCTTGCGCGATCCAGCCCTCCGCGTATTATCCTGCGGCCGATGATGAGACAATGCCTCTGTTTACGGTGCGCCGCGCTGCTGCTGCATGATGATGGGCAAGGCTCTCAGGCGGCCTCCCTCGCACATAACCAGCAGTCTCATCATCTTCCATCGCTGCCGTATCGAGACCGATGCGGGAGCACGGCGAATCAAGTCGCGAATCGCTAACGCTTAGCAAGACCTGCTGATCCTTCCCACCCGTCGTGTGTGAGAGCTCACAGAGGGCTCTCTCTGCCTTCTCCTCCGCCCCTCCAGACCAAGAATCTAGTCCCGCTGCTGCTCCTGGCCCTGGCCTCGTGCATTCGCCCCATCCATCTCGCGTGCGAGGCATCAACGATCTCCCCAGGCTCGCATATCACGTCACCGCAAGCCTCCCACCGCGCACAGGGGCGGGCGAGTGCGTCGCGGCAAGCAACGCCAGGCGAAACACTGCAGAACAAAGATAGCTCCAAGTCGAACCCTCGGATCTCCAACCGGATCGGCATAGCTTGAAATTGGGCGCCGCCTCGGAGCTCCTTGGTCTTGCTCGCCACGTGCGAGATATGCAGCAGCAAGCGTTTCCGTTGCCCAGCTTTGCCTGAACCGTCGCAGCTCCTCGCCCAGCGCGGGTCATGTGTGTGACTCGATCGCCTGCATCAAGATGGCTCGATCTGCTCCTCCGCCGCTGCTTGCTCGTCAGGCCACCGTGAAACGCGGCGGGGTGTACATTCATTTCCTGCGGACAAAGACTCGGGTGCCTCGTCTAGCCTAATCAGCAGACACCGGCGCCGAGTAGCTGCTGGCTGTTCCAACACGAAGGATTGGGTTCCTGTCAAGCACGCTCGCTGCTGCAGGTATCCCGTCGTGTCCTGGAGATCATGGGCGTGATCCCATGCGACACGGCGCTAACCGCGAGCACCAACCGCGGCTGTGGCTTCTGCCACCCGCTCTCGGGACTGTCCCTCTCAGCCACGGCTTGCTTGCCAGAGCGCCGGTCTCGTTTCACGGCGACTGTCAAGACTGCTGTACTTCATCGTCAAACACCTGCTCGGTGCACCGCATGCGCACGCTGCCAACTTCACATCTCGCCTGTCTCTGCCAGGCTGAAGACTCCACTCTCCCAATATTCAAAGGATTCGCTAGCTTGTTCAACTCTGCCTCGAGAACCAATCACAGACAGCAATACGCGAGAGCTAGCCTTTTCACGAACGAACTAGGCTCGCAATAGAAGTTGTGGTCTTGGCTGGGCCCACCATCTCGTCCGAGCTGGAAGCTCCCTGTTGGTGCTCCCACATCTCTCTCGCCCAACTGACTTTCCCGCCCCCAGCGTCGTTTGGCTGCGGGTTTGCAGTCCGCGCCGACTTTATCTCAACTGCCATTGGAATGTTCCAGCCACGCACGCTGCCCTACAAGCCTTCCGCGGCTCTGTCGCGTGAAGTGGCTTTGGAAAACTTCGGTACTCATACGAAAGGCTCTTCGGCGTGCCCGAACGCTAACGTCGAAGCCCGTCAAAACAGCAAGGAGTCGGTAGCTTGCAGTCAGTCCTTCTCATCATGAAGCAAGCTGCTTTGCGAGCAGCACATGCTCCTGCACGCGGTCTTTTACGCGCCTTTCCCTGTGCTTCCGCCCGCTCAGATTGGACGACGCTCCTTGAACTCTGATCTTCCCCACACTCTAGCTGTCACGCGAAGTGCCAGGGGGGGACTCTCGATCACTTCGAGGTCTAGCCAACTCAAAAATCCCCGACGGTCGAGACCCGTCAAGCTGGACCATTTCTCACACCATGACTCTCTCCCAGTTCGATGATGTCGATACCTGCACGATTCACAGTGTTTCTGTCCACGAGAACAGTCTGCCCACCAGGCCTGGGTCTGCAAGTACGAGGGGCGACGATATTTGAAACAATTGGGCTCTGACCGTATCCGCATGTCAGCTCCGTGCATGAGCTATTACCGATTGAAGCTCAACGTGTAACACTTGCGCTTTTGGCTGTCCCGTCTCTCTGCGCTCGCGAGGCAGGTTTTCACTATCTGCATGCTGGTGGTGTCGTCCAGCAATTGGAGTCTGGTACCCACGCGAGGAAGAGTGACGAGAGCTCGGGGTAGCGCCCGGCTTCTGGCGTGTGGCTGTCTGATCTCATGCTTGCAGTCCGCCGGCGCAGTGCCCGCACCGTTTCGATGGGTGCGGCGCTGCAGTGGTGTTCCTCTCCAGAACCCCTACCACATCGGTTGGCGCTGCGCTAGAAGCTGATCTATGCAAGTAAAATGGCTGTCGCGTGGCAGCCTCTTTTTACGTGCAAGCGCCGCCATACGGAGATTGCTTTTCCCATCGAAGCTTAAAAGAACATTTGGCCTTTCGCTTCCACGCTTGCCTGGAACGCCACAGTCCCCGGAGGCGCACCACACCCCCCGAACCGGACCACGTCTTGACCTCGCTGCCGACCTTTCGGGCGACTGCAAGTCTGGATTAGTCCAGATGGGATGTGCGGAGATTCGCACGCGGAGGAATTCTGGCATTCTGCTGGAGCGCGGGCTTTTTTGACTTTGAGCCACATCACCTCACCCACGACCACGATCTAGCCATGCGCTCTGCACGTGGGAAGCGACAAGATCTTGTCATTTCATCATGTACCTCGTCGTCTGTCTACGCCGGGGAAGCTCGTCGAGGATCCCCTAGAGTGCAAGCTTCCGTCCTGTCGGTGCCGAATCCAGACCGCAGGAAGGCAAGATTCGTTCTCCCAATGCCCAGAACTCGTCATCCAGGACTCGTCATGCCCTACCTTCATGATCCTGCGTCGCTGACATCCAATGCAGGCCCAATGCTCTAATCATGCAACTGTCAATGGTGCAAATCGGATATCCGCAGAGGCACATGACTGGCGTCGTCGGTGGCGCACCCCTCTCGAACCTACTTCAACCAAACAGACCCCGTCCGGCACATACCTTTGCCACCATCTCCTCGACATGCCCCCGATAGACGCCCACTCCAAGCCATCGCCCACGATCACAACTTGTAGCGCCATGAAAGCGCCGCAGCTAACGCGGAAAGTTCGAGCACTTCCACGTTGAACCCCAACTCAGCTTGCGCACTAGAAGCCTCCCACCTTCCACTGTCAACGGGGAAGGATCGCGGATAACGGTTTCCTGTTACCCATTGCAGATTCGTAATGTCGCTTCGCAGTTCAAATGGCTCGTGGTCGTCGCATGGGGGACAACTCTAGCCGCGAAGAGCTTCGAAGGAAGGGGCGAATGTTGTGATGCTTCCTGCATGTCGACGAATCCGACTCATCACGAATACCGATTGCACTTCCACGCGATTCCGGTGTCCGTACATGCGCCGTCGAAAGGATGTTTCCCTCGTTTCGCAATCCGAGAAGTGGATGTAGGAATCGGGGACTCCTTCGAATTTTAGTCACGCCACGCGAGACGGCTTCACATGTGCACCTTCAGAGGGGTCCTTGAAGCGACAAGTTGTTCTCGAATCGCCATATCATACTTCAAAGGTAAGTCTGGACGCCTTGAAGTATGAAAAAGTGTTCTTGGCAGTCGCACTCATCGCTTCTTCCTATCGCGATGGTGAATCTCGAAGAACGGGCGAGTGGTATATTCCCATTCAGTGCAGACGAGACGCATCGAGCCCAGCTCGCGTCCACAGAGCTGTCTAAAGATCAATTCTAGAAGCTCTGGAGGTAACTTGGAGATGCCGGCACCGCCTGACGTCTTCTGTCGTTTCCAATTCAGACAGAAGCAATTCATGCAAGCAGACCAAGAAGAAGAGTGACTCTTATTCTTCTCATTCTCGGTCACTGTGTCTGGAAGCTCATCTCCCAGCAGCGTGCAATGTAGAACTCGGCGATTGCGGTGAAAGTCCCAAACAACTTCATTGTCCACTCGCCGCCCTCCGTGGTAGTGTTGACAGCCGCAAGTCATGTCGTCTTCACTCGGGCTGCCGTCGAAGTGAGTTAACACGTTGTGATAGAATTGAAGCGGATAGAGGCTCAGCGGTATGCGTGATCTCGTGGCCATTCATTCAATCAGGAAAGGTTGAGGTTCTCCATGTAGCAGAGCCTTAATGACAGTATGGCTTCGGCACACTGCTGCGTGGGTGTGAGGCTTCAGTGCAATGGCGCAAGAGATCTCACGTGTACCAGTGGTATCCTGGCGCCTGCCGTGAATGAGGCGTATGGCTTTGCTTCTGGTGGAGATCAAGACTGTGGCGAATATGGTGAGACATAAGAGTACTTTCTAAGGCCAATGTCACGCATGGCAAGAAGAGAAGTTGTCCGTTGCACACAATATCCAGACGAGCGGGCGCGTGAGGTGAAGTTGATGGCGGAGGCATCATGTCGATCACCGCTTGGCAGGGCGCAGATCATCTCGACTTTGGACTTGGGAGCTTCGCGACTTCACGTTTCCAACACGCACAACAACCACCCACTCACCACTAGACGCCATGCTCGTCTCCCTCACCGTCGGCAAGGTCGACGCTGGTGTCGCCGTCCTACTCACGGAAGACAAGCGATTGGTACGTATCCTCACTGCCATCCATTGACCGCCAACAATGAAGCCAGCTGTTAACCCAGCCTCCAAACAGATCGAATTCCCCTCCATCCTCCTCCCACCGGACATCCACTCCGGCAGCATCGTCGACATTAACGTCGCCCGAAACCAGCACGCCGAGCTCGTCGCCGACCAAAAGTTCAACGCCCTACAATCCGAAATCTACGACACCTTCGGCACAAACTCGCCCTCCCCACCCGTCCTACGATGCCGAAACGCCACACAGACGAGCGTCGTGCTCGAATGGGATCCTATTGACCTGGCGACCGCTGAGCTGCGGAGTCTGAGTCTGTACAGGAATGGCACGAAAGCTGGCACGATCCCGAAGGACAAGTTGAGCACGAAGATCAGTGGGCTGGCGCTGGATACGGAGTATACGTTTCATTTGGTGCTGAGGACGAGCGCGGGACAGTATTCTTCTGAGAAATTGACTGTCAAGACACATAAGATGACGGACCTCAGCGGTATCACGATCACGCCAGGAATCATGCCGGGACAGCTTAAGGAGAGTCTGGCGGAGACTGTGAATCTGATTGGCGCGAAGTTGATTGACACTGTGCGGATTGATACGACACATTTTGTCTGCACGGAGGCGAGGGGCCAGGCCTGGGAGAAGGCTGTGGAGATGAATGTTCCTGTGGTGGTGCCGGATTGGATCAAGGGGTGCGAGCGCGAGGGCAAGATTGTTGGTGTGAGAGGGTATTACTTGGATGCAGATCCGAAGCTGAGGCAGATGGGACCGAGTATGCATCAGCAGAGGGGCAGTATTTCGAGCACGGCTGTTGCGAGGGACAGTCCACGGATTGAGCATACACCGCCTACGCCGGAACGTGCGACACATGAGAGAGCTGAGAACGGTGCTGATTCTACTGATGCGCCAAGACAGCCGCCCAAGTCAATCCCCGAGGACGAGGAGAGTGCGGAAGAGGATGCTGCAGCGAGCAGTGCAGTCAGTGAGAAGACCAAAGAGGTGGAGGACTCCGACGACGAATCTGATGATACGGAGAAGCTGGCTGAGGATCCAGAGAAGGAGCCTGTTACTGAGGACGAGCCCAAATCAAAAGGCAAAGAGCCAGCGACGCCAGGAGAGAAAGACGGCGAGTTCGACGAAGTGCAGCTATAGCGTTGAGGTCTGCGCAGGTTCGTCCATTGTACCAACATATCCCACGTCTAACGATGATCGTCTCAGAACCTCGTCAATCTTTCCATTCTGCCACAAAACCACATCCTCCTACCCAAACCCACCACACATATCACTCAAGCACCGCCCTCCTTCCTCTGCCCCGTATAAAACGCCAACCCATAATCCTCCGTCGTAAACGTAATCGTACACCCAGCCGGGAAATAGAACACATCCCCCTTCGTCCCCGTCACCGTCTTACCCGTCTCATCACTGATCTGGAAACTGCCCTCCAAAATAATCTTCATCTCATGATAGGTATACTTATACACGAGTGGTGTGCCTATTCATCGCTACTATCAGCAAGATGTAAGGAGGGGAAGAAGGGTGTAGTAGGTGTGGCAGTTGTACCTTTCTCCAAACGATAAAACCCCGCGGAAATGGGCGCTTTGGGATCATTCTTCTCGCTCGACGAGACGTCGCCCAGGAAGGCGTTTTCGTTGGCTATGAGCGGGGGTTTCGTCTCTTGCGCTTTGGGGTAGTAGGTCATGGCGATGGGGGTTTCGTTGGAGCCCATTGTGACTTTGGGTTTTGGGCGGAAGGAGGGGTTTGGAGGGTTCTGAAGAATGTGGCCAGTCAGTTTCAATGGCGATGGTGTTCCTCGTGCTCCGACTCGGATGAGAAGAGGTGAGGCTGGATTCCAATGGCTGAGTGTTGCTCGTGCTGGGAGGGAGGCGCTGTTCTTCTGACAAATGTCGAGGAGGGGGGGAGAGGAACTTACTGCTATATCGAGTTCGTGAAGTAGAAAAAGGATTCAAGAATACTTCTTGAAACCAGTACAAGAAGTGATATTTTTCCAAGAAAGACCAGAGAAAACACAATTCTGTTTGAATGATGAGGCTTACATCCTACCTATATCATCAAACCCCACAACGTCTCATGCAATAATGCACCAACGCACAAGAAACCCCTCCCTCCTTCAAAGCTCACAATCGGCGTCAGCAATCAGGCCTACAGTACCTAACCTACCTAACAGCACTTATCATTCCATCAAAAGAAGGACAAAATCTCTCCAAGCAGCTCAACAATGCTCGCACGCGTTCCTTATCAATGCCAAATGACATAGCTTCGCACAGCTCCCAAGCTCGACTTATCAGCACGTGAAAGAAAGAGAAGCTGCTCATCTTCCTTCCCAATCGGGCAAAAACATCCCCCCTGCCCTTCGTGCCCTCCAACCCTCAACCCTCACCCGTCGAGGGCAGCTCTGACGTATTTTGCACGTGATGGGTTTGTTCTCCCGAGGAGTGAAGACGGGGAACCGGCCATCCTGGTGTTGGCGGTGGTTAATTTCTGTTGGCTCATTCATGTTGTCAAAAGTCATCCATCTCAAATCGCGTGAGGAGAAAGAAGAAAGGTAGCATTTTCGACCGCCGAGAAATGGGATAATCCCTTCCCTCCCATTTGTTTTGCCTTTTCTCTATGTACTCGTTTTCGCTGATCACATGTCTTGTCTTCCCTTGCGTTATTAAGAGAGAGCGTGGCCCTGCCGTCGTGTGGTGGTGGTGCTTTTCTCCTCATCGTCCTCGTCCGTTTCTCTTCCCCAAAACTTCGTCTCTCTATTATCCCAACAGCTCCGACCAAAACTCCTCCAAAAAGCGCCACAACAACAACGCTGAATCGCAAGACTTTATTGTGTGCGTGAGTGTGTGTTCACAACACCACCAGTCTGGTAAAAAAAGCAAAAAGGCAATAACGTCCTCTTCAAAAACAAGAAGTCCGAAATAGAGATTTGCTTTACCGAACCTCACTGCACACTCTTCGTCGAATCATTATTGCAAGAGACCCCACTCCATGTGCATGCATTGTTCTGGAAAATACTCGACAGCCGCCAACTCCGCCCAATATGCGACATGAACCACGCAACACATCAATCGATCAATCCTCGGGACTAGCCAAGCAACACTGCGAGAAGAACATCCGTTAGCGACAACCCAGATGCGACTTTCCAAACCACCTTCCTGATGCAGTGGTGGGAAACGGAGTCGACTTACCTTCCCAAGCCCAATCCCACATCACGCCCACCCAATGCAGATGGCCCCGGACGGAATATGCAGGATCGACAGTGACGCGATCGCTAGAGTCCCGTCTCCAGCGCTGTAAATCCGGATCTGGACCCCTCACGTCCTTCAAGGTCGCTGCCATCGGCTCGCTGTCGGTATCGATGTAGCTAAACACGATACCGGTTCGGCCGATTTCGTTGTTGTCAGGGGAGTCTGTCGACCGGCGTGGGAGGGGAACACCTCTTCGTCGAGCTGGGTTGAGATCCGCCGTCTTGACGAGTTTGCGGTGCGTGACAGGTTTGGCTTCGTAGACGTCCTTTCGTCGCCAGACTTCCTCCGTCACAGTCAGGCACTTCTCGATGACACCGATGCGCATGCGGTCCATCATGGCGTGCCAGCGCTCGCGCACCCATTGCCTGTCGTCTGGGTCGGCGGCTTCACAGCCTGCTACCATAAGCGGGTAGATTTGGACGATGATGGTCCTGCTCATGACCGGCACGGTGGCAAGGCAGGCCAGCACTTTCTGTGCGAACTCTGCGGAAGTCATCGAAGGCAGTTCTGGAACGGCTTGGTGCAGATGAAGCAAAGTTGCCCAACGATACGCCTCTCCGGTCTGCAAAGTATGCTGCACGCCGGTAGTCGGATCCTCTGGGCATTCAATCTCCTCTGGCGGATCCCACTCGTCAAGCATGATCTTCAGGTCGCGAGCTAGACTCACGATCCAAGGATTGTTGGTCTGCGACCTGCACACCTTGCGAACGAGATTCGCTACACGGCCGATGAGCGGGAATAGAGTGCCCGCGCAACCCATCAACGGATCCAGGCGAGCATCAATTTCCATGCCAAAGTCGATACCAAAACCTCGATTTCTGGTCTGGCCATGGCCCATCACAAGGCGTGAAGCGTTCGGTTCGAAGAGAAAGGTCCTATCAAAGTCGTTCGACTCATCGCTGTCCACGGATGTCAAGCGTGCAATGACATCCATGTACACCCAAGCATTACACAAGAACTTCAACCGCTTCAGATCAGCGCCGTGAAGAGGTCGTTCACGGTGTTGATCGAGGGCGCGCTTCACAAGTGCCTGCGCACCTTTGATATGGGTGTTGCCTGTGGCGGTATGTTGGTCCCAAGATTCCGAGAAGCCCAACGCCAGTGCTGTCGCTATTGCCGTTTGGTCGTTCATGCTGTTGTCTCTAATCCCCTCCTGTATGTTCCTGATGCTGAGCATCTTGTGCTCTTGCCCAATGAGGCGGAAAGTAGGGTTGTCGTGAGCTGAATGGAAAGCTGTCATCGCCAACACTGCGTGGAACAGCGCTGGTGATGATTGCGCCATTGGCCAGATCAACGTCCGCCATGGGTTCTCAGTCGGGCCGTCCATGATGGACAAGATGCCACAAGTCATTCTATCAAAACGAGTCGCCAGTGACTCTGGGCTGCCCATGGCCAAATCAGGCGACATGAAGAATTGAGGCATGGGACCCATGCCATTGAAAAGGGCGTGATCATCCAGCGATCCAGAATCGAACGAAGTGGGAGTGTTGATACCCATCATGTGGCTGTGCTCTGCTTGAAGCTGTTCCACCAGGAAATCGTCCCCAAGAATCCCCGCCTGAAGAAGATCAGGCTCGTGGGGACCTGCTGACCAAAGTGGCAGATGCATGTCCTCGGGTAGGGAGAAAGGCACAAAGTCCTGTTGGTTGTCGATGACCTTGAAGGGGTCGGATTCCAGGCACTCTGTCACGGTTGGAGTCCGTCCAGTAAGTAGGCCTGGTGAAAGCGAGCGAGAGCGGTAGGCGAAGGCATTCTGAGCATCGAAGTTGACGCTGGCGAATTCATCAGTGGTGGAATCCTTCCTATCAGGAGGTGGTGCTGGTTCAGGATGTTCCTCTTCAGGGGTGGTGAAGGCACTGTCTTGGGGCGGACTGTTGCCCTTGTGCGGTGATGCCGTACGAGAGCCCTGCTTCTGTACTTGAAGTGGAGGGGGAGGGGGAGCGTCTGGTATAGAACCTGTCGACTTGCTCGCCTCGGGTAGTGCGGGCGGCAAGCCTGAAATGATGGGAGGGAACTCATGCGGAGGGGTATTAGTCTTGGACGACTCAGTGGACAGAGGTCGCACTGGTGAAGTAGAAGTAGCTGATAATTGCAAGGTCAGCACACAGAGACAATCGATCATCACTCAGCCTACCCTGCTTGTTGCCGGCCAAATTCGTCTTGATCATCGGTTGTCCGTAGTCGCGCCATTGAAACACTTTCTTGTATCCGCCGCACGTCACGTTTCTCTTCGCGCCTGAAACCACACTCAATACCCGCAACGGAAATCTTACAATGAGAGCAGTTTTGGACCTACAGTTCAGGCAGCCGGGCTTCTCCTCGCCGCACTTCAACCGCTTCGCTTTGCAGGTGAGGCATCCTGCGCAGAAATCTTCTATCAGCACTCTTGTCTCCCCATCATCGTCGTCGTCATCGTCACTGGCCGCGCGCAGCAGGAGACAGCGTGTGCCTCGGACTTGAGAGTTTTATGTGTGCGGTAAGTATGTACCATTGCGACTCTTGGTTTGCTTTGGCCTGGCAGCCGCCGCATTGCCATTACCACTGCTGGTGTTGCTGTTGGCGGGAGCAGCAGCAGCGGCAGTGGTGGCATCCTTGTTCTCTATCGCCGACGCGGCCTTGCGGGGCGCTGCGATCTTCTTCGCCGTGTCCTTGCTAGGACGGCGGGTATGGTGTTTGTCCTTCTTGTTAGCCGATGCTGAGGACGACGCTTTGGCGTCTCCTGCTCCTGCTCTTGCGGCGGCGGGGGGTGTCGTCGGGGCGTTGTCTCCTAATATGGCTGAGGGCGAGGGAAACGGCAGCGGGCTGCGGGCCCCGTCAGCCATGTATGGCCTCGGGCAGGCTCACGGTGGGTGGCGGGAGGTGCTCGAGCAGCAGCAGCAGGCGGCGACGGCGAGAGTCAGTGCTCAGCGGCTGCAGAATGGATACAGACAAAGGCTCCAGATTTTGCAGTATTGGGACATGCAATTCAGCAGAGGCAGAGCGGCAGCGGAGTGGGATGAGCAGAGGCGAATGATAGTGCCAGAGGGGCGCTACGATCCATGCCGCTGCTACTGCTACGCCTACCTACGCCTACGCCCGCCCGCCTGCCTTTACCACCTGCTGCTGCTACCATTGCTAATGCTGAACCCCTCGCCGGTGCCATGGCCGAGGAATCGAGGGCCCGACTGCCTCGCCAGGCCCTGCCGGCAGCCTATCAAATCACAACGCGTGCCAGCTAAAAGCCAGCCAGACAGCAGCAAAGCTCCGAAAAATCTGCTATCGGTTTGCCTGCTGGGAGCGGTGGTGCTGGGTGGAGCGACGCGTGCAGAGCCAATGCAATGCGACAGTACGGCTCCGTCCCGCCGCGTCAGTACGTCGTCTGCCCGCCGAAGCTCACGGTCATCGTGACACGTTGCTGCAGTGAGCGCGATCATATGCTCCACACGACCAACCGCCCTCTCGCCTGTGCTGCTCTCGACTCCGCAACGACATGTAATGCAGGCAGGCCAGCAAGCAGGCACGGCGGTACGCGCGAGACGAACCACAGAACCCCCCTTTCCATTACATGTACCCGACAAACTCGCTCGCCCGCATGATCATCGTTGGTGACTTTTCCCGCTCCCGCGCTTCTTTACGGGAGGACCAAAACGCTTGCTCGGCCAAGGATAGTTCACTCGGCGGGTCCATCAGGGTCTCGAACGAGCAAGGCAGGCCTATGCGAAATTTTTCCGCTCCGACTCTCGTGCCTTGTGATGGACAGCACACGACTCGATACCAAGCTTGCTAATAACGAACGAACGACGAGGCCAACCAGAAACGAACATCTCGCTTCATCCTGGGATCGACCAGAAAACCTCTCACCGCAACATCGGGCCTAGATAAGACATGACACAACCCAGCCAAGCAACGAACAGCACACAGCACCACAGCCCATATCAACCGGATATCAGGCCGTCCCATATCACTGATAGAAAAAAATCTTTGTATCTCCATCCAATCGATCACGACAGTCATCATGACTAGCTCTGCGCACGGCAAACCTGGCACACAACCGTGGAGGAAACTTTCTTCTATCAAGCAACAGGACAGCAGCCTTATCTTCTTGCTATCTCGACAGACGACTTCTACCGCCAAAGCAGGGAACTTGCTGGTAGAGTCGTTCCCCAAACACGCGCAACCATGCTGACAGCACGCATCATCATGTGAAACCGCGAAAAACCTGGGGACCCATTCGCGTCGTACGTATCGAGTAATCAGCCGCGTGACGTGCATCCGCGAGGGAGCTACGACATCGATTAGAGACGAGGATTCCGGCAGGTACGAGGCAGGTCAGCTGTTGGGGGGTGTACGCAGTACGTGTACTTTGGCAGGTCTGCTACTTTCGTGCTGTATGCTTACTCGTCACCTCGTGATGATGCTTGACTGTCGATGTCGTGTGCTTCATGACTGCTACTCTGCCCACTCGATATCGAGTATCAGGTTTGGTAGCTTTGTGCTTCCGGCTGGCATCGAGTAGGTAAAGTTCCAGAGGTCAAAGTCACTGCCGTTCCCGTCAGTCATGAGCGTTACAACGAACCATTGAGATACTCACTTTACGGGATCACACTCCCCTCCCACAACACCACAAAACGATACCGTCGGCGTCAAATCCACACTCCCCGAAACATTCACTTTGACCCCCGCAACATCGTCCCAAGACCGCACATCCCTCCTACCACCCAGCGGATTGGGACTAACGTGCAGGGTAAACTGACTCGTCTCATTCCCAAACGGATAAGTGAGATTCAACCGCCCCTCCGTAACCACAGCCTTCAAAGCCTCAACCTCAGGAAACAGCGTGACGAACCCAGCACTCCCATCCCGTCTCAACCACTGCACCACGGCCGGATTGAACTGCGCGGGGTTCACACTCGGTCCACCCACGACATTCTCTTCGAAATTCTCAGCGCCGATGGTCAAGTTCGCAGACATCCACGTCGTGATATTCCTCGGGCACGCATCATACGGCGGGGAGAACGCCTGTCGACGAACGAAATGTTCCTCACCAAATGTCCTGAACGCTTCCATCGTCTTTTCGCCAACGAACTGGCGATGGTACGGCGCCAGGACGGAGATGAGGGGTCCAATCTCAAAGTCATCGACATGCGCCATGGCGGACGGGACGCGGTACATCGGTGCGTCTTCCAGACCTACGAAACTCCAGATCCACAAGCCTGCGATGGCCAGTGCTCGCTGCATGTCGTATGAGTAGCTTCGATCCCAGGGGCCGGCGATATTCTTCATGTCGGCGTTGTACAGCTGACCTGTGAGGTCCCAGATCTCGCGAATCATTCTTGCGCCGTTGGCTCCAAGAACGGAGTCGGAAGGGAGATACTTCGCCCAGAACGTGAGGGCGAGGAGCGAGACGCCTAAGTATGTCGGGCCGTTGAACTCGGAGAGGGTCTGGTTTCGATTGAACAAATCGATAATCTCGCCGCCCCAGCTCTCGCCCTCCGCTGTGAGGTTCTTGTCGCCGACTCGTCGACCGACCCAGCCTGCGACGGCGGCTTTCATGATGGCTGCGTTGCTATAGGCGGGGTAGAGGTTATCGTCGTCTACGCCGCCGACGCGGTATGTATCGCCTAGGGCGCTCAGGTGGATGCTCTTCACCACCCTGTCTACCAGGCTGTGAGGAAGTCGATGACCGAACTCTTCCACTATGATGATAAAGGCAGTGCCGATGAAGCCCCTCCAATTCGGATCCCAAGAGTTGTAGATCACCGCTGGATATGCCTCGGTCCCTGGATATGGTCCTTCAGGGTAGACTTCGTAGTCGCCGTACCACTGCTCGCTGGTATTATGATATTGACCACCAATGATGTTTGAGAGGATCTTAGCTGCGTGGTCGGCATCGTCCTTTTCGTTACGGGCGAGAAGGCCAACCGCATACCATGCCGATGAGCGTGTCTCGTGCAGGAGAGCGGTGTTTAGGTTGAATTGGTAGCCAGCGACCGGGTCGTAGTTCCTATCCATGAACGCCATGGATTGGTTAAGCAAGTCTTTCGCATACACAGCCGTCTTGTCTGCCCCAACAGACGTGGCTGTAGCGGCAAGCCATGGCACTGCCCATACTAGCAGTTGCTGCAAAAGCCAGAGCTGATACAACATCTTCCAACAGCAATGCCAGGAAATGCTCTGCAAGAGATGTGTGGAGGCAGAGGAAGCTGCAGTACTTACCTCTCCGTCACGATCAACGTTACACCTGCAGGAACCGCATCTTGCCAAGGCATCCTACGCCACAATGGCAGTGAGGAGTCCTCCTTAGGCGACTGCTACTGAGGAGAATTGTCTAAAGCGGAGTCGATGGTAGTGGTCATGGCAGGAGTTGGCCGTGCGGTCGGATAAGGAAGCTGATAGACGCTGTCCGGGGTCGATTGCACCGAAGTGCAGATGCCGCCTAAACCCTTTCGCAAGCCCGACTAGACTCCATCCTGCTTGAAATATATCGTCAACGGCTGCATTGGGGTGTCGTGGTTACGCATTCCGACAGTATAGAAACAACTGTACACGCTGGCTTTGTCGAAGACATGGCCATCTGCCAAGATGATCTTCTCTCCTCTGGTCCGCGCCCGAAATTGGGTTCCCTCGTAGATTGGCATGTCCGATTGACCAGTAGCCTTGACGTTGATGCGCAGGGCAATTTGTTGTCGTGTCTTCTTGTGATCGCTGGATCGAGATACTCGCTCACAATTGAGCGGCAGTAGTATTGTGACGCTGCTTCTCAGTGGTACTTCCAGCGATTTTGGCACGCTGATCTTCAGTCGAAGACCTTTGTGTGTCATTGAATATGGCTGTCTCGATTGGACTTTCAAGACTTTGACGCTCTCCGTCTTTGGAACAGCGAAAGCTCGCGGCGAGGGAGCAAGTAAGCCTTGCCAGGAACCCGATTGAACTGGATCTTGCCACCATGCGAAGATGCTCTCGTCGTCAGTCTTTCGGATAATCTCCAGTTGTAAACGTAGAAAGGCTTTGGCCCCTTCGCCGTAGAGGAGAGGCATGTTCACGTCAAACAGTCCCAAGAGACAATAAGCTGCATCTTCAGTTCGGGTGGATTCCCGCAAAGAGGCCCATTGCATTCTTTCGGCGACGCTGGCTTCCTGGACGTTGGACATGCCCAGCAGGTAGTACTTGTCGATGCCAGTGGCTGCTACAATGTCTTGAAGTCTGTGATACTTGTCACCAACATGTTGGAAGTTCTCGTTGAAGAACAGAAGTCTTCTTGGAGCAAGCAACTCCTGCAGCGTCCAGCCTGAGAGGAGTCACTACATCGATAGGTCGCTTTCGAATGCAAGGCTGAAGTACGGTCACATACCACGAGTGAACCACGAGCTCTGACGAAACTGTTCCGAGAAGCCTGGATCTTCGTCCGTCAAGTCGATATCCGGGAGCAAAGTCAAGCAGTCGTGAGAGTGGTAGTACCATCTATACATCGAGTTGATCGATTCTGTAAGCTCTGCACTACTCTTCTTGTCGATACAGCATGTATCAATCCACAGCCAGGTAAGATCTTGAGCTCGCGCGATTTCGCAAGCTTTCACGATCTTCGTCCAGCCGTAGCCCTCACGCTTTTTTCCATCAAGGAAGTCTTGATGTGAGACTTCGTCGTGGCCCCATCGGTGCGAGACAATTGCATAGCTTGGGGCTGAGAGCTTCTCGAACTCTTCGAAAGTGAGGTTGGTGGTGTGAATGAGGCGTAGCATGTCAAGTTGTAGAAGTAAGGGGAAGGATGAGGGATCTGATCAGTAGACAAGTGAGCAGAAAAGTGAGCAGAGCAGTGAGTAGAAGAGTGAGGAGAAGCTGAGAAGGTGAGTGCTAACGAGAGTACATGTGAGGAGAGGAAGGAACGTGAAGTCGCGTCAGAAGCGTGGCCGCACGGACGTCGATGGATGACTTCATCTCGACATTTTTATTACTGCTCTTCCAACTCTCGTTCGACAACAACACTGCATCATGGGCTCATCAGCATCCAAGGCATCGCGAGCAGCAGGCTCAGCGGCGCGTCAATACCCGAAGCGAGCGGCCAATACTCAAACCCCAATGACGAATGCGACTCCACGACCACCGCCTCCAGCACCCCATAACGAGCCCGGTCCATCAGTGAAACCTCAGCCTTCAGCAAGTGGCAACCGCTCCGAAGCCATCAATCTCGACGCCTCAGATCCAGACTTTGCCCAGTCACTTCGGACTATTGGGCCGGTGCAACCTAACCCTACCCTCTCACCAACGTCCGCTTTCAACCCTGGCCAAGAAATACGATCCACTGCTCCCAACCCACGCTCAAACCCAGCATTGGCTGTGCTGGACGCCAGGTCAAGACTTGCGGATGAAGCTGAGAGCGAGTTCATGGAGGCTGGAAGACGAGGCCACGAAGGCAGACAATTCTTGGACGTCTATCAAATTCGGCAGATCTTGACATTGAGGGATCAGCGTGGAAAGTCTTCTGCAGAGATTGAAAGACGGTTGGGATTGAAGAACGGTGTGGTGGAGCGACTAGGTGCCGCGGGTGTCGTGGAATTGGCGCAAGAGACTGGCAGAGCGCAAAAGGAGATCGAGATGGTTTGAGAAAAGCCGTATACCGTTCATGGACACTACAGAGATGATGTGGGCTTGCTGTCGTGTTCTATACCGAACACAGCTTTGATGCCCAAATGATCCGTGATCCAAGGCTTGTCGAAGCCCAGCTTGACGATATCCTCTCCCTCGCCTGCGTCCGCAACACAAACATTACTACCGAACTTCTCCAACGAAAGGAGTTCAAGGCCACCGCGGAAGTACACCTTATCCATTCTGCTGGTTCCGAACTGGTTTCGCAAGGCGGTGGCGGCCTGCTGTCCCCACGTGTGGCCCTCCTTATCATCCTCCTTTCCTGCAAGCTCAAGATACGCATCCTTCAGGCTGTTCTCGCTATGCAATGTACGATCGAAGTCCTGGATGGCGTTGAAGTCACCTGCGGCCACAGCACCATCTATGCCAGACGCGCGCATGTATTCTGCGCAGAGCTTGATCTGTGGAGGGCGGTATGGCGGTTCCAGAGCCAGCGACTCGAGGTGTGTGTTGCAGAGGCGGATGTTCTTGCCACGAATGTTGACATCCACGAAGAGACCGTCTCGTTCCATGCGAGTCTGAGAGTAGTGGACACGGAAGCAGTTGGATATCGGAAGGCGGCGGTCGATCAGAGACACTGTTCCGTAATGCCCAGACTGCCAGTAGGAGATGTCGAGATCTGTGAGCGCAAAGGTTTCTCGAACCCAGGGATGAGAAGCCAGCAGTTTTAGATCCGACTCGACGCACTCCTGGAGGTAGATGATGTTCGCGGTGGACTCCTCAGAATCTCTTTCAATCAAACCCTTGAGATGGGCAATGCCTTTGCTCATTCGAGAGTCGGCATATGGAAGCATGAAGTCGATGTTCCAGGAGTAGAGAGCTAGCTTAGATATCTCTGAAGCCGTTTGATTCGCCGATGAATTGGCATTATTGGCCTCCCACTCGCTGCCTGTCCACGTGTAGTACGGTTGATCGTAAGGTTTGTCGAACTCCCAAGGTACGCCTTTCTTCGCCTTGGAGGCGACTTCTCTGATGGCCTTCTGTACAACTTCGTCCATCACGGGTTTTCTGCGTAAAGATATTTTGTGGAAAGGATGAAAAAGTCGTTCGAACATTCAGAGCCCGACCGTGATGACAGCGGGTACGGATTCTCTGCGTCTCCGTCTCGGCGTTGATCACCAAGGTGTTGTCATGCTCATCCAGCTGCGAAGCCAGCTTGTGCCTGCTGGAGAAGCGAAGCGCCAGGTGAACTTCCTTGCGCGGCAGCTTCATCCGCGACTGTTACACAACCACAACCGAGAATAATCTGGACTCGCTCGAGCTGAGGCTGAACGGACTAGCCACTTGAATTGCATTGCGGAATCTCGACGACCTGAAGCGATTGGTCGATTTCGTTACCTGCGGACGCATTCTGGACGTGCTCCATACGCCGAGGTTCATTGAGACGACACGGAACGTTGTACAGTCGAACAACGGAAGGCTCGAATACCAGGCAAAGCACAACAGACAATGCCTCGAACAGTTCTCATCACAGGCTGCACTCCAGGTGGCATTGGCCACTGCCTCGCCAGCGAATTCAAATCGAAAGGCCTCCGCGTCTTCGCCACCGCGAGGAAAGCAGAATCTATCAGCGACTTGGAAAAGCAAGGCATCGAGACGCTTTCCCTAGAAGTCACAGACCTCGACAGTATCAAGGCGTTGAAAGAGGAAATATCTAAACGGACTGGAGGTACCCTCGATATACTTGTCAACAATGCTGGACGGAATTACACGGTTCCTGCTCTGGACGTCGAGATCGAGGAGGTTCGAGCGTTGTTCGAGGCGAACCTGTTTGGGGTCATGAGGATGTGCCAGGCTTTCGCTCCTCTTTTGATCAACGCGAAGGGGACGATTGTTCAAATTGGTTCTCTGGCGGGGATCATGCCGTACGTTTTTGGAGGCGCATATAATGCATCCAAGGCTGCTCTTCACGCCTATACGGATACCCTTCGTGTAGAACTCGCGCCATTCGATGTTCGCGTGGTCACCATTGTGACTGGAGGAGTCAAGAGCAACATCGCCCGGACGCATCGAAGTCTCCCTCAAGATTCGATCTATCTGCCATTGAAAGACGAGTACGAGGAGAGGCAGGTTCACAGTCAAGCTATGGGGATGCCCACCGAAGCGTACGCGAGGACTGTCGTGCAGCAGGTGCTGTACAACCCGAAGAAGGACACGGTATGGGCTGGAGGCAAGTCCTGGCTCGTCTGGTTCGTGTCTGTGTTCTTCCCACGGAAGATCTTTGATATCGCCATGACGCGCATGTTCAAGCTGTACAAGCTGAGACAGGCGCAGCAGCAGACGAAGAAGGTGACCTAATGGGTCTGAGCAGCTCTCTTCATTGTATCTATACATGCAGTCTGGAGCACAGTACTGTCTCTTACAATCTGTACAGACTTGAAACCACAGTCTTATCTCCTGCTCTGCCACAATTCCCTCGCCGCTTCAAATATCCTCCCTCTCCTCTCACCCTCTTCCAACGCACTCCTCACCTCCCCAAACCCACCCTTCTCCTGCCCCGCATTCTTCTTCGCCTGATCCTCCAACGCCCTCCTGTCCTCCTCCCCGAACTTCTGCTTCTCCGCAACTTTCCCCTTGATCAACCGATCCCTGAGCTGCCTCAACTCCTGCTCTTCCTGCTCCCGCACCTCCAACTCCTTGATCCACGCTTCGTGCTTCTCCTTCTTTTGCTTCTCGTCCACGAGCGCATCGTATTGTCGGCGCTTCGCCCGGTCGCCCTCCCAGTATACGGACCCGCCGATCATGGCGAGGGTCGTGAAGCCTTGGGCGTAGATTCGGCGGCGGAACATCCGGTTTGTGCGGTGTTTGTCGCCTGAGCGGATGGATTTTGTACTGTTAAAATAAGTCAGAATCATAAGTATACTTATTTCTCATTAATCGGCGCTGGTCTTACGCTTCATATAGAGCCCAGCATGTCAATGCGCAACCCAATGGTATCAATGGCTCTTCTACCAGTCTCCTCTTGAGTTTCTGCCATCTTGATTCCTCGTAAAACTCGGTCTCTTCGTCGAAGGAGGATGGAGGGGGTGCAGTGTTGATGTTGCCTGGGACGGACATGTTCGGTTATGTCGCGTGCTCCGAGCACGTTTTGTGTTTGAAGACGGATTAATGTGCAAGTGATATATTGTGGCTGCCGACCAAATGCGAGAGTGTTTGCTTTTCGTTGCTGTAGAAGTCGTCCAGCCAACCTGGCTTGTATGCTCGTCTGCGATGGAGAGCAATTCAAAGTGACAGCAAGATGGATCGATAGAGCTATCTCTCCTCCAAGCTCAAAGTCATGATGTCGTTCTGCGTTCGCATGCCAGAAATCGCACCGAGACTTCCATCCCAGGACTTGAGTGAGTGAATGTGACCAATGCACTCTTATGCAGCTAATGCAAGGGCCCGTGCCACCCGCACAAACTCAAACAAGCAAAGTCGATCGCCCACCGCCTGCGTCAACATAGATATCCAGATCCAGTCATCGATTGGACTTGCAACACTTCGACAACCTCGACGCCGAACACAAATCGATCTCGACTGTTCGTTCAATGCTGGACCGCCCGTGATGGTAGACGAGAACGGAGTGCCCAATGGCACCCATCCACCATCAACTCCCAAACCCAAGTACACAAGTCTGGCCTTGACTGAATACTCTGCGAATCCATCACCGCCCCCCAAGACGCCCATTGAGAAGGTGTTGCATCCGGGTGTACCGGAGCATCTACTTCTGCCAAATGGCCATCCTGATGTAAGTGGGATAGGATCTTAATGGACTCGACATGGCGCATCAATATCAACAGATTGTTGATCTAGCTCATCGTCATTGTCATGTCTCATAACGAAAGACATTCAAGAACTCACAACTGACCAATTCACAAGTACATTCGTCTGATAACGACGGCGAAAGTCTACGATGTCGTGGAGCAGACTCCTCTCAGTCATGCCGTCAATCTCAGCAACCGATTGGAGAGCACAGTGATGCTGAAACGCGAGGATCTGTTGCCCGTGTTCTCCTTCAAGCTTCGAGGTGCCTATAACAAAATGGCACATCTCACTCAAGAAGAGAGATGGAAGGGAGTCATTGCGTGTTCTGCCGGAAACCATGCCCAAGGAGTTGCCTACTCTGCTCGAAAGCTCAAAATCCCAGCCGTCATTACTATGCCGACTGGAACGCCTGCGATCAAACATCAGAACGTCTCAAGGCTGGGTGGTAACGTGGTGCTCTACGGCGCTGACTTCGACGAAGCGAAGGCGGAGTGCAGTCGAAGAGCAGAGGCTAACGGCCTGACCATCATTCCTCCATTCGATGACCCATATGTCATTGCTGGTCAAGGTACTATCGGCGCAGAAATCCTTCGTCAGGCAGATCTGAGCAAGCTCGAAGCCATCTTCTGCTGTGTCGGAGGCGGCGGACTCATCGCTGGAACTGGAGTCTACATCAAACGATTCGCGCCACATGTCAAGATAATCGGAGTCGAGACATACGATGCAAATGCTTTGGTACAATCGCTCAAGCTTGGAAAGCGGGTAACCCTGCCTGAGGTTGGTCTCTTCGCAGATGGAGCTGCCGTCAAGACTGTAGGTGAGGAGACTTTCCGTGTCTGCGCAGAGGTCGTGGACGATGTCATCCAAGTCGACACGGACGACATTTGCGCTGCAATCAAAGACGTGTTCGAAGACACGAGATCCATCCTGGAGCCGGCTGGAGCTCTTTCCCTGGCTGGTCTGAAGAAGTATGCCAGAGCAAACCCATCGCAAGACACCCGACGTCAACTCGTGGCGGTGGCAAGTGGAGCCAACATGAACTTCGACCGACTGCGTTTCGTTGCAGAACGTGCAGCCATTGGTGAAAACAAAGAAGCTCTCCTATCAGTCGAGATCCCCGAGCAACCAGGAGCTTTTGCTAAGCTGGTCTCAACTGTCAACCCGATGGTCGTCACCGAGTTCTGTTACAGATATGCAACTGCAACAGCTGCGAACGTTCTCATGGGTATCTCGGTATCCGCTGCTAGCCGATCACGAGACGTGGTCGACCTCATCCAGCGACTCGAGAAAGAAGGCATGACCGCCCGCGACATTAGTGGTGACGAGCTTGCTAAGAGCCACATTCGCTACCTCGTCGGCGGGCGGAGCAGTGCCGAGAACGAGAGGCTGTTTGCATTCGAGTTTCCTGAGCGGCAAGGTGCGCTGTACAAGTTCTTGACAACGCTACAGCCTGGCTTCAATATCAGTCTCTTCCACTACAGGAACTATGGTGGCGATATCGGAAAGGTACTTGCTGGTATCCAATGTCCTCCTGGAGAGGAGGCAGGGCTCAACCAGTTCCTCAAGGAGATTGGCTACGGATCCTCCGAGGAGACCAACAACGAGACGTACAAGATGTTCATGAGGATGTGATAATAGCGGCTTGGAGCAAGATGGCGTTTGCTGGTGCTTGATGTAGACAGGGGCTAGGTCATGCTCTTATGAATGCACAAAGTCGCTGAACTTCTGTAGAACCCCTTTCCTCCCTCAAAATCACGAGCCTGTTCGAGCATGGGCTTTCTGATGCTGTCAGCTGCTTTCATATGGACAGCGGCACATGCTGTGTCTACCATTCCCCTATATAAGCCTCCCCTTCGAAGACTTGCAAATGCTGCTGGAACAACATGTCTGTTCGGCCCACATCGAATATGAACACAACAAGATCGAGGAGCGGACGCATCCGGCGATACCTCGTGGCTATTGCAGTTGCTCTCTTACTCGCAGTCTTGTTCCGTGGATATCCACAATCTCAAACTGAACATGTGCTCGACTCCAACCGCTTTCCTCCGCACCACAAGATCCAGAACGAGCTTCAGGGCCACGGTTTCCACGACTCTCCTCTCCAGCACTTGAAAAGACAGGGCGGCAGTGACGAGGACGACGAGGAAGACGAATGGGCGAAATGCGCAAAGAAAGGATGCCGTCTTAACGAGCTGATGGGAAAGTCCAATGCCGATTTGCAGAGTAAAGACAGGTCTAGCTGGATCAACTTCGACGACATCAAGAAGTATGGCTGGTCTTTATCTGACCAGGAGGACAAGGTTGGGCCCAACGACGATGACAGAGCTTCTTCTGCGCCCTTGCTTCAAGCTCTTGGGATACCTGGACTCGATGATCCTTCGTGGAAGAAAGTGCCTTGGGTGCATGTGACGGAGTCGAAGGTTGATGGGAAGACATATCCGGTAAGCACCAAGTTGAAACCCCCGTCCCCAAAGCTCGCAAGATGTCTAGGCGGCGCGTAGCACGACCAAGGGTATGGTCGATTTCAAATTTGGAGAGAGGGTAAGAGTATACTTACTTCGACCACGCAGCCTACCAAAGGCGAACACATCAACTTCTACAACCCTACCCACGGCATCATCATCGCGGCGAACAACCGCAGCCCACTCCAGAAAAATGGCGACATCCCTCGTGAGCGAGTCATCCCTCTTAGGCGCTGGTCCGACTTGGCCTACCTTACCTGGCTCGACGTCTGCCGCCAGCACCACCAAGACCCCAAGAACCTCAAGTACATCCTTCGCATGAATGTCTTCAGCGATGACGTCCAGGACATTCTACCCAGAGTCATCGGCAAAAGCCTCGTCGACCTCACGGAGTCTTACCCAGGTATCTCTGTTGACGGTATGCTGCGCTCAGAGAACGCTCGAGCTGCGATTGGGTTCTCGAACGGACGAGGAGTTGCGTGGTTGTTGATACAGCACAAGGAGACGTTTGGGGACAAGAAGTTCATCAAGGCGATCAACATCTGGGACTCGTACAATGCGCACCGGCCGGCGAAGCTAATGCCTGGGCTGGATGAGATTCCGAATGTGCTGTTTACAATTTCTTGAGGGTTGGGTGGTTTGGTTGCGGTTGGTTCACGGATGCTAAGATAGAAAGATAAAGTTGTTGGTTCTTTTCAAAAGTTGTTTCCTCGTGTTCTTCTTGAACCCCTTTCAGGTCACCATCTCCTGGTTCTCAAATCCTGTTCAAGGTCTCACCATAACCCTCCCGTTAAGCCGCAGTGAGGTTGGGAGTAAGGCCAAGAGTAAGACCTGCAGTTAGATCAAGAGTAATAGTAGAAGTGAGATTAGGAGTAAGGTGGGAAGTGAAACTAGAAGTAAGGATGAGAGTAAGATTACGAGTCAGGATAGGAGTAAGATCGAGAGTAAGGCTAGGAGTAAGTCTAAGAGCAAAGCTAGAAGCAAGTCTCGAAGAAAGGCTGGAAGTGAGGCTAAGATTAAGCCTATAAGTAAAGTTATAAGATGTAGGAGTTGTTTTAGTAAAGTAGGCAGGTTAAGAATAAAGTGGCAAGCGAAGCTGTAGGTGAGGTTGTAAGTAAGCGGATAGGTGAGGTTTTAAGTAAGCGGATAAATAAGGCAACAAGTAAGGCTGTAAGTAAGGCTATAGGTAAGGTTGTAAGTGAGGTTGTAAGTAAGGGGCGATGCGAGCTTGTAAGTGAACGGACAGGTGAGGTTGTAGGTAACTTAATAATGTCGGCACTCATAACCTAGCTACGGTTGGTATATACATAAAAGCACATGGAGGTAACAAGAGGTCTACTCTCGCCCGAAAGCTGTTTTCCTACGCAGGTTGCCTCTAACCGCTCGCCTACCCATCTCCTCAACTCGCAGCTCTTGTTCAAAGTTTTGCCATCACCCTCCGATCAACGGGAACCGAAGGCTCAAAAGTAAAATCATAATTCTTCCACAACTGTCCTAGCTCATCATCAGCCAGATAATTCGCTCTCACCTCAACAGGCTGTCCACCATGCCTCGCAAAGAAATTCGCATGCTTCAACGGCAGGAACAGCCTCTGCGTGTTATTCTGATACCACGGCGCCTGGTACCCAATCGCAACCATAATCCGATCCTGATCACTCGTGTTCGGCATACCCGCATGCCAGGTCCTCAAATCGCGGATCATGATGTCTCCCTTGCGACAGCCAGCTTGGATAGGGGGACGGATCTTTCGTCGTTGCTCGACGACTTCTGATTTGACGTTACAAGACGGATCGATGCCGACGACTTGTTTCCGGACCTTGGTTTCTTCGGTGCACGGGATTTGGTCGGCGCTGGTGGTGTGGGCGTGCGATCCGAGCCAGAACTCGGTTGCTCCGTTGGCTTCGCAGAAGTCTGAGAGGACGATGTTGGCGATGAAATAGAAAGGGGCTGTCGGGTGGTGGAAGGTGATGTCTTTGTGGACGGGTTGTCGCATGCCTGCTGTTCCGGTCAAGGCGTTATTACCAGTGGTAAACGACCAGATTGGTTTAGAACCGAGATAGGCATTGGCGATTTGTATTACGTATGGGTTGAAGTATACGTCGTCGAAGAGGCAGTCTCCATTTGCTACGGGTGGGCATTGCAGGATGTTGGAGTTGACGCCTTGGTTGAATAGGCCGGCTCGTTCGTTGAGAATGGTTTTGGTCTCGGCGCTCATTGCTTCGCGTAGCTTGTCAACGTGTGCCACGTCCACCACGTTTTTCAGTACAAGCAGTCCATCTTGATGTAATCCTTCCAGAGCGGATTGTAAGTTCTGCGGTTCGTATGCTCTGGCTGATTGTTCGTTGGCAGTGAGGTCGATCGCCCTAGGAGCGTCCATTGATTCGAATGGTCAACAGCCAATCTTCCGACGAGAGCAATCAATCAGAGCAGGTATCTCCTCAATATGTGAGGGTTCAATTGAGCTCAAAACCTCGAGGTGCGTCCTCACGTAATGTGACCCTAAGATAGGCGAGCTGGCCGACCTATCAAGGGTACGTACCTGGCGTTGTCTCAGAGTATGCAGGCGGTGAGGATTAAAGCCAACTCCGGCAGGGCAACACGAGACAGTCACTGCTGAAGAGGTACGAATTCCAGAGAGACGGAATGGGGCCCGTGGAATGAAATTGTACAGAATCAAAGCACTACACAACTCGTCAACGCTAGCGAATCAAAATGGCAGCCCTTGTTTGCCTGGTGGAGGCATCGCTTAGCCTGGAACTGTTTCGACAAGTTCTGTCATGAGAAACGGAGTGAGTGTTGTATCATGATTGATCAATTCGAAATCCCATGTAGAATCATCTTGGGAGCAGTCGAGGGGACAACCCACGTCGCTGCGGCCGATCTTGCCGTTCGAGATGGCAATCCTGGGAAAGCGAAAAGACTTATAGATGAGTGTATACCTACTGCTGCTCATACGTCGTGTCGTCTCCTTCGCTTCGATGGAATATCAACATCAGACACCATACAATCACAACCACTTGTGCGAGACTCCAAATGTGTTGTCGACTTGCTAAGAATCGGCATCGCCATCTAGGCAACCAACACATGTTACAAGCTGGATTCCAGAACTCCAGCTCGTGATACATGGATTGTTGCCAGGTAAGGGACATATCGGCAGGAAGTCCAGGCGTTCTTCGTCGCTGCTCGGTTGCACACTTGTGCTGGTGTTCTTTTCGACAGCGGCAGCCTATGGATGCCGCCGACACGCCCTGTATCATGCAATTCATTGTCTGTCTTTAATCTAGCAATGCGCCGTATTGATCTGTGTTTGCTAGATCTGCTCGTCGTTCGTGCGGTGTCGGCCTCTCAAGGGGGTTCGTTGAAGGCCTCCCTGCCAAATCGTTTAGCACATTGCCTAGTAACTCACTCACCGCCTCACTTGTAGATTCGCTTATGGTTTCGTTTTCAATTCACTTCCAGCCTCACTATGCACCATTATCCTGACCTTACTTCGACATCCTACAACCTCACTCGTTGCCACGCTATTGAGCTCATTCCTGCTACTGCCCTTGTCCTCACCCTTTATCTCACTCCTAACCTCAATCTTGACTTCACTCCTAGCCTGGCTTGAATCCCCGAAGCGAATTCAGATTAGGATGTTTCCTAGTCCACCCCAGGAAGGTGTGGTTCTCCGCGAATTCGTCTCCTCTGTATCGTCTCCTCTGTGATTGAACACAAGCAGCATTACAGCGCGTTGATCGATACCAGGACGTAGAATGTTGATGAAAGGTTGGTGAGGAGGGAACTCGAGACGAAGTCAAGCGTTGCGCGCCAAGACCCCAGTTGCCCGTGCGGCAAAGCTTATCTGCACGTCGCCACTTGCTGCTGATCCTTTGCACGCGACCACCCACGGCCACACACATCTCGGCCAGATAAGGTGTCGGGAACGCCGCCAGTATGGGACTAGTTGTGCCGCTTGATGTAATGGTAGCATTGATACTGATACTGCTACTGGATGGGGTACGTGTACGCTGAAGATATTCTTCAAGTCTTACCTACTGTCTCGTCTCTCCATTGCGTATTTCTCGACTCGGTTCTGCCATCGGACAAGCTGGTCACTGGCTTCTTGCAGACTTTTCCATCCATGAAGGCAGGGGGAATTGCGTGAAGACAAAATGCGGTGGTCACTTACCGAAGTGAAGGCCAAGGCTGAGGAGAAGAAGGACAACGCTAGGACAGCGTTCTCGAGTTGGGCAGCGTTCAAAGAATGGGTTCAGGTTTCCGATACAGCCTTGGACGAGCATGGCCACAAAATCTCTGGACCGACCTGGTCCAACGAAGATCTTGATCCCACGCCACCGGAGAAACGAACATGGCGATGGTGGAACTTCGTGATCTTCTACTGGGGCCTGTCCTTTGGCAACTGGACGTTGGGGAGCACAATGATTGGTATAGGGCTCAACTGGTGGCAGGCTATCTTGGCCATATTCCTCTCCCAGCTGATATCCTCCATCGCCATGTTCTTCAACTCGCGATGCGCTAGCGTCTACCATATTGGATACCCAGTGGTTGGAAGAAGTGTCTTTGGCATGTGGGGATCGTACTACTTCGTTGGTGTGCGTGCGGCGCTGGCGATTATCTGGTACGGCGTGCAGCTCTATTCGGGGTCAGCGCTCTTGGTCAATATGCTACGCGCCGTGTTCGGACATGCCTACACTTCTATTCCCAATCATATTCCGGAGAGCATGGGTATTACCTCAGCTGGCATGCTGGCATTGTGAGTAGTTTGACTTAAGGGCAGAAAGCATTCGCTGACAACGCAGCTTTCTCTTCTGGTTGATCCATCTACCATTGACATTCTTTCGCCCATATCAATTGCGACAGTTCTTTTGGTTCAAAGCAATCATCATGTTGCCCGCCATCTGGGGTCTCTTCATCTTCTGCATGGTCAACACCAAGGGCAATATCGGCCTCGGACACTTGAATAACACTTCTTCTGCCAAGTCGGACGGCTGGGGATGGTTTTTCGTATGGTCTATCAATGCTGGAATGGGCAACACTGCTACCCTTATCACCAACCAGCCTGATATCGCTCGTTGGAGTAAGACAAAGACTGGGGCCATGTGGTCGCAGCTTCTGTCGAATCCGATCGCTGTCACACTCTCGGCAAGTCTGGGTATCCTTTCAACCTCAGCAATCAACAACGCTTGGAGTCTCCAACTTTGGAATCAATGGGACTTGTTGGATGCCATCATGACACGATACTGGTCTGCAGGCACTCGCACAGCTGTGTTCCTGGCCGCGGCGGGTTGGATGGTGTCCATTCTTGGCACAAACATCGCCGCCAATATGATCCCATTTGGCTCTGACAGTTCCATGCTTTTCCCGCGATACATCACCATACCACGCGGCCAATTCATCGTCGAGTGCCTTGCTTTCGCGATCTGTCCGTGGAAAATCCTGACCAGCGCCTCGGTATTCACGACGTTCCTCAGCGGATACGGCCTCTTCATGGCTTCGGTGGTTGCGATCATGATCTGTGATTACTTCCTGCTCACGCGCGGGAATGTCTTCATCTCGCATCTGTACGATGGGTCAAAGGACAACAAGCATTACTACTATACCATGGGCTGGAACTTGCAGGCGGTGTTTGCGTATATCGTTGGAATCGCTCTCCCTTTCCCTGGCTTCGTCGGAACCCTTGGACCGCACGTCAGTGCCGCAGCGCAGGATCTCGGTCATCTCGGATGGATGCTCAGCTTCACGGTGTCCTTTGTCGTCTACTACGTTGTGTGCTTGATATGGCCAACGCAGAACCAGAAGATCATTCGAGAGATGGGTCTCGGCTTCGAGGAGATGAGGTCAGTAGTGACAACACCGGGTACTGCAACTCTCTAGAAATGTACTGACTCTCTACCACAGCTACAGGTCGATCATCGCAGTCGACGGCACTGCAATCACCGAAGACATGGAAGGCCACCCCCATCCCGAGATGCTGCACTTCTACGGCGGCGGTGGCGGTGGCGGCGACAAGAAGAACGCAGCAGAGTCGATCGTCCCCTCAAGGTCGATAGATTAACAACTAGTCCCGTCCACCATCAAATCGTACTCGTTACTTCTCCACAGCCGGCTTGTCCATGATTACCAAGACGGAGTTCCCCCTCCGAGGGATTCGACCCTCACGTCCTCCATTCCTTCCCGTCCAGTAAACATGCATACTGCATAATACAAGCATTGGACGGCATGCAATCCCCAGAGAATTCTGAGTGAAAGACACTGACAAACTCAACTATTGCCTTTTCCATGGCTCGATCGTCAAGAGCTGTGCTCCTCCTACACCCAGGGTTCGCTTGTAACGGCTCTGCTCTCCGCATGCATGTGACAACGTCTCGTAAGTCGACTGCATGGCATTGTGGTGTAGATCCCCAATAGAGTGGACGTATAGGGCGGCAGCTGATTGACATACCGCTCCAGTACTCTAAATGCATGATCATCATCATCACGAAAGAGTATCATCTCGTTCCCGGATCCGAAACCCAGAACCTATCCGCGTATATGCGGTACTGAACACTGGAACATGTGGAACGCAGGAATCCATCCTGCGCCAACATCATCTGCAAGGCCGTCGGGCTGATCCCATGGAGCAGCAACTTTCTTCATCACGCCTTCGCCGCTCGAGGCCCCAAACCCTACAAATCTAAATGCGTGAATCCTTTCGCGAGTACGTACATATAGTGCGCATCTTTGAAGGATTTTTGGGGCCACCCAGCCAACCAGCCAGCCAGTGAGAAGGGAAATGCCGTGAAAAGAAGAAACGCCTCAAGCAAGCCATGCCGTGTCACGACCTTGGTTTGTTAAGACTGGAGATATCTGGGGCGAGAACGCGATTGATGCCGTAATGGTCCTGAAGAATGGTAACAGCAGGGGTGAAAGTTTAAGCTTCTTTGATAAGGTAGTCTGGTGATTTGTTGATATGGATAGGATTCGGGGCCTTGTTGGTGCCACAATCACATTGTCATGATTGCCATGTCTTGCAAAGACACGCTCGCGTGATGTATCATCATCTTTCGGCTGCCTCGCATTCATTCGGCCCGTGTGCGACACTTTCTTGGCTCTCTTGGCCTGAATGTAGAGTACGGATGTTGGCTTGGCGGCGTCATTCGTCAGGAATCAGGAGATGCCATGAAACCAAATTCTCCAGCTACACGGCGTGGCGACCATGTCCCCGAACTTCGAAGCGGCGCCTTGGAACCTCGTGCAGTCGAGGAGATGACGATGATGATGTCTTATTTACGAGCATCATCACAACCCGGTCCGCAACGGTCGTGGACGTCGAAGCGCCGTCGCTGCGAGAGAAACAAGTTCGGACAGCCAGGGATGAGCTTCGTAGGTTTCGCAACCCGCCTGTGAGGACTGGTATGGGTAAGATGGCCATGACACCTATAAGCGGTTTCGCAAATGTCGGATCAGGCTTCGAATTCTGGACGACCCCGGCCGGACGACGGCTCCGACGGGGTGTTCTCTCTTCGTACGTCAATACGAGGTTATGAGCTCTGCAAGGCTTGACCTGGGAGCATTGTATCCATTGGGGGTCGCGTATTGTATGCTCGACTCGTGGTGAGTGAGGAAGAAGCATTCGCTCGGTAACGTTGTAATACGCGCAGCGTTCTCCCATCATCGAGACATTTGTCAAGCATCCATGCCCGTACAAACCCCAGTCATCGTCATTCGGCGACAATGATCGGTTCATGTGGTCTCAATATTACACTCAAGGATCCTTGACATGACCTCCCAAGGAGTCCCTACTCGACGAGCATCTCCCCAGCATTACCCAATGAAGTAATCATCAAAGATTCTCAGTCAGAAGCCTAAAAAGATCACATCGGAAACGAGCCCTACATCAAGAATAAACTCATGCACCTCGTTTCCGATGAGACCAGGCATGGAACGAGGCTTTGCTAGGAAGAGCCCGGCAAGATGTTGTCGCATGCTTCGACCTCACCTCAGCCATTAGTTGCGTGACTTAATGTACTAGTCTGCGGCCGTGGTGGCCTGGATTAGGCAGCTGATCGAAACGGTGACATAGTGAAAGAAAGAGGGAAGCAAAGCTGATGTGACCGATTCTTCAGGCCTGACAAAGCGGAAGAAGCAATGCTGAGGTAAAGTCTTTTTGGTGCCAAGAAAAGCGGGAAATGCGAAGTACATTAGTCCACGGCTCTTCGCGGTTCGCTTTTGTGGTGGCGAAAGGTGTTCAATGAAATATAATCATCCGGACACTTTTTGCTCTTTGGAGCTGTAGTCGGTTCTTGTCATGCAACAAAGTATACAGGTAGAAGTGACGTCCAATGATATCGTACACTAGTCAAAGATCCGAAAATGACCGCAGCCGAAGCTGCATGTCGGGTGCGCATCTTCCATGGAAGTTGCGGATGGTTGTGTTGCGCCAGACTCCTCGCTTGAAAGACACTTCTCTTGTTTGGCCAAATGCAATAGACAAAAGTAACGCGGCAAATGCCACCAATGCAGATGTTCCCCAAACGTACAGTATGTTGCTCAATTACGATGAAAACTGGTTCCCACCTCAGGGCGAGGTGGTGGTGGCATAGAAGCTTGCCAGGTATTGTACCCATTCTGAGGGTACGAAGACGACTTCGGCCCGCTGCTTTGATGCATGGGTGGCAATGTAGAGTAGGAACGCGAGTTGGTGGGATTCCACCCAGAGCTCGACGCGTCCGGCTCGCTGCTATAACCCTCTGGCGAGCGCTGACCAGAACCTGACCCAGACGAGGCACTATCCTCGAGTACCTCTCCAGGAGACGAATGGTATGATCGAGGCGAAGTACCAGTAGGCCTGCCTACGTCAGAACCTCCATACCCAGGCCTGGGTACATGGTGGCCCAATCCATCTGTAGCATACGGCCTTTCGTCATCTCGGCTCGCTTGGAACGGTGATGGTGCCCATGGAGAATGCGCGACAAATTGGAAGGATGGAAGAGGAGCTGGGACAGGTCCCAACGCCTTGATAAGCTCCTCTGGTGAAGACGTCGAAGGAGTGATGTGAATCCCAAGCTCCTCTGGCCCTGGTGTACGCGCTCGCGCGACGTCGGCTATGTTTGCGATGGAAGATTTCCCTCCGTTGATGACCTCCAACGTCCCGTGCTTAGACGCCGACGGCTTCGTGGTGGTATGCGAGGAAGGCTGTTGGGAGATGGTCAGCAGTGGAGGGGACCAAGCAGGCTTGTGTCGCGCGGGAGTTGAGCGGCTGCTAGGAGCTTGTCGAAGATCGCTCTCATTCCTTCTCGCAACCGTCCTGGAGGCGTCGTTCTTGAGTGCACTGTCAATGGCGGTGCCAAGCTGGGAGTTTTGCTCTAAAAAAGCACGCGTCTTTTGCTCAGCTTCCTGATTGTGGCGTCGAGCTTCTTCCAAAGCGAACCGGAGCGATTCAATCCGTCCGTTGAGTACCAGGACCTCGCGTTTCAAGGCGGTTGCCTCGCTGTTACTGAAATCGCCGAAGGATCCCGCACCCACTGGGCCCATATCTGACGGGGGAGCGTTCTGACTAATTGGTCGCTCCGACCCATCCGGTCCAGAGTGGCGGCGGGAACCTTCCGCCTGAACCTGTAGGTCCGTCTTGACGTGAGGAGGCCGCACCGAATCTTCTGTCTCCAACGCAGCCACCCGGCGTGTGAGATACTCTTTCTCCTCCAAAAGTCGCTGTCGTTCGCTGTCGACTTTAGCGTGCAGTCGGCCACCCATTTCGAGCATGCGGCCCCACTGTTCCTTCTCCTTTGCAGCTTCCACACGATCCACTTCGCGTTTCTTCTCGCTCTCTTCCAATTGGGATTCAAGGGTCTTGATCTGTTCCGTCATTTCCTCGTTCTTGCTGGTAAGCTCGTTGACCTCCTGGTCAGCAACGCTAGTCTTCTTCTCGATCGTTTGGCTCTTCACCCTTTCCCTTTGCAGCTTCTGCAACAAGGAGGCGTACTCGGACTGCAATGTCTGCAAAGCCAATGACTTCAATGTGACCTGATGCTGCAGATCGGCAATGTGTGCTGACGTCGCAGAGGAGTTCGATGTCGAATGAATCGTTGATGTGGGTTGATAGGATGTCGCGGGGGAGCCCACTGGTGGAGGAAGAGAAGGCGCAGCGGATGGTGGATATGCCAAAGAGGAAGGAGACGGCAACGGGCGGTTCATCGATCGATTGGCAAATGTAGGAGACGTTTGCCGTGGGTGTGCAGAGCCTGGCAATGACTCGCTGGGTGGTGGAGAGTAGCCCAATCGCAGGTCTCTTGCGGCGAAATCGATTGAGCCTCGTCGTTCGTCTCGAGGAGTAAGAGCAGGTAGTTGATATGGTTGTTCCACAGAGGCTCCTGATCGAGGCCGCTTGGGAACGGGAAAGTCGTCTCGCTCCCATCGATCGGCTGCTCGTTTCAACGAGTTCGGTGGTGATAGAGTTCGCTGAGGATATCCACCCTGGGAGATCTGCTGTTGTTGGGGAAAGTAGCCCTGGTTTCGACGAGCAGCATCTTGTACATCGCTCTTTGCAGTCCGTAGCCTATCAACAATCCATTGGACCAATCCAATCAAGCTGTCGTTGGGGATCTCGAGGCCCTGCCCACGTATATCAGCAAGTACGTCAACAGCAGGGACGGATAGACGATCGATCAAACGATCATTCAATGCAAAGAGACGACATACGCGGTTCACCGACTTGTTGCAGTACGTTTGGACGCTTTCGTCGAGTTCTGCAACGGCGACGGCAACGTCCCTGACCCAGGGTTGCAGCTTGGTGCAAGAGTGGCAGGATAGGCGTGACGACATTGGAGCGATTTCAGGGCCATCCACATCGTCGGTGCGGGTGGTGGTGTGTTCCTGGAAGGCTGCAAACGAGGGCAGCGACGTCGAGGGCGTCGACACGGGTTGGTTGGCAGCGGCGGCGGCGTGGTCGAGAGTGTTGGTGTTGATGGGCGGCGAGATCCTTGGCCGATCTATCATTACGCCACCATTGGTGTTAGCACGGAAGGACTGCAGCAGCGGCATAAGGGGAGAACATGTGATCGGTAGGGCAGCACGGGCAGGCTATATAGTAGATATACGTACCCTGGGATTGGGGGATGTGAAGGGTAAGTGGTGGGGCGTCGGCGACCTGGCCTGAGCTCATACGACCGTGACCGTGGTGTAAGCTTCGCCAAGGCCCGGCAGACGTCTCACGAGGAGAAGTGTCTGCTAGCTGGGTCGGAGCGTAGGTTGGGCTGTGGCGATCGTAAAGTCGAGTGTGGTAAGTCGACGCATTCGTCATAGTGGCATAGGGTTCGGCCTGGCGCGGTATGATGGGGACAGGTATAGGGTCTGCCGAGACTTCGCGCGACTTCCCGATCCAGGAATGATGGAGGCTGCTGTGGTCAAGGATGGCGCTGTGTGCTGCTGGATTGACGGCGCTGGGCGCGGATAGCTGCGGAGCTTGCGGCCGGGAAGAGTGATTCTGGGGAGGTGGATAGGCCGCATTGTTATTGCTGTGATGTTGCTGCTGGTGCTGGGCGGGGTGGTGATGGAGTTGCGCATTGGGTCCCTGCTGGTGCGGGAGCTGATGCTCCGGATGAGACTCATACGGCGCCGCGACGTCTCGCCAGCGATTCGAGTCCCATGACGCCGCGTCCGCGTTCATTCTCTCCGCAATGGCGACAATGGGCTCCGGAAGGCTAGCGCCATACGACAGCAGTGGACGAGAGGCGGCCGAGGAGTCTGACGACGGCTGGCATCGAAGACGGACCGTGGGCGACGGGAAGGGGGCAAGATGAGGCAAAGCTGAGGATAAAGACTCAGCAACAGGAGTGGCAACGACAGTAGTCGGTCGTAGCGGCGTGTGGTTGCGTCCTTGGCGGCAGAGGAGGCTCGTGGGGCTCTTGGCCCTGGGTGCTGTATTATCTCACGGGTCTGTTACCAATTCGAGCCACGGTCACTGGTCGACGCTGAGGGCACGCACGCTGACCTCATGAGCCCAAGCGGCGAGCGCCCAGGGGCATCGACAGGAGGGTACGAATTACACGAGGAAACGCAGAAGGGATGCGGCGCAACGGGGAGAAGGGAAACGCGCTGGCGCTGCTGCGTTGCTGGGGGACCGCCTGTGCAGCAGCGAATCCACCGCGTCCAATCCATCTGCCTCCATCGCATCCACCAGTGGTGGCAGCGCGAGACATTAGTCATCGCAGCCTGTCTTTCATCACCCGAGACGTCGTGCGAGCGATCGTCATTCTGCCGACGCAGCGCTCACGGTGCGCGCCCACCATCGGCGCACACGCTGCTGATGCTGCTGATGCGTCGCTCGCCAGGCCTTCCATTCATCGGCAGCGCTTGGGCAGGAACAGGCAGGTCCCAGGGCGCTGGACCACTACGCCCGCCGGTCGGAGTCTGCTCAGCGCAGCGTTGGCGGCGCGCACAGAGGAGCCGCTCGCGAGCTCCTGCCCCGGCTCTTGTTCTGACTTCATTCACTGGGCTGCTAGCACAGCGCTTGGGGGGCGCGCCTGACGGCGATGCGATGGAAGCAGGCAGCGCATCACAGATCGCCGTGCCGCAATGCATGCACAGACAGCGTAGCGGGCCCCGACTCGCAGCAAAGCAGCTGGGAGGCGAGCGGCGAGCGAGGATGCCGAGGCGTGCTCCCGAGGGCCAGTCGCGAGCACGTCGCCGGCGGAGTGGTGAGTCGGGGAGGCTGCTGTGCTCTGCGCTGCGCTCGAGCTGAGCAGCAGGGTTGCGGCAGCTCCACGATCCTTTGTCATCAGCGGAAGTGAGGTGAGTAACAGACGGGTCCTGCCACGCCGGGCTTGGCGCCGTAGGGTCATGCGGCGGGCGGTTGGCAAAGCCAGTCGGCGGCCACGCTGCTGACACTCACTCGGAGCCCTGCCCAAAAACAGGCAATTCGAATTGCCCGCCGTGGCTTAGCGAGCGCAACTCGCCCTCTCGCCAAGCTCTGACTTTGCTGGAAATTGCGTCGTGGTCGACGACAACAGGTCACCACGACAAGCCTGCTGCTGCTACGGGACCACCTTCGCCCCTGGCCTGCGCCGGGGACCACAGCACCATCGACACAGCGGACACACCATGATTCTTCCGGCATTCTCTCAAGTAATGGCCCTCGTTTCGCCCTCCAGCGCCCAAACCTTGTCGCTGCGGCCTTCTGTCGTAGTCATCAGAGAGTCAGCCCGCAAGCGCAGCCGCGTGGAGGGCCCACTCGGACGTCGGAACTTCACTTCATCCTGAGTTCACACGCTGGTCGACAACATGCTGGTCTCGATGACAGGTCCGCAGCGTCGCATCTCCTGTGGCGAACCCAAGCTCGATTCCAGGATATTGCATGCCTTGGTTATCCACTGTCCTTGTCCTGCAATCACCTCATCGCCGAATTTCGTCGTTCCTGCTCTTGACATTGTCGATCTGTCAGCGGCTCCACGTTGCATGTCACGAACATCAATTCGCAACTGGCAATTATTGCCTGCGAGGCCAAGCTCTCCCCACAAGCAAGAAGTGCATCGCGCCGTCGATCAAGTCCAGGCAATTGCGAAAGCTGCCGTCCAGAGCGAGAGATCGCTGCAGACGTGAAAGCCAGAACCGTAGATTAAGGTTGCAAGGTTAAGGTGTTGAATCCTACGATGATCACGCTGATTGGCATTCTGGTAGGGAAACTGCTAAAATTGCCAGCCGCAACACCAACCACCACTTTGCCTGCAACGCGTACACATGACCGAGATCGCGAAGTGTGTGATTACATCGCCAGAATAATCAAGATCGGTGGCTTCCCGTCCTGCATGATGCATGAGCACGCCGCAATGCTGCCGCACGCAAGCTTTGTCTCCCGTCTTCTTACAGACATCAGAACCAAAGGGTGCAATACTGACAGTAGATGTCTCGAATCCATTGCGTCCCGGGCCGATAGCTCGCAGCTTGCAGTGCTGTACGTCTGCCGCACAGTAATCAGTTGGATTCGGTTCGATTATACAGCAAATAGACTTCAGCCTTCCGCCTCCATGCAGCCGCCTTTGCCGTTCTTGAAACCACCTTGCTCCGTCTCATCGTTCGTCGTCGACTGGTTTGTTGCGACGGAAGTATGGAGTTAGGGGATTTGGAGAGGCCGAGCCTGACATCTTCTTCTCACCTTTCTCAAATCATTCAAACTCTATTTGGACTTGGACGAGTCAACGTCGTCGTCAACTTCTGCACGAACTAGCAGACTTTGCCGGCAACTTGCTATCAGATCTGAAAGCTGGATCTCCTTTCGGCTCTTGCGATGCCTGGTTGGCTCTTAATAAGGGAACCCTATTCTTAGATGTGCATGTGGAAAAGAGCTTCTAATATTGCTTCGGAACGACAAACATCACCTCCGAATCGATGATGAGACAACGCCGATTGTTCTGTGGATTGTTACACCCAACATTGGAAGTTCGCCAACAAGGAAAGAAAAGCGCCATGAGCCAAGGTAAATCTTTCCTCACGACCTGACGTTCGTAGGCAATGCATTGCGCCATCACTTCTGACGATTGGAGGGCGCAAAGTGAAAAAGCAGTCCCGCGGACTCCCGTTAGGGATCGTCAGGTACCAGCTGTGCCAAGACGAAGATCCCAAACGTCTTGAAAAGGAAGGACTGCAGTCAAGGACGATCGGGAATTCGACGACTCACCATCCTCGCGGTTGATAGGTGGGGTAATGACGGCCCTGCAGTCTGACAAGCGGCACACGCAACGATCTCCTATGTACATGAAAAGCGAGATCGTTCAACGACCATTTGCTTTGCTTGAACGCGGTTCATCCGCGGGGAAATACAGGTATGCGAGTTTATCACCAGAAAGCACCCTGGTCTCACTCAAAGACAACAGCCTAGATCACTTCAGTCGCGATTACTTCCCGTTGGAGGAATCGCACATGAAACGTTTGGAAGTTACCTCGTTGGATCCATTCAGCCGTCTTGGCTCGCACGTGTAACTTCATTTTCCAACGCTTGCGCGGGAACAAACGTTTGTGAAGGTTGGAGTCGTCATCAACAACAACGAAACACACCGAGTGGTCTCGTAGCGCGTGCGAAAAGCGTCGCAAAGGTTTAGCGAGAACACATGCCACGAACGGAAGGTACGCTAGGGGTGGATTAGCTCAGCAGCGTATTAGAGTTTCACTTATGCCTGGCTACCTTAAATTATGCAATACCGATATACGATAGCGAGGTAATGCGAGCCTGCACAACGCCAGGACCTCCATGCCGCAAACGACCAGCACTTCAACGACCACACCACCTGCTAGACCCATCGCCAAAACGACAGCCTTCTGGACTAGTCGAACCTCCTCGGCGGCCTGATGCTCTGGAGATGAGTCGAGAGACTCGTAACCGCGGAGATCGGCAGCATTGGCCTGCCAGAAGAAGCAACTATTGAGAATGCATCAGCGATGACCAAGGCCTGTCGCAGCTTGATGAACGGCCAGGCTCCGATGAGTACCACTGCCAGACACAAGCTCAGGCGTCACGACTGCAGCAACGATAGTGTACTTCCATGTCCTCCAGGCGTAACCGCGGCCGAATGTGGATGAATGTGCGAACCGTCCGCCGGGGCTGACTGGAGAGCGTGTCGCATGATGGTGCAACAAGATCACACGTGAGAGGCGATGCTGACTGGGCCTCGCACACGACCTGCGACCATCAGTAATCCTTCGTGCCGTGCACCACCAGTTCGGCGTTTTCCCACTTCTCCACTACGGACTGGACCACTGCTAGCTGGCTGCCTACTGTATGGGGCCAAGAGCTCGCAGATAATGTAGGTGCAACTCCGGGACTCATCGTTATCCTGATGAGAGTACGCCAGGCATTGGCCTCAACACGTATCCACCGCCGCGTCACCGACTGTTCGGGCTGGAGTTCGGCAGCGAAACTTCGCAAGACGGTCAAAGATGCCTAAGGTGATTAGAAGATCGGTGAGGATGACATCTCGAACAGTGGCCCAATTGTGCTGCAGTCACAGCTGCACCCTTCGGGCAAACCCAAGGAGCCGGATATACAGTGACTGCTATGGCCGTTGACAGACCCGCATTGCCTGTGAGTAATGGATACTACTGCTGTCCACCTATTTCCAAGGAAAGACACCGTCCGATGCACGAGACATCGCTGATCGAAATCGAGGCCTTGTCTGTGCACGGGAACAGAGGAAGATGTACCACGGGAGAACTGCCTGCGCAAGCAGGAGCATGCGAAGTCACAGCTCGTTTAAACAAGGAACATCGAAAAAACCTCGCAGATCAGCGACAACTGAGCACATGGACAATCACTCAAGCCACTCAATTGTTCAAGCGGATCTGCCTCCGTCAAGCTCTCGTCCTACTCATCCAATGATGACTACGGGTCCCTCGCAAATCTATCCACATGTCGTTCTGTCTGCCGACGCAACGCGATGCAGCGCCATCTCGCTAAATCCAGGCATTGTCCATCTCTTCCCCCTTCTCATATATGCACAGTCAAGCAAACCACAAATCGAAAAAGCAAGGCATTCCAGAATCCCGCCAGTGGATGAAGCAAGTGAGGGCAATTCCGCGTATCGTCTCTCATCATATACAAAGTCTGGAAGTCTTGCGAAACTCGCGAGCAAGCCCGAGGCTGCCATGCACTCGTGCGTCTTGTCTGCCTCACACAGCGCCGGACAAGCCGCCTCGGAACCTGGCGAGAGACAACGGATTGCTTCAAATGACAGACCGAAAGGATTCCAAGTCCCGTCAGACGCCTCAGGATCGTTCTCTAATAATAATGGTGATGCTTCTCCGGACTACACACCACACACCACACATCACACTGTATTGTTTTGCCTCGCGAGAATTGAGACCGAAGTCTTGATGTTTCAAAAATGCCTTGCTCGCCTCGTCTCCTGATGAGCTTGTTAGTTCCCTGGTCATATCCCGAAGAGCTCGCGTTCTCATCGTTTAGAGGCGTACGTAAGTCGTGACCCTGTGGTGTCTCGCTTCGACACCTTAGGCGAACTCCATCTCGCAGTAGATAGGTGTGAACGCGAAGCAAAGCCCGTGAAAGAGCCTTGTAGCAGAAGGGGTTCAACGATTCACAGCAAGACCGTGGTGGAAGCATATCTCGTTGCCTCGTCCAAAACGCGAGCCCGGCCAGAACGCGAAGGCGAAGGCGAAGCCCCATCGATCAATCAAACGCCTACCCTCCAGTCCTTAACGTTGCCTTTCAACGGGAAGACCGAATTCGCACATTGGGCCCCAGAAGAAATCGCGAAACTTAAGCCCAACAACGGACTTGGGAACTGCCACTTGCAGTAACTGGTGGTGGCTGCATCCAACCTTGGTCCATCCATCATATACCGACGATCTCGCCTCCTTCGCTCGCTTTCGAATCAAGGATGAACAGCACGCTCCACACGATGCCTTTCCTCAACGCAGACGACCACATCCTCCATCAAGATAGCCTGGCTCTCGAGGGATCGACGACGTACTGGACTGACATGGAGACCCACCAACACCACCAGGCTCTCCTGGACCCATCGTATCTCGACCCGGAGACCGTCATGCACGCCAGCGAAGCCCTCATGCGTCTCTCCGAGCAAGACCTGAATATCGAGCCGACGCTTCGCTCGCTTCATGTCGACGACACTGCCACTGCCAACTATGCTGCAAGCAACAACGACTTCAATCCCCCGGAAATAGACTACGCAACGCACGCAGGACCGGGTCATGTGGATGCGAACGACGTCCAGCAGCACCAGCTTCCTCCGAGAGAGCCTTGGGACGCCGCGAAGATTCGGCTGTGGAGGGAGCAGTTCGGTCTTGCGAATGTGCACGCGGGTCGATGGTCGGGGACTGGAGCTGGGACTGCGGAGGGTTCTGGTCATCGAAGTACGGGGTCAAGGGCGAGGAAGACGAGTACGGTTTCGAAGGCGGGCTCGGCGTCGACGGGGGGAGTTGCGAGACGGGCGTTGAGTAAGGTCGCTTAGGGAGTGGAAGAAAGGGGGTTCGAGTGCAAGGGAAGGACTTCTCGTCTGGCTATACGAGCTCGACAGACACAGTCGCCCTATCAAAAGCGTCTTCCTACCCGGACGAACCCAGCCAGGATGCCTGAGCGAACACGAACACGAACTCACAAACACAAACATCCTTGCCAGAAGAAGACCGCGCCACTCAAAATCCCCTTCCCTCCGTTCCTCACTGGCGTGGCATGATACGAATACGCATCGTCGGCCCAACGTGAAATTAGAAGCGAGAGAGAGGTATTCGCCGTCTGCCTTTCACCCGGCCGTGCACGCCATGACGTTCAAGTATGGAAAACCTTTCAGCCTCAAGGTTATACCGGGTGGTATGTCGCCGGAAGGGATTGGAGGGGGTGAGGGATGTTGGCGAGGACGATAGATGTATATCGTGGGCAGGGCTTAGGCGATGAGGAAGACCTAGATATGAGGAGTATTGTTGCTTGCGGTACATGTGTGTAGGATTATATGTATCGATAGCATGGATTCAATCAATGAATATGAATTGATACTGGAACTTATTCATCGTTTGAACAGAAAATGCCACGCAGGGTATTATCCAACCAACCATCTCGATTCAAAAAGGCCCGCTGAAACGCTCACAAGCAATCATGACGGTCATCAGCATGCCCATACCCCTTCACATTTCTACTTCCTCGCACCCTTGGCGCCCCTCGCAATCAACTTCTGCCTCATCTGCCGCAACGCCAGATCCCAACCCTCAACACCATCTCCCACCAACGTCCTCAAGAACTCCGTCATATTCTTCTCGTTGTACTGCTCCCCATACACGACCTCCACACTCGGCTTCACCGCACACTGGACTTTCAGGTCCTCATCGACGTGGACGTCCAGCTCAAACGTCGCTCGCACTTTGCTTCGCACTTTGGTCAGCAGGACGCTGGACGTGATCGCGAGCTGCTCGTCTGAGACAATTCTCGACTCGGTCAGTGCCTCTAGGTTGAGTCTACGCTCGCATTCCGCGGCTTGCGCGGCGGTGGCCCAGCCGTTGCTCACGAATGCGAGCAGATCGGAGATTTTGGTCGAGTACTGCGGAATACCGTGCAGGGAGGCTCGGAGAAGCTGCAGGAAGAAGCGTAGGGTGGTCGTCAGGGGCTTCTTATTCGTATCCGCGATGTATGTGAGACGTATGGGGCCGTTGGGCGCCTCTTCTCCATCGTCATCAGATCGCTTAAAGGACTGTGGATGGAAGAACAGCTGCAGCTCGGACTTGTAGCTCATTGTCACGGTCGACGGGTAGGATGAGGCTGAGGTGATGATCCAGCCGAATTCATCCTGGAGATGTTTGACAGAGTCTGTAACGTGGTCAGTGACAGTCTTTCGACAATGCAGTCTGCATCTTACCTCTCAGCGCCGTCACTTCATTCAACGACACGCCACGACAAGCTTCTCGCACGCGGTTCGCCTCCTGGATAGCCGCAGTGAACTCCTCCTTGCTCTCCTGTAAATGTTCTGCGGCTGAGTCTTGTTCCTCGACTTCTTTCCGTAATCTGTCCAGGACACGCTGCCTCTCGATAAGCTCAGAATTGACGCCAGTCAGAGTCTCTCTGGTGGCTTTCAATTCCCCCTTTTCTTCTTCAGAGACGGAAGATACACTCTCCTCCAAACGATCAGCTTCTTGCTGCAGTTTGTTCCGCTGTTCGATGAGACCCGGAAGAACCTGATCGAGTATCTCCTCTGACCGCCCCAGAGTATCATCGTCCTGGATGAGTCCTTCGGCAATGGATTGAAGACCAGTCATAAGTTCGTCCAGTAACTGGCTACGCCATCCGTACCACATGCCTTTACTTCCCAACCTAGCATCAGTCTTCAAGTCCCTCATTTGCGTGTCGAGCGCGGCCTTTCTGTCTGGAGCGGCAGACATGTATGCCTGTATTAGCGGTGGTTGTTGCTTCAACACTCTATTCTCCAGTTTCGAGATCATCTGCTTCCCCTCTTTGGTGTATCTCTTCAGCTCGTGACAAGCATGTTGATACAGCTCAAGCTCGGGCACTGTGCAAGCGGCGGCAACAACACCGCTCTCGAGAGTGATATCTTCGTCGTCATCAAGGCCAGCTTTGGCTTTAGAGGGTGTGGGCATAACCGTTAGTCTTCGCTTCGTGGTGGTAAGATCCATGAAGCGAATGCCAGATTTGTCAAGAAACTCCTGGAGACCAACTTTCTCAGTCTCCTGACCGTTTGCCTTGATTCTATCTAGGTCTTCGTTAAGGCGCCTGACTGGGGACGGCAGTACTGCCGTTGAATCTTTGGCCTTGGGAGTGGGCCGACTTCTAGGCGTGCTTGCTGTGATTGGGGAGAGTTGCTTCACGGTTGCTTGCTTTCTGGGAGTGGCGGTTTTCAGCGGCTCCTTCCTGGGCGTCGTCAACAGCTTCATTGAGTTGGTCAAATCTCTGGTGTCTTCTGCAACATTCAGTCTCTCGGGAGTGGCTGCTTGCGCTTTCACCGGAGAGCTACGCTGCTGCTTGGCAGCAGTCGGTGACTGGTCAGGCGCTTGTAATTGAAAGTCCAACTGGCGCTGGTGCTCGCGACGCTTGAGACTAGACATGGGAGTCCTTATGGGTGACGACTGTGGATCGGTTGGTGGCAACTGAGGGTACGACACATCGTCCTTGAGGGGCGATGTCTTCGGCTCGCTCTTAACGGACGATGCTCGTGGTGAAGGCTCCTGGGGAGTGGCTTGACGTCTGGGAGACAGCGACGCCCTTGACTTTCCAGAAGCTGTCTGCTTCTCACTCGATCGTTGCAGAATCGGCGTAAGCAGCTTCTTAGCACCCAAGTCCGGCGTGTCTTTAAATCGCTCTTGACCCTTGGGGGTGGTGTTGACTGCCGATGGAGCTGGAGATGGAGCGTCCTGAGGAGTTGCTGGTCGGTCCTCGTTCACTGACGCTGGTTGCTCTGCTGATTTGATTCCGCCCAACACAGTTGTGAGTTCCATCGAGAGCTCCTCATTGCCGTCAAGACTGTTATCCACATCGCTCTTGGAAGTCCTGATGCCTCCCACTGCTCGAGTCAAGTCCATAGTGGCCTCTTCTTGGTCCGAGATGGCACCGGAAGACCTTCGATTTCTCAAGCTTCTTCGTCGACCACTCTTGTTTGGCGAAGCCGTCTTCTGGATGCCACCGACTGCCATCGTAAGATCCATCGTGTCGTCACCCATAGAAGACCTTGCCACTGACGAACGTCGCCGTTTTGGTTGTAGTGCCAATCCAGCACCACCGGGCGAGCCCGAGTCAGTGGTGGATCGTGGTCTCTTCTGGCTCGTAATCTTTCCAACAGCCTGCGTCAGGTCCATTGTCCCATCACTCATGGGAGAGCTGGCTGGTTGAGGAGGTCGAGCCTTTAGTATACCGCCTACCGCCTTCGTCACATCCATACTCATATCTTCTTCATCTTCCTCGTCAATTGTCTCTGGCCGATTTTCAACATCCGCTTTGAATGCTGGCGAGAACGGGTTCACGTTCTCCTGGTCGAGAGACGCAGAACCTGGCGCATCGCTTGGCTGTCGCTGCGCCCATGGCTTGAAGGCATTCGTAACCTCTTCTGACACCAATTCCATGGACGTCTCTCCATATTCGTCATACTCGATTCCTCGAGTGCCAGCCATTTGCGCTGCTTGCTTCAAAGCAGCCTCCAATCGTGCGCTCGAGCCAGTGCTGTTGTCGCTCTCGGCAGATGATTGCATCGTGGCATCGTCCGCGTCCAGACTCATTGCTGTTCCCGTGTCATCGCCAGACTCCTCTCCTTCGCTTTCCGATCCTTCGCTGCCGTCGCTCATTCCACTTGAGTACGCATCTTCAGGATTGTTGAAGTTCATGGGAGGAATCCCTGAGCTGCGGCGATTCTTGAGCTTCGCCCTCCCGTCTGATTGCGAAGCTGGAGGAGATAGCAACTCCGCATCCTCGGCCTCTTGTTCCTCGTCGAAGCGGGCCCTCGGCGAACTTGAGAAACGACCAAAGCTCGATGCATGCCCGGTGCTCTCTGTGTCATCTGTTGAAGTCGTGTGATTCTTGTCGTATTCCACAATGTCCCATGTATGCAATGTAGCCTCCGGCGCAAAAGACACCCTTCGGTTCATCATGGACTTGCGACGTGCCGTCCTTTCCGACTCTTCATTTTTGGCCAGGATAGATTTCGTAGCGGGCACAAATGCTGACTTTCTTCTGTCTTTTGCCTTTTGCTTGGGTTGCTCAGGCTCCTCCAGCGATCCAGGACCAATGCTCTTGCTTCTCCCCCGCCGCGCAGTTTTCTTAGGCGACAATGATGTATCTTTTCGCTGCAGTGGATCGCTCGATGTCGCAGGCGCAACATTCTCCTTGTTGCCTGCGGTCTCCATAGCTGCGACTGCGCAATGCGCTGCGACGTGTGGGCGTAGTATGGGTTGTAAGGTGATGTGGTTGCAGTGTGAGACGCGACTGCCAAACACAAATAAACAAAGCGCAGCTAGCGCGAAAGCACCTGTTTCTGCCTCAGGCCAGCCGGCAGCATCCGCCGCTGCCCACACGGCTTGGCACACATTTCGCTAGAGGCTAGAGAGACTTCAGAACTTCGACCTGACCGAACAGCGCTCGCTGCAGCAAACCACACCACCCGCCGCCGTCCCCGACAACCGATTGCACCCAGCACCGCAATCATGGCGACCGAATTGACTGTCCAGAGCGAGCGCGCTTTCCAAAAGCAGCCGCACATCTTCCTCAACTCCAAGCGCCAGAGCGGCAAGAGCAAGAGAGTCGGAAAGGGTGGCCGGAGATGGTACAAGGACGTCGGTCTGGGTTTCAGGACCCCCAAGACCGCCATTGAGGGCTCGTACATCGGTATGTGATGCCCTCGACAGAAGGAGATGCGATTATGGAGAGGAGGCACACGTGATGGGGAAAACATCGATAATTCTGGGCGGGATATGGAGGATCAGAGAGACTAACAGCGTGTTATTACAGACAAAAAGTGCCCGTTCACCGGTCTCGTCTCGATCCGTGGCCGTATCCTCACTGGCACCGTCGTCTCCACCAAGATGCACCGTACTCTCATCATCCGCCGCGAGTACCTCCACTTCATCCCCAAGTACTCCCGTTACGAGAAGCGCCACAAGAACCTCGCTGCCCACGTCTCCCCAGCTTTCCGTGTTGAGGAGGGTGACCAGGTTACCGTTGGCCAGTGCCGGCCGCTCAGCAAGACTGTACGAACAATCATCAACGAGAAGGCGAAGTTATCGCGCTAATAATCTTGCAGGTCCGCTTCAACGTCCTGCGTGTTCTGCCAAGAACCGGCAAGGCCGTCAAGTCGTTCAGCAAGTTCTAAGCAAATGCCGATGGAGATGAAGACTTGCTTTGGGGGTGACTTGGTTGCGGGATGGATGGAATGAAAACATCAAGAAGCGACTGCATCCTGAAATGGCGTTTGGGCAGAAAGTAGGCCGTGGGTTTGTGTGGTATTGCGGAAAAGATGCAGCACACCCAGCCTAGTACGATTGTAGCTCGGCGTAGCAAGATCCAAATGCGAACAGTTCATGCAAAGACGATATATCAGTCCGAAGTCCGCCTGCGTGTTACTTCTTACAATAACCACATGGGACACGGGCAACCACACATGCTGGGAAGCGGAACCACATCGCGTAGTCCAGTTGAAATGCGAACGAAATCGTAAGCATGTCTTTTAATATCCTCTGCTTGTTTCTCAAAACCTCAAATTAAGCAGACAGGTCGTCGCTCGCTTTCCCTCCCCTCCATCTAGAGTTGTGTTGCATTCGTGCGCCTCATAACGCCATCGATTCATGATCCCATTGATGCCTCACGTCCATCGCTTCATCCAAGGATTCGTGCTGCCCCATAATCTTGCCTCACTGTTACCTCTTCCTCTCAAAATATCCACTCGAGCTCATGATGGCCACGCTCTGATCCATGATCGTCTCGCCGACCCAGAGATAATTCTCAATCCACTTCTTGACACTGGGTGATTCGCTCAAGGATTCGGATTTGAGGCTAGGACTGAGGTGTCAGGATGGCACATGTCAGGTTACCATGTTCTTTGTATCTATCAGGGTGATTGCGAGGAGGGAGGGGATGTGATGTGTATACATGGTGTTGTATGGGCAGACGTACGTAAGACCTGTTGATCGCTTGACGCCAGCGAGGAAGGCGGAGAGCAGGACTGCGTCGAAGGTGAAGTGGGCTAGGCGACCGAGCTGGCGGAAGATTAGAACCATGTCTGGGGTTGTTTGCGGTGTTGATGGCGGTGGTGTCAACGTACGACCATGGTGGAATGAGATTCGTGGCGCCAGGCGCCTTGCTATGGTGTTTTGCCGGCAGAGGGAGAGAGCTCCTTGCTATGTTCGGGGATGCGCGACCTGCGAGCGTGGAGAGGACGTGGTCGTACTGTATCACCTGATGTCGTTGCTGTGAAGACGCTGAGGCGGCGTTGGCGTGTGGAGTCAACACGTGAAGCACGATTTCATTGAGGCTAATGGAATATTGATTGAAAGATCAAGCGGAGCACGCGCTGACTAGTTCCGCAGGGTCATTTGAGCGGGGAGGTGTGGCCGAAAAGTCAATTTGTTTTGCGGCTTATCTGCTCCCAGCGAACGTGGCTCAACGTCACTTTGTCACACCTGCGTGGGCGGACGAGCTCGGCGGCTTGGGAGGAAGAGTGATGCTCCAATGAACGGAGCACGCGGGAGGCAGACACCGAAACGTCGGGCAATTTGATGGTGTCAATCGTGGACGGAGGCCACGGCGTTGATGATTGCTGCTGCTGGCCGGGCGGGCGTTGGCGGTGGTGGGGGCGCGAACGTGTGGTTGAGGAGCTCGTCACCCTGCAGAAGGGCCGTATACACATCCGTCGCCCAGAATAATCTCTGTTATTTCACCGCCAATACTCCTGCGCCCTCCTCATCCTACCTCCTTCCGCTCTCCTCACTCCTGTTGCACGACACTCTCGTTGTCCTCTCTGTTCACAGGACGGACTCCGTACATCTTCCCCGACGGCACGGTCTGCCCCACTACCAAGATTACCTGCGCTTGCTGCTAGCTGTGAGAAAAAGTCCGACACTGAAGAGCTTCTGCTCCCTGGCAACCACGTCCTGACCTCCTCTCGCAGCACCGCAACAGATACAATGGGTGACTCTCTCATCCACCAGGAGTATGGCCGCACCCGTGTGCAATGGCTGGCCTCGCTCAACACCGAGTACCACCCGCCGACCCAGTTTCGCCGGACCAGCATCATCTGCACCATTGGTATGCAGCATGGAAGTAAACACATGCAGAAGACATGCTAATGATTGAGATCAGGCCCCAAGACCAACTCGGCAGAGAAGATCAACATGCTCCGCACCGCCGGTCTCAACGTCGTCCGCATGAACTTCTCCCACGGCAGCTACGAGTACCACCAGTCGGTCATTGACAACGCCCGCAAGGCAGAGAAGGAGCAGGCAGGTCGTCCAGTTGCTATTGCTCTGGACACCAAGGGCCCAGAGATCCGAACTGGCAACACGCCTGGTGACGAGGACATCCCCATCTCCGCCGGCAGCGAGATCAACATCACCACCGATGACAAGTATGCCACCGCCAGCGACAACAAGAACATGTACGTCGACTACAAGAACATCACCAAGGTCATTGAGAAGGGACGTACCATCTACGTCGACGACGGTGTCCTCGCATTTGAGGTGCTGGAGGTGACCGACGACAAGACGCTCAAGTGCAAGGCGATCAACAATGGCAAGATCAGCAGCAAGAAGGGTGTCAACCTTCCCAAGACGGACGTTGATCTGCCAGCTCTGTCAGAGAAGGACAAGGCCGACTTGAGGTTTGGTGTCAAGAACCGGGTCGACATGGTCTTCGCCAGCTTCATCCGCCGCGCTGAGGACATCACCGCCATCCGCGAAGTTCTCGGCGACGAGGGCAAGGACATCCAGATCATTGCCAAGATTGAGAACCAGCAGGGTGTCAACAACTTCGACGAGATCCTCAAGGTCACTGACGGCGTCATGGTTGCTCGTGGTGACTTGGGCATTGAGATCCCACCAGCTCAGGTTTTCATTGCCCAAAAGATGATGATCACGAAGTGCAACATTGCCGGCAAGCCCGTCATTTGCGCAACTCAGATGCTGGAGAGCATGACCTACAACCCACGCCCAACGCGTGCCGAAGTCAGCGACGTTGGCAACGCTGTGCTGGATGGTGCCGACTGCGTCATGCTTTCAGGAGAGACCGCCAAGGGCAACTACCCCAAGGAGGCTGTCACCATGATGCACGAGACGTGCTTGCTTGCGGAGATAGCAATTCCGTACGTCAACGCCTACGACGAGCTCAAGCAGCTCGCCCCACGACCTGTGCCAACCACGGAGAACTGCGCCATGGCTGCTGTGTCTGCATCCCTCGAGCAGAATGCTGGTGCCATTCTCGTCCTGACCACCTCGTAAGTGTCCCAATCATCTCGAGAGAGAGCAAAAGCTGACATTTCTCTTCGCAGGGGTAACACTGCCCGTCTCATCTCCAAATACCGCCCAGTCTGCCCCATCATCATGGTCACCCGAAACGGCGCCGCCTCCCGCTACTCTCACCTCTACCGCGGCGTATACCCCTTCCACTACGACGTCGAGAAGCCCGACTTCAAGGCCACCCCATGGCAAGAGGACGTGGACAACCGACTGAAGTGGGGAATCAAGAACGCCATCCGTCTTGGCGTGCTCAAGAAGGGCGCCGCAGTCATTTGCGTTCAGGGCTGGCGAGGCGGCATGGGCCACACCAACACCCTGCGTGTGGTGCCCGCCGAGGACGATCTGGGACTGGACCAGAATGCTTAGGCGGCGTTTGCGAGCAGATCAGCTACGCCCATGCTCCTGACCGCTGCGGCTCCTGCTGCGTAGAGGTTGGCTTGAGCTTGAAGCCACGGGGAGAAAAAGCACGAGAGACGCCTGATGATAGACTTACTTCTGAAGTACGGCAGGCTAGGGGCACATACGATAGATCGGGCGTGTGGTGGGGAAATGCGGTCGATGTGAGGCGCCAATGGGGAAAGGAAAGGAAAGGAAAGCATGTGTGAACACTATGGTAATATGCCTTTGCTCTTTCCTTCCACACCCTTTCAACTTCTTAGCTTGGCTCTGATAGGGAAATGATACCAAAGTTCATGATGAAATATTCTTGTTCTTTTCCATTCCATGTCCTAGTTGATCGATAGGTCTCTAGTGCTGCCCCTGGCTCATCTTCTCGTGTTGCCCACCCCCTCTTAGCCCGCGAAATGAGCAAAACCCCACCGTCTCGACTTCATCACCTCTGTGCGTCTCCTCTCTGCAGTCAGATCTATGTGGGTCTCTGGCCTTCGAGTCTGACAGCATCTCCCTCTCTCGTCCTCTTCACTTCCATTACACCACGAGCTACGACTACCAGCGACGACAGAGCACCTCCCCCGAACGACAACCCTCGTCAAACGTCCCATCCTAACACATCGACCCGCCTGCGAACCGTTTGACCCTGCTGCTGCTGCTGCGGCCCAGCGAAGGCACCACCGGGTCCTATACTCAACCACTCTCTCGCGAGTCGTCCGATGTTTGGGACGTTGTTTCCTCGCTGTCGTGCTGATACTCCGAGTTCTGCTCCTCCTCTGCCTCCCGCGCTCGCTGGTCCTGCTCCCGCTGTCTGCGTGCTTGCTGCTCCCTCTCGCGGATTTCGCGCCGATGTCGACGTTCCTTCTTTCGGGCTTTCTTGTTTGCGACTGCCCGTTTGGCCTTCTTGCTTTGGGCCGGCTGACCCGTTTGTTTGAAGAACGCCATTTGCTCTGCGTGGTTGATCAGCATGTGCGGTGGTAGTGTCGGGCTCTGATGGCGAGGGGTCTCGCGTTCGGTCATTCGCACCGATTGTGTCCATGTGTCCTTTCCTCTTGGCGGCTTTCAGGGGCCGGAATCGCATGTCGAGAGGCTGCGTGGTGTCGTCGTCCGGGAAGGCGTCTTGGACCGCCGCGGTGAAATTTTCGATTGTGAGGGCGTGGTCGTTTTTGACATTCTTCCCAGACCTGGTCTTGTGGTTGATTCTATACGTGTGGAAGACCTTTTCGAAAGGGACGTCTCCCGAGGGGTCTGGATGATAGAATTCCTTCACCCTGGAGAGCTCGTTAGAGACGGATGGCGAAAGCTCTCGGCTGGGTGGACTTACCAGTCTCGTCGTTTGTAGTGCCATGTGCGTTCTCGGCGGACTTCGCGATAGCGTTCGTCAGGGTGTTGCTCTCTCGGAGGCTCATGGGTTCCAACGGGGCGGTCGTCATACGCATCCTTGGCAGGACGAGAGGGGGGTTCTGCCATTTGGGTGCCTGGTGTTACGCTACGATGAGAGGATGTTGGTGGTCGAGATTCCTCAGGCTTATTCAGGTTGTCATTGCGGGAGACATGGCCGTTTGGATTGTCTGCTCTTGGTTCCCGTGGAGAAGAGTGAGGCGGTGCCCCCGACTTGCGCCGCCCTACCATGGGCACATTGGGAAACGGCGAGGCTCTTGCCGACCTGTCCACAGAAAGCTGCGATTGAGGTATAGAGGTTCGGGATGGCGTTTGCATCGCTCGTGGGCCAGTCGGTGGTGACATAGCATTGCCATTCACCGCTGGGCGCCTCGGCGATTCCTCGCCGGTCTGTGTCGTCGTCCATACTCCAGATGGAGACCGGCCTGCAATAGATCGCCGCGGAGATTGGTCAATCGTTCTGTCAGGCATCACCTGTGACGAAGGTCGTCGTTGCGGCGAGTGTGCAGAAGACGGCCGTTTCTCTCGAAGGCTCCACGGCGGTCGCGATCCCGAACCGTCGTAGATCGTTGCCGCGTCATCGCCGTGCAAGCGTCGAGGTGAACGTCTCTCAAATCGGGATGACTGATCTTGGGATCTTGTTTGACTAGGTCTGGTAGGCTGCGATCTGGCCGGCGATGAGAACTCCGCCAGGTACGACCGTGGCCCTCGTGAAGGGTGTCCAGCGTCGTCTCGCATAGCAGATCTCTCCCAGGAGCCGTGGTCTTCTCGAGACGACCGTGGTCCTCGTGGAGGGTGAATAGGGCCGTCTCGCCTAGCAGATCTCTCCCAAGAGTGGAGGTTTTCTTGAGATGATCGTGGTCCTCGTGGAGGGGGAGTAGGGTCGTGCGGCCTAGCAGATCTCTCCCAGGAGCCGTATTCTTCTCGAGATGCAGAGCCAGCTGGCTTTGGTGGCGGTGGATTTCTCAGCGTAGCCGCAGACGCCACCGTTCTCGCTGTTGGCATAGCACGTGGAGGTGCAACTCGCAGTTCATCCTGCTGCGATCCACGAACCACGCTCTCGAAGGAGCTATCAGGTGGAAGCTCCACTGCTCTTGCTGGCGGCGATGAACCCCATTGAGAAGGCCCAAATTCTTTGACCGAATCTGAGTCATCTTCAGATTCTTCTCCACTCGAGTCAACCTCATCATCAGGCACAGCTTCTGCAGTATCTGTGGCTTGGGACATTCGCAGACTTTCAGGGGCATTCTTCATAAGAGCATTCCACTTGGTGAGCAACTCGATGGGAACGTTTGGGGACGGAAACGACTGTCCAGGCATCGACGGTAACCAGGAATCCTTTCGATCCAGGAGGTTCCACTGATTGACCGGTATCTTCCTTCGACCGTATGGAACACTTGCATTCCCGCTTGATCTCAACGAGGCTTGCGTTTGCTTAGGCGGCGGTTGCGCCGAAGGAGGCGCCGTACTTGACAAGTTTGGTGTGTCTTTCCCTAAGGCCGTAATTGTACGGCTAGCGCCGTCATCCCCCTGGATAACGTTCGACGGACTCTCAGCGACGACGACAGGGCTGCGATGCAACGGCGGAGATTCTTCTCTCGAGCGTTTCCCTCCAGTCCTCCCACCGAGCAAGCCGAGAACGTGGTCACTTTGCGCATTGGGGGCCAGTGCACTTCTGCCTGCGTTAGTGTCTGGCGCATTGTTGGAAGCTACCTGCAATGGGCGATCAAGATTGAGGCCAGATTCGACTTCGAAGCCATCTCTGTCTAGGTTTGGTCCGGCCTTCTTTCTACTCATGACCCGTTGGGTCTGAATTGCCCAGTTTGAAATCTGGTTATCGTTGATGCGTGAAGCGGGCGAACTCTTGGGTGCCGAATCTCTGGCACTTGCCGCCTTAGTTGGCAGTCTGGTAGGCTTATGGAGTTGTTGACTGATGGTTGACCTCGGTGAGTCGAATGCTGGTTTGTCCAATCCTGCTGGCTCGAAGTCGTGTGGGTCACTGGATGGCAAGCCTGCGCATCGTATCTTTCTGATGTCGTCAAGAAGAATCTGAATGTTTTCGTTCTCTTCGATTGGTGACGGCTGGCCTTCGCTGCGTCGGAGGTGATGCTCATATTCGATTCCATCAATGTAAAGCTGGATAAATCCGTCCGGAGTACCCAGAGGGGTACTTATGACAGTGAGCAATGCTGGCTGAAAAACATCGTTCAACATGTCCTTGGTAAACTTTGCCCCAGCTTCATCCTCCAACACAGCAACAGCGTCTTGCGATAGACGCGCTTTGATTCGCGTATGTCCATCCGAGACAACCACTGTAGGTTGCTGTTTGGCCAATATTACCTTAAACGCGTTAGTCGTGTCCCTTTTGACTTCACTTTGTGTTATAATACCTCGATGAGTTGAAGCGAGCAGTGAGTGGGCAGATCAGTCGCCACACTCCGAAAATTGCTTCCATCGTCGTCGAATCGCGAGTCGGGGTCAGGCTTGATGTTGTCGCTGAGCGTCCTCTTCCAGTCTATGACCTGTCTAATCTCCGCCGAGACGAAATCTGCGAGCCATGGTGTAGGTGATTTCTTCACCATCTTGTCGGTGTTGTTGTAGTGGGTAGAGCATTGCTGAATTGGAGAGCTCTATGGAGTGAGCAGTGTTCTGGGTGTCTGAAAGTGAGAGGAGAGCAGCAAGTAAACATTACTGTTGTTGTATGGGTTGTCGAACGAAGCGAAGTGGAGTCAAAGTGAACGGGTAGACGCGATTTCGGAACGCTGCCGAGTGCTCATGCCTGAGGCATCCACAGTGTCCCGACGTCAGCGCTCGAATGACAGGCAAGGGTGGTACATGCACTGCAAGTCACTGCAGTCGCCATGCAGGCTTGGAGAGACAGCGGAACCCGACAGAAGCACATCCAAACCCTCTGACACTCACCCGACTGTCGATTACGCCTCATTCACGACGGCAACCCACCTGATCGCTCGCGGGGATATGAACTAGACATCGTCACTACTATTCTCTACCGACTTGCCCTCGACATGTCCGCGGCCCTGCCAGCACCACCAGCCAGCAAGCATGGCACCCGAGTCGTCGTCGCCCGCCGCTTCCACCACCTTTCTGCCCTTCCTGAACGGTAGGTCACGTAGGGGCTCCTTGGCCTCCATTACTTCTCGCCACGGCGCTGGCGTGGACAAGGACGTGCTCGCTCAAGCTTTGGACGACATCCATACTGAGGCGTCCAAGTCAGAGACGCTCACCTCTTTCCACGACTTCGATGGCGAGGGCGGTCGCGGCACAAAAGAGATTGTTAGCAATGGGGTGAGTGGCATTTACAATCGTTTGAAGCAGTCTGTGGGAGGTGGTACTCCACAGGGCAAAGAGTCCAAGAGCAGGCCCAAGAGCAGTGCATCCAAGGATTCCCTGGAGACAGAATCGCAACAATCTACATCTCCAGCCGCTTCACGTACAGGCCTCACGGTCTCCACGAAAAAGCCCACTCCGGACGCTGCTTCGGTTGCTACCACCACTTCACCAATAACACGCACATTCACAAATGGCGACGATGCAGGCGACAGTACCCAACCAGGGCCGAAACTCCACACGGCCGATGGTCAGCCCATTCCATCGTTCACGTCTGAACAAAGCCATAAGCGGCCTTTTGAGGAGTTGTCGGGCATCAGAACAGCCAAAGCCCATCAGGTTACGGCAACCAAGCAAGACCTGGACATGGTACTCAGTCCCCGGAAAGAGGTCGACAGTAAGGACATGACAGCCGATACTTTGGCCAAAGTTCTGTCAAATCGCGATGCTCCCGCCATTGACAAAGCTAAATTAACGCGTGGGTCCCGCTTGCAAGACGAGGATTTGGAGCAAGCTATTGACGACTCGGACTATGCTGATGGCCCTGAGGACCCCTTGCCTGCCCCCAAAGCAGCGAAAGTGAACGGCAATTCGGGTGTGCAGAGCGACGATGTGAACGAGCCCATGGATGCCCAACGCCCTCCTATGCCTCGGGTTGGTGTCTCACACCTGCCTGGCTTCGATCCATCAAGAGCGTCGTCGACTACAGGCGGCGCCGACACCGATTCGATTTCCAGCTCACACACTGCTGCTACCCACAGACCAGCCTTAGAACAGCCTCCGAATCTGAACACTGGACTGCAGAGAAGGAGAACTTTCAAGGCGCCGCCAGGCTCCTCGCAAGCGCTTAGCGTACCATCAAATTTGAGACGAAAGGTGCTCAGCAAAGAATTCTGGATGAAGGACGATAACGCCAGAGTATGTTTCGCCTGTGGCCAAACCTTTTCAACGTTCCGCCGTAAGCATCACTGTAGAACTTGCGGGCAGATTTTCGACGCCAGATGCACCAATCTTGTGCCAGGAAAGCCTTTCGGCCAGGTCGAGCGGGTACGGCTTTGCAAACCCTGTGAAGAGATCATATTTGGTAGCGACGATGACTCGACAGTCTTCTCAGAGGAAGACGATTATATGCGCAGCCCGCTCGTTCAACGCTTCTCTGAAGAAGAGGACGAGGTCCCGGGGCAGCTTGATGGACCTGGCTTTAGCAGAACAGATACCGAAGTAACAACACCATCAATTGGGATCCCAGCCTCTCGACGCAACCGTGAAGCCAAACGCCGTTCTGCGGTGATTGAGTTCGATAGCCAACCGGCGTTGGCACGTCCTAGTTCCGCACACTCGTTGGCCTCGCTAAGCCGGCGTCCAAGATCATCAAGCCATCGACGGAGGCACTCTCGCCATCAGCCCATACGAGGCCTGCGGTCCAGTATGGATGAACGTGGACCGTTTCATTGCGAGGGTGATCCGGACAAGAAATCGTCCTTGCCGAACTTTCACAATGACAATATCATTGACCCGGATCTCGCTGCATTTCTCTCTGACGACGGGTCTGAGGACGACGAGTCACCTAACATAATGTCTGCAGTGACTGATGGTCATACCGCGTCTCCAGGCGACCGTGAAAGACTTGGTTTCGGTGGTTTCCTGTCATCGGCTCTGAGAACGGGCCGATCCAAGACTGGCGACAAGAGCATGGCTCCATCCAGCACACGGGGGATCAGAGAGGACGAGATACTCGCTTATGGATCGAAACAAATCCCCAGAGTCACCAGGTCACGCAACCTCAGTAACGGCTCCATGTCACACGGACGGCCATCGCCTCGACGCAGCCGAAGCAATCTCCTCTTAGCCACTGACGAGCTTGATTATCGCCCTTCATCACCGCTCGTAGCCCCGAACAAGTCCTCTGCAAAGGTAGTCTGCAGTTCGGCACTGTACAGTCTTCACAGCAGGGAGAAGGATGATCTCGACCTTTATCCAGCCAGCTACGCGCACGTGAAACAGTTGCTCGCTCAACTACTGCGTGATGCCAACATTGCTCATGCGCTGGCCTGGGAGAAAGCATTGATGCCAATCATCATGCAATGCACTGATGACGTTGATCCAGACGTACAACAGGGCGATGACATGGACATTCGGCATTACATCAAGCTCAAAAAGGTGCCTAGTGGGAGACCTGGTGACACGAGCTATGTCTCTGGTATCGTTTTTAGCAAGAACGTGGCCTTGAAGACCATGGCACGTTCGATCAGCAATCCGCGTATTGTTATTGTCACATTTGCCATCGAGTACGCAAGATACGAGTCACACTTCATGAGTCTGGAACCTGTGATTGCCCAAGAGCAAGAATATCTCGAGAACCTGGTCAACCGGATCGCGGCTCTTCGTCCAACAGTCCTGCTGGTGCAGAGACACGTATCTGGTCTTGCGTTGCACATGCTGGAAAGGGCTGGCATCACAGTCGCCTATAATATTAAAGAGTCTGTCCTGGCTGCAGTCGCACGCGTAACCCAGACGACAATGATCAAGTCTATCGACAAGCTCGGCATCGACCCATCCCATCTCGGTCGTTGTGACAGCTTCGAGGTCAAGACATTCGTATCAGACGGGATGAGGAAAACATATATCTACTTGTCTGGCTGCGATCCTGATCTGGGCTGCACCATCGTGCTCAGAGGAGCCGACACCAAAACGCTCCGCGCAATCAAGCGAGTTACCGAGTTCATGTGCTACGTAGCATACAACCTCAAGCTCGAGAACTACCTGATGCGAGATGAGTTCGTGTCAATACCACACACTGTTCAGAAGCATATCGAGGCGCACGATGATCCTTCCAGCAATAGAGACATTGAGCCGCGGACACTTGAGGAAAAGCAGAAGACTCTTTTGGAGACACTTGGCCACATCGTCGGCGATGAGGAAACCAACTTCAAGTATGAAGGCTTGGAGCAAGAGACCAGGAAACGAATCCTCTCAGCTTCGCCCTTCGTTGTTTTCATGCAGCCATACATATTGACTCAACTTCGCGACCTCGAGCGAAGACTGCACACTTACAAGCTGCTGCGAGACCGATACGCCGAAGCTGATGAGGAGGGTGGCGATGAAGAGGAAGACGAATCTGCGTTGATCGACCATTTTAAGCTTGTGGAACCTGAGATGGTTAACGCACCTCCATCCAAGGACCAGCCGAAGGCCGTACGCGAGTATTTGCATGCTGTTCACGATGCCCAGTTCGAGAAAGCCAAACACACCTTCGACCTCCAAGAGCGACAGTGGGACTCCTTTGTTACTGGCGATGTGAACCCCTTTGACCCCTTCTCACACCAGAAGATCGTGGTCCTGTACTCTACAGTCAGCAGCATCACGTCAGCACCCTGTACCGGGCCGGAACTTCTAGGCATCGGTTTCTATGCCGGCTATACTAGAGTTGAGGACGATCACGATGAGGATATCCCGCTTGGACAATACATCGAAGACCTCTGTTTGAGCTCCAGCACTACGTGCAAAGATTGTCATAAGAAGATGTACGATCATCACCGTCAGTACGTGCATGGTTACGGCCAGCTGTCCATTTCGATTCAAAGGCAGTCAGCCAAGATGCGCGGCTATGCAAACACACTCCTCATGTGGTCGACGTGCCGCATCTGCCGACATGAGACGACGGTGACTCAAATGTCCGAGCACACGTGGAAGTATTCATTTGCAAAGTATCTGGAGCTCAGCTTCTGGAGCAGTCCTCTTCATCCTCGCGCTGGACTTTGCAAGCACGACATTCACAAGGACTTCTTGAGGTGCTTTGGCTTTCAGGACATGGTTGTTCGAGTTCAGTACGATCCAATCGACATCTACGAAGTCATTGTGCCTAGAGGACGGGTGACGTGGAAAGTCGAAGCAGATCTCACTGTCAAGAATGATCAATACTTGGTCATCGAGAAGCGACTTGAAGCCTTCACTGAGTCCGTGAAAAAGCGACTCGCGTCCATAAACCTCGAAGCTCTGGAGGGAAAGAAGTCTTCAGATGGTCTTGCTCTGCTCGAAAAACTGAAGATCAAAGCCGAAGATGACCAGCAAGAACTACGGGCCAAGCTGAAGCACAAGTATGCCTCTTCTCGTTACTTCGAGCTGATACCACTCAATCGCGCTCTCCGCTTCATGGACGAGAAGGCAATCGAATGGGACGAGGAGTTTGCTAACTTTGAGCGCGACTACTTCCCATCCGAGACTGACATTCGCAAGATCGCGGCGGTACAACTGCGTAATATGTTTGTTGAATCTCAGCCGTCTGCGGCAGCCAGCGTTGCTAGTGATGTGAGCGACACAGAAGAGGGAACGGAGATGGCACTAGTGCGAAAACCTGGATTAGGTGCTCGACGACCCACTGCCGACGAGATCTTGTCCGAGAAGGCGCATGATGTTCTGTCGTCAGTGGTGGAGGAGCATAAAGCCAACAGCGAAGAACACGATTCGCTAAAGGCTGTGAAAAGCAATGATACTGAAGCTACGATTGGCGTCGACTTGAGCACGCAAACGTCAACTCCACGGAAGGATCAAGAAGAAGCAGTCGAGCGGGATGATGTCAAACACCTTGATCTCGCCGTGTCTTCCAGGTCGCCAGGTGAATCTTCGAATGGGGAGACTGCAAGCCAGTATGACGGTTCACCTAGTCCAAAGACCGGAACAAACGTTGGCTCGCCGGACGAGCCTTTTGCAACACAACCAAAGCCGCTGAGTTCAGGCCTATTGGAGCGAATTGAGCAGATAAGGAGTACTCGAGCTGTCGCTGGTGCTGAAGGAGACACACTAGAGTCCAAGATCCCTAGATTGGCAGATCTCAAGAAGCGCGATGCAAGCCCAAAACCAGAGGCTGGCCTCAAGCCACCGGATGCAGGCACTCGACCACCATTGCTTCGGGCAAAGTCTCAGCCTGGGCATCCCGGCCATGGCCACACGCGAAGCGCTGATCTTACTACAGAGCATTCGATTGATTCCGTTGCCAGCGGTGCGCCCGCAAACGGTGAAGCACCGCCTGTCGACAAACGTTTGACGGAGCGATTAGGAGTCGGGCGTTTGGCCAACAAAGTGAGCAAGGTCACACCGTCTTTCATTCCACGCTCGATCCCGGCCAAAAACGAAGACAGCAGCGTGTCTGGCGTCTCTGCACTGGCTAGGCACTTCGAGATGATGTCACGGGAGTTCGAGAGAGAGCGGCTGAGAGAGCGACGGCAAAGGGCGATGCGGAGTCGGCAAGCAAGAGCGAACCCATTGGCCAGCAGTCGGCCTGTGGTCGAGGTCTACCAGAATGCTGTTGACGCAGTAGGTGAACGAGTTCTGTCTCAAGCCTACCAGGAGAAAGACGTCGCGGACGACAGAGGCGCAAGAAAGAATATGGATGACTACGTTGCCAGTAGTCAACCAGAGGACTTGGCTGTCGCTGAGGATGGCGAATCTGTAAAGTCCACAACGACCGGCGGGGAAGGCGATCCTGAACAGCGCGGGCCTGCTACCGATACAGACGTCGACACTAGTGATCTCGAGCGGACAGCAACGCGATCGAGAGATACCTCTGATCCAACGTCTGGCATGAGCTCATCCATTCAATCGCCGACGCATGTACCAGATATGGAGGGCTTGGGTCCCGAGCTTTCCATACCCGAACACCGCAAGAACGTTTGGTTCAAGTACTTGGCGGAGTTTTGGTCGAAGCGATCTGCGTCTGGATGGTCCAATCTGGAATACCCACTTCATGCTAGTGAGCATGTCTTTGAGGACTCGGATATCATCGTAAGGGAGGACGAGCCTTCGTCAGTAATTGCACTGTCGCTTGCGTGCAAGGACTACGAAGTCAAGTTGAAGGAATTCCGCAACCATCCCAGCAAGGCTCCATTAGCAAAGCATGGCCACGCACATACTCACTCGCAGGCGAGCGCTACCAACCCTCGCGAAGAGTTGCGTGAAGAGATTGAAGCGTCCCTGCTCAGCGACACTGGCACGCACTTGAAATACTCATTTGCCCATGGACAAGTCAAAGCATCCTGCAAGATCTTCTACGCGGAATCATTCGATGCTTTGCGTCGCAAGTGTGGTGTATCCGACCGATTTATGGAATCGATGTCTCGCTGCTTGAAGTTCGACTCGAAGGGCGGCAAGACCAAATCACTCTTCCTGCGGACGCTCGATAACCGCTTCATCATCAAGTCGCTGCAGGAAGTCGAGCTCAAGGCTTTCACCAAGTTCGCGCCCGACTACTTCAACTTCATGAGCTACACGCTCTTCCACGGTGTCCCCAGCGTCATCGCAAAGATGTTTGGCCTCTTCCAAGTCAACATCCGCAATCCCGCCACCGGTGTTGACTTTTCGTATTACTTGCTCGTGATGGAGAATCTCTTCTACGAGCGCAATCCTAACAGGCGATTCGATCTCAAAGGCAGCATGCGGAACCGCAAGATTGAGAGCACAGGCCAGGCTGACGAAGTGCTTCTGGATGAAAACTTGGTCGAAACGATCTTCGAATCACCCCTTTTCGTCCGTGAGCATTCGCGCAAGCTGCTGCAAGCCTCGGTATTTAATGACACGCTGTGGCTCTGCAAACAGAATGTCATGGACTACTCTCTAATGGCGGGCTTCGACGACGCTCGCAAGGAACTCGTCGTCGGCATCATCGACTGTATCCGCACATACACATGGGACAAAAAGCTCGAGAGCTGGATCAAGGACCGTGGCAAGAATAAACCTACCATCACGAGTCCGAAGGATTATCGGAATCGTTTCCGGGTCAGTATGATGCAGTATGTATTGCAGGCACCCAACTGCTGGCATCAGTTCCAGGTGAACATGGCGCCGCCGAAGACGTTGAAGGAAGAGGTTAATGTCAGGGAGGAGTTGATGGGGGATGAGGGAGTCGAGGTGGCTGCTTAGATAGCGTTCGCTTCGTTGATGTTTTGATGAATGAGTGATGGGTGGTGTTGTTATGAGTGCATGACTTGGTGACGGCTGATCGCTTTCGGGATTAGCGAGGAGTTGCGTATCGTTTCTGAGGCCGTTGGAAGGTCATCATTGTTGGTAGGTAGCCTTTTAAGAATCGCTACACCTTGCAATGACTTGAGGCACTCGAACATCAAAGTCACGTGATAGCGCGATCCACTCGAACTCTATGCCCCACACTTCTGCCTACCTCACTTCGCGAAGATAAATGCGACGTCCCATCCCAACTGTTGCGTCCCGAGCAATGCACCGCATCCAACATGTGGCTCCTCTCGTACGTCGCCGGTGACGGAGATCTCCTCGAAGGCAAACGCCGCTGGCTACGACCAGGAACTGGCCATCTCTTCGGCCGCACTTCCAGCAAACCCGCTACCGGCGAACGATGCGTCTACATCGGCGACAAGAACATCTCACGCAGGCACACCACCTTCCGTGTCGCAGCTCCCACCTCGGGATCCTCGACGCGTCTTCAAGAGCGCACGAGTGTGACGATCATTGACGAGAGCAAGAAGGGAACTTTCATCGACGGGGAGAAGCTGGTGCAAGGCGAGAAAGTGGTCGATGAAAGTAAAGGCAGCCATCTGATCAAGCTTGGGGATACGGAACATATGTTGAAGCTCGAATGGAAAGAGGTGGTACTATGCTTCACCAACATCTCCCGAGGCGCGAAGAAGTCGGGCTCTGCACTTGCTGAAGAGAAGCAGAAGTTGGACGGCTGCGATATCAAGCTGGCTACGGATTACATCACGAATAAGACGACGCATGTGGTTGCGAAGAAGAGGAATACTTCGTCCGGGCTTCAGGCTCTGGTGCAGGGCAGATGGGTTGTGACGAGTAGCTGGATCGACGCGCTGGCTGAGGTGGTCAAGAGGAAGGGACCGGAGGAGACGAGTTTGCTCGAAGAGGATTTTGATGGTGAGTGGCCGAAGGAGACGGACTTCATTGTACCTGCGAGTGGTGAGCCCAATCCAAGGCCCAATGATTACCTGAAGCCGGACCCGGAGAGGGCGGAGGTGTTTTCCGGATACATTTTCGTCTTCTTGAGTCAGACACAGTACGAGTCTCTGTTCCCCGTTGTTGCTGGAGGCGGTGGAAAGGCTGTTCATATGGACTTCCAATTGGGACAGACGACAGCGGACGATGTCATCGACCTTGTGAAGTCGCTTTTGGGAAAGAAGGGGAGCGGGCAAGTCCTACTCAGCCAAGAGCCTGGCCCTGGCGGTATCGTCATCGTCCGTATTGTGGAGAAGGAGGATAACCGCGAGGGCATGAGGCCTTTGATGGAGGAGCTGGCAATCGCCCTGAATCAGAGGACGATCGAACAGAGCGAGTTACTGGACGCCATTCTCACAAAGAACGCTGCTGTTCTGCGTCGGCCTTTGCGAGATGTTTCACAAAGTCTCAGACCAGAGCAAAGCCAGTCACGCGATGCGCAAGTCACCTCTTCGAGCTTCCCGAGACCTCCCAGGGAGACTCCCGTTGAAGTAAGAGATTCTCCTCCTGCCGACCCTCAGTCTGCTCCTCGTACAGGCCGAGACTCTGCAGAGATGCAGTCGGAACAGCAACAGCAGCAAGCAGAGCAGCCACCTGCTGAAGAGGCACCCCCCACAAGGAGACGGAACCGTCGCATGATTACAAAACCGCGCAAGATTGACTTTGACGACTGGGATCCCAGCCAATTCGCAGCACCTGAGTCGAGCGTACAAGAGCCTGCGGCGTCATATCAAGATCCAAGCCAAGCAGACAGCATGCAGGCCATGGACGTGGATGAAGCACCCGCCGAGGCAACTCAGAGACAAACACAAACCCAGAAGCGACGTGCCGAAAAGCAGCTTGTGAAGGAAGAAGAGATTGATGAGAAGCTGTATCCAGGCATGGCCGCCATGAAGCGCCGCAAGACCGAGGCTCTGAAGAGAGGGAAGACGTCCAATCAGCCGACCCCTGAACCAGAGGCATCCGCTGTCGCTGGCAAAGCTGCTAAGGGCAAGGATGGAAAGGTCAAGAAGGACAAGGAGGAAGATATCAAAACAAGGATCAAGAAGCGCCGCGAAGAGGAAGAAGAGGCCCGACGTAAAGACGAAGAGGCGCTCGAAGAAGCCATGACCGCTGACCTGGCTAACATGAAGGTCGAGCATGTCATCGAGCCATTCGACCCGCCTGCAGCTCCGGCCGCAACCCAAACGCAATTGACAAGCCAGAATCCCGCCTGGAACGGCCGCCCCAACTTCAAGAAATTCCGCAGCAACAAGCGACTTCGCAACGGCGACGAGCTGGACCGACCAGACACGCAGCGCGTCATCATCTCCCTGCAAGAACTCCCCAACAAGTCCCAAGGCCTCGGCGACGACTACTGGCTCGAAACAGGCCGCGACCACGAACGCCGGCAGGGCGCCAACAGCAACAAATCGCAACAAAGCAAATCCCAATCCCAACGCTCCTCCCACGCCGCGGGCCCCTCGTCGGCCAGACAAGCCGGCGCAGCGGGTTTCGGCGGCGGCGACGAGGACGAAGACGACAACATGGCTTTCCGCCGCCGTCTCCAGCGCAGTCGCGAGGAAGATCGCGAGGAGGCGGTCATTGAGAACCAGCTGAATCCTAAGAGTACTTCGGGGAGCACGCAGACGCAGGGACGGACGCAGAGGGGTGGGAATAAGCGGAGTGCCATGGAGGAGGTGTTTGGGGAGAAGCCGCCGCCGGCGAAGAAGGCGAGGGCGGCGAGTGGGAAAGCGGCGGTGCAGAGGAAGAGGACGGCGGCGGCGTTGGATTTGGAGGAGGAAGATGAGGATGGGGATGAGGATCCGATGGCTTTTAGGCGGAAGAGGCGGTGAGGGTGCTGTCGATGATGAGGGGAGGTGTGTGATGGGATGAGTTGCTTTTCTTAGTTTATGATGCATTGCGAGCGAGGACATTGTTAGTGTTAAGAGATACCCAGTGCATTATCAAGGCGTTTTTCAATGAACAGTAAAACTGAAGAGTCAAAGTCACATTTCTTTTCGATTCATCGGTATTAACACAGTGGCTAGCTATTTCTGCCGCAAAAAGCTGCGAAAGGGGTATCTGTCTGCTCCATTGATAAAACAGCATGCACGTCAGTCACTCCCTAAAACGCCGCGCTCATGTCCATTCAGTCCCCGTATCATCATCATAAGCAAGAGCAAGTAGTAGTAGCATGCGCAGCGCACACTTTTGTCGAAATTGCAGTAGCCAGCCTGTCATGCTCAAGTAGAGAAAGCAAAATAGCTGGCCTGCTGCTTTGAATCTTCTTAGAAGAAAGCATCAGCGACCTCGGCCGGGAGACCTGGGAGAGCGTCTTCCTCGCCAATCGTCTGCATGGTCGCGGTGACGGTGGTCTCCTCAACGATGGCTGGCTTTGGAGTGACGCTGCGGCCACGGCGACCTGGAGGAGCCAAGCTTCTTGCGCGAGAGGGTGGACGAGAGATACCTCCAGCGGGGCCAACGGAACCAGCACGAGATCCGGCGCGGGAGTTGGCACGAGAGGCTGGGCGGGAGCTGCTGAGCTTGTTGGTGTCGAGATTGCCCGTGGCGGATGAAGCGTCTGGCATATCGGTTGGTGGCAAGTCAGGCTCGGTGGTGGTGGTGGCCATGACAGGCGGAACATCGGGCAGCTGGTTGGTCTTCTCAGTCACAGGCTCCTCGATCGTGGGAGCTGCGTCAACACCTTCCTCCTCGTCCTCGTAACCGTCGATGAGGTTGTTGACGATGAAATCCCACTCCTTCTTGTTGACCTTGGAGACGCTCAGACGAGCTGCCTTGAACTCTTGCATGTTCTCGAGGACGGCACCTGGCTTGGCGAACTTCTGCAACTCCGACAGGTAGACCGGCTTGCTGAGCTTCTTGCGGAACTCCACACGAACGACACACCACTTGGCACGATCCTTCTCCTTCTCAACGTATCCCGCACTCGTCTCGTCGGCGGTCGTCTCGTCTGGCTCGTGCTCACCAACAACCTCCATGATGCCCACGATGCCGGGCTTCCGGCCTTGCTTCCCGCCACTAGCGTAGAAGAATGCCAGATCTCCCTTCTTCATGTCGCGCATGTTCTTGGCAGCGGTTGGGTTGCGGACGCCTGTAGAACGTTAGTATTGAATCAGGCTTCGACACCTCTTCGACACGTACCATCCCACGCCTCGGGCTCAGTCTTGGAGCGCAAGTCGTCGATAGTGAAGGTGGTGTTGATCGTCTCGCCGCTCTTCACCTTCACGTCGTGGCCGTCTTGTTCAGCCTTCATAAGCCAATAGTTAGCCGGGGGCTCGTCGTCAAGGGCCTCCTCTTCGTCTTCGGCAGTCTTTGGCGCTTTGCCTTTGCCTTTCTTCGAGACAGGAGCCTTGCGCTTACTAGTCGTGTCCTCCTGCTGCGGTTCTTCAACGGCGTCCTGCAGCTCCTCCTCAAGTTGCTCGTCGACAGCTTCATCGTCGGCCGCAATCTTGGTGGTCTCGCCGCCCTTTGGTGGACGACCACGACGCTTTGGTGGAGCAGTCTCGGCCTCTGGCACTGCTGGCTCTTCCATTTTCGAAGCAGCGGATGGGCGACCGCGCTTCTTTGGTGGCTCGGACTTGGTCGTGGCTTTGGCTTTTGCCCCGTTCTTCGTCGCAGCGGTGGTGGCAGCGGTCTTCTTGGGAGGACGACCGGGACCTCTCTTCTTAGCTGGAGGAGCGCCATCGTCTTCGTCGTTGGCAGCAGTCTTCGCTGGGCGACCGCGCTTCCTGGAGGTGTTGGCAACTGGAGTCGCGTTAGTGTCGCGTTCACATGTGACCAACGTTGAAAAGGACGTACGCGTGTTGTTGGACGGAACCAGACCTTGGCTTGCACGTCTGCCAGAGGCAGTGGAGGGCACGATGGGTCGGGCGGGAGCTGCGTCGCGTTTTGGGCGAGCGGCAGCAGCGGTGATTTCGACCTCTTTACCACGCTTGTCAGTAATGGTTGCTGGAACTGCGCGTCCTGACGAACGAGTGCTCTTGCTCGAGGCAGCCGCGGCAGACTTCTTCTTCGGCGGCATCTTGGTTTGGTCGACTACTGCGGCGTAGTCGTGCTGGTTTGGGATGGAGGTCAGTAACGAAGTTTGAGTGTGTTCAATGTTGTTGTTGAACGAGTGACGGAGGACGATGAAACGCCGAGCTTTGGAGCTCTGTCGCGCGTGCTGACAGCCGCGGGCGGTTAAGGTTTGGATCACGTGGGAGGATCAAGAAGACATCGATTTCACTTGTACATTCACCTGTCTTTGCTTCATCAACCTCAGCCTGACCCACGAACGGGCCATGACCCAATGGCTCACTTGCGAGCCATTGTGAGGCTTGTCCTGAGCGAAGACGTCGGCAGCCGCAGGCGACAGCTTATCGACCTGCCAAGCCAGAGGCAGTGCACTTCTGAACGAAAACTCTCTTCTGGCTTCTCTCTGCCACCGACGGGACGCAGTGAAGCTGGGACGGTGTGGAAGTGAATGTGAGGCAGCAGCGGTGGTCAAGACAAGCCTCACGCAGTCGCGCCCCTTGCGTCGGGACGCGCGAGGATTGCGAGCGCAAGTGGTGCTTCAATTGGCGGTGCTACGACAGCCTGCATGGCCTGACACCCTGCTCCGCGCATCCCGCACCCTCCGCCTGGAGCCCTCGACTACTCATCCACGCTGCTGACGATACCCAGGCACGTTTAGCCACCCCATCCGCGGTCAAGCCATCGACGCTACGTTGCTGCTGTTCATGATGTGGTAAGACTAGTCTCGAGCTATTCAATCAACCCCATTTTTCACTCTATAACATCTCTTCCCTTGCACTCTGAGCGCAAAGATGCCTGGCTCTGTCCAGCAGCTCAGTATTAGGTGAGGAAAGCAAGAAGCCAAGGCCGACATTATCAGGCAGCTCTCATATGCAATGACGACGCACCTACCCGTCCTCCAAACCATTCACATCGTGCCGAAGATGGACACTGAAATCACCGGCCGACATCGTGCCTTATCGCATCGAGAATACCTGGACACTCTACAACGACCATCCGTAGCCGACATTCGACGCATTTCAGAAATCCAGCTGCAGAAAGAACATGACATCTCAGCAAAGTACCACACCGCCGAAGAACAGGACGCAGCAAAACTCATCCAAAGAGCATATCGAGGCCATCGCGAACGAAGATCACTCAATGGCCTGACGCTCGACCCTTCTGACCGGTGGGTCGAGATCATCAAAGAATGGAAATACCGGAGCGCGACCGCACCACATCTCAGCACGTCTTCGCCAGGTGGACGAAACCGTTCCGAATCGACCGCAGATCTCGCTCGACGGAACTGGCATCGAGCCACAGCCATTGCCGAACACGCAGGAGCCGGCGAAAGCAGGACATCGTTGTCACTACCTGCACGTGAACCTACCAAGTCAAGCACCCGAAGTTCCAAACGCAGCAAACGTTCCAAGTCAGAGTCAGAACCTCCCGACTCCATGCTCATGGACTTGCGGTACTTTCTCGAGATGGTCGACCAGAAACATCGATATGGCGCAAATCTGCAGGTCTACCACGAAGAGTGGCAACGGAGCAAAACCGATCAGAATTTCTTCTACTGGCTGGACCACGGTGATGGCAAGGGTGAAGACTTAGCACCTATCTGTCCACGAGAAAAGCTGGAGAAGGAGCGCATCCGGTACTTGAGCAAAGAAGAGAGGAGAGACTACCTCGTGCGGGTCGACGAGAAAGGTCTCTTACGTTGGGAGAAGAACGACGAACTCATCACCACGAGCGCAGATCTATATCGTGATTCGATGGAAGGTATCGTACCGAAGGACTCCACTGAACCGACCTTCAACGATGAAGACGTCAAGCGACAGATCAGCGCAGACGCCGGTTTCAGCAGCAAACTCGCCGCCGTAGGGGGCATGTTCCGCGACGCGATCCTCGCAGACGACGACGACCACGAACGCAACTACCTAGAAGCATCAACCTCCAACTCCTCGACATCGTCATCAACATCATCCTCTTCATCCTCATCAGAACCCACCCTCTCCCCCGAGCAAGCCATCGCCCACCAACGCGTAACAAAAGACCACACCCCCGGCGAACCAAAAGCCGACCACCTCACCTCCCCCACCAACAACCAAAAGCAAAAGAAAAAGAGAAAGAAACCCCTCCACGTCTCCCCAGCAACAATCCTCAACTCCCTCCTACGCGCCAGCGTAAAACCGGGCACCTGGATCTACATAACCGACACGCTGCAACGCCTCTACATAGGAATCAAATCCTCCGGCTCCTTCCAACACGCCTCCTTCCTCTCCGGCGCGCGCATCTCCTCGGCCGGAATCATAGGAATCAACCACGGCCGCCTCGAATACCTCTCCCCGCTCTCCGGACACTACCGCCCGACGACCAAGTCTTTCAAGACCTTCGTGGAGGGGCTGAAGACCGCGGGGGTGGATATGGGGGGTTTGAAGGTTAGTAGTGCGTATGAGATTTTGTTGGGCATGGAGTATTATGGGATGACGAAGAGGGGGGTGAAGAAGGTTTTTGGGAGGGATGGGGGGCACGGGCACGAGGAGAGGAAGAGGAGGGAGAAGGCTGTTGAGGTTGATGAGGAGACGGTTAAGAGGATTGCGGTGGGGACGGGGGCTGGTGGGAGGGTTGGGACGGGGGATTTGAGTGCTACGCAGAGGGTGGAGATGAATTGGGCGGTGGAGCATGAGCAGCATCATCGTCCGGTGGGGAAGGTTCATCATCGTGAGCGAGGTGATGATAGAGATGATTTGGCGGGGCTGATGGATGATTTGCATGTGAGGAGGTTGAGTGATGAGGGGAAGGGGAAGTGATTGACATTCTGTTTTCAGAGAGGAGTCCGAGGGAAGCGTGCTCGTTAGGATACCCACAGTCTCGTTGAAATCATTCTTACAGTCAATGAACGAAATACCATGAAAGACGCTTGAGTAGTTTGGAGACATTGTCTTGGCTCAAGCTATGCTAACATTTCCTCGCAACCATCTCGTGGCGCATGTCACATAGCGATCGCCTGATTCAGACGGAATGTCGTCGCTAAACTAAAGCATCTAGAACACTGCAAGTCCGCATTGCCCATTTTTAATGCCATCCCGTTGCGTCCATCCCAATCCCATCATGTCAAGCAGAATGAAGTTGAAGCATCTAGTAACGCTTGCCCTCGCGGAGGACATCGCTGTACTCCTCGAGTGGGGAACGGGCGAGCTTGGTCTCCTTCCACAAGTTGGGAGTGAGGAAGCCGTAGGTGTTGGTGATGGCAACGAAGGTGGCCTTGAGGGTGTTCTCGAGGGTCTTGGTGGAGCCGGCGGAGGCGGTGTAGGCGTCCTGGACACCGGCAAGCTGGAGCAGACGCTTGACAGCTGGGGAAGCGACAAGGCCAGTACCACGTGGGGCTGGGATGAGCTGTCGAAATGTTAGACTCTGTATAATGTCATGTTCAAGGAGGAATGTTTCGACTTACACGAACAGTGACCGAACCGCACTTTCCGCTCTCCTTGACTGGGATGGAGTGAGGATCACCAAGGTTGGTACCCCAGTAGCCACGACGAATCGGCACAACAGACAGCTTCGCGATGATGATAGCGGCACGGATGGCAGTAGCGACTTCCTTGGAGGTCTTGATGCCGAGACCAATGTGGCCCTCGCTGTCACCGATAACGACGATGGCCTTGAAGCGGGTACGCTGACCGGCACGGGTCTGCTTCTGGACAGGCTTGATCTGTAGACACATCCACATCAGCACGCCATTCTCCATCCCATCTCATGCATGTATATTCGAGTAACTGACCTTCATCACCTCATCCTTGAGCTTGGGCAAGAAGAAGTCCACAATCTGGTACTCCTTGATGGGCAGAGAGTGCAGGTAGATCTCCTCCATGCTCTTGATCTTGCCGGCCTTGACGAGACGGCCGAGCTTGGTGACGGGCTGCCATTCCTTCTCGTCGCTCTTCGCACCACCGCGGCCACGGCCACGACCGCGTCCACGTCCACGTCCCCGATCACCACCACGGTCGCCGCGCGAGCCGAATCCTCCACGAGCACCACCTGGTGCTGCACCGCCTCGGTCTGCCATTGTCGAAGGTGTGCGTTAGGGTGCTGTGTTGTTAGTTGCGAGGTGGGTGGTGGACAATCTGGGGCGGCTTTGCCAAAAGCTCGAGATCTGAGTGCGATATTCTAAATCTTGGCGTTTGTCCTGCACGCGTGCCTGAGGCGTCAACGCCAAGCCGAACCTCTTCGACTTCACGACATTGATGGCATAGACATCTCCCAACCAACAAGCCATTCCCATCGCTCTACACCGCCAAAATGCTCGCAGCACGCCTCATAGCTCACCGCACCCTGTTCCTCCGCCCACAGATCTCCATTCGCACCTCCCTCCGACAATGCAGCTCCCAATGCGCCGCGAAACGCCCCTCCCTGACATCCGCCTTCCAAAGACTCCAGATCCAGCCAACGATCACGACAAGAGTCCTCGCCAGACAGCAGGTACGCGGCATGAAGGTCCGAAGTTCGGTCAAGAAACTTTGCGATGGGTGCAAGAGCGTACGGAGGAAGGGTGGGAAGTACGTGTACATCATCTGTAGCAAGAATCCGAAGCACAAGCAGAGGTATGTGGAACGTGTGAACAAGTTTTGAGGGAGCTGGCCTACTGACACTTGCGTAGACAAGGGTAGCGAGTGCACTGATGGCATGGGATTGTTTGTACATTGTATGAATACGTTGAGACTTTGATGGGCATAGCGGAAGGCGTTCATGGGGCATGTTGCATACGTTTGACGGATGGCTAAGGGTTGCGAGGCCGTAGGAAGCATTAGAGATTAAGGGAAAGGATGTGGAGACGTCGCAACTCAAAGTTTTCGTTTTACTGTCAATACAGTAGCCTTTGTCTTCGTGATTCTGTGCTCCAATCGAGTCCCTCCCACTTGATCAGATGCCCTCTGCGGCACCATGCAGCGTTCCTTCTTATGTTTGACGATGCTGTCTACCCAGACCAGCGACGTTGGTCGTGTACGGCTCAGGGTTGCTTTACCCTGATAGACTTGACCAGGTCTCCTGACAGCCGTTGCAGCTCCCGTAACCGCCCAGCAGCCTGCCATCGCCGATGCTGAGCCATCCGCTGCACATGCTGCGTACCTTCATCCAGGTCGTCATCTTCACCGATCTCGCTAACTTCAGCGCTTCCTTCCTTCTCCTCTTCATCGTCAACTCCCGCCTCTTCGCCTTCGCCTTGCTCAACTACGCCATCTTCGTGCTCAAGTGAGTCGGCGGGGCTGCTCGCTTCCACGTCGCTCCAGGAATCGGTCATCTTGTCCGGAAGAACGCCATTAGGGAGTCCTGGCACATGCTGAAACCCGTAACGCTTGTTGCCAAAGATGGCTTTGGCAGCCTCAATGGCTTGCGACTGCTGCAGGTTGACGTCGATGTCTGCATCGACCTGGCCTTGGAACTTCTCGACGTTGCGACCCTGAGACTTGGTCTGAATCATGGACGCTGACCACTTCGCAGCTGAATTAACAGCGGCCACGGGATCCTCACGCATCTCCAAGAGATAGTTCTGAATCTCCGCAGGTGTCAGCTTGTCGTCAGGTATGAAGCTGGCGAATTGTTTCGCCAGAGCCGGCAGGTCATGCTGGGACGCCTCCTTCTGATCCGTCTTCTCGCTTGGTGTCTCGGCGAAGATGTGAAGGAAGAGCTGCGCGGTGACTTCGTTCGACGCATTGCCAAAGAGAACCTTCTTGTCGACACGTCCAGGGCGGAGCAGTGCAGTGTCGAGATTGTCTGGACTATTGCTCGTCATCACAAGTACGCGGCCCTCGTGAGAGACTGGGCCGTCGATAGTGTTCAACAATCCGGCCAAAGTCACACCTTTCTGAGGTATGGGCCCCATCATGACCCCTGGCTTGCTGCTCTTTCTCTCCTTCTTCACGCGCTCGATTCCGGCCGAATCCACGTCTTCTAGCAGTACAAGACATCTAGTCGGAAGCGCATCGAAGCACATCTCCAAGGCGAAGTCGTTGATGTTGGAATTGCTCAAGGAGAGGATGTAGAGCGGCATCTCGAAGTGGCCTGCAAGTGCTGTGCAGAAAGACGTCTTGCCGGTGCCTGGCGGTCCATAGAACAGATAGCCACGTCTCCACGGTATGCCACGATTCGCATACCAGGACTTGCTCTCGTGCGAAAGGTAGGTCTTGATATCTTCAACGAGATCCTGCTTCTTGTGCTCCTCAATGCTGACCGAGTCGAGTTTCCGAGCAGGTCGAGTGATCACTCTGCGATCCCATGTCTCTCCTTCGTTTGCGTACTGGGATGGGCGGTAAATGCGAACCAAGGACTCGTTCTTCACGTCGTTGATGGTGCTGATGTGTTCGAGGAAGTCTTGAATGGGCTTCACACCTCCAAAGATGCTGTAGCAAGAGATGGTGATATCCGACTCGCGCGACTGAGTTTTGCCTTTAACGGATCGTCCACTACCGTCCAAGACTTGGTGCTCTGTCGGGTTCTGGCGGGTGAGCCACAACGAGTGGCCATTGAAGCTGAACCCAGTCGACCCAATCGCAGGGACGTAGGATAGCGAAGGCTCCTTGGGCTTGGCTGGTTGTTCTATCGGGTCTGCTCCTGAGCCGAAGGAGTCGTATGAGCCGAATCGTCGTCGTGTACCAAGGTAATTGAGATCCATTGTAGCAGGTGAAGCGGCTGCGGCAGCAGCAAGATTCGAATGTACTGTGACGGAGCGGGTGTCCACACCGACGCTGTTGGCGGCCATCCAGGCCATCACTTGATCGTAGATGGCGTACTTGGTAGGGACGGTGACGCTGGCGACGAGGCGAGAGCGGATGAAGTCGACGACAGTGCCCAAGTCGAGGCCCTTCCAGACGTACCGATAGATGCCGTAGCCGAGAACTGCAAACGGAGCCATGATGAGGATGCCCTTCTCGAGCAAGGGGCTGGCGTATCGTATCGCCGTAATCGCATTGCGACAAGCAGTCTCTGGCGTGAGGTCCACGATGTCGTCGCCATGGTTGCTGATGCCGACACGCAGAGCAGTTGCGACGCTGAAGAGGCTAGGTCTCATGGCTTGCAGTTGCAAAGCAGTCAGTTGATGCGCCATCACGGCGAAAAGCGGAGGTGGTGGTTTTGAAGTTGCAAAGCGTCGATTCGGCTTGGGAAGATAAAAGGGCGTTCGGCGGACTTTATCTCCAGAAGTGTCTCAAAAGCGAGTGAAGTGCGCGCCCCGCCCTCCGGTGAGTGAATGAAACAGTGTCGGGTGGCAGCGTTTGCAGCCTCACGTTGCTGCGCCTCAGGCAAGACCAACGGACTTCACATCTATTCGCATCTCGAACCTTGGGCAATCGACCAGGCTATCGGTATCGTGTCTGAGACTGTTGTCCTGCACCTCGTGTTGGGGATGTCAGCGTTACGCGTGAATCAGATGCAGGTAGGCAACCATGCAGGCATCCGGCGGCCTCTCCATGCGCTTGGTGCGCTCGTGTCGTTCTTTCCCACATTGTTACTTGCTCAACTTCTTTTCCCGAATGAACCATGCACTGATCGCAGCACCAGCTACAAGCGCAATCTGCAGCCCAAACGCAGCATTGGTACTACGCGCAAAGCAATACTCCACCACGCCTCTGATCTTCGGGTCTAACTCTTTCAGATACCGCAGACTCTGCCGTACCTTGTCCGCAATGTCAATGGCCTCGTCTTCTGGCAAGCCCAGAGCTGGCAACTCCTTCGCGAGGCTGTTCCGCAGCGACTGGTTCGCTACTGTCGCAGAAATGGATATTCCAAAGACGCTGCCCAGCGAACGGAAGAGATAGCTGCATGCTGTTGCTACCGCTTGATCCTCATGTGATGCATTCGCAATGACACCGATCAGCGTGGTTGTGATTCCGTTGCCATTACCAAATCCACCGACGGCCATTGCAATGATGATGGCCAAGGAGCTGTTGGCGACTATCCCGGAGAACAAGAAAATTGCAACTAGCGCTACCACAGTCAGCGCGTACGATGCCACTGTCAGCCAGTAGAAGCGCCCAGTCCTTTGCATGTAATAGCCGGCATGGAGGCTACCAAGAACACCGACCACCACACCAGGAATCAATCGAAGGCCAGCTCCAGTAGCACTTACGTGGTCCACAGCCTGGAAGTACAATGGAATGTAGAAGGTCGCAGCCATCCATCCTGCCAGACTGAAGAAGTTGGCAAGATAGCAGGCAAGCGTCGTGCGATTGAAGATGATGTGGGCTGGAGCAAAAGGCTCAACGGCCACTTTCATCTCAACAAGCACGAACACGATGAAGAGTGGGACCGAGATAGCCAGTGGGACGTACGCAATTGGAACCCTCCAGCTTACGTTGCTACCACGATCCATCGCCAGGAGGAAGGAGAAGACCGCAGCAATGAGGACAGTAGCTCCGAGAAAGTCGATCCGGCGCAGATTCTTTCGCCAATCGTTGTCTTCTTGATTGCTCGGTATGTTGAGCGCAAAAAAGACCGCAATGAAGGCGACCGCGGACAAGGGCGCTTGAATTAAGAAGGCCCATCTCCAGCCGATATAATCAGCTGCAATGCCTCCTAGTGGTGCTCCTGCACTGGCTCCTGTTGCCCAGACGATGTTGATGTAGCCTTGCCAGGTGCCTCGCTCCCTCAAAGTGCAGACGTCGGAAAGTAGGATAGACAGAACGGTAGTCATGGCACTGCCGCCAATGCCTGCAAAGTATCAGCCGGATCCCTATATTGCGCGGAATCACCAGAACTGCTCAAACAATACATACCCGCAAAAGCTCGTGCAGCGATCAACTGCTCCATATTCTGCGCCAACCCACATCCTAAACATCCCAACCCAAAAATCGTATAGCCAAACAAGAGACATGCCTTCCGGCCAAATATATCACTCAGCTTCCCATAAAGCGGCTGAAAGCTCGTCAACGTCAGAAAATAAGCCGTGGCAATCCAGCTCGTCATGTTCAACGCCTTCAATTCAGACCCAATGCCTTCCTTGCTGCTGACGATGATAGTCTGATCCGCAGCCGACATGAAGACTCCAATGGCCACGGCGGGAAAGATGTATTTCAATTTGGCTTTCACCTCGGGCATGCCTTCGTACTGCTTCTGGCGGTCCACGGCAGAGGTTTGTCTCTCGAGGGCGTCGCCATTGCTGTTGTCGCTGGGATCGAATGTCCCGTTGGAGGGCGCAGCCAAGGGACCTTCTGGAGCAGCACCATCGAGAACGACTTCCGTGGAGCGGATCTTGGTGAGGAGAGGCGAGGTTTCTGAGACAGTGTGGCCATTACCATTGGGGTGAGGCTCGTCGTCTTGTTGGGGCATAATTGCAAGAAAAGATGGTTTCAAGGGTGAGAAAATCGGTGCCGGTTTCGAAGCCTTACATGTAGGGAAACATCAAAGCAAAAGAAGACCTACAAATCAGACGGCTACTTAGAAATACTGTACTACCGCCGTTCGGCATTGGGCGAGCAAGCCCAGCCGTGCAGAGGCGAAGGTCTTGCGCGATTACTCCCCAACAAGCACTCGTATGGCCCGTGCGCATCAGGCTTGGCAGCGATAGGGCGGCTTTAACCGGCGGCAAGAGCTGGAGCTGCCCGCCGATCTCTCGTTTAGGTCGTTTACCTAAACAGCACATGAAGCTCACCACGCCTGGAGACATGGAGCATGTCCAGTCCTAGGAGACAGCCTCATGACGACGGACCACGACCTGAGACGGCTGGGCAAGATGTGAGCGAGGCGGGTCAGGACAAGGAGAAGGCTCTGCCGGCCGGCCAAGGTAGGTCCATGTCGTGATTGATGGGCGTTGAGTACAGAGTGGAGGCTCATTTACTGCTAGGTGGACCTTCGACAGAAGACGCCGCGGCGACAACAGGCGAAGAAGACAGAAATCAAGATGCGAGCTCGCATGTTCCACCTGGTCAAGCAGAAGCCCCGCAAGATGGAGAAGAGGAAGAAGAGATCCCATACCCAGAACCGGAAGACGAAGCGCCGCTCCTACCACCGCCAGATTTCAAACCTTTCTTTACTGTCATCGAGGATGACAATGGCGAACACCATCACCCGACCGTCCATTACGTCTTCGCTGACGACGAGGATACCGAGTTCCTTACCAACGCTGCCCTCCAGACTCTTAGCGATTCAGAACAGCCTAGACAGGACGGGGAGCCAGAGAACCGCTTCGTCATCCTCGATCTCGACCCAACGGGCAAAGAAGTCATCTCTGCAGTCTCCCTATCGCCCGAATGGCAGGCATTGAAAACACAAACGTCGCCCGCCCCGAGTTGGGGCGGCCAAGATGACAAGAGCACAGATCGAGGACTGATGTTGAGGATCTCGGGACAAGAAGCTAAGAGAGAAGCACTGGTCAAAGGCAGGGCGAAAGGAGATGTTAATGGCCTTCTGAAGATGTTTGATGAGAACATGGCTGGGTTGGATGGCGTTCTTGGCTCGAGCGATAAAGATACCCATGAGACTACGCATGAGGGGGACGAGGGCGCTGCTGGATAGAATGGAATTGATGACTGTCATGAGGGAATGAGATGATGATTCGCATGAAGCTGCTCTTGGTACGAATACTATCTTGGTTTCCCTTGCGGGTGAGTATCATCTCTCTACCGTTATGCAAATGAGTGAAAACGCCTTCGCTGAACGAATCTCTCACCTTCATGCCCCATCTCGGACACCCGGATCGATCGAAAGGAAAGCTCACCATCCACCTCCCTTAACACCAATCCATCCTTCGTCTTCTCCACTTCATCCTCCTCTCAACCCACCGTCTCATTATTAACATAAACCACAATCCGATTACTCCCCCCACAAGCCTCCGTCTGATTCCCCTTACAAGGAAAGCTACACCCCGCCGCCAACACATCCCCTCCACTCGCCAACGCCGCCGTCGGCGCCACCCCACTCCCATAACACTCCGAATAATACTCCCCTCCACAATACCCATACCCCTTGGCGCGACACGCCTCCAAACAATTTGCAATCGTCGCATTCCCCGCCCCGCCAAACGCCGCCAAACTCACGGATTTCGCCAGCGTGCGCGACGCGCCCGAGTCGACGTAGCAGCCCATCAAATTCCAAGTGGAGTAGGACTCCCGGGCGAAGAAGGTCTGTTTCCAGGCGTCGTCGACCACGACGCTGAGGCGGTTCCCGGCGCCGCAGGTCTGCGTTCTGTCGCCGGTGCAGCGCATGGAGCATTGCGAGGCGGGCGCGGAGGCGGAGGCGGGTGGGGGGGTGTTGCCGCACCAGCATTCTTGGGCGTATTCGGTGCCGCTGTATTTGTAGCCGCGGGTTTGGCAGGCGAGGGCGCAAAGTTGCGGGGTGAGGGTGGCGGAGGTGCCGTTTGTGGTCGGGAGGAGGCGCGTGTTGGTGTCGGTGTAGCAGCCTAGGGCGGTGAAGCCTGTGGGGAGGGGGGTGCTGGTGGTTGTGGAGAGGGTTGTTGGTGGGGAGGAGGTTGTTGATGATGGGGAGGAGGTGGTGAGGGATGAGCTCTGGGTCGTTGAGGATGATGCTGAGGATCCAGAGGTGGTCGTTGACGATGTGGAATGCGTTGTGCTTGTCGAAGTGAGCGAGGATGCCGACGACGTCGAGCTGGAGAAGGTGGCGCTGCTCCCACTCGTTAACGAACTTGAAGACGAGGCTCCCGAGCTCACTGAAGCAGAAGATGAAGACGAAGAGCCAAAGCTACTCGTCAAGGAGGACAGCGAGCTCGTCGATCCAACAGAGCCTGATCCAGAAGAGCCAGAGCCAGAGATGATCGAGGACGTCGTCGAGGCGGTAACCGAAGAGACAGAAGAACTCGCACCACCCTCCCCTTTCACAACCCTCGCCCCCCAAACCGCATTCCTCACAACCGCACCAACCAAACTCTTCAAATAGCACGCGTTCCCCAACATCGACAAATCCACACACCCCGTCGTCGTCGCGCAGGCATCGATACACTGCTGGAAGCTATTGATGCTCAAGGTCTTCATGTCGCCGCCCGCGTGGTCGATGCCGCATTCGATGAGGAAGGAGATGCCGTTGGAGGTGATGATGGTGTCGTTGGAGGCTGGGCAGGTTATTGGGGTGGAGGAGGCTGAGGGGGTTGGGGTTGAAGTTGATGGGGTGCTTCTGGTGAGGGTGTTTGGATCGGAGGCTGTGCTTGTGGTTGGGTTTGAGGTGGAGAGTGCTCCTGTGCTGCTGGATCTCGTCGCTGAGGCAGATGCGGTGGAGCTGGTCCGGACGTCTGAGCCTGAGGCTGTGATCGTGCTTGAGATAGAGATCGCACCCGTGCTGCTCGAAGCCGTCGAAATGGATCCTGTGGATGAAGAGGAAGAACCATCGACGAGCTTTGCTCCCCAGATCCCTCCGTTCGGCACAGCAGCACCAAGAACCGACTTGAGGTAGCATGTATTCCCCGACAGGCTGACATCGACACACTTATCGTTCTTCGCACATGCGTCGATGCACCCCTGAAAGCCGTTGACGCTGAGAAAGGTCAAGTCGCCTCCCTGATGGTCAATACCGCACTCGATCGTGAAGGTCTTGCCGCTGGATGTGACAATGGTGTTGTTTGACACTGGACAAGAGACAGCAGTCGGTTGAGATCCAGATCCAGAGGCAGAGCCGGACGATGTCGTGGCAGACGCACTGGCGCTGGAGGACGCACTGCTTGAAGCAACCCAATCCGCATCTTGATACACAGTCAGTCGATTCCCAGCTCCACAGAACTCAGAAGGATCATTCGCGCAGAGCATATTACACTCGTCGTCGTTCGTCCTATTAGCTCCAATCGCAAAATAATTGCCGCAGTAACACTCTGAACCATACTCCGCACCGAAGTACAGGTATCCAGAGCAATAGTTCGCACAAAACTTCAGCGTCATGGAATTCGATGACGTCCCCTTGCCTGCCAGAGCACGACCGCTCGAAGCCTCGGTGTAGCAAGCGATGTACGTGAAATCACCCACATTCTCCGGAGTTCCTGGCGTAGGCTGGAGTTGGGGACGGCCGTTGGAGAAGATGGAGAGTCGACTGTATCCACCGCACGTCTGGCTGGAGTTGCCAGGGCAGGTGTTTTGGCAGGAGCTTTCGATGACTTGTTGGGCGCGGTAGCCTAGTGATGAGCCGCAGAAGCATTGAGTGCCGAATTCCATGCCTGCGATGGTGTTGTTGCCGGAGGCACAGGTCTGGGCGCAGAGGTTGATGGTGTTGGCGTTGCTTTGGTAGGTCATGTTGGTGAGTGTCTGTGGGCTTTGATCGGACCAGCAGCCCCAGTAGGTCATGTTGCCGGCGTAGGTGTTGTTGTTGACTGAGGCAGCGGTGCTGTTGAGAGATGGGTTGGGATAGGGGTCATCGCTGGCTTGCTGTCGAGGATAGCCGAAGTCGTAGAAGCGATTGCCGTCGCCGTAGAAGTTGTCGAGGAAGAGACGAGCTTGTCCTGCGGCAGAGGCCATCATTGCGCCGCCGTCATGGCCTGTATTGACGAAGTCAACGGTATCACAGTTGCGTCCTTTCGGGTCCGAGCAGGTAGGTGGGAAGGCTTTGATGAAGTTGAAGAAACGTTCTGTCATCATTGTCAGCTGCTTCTCGTCTCATCAATACAACTCCACTCACCATTTCGATCCTTGCCCGTCGTTCTCGGAGCACATGTCGTAGAATCATCACCAAGATCCTGAGTCCCTCTACCGTAGTTGACCGCCTTGCTGTTATAGTTGGCCAGAATAGCAGCACGACCAGCATTCACAAGCCCAATCCCGTATGTCATGGGATAGTCTGCAAAAGCAGAGTAGCCATCTCTATAGTCATCATAATCCGGACACCCAGTTATCGGCAAAGGTCGATCAGTGCTGAGCCAAACGTAGCTGTTGGGATTGCCGACCCAGTAGCTAACTGGTGACTTTGTGTTGAGGTTTACACCGAGCGCAGCATATCGGTGAACAGTCTGGCCGCCGAGAGAATGGCCTGCCACGACGATCTGCTGCATCTTCGGGAAGAGCGTGCGATTGTCGAAGTACTGAACGATCTGGTCGAGGACCGTGTAGGAAGACGTATTCTTTGAGGTGGATGGGTATTGATTGTTGCCACCAGCCCTAGACAGCAATGAAGTGTTAGTTCACACTGCACTCCATGAACGTGGCTTAAACGAAACAAGGACAGACTTACGACCACTGAGAAGCCTTCCAAACCAAAGCATTCGAAGTCGACCCCTTTCCAGCCGACTGTCCATCAACCCACGGATATCCCGTGCCCTTATCGTCGCCATTCGGAAAGTACGGAGCCATGATAGCCACAGTATCGAAGTTGACGTTCGGATCCGACTTGACTTGGGCCAAAGCCGAGAGCATATTCGACATGTACGTTCCAGGATCTCTGTTCAGGCCATGGATGATGATCACCGCTCGCTGGATGTTGGCTTCGACGAGGCGCTTGGCGGTGTTCTTGCCGTGGGAGTAGTAGTTCGTCAAGGTGAGGTTCTTGTTCTTGCCTGAAGGGTCGTTGATGCGGAAGTAGGTGATTTCAGATCCGGGAACCATAGGCAGCGAGTTGGGGATGACATCCCCTACGTACTGTTGAGCTTCGGTAACGTTGGCCAAGGCGGCTACGAGGGCTGTGAGAACCGGAACGAGATGCATCGTGTTCTGGGTTGGCTGCGATGATGGATAGGAGATGAACGAATGCTGAAGCGCAGAATGAATGGAAGATAGCAGGAAACGAGAGTAAGCTATTCCACAACCACGGTTGGTGCAAAGTCCTTACCTTAGGCCAGAGGGCACCGAGCCTCAAATACCCATCTCCATCCAGCAATATCATTACACTGTGTGGCGGCGACGGTGGATCCCACCCGTCACCATGTGTCTGTCAAAATGGCAGCAGAACGCCACGGCTGCCATTCTCCAGCTGGAGAAGTTAGACACAGCCTGGTCGAGAACGTGAAGACTACTCCACGTTGGGAGCCGCATCGAAAGCGTCAGCGCCGGTTTTAGGTGTTCATGCAAAGATCGAGTCATCGAGGGACTCCGAGAAGACGAAGTGTATCCGCCATGACTGCTTTGGGCACTGCAATATGGCTACTTGCATTGGCCGAGACGCTGAAGCAGCTACCCGTGAGCACGGCCATCGGGCCGGGGTGGCCGAGTTGTCGGTATTCGAGGGGTCTCAATCCACCATTTCACATTCACGGAGCTGAAAGAGGCTTATTCCAGCATGCAATTGCAGTAAATGGATCGTCGTTGGTGTCTTAAGTCCATAGGAGTTCGCCGAGCCGGCCACTAATCTGGCATCATCAAGTAGCTGATGTACAACTTTTGCTTTGGTTTATTGACACCAATGTACGAGCAGCGCGACTTTACCGTTTTGATGTTGGAAGTGCTTCTGCCTTTGAGATGATATAGTGCTTGAGGAGCTGGTTTCTTGTCCGAATCTCGACGCCGCTATGGGTCTCGCGGCTTTTAGTCGCTCCATTGGACAAGCTCAGGGGCAAGGCTGGCACCGAAGACGTGTGGGTGAGCGATGAGCTTCTGCTTGAAAGGACCTTCGCCACCGGTGTTCATTGTTGTAGTCCAAGTCAGGAGGAATCTGTTGGTGCTACCACAAATAGATGCGATATCCTAGCACTAGTTCCAAGTCCTTACCCAGGCTTGTGAATCATCAGACGCCGACACATCACTTGACGTCAATAACATGACCTCGTAGCATTAGCATCGAGAGGAAAAAATGGCAGGGTGCATCGAATCCAGTAGACAACGCGGCCATGTACAAGAACAGAGTGAAACGCGAGCTGTGTCAGTAGAAAACCGGCAAAGCATGGCCCAACTCTGTCACCGACTGCTTTCACCCAAAATGATCGTGACGTTCCTCCGGACAGGTTTCTATCCAGTCCGGTTTTGGTACGTTTCGGAGCCAGGTCGGAAAGCAGCATGCTTCACGTAACGGAGCTGACCTAAGCTCGGCCAGTGCAGTGCAGCTAAAGCTTGCAAGTACAGCGCTAGCATGTCGTTTTGGTAGAACCGACGTCTGTGGAGCTACACATTGTGCTCTCATACCACCGGTTACTGGTCCAGACGGAGAACAAGAAAGCGAAATGTTCGACAAGATGATCCCAGAGTGGACCAACCTGGCACGCTGTTCCCATCTGATGGATATCGGCCGAGGATCCAGGCTCGTTGCGATGATAAAAGGGACACCCTCGCCCAGATTCGTCATGGCATTCGATCATTCTTGAAACAATGTCTTCCTCCATCCGTACAGTTGGTGTCGTTGGCACTGGTGTCATTGGCGCCTCGTGGACTGGGCTCTTCCTCGTACGGGGACTGAAGGTACTCGTGTCTGACCCAGGTCATGACGCCGAGAAGAATCTGGCAGAGAATTTGCGCAAAATGTGGCCCTCCATCGAGCAATTGGGTCTGTCGCCAGGGGCATCGTTGGACAATTACAGCTTTGTTGGATCCAGCTTGAAAGACCACTACCAGGAAGTCGACTTCATTCAGGAGGTGTGCACCTTCTAGTCGATCGCTGTTGTCTGATGCTGATATTGCGCTAGAACGCCCCAGAAATCCAAGGCTTGAAGGAGGGTCTCATCGCAGAAATGGACGAAGGTACCAGAGAAGACATCGTCATCGCCTCATCATCCTCAGGCATACCCAGCTCCCAGTTTGTCGGCAAGTGCAAGAAGAATCCAGGTAGAGTGTTGATAGGCCACCCATTCAGCCCGCCGGCTCTGATGCCGCTCGTGGAAGTGGTGCCGCATCCAGGAGGCGATGAGGCGGCAACTCAGCGGGCGATGGACTTCTACAGGAGCTTGGGTAAACATCCGGTGTTGCTGCGGCAGGAGACGCCGGGTTTCGCGGCGAATCGACTTCAGGCAGCCATCAGTAAAGAGGCATACAGCTTGGTCAATCGGGGCGTCCTCTCGGCCGAGGATTTGGGTGAGCTTCGATCCGCTCCATTGATGAGGTGTGTTGGCTGACGATGAAATATCTAGATGCCTGCGTGACCACAAGTCTCGGGCCACGTTGGGCGCTGACCGGACCATACATGTCGAATGTTTTGGGAGGAGGCGGAGGAAGTACTGGCTTCAAGCATCTACTCCATCATCTCGGGCCAGGCATGAAGGTTTGGCTTCATGACATGGATGAGCACTCATTTGACATCAACGATGAGAACATCGATCATCTTGACGAGAGCGTACAGGCTATGTTGAAGGACCACTCGGTACAGCAGGTTGAGGAGCAGCGGGATGACGTTCTGCTGAAGTTGTTGGCTCTGAAGAAAGACAAGTCGGCGTTAGTTTGATGAGAGGTTTTGCCTTGGGCAGCAAGCAGGCCGGGAAAATATCGCTCTGCGTATCTCTTCGTAGGATGGATGCAATCTGAACGCTTTCGGGTGTCAGCTCGCGATGGACTCGCATAGCTGGTCACGATCCCAATTTCGAGATTGTAGCACCGTAAGCTGGTTGTTGGTTGGATCTGTCCCTGCATTTCGTGGCCTCTGAGTTCCCGGCTACAGGTGTCAATGACCACAGATCCTGGCCACTCCCACGGGGCGACCACCAACAACCCTCCTGTCATCTTATTAAACAGCTGACACAAGGTAGAAGTTTCCAGCATTCGATGCAAATGATGTTTGGGCAGCGGTGCTAGAAGGGCGCTCGCCCTCCGTTGGGCTCCAAACGATATTGTCAGGCCGTGGGCGGCATTTTTCACACGAAGCCGCCCGGCCGCCAGGATGATTCCAGTCGTGAGGAGGGTGTCGTGTGGCTGCCCGGCTGTTCGCCCAAGCATCGCTGCAAATGCCGCCCTCTCATGACGGTGAACGGAGATTTTCGAAGCGTCGTGAATGGTGGCAATGATGTCGCGTGCAGAAGGTGTGTGACAGCTGACGTCTGTTTGGGGGCGAATATCTGCTTGGAATCCGTAAGTTAGGCCAAAAATAGCAAGGCGAAATCTGCAAGGCACGGCCCAATAATGATTTCTTGGGCCGGCGATTGGCTGGGACGACCGCCTCGATTGTTCGCAAGGAACAACAGAGTCGATTCTTCTGCCTTCTCCCTCCTCATCGAATGCGCCTGCGTGCGCGGAAGCTTCATCGTCCGCATAAGCGATGTTGGTCATTTCGACGCCCTCACGACGACGACGACCAGCATGATGCAGCATCCGGCCGAGGGCGAGGCGCAGAGAGTGAGGCGGGTGTCCGTGTCTGTCTTGTCTCGTCTCGTCTCCTGACTGCCAGCGCCGCCGACGACTCCGACTCGCTGCTCGCCGCCCAAACGTGGGATGCGGTCGTGACAGGCCCAATCGGTGTTTCGCCTCGTCCAGTGCAGACCAAGGCACCGCGCTGCGACTGTTGCTGCGTGTTACGTATGCACCTGGGTGTGTCCTGCGTCGGTGTCGCAGCCTGGGCCGAATCATGGCGCGGAGGTGCCTGCAGCCAGGCAGCCCGCTGCAGTGGAATGCAGCCGTTCGCACGCTGCAAACTGCTGTCCGCCTGAAACCACTCTTTCTGCCGGCATCATTCAATGCGATGGGTGCGGGTTTGCGTGAGTCACTCGTTGGATGATTACGAGTGTTTCAAGACGACGCTGCCTGGCGGCCTTCCGTGCTAAGCCTCCAGATCCCCAACGGCCGCGTTGTTAGAGGCCGCCCTGGCAGAGGGAGACTCCGCCATGACAGCCCAGTCCAAGGTTGGGCCCTGCCATGATGCCGCCTGTAGGCCGCCTATAAGGCGTGAATGACTTTCGTATAAAGTCCTCCCTGCACCTCCCTTCCTTCTATGCACAACTGTTCCTTTGCCATCGACATCTTCCAGCAACAACCACAACATCGATAGCCGGCCTATCCCTTGCAGCACACAACCACTTGAAACACCATTACCATCCAACAACACCGTCGACCACCGTCACCGTCAACCATCTCTGGTTGACCCGATCCAACTCCCTACCTCTGGCGGACAACACATCCACTCAGCAGGACAACAAACCTGAGAACAAGTTTGATCACAAGAGAGACTCCAAGTTACCCGAAGAGGTAAAGAAGTCTTCTCAAGCAACCGAAGAGAGCTCCAAGGAGCAAAGCAACGAACAACCAGAACAACAAGCCTCCGACGAAATGGCCAAGGGCGACTCCTACATGCTCCGCAAGAGCACCACCTTCGGCACGGAGGGTACGTCCTTGCAACCACTCCCACCCTTCAACATCATCATCTAACTCCTCCCCAGGCTCCTACTACCCCTCCGACCACTCCACATCAAGCAGCTCCCGCCGCAACAGCCCCAACTACAAACAACCCAAAGTCATCGTCCACAAGCCCTCGGGCCCCAATACCGACGACGAACCTTCGACGCGGGACACTCCCTACGGCGGGGTCTACAAATAAACACCTTCTCTTTTTAAAACAACTTCTTTTCGCAGGGAGGAAAGGATGTACGAGTAACGGCAGTACGATATCGCATAGAGGGACCAGGCGCAAGAGAACACCAGACTGCAAAGAGCAATCACAATGACCTTTTAGGAATACTGGATTTGGCGTTAGCAAGGATTGAGATTCATGAAGGACACAAAGGCGCAATGGGAAAGACAGGAAGAAGAAGAACGATCTCACGGCCCTCACCGGCTATCGATCGATATTATTGGCATTTTGACAGGCACGATACCCCCCAAACAAACTACCTCAAAAAACTTTGAGCAGGTATGTTGTTATGTTATGATTATTAGAACAAGAGATGAAACCTGAATGAAGCAAGATGTGGTTCAGATCACTTACCACTTTCTACTATTTCTTTGTTGTTCTTTGCTCCACTTTCCCTGCAGCTCGTCCAGCTACCTTACCCAGCTGCTGGGTGAGCTTCTTCCTTGTCCATGCTGTAGCTGCGGTTGTTGCCCCACTGTGGGTGTCACTGACCATCCATACCACTCTCGAGCGAAGGTCATGTCGTAGTCGTCTGCGAATTTCGCTGCTGCGAGAAGTCGCGTTGGCCGAAAAGACGCATGGGCACACAGCGCATCTGAATGCCACAGTGCGCCACACAGCTTCATCGCAAGGTGTTCCGCCACTGACCAGAAAATCGCCTCAAGCGTCCAGAAACTGGGCGCCGCCAGAGCTGCATTGGAGATCAATCTCCGAATGGTGAAGCAGACGAGCCGTGCGAGGAATGCTATAAGAATGGAAGACGGTTGCTGGACTTCCTACAACATTATTGAGCTTGGGTCCATGCTGTACCCATCAACGGAAAACCCCTCAGCACCTTCGTCTACTAATAATGCCTGTCTCGAGGACTTGTGAGACCCAGCTTTTTCTTGTAAACTCGACTTGATGAACTTCTTATCAAAGGAAGAGAGGATGAAGAGGCGTCTCACAAGACCACGTTTACCATCCCACTCACTCACCTCAACCCAAACGCATCCGTCTAAACGACTCTACACTTCAGCAATGCATACAGGTCCGCATGCTGCATCCTTCGTCCTCTGCTGACCGACACACAAAGCCTCATGTCCATCCCCAAAGAGCAAAAGGCAGGCAGTGGTGGTGGAGCCGACATCCAACTCCTGCAGCTTCCCCCATCCCATGCCCATCCCCAGCCATCACCTCCCCGAACTTCGCAAAGTGCGATTTCTGCACACCTGTCTCTCCCTCGCCGTAGGAGTATACGTCCGGATGCAACGGCATGCGACCGCCAAGGAAAAGAAAACCCAACGCAACGCTTGCAGCAAAGAAAAAAGCGCTCCTCGTCTAGCTATAATGTTCGCTACGAATGCAATGCGAGTAGTAAGAAAACCCCAGCTTGCGTCGTCCTCGTCCTCGTCCTCACCCATCCCATCGTTTAGACATCCAAACGACGGGAAGGATGAATGCATGAAACATGGCTGTACTTTTTCCTGTGCAAGAAATCGAGAGCTTTTCGCGAGGATTGCTTATGGGCTTCTGACCAACGCACCGCATGAGGGCTTTCGCTCGGGGTTGGGAGGCTTCTGGGGGATTTTCTGGGGTGAACCAAACGGCAGCGAAAGTTAAAGTCGTGTGGATTGTGGAGGAAGCTCTCTTCTGGGGGCGAGGGGAGGATTCGTGCACGTCAGCGGCTGCTGGAAGATTGCAGATTGCAGATGGGAGGGCTGGGGCGGTGGAAGTAGGTTTGTGTCTGAGAGAGTGGGTAAATCAAAGAGCGCAGAGAAGAGATGAGGGCGAGGATAGAGTAAATATCCAGATTCGTGAATTATTATCATTTCACACATCTCTCCCCCCCATCATCATCACCAGCCAGCCGATCCCAAAATGCCAACCCATCCGCATCGTTCTCGTCTCATCAACATGACTACTGTAGAGGGGGTATCTTCATTGACGACAAGTCTGGGGTCTATTTTCCTTCAATATATTAAATGTAAGATCGTACGAGATGCTGCAAAGCAAACAGATTGCTGTTTTAAACCTGCTGCTCAGCGCGAGCCTCGCTGTTGTCGACCTTCTTGCGGTTCTCGCGACCCTTCTCGGACCAGGGGAAGTGGGCGACGGGGACGACGAAGAAGGAGTTGCTCGAGTCGGCCATACCGGCGAAGGCGTTGTACCTGGAAATCTGTTAGCAATGTGCACATTATTGAAGGTCTTTTGATGGTCCTGTCGTACCAAGCCGCGAAAGCTGCAATGATTCCAAAAGCACCACCAGCGCGAAGGCATGCGGTGTTTGGCTCTCCAGTTGGGCCGTAGTCAAGGTAGGCGATGCCGAGCATGAGGAAGGCGAGATCCAGCGTCAGGAAGAGGAAGCAGAACGCGACGGTCGATCGGAGGGTGAGGATAAGCAGGAGGAATGTGAAGATAAACCAGCCCTGGGTATTTTCGTTAGCTTGTTACATCAATCGAGTGCTTATTTGCGGCGCATACCATCAGATAAAGACCAAACGAGTTCAAGAAAGGCGCTGCATTGCCGCCCGCCTCAAGAGTCGAAATGATTTCGAATCCACCTGGTGTCAAGATGATCGCAGTGCCGATCCAGAAACCACCGTACGACGAGAGAGCGGTAGCACCGAAAGTGTTGCCAACAGCCATTTCCCTGTGAAACACTCTATCAGCGAATTGAAAGCAATCAGTGAGTTCTTTGATCTGTACATACCACATGCCGGCAAGAAGTTGGCAGAGACCACCATACGCGAACGCAGCACCAATGACAATGTTTGGCTCGCTGAGACCTCGAGTGCCGAGGTTGATGGCGGAGAGCAGGAAGGTCGTCAAGGCGAAACCGCACAGACCGAGAGGAGCTGGGTTGGCGAAACTGTTCTTGGTGTCGACCTTGTAGAGACCGGGCTGCATGGCACCACCGAAGGCCTGGAGACGTGCAGAGTCGCCGGTGTTGATGTGCGCGAGAGGGTTGCCGCCATAGTCGTAAGGCTTGCGCTGCTTGGCGTGGTCGTGGGAGCTGGTGCCGTTGCCGTTGATGTGGTCGGCCTCCTTGTGGGTGTCGTTGAACTCTTGAGCTGCCGACATGGTGGCTGAATGTATATGCAGGTGTCTTGACAAGTTGGAGATGCTTGGACGCGCCTGGGATAGCAATGCCTCGAGATGGACACTTGTGGGAGATGCGAGCACAAGGTAGGACAAGAGAGAGGAGCACCAAAGGATGCGAGACGTGACCTACCCCGACCTATATAGTGAAGCTAGGAGCGGACTGCAGGTCATGGCTCATCTCAGCACAGCGCGGACGAGGGGGCCCGTGATGGTGCGGACGGGTTTGGGCTAGGCGCACGACGATGAACATGGAGGGCTCCATCTGCCACCATCGCATCGACGCAGCAGCAGTGACTAGTGGAGTCGGTCGGTCGGTCAATACGCTCGCGCGGTATGTGGGGTGCTGCCGTCTCCAGAGGAGCTAGCGGATGGGTATGGGGACGGGCCAATGGCGCGAAGGGAGCAACAGGCTCGGCAAATGAGGTGTGAGCAGTAGTGACTGGAGTTGATTGATGCGGTGGACGCTGCGTCTGATGAGGAGGCGAGGTGGGCGAGCGAGCGCAATCTTGTTGATGGTAGCTCGGATGACTGCGCCGTCTAGCGAGCGTTGGACAAACGCCTGCATACCACGTTCAGCAAGACAATAATAATGAGAGAGGGAAGAGTGCCAGGCCGAGGAGATTCCATCGCGATATCCCCACTGTTTCTCTGTCTCCAGGTCCGGTCGGCAGCGGGAAGACTTCTGGCGGCAGATCATTTTCAATGTGTGGTGTGGTGAGAGTGAGGAGAGCTGCCAGACGACGTCAAACCCAAGACTGTCGCGCTGCAGCTAAGCATCCAAACTGGCTAAGCGGCTGAAACTCTCTTTGCGATGGTCGCGACCATCGAGAGAACCGGCGGTTGGCCCTGTAATTGTTTGCTCACGCGAACCAGCAATTGGTGAGAGGCTGCTGGGCACACGTAGAGCAAGACATTATTGCCATCACAAGATCCATCTCACGTCCAGATCACCAACAGGCTGTACACGCTGTACTGTTGTCAAACGATAGGCTCGATAATGGTGACGTCCTCGGTCGCCAACCACACACTCATCATGCATGCAGGCATATGGGCGTCGCAGACTGAGTTCGTCCACATTTGTCATGACGCAGACCAGCAGAGCCCTTCCACGGACATGGCGTCGGCACACCTCCGGACTCCGCACGCTGCATTTCTCTCTTTCGAACCACACTCGTGATGGAAGGTGCGGCGAAAAGTAAAAGACCAACTGGCGCCGTGCTGGAATCTGCCTCGTGCGTGCCCATCCGTGGAGCACTTTCGCAGCGTCTGACATTTTTTGTGGAACCGTGCTCATCTTCGTCCGGGGCAGCGGGAGCTGAGAGCCATTCGCTTGACCATGCGGCGTCATCATGCAAGTTCCATTTTCTCGCAATCAAACAACCAGCGTGACAGGCAGATTTCTGCTGGTGCTTTCACCCGGAGAAAGGCCCTATCGAACCAGCTCTCTCCGTCGGCACATGCGACTCTCGGGTGTGTGGACTTCGCTTAACAAAGCAGTCTTTCTCCTGTTTACCGTGCTCTGGGTAATCGTTGAAGCGAAGGAAAGAAGGTTGTGGGGATAAGTTGGGGACGCCCCGAGGCGTTGCTTGTGCTGCAGTATCAAGTTAGCCGGACAATCACCCTCTCTGCCACTGGACCGCTTCGGCAAGGCAGGTGTTTTAGCACACGTTGACACCTGCTGCGGCGTCTGCTGGCGAGGCTCGTTTCGCGAGATGGCGGTCCAGTCTAGAAGACAAGCAATGTACAAGCACCGCCGCAAGCATCGCCTTTGGACGAGTATTTGACTAGGATATGTTGCCCTCCACCACCCCAGCGGGCACCCTCAAAGGACTCCGCTGAGTGCCCATCGGATGCCTGTTCAACACGTGTATGCTTGACCCACCGTCTTGCGAGGTTAAACCAACGCACTGCATCATGAACACCGCTCTTAGTTCACCGTGATACCGCCATCAGCGGTGACCATCGCTGAGAAAGGAATTCGTTAGCACTGCTTATCGCATAATCGGTGAATCTTCATTCACTCACCTCCATTGATGAAATCGGCATCGTCCGAGCATAGAAATGCTACAAGCTTGGCCATCTTCTCCAGCTCCACCACAGCACCTTCCCATTCTCCGACTGCGAAACAATCAGCAACCACCATAACCCGCAGAACTTTGGTCAACTTACAGGCCTTCTTCATCAACTGCATGCCTTCCATATTGAAATCGCCGTTCGCCAGGACGTTGCCAATGTTCGTCTGCATCGCACCAGCAGCAATGGCATTGCAACGAATGCCTTTTAGCCGATAGTACGCAGCTGTGCTTCGAGTAAGGCCGATCAAAGCGTGCTTCGATGCCGTGTATGCGACTCCTGTTCGGATCCAGTCAGCCATCTTCCGCAAGAAAGTTCCCGGGACACCACGAACCATTGGCGAAACCCTTGAAGCTTGCCACCGAGGCCATGTTGAGGATGGAACCCTTCTTGTTCGACTTCAGAAACCCATTGACCGCTCGCTTGGTAATGAACGTCGGCGCCGTCAAATTGACAGCAAGCACCCGGTTCCACTCGTCGAGCTCGATATCTCCAGGGCATGTGAAGCGATCGATTATGCCAGCCGAATTGATAACGATGTCGAAAGTTCCGAATTTCTCTTCCGCCTGCTTGAAGAGTTTGTCCAAGTCATCTTGAGAAGTGATATTGCATTCCACCGCGAGGGTTTTGTTCGGGTGAGCAGAGGTCACCTTCTCATCGAAGTCGGCCAGCAGCTCCTTGTTGATGTCGCAGATGACCACATTCGCCCCGTCGTTGGCAAAGTTCTCCGCAATCTTTCTTCCCAGACCTCCACCGCCTCCCGTCACGAGAACTGTTTTCCCTTCGTGTTTGAGAGCCATGTCTTTCTGTCGATTCTGAGTTGTGAGAAAAAGCCGTAAAACTTTTCTCGTGGCAGAGAACTTCACAAACAAATACCACGCGGCCTCAGCGACGCAGTAACTTATATACCACCCGCAAGCGACACAACCAGATCCGCTGCTCTGTCAGACAGTCCTGTGAATCCTGTCAAGCGAGCGCGGTACCGATGATGGAAGGACAGAAAACCGTACGTTTTTTTCCCACACAAGAAACGGTGCGAGGCGAGGGTCCTTTTTAGGCGCTTCGTATTGCTCGGAAAGAAGATTGTGTGGAGGAGAAACACATCTCGTGGCGGATTAAACGAAGGAGAAGGAAAAGGAGAGCCGACTTCCTTTCCTTTAATTTCATCATCAGCATCAGCATCTTGCTGTGCCTTCGACCGAGTTCGGTCATCGTCGCAGCAATTACTCGGTTGGAGCGGTGTTGTGAGCTTGAGCTAGCTCCATCTCTTTACTGTTTGCTGATGAGGACTTTGTCTCTTCCTGATGGCTTGCATGTCCTGTGGTACAGGATCTTGGGCCGTCGCTGGCCATGCTCGGATGCATATCGCTTCTTGATCGCAGGCGCCGCAGATGTATCCATCAAGATCTCTGTGTCATGTTGTGTTCCTGCAGGTGGCAGGTGAAATCCTTCCCTCTGGAGCCGAACAACCGGACACTCTTCCCAATTTTACTTGCGTACTTCTTAGCACACGCGCAGTACTTGTAGGCGCAGCCAAAGTCTGCCTCAGGTTCACTTCACACTTCACTTCACGCTCTCTATCCTTCGACTCTACACCGCGGTCAAGATATCCCCTGGGCTCTTCTTCTCATCGCCCTGGAGCATGCGATAGTAGCGAGTTTCAGCTCTCCGTTGATCGGCCGTGTGCTCCAGCTGCGATGCCTTTTGCGAAATGCCGTCGGCAATAGTCGATCCAGTGCTCGAATACCTGTTCGCACTTATTGTCTGTTGAACCTTGCGGTAATGCCATCAGTACTGCCGTCGGCAGCGATCGCGTCTTCTGCGAATGAGGCTTTAAATCTAAAGGTTGCCGAATGTAGGTCTGATTCGGTGTTCTAACTCACAGAATCGGAGTCATCACGAATCGAGTTGTCTTATTTCTTAGGGGTGGCGGACAATGGCAACGACGAACGAGATATCCTTGGAAAAGCCGCCATTCTCGTCTCTCAAAGGCAAAGTCATCGTCCTCACAGGTGTGCTCTCTCATGTACCAGGCTCCTGAGAGATACCTACAACTGATTGAACCTGCTCAGGCGGCGCAAGCGGCATCGGAGCAGCGACAGTACGTTCGCTGCACTCCAGCGGCGCTCTCGTCGTCTTCGGCGACGTCAACGCAGATGCTGGCCAAGACGTGCTGCGCTCCCTAGACGACACGTCAGGCATCACGTTCATCCCGACGAACGTCACATCCTACGCCGCCAATCTGAAGCTCTTCCAGACGGCACATGAGCTACACGGCCGCATAGACCATTCCCTGGCGATTGCAGGCGTCTCCGAGACCTCGAACTGGTTCGATGCCGCACTGACGGCCGACGAGATTGCCATCGAGCCGGACACACTCACCCTGGATGTCAATCTGAAGGCGGTGTTGTTCTTCACTCGGATAGCCTTGTTCTACCTGAGAAAGGGTGGGGCTGGTTCAGACCGATCGATTACGTTGTACAGCAGTGTGGCTGGTTTTCTTTCCCGGCCCGGATTGCCTCTGTATCAAGTATGCGTGGTGCTTTTCGAGAGTTCCAACGCAAAAGGCACTGACGTCTTCTTCAGTGCTCGAAACACGGCGTTCTCGGCTTGCTGAGGGCGATCAAGGTACGATCACGCATGGACGTCCATTGCCTGACATTTGTTGCCGTTGACTTGTTCCACGCTAGGATCAAGCTTACACCAAAGACGGCATCCGAATCAACGCCATGTGTCCCGGGATGACAGAAACCAACAGTGAGTAGTCCCACCAAACCCACACATAAGACAACTATTATACCAACAAACATCCAGTGACCGCCTCCGCGCTCCCCGCCCTCCGCGCCGCAAACATCAACGTGCAATCCGCCGCGGACGTCGCCGATTTCGGCCTGACTTTGACAAGTAACCGTGCTCTGAGAGGGAAGGCCTTGCTGTGTTTGAGAGGCCGAGCCTGGGATATCGAGGAGGGAATTGAGCGGACGATGGATCTGTGGTTGGGCGAGACGCCGTCTGCGATTTTGGCGGAGAATTCGAGGATTTTGTCGAAGGTAGATGATTGTAATTGTGAGAGGTGCGGGGATGGATGGATTGTAGCTGACGATTGGGTGATAGGCATCGGCTTGGAAAGGGTGATTCATTCTGAGATGACTAGCTTGGCATGTGATTGCCAAGGCCGGTTGATTCATTTGATGTGCTCGTGTAGATCAGTCAGCGCTCGTTCAGTCAAGAGCCGTCTGATGATAGAAACAAATGTATTCGTCATATTTGTTTCGTCGAGTGCTGAACAGTCCTGAGGTTTCGCGGCCTTAACAAGTTCTACAGTGTTGGACAAGCCGGGTGACTCGTCCCCCTGCTACCCAAGACAACTTTTCGACCCAGGCAGCAAGAACTCGACTTGTGAGCTGGCTCTCCTCACTCCACCCGACAGCCGTAATTTACGATTCCAAGCTACGGCATACCAGCGACCAGCTTCTCATAAACCGCAGAATCTTCCACATCAGCCGGACGATTCGCCTCTGCCTCCTCCCGGATCAACGGCGCCACTGCCTCATCGCGTGGCCTCGCCGTCGCCTCGAATCGAGCGGGTCCATACACCGGACCGCCAGCTATGAAAGAATCATCAGTAAACCACTGCTTCCATCAAGCATCAAAATGAAATGAGTCTTACAGTATCCCGGCCCAGGAGTCTTCTCCGGATTGCCCACAAAATCAAACGCCCACAGCATACGGCTGATCACGATATAAAGACTCGCATCCGCGACATGTTTCCCAGGACACTCTCGCCGGCCGAAGCCGTACGAATAGTGACAGTCGATGTTGCTGGCTTCCGGGGCAGCGCGGGGATCTGTTCGGGCGAGGTATCGTTCTGGCATGAAGATTTCGGGCTTCAGGAAGACCTTGGGGTCGTTGTGGATGGCGGACACGTTGCCGATGACGGTCGCGCCTGCGGGGATCGTGCTGCCTCTGTATGTGTCTTGTCGGCTCGTCGCGTGGGGAAAGGCTAGGGGGACGGCGCTGGCCCAGCGGTGGGTTTCGGTGATCATGGCGGTGATGTAGGGGAGGTTGGGGCGGTCCTCCCAGCCAGGAAGGCGGTCGCGTCCAACGACAGAGTCGATTTCCCTCTGTGCCTCTCTCATAACGTCGGGGAACATCACGGCCGCCTTGACGAAGTGCTGCAGCGTTGTGGCGGTCGTGTCTGTGCCTGCCGCCATGGTCGTGGCGATGATATGTGGGGGCTCTTCTGGTCTCAAGTTCGATCCCTTCTCCTGGAGGATGCTCGCGAGGAAGCACACCGGCGCCTCGCCCCGGTCTACCCGTTCCTTGATCCGATGATAGAACACCGCGAAGAACGGCATAATCTGCTCGCGAAGCTGGACTGCTTTCCTTCGCCACGGCGCCAGCACATCGGGGAGGCGATCCAGAACCGGGATCCAGTCTACCAGCCAGCGACCGGGTGCGATGCTCTCGAACATCAGGCCCATTCTGGCTTGGAGTTTCCGTGGGATCAAAGCCTCTGACGATTCGAAGCGGCATCTCAGCAGCATGCCAAAGGTAACGCTGGCCGAGTACCTTGTCACTTCTTTCCAAAAATCATCAGGATGCTCCAGCAGGTTCAACAAAGATTGCCGAGATTCGAATTCCTGGAAGGGCATGAAAATCTTGGAGTTCTGCATGCCGAGGAGATCGTGGTAGAGCTTCCGTTGTTTGCGCCATTGGTCATTGTACGGCAACGCGACGATCCTCGAATTCTGCGTGATCAGGCTGGCCTGGTTCGAGAGGCGTGGTCGTGAGCTGTACACGGAGCCCTGCTTGATCAAGAGGTCGTTGACTGCTTCTGGACTGCTGAGAACGAAAACGGGAGATCGCCCGATCTTGAAGTGGTAGAAGTCTCCGTATTGGTATGACCATTCGCGGGTTTTGATGTGGAGGGGTTTGTCCTTCTTGAAGATCGCCACTGTTCCGACGAGAGGTAGGCTGAAAGGGCTATCGGGGAGAGTGCGAGCCTGGTTGATGGCGGAATGTAGAGCAACGCAGAAGATGAGAATTCCGGCGAGCCAGAGCGCTGGATGTGTTTCTTCAATCTTGAACATGGCGGGCAGTACGTCAGCAGCAGAGCTGAGTTGTGAGAGATGCAGTATTTAAGTATCTCCTGGACCGGTATTGGATTAAATTGAGGCGAGGAGAGAGGTCCATGTTGTCATCATTTGGCGAAGTGCACGGCTGCAGGCATACATTGGCCATGGAACTTCGTGCAGCCGTGTTCACAAAGAGCGAGCAGCAGACTTGGGCGAAGACTCCGTTGGGACTTGTTGCTGCGTCTGTTTCATTCGGCTTTTCGTCATTTGCAATGCTCGGAAATATAGAATGGTTGCAAAGCTGGCACAAATCCGCTGTTCTCTGCGTCTTGCCAAACATGGCCCTCTAACTCTCACTTGCTTTACTGGTCTCGTCGAGCCGATCTTGCCTCGGTAGCCTGACCATGTCGTCGTCGACAAGGGCTTTTCTTTTCTCTGCGTAGCACCTCACGCCATCGCATCTCGATACATGAACAGTAGCAGGACAGCCGGGACATGCGTCTGCTCCGGCTTCTTGATTATCTGGTCATGCTGGGCATGGTGATTGAACTGAAGAAGCTTGTGCAGCGAAGCCGAAGGGGATCGAAGGATATGAGGACTATCAGGAAGAAGAAAGGGTCGTGGTCGTTTGAAGCACAAGTTACACAGACCACTTTGGTCCGGCAGTGAGCGCCACCAATCAAGTCGCCCCATGTCGCTCGCAATGTCCCTTCACGTCCTGCCTCCAACGCGGCTTCATCTCATGCAACAACAGCAAATCGAAGGCGGGGTTGTAATGTGAAGCGCATCGCGTGATCAAAGGTGGAGCAGGCTGGAGACGATGATAGAAAAGGTAGGAGCATGGCCGAAAGACTGCGGCATTAACTCTTTCGAAGTCGCTATTGGCATACTCCACCACGCAAATAGCCACGACCTGTTTGATCTCGACTACGGATTCACCCGTGGACATGTCCATAAGTTGCGACATCACGTCGCCTTACGGTACTCAAAGTACCCTGGAACGCTCGCCAAAGAACACATCATTACTGACCCTCAGCATGACCAAGCGATATGATGTCGACCAAGTGCCAGGCGAGTTGCCTTCAACCAATGTCGACGAGAATGTCGATTTGCAACAGTTCCAAGATCTAGCCCACCAGACTTTGAAAGACCTCGAATCCGGCACGGCCAATCTGGTCGACACAGCCTTGTGGAGAGATTGGCTCGCATTGACCGGCAAAGTTCGTACATTCTATACACGCGAGAAGATTGTGTCGACATGGAAGCAAAACACGCCTGGGTTGGCCAACATCACATTACAACCCGCGGTCTTGATTAAGCCGACGTCTTTTCATTCCTGGATTGACGTTCCTTTCGAGTTCCTTTCGCCGCATGGCAAGCTTGTTCGAGCTTGCACCGGTAGGATTTCTTTCCAGGCACTATCTGACGGGACATTTGGTGTTTGGATGCTCGTGACCACGATGATTAGTTTCATCGGACAGAATCATCCTGATTTCCCTCAACAAGTCAAGAATGGATCAGAGAACCGCGCAGTCAGTGGCACATCGAACGGCTCTCACAACCACATCAATGGTAACGGAGAAGACTACGCCTCAATTCGATATGATGCTATCGTCCTTGGCGCAGGTCAATGTGGACTCTCCGCCGCCGGCAGATTGTCAGCTGTTGGAGCCAAGTATGCGATCCTGGAACGAGAAGCCTTTGTTGGAAAGACCTGGACTCAGCGTTACGAGACCGTCAGACAGCATACGATTCGAGAGTACAACAATCTCCCATTCGATCGTACTTGGGGAGAGAACGACCCGACTCTGCTTCCGGGTAAGATCGTGGCAGAGGGATTCGATAACTACATCAAGCGATATAACGTTAACATTTGGTATCAAGTAGAGACCCGCGCAGCCACATGGAACTCTGACCGAAGAGAGTGGACACTTGAGGTCACGGTCCATGGACAAGAGCGTAGGGTGGTGTGTAAGCATCTTATTGTAGCCATCGGAGGTGGATCAGGCGGTGACAACCTGCCACACCTGGATGGCACATCTGATTTCCAAGGTCTTCTTCTAGGATCAGGCGCTTACAAGCACAGTCGAGACTGGGCAGGCAAACACGGTGTCGTTGTTGGTTCGGCTACGATGGCTCATGACATCGCCCATGACATGTACAAAGCCGGTCTTCGATCTGTGACCATGGTTCAACGAAGCAAGACGGCAATTTATCCTATGGAGTGGGTGGCCAAAGGACAGGAAGGTGAGTTCTTTGACATCCAACATCGAGACGTGACTAATGATCTGGGAGGTTTATACAACACTGCAATTCCCACGGCCGTAGCGGATGCGCGCTCTGCCAGCCTGCCAAACAAGATTCTCCGAAATATCACTGCAGTCAACTTCAACGCCAGAGGAGCTCTAGAACAAGAGAGATTCGACGCTCTAGAGCGCGCAGGATTCCGTGTGGACCGAAAGACGCCCATGTTTGACAACATTTTCAACCGCTTTGGAGGCTACTACATCGACGTCGGCGCTTCCAGCCTCATCGCCAGGGGCGAGGTCAAGGTCAAGTCGGGGGTCCCGATTAAAACGCTTACTGCCCATGGCGTCGAGTTTGCAGACGGAACGGAAATCTCTGCGGACGTCATTGTCCTAGCCACCGGCCAAGAGCATAATCACACACATCAGTTGAGTCTTATTGTGGGTTCGGATATTGCCAACAGCATCGACGGCTTCTGGGGGATGGATGAAGAGGGCGAAGTTAGAAACGTCATGAAAACTGCAGGTAAGGATGCACGAATAGGGAAATGAAGTCCGATGTTTTCTGACAATGCATCTCAGCGCCTGGTCTGTGGCTATTTGCAGGCAACACACTTTGGGCTAGGTGGTGGTCGAGGTTTATTGCTCTTGGAATCCAGTCCGACATATTGGGAGAACCTTTGAAGTGTGTCAATCAGGCTGCCTAGAGCCATTGATAGTCGTGCAAGGCATTCTGTCCACCAGCTAGATATCACGTCTTTCCCGAGTTCTTGGATCGTCGTCATGTCGTGTTCCTGCAGGCGCCAAGTGGAATCCTTCTCGCTCGTGGCCGCAGCGATTGGCAGCAAGCTCGAGCTCTCCATGGAGGAAGTACGAGATGGTAGTGCAAGGCAGCCACTTTCTCTCTCTTGTACAAGACGGTTCTTAGTGGTCAATTCAGCTCCGCCCATTGATCTCAGTATTGTGAGAAAGCGAGACGATTGACGTTGAAAAAGTCCCGTTTCGAGCTCAGCATCATCATCCTTGACCGTTGTGCCTGCACCCATTGGAAGCGCCAACCAACAGCTTCCACCACAATGACCAAAGGCAGCCTCACCCACCGACCTGCACCTCACAACGAGGCTGCTCGAGCTTGGTTCGAACACTCCTCCGCTCCACGCGTAAACACCGACGCCGTCGTCGTCGAAGCTCTCCGTGCCGAGTATCCAGAGCTCCATCTGACAGTCGTCCCACGTCCGCAATGTGACATCCTCGCATACGCCTCTGCTGGACACGCAGGCGTTGCTCCCATCGATAATGCCAAAGACCGCCTGTCATGGCGTGTATACGTCCCTCCTGCGTCTCGTCTCAACGGGAAGGGCATTCTCGCCGACGACCTCAAGTTTGGGAAATACCTGATCGATTGGAGGAACAAGGAGTTTGTGGTCTACGTGGCAGAAGCAAGAGATGGTGATAGTGCATACCCAGACTTGCGTCAGCAATACGTCCTCTCGTCCTCTGTCGATGCTACAACGGCACTGCTCCTCGAAGCGGGACAGTACGGCAACCTCCTCCACGAAGAAGTCTGGGTCTTCGATCGCGGCTACTGGCAGAAGAGCAAGGAACTCTACGAGTCTGTACAAAAGGCAAGGTGGGAAGACGTCATCCTCGAGCCCGGCAAGAAGAAGATCATTGTGGACGATACCTTGGACTTCTTCAACAGCAGAGGAACGTACGAGAAGCTGCGCGTGCCGTGGAAGAGAGGAATCATCTACTATGGACCGCCGGGTAATGGCAAGACGATCTCGATCAAGGCGTTGATGCATAGTCTGTACGATAGGGATGATCCTATCCCGACGCTTTACGTCAGGACATTGTCGAGTCCTGCTGGGCCTGAGTATAGTCTGGGTCAGATTTTCTCTCTGGCGAGACGGACAGCACCGTGTCTTCTGGTGTTCGAGGATCTGGATAGTATTGTGTCTGATCAGGTCAGGTCGTACTTTTTGAATGAGGTGAATAAGAAATTCTTCTTCGGCGGTTGGTGAGTTGTGCTGATTCTCGCAGGTTGATGGTATCAAGAAGAACGACGGTATCTTGATCGTGAGTTGCTCCGCCTCTTCTACAATACGAAAGCTAACAGCTGTAGATTGGATCAACAAACCATCTTGATCGCCTCGACCCTGGCATCGTCAAGCGTCCTAGCCGCTTCGACAGGAAATATCTCTTCCCGAACCCGGACGAGAAAGAACGAGCTCTGTACATGAAGTACTGGCAAGGCAAGCTGTCAGACAACAAGGACCTCGACTTCCCAGACAAGCTCTGCCCTGCGATAGCCAAGATCACGAAGGGCTTCTCATTCGCTTACCTGCAAGAAGCAATGGTCGCCGCCCTGCTAGCCATCGCTCGCGAGGACGAGTACAGCGAGCGGGTCTGCCTGGAGTGTCTACAGGCTCACGACAAGCCATCGAATGGCAGCAGTTGTGACAAGGAAGGTGTCAGGCCATTCAAAGGCTTGTATGATTATGTCTGGTTGACGAAGCAGATGGATGAAGACGACAAAGATCTGGACAATTATGTGCTGTGGAGGGAAATCAAGAAGCAGGTGCGCATTTTGCGAGAAGAGCTTGGAGATGATACAAAGCGTGCTTACGGGGAGCGACCAACTTGATGCTTCATCAACGGGAGTCGATAGCGTCTCTTGCTGAATGAGCTGGCGTGAAGAGTACTGCATTGAGCGCCTGATCAGGTCCTGGCGAACAACTACTACAAATTGAGAGACGCACGAATTGCAGACAGAAGACGGCCTCAGTTGGCTTGAAATAGAATGCGCCACGACGACAGGTTTCAACCCCGACTTGCACTCTTCTTCATCTCCGCCCAAAGAAGGATGAAGTCTTGACACTGACCAAAGAAGGCCTCTTCTGGCCGTTGGCGTCTGCAGCAAAGATCACAACCAGGCACTCTCGCCAACCATATCCTGTTTTCCCGTTTCGTCCGCGCACGACTCGGTCCAGACGCCTATTCAAAAGCCCCCCAGTTTACGATCCCCAGCCGTCCTTCTGACGAAGGTTCCAGCCGCTGAAACGTCACTTCCCAGCATCAGGCTTATACAGAGCACAAGGCGAACCTTACACACCCCGTCGATCGTCTTTCCAGTCTCGCCTCACATCTGGTCGACGAACAACCAAATCCGCGACACCGTGCTGGTACTGCCTTAATCTCCCTGACTGGATTAAGTGCTGCGCCTCCCCAAGCACACAGCAGGCACACATTGGCCGCTTTCTTCTCAAGTCGGCGACGTCAAGCCCAGTTTCAAGAATCATGGACACTGAAAGTAAGTGGTACTTTTTCCGTGGATTATTTCTATTTTGCTTCTGCTCTTGAGACGATGGTGGAGAAGACGCTTGTTCGTTAGGCGATATACATATCTTTACCCAGACATGCCGACTTCTGAGGAGACTGTGCTCTTCTGCTCTCTGCTGATCAGTTTTACTTTCGTTGAGATTTATATCAGCCAGGCTGCACAGCTTCTTGCTCTGATCGTTTTTGTGTACCCGGCTTTGTGCTTTGGGGCCAGAAAGTACAAGAAGAAGCATCACAGCACTACGATCTGCTGAAGGAAGACCACTTTCTCTTTGAAACGACTCTATCGATCGACCATGACCTTCGGACCAGGTGCCGGAGCCGGCGTGGGCGTCACCGTCCCAAACCCACTCGCCATCCGCAACGGCGGTGTTGGCGTCGGTGCTTCTCTGCCCGGCATTGGAGCAGGCCTCAACTTGGGCGGTGCGGGCGGTGGTGCAGGCGTTAACCTCGGCGGTGGCGGAGGAGGTGACTGGGGCGCGAATGGCCAACAAGGAGCTGGCGTGGGCGTCAATGGAGATGCTGGGGCAGGAGGCAATAGTGGTGTAGGAGGAGGGGCGGGACTTGGTGTTGGTCTCAATGGCGGTCTGGGTGGGGGAGCTGGTGGACAGGGCCAAGGTCAAGGAGGCGCTGGTGGTAATTGGGGCGCGAGTGGAGAGCAGGGCGCTGGGGCGGGGCTCAATGGTGGGCAGGGTGCTGGCGTTGGTGCCGGCGTGGGAGGGTCTGCTGGTGGAGGGCAGGGTGCTGAGGTATGTTGATCGTTCTCACGCATTTTTTTGTCGAGGATGTGCTAATGTGTCACAGGCCAACCAGGGAGGTGCAGCAGGTGGCGGTGTTGGAGGTGGTGTTGGCGGCAACGGAGCTGCTGGTGAGTATCCTATAAGATCCGTCTCGTGCATTTACTGATCGTCAGCAGGTGGTAGCGAAGCAACACCAACTGCCAATACTGGCACTGGCGGCTCTGGATCCGTAGGCGGCAATGCTGAAGCATCTCCTGAAGCTTCTACTGGTCTCAACGGCAATGCTGGTAAGTAGCTTTGGAGAGGCGTCTCTCAGACCGATGATGTAGATACTGATCAACTCCTAGGGGCTGGTGCATCTACCCCTGAGGCTTCCGCTGGCCTGGGTGTCAACGGTAACTCGGGAGCTGGAAACGCAGGAGCAGGTACCTCCGGAGCAGGCAACTCTGGGGCGCCTGTTGGAGCTGGCATTGGAGCTGGACTCGGAGGAGCTGCAGGTATCGGTGGAGGCGCTGGTCTCATGCCCTCTCCTCTCCCTGGAGTCCAAGCGGGTGCAGCAGCCGGTGGTGGTCCACCATGCACGGTTATGGGGGGCCAAGCTCGACTCCTCTACTTCCCACCCGGCGGGAACGTGGGCTCAGGAAACAGCGGCGGTTCATCAGCTGCCAGCCCAGTCGGCGCACAACCACCGGGTGCCTCCATCACCACCGCCCCTGGAGCACCTCCAGCCCAAGGCCAGCCTGCACCAGCCGGTGGTCCACCTCTCACGGCATGGAGCAACACCTTCAACCCAGACTACTGCTACCTTTCCGTCGACACGCTCTACGCCACCGTCGCACCCTCTGGCACCGAATCCGCCAGCACAGTCGGACCGACCTTCTCCAATGCGATCATCCCCCTCCGCTCAAGCGACATCTCCACGCGATGCCCATCCACAATGTCCGGCGCTGCGACCAACACTGCAGCTGCGGCAGCACCAGGCCAGTTAGACTTCAACAGCATGGCATCCGCCGGCAACGCAGGCGGAGACATCTGCCACGAAGTCGTAGCACCCGCCGCAATGGGCACCATCGTCCCCGAATGGAGCCACGGCCTCTTCTGGAACCTGAACTTCGAACCGCCACAAGTCCTCCGTCCTGAAGGCGAGGAAGCGTCGCCTACTGCACCAGCGGGTGGTGAGTGCTCTGCGTGTGCCGCACCGGCTTACTCCCCTCCTGCTGGCACGCCGTACCCGACTATGGTGCCTGCACCGGGTTATGAAGGTGTTGAATCAGGTCCCACGACTGCTCCGCAAGGTGTGAGTGCGAGTAGTTTCGGCCAATACACTGCCACGACGCCGGCAACGACACCTACGACCGCGGCGGGTGCTGTCCCGGGTGTGCCCAGCGCTGGATTCACTTCCGGCGTAGCCCCAAATGGGACAACTCCCATCACACCCCCCACTGGCTCGCCATCGCAGCCGTCGCAGTACACCGGCGGTGCGGTGTCTACCTTGAATGTCAGGAGCGGTCGTGGAGCGTCGATGCTGGTCGCTGGGCTGTTGCTCTCGCTGGTGTTGATGTGATTTGCATCATCCAATGGATCTTTCATTCATATTCTCGTTGGCACAGGCCGGAGCAGGATACCACGGGACGGAGTCCAAGGCAATGGCATGTAATGTTTGTGGGATTTAGGGGAGGGACTTTCTTGTAATGTATCTATTGCTTTTTTTTTTGTGAATTTGAGAATGGTAGAATTTACTTGCTTGTATACCTTACAACTCTCCGCTGGTATCTCAATATGCAACGATGTCTAGGTCTTGCCGAATTTCGGCTATCAGAATCACCGCTGCGAAAATCTCCAGCTCGGTCAACTACCTGCTATTGCCTTACCCCTGAATAAAGACAAGTCCAAGTACGTCGCCTCATAAGTTCACTTAGTAACAACGATTAGACTTTTGATCAAATCGTTTCTGCCGCTGAAGTAGCTTTACATAAACAGAAGTGAATCGTGGGGCGCACGGACGCTTCGGTCACATGCAATTCTTAGCGAGCAAATTCAGAGTGTAGAACGACGCGGCCAAGGAAGGAAGGAATATGTTCAATTTTTCATTTCAATCGCTTTAAAGACTCCATCTATCTGCCCAACGCCCCATCCAAAGAAAAAGACGTCTAGTCGCGATCATCGTGATATTCATTTTAGTCGTACTGAACCATATCAGCTCTACTCCGTATCAATACGCGGTGTCTACAAGCCTTCTTACCTTTCTCCGCACCCAACTAAACGCTTTCTCTGGTGGCTGTTCTGGATCACTTCGTGCCCGAACCGGATCCTGAACCGTCTCGTGGCGGATCATCGTAGAGCATCCAAGGCGGGAAAGCCATCATGTGGGATGGTCGTCGAGGAGATGGTGTTTGTACCGAATGTGCGTGTGAATGTGCAGTTCTTCGTAGAGTGTGGATCTCTGCGCGATCATCGAAGTGTGGTGGTTGTGAGAAAGGAAGAGGTAAGAAGGCTATCAGCATGTAGGCCTTCTTATATACGTATCTATTGTACGACATGCTGACCTGGTGTCCTTCACCGTCCTTGCAATCGTACAGAGACTTCCTCTACGTACCGCAACGCAGTCGTCGTTATTCCTTGTCGACGTGCATTCGCCACTTTGGCTATGCGTAGCCTTCTTCCACACCTCACTGCACGTCAGCGGGTTCGACGCCGGTAAGTCGTCCCTTTGGTAGCCAAACAATCGTTCTTCCCAGCAGTAAGGGGCCCGATCATCGGCCTGCTGTCGTGATCCGTTTGGGTGAAATGCAGATTGACTCAGCTCGTTCGTGGCGATAGGCTTTGTGGGAGGTTGAAGCATCCATCATCCCTGCCATGTGTCCCAACGCAGGGTCTAGATGCACGCAAGCTTGTTTCGCGTGTGTGATCGGTGGTGACGGGATCGAGGGTCGCGCGATCGCTGTCGTGGGTCCTCGTTGCATGTGCTTGCGCTCATGGTGCGATGCGAAGGTTGCTCCATCCCTTGCAGCGTCGTGGAAGAAGGTGATGCTGTGCAGGCCATTGGGTCCATTCACACGTCGATTGCGCCGTGGGCTATTTTCGGTACACAGAAAGCAATATAACTTATTAAGAATTCACGTTAGCATTACGACTGGCTTAATGTAGTGGAAATGTCCGTACCTTCAACAATTGATCGACAAATCCAAGGTATGTAACCCCAAACACCAAGCAAAGAAGCAACGCCACCGACTCCACCATCCAAAGACCTGGAGATGACAAGACCACAAGCAGCAAGCCTCGTATACGAAAAGGTTCGTGTCTACTCTCGACCGAGAGCTTAGGTATGCTCCCGTGCATGTCGGGAGTAGAGTCCAATCTTCGAAGGCTAGTCTTGGTTGTCTGTCGCAAGGCTTGGGACATGTGCTTCTCCCAAAGGAGTGGCTTGCCAGAATGTCCATACGGGAAGGGGCGGTCGCGGGATGCTATGGCCATGCTGCCCTGCGGATGAGAAGGATCGTTCCTCCTGGGCAAATTGCTCACGTCGTCGTCGACACGAACAGGACACCTATTATGGACGCATTTGTGGTGTCGTACCATGTCTGACAAACGAGAGAACCTTGCGCTACAATCGCTGCAGACGTGAGAGCGTCTCGGTGACCTAGCGTGAGGGTGTTTACCCAGCCTCGTGTGCACTTGGCCGTGATGCCTTGAGAGGTCCTTTTGCCAGAGGAATCGCTTGCCACAGTCAAGACAAACGAAGGGGCGTTCGTGCGGTGCGATGTGTTTTCGGGTATGGTGACGTAGGTCGCAGGCGCGGTTGAAGGTCTTGAGACAGTCGCCGTGTTCACATTGGTAGCCATTCTGTACGAATCGTGCTCTCGTGACACGATTAGTTGGGTCCAATGATGTTGAGCAATCTGTACGCTCAGTTGATCCAGAGGGGGGAGCTCCCATGCTTGTGTGATAGTCAGGGCTCTCCAGCAGAGGAAGGGCTTCCGATGGAGTGCCGTATATCCTGGCGCTGATGCGACGTATGATGCGTACCATGTTCATGAAATGGGCTTCAACATTACCCTCAAGAGGAGCCGGTGGTGGAAGATGGTGATTGACACACTCGTCTATGGGTCCATAGATGATGTCGGTCGGTGGTGACTGATGAGGTCCGGTGTCGTATGAATGAAAACCCGTGCTCGCGGAAGTTGAAGTTTGTGTTCCATTGTCGAGCTCTGTTGAAGATAAGGGTCCGCTAGCCTCTGACGACGAATTGTCCTTCTCCTCGTTCAAGAATGCGATGACTGCGTCTCGTCTTCTCACCTGAGGAGTCTGGGAGAGTAGAAACCAAAATTGCAGCGCCTCATCCAACTCAGCCGAGCCTTTGGTCGGGAAAAAGTTGAGCCCTGTAGTCAGGTCGAAGCTGTCGTCCAATGGTTCTGATCGCCATATCATGTAGGTGGGTAGATCGTCAAGCTGGAAGTCTGCCATCTTGTTAGTGCAAGGTCAGGAAGGAGTTCGGACGGTGTTCGTGGAGCTTCAAAAGATGACTCTTACTGCGGTGGTCAAAATCGGCTCGCATGGCACTCTTAGCTGTAGCAGTTGGACGCCCACAAGGGCGGCCTCCCCATACTGGCGTCCTGACCAAACCTTTTGCGGTATAGCTCCAGGCTCGTGAATGCATGAATGTGGTGGCTCCATGTCGTAGCTGGCGTCCCGAGTTGCCAAGGCGAGGGCGTCCAGTTACATGTGGCGTGACGACGAAGCTGGCGGTAGGAACACACGGACTCCTCGCTGCTTGAATTGACCATTTTGCGAGGCTGCAGGATACGCTGCGACCATTCCACTCGACATGCAACATTGAACACATTTGAGGTATATGATAGCTATGATAGTGCAGACAGAACATCATATCCTCATGCATTCTTCTTGGCTTGCAGCGTGTAGCTGAGTGGTAAGTTGTCGCGACCTTCTTTGAGAGCAAACTCTCCTGTTGCGAATGTCAGCGGTCATGAATGGAAGCATGGTTTTTACAACTCACCGAAAGGCTCGATCTTTTCCATTTGGCCCCTCAAGGCATTCCAGGGGATGCTTTTGTGCTCCACAAGTCCAGTGATGCTCATGCCAGCGTCTATCAACGACTGAACGATCTCGCCAATGCCATGATTCCACTCCACGGTCTTGGTGTTCTCAAAGACATGATCCGTCTCAACGTAGGTCCCACTTTCGTCATATACATGAGGCTCGTCTCGCTCAAAGTAGGGTATGCCGGTGATCAGCGAATCCGTGACAGTTTCGTCGATCGCCCACAGAGCTGGGTGGCATTCACGGATGAAGAGCCGTCCGCCAGGCTTCAGCAATGCCGCCACAGTCTCGGCCCATCGCTTGATGGATGGAATCCAACACAGAGCTCCGATGCCTGTAAAGACCATACCGAAAGAAGCCGGTGGCAGGACGTCAAGTGCATCGTATATGCTGGCTTCAACGAAGTTCAACTTGTCTCCACCAACAGCCTTTACCGCGAGATCTTTGGCTTCTTTGATGGCGGCTGGCGAGAAATCCAGGCCAGTGACACGTTTGGCACCTCGTCGTACAAGCGATAGAGTATCCGTAGCGATATGACATTGGAGATGCACGATCTCGAGACCGGAGATGTCGCCCATCAGAGGGATATCGAATTGGACAACTTCAGAAACATAACTCGGCTCGCGAACAAGGCGCTGGTAGTCGTACCCTGTTGATCGCGAATGCTGAAGTAAATCGAACGTAAGCCATGTACTTGACTCTCGCCGAAATTTTTCCAAACGTACTTCAGGTGCCCGCTCGTCCCAGTTCGCTTTGTTGATAGCGATGTAGTTGTCTTTGTATTCTGTCATGATGAGTTATTTGATTATCAGTAGGCCAATTCCTAGATTTCACGCTGCAAAGATTCGACGTGGTAGAGGTATATAAGAGATCAGACGGCGTTGACTGCTCAAAATACGGCATTCGAGACACCGAGGTCTAGACTGGGCAAGCGGCCTCACACTCTGGTACCTTGCATAAGCTTCGGCGATATTTCTGAGTGACATACCAAGCCTCAAGATGCTACATTGAGCTAAGCAAAAAGCGAGGGGCTTTTGCAGGCTGATGGCATATTCGCCTCATTGCTCCCCCGGTGTCTGAGTTGGCTGATGTTGGCGTGAATAGCGTTCTGTGGCTGTTGGCGGTGTGCACAGTGAGGCAGCAGCGCCGGTAGCTCAACAACGTGGAACTGTGGTTCTCTGCACATAATCTCGGCCATGATGAGGTGGAGACCAGCAGATTGCATGTGATGGAAGAGGACGAAGTGAATGGCGAAGAAGAAAGTGGGCTCCAGAAGCACGTGCATAGTTCCCCACAAGAAAGCACGCGCTAGGTTTCAGGATCGCGTCTGTGCACAGGGGACCTGCATCATTGGCGTTTCGTTCTCCCAAGCCTTGGTCGAGTACGCAAGCAACAAGAATATCGTGCCGAACTCCTTGCCTTCGCCGCCTGAAGCATACAGTACAGTTGCGAGGGGAACATGGTCGCCTCAGTATCCTCGACATCATCACTATCACTCGATTTGCAACGGTGGTGATATCTCGGTTGCGAACGATTAAACCGTTGCATGCCTCGGGGCTGGGCGAGAAGGCTGGGTCGCAAGAGCAAACTTCCCTCCGGCGTGTACTAAGGGACGAGAGCGAAGGAGGCGAAGGACCGGGAACTTGCCCACGATTGTCATCGCCATTGGACTTTCTATAAAATATTGTTCGAGATGGCGACCCTCCACTGGCAGCGCGATATTGGTAGCGACATCGCAGGCGTCAAGAACACGTTCTCAGGATGGGATCAGTGCATGGCGAAGGCATATTGGTACGTGGCTACGGATGTAAACGTTACCCAAACATTCAACTGACATGTGATCGGGACATGAAGTAAATGGCCTGTGATAGTAGGCATTATCATCGGCTCCCTCATTGTTCTTTCGATCGTTTGGTGCATCGCGCGCTGCCTCTGCTGCGGAGCTGAATGCTGCTGTGGATGCCTTTCGTGCTGCAATGCTTGCTGCCCCTCGCCACGAGGTTCCAAGAATCATGGCGGCTACCAACAAGCGCCTCCCACGCCTTCACCTTTCTACAACCAGTACCAACCGCCTCCAGGACCCGCGTATGCTAGCGGAGCAATAGGTGGATACAGGAGCGGAAATGTTGCACAGACGGCGACATTCGAGACACCCTCTAAGAATGGGAGATATAATGAAGATGCGTTGCCGGCAATGCCCAGCTGGGATAACGCGACAAGTCGCAGAGAGGAGGTTATGGAGATGGAGAAGTTGAATCAGCAACAAAATGGACACACATCTGGCGCTGGCGATGGCATGATGTACCAGAACCCCGAGCCTACCCATGCGTACGGACACCAGCAGGGGCAGCACACCCAGCAGGAGAGTCTGCTCCCTCAGCAAGACCCAGGTCGTTACTATGGTGCTGGTCAGCGATCGCCCGTTGCTCGTCAGGATTTTGCACACGAGGGAGACATTGGCGGAATGGCTGCGAACCCCTATAGCGACTACCAAAATCAACGACCGCAGCAGTTCTCTCCAGGTCCATACGGCGCGCAAAGTCGTGCACCGGTGTCACCTTATTCGCCTGTGTCTCCAGCACCTCAGTACAACAACGGCACACAGGCAGACTACTACGGCGCAGGAGCTGGCGCAGCGCACTCGCAGCAAAGAGGCTACGAAGCTAGCATTCCCCCCTCATATCACACAAGGCCGCCGAGCGATAATATTGTGAGCCCATTAAGCCCACCGCCGCAAGCGTCGTATCCAGGGCAGGCGAGCTATCAACCTTACGGCGGAGGTAGTGGAGTTGGCAGGAAGCCTGTGCAAGGCAGCTGGAGGGAGGTCTGATCTGAGCCAAAGCTGCAAGTTAACAGAGAATGGCGTTCATTGGGATCATTGGGAGAGCTTGATACCCGGTTGGGGCTGGGTATTCCACAGCGATGGCGTTTGGTGTGAAGCGAGCGAGCGAGGAGCCGCGATGCTCTCCAAGAGTTCTTTGCAGCCATCAAGAGCGAACCATCATTTGCATCTTGCTCTACGATTAGCCAATTAAACTACTTTGGACCACTCTACCTCCTGTTCCGCGCCATTTCGATCTCTTCTCGCGCTTCTCTGAGTTCCGCCTCGGAAGGCATGTTCACAATCATGAGGTAGAGCACATCTTCCCGCATCACCCTCTTCACCATGCCAAGCGGTCCACCTCTTCCACCACCTCCTCCCATACCACCTCGTCCGCCTCTGCCTCGGCCTCCGCCATACCCACCTCTACCCATACCCCTCGAAGAGCCCTCACCATACTCCCCGCCAGCTGCGTACCCGCCCCTCTCAAACCCTCTTCTAGCGCTATACCTCCCCTCATCCTCCTCCTCCTCATACTCATCATAGTACGAGCCCCTCCCCCTCCTCCCATCCCCATAACCCCTCCTCTGATCCACAATCATCTGCAACCTCTCCCTCCTCTCCGCAATCTTCGCATCCAAATCCCCCGCATAATCATCCCCATACCTCCGCGCACGCTTCCCCTCCCGACGAGGGTCCTTGCCACGCTCGACACGCCGCACGTCTTTGTACATGGCCCTGTCCCGGCGGCGGTCGAAGCGGGCGTCTTGTGCGCTGAGTTTGCCGCCTGAGACGAGGGAGATCAGGCCGCCGCCGCTGGAGTAGAGCGGGTGGGAGGGGTCGGCGAGGGAGGATTTGAAGGGGCGGGTTCCGTGGTCGAGGGTTGAGTTGGGGTCTTGCATTGCCTTTGTCGGGGTGTTAGTTGAGGGTACACTTAAGAGTGTTAGGGCTGGTACTTACGTATTGCATCTGCGCTCTGCGGTCGAGGTAGTCTGCTAGGAACTTCTTCGCGTCTCTGGTCTTGTCTTTGAAAGTTTCTGGCCCGTCGTGGGTGATGGCCTTACGATCAATGTCTGGAAAGATCAGAGGAGCAGCCTCGGGGAGCTCGATCGTGCCTCGGGTAGTACCACTCGCAACACGAAGATTCTGCATTCGATCGCTCATGCTCCTCTCACCGGATTCATGGGAACCCATCCGAGCGAACTTGGCAATAGACTGATTCGTCGAGACGTCGACCCTCGCGGGCTGGATCATGCTGGCCAAGCTGCCGAAAGGGCCTCCAAAGGACGCTTGCATGTCGGCGTCGGATTTGTACTTGATGATCATGGCGTACAAGCCGACGGGTTTGAATAGTTCGTCGTTCATCTTGTCGAGGAAGTTGTTGGTTCGAGCGCGGACTTCCATGTCCTCTCCCACCTGGGCTCCGATTGAGACTGCTGTGCACACCGCCATGGCGATTACTGAAGGAGCCATCCCAGCAATTCCAGCTGCGAGTTGGATCAGTGGGAAGACAGGCGACGCTTGAGAGGATTTGTAGAAGTTCTTGAGGAACTTCAGGAAAGTGTCTTGGTCGATGCCGCAGTCTCCCAAAACTGGTGCGTATGCTCGAACGAAACCTCGAGCTTTCTTGCGTGGTCGGCGCTGTGGGATGATGACGGGGCATGGAAGAGATATCCTCTCGACAGCTCTGGGTTCCGATCCTCCTTGGGGAGGCTGTAGAGGCGGCTTGGAATCTGCCATGACTTCGCGGACGAGATCGTCGACGGTTTCGCCCTGCTTCATGGCTTCGGATTCTTGGTAGGAAGGTAGGCTTTGCGACTCACTCGGCGTAAGTGCCTCGTCTAACTCCCAGTCCTCGGAGTCGTCCACAAGAGATACATTTTCGATGTCTGAATCCGACGTGTCGTCTTCCCATCGCTCTGGCTCGTCCTTTGCGTCCGAGGATGGTGGCTGGCTAGATTGGAGAGAGACCTCGGACTGAGCGGCAACGTGCTCGTACGCGGGCGGTGCGTCTTCTGGGATTCCTCTTGCAGGTTCTGGAGGGATTGCTGATGGGTCTCGCGATCTTGTGCTGCTCAGGTCCTGCTGCGAAGCACTTCTTGCTTCTCGTTGGTCTTTGCGATGTTCTTTGTATTCTTGTGCCAACCCTACACCTTGGCCCACGAGGCTGATGAGACCACCAATTGGGCCTCCTCGACGGCCACCGCGGCCACCGCGACCACCACCACGAAGCATAATGTAGGCTTGATATTAGAAAGCTGTTTTGGTAGGAAGAAAGTGGAGATGCCTGTTGGAGTTGAATGTAGAGGAAGTTTGGGAAAGTCGGGAGATATAGCTGCTGAAACTCAGGCAGCAATGAATGCCATTGAGGTCAGTCTACGAAACCATGTCGTCGATAGGGCCGAGCGTGCTATATACCTCTTTCGGCCTCGCGTCGAGCATCGGCCAGCACGATGTACCTCAGCCTCGGAGTGGACCGACCAGCTACCGAGAACGCAAGTGAATGTTTGGGCGGAGGTCCATGCGCCGACAGGGATCATGAACAAGCTTCGGCTGACCACTACCTTAATTAGACTAGCCACATTCTCCGAACGACCACTGACAACACCTTCGCTTCGCGACAACACCTCCAGGCACCCGAATAACGAGATTAGTCTGCAGCGGCGTACACAGCATGGCTCTTCCGCAGGAGCACCAGCGGGCGCTGGATCAGCTGCGAACTCGGCTCAATCAGCTGCTCATCGCGCTTGAGTACTTGTACGGCAACATCCAGCAACAGGACCCTCTCCCATCATGGTAGGCTCATTCGCGGACGCTGATATACGAGTCGCGATTTTATAGTACGTGGTAAGAAGATGGCTAAGGTAAGTTAACAGGCCTGCATTGCAATCATTAGCGTCCAACGCCGGGCAATATATGCAAGAACTCAGCGACACGCTCAACTCCCAACGCGAACTCTTCTCTACCCTGCACGCATATCCCACTTCGACATTCCCAGCATACGACCCCGGACGGCAAGAGTTGCTGTACTCGCTCCTCTACAAGAAGCTGGATCTTCGAGCGGAAGAGTGGATCGACGAGTCGTTAAAGGACACGACAGAGCAGAATGGCACTGGCCAGAGCGACGGCTTAGCATCTGATCAGATGGAGGAGCTGTGGAGTTGGGCGGGAGGGTCGCTTCGAAAGTTCCTCGAGCCGTGGGATGAGGAGGGCAGATTCGAGGACAACTTCACCGTGGCAGAGCGCGAGGCCGGTGTTGAGAACGTGGTGACGGGCATCAAGAGAGATTTGGACCCAGATCCTGATGAGGAGGCGAACCAGGTCGAGATTCAGAAGGAGAAGGCGTTGAAGCTGGAAGAGACTGAGGGCCCGATGCCGAGTGGTTACGACCCTAGCAAGCCTGCGATGCCACTTGAGAGTCTGCTCAGGTTTGCGACTACTGGCGACATGAATCCTCCTGGAGCGAATAGATAGGTTGGAAAGGGGCAAGAAAGAAGTTCAATCACGTGAAAAGAGCTTGGATGTCAATGCCTAAAGAAATGTGCACAGGCATCAGCACAGGCACTGTGAGCACTCACTCACATGTGTGGCCTGTGCGCTGCTCTATCTTCCTCCTGTCGCTCTTTCCATCTCCATTCTTGTTAAAAGACCTCTTCTTCTAGTCCTCTCAACTCACCATCAACATACATCCAGAGCAAGGATCACTTCAATACCTACAACATCATGAGGTCGAAGACACCTCGCCCACTGGGCAATGCCGGAAACAAGGGCAAGCAGGTCGGTACATTCGAGATCAGAACATGATGTACACAAACACGAGACACGGTCCTTTCTGACACCAGTGACAGGATACCGATCCATGGAGTAGAGCAGGGCACATGCCAACGGCAACGTACAGCTCCTACTCTTGCAAAGGTCAACCTAACTACGATCTGCGACTGAGCGACGGGAATTCGAAGAACGGTAGCGTTCTATTGGAGTCAAAAGGCCGCGAGTCGGAGAAGGAAGAAGGACCGCGGAAAGCGAGCAAACTGCCGGGGAAGAACAAAATCCATCTGGAAAAGCGAAAGGAACCGTCACATGAAAAGAACGAACCACCGAAGCATGACCGCATAGCTGAAGGCATCAAGCACGAGATTGACAGGTTCGCCGTACAATCGGTTGAGAAATTCCAGGACTTCTACAACAAAGTGCACGTCTATCCTGCCAAACATGCTCTCTCCGCGTACGACGAAGAAGGAGAATGGGCGGGCTACACGCGATACATTTTCGACACGTACGGCGAGGAGGCAAGGGACATGCAGGTCCGTGTGGACTGGCAGCAACTTACCCTCTGGGTGGGTCATTCAGGAGTCTGGATCATCTTGGAGGAGTTCCTGTCCAGGCTTCCACCACCCGTCAACATCCGGGACGCTCCCAAGGAGCACCTCTCGTCAGAAGACAAGAACAAACTTTGGCAAGACCAGTGGGCTTGGTGGCGGAAGAATAGGAATACATTTCGGCTGCTCGACCTGCCGAGCGAGATTCGAGAGAAGATTCTGGGGTTTGCGGTGGTCCGGACGATTCGGCCATATCTGAATCATCGCTGTCGAAAGCTGTCGACTCGTCACAAGAACGCATTGGCCTCGGAACAACCCAACATGGCATTGCTGAGAACCAACAGACAAGTCTATCGTGAAGGGCGTCACCTTCTCTTCAGAGATTCCGTCTTCCTCATCGAACACTTCAAAATTTTCAAGGACTACATCATGTTCAAAAAGGCATCGCGAAACCACATCATGAGGCTGGACTTGAAATTCAAGCACAAGGGCTTCTTCTTGCCCTTCGGTATCATGGTGAAAGACCACGGCATTGAATACCTGCCGAGCCAAGCTGCAAGACTGCTTCGCGGCATGAAGCTCAAGCAGCTGACATTGAGCATTGCCATGACAGACACCCCGATGCTATCGCCGTTCGGTCGCCACGAGTGGCACAAGCCCTGCCAGAAGATTGCGGTGGACTGGATCCTGGAGTGTGCATGGCCCTGGATGAAGGGACACCCGGTGACCGTGCAAGGTGGAGTTAAGACTCGGCAAAAGGAGAACTTCATGAAGAAGGTCACTGACGAGCGTGAACGGTATCTCAAGTGGCGCCGAACGATGCTACTGGGAGATGAGGAGGGTACGCTTACCGAGTACTATGAGTGGTTGGATGAGAAGGGTGGTGAACCAATCGACGGTCAAGAGTCTCATGATGATGTGGAACTCGTGCCTGAGAAACAGAACTTGCCTCCGTGCTCGTGCACACCGCCATGCTATGAGAAGTGGACTCCAGAAGACTAGATTCACCAGGAACATCAGGATGGGAGGGTTTCGAGACGACGAAAACACGAGAATACATGCGGTTGAGTGTATAATCTAGTATAAACCAGAAAATTTCAGTAGCAAACAGTTTGTGACAGATTGATCGTGGTCTTTTATGAGTGCGCTCAGGAATCCTATCCAGCTTGTCCATGATGTCCGCTACTTTCACGTGCGAGTCGGCGTCGTAGGGCTGAAACATCCAGGCGACTGCAGACGTCGAACTTTACTTGATGGCTCGTTACTTTCACCTACTTCGAACCTCTTCCGCATCAATGTATAATCTTTCCGGCGCTGCACAAGATCTTCCCATCTCGAAGTGCCTGAGCTGCTAAGATGACTCAGTCTTGCGGCCAGCAAGCGCGAACATCAGACTTCTCCTGCCAGCGCACCAGCAGGGACTCGCGGCAGCACTTTCTAGCGAGTCGTGAATCACCAAACAACACTGCGTCGCCGTCAAATGACAGCAGACGTACTCTTTCAGTCGTTTTGGAGCGGGTTGTAGAACTACGAAGCCTGTCCTGACCGACACATGCTTTGTGAAACATGGCTCAGGCTTCCCATCTGTCACGATACCGGCCGGCGGTCCTTTCGGTGGCGACCATTGCGGCGGCATACGGCATATACACGCTTTACTCGGCCTACAGCAACAATCACGCGACCAGCACGAGTCTGAGGAGAAGCAATGCCGTCCATAGGCCACGGCGGGATCGAGAACGAGAGCGTCACGCGGTTGGCATAGACCGCCTGCCGCCCACACATGATGCGCCATTGGGACTGATCATATTGCGCAAGGGCGAGGACGCTTACGTTATAAATCTGGCGACAACAATGTTTCCAACTACTGACGAACTACAACGCATATACCAGCCTCCAGTCAACGAAGAGATCCGACAGAAGATCGCTGTGGTTGCCGTCGAGTTGATTTTGCTGTCTTGCTTGAACTCCACCACTGAACCTGACAGTTGGGACCAATTCAGAGCACTTGGATTTGCCGAGCTGGTCCATGCGATGGCGGGTCGTGACAGGAACGAGATCAGAGGCCTTGCCCAGCAAATCCCTGACATCCTTCAGATGAGCGGCATCACCGAGCAGCAGGTCGCCCAGGCGCTTAACAAGTTCTTTGTATCCGAGAAGTGGCTGGCGGCGATCCGCGAAGCTGGCGACACAGAACCTGCAGAGACCGAAGACATGGACAGGGACGATGGCGCGAGCAAAGAACCGAGCCACGGGTTGCGGGGGCTGCTTTACTATATCGCCGAAGAGGATGCTAAGCGCAAAGCATACGAGCACCGAGGCATTCGCTGCGAAGAGTGTAGTGAGATGCCCATCCGTGGAATCAGATATCACTGCCTGAACTGTCCGGACTATGATCTTTGCGCCTCCTGCGAGCAGCATACCGAGCACGTCAAGACGCATGTGTTTGCCAAGATCAAGATTCCGCTGCCTATACTCTCTCAGCCCACGAAGGAGTACAGACTGTGGTACCCTGGTGATCCTCGGAAAATTCACGAGTCCCTTGAACCGGCTTTGAGGAAGCGACTCTGCCACGAGTACGGATATGAAGAGCCAGACATCGACGCCCTGTATGATCAGTTCATGGCCAACGCCAATGTTCCCTTCCCACACGCCACGACTTCAGTGAAGGCTTGCATCGACCGGCGAGCATTCAACAAGGCTCTTACTCGCGACACATGGACCACATGCTTTGCGTCAAACACGATATACGATCGAATGTACGCACTCTATGATACAGACATGAACGGCGTTATAGACTTTGAGGAGTTTGTCAGTGGAGTTTCCTATCTGCGAGGACCCAAACGATTCGCCACTCTTGCAAGAGCCATTCGAGGGTATGACATGGATGGGAATGGATTTGTCGACCGCTCAGATTTCACCCGGCTTCTCAGAGCCAAGTACGAAATACAGCAGCAGCTAGTGAGCGACATGGTGGAAGGACAGGAAATCGAACAGACCCAAGCTGCCTTGGAGACCTTACAGTCAAGCCAGCCAATCAGTTCGGTCTTCTCTCAAGAGGACATCCCGCCTGGAGAGATTCGTGAAAGACGTGGGAAGCGTGAGGACATGAACGGAGATCTGCAACCAAATGAGGGAACGAAGACGATCCTCGAAAATGACCATCCATGGCCAGGTACCAGTCCGCCTACCCGAGAAGCTGAGCGTCGAACCGTTTCTCGCTTTGCAGAGATGATCTATGGGCCTTTCGATGGCACATCTCCAAGCTTCGAGGGGGTCGAACTGGACGATATAGACGGCTTGCCGCGGTGGGATCATACTGGCCGTGACGATGACGACGATGCAGCGAGTGACGACCGACCAGCGGTATACAGGTACGCGGTCGACCGCCGAGAGCTGATCGAGCCGCATATCCCTGATATCATCTGGCAGACCGTCGAAGATGGCTTGAACGAGTTGCTCGACAAGATGTTCAAGGCCAAGGAAGAAGAAAACACAGCGACGGAGGAGACGCGAGCTATGAGACAGAAGTGGTCCAAGCAGATTGCTGACGCGAGGGAGGAAGAGAGGCGTAGAAAGAATGCGATGATTGAGTCTGCCCAGAGCGATCCGCTGGTGGCGACCGCCGTGATCGCTGGCCTCGATTCGAAGCCCAAATCTCCACCACGCCAGCATGGCGCACCTCATATGCGCAGGCAAATGGTACCTACGGACACTGAAAGCCTCGAAAGACGGGAGCGGGAGATAAGTGCCGCCCCTTTGGAGGAGCTTCTCGATACAACGGGGTTCAGTGTGCGCGATGCTAGCTCCTCTGTCAATGTCAGCTCACTGCCTCGAGCAGCCCATATTGGAGCCTCTTCCATTTGGAATGGCAGTGTGCGAAGCCAGGCAACTTCGCCTCTCCGGACCATGATTTCCACCGATGATGAAGAAACAGTCGACCCAACACTCCCACAAAACAGGCCCAATGCCATCGATACATCCGTGCCGACCAGTCCGCCTGTACGCAAAGAAAACCGAAAACCACCAGCACTACCGGAGAGACCCCCCTCCCATGAGGAGCTGCGGTACTTGGCTGATCTCGACGACGCAGAGCAGCAATCGCTAGATCGCGGCGGTCCAGGAAGATTATCGTATGCGGAACTCGAGGCTATGGCGGTTGCTGACACTAAGGGCGAGCTTCGCGGCCTGATCAAGAGCTGGCTCGAATATGCCAGCTTCTAGTACGGAGATGAGACATTCATTCTGTGGCCTTGATTACTTTGAACAGATTCCGATATCCTCCGTGTAAAGGAAGGGGTTGTATGATACGAACAGAGTCATGCATGGGAGAGGAGTACAGTGGTGAAAGCGGTCGCATTGGATATTAGTGTTTAGTGTGAACATTCAATAAGAAGAATGGTCAAAGCAACCTCTTACTCGCTACATGAAGAAAGTCCACTTAGGTGCTGTAGGTGGCTGGCTATTGGGCCTGAGTCGTCGACGTTAGGCGCTTTTCACAAGTTCTGAGGCTAGTGATGTGGTCGAAAAGGCGGGAGATGGCCTCATGCATTGAAGAAGGCCCCTGATCAGGGTCGGTTTTGAAGATGCGCTACGTTACTGTCAATCCTCTGAACGCCTGGCCTCCTTCTGTCGGCCGACCGTAGCATCTCGATGTCTTAAAAGACACACCAATCCGTTCCCATCCAGTGTCGCTCATTAGAAATCACATCCGTTGGCGTGTTGATTTAGCGGGAGGTGGCCTTTGGCTTAGGAGCAGAGCCCTTGGCGGCCTGCTTGCCAACGACACTGTACAATAATCAGTCACGTACAACTCGTGCCTCATCACAAGATGATACGTACCGTCCAGTAGCCTGGCCCTTGGCGGTGCTTGCGGCAGACTTGGCCTTCTCAGCCTTCTTCGCGCTCTGGGCAGCGGCACGCTTCTCCTTGCCCTCCTTGATGGCGGCAGAGCGAGCGGCGGTACGGGCCTCAGGTCGCTGAGAGCGGCGCTCCTTGATCACATCAAGGGAGGCACCAACGATGGCACGCTGCGACTTGACCTGCCTACGGCGGCGCTTGGCGGCTTGCTCCTGTACATGTGCGTCAGCAACCACATTCCCATGGAAGTGGTGCATCTGGGCTCGAGCATACCTCAGTGATACCCTTTCTCCGCTGGCGACGGCAGAGAACGGTCCACGCGATGCGGCGAGGGTTCTTGCGCTGCAGGAAAAGCGACTCGGACTTGCCGTTTTGGAAACGGAAGATCTTGCTGTCGCCACGGACGAAGAGCTTGCCCTGTACATTTACCCGTCAGCTTGGCATCCTCCTACGATCAAAGTCGTCTCAAGCTGTATGTGTCCAGCGTGCGTCGTGCGCCGCCTCATCTCAACATTGCACTGTGTCCGTCTTTTGCGCCGACCGTCGTATGACAGTATCATTCAATGGCTTCGGCCGTGTATTCTTCCATTGCCTCCTCTTTATGTGCGATGTCGAAGGGATGAGGCGGGCGTCGCGAGCGCCGCATCGGACTGGATCATCGTACCTTTCCAGGGTAGATCTTCTGACCGGAGAAGGTGTCGTCGTAGGTTCTCATTTTGGCGACGGGGGTTGGTGGGTGTCGGTGTTGTCGTCGTCCGGCGTCGTTGCCTTGTCTTGCTGGAGTTGAACGGCGACGAGGAATTTGAGAGTGCGGTGTGCTCGGCTAGCCACCCAATTACAGCAAGGCGCTAAATTCCTAGATCAAACTCTGATTGACCTCGCGTTTCCCTCCCATATCTCTTTCTCGATGGAAAAGAAAGATATATTTGCGACAAATTCGTCACAGAGGACCAATGTGTGCCGAATCAACGCACTGAGCATGGCATCCCATACTCAACCTTCCCCGGCTATTCAGCCTTCACCGACCATCCAACCTTCACCGACCAGAGCTTTGGATCAGTTCCTCTCTACCCCTGAGCTGGTCCTCTGCGTTTTGGAACAACTCTCATCTTACGACGTGCTGAGTGTATCTCGAGCGGACAGTCACCTGAGAGCCATCATACAGCAATCTAAAACGTTGCTTGTACATCTGGCAACTGGGCCTTCCAGGCACTTTACTGACCTCGTTCCTCATGCCTGGAATTTTCAAAACGTTGAACTCAACACCAAACATTTCCCCGAGTGGTCTTATAGTCATCTCCCCCAAAGCAGAGTGGCAACAATGCGCGTACCGGAGTTTGGGAACCCTTTGATGCCATTGATATCTATGCGGATGTCGAATCCAGACTCAAACCCCGGGCATTCAAGTCTTAATGAGCAGCTGACATTGTACTTGGACTGGACGAGTAGGCCAAACATGATATTCGACTCTGTGCGTAACAAATTCATACCGCCTGGCAGTGCCACCAGAAAGCTTGTGCTGGACCGTACAGACAAATATCCTACCGACCCGCCGCTGCCCACGACAATCAGCGTTGCACGCATCAACATTTCACAAACGCCAATATACTGCACGGTTTCTGCTGCACCGCACGTGGTATTCTCGTATCACAGCGCTAGCGTAGAAGCCAGTGTTTGCCCTTGTACCTTTGGTGATATGATCATGGTGGCACAAGTCCTATTGAGGACACCTCCGAAAGGGTGGAATTCTAACACCGTTTCTCTCGAATGGCGCCCGCGTGAAGACCACCCTGAAATCGCCTCGCATGATGAACTCGACAAGGCGATCGACATGATTCAAGTATGGCCTGTGGTCTACAACAGAGTCTTATGCAAGCCCATACCGATTGATGACGGACAATTCATCACTGCTCCCCCGTGACTGGTCAACACTTTCGGCTCTCGAAAAGAAACGCCTACCTTCTATGGATATTGTTCATCGCACATGTTACACTGCATGGATTTGATGTCCGCGCCGAAAGTATTTCATGGAACTATCTTACGACAACACTACCCGTCCAAAGCAGACTAATACGACGATAGACTTCATGAGCTCTTCATATAGTCCACACCAGCCTGGAAGATGCTTCGGAAAGTTTCGACTTCCTCCACCGAATTCGGTACATACACCATGGTGTAGCCAAGATGAATCCACTCGGTACCGCTGAGACGATGTCGCTCACCCCATCCCTTGGCAATCACCTCTTCGGCATCGGGGAAGGACAGGGTGACGTGACCGGAGAGGTCGGTCCCGTGGATGTGGCAAATTTCGCCTTGGGTGGGACCAGCCAAAGGCGTGACCGGGACGGATGGTCTGATGAACAAGGCTTGACCGTGCTTCTCAAGACAGGATGTCTTCCACTCGGTACATGTCTTGTTGACCTGCCCAAGCTGGTCGAACATGACGAGGTACGCCTTGAGGATGTCAGCAGGGAGATAGCATGGATGACAACGCCTGAAGGGAACATACCTTCTTCATCTCTGGATCTTGCGGCTCATCGGCGTTCCTCTCTCGTTGCGGAAAGACAAATGGCTTCGCTCTGGCTCGAGGACCTTGCCGTTCAGGAAGTGTTGTCTTGAAGAAAGACTTCATGGCATTTGCCTTTTGCAACTCCGTCGCCTTGGACCAACCGGCAGCATCCTTTTGGGGCTCTTTGTAGAAGCCCGGAATGATTGTCTCATCAGCGCCATAGGCCATGGTCTTTCCTGCATTCACTGACGACATGTATCCCTCCCAGGTGTAAGAAGTCCCGCCGACGCCCATGGCTTTCCAGGCTTCGTATCCGTGCATCATTTCGGCTTTTCGATGGTCGGTTGACATGGTCCTGGCTCTGGCAATTGCGAGGCGCGAAAATCGGGCCAATCTGGCGCGCATGAGACCACTGTTGTCCTGCTTGGTCGTTGGCTTTGATCGTGGCTATTGGGTGGCCATCTTCTTGACTGCATCCTGTGATATATCCTGGGCGACTCAACAATTGCCACAGCTGATCTCATTCTCATTGAGACTATATCGTCGTCGGACGACTGGCGTCATTGGAGTTTGTATATCAGACCGAGACGAGTCTTTCCTATATCCGACCATGTACTCGGCTCGGCGCTAAGCTCGGCCGATGCTTCTGGACCCTCTACATGTACCTTCTTTCTGGAGCGCTTCTTCTTGAATACACTCACCAAAGCCCACCTTGACTCGATATACTGGGCCGCAAGATATATGCATTTCGACAAAGCACAGCAAGGAGGATCTGAGTCCAGCACTGGCAGCAGGAATGCGTCGATTCCTCACGACCTGTGATCCGCTGAGACGAAAAGATATGTTCACATCACGGTGACCAGCCTGCGGCAAGCTCATATGGCATGTCAAGGAGCGGGATTATTGCACGAGGCATGTCATCACTCCAGCTCGACTGTAACCTCGTCTTGACAGCTTCGCGCAGCATCGTGACGAAAAGAAGCAATTGTGAACTCAGTCGGTCTCTGCCCAAAGTACCGCGTTTGCCGGCTCGGATCCTCGAACCGACGTGTTCGCTATCTCCTCTTGTACAGGCTGGTACAAGAATTATATTGACCCCTGTCTAGTGTCATCCTTTAGCTAACTCCATCAAGATCGCGGCCAGCCTCTGAGCCCTCTACCCAGAAGTCTTAAAGCTCGTGATCTACAAGCCGGCATTTGAAGTTTTCAGTCTAGGATGCAATCTGGCGGACGGCATTAACAACCGCCGCAAAGTCTTTCTTGAGAACTGCCCCGTGATCGCTCGCCACCTTTGTGCTCACGTGTATATTCGAATTCCGTGCGCATACGACCTTCGTGCTGTTCCGACAAAGTTCTTGTTCGTTGCCGCGACTGCCGAATGAAACTCCTGAGGCGACAACGTAAAGGGCTGGGACTGAAATACGGTCGAGAACAGGAAGGAAGTTAGCGTTGCTTGAGACGACGCCGAGCTCTATGTTACTGTTTGCTTGTTGTTCGCCTGTCATGCGTGGTACCAAGCCCGTCGGACGCAGAAGAGGCATGAACCAGTTCAGCTGACGGAATAGCTTTCGTATCCGTCTCTCCATATCCTCATCGAGCCAGTCATACGGAAAAGCCCCGTCAACAAAGACCGCCCCCAGACAACGATCCGGATTCTGGCTGGCCCAATGCGCTGCCACATACGCTCCGTAGGACCATCCAACAACTAGGACCTTGTCTGTTGCCACGATTCCTCTCCCACTTAGAACAGCATCAACATCCCGCAGCGCCGCGTCGAAGGAGTAGTCGCATGAAGACTTGGAGCGTCCGCGAGCCCGCTCGTCGAATGTAATATGTCTCCAGTCATCCACTCCGAGGCCGGAGATGACTCTTTTCCAATAAGCCTGGGTAGCGAATTGTCCGTTTAGGTAAATCACGGGCGTACCGGAGCCGCCACTGTCCGAGACTGCCAGTTCTGTGTCCTCGAAAGGTATGCGTCCAGTCCATAATGAACCAACTTTAGGCATGGCAGAGGCTAGAGCCTCTTGTCGGAAACACGCAAATGGTATGTTCTTTTAAGTATTGTGCAGCGATTCGTCCATAAGAGGTCAGTAGAACAAGGTGGATAGGCAGCTTTGGGGTGACTGTGTGGGCGACATGAGTTTTTCTTTAAAGCCCTCAATCGACCACTTGGACAAGGACAAGTGAGATTCCCTCTGGAGCCATTAACTAAATATGTGGCTGCCTTGTCTCGCTTTCGCTTGAAAGGTATGATCAGCCAAATTTTGTGGCTCTTCCGTGACGGTCGACTTCACGGAGCGAGATGAATCGCGCACCAATGCGCTAATTACCGAATCGTCGGCCAGATTCTGTGCGCCAACTTACGCTTTTCCCGCTTTCGTTGGGGACTTCATTTGCGAATGGGTAGTAGCAGTCAATTCCGTTATGTCTTCCGCTTCATTTGGCGAAGAAAGTTGCCATGTAGTGCAATCTTACGTCGCTTCGGGAATGTGGAAGCTGCTGCTCACTTTGAAGCTTGACAACCTGGTCAAAGCACGATGCGAATGCGACGTCAGTAGCGAACTACTAAAAGCAGCTGCGCTAGAAGCCGGAAGGTCAGCAAAGGATCACTCTCCAGATTTCGAGGGGCTGTGTTGTTTTCGAATCCCGCGGCCTAAATCCAATGGGCCAAGTAACGGGGGCTATACCCTTCGTGTGCAGGAAATACTTTGCTCCTTCGTAGCGCCCGACTCCAAGATGTATCCTTATCAGCCAACGCCCATCCGTGAGCATCACCATACTTCGTCAATTCTGACTCCGGCTTGGCACAAAAGAAGTAATAAGAGTTCCGCCATGGCTAGCCATTCCGAGGCTTGATCTTCACAAGAACCGGAATCCCCACCGCTGCTCCACAACCTCCGCATCTCTGCAAAGGCTAATGAACGTCCCGGAACCGCAGGTGTCCGATGCGAAGATCGTCTGTCTGGACGAAGGCGCGAACGCATCGTCCAATTGCTGCTGGGCGATGACGCAGCATAAGACTGGACGATTTCCATCCTAAAGAGACAAGTGCCACGAGGCCGTACTTGAGAACTGGCACAGATGAAATACGAACTGTTGCGTTTTGAAAGCAGTTCTCGCAATTCCCCGCAACCCCAGTCTCGATGCCAGTGGCGTTCAACCGTTTCCGTCGTTCATAGCGCTTGATGAACACCGCGCGAGTGAATTTTGAGGCCATCGAAAGCTTTGCCGAACACTCCTCGAACGCTAACATACAGTTTACCTTGACTACCGCTATTCCCGCCATGGGACAGATCGCCCCTGTTGCAGATTCTTAAAGGTCAGCAACAACGCCCACTAGCATTTCCTGAAAGCGTTTCGCAACAGCCCGTGGAGAAAACTGCCTGCCATGTTCACTTCGACCTCACTCGCTGCAGGTGCAGCTCTTATCTCGCTCGCGGCCGGCTCGCCAGTTGAGAGACAAGCCTTAAAGTTCACATACTATGACTTGACGACTCCTCTGGCTTCGCCGTGTGACATTACCACCGGACAAGATGGCAAGATCTACGCGAGTAGACGAGAGACTATCGTGAGCAAGATGTAAGGCTGATAAGTATTGTGTAGGCCGACACATTCACGTCGAACAAGATTGTTCAGATCGATCGCTCGACTGGCAGCCTGACAGAATACGACATTCCATACACCCTGCCTGTTCTCGGCAATGATGTTCTACCAAGTGATTTGCAAGGACGAGTAGCTCTTTCCTGCGTCGTTCAGCCTGGAAAAGATGGAGTATGTAAACGACTTTGATGGTACATGTACATGACCCATGCTGACGAGTGTATCAGCTCATCTATGCTGCTGCCGGTGTGCGCAACGAGTTCGTGCGCTTCAATCCAGAGACCAACGAAACCAAAGTCTTCCCTACTGGCAACCCCTTGGGCAACTTGCAGCCCTTTAACGACGCATGGCCTGGTGAGACTGGCATGTTCTTCTCACAAACGACTGGAAACGTCATCAACCTCTTCGATTACGCGACGACCAATGTTCAGACCTTTGAGGTTCCAACACCCCTTGCTGGACCTCTTGGAATGATCGTCGCCTCTGATGGCGCTTTGTGGTTCTGCGAGATGCTGGCCAACAAGATCGGCCGTCTCAATGCCACCGACGGCACCTTCAAGGAATACCCACTTCCTCTTTCCTTGGCAACACCATCTGTGATGCGTGCTGAGACTGAGGGTCGTTACTTGTGGTTCACGGCTATCGCAACCAACGCCATCGGCCGTTTCGATATTCAGACCGGCGAGACCAAGACCTTCACTGACCCGCGTCTCCTTGCTACGCCGATCGAGGACACCGTTGATAGCCAGGGCAACATCTGTAAGTCTCTTGACGCTATCTCCACACGCGTTTGCTGATTAATCGAACAGGGTACTCAACGCTCACTCGCAACACTCTCAACTACCTGACCCCATCCACCGGCAAGGTCACCACCATTGCTCAGCCAGATGGTGATCTCGAGATCCTGCCAGGCCTCCTCCCCAGCTTGCCACCTGCAGCCGACATCGCGATGCACTACGAGCCATCTGACAACAGCATATGGTTCTCTGAGCTGGTCAACAACCGCATTGGCAAATACTCGATCTAATCTTGGCTGTAGAGTATGAGTCGGGACGGCTTAACTCGAAGTAAAGTTTTGTAACATCTTACGATATCATGAATCTAATTTATCTTTTCACCGATGTGTGGTTTTGTCTCTTCAAGCATCCGGCAGTTCGTCTAAGCCCGCTACCATCCAACTGCGACGTGTTTCTGGCACGTTTTGGCAACTTGACTCGGTGGAGTTCGTACATGCAGCACCACAGTGACATTCATACGTTGCATTATACCCCGCGAGAAGAATTAAGGAAGTGCTAACTAGATATATGGCCGGACGCCATTGGAGGAGAAATTGAGTGATCGTCAGGTACAGGACTCCACGACTTGCCCGATTCAACCGAAAAGATGCCAATCACTGCGTACAACCACGATTCTTCCGGACAATGGACACTTTGCTGCATTCAAAAGAAGACCGTGGACCTCATGTTGCCACTGAAGGCAGCCAAGACGACACCATGCGGTCGATTATTACCCTGGCCTTATCACAGGCCGTCGTTGCACAGAACACTTTCACCACATCGAACTGGCAAGGCCAGTTTGCATCTGGCTCCGGGGTGCTACAATCCTTGAAGCCAGCGACGGACACATCGTTTGACTTCTCTCCCTCTGACTACTTTTCTCTCCGCAATGGCGTGGGCAACTACCACACCGGTGACATAACACTTCGTTGGAGAATCCAGGGGCCATCAGGGTGGAACGATGTCGACACTTCTGCTCAGCGAGATGCCGATCCTCAAACGACGAGCGGCAATGGCAGCAGTCTGCTCCATTCTACATTTGACAATGTCTATCCAAACATCCCCATCAGCATCTCGCGCGACTGGACTACTCAAGATGGCGACCTAGTCCTCCAAGCCACGATCAAGAACAAGAACGCCTCAACTGTTGAACTCGGCGCTTTTGGATTCCCAATCGAGTTCAACAACATCTTCACGAACCGCACTGCCGACGATACGACCGCTAAGTGCGTTCTGGTTGACCCTTACATTGGTCTTGACGCGGGCTACCTCCAGGTGACTCGTCTCACCGGCACCGGACCAAACATAGTCATCACACCTCATGGCAACGCTTCAAAGTTCGAGGCTTATAGGTTTCTGAATGAGGATCCAAGCCAGCCGACAGGCTATCAGACGCAAGTCTTTGAGGGCTTGTATGCCTGGCAGACGCTGAGCAAGGCGTATGCTGAGAACGAGTGGAATGCCACTAATCCGTGGAACGTTCCTACTTCGGTGACCCTGGCCCCAGGACAGTCGGTTTCGTTTGCACTGAGGTTCGGCATTGCGCAGAATGTGTATGATATCGAAGATGCCGTAGCGTCGAAGGATGTGCCGGTGGCTGTTGGAGTTCCTGGTTATGTCCTCCCAGTCGACATGAACGGAAAGCTGTTCCTCAATACGAAGTCGGCTGTCAAATCCATCGTTATCGAGCCAAACAGCGCATTAGCCTTCACAACGACGACGGCTAAGAACTCTGCTTGGAAAGCGTACGACGTAACAGCCTCGACGGGAGCCTATGGCAGAGCTCGAGCTACCATTCAGTATGAAGACGGCAGAGCCCAAACCGTCCACTACTACATCACGGACACTTCACAGAATACGGCCACCAAGCTGGGAGAGTTCTCGTTCAGCAAGCAGTGGTACACCGACTCATCCGATCCCTTCCACCGCGCGCCATCAGTCATGACCTGGGACGACGAGGTTGGCCAGATCGTGCTCCAAGATCCGCGTGTATGGATCGCCGGCATCTCAGACGAAGGCGGTGCAGGTTCGTTAACCGCCGCGTCGATGAAGTCCGCAATCATGCCAGACGCCTCGGAAATCCAGAAACTCGAGCAAATGGCGAACACCGCCGTCTGGGGCTGGCTTCAGGATAATGTCACTGATGCCGCCACTGGAAGTATCAAGTATGGTGTCAAGCGAAGTCTGTTCTATTACGACCCGGCTGCCTTGCCCGACTTTCAGTATGATTCCTCGATCCAGTGGGGCGGCTCTTGGAACAAGAACGATTCGTACTCGGTCTGGCGAGCGTATGACTATGTCTGGGTGAGTGTGCTGTACTGGTCGCTGTACAATGCTGAGCTGGCTGCTCCTGGCATCCTCACTGTGCAGAACTCGACCTGGTATCTTGAGAAGGCGTATCAGACTGTCATTGCCTCGCAAGCCGTGGACGAGAATGGTCAGCCGATCACGGCCTATGCGGATGTTGGCCTTATGGGTGAGACGGTCTGGCTGTACATCCTGAAGGCGTTGCGAGCAGAGGACATGAATACTGAAGCTGATGCTGTGGAGGCGGCCATGAAGAAGCGAGAACAGCTCTGGTCGACGCAGTCAAATCCTTTCGGCAGTGAAATGGCTTGGGACTCGACTGGACAGGAGGGTGTCTACCTTTGGGCAAAGTAAGTCGCTTGCATACAATGGCCGTCGGATCTGGACTGACATTCCTCGCAGATACTTCAACGACACAGCCACCGTTACCAAGACTCTGAACTCCATCCGGGGATACATGCCGACTGTCGCCCATTGGGGTTGGAACGGCAACGCTCGCCGATACTGGGACTTCCTATACGGCGGCAAACTCGCCCGTATCGAGCGAATGATCCATCACTATGGCTCAGGTCTCAATTCCCTTCCTATCCTCGATGACTACAAATACAACAAAGAGCCATCGAGCGCCTCTGCTATGTACGACCTTCGAATTGGATACGGCGCCAACATGGGTTCCACGACGAACATCCGAACGGATGGCAGCAGTGGGAATGCTTTCCACAGCTATCCGGATACGTTGAAGTGGGATGCATATTCTGGGGATTATGGGCCGACCTTTCTCGGGCACATTGCTGGGTCTCGGACGTATCTGGTTGAACATAACGACTTTGGCTGGCTCGCTTTCGGTGGAAATTTGGCTGTCGATGGCAATGCGGTTACTGTCGAGCCCAAGGACATGGTGAAGCGCGGTATCTACGTCGCACCACTTGGTCTCGCTTTGGATATCGATGCCGGTGTGATTAAGAACTTCGAGTACGATGCGTCGGCCAAGTCGTTGGTGGTGAATTTCGACAAGGTGGACGGAGGGGCTTCCACGGCGACGCTGGTGTTCGAGGATACGCTTTCTTCGGGAGTCAAGCTGACCACTGCAGGGCTCCAGCAGCAGAGAGGCGGGTACGCTGTACAGCTTCCCGGCTCAGTCGCGTTCTCCATAGCCTGATAGGGACTTCATTGCTGCCATCTTATCGTATCGAACGAGTGCAAGCATCCTCATACCTCACTGTACGAATCGAACTGATCGTTCTGGTCGTACTGCTTTGATATACCCCTTCTTTTCTTGCACCGTGGCAGACCCCGTCGCCAACTCGTCCTCACTGCCCTCTTCGCGCCTCGCCCTCTCCCACCTTTCCCTCAGTTCTGCTACAGACAGATCCTTTGGCACTTTTCTGCCCTTGTCCAGCATTCGTTTCCTTCTATGTTCTACATCTTCTTCGAGCATAGTCCTACCAGATTCAGTCATTCGAATCTGGTGCTTCTTCACAAGCGGTCCTTCAGGATCTGGAGATCGAAGGGGTACGCTGGGCATGTGTGTGGTGTAATACTCTAGCCATTTATCGTCGGGCAAGTAGTATACACAATCCTCGACGTAGTGGTAGCTGTTACAGCGGTCGCAGGGATGCAGTTCTCCTTTCGTATCATCGGCTGTCTGTGCTGCCTTCGAAGTCGAGGCTGAAGGGAGTTCCTGACCCCTTCTCTCTGCAATGGAACCAGAGGTAGTGACAGGCTCGGTGCTTTCACTTTCGTGCTCCGTGATCTGTTTCTTTGGAGGCGGCGCAGTTCCATGAAACCTCTTCATCTCCTCGTACGGCGGCGTATCGACAACTTCCCAGTCTTCAAACTTCTCTTCTTCCTTCTTCCAGGCCCGGCCGGGATCGATAGACAGGCTGACTTCTGCTGTGCCACCGCCCATTTGCCACTTCTTCTTCCACTCCATTTGCAACCTTTCTCGCGGTGAGTTGATTTGAACCAAATAACTAATAGGAGATTGGCATCTGTAGAGTTTGTGTGTTCTCAATGCGATGGAATACGGATGCCTGATTGTGACTCTTGAGGTACCTGCATCTTGGCTTTGCCACTCGAATCCTTTGAGCGGGTCATGAGTAGCGTGTAACTGTTATAAGACATTCAGATGGTCTCCATGGATCGCATTCGTGCTGAACGTGATTAATCGCTGATGGGAGCGTAGGTTGTTCCCACGACAGAGCGCATTAAAGAGCCCGGGAGCATTGGTGATGTTCGTGCCTGAGGCATACATCATTCTTGGCAATCACGTGAAAACGTTGCCAATCTCCGCAGATTTGCCGCCATCTCTCCTTCTCCATCGTCTCTCGTCCACTTGAAATTCTGTCCATCAGCGACGGCTCGTTCTTCTACCTTTCCGATAGATTGAGTAACGTTGAAGCACAGGACAAGCATCCGAGGCGAATCGACTTCACGCGAGCGAGTTGCTTCATGGCGGGGTCGGCAGTTCGAAGACATTCCGGCAACGCCGCAGTGAGGCTGGTATGGATTACTGATTCGTGGCATTGATCTGGTGCAGTATTTTGTTGATCTGCTGAACATCATCCTATCTTTAACGCAAAGATGGTCTCAATCAACATAGAGAAAGGTCTCGACTTGGAACGAGTCTCTGAGGTACACACGGTCTGTAAAACAATTACACGTGCTGGCTAACGGACTAACAGGACAAATTTCGAGCCATCCAGACACCTTTCACATGGGACGCAGGCGGTGTAATACCTGGAGGCCTCCTCATGGCACTATGTACAACTGCAGCGTACGAGACAGTGTCATCAGACTTCTCGATAGCCTCCCTGCAAACCCACTTCCTCCTTGGGCCAAGGAATAACGTCCGGATAGACTTGCAAGTGCAACGATTAAGCGATGGAGGTCGATTTGCCACAAGACTCGTGTCGCTCTTGCAGAATAACAGGATCATGGTTCATGTCACTTGCAGCTTCGTTCGGACTTCTGCCATGGGAGGGCCCAGCATGGCACATTCAGCATCTCGAGCGACAAACTATAGACTAGACGCAATCACACTCGACGACCTTGACTACGGCCGAACTGAGCTGGGTCCGTACATGAAATATCAACGGTTCCCGCTGGTGTATGCTGGGCGCGAGCAGCCGGAACCTGTCAATCCTCGGCCAGAAGATCTCGTACACCCTTGCGCTGCGATCGTTTCACCTGCCATCCGGAGCGATGACCGGCGTCTTCATCTTCTGGGGATCATTCTCCTCTCGGACTACCACGTTCTGGACTGCCCTCCCACGATTCACGGCCTTACATTTGGTCCAGCTGCCGTCAACGACACGACACGTACAAGAACACCTCAGCAGTTCAACATGCTCACTTCGCTTAACCACAGTATCCTATTCCACGTTCATGAAGGCTTCAGAGCAGACGAGATGTGCTACGTCGAAGCAACGAGCCCATGGTCAGGGAACCGAAGAGGAGAGATTTTGTCTAGAATATTCAGCAAGGACGGCAGACTGATCGCGACTTGTAAACAAGAAGGATACTATGTGCTGAAGGGTGATAAAAAAGATGGGAAACTATGAAGCTGACAAGTTCGGTCTTAAGAGAATCGCCCTGTTTGCGTAGGCGATGCCCAACGCCTCTAGTACGACACAGCTTGTCACGCAAACGAGTCTTCAATATGTGTTCTGCTCGGCCTGTCAGCCCTACTGGAAGCGATGCCACCTTCACCACAATCCCACCGCTTTTGGGTGCCCAATTATTATGCCGGGCTGTAAAAATGGCAGCATGGGCTGAATAGCGCCTTGGCTGCAATCTATTCTGTTACACAACCGACTTCCAAGACGGAGCTGAAGAGCCTCATTCAAGGATCCGGTATCGAGGCCGCATGCTGTGTTAGTATTTCGCGACTGTCTCTTCAAACAACAACACCTTGGAACATAATTAGTCGCGAATTTTCCGCTTCGGATAGAACGATGAAAGGCCTGAGTTAAGTCTCGACTTTCCAGAGCATTGTAGAGGCTGCATGGGTCGCTAAAGTGCATCTTGCATATGTGCAGTGCAGCGGAATGTCGACATGCAGATTGACAGGCATCAGCGGCCCAACGTACATCGCACTATTGAACCGGAAGCATCTGGACTGACGGGCCTGAACAGAAGTATTGGTCGACCGAAACACTGTCCAGCCGAGTGAGTGATTTGCTTACTGCTCCAGTGCTGTTCGTGCTTCGCTTTATTATCTCTTCCACAACTCGAAGGCGGTGATGATCTTTGCCCATTCGTCCTTTTGCTAGTTGACGTGCAGATATGATCGCTGTTGGCACGGTGACTTGAAAGAGCTCCTCTGAACGACCGAAAACTATCGTGGACCTAGCAAGGATGCTGTGCTCAATTATCTGGCCGCTGATAGCGCTTGCTCAGGAGGGCAGCCCTCTGAAACTACCGCGCCAAGGTCGGTACTGAACCAGATCGATACTGCTCGCGGCTAACTTTACATAGCGTACTCAAACAGCACAGGAGTAGCCCTAGGTACTGGAACGTCGACTAGTGCCACAACCAGCTCGTTGTCGACAAGTTCGACTTCGACCTCAACCTCGAGTTCATCCTCCATCGATGCTGCTGCGATACTAGCGGCTACTTCGAACTCTACAAGTGGATCTTCTGCGTCGTCTATATCATCTTCATCTAGTACCAACAGCCTACTATCGAACGCATCCTCGTCGAGCAGTACAAGAGGCTCCAAAGGTACCATCACCGCACAAGCTTCACCCAGAATCTCCGCAGGAACGGCAGTCATAACGTCCGCGAGCAACAGCAGTTCTACAGGCAATGCCACGAACACAACAGCGACTACTGGGACATGCTGCTACATCAGCCCTAATGCGGTCGGTGTCAATCACTGGTATACCTCGAGCATAGGCGTCACTGTGAGGAGAGAGATCACTACTTGGCTACAGTCGAATGGTACCCTCATACCAGCCAATTCGACCACAATCGCGCTGGCCAACGCCTCAACCTTGTACACCAACTATTCTAATGTCTGGTCGACGTATTCAGGGGTCAGCATAGACACTATCAGCACTGGCTACACTACGGTCATCTACCCATCGTGTAAGTATAGACGAAGTGTCGGTGCAAGCCTGTACTAATTTCCGCCAAGCAACATATACGATACCTCAGTACACATTCGTTACGCATATTCCTACAACTGAGCGCCTGAGTGGTATTCCAAACACTCTATTGGTACGTATGTCTCAGGCTACCGCAATGCAAAGCGACTAACGATATATCATAGCCCAGCAACGCACAACTGTACGCCTCAACAAACGTCATTCCCGGCACAGTGACATCCTACCCATTCCAAGGCATAGCCTTCACATCGCCAACACCCTACCTATTCTTCTCCCAAATCTTCCTTGGAACTAGCCAACCATGCGATCCTTCAAGAGGTGGAGCCAACCTACCCATCGCAACCACAAGTGTCATCGCTATGCCAATGGAGCCAGAATACACCTACAACTTCGACTTCGATGAGTGGATGGCGAACCACAACATGACCGGCGAGGGAGCGATCGATCGAACTTACACATTTGCCATTCCGGAAGACTTTCCTGCCTTCTTGGCGGGCATACCTGCCGTGTCGTCGAGTATTCCATTCATTGGTAGCTGTACGCTTGGTCCAGGATATGGCGAGCCGAGTGTAAGTCAGTTCTCTGCAGGGTTTAGAATCGAGGGCTAACATATTGAAGGTGCACATTCCTGTGAATCAGCTTACTGAGACTAGTCATGTCACCCTGACGCTCGCTATGCCTTCACAAACACAGGAACCGACCACCGAAGTGCTTCCTCCGTCTCCTACCACAGAACCAGCAGCGCCATCTCCCACGAATGATAGTCCAACACCGACTCCAACTGCCTCCAATCCTGATGAGCCAGACGAGCCTGATGTACCAGATGAGCCGAACGAGCCTGATGAGCCCCAGGACCCAAACGAGCCTGACGATCCCGGGCAGCCACAGCCAACACCAGACACGCCAACACCGACATCTCCAAATACTCCTTCAGAGCCTACAGACGATGCAGACGTCCCAGCTTTACCTGTGACGACGACGGCTGGGGATGCTGCCCAACCTGCGCCAACCCCTGAACAGACAGGGGATGATAGCACATCACCGCAGACTTCAGCTGTCGATGTCGGGGGGATAATCTCAGCAATAGGTGAAATTCCTGCTGCATCTCCAACCACTAATGCAGCACCCACAGAGCCGCCAAGTGTCGGCGATGAGGTGGCCACCGTAATCGGTGCTCAACCTGAGGCAACGCAAGGAGAACAGGAAAGTGATGATGGTAGCGATGGTGCTGGCGCTGGTATTGCCCCAGTCACAAATGCAGATGCTGCTTCGCCAGCCAACACTCCAGCCGCAACACCAGCCCAGATCACAGTTGGAGGCGATGTGGCAACAGCCAACTCAGATGGAGACTTCGAGATTGGATCTCAGACTCTTCAGCCTGGCTCTGTTGTCACAGAAGGAGGCAATACGATCTCTCTCGCCCCGAGTGGTTCCGCTGTGGTGGTCAATGGAGTTACATCGCCTGTCGCTTCGCCCGCGGCTCAGATCACTGTTGGCGGCAATACCTTGACTGCTGATGCGAACGGCGCCTTCGCGGCCGGCGACCAGACACTCCAGCCTGGATCTTCGGTTACTATTGATGGCTCGACGTTGTCGTTGGAGACTCCAGGAACTGCACTCGTCATCGATGGGAGCACGACCCCTATTGCCGCACCTGCTGCAGAAGTCACATTCCCAGGCAGCACCATCACGGCTGATGACGACGGTGCTTTTGTCATCGGCAGCCAGACGCTACAACCAGGCTCTGAGATCACGATCTCAGGCTCGACGCTCTCCCTAGCACCTGAAGGCACAGCCTTGGTCGTGAACGGCGCTACTACACCTATTAATACAGGAGCAGCCGTGACCGCAGAATCAATAACCGTGGGTGACAGCCTTATCACTGCCAGTCCAGACGGCAGCTTCGAGATCGGCTCGCAAGTCCTCGAGCCCGGATCTGCTATCACGATTTCAGGCACGACTCTTTCGCTCGCACCAGGCGGAAGCGCCCTCGTCGTCAATGGTGCCACATCACCTGTCGATGCCCCTGCTGCGGACATCACACCAGTCGCAGAAATCGGAGCTATAACCCTCGCGGGAAGTACATTGCCCTTCACAGAAATCGGCAGCGAAGTCCTCATCGACGGGCAAACGCTCGGCCCCGGCAGCACCGTTGTCGTAGACGGGCAAACATTAAGCCTCCTGAACCCCTCTCAGGTCGTAGCTATCTCAGGGGAAGCATCATCCACCCTAAACCTCCAACCCACAATCACAGCCGGCCCAGCAGGTGTCGAAGTCGGGATCTTCACCCTCGATGGCCAGACGTACAGTTTCACCGACTTTGGCGCTACGCTTGTGATTGATGGTGAAACACTCACACCAGGAGGAAGCGTGGTTGTCGTTGATGGACAGACGTTGAGTTTGCTGAATCCTTCTGAGTTGGTCGTTGTGTCGGGTGAGAGGACGAGTACGGGTGGGTTGGAGCCTACGACTACGTTGGCGGACCCGGAGAGGACGTCTGCGGTGGCTGCGCCGTCGTCGACTGCTGGGGCGGAGAAAGGGGTTGTGGTGACGGTATGGAGTTTGATGGTTGGGGTGGTAATGACGACATGCGTGATGGTTTTATGATTGACGAGTGAAGTAATATCTTCCACAGAGCGCGCAGGGAGCAACAGTACATCTCAATCCATAGACTTTCCCCTTAGAAAGTCTTCGAAGCCTTGCCCGTCCGCACCGCTCTCTCCAGATATTCCCTGACCTGCTCCTTCTTCACCCTTCTCAACCCCAACAGCTCATTATCCGTCTTACCACCAAAATCCCTCGTGAAACCCTTTCCGAAAATTCCCTGCACCAGCATTCCCATCACCCAGCCCCAGACATTACTAGGATTCTTCTCGAAAACCTCCATAGACTTGTCGTACGTCGACTGTGCGCTTGCTTCCGTGACTGTCCATCCCTCTGCGCCGCCAGTAACCTCCTGCGCGATGGAGAGAATCTCACGCTGAGAAATATCAATCCCACTCACCCTAACTTCACGATTCGCCGTCTCATCTGCATGCCTCAACACCCCGACAACAGCCTCACCAACCCAATCCGTCGGACTTGTCGCAGTAGGGAAATCACCTCCATCATACAACGTACACTTCTTCTCCTGAAGATTGAGGTAAAATTTGTTATCGATACCCCAATCCAGAAAACAGGAACAATACACCGCCGTCCACGTCATGTGCACGCCTTGCTCCGCACATCTCGAGCGGAGGTACTCGTCGATTTCGATCTTGTCCTTGTACATTGGCATTGCTCTCAGGGCGGGGATGGAGACGTCGGAGCCGAATTCGCTGGGGAGGAAGCGTTTGACGCCCGCGGCGATGGCGGCGTCGATGAGGAGTTCTTGGGTTGAGATGGAGAATGTTGTTAGGGTGGAGACGAGGGCGTCTTGGCCTTGCAAGGCTTGTGTGAGGTCCTCCAGTTTCTCGTAGTTGACATGGACGACTTTTGCTACGCTGGAGGGGAATGTCGCGGTGCTGGAGTGGCGGGTTAGGACGGTAACTGTGAAGCCTGCGTCCAGAAGTGCGTGAAGCATAGGCGTTCCCAGGAGGCCTGAAGCGCCTGCAAGGGCGACTTTTTGGATTGGCGAGGACGACATCGTTGCTTGTGAGAGATGTTGGTATCCTGATGTTGATTAACGAAGAGAGACGACAAGCTCGCTGAATCGACCTTCTTTTAATACCCACGATCCACTCTTCTCAGCCTCGCCTTAGTCCCACCAGACGACTCTTACAATTCAGCTTCAGCTAAGACGCGAAAGACAACTGCATCCATCTAAAATCCGTCGATGGAACGTAGCATGTGGTATGCGGTGACTTAATCCATCCCCAGATCCAGACATCTTCAGGATCTAGCTCTCGTACGGACGTAAATCGGGCAATTTCCTTGCTCAACTCCGTCGTATTGCAGTCATTAGTAAAGTCCGGTTAGTGGCATACCCGTGTGGCCGACGGTATTCGATGCCCGCCTGGACCCTAAGTGGTTGGAAAATAGGTGCGACGATCATCTCATGTACACGCAGGTTGTGGGTGAGTGAGCAAATACGAGACGAGGAAAGACTTAGACTCGCTTTCGTTTTGACACTAGATCCAATTAGGGCAAGATCGACACCATGCCTTTGACATCACTCCCAAACGCCGTAATCGCCTGCCGACCTGAAGCTGTACGGAATTGTTTGCGAGAGAACACGGAGTTCGGAACAGGACGAGAGCCTCCACGTTGTTGCGTTACCAATGCTACGTTATTACACCAATATCCGCCCTCTTCAGATGCGTCATCGTTGCCCTATAATACAACCATCAGCACGACTATGTAGGTCTTCATCGTTCCATCGTGTCTTCGCGCTGTACACATTACTACATCACGACGCAGTTCTCCTCGTCTTTCTTCTGATCTTTCCTAGTGAGCTTGCCATTGACTGGAGCGGCCTTGGAGTTCTTGCCGGCGGGGTTACGTCTCAATTCCTCCAACCTTTCGATTGCTTTGGGAAATTTGTAGGCTGTAGTTGAGGAGTCAGCAGGATATCCTCACAAAATCATATATTTCATCGCTTACAAGCTGCCCTGCCATACCACTTCCTGGCCTCGTCCATGCTGGCGGGACACCCAATGCCATTCTCAGTGAAGTAGCCCATTGCGAACATTGCCTTGGCCAAAGGAGGCTCGGATGACGCCGCTTTGCGAGCCCAAAGGTATGCTTCGGTATCAGAATGCTCCAGAATACCGCCAGCACCAGTAAGGTACCAGCCAGAGAGTGCAAGTTCGGCCTGATGCTCGCCCTGAGCGGCTGCCTTTGTGTACCATGCGATGGAATTGCGATTGTCGATGGGAAGCCCAAGAGAGCCATACTCGTACGCTTGACCAAGTCTGAACTGCGAGAACTTGTATCCGAGCTGCGACGCCTGAGTGTAGAGCTCTTTAGCGTAGCTGTCATCAGCGACGACCTTGTTTCGGATCTCTGGGTTAGTGTTTGATGACTCGTGTATCATGGCAAGCTCATGCAATGCGTGTGGGTTGTCCTTGTCGGCCTTTTCTGCACCGCGCTTCAACCATGTCACTGCTTCAGCAATGTTCTTTGGGTTTCCGAGCAGCCCCTTCAGCAGCACCACGCCCAACTTGTACATGGCAGGTCCATCACCAAGAGCCGCTGCGCGACGATACCACTGAACAGCCTTGGCATAGTCTCGGCTCGTACCACCGCCTTCTTCTGGGCCCATCTCGCAACATACCGCAGTTCGGTAGGCTGCTTGCGCGTGGCCGGCTTTGGCAGCTGCTTGATACAGCTTGAAAGCTTCTTTCGTGTCAACTTCAAGTCCAAGCATCCCTTGACCATGGCAGTCAGCCATGTAAAACTGAGCGTCTGGATATCCAGCCGCGACGAGTTTCTTCAGACGCTTGTACGCTTCATTGATGTATCGCTCACGATTCTTCGCCGCCGTCTTGGGATCCGCTCTTCCGTTCTCGTTCGCGAGCACACTTGATGCTTCAACAAGCTTCTTGACAAGGATCAACGTCTGCTTTGGGCTGTGCGGCGGGTTGTCAACAGTCTGGCGGAGTCGCTCAATCTCTTGTTGGGTGACTGGCTGTGCGAAGTGGTCCATCGAAGCCTGACGCTGGTGTGGGGCGCTGGACTGCGACGACACCGAGCCGCCATTGTAGTTTCTTACAGGAGGCGGCTTGCTTGGCTGCGATTGCCCTTGCTGTACATGACCAGCTCGTACCGGCACTGGATGGTGCGGTAGTGCATCGGGATTGCTGTTGCGTGAAGCTTGATCAGGTGCCGAACGTTGTTGTAAAAGAGGGACAGCAGTAGCTGTTGCTGGTGGCGTTGGCAGAGCTTGCTGAGGAGGTGCACTGCCTACTCGCTCTTGGCCAGGGTCTGACCATACAGTCTGTGAGGTCTGGTTACGGTCGAAGTCAGGCCGCCGCTGCTGCGGTGGATACCCTCCTCGAGGTGCTCGACCATTCTGATAGAACCGCTGTTGCTGTTGCTGTGGCGGTCCTTGTCGGCTTGGCGGTCCTCTGCCGTCATCCAACGAGCGTCTAACTTGAGGTTCTGTAGCAAAGGGTGCATTAGGCGGAGGCAGTGGTCGGCCCTGCTGATAGGATGAATCTTGTGGGGTGGGCTGATTTCTGTATGGAATGTCGTACTGTCGCTGCGCTGGAGGTGGTGGCTGGCCCTGATCATAAGGACTTGTCATGCCTCGCTGTGGTGGCCCGCGAGATCCAGGCCCTTGTCGCGGGCCGAACTGCTGTTGAGCATAGCGCAAATCAGGAGCAGACCCCGACTGCTGCATAGCCTCAGGAGGAGCGGTGGCCATCCTCGGCATGGGAGGTGCTTGCGCCCGAGGAGGGCCTTGTGGCTCGGCGAGGTGCTTGTCCATCGTCTGATTCCTCTTGTGCACATTCGAGGTCTGTTGAGGTGCAGCGGTATCGAAATCGGGCATCTCAGCTTCGATTTCCTCCTCGCGATTAGTAGGTGCTCTCTTGATCTGTCTCGGCGGCGTCGTGTTATAGTCGTCGTATATATCACCAAGACTGCCATTTCTGCTGTACTGGTCTTCCATTGGAGGCTGACCGGCCATCTGGTTTGGCAAAATTCGTGTGCTTTCTTGAGGTATCGTAGACCCAGCATATTGCCCGACAGGGCTTTGAAAACCCTGATTGGGCGGCGGTCGTGGGCCTTGTGAAGTGGACGGACGGGGTGGTAAATAGGCGGGGCTCATAGGCTGACCAGAGTGAACAGGTCGCTGCTGGTGTTGACGTGTATCGATGGGAGGAGGGCCACGCTGCTTGGGCACTTGTCGTGGATCATAAGCAGCGTTCGGATCGTAGGACTGTTGCTGTGGTGGGCCACGAGGATTTGGTGCTGGGTACTGCCCGTAGCCATTTGTCTGTGGGGGCGATTGCCGTGGCTCTACTTTCGGAGGTGTCTGTCCCTGTACCATTGGCCACTGCTCTGGGTACTGTTCACGCACTGGGGTGGTGGCTGAGGAATAAGCGTCGCGCTGGTCAGGACGACCGTAGCCGTTGGGCTGTTGTTGGCCTTGTCTGCTATTGGCAAACTCTGGCGAAGAATACTGGCGATCAATGTCAGGTCTTCTAGGTGGTGGCTGTACGTCTCCTTCCGTTCTGTGACTATTTCCTCGCGACGTGCCAGGTCGCTGGTTGCTGTGCGAGGTGGAAGGTCGAGCCTGCTCCACGCTGCCACGTTGACTGGATGTGCCTGCCATGTCCTTCTTCTTGGGGAAAGTTGGAAATGCATTGTCCAGGGGAAGTGTCTCTGGCGACAACGCCGCTGTCTTGAATCTTGCCTTCTCTTTCGCTTTCCACTCTTCCATTGACATCCTGCTAGGATCCTGCGAAGGTGCTTGTGAAGGTGCTGGCGGAGGTGCTTGCGATTGTTGGGGAGGGTATCCGTTCCCATTCATTCGAGGTGCTGGAGCATAGTCTCCATTCTGTTGTGCGTATGGGTCTCTGGGCCTCTGCGATTGAGGAAGGTGACCGTTCTGTTTTGGAGGTGGAGGGTCGCGTGGATCGCCTTGGTAAGGTGGGCGACCTGGCGTTGGCTGACCTCTCTGGCTAGGGTGCGGTCCAGGATGCTGCTGCGGCGGTGGACCTCGCTGTGCTCTTGGCTGGTACCTTGGGTCGTACGAGCGGCTGTTGTTCTCTTGATAATACTGTTGATTGTCTTGCTGCGTATGACCTCCCTGATATGCGTCGCCGTAGTGAGGATCTTGGCCCGCATTCACGCCTTGATCATAGCCATAATCATAGTGACCTCCGTTCTGCTGGGAATAGCCTTGATTGTATCCTTGATCGTAATGCTCGTACTGTGCGCTGCCATGCTGTGCATAACCATTGTAATCTTGATAATCGTTTCTGGCGGGGTTGGACTGTGGTGCTGGTTCGTAGTAGTGTCTCCTCGGTGGCTCATAGGCCGAGTTCTGATCGTAGGCCATTGCGCTCAAAGGAGTGAAAGAGCTTTGTGCAGGCAGATTGTGGGGAGCTGGGTCATTTGTCGCAGACTGCAAAGCGAGCGAAGCGCAGTCTACAACACAAGACTCTCAGCAGCGGACTGGGAGCAGCAAGGTGCTTATGCGAAGGCTTCTCTCAGCGAGGCAGGGATGTCGTCTCTCGTACTGGGCGTGCCTGGTTTGAGGACGATCGATCGGAAGCGTGTCTCGCCCACCTCCGCTGGCGGGTTTCCGGTTTGCAGCGCACAATCAGTGATCGGACAATGGGCGACGTCACTGGCGAATCGCGAACATGGCGGCGGGTGTTTCGCAGTGGGAGTGTCGCAGAGGGAGTGTTCGAAGTGCGAGCGTCTCCTTCAAGCGCCGACCCAATCACGCGGACGGGGCAATTGGAGCTACTGTCGCGTGTGCGCTCAGAGTGTGGCGTAGAGTGGCTCAGTCCTGCGGATACGAGGCGGCGATTCGATGTGCGGCTGGCATGTCAGGCTGGTCTCTGACGCTTTGCGGTGGCACAGTAACATTCACTGCGAGGGTCGACGAGGTGTTTGTCGGATGGAGGGGCTCGGTGTGATCGTCTCGTTGATCTTGCTGCACCGTTGCGCGTTCCTTCAGCAACGGACTTTGCCGACCTTCTAGCCAAAACTCTATCTATTCTAGACCCACGCAATTCCAACCTCACCTCTTCTCACGTCACTCCAGCGTGCATCAAACCTGCATTATCTACTCTAGCGATGCCTCAGGAACAGCCGCAAGACTAACCTGAAGATCTGTGGTGTCGTAGAGAGCCACCATGAACGACCTGCATCTCGCTCCCAATTGGCTAATCGAAGGATGGCTCGCTAGGCTCAGGAGAGTAGGTAGATCGTCCGTCTTATCGTCACATCGTCGCAGTCATACAATCCATGTTCTCAACCTCTGCATCAACACCGCTCAAGATGCAATAATGCTCATACCGTTTCTCATCGGCTGCCTGATCACGGCTGTCTTGAGCTTCGATCAGCAGCCTCTCACCGACAGTACCACAAGCCACTACCCACGCCTCAACTTCTCCTCCTCATCTCCCCTCATCTTCCACAGCACATTCGCCCTCCTCCAACAATGGCCAAACACATTCTTCCCCGCAGGTCACACTATCGCACCATGTACGATCCCACCCAACACAAACCTCTACCACGCCCGTCCAAACAACACGTTCCCACCAAGTCCAGAATGGTTCGCTTTCGACAGCGCAATGGCCTATGGAATACGAGGGACAACTGCCGATAGCCATCTTTTGACATTCCGTACGGCCAAGGCAGTCAAATGCCTGTACTTCGATGGTACTTCCGCCGCTTTACAGTATGACGGCAGCATGGACAGCCAAAACGTCTTCCTGCACAACACCTCCGCAGAAGCCCCTGCAGACCCCGTTTTCGGCGACCATCCACCTCGCTGGCCACCCGGAGGCAACTCCACTAACCCTGGCAGCAACGAAACAGTATGGGTGCCACTCTACGCTGAATACGCTCGCGCGGCTGGACTATGCAACTTCATCAAGGAGAAGAACCTCGGCGGGCCAGGATGGGGTTACGAGAGTATCATCAGGATGGATGAGGGATTCGAAGTTATCTGGTGTAACTTCTCTTCTCCATCTGCTGGGTTGGTCAGTTGGCTGAATGTTTCTGCGCCGGCTTTGATTGGGGTGACGCCGCCGAAGTTCCCCAGGCGGCGGCCAGATCACATGGCGAATACCTTCATCGAGCATCGTGTCGGATTGATGGATGAGAGACCAGAGCGGAATTGGACCTACGTCTATCTACCAGGATATGATCGCCCGTTCAAAGAAGCAGGCGCAAAAGAATGGTTCCGTACCGCAGCAAAGACGTATGGCTTCGCGGGTGGTGTGCCAGGTAGAGGCGAGGCTAGAGTGAAAACTGATAGCTGCGGGCTGTTCAGCTTCTACGATCCGGCGCTAGTAGATCAGTCACATGCTCGTGTGGTTTACAACAGAAAGCAGTTCAACCTGAGCAGTGACGGATACTGGCTTGGACCCAAGAACAGCAGTGACAGCCGAGTGACAGCCCTTCAACAGCTGAGTCTGCGACGGCGATACATGCTCGATCGGAATATCAGCGAACCAGACGGACTGTACATGCGTTCGGCTGTGGAAGACAGAATGCGAGCAATGCTCAGTGGTGAGGAAAGCACATGCAGCGGCATCGACTGGGTCGAGACAAGTCGGACGATTGTCGCAGATTACAGCTCACCCCTTTACGACCTACGATCCCTCCTCTCAAGGATCACAACTTCAAGCCTGACCAACGCCACCATAGTCCGCGCTCAAGTCGACCTCGTCCGCGGCCTAGCACACCAATTCGTTATGCCTTACTACGAATATCCACCACACTTCGCAAATGCAACACTGCACAAAGCCTTCAGCCCCGAATCACCATCCTCTCTGGCTGCTCTAGTCCGCTGCAAGAACCAACACACCCCAGCCCCGAGTACACCACTCTCAACATCCGAAACTCTCACGTTCTCATCAATCCTCTCGGTCCTTAGCGCCCTTTGCACGACCCTCCTCCCAATCTTCCTCAGCACTGAGATCCTCTGGCTCGAACACTTTAACAACGTAAAAGCATACCCAACTACCATTCCTTCATTTCTGCAGACCAGAATCAGCGAGACGTCCACGAGCCAATTGGAGGCAGTAGATGAGCTGATGGCCTGGCTAGGCTGGACGGATCAATGGACGAACTGTGAACCTGGATGTAGCGTTGGACAGGTCTGTGCGATTCCGATGTGGCCGGTACCGATTGGTCTCGAGAGGTGGGATCAGCAGGAGGAGTTGTTGTTGAGTGGTGGGGTTTGTGTGGATTTGGAAGGGGTTCTGGACGAGGGAGTGCGAAGTAGATGTTGTCAATTTACGGTAATTTGAAGTACTCTGCCGTCGCAAAAGACCTTCTGTGGAGACAAGTCTTCAGTCGCTGTCGCTGTCGCTGTCGCTCCAATCATCCTCTCGTCCACGGCGTAGAAAAACCCATTTCGCTGCCCTTTTCGCACTGAAGATCACCCTCTTGTGCCAAGGAGGATCAATCTCATTCAAATCGATATCTCCCACATCGAAGTGGTCTCTGGACATCTCGTCAAGACCGCTGTCAACAACGGTCTCGTCTTTTGCAGCCTCAAATTCTTCCTCGATGCCGCGATACTCCATGTCGCTCAGCAGCTGAGCGTCTCGCATCTGCTCGGCAAGGAAGGAGACGACTTCCTGGCGTCGATAGTCCCGACAAGCTCGCCATAGCCTCAAAGCGTAGTCTAAAGGTGACCAGACGTTTAGTGAAAAGCCTGGCCCGTCCGACTTTAGATGATCGAGACCACGCGCGACAATTTCAGATAAATATGAGGCGCTGTTTAAGCAAAAAATGCTTGTGTGATCATCAGGCAGGCCCACGCGTACAATTATCATGGAGCATTCGAACTGCTTCAGGAGATCGCAAAAGTGTAGTGCCTCATCGGCATTGAGATGCCTTGACTCGAGAAATCCGGCCGTCTCTAACAAACTTTCTGACGTTGCGTCCAGGGGCAGCATTACTTCCTCTAAGTTGATGCCCGCTTTTGGTACAGTTTCTGAGATGCGAAAGACGGCCCAGTGACAACTTAGTAGCGCATCTTTGGGATGCTCTTCAGGTCGAGTAGTCTCACGCTCAAGGCCCAAGAGTTCTTTTGTGAATGGGACGTTGGCGGTGAAGATGGCGAAACGAAGAATTTGCGCACGAACAATGCCATGTCTCGCGAGCTGGGCCTGATGATCTTCAAAAAAAGATAGGAATGCCCGGGTAATGTATCCACCGGCTCGCACTGTCATTATAGACCACTTAAAGAGGTCACAGATACCGAGGACCAGGTTCTCATTGGCAACTGAATCGAACAAACGGCCCACGAGTAGCGAATGGCCTCCATGCAGAGCCATGACGATTATCGATGGTAAAACTTCATTGAGCTCATCAATGGCCATGCGGTCTAGGATCAACACATGCACCATGAGCAGTGCAGTCTGTCCTTGCTCAGCCATGGACTTCAGCAATGCGAGAATGTTTGGCGATAATTTCCAAGAATATGGGCCTTTGCGTAAGAGGACATACACAATACTGGGCCAATCCATTGGGTCTCTATTGGCAAGCTCCATTACTGCATCGTGGCAGGGCTCCAGATGCGCCCCCGTGATATGGGCGAATTGGTCAATAGACGCAGGCTTCTCGTCCTGCTGCAGTGCACCCGCTTTCGAGTTTGTCATTGATTTGAGTATCGTTCGGTCCAGGTTCGCAAGCTGCTCAAATTCTTTTGCCTCCAAATAGCCCTCAAGTGCGATGCGATACCCTCGTCTGGCATTCGCATCGCTTGTCGCGTAGGGCAGCTGTTCACGAGGTAGATCCTGCCCAGTGAGAAAGTCTTTGACAGATTGGTGAATGAATTCTAGCGGCAGACTGTCTTGTACAAGCATCTTACATGCTTCGACGGAAGATTCTAGGCGCTGAATCTCCTGCAGGGTTGGTAATGCGCGCGTCCCGGGTTTCACGTTCTCTCCAAAATGCAACAGTACGGCAATTTCTGATTCTCTCAAGTGGTAGGATAGAGAGCCAGACGCTAGGATAAAGCGCAACACGTACGGAGCGTAGACGGGTTCGAACTCGTTTAGTTCTCTCAATATTCTGATGTACACCTCCGTCAGACCAGAAGGGAATTGCCGAAGTAGTTGGAGCACCTCGTGCTCTCTAACCTTGGATTGTGCGATTTTCTTCACGACCAAAGCGATCCATAGAAATGTTCCGCCGTGGCGTGATCGGAGTTCTTTCTGGATCGCTTCGTGTGTTGTGTGACTCCATTGGCGTTTTGCGACTAAATTTTCGACTTCCTTCTCAATGTAGACTTCAAGGTCGTCTTCGATCTCCTGTCGGCCCACTTGAATATGGAATTCTTTCCCAACATGGTTGCCTAGCAGCTCCGCGATGAGGTTCGGACGTGTGAGGACCAAGAACTTCATCCTGGTCGAATTTTTTCCTTGAGAATGTGCCAGAGCCAAAAGAGAGCATAGCCCACGAATGAGTTCTCCCCGGTCCGTTTCCTCGCATTCGTCAAGCGCATCAACGATGAGGTACACTTCGCCAAGATCCGGGCCTGACAGCATCTGTCGGAATAAGGGCCACATTGAGGTGAACTTATCAAACAGCTCCCCGTGGAAAACGTCGAATTGCTGCTGCACTGGGTCACAAAGATGTGGCGAACGAACGAGAACCTGGTACATGAGACTTCTCAAGATGGCCAATACAGTCCTCTGCTTCTCCACTCTGTTATTGACGAAGAAGTATGCCACAGTCGAGCTACTGTTCTGCTTTTCCTCACGAAGGCAGTCCACGATGACGGTTGCCATAGTCGTCTTGCCAATGCCCGGCTCGCCAGAGATTACAAGAATGCTGTCATGCCCGGCTGTAGACCAGCTGTTGAATTCTTTTGATTCCAAGACCCATTTACAGGTGGGCGCGGTTGCAGTCACGCCTCTAGTGCGGCCTTTCGCGTCCATAAGGTTGTCCTCCGGATTGACAGGTCCCAGTGCTTCCAGAAGACTTGTGTACTTCGCAGGAGTATGTTGTGGTGTTGTTGCAATAGTTTCTAGCGAAAAATAAAACGTTAGACATGGGCACAGACAGCCATATCTACAAGCTCGTTCTGGACGTTGCTCATCACGAACCTGCTCTAGCTTCCACACGAACAACCCATTCTTGGGCAATAGCTTTCGCACACGAAGCTGCGCTGAGAGCAGCGAAATCTTGCCAGTCCTTGTTCTTGTTCGAGTCGGTATAGTCGCATACCCCTTTCACGAGAATCGTAGGCGCGTTCTCCCATGTTCCGGCACTTTCCATCTCAAAAGCCACTACCTTGTCACGCGAGATTGCATCATCCCTGTATGAAGCGCTTTTGATGACCGAGTCTGTAGATACGATTCGACCAAAGTGCAGTGCAACATGCTGTACGTCTCCTTGCGTCGACAGCAGGTCGTCAATCCTGGCTGGACAGTGAAAGCGCTTCCGGTATACAGGATCGTGAAGGAACGTGGCCAATGATTTGTTTGTACGGTCCGTGATTCGGATCTCGGTGTGCAATCCAGACAGCTTCGTGATGAAATGCCGGATCTCAGGGCTGGCTCTTCCCAAGGTGTCTTCAACCTCAGTCTTGCGCTCGAAGGAATGTTCGTATTGCCGACCAAAGTCGGCTTGAATGACCTGCGTGCTCACTACGATGTCTCCCAAATTGACAACGAGACCTGTCTCGGGATGTTTGGGTGCAGCACCGCAGACACCGACTACGAGCAGAAGGTTGATGTAGCTGAAGCTGGCTTTGAGATCTTTGGACACGCTGGCAGCGGCAACTTTGCCCATGCTCGCATATGCCAATACGATGGGCTTGCCACCAAGCAGGCCAAACGTGTAGGAATTATCGTCACTTGCCGCCTTGCCATAGGTTTGCGCAGCATCTTCCCACTCTTCGTCCAGCAACGCCATCACAGCGTTGGCTTCGCGCGGAAGCGCACACAAGACTGCGATCGAGAAGCCATCCCGACTCGTTGGGCGAGCGTGGTTCGCCATACTATCCAGTCATTCGTTCCTCATGGGCCCGAGTCTCTCAATACCATCACATAAGCGCTTTAGGGAAATCAAGGATGCAGACAGGAAACGCTCTGAAGTAGAAGGGAGGAAGAAGAGCGTCTCCAGTGCGGCGTCTTTTTAAAGTGTGAGGCCCCCACGCCACAGCCACATGCATGTCACCTGCCAGCCGCATGGATTCGATCCCTGGCAAGTGGCCACTCTAAATGTAAATAGCGTGTACGAAAAGGGAAAGATATGACTTCACGGTATTCATTCTGCACGAGCGCCTGATTTAGAGGTAGCTACTTTCAACAATATTATCTTCCACGGCTAATACTAGTATCACCCCCACTTTCCAACACCTGCTTATTTCGACTCGTCTCTATTCTGATAGTTGTTCGATTGTACAAGTTCGGGCCGCGACAACCAGTTACTAGAACTACGGCGGAATTACCAAGCAATTTGCTCGTTACTTGATTCTCAAAACCAAATGTCGGTCCCGACAATAGCGACACAGCCTTCTCTCGCTAGGCTCCCTATAGAAGTTATCGAAGCCTCTGAAGCGCTCTTGGAGCTTCCCGATTTGTATAGTCTCTAATTAGCTTCAAAGGAGCTTGTAGCGAAGGCGTCACAGGGATGCTACAAGGCCTATTTCGAGGGAAAGGAGATCGACTTGGACAGTACTAAACACCTCGAGAACTTTAGGCTGCTAACACATCCTAGTAGTGTAAGATGTCTCGTAGAGAACCTAACCTTTCTCCGATATGTTGGACTAGAGGATGAACGGAACCGCAATTTAGACGCGAACCGCAATATCCTTGTTAATTGCCTAAGAAATTTGAAGATGAATTTGGCCTCTAAAAGATTAAGTGATCTTTTATTGGACGTTTGGAAAAAAGACGATGCGGCTAGCCGAGTTGCTACAAACAGAAGTATGTAGGATAATAGAACATAGGACACTCCGAACACTCCTCTAAATCCGAAAGCATTAACAAAATCTTCTTATAGACAGAACTGGAAGGCGACTTGGAACCTGTCTTCGTTATTGTATTAGGAGACAATGGCTGCACTCTATAAAACTGAGCTTCCTGTGAGAAGACTATCCAATTTCGGAGATACGGAAAACTGTAGTCTTGGATTCGATTAGCTGGCCTCATTCCCTAAGCAAGATTTGCCATCTACATCACTTACCACCGTAAAGAGCTTGTCACTCAGCTTGTCTCACTCTGTGGAGTTCGCAACGAATGATGAAGCCACAGATGCCGGCGGTCCGATGCCTACAAGTTATATTCACAGTCTTGAAACGTTCCTAAAGCTCTGCCCAAAGCTAGAAAAGCTAGCTTTGTACTTTTTCAAAATTTAGAGTAGAAGAGAGGAGGCGCAGTCAGAAATGCTCGTCTAAGAGCGTCAATTTTCGACTACATCGCAGACTTAATAGAACTCCCGAATCTGAAGTCACGCACCCTACGAGGAATTAGTTGTAGGTCCATTTCCTTTCACCAATTTTTAGAGAGCACCCCACAGCTTCAATGTGTTAAGATCATCAAGGCCAATCTTACTAATGGACAATGGTCCCTTGTTTTTGATGCTCTATGCCTCCGAAAGCTCGAATTGCTGCATTTAGATGAGCTTTATAAAAGAGGAATTGTCTACTTCATTAGAGTTCCTAGCGAACCCAAATTGGTCTCGGAAGGTCAACGACATAGTACGGACGAGCTGACTCGGAGCGGAAGGGATACGGCGTTGCCTATCAAATACCAAGTAGCACATGGACGTCTGCTTGGTTCACCCGTAAAAGATCGATACTTAGCCATCGATATGTGGCTCTACGGACCTGTGCCGTTGAGCTCAAGGGAGTAAACGCTGTACGCGGAAGAACGGTACATGTGTCTTTTGCAAAAGCCTCGTAACTTCGCGTCGGTTCACGCAGGACGCGTGAGTGGAGCTTGAGCTATTCGAGGCAATGTGACAGCGACGAGAGATAGTAGGTCAGTCCTAGATCAGTGTTTGCTCAACATCTAGAAGGATGCACAAAAGTCATGAGCACACTGTTATTAGCACTGCGGTCTCGGCCCTTGCGTACAAATTCGATCGATGGAAGCATGCACTCCAGTGTTCCACTGATGACCAAATTGTTAAAATCATCAGCCTGCTTACTAGTCGGCCCAGCTCATCCAGCTTGATTGGAGCCTTGTGCTTCTTGATTATAGTCGTGGTAAGCTAAGACGCACTGGCGCGTCTGACATCCTTCGTGCAGCTCGTGAGACGCTAGGCGCTGTGCTGTTATGGACTCGGAAGTCATGTCGTGCTGGATTCCAAAAAGGCTTGCCCGCACGAAGAGTCTGCGAAATATCCGCGCAGACGGTCTGCCTTTTGAAGCCGGACCGGCTCTTGAGTGCCGCTGAGAAGGACCAAGGACCCATTGCAGATGTGGCTATGGTACGAAGACCACTTGAATATGACACGATCCCAAACGAGCCTCGATCTTATGCAGCAATACGCGACATGGCACTGATACGATTCAAGTATTCTCCATTCGCAATGCCCTACTTCCAGCTCCCTTGAACAAGCTCGCGGAAGGTCAGTGATTACAGCAACATAGTGCGAACACAATCACCTTATGCAGGATTTCTTATCGAGAATTGTATTCCTATCGTTTATTCTTCTTGCCTACATCCCTGACTACACAGTCTCCCGAACACCCACTCTTTTGTTCCTTAGCCTTAATTTCTCAACCTCTATAGCCCACTTCTCAACAGCCTCCACCGCCACCATACATTCCAATCCCACCATAGCCTCCCATTCCACCATACCCCCTGCCTCCACCGTAAACCCCATTTCTCCCATACCCTCCATACCCGCCTCCTCCATACCCTTGCTGCATAACCCTCCTCCCTCTCCGGTCTCCACGATCCCTCCGGGGTCGTATAATCCTAGGGCATAGCCTTGTAACCAAGCGGGCTAGGAAGCTGAGATCTGCAGTCGTCGCTCCTTCCATTCGTGTTAGCGCAAAGCTTAAACATGAAGCATGTGCGAGAACTTTGGGCTTGCGTATACATGTGATGCATATGACTTGACGTCAACGGATTTGGCAAATAACTGCACCGCCACCGCCTTCGAACGTTGACGAACCTGTAGGCATCCCCATTTTCCACGCCGGAGTCTCCGTCGTTGCTTCAGGGATGTGCTGGCGTGGAAGACTGAGCCGAGGAACATATGAGGATTTGGATTCAAATTAAGGCGCGAGATTTTCCTTTCTCTCAGAGATGTCTGCAAGCGCAACGACAATCGGAGCCTTCGATACAGTGCACCCATAGGTGCCGACCCTCTGCGTACCGAGAATATCGCCAGCCATCTGAACGATCTGCAGATTGCCGACACCATGACGACCGCCGACCGCATCTCGAGTCTTCCCGTAGAGCTCCTCGAAAGCATCCTCCTGCACGTAGACAACAACACATTACTACTCAGCCAGCGAGTTAACACACGCTTCCATGACACAATCCCGGGCTCCGTCAGGCTGCAAGAGAAGCTCTTCTTCCGTCAGCCACTTCACAGCTCTGGCGTAACTATTAGCAACTTCCGCGAAAACTTCAACCCTCTCCTGCCGTGGGAGACCATCGTGACTCGCCCGCTCTACCCAATTCCACAGCCTCCTGAGTGTTTACCAGCCGAGGTCTTCGGATTCGGAATGGACGTCGGGCTGACTGACGTTTTCGTCGAAGGGACTTCTTTCGGAAACTCCATTTGGGTCATCGCGGTTGACTTTACCGGCGAGACGTGCTGGGCGGGCCTTGAGAGCTGGCGGCGTATGTTCTTAATGCGGGACGCAGTGCCTGGGCTTGGTGTGCTCGTGCAATGGATGGGCAGGGACGTGAAGGGGAATTTGGATGGGGGTGAGGAGACGGAGGAAGAGGCTACTGGGCTCCTGATGCTAGACAATCCGGAATGGCATAGGAGCGGAACTCGGATGGCTACAATGGGCAAAGTCTTCGATGATGCGAAGAAGTTGGCAGTTCGCAAAGGTTTCGTGGACGGCGACGATTTGGTGGAACCTCATCAAGAATCATGAATCTATGTCTAGATGGCACTGTTTTCGTTACTAGAGTTGTTAGTATTGGTGATAGTGAAACGGTATAGGCCTTGCAATAGTACTTATAAGAACACATCTTATTCACTCCAATAGTTAGATAAGTTTATTAATTAACCATCCATAAAGGCACTAAACATAAGCGCTGCATAACAGTATACATCAAACTTTCGCTAAACTCCTGATCGGCCCGTGAAGTCGGCACACATCGGGCCGGCCAGCCAAATCAACGTCTGCGCTTTCCCCCTTACTGAATCAAGTCCGATTCCCTCCCATACTGTGTCCACCTATACCATTCCTCATCCGCCAGATCCTCCGCCACCCGGTCAAAAACCTCCCTCTCCCTCACCCCCTCTTTCTGCTTCAGCCAGCACTGCACGGCCAGCTTGAAGCTGATCTCGTACTCCTGGCTCACATCCTCGATGCGCTCCTCGCCGTCCATGAAGCCCTGGAGCCTGCTCATCGCGTCCTCACTCTGCTTCACGATAGTATTGTCACACGAGGGGAGCATGATGAGCGGCGTGAGGAGGTGCTGCAGGACTGGCGCCGCGGAGAGGCCATCGCCTGACGGGGCGACGACCTCCCTGAGGACGGGAGCCTCTTCGTCGGTGTGCGTGAAGCGCACGCGCAGCGAGATGAGCTGCGTATCGTACACACCCAGGCGACGAAGGCTTCGAGGTCCGCGACCATCCCCGCGACTTGGCCTCGGACAACTTCTGGGTCGTTGAACCAGGTGTCCTGGTAGCTCTCGTTGAGAGCGAGATCGTCGATGATAATTTCGACGTCTCTGATGTGAGGCCAGTCGCGAGGAGAGGATGGTGGCGCGGCGCGGGCGACGGGCGAGGCGGTGAAGACACACTTGGTGTATCTTTTGCGGATTGATGCGCGCTCCTGGCGCTCCGCCTCGTACTCTGTGAATTTGGCGCGCAGGGTCTTGTCGGCGCCGCAGAGAGCGCTGATGGTCGCGCCCTCTGCCTCGGGGATATGGAGAATCTCCATCTGGGAGAAGAGGTTCTCGAAGATGAGGTCCTGGACCTCGATCTCGATGTCCAGGAAATTGGTGTGCTTCTTCACTGGCGCCATGATGCCTGCGCTGCCGTTAGAATTCTGCTCGTAAAGGTACCTCACACGATCAGATACTCACAGATATCTCTCTTATCTCGGGGATGTCAGATGTTTCGATGCTTGTTTCGAGAGCTTGGTGTGAAGGTATGTTTTGGGGATGGGATGAACAAAAAACAGGACAGGCCCCCAGGTGATATATATACCCCCCAGTGAACAGCGCCTCGAGAATCGCCTCACTCAGGGCATCACATACATAGTAAGCAAGATCACATTTCCATAGAGTTATCCTCACCCAGCGGTTCATCTCCAAACCTTACCATCCATCCACGCCAAGGAAATCAATAGCCTGAGACTTGTACAGCGCTGACTCACGTGGATGGCAGCGCGTTTTCGACAAACGTACTTTTATAATTTTCTCATTGGTACGGCATCCTCACCTACATGCGGTACGCTAGCTCATGGCTTCAAAATGTGATTTTTTGTACTTTGTGCAGTACCATGTACATTACGCTATTTAGCGCAACTATGTAAAATGCTTCCAACTATTCAATCAGGAACGCGTTTCTCTCCTATTCTTACAAAAAGCTAAACATTCGCATCATCAAGCGCCTCCAGTATGGCGCGCCCAAAGTCATCGTCATCGTCAAGCGCAGGGGCGCCCAAGTCAAGCGCTTCTATGCCCAAGATATCCTCCAAACTCGCCCCTTTCTCCGTCAAACCCATCTTGTCCATGCCCTGATACTTGGTCTTGAGGTCGCCGTCAAGCTTGTGTCTCTCGAGATCTGCTTGACTTTTCATGTAAGCCTCTTTGCTCTCAAGCTCAGTCTTGATCCTCGCCATCCTCATCGCATCCAGCGCGAGACCACTCCGATCAGCCCAAGTGACGATGTCCGTCAACAAGGCACACTTGACCGCAATGCTGATAGCCTGCATGCGATTCACGAAATCCGTCAGCAAAGGCAAAAGGTCATCGTAGAAATTGAAAGGGATATCGATCAACCTCCACCCAACACGGCCCTCATGGACAAACTCGCAAACGTGCCAAACATGTCTTCGAATGCGTCTGATCGGATGATCCGGGTTCTTCGCTTTTCGAACGAAGTGCATGGAAGCCCCGTGGTTGTTTTTGGGATCCCAGTCCCGGACTGCTACGAGGGCTTGGCGAAAGATGTCCATCATGTGGGTCAGGGCTGTGTCGAAGCTTAATTGCAGGAAATAGAACTCGTTCCTGGCGGCTGGGACGAAGCCTGGGCTGGGGCCGAGACCGTAAGCAGCTCTCTGGATCCCAGTTGGTTCGCGCTGCTGAATGGTCGAACTGCACATAAGGTTGGATAGATCATCGACCTCCTTCGCCTGCGAAGGTTCGGTCGTGGTGCTGGTCAGTCTTTGCATTAAGTGATCGAAGGTCATGGAGTGCGTTGAGGCGGGATGGTTTGAGAGGAGGTTGTCAACGATGGCGCTGACTTCATTCTGGTTGTGTTCGTCGATTGAGTCGAGTGCGGTTCGGAGTTGAATGATGAAAGGGTCCTGGCAAGAAGGCGTGAGTAGGGCCTCGACAATCTGGTCGTTGAAGTTCGCCATCGTGTTTCCTGCTGAATTGTGGTGGAGTTCCATATGGGGCTTCGAAACCGTCTCGCGCGCAGGCGAAAGATATAAATGACAATCGCCTTTGTCGACGACGATACCCATCCCACAATGCCATTCATTCCAATTCCGTAACAAAGACTCCTTTCACATAAAGCCGTCTCAAAGAACCTTGACACAATCGAATGCATCTCCAAGTCAAACAGCTTTCCGACTATCTACACGTTGAGGACCGAGGTCGAGTCGACCGATCTCCTCCTCCAGCACCAGATCCGCCTCTTCGATCTCGAGCACATGAGCCGGCTCCCCCATCAGCACCTTCTTCTGCAGCATCGTCTCGAAGTAATCAGGGGCTTCCTCAATAGGCAGACCATCGTCAGTCCATGGAGTCGGCTTCACGTACCACGACAACCTCGCCAGTAAGCGTCTGTTCTCCTCGGCCTCTTCCTCCTTCCGGATCTGTTCTTCGTGCTGCTGGCTACATTCCTCTTCCGCTTCCCATCTCATCTTCTGTATTTCGTTGAGTCTCTTGATGATCTGATCCACCAAGGATGGGAGGACTCGAAGAGCCTCGCAACCCTTGCGCGAGCTGACGTCTTGAGCGTGTTTCAGGAACTCGGTGGCGATGAGAAGGACATCTTCATAGAACTTGTGTGGCCAGTCGACCAGATCCCAGCCGCCTCGCCCGTTTCTCAGAAACTCCAGGGTGTAATGAAGGTCCTTGATCACCTGATTGACGGCGTGATCTGGGCTGATATCCATCGTCTGAAGATAACCGAAGAAGTTGGAGCCGTGATCCGTCAACTCAAGACGCCATCCGCGCACAGCGTCCTTTGCAGCGATGATGATGTCCACAATTTGCTGAGCGGCTCCAGAGAGCTCGAGACGAGGATCGTAGAATGGGTTGCCTGCAGTTGGGATGAAAGCCGATGGCGGGACATGGTTGCAAACTCCTGCTTCAGCCTTCACAGAACGGTTGCTGTTGATTTTGGCAAGCCCGAACATCAACTCATCGAGACTGCGTGGCTTGCCCTTGCATGGGATCCAGTCAAGGAGGACCCGTACAAGCGTGCTGATCTCTTCGTAGTTGCTGTCGTCTAGACGGGCCACTGTATCTCGCAGCTGGAGTATAAGGCGGTGCTCACACTTGTCTGTCGATGTCGCGTCGAAGTAAAGGTCGTCGAAGGTCTGAGCTGGAGGTTCGGCCATGGCTGTGCTGTTGATGTTGGCTTCGGCTGTTGTTGGGTTGGCTGTTATTTTGTCGGGGCAGAACGCCATGTTCTTTCACAGCGGCGTCTGTCTGGGGTCAGTTTGAAATCATCTGCGGTCAGGCTCGCGGTATATAAAGGTGCGACGTTGGTGCTGACAACACAGCGAGTGACTCCAAGCCGAGTAACACATAACACATAACGCGCTTTCGTTGGTCCTCGTGCCAAGCATTTTCCATCTCTATCTACACGTCCAAGTCTAGGTAGTCGACCTCCTCGTCTCCGGCTGTGGCTCCAGTGCCCTCCATGTCAGTGTGTTCCTTCTCCATCAGCGCCTTTAGGTCTTCCAACTCGAAGCAGCCAGGACCCTCATCGACGTCCATACCCTCGCCGTTCAGTTGCTCTGCGTCTGTAGTCTTGCCATAGAAGCTCATTTGCTCCATCAAAGCGCGCATGTCCTCCTCGGTCTTGGCATCGGTCTTCGCCCTCTGCTTCTCGTAGTGCAGCCGACAAGCCTCTTCCGCCTCCCATCTGAACCGCTGGAACAAGTTCAGTCTCTTTCCAATCTCGTGTGCCGTGCTGACTGCCTTCCTCAGAAGCTGGTTCTGAGTAGCGACAGCGACTTCTTGCAGGGTGTTGACGAAGTCCGTCAGGCGAGGAAGGACGTCATGGTAGAAATGATGTGGAAGCTCAATGAATCTCCATCCGGCTCGTCCGTTGTCCAACAACTCCCACATGTGACGAAGATCCCGACCCAGCTGCCGAAAGCCATGCTTTGGGTTGGTGGTCTTTCGCATCCAGTCGCGGAAGAGCAGTCCCTGGTGGATCATGGCTTCCTTCCACCTCTGCGCGGCGATTTGCGCTCCTTTGCAGACCTTGAACATGCGCATGGCGGCGTTTGCCAGTGTCAGATGGGCGGCGTAATAAGGGTTGTTTGGCTCAGGGATGAAGCCAGCGGGCATGCCGAGACTCAAAGCTGCGCTTTCTGCCTTGCTATGTTGCGGCGCGTTGATGTTCGACTTGTGCAACATCACAGCCAGACTCGCCATCTCGTCTGAACTTTGACTCTTTGCTCGGTTGCTCGTGGCTTTGGTTAGGACGAACATGAGTCCGTCGACGTTCTTTGGCTTGTCGATCATCGGCGGCAGCTCTGACAAGAGGGACACGACGTCGGCGTTGACTTGTTCGTAGTTGCTATCATCAAGAGACTCCACGGCCTTGCGCAATTGCAGAATCAGAGGATCTTCGCACTGATTCGTGCAGATTGCCTCAAAGTACTTGTCGTAGAAGTCCTGCATATTGAAAATGCTGAAGTCGTGAAAGCTGAGTGATTTCGAGGATCCAGGCCGATAACGTCTTCTCTGAAGACGGACTCTGTGTCAAGGTGGGCGGTGTACAGATCGAAGTCATCCACAGCAAGCTGAAAAAAACATGTGTTGTTGTTGTTGACAACACAGCAAGTGACTCCACGCCGAGTAACACATAACGCGCTTTCGTTCACCTTCGCGTCACGCTTCAACTATTCACTTGTCACAACAAACTCTTAACATCGGGCGAGTGACCTAGGTGCGGCTTAAAGGTCTTTCCTGTCTATATGTTCAAGTCCTCGTCGGTGAGGTGGGTGCTGGCCTGGTCGCTGGTGTCAGAGTTAGGCATCTGCTGGGCGCCATCAGTCGTTGAAGCAGCTATAGTTTCGGACGAGCCTTTGGAAGCATTAGTCGACTCCGAGGAAATCGTCGAATCTGCCTTCTCCTTCCCAAGACTCGAACGGCCCATCATCTCCGTCAGCGCCTCGACCTCGTTCTTATCGGCGCCAACACGCTGCGCCAGCTCCTCGACAGCTTTCGGTCCATCCGCAATCTGAAGATGCGCGAACAGATCCTCGACTTTCGCGACACTACGCTCTTTGATAGCATCTTCAAACATCCAGCGCATGGAGATGCCCCAAGGGTCGCGCTCGTAGTCTTCCTGGAGCAAGCGTCCGATCTCATCGAACTCATGGAAGCCGAGGTCGTAGTCTTCAGGGAGGACGAGGTCTGGCACGATTTCGTCGTTGTTCGTCATGGTGTGTTCAGTCCAGCTGAATGTTCGTTGTTGGTTGTTATTGATGTTTCTGTGGGTGGAGTGTAATCTTTGTCAAATGCTAATGGCTTTCGGGGGTATAGTAGGCAGTCGTTGCAGTATATAGCGTTACATTGTGCAGATAACACAATGCCATTCACACTCCATGCTAAACTCGGCTTCAAAGAGGTAAATCAATCTTCAAAGCCGACAGCACAAAGAAAGTGAAAGACAATTCACGTCGAGGAGGCGGCTGAGGGGCTACAACTTCTTCTCTCATACAGTATGAAGAGGGTATCTATGGTGGCCGTACTCTTAAAAGTACATGTAGTGTTACACAACACCATCGGTGTACCTCGATTCAACATCAACGCTCAAACAGTCGAAAACAAAGCTGCGCTGTCGCGGGTAGGGTATCTTCATCGTCAGTTGGGTCATCAATAGTCACATCGTGCAGTCGCAGCGAGCTCTACTACCGTTGCTTCAGTAGGCTCGCCATTGTCCCTGACCTCCATGTGGTCCTGGACCAGTAGTAGCAGCTCTTGGCGGGCCGCTGGCTGGGTTTGAATGGCGTTGGGCCCCCTCGTCGTCAGACGGACCGTACTCGTCCAGAATGTCTCCAGCATACGCCACGCTGGCACGCTGGGGCTCAATTGGAGCCGTAGCGCTTCGCTGTGGCACACCGTGATGGATTTGGCCAAAGTAGTCAGCGCCCCCTGGAGCACCGGACACCGTTACGTTCCGGCGTGGTTCCTGAGGGGCCGGTGTAGCGCTGTGCATGGAAGGGTTGAAGGCTGTATAGCCAGTATTCTGTGGCTGACTGTGGACTGGCGACGCCTTCATCTCGTAGCTGTTTTGTGGTGAGGTTGCCCGATCCTCAGGAACTGGTGCCGGCGTGTATGCGCGAAAGCTCGGGTTAGATGGCTTGCGGCCTGGCATAGGCCGGCTGAAGGACTGCTGGCTGTGCAAGCTGCTGAACGAAGATTCGCTGTTGTCGTGTGGCAGGGGGCGGAATCCATCAGCAGTTCCTGCTCGCGGCGGTGGTCTGGCGAAATTGTCTGGACCCGGCATGTTCATAGCTTGTGGGTTCTGCTCATAGCCATGTGCGGTGTTTGATCGCACTGGCAGAGGTATCCGAGGTGCCGGAGGCGCACGAGGATAGTTGCCTTGGCCGTTATGCGGGACAGGCGTGTATGATCTCGCGGACATGGGCGTCTGAACTCGTGGACCTGGGCCAGGGGTGAAAGTCCTGACTGAGCCGGCTCTCACAGATCCCATTGAGCCCTGTGAGCCATTGCGATCATGAAACGGCGCATTGAAGGACGAATACGAGGTTTGACGACTGATCACTGACGGAGGCATGGCCGACACATCAGCTTCTCCAGCGTATCCAGCATTCGCCAACAGGGGCGCATCGGTCGAGTAGCTTGGTGCTGCCGACCACTGTGATGTTTGCGTGCCTGATCGTGGACCCATGCCAGGGTGAACATTGGTGTCCAAAGCTGGCAAAGTTGGTTGTCGCTGCATTGGGTTGCCATTGCGTGTGGGTGGCCTGCTGGAGTATGCAGGCAGAGTTGAGACAGAGTTAGAGGTGTCCTGCCTCACAAGTGCGAAATCTGGCAGCTTGTCTTCCTTTTTCAAGTCGGGAGAGTCTTCCAGCGTTGGCAGCGTCGGCTGAGCTTTGAAGGTAGGTGCTCGTGGTGGAGGCAGCTCGCCCGTCTTCTGCCGTTTGAGCTCTTCTCGCCGTTCCACTTTGGCTGCCTTCTTTTGTTCTTTCTCGATGGCGGCTTGAACCTTGTGCTCAACGATTTTCGCCAGCCTTCGATCGACCTTCCTCTTGCAGTAGACACTAAGCCTTCCATCGCTTTTCGGGATGTAGTGCCAGAGGAAAAGCAGGTAGAGGATCGCCGAGATGATTAGACTCAGTGCACTGAACACCCAAATGACAAGAGTGAACAGCATAGAGCAGTAGATGGCAGCCTCCATGGGGTTTCGATCCGCAACTTGCTCGACATTGTACCAGAATTGGTCGAATGAGTTTCGCTCGCTGCTTTGAGTGTTGAGTAGATCGTCAGTGAGAAGGCCCTTGAGGGTCAAGGCGTTTACGACTTGACGTGGACCTTCGGCAATGATGACGCGAATGGCGCCTTTGAAAGCGAAGTAGACGAAAAGAGCGACGTAGTCGGTTCCTTTGCGACTCTTGGTCAACTCGGTAAAGACCAGGAAGCGCTTGAATCCTTGTGGTCGAATGCTTTGCAGAGTGACGGCCAATGGGTCCAGGAAGCTCTCAGCAACGCCGCCGCGTCTGATGACACGAATCGCTCTGATCCACTCATAGACGCAGAGCACCCAGGAGAGCAGGATACAGACTGCAAAGATCCATTTGGAGTATTTGATGGGGACCGCAGGCTTGACTTGCGAGCTCCAGTTGTCGAATGCCAGCAAATTGACAGCAGTGTATGTGTCGACGACGTAGACAGCCACTGCCACGATCGCCATAAACCACAGCCATACGTAGGCAGGGTATGTCCAGCCAGAAGTGCAGCGGAAATCGCCCAGTGTCAGGTAGTCCCATTTGGCCGCCTCTTCTGGGGGACCTTTCTCTCGGTCGCCTCCACAGCCCATATTGACTGTCGATGTGGAGATGTATTCAGCGATCGGTTTCGCAGCTCAGACCAGCAGAGCGCAGTCGATTAAAGTAACCAGGCAGGTATATGTCGCCAGGTGTGGTGAAGGAGTGGTTTCGGTGTGGATGTCTGACCAGCAGACTTGTTCATGTATGTCGCAGAGGGTGCGAACGGTAGAGATCGCGTGGTAAGGAGTGTGGTAGTTCTTCTGAGCGGGCTGGCGCTGGAATGTCAAGACGGCATGTCGCAGCGTCTGGGCTGGCGTGCGCGCGAGACAATGGACTCGCTTTCGAACAAAGGGGGCGGCAAATGAGCGTCTCGTCAGCGGCGACGTCGTTGTTTATGAAAGAGGAGCGTCTCTCATTGACAACAATGGCGCACAAAGACGGTGACGGGCATGCCTCGGGGCGCGCTTGTTCGTCGGTAGGCGAAGGGATGGTGGATGATGGTGGCCGTCGATCACGCAGCGAAGGGATGCCGGCGCTTTGCAGGTGGTACGGGCGATTGTGCGCTGCAGTGCTATTGTCAAGTCGATAGTTGCTTGGCCGCGCAGATGCAGCGCGATGCCGCTCGACGAGGCCTGGGCAAAGGTGGCAGCGGCTAGGTCGGCGTGTGTCGCAGGTCGTCGTCGCGCAGTCTCACAGCATCGGTTTGACCTCAAACACCCTGCCCGGTACCTGCCTTAGCGCTGGCACGTCTGAGCTGCTGATTGGACCGAGCTTGTTTCGCGAGGAAAGTGAAATTGACACTCGCTGCCAAAATGCGTGATCGTCAAGACGTCACCTTCTCCTGAGCCGCTTCAACAATATGATGAGATCTTTCATCAATTGCATCAATGGAACAGCCTATAGTGGTATTGGTATTGTGCCACGGAGCCTAGTACATTCACCTGAGAGGAGCTCAGTAAGGGTTCGGCTGCTCCCTGCCGACCGCACGCAGCTAGCGAACTGAACCATGACTTCCCAACTCCACCATCATCTCGTTTCTGCCAGACATATTTTTGCTGACCACGCAAATTGATCAAAAAACTCACTGCAGAACAACATGGCTTCTGAAAGTGCGCCTGTACTGTCCACTCCGGCCGAGCACATCCTGGAAGAGCCAACGCCTGTGAAAGTCCGATCCAGCGAATCCAGACTATCAGAAGAACAACTGTACCTGCAGTATGAGATCAAACGGACGATCGACGAAATCCGAGATGGCAAATGGAAGCGCATTGCTTTGCAGTTCCCAGATGACATGCTCGTGGATGCGCCGAGAGTTTTTGAGCGGATACGGGACGGCCTAAAGGCGGCCAGGAAAAATGCTTCAATAGATTCTAACGGAAATGTCAACGATATCGCGGAGTCCTTGGCAGAGACCTCCCTGGGGAACGCTCAGACGCATCCAAACCTGGACCTTGTTGAGGAAAAACTATGCATTTTGGGCGACACTTCATATGGGGCATGTTGTGTGGACGAGGTGGCCGCTGAGCATGTTGACGCCGAAGTTGTTATCCACTATGGCCGATCTTGTCTGTCGCCTACGGCTCGATTACCCGTCATCTATGTCTTCACATCGAAGCCTCTCGATCTGGACGCCGCTGTCGAGTCTTTCAAGTCGACGTACAAGGATTTGGATGAGAAAGTCTGTCTCATGGCCGACATTCCCTACTCTCACCACCTGAACGATCTGCAACTACGGCTGGCTCGAGAAGGTTACAGAAACGTATTCACGACGAGCATCATTCGCGATCCAGCATCTTTGTTACCCAATCGAACCCTGCCTGCAGAGGTCCAGGAGAACGCAGAAGCACTCAAGGAGTATTCTATTTTCCACGTTGCCACACCGCCGACCTCTTTACTCCTGATTCTGTCTTCTCGAATCAAAGCGATGCACATCTTCGACACGGATTCGATCTCCCCCGCAGCCCTCGAAGCCTCCACGAGGCAGCTACTTCGTCGCCGTTATGCACTCATCACTCGACTGAGCACTGTGCCCATATTCGGCATCCTGATCAACACACTTTCAGTATCCAACTACATGGACGCCCTCTCACACTGCCAAGACCTGATTCGCCGAGTAGGCAAGAAATCCTACACGTTCGTAGTAGGCAAAGTCAACGCCGCGAAAGTCGCCAACTTTGCCGAGATTGGCGGTTGGGTGGTCATAGGATGCTGGGAGAGCAGTCTGATCGAGAGCAAAGACTTTTTCAGGCCGATCATCACGCCTTTCGAATTGGAGGTGGCGCTGCAGGGAGATGAGCAGAGGACCTGGGGTGGGGAGTGGATTGGTGACTTCTCTGCGCTGCTGGGGAAAGAGAACAGCGAGAATACCAATGGGCAAATGAATGGCCACTCTCAAACTGAAGCCGAATCAACATCTCATGGAGACTGGGACGAAGCTTCAGACGACGAGCCCCCCGAATTCGACCTCCGCACAGGTCGCTACGTCTCCCAATCTCGACCGATGGGCAGACAATCTCGTCCAGCCGTCGCTGCAAATGGTGACAATGCCAATTCTGAACCAGGACCAGCATCTTCAGCCCTCGTCCAGCGTGCTAAAGGCGATGTAGCAGCCATCGGCGGCCAAGTTTCACCAGCAGCTGAATATCTTCGCTCCAAACGCACGTGGCAAGGTCTTGGGAGCGACCACGAGATCTCGTATGAGCGCGATGAGGAAGGCAAGATCAGAGGTGCAGCCATGGAGGAAGGCAGAAGTGGTGTGGCGAAAGGGTACAGTGTTGGAGAAGACTCCTCGAAGACCTGACATTGTTGAAGGTCTATCTATCGCACTATGCCTTCGCAACAAACGAACACGATAAATTCCTCCACCACATCATCAACTGCCTATGCGACGGCTCCGAACTCATTCGGCTCCTCCAGCCCTATGCTCGCGAAAGCTAGCCAGCTCAGGAAGTCCTGACGTCGGAGCTTGACAGGGCCCAGCATGTTAGCATGTTAAGGCCTTCCCAATTACCTTCGCCATGTGTTCGCCATGTGCACATTTTGGTTTCAAAAAGCTCGCTTGAACCGCCAAGAGGGCTGAGATCAAGAGAGCCATGCATCAGAGCTCCTTTGAGGGATCCGATGCGTCCACCGAGACACGAGGGCTAACAAAAATCATGGATCCTTCGACAGAATTCTGATAGTCGTCAAAATAATGCCTGTTCAGAAGACCTCTCCTCCCGTCTAGCATTACAACTTGTCAAAGACCTTTCCGTCCGGAGCCAAAAATGGCCATACAAAACGAACCCCTCCCTCTCACAGACCGCGACATCCAATTCCAAAAATACTTCACGGCCCTCGCCCCAAACTACCACCACCTGACAAGCAACACAACCTACTTCATCGCCCAAAAAGCCCTCTCCCTCGCCCCACCACCCACAGACTCCACCGCTCTAATCCACGACAATGCCAGCGGCCCCGGAACCGCCTCGCTGGCCCTAATATCCCACTACGAATCCACCGACACGCCCATTCCACATATCACAGCAACAGACTACACCCCCGCCATGATCTCCGCCCTCCCCTCCCTCGCAAACGTCCACGCAACCGTCGCAGACTCCCAATCCCTGCCCCACCCAAACAACCACTTCGCCTACAGCATCACCAACATCTCCCTCGGAAACTTCAACTCCGCGGCGCTCGCCCTGCGCGAAATCTATCGAACCCTTCAATCCAACGGCACGGCGGTAGTCACGCACTGGAAAACCTTCGCGCTCGGGACAATCTTGCACAAATGTCTCGAACGCTTCCACGGCGAACCACAGCCGGAGCCGCCCGTGGCGGGAAAGGCGCTGATGGAGACGGAGGGCGGGATTAAGGAGATGTTGGTTGAGGCTGGGTGGGAGAGGGGGAGGGTGGAGACGTTTGAGGTGGAAGTTGTTAGTCAGGAGGTGGAGGGGGCGGTGGAGTTTTTGACGGGGCCGTTTTTGGGGGTTGTGAGGGGGATTTTGGAGGGTGGGGAGGAGGGGAGGGAGAGGTGGAGGGCGATTGTGAGGGCGGTTGTGGAGGGGGAGGGGCAGATTAGGTGTGAGGGGTGGGTTGTTGTTGGGAGGAAGTAGAGTGGGTGGTGGAGATCGAGGGAATGGTCGGGATGGTCTACTGTGTAATGCTCTAGGGGTCTATCTAACCTGCGAATGTGCTCCCTCTATCTGGACGTCTAACCGTATCGATGTCACCAAAGCCCAACCTGCCATGCTTGCCGACGAGCCCATATCGAACCCTCCTCTCTCCTATATCTTGCATCTCCGCCAGCCTCCATCCCTCGGGATATGCGCAACCATGGCTCCTGGTCAACTCCGCATCAAAAGCCCTCGCAATCTCCAAAAGACTCAGACTGGCAGCCCTCCCCAATTTCCAAAAATCCCAAAACGTACTCAACACAACCACAACACATAAAATTTGTATGGCCGCCGCACCCCAGAAGAACACCCATTTTGTCTGAAAGACAGGCTGGGCATCGATTCTAAGCCCCTGGACATCGTAGCTGATCTGTAGTCCAGGGTCAATTCGAGCGAATAGATCTTGCTCGTCTAGCTCTTGCGTCGCGTACACCGACGTCGAGAACATCAGCTTGTTCAGCATGGTCAAAACTTCAGGGACAGGATCCTCAAAGATAGGCGCGCAGGCTTTCTTGCCGAAGAATTCGTTGGCGTTCGAGATCAGTCGGGATTGAATGCGGTTGATGTTGTCGGTGTATTGGACGTGTGTTCCAGGCGACCACATGCCGACGTCAGAATAAAAGTCTTTGGAACCTAGGAGAGCGACGCCGCCGATGGTAGTGTTGATTGCTGGTTCAGGGAGTATGACTGACGAGCGGTGTTATTGGCAACGTCGAGGATGCGTGGGGTAGCGGTGTTGATTGTTACGGCGGTGTTGTTGTAGGTCGTTACATCGTATTCTGCTATTGCGGAGCGGAACGAGCATGTGCTCTATGTGAGGTTGCCGGCGCATTGGTCTTGATTGACGTCGCCTACGGGCATGAAGCGACCGTATGAGATTTCGACACGTTCCCAGGCGCCAGAAGCCGCAGAGGGATAGACGTGCAGCTCGAACATCTGGCAGCGAATGTTGTTCCAACGCTGTTGACAGCCTGAAGGTAATGTGGCCATATCTCTTATTTCCTTGATCTCCGTGAAGTTCAGCCAAGAGTTGGACTCTTCTTGACAGCCTGCAGAAGCCAATGCTGGCGCTCGTACCTTCGAGGTGCAAATAACCTCACACCCTCGAAGCGGTGACGGTATCGGAAGTTCATCAGTCCATTGCTTCCGCACGGGGTGAATGCCACTGCTGAAGTCGGCGTCCAGATAGGGATTACCAGCATCAAGTAGTGCACCAGTAGCAGTGTAGTTTGTTGGAATCTCAGGCGAGAGTTTAGCACGTAGCATCACTGGCTTCTGAAGATTTTGCTCCACAGTGTACGTGGCGCTTTGCAGCAGGATCCCGTCGAGGAAAATCACGCAGGCACATATCGACGTGACTGTCAACATCGACAGGTGCTTCCTGCTGAACAAATCATGTTTTCCGTTGCCGACGGGCCAGTCATCGTGAAGACCTTGGAGTGTCGTTCCTCTCACGGCTTTCCGCCACCAAGTGATGATGGCGTCTTGAATGCTGGCAAAGCCGAGGGCTTGTTGCCGATACCTGTGAGGACTGAGATGTAGACGCTGGGCTGCACACGCCACTGGTCAACAGGCTTGCCGTTGGAAAGAGCCAGTACGAGTGATGATGCGGGAATAGTAAGCAGGATGAAACCCAGGGCCGTCAACCCAAGAAGAGGTCCAGTCCGTCTGAAGGAAGGCTGCCATGAGTTGCCATCAGCTGTAACTTGCTGGCGTTGTCGCTGTTGGAAAGGTCTTCTCAACCACGTGGAATGTTCGGACGGGGTTGAGGCGTGTCGATCAAGCAAAGAAGCCTGACTGTCTGACGGCTCAAGTGATGGAGTGACGTTGAAGGTCGGCTTGATGGTTGACACACTATCGAATTTTGCAATGGCTGCTTGGAAGTCATCATCATCACCTCGCAGCTCTGAATAGGATGTTGTGTGCTTGATGGAGACTGCTGTCGACTGTGAGTCCAGGGACGAAGGTATGGAGACGCTTGAGTGCGTCAAAAGCGAGATGTCCAGTTCTGGTGTTGCCGACATTGGAATCTGTTGGATACTGAGGCAGTGATTTAGACAGTGCCGCACAATGAAGTGGATTCTGAAACGAGCCTCTGCGAGTAATGATCTTCATCGACTTCCCACATGTCTGCAGTATGTAGGCCAGCCCAGCTAAGGGCTTTCCAATTTTAAGACCGCCGTACCAAAGGCTTGCGCGGCCATTGCTGAGCGAGACCTGCAGCCACATCAAAGCCGGTCCTCGTTGTGACATGCTTGGCGGAGTGCTATCCTTTGCTGGGAGAGGCCATCGGTTTCATACAGTATGCCGTACGATCATCGCGCGGACCGGTGTGATTATTGTTGGAAGAGCTAAGCTGGACTGGTTGTACTCGGCTCACAAGCTCCCTGCTGCTGCTACGCGAGTACTGGGTTCATGGAGCTGAAGCTGTGTCGGGCAGCGTACATGTAGCCTGCTGTGCGATGTGCACGAGCAAGAGATCGAGAAATTCTTCATTCACGCTATGTCGCGCACGTTTCGTGAAAGGCGAAGCCCGAGAGGATGAAGCCGGTTGTTGATTGGGATGGAAGGAGTGGAGGAGGGTGGAAAGAGTGCTTCTGCACAATTCAGTCTGCTGTGCGCAGTTCTTGGCACGACCCAAATCAACGTCACTTCTTCGTTCTTTCCAGTCCCTCCACCCGTGGACAATCCATCGTCTTCTTCGAACCAACAAAGTTGACGTTTCAAAGACCGCTGCCCTTGGCGCCATACGAAAGCTCTGCCATTCAAGGTTGAAGAAACTTCTGCTATGATGGCACCCATTGTTCCACGAGACGCTCCGGCAAGCTGCGCGTCTAGTTAACTTCGCGCAACAGGAGGCACAGCACAAGGCGCTCTCAAACACCTCCTTGGACAATGTCTGGAACACCACTACTACTCAAGATTCGACATCCACAATATCAATCAGCAGCTGTATTGTAGCTCAGGATGCCTAAAATGCCCGCTGAGAAGATAAGAGCACACGCCGAGGAAAGTGCTCGCAAAAGGGAACAAGCCGAGTTTGCTGCCCAGAATCCTCGCCCACTGGTAGTCGATGCTGCAGCTGTTCAACGCCGTAACAAAATCGCCGCGCAACTGCTCGCTTATTACGAAGACCTTGTCGCTCTCTACCTACCTGAGGAAGCTTTGAAGCGTCCCCCAGAAGAAGGATGGCCGTACGTCAATGCTGAGCGGTTCGCCTTCCTCGACAAGACAGATACCGTCATAGACCTCTACCGGCACCTTCCGTACATCAGCCAGGACGATGAGGCAGAATACAAGATGTTTGAACGAGCCATCGCCGTCGACTACACTGGAAAGCATTTCAAGAGAAAACATGTGTGGACCCAAGACGGAGAAATGGAGCCACCTCAGTATTACGAGCAGATGGACGGTGAACCAACGTGGCCAAAGAGGCTGGACGACCCTCGACACATCGCCGTGCTCGCTCAGACGTTTAAATCTACAGACCAGTACATTTTGCTCGACACCAGGGACGGCAAAGTGGCCCAAGTATTTCCACGAGACGAAGAGGATTCTGTTTCGACCGACGAGTGTGAAACCATCCAGGAACTCATCGATAGCATGAAAGAGGGCTTTCGTAAGCTTTGGATTCTTCCTGTGACTCCGACGGACCTTCTCGTTGCTCGAAGCACCTACTTGCCAGATGCAGATGTCGCTCAGATCAAGGAGTTGTTCCGCAAGTACGGCTGGTTCACTGCGAAGTACAACAAAGAAGCATGTATGTGTGAGATCAGGAAGATATGGGATGCCTTTTGGCAGAAATGAACGCGATGCCTCTCAGAGAAGATGACGAGATGCAGCCAACCGACAGTCAGCAAATGCACATCATCCCGCTCGCGGGAGGCGATATTCGAACTCTCCAGCCGCCGTAACTCTCTTTGACTATTTTTGATGCCTCCAATGCTGGACACAGCCGCAGAGCGGTTGTTTCGGATTCCAAAACTCGGCGAGGCGCCTCATTCTATGGTGGATACAAAACTTCGAACACATGTAAGCTCGCTTGTAAACGCCCTGAAGCGCCGGCGTACCAAAATATGCACACGCCACAATCCAACTCCATCTCAACTTTTACATCTGACTGCGGCAAACTGGCGCTCATGCAGACAAGCACTTCTCAAGGCTGATGAGAGAAGCTTGTCTCTCTCGATCACGGATGTTGTGCCAGAGCTTGAGATTTGGAGTTCTATAAGCAAGCAGCCCAAGGACTGGCGATCTCCACTTGACCTTGCAGCAGTGAATGATGCTATTTGGCCTTCCCAGAATTCCGGCCAAAGCACTGCTGTTCATGGAATGAAATGAGGCACTGAACTCTGTTGTCTGAACGGTCGTGCTAAGAAGAGTGTCCAGCTGTGCCTCCTCCTGGCGGTAATGTATACCCCGCAGGCGCCTTCAGGCATTCCACAGGAGTTCCAGAGCTATTCTGAGTCTGTTGGGTTGTTCACGATGCTCGAAGACTGGGCGAACCTCTCAGAGGCCCTTCATACACAGCTCCGGAGAGTGCGTTGACTGCGGCGCGCAATGAAACCAACACTTTTGGAAGGGGCATTGACAGCGGCAACTCAGCGATATTGAGGCATAAAAGAATGGACTCTTTTGCTGTTGACGACAATGAAGCCAACGGTACACCTCATCTCTGCGCAGAAGGCGTCCACATTTTCGGATTCGTTGTATCAATTTTATCGTCCTTCACCTGCTAGCCAGGAGCTCAGCGATGATTTTGAACGCTCCGATCTCAATTCTTACTCTGCTTGGACATGCATGGGCTTCACCTACCAGAGATACGCTGTCCGGAAAACCTTCCAAGATTGTGACCAAGATTGTATATCGAGACACGCCGGTCGGAGATCTTACCAACCTTCCCACTCTTGCTTCTGCCACATGTACGTTCAAAACAAGCACGAGAGGTGTCGGACTTATTGGGAGATGTGGACGCTGACCTCGCGAGACAGACTGCACTCAGACCTTGGCCGATGGCAAGGAGCTATTGGTCACAAAGACTGGAACTACTTGTCCCATACTATCGGCGTCTCGCACCACCACTTCATCCTTTGCTGATTCATCTGCACCATCTCATGGCTCGTCGTCAGGCTTACCAGGATCTAGCGACCAAGGCTTAGACAGCAAATGCTCCATTTTCCAGAAGAAAGTAACAGATGCTGGCGGAAAGATTAGCTGGACTCCCACGGACCAAGAAACTGGTAGTAACATGTGCATGAACTATTGCAGCGAAAAGATCAAGGCTCTGCTAGACCAGGACCAGGTTGCGAGTTCTGCATGCCTGGCTTTCGAAAATCCGATTCAATGGCAGGACTATGGCAGTAAGTGTCACACAGTGGTTAATACATTTGAGCCTGGTTAACTTTCGCGCAGTTGCCGGAACACAAATTGCGTTGGGAAGCTGTGTTTGTAACAATCCTCTGCTCGACGAACTCGTCCACAACTTCACAAGCGAAGCCTTGCCAGCCATCGGAGAGGTGAGATCCCTATTTGAGAATTTTTGTGGAAAATCTAATGAGATTGCAGGTAACTTGCAAGACATTCGTTACTGCCATTAGTAGCGTGGTCAACATCGGACTCAATGCTCTTCCAGGGCTAGGAGGGCTCATCGGAGGAGCTGCAATGGTCGCTTTTTAGGCTGCCCAAGTAGCAGCGTGGACTTTCGAGAATGAGCAGGCTGCCGCTGGAGGCTTCCAAAGCTGGCTTGAAAAGCCAACAGGTGCAGCCGGATCCCCGGACAATCCATCAACGTGGCTCCCCGACAAGATCTGTGGAAACAAATACACTCCAGAAGAAGGCGAGAAAGTCTTCGCTGCGTTTGACATTGCTTCCAGCTCCATTGGCGCCGGAGCCTTGTGGAAATCTCTTCCAAAGGATATGCACTGGCCACCACCGTTTCCTAAGGCTAGCGGGTCTCTGGACGATATGCTTGGCTATCTCGATGGGCACAAACCCAGACCCAAGGGTGACACTCCTAAAGAAAAGCCCGATCCCCCCAAGAGTGCACCTCCCACGGATGACCCGCCCAAGTCAAAGGTTCCAGAAAAGGGCACCAGCGCCAAAGCATGCACAAGAACGAGAGGGAAGCGTGCTCCTGGGAAGGGCCAACAAGGTAATAAAAGCCTCACTCAATCTGTCAAGGCCTTTGCTGACCAATGCAGAAGGGGACTGCGCCGACAAAGTTACCGTAACTCACATCTTGAACTCAAAAACAGTAGAGGCGAAGAACACAATAGCCAAGCTCTGCGATTGGGCGGCCTGGCCAGAAGCTTGTGCTCACTACTATTCAGCCATCCACGCCGACAAAGCGAATCTGGGAAAATCACGGTTTACCTGCGAAGACAGCAACAACAGAGTGGAACAAACTTACACAAAGGACTGGGAGAAACAGCACGACCTGGTCTGGAGAAAGTTCAAAAACCCAAAATTTGTCTTCAATGGAAAACAACAGAAAAATGACGAGAAACGTCTGATCTGTGAAGCTGATGAATGGCCACCTGCGTATTTCGTTCCCAGGGAAGGCGAAGGACGCCCGGAGTGGGGACAGAGGATCAGATGGATTCCCAAAGAAGATAATGGAGGGGCTGGAAATCTATGGAGGAGTTTCTGCTCGGATAATGATGGTGGCGAGGGTAATGGCCAACGTGTAAGGAAGCGAAAGAAGGCCAAGAACGGCCAACCGCCAGAGCCGCTGGAGATTTACAGCCAGGTCCCGATCAACAAAGACCTCCTCGAAGGGGAGAAGATCCCTCCACCGAATCGGAAACGTGAAGGCAAGGACGGCACGATTACCGAAGACTACGACATGCTCACATTCACTCGTGCTGTGTTTGAAATCAAGTTCAATTTCGGCGACAGTCCCCCGTCGGAGAAGAACGACTGGCTCCTCAAGGAGAACCCATGCTGGCCCGAGGACATTGCACCAGAAGATCCGGGCTTCGTACTCCTTACCAACGACCCATACTACAATAGTCACCCCGAAGCGAAAGCCACCGTAGCATCATACGCCGAACCCCCAAGCAGGAAACGATTCGATGAAGCCAACGCCGTCCGCGTGAAGCAATTTGGACCTGAAAGCAAGATTGCCGACGATGGCGTCCCGGCTGCAGACCCTCCGCCTCCAAAAGCCCAAAAGCCCAACCCGGCGTCAGGTTCGAAGTTTCGGCGAAAGCGACTCGAGCTCGTGGGAGATCACTTGCATCTGAGAGACTTCGAGTTGAACGTCACGCGGCCTTTGACGGATGAGGAGATCAAGGAGAACGTGGAAGTCACCAGATGTAAGGATCGGAAATGCGAGCGTGAAGAGGAGCAAGAAGACAGCCTGATCCTCCTGGCGTTGGTCGTCCTTCTGTGCCGTCTGAGAATAGCGCGATGCCGACGCTGGTGACGAAAGTCATCCCTCCTCGGATGGAGGTCAGACGCAGTACTTTGTCTGCGGATCTTCCATTGATCACGGCTTTCGCGAACATTTCTTGAGACTTGTAGAGAGAGGGGGGTTTCGACAGAGGTATGAAGACAACGAATCCGGCTTTCGCAGTTCGATCTGCTTAATGTACTTACTGTTCGTTGATCGCAGCAAGACACGGAGCCTTGTGTAGAGCGGCATGGACCTTGAACTTATCATCGTCGGGGAAAAACATCCTATGGTTCTGGAGGCCACCCTCGAGTTCCCACCGCCGCAGGGCATATCTGGTCGGCCACATCTGGTGACAACTCAATACAGGAGAGGGCGTTGGCGTGAAGTCCACCCAGCGCGGCTATTCTCGGATTTGAATTCGGTATCGGGCCGAGCGCCAGTCGCCGTAACCTTCCTGTATTCAATGTTGCTCCTGCTGCTTTTCGAAGGCACGAACAATGTCTCAGGCCATGAGGCGACTTTGAACCCGGCTGATTCTTAGTCAATTGGACGATTTTTCAGCGTCGATGCTTGCTCGACAGAAAATTCTTTCCTCGACGTCCCGAATCTCGTCCAGTGCCAATGCCAAGAAGACAGCAAATATCCGGAAACTTCTCGTCTACCAACGTCTGGGTAGGATTTCTAAACAAACTCGCCACCGTGCGATGTGCGACTGTGGAGAAAAGCTGGAGAGCATGAGTTCTTCCGCGATGACAAGTTGCGAAATGGTAATTATCTTCTGGGGTGCATAAACTGTGACATACGAGAAACTGAAAGTGAAGGGTTTGAATGGAAAGGTGTTGACAATTGAAAACTGGGAGAAGGCCGGATCAAGCATCCGGAATAGTTAGTGGGTGCCGAACGCTGTCGCTGATTCCGATGCGGGTACCGGCGAGTTGGTTGTTCGTGCACACATGCAGGAAGCTCGAGCATCAACGGCAGGGTCTTTTGGACGTTGTGCATTGTTGGCGGTGCGACGTGTGCGGGCGATAGAGAAGTTGGGGGTGACCAGATTCGATCTCGTTATCGATTCGCGGTTGTCGAACTCCTTCGTTCGTGAGTAACGATGTCGTTGTTGTTGACGATGGATGTTGGCTCGGCGCACTGCTGCACGGCGTCAGCACGAGGTTACATGTCGAAGCTTGTCTCTCCCAAGCGCCCAGTGCGATCAAAGATCCGGGCAGCGCGGCAGGCTTATATCTCTGGCGTTGCTTCTTTTCGCAGTCAAGTCCAGATACGCGTGCGGGTGTGGCTGTCTGCCGACCGCCGCAAAGACGTCACTCCGCCAACCTAAAATTTCTGCAGGCCAATTCCACGTCCCGTGTGCTGAGCTCCACCTGGCCATCGGCGTTGGCTACCCACGGGTTCGTTGCAAAGATGATGGCGACGAGGGCCTTCCTTCTGAACTGTATTTCTTATCGCAGCCAATCGAGCAGAGGCGTCAGGCGCAATGGCAGCACCACCACCGCAGCGCCGTATCTACTGCGGTCAGTTTGCACTATGTTCTAGCGGTGCGGGCCTGTCGCGTGCACACTTGTGCACACTGACATCCTCCACTTTCTGCGACTTCTGGTGCCGAACCATGACACACGCATTTCGCTGAGCATCTGCAAGCGGCGGCACTAGAAGGCTGCGTGCTCCACTTGCCTTCAAAAAGGCACACCGTCGCCTCTGCTGCACGCGTCCCTTGAACCTTCTTCTCTAGCAGCCACTTGCCTCGAACATCGCTGTTGTCCATCTGTGTCGAGGTGTCCTTCCTTGCCAGTGACTGCCAGCCTCGCACGCCGTCAAGAAGAAGAAGAGCTCCCGGATCAAGATCCAGCGCCTGCCCCTCACCATGTCTGCAGGAAGGACCGAGTACGGCGATATTCGCGACGGAGGATACAAAGCTGCCTCCGACGACGAGGTGAGCAACGACAAACCCCTCGACGCCGGCGAGATGTCCAAGGAAAAGCCCGTCGACCCGGAACTCGCCCTCACGGAGCAGATGACGGTCCATGAAGGCCAGCAAAAGTTCTCGCGGCTGGGCTGGGTCAAGTTGACCGTGTGTCTGATCGTCGAGGCCATTGCTCTGGGATCCCTCAGTGTGCCCAGTGCCTTTGCCACGGTCGGCATGGTCGCCGGTGTTATTCTTTGCGTGGGCTTGGGTTTGGTGGCCATCTATACCAGTTACGTGGTCGGTCAGGTCAAGCTGAAATACCCTCATGTGGCCCATTACTCAGATGCCGTGGGCTTGATCTGGGGTCGGTTCGGCTATGAGCTTTGCAGCGTCATGTTTGTACTCTTCCTCGTGTTGCTGGTCGGATCGCACGCTCTTACTGGTGAGTCTCGTGAATATCAGTCGAATCTGTGCCGCAAGGACTGACATCAATGCCTCCAGGTACGATTGCGTGGATCAGAATCGTCAATGAGCCAACGGTATGCGCCTTGGTCTTCTCCATCGTCTCGGCCATCATCTTGTTCGCGCTTGCCCTCCCGCCGACCTTCCACGATTTCGCATGGCTCGGTTACGTCGACTTCATCAGCATCATCGCCGCCATCCTCATCACCATGATCGCAACCGGTGTCGAAGCGCACAACGCTCCAGGTGGTCTCTCGGCCGTCGACTGGAGCGTCTGGCCACCGCCAGACACTAGCCTGTACAAGGCCTTCCTCTCCACAACCAACATCATCTTCGCGTATAGCTTCGCGGTCTGCCAGTTCTCCTTCATGAACGAGATGCACACGCCAACAGACTATGTCAAGTCCATCTGGGCGCTTGGCCTCACCGAGATCCTCATCTATACCTTGACTGGCGCGCTCATCTACGCCTTCGTGGGTGCTGATGTCAAGTCGCCAGCCCTGCTCTCGTCCAGCTTCACGGTCTCGCGGGTTGCCTTCGGCGTCGCTCTCCCCGTCATCTTCATCTCCGGTTCGATCAACGGAACTGTCGTCGGCCGCTACATCCTCGACCGCGCATTCCCGCATTCGCCGATCAAGTACATCCACAGCGCCAAGGCCTGGGGAGTCTGGCTCGTCCTGATTGCCGTCATCACCATCATCGGTTGGGTGATTGCCGAAGCCGTGCCATTCTTCAACGCGCTTCTGGGTCTGATCTCCTCCCTCTTCATCTCCGGTTTCAGCTTTTACTTCCCGGCACTGTTTTGGTTCGGCCTGATCAAGGAGGGCAAGTGGCACGCCGGCTGGAGAAATATCACACTCTCGATCCTCAACCTCTTCTGTCTGGTCATCGGCGTCGCTACTCTCGGACTCGGAACGTACGCCAGTGTGCAGGACATCATCGACGAATACAACTCTGGTAGCGTCAGAGGGTCCTTCAGCTGCGACAGCTCATCGTACTCGTAGTCGGTGGGGTGTTTTCTGCTGTTGTTCCAGGCCTGGATAATCGCATTTGTTGGAGAGTTGTCCCTGTATGATTGTGGTGGTGGGAAAGAGAAAGCAGAGACCAAAATTCTTAGACAACTTAAAGAGGTTACGACCGAAATGAATGAAAAGAGAGAGTTACGAAAGAAGTGGCCTAGTCAAGTCTTGTTCTGTTTTCTCGGGATCGTCTTGATTGCTATCCATTCTCCGCGGTCCGGAACGTAGTCTTGGTGTGATAGGCATGCAGATAGGCGTGAGTCCGGTATGTCTGGGGGTCGAAATAGGCGCGGCCGGGCGTGAAGTCGGTTTCGGGTCGGAAGGTGATGCAGAGAAGTCCAAACATATAGGTCAGTATATGTGATGAAAAGGTATGTTAAAAGCTGACAACTGACTCAGGAGTCTTTACACTCATACGTCAGGCAAGAGAAAAAATCCAGCAACACGCCCTACGACTACCAAACACGTGCCCCAAGTGGGTCCATTTTTGGCGTTGGCGATGGTATGAAACTCTCGTTTAAGAAATGGTTGGCCTCGAGTTTGATCTTAGTGGACTGCTGGCTGTTGCTATTAGCAAACAGATATAAGATGAATGGGTGGTGAAGGGGAGAATAGGGTAGATTGAGCGGGGGATTTGAGAGTTGGGAAGAAGACGTGATTTAGGCTAGAGGCGGAGAGTTTGGTGAGGCGTGCTGGGCGATGGCTTGATGTAGTAGGCATGGACAGAGGGTCGGTAGATGTGTTCTTGGGTGTTGATTATTTTGGGGATGAGTGATCTTGTCGGAGGGAGGGCTCCGTTGGGTGATGTTGTTGTTATAGGGCGTGGTGGGTTGGAATCGCTTTCTTCTTCTCTTTCGCTAAGATCGTGGCTGACGATGAGCGAATTGATGACTATAGTGGATCGAGTCGGTGATCGATGAGGAATAGACGGCATTCCCTATCGCGACGAATGCTCGAGAAGATGTCGGACTGTACATGTACCGTAGACCGGGCCGAGAGTGGTGAGGATGCGGGATTTCACGCCGACCGAGCGGAGACTCCCTCAACCCGACATCACCTGCTAAACGCTGTGCCAGGCCGGTCAATCAAGAGATCTGTTTCACGGCACATGCGATGATTGAGCTCGTGCACGTTGTGTGGCTGACCGCGACGTGAGCTTCACCTCGTCTTGGCTTTCCGCCCTCCTCGTCCGCACCTTCTTTCAACCTCTCAGAACGACATCCTGTTTCAATCTCGTCACTGTCTTTCTCCGCTGAACGCGTGCACCCACGTTGCCAATCGCGCAAGAGAAGCCTTTGGACAGGCTTGCACGGTCCACAGAGATACCCCATTGGAATTGCTGCAGGGTTTCATCCCCAACCCCATGCCACATCTGCCCTCCACGACATCGTCAGTTGATGCGAAACCGTGGACGTTGCGACACCGCCAAGAGGCCTGGGAAGTCAATCGTCCTCCATCCCAGCCTCCAATGTCCAATGACAGCCATCTCCTGGTACGTCGGCCGACCAGGGAAAGTGGGGGAGGAAGGAATCACGTCTTCCTTGCTCCGCATCACGAACTGCTTGTACACGACACATGCGTCCAGAGTCCACAAACACCACCGGCGATCGCCAGAACGTGTGACGGAGGCGAACAGACGATTGAATGAATAATTGCTAGCGACGCTGATGGGATCTAACCAAGGACGTCAGCTGAGAAGACGAGAAGTCGATGTGTCGGAGCGGCAGAGCTGAATGAGGAACTGCATTCCTCTCGAATCAACAAATCACCGAATCCGAATGGCTCACCCTTCATCTCCTTTGGGTGCTGAACCACCCTACAGCTCCCGCACGTCGCGCGGCAGGGTAACCTTACTGCTGGTCGCGGCAATAATAGTTGTTTGGCTCTGGCTCTCCAAGTGGACCCGTTGCGGACTACAAGATGCCGTTGCGCTCGCAGGCACGTCGTGGCGCTCTCCCTCCTGTCCTCTGGTCTTGTCGTCGGTCATCATGAGGGTCTGGGTGGTGATTGACTTTCTCTTCGCCTTGCTTTTCGCTACAGGTCCGAAACATGGCTTGGCTGCAAAGCTCCCTTCATACCCGCTGGCGGTCAAAAGCCCCTACCTGTCTACTTGGGTACCTGGAGATCAATTATCGGATATCGCTACGGCTCAACCGCAGTTCTGGACAGGCACGCAATTGACTTGGCCTATACTTGCCCGGGTTGATGGAACGACATATGCCTTGTTCGGTGCTCCAGATGGCATTACCAGCGACATTACAGCGGCAACAACAGAAGATGTGAGCTACACTTCGTTGCACACATACTTTGCGCTCAGCACACCGAATGTCAACTTCACGCTGGACTTCTTCTCCCCAGTGTATCCCAAGACCGAGGACTTTGCGCTTCACTCGCTGCCGTATTCGTACTTGACCGTCAACGCCACGAGCACCGACTCGGACACGCACGATATCCAGATCTTCAGTGCCATCGATCAGACGTGGACGGCCCAGGGCGGAGCTTCTGAGATCACGTATACGGCATCTGGAGACTATGGCTATTTCACGTTCTACAACCCCAATCAGATCCTCTTCACAGAGAGCAACGACATGGCGACATGGGGCTCTGTCATATTCGCCACAGGCACTGCATCCAGCAATACGACAAGCACGTGTGGAGATGCCAGCAGCGTGTATTCGGCATTCTCGAGCGGTGGATCACTGGACACGACCACGACTTGCTCTTCTGGAAGCTACCTTGTTGGATTCTCCCAGGACTTGGGCGACGTGGGGAGCAGTGGCGGGAGTGCACTCTTTGCGGTTGGGTTTGATCGGGAGAATACTGTCAACTACCTAGGAGATGCTCAGACTGGATATTACCGTACTCAATGGCCCACTGTTCCAGAGGCAGTGAGCGCCTTTCTTGGACGTTATAGTGAGGCGCTGGCATATTCACTGAACTTCGACAACATCGTTCGCACACGGACTGAGTCGGTCTCGAGCACATTTGGCAGTCAGTATGCAGATATCTGCGAAGCGAGTTTGAGGCAGGCCTTTGCTCCTATTGAATTGACGGTGAGTAATATGACTGCATATTAGCATTTGCCTCTGCGACGTGCTGACTCTTGAACAGGTTCCGGCAAACAACTTGAGTGCTTCACCAAGTGCTTTCCTGAAGGAGATCTCCAGCAATGGAAACATGAACACTGTTGATCTGATCTATCAGTCTTGGCCAATTTACATCAGCTTGAACCCAGACTTTATCATCCTACTGTTCAAGCCGACCCTTGAGTATCTTGCCAGTGGACGCTGGCCAAAAGAATATGTCATCCATGACATGGGGGCACATTACCCAAATGCAACTGGACACGACGACGGGGATGCCGAGGACATGCCCTTGTTCGAGACATCCACATTGTTCATTCTCATGTATGCGTACCAGGAATTGAGTGGCGACACTTCGTATACCGAGGAGTACAAATCGTTGTTCGACGGCTGGGCTCAATACCTCGTCGACAATGGCCTTTACCCAGCCAGTCAGCTCATCAGCGTAGACGCCATTCCTGGCAGTCCTAACCAGACCGCTCTTGCAATGCAATCCGCCATCGGCCTCAAAGCGGCAAGTATCCTGCTGGACAACTCCAGCTACTCAGACACGGCGGACTCTTTCGCGGACAAGATCTACAATCAAGGGCTAGGCCTGAACGACAACTCGCCAAACACAAGCACGCACTTCACCTACAACTACGGCAGTGACGATAGCTGGAACGTTATCTTCACATCGTTCGCGGATGTCTTCTTGAACCTGAGTACATTTCCTCAGTCGGCCTGGGATTTGCAGGGCGAATGGTACCTCTCGCAAGTCGAAGAAGCTGGCCTCGCATGGGCGGGACCAACATCAGATAAAGGCGTTGATTGGGCTCTTACGGACTGGAGTGAGTATATTATCCATCCAACTACACTCGCAGATAGCTAAGCCCTTCAATAGACATCATGACAGCCGCCATATCCTCCACCACCGTCCAAGAAACCATCGTCAACACAACGCACACCTTCCTCTTCAACGAGAAGAACGACATCCCCTTCGGCACGAAATACTACGTCTCCGGCAGCAACGCCGGTGTATGGATCGCGAACAAAGCACGCAGCACGGTCGGGACGCACTTCTCCATCGCGGCGTTCCAGCAGGGGCTTTGGAGCGAGTTGCAGCCTTTTACTTCAACGAGTAGTTACGAGTCCAAGAGGGTGAGATGAAGGTGATGTGTCAACGATGCATTTGGTGAGGTGTTTTGAGATAGATCAACGGCCGGGAAGCATGTGGCGGAAAGTGAGATTGGAAATCTCTTGGAGTGCATTCGGATTCGGGGCTCAACGAGGATGTGGGCTTGAAAGGTTGCATGTACCTAGATGATGGGTGTACTAGGCACACCTGAGACGAATGTAATTACTTGGCATTTTGAGAGGGGGTGGATGGTGGATGGTGGTGCCAAGAATGGAGATGAATCGACCTGGCACAGTGTAATCCATTTCTACATTTTGAAGGAGGCCTCTAGTTCCATTCTCCCCGATGCCATTATATACAAAAAGACCCTCATGCCACTGCCAACCTCAAGGCCACGCCGTCGGAAAAACAGGATACCCCCACCCCTTCGCCTCAGCAATCAATCTCTGATCGAGGGTATCCCTCCCCGCAGCGACGTACAGAAACTTGGTGAAAGCCGCACTGCTATAGTACTTGAACGCCGTCCCGCCCGGAATAAAAACCACATCCCCAATCACGAGCGCGAGCGTCTCGCCTTCCATTTCCACGATCAGTTCCCCGGAGAGGACTTCGAAGGCCGTGTGATCCGGAAGGATGGTGGAGTCGAGAGTAGTATTCGAAGGTAAACTAGAGATGGTGATAGTCCCCTGCGTGAAATTCTTCGCGCCGGCTTGGGCGGGCGTGACGAGTGGTTGGACGATCTGGTAGAACGCGCTGGTGTGCAGATACTTTGGTCCATAATCCTTCGCGACGAAGTAGGGCGTGTGGTCGTTCTGTGGGAGGGAGTTGGGCGAGCTGTGCCAGCCGGATGTGGAAGGTGCGCTGCCGTTGACGAAGTCCCTGCGGGGGAAGTAGGAGAGCTGGGCCCAGACGTCGTAGCTTTGCAGGGAGGTGATGATGGCGCTGGAGGAGCCGCTGCCGGCGGCGGAGGAGGCGTTGGATGGGACGTAGGGCGTGCGGGTCGCGGCGGTGTAGTTTGAGTTGACGAGGAAGAAGAAGAGGTCTTCGAAGCCACCCGGGCCGATGGCGCCGACCATTTCGGTGAAGGGGTCGAGGAGTTGGAAGGTGTGCGTTGTGTTTGGGGGGACGGCGCCGTAGTCGCCTGCGGTCAGGAGGCGGCCGTTTTCGGAGTCATTCTTGGAGGTCCAGAGTTGGAAGCGGCCTTCCAGGCAGAAGAAGTTCTCGAAGTGGAGGTAGTGTTGGTGGGGGAGGACGCCGAGGTCGTTGGAGCTGGGTGCGGAGGTGGACAGGAGGGAGAATTTGCCATCGGAGGCGGCGCCGGTTACTGGGAAGCGGTAGATTTGTTGGCCGACTGCTACGGCTTTGGCTGGGGCGAAGCGTTTGATGGCGTAGGGTTGGGAGTAGGAAGGGGGTGTGTCGAGGAAGAGCGGGCTGAGCGCTGAGGCTGTTGTTGCTGCCGTGGCCGCAAGGAGGATGTTGGAGAGCATGGTGGCTGTTCTGTCCGGCCTGTTCGATTGAGGGTGAGATGATCGTCCAGAAAAAGGCGTCAGGCTGTGAGCTGGTCAGGCCAGTAGTCGTGTTCTTATACAAGACCTGGACTAAGGGGGCCGAAGTCTTGTGAGGGGCTCCATGTCACCTGGCGGGAGACCATATAAATACAAGAACCCGTCGGACTTTCGCATATTCCTCAACACGTCAACCTCAAATCCAGCCATCGATGTGTTCGTCCCTGTACTCGTAATGGAAGATACGCTGTGTCGTGTAAGGCAAGGCCTCCGGTTTGGTTCATGTGGACGCATGCTTGGATTTCTGAAGATCCTCTCCCCTCCCCAATCACACGACTCCTCGTGCGCGCTACTATCGCTCGTGCCGTGCACCGTCGAGAGTCCGCCATTTGCATGCTGCGGGTCCAGTTAGGGCTACGGCTTGGAGGAAAGCCGGTTGCCGAAGTGAATCCAAGGCGTGAAAGTCAAACGACGACTTCGCAGCGCTTGCATCTTTGCAGAATTTTCGCCGAACGTGGGTCGGTTGTGCAGGTTGGAACTGAATCCGTGGGCGGTGTGCATTTGGTTGTAGTCGGCATCCGAATGCGTGAAGAAGGCTGCAAGACGAGGATGTCCCAGATGTTCGTAGGGTGGTAACGGCCGATAAGATAAGATTAATGAATCTAGCGCGTGTAGGTTGATTGACGCTAGAAAAGTCGACACCCGGCTCCAAGGTCGGTAGATTGACCACCGGATGGCAGTGCTTGGCAGTCACCGCAGACGTGAGGTGTTGTCTTGATGTTGACAAGTTGCTGGCGATTTCGGTACAATCATCTCCCGATAGTGTGCATCGTCATCGTAAGTCAAAGCGAACGCTCGGGTTGTCCTTCGACCGCTGCTCTTGAACAGCTTCGCCTTGCATGATGCCATGAACATAACACTGGCCAAGTACTTTGTATCCAGACTCGATTGAACGCAGGATAAATGGAGTCTTGCCTCCATGCAGTACAACGACTTGATCAGAAGCCTTTAGTATGCTTGGACCGAGACCAATCTTCCCGTCGCAGGTCGAGAAAAATCGACGCACGTTAGCTGCATAGGTGAAAGCCAGCTCAAACTTTGCAGCGCTTCTGTCGTCCTTTGAAGCGTTCGGTGGTAGGCTGCGAACATCCTGCGATATCTCTGCGCCCTCGAAAACACGCGACCACCAGATGTCGAAGTCACCAGGTAACTCGTCGAGGTGGAAGTAGGCTTTGGCCCCTGCGATGACCGTGTGAGCAATCGTTTCTCGATCGCAAGCGATGCGTGAGGCGACCTGCTCGGCTTCTTGGAGCCAGGCCTGGCGCGACGTCAAGCCACTGCCGTTAATAAAAGTCGACGTGCATTCCCGGACTGTGCCAGCAACAATGCCCGAGACTGACAAAGTATCCGCCTTTCCTGTTGAAGTGGGTGGAATAGCAGCCTGCTGCAAACCAGAATCTGGTGCGAACAAATCGGTAAGAGAAGAGGCCTCCATATTAGCGTTCCGTGGTCTGTCCAATCTAGGAACCCACGAGGGCCAAGATTCGTCTTGTATATCGTCTTCTGTCCATTGGTGTACTCGGCTGAGCATGGCTCCAATGCCTTTTTCATGCACCGCACACACAGTGGCATTTCGATAAACTTCCAACAACTGTTTGCCATAATCTGGCATCAGCAGATATGGTAAATCTCCAGCTTGGCCGCACTCCATGAGCCCAAGAACAGCAAAGACCGTGTCTCTAGGATCAGTAACTTCCAGGCCTCTGTCAAAGTCAAGCGCAGAGCTGACAGAGCTACCCTTTCGCTTTCTATAAGTGCCGTGCTCCCGATCGACGTAGGGCCACAGTTTGCCGCAAATCCGGAGTTCAATGGCCCCACGGATCTGCGAAGGACAACTCTGCCGTTTGAAAGTCATCCAAATACAAGGTCTCAGTAGATCCATAAGGTCGAAAGTCAGATCTCCGAAGTAACACACATTGTGCTGTGCAGAGACGGCTTCTTGCATGACCCAAAGTCGACTGGCACATATGTTAGTGAACACATATGTGAGAAGAGCCAAAATGTACTTACTTGAACCACCGCGAAGACAGGAGCGCCGCAAGAGCTTCGACATCAATTGCTGCTCGCAAAGGCTCTTCCATGTGAACTATCTCACCGCCACGGTACAATGCAGAGCGCAGACCCCTCGATCCGGCAGTCTCCTCGTCGATCTCTTTGACAACCGCATCGATACTTCTTAGAGCTCGTCTTGCTGTGTTAGTATCAACGTGCCCCAGCTGAATTATGTTCGTTTTTGCCTTGGAGTATATCTTTCTCATGTTTGCCACTTGATGGCTCCGCTCGCTAAGATCGGCCTGCTGTATGCACACGGCGTCGATCCAGAGAGTCTGTTCATTCTCTTCCAGTCGTAACCGGCGGAGCGAATCGGCCGCACTGACTGGCACGGAGATCTCATGGAAGATGCATGTCTCGTCGGTTGTATCATGGATCACAGTGCGCTCATTTCGATTCCCCCACACGTAAGAGACGCTGTTGTACTCTAGCGGGTTGTCGAGGCTCACGTTCCGTAGAATGCATTGGATCGGGTCTTCTGCTCGCCCAGGCAATACAGTGAGAAGCCGAATTTTCAAGACTTTCACCTGTGTTCAGAGGCTGGTACAAAGATGGGCACCGGGGTTCTGAATTGGCAGTCTCCATGTTCCTGCTGCTCCACACGGCTGCAGGCCGTCTTGAGCCACTTTGTTCGAGTGTGGCATCTGACGGCCAGCGAAGGGCGCTGCGCTGGTCATACTACCACGCGCATCACACGTATCATCAAGCCGCAACATCGCGAATGGCGCCATAGTGTCAGGCTGATGGTTAGGTGTTAACGCGCGAGTCGATAAGAGGAGTGAGGTTTGATTGCTCCTCGTGGCGTTTCTTTAGAGTTTGTGATCCTTCCGGTCCGATGCGGGGGCGGGGCCCCACTGCAACCTCAACCCGTCCTTTCCCCTCGACTCGACCTCCACCTTCATCACCACATCTCGTCGTTGCATCACCAGATCACGCATTCCCCTAGAGCTGGCAATTCTTGTTCAGTAGAGCAGTATCTAGTCGTCTGCCAGGCGGAATGATGGCAATTGAGGCGTGGAATCAGTTCATGGACACGGCGATGATACGCGAGCTGTGCCTGGAAACACCCATTTCGAGACATCGCGACGATACTTTGGTCTTAGCTAAATGAAATGCGAACAATTTGGAACAGAATATCCGATGGTCGAATTCTACCCTTACCAGCCACTCGTGGAGTCCGGCTGGATTAGGCTGCTGCATATTTTGCCAGGCAATGGAGACGATCGCCTGGAGGGGACCCTTCAGCAAGTTCATCTGACTGAGCGGGAGCTGTACGAGACTCTGTCTTATACATGGGGCCAAGAAGAAGCCAAAGACTCCGTTTTTGTAGAAGGCAAGCCTGTTGCAATAACGCCAAACTGCAGTAATGCTATCCGAGGCTTGAGGCGTACGGACGCGACCAGAACATTCTGGATTGATGCTATCTGCATCAACCAGGCCGACAAAGACGAGAAAGCACAGCAGGTCAGCATGATGGGCGACATATACGCCCGCTCGCAGCGGACCGTGGTTCATCTGGGTTCTGGAGACGGCACTGTGCATCTGCTCCGACAGAACATGCAAATCAAGCCAGGCGCTGTGAGCTTTCCACCGGAACTTAAAACCAAACTTGAAGACGCGCGCCAGCGCCTGTTGGGAAGGCACTGGTACCACCGCAAGTGGATTATCCAAGAGGTTTTATTGTCGAGAGAGGTCATTGTACAAGCTGGCAAACACGAATTCACGTGGGCTGAGCTCGAAACCCTGGATAATCGTGGCCTCGAGATCATTAAATTGGTCAAGAAGTATTTGCACCCTTTGAGCCTCTCGTCTATGACCATCAACGGACACGACTGGGATCCAAAGGCCAAGGCTGCGTGGGAGGAGATGTTTGAACAGGGCGAGGTCATTGCAATGGAGCATCAACGCTTTACCAGCCAGGCCAATCTTCCACGGTACAGCAAGTATCGTTCGCCGCAAAAGGGCTTTTTGATGCCACCTCAGCTCTTTGATGTGCTCTGCTTGACCAGCAATTTTGCCTGCAAAGAGCCGAGAGACCGACTGTTTGCCGTTCTTTCTCTGTTTGCAAGAAAAATGGACCTCCTACTAGATTATACGTGTGATGAGCGTGAGGTATACCACTCTTTGACCAAGGAGTTGATGAGTCTTGGGGACACAAGGATGTTCTGGCTGGAAGACCGTGACTCCTGGAGACCAAAATGGAGTTCTGCGTTGTCGACTTTGGCCGAGTTTGTCAAAGTCAATGGTGATGTTGATCGAAGCAGTCGCCCGTCGACAGATATCGGGCGACTGATGAAGGAGGTACATCAAGAGAAGAGAGTTGGAGCAATGTCTGTGCCGACTGAGACGTCGTGGAGAGCTCAAGGAATTCTTCTTGGTAGCATAACTACCGTCGCCGCTCGAGCGTTTGAGCATCGCGCCGCCGCCCCCGAAGGCCTGTCGTCTGGACCTACCGCATTCAGTCAGCCTCTTTGGAATGCAGTCATCGATTCTCTTAGCCTGGAAAAAGATGCACCAAATGAAACAGGCTTGTATCCTCTGGCTCACATACATCAACGAAACAGGCAAAACCTCGAGTGGTTTTATCAATGGACTCTAGACCTGCTTGGGAAGCGCAGCGGTGAGGCTTTCCTTACAACCGCCCACCGAGCCGACTCAAAGAGCATCAAACGTGCTATGGCGCATCACCATGGACACCTTAAGTTTTGCAACACGATGAAGATGTTTGTTTGTGATAGCGGCCTCATTGGCCTAGCTCCTCAAACAGTCCGCCAAGATGAACAAGTGTACTTTCTCCCTGGATTCACATGTCCCTTCATTCTGCTACGGCGCATCGGTGAACAATGGCAGCTGATCAGCCTTTGCTGGCTAGGGCCACTGAAGCTGTTCCCATGCTGCTTCAATGGAGGCAACCCAGACTTCTTCGACAAGAAGACGTGGGCGATGCTGGAAATCATATAACACAGTTTCCAGACCATCATGCCACTCAAGATGTGTGAAACACGGAGCGTGGACGGCCCTCAGCCTTCCTTCAAATTCGGTTACATTTGGGCGCCAGCACAACGTTGCAGCCTACGTCATGGGGAGACCAGTCGTGAGATTCGGTCTGCAGAGGTCATGCTTTACCAAGAGCTGACGCAGGGAAATGCAAGAGCAATGTGATTTGGTTACAAGAACAGCCACGTTACGCAGTTCGCCTCCCTTGACCGGCTCATTCTGCACGGTTCTCCCGGCTTGCTCGCCCTCATTCTCGTTCATGCTGACCATGAGCACTGTCGAAGTTGCCTACTGGACGCCACAATGCGTGCTGTTATACCAGGACAACCATTTAAACGCAAGCACCTCGTAGGTGGCATCGGCTAGCCGTCTTGATGTGATCGCGGCGTCGGCATCTTTTGTAAAGGGCTCGACCCTGTGCTACAAAAGGAGTCCCGTGTCGGCACCGGTGCGCCACGGCTGTCCCTATGGCGGCACTCGCGAGCCCAACTTTTAAGCCACGGGTAGTACCCATGGCTTATTGCAGGAGAGCGATAGAGCCTGTTTTCTCCGTCAGGCGCTCTCCAACCTGGTCTTGACTGGCCCGATCTTTCGATAAGAAGTCTACGAGTTGGATCGGCGGGAACAACAATATCGGGTCCTGTCAACCTTGCTGGCAGATAAAATGCCTCTCAAAAGCCTCGAAGCCCAGCGCGAGCACGATTTTCATCGGTACACACAAAGCCCTTGCATGGATCCATTTTCTATCGACTGACTGTCCTGACAAGCTATCTTGATGCTGTTCTTTCCATTTCCGGCAGCGTGCCGACTTATTGCGATCTCAATGATCCCGCCGCAGTCGAAGCCCATGAGCCTTGTCCATCGCCTGACACCGCGCTCACTGCATTCTGTCAATTGGCAGCCTACCGTCTCCGTACCAAGCGTGCAATGCTCTTCTTCTTCGATGTCACACATGCGTTTGTTCTTGCAGAGGCTACTCGTACCCTTTCTCTCGCTGGCGAAGAGGTCCACCACGTCGGCGACCCTTTGTGGCTCGGGTTCACTACCATCCCCCGAGGCTTCTCCGTTTGCGAACAGACAATCAGCATCGTCGCTCCTGCATTGGGTCCCGCATGTTCGTCGAAACCAGTCAACGTCATTAGCGACCTTAGCGAGGACACTCGATTCTGTGGGCGACCTTACGTGCAGTCTTCACCTCACGCTCGCTTCCATGCTGGTGTACCAATCACCTCCCCTGAAGGCATCAACATTGGAGCATTCTGCGTTCTGGATGATTGCAAGCGGGAAGATCTGACTGATATTGAAAAGGAGTTCATGCGGGATATCTCTGCCACTATCATGACTCATCTGACACTGGTTCGCGCAAAAGCAGAGCAGAAGCGAGAGACGCGGATGGTCACGGCACTTGGCAGATTTGTTCAAGACTCTTCTGGCCTTAGAGAGCCCAAAGGAGCAGACGAAGACACGGAGAATACTCAACACATGAATCCATGCTCAGTACGGTTGATTGACACAGAATTATCAGACGAGCCGGAGTCATATTTGGGACAGGAACGCAGACGACTTTCCGAAGGACTGTGCTCGGCTCTGCGCCAGCCCGATGATATCGAGACACTTTCAAGCTCCTCGCCGCCTTTCTCAACGTAGTTAACTTCTCTGCATGAAGATGAGGATGAACACGCAAAGGGATCTTGCCCTACAACTGAATACTGTGGCCAGAATTCGGTTGCACGTAGCATGGTAGAAGATCTACGAAACGAAGTCATTCCTACAACCATTCAACGGACATTCGAAAGAGCAGCTCGTCAGGTTCGTGATGCCATTGGGGTCGATGGCGTGGTCTTCCTAGATGCTTCTATTGGCACATTTGGTGGACTACGAGAAGCACGGAATTCTATCCCAGGGAGAGAGTCGGACGGCCATTCAACTCACCCTGGTTCGATCGCAGATGACCCTGTCCTGTAGGCAAATCGTGGAACAAGTACAACGAATAAGTGCTACGTTCTCGGGTCCTCTCTCGCCTACGATATGCCCTTCGATGCCACTGAAACGAACATTACAGAGGCACTGCTAGAGTCTTTGTTGACAAAATATCCCTGTGGGAAAATCTGGACTTTTGAAGGCCAAGGATTCGAGAGCGAGCAAATGACTGACAGTGCCAACGAAGGATCTTCCACAAACCCGAGGCGACAGCCATCCACACCTGGTGCCACCCGCGACCGCTGGGAAAGGCGCGCTCATGCGGAAGAAATCCAACGGTTATTTCCCAGAGTTCGCAGCTTTGGTTTTGTTGGCATGTGGGACCAGGTGCGCGGACGCTGGTTTGCTGGCGGTATGTTCTGGACGAGTTCGCCATTCCGGGTCTTGTCGGTTGAAAGTGAGCTCCGTTACATTTCAGCCTTCTGCGACGTGATCATGACAGAGACTAAACGTGTCGAGGCCGAGAGGTCAGACAAGGCGAAGATGGACTTTCTGTCGTCTATATCCCACGAGCTTCGCTCGCCACTCCATGGTATACTAGGGAGCACAGAATGCCTGCAAGAGCAAGAGCAAAGCATGGACGTTGCGAGCGAGCTACTCGTATCGCAGATTGAGTCCTGTGGAAGGACGCTTTTAGGTCAGTCCCAGCCGACAGAACCCTACTCATTGCTATCAATGGTAACTGACCACCGACTCGAAAGATATCATCGACCACTTGTTAGAGTACAGTCGCATCAACTTTTCAGCCACACCTGCGTCAAGGCCAGAAAACAAACAACGAGAAGCAAAGTCCTTGGAAGAGAAGCAGTTCCAGCATCTTACTCCAATCAGTTCGACCAACGGCTGCATCGCCCTCGATACCATAACCGAAGAAGTTATCGACGCTGCAGTGTTCTCTTTTCTCAGCGGGCGTGACAGCAGCAGCAAAGACACTGTGTCTGTGATGATCGATATTGATTCGCCCGGGTCCAGCAAGTGGAAATGCCAAATAGTCACTGGTGGCTGGAAGCGAATATGCATGAACATCGTTACCAACGCCTTGAAATATACTCGCCGCGGATGGATCCACGTGGGAATCCAAACCACCCTTATACCCAACTCTGAAGACCAACTGGCTGCTGTACTTACTGTTTCGGATTCTGGGAATGGAATGACCAAGGACTTCCTCAAAAATCATCTATTCCGGGCCTTCTCGCAAGAAGACAGCCTTTCATCAGGAATAGGACTTGGGATGAACTTGGTTGCGAAAATCGTCCAAACACTCGGTGGCAAGATCGACGTTCAAAGTGAGCAAGGCGTTGGAACTCGAGTCACGGTCTATGTCCCTTTGCAGCAGACCCCTTTCGGCCAAGGAGATGTAGCACCACGGACGAAACCAACACTACAGAAGCTCTGCAGGAACGCCGTCTGTGTCGTAGACGGCGTGAATGTTCGCGGTCGTGCGTTGATCTCGACCCGAGATGCCATCGAAGCCAAGACGCACACACTGCTCATTGCAGCGATTGAGAAGTCATGTGGGCAACTGGGTCTGAAGGTCTGTCGAGCTGGTGCTTCGACATCGTCCAAAGCCCAGTTGAACATCATATTGCAAAAAGATCTCATGGACATACTTCAACACTCGAAGAGCAACGCCGGCAGATTATCGCTGGGTCAAAAGCCGCTTATAGTTGTCTGCGAAAGCTCACAGGCCGAGCGCAAGCTACGCAAGTCAAAGATGTCTTTCGTTGCTGGGCAGATCGTAGAATATCTGGCTCAGCCATGCGGTCCGACAAAGCTGGAGAGAGCCATCGTATCCTGCCTGACACGTCAATCCAGCATCGCTACAGCCTCTATGACCAAGCGCAACATGGAGAAGAAAGTCGTTTCAACAACGGAACCGCATGAAACAAGCAAAGACCCCCAACTATTACGGATTCTTCCCTCGCGAGTCACCACGCTACCTTCGCGACCAGCTTCACCGTCACCCGAAGTGCCACCTGCGAAGGACGAGCTCGTCCTGCTCCTAGTCGACGACAATCCAGTAAATCTCCAGCTTCTCAAAACATACGCGAGCAAACGCGGCCTTCCACGACATCTTGCCTCGAATGGCCTCGAAGCTCTGGCAGCCTATAGGGAGGCGCACTTGGCCAAACCAGCAACGTCAAACCCAGGAATACCGAACGTCGTCATGATGGACATCAGCATGCCTATATGCGACGGTTTTGAAGCCACAAAGCGAATCCGAGCCTACGAGCATGAACATGGTCTCAAACCAGCCACGATAATCGCACTCACGGGACTAGGTTCGCCAGACGCCCAGCGTGAAGCATATACCTGTGGATTTGACATGTTCTTGACAAAGCCAGTGCAACTCAAAAAGCTGACTGCTCTGTTGGAGGAGCTGAAGAACGACAAGAAGAGGGCTTGGGTTTGAGCGACATTGCATCGCAGGGTGTCGGTACTCGCTACTTGACATGCTCTCGAGCCAATGGCCCGTGGCATGCTCCGGGTGTTGTCGCTCGTTGGTCAGAGCGTGGTTTTCATCATATGTGTCGTACTTCAGCTGGACTTATTTCATGATCTAATGAGTATTGCGGTGGCGATGTCGCGCTCGCACTCGCATTTGCCGTGACTTGGCAGACTGTGTACAGCAGGCAGAAGTAGCTCCACGCTTTCGATGCTGTTGGAAATGCATCCATTCAATCAATCTTTCATCTCTATAACCTGCTGGTATCGACAAACTGTCGTAAAGGCATTACAATGGAGCTACGGATGTCCCAAAACGCTACAGAGAATGACTCTGTAGGCGATGGCGTTCAGACCACTAGCAGCCGAAACGCGTCCTCACAACCGCCTGCTGTAGGTCAATATATGCCATGGCTGCAAAAGCCTGTGGCAATACTGCAGGTCCATCGGGGGGTTGGGAAACCCTATGCAAGAGCTTATAGCGATGTGTTAACGTCGTTTGGAATTACCAAAGAACGCTTTGTCCAGTTTGTGGACGATCTGAATGTGGGCTTCCCTCACCATCACAAGCGTTGAAGAAGATGCAACTGAAGCCTGACACAATCGACCAGACTTTTACGGCTGCATCACCCGTACTCACTGCAATCGATGTAGCTGGAGAGATTGTCGGATACGTGCCAGACATGTCATTCGGTGTCCAAACGGGCGTCTCAGCAGGTCTTTCCTCTTCGGCTCAGATAAGTCAAGGCCTACTGAGTTATACAAGAGAGAAAAAGTTCGTCAAGAAGATGAACAAGGAATTGTTCAATCCCCGTAATCTGAAGGTGGAAGTGGTCAGCGCGAAGAAACTGAGAGTGAGGCTAGGCCTGGCCCCTGACGCTCCGCTGTCCTTGTCACCGGCCGAGACGGAGGGTATGAGTCTGTACGAGCGCCACATGGCTGCAATCACAACCTTGGTCGCGCCGCTCTCCTTTGAGGTGCCATCTCCTCTGCCTGCGGTGAAGCGGATTGATAGAATGAACGCGTGGGTACAAGCCCGAGCGATGGCGAAGCACGAGGAAAAGGCCCGCAAGGCCGAAGAGGAATTCCGAGAGGCAAAGCAGGAGTTTGAAGCTAGGCGCGAACGGAAAGACAAGAAGCTGGCCGATAGTATCGCTGCCCTCGAAGAAAAACGGGCGAGAAAGAGGGCCAAGCATGAGGCAAGGCGTGACGAGGCGGCAAAGCTGGAAGACGAAGAAAGAACCGAAAGGTTGAGACGAATCGAGGATGACTTGCGAGATGATATGGATTCGATCGACAAAGAGATACGCGAACTGAGGGAGGCGCACGATGAGCGCACTCGAGAGATGGAAGAGGAAAAGACCGGATTGTACGAAGACCAGGTCTACAATGCGACCAAGACTTACTGGATTTTGGTGGAGAATCTGTAGCGTGTGAAGAAGGGGAGCAAGGAAGCCACTATCGACATTGAGCGTCCTATCGATCGTTATTGCGCTCTGGCAGAGATCATCGTGACCGACCATCTCCGGAGACACGGTGACTGTGATACAGCCTCTGTTGCAACCGCGGATCATTCCCCAATCGACCCTGCGTCAACGCCTTGGATACTCCGCATGCCAACAAAGAAACGACCAGGCTGAATTCTCAGAGGACACGAGCCGAGTAGGACGATTTTACGAGGCTTGTAAAGGGTACTGGTATTGACCTATCAACTAGCAGGATGATCCACCCGAACATATCTTTCGATCATGATCACGATCCCTTTTTATCATCATTAAGTCGTTGTCATTTATCCTTCGTGGCATGAGAGACGTGAATTCAGACAAAATTGCAACCGACATGGACCCTGATTACACGCAGTGAAGCTCGCCGTTGGCGTGCGTATGGCAGTTCTCACCGCTCGCGCTCTCCGTCGCACTGGCCTCTGCACTCGCAGCTGTCGCGCTCGCGGACTCAGATACCGTTGCCGTGGCTTCACTGCAGTGGACGTCGCCATTCGAGTGTGTGTGGCAGTTCTCGGCGACCGCAGTGGCTGAAGCAGACACTGCAGCGGTGCTTGCAGAGGTCACGGCAGGGGCTGATGCACTGGAAGCTGCTGAAGAGGTCGCGCTGGCGGCAGCTGCAGGCGATGAAGATGCTGGAAGTTCGCCCGCTGGGCCCGGGCAGCCTGTTCCTGGGTAGATGACATCGTGCGCGAAGGCCTCGAGGGCGAAGTAGATCAGACCGTACGAGTCCTTAGTTGCGTTCGGGCTGTTCGCTGAGGCAGCCTCGAGGATGGAGTCGTAGTCCTCCGCGTAGTGGTCAACGTAGCCTTGGCCGAATGCGGGCATGTGCCAGAGACGGTGCATAAGGTCAGAGCCCTGCTAACGTTAGTCATTGCGAGGACATTGATGGAGTTTCTGGACGACATCACTTACCCAGTACACAGTCCGTCCTCCTTGCCTGACATTCCATCCCAAGCCGCAGACACCTGCGAGCGGCCGGCGAATCTCGTACGAGGTTGGGCAAATGACCGTCTCGTCAGATGCATTGTTGCCACGCCAATGGCCCGCCCAATCTGGCATGTTCACGCAGTTCTGGTCAGGGTCATCACAGCGGAAGAGAGCACCAGACCTGTCGCCGTTGATAATGACATCCAGAGATCCAACAGCCTCGACCGTGGGGTTGCCACCGAAGTACTTCTGGTAGATCTCGCTGCTGTTGCCCCAGCGGTTGATGTGGGCTTTGGCATGGCTGGCGAGCTCAACGGCCTCATCGAGACCTTGTCTGATCTGGTATGCCTCGGAGGAGTTACAGCTGGAGTGGACTCGCCACTGGGTGACGGCGCCGGAGTTCCATGGTGCTTGCTCAGTCACCTCGAAGGGTGCTTGTCGCTTCTCCTCCACGGGAGTTGGGGCGGCAGAGACTGCGGCGAGAGCAGAGAGGAGGACGGCTGGGATGGTGTACATCTTGGCAATCTGGTAAGAGTCGGGGCCAGGAAAATTTGAGGATGCAAGATGACAACCTAACACAGAGGACAGGGACCCTACTTCTTATACCAAAGCTACCTGCCTTCGTATCAACAACATCGACCGGCCGGTGAGGCGAGCTCAACGCCACGTGGGAGGCCGACGCCGTCGATGGCCATGTTCCAAGACATGCATTTTGCCTAATGAAGCAATGCACGAAAGAATCCTCGCCACCATGATACTTGGCAATTGTCCATCAATGTCTATGGCGAGGGAAAGAGATTTTTCGGTTCGGTTGCACCGATTCGAAGTCTACGAATCGGGATATTGGGCCTGCCTAGTGACGTTTTGTGGTTGCAGTGCCAATGTCGACCCGATTTCTCGGCACCGGCACCGTAGTGTCCTGGTTCTGGATGCTAGGTGCGGCATGAACATCTGTTCACCCAGGCTGGTTCCCATACCGTAATGGAAAATGGGGCGTGGGGGAGTTGGAGTTATGAGTTTGTGAAGGTCAGGTCTTACCCGGTCTTCCTGGCGTTGCTCTTCTCGGTCCTCCTTGCCTCTACCTCCTCTCACTGCCATTGTCGCAGGCCAAGCCGAAAAGAAGCCAGTATCCGAGTTCCGGTGACAGGATTACAGCATACATTGGTCGACCTGTCCGTCTCTTCATTTGAGCCTCAAGTCTCATGGGAGACAAGCTTGCTAAGGCGCTAGACCAATGCCATGGTGGGCTTATGTGAGGGCCTCAGCAGGGAACAGCGTTGACCTTCCTAAGCTGACCATATCCTATGAGGTTATACGACCGAATATGTCTCGCTATGATGGAGACACGGCGTGACGTTGAGAGGCTGCCAAGACGAGGCTGCTGATGAAAACTCGCCTCTATTGTCGCGCTCGTATAGTCCGCCAAGGTCTCGCCACTCCACGTCGAAGAGGCACCGGGTATCTGCGAATGCACAGTCTTCACGCTGAACGATGGTCACACAAAGAGCGGAGCAGACATGCCATACCAAGATATGTGCCTAGAAGCTATGGGAGCCAAGCAAAGCGAGCCAAGTTGCACCTTGATGGACACCTCGAACCTTCGCCCTCCCACGCCGCACCGCCCTATGAACTTTCACCCTCTGCACCTCTCCCCGCCACTGCTGCGCATTTTCACGCAAAATTTGCAACTTGGCATCGCCCAGAACGTGCGGTGCGCCGCTCGCTGTTCTTGCCGCCAAGCACAAACATCCATCAAGGTTCTGCTTGGTCCTCTCCCACCTTCTCGGCGCGGCGGCGATGCTATGCCACCTCGTAGCAGAGCGGGATCCCTGCGTCTTCATCCACATGGCTACCACGTCGTGAAGACTATTTCATCCATCGGGTTCGTGCGTCTTACTGAGCCGCTGTGTTCTGCTGCACATATCAGACCTCCTTTTCGTGCTTCGAGTTGTGCCAGGGGACGCGGCGGCAGTTGAAGATCCAAGCAAACAAGATGTTGTCGAAATCAGCCTTCCTCGCGGCCATTTTGGCTTCTCTTGCCAACGCTCAAACCACCTACACCGGCTGTCATAACGAGACGACCTCAGGCACTGCCATTGAATACTGCTATGGCCCAGATGGAGTCGAGAGCGCCAGAGCCACGTATGCCAGCAGCTTACCGGCTACCAATGCAGCGACCACCACGGCACCCGCAGCAGGAAGTGCTCAGACTGAGTCTGTGACCGGATGCCATATGCACGAGACGGCCGTTTACTGTATCAACGGCGCTGGGAGCGAGGTACTCGTATCCGCTACACCTACAGGCGAGCCCCCGGCGGCCTACACGGGCTGCCATTCACACGGAGGCGAGATGTGAGTTGAATTCCAGCAAATGCTCTTTTCGCCCCTTGAGCCTGCGTGCCCCTTTCCACGTTGCTAATGCTTTGCTCAGGTTTTGCGTTGACCCCGAAGGGAACGACGTGGCGCTCGCTGCTGAGGCCGGCACTGAAACCGAAGCCACGGGTACCTCTGACGAAGGTCAAACCACTGCAGTTACCGGGTGCCATAGCCACGAGACCGACATTTACTGCATCAATGGAGCAGGCGCGGAAGTTCTTGTGGAAGCCACTGTAACCGGCGAACCGCCTGCACAATACACCGGTTGTCATTCTCATGGGACTGAGATGTAAGTTCCTAGCTGTCGCATCGATGCGCAAGATCCTAACATTCCATAGGTACTGCCTCGATCCCGCTGGTGAGGAAGTCTTTGTGAGCGCCGAGGGTGAAGAGGAGGGGTCTGCTGCCTCTACTGGCGAGCCTTCGGAGAATCAGCACTGTCATTTCCACGCTGGTGTTGAGTACGTCTGATGAACATGTTGTGCTGCCGACATTCACTGACATGTTCAATACAGACACTGTGTTGGAGCCGGCGAAGAAGAAGGGACCCGGGATTGTGGCCTCCGCACACGCGATTACAACGTTGGTCTTCGTGTTGGCACTCTCTTTGTGATCCTCGTCACCAGTGCCATTGGTGTCTTCCTTCCGCTTTTGCTCAACAAGCTACCATTGGGCGCTTGGGGTGGACACATCTTGATGGTGGTCAAGCAATTCGGTACCGGTGTCATCATCTCGACTGGCTTCGTACATGTAAGTCAACGCAAGCCACCTAGTTTCTCCATGTTGCTGACTTGCCATGAAAGTTGTACACCCATGCCCAGCTCATGTTTGCCAACGAATGCATTGGGACGCTGGACTATGAGGCGACGACATCTGCCATCGTCATGGCGGGTCTCTTCCTCTCGTTTCTTGTGGAGTACTTGGGCCTACGTCTCGTGGCCTCCCGTGCAGCCAAGTCGGCCGCTGAATCCAGTGCATTCCAATCCCAGCAAGAGACTACGAAGGGTTCTCCGGCGCCATCTCAGGAGTCACCTCGCAACGCTTTTGCAGCTGTTGACCATCACCATGGCGGGCCAAACAACAAGCTTTCTGTCATGGTCATGGAAGCTGGTATCCTCTTCCACTCGATCCTCATCGGTCTCACGCTCGTTGTATCCGGAGACTCGTTCTACAGGACACTGCTGGTCGTGATCGTATTCCACCAGTTCTTCGAGGGAATGGCGCTTGGTGCTCGTATTGCCATGCTACCAGGTGCTATCTTCCCGTGGAAGTTCGTCATGGCGGTGGCGTTCACACTCATTACACCCATCGGAATGGCCATCGGCATTGGTGTGCTCAACTCCTTCAATGGTAACGACCCGAGCACTGTCATTACCTTTGGCACATTGGACGCATTGTCCGCTGGTATCTTGATCTGGGTCGGCCTGGTCGACATGTGGGCTCGAGACTGGGTCATCGAAGGAGGCGAACTCCTGAACAGTGGTCTGTTCAAGACTTTAGGTGGTGGTGCTGCGCTCATCGCTGGTATGGTTTTGATGGGTGTCCTGGGCAAATGGGCGTAAGGTTAATGTGAAATGGATGCATTCGATACCCGAGCAGTTTGCTCAATGCTGGTACGACGGAATGAAGACTACGAAGTTGGCTGGGCTTTAGAAGCACTCTCGGCGTACCACAGAGTCAGGTAGATCGCAAGTAATGACAAAAGTTCGACCTTCAGCCAACATCCAAATGTTCATGGCAGCAGAATCGAAGCGCTCTCGTCACCAGCCATCACACCACGACCTACGACTCTCTTACACCCGCAAGGGCCCACTGAAACACCTGGTGCAACATCTTGGTCGGTGTCTGAGAAGAGCCAAGCGCCCGATGTCGACAATAGCAATGTGGCTCGGCGTCAAATTGGGTCCTGGTATCCGCATGTAGTACCACTCAGTCCTCACAAGCTCGAGCTCGGAGATTGGCCGCTCATCGAACAGACAAAGACTCCAGAGGAAACTTCCACAGGGACGATCGCCTATTGAGAATGGTATAGACCTCGTGTTTCACTTTTTGCCTTGGTTGGACGCACTTCAGCTGGAAACCCGGTTTTATGCTTTCGGTGAGCGTAGCAGACGGTACTGGCTCCGCCTGACTTGTTGAGCTAATAAGCATGCGCCTGCCTGCGTACGCATCTTCAGCTGGTGCAGTCTAGAGCGCAGCAATTCTCGGTGTACGGTTTCGGTATGGTCGGTCTCGAAGCAATCTCACTGCGCCCCAGCCACCTGTCTATCCGGCCGAAGTTTGCCATTGTCCAGTAACCAAAATGCTCATTGCAAAGCAATATGGTTTGGATGGTTACAACAGCTGAGCAAGGCTGATGGAAAGGTCGAGGAGTATATGAAGAAGAGATGGTCGCCGAAGGGAAGGAGTTGTTGAGATGAACGCATCGGCAACAGACGGCTTTCACCACGATTCTCAAAATGGCAATGGCAATGTTCCTGGCGATCGCGGCATTCGCTGCTCCTGCCTTCTCCTGGAACCCGGGCTTCGCTGGTATCCCCTTTCCCTTCCACGACGTGCCAGTCCCATGGGAAGGTCATGGCAGTCAGTCTGTGTCAGTAATAGGCACAGTCCCAACTACGACTGCCGGTCAGGTTGCTGTGGCCAGTCAAACTCCCAGCTCGACAACAGGCGCCTTCGTGAAGCCCACTGCCGGAACGACATGGAACATTCAACTCATCAGTCTGCCATCGGTAGACCAGGCCAATGATCCAGCGTGTTCCTTATGGGACTTCGATATGGAGGGGGCTGACAAGAAACTCATTGACGCCTTCCACGCCAAGAACCATTCGGTCGCCTGCTACTTCTCGGCTGGAAGCTGGGAGGACTTCCGCAAGGATGCTGACGACTTTCCCAAAGAAGCACTTGGAAAGGTTATGAAGGGGTGGGAGAACGAGAAATGGGTCGATACGCGCAACCAACAGCTCAGAGACGTTATCAAGAAGCGGATCCAGTCTGCTAAGAACAAGGGTTGTGATGCTATCGATGCCGATGTGAGTCTCGTCTTAAAGTGCACGAGCAGTGCAGGGCTAACTTCTTGAGACAGAACGTCGACGGCTACTCCAACGACACAGGTTTCGACCTCACCGAAGACGACGGCGTCGACTACGTCAAATTCCTCGCCGGCGCCGCCCACGACCTCGGCATGGCATACGGGCTGAAGAACGCCGAAGATATCCTCGAGCGCGTTCTGGACGTCTCGCAGTTCTCTGTGCAAGAAGAGTGCGTCTTCTACCAGGACTGTGACAAATTCCAGCCCTTCATCAAGGCAAACAAGCCTGTCTTCAACATCGAGTACCCCGATGACAAGCCAGATGAGTCGTTGAAAGACTTCGTCAAGGAGTCCTGCAGCGACGCAAATGCCAGGGGCTTCTCGCAGCTGATCAAGCAGAGGGACTTGGGCGATTTTACAGAGACCTGCCCTTGAAGAGGACCAGGCCGAAGGACAATCGAGTGTAATCAATATAAGCACTAAGATTCGGTTAGGCGCTCCTTTATCATTTCTCGCAAATATCTTCAGAAAAGGGCGGTGGTATTCGCTGCGTTCCCAGCCTCATCATGGTAAGCTATGCATCCAATACAGACTTTGTGCATTTCATGCTGATGTAGCCCTGCTTCGCTCATCATAAGCCCCACAGCTTAACCCGAATCCGTATCGGATCTTGCACCATAGCTAGTGCGGGACAATATCATGCCGCCTCAGCTCTCAAATAAGGCATTGCCCGCGCAATGTGTGGTACAAGACCCCAAAGCTGAGTAAACGCCGTAACCATCCCGTGACAACGACAAGCGGAGCAGGAGATATCTAAACTTCCACTTCGTCCGCTCGTCCTTGGGCACCTGCAGACGTATATATCACAGCACTGGACCCGAGAGTTTAATTGAGTGTCAAGAGAAGAACTTTTTGACGGCCCAGCATGGTTGGACAATCGAACAGCTACAATACTCTCCCCAAAGGCTCCACGATCTTAGTGACTGGAGCGAATGGCTTGATTGGATCTCATTGTGCCAACCAGGCTCTCCAGCATGGCTACAAAGTACGAGGAACGACTCGTTCGCTGGAGAAAAACAAGTGGCTAGTAGAGACTTTCGAAAAGAAATACGGCAAAGACGCATTCGAGCTTGTGGAAGTCAAGGATATGCAGCATGCTGGGGCATTTGACAAGGCTGTAGAGGGGTGCTCGGCGGTTATCCACGTTGCGACTGTTATGTAAGTGCGAGCGTCCGAGGTTTCGTAGACAGGAGGCTCACGAGCATAGTACATTCGACCCGGACCCGGAGAATGTCATCCCACCCACCCTGGCCGGAACCAGAGAGATCCTCAAATCAGCAGCGAAGACACCGTCCGTCAAGCGTGTGGTCTACACTTCCTCCTCAGGAGCACTCCAAACAACGACCGACAAGCCCATAACTGTCACCCAAGACACATGGAACGACGAAGCCGTACGACTGGTCCAAGATCCCACCCTCTTCGCTACCCTCCCAGATCCAGTGAAAAGCGTAACGACATACTGTGCCAGCAAGACGCTCGCAGAGAAAGCCTGCTTTGAATTCGTAGAGCAAGAAAAGCCTCACTTCGTCCTCAACACAGTCGCACCAAACATGAACATCGGACCGACGATCCATCCGACTCAGCCTGCTTCCTCCAGCGGTGGAATCAAGGCCTCCTTCTTAGGCAACGAATAGGCTCTCGCCCTATTCAGCTCCATGGGAGCGATGAATTACATCGATGTCCGGGACGATGGCAGACTGCATCTCGCCGCTGCGATCTTTGATGACGTCCAAGGTGAGAGGATCTGGGGGATGGCTGGGGACTATAACTTCAACGATATCATTGATGAGTTTGCCAAGAAGGATCCGAAGTGGAGGGATCATGAGAGGTTTGAGGATAAGAGGGACCTGACGGTTTATGATCGGTCGAGGAGTATTGAGTTGTTGAGGAGGTTGGGACAGGATGGATTTGTTAGTCTGGCGGATAGCATCAGGGATAATATTGCTGGTGAGTACCCACATCCTTGTGCGGGAGAGATTTGCTAACGTAACGATGCAGATGAGTCTTCCGCCGCCGCCAACTTCCCCATGTAATTGAACGCTGCGGAATCACTTTGACATATAGATCATATATTATCCTCGCCTAAATGTACCCATACGCCCCTCCACCCCAAAAAAATCAATCCGTCCCAAAACAAGTAACATTTAAACACCCCTGCCACGCACTAACCGTATGCTCATAATCCACCGGATCGCTCCTATACCCCTGACCACGATCATTCTTCAAAAAGCAATTGCCGCCCCACATCTTCACGGGCGCGGTCAAATTCGCATAGTATGTCACGGCGCGACAGGCTGGGTGGTTGTTGGCGGCGTTCCAGCCATCGCAGGACTCGAGACATGCGGAGAAGGTGTAGACGGTTGTGTGGTCGAGATTCTCCATGGTGATGTTTTGGTTGTAGTAGGAGGGGTGGCCGACTTGGAATTGTTCGCCGCAGGTTTGGGTGTAGGTTGTACCGGAGGGGGAGGTGGTGTTTTGGGAGTCGGTGCAGAAATATTGGGCCAGGCCGGTTGTGCCGGCTGTGACTGGGGAGGAGGTCGTTGAGGTCGGCGTCTGGGTTGCTGTGGAGTTCGGTCTGGACAAACTGGTCAGCTATATTTCAGTCATACGACAGTTCACGGTGACGCACGCGGTTGATTGTTGCTGCTCGTTGGTGTCTTTACTGTTTTGTGATAGCCCTACACCAAGACCAACTCCTAGTCCAATCGCGAGGAGAAGCAGCACCAATCCAGCAATGATCAAGATGAGACGCCTTCGCTTTCTTGAGCCCGGTTTCGATGCGGCTGCTAGCATATGTGTATCTTCTTCTGCGAGAGCGCCCTTCTTCTCACTGGGCGGATCGAAATGTCCTGCAGAGTAGCTTGGTGCGCGGGAGTACTCGTCCGGTCGCGGGTAGTCTTCTTGTGACACAGCATGTAGGCCATCAGCCTCGTTTGGGACCGGGATGAGATCGCTCGCCCCAGGTACAACTTCGGGTGCGTCACTTTCACGAGCCATGCTGACCCTGTCGCTAGACATGTTCATCGCGTAGGCCTGTGACCTCGCCAGATGGTGTTACTGAGGTCGACGGGTATATCTGAGCCAGTCGCAGATTACAGAGAGAATGATCACGGCCGTCAAACGCTCCAAAGTTGTTGTATACAGGGGATAGGTTCAAGGAAGCTTGGAGAAGCGAGCAGGAACTAGACACCTTTTACTCACCTTCGATGGCCGTGCTGAGAGATGGCCAACCTATCAGCCGCATGGCAAGCGTGCAAGCCTCTCCAACTAGTGCTCTGGAATCGTTCCTTTGTCGCGTGGTAGCGGACACCAACAAGCCATCGTGGCGGCGGTTAAAGATAGCGTGGACAGATGGACCCTATGGCACTTGAGTGAATGATTCGAACTTGCTGTAGCAGTAGTTCGTGTGCTTTGCTGCTGGAGGTGCGGCTGTACACAGTCTCTGAAAACGACGGGCCTTGTTTATATGAGCACATCAGGCCCTATCATCTTGCGTGAAGAGATTCTTGGTCAACGTAGCTTCACAGTGGGGGATGTGCTGTCTCTGTGTTCAACTGACCTCTGACTTGCCACAGACTAGTCGCTTCTTCAAACATCTTCTAAGTCATTTTCGGTGTCACTAAAAGGCGCAGCGTGCCGATCGTTGTTATTGAGGCGCTTCGAATGTGTTGTAGTGGAAGACTAAAGGGCTTGGCGGTGCGGCTGAAATGCTGTACTTTAGGGCTCAGGGACGAGATGTGTGCCTGAGGAATTGACCAATATTTTCCTTCGTCTCTCAGACGAGATGATATCGGAGATGCGAAGTTCCGTCGTCAAGTAATGATGATTTTGACCTCACAACACCCCGTCTGCCCACTTCGACATCATGCTCTTGGCATACTCAGGCGCCACCTCACCTCTCTCCTCATCCCTCTTCGCACTTTCCCTCGTCTTGAACGCCTGGTAAAATTCCACTAGCTTCGGAAAGACCTCTGTGACCTGACGGCCATAAACATCCTCCACCATGTCGCCAGAGCCGATGGTCATATCAACTCCGTAGCAGTCGTCCACGAACTCCAGAAAGTTGTAGAGAACGATGTCTGCCATGTTGATGTGTAAAGTCTTCCCTCCCTCAAGCAAAGTCATGTCTCGGTCCTTGAAGAAGCGCTCGACGGTCATCAGGGCTCTGCGGACCCATCGCAGCATTTCTCTTGATGCCTCGGGGATTGAGACGGGTCCCGCACCAGTCCCAAACGTCCTGACGGGATTCCAAGCTACCATTAGCTCTTCTGCCAGAGACATGACTTCGGCAATCCTTGCACGTTGCAGTGGCGTCTTGCCGAGGAACGACCCGTAAGGCTTTGCGAAGCCATATTGAAAGTCGTTGCAGAACTCCTCCAAGAAGTACATGATGGCGTTGGCCTGACGAATGTATATGTAGCCTCTGTCGTCGGCACTTTGATCTTGAGACGGCACAGCCAAAATTGGAAGACTTCCTGCTGGTCGAGGGGCAAGGCTTGTGTCTATGACTTCGTTGCCAAACTTGGGATCCTGGACACGGGCGACTTTGACCTGAGACTCTGGGATACCTTTCTCTCGTAGGTATATGATGACTCGGCGCGGAAATGGCATCCAAGGGTAAGCATAAAGCAGCCATGGCTTTCCGAAGCTGGGTGCAATTACTCCTCCGACCGTTGTCACGGGCTTCGGCGGCTGGAAAGGATTGTAGGCCATGACTATACCTACAATGTGTTGTTAGGTGGACTTTTGAGCCGAATGCTAGTGGTGATGTTCTTTTCTTTGCGATGGGACCAGTATATATATGCTGTGTGATTTCCCGGCATCTTTCCAGGCGACAAGATCTCGGGTACTTCGCAATCAACAGTCGAATTGCTACAGCTCATTGGCTAGAAGATCTCTCCGGCAGTACCTCCCAAGGAAGTAGCCGATGAGCCGGATACGAGTACTATCTGGGGTATCTATCTTGTTATGAGTCCGCTACGTGGTCAATCAAGGTAGTTCGTGTATCGATCCTTTCTTGTTGGGTGTTGATGAATCTTTGTCAGCCTCCAGCTTTCCTTCCATGCTTTCGAGTTCATGACGCTTGACAGTGTCGCCTGGAAGTTCAACGATAGGCCTCGCCGCAAGTTCGTGTTTCATCTGGCCTTCTTGGAGCTCGTGGATGGTGCTAGACATCGGCTCCACGAGCTGAGTAGTTGGGGAGTCCAGGTCTGCCTGTTTCTCGTCGTTCTGGCTATTCGCATGTCGTATCTTTCGCTGGCGCCGTCGGTACAGCAGAAGTAAGATTGTCAGTGCGCCAATGACCATAGCAGCGCAGGAAACTGCGATCCCTGCTATAGCTCCAGGTGACAGTCTTGGTGTATTTGAACTGTCAGACTTGGTCGTCGGAGGGAGAACAGGGACGATCTCTGTGGTAGCATTCTGGTGGATTGCTTGACCAACTGTGAAGGACTTCGTTTCCCAGTCCACGAAAATGTAGGCTTCCTGCAAGAAGGCTCGACCAAGCACGTATTGGAACGCGTTTGCGGAAGCGCGTATTGGAAAGTACCGGGTGCTGGTATTGTACAGTGGGATGCTCGCGTTGAGATCGAACGCTGAGTAGGGCATGACCACATTCAGAGTTGATGTGGTGTTTGTCGTGTCACTGATTGTGAAAGTGACCGACGGATCCTGAGTCGTTAGTTGGCTGTGCGAAGTATCGTTGATAAGGTATAAGTCGGTCGTCGAATCGTAGATGAGTCCAAAGGCATCAGCAAAGAGATCGCAGGAGGCTTGAGGTAGCCACAGGTCGGCAACACTTGAGTCGATTGTGAAGATCGTTGGGTCCGTGCTCTCAAGTAGAGCTCGAGTCCCGCTGAAGGTATTCATACCAAGCATGCTGGACATGGCAACTTGTAGACTCAAGTTGTGAGTTCCTTCGAGTGAGAAAGAGACATTACTCGCAGTGAAACGAGAAGCATCGTAGCCGCCGAGTACAAGGCTCCCCACTGCTTCGTTTGCTGTCGCTAGGTCAGTCTATGCAGACCAATGCAATTGATAGCTGATCTTACCATAATAAGCGCCGGCAGTGTATCCAAAAGATAAGCTTGGAATGCGCAGGCTATCCTTCAAAGAGCTCAGCAGGCTAGGATTGCTGTCACTTGAGGTAGAAAAGTTCGCAGCAGAAATGCCCAGCCCAAGGCTACCCAACCAGTAGTTGGCACTCGAAATGCCAGCAACCGTCTGCGAGTCAATTTCTGAACGGTTGCCTCCAGTAGTGGTGCTCAAGGTCACAGTGTCCCGACCGTACAGGGCTGTGTCAGTAGAGTTGAAGACTGGGTCGTCCACCGTTAACTGATAGATTCCTGTCGTTGACCATGTTGAAGACTCGTTCGTTTCGAATCCTCGACTGGCGCCGTTGTCGAAGGTATTGACGCCACGAAGATCACCGCAGTTGGACACACCAGAAAGTATGCCTTCGCATCCTTGCGGAATCGGTACCCAGACCTCGGAGCTGGACGTGGAAGGAAGAACACGAAAAGCCTGAGGTGGTGTTCCTACTTCAATCAAGAAGGTCGACCAAGTTCCCGCATCGCCGTCCCAACGCCATGTCGGGGAGACCACATACGGAGCGGGAATCGAGCGAGAAGACAACCAGCCCATGACGCCGTGTCGCCAAATGTCTCAAAAAAGCACTCTGGAAGAATGCACTCGTCGAGTCTGCCGGGGTGAAAGGCACGATGGATACAGGAGACTCTCTTCGCCTGCCTTCAAGCACAATTCAGCCATGCTGACAAGCCGAAGAAATGGTGCATCTCGATGCAATCTGCTGGCCAGCCAGGGCCAACGGGATCGGTAACTCCATTGGCTTGTGGCAGAGCCTCGCCCATATTCGCCATGGCATGAGGTCTTCATTCAGCTCAGCTTTAGTTGCACGACATGCTGCAGGCGTCGATAGTTCCTGCAGACGAGGAACGTTGACTGGCGGAAAAGGACGAAGGCGATGCACGTCGTGGAACAGGGGGCATGTAATTTTGTCCACGAGGCTGAAAGACAAAAGTCGTTGTCTCGGATCTGGACTTCACCTCGTGCTCACGACGCGTCCCTCGTCTACACACCCACAACAACCTCGGACCTCGTCAGAGAAAGTATCAAAATGCATCATCACTTTTCCTGCTATGCTGAACATACGCTGGTACGGCCTTCTGTCTCAGTCTCTTACGGTACTCAAAGGCAAAAGCGAGAAACCTTGCGAGCTGAAAATAGGTCTGCCTTGGCAAGTCTTGAGGGTGTGTAGCACAAGGACCGGATCAAGCGAACGATTGCATGTCGGTTACGAATGCTCGTGCTCCGGTGTTCTTTGGGTAAGAGGTGCTGCTGACAGGCACCACTGTCAAGCCATTCGACCCTTGCTCCTGCACAACAGAATGTAGCTGAAAATCACGAATTTGGCACGCCTGTCGCGTATCCGTGCCGGACAACCCAACCGGTGTGAATCAAAGAATTCCGCAGTCCACTCTCCATTCGACCTGGACAATCTCATATTGTATCCGGTGCCAGCTGGGGCTGAGCGACAGAAAACCACATTCGAGGCCAGCCCCGAAGCTGCTGCTGTTCGCATGAGGCCGGTCTGTGTCGCCATACGGCTTGCCTGAGCGGCCGTGGCGATGTGGGATCTCTGTGAGTGTATGCCTCGTCGCTAGTTTCACCTTGGCTCTCCCATTCTGTGAGGAATTTCTCCTTTCTCATCTCTCGTCACTCGCTTCAGAGGGTCCAAGAACCGTTGCCAGGACGATGACGTTGCCCTCATCTATCACGGCGGCTCCATCTTGCGCAAGTTGCTTCTTTGGCGCTACGGAGACCACTCTATATTCGTACACTGCCTATGCTGTTCAGACAGTCAATGTAACCGTTATACCGCATGTCACGACCTTTTCGAACGGTCCGAACATCACCAACTATTCGACTTTGACTCAGACCGAGACGATATACGTGGTAGGGGATAATATCACGGCGACAAACTTGGCCAACGCTACGACTTTCAACAGCCCAAATGACATTACCTGGACAGTCGGTGACGTTACGTTGACATATCCCACGACCTACATTCAATACCTGGGCTTCGCGGGAGCAGCTGGATCGAATGGAGCATGCGCAGAGGACACCGACGCAAAAAGCATAAAGCTTCCTGAGTCTACTGTGGGGGAGTCCTTCATCTACCCGTACACGGACGGTGCCTCGCTGCTGCCGTCTGAGCTGTTGGACTACCTAGGCACGATACCGACCATCACCGAGCAGTTTCACGAGGCGGTGCCCGCGACTTGCGCGCCTCTAACCATTACTCCAGGGCCCATCTATACTACTGTCGACTTTCGACGAGAGGCCAAAAGATATGAGGGTGCCCGCAGGAATGTTACATCCTCTCAATGTGTAGAAGGGGGGGCCAGAACAGTACAAACTGGGTGAGCTCGAGCGGGACAGTACCGTACCAGACAGGTAGTTCAGGCGACGGGTTTGTGCCAACTGGGTTCGGCTCGAGCACTACATCTTATTACTACAGTGTATCACAGACCAAGGGCGTGAGCACACTGCCGATGATCAGTGGCCCAACTAATGACCACACTACCGCCTTTGTGCTAAATACTGTCACCGGAAGAGCCATCGTAGTGCCTGGTGATACTGCAGAGCAAGTCATGGTCGATCCTCAGCCTACTCCGACGGACGATACTATCGAACGGCCATCCTCACCATCCAACGACGATCAAGACTCACCGCAGTCGACTCAGGCGCCGCCGCAACCAAACATCCCCGACCTGATACAAAGTGTAGCTGAGGGGCAGCAAACGGACAACCAGCAAAGCGTGCCTGCGAACAACATTCCGGACATCGTTGCCAGTGCCGCAGCGGCTCAGAAATCCACCGAGGTCCAGCCAGTTGCTTCGCAACCGAATAGCAATGGCCAAAATGGCCAGCCTGCCGCAACTCAAGGGCCAGTCTTTAATGTGGGCAATGCGATTGTGTCCGCTAACTCTCAAGGCAATTTCCAACTTGGCACACAAGTCTTGACACCTGGCCATACACTTAACATTGGATCAGAAGCCTCGCCAACGCCGGCTGCTCTCCGGGATAGTGGTGGTTCTACGCGACTTGTCATTGGCAGCAGCACTTACCAACCCGTTGGTGAGAATGCACCAGTAGTCACGGCAGTACCAGCTGTATTCACAGCCGACGGGCAACCATTCACTGTCATCCAGAACGGGCCTTCACTCATAGTCGCAGGCGGATCCAGCACCCTCACATTACCACCTGGCTCGACCTCATCCCTCGGCGATGTGGAGATCGCGGCGGGCTTGAGCGGCTCTGCAGTTGTTGCGGACGGAAGCACGCTGCAGGTACCGCAAGTCACTCAACCTCCAACAGCTTTGGTTACCGCGGGCGACCAAACGTTATCCGCTTTCCAGAGTGATAGCTCCATCATCCTCGTCGATGAGTTATCAACCATTGAAATTCCTGCAGGCTCCCAAACGATTATCGACGGTCACACTTTCAGCGCTGGATCAAGTGGCAATGCCATCGTTTTCGACGGAAGTACCGTGTCAATCGGAAATGCTGCTTCACCAACGCCTACGGAAATGGTCGTAACCGTAGACGGCAACACTTTTACTGCTGTGGATGAGACAGGCTCTGTCATCTTCAAAGATGGAGGTTCAACGGTCACTGTCAGAGACGGCGAGCAGACGACCTTCGAGGGACAGAGCATTAGTATCTTGCCTGACGGCAATGGACTCGTCGTTGATGAATCCATCACTACAAGCTTTGGGCACTCAGCTACCACGACTGGAGTAGGAGACTACATAAACGGCGGCCTAGAACCAAGTGCCACATCGACAGGGGACCATACTGTGTCAAGTCCAACAACAGCGAATGATGGAGCCCGGATACGTGTAATCACCTCAGCCAGTGTGATTGGCGTAGTGCTAGCCATAGCCCTTCTGTCTTAAGTATCCACAAATGCCAAATAATGTCTACGCTTCAAACGCTCAAATCCCAACGCCACATAGCCAGTCATTCATGACGTCCTCTCGATATCCCTCTTCAACGACTCCTTCCTCGCCTCAAACAATTCCGGAATCCACATGACTCCCCTAATCCTCTCCTCCAACTCCACATAATCATGATTCCCCTCATCAGCGGCTGACGTAACAAGTTCCATCACGAACCACCTCCTCTTGGCCGTGTCCTCGCCCGCCTCCAAAGCAGCGACATACACGATCCAAAGCTTCGTTCTCATGAAGCCTTCCCAGTCGATCTTGTTCTTACTGAGCAGCTCGTGCTGCTTTCGCACGTACGTGCTTGAGTTCAGAGGATGAGCGCCGTAGGTTTCGTAGATCCTGCCGATGACTGTAAGCATGGCTAAGCGCCAGCTTTCGAGGAGGCAGCGACTAGTTTTGTCGAATAGATCGCAAACGCTTTCCAAGGGTCGAAGGGTTAGCAGTCTGTGGGCTAGAACGTTTGTCCAGATGATGATATCTGTTCCTCGAGCTTCGTCTGCTCGATTTTCCTTTAGATGTGCATTTACGAGCGAGCCTAGTCGGGTCAAATCGCGATAGACGCCGACGAGAGGGCATCGAACGTCGTCCTGAAAATCTCCTCTAGTGGTAGCACAGTAGTCGGTCGTCGAGCCGCGGAGGTATTCGGCGACCTGCAGCCATCTCTTGGGGAGTGGCACCGCTGGAACGATGTCCTGCCTGAATGATCCGCGTAGCTCGACCCAAGATGTTGCCGCTCGAAGTCGTGGGTTGACCTCAATCCCTTCGAGCCCGCCCTCTAAGGATTCGATGATGCTGAGGAGACCTCTCCGCTGTGGTAGCCATCGATCATACGCGCCAGCGATCTCAGTGTAGACAAGCAATCCCGTTATGCACCCCAATATATGTGTGCTGATTTCGCCCAAAGCCATCCGCTTTCTAATATTGGAAACGGCCATTTGATGGTAATGCACTGACGTAGCCGTCTCACGAGGAAGCTTGTCTGGGTTCTTGGTGGCCTCGAGGTGCAGCTCTGAGTTGGCTAGAATCTGGTTGAACGTAGCGGGATCATCGAGGCCTACGGAGAACCAGTCCTCTCGATGGGCGTTGAACAGACAATCGCCCTTTTCTCTCCATACTTTAAACTAGTCAGCAAAGCCCCGGTGCATGATAAGAGGCCCTTGCCACATACTGTTCGCCAACAACGCCTTCCCAACCTGGTCCAGCTCCACGGGAATCGGAAAAAACGTATGCACACCACCTCCTCCAATTGCCGGTTTTGGCGCAGGTACAATCTCTGTGGGTGCATTGAAATCCACCAGCACATCAATGGGTACCTCGACAAACCGCGTCTTCTTCGGCTTTCGTCTCGATCGGCCAATGTCCTTCATCGCATGCCGCCTTATGCTGCTAATGGCAGTAGCGTCTCGCATTTGATCGACATCGGAGAAGGTCACGAACTGAAAGCTTGTTGGTCCTTTGGGTGCTTTATTACTTGATGCGGAAGTTGGTCCTTTAGCAAATGCTTTGGCCATGGTTGTCTGTACTGTCAGATGCTGGTGCTGAAGCTGTCGCACGAGTATTTGAGAAGTTGTAGGCTCATCCGCTGCTTCTGCTCTCGTGCCTCTCTGGCCTTTCCAAGGTTCTGTGACTTGTTGTTGGTCCTGTCTTGATTGCCATTTTGTCAGTCGTGGGGCTTTTGGGCTTGTATGGGCCTCGAACGATGAGCTCAGCAGCATTTGTAAAGTCGTCTAAGCTTCGCGCTAGAAGCGTACTAGCCTTATTGATAGAACGGAATTGACGGGCCGATCCACACCACATGCCAAATTGGGATAACATCACGTGATTGACTTGCCCTCTACAACGTACGGTAACGCTGGCAAGAAAGCCAACCTGGAATGCTCTTTAAGAGTCTCATGGGAGCTGAGCCTCCATTCTGCTCCAAATCGGGCCACGTTTCGAGGCTCACTCTCATTGGCCAGCCGGTCATGCACGGAGGATTGTTAATCCGTTCCGCCTCAACGTCACTTCTACACTCCATGTTCGCTTAAGTCCTGCGTCTCTTCATAAGAAACTGCTCATCAAGCGAGCGAGCTTACAGACACGGACACTTCAAGGTTCTCACTCGCTGGCCGACGAGCTCTGTCGGTTTCGCCGAGTTGGTGCTCCTTAGGGCAGCGACGGAACAGAATGGAAAAGGTGTTGACAAGCTTTTGGACCGCGTGCACCTCATTGCTTTCATGCACGAGCTGAACGGACGCGGATCCATCCCACGATGCAAGACAAAGTGCAAGGTACCCGGCCACTCAGGGCAAAGGTCCGAAGCGTCTACAAGAACTCCAGGGGCCGCTGACAGGTTCTCTCTGATGGCTCCCAGTCGTTGCTGGATAGACTGCGGGCACGCCTGTTTAACGCGGACTGCGATCACATGTCATATAGAAGAAATTCAATTTCTTCTGGAATGCTGCTGCATTCTCATCTACCCGCAACTTGGCTCCGATGATCACTGTCGATTTCCTTAGTGATCCTCAGTGAGCTGAACGGCTCGGACAATACATTCTCGCATATTCTAGAGTGACTTACACTATCCAACAACATACTCACCTAGAAAATGATGGGCCGCTCCATGGGAATCAGACGGAGCAGCCCATTACAATGCATTCAGTAGGTCAGCGCTACCAAGGTCTATCGAGAAAATGTTGCTAACACTTTCCCGCCGCGTAGCAAACAACCGAGCCCAGACTGGTGGCCTGAGATCCATGGAACAACTAATACTACGCAGGATTTAGACTGAAGGACGGACAATTTCGTCGATTGGCTGTCTATAGCCACGCCGTGGCTCATGGAATGCACCCGCTGGACAAACTTGTGAGGTCTGGACGTACACATCCGTCTGAGGAGCCCGATAGAGTAAAATCACTATTACTCGGAACTCCAGCCCTCTCATCATATAACGTCGCTAATCATTGTTTAGACGTCTTTTAACCTTCCAGTTTGCGACTGTCAGATCGTGAGGCCGTCTTCTCGAAGAAGGTTCAGCAAAGGAGCAGGCTATTGAAGTTATGTGGCAGCATCACACACGTCTCACGCCACCAACAGTACTACGATACTCTAGGCTGAGCCCAACAGTCGATTCAAGAAGTCACGAGGCCAGAGAGTAGTCTGGCTACAACCACCAAGCGCTGGTGCTAAAAGATGCTAAGCCGAGATCGAGAGACTTCGCTCGCCGTCTCGAAGGCTGCGAAAGCCTCTCCCACTCTGTCACCTTCCCAAATCAGAGTATGATGGTGAACATGCCCATGTTATGAGCACAGAAGCCCAGCGCATCGACTTTGTCCAGTAGTATGACCTGGCACTCTCCGTCTCGACACCACTGCTAACGACTCGGCCATTGCAGACGTGGTTAGACTCGTGCAAATACCTCATCAGCCATTTCGAAGTCAACTGACCACTTTGGCTTCTTCGAGAGCGCCCACAGCCTCCCGTTGCTTCTAGGCGGGTGACCGTGCAGGACTGGCGGCGAGTTGGAATCCTTATTAGAAACCAATCGATGATGATGGCGTATCTACGAGTGGCATCAGATGCAGTCCGAGGCTGGTGAAGGCACGCAAAATGTTTCATAAAAGGAGGGTCGACCATGGGTGGTTTGCTCTCTCATCTCAAGCACCCAGCAGTCCTCAGCAGCAGCCTTCCACCCTCGCAGTCGTTCATCATGCCTTCGCTTTTCAAAGTTGGCCTGGCTACTTTGGCCGCCCTTGTCATTCATGTCGCTGCTGATATCATTGGTCCCATTGACATTGGGCCATACAAAGGCATCACTTTGACGATCTCGAAGGATAACACGATCAACTCCACCAATCCGATCAATTTTGTTGGTGGCAGTACCACTCGCTCAGAAATTGAAAGTATTGGCAGTCTTCGTAACCGGGGTGTGCTGGAAGAGCGTCACAGCCAGGGTGTCGTTTTCAATTTCAACAACTTTCCGTTCGGGGCCTCAACCACGATCAATGCTTACATCTCTGGTATCAGACGGAGCGATGGTGCAATGGTCTTCGTGGACAAGAATGGAAACTGGTAAGTAGCCAAACTGCCTGGCCCCTGAAAATGACACACGAGCATGATGGTCAAGACGACAACTAATACCCTACAGGTACATTCCGAAAGCGACTCCCAACCAGCAAACTGCTATCCCCACGAACAGCATTACCATTCCTGTTCCAACCAATAGCAAGGGAGCTGGATTCAACGTCACCCTACCTGGTGCAATCGCGGGAAGCAGAGTCAGCTATGTCGTAAACGGAACTTTGGCCTTCTTCACGAATGGCGGTTCCAATGGAGTTGCATCCATAGTGATGCCATCTCCCAGCGCTTCTGGCGACCAAAGCTACAACTACTTTGTGCGTAAGATCAAAGGAGAAATGACATCAGCAGCGACTGATTTGTATACAGTGGGGTTTCTCTGAATTCACTTTCAACGGAGGTGGAGATTTGTACATGAACCCGAGCGCCGTTGACTTCGCAGGTGAGTAGTCTCTCCCCCACAAAGTTCTGTTTCCTCAACACTGGCTCCCATAAGGCTGCCCAAATACCTTTCTGATCTATAACACTACGGGAAAGTACGTGGGCGGCGCCAACGGCCTTGAAGTTGACGCCGCGACCACGACGTCGAAGAATCTTGCAACATAGGCCAGCAAGGACGGCCAGCCTTGGGACAAACTAACCGTTAAGAACAACAAGGGGCAACTCGTTCGTGTTCTCTCACCAAACACTTACCGTGGTTTCGATAACAAGAACGGCAACGCCTTCAATGGCTACTATGAGCCTTACGTCAACCAAGTCTACTCGAAGTACACGAACGGAAACAACCTCTTGCTGTACACCAATGCCGGGACTTCTAGCTACAGTGTAACCAACAACCAATTGAACTGCTACGGAGACAACCAAGGTGAGAGTTTCTAGCCAAGACTGTTCCGCCTGGTATAAACGCTAATGTTTGGTTCTCTCTTGCAGGATATCCCAAGCCCTTAACAGCCGATATCTTCTCCTGCAACACCGGTCCATTCGGAAACATCACCCAGTACAACAACCAGCATCAGGTACATCATTCATCCCTAAAGCCTTCAAACGATGTACTTACTAACGCTCAGCCAGCAAAACGTCCCAGTCCTCTGTTCAGCTTTCGTTCGCTCCATGCTTCTCGTCAGCGGCAGCCAACCAGCAGGTCCAGTCCGCCAGTACTACCAGAACACGCCCACCGACTGGTATTCATACTACGCACACAACGCAAGCTTTAGCGGCATCGGCTATGCTTTCCAGTTTGACGACACCAATGCTGCAGGTACTGCGGACCAGTCGGGTACTGTACACGCACAGAATGCTGCCTTGGACACGCTGCTGATTGGCGGTTTTGGCTGGGGTGGTTATGCTCCTGGCCAGTATGCCTAGATGCAAGTGATGGAATAGTGTGGTAAGGGGGAAAAGCGTTGAGGCTGGGACGCTCGTTTCGGACACGAAGAACGCTCATTAAAGATGAATGTGAAGAATGCAGGACCTTGGATCTACGAGGCCAGATACGTCGAGATGTAGAAAATTGAATACTCATTGAAGCTGCACAAGCCGCTATGATTGAGCCCGATCGCCTAGTCATATGACTTCTACAAGAGCAGCGAACCAAGGGCCAAGCCCCCGATCAAACTGAGTAGAGCATCTCGCCCACTTCTCTCCCCCAGAGCAGACGCAGCCGACGATGACGACGAGGATGCAGGACCGGACGAAGTCGCTGACGGCGCCGTACTAGACGTTGAAGTACCTGAACCTGAAGTGGGTCCAGATCCGCTAGCATTGCTGCCACCAGCGTCACCCGTGCTGCTACTATTACTGCCTGTGATGGCAGCCTGCCTCCTAACGACCGGGTATTGATACGTCCCATTCAGCAACTGCTGCTCAGCCCCATACCACCTCAACAGAGCTGTGATGTTGCCGCCTCCTGGGGGACCAGGAAGCCAATTACTAGTCCAGTTGGACGGTGGCGGGTTGTCGGCAGCTTGCACGAGGACCTGGAATGGGCCATTTGATCGCGACGCGTTACTCCCGTATACCAAAGAGCCATCAGGGTAGGTGATGTTGCTTCTGTCACCAATTGCGTAAACGTTGAGGTCGTTCGGGATGAGGTAGTTGTCGAGGTAGGCCGTCAAGCTCCAGAAACCGAGTGACATGAGCGGTGGCTTCGAGGAGAATGTGTAGATGATCGCTTCGTCTCGGCCAAGGCTGTAGCCTCCCACGCCTGCCAGACCTCCTGCTCCCTCAGCACTCGAGCTGTTGGCCCATGAGGGATAGACTGCGTTCGGATTGCTGAGCTGAAGGAAACCAGCAGAGGCAATAGCGGCACGGTAAGTATAGTTCGTGCCGTTGTCAAAGTTGCCGGCTAAGCCACCAGGTTTGGTGATGCTCCAGCCATTATTCAGCACGAAGTTATTATCTGCCGCCGATGCAGCTCTTGTTGCTGTTTGAATCGCAGAGCTGTTCGCAGAATCGATGTCGACTCCAGAGGGCCTCGAATAAGTTCCGTTCGATATGCCGCAAGCCATAAGCATAGGTTTAAGTTCCCGCGCTCCGGCTTCGGTCTCTGGCTGGTCGAAAGGTGCATATCTTGCCAGCAATCGAAGAGCTTTCTCAGCCGGGCTCGTTGCATTGTCGATGGAGATGGTGTATGAGCCCAAGGATGTGATGTTAGGAGCATTTCCCACAACCGTTCTGTTCACATGGCTGAGTGAGGTCTGATCCTGAAGGTCATGTACTGTTTTCACATTACTGGCATTGACACCCCATCGAATCAACAAAATCCCGTAGGTGGTTGGACTTAGAACGTCCGCCACTGACTGATTGGACGATCCATTCCCTGTCGTCTGGACTCCGAACTGAAAAGTTCCATTCTGAGGAGCCCGAATCCGATACTGGCCAGAGCCGTTCACATGTCCAGTGCCGGTATTCGCATAGTTGTCGCCAAACACATCGTAAAACGAGAAAAGTGCATACTGTGACGATGGTATATCAGGGACGGTGAGTGCCAAGTCGGTTTGGCTCAGGTCGAGTACAGCTGTCGAATACAGCGTGTCGACGTTCGGCTTGACTACTGTCCTGTTGTCCGGCGTCGAGAGCTCGCGGGAATGATAGATGAAATTGCTGACGTTGTATGTCAGGAAACGATTGGCAAGCTGGTGGAAGGCTAGCAGTGGGTATCCATAAGTCAACGCAAAAGCGGTGGCATTTTGGGGTGAGGTAGAATTCTGTGCAGAGATGCAAGGCAGCAACAAAACTACACCAAATTCGATTCTCATCTTGCGATACCTGTCGCAGTAGGTACAGATGTTCACGAGAGGTAGAGAAGAGAGTGCTCAGGATCCTTGAGAGCTTCAAAGAGACCAAACTTGCCATGGTGCGGCTCTTGAGGTCATTCTGCACCACCACTACTGCATGCTAGCAAGCCTCCGCACGGTTAGTGTATTGCTTGTTTCTCCCGGAGAGAGGGACTCTCACGATGAGCGAATCACGCAATTCAGTAAGTGATCGGCATTGCATTTACCTGTTCCTCGTTGTGGCGCCCTGGACCGAGGCCGTAAAAGGCAGGAGATAGGAACATGCGGGGGCAACGTACTGTGAAAATGTGTTAAGTAGAGTAGTCTCTTCTGCCTGGTAGAAACATCACTCTCGGTTCGGAGTGTTGTAGCAGTCCGCCACGCATCCCGTGGCTGTTGAGCAGTCTCCTTCTGCAAATCTCCTGCCTGCTCGGCACTCAACGAAATGCCTTCGCCGTTGTTCTCGTCTCTTCATATATCGTCACCTCAGGAGCCAGGCCCTTTGCTGTTCTCAAGTCGGCGCCGAACTCGCCGTGGTTTCAATGCCCTCAGCGGCCTCATAAGTTGTGACCTTCCAATTCCCGTCCCGACCCCTTCGAAACCTGAAGACAGCGACACTCGGCTTCGTCACTCCCAGAGGCAGCCCACTAACTTCTAGATTCATGAAGACCGTAGCCGTTCCGGCTTCCTCGTTGACATCCGTATCCATGTCGAGGATTTTGAGTCGGTACGAGTCCTCGGTAGACGCGATCATGTTTTTCAGATGACCCATGAATTGGCGGAAGTCCAGTGGAATCGGATCATAAGGATGCGTCGGTATCACTGTGAAGCTTGGATCGATTACGCCACGCCAGATGGGATGGTCTGGGTCGAGCAAGCGTCGGTCCAAGGCGTTTTCCCAAGCCCGAACCATCCTGGATGACACTAAGATCAGTACAAACCGGCTATAGGAAAGTGAACGTTCAGTACGTCTCGAGATAAGTCGCAGTAGGGGGCTTGTTCTTTGACTTCGTCCTGCCCGCAGCCATTGAGACAGCGAACGGGTCATCGCGGCTGGGCGCCATCGTTCACGTGGTGGAGTCAGTCGCAATGCGCTTTTCGATTGGTATGGGTGGCGTCGTTCGAATCGAGACGAACGTTCTGAAAGAGCTGGAAACTGACAAGCTCAATAAGGTCAATGTCGAGGCGTTCGTCCTGGCTGTAGCCGAAAGCTATATACCCGGTGTGGAAGATCGCTGATCTTCTAGAACGATGGCTAGGGATCTGGCGGGTGCCCGCATGGAATGCCTGCAAGACATCGTTCATGACTCCATTGGTCCATGAACTAGCTTGGAAAAGCTCAGGGGTCTTGGGAGTTGATAATGCAATACCGGCAGCTGCTGTCAAAGTGAGTCGGAAGTCGGGATTCCCAAATGATTGTTTCACATATATCATGCACATGTAAAGCGGGTTCTCGAGTTCCTGATGCGTATCCCGTAGAAGCTCGGTGAGTATTCTGTCCCCGTTGAGTGAGTTCGCGAGAGAATGCGAGATAGTCACCCCTGCTCAGCACAGTTCGTCTGTCCAGGGTGACCTGAACAGGTTTGCTGGCAGCGGCGGGGATAGTTGCAGCAGATAAGGGAGGAAACATACACCAGCAGTTCAAAGGTTCGAAAGCTGATTATTGGGATGAGGGTTCTCGTGGCCCTGGACGTATATTGGATGTCAAAGCCTCACGTGCATGTCGTGCATGTTCTTTGACGGAAAGTTTGACAGTCATAACTTCCAACAGCTCAGTCTTGCAAGACCAGGCGGTCTATCTCGTCCACAAGTCGGTCGATCAGATGTGAGGCGACCTCTGTATCCTTGGCTTCAGGGCCGCTCGACGAGAACATCATCCCAATTGCACCCAGCCAGCCCTTCGCATATTGGACAAGAGATACACGGCCGGTCTGCTTCGGCACTGTGTAGATAGGTGGCCGTGGAGCTTTGGGTATCTTGCGGAGGAACCAAACGTAGTGGTTACATTCTTCGAGCCAAAATGCGGCATCCTGAGTTGCAAATTGGACCTCGAGCTTCAAGCGGTCAATCTGAAGCTGTTGTTGGGCAATCAGGCGCTCCATCTTGTTGATTTCCAACGTTGTTGTGGGATTAATCAAGCCGTCAATGCTAGGGACCAAGTCGCTCTGTGTCGCTTTGATGGTGACAGGAGCTGCTTCGACTTCCACACCAGCAAGTTCAAATCGCTGTTTGCGGAGCGACATGAGATCCTTGTGGAGAAATTCGAATCTGTTCTGCAACCTCTCGCAAGCGGATTCAGAGAATCGCATAGATTCCTCTCTCAGCGAGCCAGTGTCTACCTCATCCAAGCTGCCAATCCCGCCGTTAAACTCGCCACTCAGAGCAGGATTGGAAGCGGCAGGTCGTTCCAGGCCTGGGATTGGCCGATCTCTTCGATCCAGTTCAGGGACAAGATCGTCAGCCGACAACATTTGCACATCGTCCATTGATTGAGTGCGTGTGAGTGAGTCAGATTGTGCTCCAGCTGAAGTGTGTTTTCGCAGCACATGCCTGGTGCGGTCCTTGGGGTACAGGAAGCGTTGGCCACAATAATGGCATTTGTACGGCCGGCTGTTGGCTGCCATGTGATTTCTCTCGTGATGGCGTAGGTCGCTTGGCACATCGAACACTCGATCGCATTGTGCGCAGGGGTAGGCGCCGACAATTCGCTGCCCCCGACGACTACTCGAGGACGCCGCGCTGGCCATTGATTGCAGGCTGGTTGTCGAATCATGCCTTGGCGCAGCTTGGAAAGGGGTCTGTGTGGTAGTCGTTGCCAAGTTTGACGATGATTCTGAGACAAGCGCATTGTGTTGAAAGTTGAGGTTATCCGTGAGAGGTCCATTGTTCAGAGGAACTTGCTGGTCTAACCACCCTTGAAGAGGATCACCAGGAGCACTCGACAAGCCATAGCTGTCAACTCCATTGTGATGAGGTTGGGGGAAATGGTCTTTGCCCAAGTCGTGGTCACCACCCGAGGCTAAATCCCATGTCAACAGGTCTTCTGTTGTGAAGTCGGCATCGTCGAAGTCAAGTGAGAAGTTCGCCATAATGGTCATATAGCTACAGGCATGGGCTGACAAGAAGGAGGTCGTAAAGTCCCCAGCACTGTGGAGTGCAGCAGCTATATGGAAGCGATTGGTCTCAGCCGCCGACAGCTGGAGAGGCAAGGGCGGCCGGGCGCAGCTGCATCTTGCCCCCCGCTTAGCCTCGACAGGTGCAGCTTCAATCGACAGCCTGTCGAAATCGACGACAAACTTGATTGAGAATTCACTGATCACCTTCGATCAGGGCCAGATTTTCTAGGTCATTCAGAAGGTAGTCCAATGCCTCTGCAGTCCGGTCTGGGTCGTCGAGTGCATGTTCGTTCTTCTCAATCTTGAGAAGGGCTTTGATCCCAAGCAACCACCCTTTGGCACGCTGTTTTGGCGATGTGCGGCCCATCTCATCGTATTTGAAGTATAGCAACGGCGGCTGGCGTTGGTGATCATTGCTGACAAGCTCTGCGAAGTAGTTCCGTTCAGCCAGCCAAAGCCCAGCATCGTCTCGAGCAGCTTTCAACTTCATCACGAGAGTCTCGTTTGATTCGGAGATATGAGGGCTGACTTCAAAGGTCGACCCTGCATCAAATGCTTGCGAGGCAGAGTGATCGATAGCCTCGTCCGGGGTCGTGAATTGATTGGCATTGTTCGAAGTTACGGTGCCGCACTCACGTCCATTCAAGTCCTGCTGCGAATCATGCGGCATGCCATGCTTGCGACGCATGTGCCGTACCAAGTCCTTCGGGTATAGAAAGCGAACCGTGCATACAGAGCAAGCATACGGACGGTCGTCCTTCGATATATGCTTCCTCTGATGATGTCGTAGCTCGCTGGGTACGTCGAACGTGGCAGCACACTCGTCACAGCGATAGCCACGAACAATGCGAAGCCCACGTTTGCTGGAGACTGATACAGCACTGTCCATCGAGTGCATGCTTGAGTCTGATGCCTGATGGGAAAGGGTGTGGTGCCCGTGAGGCAGGGGAGCCAGGCACGGAGAGGGGGGCATTGATGGCGTGGGACCTAACGTGGACGGCGTGTTGTCTTGATTTAGAGATGTCGTTCTCGACAAAATTATCGAAGATCCCCCAGAGTCCACGGGGATAGTCTCAACTGGCGGAAGCGACTCATTCTCAGCAGCGCACAACTGCGAGTGCAAGTCACGATTTCCTGTGGAGCGTTTTGGACCGCGGTGGCTCGGCTCAGGAGAGCCCTCGAGCAATTGGGCCTTCTCATCTTGAAATATGGCTGGAGCAGTCGTGTCTGACAGTTCGCAGCTTTCATCGGCTTGAAGAATATTTTCCAACTCCGGAAACAGCGGCAGATCGTCAAGGTACCCATCAGAGGGTAGTTCAACAAGATCATTCCAATGCGTTTGAGCCTCGAATGCATCCGTACCCAGATCAAGCTGCAGATCGATGGTGTCTTCCATGTCTTGGCTTTTCTTTGAAGCCAGGAAAGATGGTGCAATGGCAGCCTGTCTTCTCACGGAAGGGCAGAGAGGCAATCGCAATGCCGCCCACAGTCCGACCTCCAAGTCGGCGGCCAGACTACACCAAAATGGGCCTAGCTCAATCTGCGTGCATGAATGTTTCTGCATGAGGGCGGCATGAGCACGCATCCTGTCGCTTGCTTCACCGGTCATACATGAGGCCTTCGAATCATAGTGACGCTTCCGCTTCATCTGAGATTTACGGCAATTCCAGTCCTTCGACGTCTTTTGATAGCTGCACCAGAGCTCGATCGGTAGATTGGTGCTCTTCGCCACAAGCCTTCTTCTTAACCCCAACAAGAATGCCAATGGCAACGAGCCACGCCCTCGCTCGTCGTTGGACGGACATTTTGTTCTCTGGTGGGGGCTTGTCGTCGGCTCCTGTAGGCTGCGTTTGACGCTGCTGCTGGTCTTCGTTATCATCGAATAAGAGCCTGATCAGCCTGTTGCGTTCTTCAAGCCAGGCGATTGCATTGGCCCTCACTCGCTCGAGCTCAGACTCAAGTTCATCTTTCTGATTCGTTAAGAGCTCGATCTTTGGGCATACCAAGTCGAATCCACACGCGAGACACTCGCAAGCGACGGGGTCGTTCCGCTCAGAACCGAGCGATCCCGTCGCCTTTCTCTTCTTAGACACATTTTGCTGTTCTGTGATGGCCTGGCCACTCTGCAATTGCGGTAACAATGAATCCCCTAAATTGACAACTTCGGGGGCTGCAGCACATCCAGACGTTGAGGAGCTGATCGCGCTCTGTGCAACTGTACTTGCCAGCGCGTGTCCAGCCTGGAATTCCTCATGTTCCTGAAGACGCGACTCCAAGATCTGATTTATGAAGGACAAGTCTCCTATATTTTCTTCCAGTTCTGTCAGACGATCAATCGCTTTGGCCAGAATCTTGGCTTTACCCGGGTTTGTTGCGGTGCTCTCTGCATTGTCTACAGCCTCTCGCACACCTCCCAGTCTGCGTATCTTTCGCCGAAGCTTTTCGAACTGCTCGTTGAAGTTCTGTCCGATTCGTTCTTCAACGGCATTGTGGGCAACGCTTTGAAGAGAATGGCCATTCTGTGCGTCTGCGGACGGAGATGCTGGCGCAGATGATTCCTGACGGGAAGCAGAAGAATCCGGAGGAATCGGTTCGATCTCGACGGTTGATTTGGGGCGTAGGCTGCTCATATGTCCCGTCGAATCCGAACGCCGCCCACGATCGGGATCCGTGCGCGTAGACAACTGCCCATCGCTCCTGAGACATGTCAAGCGGAGCCGTGCGCATCTGCCGCATGGTTGCGTGAGATCGCCCGTACATCTGGCTTTGAATCGGCGACATATATCGCAAGCGGTCGATTGCTGACCATGTCTACGGTCTAGGTGCCTCCTGAGGTCCTTCGGATAAAGGAAGCGCTCTCCACAATTCTGAACAGTGCATGAGTGCGGCAGCTGTTCCTTTGGGATGTGTTTCCTCTCATGCTGCCGTAAATCACTTGGCGTGTCGAATGTGGAAGAGCACTGCGTGCACTGATAAGCACTGACAAGTCTTCGACCTCGACCGAGCAAGTTAGATGACTCTTCGAAGCGGCTATATTGAGAGCCCAAGCTAGAGGCCGAAGTTTGGCGTGAGAGAGCTTGTGTGGATGGATCATCGTAAGGTGACCACGGCGTGGCGCCAGAAGCATTGTCGAGTGGACTTAATGGACGTGGATGTTGCACCGCCGCAGGAGTCAGAGAGTTGAGTATCGAAGGATGGGGAAGGTCCCAAGTAGCTTCGTAGTCGTTGGCATTGAAGTCCCAGTCAAAATCAAGGTCGTCGAGGTGCGACTGGAAGTTAGCATCCATGGCTTCAATGTCGTAACAACGTGGACCGTCGCTTGATGACGGACCGCGAAAGCCCAGCGCGTATTTCAATGATCGTTGTTCCCAAAGGCCGCCGCCGACGAGTCCTCCAAGCCAGCGGCCACCCAGCGGCCTGTGGCGTGCCGCTAGTGCGAACAGAGGTGCCTGCATACGCCAACACCCTCTCCAGACATAAGAGAAACGGCACGAAGGCCCTTCAGTTCAAAATCTCTCCCATTTTCACGTCCAGACTAGAAGCGCCTAATGCTAAGCGCTAGACACATATGTACAGAACAACAAGCCGAATCGTTGTGGCAGGATAAGTACACAAGTTTTTAAACAACAAGAGAGCTTGTCCAACTCCTTCCCAATGACGATGCAAGACTCGCTGTGATCAGTTCCGTTGCTTTGACTTCCTCTTCTCTGGCGACTTGGCCATCCTTAGCACTGCGTTGAGAGGCTTCTATACTCTCAATCTGATGCTGCGGTTGATGTTCTCGAAGACGCTTTGAATGAATCCTGCGATGCCACCTGGGGAACTTGACGGGTAGCCTCCTGGATTCTTGGTTAGCAAAATGCATCGTCTTATGCTTGAAGCTAGGCCACACTCACCCTTCATCGCCTTGTCTGCCACCAACGCGATCAATGCTGCACCAACACCACTGCCGTCTTTTGCGATGCCAATACGGATCTTCTTCTCGCCCTGCGGTCCAATTTCAGGGATCTCCTGCAGCGCTTCGCGAATGTACTCTTCGAAACGAGGGTAGAATTCCACCAAGCTACCATCAACACCAATATCGACAATGTCATCTTCGTTGACCTCGAGCGTAGCGTTGTTGGTCGTTGCGATCTCAGCTGGCTTCTTGAGGGCGTTCGTAGCAAGGACAATGGCTGCGATTGCAACAGCAGACAGACGAGCAGCACGCTTGCCAATGGAAGAAGCAATGAGGCGTACCGCTTCAGCATCTTCTGCCGAGGCTGCTGTGACACCGTACTCTTTGTCAAGAGTTTGTCTGGTCACCTTCAGGCCGGCTGAGTTGTCGCCTGAAGTAATGGACAGAAAGCTGGTATCCAGGCCCCATTGCTTGTAAAGCGGCGAATCTGGTGCGACGTTTGTTGTGCTGTGGACATCGTTCTGGTTGCTATCCTCGTCGCTGAAAAGTGGCACGGCCTTGTCGTTGAGGAGTTTGATCAACGATCGTCGCAGAATCTCACCCAGGAACATGCCGCTCACTCGCTTCTCAAACATCTGGATGCCTGGATTCACGCTCTCTCTGTCGAGGTCGCGATCGTAGGATGTGTCGGGCAAGACAGACATGTGGTTATCGAAGCTACCCCATTCGGTGTTGATGATCATCTCGCCGGTGCTTGTATCGATGTCTCCTGCCGCGGCACCCATCTTCTTGAGCTTGGTGACCTTCTCCAACTTCTCCACGTAGGCTCCATTGGTACCTGTACCAAAGATGGCTCCCAGCAATGTCCCAGTCTTTCCAGGCGATGTGTATGATCTCGCCATGAGCGTACCAACCGTATCGTTCACCAAGGCTGCCACACGCACCGGCAGGCCTAGCGCATCGATCTCCTGCTGCAGTAGAGCGCAAACATCCTTTCCAACAGTATCATGAATATCGAAACCCTTGGTCCACCGAATGAGTGTGCCCTTGTTGATACCGCTCTGTTGTACTGGAAAACTGAATGTGAACCCCAAGCTGAAGACATCCTCCTCTTTGTCGCCCGTCAAGACACTGCTTCTCCTCTCCTTGTGACTCTGATACTGCTCTCCATGGTGTGTCTTCAGAAATAGCTCGATCTGCTTCGCCAAGAAGCTGAATAGCTCATGGCTCGTCTTCGCAACCATCAGATTCTTAGGAATCGCAACCTTGCTCTGCGTGAGAGAGAAGGTACTGTTTCCATGCAGCTGAATCGAGCAGACGCGGAAGTTTGTGCCTCCAAGATCAACAGCCATGTACAGACCCTTCTCCGTACCGTTTGGAACAGCCGTCACATAGGTAGGAATCTGCGACATTGTTGCGCCAGTCTTCTCGAGTCCTTCGTCCATTTGGCGAATGAACTCGTGTACGCCGCGATTCACATCTTGCTTGTTGTACTCGAACTCGGTGGCGACGCGCTCGGCGGCCTGGGCGAGAGCCATGCTGCGTGGGCTTTGGTTGTAGAGGCTCCCGGGTACGTGCGGTGGTGCGCGGCAGTAGAGCTCTTGGACGAACGCGTTCGGCGAGGGACAGCTCGGAGGCGGTTGCGGCGGGTAGGAGCTGCGAAAGAAGAGCAAGTTGCTGTATGGCAGTGGTAGGATGAACTGTAAGACTACTAGCGAGAGGAGGACGACGAAGGTGACCAGAGTAGCAGGCTCGGTAACGCGGTCGAAGAGCTTGGCTGCGAAAGTCCTCTTGCTGCCTCTGAGTTCCCTCAAGAACGGAAGCTCCTGGGCTTCCTCGTGCACCGGCGCAGGCGGCGGAGCTGAATAATGTAGTCGAAGAGCCTCGCTGGGCTGAGCGGGCGAAGAGTAGGAGCGGTGATGGAGTTTGGGTCTTGCCAGTGTTGCGGCTATGGAAGTCGACAGGAAATTGTTTCACGAAGCGTACGGCATACACGAGGCGACAAGACGGGGCGGGTGGAGAGAGACGAGGAGTGGGCGAGTGAATGGGTGTGGATCGTGGGCAATCAATTGGGTCTCCACGCTGACCGTTGCACAGGTGGAAGCGCGAGAAGACGAAGAGCTGCCGATGATCTTGGAGCTCCCATCACTCCTCCTCATCATCCCCGCATTCACTTGCATATTCTAGACTACCAGCCACGTGCTCTACAGCCTCTATCCAATGCACTCTGCGGTCCGAATGCTCTATGGTTCTTGTACTTCGTGAACGTCTGCATTTCACCAGCAGGATCTGGCCATTCTGCTTCCCCATCATCGTTTCGTCACAGCTCCCAAGACCCGTCTCGAGTCCACAACCCGAAGCAACTCCACACAGTTAGTCGCGGCGCTTTTGCGGCGGTACGGCAAACTGCAGGCTTGACGATCGATGCATCAATGGGATGCGACAGATGAATGAATTGATATGTGGTTTTGAAGCCGTTCGCACAAGCTTCAATAAGACGTACATACTACCCCCGTCTTCGAGTAGAGGGAGTGGTCCTGGCCTTTTCCGATCCAGTTGCTTTGCTCGCCCCTGCGGCTTGCGAGATGGCCTTCTTGCCGCTGGGCTCCAACTTGGTCTGAGTTGTCTGCTTGCTGCTAGGGCTGTTCCAGTAGTACACCATCTGGGCCGCGAGGATAAGATTAAGCACGAAGCCGGAGAGAAATCCGTACAGGATAAGCTTGTCATCAACCTCCTGGAGAGTCGTGAATACACGAGCCAACGATCCGGCGAGATAGTTGAAGACCTATAATTTATCAGCATGTGACAGAGCCTCACCCCAATTATTGGACTTACAGCAAAGGCAGATAACTGCCCCGTTCCGCCCTGTTGAAAGATTGCAACGATCTGAGGAAGCTTGCTCGCAACACCCAAAAGCCCGGCTCCTGCCTGAATGTACTGCAATGTACCCATGGGGACAATACTGTCATTGTATAGCGCGTATCCTGCCCCTGCAAGTCCCGCAACGAAAACCGCTGCCGCAGGCCCTTTGCCCGAGTATTGCAATACCAGTACACTGATCGCCACGTTTTGAATCGCAATCAACGCGATCTCGCCATAAGTACTGAACGGAAATTGGTTCCGAACATTGTATACCAGTGTCACGAGATAGCTTGCGGTTTCCAACAAGTAGGAGAGAAAGCTTATGCCTTCAGCCGATTGCGAGTTCAGGAGCTTGAGAAGTTGCGGGATCTTGACGATCGAAGAGGCACCGATTATGGCGATGCCCAGGGCTTTGGAGATGGCGAGCTTGAGGCATTCTAGGTCGGAGAGGTTGATGTTGTAGATTAGGGACGTGTAGCATCGGTCGTCGCCGAGGAGTTGCTTCGCCGCGTCGCTAATAGGCTTAGGGAGGTTGTTTGTGATCGGTTGGAGGATCGGACGGAGGACCTGTTCGAGGGCTTCCATTTTCGCGTGTCGGTTGATTGATTTATTCGTCGTGCAAAGCTGTATTCGAAAAGTAAGAATCAAGACAGCTGTATCCCGTGAGCCAGGACAGGGGTATCCACCTCGCGCCGGGAGCTGCCGAAATGTATAACTTTCTTTTGCCGACCTCACGTTGCAACCCTCCTTCCTCTCGCTGAAGGTATATGACCTCTTCTGTTAACAACTTCTTCGAGAGCTTTGCCCAGTGGACATGAAAGAGAAATTACTTTGGAACAATGACACTAAGTCCAGTCGCGATGCGGTTAAGACACTATGAGCCTCCATATGGCAAAGGATCGGACCACACGATAGGCCGACCTTGCCTCTTCATCGACCACTTGTAAGCAAATACGAAAGCAATGCCCAAGATTATCCCTCCGCCTACACCAGCGATAAGCCCTATACACCATTTCATCTGCTCCGATAAGCCTTTCCTATGTCGGGTTGCTCGCTTCTCCAAGCTGAGGTGTCCATGACTCTTTTGTTCTGCTGGCCTTGTGATATTGACCGGCTGACTGTGAACGCTAGTAGTTCCATTTGAGAGAGTGAAGAAAAACACTAAATACCAGGTGAGTGACGAGTCGATTGCGAACATCGTTGGATGTGGTGGCTGCTTACCGTAATCTAGTGGGTTAGATGAAAGAGTGAACACATCTGTGACATCCGAGGCATTCCACGAGAGGTGCATGAGTCCAGTAATCGGGCATTTCAGGCATCTCCTGGTCATTGGATGCGACTGCTGCGTTATTTCGAGAACCCACCCCGTCACATCCAGATCCTTCGACCATTGTAGAACGATGGTGCCGTCGACTCCATGCAAATCCTTCGAAGAGAAGTCTGAACTCGGGAATAGACTTGCTTGCGGCGGGTTGATCCACTCGTATGCCGCTAAGGTCGACTCGAGCATCACAGGGGCCAACCACGGAAGTCGCATTGTGAAGCCTCTCCAATTTCCGCCGCAGATCTTTCCGCAGTGCACAACTTTGAATGCTGGTGCTAATGTGTTGCTGTTAGATCACATTTCCAACCGTGACCCGCCCGACCTTCGGCCTTCTTTGTCCGAGATCGTCCTCGGCAGGATACAGATTCTTTATTTCGGCTCTTCCTGGGCACGTGCATTGTAGTATTGGTCTTTTCCGTCTTCGCAGATCCCTCTGACCAACTTACCGCTGCGAATCCCGAGAACAGAAATTCGATTTTCTGAAGAGTCAGGTCCTTGTATTTGCAGCGAGGCGAGAATCGAAGTCAAGATCGAATAAGGAAGAGGTTTATGTTGTAGCAAGGCATTTAACACTGCGCAATGTCAAGGCTGAGATGATGATGGAGTATGGTCTCCTAGTGTAACAGACGACAGAAGGGGCTAACGAAATGGCCGTACAGCGTCTAGGCATATTCGAAGGCTATTTCGTAATGTATGATCAGTCGGTTGTAGGTGTTTGGATCAATCGAATGTCTGAAATCTCCAGTCACGGCAAAAACGAATGACTTTCCGAAGTGCTCAGACGCTGTTGGTTTGACCGGGCCTTTCCCGGTCAAGTCGACACCCTAGTAAGCCTGTTTGAAATCCATCGAATACCACAAGAAGAAACAGGCCGTTCGAATGGGAGTTTGACACGTCCACAGTAAGATTCTAATCTCGAACATAATCATGCCGGAGTCTGGCGCTTCGCGGGCGGACACGAGGTTGAATGTCTTCATACTGCCTCCCGTGGATTGATGTTCGTAGATCGAGGAGAAGTGGACTGGTTCAGTGGGTGAAGCAGGCTCCAATCCCTCCAAATATAGATGTTGCCAGGAGCTGGTAATGGTGTTACTGAGGCGGAAATCGAGGCAGAGTGACCATTAGCATTGCAGGCGGTGTGTGAAAGTCGTGGTCTATTTAAAGGTTGTAAAGTTTAGTGGTCGCCACGGCAACGAGGGTCGTGCCGTCGCGGAGGTCCACTCTTAAAATCTTTCGTTTAAAGTCTCTCTCCAGCGTTAACACATCTACTGTAGCCTGCTACGTGCTACATGTCAGTTGGTCGTTCGACTAATAAGACAGAACGATCTGCAAGTGTGGTCACACGAAAAAGCGTAGATGTTCTTACTTGGAAGGGAAGAAGCTTGCTACAGCTGTGGGATATTTCAAGACTATGTAGCTAGCTTTGAGGATGACTTGATGCCGTCAGTGAGCTCAAGATCGTACTGGCTTGAGAACAATTCTTGAAGATGTTGTATTGGAGATAATTGTGGCATCTCACAAGATGCACTGAGTAGGAGGCAGGCCTGCTTTGTCTAGTCCCAGCAATATAAACAGCGACTGTTCCGCGCTAGCGAGGCAATGCCGCCAAGGCCCCTGGCGCTTCTCGACTTTGACCTTCACGCCCAATCCACGCCTCTCATTGTCCTGCAGACAGCTCCTCCCCAACAATGGCGATGCATGATTCTCGCATCTTCTCGACGCGATAAGCGCGTGCAGCTTCCGCGCTGTTGTGAATAATTCATGCGCGACCGTAACCGCCGCGGAAGTCGCGACTATTGTTCTCACAATAAGTAGTAGGCGAGTCTGTCTCTCAGACCGACCTCACGTCGTGCACAAACACAGTGCTAACAGCTACGCAGCCACGACTAGAAGAAGCCCGACCTTGCGCATCGCTCTCATTTACCCCTCCGACCCGCATAAACATTTACACGACGGACTCTTCGACATACGCTTCGTGAACACACTGCAGTGAAGACGACGGAGTGGTCCGTGCGTCCCGCTTGCCACTTCGTCGTTTGCACGGCAAGCCCAGTCCGCTGGACTTATGGCGCCGCTTGAACACGGACAAGTTGTCATCAATCTCTGCGATGATGACGATGACCTTCCGCCTCCGAGGAAGTCTGCCTCTACACACAAAGCAGTCGTGAATCGGCCAAAGGAATCCCGCCCGCACCCCAATTCCAAGGTCATTGACCTTTCGAAGAGCCCGGAGAGGGACCTTTTGTCACATGACAGACGACGTGATTTTCAGTCCTCCCCTCAGGCATCTGACGCTAGTCTGCAAGTTCCACCTCGCAAGCGGGCAGCTCGCTCTTCACCGTCATCGAAGAGCCCAGAGCGATCTAACGGTAGCACCAGCAGTCGCATGGGCATTGTTTCGAAGGATCGCACAACTTCAAAATCTGGGCTGTCATTCAAGTCCAGCTCCAGCCCAAACCCGATGGCTGACAACGGATTTGGTGAAAACCTGAAGAACCAGAAGCGCGCAAGAGAGAATGAGGACGCTTCATCTGACAGCGGGCGACCTGGCAAGCGACAGAGATCTGTCCATGTCCACAGCGGTAGCGCACACGGTTCCCAAGAAAATCCTCGAACGCCAACACCTGGGAAGGTGCCTTTAGCCTCGACAAAGCAGACTAGTGGAGATGTTGTAGATCTCACGAGTGATGCAGAAGAGCAGATCTCGAGAACAACGAGCACACCAGTGCGACCTACCGGAACCGCAGTGAATAGACGGCGCGAGATATTGGCAATTGGTAACGGCAAGTCTGGCGAACATGCGTCATCGCAGCGACAAAAAGCAGAGTCAGCGAGAGAGTCACCCAAAAAGAGGATAGGGCATGAGGCGGGCAAGCTGTTGGCTAACAACGTGCTCTCCAATCCGAGATCGTCACCACTGCGGAAGGTGTCTCGACCTGGTGTCCCACAAAGAGACGGCAGTGAAGGTACCGCGATCGACGAGCGAGGGCTGGAAATTCCAGAAAGCCTACCAGGCTCTCCTGAGACAGACAAGCCTGCGGAGAAGCGAGGCGGGCGAGATGCTGTTAGGAACCCAGGGAACCCCCGCGCGTTACGAGAATCTGTATCCCCGTTCAGGGCCGCATCCAGCGCCGCGGCTGGATTGTTATCTGAACCTCACCACCTGGGGCCAATGACCTGGCGCAAGAACAGGGCTTTGCCTCTGACGCCTTCGGAATCAAGCGCCGATGAGGATGTCCGCAATAAGGAACGCTCTGTCAAGAAGACCGCTTCTCCTGCGAAACCATCGTCAACTCGTGTGCCGCAAAGTACACAATCACGTCTGGACGGGGCCCATCGCACTGCTTCGCCTCGTCAAGATCAGTCGAAGTCGGTGGCTGCGCAGGAGTCGCAACCTGCACTGACGCCATCACTCAACACAAAAAACTCCATTCCGAAGTCGCAATTATTCAACACCGCCAGAGAAAGTCACAAAGTGTCTTCCACGAACCAGTCTTTGACAAACCCAGCAAATAACACTTCAAAGCCGCAAGGCAAACAAGGCGTGTCTCAACCCGCTGAAGCACGTGCAAGACTACAGCAGAATCAGAAGACAAATGACACTTCAGACTCGAATGTTACTGGCCGGTCTTCAGTTCTACACACACCAGGCATGAGCACTTTTAAAATGGCTGAGCGAGCAGTCGGGCATTGGCTTGGTCAGTTGCAGCACGACAATGAGTACTGGACGCGAACAGAGCTGCAACGCGCGCGCCATGCATGTGAAGGCAGGCTGTCTACGACACCGATTGAGCCGACATCAGTCTTTAGCAAGATGACACCGCTCGCGGTCAAATCAAATGACAGGAAGAAGGCAGATAAACCGCATGCGAAGTTTGAGATTGAGATTGCACGCAGTGTCAAGAAGTCTGCCTGGACGACGCCTTACACTACTTTCGATACGGATCAGGAGGACGTGCCATCCTACTCGCACTTTGTCATGCTCAAGCACAACTTTTTGGCACCAAATGAAACAACTCTGCAACACTGGCCGTACTTTGACGACGAGACCAACAGCCGACCACAGCTTGCAGAGCAATTCAATACTCTCTACAGTCTCGACATCACAGATCGAGAGAAGAAGCTTCTCCTCCTAATGAAGGCCGAGATCTATGCTGAGCACGCCGAGCGGATGTTGCAGGACGTTCAATGCGAATGGGCAGATGTCCTACACTTCTTTCTAGATCCTGCTCCTGAGCTGGGGGATGATGCCGATGCTAAGAAAGCTCTGCAGAGCCGTGACACCGCGTCCGACGTTAAGGCGTTTCGCGAAAGCAAGCGCTGGGCAGCGGTGCTTAGCAAGCTGCCTAAGGCTTCTCCTGCAAATACTGGCAGAGCTGGTCTCCTCTGCGAGCAGTTCTATAAGCTTGCGGGGCTCAGCTTTTGGCATGTTGTTAGGAGGAGCGATTACACCAAATCGCTTTTAGAGGAAGAGACACCGGAGGACAGCCTAGACAAACTTACTTGTCGTGTCTGCATGCGCCTAAGCTGCCCATATCACGGAGAGATTGAAAATCCCGACGACGACAGCGAATCAGACGTCAGCTCAGAGCACTCGGCAGTTGAGAAGGACATCATCAATCCTAAGAAGAAGAATTATCGCACACGGGTTGAACTTCCCGCGGTTCTTGAGGAGGAGACTGATTCTACAGGCAAGGACCGGCGACATTTGCACTACTGGCACGCTGGGGGCACAGTAGCGAACCTACTGCATAAGCCGGACGAGCGAAACCCGTTCTATCCATGTCATCACCCAGGCTTGCCCTGTAACGATGCGCAGTGTACGTGTTTCACGAACAAGGTTGCGTGCGAGAAGTCATGTGCATGCTCGCCTGCTTGCACTCGCAAGTTTCAGGGATGCAACTGCGCTAAGAAGGGCAAAGTCTGCTTCAATACCGACAGCTGCGCGTGTTTCAACCTGGGCAGAGAGTGTGATCCAGATCTGTGTGGCAGCTGCGGCGTCTGCGATGTTCTGGATCCGAAGCACAACCACGACGATCGCATCCTAATCGACCGGTGTCGCAATGCCAACATTCAGCGTGGCCACCCGAAGCATACCATGATTGGCAAGAGCGGAGTGCACGGATTCGGACTTTACGCTTGCGAGAACATACGCGAGCACGAGCTCATAGGCGAATACAAAGGCGAGCTCATCACGGTGAAAGAAGCAGAGAGACGAGGAGCCATCTACGAGCACCAAAGGCTCAGCTACCTCTTCACGCTCAACCAGAGTCAAGAGGTGGACAGCACATTCTTCGGCAACAAGACGCGTTTCATCAACCACGCCACCAAAGCCAAGTGCAACGTCTACGCGCGCATTATCATGGTCAACACCGTCCACCGCATCGGCATGTTCGCCGAACGTGACATCCTCGCCGGGGAAGAGTTGTACTTTGACTACGGACCACGATTCACCTTCGCAGAAGAACAGGCAAGCCGGAAGCGCCGCGGCGGCAAAACTTCAAATAACAGCAGCCAGAGCAAAGCAGTGCCACACGTGCGCAACGCGAACCTCACGAAGAGCTTCTACGACCCGGAAGATGAGCGTGGCGGCCGTGCTGCCCAGAAGTCACTCGGTCGCCCACCCAGAACCGACCACGGTCGTCTGACAGCCGCGCAATTGAGGAGGGGCATGCCGTCTTCTTCGTCTGATGTCGAGATGGGCGAAGCTGAGGATGATGATACGGATGATTATCAGGACGAGGATGAAGATGAAGATGATTTGTATAGTTAGTGTCGTCTTCATTAGCTCGGTCCCAATGAGAAAACATAATATCTTAAGCTGTGCTGTGTCTAGGCAGTAATGCTGTCTGTGCGCATGAATGAAATAAACTACCTATATGCACCTCAAAACACCGCCAATCATCATACATCTACTTTTCCTACCATGTAGTACCGCTGGCCTGTCATCGGCGCTAAGCGTCAAAAGCGAAACCCATGTGAAAGCCAAGACCCATCACGTGATGCCCCTCTCCCCAACACACACCTTCTCTCCCGACGCCACCCACCCCCGAAAGTTCGCCGCAAGACCAAATAAAACTACATGAACAGAATTTACCCCTCCACTGTCAGCTTGTCAAGAGAACCGGGCCATTTGCAGCTTTCGTGGCTCAAGTGGTGTACGCGCTTGACGAGTAAACGGCAGTAAACTAATTCGGTTCGAACTTCGAATAGGATAGGTTTCTCGACCTCCATGTGTGCAGCGGGTACGAGGGGGTGATCTTTTTGGTCTTTTCTCGATCTTTTTGGATGAGGTTTTTTGGGGGGGGGGGGGAGTTGGGTCTTTGCTTTTCCTTTTCCTTTTTGTCTTTATTGACTGGCAACCGCGATGGTTGAGACTGTAACGATCCTGATAGAATTTGAGTCTTTGAACTAGAATATTTTCGTTACTTTTCTCTTCTCATTTCACACTACATATACACATTTCTATCAACTAGTACCAACACTCGGACTTTCCACCTTCCGCTTCCTCCAAATCGCCGTTCCACCTCCTACAATGACAATCGCCACGACGAGCAACCCATTGAAGATCGCCATCAAGTAGAATGGCGCACCCTCCGTCCAAGAATCAAATAGCGCGCCACCCAGCTTCGTCAAAAGCAGAATACCAGCTCCACCTGCTAAGCTGTACATACCCGCAATACTGCCTTTCAGACGTGAGCGGTCTATGGCGCTGCTCTCGGGTTTGGAGCGTGCGTTCGGTAGGAGGGCCGCGGTTTCGTCTCCTTCGGCGGGGCCGATTTCGTCTTGGCGGAGGGTGGCTGCTGTGCCGGGTCGGCCGTTGGAGGTGGGCTCTGGGGTTTTGGTATTTTGGTTCACGCCGCGGCCGAGAAGGCCTAGCGAGCAGACTATGGCACCGATTTGGCTGATGCCGATGAGGATCACTGAGAGGAACGCCCATTGGCCCCCGTCGCCGTGGAAAGCATCTGGGTTCTTGAGCAGGCCGAAGCTCACGTAGCCTGCCACGCCAACGAGGGATGCGACAAGCAGTGGCCATTCTGATTTCCCTCTAGCAGCACGACCTCCAAGCCATCCGAACAGAGGTGCGCAGAGCAAGGCAGCTAGCTCTCCGATACCGGTCAGGGCAGCCGCCAGTTTGTACGCCCGCTCGCACTGCTTTTTGATGTCTGTCAAGTTATCTGGGTTTGACGTGCAAAGGCCGGTGCGGACAAAGTATGCGTTGACGAAGAGCGGTATAAACAGGCTGATGCCTACGGAGGATGCACGTGCGACAAAGCCGCCCAGGTATCCCAGACCAATAGCGGGGTCGCTGAATCCCAGTTTGAGGGACTCTTTGGCAAGGATGAAATAGGATGGTGCTGGCGATAGAGTCGTGTGTGGATGTCCATCAGGTCCTATAGTCGTGTTCTCGTCGTATGGTGGACGTAATAGAGCGCCGAAACTCTTGTTCTCCTCACCAGGTAGGTTGCGAAGGCCGAAGAAGATGAAGATGCCGACAAGCAGAGCGATGACCGCAACGATATAAAAGCTGATCTGTACGCTCTGCGCTTGACCGTATCCATCATCTTGGAGGTATGCTGGGATTGGTAGAAAGATTGCCAGCGCGACAAGAGCACCAGCTCCCGTGAAGAAGCCCACCAAGCCAGCCAGTTGCGATGTTCCCGCAGTCTTATCCAAGTCATCTTCTTCCACCTCTTCATGCTCCTCGGAGCCTTTTGGCTGTAAGGTCCGTGCCCGCTGGTATTCTGAAGCATAGCTCGCCGGGGTGATGGTGAGCTCAGACGCAACGCTGGGAGATGTCGCGTGACCTATACTACCACTTCTTCCCACCCGTTCTTCTTCCCTTATTCTTGCCACTTGTCCATTAGGCGCAGCCTGTTCCTCATCTGCTTTGTCCTTGTCTTGCTCCCTTTCAGCCACCATCGACGGAAGCACCGCAGTGACCATCGTCGAGCACGCTGCTCCCCCCAGACTGAACAGCAGTCTTCCCACAAGTAACTCAGGGTATACATTAGTGCTCTGAACCAGGCAAGCGAGACTGAACGCCACAATGCAGTATCCGATGACCGCCACCGCTCTTACTCCAATGCGATCTGAGAGCATTCCCCATAATGGACAGGCCACGAGTGCCAGCAGCTCATCAGCGAAGCCCAGTGTCCCCACTGCATCTCCCACGTTCTTCTTCTGTCCTATTACTTCCGTCACCACGAATGAAATGCTGCTGTTGAGAAAGACCAGGAACGAGATCGAGAACAGCGCAATGCCGCACAGATATGTCGCCGCTTGCAGCCTAGAGGCTGTAAGCTTCGGGAAGAGTCGCGGCATGTTGGTTGTCGTCGTGAATGGCCGTAGGTATCAGCGCACGTGCTTCGTCTTCCGATTACGTCGTTCCAGGGAGGAGGTGAGGTTCAGAGTCGGGATGTTCGGCTTCGTTCCGCGGGCGTCATGCCCTCGATCGAGACATCTCATTCCATAGACAATGGCCACGTATGCGCATTACACGAAAGGGCTTGGTGTTTGCTCGAGCGAGGGCGAGGTGGTTGCTAGGGACAAGTATTGAGGTCAGCCTCATGGGAGGTCACGTTGGCATCAATCGAAAGCTTCGGAGCTTGGGCCGCCCTCTAGCAACGTCACTGCAGAGGCGGGGGCCGACTATAGCAAGGTCCAACTCGACATAGAACATTTGTTCTGAACGCGTGATTGAAGCACAACGATGAGCAGCGACCATTGCCACCTCATCTTCCCAACAGTAGCTTGCGTATGCAATTCGTCGGATTCATAGACGGGCGTTGGCGAAGTGAATGCTTGACACACCACGACTTCTTCGCTCGACCATCAAAGGAACGCCGACAGCGCGCCGTTGCTGGTAAACGCGACTGACTCACGAATGTTGCTGTCGAAGTGTCCTATCGACATCACTTGCAGCAATGTGAAGAAGTAGTCGGTCATATAAACAGGACGTCCGTTCCAAAGCATTGCACTTCGAGAAACAGAACTTACCCACTCCGCAACAAAGCAAAAATGGCAACACAACCTACCATCACAGAATACCAGACACGTGTCTACGCGCTGCTCAAGCAGATCCCAGCAGGCAGAGTCAGCACCTACGCGGCCATGTCGAAGGCTCTCAGCTCCAGTCCTCGCGCTGTAGGAGGCGCATTGAGACGAAATCCGTTCGCACCCGAAGTGCCCTGCCACAGAGTCATCAGTGCAGATGGCGTAGGTCTCGTATTGATCAGTCTGCTGACCGATACTGACGGTGCAGCAGTATGTCGGCGGCTTCAAGGGCGAATGGCACAAAGCTCCCAGCGGCATCAACACCGACAAGAAGCTGGAGCTGCTCAAGGGCGAAGGCGTCCTGTTCAACGAGAAGGGCATGTTGGTCGATCGGTCGAGACTGTGGGCTGAGTTCGATCTGTGATGGAAGATGGAGGCGAGCCGTGTGAGGGCGTGATGTGTCAGAACATCAAGACCGCAAGAGGGGTGTAAAGGCCTCGACTCGTTTCTGCCATGGCTCTGTGCGATGTCCAGCGCATCATCAAAAGGTGGACCCAATCCTATGATTTCTCATGGCCATGAACAAAAAGGCCAGATCAAGTTTTCTCAGGTCCGTCGGAGATTTCCTGGGTTGTGGTTGTGGTAGTTTGCGGCACTAGAATCAGGTCAAGGGGTGGTGTATTGCTGTTGAGCTTGAGTCTAGACCTTCGAAGCCATTTCTGCAGCCTCGCACCAGACGTTGTAATGCGACCGATTCTCAGCAACCAAGTGGGCATCACGACAGGCCGTCAATTCTCGACTCAGCATTGGGAGCCTGGCGCCATGATGAAGGGAACATGCCGCCTATAACCCACGATCTTGACAAATCCGTCAGACGTGTGCATGAGGCGCGCTGATCCGACTCCTTTCAACAGCCCAGGCTCCGCCTTGGCTTCGAGGCCGCTTCCACGATCTAGTCAAATCGTTGGCTAGTTGGGGATCAAGCCTCCGGTTGTCCAGATGTAGCCATCGTAAATACTCCAGTAATTGCCAGAGAGTCGGCTTGCTTTTAGCCGTTGCATGCATCCCACAGCTAGGGGATCAACGAACCCACCTCCGCCCTCTTCAACCGAGATAGGTCGTTGTTCCAGACCCTCGCTCCAACAGCCGGTGTAGTTTCGAAATTGAGCCTTACCCTCGCATCAAAGTCGTGCGACAGATTACTGTATGCATTCTGATACGCCTTGAATAGACGCCGTTACCTCGGCGGTATTGTTGGACGGCTTCACATGAGCCACCACACAAGTGTCAGCTGTTTCGACCTGAGTACGCCAGTCGCCTGATGTTCTAGACTTCCAGAGGGGCGACGTTTCATGCTGGAGCCGCTGTCCACACTTCAACACCGTTGTGCTTCTCGTTGTCTCGAATAATGACTCTCAATGGGTCAGGGTCTGCCATTGGAAAGCTACGCACATGCAAGTCGACCCTCGGTGTGAAGGTAATCCACGGCTCTGTAGTGACCCTGCAAGCTCCGGCATGAAGCCACTGAAGTATTTGTGAAGAGTGTGGTGTAAGCTCAGAAATCAAGAATAGACCGGTCCAGGCTCCAACTCAGCTTCGGTCCGCACCGCTGTCGATGCAACGGCTATCCAGACGAGCGGTATAGGGTTGTTGCTAGGTCGTTCGTTTGCATTGGCTGGATTCGCTATACTGCACGATTGAGTGCTATACGGCAGCTGCTCGAGCCGTTTCCTGTAAGCTGCACGTTTGCGAGTAGTAGGTTCACCGTCGGGTCAGTCGGACCACGAGACACGCAACTTCGAGGGAGCTGCCTTGACCGGTATGTCGCGGCATCTTCGGGTCGGTGCTCTCGTCGCATCAATCAGGTATCTGCTTGCTGTTTCGATGCCAGCGTTTCCGTGAGAGTGAACTGCAACCACCGTGCCCTCTTGTGCCCTGCTTGTGTGCGGCGATGGCTCTACCGGGCATTTAATATTACACTTCTCGAAGCTTCCGACGCCTCATCCGATGGTTAGGCTCAGGCAGTAGTGTATGACTGTTATTAGGCTGACTTTGCTTGGGCTGCCAATATATTGGTCACAAGGCGCAGGACTCGTTTGGCCGGCCAAGCGGCCGCGACCTGCCCAACGCGAGAGCGGTGTCGTGTCGCCCAGCGAACGGAGACGTGTTGCGATCATGGGCGACATCGATCTTTGACGACGCCGCGGGTCATTCGAGATCTATCGCGAGGACCGTCTCCACCACGCTGTGGCTCAGGGAGGGCAAGACGGCATTGAGTCCGCGACAATCTGCCACAAATCGGCCAATTGATGCGCGGAAGACGTGGTGGTGAGGCGCACGCAGTCTGCAGGAAACGCAGCGATCGAGGATCGCGGCTGCTCCCGCGACGCCTCCATCGACGTTTGGTCCAGTAATCGGAAAACGTCGCTCGCGATACGCGCAAAAGCTGAGCAACGCCGGCTGCGACGGTCAAGGTTTTGCTCGACGACCGCTGGCAGGCGTGCAGTCCGGCCGCAGCGGATCTGGTCATTCGCCCTCGATCTCGCGCGCCTGGGAGCAGACTAGCGGGCTCACGACGACCGCTCACCCACGGGCCAAGTGTGGTTGTCGCCGCCTGCTGGGTCTGCTCCTGGCCTCGCCCGACGTGCTTGCTCACCACCCGGCATCTTCGATGCCTGAACCGATCGAGGATGGCTTGGGCCTCCTCCCCTTCATATATCTCCAGCAGGCTCGGCTGCAGAGCTTTCGTAATCGCCCGCCCTGCTGTCCATCACACACACATTCCAGCGTTTCGACTACTGGTGCTGCAATACCGATCGCTCCACCGCCCTTCGCCAGCGGCCTTTTGATGTCGTAACCACTATGCTACCGCACAACGACCTCGATCGACGGCCTTGCTACTTCACCATCACCCCACCGAGCTACGACCACTTCTCTGTCGAAACACCGTACTGCTCGCCAACTTTCTGCCCGGACGACTGCACTCCAGCCTACTCGCAACACCCGCTATTGGCATCGAGAGAGTTGTTCTCACCTCTACACGACCTCGACCATCCAAAAGCCACGACAAGCCTCATGTCTATGCAGACTTCCGCCGCCCATGGCGCCCCACGGCCAAAAATCTATCCCATGCAAAATGTCCTACACGTAACGAGCGACGACTCCACCTCATCAAGCGGATCAAACAACAGCTCCTACGGCTCATCACCTGAACTTGCAAGATGTTCAAGGTGTCAACGAACGCCGAGCGTCGATGTCAGGACTGGCAAAAACAACATGGTACAATACGGCCTCAACCTCTGGTACTGCAATCGGTGTGCAGCCCTTGTCGGCTTGACGAAACGCTGAAGTGACCGGCATTGAGAATATCGACTTTCAACAACCTGTGCATCTATGCACGTCACAACCTGTCCAAACCCAATAGGATTATCCTAGCCCGCATATCACCTCACCGAGAAAGGTCGCCAACCAACACTCTAAGAGAGATTGGCCTTTCGTCGACAAGGCGAATGCCGGGGCAAATAAGTGGTCAAAGGTACCACGAATCAACTGAGAGGGACTGCTAAGTAGCCCGAGGAAGAAGAAGGGGAGGTCTCACTCGATGCGTCCAGCTGGGGTCTGGTCGCCGGTAGGCCTATTGTAGGATTGAGACGGGAGCTGAGCTGGTCCAGCTCGAGGGGGGAAACGAGGATATGAAAACCCGTTATGGTGAAGCTATGAATGACGATGCTTGTTACAGATACCCACTCAGCATATTAGCGATTAGCATTCAGCGACTTGTATTCGAATAGCAGATGTCATTCACGATGAGATTCTTGAAATCATCTCTCAATTTTTCTCGCCTCAATCACATCTTCACAACAAAAGTCGCTTTTCATCACAATAGCTCTAATTTCCAAAAGACACATAGATCCCTACATCCAAGTGGCAAGGCAACGAGCAATGGCTCAAAAAACAAACGGACCCAGGCCCGCCTTCCCCCATCGATTCCATCATGACAGCTATCGTCGATGCGTCAAATCCGAACTCTAAATACGTGACCGCTAGCGCAGACATGAATCTCTCGTTCCGCTCCCTACGACATCAACATTATCCGGTTTGAGGGCAAGATGAGCTACGCGCAGTGATGATGTTGGTACTGTCGTGGTCACGGTCGTGGGCCGACAGCTCTGCACGATGATGGTCGACGAAGAAGCAATCTCTCGCCTTCACAGAAACCTGAACGCAGGCATGACCTCACCCACGTACGTAGTCTCTACGTCCACGCGAGCGAGCAAGCGTCTATTGAAACTTCGCCCTACCATCAGCGCTCGTGACGCGCAGAAAAGAAACCGCACTATTGACCGCTACGACTTGACTCTTCACAGACACTTCACAATCCTTAGGCCGAACTCAGCACCTTGTCCGTTTTGCGAGAGGAGCTTTTGCCGAATGCCCCCTCGTATCTAATGGGAACCCCGCGGCTATCAAGTTCAGTCACTGCGCGCATCAGTTCAAAGTTATCCTTGGAAAAGAGGCGTTTGGATTGATGCGATCGTGGCTTGGATGGCGATGCATGGCTATCCAAGGGTTCCACTTGTCGTACGGAACCCGAGCACGCATTGTTGGGACTTGGTTTTAATGTTTGTGTTGCGGCCAACAGAGTCCTTCAGACTTGCTTCCGTCGAGCGAGTGCTTCCAAGTCTCCGGAGTCTCACGGCAGTCTCTTACGAGGAATCGTTGCGACGATGAGGAGTTGTCGCATGTTCCCATCGCGATCCAGTCATAAAGCTGAACGCGTTGTCTCCTCACCTCACCATTCCTACGCTCGTACGTTCACCTAAGCCGCGGAGGAGTTGCGTCCGCGGTCGCCTGCCGGAGGATTTGATGTGGTGAGCAATGGTCGAATCCGTCCGTACGTCTCATCGGTCATCGGGACACCGAGTCTGTGATGCTCATATAGATGAGCGATGCGGCCATCAAGTCCTGCAATGACTCCGGACCTTGGCTCCCTGGAGACAGCTCCTGCAACGGGTTGCGACCAAGACCGTAGACACGGCAAACATAATGCAGGAGTATCGAGAGATCGCCGGCGTTACCGTTCAGGTGGACGGAGGACTCAGGGATGTGTGGCACGCCACAGCACGCGCTGCAGGGGACGCGTGCGCTGGTTGCTAGTGCATCGAGGCATCGGCATTCCCATCAGCCTCATCGACGAGATATCCGGATGGCGGAGCTTTTCATCGGTGATGGAGTTTCTCAAGACTGCGAGAACCTCAGGCAGAAAGTGTGGCTTGCGCTTGCTGACTTGACGCTCGGCCCGGTCGCCGGCTCTTGGCAACCTGAGACTTCCGACTCCCTCGAATTTTTCGCAGTTGACATCTCCAAACCAAAGCCGCGTAGCGCTACGCGGCGACATTCCTATCGGTCATGGAACAGTACAAAGCTTCCATCGAGAGCGTCGACAACGCTCTGAACAGGCTCAACCAGACGCTAGCATCTTACCGGCTGCTCTCTCAGCAGAACGCGAAAGCAAAGGCTGAGGAAGAGGCCCGAAAACAACAGATCGAGCAGGCGAAACAGCATGCTCCTCCACCCCCACGTGACCTCCCCGTCCCTGCCACAGCACCCTCTGCCCAGGCCCAGGCTCAGGACCCTCAGGCCACCGCCCGGTACTTCACTACGATAGAAAAGATCGCGAGAGACCTGAGGTCGACGCAGAATTCTCAGCTGGTGTGTACTGACTCTTTCTTCGGATGCTCTATGCTAGCCGCTTTTTAGATGGCGTGCAAGGTAGGCTGATTGTTTTCTTAGAGCGTTCAGATAAACAGAGCTCGCGTGGGAAGAGTTCAGGAAGCGAATGCGCGGTTGAGGCAGGATCCGTACAACCTGCCTCTCCACCTTGTCCTCTCGCGGATCTACCTTGTTATGGGATATCCTGACCTCGCAGCTGGCACCGCATACAAGGCTCTCATCCTCTCGGACGCGTTGGACGATGAAGCGGAGGAGTATCATGACGAGGCTGCCGAGTCTCTCAAGGCCACGATCCAGCAGCAGCCGCTTGAGGAGAGGATCCAAATCATTAGACGTGCCATGGATGCCGAGTTGCAGAATCAGACGCCTTCGGAGCTGGACCCGGCCTTGGATGTCGAAATAACGCTTTGGATGAAGGAACACTACCGGCTGATTATCTACCGACTGCTATCTCGAAGTCTGCTTCTCTGCGGATGCCTGCGAAGTGCCATGACTTATGCCGAGAGAGGACTCGAGATCTACACGCAAGACGCAGAATTGACTGAGATTCTTGGCCTGGTACTAGAAGCAGGAGACCACCTCCCCAACGAACCGGACGAAGACTCGCCGATGAGCGAATGGCCGGACAATGGCTTTGTGCGTCGGGAGAGATATCCCTGGAATCGCCACGAGCCTAACCGGTTCGAGCAACTTGATCATATCAACCAGCTCATGCTGGAAGCATCCGACAAACTCGAAGTTCGCACTATTGATCTGCCCTCGTTGACTGGACTGGACCCCAAGGGAATCTCGACGCAGTTAGGCGTCTTTGCCAAACAAGACATTGCACCTGGCGAACAGCTTCTTTGCGAGACCAGTCTACTCACAGCCAATAACAAGCTACAAGACGCTTTATGTGATGCATGCAGCGCCGACCTCCCAGAGCTTGGGTCCCCCGAGTACGAGAAAGTGAAAGCATGTGAAGAGTGCGAGGTCGTCTTCTGCAGTGAATGGTGTTACCAAGCAGCCATGGACTCGTACCACCCAGCCCTTTGCGACAAAGACGTCGAAGCCATCGCCAAGGACGTCGAACCCGCAGAAGCCGCCGACGCCCTCTACTCTCTCCTCCTTCTCCGCGCCCTCGCGATGGCCGAACACCAAGAATGCCACCCCCTCGAACTAGACGCAGTCAAATACATCTGGGGCGACTTCTCCCCAATCCCCGCCATCGGCCAAATCCTCTACACCGACCTCGACAGCCCGCACTCCTGCACGATCCCACGCAACCTCCCCTTCTCCTTCGAGCACAACATCATCCGGCCCTTCCACATGCTCGAGAAGATGGACATCGACATCTTCGCCACGGCCCACCTCTACGACACCTGGATCTTCAACACCCTCTACGCCAAATTCCGCGGCACCGCCTCGGCGCGCCTCTCCGGTCTCGGCGGCCGCGCCATGCGCGGCCCCGAAGTCTCCGCCGTGCATCCCATGTGGTGCCTCGCGAACCACAGCTGCGACCCCAACGTCACGTGGGACTGGGGCGGGCAGATCCAGTTCACGGCGCGGACGGAGCGCGTGCAGTGGCGCGGCAAGGGCGGCAAGATGCTGCAGAAGAGCAAAGCGGGGATCAAGAAGGGCGAGGAGATTCTCAATCATTACTGTGATGTGGATTTGCCCGTAAGGGAGCGGAGGGAGTGGGCGAGAGGTGCGCTGGGTGGGGATTGTATGTGTGCGAGGTGTAAGTTTGAGGCGAAGATGTTGGAGGTGGAGGAGAGGGAGAGGGAGAAAGAAAAGGAGAAGGGTGGTGGAGGGGTGAAGAAAGAGGGAGGTTCTTCGAAGGAGTAGATTGAAGATGAGAAAGACGTTCATTTCCTTTTTCCTTTCCCTTTCCCCTTTTCCTCTTTTCTGCTTCACATTCGACATACCTCATCACTATCATCCACGGAACAATTTTGTCACGCCCAATCACGCTCTCCCATAGCGGAACCCGGGCCCTCGTTTGACGTTCCAAGAAGAAAAATTACCATCGGCGTGTTTTAATTGACTTCTGCTTCAACTCAAACCCTCCATGAAGATTCTGAAGTCTCATGGCACGCGAACAAAATCGAAAACAAGGCCTACTATCTATCGATCACACGGAGGAAGCCAGAAAGAGTTGTGTCTATTCAATTCCCATTCTCATTCTCATGCTCTTCATACTAAGTAGGAGCTGGCTGAACTGCCTGACAATTTCCGCTGGGAGAGATATATACACTACAACTGGTCCTGTCTAAGACGTGGAATTCCACCCTCTCATGCTTCGACTTCGGAAGTATGCAATGCGGCCGCGCGATCGTCATCAAAGGCCGCTTCGGAACTGTTTCGGGGCAGGTCTTCACGGGCAGTCGTGCCGGATAGTCTGGGCTCCTCGTCCTCGTCGTTGCCTTCTGCCTCGAGCTGTGCTTTGGCCGCCTCGCGACGTAGTTGAGCGTCGGACTTGGGGTCTGTGTCTGCGACGACGCCGGCCGGCATGAGCGGTGGGCCGTCTTCGTCGCTGTCTAGTTGCAGGAGGTAGGTCTCCCAGAGCTCGATCAGCTGTTGAATAAGTTAGCACAGGCACTCAAATTACATTTTTCTGTGCGGATTATCCTTACCTCCTTCTGCGCCTCGATCGCACTCTCCAAGAAAGTCTCGACTCCGCTCTTGAAATCCTCGACCTTCTCCTTCTCAAAGCGATCGAGTTCACTCCTCATCAAGCGACCCATGTCCTCAAAAAGCAGTCGGCTAGCGTGCACCCTCCTCTCGGCATCAGCCACATCGGCCTGCATCTGTCCCATTCTGTCTTGCTGAGATCGCCCGGAGCGTAGTAGCTTCTCTTGCTGCTTCTTGATCTCTTGCAGCTTCGACTCAGCCGCATGCCACGAGTGATACGCCTTTTGTCGCTGCTCGAAAGCCTTCTTGACGGAGCCGATCAGACGAATGTACTCATCAATGACGATGCCCAGGGTGAGGATATCTTGTAGAGCTTGTCGCTGGTAAAGCTCCTGAATTCGTAGTTGCAAATCGCCCAATGCATCCAAAGGTCCAGATAAGCTAGGTGACAGTTCGACTGCGGCAAGATTGTGAAGAGACGCGCTGAACTCGCCACATGAGTCGGAGAGGTTTTTCCGTTGCGATACGACAGTGTCCGTGCTCTTTTGGAGTGCCTTGAGCTGATTTTCCAATGCGTCCAGGTATATCCGGCGATCATGGAACCAGTCGTCGTGCTCAATGAACTTGCCACTGCTTCCACCACCAATGCCCATATTGCTCAAGAAGCCCTTCGACTCGTTGCCACCAAGCAGAGGATCCTTGCCATTGGAATGCTTTATTGCCACGTTGAATGATTCGCTCTCCAAGAACGTCTTGAGATCTCCATCCACCTGCAGAACTGGATGAGCAGCGATCTTGTTGATCATGCGCTCGAGAGCCATCCGCCGAGACTCGATGAAGTTCGCATCGAACCGGCCAACAGCCTGCTTCTCGGGTGGAGGAGGCACCACAACTCCAGGGTTGTTGTCGTGTAGCCTCTCATACAGCCAGAGGAAGTCTCGGTATCGTCTCGTCACAGTGAAAGTCGGGTTCATGTATGCCTTGGACGTGGTCTTGGTGATGACACTGTAAACGGTATGACTGCTAGTCGCGCTTCCAACAGTATGCGGATCTCCCACGACGATGCTGAAAGTCGGCTTGGCGGCCTGCTCCACGGGCTGAGAGGGCTGGGCTTGTCTGGCTCGTCCATCGAAAGCTGCGGGCTGGACTGGAGGCGGTATGCGCGGCCCACCGTTTATTGATCCTTCATCGTCGTCGAAGTCGGTACTTCGCGCAGATGAGACGGCTGACGCGGCAGTGGATGGTCTTGAGTTGGCAGATTGTCTTGTTCTTGAAGCTAGCTCTTTCACCGGTGGCGTAGGCGCTATAGGCTCCTCTTGCGGCTCTGCGCCCAGAGGTCCGAGGGGACCCAGCGAGTCATTGTCGAGGCTTTCGAGGGTGGTGGACTGGGCGAGGTTGCCGTATCGGCCGGGGGTGCGGGACTTGGAGGGAGCGGGTTTGGCGCCAGCCAGGTTGGGGGTGGACTGGGAGAGCTTGGAGGGTGTCGTCGACTCTTGCGATTGTTCTATGTCTCGTTAGATATAGGTATGGTGGTGTATGTTGTGTGTTCCCTACCAGCTGCTTCTTCTGCCTGCTTGGGCAGGTTGTGGTTGGAGTGCGAGCGCGAGGGGACGTCTGGAGTCAATTATCAGCAGCGCACACCGTGTCTGCCTCACAACGCTTCGTGGCATACCGTCCCAGGGAGAGCTGCCTTCGTCCATGTGTGTCCACGGGTTGGGGGGAGCTGTGACATGCGAAGCCATTGCGCCTAAGGTTTGCTGGACGTCTGCTGCTGGGAGGATTCCACCATTCGGCCGCTGCCGGCGCACCTGAACGTCACTCCACTTTGTGCCACCACTCCACTCTGTGCGACTGCTCCTGTGCAAGACTCTGGCGTTTGGCAGTGCGAGGTGTGTGTGGTGGAGAGATGCAGCAAGTGAGCACGAGATGACTTTCTTGTTCGCCTGTCAAGCCAGCGCATGCGACACTGCGTGGTCAAGCCTTCCCGGTTCATCTCACAGCAACCCCCAGCCTCGCTCACCTCACCTTAAATCCTCGTCTACAGCGAATCGAGCCTTGCGAACGAACGTCCTCTAAAGTTCGGGTAAAGTCTACTTGTTAGCATGTCTCGACAGAATGATTGAATCTATTCCGCCCAATGACAGGACAAGGTTCCCCTATTCAGACACCGACAGCTGTGCACTGCCTGGCGTTGACTCACGAGCTGTGAGGCAGCGCAATGGGTAAGCCTGAGGAAAGCATCCATATCTTGTCTTGAATCTCTTTTGTCACGAAATATACCCAACTCACTCTCTAGCTCGTGAAGCAATTCTCTACCTTGCACGGATACTGGATCTCGACCACCACATCGACAGCCCATACCCAATCTTAGTCAATATGGGCAGACGCAAGGCTCGCTGGCGATCAAGCACGACAGCGCCATCTACATCAGACGCCAAGATGGAGGACTCACCGATTCTGTGGCAGACATCTGTCATGTCCAAGACCGATAATATCCCCACCAAGAAAAGCGTCGCCCGAGCACGAGCAAAGCACAAGGACGACAATTCACCCAAGCCAGAACCCCCATCTCTGGCCGACCGCTTCCACGCCCTCCCATCGGAACTACGAGCCCACATCTTCTCCCTCCTGCTAGTCCAACCCGTCAAATGGGACATCTCCCACCAGCCAACCTGCATCCTCAGACGCTGTGACATCGACCAAACCCCCCGCCGACCCTGGGTTCACCCATCCGACTCAGCAACCTGCGTCTACTGCGACGACCCCTCCCCCTCGCGCTGGCGCCGCGACGTCCGCCTCGGCCTCAACATCTGGACGAACCCCTGGCGCAGCCACTGGGCCCCACCACAACGCAACCCCTACCTCTGCAGCCAATGCTACGACCTCTTCCACAACCCGCAACCCGTCCCCCGAGCAGAATCCCTCCCCTGCCTCTGCGCCCGCCGCGCCAACCTCTCCACCCTCCTCGTCTGCCGGCAATGGTACACCGAAGCCGCCACAGTCTTCTATTCGCAGAACACCTTCGCCTTCGAACACCCCGCCCTCTTCACCGCCTTCCTCACCAACCTCCCTCCCCATTGGCAGTCCAAAATCTCCAAACTCAGCCTCATGGCCTTCAGCACGCACTCCCCCGGCGCCATCGACGTCGACTCCGCCTACGCGGACCCTACCATCCACATCACCCCAAAACGCTGGCTAGACGTCTGGCCCCTCCTCCGCAAAAGCCTCCCCGCGCTCTCCACCCTCGAACTCGACTCCAGCCTCCTCAGACACCCCAAAACCGTCAGAGCCCTCCTCCGACTCAACCTCCGCAACATCCGCCAAGTCAGCTTCGTCGAACGGCCCCGACGAACCCGTCTCCTGCATTCCCTCTGGAAAGACGGCACGGAGAAAATCTGGCCCGCGATGGCGTGCAGGACGTTGATTGTCGGTGGGTTTGCAGAGGATGTGGCCACGTCGATTAAGCGCGGGAAGGTGAGGGTTTTGAGGGGCGCGAAGGGGAAGAGGGTTATGGCGAGGGCGGTGGAGATTTGCAATACGCCTGGACGGGGGATTTTTGAGAGTGTTGTTTGAGGAGTTGGAGTTTAGTAGGACTGAGAGGAGGCAGGTTTGCATCTTGGGGGAGGAGGATGATGGGTTTGAGGAGGGGCATTTGGGATTGCTGGGGTTGTATGTTGGGTGAAAAGAGTCACAATCTCTTTGCGGACTGCATGAAATCTCGATGACCATGTACAGAAAAACTCAGGTATAGGAAAGAATAGTCCCTTCTTCTCACTAGGTCTCCAACCCATCCTCACCCCAGCGCCTTCTTCGCCTCGCCCTCAACCATCCTCCGCCTCCTGACCAACCTCTCCAAAGCCGCCGCCTCCTGCACAGCACTCATCCTCTCCATCCGCATCACATGACGTATCGCCTGCGAATTCGCCTTCACCTCGCTCGGCGAGCCCCAAAACCCCTCCCTCTCCGCAGGAGACCTCACCGCAACCTGGGTCTCTTCCCGCGGACTCGGCTGCGCAGAATTTGCAGCTGAAGCAGTGAGCGAGGGAGCCGTTGAAGCTGTGAAGATACATGGAGAGGTTTTAGGAAGGAGAGGCGTCCCCAGGGGTCGCGGACTAATCCTCGAAATCGATACATCAAGCAAATCCCGCGACCGAAGCACATGCGAAGGAAGCGTCGGCTCGCCCGCCGAAACGGTAATAGGAATCCCAGGAGAGCCTAGGTTCTGCGTCGGACTCGAGGAAGGCCGGCTCGCGTAGAAAGTGCTCGTGGTCAGAGGCGTCGAAGATTGCAGCGAGCGGCGGTGGGTTCTGAGGAAACTTAGGTCGTGGTCGTGTGGCGTGGTGGCGAGGGCGTGGTCTTGGAGGACGCGGTAGTCGTCGTCGAGGGTTTGGCGGTTGACGATTCGCGCGCTCGCGGAGGTTAGGGGCATTTTTTGTGCTTCTTCTATGGATTTGGGCGAGTCGAAGGGCGTGAATGATTGCTGGAATTCGGTGGCGAAGTCGTTGGCTGAGGTCTGGTCGAGCCAAGCGTGCCCGCCGGCTACACGCTCCCATGTTGGCTTGCGTATTAGGCCAGGTTGGAGATCGTTGGAGGCTTCACTGATGAGCTGGAGCAGTTCGGGCACGGAAGACTCTCGAGAGGAACGACCTCCGCCGGCGTCCGAGTTCCTATCAACTACCGCAGTGCGCCCTACAGGTTCATCGTCGTCTGAGGACTGTCTGTTGCCAAAATTGCCAGAGGAGAGAGTGCTTGCGATCTGTGCCAGCTCACGGGCAATCTTCGCGATGATCTCAGGGGTACGATTCCGATCACGGGGGTTCGTGATCACCTTCTCAACCGTGCCTCCACGCTCAAGAATGACCGCATCCAGCTCTTCTCCCAGATCACGAGAGACGATAAGGAGCCCGGGGTCTGCGTCGTACTCGACTTTCTGGGAGTGGCTGTTGAAGCGGACAGATCTCGAACGCTTGGGATTGGGCGCTACGGCACGTTTAGGGTCGTCCAGATCCAGAATAGCAGACCTGGCTGAGTGCATGGACGCCGGCGAGACAGTCAGTGAACGGACCTCACTTTCAGAATCTGGCGGCTCGACAGTGGTCGATTTCCAAGACTCCTGCCGGATGGCACGATCGCTGACACTCAGCGCTGCAGGCACAGCAGGAAACGCCTCTCCCGGCACAGCAAGCAGCTGCGGGTTTGGCGTAGCAGCCACGCCCTTCGGGTCAGGGAAAGCAGTATTACTCCAATCGCTCACAGCCTTCTCTATCTCCCGTCTCTTGATCCCCAGCTCCGCCACACAATCCGGACAAGCATCTTCGTCGTCTTTATTGGCTTCTGTCGTCAAACACGTCAGCTCGGTGCATCTAGTCGTCGAGTCGGCGAAAGCCCAGGGACTCGTTGCCTCCATCTGCTTCAAGGTGTTCACACCAATAGGGATGTACGCACCGCTTCTACTCCGTTCGAACATGTCCTTCGTTGCGTTGTGTCGGCGTGGCTTTTGCTTTCCGAGTCCGGATTTACGACCGTGACGAACGCAAGCACTGCGAGTGCCATGGAAGTGGGAAAATGGATTGACGTGGGTCTTCGGGTGGTGATGTCCAGCCTTTGCATGCTTAGGATGCGGTGACAGTAGGTCCCCTCTATAAGCCGTCCCTTCGTTCGCAGGTCCTTGTGTTGCTGCTACTCGAGAGCATGTCTGGCCTGACGCAGATTGCGCGGGCATGGGAGATAGAGAAGGAGTCAGAGACGTAGGTGGAACGCTCGAGCTGGGCATGGACGCCTCAGAGGGTGCTCTCACGATTGGAATGGTCCTTTGAGGAAGTGGGCTCTGAATATCCGTGTCTTGTCCAGGGTCGCTTCGATACAGCGGAGTCTCAGGTCGCAAAGGAGATCCGTTGCTTCTCCTGCGGTGGAACTTTCTCACGTGCAATGGGAACACCAATGGTACACCGTTTCGAATTCCACTGCCAGACTCGTTGTTTATTGTAGACTCCTCGTCTGGATTCGGTCCATCGGTCTGACGAACGATGTGTTGACTTTTGGTGCTTCTCAGAGGCAGACCAGGCTTGATCAGCACAGTATCTTTATCTTCAATAGCCTTGATCCTCTCTTTGACGTTTATGTTCGATTTCCTTTTCGTCCCTTCTTTCGATCGTCCCCCCATCGAAGGCTCATTTGTGTCGTGACCACCATCATAGTTCGCACCCATCTCCCAATTCGTGACCTGTCTTTCAAGTCTGCGGTATACGAGTATCGTTCTTGCGGCTCGCTTCTTGGCAATTGGTCGCTGTTGCGTCGTGACGTTCCATCGTGTACGCTCGTTGGGAACGATGCCCGTGTCTTCAGCGATGGCTGTCTCCGTGGCGGCGCAAAGTCGCAAGCATCCGTCGCCCTCGTCGCCCTGTCGCTCGTGGCAGTAGGCGTGAGGTGATTTCCCGCGACCGCAACCTGGACGCTCGGCTCTGGCGTCGTCTCTGCTGAAGCAAGCGCAACCTTTGACGGCGGAGAGAAAAGGGTCCTGACTGACGCTGAGGCCGCCGAGTTCTTGCCGCGGAAAGGATGTCTGGCTGTCGCTCCCGATGACGAGCTTTCGCTGCTTTGTGCGCTTGTGTCCTGACTTGTGGTTCGGCGTAGTTTTGTGGTCGACTTGTTGGTGACGAGGGACGCTCGCGAGAGTCGGCGGCGCTGGGAGAGAAATGAGCATTTATATTGAAGTCTCAATCGTGGACACTCACAAGCTTCTGATTCCAGGGAGTACCCATAGGTATTGTCGTGCGGCGGGAAGGGTGGGTGTGAAAGTGCGGCAGTGGAGTGATGGTCGCTCCCAGCTGCGTCCCAGCAATGTGGCCAGAGCAGCATGAGACATATAGGAGCCAGGCGAAACCTTGAAGTAGTTACATACGATAAATGAGTGAAAACAATGAGAGCGTTGGCGCTGCTGCTTTAGATCCGATGAGCGTAGATGCGTCTAAAAAGCAGCGCGAGATGAAGGGGCCCGGTGAGAAATTTGGGTGACTTGGGTGACGTGGATCCGTCGAAGTCGAAGTTGAAAGAACGGCAAGAAGCTGATTGCGGAGACGAAGGAAAGTAGGAATCATGGCATGAGCATGGCGCTTGATCTGAGACTCGTCGCTTCGCTTTCTATTGCATCGCTCTTTCCTCTTTTGTCTTGCTCAAAAGGACGCAAATGATATGCAATATGTACATGGAACTGGCACCTTACTTCAGGTTGGCCTGAAGGCTCTCCAGGACCTGTATTCGTCAGCTGAAGTCGTACTTGAAATCACAATGCATATCACAAACTCACCTCGAGCTCAATCTTTGCCTCTGCCACATCCTGCTCGCTGCCACCACCGCTGGCAATCTTCTGTGCCTCGGCAATCTGGTTCCTTACAGCATCTGCGCTGAAGTCCTCAAGTGGGTAACCCTCGACCGCGTTGATGCTGAGGACGGAGTTTGGCTGCACGGTTGCGAAACCGCCGGACACTGTTACACATCGCCCACATTAGCCATGTCCCCTCCTCATCCAGTTTTGAGATCTCCATCTTCCAGGCTCTCGACCCGTATGAGCTGCATGATTGTGTCTGACGTACAGAAAAACTGCTTGCTTCCACCGCTCTCCTCAATGACCTCGACGAGGCCTGGCTTCAGCTGCTCAATAGAGGGAACGTGGCTGGCCAAAACACCCATCTCTCCTGACTCGGCTGGGATGTTCACCTGCACACTACACATGCCCTGTCAGCTTTGTATGTTCGGATATTCTCGTTGAAGGCCATTCTTTGTCTTCGCTCGGTTCGAGATTCGGTAAAGGGCGCACGTACACATCCTTGCTCTTGTAGATGGCCTGGCAGTCCATAAGTTAGCATTGTCCATTGACCAATTTCTTCACATCACCCCATTATCCATCCTGGCCTTCCACCCCTCCACTTGATCGGTTGCGACGTACCTGATGGGGCAGAGCGAGAGTCAACTGAATCTTGTCGGGCGCGACGTCGGCGTAGCCACGTCGGAACAGCGGCTGCTGAACGGCCTTGAGGGCACTTGGGCGGGCCTTGAGAGCGCTCCGGGCGACACGGAGCGAGTTCATGGTGGTGGATACGGCGGAGGGAGTGGTTCAATGGCTGTCGTCGACAAACACTGAGGTTGCTTCGGCAGAGCAAGGAGCTTGCTCGGCGGTACCCGATGTGGTCTGTGCATTCACGTGATACATGGAAACTCAACGTCACCTCTGTTCTTCGAGCAGACATCAACCACATCCAACCTTTTCCTTGCGCTGAGAATCTCCAGCACATAACAGGGAATATCAAATAGCTGATGGAGCCAACAGCCATCTCGTGGCGACTCTGATATGTATCGCTTGTCAAGGTGTCACAGCCCAGCCCGCTGGGTACGCTCACTCTGGGCGCTTGCGCTGTAACGAGTATCGCAGTGAGTACGTACGTGTTCTGCTTGCGCTGACCGTCTCATTCTCTACCTCAACTGCCTCAACTGCACGACTGTAGCCGGTCCAACGAGATCAGCTGTGAAGAGTCCCTTCGCCTGAACTGAATTCATTTGCCAGTCGTGAGATGCGCCTCATCAATACTACCACTCTGGAATTGCACACGTTCTACAACCGCACCATCCCACGCTATGCAACTCTGTCACATTGCTGGGCTGAAGACGAGGTCTCGCTCGAAGACTTCAACGCCGGCGCCCGCGACAAAGCCGGGTTCAAGAAGATCTTCAACGTCTGCAGGCTGGCCAAAGAAGAATACGATCTGGATTGGCCTGGGTTGACACATGCTGTATCGACAAAAGCAGTAGCGCGGAGCTGTCGGAATCAATCAACTCAATGTACGTATGGTACCAGAAATCTGTGGCCTCCTATGTCTTCTTAGAAGATGTGGATATCGAGGGCGCTGGCTGGATGCAAGACTTCGCCGACGCTCGCTGGTTCACACGAGGCTGGACTCTCCAGGAGCCACTTGCGCCGTTATCGGTCCGATTCTTTGACAAGAATCTGCAGTTCATAGACACCAGAGAGGGTCTTGCTAAAGATATCTCTCGCATCACTCGGATTCCGGAGACTTTGCTATGCGGTATGTGGAGCGAGTATCGAACGACGAGCGTTGCATGTCGTATGAGTTGGGCTTCCCATTGGCAAACGACCCGAGAAGAAGACATGGCTTATTGTCTTCTTGGCCTTTTCGACGTCAACATGCCCCTGCTCTACGGAGAAGGCAAGAAAGCTTTCCGACGCTTGCAGGAACACATCATCAGCTCCTCAACAGACGACTCCGTCTTCGCATGGATATCTAGCGAGGCCAGCGACGAAGTCATCCATGGTGATGGTCTTCTTGCATGCGCTCCCAAAGACTTCGCTCACTCCGGCAACATCGTCTCCCTCGTTTCAACCGCGCGGCCCCCAACGACCGTGACAAACAAAGGCGTTCAAGTCCACTATGCCATAACAGGTCTCGGGGACCTGATATGCCACGCCGTGCGTTGGTTCATCAACAACACCGCCTCTCCGAAGACAATCTACCTGGACCTCAACTGCGCACAGCAGACTAATCGCAAACCATTGCAGTGGAGCACTATCCCACTCGAATCCAGAGCCACACACGACGACGTCTACCACCGCAAAGACAGCACATTTCTGCTTCGAAGGCAAGTCAACCTGTCCGTTGGGCCCCGTGTCTACGCCAAAGTCTACGTAGGCCCACACAACGCACTACAAGGAAAACACGACCTGCGCCTTACTCTTTAGAGAAGTCCTGGGGGCGGTTGGCTTAGCTCACTCCAGGCGTTCATCATCACTCGCTCGCAAATCTACTCGTTTGCCGTCCTGTCATTTGCCGTCGACGTCGAAATCCTCATCTCCTACCAGACACACGCGTTCGCACTAAACACATGGGTCCGCCAATTCCTCTTTGTTCTGTATTTCCTCGGATTGACCGATGTCGTGTTGGAGGCATTTCACGTCAAGAATCGAGCCTGGCACAGGGGACTCGTTTGCTTGGCCGTGATGGTATTCGTGGCGGTTCCGCTACCACTGATGTTGGCAGCTGCCTTCACGTTGGTGTTCAACGTGGTCGACGTGCTTGTGCCTTATACAGAGTTTCGACCGGATAGCGGAGGATAATGATATTGAGAGAAGAGGGAGAGTGGATTAGTTAAAAGGGGCTCACTCCTGAACTCCTTCGCGATACCCCAAATTTGATTTACTCTTCATCATTCACACGATAGGTCGACACACTTTGAAAAGATCGAACGCTGCGTATCTCATTTTCCACATCTCTACAATGCTCGCTTTCAGTCAGAGAACACCTCTCCCTCTAAAAGCGAGAGTCTGTCTCTCCATCCCATCATGCCGTCGACCCCATCGCTAATGCATCAAAACATCAAAATCACACAATGCCACCCATCCCACTCACTACTCACTCAAACTCCACACGATTCCCCCCACCTCCAGCAGCCTGCTCCCTCCTCATCCTCTCCGCCCGCCTCCGCCTTCGATTACTCTCGAAAACACTCACATCCGTCCCAGTTCCCATATCCGTCCCCGTGCCGGCGACATTGGGAGGGCTGCCCACCGCACCGCTACCAGCTGGGCCAGCAGCCGGTAAGAGACCCGCCGGGGGAACAGGGGAATCTGAGGCTTGAGGGACACGGCCTGGCGCAGGTACAGGAGGAAGATTGAGTTCCGAAGGCGGGCGATGGCTGCCTCCAGCCGAGCTCGACATGGCAGGCGGTGGAGGAACATTCGTGATGGGCTGGTCGCTTGAGCGTCTTATCGCGCCGTTGCGTCTGTATCGTGAGGAACCAGGTTCTTCGCCTCCAGAGCTCAGACTCGATCCTCTTCTCGTTCGGCGCTCCCGTCTTCTCGCTGCGCGCTCGGCGGCGGCTTCCTGTTCGTTCAGTCGTCGCAGTGTGACTGCCCCACCGTCTGGGTGGACGTTCATCTTGAGGCTGACTGGGGGGCTACTTATGCCACCGTTGTCGTTTCGGGATCCTGATGCGGCTGCGCTGCTGCCTCGACGGTCTTGTCTTGTTCGAGAGCCTCTTCGCCGAGAGGGGGATTGCGATTGCGTTCGCTGACCTGCTGCAAGACCTGCTGCTGCCACGGCGGCTTCTTCTGCTGCTGTTGAAGTACCATCTCGATACATGCCGCCTGTGCCTTGTTGTTGAGTCTGCGTCTGCTCAGATACAAGCCTGGATGGGTCTGGGTACACAGCTCCCTGAGGCATAGCTAGTGACCCCGGCACTGGTGCCTGATAGTCGGCGGGTCTGCTAGCATTCGGAGGCGGTCCTGGCGGCGGAGGTGGGATAGGGAAGTTGATATTGGTCGTCTGCTGCTGATGCTGCCCATGAGGCGGTGGTTGCGGCACATGCTGTTGACTGATGCTCGGTCCCACTGTACTCGGCGGTGCACCGCTCGCAGACGGTATCGTCCCTGCTGCAGCAGGAAGAGGAGGCTGCAAAGTGTCTGGACGGAAGTTTGTCCTCGAAAGCTCTGGATGACTACCCACCGTTGGGTCTTGAGGACCTGTCATGATCGTCCCTGACAGGCTCTCCCTCCTTCCGCTGGCATCTTGCGGCCTCGGATATCGATTCGAGTTTCGACGGTTGAATTGCTCCTCACTATCAAGCTCCTGCCGCCGTATTTGATCGTTCCTATCCTGCTCCCTGCGGTCTCTTCGCCTCCTGTTCCACTCACGGAATCCAGCGACCGCGCCCATGGCAGCTATACTCTCTCGCAACGTTTGGCCACCATCAGCAGGACGCCTTGGGGGAGGATTGACATAGCTCTCGTCGTCATCGTACGACATGGAATCCATGCTTGATCTCCTGGGTGGTATGCCAGTTGGCCGCCGTCCAATTCCTGGTCGCGTTGGTGTCATGGTAGACGTATCTTCCACCCGTACTCGTCTGCCTGGCCTCTGATCACCCGGAGAGAAAGGGGCCTGGCCAGCTTCCACGCGAGATACGTCCGTCTGGCTGACCATGCTCTGATCGCCTGGCCTGTAGCTGACTTGAGAATCCACATATCCATCATTCCTTCGCTTCCTCCCACCGAACATGCTTTTAACTCCCTCGAAAGCTGCAATCCCAGCGCCAGCGCCCAAGATCCGATCTCGCCAAGTATTCGGTCCCCGCTCTGGTCGACGACCGTACTTCTCCTCAGCCATCTCGTCATCTTCCCAGCTTTGTGGAGACATCATCGTCCCATCGTTTCGACGAGCACGATTGCTGCCTCTGCTCGGCGGCCTGGCTCCAGCATATGTTGCTGGTGGAGGCACACTTCCTGGAGGTGGGCCATATCCGGCACTGGGAGTTGGTCCATACCCAGCGACTGGGGTTGGGCCATATGGATCTGGGATCCGAGGACCTGGACCTGGACGCGGCGGTCCCATTGAAGAGCCTGGGCGGCCTGGTGTATGCGGCGGTCGACCCGTCATCTCGCTGTCCTCGTAGTAGGTATTGTCCTTTTCTACTCGCCTGTCATCACGCTTCCTTCTGTACCACTCATACGCTCCAATTAGACCCGCGCCCGCTAGGATATTCCGTCCCCAATGCGATCTGTCTCGGCTCCTATCTCTTCGTCTACCATCTCCAGTAAGCTGTGTTTGGTCACCGGTAATGTAGCTACCAGTGTAGTCGGAGTAGTAGTCGGATTGAGCAGGTCTCGGAGGAGGCCCCACTGCACCAACCAGACGAGCCTTGTTCCTGTACTCGAGCGCAAGGTATGCGAAGAGTAATAGTGCTCCCCACAGAGCGTACAGGATAAAAAGCACCTTCGGCGAGCCGTAAAGCGTCAACCCCAGCGCAACTTGTACAAACGCAAGAAGCGCAACAGCTCTTCCAAACAATCTGTGCAAATGCACCTTGACAGGTATCGTCGGATGTGGTCTCGTTCTCTTCCTCTCCCTCCTCGTCATCCACCAGCCATATAAGAACTGCACCAGAATGCAGACATAAATCGCAACTCCAATGCCATGATGTGGATTCGTCAAACTCCTCTCCGGTCCTACTGCGAACCAACCCAGCACCAGCACGACTGTCGCCAGGAATACTGTGATGATCTGCATGTAGACATGCAACTTGAAAGCCACCCTCCCCTCGGTATGCAAGAACCTCGCAATGAATATCGCACCCGGTACGATTCCCAGAAACGTGATCGCCGCAATGACTCCATGTCCCGTCACTAATACATGATACTCTGGCAGATCTCGAAAGCGATTCCCCATGCCATTGTATTGCATCGTCGCAAAGTTGAGGCCTTGCAGGTTCGGGAGGAGGAAAGTATTGCGATCCGAGTCCCAGGTGCCATCGCCGACGTACATAGAACTGCTATCGTACGTCGAGCTGCCCGGCGGCGAGAGGTTGTCGCCGGTCGACATGTTGATCGAAGCCGATCTGTGTACGGATTGCTCTTGATGTGTGTGTTGCGCTCAAGGCGCTCTCTGTTCGGTCGAGGTCGTCGTCATAAGGTCATGGCGGTCGTAACAGTCGTCAAGAGGTAGTCGCGGTATCGTCCAGCAGTGGGCTGTGAGGGATGGATAGTTTCTCGTCAACCAGCGGTCAATGAATTCGTATGGCGGGGTAAACGTCTGGAGTGGCTCGGAGCGAGTGTGGGTATCGATGCTGAACGACGGATTGTGCCTGGAAATGGTTGACGGCAATAGCGAGGTGTTGTTGGAGCTCTGCGGTGTATGATGCGACGAGACTAATGCGTGGCCGCTCCTGCGTTGTTCACAGAGAGCTTCCTCCTCCACTCTCAGCTGGCGGCGAGCTGCAAGATGCCCGTCCGGATGTTGACACCCGCATCGCCCGAGCAACCACCAGCCAACCCTCTCGCCTGCAGCCGGGAACCTTGTCCAACTTCTGCACCACTTCGTCTTGTCTTCGACGGCACGATACTGTCAATGAAATTCTCCGTCGTATTGGAAATGATCCAGATCCTACTCACAGTTCAGCTACCTTCAAGACGTGAGGTCGCCGCCCGCATTCCAGCTTGATCGAAGAATGTGAGGAGAAGGTTATCGACTCACGACGCTAGCCTCTTCCGTCCCTCTACGGGGTCCCAATAACGCGTCCAATAATCGCGTCTCCCCTCCACATCCACACCACCACATCACATCCTCCCACCACAACAATCACCACCAAAACCCACCAACCCACAACAATGGCAGAAGCAACCTCCCGCTCCCCCTCGCCCCCCCTCCCACCCCCAACGCCCTCCACCCCAGGCCCCCGCGCCACAGCCCTCCAAAAACTCTACTCGGACGCCATAACCCACATCCTCAAAACCTGCTCCTACACCAACTTCGCCTCCTGCTACCCGACGCCCTCCACCAACGTCCCCGCCTCGATGCGGCAGCTCCACGACCAATTCACGCAGAAACTCGCCGAGTACATGCGGCGCGAATTCGAAAATATCCTGGTGGATAGGAACGTCATCCCGTCCTTGAACGAGCTGGATCGACTCATTGAGGACGCGAAGAGACGGAAAGCCCGCGCGGCCGTCGAGCAAGATGAGAAGGACCCCGTGCCGCCGCATACCCTTCCCGCGCAGACCTTGTACATCTCGCATCTCGCGCCGAGTCTGAAGGGGTATGATCAGGAGATCCGATCGCGGCAGGAGGCGCTGGCGGGGGAAAACCAGGAACTGATCGCGAGGGTGCTGCAGCAGAGGAAGGACCTTCAGAGATTGATGGAGGGGTTGGAGGGGGTTGTGGAGGATTTGAATGGCAGTGTGAAGGCGCTGGTGCCGGAGGAGATGGAGGGGTTGAAGGAGGAGAATCGCGAGGTTGATGAGGTGATGAGGGATTGATTTTGGGGTTATGAGTGGTTTGGACGCGAGCATGAGGGCGTTTGGGAGCGGATGGGTCTGATTTTGAGATACCACGACTGGGAAAGTCTTTTTATTGGGGGGAAAAGGGATTTGCGATTTGCAAAAAGCGATGGGAATTACGCTCTCGTCATTATCGAAACAACGCTCATGCGACATATGCCAACACCTCTGGTGTTTGGTCAAAACACGACTGCTCGCGAATCATTCTTCTAACCCGACCACAACGAAAAGCCAGACCCAACGACAGACAGTCGCGTGCGCGGTAGTGTCCATGCGACACAAAATCCAGGGGGTATAATGTGCGTGCTTCCTTGCACAAAGAGTAAATCCTCAAGGTAATAAACGCCAGTGATCTCGCTCTCATCCATCCCACAGCCCCTTTGACCCTGAAGCCGGTAATGTTGGTACATTCTCATCTCCCAGTCGATGTTGATTTCATTACTCGTTCTTCTTGTCTTCTGGCCCAGTTGCTTTGCCGTTGGCGGCATGCCCGACCATGTCGCTATGGGACGCGAGACCGCCGTCTATAGTGCGATTGAGCTCCAGTCCGGGAGTCGGTGCAGGTGTTTCGTCAAAGTCCACGGACTGCACCGACTCGGTGGCTGAGTCCAACGGTGGAATGGTGTCTGTCGATTTGCCACGTTGGTGAAGGCTGCCGTCGATGTTCGGGGTCATCGCGTCTGCGGCCGGCCCCAGATCCAAGGCAGTCGTTGCCGCGGCTGAAGTGCTATCCAATCCAGTGGGTCCAGCTGGAGAAGCAAACGGGCTCGTCACTGCAACGCCATCTTGTCCTGTAATATCTGGACTCTTGGACATGCGAGCGACTTCCTTGCGAAGCTGGTCCATCTCCTTCTCCATTCTGCGTCCAAAGACATCGATGTAGTAGGTCGCGCCGTTCCAACTTGCGAGTGAGAATACAATCATCATGAACGAGGCTGACGCCCATCGATACCAGAACCAGATGGGACATGGTAGCATCGTCAGAAGGGCGTAGAGGTACTGGATACACATGAACACCGTCTCCTGATATTGATCCGGGAACCCCAGGACGAACTTGCCCAAGAAGTTCCCACGATAGCTTCGGCGCAGCCAAGTGAATGATGTTGGTCGTCCGGCTGCGATCTTGGCTCGTTTGCGCACAGTGATCATGAAGTGGTACGATAGTTGCCAGATAGCGTAGGGAAGAGTAGCCCAGATGATCATTTCAACCAGGCTGTAATGCTCGGGTGCGTCCGGGGCTGAGTACTTGATGGTGTGAATTGCTGGGAACTTTTCCAGTTGCATTGACTCAGGAATCAGATGGACAAGGACGTGTAGCGTTGCACAAGGCATGATATGGACGAACAGCCTATAAAGAGTCAGTGATTGTCATGATGTGTAAGGAACAGATATGATGTCTTCGTCTGCTCGCCACAGGCAGTCAAATGGCAACGCAGAGCAGACGAAAACATCACTTGCAAATGGAGAGAACATACGTCGTCGTCTGTAAAATGTCAGTATACGTTATCTCATTCCATGATTGCAGATATGCATACCTTGTCAAGGCTGTGAAAGACCAGGCTGTTCCTCCACATGGCAATTGCAACAGCATTGTTGCCAAACGCCAGACAGTATGTGCTGATGAAAAGGCGTTTCGATTGCGGGAAGAACCAGATGGTCAAAACGAGGAGCATGTTAACAAAGTAGCAGAGATCCGCCAGGAAATAGTGGAAGCCAATCTTGTGGTATTTGTACCACCGGATTGGCATAAAGTAGCTGTTACAATGTTAGTGGCATTCTGCCATCAATTCGTGTGTAATGGACTCACATCAACTGAATGGTGTACCAATAGTGGAAGTACTCCGGGTATGCGCCGATCATGTAGGCAGAAATGAAGATGTTGAGAACGGCAGTCACAAAGGAGACCTTCTCCATCATCGTCACGGTCTTCGCATCGTTCCATCGCCTGTTCAGACGTTCGACCGACAGCCTGACACGCTTGCGATACTTGTCAAGCCTTTCCTCTGGAGCAACATGGACACGTTTCCTCCACTCGTCGACGATGTTGTTCTTGCTTGAGAGCGCACGCGACGCAAGCTTTGCCCTCTGCCGCCTCAGTTTCTCTGCATTGTGATGGATCGCATCTTGCATCTTCTCGAGCCGTTGCGGCAGAGCCAAGTTCTCCAATATATCGAACATGGTCAAGCGATCGACGGGCGGGAAGTTCTCGTTGCCGAACGACTCGAAGGTGCTCCCAACATCAGACGAACTATTAGTCCGCGACAGATATCCAGGCGTACCGGGAGTGCTCAGCCCACTCACTGAGCCGCCAGCAGACAGGTAGTCTTCGGCAGGCTTGAGCGAATCGCTGGGAGTGCGTCCATGACCCTTGTTCGCCCCGTCCGGGGGCGGCTTCAGGTCTTCTTCTTTTGCAGCAGCCATTTGGTCGAGCTCTTGTGTCATATCGTTGGGTTTGTTGGTCTTTCTGGGCGCGTCGATGTCTTCGAGACGGGCAAAGGCCTCGAGCTCTTCCTCGGGGATGAGCTCTAGGTAACTGGAACGATGGCCGGGGAAGTAAGGGCGTCGTAGGTCGGATTTGTAGGTGAGTGGCATCTTATGAAGGCATCTCAGTCAACAGCGGCTCAGAACGGAAGGGCATGTGACCGCCAGTCGGTGCCTGACCTGGGTGGGAGCGACGGGGCTTAATGCGAGAGTGACGGAGAGGCTTACTCGACGTGGAGGGCGGAGGCTGCTGCGCGGCGACTCCAAGTATATTGTTGATGTTCCAGACGCCGTTTCGCGTGCCGTCAATCTGCCACGGCCAGCAAAACACCAGCGCAACACAGTGGGAGCTCGCTCATGCGCGGGCAGCCAGCTCGCTCCTCCGCTGCTGCTGTTATAGGTGGCAGATGTACGGTGCGTGGGCGAAAGAGTCGGTGGAAGACAACCTATCACTGGCGCGCGGAGGGTGAACGTGCCCGGTCGACGTCACCTGCCGTGCCGGAACCTAGATTGTGCTGATTCAGCCACATCGCCCGCCCCAAACGCGTGTGAGCCCTGGACGCGACGAGAGCAGTAATCGCATCGCAAACACACCACTTTCACTCGTTCCACGCTTGCATGTGATACCGCCCTGGTCGCGAGTATACCACACCTGGGCTGAGGGGCGCCTAACCATCAACACCTCCAACAATCCTCCCACTCGCGCGACAACATGGGCAAGCTCCTCGCGCTCGAGCTGTACAACTTCAAGTCCTACAAAGGCCACCATGTGTTGCAGTTCGGCGACAGCTTCTTCACGTCGATCATTGGCCCCAATGGATCTGGCAAGTCCAACTCCATGGACGCCATCTCCTTCGTCCTGGGCATCAAGTCGTCTCACTTGCGATCGCAGCATCTCAAGGATCTTGTGTACCGTGGTCGCGTGCTGAAGCATTCCAAAATCAATGCCGATGGAACTGCAACGGATGAAGTCCCAAACGGACACGTCAATGGCGATGCGGTGAATGGAGCAGATGATGTTGATGAGGAGGTGGAGGTGCCGATTGAGAGTCAGCGGAACGACCCCCAGACAGCTTGGGTCATGGCAGTGTATGAGGACGATGCCGGAGAAGAGCAGAAATGGAAGCGCACCATCACTTCCAACGGCCAGTCAGAGTATCGCATCAACAACAAGCCCGTGACCGCGAAGACGTACAACGAGGCACTTGAACAAGAGAACATCCTGATCAAGGCCCGAAACTTCCTCGTCTTTCAGGGAGATGTGGAAGCAATAGCATCGCAGTCGCCGAAAGATCTGACCCGCTTGATTGAGCAGATCAGTGGCTCACTCGAGTACAAGGCCGACTACGAGCGATCGAAGCTGGAGAAAGAGAGAGCAGAAGACGACCAGAGATATAAGCTGGATCAGCGACGTGGTATCAATGGCGAGATCAAGCAATATCGAGAGCAGAAGGAGGAGCTTGACAAGTACGAGCAAACGCGCGACCAGAAGTATGAGGCAGTGGTCACCCAGATCCTGTGGAAGCTCTTCCACTTCCAACGCACAATCGAAGACAGCACTGCCGAGATACAGCGACACCAGGCCGAGTTGAAGGAATTCAGGCGTAATGTGCAGAAGTTCTCAGACCGGCTGGAAGCGGCAAAGGCAGAGCAGGCCAAGGTTGGCCGTGAGGTGAACAAGTGCGAGCGAGAAATCAAACGCAAGGAGAAGGAGGTCGAACAAAAGGAGAATTCGCTCATTCCCGTTGACGAGAAGCTCTCGATTCATTCGTCCAATCTGGAATCATACCGAAAGAGAGTAGACGACATTGCAAAGGAGCGCGACGACAAGAAGAAAACGTTTGAGAAATTTGAGAAAGACCTCCAAACAGTGCAGACCGCGCAGAAGCGTTGGGAGAAGGAGTGGAATGCCCAGCAGCAGAAGATGGGCAGGAAGCTGAACGACGCTGATCTTCAAGAGTTGGAGCGTCTTCGTAGAGAAGTTTACAAGCGTGCTGGGAATGATCGAAACAAGATCGACACCATCACACGACAGCTCAAGACTGATGAAGAGACCGTAGCCTCTCTGAAATCGTCACTCGAAAACACGGAAGCCCAGGCCTCGACCTTGCAAGAAGATGTTGACGGGCTGAAGCAGCGGCGTGAGGAAGTGCGTCGCACTGTTAAGTCTACCAGCAAGGAGATCGATGCCAAGAAGGTTGCCATCAACGCTTTGATCAGTGACCGAGACCGCACAGAGCAAAAGTCTCGAGAACTGGACGAGAAGCTACACCAGGTGCTCAGTAAGCTCGACGAGGCCATGGGCTTCCAGCGCGAGTCTCACAAGGAAGCTCAACAACGAGAGTTGGTCTCCCAGCTGAAGCGTATCTACCCTGGCGTTCGCGGTTTGCTGGGCAGTCTCTGCAGGCCGAAGCAGAAGAAGTACGAGACTGCTGTGTCGACTGTCTTGGGACGTCATTACGACGCGATCGTGGTCGACACCGAGAAGACCGCTAGAGAATGTATTCAGTTCCTCAAGGACCAGCGTACGGCTTCGGCCACGTTCATTCCCCTGGACACCATCATACACAAGCAGCCCAATGCGAACCTGCGAGGCATGCACCAGGGCATGAGACTAGCCATTGATACCATCGACTTCGACACAAACCTGGAGCGAGCCATGAGTTTTGCATGCGGCAATGCCATCGTCACTGACACTATTGCCATCGCAAAGAACTTGGTGTACAACCGCAACGTCGATGCTAAGGCAGTCACGCTCGACGGCACTGTCATCCACAAGGGCGGTAACATGACCGGCGGTGAGGGTATTGAGAAGAAGCGTCGATTCGAAGACGCAGAAGTTGACAACCTGCGCACCATGGCAGACAAGTTCAAAGGCGAGATTGATGCATTGCCAAAAGGTCACAAGCGCCAGTCCGAGGAAGAGAAATTGCGGTCTGATCTGACAGGCTTGGAGACGAAGCTGAAATATGCTCAAGACGAACTGAAGACACTGGATCGCAACATCGACAGCAAATCGCGAGAGCTGCAACATGTCCAGTCTCAGCTTAAGGATCTGAGACCAAAGTATCAGGAGCAGGCTCGTGGCGTCGAGACCTTGCGTGAGCAGCTCGAAGACCACACTGCAGCACTGGCGGAGATAGAGGACGAGGTATTCGGTGCCTTCTGCCAGCGTGTGGGATACGAAAACATCCGCGAGTACGATCGACAACAAGGCGCTTTGCAAGAAGAGGCCACCAAGGCCGCGGACAATTTCAAGAGACAGATCTCACGACTCAACCAGTCGGTGACGTATGCAAAAGCAGATCTGGCAAGCACCGAGAACAGACTGAAGAGTGTTCAACAATCGAGCAAGCGTGACGAGGACATGGTCGCCGCTCTCGAGGCGGAGAAAGAGCAGATCACTGCAGAGCTCGAAGAACTGAATGAGGAGATCGCAGAGCTGAATGGACAGCTCGAGGAGCTGAAGAAGCAATTCGACGAGCGAGGCCAGACTGTACAAGAAGCCAGACGAGAGCTGGCAAAGCGCAGCAAGGGCGAAGAGAAGACGGTCAAGGAGATCAACGTCCTCGACGCCGAAGTCCAAAGGGCATCCAGTGGACGCTACGGCATCCTACGAAGCTGCAAGGTCGAAAACATCACCCTTCCACTCGAGCGCGGCAGCCGCAAGGTCGACTCCCTCCCCATGGAACACACCGTCCTCGAAGAAGACGAAAACGCCATGGACGTCGACGGCGAAGAAGGCATCTCAGCCGCTAAGCTCAAAGATTACGGCATCTCCGTTTCCTTCGACGACCTGGATGACGATCTCAAAGAAGACCCCAGCGACGAATGCGAAGCCAGCCTCTCGGAAAAAATCAACACCCTCCAAACCTCGCTCGACAAGATGGCCCCCAACATGCGCTCCGCCGAACGCCTCGAAACGACCGAAGCCCGCCTCAATGCCACCGACCAGGAATTCAACCAGTCCAAAACCGCCTACAAGAAAGCCAGCAAAGCCTTCGAAGACATCCGCGCCAAACGCATGGATCTCTTCCAAAAAGCCTTCCAGCACATCTCGGAGCAAATCGGCCCCGTCTACAAAGAACTCACCAAGACGCAGTCCTTCCCCCTCGGCGGCAACGCCTCCCTGGACGTCGAAGACGAAGACGAACCGTACCTCTCCGGCGTGAAATACCACGCCATGCCGCCCCTCAAACGCTTCCGCGACATGGAGCACCTCTCCGGCGGCGAGAAGACCATGGCGGCGTTGGCGCTGCTCTTCGCCGTGCACACGTACGCGCCCTCGCCGTTCTTCGTCCTCGACGAGGTGGACGCCGCGCTGGACCATGCGAACACGACCCAGTTGGCGCAGTATGTCCGGGAGCATGCCGGGCCTGGCATGCAGTTTGTGGTGATTTCGCTCAAGACGGGGCTCTTTCAGAACAGTGAGACGTTGGTGGGGATTATGCGGGATCAGGCGGTGAACAGCTCGAGGGCGTTGACGTTGGATGTAAGTTTTGATTTCTTTCTTAACGTGGTCATTGTGATGATGCTAACGTGTTTGTCACAGCTACGAAAGTATCAGGCTGTCTAATAAGTCACGATACGAGACGACGTGATTGAGCGGACAATTCCGTCCTAATGTCTTACTTTGCTTGCGGCGTTCAAAGTTGCAAAATCGAGCCTTTGCTCATGGCGGTCCAACCAAGCGCGAATTCCCAGCAAGCAAGGCGTTTCTACAACACAAAATGAGGTGGATGGATACCATACGCTATTCAAACCCCTTCGAGTTCTTTCGCGAAGCCTGAATCCCAAAAAAAGGAATCAGCAATTCTCCATATCACCGGTATTATCATCATCATTACTCGCTCCACGCATCCCATCTCATCCCAACCTCAAAAAGCCAATCTCATAGGATTTCGTTCGTTAGAGGTAATAAGAGGAGCGAAAAGCTTCCCGAGTCTTGGGTATATGGGAGTGGATACATATTTATGTCCACGACTCGTAGCCATGTATGATTTTGCGTTATAGTGCACATGGCCACCTGCTACTCATGTGTGTAATAAGAGCGACGTCAACGAGATGATGTCGTTTTTTCTAATGTTAGTATCGATCGTGCTGACCACGAGCCTGTCGTCGACCGGATTTCTGGAAGATCGTCCACTCTGCCAAATGTCACGGACCGAGTGCTGGTATGTCGACCTGTTTTTGTGCACGAGCAAGAGTGAGGGTGTGCTTGGACGTGAGGAATCCAAATATAAGAACAAGCGCAATTGCGCGACTCACCGTACATACCTCGTTCGTATGTGATTCGTATGTGCTTCATCAAATTCGACACTCCCAACTCAAGAGACTGAAGCTTCCCTCCAAGCTTCCCTCACCTTTCACGTGCAATGCGTCTCAACGAAAGCGACAAGATGCCACTGCACAAGACCCGCGTCAGCAACGCCCAGCGACCATTAAGTGCGGTCATGCGCTGTCAACGTAGTCCAAGCGTGCAAGCCCGTACAACCAGAGCCCCGGCGCCGTCGCACCAACAGGGCGGCATGGGTCCTCACCGGCAAGACAGGGCTATCCTGGACTCCCGTGGCTGTCTGAAACTCCGTCGCAGCGCGGACATCCCGCCATCCCGACGACAGGTCGCAAAAGTCTCTTGCGCTTGTTTCGGTATTTGAGAAAGATCCCTGAGCATGTCGAGAACTGGTCGCGCTTCGGCACGAGAGCGGCTAAAGTATAGTCGATCGCGGAGATGGTCGTCTTTTGATGAGGACAGTGGAGCTTTGGAAGGATTCTTTGGCGATGTTGCACAGTTGAGGTTTGAATCGTTTTCGACTTTAGATGAGTTGGGCGTCTCCGCTGAATCGGACTTCCATGGTCGTGGATATTAATTGTGTCCAGGATGATGGCGAGTCTCGCGTGGTGAGATGCATGTATCCGGACGTCAGCCGGCACGGACATTGAGTAGGGGTCGTTGTTCTCGACCTCATCAGCAACACATTCTCCTCTAGCTGGTGAGATGAGCCAAAGTCTCTACCAATGTTGAGATTGGGCTGGACCAGGGTATTGAATGTCATGGCCAGAAGAGTGTGGCCTTTGGCGAAGAAGAAGACAAATGAGGTCAAAATTAAGTGACATGCGTTCCAACGTCTGGCAGACGATCTCAATCGAGGCTCACGTTCTGGAAGTTGCTGTTACAAAGCTTGCCTCGCTGCCTTGGCCAGGTGGGTAACAACGTCCGAAGGCCATGTCGAAATAGCCGGTGGTATGCGCGTTGGAGCAACGCGTGCGTGAATGGCCTTGTTCTCTCGTGATGAACAAAAGTTGAAGCTGTCGGCTGTAGAGCTGTCGCTGCTGTCAAGTGATGGATGCCAGGTCAGCCAGCAGCTTCGGCTCCATGGTACCATCGTACCAGGACCTCCTCAGTGCCGTCCAGCAATCCACGAATGCGGTGTTGAAGGAATCGCCACGTCTTCAACGATCTGCAGATGCCGAGCGATCCTGATTACTGCGAGTGAGAAACTTGCCATGGACAAAATATTGTTCTCCCAAATGGCGAGCAAAGCACAAAGCTACTGCATAACGCGTCGGAGGTCCGCCCAACTCACGGCGGTACCTGCATTGTCATGCATGGCGGCCGTCAACTCTCCGGAAGACTCATGTGCGCATGGATCCAAGTCATCGGCTCGCCACAAGGAATGCAGCCGGCAAGTCGGCTGGCCGACAGAGGGCGGATTTGGCGAGATGTCAACGTCCAGATAGGCAAGTGCAGAGGGAAGACGTCGATGGAGGAAATGAAGGGAGAAGCAGCATCAGCCACAGAGATGTTGTGGGTGGTCAGGCACGAAATCACGGCGGGAGAGAATGAGGTAAAGTGCCAGGGGCACGGTTCTGCAGGCCGGCGAGATGGTGGGGCTAGCAAAGTCAAACCCCAGCCCGATATCTCGTGCACGGATGGTGAGTGATTGTTTGGCGGCGATGATTGGAAGTCAGCGGCCGTTGGTCGAGGACGGGACGGGTGCCGCGATCTTCGAAACGAACGACGGAGCGTTGGCTGTGGACGACGAGCAACGCGCGCTCGCGATGTGGCGCACGGCGGGCCATTCGTCTCCACGTTCGATGGCGATGTGCTGGATTTGCGGTGCTGGAGGCGAGGACGAGGCCAATGGCGTTGCGAGGAAGCTATTTGATTGAATATTGATTGACTGCATTGGTCGCGCGGGGGAGTCGATGGAGCAGCATTCGCGGTGCAGGAGGCTCGAAAGAGATGCAGCGCAGATTGGGTGGAGTGGTCGTGGAAGGGGACCCGGGGTGCTGGTCGCGGCGGGCGTCGATTAGGCGCAACCTTGTCCGCGCCTCTCGTTGCAGGCGGGCGCCGGCTCCTGGCTTGTTCGGCGACAGACAAGAAGCCAGCACGCTACCAGGGCCTGGCTGGCTGGCTGGCTTCATCAGATGCGTTGCTGCAGTCCGTCCTGCGGTCAACGGCCTTCTGCTGTCGTGTCTCACCCTCCAACTCCGCTGCTGCGTGCGAGCGTTTGACCGCCAGCGTCTTCGTTGTTGCTGTTGCCGCACCTCACCAAGACCACCATCGCTCCTTCCACACCACCACCAGGTCCACTCCAGTCGCTCCTTCCTGCCGCGTCCTTTCTTCGAAACGACTTCCTCCGCCGTGTGCGCCTTCCCTTCTGCCGTGCTTGTCTTGGACTTGCTTGATGCGTGAGTCGAGCAATGGACTCCTCACCGGTACGTGACGCGACATACGTCTCAACCTGCGCGCGCGAGACTCCAATGCCTCAGATACTGACTGCCCTCTTCCAGCGTGAGCCGCAGCGACTCTCAGCGCTGTACCAATACCACAACGCCCCCGAGGTCGCGCCTGCCCATGGCCTAGAGTACGACGACACCGTCTATCCCTCCTCCGACAAGTACCCTGTCATCCACGAACGATTATACGAGGGCAAGCTCAGCGGAAAGTATGGCTTCGGCGGCGACAACAGACCGCCGCGGATCATCTTTGGAATGAAAGTGCGAACGTTCCTGGTGGTTGCATCGGTCATGGTGCTGGTCATAGTAGGAGCAGCAGTAGGAGGTGCGGTCGGCGGGCAGCAACTGAGGGAGAACCAAGCCCAGACGATGTAGTAAGTGCTACGGTCAATGCCCACATTCCACATGCACGTACTAACGTAGGCCTGTGTAGCACCAACGGCACCAACGCACCGGCATCGAATCCCTCAGCTTCGACATCCTCAGGACCCTCACCAACATCAACGTTCTCCGCAGCGACCCCGACATACACGCCACTATCAGACTGCCCCGATTCAAACAACACCGCCTACACATCCTCCTTCTCCAAAGGCTCCTCGGGCGACACCCGCAAAAACGCCGGCCTCCACTTCACCAAATACTGCGACCTGTCCAACCCGCTCTCCACCGACGGCGCGCAACGCATCGCCGAAGCCTTCGTCTACAGCTTCAGCGACTGCGTCGAGGTCTGCGCCGGCTACAACTTCTGGAACGACGGCTCCAACTGCACCGTCGCCGTCTACCAGTCCGGCGGCGGCCGTCCGGGCAACTGCTGGGTCGGCAACGCCGGCGACATCCAGGCCTCTTCCCTGAACGAAACCCAAGGGACCGACGTCGCGATTCTGACTACTTCGTAATGTGTATATACCCCTACCGACTAGAGGAGATACGGGCTATGGTGTCTACGACAGATGGTTTTTGTTTTTGACTGTGCTTTTGCAACAACAGCGGGGCGTCTCGGGATGTTTTCGTGTTTGGGAGTTTTTGAAGGGGCTGTCACCGCCTGGCTGTCGAAAGGAGCAGGCTTTGCTTTTTCATTTGTGTGACGTGACCAAAACGGGGAGAGGGCAAGATCACTTTTAAGACTTGCTGAGAGAATGGGGAGAGGAGAGGAGAGCTTCAAACCTACCAAAATCAACGACGGTTCTGAACAGTGAGAAGAAGGTGCAAGACAGACAGACGAAAGGTGTAGATAATGCGCCTCAGCCGACAAGATTCTGACGAAAAGAACGCTTTTTGAAAAGAAAACGTACGGACTACTACTAGTCCAACGCCTTTTCTTCATCAACCCTCCAAACATCCATCCCAACCCCACAAACCAACACCCCTTTTCCCTTCGCCATCCCCTCTCCCCTAGCATCCAACTCCATAACCTCCATACTCGACACATCCGCCACCGAAGTAAATCCCTCCCTCACCAACCTCACATCCACGCCCTCCACGCCCTCCTCCCCTACATCAACATCAACCCTCCACAACTTCACCCTCTGATCAATACTCGCAGAAACCAACCAGATCCTCACACCTGCACCACCGCCACCTTCCTCGACATCAACGACACCAAGCCCCGTCACAGCTGCCGCATGCGCGCCTGGCAGAACAAGACTCTGGCACGAGTTCCCCTCGCTCTGGACGCGCGTGATGCCGATAGCATTATCATCGCCTCCTGTAATCAGCACGCGAGATTGGTCGGGCAGATTGCAGGAGTGGAGGGCCAGGATGGCGTTTTGGTGGATTTTGTGGCGATAAGTCCATTCGAGTTTGTCGACGGCGGTGGGTTGCGGGTTGGGATGGTGCCAGAGGGTTATGTGGCCGTCTGTGCTGGCTGTGAGGAGAGTGGTGGGGGTTTGGAGGGTGGTAGAGGGTGGGTGGAGGTGGAGGACTTGAGTCAGACATGAGGTGAGGTAGTCGCCGGCTGCTAGGAGGATCCATGTTTGGGCTTGGGGCTTGTAGTGCCAGGATCGGAGGCTGGAGTCGGAGTAGGCTGTTGTGATGTGGAATGATTGATCATCTAAGTCGTGCACGTCGAAGTTCATGATGCGAAGATCGGACGTCCCGCTGCGAGGGTGTTTGGATTCGCAGATGACGCCGATGTTGATGTGTGGAATGTCTTTGGTGATTTTCCATGCGATGAGTTCTTCGAAGCCGCCGCTGGAGAAGAGGTGTTCGCCGTTGCTTGACCACTGGAGGTGTTGAATGCCGGTATTTTGCTTCTGGAGGGTGTGCAAGGTCTTGAACCCGCTGTTCTGGTAGATGCTAAGTTTGATGTCGGTATCTTCTGCACCAGTTGCGATCAGATGAACATCACCCGGAGATATTGCCGTGCATTTGATCTCCCTGCCATGACCACCTGGGTTGATCATCTCGCATGGTAGTCGCGATTGACTCTGGTGATATAACTTCGATGCCTTTGTCCATACAAACGTACTGCCATTCTCGCGAGGTTGGAAATTCCAGATTCGATGAGCACCACCACACTCGACAATCATCACTTCTTGCTGTGTCTGAACGTCAAACACCACGAATGAAGTGCTTCTGAAGCCCCATACTAAGAGGTGATCCTGCTCATTGAACCCCAGGCCCTCGATGTTGGGTCCGAAGGGGAGTGAAAGCTGGTGGACTGTTCTCATCTGTGGCTGAGAGTCTACAAGAGTGACTTCGTGGACAGCGTAGGTGCCGTCACGCCCACTTGATACTAGATACACCTCGCTGCCGGGCCTGCGAGTGGCTGTGGTGAGGAGTTTGGTCACTGTCTCGGCCGCATGCGCCTCTGGGTATTGAACGATGTGGAGGGTTTTGTTATCCATGCCCCTGTGCGTGATTTCGAAGATAGCAATCGTCCCGTTTCTGGATCCAAAGAACGCGAAGTCATGCTCATTGATCTGAGCACATGCAAAGCTGGTCGTCACAAAGCCAGTGGGAATGCAGAGTTCGTGGACGTCGAGTTTGCGCGTCGCTTGAAGGCTGTTAGGCTCGATGTAGTACAAAGATGCCGTTTTCTTGCCCATGTTCGTGATCAAGAGAGCAATTTTGAGCGGATTGACAGACATTTGCTGAACAAACAGCCCAGCTACTTTGCGACCAGTCTTCGCAACAGAAGTCAGCGTCTTAGAGTCTTTCCGGTAAATCCAAACTTCGCCATCGGCACCTGCCACGAACGCGAATTGCGAGATGCTTGCCATAACCGAATAGCCGCGAAGTCCAGCGATCGGGTCCGACACTTTGGTGTACATGGCATCCTTACCAGCCAGATCGGCGAGGTAGAGAGATCCATGATCAGTCGATGCCAAGACTTGAGCATCGTCGACAAAGCCATATGCTCTGAAGACGCCAATGTCGTGGTTGTCGTCGGTACTGTCTCTCTCAGCGATCGATGTGTCTTGTTCTATACGCAGAGGTGAGAAATGCTGCAGACTTATTGTGCCATCTGCACCGCCAGTCACAATTCTGTGGTTTCTTATAGCCAGCGACCAGATGTTCTTCCCATTGTGAGCTCTTTGCAACCCGACCTGTTGCAAAGAGTATGGCAGCGCGAATGTTCCAGCGTTCGCAGTGATGGCCCAAGTAATGTTGGATGCGTCCTCCCCAAATGACAGAATGAAGACGTCTCCAGTCGTCGTGTCCTGTTCGAATCGTACGTGCCAAATCCTGGAAATGTGTCCCATGACTTTGCCCAGAGCCGGTGGAGCATACGCATCGTTGTCTGAAGTAGAACCAAACCCAGTCTGACGTTGCTGTTCGATGAGAGTGGGACTCTTCACGCTGAGATCCGAGACGTCCCAAAGGCGAATTGTTCGATCATCGCTGCAGGTGGCTAGAAGCCTTTGCCGGCCTGCCAATCGTTCGGCTAGTGCAGACGACGATATTTGAACCCCAAATACCGATCCCTCGTGAGCTGAAAAGGTGTAGTGAGTTTGATGTTTAGCAGACAGCTTTCCTTCCACATCTTGTACAACGCATGACCATACGATCACATCGCCGAATGCTGTCCCTGAAGCAATGAGACATTGAGAGCTACTTAGCCATCTGATCTGGGCACAGTAGAGGATGCAGTTTGAGCCTGGGACCAATGGCTCGATATGGCCTTCTCCCAAGCCACTGGACGGTAGCAGCTGAAGTGAATTATGTGCAGTCACAAGTACATTCCGTCGGGGATTGTCAGAGCATGCTACTGAACAGCCCACGTCCAATATCCAGTCATGGGCTTCGAATCTGGCTCCGGCGTTCAATTCGATCGATCCCTTCGCGCTCGATGATACCTCGACAAAGCAGACACTTGAACCGCCCCATACGACGGCCCAACTCTCTTCATGCTCTGCCACATCAACGCCATGGATGGCTTGGCCGTCAAAGATTTCGACTGTAGCAAGAAGAGTTTTTCGATCGGCATCGTAGGCTTTGAGTAAAGTCCCTTCACCCGCAAGTATCACATGTTGGTTCCAGAACGCGAGCGCCGTCACCGGTACTCGGTTGTGTTCATGCTGCATGTGAGAAAGAGTCGCACGAGGATTGCAGGTTGAGGGTGGAAGGAGAGGATGTCGGGAGTTGCCGTTGGAGCGGAAATGGGTTGCTCTTTATCTCGCCAGACCGGCCTCCCTATACCTACTGTATACACAACGACAAAGACATGTATCGTATTACGAGTATGCACATCAACTCATGACATTGCGCTATCACGTCTCGATGGGATTGAAGTGTGCTGCTGACCAGATTCTGTGCCAATCTCGCAGATGACAGCAATGCGCCGTCCTCGTGACACCTGGTAGGCATCCTTTCGAACCATCTCTCCCAGGAATTCCGCAACCACCATTCCATTCTCGCGAACAGAGAACAGACAGCAATGTCGTCGAGTAAATCCTGGTTCGCCAGCGTCTCCTCCAGCAAAGGCCGACTGCTTTCCAATTCCAGCCATGAACTCCCTCGCTGGCGGACTCCCTCTCCCATGGCAGCGTCGATGATCCCACCACCTATCGTCCAAAGCATGCACCAATCGACTGCAAACCCTGCGACCGAATCAGTCATTATCGAGAAACTTTCACCGTTCGAAGATCGACAGCATGAGTTGGAGGCCGACCTACAATTCCTTCTCGATGCGCAAGTCGAAGGACTGACTCGCGGGTTGGATGGTGGATCTTTGGACGATCGCAGCTCTACGGGCAGTACAACACCGACTGTGCAGAGTATGAGAAGCGAGTCGGCGAGGCGACAGCGTAAGCCGATACGAAGACAGCCGGGACTGAGAAGCGCGCGAAAGGGCATATACAATAGCATTATCGCATTGTCGGCGCTCAAAGATGACGAGCTACGAGATATTGATGATCAGATTGAAGAGCACGAAGGCACTTTGGAGCAGATCGAGTCTTGGGAGCAGAAACGTAATGGGTTGAAAGAAGCTTCGGCGAAAGTCGATTCGAGTGAGCAGACCGTTCGCATACAGCGACTGAGGCAGGAGGCGGATGGCTTGCAGGCCGATATCAACCAGGTGGAGCTGCAACTCATGGAGATGAAGTCACGGCATCGCAAGATATTGGGACAAGCTGCAGATGCGGAGAATTCAATCCAAGCCAAGTTGGCTTCCTACACCAACAGCCTCCGACTGCTGGAAGAAGACGTACAGAAGTTCCTGAGCGTAAAGCCAACCGGGACTGATGCTCGTCCATCTTCACAAGACGGAAAGCAGTCCATGTGGGAGCTTCCAAGCAAACGAAGGAATCTAGACATGGCCAAGGAGTACTGGAACCAGCAGCGAGAGATGAGCGCCAATGAGCGACAGCAACACGAGCAGGAGAAAATGGCTTACGTCGAAGGTGCCGCTATGTGGAAGGAAGCAGTCACAGAGGTCAATGGCTTTGAGAGACAGCTTCGCACGGAAATGGCGGCTCTACGACCTTCGTCTCCGAACTCGCAATCGGCATGGGAGGATCAGGCGGATCCTGAGGAAGGCTCATCAGATGGGTTGAAAGGCTTACTGAACCAGATTGATGTGGTGATCGGTTCACTGGAGAAGAAGCACGAGACTGCCGAAGAGCGTGGTTGGAAGCTGTTGATAGCAGCAATTGGAGCTGAGCTGGATGCCTTGAAGAGGGGAAAACAGATCTTGTCGAATGTCTTGGGAGTCACTGCTGAGGCTGACCAGGCTGAGACAAATGGCCAAGACTTGGTGAAGATGGACTCTGGCGACGAAATACGTGCGCTGGATGAGAGCTTCCAGACTGCTCGACCTATTGGTTCAGCTCCATCTGTTCAAGAGGACGAGCATGATGGACCGGATGAAGATTTGCTGTTCTCAAAGCACACCGATACAGACACTGATTAGATTATGAACGAAACGATTCCTTTGAATATCCTGTCTCGTAAAACTCGGTGTCTCCCTGTTGTAGGTAACCTCTACTCATATGTCGCTGTTTCCTCATTGGCGCCCAACAAAGCCGCGGGTGAATGCAACTGCAGCGCTCGGACTTTCGCCCTCCTGACATCCCCGTCTCTTCTCTAACAACACCCACCACGCATGTAATCAGAACCACGACGGCGCAGTCAGACATACGCATCATTCCATAATATGCTGAGCGAGTGCATCGTCAGAACAGCTCGAGGGGCGCGCCACATCCCATGAGCAACCATGCCCGGATATGGAGTCCACATCCCATCCGTCCACGATGGACTCGTGCTCACCTGTCGCCTTCACTATTCCAGCCGCCTTGAAGATTTCGCGAACACTGAATGGGCCAAGCAGCGGGGTTATCGGGGCGCCATCGTTGCGCATCCTTATGCGCCGCTGGGAGGCAGTCAGGAAGACCTTGTTGTGACGGAGACGACCAAGACGCTGGTGGAGGCGGGATATGTTGTTATGACTTTCAATTTCAGGTGGGCAGTCTGAAATCTCCGTGTTGAATTTTCTGTTGACTCTGCGATTAGAGGTGCAGGAGACTCGCAGGGCAGAGCGTCGTGGACTGGCAAGGGGGAAATGGACGATTATACCAGCGTCTTTGGCTTCTTGTTGCACTATCTGGATACGCTTACTGTGCCAGAGGATCCCGACGCACTCAGTCCGGTCATATCAGCAAGAGACTCTCGTTTTGATGAGAGCGAGCCATTCGCTCCTCAAACTCGCCGCAAACATCCGGTTCACGTCCTACTTTGTGGCTACTCGTTCGGCGGCCTTATCATGGCTCGTCTACCGCATGTGAGCAAGATGATCGAACGCTTTGCAAGTGCTCCAGACGACTCGTTCGAAGCAAAAATCCGCCAGCAGGCTCAACAACTCGCAGAGAGCGATCAGAAAGTCCTTGATTCCAAGACGATTCCACACGGTTACAAGATGCATTCCGGCGCTTTTGAATCGCCTAAGCGACATCGTGAGCGGGACGCGAAGGTTGCTGTTGGATCTAGCGATACGAATCCTTCAGGCCCTAGGAAGAGTGGAGATTCACGACGGAGCGAGGAGATTGTGCGGAATATTATCTCGCATGTGCCTCACGGTCGAAAGCATAGTGGCGACCGGCCACGGGCAAAGTCTGAAGTCAAAAGGCCCACGACAGCGTCCTCTACGAATCAGTCAGGACCCAAAGTCAGGGCCGCATACTTGATGATATCGCCAGTGTTGTTCCCATTAACGACTTTCCTCATCCCACCCGGCCTCTTGTTCGGAAAGTATCATTACGACCACGAGGCCTTGGGACTACTGTCGCTCACGTGTCCTATGTACGTGGTCTATGGCAGTAACGACAATTTCACGAGCTCCAGGCGACTAGACGAGTGGGTTGAGAAGCTCAAGCACAACAACCATCAGGTCACGTCGGAGAAGATTGCTGGAGCTGGTCACTTTTGGAATGGCAAACACAATGATACTCTTCAGAAGAGGATACAAGCATGGCTGAAGGACGGTCTTATGGTGGCTAGCTGATACTGGCGGACCGTCTTCTGCTAGAGCAATGCTAGAACGGCTAAGCCTGCACCCAGGGCAACGCACACACTCCAGGACACGCTCGTTGGAGTGGCCCCGGCAGTATTTGAAGTTGTGCCTTGGCTAGAAGGACTGCCAGCCGTCGATGCTGGACTGGATCCCGTGGTAGAGGTGTCATCACTGGAAAGCAAATCAATCATTGATCCATCACACCTCACAAAACGAACGGTACATAACTAGTCGCAGTCACCTCAACAGCCTGATACACAATCTGACTAGGCGCCAGAGAACTCGTCGTCCCCCTGACCACCTGCCCTTGTCCAGATGCAATGTCCGAACATACCGCGTTCGTTGGTCCAGCGATTGAACACCCAAGGAAGGCAATACTTGAGAACCGTCAACGAAATGTACTGCATATCCCAAACGGAACGGAAACTACTCACCCAGCACTATTCGTCGTCGAGTATTCCGCCGTCGAAGGCCCCTCTGTCAAGGTGATATTCGGCGCGATATCACAGTCGGGTTGTGCGCTTGGACACGAGACGACGTAGACTGTTTCGTTGTTGTCCGTATGCTGCTTTCATGTTAGCCACTACTCCCTCTCTTGAGTTAGAACTGGCTACTAACCTCTTGAGCGATCGAAGCCAGCGGCGTCCCCGGGATCGTCTTGAATGGTATCTATCATTTCTTCAAGTTAGACACGCGAGCCCTCTCATCAGTCCACGAATTGCTTGATATAGATACGAACCCATAGTAACCTCGTCCCCGACGCCAACGACGTCGTCTCTTGCGCCCAGGTCACGCTCGCGAATACGACCAACAGAAACGTGACGTAGCCTAACATTTTGCTTTGCCTTTCCCTTCAACGCTAAACGCTTGGTGTAAGGCGAGACAGACCATCAACGGCGAAAAAACGTGAAGTCGTTGTGAACGTTTCGCGTCACGCAAAAGCCTACCCCCTGGCGGCGCTGATCAGTTCCAACGAGACACGCGAGCAAGGTACGGTTCGCGTTTTTTGGTAAGTCATCATGCTCAGAACGCATATGCAGTGTGTTTTTTCGAGTAGGCGACGGAAAATGCTACCAACAAGTTATCAAGTCCTTTCGAATGCTATGCACGCGTGCAAACAATTCCCACATCATCCATCCGATCCGTCCTCGAACAAGCCCCAACGCCTCGCTTCGCTTCATGAATGCGTGATTTATTTTTTCTCCCCATCGTCGACTTCACCTGCTTCTGTGTCACATTTTACAGACGAGTCTCTTCTCGGTGGCTAGAGCTTCACGCTCCACACGCCTCGTCCTGCACATACGCCTAGCCAGTCGCCGCCTTGGGTCGTCAATGTGCTTTGAGGGGCCCATGACACGTTGGCGACTTCGTACTCGCACTTCCAGCTCGCTAGGGGTCCTTTGCCTTGGACTTCGGTTTGCCCACTGGATCCATTGCCGTTGACCGTGGGCACGGCGGCTTGGTTCGATGAGTTGAGCAGGTCCCATACCAGGACGAGGCTGTCGTCTGCGCCTGATGCTAGCATCCCTCTTCGGTTCGGATTCCACTCAATGCTCCTGAGGTCGCTTTGGTGGCCGCGGAGTTCTAGCAAGGCAGTACCAGGCTGCCGTACGTCGAGGATGCGGATGATGTTACTATCCGCTGCAAACGTAGCGAGAAGGTGTGAATCGTGAGGGGACGCCGCTAGTCTCAGGAGCGGAGGTGCCGGTGAAAGTGTTTGACTTGTGGATTTCGACGGCGAGGAAGCGCTCGGCGAGGAAGCTGTTTGAATGTCAGTGAAAGATGCTTATCAAGGGGGTTAAAGCTTGCCACACACCTTTATCGGACTTCTCGGCAGGCTCGTAGATGATAGTCGAATGTTCCAAGCTTCTCAGATCAAACATGCGAACACTGCCGTCGGCTCCGCAAGACACGAATACGTCGACGGATCCAGCGCAGAAGCGGACGTCAAACACCTCCTTGTCGTGAGCGATGAGTTGTGTTTTCGCTGTGAGGGTGGGTATATCCCAAATTGTGCAGGTCGTGTCAATCGACGAGGTGATGATAAGTTTCGGTGAGAGGGTATTCCAATCCAAAGAGGTCAAGGGGGCGGTATGTTCGGGCGTTTTGCTGTTGGAAAGCAACGCCAAAGGTTGCAGCTTTTGTGGCGGTGGCTCTCGAGAGTTTGCAGCAGCAGTGCGATTGATGTTGTTACTCGAGTGAGGTGTTCCGGGTGCTGGAAGACTCCAAAGCCGCAAATGGTCTCCGCTCGTGGCCAACAAGTCAGTGCTTTGCTTCTGCGAGCTTGGAGGCTCCCATAGTATTCTGGTCACTGGATAAGCGCAGGTCGCCTCAGCAACTTTGCTATATTCCAGCCCATAAGGCGACTGTCCCTGGCTCGTCACCTCTTGCGGCACGACATTCGTGTCCAATATCTGAATGAAGTTGTGGGGATCCTCCAGATAGCTTCCAACTGCCATTTTGCCTGCTCCACTGCCTCCCATGACGGGCCATTTGCACCAATCGTAAGCGTACGTGGGGAACGGGGCGAGGTAATTCGAGTTCGTAGGCGAGTCAGAATAGCTGAAGAATGCCGTTCCTTGCGGACCTTCATTAGCGTCTGATATTGCGCGCGATCGGATATCTGTGAGATTAAGAGGGCTGTGCGAGGGCCCAGCCGATGGGGTCTGGGCATTGGAGATGTTGTAGGCTTTCGGATTCGAGGCCGTAGGCGTTTGCGTCGGCGTCTGGTTGAAGGGTATGTATCTCTGCGCGCCGTCCAGGCCTCCAGGACTACTTCGCGAATGGCTATGAAGGGTGTTTGTTCGGGAAGGAGGCTGTGTCTGGGCCTGTGCGTATTGTGAAGCATTGGTCTGGAGAGGCTGTTGTTGCATAGTGGGCACTGTCGCAGGTGCTGTGAATGTGGACGAGGTAACAGGGCGCGAGGCTCCTCCAGCGGGCTGAAGTGCGCCTGGCAAAGCGTTCCCTACACCTGCGCTGGAAAGCAGAGTGGCTGAATGCGAGCCCTGTGGAGTTGCTTGTTGTAGGTTGAACGACGGCGCAATGGCCCCCGAATAGATGGTATCCTGGTAAGTTTGCTGCTGCGGCGTCGCGTACTGCTGTAAGGGTGGAGCGTTGGAGGGTACGCGGAGGTCTTCAGACACTCGCTGGGTATGCGTCCTTCGCGGAGTGCCAAACTGCTGTGACTCGTTGGGTACGGCAGACACGGGCGCTGACAGCGGTGCCGACTGATCAAGGCCTAGTCTGCCAGTCTGTATATTGTGTGCCATTCCTGCATCTTGCTCCCTGCTGTTGCTGCCGCCGTAGAGGTTCGGGTCGTTGGGTTGGGCGAAGGTGTCAGTGCCGGCGGTCGTTTGGCCGGAGGCTATCCTCTGCAGATTGGGGGCAGCCACTGAAGCGGCGCCTAAAGAGTTAAAGATGCCGCCAGCAACGTTGGGTACTTGTTGTCCGTGGTGGTGGGAGTGAAACGGCATGGCGAGTTGCGGGAGCGAGTCGCGCGCATTGAAGGGTCGCTGCTTCGCCAGATATCCTCTTGGACGTCCTGGAGTGCGATCGGTCGCGAGTGATGTTGGCACTGGCCTCGTCCAAGTGATCGTGCCCCCAGTAACGAGTGGGCGGTGGGTGTTTATCGGCTGTCGTCGCGGACAGCGGTGGTGCTCCGGATGCTGCTTGCTGCACACGACATCAAAGCTCGGGCTCTTTGTTCGCTGCCCGCCTCGGCAGCACGACGACACATTGACATCAACAATTCCGAACACCCTTCTGGACGGGCGTGGTGAATACTGGGCTTCGGAAGGGAACGATCTCGTGAACAGAGAGTGTCGAGGCTCAGAAATCGCTACAAATGCACCACTGACCAACAGCTCTCACGGGTTTCTGCATGACTTCGAGACAGCGAAATCTGATATCACAGAAATGTCACTTGAACGAGTAACATCGGGCGAGCCGCCGCGGTTCTTGCTTCTACTACCACCGACACCGTCACCTCCAAACACAGCGGCTTTAAAGTCAGCATATGGCGAGACTATAAGCGAAGTTCTCAAAGAAGTTGCGACCCATTCGTCCGACACCGACAAAGCCGCAGTCTTGGAGATAGCGCTTGCATGTCCACATTTGATCGATGCGCAGGACAAGCCACGATCGAGTTTATATGACGAGACTCAAGCCTTGGTCGCTGGCTTGTACAGGCTTGTGACGTCGACTGCGGCGAGAGAGAACATCAACGTCGAGGATCATGATGGAGTCGATGTCCGAGTAATTCTTGTTGCATGGTCTTCCGAGAAGACAGCACGATCACCACAGCAGAAGCCATACGGTCCCATTATCGACATCGAGACTTTGGCGAGATCAGGCCGGCAGTGGCAATTCGCTTTTGGTGTCGAGTCCGAGGCAGGTGCAGGTCTGGTCAAGGCATTCGTAACTGCGAAAGGCAGTGCCGAAGAAAGCGTCGGAAGGGTGCAGAGCGGACCGGTCATGAATACCTCTGGATCAGCGTCGAGCGAACAACCATCAGCTACTGCGCCTTCAAATCCGACGCATGGGAAGCATTTTGACACTTGCGTAGGGGGTACATGGGACCACTTGCACAATGGTCACAAGCTACTAATCACCATGACCATCTTCGCTGTGGATGAGCGGCCAGAGTCTGAAGAGCGGAGTGCGAGCGTGTGTGTTAGTGGAGATCAACTCCACACGAAGAAGAAGCATGCTGAGCTTTTGGAGAGCTGGACGGAACGTCAGAAAGCAGTTGCGACCTTCTTCAACGCCATTGTCGACTTTTCGAACCCGGCGACGTCTGGACAACGTCATGTCAGTATACGTGACGATCCAGGTCCAAACGGCAAAGGCATCGATGTTCATTATCCAAATGGCTTGGTCGTGAAGTGTACAGAGTTCCAGGACGCCTTTGGACCTACCATTACCGATGAGCGAATATCAGCGTTGGTCGTGAGCACGGAGACGCGAGCAGGTGGTAAAGCAGTCAACGACAAGCGCAAGCAGCTGGGCTGGAAAGAGGTCGACCTGTTTGAGGTCGATGTTTTAGATGCGGATGAAGAAGGCCCGAGCAAGGATGGGTTCGATGGCAAGATCAGCAGCACAGCAATTCGAGAGAAGCTTGCGCGTAAAGCTGGCGGCAAAATGTGAGTACTGTCGAGCAGAAGCGGGAGTACCATGGATTGCGTGGGCAGCGAGCGGACGGTGAAGCTGCAGCCCTCTTCGCTTTGCACCATGGTTGAGGCACAGCTTACGTATTTGAAAGTCACCACATATGAGATATCCTCATGCCTCGTGGACCGAAAGAACGTTTGCTGAAAGGGCCAAGAGGTGCAGTCGTGGCCATGGTTCGTGAGTAAGAAGGATTGTCTTTCTTTCCGCGGTGGTACAGCGACTGGGAGTCTTGAAACCATATTCGAATCGTCCCTTGGTCGTCGAAGTGATGACACCTCCATGCCACCCTTCATGCTGGGTCGAGTGCGCTTATCCCTCAACTGGAACGAGGCAGAACATGGCTGGGAGATGGAACTCAGGCCTCCAGTCTGTTTCAGTGGCCATGTCTCTCCTTTCAGCGAGTCTCGCATACTACTGCAGCCTCTCAGCGGTATGGAAAGATACCAGGGACAGAGAACGCAAGCGGGCGGTGAGGTCGGAAAGTTGGTTGATGCCTTAGTGCCTGACGCAGCAGGGGAAACAGCGTTAAGCTCGAAACGGCCACACTCACTTCACCTCCTTTCTCCCATCTGTCACATTTCTGCCCTCCATCTTCTCCCGTTTCATACGCATCGCTATGTGCGACGACCATGGCGGGCCACACTAACAAAGTCCGGATTGGCGCATCTGTGCGTCTGCTCTGCGTTCCCCTTGTCACATCGCCCGCCACCTGAACGCCAGAGGATCTCCAACCTTGCCTGGCTCAATGCCCTGCACGAGCTTTGTGTATCAATGGTTGGATTGCGACCTGTTGGCACGCTGCAATTGACCGCTGGGCGGCGATCTGACCTTCGTCGGCTAGCGGCAAATCAGATCTGGAGCTGATGCGAGACGTGGCGTCTGCCTCCTGCACTTCCTCGACTGTGTCTCGACGAAGACGGGTCCGTGGAATGTGGTTATTCGGTATAGAGACCTCACATTAGATTGTACACTTCGACTCGAAGAGGCGCGGCCAGTGCTAGACACCGCCGGGCAGCTGGGCCGCAACTCACGAGAACGCAGCTAGGAGCTCGTCGTCTACATGGAGCTGCTCCAATCCTCTCCGATTCGTTCCAGCTTGCGTCTGCCAGCACACAACACACGCCAGACGAGGTTCCGGCATACACGACATGGTGCAACCACTGAAAAATCCCTACGTCGCATGTTCGCGCCGGACCGCTCGATGTGCACGCATTCGAGTTTGTTCCCGTGACCTGCAATCCAGGGGGCTCTCAGCTTTCTATTGGTGTCGTTGACCACATGATGCTCCTCCTGGTGGCCGCTGCGCTTCGGTAGTCTGCTTCATTTCTGCAGACATGACGCCGCCTGACCAGACCAGGGCATTCCGTCATGCGCTCGGTTTTATTAGGCTCTTCCCTTCACTACTGAACGGCCCGCAGTTCCCATGAGATCTTCGTTGTCCTGAACTTGGTTTCCAATGCTACTGCGCATCTAGGTTGCTTGAACCTCTGCATGACTAGCCACGAATGAGTCTCACTGGCGGATCTCACACCGACTCATGCAGCACTCAATACCTTCGAAGCTCTTCGTCACGACATGACTCCTCTTCCGTCCAAGTCCAGCTCATCAACCCTTCCCAAAGGTCTTCCTCTGGAACTGTGGAAACTCATACTGAGCTATATCGAGCCAGACTACGAGCAAGCAATCCCAATTGATAAGGCCATTGCCAGGCGTCAATTCCTGAGCGTCGAGAGCTTCGTCCCGCCAGACCCCCGAGACTCCCTCGCCAATGTTGGAAGGCATAGTATTGGCAGGCTAAGGCTCGTCTGTCGTGGGCTTGCTGAAGTCGGAGCACCCTTTCAATTTACCCAGCTTGTTGTTAGATTTTCGCAGAAGGGCCTGAGACGACTCGACAACATATCACAATGCCCACACCTCGCACGGCTTGTGAGACGATTTACCTACATGGTACCATATTTCTTCGAAGAAGGTGAGCTTTAGCTTGGGATGGACATCCACCGACGCTGACAGGATCCAGGCCTCAACAACTTCGACGAGATCAGAGATGACCTACGCCAAGAAGGACTTAAGAACTTCAACAAATTGCGAGAGAAGGCAGATGACCAAAGAGACATTCTCGATCAGCATCTCGACGTGCAAGTCCTCAAAAAGGCGATCGCCAACTTCACCTCCTTGCAGCTTGTTCAGCTTCTACGGTGGACAGAGCATGAAGACCGCATCGTGTTGGACTATCTAAAAAGACATGAAGAGGCACGTCGCACCGTGAATCTCGATTGGACCTTGGCCTGCTCCCGTGCAGGGCAGACCGTGGGCATTGCACTTCTGAATGCCCGCAAAACCGAGCCGAACAGGTTCATCCTGCCATTCGCGAGTCCTACCAGCGCACAGTTCCTCAGACAATCGAAGCCGAACTCAGTCTGGTCCTTGGCAGAGAAGTTGACGTGCCTCACGTTGCATTTTGACGATGGAGAAGATCTAGAAGGGAAACTTCAAGATTTGTCTGAGCTCTTCCACGCCATCTTCACCAAGGCATCCAAGATGAAGGCTGTTCATATCGGATTCCCACCACAGCACCCGCTTAGTCTGCCCCTGGAAAAGGTCTTCCATCATGTGAAATGGGACGACCTCATTGCATTTGGCGTGCAAGGTTGGGAACTAGAGAAAGCTGAGATTATCGGGTTGTTGGAGCGGCACAAAGATCGTTTGAAGGGTGTCCGACTTCGAGACGTCCACCTCAAGGACGGCAGCACTTGGAAGGAGATTCTGAGCTTCATGAGGGACGAAATGAGAATGCTGCAGTGGGTCAGCCTGAGGCGCATCGGCTACACTGCCTACTCCACATCGCAATTGCAACAGCACCCCGGGGCCGAAGTCCCACCCTTCCTCAGCGACAGCGAAGAAGACTCCGAGGACGAAAGTGAAGAAGACGAGCCGATCCCTGGACCGAGCACGCACGTTGACTCCGACGACGACTCCAACTTCGACGAAGACTCCGACGACGAGCACGAGCCTCACGCGAACGATATGGATTTCCCGAGTTTCTCCCCGGACACGCCGGCTTCGGCATCGTGGTGCAACTGCAGCGGCGATGATCATGTGGGTTCTGCTGAAGAGCTTGGCGATACCGATATCATTGTCAGTAATACTAAGCGGAAGCATTGGGAGCGGTGGGTGTTGAGACGCTGTCCTGAGCATGGGGAGCGATGACGCTGGTGAAGGGCTGGCCATGTGGCAGAGTCAAACCTGTGAAATGCTGGCACAAAGTTGATGAACATACTGGAAGCGTACACGGCGGCATAGTCAGGGGACATTGCATTATTCACTCACCAGCAAGCAAGCACCTCATTGCATTCTAGGCGAACCACGGGCGAAGGGGAAACTGCATTATTCGAAACATTCTGCATATCAATCATGGCCACGAAATATCGCCTATCGAACAACTCTGATGTTCCTCAATCCACCTCGCTATCCGATCTCTCAGCCATCCACTCACCCACTGCTTTCCCGCTCCCTTGCCGTTCTTGTCGACTTCCGGCTTGTGCTCCTGCCCGAGTCTGACGGCATGCATGATGTGGCATTCACCTTTCATTACCTTCTCTGCATCGTCTTGATCCGCGATGGATTTGACGAATAAGAATTGGAGGCATTTCTCGTTGTCCACGCACGCTTTCTCGCAGTCTTCGTACGAGCTGTGCGGATCTTCTTGACTCTCATTCTCTGAATCTTCTGACGTGGATTGAAGAGCTAGCTCTGCTTCCTCGTCGAGATTATCCCAGTTCGTGCGGTTGAACGGCATACCGCTGGGAAACGAGCCGTGATAGACATCGCGATAGAGTAGCTCAGAGCCATTCAGCGTCCTTTCAAATTGGAACATGTCGTTGAGGTGCTGAGAATTGACATGGTGCAAAGTCACGATCGGCTTGCAAAACACGTCCTCCGAGAACGTGAGCGCGCTCGCGTCGACTGAGGTCAGAGATGGTTTCGCGTCCGTGAGTCGCAGATGGAGTTCCTCGAAAAGCGCAGCAGCCAGAACGTAGTCGCCGAACCACATCTTGTGCACGCGCTTGTCCCATCGTTTCGCGAGACCTCGACGATCGACAGCGAATTCCTTGACCACGGCGCCGGAGAGGAGGAAGCCGCTGCCGCCGTGGCCGAAGTAGAGCTCTTTTGGATACTCCCAGATCCGGACGGCGTTGCCGTAGTAGAGTTTCTGGCGAGGATCCAGGGTATTGAGCCATTTGAGGAGGTTGGGCCAGCTGATGTATGTGTCTCCTTCTATGAAGAAGTACCAGTCGCGGTCTGGTGCAAGGTCCCAGGTCTGCTCGACGATATCTAGCACACGAAAGTCAGCAAGGACGTCGTAGCCATTCGTCTTGCAATAGAGACACCCACGCAAAAACTTATACTTATCAAGCCCCCAAGCAGCGCTCTTCCCCTCCGTCCTCCAATCATCAGAAGGAATAGAAATGCTGCTCAGATCCGGTAAATCTGCCTCTCGCCCTGAAGCCACATACTGCTGCTGCAGCTTGTAAATGTCAAAGTCCTTGTTGCCTTCCATGGCACTGGGGGTGAAGTTGGCCAACGCATTATGGACGCGATGCTCGCCTAGTCTCTGCTCCAGGTCCGAGAAGATGAGCGGTTCGCGGACGCATTTCAGGGTGGTGGCCAGTGGCGTGGGGAGTTTGGCGTGGAGTTCGGTGGCGCCGGTTTTGATGATGATGGCTATGTTGCCGGGGTCTGGAAATGTATTGCAATAGTCGTCGTCTCCGTAGTCGTAGTGTAATGGAGGAGCAGTCGCATTGGTGTGTTGATCTAATGCTTGTTCGGGGATGATTTCATGCTGAACTTCAGACGCGGCGTGTTGAACCGCTTCTACCGCCTGCCGGACGACAGTAGGTTCGTAGGCCGTGTTATGAAGCGTGAAGCCCGTGTAGAGTAGCCCGGCGAATATCGAGATGAAAGTCAATGCTAGGAGAAGTGTTCGCGAGGGTCTTGGCCATGGCGTGAGTGAGGTTGGTGGCATGATCCTTGACTCGTGGACGATGCCGGCGGGTGTGGCGTCACGATATTGGCTTGGGAAGGCCTTCTTTTCTTGATAACATCTCGACGGGCAGTATGTCGCTTTGCCTTCTGTTCAAAGATTGGAGATGAGATGGTTTTTGATGGTTGTTGAGTTATACGAGGTCTGAACTCGAAGGATCCACCCCATGGGTTAGAGACGGCGCTAAATCGCAGGACATGATCATTGAACGGGATGGTGTATCAGAGTGAGCGCAACTTTGGAAATGTCTATACAGTTGCTCGTGGTTTCGTTGACTCATGCTTATTATACAAAGGACAAGGCTGAGAACGGGAACTGTGCAACATGTGGCGTTGTTCACTAGTTTACATCGACCGATTTATTTCTCATATCAGCTGCACCGTCCTTCCATCATCAATCATTCCTCATCAGGGCATTGGCGACATATTGGTACGACCCTTTGTAAGTACATCATGGACATTGCCTTCAGCGTAAGATTTCGTCCGTTGCAGTGGTCTCCTCGAGCCTGGGCTGTGACTATCATCATCAAAGCGCGCCAGGCAAACAGTCATGAAGCTTGCTCGCACATGACGCTGGGGCAGACTATGATGGTCCAGCAGCACTTCCCAATCGCCATGATCCACAACAGTCGCAAAGGCATGCTCCTGTACAAGACATCTTCTACGGTGGAGCAATGACTGGGTATGCTCTCGATTCGAGTCGAAGTCAACAACAGGACCCTAGCTCTTCGAGTGACTTCCAAGGAGGAAAGCGAGATAGTACTGCAATCACTACTTGGACTTCTTACTGCTTGCAGTCGCTGTCTCCAAGCCCTGGAGGATCTCCGACCCAAAGACGTACATCATGTAGAATGGGATCGGGATCCAGGGACCATTTGGAATGATCCAGAGGAAGATGAGGCTGTACCAATCGTTGTGGCCGATTCCGTGGAAGCCAGAAAACACTTCGATCAGCCCTGCGGAAAGTTAGTTGCTTGTCACACTACTGCTCGCCAGACCCGTAATACTTACAATATAGCACCGTCTTTGCCCAGGTAACGGTCGCAGTGGTAAATCCCAGAAGCACTGCGATGGCTGCAATGCGACCATACACTGTTCTGCTCTCACTAAGAGCCCGAAACTGTCCCATGAAGCTCTTGTCCGGGGCACCTCTTCCTTGAATAGGCTCTTGCTCGCCATATGTGTACACGATATACAAGTAGGCCAGGTATGCGATCGTCTCCAGCGCGTTGAAGAAGCCCTGCGCGCCTGTCCACCCGTATCGATCTTCGTGTGCAGCCATGCTGTAAGCATAGTCTACTCTGCCGTAGAGATCATAGGGAGACCAGATCCAGTGCAGTCTCCCGCCCGGCATAGAATGTGGTCTCAATAGCACATAGCCAGTATCCCAAATCACCAAGGGAAGACTGATCGCCAGCCATATCAGGGTGAGGTTGGAAGGAGTGTGTGACCACTCTGACGATCGACGTCGCGTGGTGGTCGTGGACGATGGAGATGTGGCTGTCCTCGATCGAGTGGAGGCTGCAGGAGAAGACGTGGGCTTGACATCGTTCGCAGTCGAGTTGCGCGTGGTGCGTTTCGTCGGCGATGGCTTGGTCGGACTCTCACCTGGCGCGGGCTCGAAGTCGCGTGGGTGGTTTCGTGTCGCAACCATTGTGGGCGAGTCGCAAGAGTGCGGCGATAATTTATACAGCGGTTCGAGGTGGTTTGGATGCTTGGTGGTTTCACATGGCCCGTCGGCGCATCTGGTCGAGCTGATGAAGGGGAGGGCAGTCGAAGGGTAATTGGGAGGCTGGGAGTGTTGGTGTTCCCCTCAGGCCGTGGTCGATCCCGCTGACGTCGCAACGAAGTCAAACTGCGTCGGCCCATTTCGCGTCTGCGCCAATCAACCCACCTCCAACTTCCACCACCATCGCATTGCCGGCTCGCACTCATTGAGGCAGACGTGGCGGCGCCGGCGACGAGTCAGATGTTGGAACTCGATACGGCTAGGCAAGGCGAGCAGGCGATTCAACGCCCACGGAGGTCCCGTCCTCGTTACTGCTATCTCTCTGATTTTCACAAGCGACGGCGCTGCTGATTGCACTCCAAGCTGCTTAAATGCCTGAGGAGTAATGGGGATGAACGAGGAACCCAGAGACAGTATCTACTCACTGGAGCCGCCTGATGTATCCTGGATGAATGCATGAATGAACGAAGAATCGATTGACCAGTACGGTTTCCCCAAGAGTCTGCGAAGACCCTTGCCTCATGAGGCATCTCGGTGCCATGGCGACACTACTAGGACATGAATTCTACGACCTTGGGCCAACATACCTGGTCGGATAAGCAAATCTGTCAAGACGGTCTTGGTGCGGAGCCAGTAAAGTCGCAAGGTAAGGAAGAGGCCGAACTCGACTGCTCCATCCAGTCTCTAGCCTCGCAACGAAGCCGTGGATCTGCAACTTCTCCATGGAATGGGCCATTTCCTCAGGCTTCGGAACGCCCTTCAGGTGCAATGCTTTGAGCCGTGCGAAACAGCAACAAATCTATAACAAGACGTTGAAGATACAACCAACAGTGCCTCTGTTAGTCTGACAACACAACACCGCCACGAGCAGCGTATTGCACGTTCCACACGCGCTGAACATGGACGACAACACTCGGTGAACAGTACCTGGATTCTGGAGAACCGAATTGGTGCAAAGGGGACCATGTGAGGCCGCTCAGCAGCCAACGAACTTCTTTCGAGTGAGAAGGACCAACGGATATGCCGTGAGCTACGATAGTGAACCGCTATCTCTCTGGACTCGGCTCGTCTTGCACTTCAACTGCCACCCCCGGAGGACAGTCAGCAAGAGAGAGACTTCAGCTCGCTCCGACTTTACGCATGCCACGAAGGGTACGCTCCTCAAGACATGACTACACAGCGTAGTACGCTCCTTCGGGCAAGAAGTGGATTAATAAGTGTGTAAGACTCTTTCTGTCTTCCGAATTGGGATCGTAAAATGTAACCCTGAGACCTTCGAACTCCCCCGATTGGATCCTCGCTACAACTCAGCTGCATTTCCTTTCCTTCCTCTCATTACTACTCAAGACGGAAATGCTTGGATTGAAAGGAACGTCAGAACTGAAGATAGGGCACGATGGATCGAGACATCGGCGGCGACGTTGAACACCGCCTCACACTGTGGCCTCACGGGTTTCGAGGCTCATCTTCAAATCTTCAGCTCGCTAACCCCGAACTGGTCTTCGCTGATGGCCGACAGCACCCCGAGACCTCGACTGGTCGTTCCCAATAATGGGTAGACCATAGGTAGCAAGCGCCGTTTCGACACTCGATTCACCGGTTGCAAGGCTGAGGTCCCCACAATGTCACTGCTTCACCGACAGGAACGACGGAGCAGACAAAATACAACACAACGCTGCGGCTGACTCCGTCGACGGCCGCAACACGCTCAACAATGTCCTTCTTGGGACTTCTCGACGAGTCTCTACGGAGACGACGGCCCCGGACGGAAATGATATTAGGGTTCGACGTCTGTCGAACAATGGAAGATGATCAGATATGGCCTGGCCAAACGTCTACAGGCTGGACTCACGCCAGCTCGAACGAAGACCGGCAGCACGACCCAGACCAACGATCATCATCGCCCACGACGCCTTCCACACACCAGCGCACTTCGAACAACTCCAGCAGGACCTCGCCGCGGCAGGGTTCAGGGTGGTCGTCCCTCAACTCCCATCTTCTGGCGTCGCAGGGCAATCGGCGACGCTCGAGGACGACGTGCAGACCTTGGTTCTGTACGGGAAAGCGGAGATCGAGAACGGCCACAATGTCGTCTTGGTCGCGCATGGGTATGGCAGTATCCCAGGGGCTGCGGCCGCCGAGCGCCTCAATCAGCATTCTCTCGATCGTCCCCGGACCGGCACCGTGACGAGATTGATCCTCATCGCCGGCGTGGTTTCAAGAGTCAACGAGAGCTACTACGATTCCGTGGAAGCAGCGTGGGCTGTGGCCAGAGTACGTTGTCAACCCAAACCCCCCAAATCGTAGACCTACCCATTCCGACTAACCCCCTCCCCAACAGGACGGCCTCGTCGCCATCCGCAACCCCTCCAAAATCTTCTACAACGACTGCAGCCCCGAGACAACAGCGACCGCTCTCACGAACATGCGCCCGCAAAGCGAAAGCAGTCTCTGGGCGAAATCGACCACACCGGGTTGGATGAATATACCTACGTTCTACGTCGTCTGTGAAGCGGATCAGGCGATTGCGCCCAGTCTTCAGCAGGGGTTTGTGAGGACTCTGCAGTCGGTTAATGGAAGGGTTACGGTGGCGAATATGCAGGCGGGGCATTGTCCGTTTCTGTCGAGGGGGAGGGAGGTGGCTGCTTTGGTTGTTAGGCAGGTTTTGGAGAATCTTTAGGGGTTTGCGGGTGATGGAGGAGAAGCGGTGTATCATAGAGTCATAGCATGTCGGCGTATGAGGAGCAGGTTCGTGGTTTGTTTGAGATGTGTAACTTTGGCTGTTTGGCATGGTGTTGCTATACAGGCTGCTGTATTTCCTCTCTGTCGTTGTATTTTCTCTCACGCGACTATTCGTACAATGACCATTACGGCCTGAGGGTCTTCTCGCTTCTTGCAGCGGCGGCCAATCCTTTTCTCGAAGAGCACGACATGCTGACGCAAACGTTGGAAAGTCGGTCTTTTGAAAACGACGCCACGAGCATGGCTGGCCTTCAAGATTGTTGACACGCAACTCGGGCCTATTTCAAGTCGGCGTCACGACTTGAGACCGGCTCTGAATAGTCGATCCCAACGCAATCCAGTGGGCCGAAGCAGCATACAGCGTCGAATCATCCCAAGTCTCAAAGGTCCACGTGAAGCCATCTTTGTCCACATTGCTAATGTTCAGTTTAATCCTCAAATCCGCATTCCCCGCCGCATCCATCATCGTGATAGCCGCGAGGACAGTCGGCGCCTTCTCAAACCGCTTCTTGAATTTAATCCTCGACGTCGTCTTAGGCCTGGGATTCGTCCGTTTCCGGACATCTTTGGTGCTGAATCGACCGCTGTCGACGTTCTTCTTGCCTTTGGGGAAGGCGATCCAGCAGAGGGCTGCTCCGGGCATGCGGCCGTTGTCCCAGGTGTTGATGTGGGCCAGGAAGCTCTCCGTGTTGATTTCATCGGCGAAGGCGCGGATCTTGTAATCGTAGTCCGGTCCACTGGTCAGGTCGAGTCGGTTGAGCCAGCAGACTACTTCGGGGGGCTCGCTGAAGGGTTTGGGGAAGAAGAAGGGCTTGGCGTGTTTCTGGGGTAGTAGTTCGCCGGGTTGAGTATTCGTTCTTTTCAGAGTGCCGCCTTTGGTAGGACTCCCTAGCCTGCTCATGGGATTTGTTTTGGTGTCGAATTGACCAAACACACAGTCCTTCGCGTCGGCCTTGTGCTCGATCCATACCGCGCTGGCTTCAAGTAATCGACTGGTCCCCCAGGTCTCTACTCCAATCCGGAACTTGGTCGTGGTGATGCTGTCAGCGATGATGTTGGCACGGATAGAACGTTCGCATGATATATCAAGACTGGTGAACCCGGCAGCGAGATTTGGCGGTGCCTTATAACGGTCCTTCGGCAGGGCGATTGTCCTGCTGGTCGATGCCGTTGCCTTCTTCCTCGGCCGGACCTCTGAGGTACAGAAGTGGCCGTTGTCGACTCCCGGTTTGGAGAGGTGGACATTGTTGTCCTCAGCGGCGAATGGAAAGCCGGGCATGGCTGTTAAAGACGACAACGACAGCGACAAATGGCGGCAGAGAACGAAGACTGGTGGAAATCACCAATCACGGACATAGAAAGAAGACATACCTGCCATCATGTACTTTGCAGACGGCCGCTGGGAGGGGCCGTTGTTTGTGGCCATCGACCAGGCGACCGCTTGGTTTCACGCGCCACACCGGAAGCTGGGAGCCGCGAGAGTTTACGCTGGACGCCACAGCGCATCATCTCTGTGATCCGATCGCATTGTCCACTTGGAGCTTGGTCCGAGTGCGACACCAGCCTGTTTGCATGTGAAAAGGTGGCTGCTGGCTGGTGGTGGAGTGATTGCAAGACGCTGCCCGTGCGGTCGTGATTGGACGTGCCTTCTTCGTCATTGCGACGTAGCTGCCATGCGCGAATCAAGGAAGCAAGGCGTCTCTTTCGACTTGGACTCTGTCCGTCTTCTCTTGTGAACTACCATCTACCATCGTGAACTCCATCTGAACACACATCAACCCCCAAATCACACAGAATCACAATCACAATGGCACAACACGGTGCCTTCTACACGGACAACTTGTCCACGCCTCTTCGAATCGCGCAAGTTGCTGGCTTGACCACTACCGCAAGTCTTTCTTAATTATCGTCAGTCCGATCGTAGACTGACTCTTCAATAGGCCTTCCTCGCGGGCAAAACCTTTACCTCCAGCTTTGGCACTGTCCCAGCCCTCCTCCAAGCACCAGCGCCGCTTCTAGCCAAGCAATGGAAGAAGCAGTTCGACGCAGATAGGATCCTGGCACCAGCCATCGCTCTCTTCAGCTCTGGAGTCTTCGGCTACATCGCCTGGAGAGGTATGTTGTTCATTTTGAGCTTTGGAAAGTTGCCATGCTGATGTGAATTTGAGACACCGCCTGGACCAAGACCTCGATCCTCTACGCCAGCTCTGCCTCGCTCCTTCTCTCGCTTGTGCCATACACCTTCATCCTCGCCGAACCCATCAACCAGAAGCTCGAGGAGAAGGAGCGCAACCTCGCCAGCGCGTCACTCACCGATGCGTCTGCTGAGGCCGGTGTCTCCAAGGAAGAGACTGTACACTCTCTCGTCGACAAGTGGGGAACCATCAACTTTGGCCGAATTCTGATTTCAGCCATCTCTGCCGGTCTCGCTACTTGGGCTGCTGTCGACAGGAGCGAGGTCGTGCCTGCCGGAATCCGCCTTACCACTGGTGCCAACCGAATGGGTTAAGCATGTGAGAGGCGGTCCAAGAGAGACTAGGGGTTCGGGACTTCGAAGCCGGTCATAGAGGCTGCGCTGATACCAGCAATGGAGGCGGAGCGGAGTCCTCTCCAGCCTGTAGCTATAGAAGAGTTCAGCGGATGAAACAGGCACGACCAGAGTATGAAATGATTGAAATGCGGTACTCTCTCCACGACGATGCCACCTACCGCGCAAAGACTCCAGGTACTGTTCTTTGATTCGCCGAGATGCTCACGAGAACGTGCGGCGGCTAGCTCCCCGGTTGCTATGGGCGCCTGCATTAGCTTCACGAGAATGTTTACGTCTCGCCCCCAAGAAGCTCCCAATGATGCATCAGCAGCGACGTGGCCTCACGGTATGCGGTGAGCAGGCTGCAACTTATTCTAGTTGCAGCGGCGTTGCAGTGAGAACGTGACACCGGCAAATGGAAGCCATGGTCGAAATGCCGGCGCTTCTGAGGGCAGCAAATAGCAGCGCCGTCCGAGCGGGTCTTTTTCCTATTCGCCGCCGCGTCGCCAGTAAGCCAACTCGTGCTTTGTTGACAGCTCCATGGCTTTGAAAAGGGCGTGATATCCTAGCGATAGAGCAATCTTATGATAGTGGTTGTCTGCGACGAGATGTCGGGTTGATTGGAGTCGAGCGAGTGTCCAAGCGTGTGCTGTGACGTCGGCGTCAACAAAGCGATCTGACAGGGAAGAGTGTCTCGGATGGGGTGAGCACTGAGCACACTGGCCACGCGGAGAAGAAGTCTAATCTTCCTGCCCACAAAACATAACACCAGGATACCCGTTCTCTCGCCCGCAACCATTCACCTCCTACCCGCCCACCAACGCCTCGACCGTCGTCCGCAATCTGTTCCGTCATTCGAGCTGACTTGGGCGTTCTGGCGTTTTTCTGAGGGGCCTCTCAATCTGACCTCTGCGCGCAACTTGACCACCACCGTGTCTCCGTCAATCGCAAAGCCTCCAGCCATCGTCTTACGAACCCAGTCAACCCACGAGCCCAACACCATCACGCCACCAAGCATCGCCCCGACCCAGGCCAGCAGCGCCTATGCATCCGCTAAGAAGACCGCGACGTCGAGATAACATACATACTTCACACGACCGGTCGTAGCGCTGCGACATACCGACCGGAACACGCGACCCGCTTGTTTTAAAAGGAGTGTCGGGAGAGGATGGCAGACCCGCCTCCTCCCCCACCCCCTCCCCATGGGCAGAACCCTCGCCCGCCAGGCGGACTACCTGACGGAAACTACGACATCTTCATCATCCCTCCACACTCGGCAGGTTCGGGCTTCCTTTACTTACCTTCAATGCAACCGCATCGGAACAGTTTCCTCGCCGGCGTTGCATGTACACTGTTCGCGGTGGGCATATGGACTTTGGTGCTGCCGGTGATAAGGCATTGGCTCGACTTGGTCATGTCTGGGGGAGGGGGCTTGGGAGTGGTGGTTCTGGTCATCGCTGTTGGTGTCGGCGCCTGGACATGGGGCAAGACCCAAGCAGAGAACAGCACAGGGTCAGGTTCTGGAGGATCAAGCGGTGGACATGGGGGCTCTCAACGACAGTACAGCGGAACGCCTCCGAACTACCACACTCCACCGCCCCAGTCAGACCCTCCTCCTCAGCATGACCCACCGCCGCAACCTAAACCGCCTCCACAGCCAGAACCAAAGGCACGTCCGAATCCCAGTGCAGGAGCTTGGGAGAAGGCAAGGGAAGAGACTCGTAAGAGAGAAGAGGAACGCAAGCGAGCTGAGGAGCTTAAGAAGAAGAGGGAAGAGGCGCAAAAGATGCGAGAGGAAACAGAAAAGGCTGCCAAAGCGGAAGCAGAGAAGAAGAAGTGGGAGCAAGCAAGGGCGAGAGAGAAAGAAGCACGCGAACGAGAAGCCAGAGAGCGCATTGCGAGGGAAAGGCTGGCACGAGAAAAAGAGACACGTGAAAAGGACGCGCGAGAACGAGAAGCAAGGGAAAGGGCTGAGAAGGACAAAAAGGCACAATCAGCGCCCAGTGCACGATCAAGTCCGACGAAAGCATACGAGAAGCCGACCGCGAAGTCGGCAGCAGGGGAGTCATACTCTTATCGACCTTACGACTCGCCGAAAGCTGCAAAGACTGCGACCTACAAATCGTCAGCATCTTCCATATCTGGCTTGAGTGAAAGCTACGCACCGAGCCAAAGCACAGCTAGGACGACGCCACCACCATCTCATCGGGGACCCTACTCGACGAACGAAGAGGGCAAGATCCAGATCAAGGCTGTGTACCTGTTCAGCGACATCTTCCCAACCAAGCCGATTTCGCAGCTCATCGCCAATCAGGGGCACGTGACAGACGGCCTCATCCTCCGAATCCAGACGGAAGGACTCTTCATCGATGACGATGTACGAGGCGTGCCGCAGCGAGAATGGGACGTCAAGGCCTGGACTTTGAAACTGCTCGAAGATGGCGTGGTGAGAACTCCAAGCGGCGCTGGCCTGCATGTCTTCAGAGCAACGACACGAGATACCGAGAATAAGAAGTACACCTTCGTCCTGGACGAGTCTGAAGCGTGGAAAGTCGCGATTGGGATATCGAGACTGCGAAAGGGAAGCCAAGTGCGGTCACTCGGCATGAACGGGATGAAGGAAAACGAAGTGAGGGGACTACTCATGACTTTGGGATGGATGTGAGGAAGAGAAAGACGAGGAGGAGAAAAGTTGCATACCAGACAACTTGACTGGAATGCGTTTTGTTGCTATGGGATTCACAAACTGCATGGAGCGGCATCTTTGCATCAGCGACTGGCGTTCGTTTCTCCTGTGAGAAGCTTGCATATGTTTCGTCTAGCGTTCGTTCGATTGATGACTTTCTTGTATAGCTTGTACATACCCCAATACCCTCTTTTTCTCATTAGTTAATGAGAAACGATTAAGCGATGCGTTGCCTGATGATGGAATCAACTCTACCCATATCAACTTTTGACTCCTCAGCAGCCGAGCTAGTCAACTAGTCCTTCCTGTTCCTGGCGGTGTCCTTTTTCCTCCACACTCCTCCACCCCCGCTCGAAGGACGGTACGCCACCCAACCACGTTTTTCTGTGCCCGCTGGTCATGGACGTTTGTAATGCCAATGGCGAGCAGTAACGTAGATCGCGCCTCGCAGGCGGTCCGACTGTTACGTCGGCCGGCAAGTGGTGATGACGAGGTAGGTGGTTCGAAGGTACTGCACGTTTTCTCTTCCCATGGCCTGTACAACCGTGGCTTCGTCGACAAGGATGGTTTTGGGATCTTTGCTTCTTGGGTTGTTACTGGGAGGGGCCCGTGTTGTTGCTCTTCCGCAGGATAGTAGTGAGGAGGAGTTGAGGGATTGTGGTGAGGCGAGGTATTATCCATCCATGGTATGTGTCTCTCAATTATGCCCTCGTCATTCTGTTCAAAGTGGAATACCCCCTCCGTTCGTGAGCTGTCTAAGCAATCTTGAGTCCAATTGCGAGCTTGGTCGCCTTGGAGATCGAAGAGAGAGCAATGCCATTCCCCTTTGCGCGGAACGACGACGTTAGACGGGGATGGAAGAGCTGACGAAGGGAATCCCAGTACACCTGCTACGATGGTGATTTCCTCTGCCCGATCCTCAATGGCGAGCCGACCTTGCGCTGCGGCGAGGACTGCTACCTGCCGGAGATGTACTCTTGCAGCAACGGCGAGCTTGTATATCCACCAGGATCTTCCATTGCAACGGCGAGTGCAATATCGACTTCGACTTCGAGCTCGGCGACCTCTGTGCCCACCTGTACCGAAGAGCCGACGACGCAGTGGCTAAGCGATCCGCCTTATGAGAACTACTTCTACTCGGACTGTCATTCAGCCTCGCAAGTCGTCGTGACGAGTCCGTTGGAGGATAGTAATCTGACCATCATTGGCCCACGTCTGCTCGTAGCATGGCCAGCAGGGAACTCGGGCGTCGTGGGTTTCTTCAGCCCGCAGAATGGCGTTAACGGATCTCTGGCGATTCGACTGGAGAATGGGACGTCGACGTTTCCACTTCATGGGGCGTACGTCGAGGCCGCGGCGGACTCGTTATCTGGATATCCTTTTGTTGGGATCAGCACGTTGGTCAACTTCAACTCGTCTGCTGTCTTGACTGTGCCGATTATGGGGAGTATCAGAAACATTCGGGACTTTACTGAGGGTCCTTCTCTCGTGTATCCGGTCTTTCAGGATGCCATCGAATGGAATGAAACTGACGACGGAGGCGTGCTGCTCTCGAGATTATGGCTGGACAATGTAACCACGACGCAGATGTCCTTCGTCCCAACCAGTGGCGAGGGCAGCATTTCAATCCAGACGAACGACCAGGGGAATCGAACTCTGGAGCTGGCGGCCGGCACGTACAACTTCACAGCCTGGTTCGACTATCCTCAGCTCACGCAGTTGAACTCCAGCGAAGTTTTGAACGATCAGTCCCAGGGTCTGATTGAGTCTCAGTCGGGACAGACGACGTCTCTTTCGTTCTTGTCGTACTCCGAGAAGCTTCTGGCAGGCGCATGGCGTTTCTTGACGTACTTTGGACGAGACAGCATGATCGCTGCTCTGCTCTTACAGCCAGTGCTCTCTGAGGGCGAAGGAGGCGCAATCGAGGCTGTCATCGCTGCGGTTCTCGAACGTCTCAACAAGACTTCTGGAATTGTATGTCACGAAGAGACGATAGGCGATTATGCAACCTTCTTGAACCTACAGGACAACATCACAGGTCCGGAAGCGTTGCGTCCTGGCTGTACCTATCAGATGGTGGATACAGACTACTACCTCGCCCCTTTGATGGAGAACTACTTCCTGAAGACCGAAACTGGAAGGAGCCGCAGAGAAGCCTTCTTCGCCACCAACTCCTCTCTCGACTTCGGAAACATGGGCCTCACATACGGCGAACTCGCCCTAATCAACGCCGAAGCCGTAGTCAAAAACTCCGCCCCCTTCGCCCAGTCCGGCGGTCAAACCAAGGACAACCTCATCCACCTCGAAGAAGACCAACTCGTCGGCGAATGGCGCGACAGCACCTACGGTATCGGCGGCGGCCGCATCCCCTACGATGTAAACACGGGCCTCGTCCCAGCAGCCCTCCGCTCCATCAGCGCCCTCTCCAGCGCAGGTTTCTTCCCCTCCCACCCAGACTGGCAACAAACCGCCGCCGCCTACGCCCAAGTCTGGGAAGACAACACGCTCCAATTCTTCCAAATCACCATCCCCATCGCCGAAGCGAAATCTCTCGTAGAGAACTACACCCAAACCGCCGGCCACGACTTCCCCTCGCACGCCGACGACATCAGCGCAGATATCGTCTTCCACGGCCTCGCGCTCGACGGGAACAACAACCAATCCATCGTCCGCGTCATGAACACAGATGATTGTTTCCGGCTGTTCTTGACCAACACCACCAACAACGAGCAGTTGACCTCTTTCCTCAACCAGTCGGCCAACAATATCCTCGCGCCGTTTCCGGTCGGTTTGAGTAACCCCGTGGGACTTTTGGTCGCGAATCCGGCGTATGGAGACGATCCTGTCTATGCGGCCAACTGGACGAATAACGCCTACCACGGAACGGTGGTGTGGTCCTGGCAGTTGGCCATGACGGGCGCTGGGTTACAAAGACAGCTCGAACGATGTTCTGCGTCGACGCCTGCTCCGGCTTTCTGTCAGGATGAGGTTGTGAGGGGGAATGTGAGGGCGGCGTATAACCATCTCTGGTAAGTCCTCTACCCTCATAGCTTGCTGATCAGGTGTTTTGTTTCGACTGATGCGATCAAAGGGACCTCATCGAGGCGAATGAGCCGTATATCAACAACGAGGTGTGGTCGTGGTTGTATCAGGATGGGGAGTTTACGTTCGAGCCGCTGGGGGCTTTGCCGCCTCCTGCTGGACTGGTGAGATATACATTTCCACGTCTCGTTTGAGGAACGAAGCTGACGTTCGCAACATAGAATCCCACCGAGTCGAATGTCAGACAACTCTGGTCACTGACCTGGCTGGCGGTGACGCGCGATGAATCTCTGAGGTAGTCTTTTTGAAGTGTACAGTCGTTCGCATATGCTTCTGGGTATCATCAACAACAAGCCCTCTCTAATATCCTACACGGCGCACATGCACGCAGAAAAACACTCTAAAAACGCTAGACATCATTCCCAATGCTCTCCACACGATAACTCGTCTCCTGATGTATAATCATCCTATCCGAGTCATCGCTCCTCTTCCCCCTCCCTTCCGCAGCACTGCTACTGCCGCCAGCACTACTACCACTCAACCCTCCACTGCCCTTCTTCCTCGGCTCACCCACAACATCACACCGATACGCGACCTGATCGGGCCTCAATCGGAATCTCGACTCCCCGGTCTCGGAGTCGTTTCGCGACACCTGTGACTTGTTCAGCGAACGAAGCTGCACGCTCGCGCCATGGGAGCCCGCGCCGGTGTGGCCGGACGAGGAGACGAGAGTCGTGTTTCCGTACATGGTCATCAGACCGCGGGACATGAAGGCCCAGAGGAAGGAGCGGAGACAGGGGAAGGAGGCGGAGATGAGGGAGAAGGCGAGGAGGGTTTCTTGCCAGGCCACCACGGGGGCGATGTCGATGTTGGTGCGGCCGTGGTCGAGGAAGTGGATGTAGGAGGAGGTTGTGGCGATGGTGAAGGCGATGACGATGAGGCTGTTGTGGGCAAGTATTAGGCAAGCGAAGCGTTTTCGTCCAGTGGTTTTTGGGGAATGACTTACCGGAAGCAGTAGACAAAAACGACGATTCGCTTCTTGCTCGCCTTGAGCTCGTTCTTCGAGATGAACCAGATCGGCATCGCTAAGACGATGAGTTCCGTGAATCCGTCCATGGCTGTCAACGCCGCCCAACGACCGGTCTGGGGAGGGTGGTCAGCTTTGTGATCAGAATGACAACAGTGGCGTGGTCGACGTACGTTTCCATTACACACGGCGTTGACGTTGGCTGTCAAGACTTGGGTAGGGTGGCAGCCAGCCGAGCTCAGCAGGACGGCGAGGATGCCATATATGACTGTGAAGGCGTATGCGATGCCGAAGAAGATGTTCTCTCTGGGGATCCACGTGTCAGCGTTCGCGTGTGGTATCGGTCGGGTTGCACGACAGTAGGTACGTACTTGTAGAAGTCTCCAACAAAGATTCGCCTCGTGAAGACGAGGATGGACATCTTCGAGAGGCAGTGTGCGAGAAACCAGGGTATCCTGGATCCGAAGTACATCTGTGGTACAGAGCGAGTCAGTTTCCATGCGAACATTAGACGACGTCATTGCAATTGTCAGTGGCTTTGAGAGTAGTCCATCCTCGTCGCCGGCGACATGTAATACATTGCTTTGTCCTCGCTGCCCTCAAACCCCGCCGGGAATGGGGAAAGTCTCAGATGTCTCAGGGTGCCAGTAACATGTCTCCCCGGTTGGCAACAGTACATAAGAAGTTGTAAAAGTTTGGCGACGGTATGGCCAGACTTCGCCTCTCTTTGATTCTGTGGCACAGACTTGACACTTCCCCTCCCACAGCGGGCTGACCACTCCCCGAAGATGGGCCGCGCTAGCGCAAGGTGAGTGAATGAATGTCGTACATACCCGCGCAGCATGTCCCAGCTGTCCTGCTGTGATGGCGACTGGTGACACCGCCAGCCCATCTACAAGCGACTGATATAGCAGCCCCCAGTGTACCACGGCAGCCACGTATGCTCCAACAAGTATGCCATCGTCAACCCACAATAGGCCCCACTTCGACGTGATTCTTGCAGCCAGGCACAGGACGCTGTAGATGAGCGCCAAAAACGAGGCAACCCATATCCAAGCGCGGTGGTCGATATCTGAAGTGGTCTCGAAGCCGTGGTTGGAGGACAGACTCATTGTTCTCTTCGGAGGTGGGTCGGTCGGCGGGGACCGATCATGGGTGGATTCGCTTCGGTGAAGAGGAGGGAGGTGACGGCGAGGGAACAGGTAGGACCCGGCACTTAACAGCACGGCATAAGAGGCATTGAACGAAGGGGGGAAGAAGGAAAAGCAGCAGTACCTGCGCGAGGTCGGTCGGCAAGCAAGTAGGCGGTAGATAGGTACAGTATGTAGGGCCGTCGATCTTCTTCACCACAGCACGCAAGCAAGACGCAGGAGTCAGCTGCCAACGGCGCTGCTCGCAGCGAGAAGGTGCGCGCCGCCTCGGTTTCTCCCACGCTGGAGTTGACGATAGAGTTCGTCCATCCCGCTGCCATTGCTCCTGTTCCTGCTGGGCCAGATGAGACTGTTGGGTATAATAATGGAGTGAACGTGAGCCTTTGCGGGAAGAGAACATCCTGGTCCCGCGCCCGCCTTGCGATCCGTCGCGGCGCTATCCAGAGAGACTGAGTGAGAGAGCAAATACCAATTGATCCAGGTCGGCTCCCATTTCGTTGGGTGCCGAGCGCGAGGACAACCTTATTAGCGACGGGAAGGATCGGGATGGATGCGCTCTAGGGAAGCCTAACTCGACGTCCCGCGCTGCGGAAACTGAGTTCGACCTTTGTGGCAGGTGCACCGTCGAAGTTATTCTTCTCTGTTGCATCTTGGAGTCTTGGATCGCTGGGCGCCTCATCACAGCTTCACATGCGTGGCTCCCCGCACGCCTCAGACGGAGTCCAGGTCGAGGTCATTGGTGGATTTATGCGACGCCAGCTCCATCCACACACACCCTCACACCGGCAGAGCTGTCATCACGGCTTTGTACGACAAGTGCCGCGCCAGGCGATTGGGTGCTTGGTCGTTATACATCTCGATGGGTACTGGCATTGGCAGAAACATGTGAAACACACGATATAACCATTCACACCCACGAACTTCTCCGTCTGGCAGCCTCGCCGACAGACTTCGATCAGTTCCTAGTCCAAATCGACCGTCGACCCGCCTTATGCAAGGCGAGCCGTGGGAGGCTGCAGGTTAGCGAAGACCCTTAGACGCGTGCCAAGGGACTAGATATACCAAAGAACTCAATCAGAGTTTCCACATCTCCTCTCAAATCTAGGAACGGGTGGGAGATAGTCGCGGTGGTGGGAGCTCGAGGAGCTGCATGCGCGGGAGACGACATATCCGAGTAGAACAGGGATGGCTGGTGCGAGACGAGTCGGCGAACGAGTCTTCTTTTCTTCGATGTCAGAGGGCTGGCAAACTGTTACGCACGACCATGGCGTGGGAGCTCGTGGCATGCTTCTAGCTCATCGTCTCTCGACGATCATTCTGCGTATGAGGAAGGAGGATTCTTTCCACTGTGCCGCCGCTGGAGCTCTGCCGTCGGTACCGTGCTCCTGGTTCCGTACCTTCTTCACCCATCTCTTCCTTCGAAACTTTTTGATATCCCTTCCAAATACCGCTGTCGCGACACTCTTTCTTCTTGTAGCTGCTCCTGGTTTGCGAAGGCCCGTTGGATAGGTCGCCAGTCGCGTTCGAACATGCAGAACGTACCTTTAGAGTCGTATCCTAAGACGAATGTCGTCGACGAGCGAGGAGTTAGTCCAGATGCCGACAGCGACTTGCAACAGCTTCCTGGTCGCAACTATGATCCCAGCTATGGTATGAGCTTCTGAAGAGCTGGTGCAATCGCCGGTGGCTGATCAAGATGAGCAGACAAGAGGGATATGCGAAGACTGGGGAAGAAGCAGGAATTAAAGGTATGCCCACCGAAACGAGCAACGAACATCACAACTGATATTTTGCAGCGCCGCTTCCGATTCTTCTCCATTGTGGGATTCGTCGTCGTGCTCGGCCTTACTTGGGAATTCTCACTCACCACCGGCGTCTTCTCTCTGGCGAACGGAGGAACAGCAGGAGCGATCTGGCTGACGTTCGTTGTCTGCTTTGGCATGTTCTTCGTCATGGTCTCAATGGCCGAGCTTGCTTCGATGGCACCAACAAGTGGAGGACAATACCACTGGGTGAGCGAATTCGCGCCGCCGCATCTTCAACGACCTCTGAGCTATGCTGTTGGATGGCTTTGTGCTTTGGGTTGGCAAGCAGCTATGCCTACCGTTGCGTATATTGGAGGAGGACAGCTTCTTGCCTTGATATCCGTCTGCGATGAAAGTTATGAAATCAAAGGATGTGAGTTGGTGGCATGTTACTTCGATCTTCCAGCGCGATACTGACCATCTTCGTCCACAGGGCACCAAGCGTTGATGACGATGGCATTCGTGACACTCGCAATCTCCTTCAACACCTTTGCTATCGGCAAGCTGCCTATCCTGGAGGGTCTCGCGGTGGTTCTGCACATCTTCGGCTTCTTCGCCTTTCTCATCATAATGTGGGTGATGGGTCCAAAAGAAAATGCCGAAATCACCTTCACCAAGTTCGACGATGCCAACAACTGGGGTTCGTTAGGCCTGGCCACTCTCATAGGAATCGTTGGTCCTACGACTACGTATCTTGGTGCCGACAGTGCCGTCCACTTGGCTGAGGAACTGAAGGATGCGAGTTACGTCCTTCCTCGCGCCATGTTCTCTGCTGCCATTATCAACTACATTACCGGCTTTGTGATGACGATCACCTTCATGTCCAATCTTGGAGATCTGGATGCTGCTCTAGAGTCGGCGACGGGCCAGCCTTGGGTCTATGTCATGTACACCATCACTGGGTCTAAGGCCGCTACGATCGTCTTGGTTGTGGTCATGACTATCATGGTCAGTATCATGTCATGATTATCCCTGCAACTTACTGACTTCATCACAGTACTTCTTCTGCGCCGTCAATCAAGTCACCACGAGCTCTCGTCAAGTCTTCGCCTTCGCCCGCGATAAGGGACTTCCGTTCCACAAATTCCTTTCCAAGGTCAGGCCGAACAGCGGTGTGCCCGCCAACTCAGTGTATGTGACACTGGTCTTCACCTGCTTGATCGCCCTCATCGTCATTGGCTCCACGACGGCATTCAATATTATTCTGTCGGTGTCAGCCACTGGACTATTCACATCGTACCTGACCGTGATCTGCACTGTCCTTGCGAAGAGAATACGCGGCGAACCCTTCCCGAAGTCGAAATTCAGCCTTGGAAAATTCGGCTACGTGGCCAACATCCTGGCGATATGCTTCTTGATCGTGGCGTACATCTTCTTGTTCTTCCCGGCGGTGCCGAACCCGGATGCGCCGTCGATGAATTGGGCTTGTCTGGTGTACGGGGTGGTTGTTGTGTTTGCTGGTGTTTACTACTTGGTTAAGGGCAGATATGAGTACGATGGGCCTGTGGAGTATGTGAGGAAAGACGTAGAGTAAGAAAGGACTGTTGTGTATTTGACGCGTACATCGATACCCCCAATTGTGTTGCAGCACAACAGCATATCTCACTAGTGTCTAAACAATCTGATCTTTGATATTCTGCGGCGACGGTCTCGTCGAAGCGAAAGATTCCCTCGCATCCAGACCCTCCCAATACTTCTTGAGCTGCGGATGCTTGTTCATCCAGGGGTGATCAGGCCATCGGACTGCCATATAACCCAACACACTGCCAGCAGCAACATCCGCCAGAGTCAACGAGTCGCCGATGAGGAACTTCCCACTGCTGCTCTGATCAACCCAGGTAGCGAGCGCTTGAAGACCGCCTTCGACTTTTCGCATCTGCCGGGCTTTCCAGGGCTCCGATTCTTTTCCTGGACCGCGCTGCTTTTCGAAGAAGCACAGGACCAGGGCGTCGCAGATGCCTGGAACAGCATCGTTAGCCTAGGGAGGGCGTGTAGGGAGAACGAACCTACCGTCTGCAACGACTTCGACTTGCTTCGCGAATAGTCTATCATCAATGTCCTTGGGCAGCATCGGCGGATCGGGATGCTTCGCCTCTATCCATTCGAGAATGTAGTGGCTCTCGTAGACGGGCTTGCCATCGTCAGGGATGAGGACGGGGAGTTTTTCCAATGGGTTGTATTTGGGTGTTTCGGTGGTTGACTCCCAGGGGACTTCTGTTTGTAAGGTGAAGGGTACGCCTTTTTCTGCGAGAAGTATCCTGACTTTGCGCGCGTAGGGAGAGGGGGTTGCTGAGATCAGGGTGTAGCCCATGTTGCTGTCGCGTATGGCCGTGCCTTGATAGGTATCGATGGATGAGATGTAAACTTAACTTCAAGTATTTCTTTTAGGTCTCTGTAGCTCCAATATAAAGCTCAACGCGATGCCTATGATGCGTTCGAGACCTCCATGTTCCCGTAAGGAGGGAGCATTGCTTTTAATGGGATCGACTGACGTTTGTTGCTAGAGCCCCACTTGAAAAGAATCCGATCCTCGAGACGAGCAACCTCCAAACTCGACAATGACAAATCGCACCAAGAAGAAGACGACGCTCCTCCACGGACAATGTCTTTGACAGACCTCATCACCGTAATCGCTCCTGACAAAGATGACGACCCCGAGGACATCTTCGCGGCCGCGCCAGGCCTCATCTTCACGGATGACCTGCGCAACATGCACGGCGACGACGCCAGCACCCTTGTGTACAAGAGCAGGAAATTTGGGAATATAGAACTCAAGACGGCGGATCCTGAAAAAGAGAATGATAGGAGGCTGTTTGCGCATTATCTGTGGAATGCGGGGATCAAGATGGCCGAATTGATCAGCGAGGAGGACTCTGGGTGGAGCGTGAATGGCGAGAGGGTCCTGGAATTGGGCGCAGGTGTGGGAGATTGATATATCACTGTTCTGGTGCAAGAGCTGGCTGATGGCATACTCTGACAGGAGTCGGTTTGGACGGGATAGTCGCAACGCTGGCTGGAGCGCGGGAAGTGAGTATCATGGACGACACCATGAGAGGATGGCACTGATACACAGGTAGGTGTTCATCACAGACTATCCGTCTGATGTATTACTTGAGAACATACGGCGAAACGTGAAGAAGGCGATACCGGACGACCTAAGGAGCAAGTATCATATTCAAGGCTACGAATGGGGAGACGTCACCTCTCCCTTCGCCCATGCGAACGAGCACTCCTTCACACGCATTCTCGCCGCCGATTGCTATTGGATGCCGCACGAGCACGAGAACCTCGTCAAGTCGATGCTGCATATGCTCAGTCTTGAGCCCAGCGCCAGGATCTTCTCGATTGCAGGCTTCCATACCGGTCGGGCGAAACTCGCGCTCTTCTTCCAGGAGGCTGTGTCTCAGGGATTGGGTGTTGAGAGTATCTATGAAGAGGATGCAGAGGGGAATAGGAGGGAATGGATGGAAGAGAGAGACGGTGGGACGGAGAACGTGACGGAGCGCAAGAGGTGGCTTGTCATTGCTATTCTGAAGCGGCGGCTACCTTCATGATGATGAGGTTGAGTGGGTGTCTGTGGCAGTGCGAGCAGTGCTACGTTGTGCTGCATGGGACAGACACAGTCCAGTGGTGTCAGTGACTGGTTCGCACTGAACCAGTACTTGGTACACAACTCTTCGGAACAGGTTTGTATTCAACAATGCAGCCCTGTTCAACAAAGAGTCGCTGAGGGAGACCATCGTCTATCGCCATGACCGAATGTACAGATCTTTACGAACCAACCGACAGATCAGCGCCCGGGAGGCAGATTGTGCCACCTCATTGAGCAGGCCTAAGGTCTCACAAACGACTATTTGCTTTGCGGGTACTTGCATCGTGTAAGTAGGCTCATCAAAGACTCGAGCTCCAACTTCTACCTTCTCGCCGTCGACACAATCCTCTCTCCAATGTCGACCTACTCTACCGTGCAATTCATCAGGGTGATTGAATGAATAGCTGGACGGCGATACCTTGAGATCCTCGACCACACCATAGCCATGAGCACCAATACGTTGATACGTCAATGCGAGGCTTTGGCACAGAAGCTGTACAATCAATGTAGCTGCGTCTTCACACCATTACACTGCTCACCGTTTTTCTGACATCGAAACAGGTCGAGACACATCAAGTCCGTACAAGACCTTGACAAGCGGCCTTCGTAGACTACGCAATGTCTTAGGAGACATTGATGAAATCCTGAACGACACAGACGATCCACGCAGCAGCGACACGAAACTGCAGCCATGCTTGGTCCAAAGCAAAAGCATCTTGGAGAAGCTGGACATGGCGTTGGTGACATACAAATGCATGAGGCAGGTCGATGTCGACAACGAGGCTGTAGCTGGACTGAAAGCTTCGATCGAAGATGTCACCCAAGAACTGGCGAGTGCCCACGAGAAACTCACGCGCACTGGCGAGATGTCAATGTCAGCTTGTAGCTGTGTGCTTGTTCGAAAGACGAGCCAGGGCAGCAAAACGTCGAGCTCTTGGTCACTTATCAATCGAGACACCCCGTCTGATGCGAACAGTCTCGAGTCGCAGAGCTTTCCCGTTGCCTCAGTTGACTTCCTCCGCCCAAGCGATGAGAAGGAAGTGTGCAGGACAAACTGCAGCAGACTCCAACCCTCGGCCTCTGATACCAGTTTAGGGGGCAAGAGTACAACGGCCTCGTGGCGCTCGATATCGCTCGATCCGCTGTCGCAGCCAATTGCGGATGCCTCGAGGATCATCATGAGCAGTGACAGTCCTATTGAATCGAAACCTACTGGCGATCTGATCGAATCGACTCTGAGTGCGGCCGGCGACCAGGTCAACCAATTGCACAAAGAGGAAGCGCCTTTGAGTGACGAAGCTCAACTTTGGCAACGCGTTGATGCTATCATGAACGGCACTCCTAAGGGGAAGAATCAACGTACACCAGGTATTCCAAATTCTGAGCCATTCGACTCTCCTCGGAGGCACTCAGGAAGCTCGATGGGCGCTGATGCTGCAGCTTTCCCGGGCTCTCTGCCTGATGTGTCAACAGAAGATATTGGTGCAGGGCGCCATACGACAGAGTGCGATAACACAACATTAGTACATTCTCCCGCACAGGATGCACATGTCCCGTCCATCTCGTCCCATCTTTCCGCCACTATCAACCCTTCACAATTTGCAGCAAGGCTACCTCCATCGCCAAGGACACGACGACGAGAAATGTACGAGATCATGTGTTGCACTGAAGGTCAAGCACTCAGCACTCCAACGATCGTTCTCCCTGATTCGCCCGGCACAGAGTCCTGTGAGGATCTGTACAGCGCAACACCACCAAAGAAAGCACGCCTCGCAGGTACAGAGGATGCCAGCCTATACCCTGATCCCTTGCAGTTGAAAAAGAAGCTTGTCGGCCTGGACTTTGACACCAGATCCTTCAATCCAACATTGGAATCTCGATCTAGTCGTCATCACAGTGCCATTCCCAACAGATGTCGACGAAATTCTACAGGCGTATTGGCGGAACTAGAGGGCGAACCTGTCCATCCTCCAACCAGGTCGAGCTCCTGCAGTTCTCTGCCACGATACGAGAGCGTTGTGGCCAGATCACGTCCATTGGGGAGAACGGCGACTCAAGCACGAATGCCACCGGGAAGACATCTTATAGCCGGTAGACGTGTCAGTGCCGCTCCCAGACGATGCGAATGCGCTCTGAGGATGCCCGAAGTAATAGCGCGAGCTGGTACCACCTGTACCTGTCACTATCCAGTCGAGAAGACACCTGCGGCCACGAAGCTACCCTCCACTCCCACGTTCAAATGTCGGCAAAGTGCCGACGATGCCCTACAAATTACCAAAATCAGTCGTCCTCGTCGAAGGGTGCAATATGCGATTCGGATATCGAATAGAACGTGGTATGAACGAGACCAGGAAGACACGCATGCTGCTATATTGGATCAGGAACGCATGAGGTACGTTGAGTTCTTATGGCCTCTCATTCATTCATTGGTCTCCATGAAATTGATCTAACATACCGCAGGCACATCGTGCACTACTGGAACGAAAGCTCCTGGGACATCGCCGAGCAGTATCTCACAGCCCATCTCGACGAAATCAACACAGGCTCCCACGGACCCAGCTTTCGCCGTACTCAGCACTTGCTCGGCGTATGCGCCAGCTTTAGAGGCGAGTGGGACGAGGCAATCAACCGTTTCATCAAAGTCCTCCGAAAGCCAATACGTAGAGTCTCGGACCTGGACGATGGCGACTGTGCTGCTGCTTACTGGTTGGGTGATCTCTACGCTATGCCGAATCGGAGAGCAGATGACCCTGCTCGCGTACTCACTCGCCAGGCATAGCAGTGTTTTCGACGACGAGGCTTTGCAGTCTGTCATCCGCTGAGCGGATGGCCGTCCAACTGGGTGTCTCGAAGAGCGAGTTCAAACGCCACTGGTCGGAAGAAGCTCTCTTGACGATCGAGAAAGGGGCAGGACCCAGCATCTTGACAAACGATGTCATTGCTATGGAAACAGCCAGATCATGCCTCGAGAATGGGAGTCAAGAGAAACGCGATCAAGAAACCCGGGACTTCGCTGAGCTCGTGCGAGCCCGCCATCTGCATGCCTTCCTACTCAAAGACAACGACAAGCTAGGCGTCCGCCCAGAACTCAACGAACGCATGGCCATGAAGATCGACGCCGACTGCTTAGATCCAGACTCACCCTGGCCGATGCCATACGACCCCCTATTCTGCATGCCCCACGTCCAACGAGGCAGGCTCCTCGCGTACGAATGCGACATGCTCAATGTCTTCGAGACGAACCCAGAAGCCAAGCTCCCCAGGCCCCTGAGTCTCAAACTCGACTGCTTCACTTGCAGTGATCTGACATGGTTGATCACCACCATCCGAACTTGTCTGACGACCTACGAGATCGACCACTCCGAAGTCGTCAACGTCCAGGGGACGTGGTTCTGCTGTCGCTATTCCTTCATGCAGCACAAGATCGCGACGACGCATTACTTCTCGATCGCATTGTTCAAACACCCCTTTCGAGGGAGCTATGGCGCCGAGATCTGCGCTGATGAGGGCATGGGGAGTGCGAGGATCGTGGAGAGTGCGGGGAATTATAAGAATGGTGTGCATTGCCAGGAGCCGAAGAGGATCAAACGGCTTATTAGGCATTACTTGGATGAGGCGGCGAAGCGGGCACATTCGAAGGAGAGGAGGGCTTCGGGTCAATCGAGGCCTGTGGGCAGGTTGCCTTCGCAGTATGATACTACCTAGACCATGAAACGGAGCTAGTGCTGCGATTCTTGCCATCGTGCCATCCATTATCACTGGGTCCTACCAGAATTTTGATGAGGGTCATGTGGTGGTGGGACATGTCCTAAATAGTCCATCGCAGGAGCCTAAGAAGAGCAGAATGCTGGAGAGGCGAACAGCTGGCTCGTGGTCGTTCTAGATTGTAACCGACCCTTCTAATGCCGTTGTGTTGCAATCCATATCAGTTTGGCCTGGATTCTTCGGCTTGTCATATAATGTTGGAAAAGACAATTTCAGTACGCGGTCTGGCTTTACGAAACACATCGACTGGGTTCGGGCTCCCAAAAAGGTCCGTCTGGTAAAAGCTTGGAGTATCTTTAAACCTCTCAACTACCATAGGTTGTTGAGGTCTAGGACCATATCGTGGTCGAGACCTGGCTTCTCCTTATTCAGGGATCGAGACGCTGGGCAGGCGGCCACCAATAGCGTCGTCAAAGACAGAGAAGAATAGGGCTTCCTCTTGAACATGCTCTGCTTCTAGTGCTCGGGGCCGTAGAGATCCTGGGAAAACCGAGCCTTTTCCAGGTTCAATCTGATGGATACCCAGTCAGCTGGGTCGAGTGTCAACAGGCACAAGGATCGGTAGGTCCTCGGTGCCCGCACTAGACATGGTTGTGAGTTAGGATGGGGTGTTGTCTGCTCGATTGCACCCAGTCACTTGGTTCCAGGAGCTCGAATATATGTCATAGGCATGTCCCACGTGTGGGTAAGTTCAATCAGATCCTCTCATCCGGGTCAAACAACAAACACACCTCTGAGTCGCTCTCACGTCTTTTATGGCGTCTTGTTGAGAGGCTATGTCGAAAGTCCTTCGTCCTCCGCAGCCACGTCCTGATCAGCGCTCCCCAAACTCATTCAAATCACCCACCTGCCACGGCAAATACTCCTTCGACAACGCGCCAGAAGATCTCGAGAAGATCGCCCGTGGATTCATCTCCGCCATCAATCGCCGCGTCCTTTCCTCAGCCGCCGCAGAATGGCAGCCGATATCCCCGAACTTCCGAGCCAGCTTCGATCAAGAGCCCGATTTGAACCTCAACCGAGAAGAATACCTGCGGTGGCTCGCAAAGATCACGTCGATGAACCCCTCCCACGTCATCCGTGTGATGGATGTCGCGACTTATGTTGACACTGAGACTCGCCGCGCGGAGGTCTGGATGACGGGAACGACGTCAGATGCAGTCCACGAAGATTTGGTCCACCAATGTGTCAAGGTCCTGGAGTTTGCTTTTTCGCAAGAGCATGGTTGGTTGTGTGTGAGGTATAAGAGGATGAGAGGGCCGTTAGGTGCAGAAGCTGTGTTTTGAAAGAGAGGTCGATCCGCGAGGACTTGGCCTGCGATGAATTGTCGTGTATGATGGATCATCTTTGAACAGGCGTTGGAGTCAGGTTGAAACGCTCGAGGACATGGTTTGGCGCGGCAGTCCTAGGACTTGAAAGAATGGCGTTTCGCTCTGCTTCTTTTATGTGCGCATCCATGATCTTCGTCTGGGTAGCTTATGCTCAATAATTTTCGCCTGATTGAAGATTCAATGTCGTACGCATCCTCATCTCGAAGGCCTGGGCGTGCATCCGACGCGCCTTATTGCGAAGGTACCTACCACTTCTGGTCGAGGAGCCAGAAAGATACCTTCCGTCTACGTATGTCTAGGTCCAAAGAAGAATTCATCCGTCAGGTGTCTCGAGGCGCGTTGGTGAAGGCATTTCGGCATCTATCTCCAGGTTGTTCACTGTGGCTAGGCAACTGGCTTCATAATAGAGCAACTCGTCGAGAGCCTGTCTGATGAGAGTTGAACCGAATTTGTCAGGCTACGCTTTCTAAAAGCAGTGTACGAGAGTTGAGTACAAGTGATGTCGCGCTTCGGGCTCAGAGATCGCCCGACGCCTCCCAAATTGCACCATCGCGCAAAGAGGGGGCGGGGGCCGAGAGCACGGCGCCGAAAGTGGATTACCAAACAATTAACAACAATTAACAAGACCCTGCCATCGTTGTTCATTAAAGATAAGTTGTAGCAACAAGAGTCCTCGAGAGAGAGCATAGCCTGAAAATGTCAGCAACTCGCAAACCCATCCTCATCTCAGGAGCCGGCCTGGCTTCTCTGCTTTTTGCCCGATCTCTATTACGTAGCTCCATCCCCTTCATCATCTTCGAACGAGACCAGTCGATTTCATTCCGGGCTCAAGGCTACCGATTGCGCCTCTCACTCCAAGGACTCGATGCCATCGAGGAAGTTCTGGGTCCTGAGGGGTTCCCAAAATTCTGGGATGCATGCGGCAAGACCGGCGGGTCTAAAGGATTCGCTGCCATCGATGCCATCACGGGAGAGGATGTGGTCGATCTTCCGGAGAGGAAAGAGCCCGCCCGGAGCGGACCTGTGAGCAAGGAGGTTCTGGAGTCGCGAGATGGGAAGACGATTGGAATTTCGAGAGGTGCTATGAGAGCTTTGTTCCTCGAAGGTTCTGAGGCTCATGTTGAATGGGGCCATCAGGTGGTTGGGTACGAGTTGACTCCTAACGGCGTCAAGGCTGTGTTTAAGGATGGATCGAAGTCAGAGGAAGGAGATATGCTGGTTGGAGGAGAGGGAATCTATTCCAAGGTGGCGAAACAGGTCTCCGATGGCAAAATCAAGACGTACGATACTGGAGCGAGAGGTATCCATGGCCAAGCCCCGACTACCGCATTCAAGGGGCTTGGAGAGGGAGTTTGGAGGGTCATTGACGACACTAACCCTAACGGAAAGACCTTTGTTATAACAAATGTCAGACCGGATGATATGGATGACGAAAACATTGACTTCGGCTGGACGATGGGTGGTACTCCAGGAGTCATACAACCGCCCAACAACGACTTTGCAATCATTGGAAAACCAGCTGCAGACATTGCCAAGTCTTTGACGGCAAACTGGCATCCTCGCCTGAAGCCACTGTTCGAGGAGATGAGGGAGGAAGATGCGGCGTTCTGGAAGATCACCTGCTCGACTCCCTCAGGTGTTCCAAAGTGGAAGAACGAGCCAAGGGTGACGGTTATTGGAGATGCCGTTCACTCAATGACTCCTGCTGGAGGAATCGGTATGTATAAGGGCCCTTTAGCGATGAGCTACACACTGACTCTCTGTTGCAGGCGCCAACACTGCGGTTCGAGACTCGGCCTTGTTGGGGCGATTACTCGGCAAGAAGGGGGGATGGTATGATGGAGTTACAGCAGAATACGAGAAGGAGATGAGAATGTAAGTCGAGATTGAGCCTTACATACCTCGACAAGAGTATGTACTAACGTTTGAACAGATATGGCAGCGAAGCAGTGGCGACCAGCTACGGCATGGCCACATCCCAGTTCGGGGTGCTGATCGACGAGAAGACTTCACCCACGGTTGGCTGACGCAGAATAGACGACATTGTTGAGAGAAGGGAACGATAAATGTAGACATGTATTCGTTATCGATATTGGCTCTTAATTCGACCAACGCAATGCAGTGTCCACGCCCATCGCCATAATCACACCGACGCAAGCCTGATCGCCACTACGTCCTCATGCTTCTCAAACATCTCACCTACCCTCGCATGCACCAAGCCAAGAGTGATACCCGTATCAGACTCAATCACTGGATCAGCCAGACTAGTCGTTCGCGTGACATACTCCTTCGTCTCATCTCGTTCCTCATATATCGTTGCTTCCGCCGTAGTGCAAGGCGGCTGCGTCAACAGCATATTCGACAGAGTCTTGCCCTGACCTGCCGCGACCTTTCGCTGCACCGCCGGAATGTCTCGCCTCGTGATGATGAGAATGGCCTGGTGTCTCGGTCTTGATCCGAGATAGCTGAATCGCAGGTTGTATGATGGGAATGTCGTTTGAATAATGGGGTTCAACGAAGGAGCCGATCTGGTAGGCGGCCGGTAGGTACCTGGAACGTTCTGGGCGCCAGAGACTGCGGACCATGATCGTGACGTTGTGGGATCTGAAAGTAGGTAGAGTGCTCTTTGCACGTATTTGGATCCGAGGATGGCTCGTTGCCAGATTCGACAGACTTCTGATAAGTGTAGGACTGAGGTGAGGAGATTGGCATTGGCGTGCGTCTTGACTGATCTTGGGTCTTCGAAGTCCTGTTATGTATTGTCAGTATGTATGCCAATATGTGCCGGCTTGTACGCCACTCAACTCACTGTCAAATCATGTAGGCCACCCAAGACGAAGGAGAAGATGTAATCTGATAGCTCCGGTGTGGCGAACACCTGAAGCACGGCAGAAGGGGTTGTCATTTCATGCGTTCTTTACCACGTATTATTTGTGTTGTAACTGAAGCTAAAGAGAGGACAAGGATGACTTCGTGCTGCTTCTGACTCGTGGTAGAGACGTTCAAATAAAGTTTCGCAGTGCAAGGCAGAGAGCTCCCTCGCCCCTTGATCAGCCACCAACACCTCGACCACCTGCTTGAGGATCCACATTGCCTACCTACCGCGTAACCGAGCACTTGGCTCCGGACCCAGCTCAGGCAGCTAGTCGGACGAGGCTGAATGTCGAAGACGTCGCATGTTCAAGACGGCAGTCCAAAATGCCAAGAGATCATCGCTGAACTCGAAAAGCGAGCACAAGCAAACATCGAGGCCATGAACAACAGAGACTTCTCACCCTCTTCGCCATTATATCATTTGAGGGCTAAGGACTGGAGAGCGGAAGCCGGGGATGGCGAGAGTTGGAAAGAAATGGCCTTGCACGAATACGTGGAATCGCTCAGAACGATCACGACGGAGAATCCAGAACTCAAGGCGACACTGCGTGATATGAGTACCACGGTCAACGCCAAGCTGGACTCTGCTCGGATATTCGTCAATGTCGAGATCGAAGGGATTCCAGTTGGTATTTCGAGGCACGCCGTGGTTCTTTTGGAGTATCGATGGATGGAGACGGATTGGGTGTCCTGTAGCCATAGAGTACTGGGTGGGATGAGTGTCAACCTGATGGAGTAACAATGTGTAATTCGGAGAGATCAAATAGTTGATCAAGGGAGTAGTTCCGGTGGTAGTGCAAAAAGTGCCAGATCCAGTCAGCCCTCAGTCGGCGGAAGTCCTCGGCTCATCACAGCTGGCGATGGGCGTCGGTTCCTTGCATCAGGAGCAGCAGCAACCACGGGAGTAGTTTGTCTTTGGAGGTGCGAGCAAACACCTGCTACCTAGCTGATGCGCACTCGGACGGCGGATCTGGGACTACCGTGCGAGCAGTCAGCCATGCCATCATCATCCTCCATGCCGTAAACTTTCCGCCGCCTGCTACCAAAGGCGTGTCTCGCGCAGCTCGAACTCTTGGACAGCAGACGATCTCCGTAAGACCTCTCCAACGTCCTCGACGACCCTCTTTCCACAACCACGACCCCCTACCATGACTTCGAACGGCACCGTAAATGGCCACAACAACGAGATCCTCCAGCCGCGCGCGCGCAAGCCTGTCAACCCTTCGATAGCTCGCGCTTTCAACAAGGAGCTCAATGCGACTGCTGATCGATCGGCCGTGCTCACAGGCCTCGCCAGCGAACGTGGGACTCCCGCACCTCCAGACGATGCTCCTCCCTCTGTCAAGGCGACTTCTGCCGCTAGGAAGGCAAACCGACAAAAGACCAAGTCGCGGCTCTTCCCGACTGTCGAGTATCAAGAGCGAGTCTCCTACTTCGACCCCAAATCGAGCTATGGAAATTTCAGAGGCTTCTTCGTGTTGTTCTGGATTGGCCTCGCGATCATGGTCATGACATCTGTGCTGCGGAATCTGAAAGAGACGGGGACATTTCTGAACTTCAGGCAATGGCCGCTTTTCAGACAAGACCTTGAGGAATTAGCTGTCAGCGATGCCCTCATGGCGGGCAGTACAGCACTAAGTCTGCCGATGCAGTGGCTGTTCATGAAGAGTAAGGGACTGTTGAAATGGACCAAGGCGGGGATTGTTTTGCAAAGCATATACCAAGCAGGATGGCTATGGCTCTGGATATCCTGGCCGTTTCTACGAGACTGGACGTGGACGGCTCAAGTCTTCTTCACCTTGCACACACTGGTGCTGTTCATGAAGATGCATTCATATGGGTTCTACAACGGTCATCTTTCGGATACGTACAATCGCTTGAAGGAACTCGATATGCCCATTGGGCCTGAGACACCAACCACGGCCGCCGTACGTTATCCTACATCTTCCTCGCGGTTTGCAGAAATGAACCAAGATGATGAAGATCCCCACGAGCATGAACTGTCGCCCATCGCACAGCTCCGCGAGGACCTTGCTAAGGAGCTAACTTCACCCATGGGCAACGTCACATATCCGCAAAACCTGACCATTGCCAACTACGCCGACTTCCTTCTCTGTCCGACACTTTGCTACGAGATCGAGTACCCGCGTACACCGACCCGGTCATATTTCGAGCTCGCCATCAAGATCTTGGCGGTCTTCGGCTGCGTCTTCCTGATGACGGTCACCAGCGAGGAGTTCATCATCCCAGTCCTGGACGAATCTCAACTCCGTCTACATCGATCACGAACATTCATCGACAGCTCACTCATCTTCGCTGAAACGGTCAGCCGGCTACTGTTCCCATTCATGATCACCTTCCTTCTGGTCTTCCTCGTCATCTTCGAGTACGTTCTGGGCGCCTTTGCAGAGATCACTCGCTTTGCCGATCGACAGTTCTACGCCGACTGGTGGAATAGCCTGGACTGGTTGGAGTTCAGTCGCGAGTGGAACATCCCCGTCCACAACTTCTTCAGGCGGCATGTCTATTCTGCTAGCAGACAGGCCGGCATGTCCAAGGGTGCAGCAACTGGAATAACATTCCTGATATCAGCACTGGCTCACGAGCTCATCATGGGCTGTATTACGAGGAAGTTCAGGGGATATGGCTTCAGCCTGATGATGTTGCAGATGCCTTTTGTGGCCATCCAACGTCTGCCTTGGGTGAAGAAGCAGGCTTTGCTGAACAACGTTATATTTTGGATCTGCATGGTCTTCGGTCTTGCCCTGGTAGCGTTAAGCCCTCCTTTTGACGCCGTATTCTTGCTAACTGTTCGCAGCTTTGTGCTCTTTACGTACTCGTCTGATCGACGACGGCGTCGCGGATACCCCTTTCCCGCCCATCTATCGAATCGTGGCACCAGAGGTTCACGCTTGTAATGATAGTCTTTTCTGTACGATGATCTACAAGTTGAGCTTCACCTCATTCCTAAATACTTCATTTGTTGTCGCTCTCTAAGTCAACGCTGACCTTTTAAGACAGTAGATCGCAGGAAGAAGACCGGCACTCCAATGGTCTGCTCTCCGCCGAGTAGCCGGTGATCATGGCATTAAATTGTTGAAGAGTAGTTTGGAGAGGCACGTCAGCCGCGAGAGGAACTTCTCAGACCTGCTTGTTCCAAGGGGGTTTTGTCTTTGTCACGTGCGTTTTTCGGCGCACTTTCCGTGGCAAACTTCTTCGGCCAACATCACGTCTTCCTCTTCACAACACTTGGCCGCTACCAGACACTTCTACAAGGTAGTACAACCGTCGTACGAAGCAATCGCTACCACTTTGAAGCGTTCTCTAATATCTTACATTCCCTTTTGCTCGTCTTCCGTTGAGTTGCATTTCCATCGTCTAGCTTACATCGCCAACATGGCTCCACCAACACCCATCTGGCTCGACTGCGACACAGGCCACGACGACGCCTTTGCCCTCCTCCTCGCCGCTCAACACCCCAACTTCAACCTCCTCGGTGTCAGCACAATCTACGGCAACGCGCCCCTCACGCGCACAACCCACAACACCCTCGCAATCCTAAAAGCTATCGCCCGCGAAGACATCCCCGTCTACCCCGGCGCAACCCGACCCTTCTGCCGCCCCGTCGCCTCCGCCCCGGACATCCACGGCGAATCCGGCCTCGACGGCACAACATGCCTCCCCACCCCCACCGCAACCCCCAACACAGACCTCCCAGCCATCGAAGCAGCCTACAAAGCCCTCATCGCCCAACCCCCTGGCACCGCCTGGCTCGTAGCAACAGGCTGCCTAACCAACACGGCCCTCCTCTTCGCCATCCACCCGGACCTCACCTCCCACCTCGCCGGCCTGAGCATCATGGGCGGCGCCATCGGCGGCGGCTTCAGCAGCGCACCAATGGGCGTCGTCGAAGGCAAAGGCGAGCGCTTCGGGAACTGGACGCCCTGGGCCGAGTTCAACATCTGGCTGGATCCCGAAAGCGCCTCCGCGATTTTCTCGAATGAGACTTTGGCGGCGAAGACGACGTTGATGCCGCTCGATCTGACGCATCAGTTCCTCGCGACGGAGGCTGTGCAGAAGATGATGTTGCATGGTCTGAATCCCGATGCGGGTAAGGAGGTTCCGACTGTGAGGAAACTCTTCCATGAGATTCTTACGTTCTTCGCCAAGACGTACGCGGATGTGTTTGGTTTGACGGAGGGGCCGCCTACGCATGATCCGCTGGCTGTTGCTACTGCTATCGTGCCGGAGCTGTTTGACGATCGTGGTGGGGAGCGGTATGAGGTGAAGATCGTGACGGAGGGGGATCATGGGGCTACAGACTCTGCGCGGAATGGCTCCTCGCAATGTGGGAAGACTGTGGCGACGTTGTTGCCCAAAGGGAAGGCAGGCGTGAGAATTCCACGGTCGTTGGAGAAGGACAAGCTGTGGAGACTGCTGGAGGAATGCCTTGGTCGCGCTGAACAAACGGCGAGCACGTAAGCGGCACCACTGTTAGTTTGCATAGACCATAGACGATAGACACGAACCAAAGACAATCTCCAAGAACCATTGCTCATAATCCTTTCAGCAGCGCTATCTTTTGCTATAGGTATCCGGGTTTAGTCTTCTTCTCGTCTTAGGCCCAAAGAAGAAAAGCATCATGACAATGCTTGCGGTCACGGCACCAGGACCACAATGCTCTCCTGTTTCCCTTGATCGCGCCAATTTCTTCAAGCGTAACGCGCCCGTCCCCTGTCCCGCGACTCCTCATCCCACAAATGCGATCGCCAGAAACGTGTGTTGATGGCTTGCTTATTGAATGCCCGATGTGACCTCCTAAGTTTCCATCGCATTCTCCGTATCGGTCCATGCCTTGCTGGCCGTGGTTGCGAAATACCTCACATCGACATCGTCATCCTGCATGAGCTTCTCGAGAGGTTGCATGATCTCGTCTCTGATGATTTGTGAGCCTCGCTCACTGCCTGGGAAGTTGGTGGAGCCCTGCTTTTCAAGTTCGGCAATGGTGGCATTGGGATCGTCAGGTAGCCGTTTGAGGATGTCGATGAGAACTGCGTACGACTTGGCAACATTGAATCGGATGTTGGGGATGGGGTCGGTGACGAGTTGCTGGAGAATGGGGAGGACGGACTTGGCCAAGACGGGAAGAGAGAGGGCGGGTGCGAGAATCTGTGTGCCTGTCAGCTATGTCTCAATGAGGGTGTGGTAGATTACTTACCGAAACGGCAAAGCAAGTGGTCATCCGATAGAGGTAGTTGGGGTGTTCGGCCAGGGCGGCAACCTTGGGAACGATGGCATCGCTTGCCCACTCGACTCCAAAGACTTCTGTAAGCTTCTTCAGATTTTGAGTGCTCGCCTCTCGAATGCTGAAGACCGTGTCGCCGAGCCAAGACATGCACAGGCTGCTAAGCTTCTCGTCGAAGAACTTAACACCGAGCTGGGAGGCCAGCAGAGGCACGTATTGGATTATGGCGAGTCTGACACGCCATTGCTTGTCACCTGCGAGCTCCACAATGGCAGGCAGGAGTGACTGCGACAGCAGCTCGATGCCGATAACGTTGTTGACCTGCTCCAGCTTCGAGATGATGTTGAGTCGGACGTCTGGGAAGTCGTCCTTGAGCATCTGGAGTAGCATTGGCAGCAGGTGCTCGGTAGTCTCCTGCTTGCCCAAGATGGGAGCGAGACCACTGATTTGGTTGCCGAATGCTGCACGGACATGCTGCGAGGAATCGGATACCAGATCTTCAATGGACGGCATGATATCCCGGAGAAGTGCTTGGCGGTCGACGAGCTGACAGAAGCCTGGAAGCAAGGGTCAGCTTATAGAACGGGCATGGACAACAAGACGACTCACCTGGAATCTGGCCTGCGATTGCGCTCCTAACCTCAGCCTCGGTGTCCTTCAACAGCTTGACAAAGGCAGGCACCAAATCTCTGGCGATCACCTCCTCATCCACTGCTTTGGCGATCTTCTCGAATCGGTCGGCCACCATGTATCTCACTCTCCAACTCTTGTCCTCGAACAGACCACGCAATGCCGTGAGCAAAACCGCGTGGCTAGTGTGCTGCTCTTTTGGCACCGCCTCGGCGATGGCAATAAGCACGTCAACAGTCAACAACCGCACGCTATCCTGATCGTCGCCAGCGAGATGTTGGAACAGCGGAATCATGTCTTCTATGACAATGGCTGCGGGCATGCTCTTGACAAACTTGGCGAGGTTGTTGGCAGCCTGTCTGCGTACCATTGGCGTGTCATCGTGGACTAGTTGAGCGAACTGTTGTCGGAGGCCTTCTTGTGATTGTGCTGTCGCATGTTGATATGGAGTGTTGTACAGACCGGTGGCTGAGATCTTTGATGTGAACCAGTCGGCTTTCGAAAGGCGGATGGTGAGGGGAATGAAGTATTGCTCGACTTGTTGCTGCGAGAGCTGGTCGCAGATCTTGTTCAGGGACTCGACAGCCTATTTTTGTCAGCTTAAGATACCGGCGGCTTCACGGTGAATGTGTATACCTTGTCGCGGACGAGTGGCTCCTCGATGGTAGCCAGATTCTCAAGAGGAGAGAGGAGCACGTGCCCATACTCTGGCCCTCCTACGTACTCAACAAAGTTACCCAGCTCGTCTCCAAGAGCAGTGAGCACCTCATCTTCGTCCTCTACGGATTCTACGCCATTGTCAGTGTCCATCCGCAACCAGTCTGTGTATGTATATCGCGCACCATCGAGGAATGGTATCAACTCGTCTCTTGTCCGCTCTGGGCCCAGCGCGAGCGCAATGGTCGACAGTCGGCGAATTGCGTTCAATCGTAAAAGGACATCGTCGTGCTGGATCCGAATGTCAGCCGGCGCCCTGTTGCTCCTGCTAGGCTGAACAGCGCTATCACCGTACCTTGAGCTCGTCGATGAGGACCGCGATGGGGTAAAGCTCGTCGTTCTGGCCCTGATCGTCCATGGTGTTCTATGTTCGCGATTTGAGGCAGGTAAGGAGCGGATGGCCTGGTTACAGGCCTTCACATGCAACGCTTGAGGAGGTGGTGGCAGCTGCGTAGTGTCTCAAGTCGTCGGCGCGATCCGCTTCAGCCTATTTGAGGGTGGTATGTTCGAATCGGTCACTGTGCTGCTCACGTCAATCCACCTATTCCGCTGTGTTATGTGCTGACAGCGTGGGCAGGTGCTGTATGGGCACGAATTCTCAATGAAGACGACAAGGTTCGCGGTCAGGTACCTGCAGCATAGACACGAACCCGTGACGGCGCCAATGCCAAGGTCCTGTCGCCGCGTGCAGCTATAAGGGTGCTTACCAGAGATTGGGGTGAGTGGGCTAAATGTCGAGGGTGGTGGGTGGTGTTGTGGTTCGCAATTAATGGGTGTTTCTGGGCAGTGATGATGTTGTCAGTAGTTCCGTGCTTGGGAGATTTAACGGGATGCGCCCCCAGCTGCGTGGGGCTGACACCAGCCACTGTGGCACGGCCACAAAAAGTCCAGTCAGTCAGTGGTCTCAAGCCTGCAACGCAACTCGATTGACTCAATCAAACACTCGCTTTCACTCGAATGACGACAGCGGCACACAACAAGCACGGAGTACTCATAAAAACACAAGTACGCGCACGCGAGCAGGAACGGAGAGGCTCTCGAAAGTGAATTCGAAACAGGAAGAGTCATCTTGGAAGAGGAGACTACACATTTGAGCTCTGGACAAGAGGACACGACGAGCGCCAGTATAGGCGCAAGCAGCCAAAATGCCGACTATTTCATGCGACAAGGAGGATTTGTATAAGGCGCTGGGGAAACAATACACCAAAGATGAGTTCGACGAGCTGTGCTTCGAGTTCGGCATTGAGCTCGATGAGGACACCTCAGAGTCGAAGAGGCCGATTGTAGACGGTGTAGAGGAGCGACCACAGCTCAAGATTGAGATTCCCGCCAACAGATATGACATGCTGTGCTTCGAGGGCATTGCCATGAACCTCAATGTCTTCCTGGGCCGACAACAGACCCCCAATTACAGACTTGTCGCCCCACCCAATGGCGAACTCCTTACAGTCAACGTCACCAAGGATACTGAAAGGATACGGCCCTACTTCTCATGTGCTATTCTCCGCAACATCAAGTTCGACAAGGCCCGGTATGAGTCTTTCATCTCGCTCCAGGACAAGCTCCACCAGAATCTGGCACGTCAAAGAACGTTGGTTTCGATTGGTACTCACGACTTGGACACGATTGAGGGACCATTCTCCTACGAAGCGCTTTCACCAGAGGAGATCAAGTTCGCGCCTCTCAACCAGACCAAGGTCATGAACGGCAAGGAGATGATGGAGTTCTACGAGAAGGACAAGCACCTGTCTCGCTACCTGCACATCATCCGCGACTCGCCCGTATATCCCATAATCTACGACAAGAACAGGACAGTGCTCTCGATGCCTCCAATCATCAACAGCAACCACTCCAAGATCACGCTCGATACCAAGAACGTCTTCATCGACATCACGGCCACGGACAAGACGAAGCTGGAGATCGTTAACCACATGATCGTAGCAATGTTCTCGGAATACTGCGCGGAACCTTTCACCATCGAGCCCGTCAAGATTGTTTCGCCCCACAACGGCGAGTCTCGAGAAGCACCTGATCTTACTCCTCGTGTGACTCAGGCATCGGCCGGCTTCATCAACTCTGTCTGCGGGCTCAAAGAATCACGCGAGTCTATCTGCAAATTGCTCTCGAAAATGTGCTACAGCGCAAAGCCTTCACAGACCGACTCGGACAAGCTGGACATTGACATCCCGATTACACGCGCCGATGTATTGCACCAGGCCGACATCATGGAAGACGCTGCCATCGCATACGGCTTCAACAACCTACCACAGAATTTCCCCAGCACATCCGCCTCCGTCGCCGCTGCCCTACCCATCAACAAGCTCGGCGACATTGTCCGGCTCGAAGCAGCCATGGCAGGCTGGAGCGAAGTCATGCCTCTAATCCTGTGCAGCCACGACGAGAACTACGCATGGCTGAACCAGAAAGACGACAACCTCGCCGTCCGACTCGCAAACCCCAAGACCGCCGAATACCAGATCGTACGAACATCCCTCATTCCAGGTCTCCTCAAGACCATCCGCGAGAACAGACGGCACGCGGTACCCATGAAGATCTTCGAAGTTGCCGACGTCTGCTATAAGGACTCTTCCCTTGAGCGACGGAGTCGCAACGAGCGACACTTCGCCGCAGCATGGTACGGCAAGTCTTCCGGTTTCGAGCAAGTGCACGGTCTGCTCGACCGCATCATGTTGATGCTCAAGTCGACGTTCATCACGAGAGAGGACGGACTCAAGAACGAGAAGGTCCAGGGGTACTGGATTGAGGAAGTCGATGGTAAGTTGGAGATCCTCTGCTCTTCAAAGAATGCATACTGACACTTCAACCACAGACCCAACATACCTCGCCGGCCACTCGGCCGCCATCTTCCTGCATCTCGATGGCAAGCCGCAGCGCATCGGCACCTTTGGCATCCTCCACCCAACTGTGCTGAAGCGCTTCGACCTGCCATTCCCGACGTCGACGTTGGAGATCAACTTGGAGGTCTTCCTATAGATGAGGCAAGGGCCATTACATGAATCGTCACGAAGGAGGAAATAAAAAGGCCAAGTGTGAAGGTAGAAAAGCAAAGCATTGCAATTGCATGCTTTGATTCGTTGAAGAAGCTAGCTCGTCGTAGCAAGTTCTCGCTGGCATCAAGCAAGACTTGTCTGAATGAAAAAAGCCTAAACGCGTATCGTACATCTGTTCCTGAGCCAGTCAAGAGGTGGCTGTCTTCAAGCAGTATCAATAACCATCGGCTCTCCAGCCTCGACAGTAGTCTCCGCGAAGCCATTTGTCTTCGCCACCTCCGAAACACCATGCGCGGCAAGGACAGGCTGCGACTCCGTCGAGATGCCCAAGCCATGCACCTCGACCGTGCCCTCGCCCTCCATCTTGCCCGCCTTGGCTCTCATCGCCGCCCTCTCCTTGATCTCCTTCTCCTCCCTGTCCAGTCCTCGCATCCGATCGCCGTTATCTTGCATCTCGAACCTCAGATCGTCCACGGCGAGTTTGTTCCAGTCGTGATGACGAGCGCACTTCTTACGATCGCAGATGCCGGGCGCTTCGTCTTCTTCGTTGCTCTTCTCGGCCGGTTGAAGGGTCTCCTGCTGGAAAGCTTTCTGCCCGGCTTCACTCTTCCGCCACTCCTGGAACCGGTCCTCTGTCCATTCTAGGCGGGGGTCGTAACCGCAATAGTCTTTCGCCTTGAGCTCTTTTTCCGCCACGACGCGGCTCGCAGCCTGCTTGACCATTGTGACGAACTTGAGACAATCCTTCAGAGTCGCATGTCGGTGTCGGGCCTCTTCTTTCTCGCCCAGTATCCGCTGAAGTGCCTCGTGCTCAGAGTCGGTGAACTCGCTTCCCTTTTTATCTTGCTCTTTGCCATCGGGTGTTGCAGGTGGGCTGAGGACGCCATCGCCTAGCTTTCTGAAGTCATCGGCGGTCTTAGAGACGTTCAACAGTGCCTTCACCTCTCCTGCTGATAGAGCTCCACCCCTCGCTCCAAGATCATCATCTGCACCGCCCTGCTCAGAATCTGCAATGCTGGGCTTTCGCCGTGATGATCGGTGCTTCAGCGAATCCTCACGACCTCGGCTTCGCGCAACCATCTCTCTGTAGTACAGCAGACCGCACTCATCGCTGCAGTATTTGCTGCCCTTGGAACCGCTCTTGCTCTTGCCTACCCTGGCAGGCTGTCGACACCCACCTCTTCTGCACATCCTCTTCCAAGTGGTCTGACCGACTTTACCGCTCTTCTCGCAACTTGGGCAGATGTACTTGTCGATCAGGTTCTTGTCTCGCTCTTGGATTCCCACGCATTTGCCGTGGTACCAGTCGTCGCAGGTACCGTCGCAGCCGATCATGAAAGTACCATTGTCAGGTTTGCGGCAGATGCAGTAGACATCGCTGTCGGAAATGTCCTCCATGTCCTCGTCCTCGTCGTCGTATGGATCCTCGTTGGGTTCGGCGGAGTACGACCGAGTGGATGGCGCAGGAGAAGAATTCGCGGGCGTACCCTTGGCGCTACTTCCCTTGAGCGTTGGCACTTTCGATGCTCGAGAGGAAGGAGTCGCCGATCTCTTGGGTTCTACCTTCCGCTTCTTCGCCGGCGGTGCCTTCTTCATGGTTGTTGCAGTTCCCTTCTTCGTCTTGGCTGGAGCCGGTCGCTTCTTGGGCACAACAGACTGCGCTTCCGGCACGGTCTCTGTTGTTGGGACTGGTACAGACGACTCGCGGAGGGGCGACTGTCTCAGACCGTGTTCATTCTTCAAGGCACTGACTGCCTTTACCGAAGCATCCATCTCAGAGGGTCGACGCGTATCGGTGGGAGAAGACGGTTGTGGTGTTGGTGCCGACTCTTGCTTGATCAGAGCAGGTGTTGAAATACCCTCCTCGGCAGTGGATGACTGGTGCTTCAGCTGAACTGCTGGCTCTCCATGTGAATACGCTTGTGCTTCAGCGTCCTGGGCGCCGGAGCTACTCGACGGAGCAGCATGTGTCTCAATGTCGCGAGGATTCGAGGCGGGTGGTTGGGCCGCATGTGATTCGTGCCTTTGATCAGAAGGCTGCGTGTAGTTCTGAATCGGAGGCAGCGTAAAGTTGGACTGCTCCGGCGAGATTACTGATGCGCGACGCTGCTCTGGCGATCGAGATGCCACATGGTACTGGTCTAAAGTTGGCGAACTCGTCTTGCGCGCAACCCCAGCGACTGGGGGAGGCAGCTGAATGGGATCTCCATACGCGCTAGGTCGTCTCTCCCACGATCGCGTCCGCTCGAGTCCGTTCTGATCTTGGGCAGAATATCCGTTCCATTGTTGTGGTGGCGGCGCGGGACTCTCAGAAAGACTGGCTAACGCCTGAGCCGCCTCCTGGGTACTTGAGGTAGGATGTGAAGACTGATGCTGTTCGTTCGATCGCGCCGAGCTGGGCCGCTGATTCTGTTCTTCCGGCGACTGGACCTGTTGAATCGGAGGAAGAGCGCTGTTCTGCGATTGTTCGTCGCCGCGCGCGGCCGACTCGGGCGAGGGATTGAGCAGGGAGGATAGACTGAGAGACATGGTGCTATGACGGTCGCATGTTCGGTGGGAGGTGAGTCGCGTGGTGAAGTTGTAGTATCGAGGACTATCGCGGGTGAAAGAAGAGGGTAGAAGAGAAGACGGAGGGAGAAAGAGAGGGTGCCGGAATGTCGACAACGCTCAGCGGCGCGTGAAATCACTGGCTCCGCTGAGCAGGCCTGGTGCACTTTGTTTGGACGCGAAAGGCGGGGACGTTGACTTGAGCCGCCTCGAACTCTCTGCACTGCTGACCGACCTTGACGCAACCATCGCCCGCAACAGCATCGCGGCCAAAGAGCTGCCACTCGGCTCGGTATCCGGCGCAGTCTCTGCAGTGATCGCGGCGAAGGAGTACTGTCCACCTCCCGTCCTCTCTTCCTCACAGCTGACGGAGAAGACTGCGAGACAGGGGAGTAAGAGCAGGGGAGCATACAAGACCAGGGACACGAGGAGGGGGTTGCAGCAGAAGAGCTCTCTTGCGAGACGTGGTACGGTCGCCCGATCCACTGCATCTCTTGCTGTGTGTATGGGAAGATGGATGCTATTGTGCTGCTGCGAAGCGCATACCTAGGGGCAGCCGGCTTGGTGAGCGCTGGACACGCGCCGAGCAGTCAAGATACAGGCTGATGCGCCAGGGTAGGTGTTGTTCGTCTTTGCCGTTCCTGCTCTTCGCTTGCGCTTCCTTGACTATGGCCCTCGCTCGACAGGTACTGAAAAGAAGTATGATACTAGGGTGGAGAAACAAGGAGTTTCCGAGGGTGCAGTCGGTACACTGCTGGACAAGTTGGCTGAGTTGAGGGTGCCGCACAGCTGGTTCACGTCGTTCTACGCGGTATCCGTCACACTGTCGCTGTTTTGGGCAGCAGAGTTGCTTGTGGGAGGTCCGTCGTTCCAAGCTATTGCCCAGCACGTACCTTCCACGGATCTCTCAATGTCTTTCAGCCAGGTTTTGGTGGTATGGATTATGATGCTTGGCCAAGGGAGCCGCAGACTGTACGAGTGCATGGCTATCTCCAAGCCTTCCGAGTCACGAATGTGGTTTGGCCACTGGGCTTTGGGTATCTTGTTCTACATCTTGACCAGCGTTGCAGTCTGGATTGAAGGCATCCGTGAGTAGGCATGCACATCAATATGGTTGTAGAGACTGACCTCAACACAGCAGCTATCCGCAATCATACACCGTCAACACAAGACTTCCTGATCCAAGGACCTTCGGCCCGAACATTCATAAGCATCTTGATCTTCCTGCTGGCTTCTGGCTTTCAGCATGACTGTCATGCCTATCTTGCGTCGCTAAAGGAATCGAAAAAGCCCGATGGCGGTGCGGCGACCTCGCATTATCGGCTACCTGAGCATCCAGCTTTCAGCATCTCGTTGACGCCTCATTACTTTGCGGAATGCTTGATCTATCTTTCCCTGGCCATCGCTGCGACGCCGAAAGGAGGCCTGATGAACTGGACGCTCGTCACTGCACTGGTCTTCGTGATGGCAAATCTTGGTGTGACAGCGTACGGCACTGGACAATGGTATGAGCGGAAATTCGGGTCCGACGCAGTCAAAGGCAAGGCTAGGATGATTCCATTGGTCTTTTGAAGCTTGCTGCTACAATCGCCTCTAAAAAGTTCGGCCGAGCATCATCCTCCTAGTGTGCAGCCGCCTATTGGACGGTTCGCGCATTGTACTTCAACAGGCGACCCTACCCATGCGTGCGCAACTCTTCAATATCCAGAGTGAGCTGCATAACTCGCAGCAGGGTTCACGTTCGGTGTAGACGAGCTGCGACGAACCCCGAAGGCGAGCCAGACTGCATGACGATTGGACGAGTACGTCTGACTCCGGAACTACGGCCAAGGACACGACCGCCAGAGTAGCAGCCGATGCTTAATAACATGCGACGAATTGGGTGTAGCTGAGGATACCCGAAAGTTGATATTGTAATGGCTAAGTGACGTGGAACACACGGTGCTGCGACTACATAGTCCGTACGTACCTCTATATAACATCAGGTTCGCTGGCGATGTCCATGGACGCAATAGCTCCGGGGCAGCCAACAGATAAATAACAGCAACACAATTATCCAGAGAATACTTCAGCTATGTCGTTCAAGCACACCATATTTCTGACCTCTGCCAATGGACATATCGGCCAGGAACTTGTTGCTGAGCTTCTGCAAGACAACGTAAAACTTATACTTCCCACTTCGAACGCCAGCCGCCTCCAGGCAAATCTCCCAACGAGCGCCAACGAGAGCAATGTCGTCGTCGAACAGGGCAGCCTTGGGGACCCACAATGGCTCGAGAAGCTGTTCAGACAGCACAACGTCGATATTGCGTACCTTTGTTTGACAACTACGGACGAGTTCATCGTCTCTCTAAACTTCCTGGACGCAATGAAACGAGCAGGAACCATCAAGCACTTCGTCTACCTCTCAGCCTGCGGCGACTACACCTCAGAACAAGGATACAACAACGTCGTCAAGAACTGCAGCGCCATGCACGTTCTCGTCAAACCAGCCATTGAGCGCAAAATCGAGCTTTCCGACTTCCCCTGGACGACGACGGTTCTTGGACCAGCTCTTTTCTACGACAACGACCTTCGCAGTAAGAACTACATCATGAATGGGTACTTCGATGAGCCGCTGGGCGAAAAGGGCGTCAGTCGCGTTTCCACCAAAGACATCGCCACGGTCGCTTGCAACGCCATGCTCCACCCAGAGACGTGGGCCGGCAAGAAGATCATGATCGGGTCCAAGAAGAAGTATACGGGTTCGGAAGTAGCGAAGTTGTGGAGTGAAGCCATCGGAAAGGAGGTCAAGATATGCCCGTCGACCAAAGAGGGATTCGACGAGTTTGAGAGTGTGTTCTTCAAGAAGAGCCCAAATCCAGCCTGGGCGAGAGATCTGCGACTGATGTATGAGCTGTTTGCTGTTCAGTCTTTTGGGCCGACCGATGAAGAGTACGAGACGTTGGTGGAGTGTTTGGGCAGGGAACCGGAGGATTATGAGGAGTTTGTGCGGAAGACTGGAAAGGAGTGGACGTCGTAGAGTGTATAGTATGTGAAACTTGAGGCTTGCATGTGTATATGCCGTCCCGAGTGAGTGTCAGAGTCTACTCTCAGCGTACCTGATCCCCATTATCCCAACTACGACCGTGCGATTGTGAAAGAAGTGTTGCGACTGATAGTGAGCGCAAGTTGGGGAATATTTTCAGTTATGTCTTCAGTTGCGTCTTCACTAAGATCCTCATTCAGACTCGCCTATTCTGTCACTCCATCTCTGACTGCAACTCTCGCTGCGACGCTCACTGCGTCTTTCATGGGGCCTTGTTTGCGTCTCGCACGTGCGTGCTACGCAGGTACCTTCCTCCAAACATCAACTTGTCGCGACTTCCTCATACAGCAGACTTCGTCCTGTTCCACCACCTCACCCCACTCGACATTGCTCGCACGGACTCTACCCAACACACCATGCCGACCTACCGCGGCATCTGCATCTCAGTGCAGACACAGTACGGCCACAAAAGCATCCCCGAATACCCACCTCTTTCCGTCCCTCTCACCCCCTCGCCGCGGAAGGAGCACCCATCGAGCAACATCAACACCTACAAACTCACGCCCTCGTCCAACCCTTCCCCCAGCGACTCGACACCGCCCCACACACCAAAGGCGGAAGTCTACATCCCAGCCTACCCGGGCTCGCAGTTCTGGATCCACTACCTCTGCCCCGAGCCTCCTCCACATGTCGACGAGCGCAACCCGCTGAAGCCGGTAGAGACGCGCTTCTTCTACTTCAAGCTTTACCTGCGCGGGACATGTGTGCTGTCGTGGGGCGTTGGTGGGGAAGATGGCTGGGGCGGGAAGGTAAGCTTTGGAATTTACGATTCAGGGACAGACTTCCATGGACGGAGGATTTTGGAGAAGAGAGGCTTCTTCTTTAAGAAGGAGGATGGCAACTTGGATCCGCATGCTGGGTTTGAGATCAGAGTGTTTCGGAGCAAGGCGAGGCGCAGGGAGGAGAACAGGTATGAGAAGTGGGAGAAGCGAGTCGATGGCGGTTGCGGTTTTCGGTGAGATGTCTCGAGAAGATTGTTTTCTGTGGTGCTGATGATGAATTAGGATGAACGGTGCTGGGCGTATGAAGAACAGCGAGCCGAGAAAGATGTACACCTACGCCTTGATCGATCCAGTGGACCAGCCGTACGCTGTCTTCAAGTACCACTGCCGGACTGCCAGTAAGTCGGGATGCCCTGCTATCGTTGAGCCTACGAGACTAATTATCCTACAGGACAACTCGAAGATCTCGGCTTCGATATGGCTGGTGGCTACAACGTCGAGGTGACCCCGACTCCATCTCCAAACCTGTCATTCAGGAGTCCAATCGAGCTCTCTCCACTCGCACCAGCGATCCCAATAGACAACCTCACCACCGGTCGTCTATCGTTCCCGCCAGGCATCAGACTTTCACCGACAAAGTCTCGCGGTCGAGAGCGAGAGTCTTCGCCAGTCAAGAAGAGCCAGCAACCGAGAGACGCCGTGGATCTCTCGCACGAGTTCCACCATCTTACATTGACAGAAGAGAGTCCAAGCAAGAAGGTCATTCGACGACCAACTTGGGGACTGTCGAAGCCACTGCCAGATGTTCCTCACAAGCGTGAAACCTCAGGTGGAAGCCAGTCGCTGAGCCGGAGCACGTCCAATGTAGCCGAGAAGTTCAAGTCCGTGGTTCAGAGCCGTCTGATCAAACGTAGAGGCGACAGTCGAGACGAGAGAACGACATCCATGTGAGGTGTACGGACGACAGCAGGATTACTGGTATGAGTGATCAAGAAGTACGGAGACATGTGGTTGGTGATCCACGTGGTATGGACATCGAGGAGCAAGGAGCAAGGAGCGAGGTTGGGAGGGGTCGTTGGAGGATGCCGTGGACGTTCATCCTCGGCAAAGTCAGCCGAATGGGACAACACTCTGTCTGCATAGAAGTGTCAGTTTGCGGAAGACTTGCCCGCTCTCACATAGACATTCTGTTGTTTGTTTTCATCATTTTAAGAAAAAGCTCCCCAGCAAGACCAGAAAAGAAAAATGACGGATCGTCTGCGTTCGGTGCTCACCCACCTGAACTCCATCGCCTCTCCGCGAGACAAGCTGTAAGATTACTCCACTCTCCACGACAGGGTAATTCAACTTGCAAGGTTACGAGTGTCCTAACGAGATGGTATCAGCTTGCAAAAGAACCCAGACGATGTAGTCATCACCCTCGCGATCCGCACGCCCCTGTGCAAATACAAGTCCGGGGCGCTGAAGGACACGACTTTGGATGGCATCACCTTTCGCATGCTCGAGGCAGTCCGAGCCAAACTCGACCTCGATCCTGCTGCGGTGGACGATATTTGCTTGGGCAATGTCCGTGATGGCAAGGCGGCGTACTACTGTCGAGCTGCGGCCCTCGCGGCGGGTTTTCCAAACACTGTGGCTGCACACAGTTCGTCCCGGTTTTGCTCGAGTGGGTTGACGGCGACGGCGCATATTGCCAATGAGGTTTCGAGCGGACTGATTGATGTTGGTATGTCGTCCAGTATTCAAGCGAGGGGCGTTGTCGGGAGATCTGCTAATTACATTCCAGGCATCGCCATCGGCGCGGAAATGCTCAGCGAAGGCAACGACCGTCTCGACAGGCCCTTTGTAGACGAGATCTTGAGCAATCCAGAAGCCGCCGACTGCATGCTGCCCATGGGCATAACATCTGAGAATGTCGCCGAGCAGTTCAACGTCTCCCGAGAGGAGCAGGATCGCTATGCCGTGGAATCGTACCGTCGTGCCGAGGCTGCGCAGAGAGCCGGTTGGTTCGATGATGAGCTTGTTCCTATCACTGTCAAGAAGGATGGTAAGGATATCACCATCACCCAGGATGAAATCCGCTATGGCACGACGTATGAGAAGGTCGCCAAGTTGAAGCCTTCGTTCCAGGAGAATGGGAGGAGCACGCCAGGGAACAGCTCTCAGATCACCGATGGTGCCGCTGCTGTTGTCCTAATGAAGCGCTCCAAGGCCCTCGAGCTCGGCCAGCCGATTCTGGCGAAGTACGTCGGCGCAGCAATCGCAGGTCTCCCTCCACGTATCATGGGCATCGGTCCTACGCTGGCCATTCCCAAGTTGCTCAGTCGGTACGGTCTCGACCTGCACAAGGACATCGACATCGTGGAGATCAACGAGGCGTTTGCGTCCATGGCCGTGTACTGTCGGGATACGCTGAAGCTGGATTGGAACAAGATGAACCCGAGGGGTGGTGCTATCGCTCTGGGACATCCTTTCGGGATGACTGGTGTGAGACAGATTGTTTGTGGGTTGAGCGAGGCCAGGAGGACGAAGCAGAAGGTGCTGTTGACGAGTATGTGCCTGGGGACGGGCATGGGCATGGCTGGTTTGTTTGTGTCGGAGCAGTAGCGTCGGTTAGCATGAGTATATCCTCATGATCAGATCGGCTCTCATTTTACGAGTTTCTTTCGACGAATCCCCGTTTGGGAACACCACTCTGAAGCTTGCAAGAGCATGAAGATGGCACGGTGAGACTTCGATCTTCGGGGATTTTGGAACACAGCAAGTGATTTTCTTTTCACCGGCACGGCGGCCATTTTTCTTTCTGCTGCTCGCGAGACTCCCATTTGATATGTGTATAGGACGAGATGTTGTCAAAAGTCCAATCTCAACGCGAAGAAAACCGCTGACACGTGCCTGCTCTAAAAATAGCCATTGGCGACACATTCGGCCGAGCCGCCGAAGGAACGACATGCTCTTGCGACATCCCATCCATCAAGATGGAAAGAGAAGAACACCTGTCCCATCTCAAGCAAGAGATGCATTATTGATAAATCTGATACACCAGTAAATCTGGCGGGATCAAGATGTACCACTTCGTCGACCTCACCCACGAGCAGAAGCTCCAACGGCGGGAGTATCTCGACTACTACAGCTTTCTCGCGCAGATCTCGGTTATTGTGCCCATACTCGCGATACAATGCTATTTACTCGGAACGTGGATCCAGAGGGGAGTTCAGAAACAGCAAGATCTCCAGACGCCGAGTTCGCCCTATGTCAAGCAGGCACGGCTGGGCCATGGATTCAATGTATCCAGCTTGACCTCGAGATGGCGGGTCTTTGCCTGGTGGTGCGGTGATGCTGTTGAGATCGCGGGAGTGTATTGGGGCACGAAGGGGGAGGTGATTGGAGCTGGGGTGTGGACGTTGTGGTTGGTGGTGTTGTGTTTCTTGCAGACGGGTGATGGTGAGTACATCAAATAGACAGCGTGGGGATATCATCAGGCTTATCGTGTGGTATAGATTATCTCCACATGACCAAACGCTTCGGCATCGTGGCAGCATCCCAACTACCTTTCCACTATTTGCTGTCCTTGAAGACGCCGTACTCGCCACTGCAGCTGTTGACGCGGCAGTCACATGAGAGCCTGATTTCGATCCATCAACTGCTCGGTCGGATCATTACATCCCTTTTGTACGGGCACGCTATATTATACCTCAACTTCTACGTCCTCTCAGGCCTCCTCGGCACGAAACTCCAAGAGTTCTACGTCCTATGTGGAATCTTCGGCATCATCGCCTTCACCATCATCGGCACCACCGCCTTGAAACCCGTCCGAGACTGGAGCTACAGAGTCTTCTACATCGTCCACGTTGTCCTCGCAACCGCACTACTCCCATTACTATACTTCCACGTCTCGCACATAAGGATCTACCTCTACGAAACAACCCTCATCTACGCCCTCAACGCCGCCCTCCGCTTCCTCAACACCACCAACCAACCCGGAACCATCACCCAAATCCCAGGAACGACCCTCCTCGACATCACCATCCCCACCAACAAACCCTCCTCAAAGACCAAATGGCACCCCGGCCAACACGCCTACATCTCCCTCTCCGGCCACCCCCTCCTCCGCACCTTCCGCAGCAACCCCTTCACCGCCGCCTCCCTCCCCTCCGTCGACGGCCAGCTACGCTTCATCGCCCGGATCCTCGACGGCAACACATCCACCCTCGCCCAGAACAAATCCTTCTCCCCGAACCTCTCCCTCGAAGGACCCTACGGTCTCGCCTCGCACCCGGACAAATTGCTTCAATACGACCGGATCCTCTTCGTTGCAGGCGGCGTGGGCGCGACGTTCATCGGTCCGTTATATCGGCAGCTTCTCAGTGATCTCAGTCCCGGGAAGGGCAGCTATCGACGACAGAAAGTGAATTTCGTCTGGGTCGCGCAGTCTATGGCGGATGTGGAGTGGGCGTTGCCGGGGAATGAGCAGGAGAGGGAGGGTTTTGCGGAGAGGCTTCGCATTTATATCACTAAGAATACCGACGGGATTGCCACTTCGTCGTCGAATGGTGATTTCACGATTGGAGAGGACGATGAGCAGGTCCCTGGAGAGGAAGGGATTGAACTTGAAGAGCAGAAGAAGTTGATGGAGAATGCGGCAGGGGAGAAGACGAGTTCGGGATTGTCAGTCACTGCTGGGAGACCTGATCTAACGAGGGTGGTTGAGCAGGTCTTTTCGCAGAGTAGTTCTGAGCGGGTTGCTGTGCTGGTTTGTGGGCCGAGAGGGTTGAGCAGGGCATTGCGAAGGGATGTTGGGCGGTGGGTGAAGAGGGGACGGGAGGTGTGGCTTCATAATGAGGAGTTTGCGTTGTAGAAAGTGTGTGACGGGGGAGTTGATTTGCTTCAATATCTGATGCCGTCAAGTGAGAGAGCAGTCTTTTCGTCAACCTCTATCGTTGTGGAATGTCATGAGACTTCGATTACGGTCTCCGTGCATATTCTGACCTATTCAGATTGATGTGGATGAAGCGTCCTGCAAGTCCATTTCATGAAGCTCGCAAGCTACTAAGCCCACGATAAAAGCACGAAAACGTCTAGGTGCTTCTTCTGCCAGGGAAAGATCTGCTACTGTACGACAAGCAATAGAACACCGAAACTTGGACGAAATACTGTTGCCTTGTTCCAAGTTGTGAATGACGCCTTGAGGACCAGCCTGTACGTGTGACCTCACCTCGTCAGATGCCAACTTTTCCGTGTGATCACGATTACCGTGGCACTGGAACACCGACACCCGAACTGCTGGTATCGATAGAATGTCAGTGAAGGACAGCGAAGTCGTGAAGCGGAGCATTCGGCCAGCTCGCAACAAGCAATGGTGACGAAGAGTCTCGGTCATCGACGAGGTTGGAAAGCGACCCGTGACTCAGTCTTGGTGAGACTCGTACAGCTCCGTTGTGTTCCGAGGCACTGATGAGGTGAGGTCACTGTTGGGTTACGTGTAACCTCGAAGCGGAGTCTGGAGCGGAGTGGTTTCCTACATCGTCAAACCCACCTCTGTCCCACGGTGCGATATCTATTTCAGATATCCAACCAGGTAGGTAATGTTGGTCAACGTGAACCGGTAATACGTTTGTCTGTGGACTTCGTGCTCGGTGGACAGGACTATCTCACGGCACAGTCGGGTAGCGATTATGGCAGAATGGTTATCAGCGGCCAAGCTGCGACGGGGTCAATCACGGCGATGGCGAGGCGATGATGCGAGTCAACGTGCATTCGATAACAAGCAATGTTGGGAATTGCGATCGTGAGAGTATGGCCGACGTCTCCACCCAGTATACCAGCTGTTTCTTCTGTCACAACGAGCCATTCGCACACGTTGCGCCTGATGTTGACTGGCAATGCAACACGTGTGTGAGCAGCGGGTTGATGTTTCTCGGCGTGTTTGGAACACTGGCGCCTCGATGAGTTAGCGGGTTCCTGGTCGCTCACGTCGCTCGCCGGCTTCGGGCCTTCCTTGTGCCCAGCATCCCAGATAGCTGCACGGCGCGCATCTTTGGAGGGGCGTGCAGATGGATGGAGAGCTGTAGAGGGGCTATGGGTGGGCCAGGCTAGATGGCTTGGGTGCCCGCATTGATGCTGTTCGGTAGAAGTACGCGAACAGGTGGGATGTTGCTGCTCGCGCGCTCGAGTAGTGTGTGCGCTGGACCCGGGCTGTCTCGCTGCTGATAGCCGTGGTGCGCCAGATTTGGAAGCAGTATCTCAGCCAGCCGATAAGAGGCGGTGTTCGACGAGATTAGGACGGAAGGGGGCGCGTGGTACCTCCGTACCTGAGACTCGGCTTGCGTCGGACTCGGCGGGGGAGTGCAGCGCAGACAAGCAGCGCAGCGCATCGAATGCGGCAGCGGCGGTGGTGGTGAAGTGAGATGACGGACGCAAAGTGGGCAGCAGTGCTTGGATCCATGGCGAGGAATAGCCGTCGACACGCTGGAGGACGGTGGGCGACAACGTGGTGCGCGGGTTGGCCAGCGCGGGCACTTGATTCGGCGACTCGGATCCAGGTGCAATCACGCCGCCGTTTGATTGGCTCTTTGATGGGCGCTTTGATTGGCTGCTGCGACCGGCAGGCAGGTGCGTTGCGGGTGTGATCGAGCGTCGCTGATGAACGACAAAGACCGTCGACGCCTCATGTCCGGACGCTTCCACGTCTCTCCAAACAACAACACTCTGCAACAACAACCACCACCACGCTTCTTGCAACCACACGCTCCCACACACTCGTCCTTCGCCGACCGACGACTGCCTCGTTGATCGCCTCGCCGCCTGCCTGCCAACTCCTATCGCTGCCAGCGCAACCTGTTTCCCGGTTTCGGCCAAGCTATCACCAGCAGGTCGATCACCAACTCACGCGTTCGCAGTCCTCTACCAGCTTTCTTGCCGCGTCAAGTGAGTCGCATCGCCCTGCCAAAGCCATACATCCAACTCCGCCAGCCTCTCGCCGCCAACTCGGCGCATAACATCTCGTCGGACAGCGTACTGACTCACCCTGTTTCCAGGAAAGCTACCCCGACCTTCGACCATCATCTATGGCTCAGGCAACTACCGTCACGATGGCTACGGCCTCGTCAACCCCCTTCGTCAACATCCCCAAGTTGCGCGACACCAGCGACCACTCGGGCACCGCCATCCACGAGAAGAAGGCCACCATGGCCTTGCTGACTCCCCCGACCTCCACCTCCCCGGAATTGGCCGCTCACCCGGGCAATGAAGGTGCCACGTCGCCACCAGAGATGGACATAGAACAAGAGATGGACATCCAGCCCAGTGGCATGCCTCTGAGTCGAGGAGCCCTTTCCGACCTCGATGGTGCCCAGACCATAACACCGCCCATGCTGGCCAAGCATCACCTGCCCGGCATACTCTTGGGCAATGGACCTTGCCCAATACGCCATGTCATGGGCGAGCTCACCCATACGGTGCCTGGATTCTCTCGTATACCAGTCGCCAAGGCTCGCCGCATCGTCGTGGCTGCATTGGAAAACCCACAAGGAGGTGGACCCGACGGAAACATCGAGTTTAACAAGACCGGCTGGGGCAAGTGGGACGCGCATTACAAGGGCTCGTCGCGAGACTCTGCTATTGGATCTTTTAACGACAACCGGCTGTCCCCGCCCCGGAGCGAGCGCAGTTACGCCGTCTCCTACTCCGACTCGGCCATCAACATACCCGGCCAGCACTTCCCTGCCAAGTACCGCGACCAACACTCGGGCGGCAGCTGGGGCGCGTCCAGCCTTCGGGAGGAGGATGAATTCGACATGGACATGATTGTGGAAGACGAAGCCGACAACATGTCCATGGACGGGCTTTCCGATTCCGACTCGGAGATGAACGACGACGACGATGACGCGACCGACCCTGGAGACTGGGCCGCTGTCGGTATCGATGCATTGCGGAAGGCTTCACTGCCCACTCCCAATGCACCACGACAGAACTATCGTGCCACCAGTCAGCCTTACCACGGCCAGTGGGCGTCCAAGCTGAGACGTCCATCGGCAAACCCTCAACAACCACTCCACTCAGCTTCTGTCCCTATTGGTGGCGCTTTCCCCGGCTTGCAGACACCAGAGGAGAGTGCTGCTGTTGCAGCATTGATGAGCATGGGCAGCATGTAAGCTGCCACACGGCGTTTCTACGGAGTCGACGGGACGGACACTTCTCACAACCTCTTTGACTCTCTTGTTTATCACGGCACTGGGCACCAGTCTTCGCAAGTCAAGTGCTGACGGAAGAACCTGGACTGACATGGGTGGCGTACTCTCACAACTACTACTCCTTGGATCGATACCCCGAACTTTGTTTTTCACTCTTGCATTTACGGAACGACTGGCACGTATTCGACACTGGGCACCACCCTCCACCAAAGTCAAGTGCTGACAAGGAGGGATGGATTGACATGGGTGGCGCGCGTCCTCACACTAAACACAACACAACATCGCAAAACGACATGAACGACACGAAATACCCCAACACTCGCCAAAGCGCGGCGAGTCTACCCACATGACGATAGTTTTCACTTCTTGACGGATGGCCATCGACGAAAGGCATGGCTATTCAACATTGTCCTTCTGCGATCTAGGAGCAGGCTCGGACTGATGGAGAGAGAGAAACGATGACAATCTTGAGCTCGCCTGAAATAAGTGGTGATGTTCGATGGAGTTATCTCCTCGTTGGCTCTCTGCACTGCTTGCTGGATCAAGGGAAGGACGTCTCAGATAGGAATGTTTTGAAGGAGGAAGGCTGGAAAAGCGGACTTCAACACCACTCTGAGGCTTTGCGAAAATTCACTTCTGCATGGAACAACAGACCGATTAGCGACAATGCGCGCGCGATTGAATCTGCGAACTTTGGTCCCATTCGATTGGTCAACGACTGCGAGTAGAGGGAGATGGTTGCGCTGCAGGAATGTCGCCGACTGTATGGGCTGTATTTAGTCTACAGACTATGAGCTTTTAATCCAAGATGGTTTCACACCATGACGCACAGTCCTTCGCAGCCGTTTTCGTACCTTCTCTCGATTGTGTTTCGCATCATTTGGGGGTCGTGTGATGTCTAGGAGGAGGATGGCCTGAGGTAGAGAACGCGTGGCCTTGGCACAGCCCCAGCGCCACAATTTTCGGTAACCGCACCTCACCTCGCGAAAGAACCTCGAACATCTTGCTTCCAGTTCACTCGTGGGCGCCTTCACCACCGCGTCGGCAGATCAGACCCTCTGAACTCTACATCCCAATAGTCTTCCGCCTCAATAATCACCCGCAGGAACGATCCTGATGCAATGCACGGGAACGATCCGTGGTGGCAGAGCAAGCAAGCAAAAGTCTTGCTTGAGTAAGTAAAAGACTAAACGGCTGCGCCCATCTGCATGACATGACAATAAAACTCCTGCTGGCTACTGCGGAACAAAATCTAGCAGGATGCCTCGTGCGTCTGGCGCGGTGAGCGTATCTGGATTGGTGTCTGCTCCTCTCGGGTTTTTGCCTATTCGGTGCCAGTCACACTTGAATCGTGGGCGTGGGTGGTATAGCTGGGCTAGACGAGATGTTTGACTGCGCCTCACTCCAGGGTACGGCCGACCATCTCGACTAGGAGGCTTGGTGGATGGTAGGTTAGGTAGGTTCGCTGCGCGTGGGACGCGAGGGACGTCGGGGGCGGGAAGCTTCTTTGATTGCTTGCTTGCTCACTGCAGGTACACTGTCTTTTGGTGTTTTTGCTTGTTTCGTTGTAGCGGTGGTGCCGTGGTGGTGCTTGTTCCGGGTGTGGCTTTGGCAGGAGTGATGTCAGGTACGTTTAGTCTTCCTTCCCGCACACATGCATTCTGTGGCCCATTGGAGGGAAACGGGTAGTGTGACATTGACGGGCAGGGGGGCTGGATGTTTCTTTTCGTTCGTACTGTTTGGGTGCAGGTGTCGTCGTGTGGACCGAGACCGAAGGCGCATATATACATTCTCGTCTTTTCCTCTCGATGGACTGTGGGTAGATGGCAGGTTCGGTACGGTTACTGCAAATGAGACGAAGGGATTGTATCGATTCGACGTCCTCCTCCTGCGAGACAAGGACACTCTTGTGTGGTGTCAGGCGTGAATGAACAACACCCTCCACGTCGCCGAGAGACAACGTTATGAGTGATCGATATGGGTTGGGTACGCCTTCACACACCCCTCTTCATCGAACTTACTTGATACTAACGACCCACAGGCAACAATGGGCAAACCCATCAAGCGTAGCTCGTCGAACAATAACAGCAACAGCAACACTGGATCTCCGAGTAACGCCAACGCAGGATCGCCTGGTGGAAGCGGGTCTTCTGGCAAGTCGCCTTCTGCAACGAGTCCCTCTTCGTCCGAGGGCCCGAATTCGCCGGGGATGAGCAAGGAGGACCCTAGGTCGGGGTCGGGGTCGGGGTCCGGGTGGAGTGGCAAGCAGGGGGAGAAGAAGTCGTAGTAGTGAACGAGACAAGGTGTCGTTCCCGGGTGGAACGTTTAGAGACGACAGACCGACAAGAACAGAGGGGCGAGGGAGATGAGTGCCCAGTAGTCTCTGATATAGCGAGCAGGCTTTCCTTCTTCATATGTGAATTATAGGGCAGACTTAGAGAACGAACATGGTTCTCTCTTGATCATTATGTTGTTTGTGCAGTCGTACAATGTATCAACACACTCTGCTGCGCGAGAGTAGAACGCCCAACGCGCAATGCCCGCTGGTCACAACTACGATAAGACTGCACGTATGCAAGTCCCTCTCTAGTTTGACTGTGTTTCTCAATCGGTTTGACTCATTCGCGCACAACGGAGAGACGAGAGGTTGGCAAACAAGAGCAGTAATCAAACAGATTCAAAGCTACGAGGACTCTTCTTTCTCTCTCATCATCTACACACTTGTGAGGCGATTCGAGCATCGGTAGTTGACCAAGCAAACTCGAGGAGAATCTATCTGTCAACTGGAAATCAACTCCTGCATGTCACTGGCATCATCGATAGCATTGAACAGTCGTAGCTTCAATCGCAGATCACGATAGCCTAGCATCGTGGCTTCGCAGGCCACGTCTCCTCGAGATCTTCTAGTCGAAATGGAACATGCATCCCCGTCGACGAGCTTGCGCTGCAATCGTGAGCCTAGTCGCTTTCTAGATCTAGAGAGGAGGGGACAAAACGACGACATGCATTGGAATTGGAGCGACATTACGACGAGCCTCCACCAAACGACGTTAGATGAATGCAACTCACGGCCATTGAAATTCGAAAACGACGAGGCTCATCGTGCTGCCTAGCCAGGAGACTAGCCGCGAAGGCGCTGCGCCAAAGGTAGAAAACGCGACAGATTGCAAAGCCGATTGATAATCTTTCTACCTGCAATCGGCGATGCCGAATGCTGCAATGGATCATGTCGATTGAATATTGAGGCTGGTTGAAGGAAAACGAGAACCCCCCTGCCCTAGCTGTATCATCATCATCGTCAGAAAGCGGCTTTGTGATCTAGCCTCCCCGTCAGCCGGCCGGGCTGTGCTCGTTCCTGGAGGACGGACAACACACTTTAATGTCTTTACTAGCCCGTCCCGAACCACCGGAACCACCACATGCACGCTCATGCTTGCCATTTACAACCATGTCCCTAGATTCACATGCACTGCCTTCTTGTTCGTGTAGCTTTCCAATCCTGCTTCCCCCAGCTCCCGTCCGATGCCAGATTGCTTGACTCCTCCGAACGGGATTCTGAAGTCGCTGTCTTGCGATGAGTTGATCCAGACCATGCCCGCTTCGATCTTTCGTGCTAGGCGATGTGCTTTCACGATGTCTTTTGTGAAGATAGCACTGCCTAGGCCGTAGGTTGTGTTGTTGGCCAGCTCGAGGGCTTCTTCCTCTGTCTTGAATGGAACGACTACGACGAAGGGACCGAATACTTCTTCCTGGAAGATGCGCATGTCCTCCTTGACGCCGGTGAAGACGGTCGGGGAGACGAAGAAGCCTTTGCCCTCGCCGACGTTCTTGTACGCTTCGCCGCCCATTGCCAGCGTGGCACCCTCGGATTTGCCGGTCTCGATGTAGCTCAAGACGCGTTCGTACTGCGACTTGGTCACCTGCGGTCCTTGGAAGGTGTCGTCTTTGAATGGGTCGCCGACGACGCTGGTCTCGGCGATTTGCTTCTTGAAGGCTTCGACGAATTTGTCGTGGACTCCCTCCTGGACCAGCACGCGCGATGTCGCGGTGCAGATTTGTCCCATGTTGGACATAATACCTATGTGGGACCACTTGACGGCTTGCTCGAGATCTGCGTCATCGAACACAAGCAGTGGGGACTTGCCGCCAGTCTCGAGGGTGATGTTCTTCAAGTTCAAGGCGGCCATCTTCATAATCTCACGACCAGTGTTCGTGCTGCCGGTAAAGGCGATCTTGTCGATTCCGGGGTGTTGGGCGATTGCTGCGCCAGCAACGCGGCCATGGCCGTTGATGATGTTCACGACGCCAGGAGGGAAGCCAGCTTCCTGGATCAAGTTTGCGAAAACCAGGATAGAAAGAGGAGTCTGCTCGGCGGCCTTAAGAACAACGGTGTTTCCACAAGCAAGCGCAGGACCAAGCTTCCATGCGGCCATAGCCTACATTGAAGGTTAGCCAAATGATGGGGAAAACCTTTGAAAAACGCTCACCAGTGGATAGTTCCAAGGGATAATCTGTCCACAGACACCGATTGGCTCTCGAATGGTATATGCTAACTTGGCAGAGGTGGTATCTATCACCTGGCCATGGATTTTGTCTGCCCAGCCAGCGTCTTGGGAGAGAAGCAATCAGCGAACTATCTCCCACAAAGAGGCTCGGACATTGCCACTCACAATACTTCAAGGTGCCTGCAACCTCTGCAACATCCTCGTTGACGGCAACAGAATACGGCTTGCCATTGTCCCAAGTCTCAATGGTTCCCAAAAGCTCGGCGTTTTGCTCGACAAGAGCCGAGAGCTTCAGCATAAGGTCGCCTCTATCTGAGGTTGCCATGTCTCGCCATCTTCATATACAGAGTCAACGATTGGTACAAGCATGTAGAATACGGAGGCCTCACTTACGTCTCCTTAAAGGCAGCTCTGGCAGCCGCCACAGCCTTATCAACATCCTCTGGCTCGGCAGCATGAACAGAAGCGATCTCAGACTCGTCGGTAGGATTGATACTCGTGATCTTGTCGCCCTTGCTGGAAGCCACCCATTCATTGTTGATGAAAAGACCCGTAGGCTGTGTATATTTCCTCCCATTAGGAGCCGTGAGCTCAATGGACAAATCGGACATCTTTCGAACACCTCCTGTAGCTCTCGGATTGAAGTGAAGTGCAGCTGGACGTAGTAGGGACACTTTGAACGCTTTGGCGAAGAAACTCGAAGATGGCGAGAACATGGACGAAGCTGACAATGTATATCGAGAGCTCCCAAGGGCTGGATGTGACCTACCTGCGTCAAGCGGCCGGCCCTATCTCTTGCAGCTGTTGCAAGCAGTGTTGTTTTGTCAAGGTAAGTGATACAGCGGCGCCCGCGCGCCCATCAAGCTCCAGGTACAGCTCGGATAGATTGGCCTCATACGGGCAAGCGCCTGCTTTCCCCTGCGACTGAACGCGAGACACGAGCATCCAACACCAACATCGACGTGTCGTCGAACAGGTCAGATAGGAGGACCCGAACGAATGGAGACCGATGCGGACGAGGCGAAAGCCTACCTCACCAACCTCCTCAACCGAACGCTGCACGTCCACATCTCAGATGGCCGTATGTTTGTAGGACAGATGAAGTGCACCGACAACGAGCGCAACATCATCCTCGCCATGACGCACGAGTACAGACAACCGACGGAATCAGATGTGGAGGCGGCTACGGCGAGGCATGAAAAGGAGGGTCAGACGGGGAACGTGAAAGTGGATATGAAGAAGAGATTCGTCGGATTGGTGGTTGTGCCGGGCCAGTACATTACGAAGATTGAGTTGGAGAGCTATGTCTGAAAAACAAGTACTTGCGCACATGGTGGTGTGAAAGAGACGAGACGTCTGTTTACATTGGGTCTTGCGCCTTCCTCAAGAGAGGAGCCAGGTGGGATGCAGCTTCCGTCAACCAACGAAAGTGCACGCCAACATCTGCCAAACATGCACGCCAGGACAAACACATTTATGTGACCTCAACTTTGAGACTGCTCTCCGTGAGTTGCTGCCTATCCCAGACCCCATCAGAAAGAAGACATACTGACATACGCAGCCGCAACACCGCAGGCACCCACGCAAACATGGCGACCACTCCCACTGCCGAACAGCACAACCGAGAGAAGAAGCTCCTACGCAAGCTCATGAAGGCACGCATCGCATGCGGGAACAGTCTCGAAGAGCTGGAGACTCTCAACGGCTTGACGGATGACTGGGATGCCACCGAGGAGGTATTGGAGAATGCAGCTCTCGACATCCACCTACAATGCGAATACGGCTGCAAAGAATCCAGCGCGTTGCATGACATCCTCAGCGGCCTCCTGACTGGTCTCAACACACCAGGGTTATGGACGGAAGTTGAAGTGCGCCAGGAGAATGCCGTGGCAGCTGCGAAGGAGATCATCAAGGTCATCGATGGACTGCTCGTCGCTGGCCCGAATCCGAGTTTGGGACTGAAGGAGATGAAGCGCCGGGCACAACACATCACGACCGAGCTGGAGGCGTTGGAGGAGACATTTGCGGAATTGGAGAGCGAAGTGCAGGCGTGCATCGCTGACGCGCAGAAGCATTCAACCAGCAACCCGTCATCGTGAGCGCTCTATTCTGCACGGACCGGGTTGTATGCAAGATGGTGAAACAGCATAAGATGGCAGCCAAGATAACGAGATCGAGCACCTCTTTTCAGGCACAGCTTCGCTTGGCAGGATGCGAAACTTGTCTCGAAACAGAAGAGACGCCATCCTATTCGGTCTCGTACGTTGTGAGCGCCATATCACACTTGGCGCCAGAGTGAGGAGCTGTTGCTGCTTGATGACGTACCCAGCAGATCAGAAAGTCTAAATCAAGTCCATTCGAACCTCACACCGTACATTGTCTTCTTCTCCAACATTCCAGGACTGATCAGGCCATTGAATACCATAACCATGCCTTCTACAATCGACACAATCCGAGAACTCACCAACGTATGTTCCTTCACATGCTCCAGCTGCTACCTCACAAAGCTAGAAGCTAACAGCTCCGTCGTGTAGACCTATCATGCATATGTGTTCGGTGAGTAAGAAGACGCCAATGACGCTTCCATTCTCCCTGAACGTTTACTGAATCTTCGTTATGCAGGAACAAGTTTCTGGTACTTCCTCAGAGGTATCACTCGCGTGATCGATCCGGCGACGGTCTGCGACTGGTTCAGGCCGCCCAAGGATGGACATCCGGCTGCGAATGGTACGTACAAGCTCATTCCCTATCTTGTTTCTTCGGTTTGAATGATCAGAGGTACTCGAGGGGATCGCGATATATCCTCGAATGGATGAATACGTCTCAAACAGAAAGAGACCATTGGCTTCGCTATCCCTCATCTATCTGGATCCAGCAGACAGAAAAACCAACTAACAAACCCCCTCCAAACAGACCTCGAACTCTACACAACCTGGACCGACGCCTGGTGTCTCCTCGCCCTCTCCGCCATCCTCCTCGTCCTAGCCGACGCCGTGCCCCTCCCCGCCTCCATCGCCGGCTCCTCCCTCTCCGCCGCCACCTCGACCCCCAAATCCAAGAAACCTTATGCGCGCGCCGTGATTGTCATCACCATGTTGCACCATGCGGCGACGGGGTATGGCGCGTTTCAGCACTGGGTCCAGCCGAGCCATCATACGATTGCGATGGATATTGGGGTTTATGGGAATGTGGCGTTGATTGCTTTGGGGGCGGCGGCGTTGGCGTGGGGGTTGGAGGAGGATGGGATGGTGCTTAGGGATGGGAAGAAGAAGCGTTGAGAGGTGGTGGGGAGTTGTTGGAGTGAGGAAGATGGAGTCGTGTGATCGATGATGGGACTTGGATAGGTGGAGGTGAAGTTTTCGATCTCATAGTGTACAGGTAATCTACAGGCCCGGTGCCATGTCTTGGTCTACGTTCTGAGACGGAGATGATATGTCTCGAGTTGCTCCTCAGTCATCTTCGTCGGGCTCTTCACGAGCAGGTCTTCGCCCTTGCCGCTCTTGGGGAAGGCAATGACATCCCTGACGGATTCCCTTCCAAGCATCACCGCGATCAAACGATCGAAGCCCAGTGCAATACCAGCATGTGGTGGACAGCCAGCACGCAGGACCTCGATTAGATGCGCGAAGTCTTTCATCCGCTCGTCGCTCATCTTTAGGATCTCACGCATGATGAACTCTTGCATCTGTGCATTGTGGATCCGTCTGCTCCCACCTCCGAGCTCTACGCCATTCACGACAAGGTCGTAGTGGTCGGCTTTGACTTGCAAAGGATCTTCTAGGAGGAGATCGACATCCTCAGGCGTCTTCGGTGCTGTGAAGGGATGATGCGTTGATGAGATGCCTGCCGAGCCACCTTGACCTGGCTCATTTTCTACCACAGGCGAGAACAGCGGGAAGTCGGTGATCCATGTGAACGCGAAGCCGGTCGGGGCAGGCAGGAAGCCTTGCTTCACGGCTGATTTGTGCAGTGCGAGTCGGAGATTTCCGATAGGTGTAGAGCCTCCTGAGAAGGAAGCATCTTTCCGTGCTTGTATGACGACCACGTCTCCATCTTCGAGTTCGAGAACCTCCTCCAACTGCTCAGCAGCTTCGAAGCCGAACGGCTGTAGGCCCTGAAGGGGCTTGCGCGAGTTGTGGATGAAAATGCCTGGCTGCCCTTCAGGGTTTTGTATAAAGTGCTGGGCTTCAGGCGAGTCCATGAAGGCGTTGACAAATTTCCTAGTTTCTTGGGGATCCTCTGCTATGGGCACCTTAATGCATTCGACAATTGGATCATTCAGAGGCCCAATCTTCATGACGAGGTCTTGTGGAAGAAGGTGTCCAATTCGGACAATTTCCGAGCCTAGTCGAAGATCTGGCTTGTCTGAGCCGTATTTCGACATTGCTTCGTCGTAAGTCATTCGGTCGAACTTCTCAGGCAGATCTCCAATATCCAGCAACTCGGCCCAAAGTCGCCTTGCCACTCCCTCGATGACGGACATAACATCTTCGCCGGTGGCAAATGCCATTTCGAGATCGACTTGAGTGAACTCTGGCTGCCTGTCCGCTCGTAGATCCTCGTCGCGGAAGCACTTCGCTATCTGCATGTACCTCGGGATTCCACTCGCCATCAATATCTGCTTGTACTGTTGAGGAGACTGTGGCAGTGCGTATGCCTGGCCGGCAGCTCTTGTTGGTACTAAGAACTCTCTCGCGCCCTCTGGAGTTGATTTGAAGAGAAGTGGTGTCTCGATCTCGGCGAAGTCATGCTTCGTGCAGAGCTCGTCGCGAATCAAGCGCGCGGCCTTGCTTCTGAAGGCGAGAGCCTGCCGTATTGATCGATCGTTCCTGATTTGCAGATGGCGTTGCTCGGGGGAGAAGACGGTCTCTTCCGTCATGATGATATCCCTTGGGAAGGCATTGAGAGGCGTGATCTTCTCAATCTTGATCTCAGCGCCAGTAATAAGAACATTGCTATGATCCCCTGTTGCGGTGGTCTTCGGTGCCTTGCGGGCCTTGACGGTACCAGACACTGCGACAGGAGTGTGATCCTCAATGTTGCGGAGCAGCTGATGAGCTTCATTGCTACCATCGACGCCCTTGGTAGGCGTGGAGACTAGCTGCACTGTCGACTTAAGATGCATGTCATGGAGCTCAGCAAAAGTGAGTGACTTTGAGGCATCTCTCCTGGTCCCGATATAGCCATGCAGAACGATCTGTTCGTCAATGCGACTTGCAGCATCCTTAGCCAGATCTCCGAAAGAACATGTTGCCGACGGGAATGCTAAGGTCTTTTTGAACTCTTCTAACGTCGTACTTGATGCATTGTTTCTCGCAGCGTCGACATTGTCGCTGTAGCATCTCAAATGTGGATTCTTTCCCAGGCTCGCTCTGCTCCAATTTTGATTCGATTCATAGCGCGCAACCTGGATACCAGCAGTCCATCCTCGGAATAGGCGTACAGACGCGGTTCTGCAGCGACCACAGGCTAGCATCAAGAAATGTCAAATGACGGAGTATTTCGATAGAAGTGATGGGATAGAAGGGAGGACGTGAGGTCTGAGGTGGCCAAAACTGATCTCAAATGTCCACGACTTTTGGGCACAAGCACGGTCCCTGCAATTTTCGACGACTTCATTTCGCGTCGCGCTCGACTTCCTTTCCTCTTCATGACCCTCCAATTCAAACAAATGTACGTCTACCTCGACTCCCCTCCACATGTTACAATACTGACATATTCCAGATGATGAAAGCCTAGCGTGTAGCAGATGAGCTGACTGCCAGACTCTACCGCCCAAGCTCTCCCTTCACCGGGCTCAAGGGCAAAGGCGGTTGCTGGCAGCAGCATGATCTCTGCGTTCGGCACACACACCTTGTTACTTAACGGACGCGAAGATGGCATCTCTGATCCATGTTTGATTCTGGAGGGGGTTCTGTGCCATGGCACTTGGAAAGATTCTTAGGAGAAGCACAGATAGCGTGGGAAATTCCAATGACTTTTGTGCTTTCACCCTCCATCCTGGATGTTTCACCATATCGGCGGAAATACTTGTCACGGATCTTGTCCTCTTCGACTCCATTTCCCGCAGGCGTCTTCGGCATTTATGTTGCTGGAGCCAATGTCTGGGCATTCGAGGTACCTGAAAGCCATGGGATATACTGCAGAAGTTGCCAGCGCCATCTCGTTGCGGACTCGGCTCTAAACAGAAACGTCGCTACTAAACCTCCACACATCTCCGGATTGATAGATGCTACTAAGCCCTCAAACGCAGCTAAGTGCCCTGGCTGCTCGAGATGCCTCTGAGAAACGGAGATCATAAGACGTCTTGAACTGTCAACGGCAAGCCTCCATCGTTGCGCTTCCCTCCACACTGGGGCTGCCCTCCGCAGAGTATCTCATGGAAAGGTCGAGGTCTATCTCCATCCTTGTCTTTCCAACAACGCTGCGGGAAATCGAGAACGGTCTTCAACAAGTTGCGGTTTCAACGAGATGGGACTGTGACTGTAACATGATCGTGACAACTCCTTTGGTTTTAGCTACCTATGAGGCTCAAGCAGTGCCTATTCATCCCATTGGCAAGCTTCATTTCATCCTGTTCTCTCCGTTCCTGTTTCTGTGTCCCTGTGTTCAAAGCAGTCAGCGATGGCATGGATGTTGCGTGTGTCACGGGGATATCTTACCATTCCCAAGTTTCATCAATTCGTTATTGTCCGTATCTTGCTTTTCTGTTTTCTGACCTCCATCACAGCACAACCGCATGGCTGCACCTCCCAAGACCTGCGTCCAGCAACTTCAGATCCAAAATCGATCGGGTTTCGAATCGGTTCGTTTCGTCGTGCTCGGTGGTCGTTCGATGCTCATGCTCAATGCTCTGGTCTGCTCGCTGCTGCGCTGCCGTCCTGTCCGCGTTAGAAGAAAAAGAAAGAAACTTACTCCGTAATGCTGTCATTTCTGCTGAACAGCCGCCTCAGTCCTCTGGAGCTCGTATTGCTAGTGGTACGATCGCGCTTTCCGCCTCCCTCCTGCTCGTTGCCAACGTCGTCGGAAACACGTGCGCTGCTGTTGCTGCTCACGACTGCTGTGTCGTAGCTGGATCGCGGGACACTGTCGGTGTTCGTGCTGGAACGAGGAGGCGTGCCAAACTCGCCGTCCGCCAGTCGCTTCATCAACTCATCCTTCTTCATATAGACACCAGGATCCGCAGCTTCCGGCAGCTTAAAGCCTTCGATCTCTTCTCGGTCAGCAAGCTTCGCAGTACCGCCGGCTGACACGTAGCGCTGCTTCAGTGCTGGGCGAGGTGCGATGAAGTCTGGCACCGGAAGCTGGGTGCTATCCGCCGTGTTCGATCGCGGGATTGTCGCAGGAGGTGGCTTGCGGTCAGGCAGCACCGGCGAGTCGGCTGAATGACGACCCATTGGAGAATGATAGCGCTCACCAGCTTTAGTCCTACACTCCTGAGTCGATATCTTTGGCGTCTTGACATGCGAGGTGTCCCACTTGTCGAACTCGTTGTCCGACTGACGCGTGTTGTCCTGAGCTGGACCTGTGGAGCTCTGTCCGGTCGTACCCTTGGGCTTGGGTCTCAGGAACTGCGGCAAGAATCGATTGCTTGGACGCGATGACGATGGTGCTTCTGGTTCCGGGCTGCTCGACGACGTGATTGTCAGGGCGTAGTCGGGAGATGTGGTCTCTGAACGCTGCGTCGCCTGTGGACGCTGCGGCGGAGAAGAGACTGGGGCTGAGGTGACAGGGACAGGCCTACGAGCTGGCGGGTTCGTCGTGTAATTCGAACCAGATTCTGGCGCCGGAGTGGCCATTGAACGAAAGTCTGGATAGCGTTGCACAGAATCCCCGCCATAGAGGCCCAGGCGGATAGTCTCTCTGGCCCGGGTTGAGTGCACAGACGGCACATTCGCGAGATCGCCATCTTCAGTTCCGGCCCTACCACGACGGTTGCTGAACGTCTGGCGACTGGCAGTTCTAGCAGCCTGACTCGCGGTCTTGTATGACTGAATGAGGCGTTGATCTGGCTCAGGACTGCCTGCCATCTGCATTCTCGCCATGTCGTCGGAGATGCTGCCGGGTTCGTTTGCTGCCAACTTGTCTGGCACCTCAGCTGGCATCTCCGCTGGTGGTGACTGTGGCTGCACGAGAGGCCAGGCCTCCTGATTCAAGCTGTCGTTTCGCGTCTTGCTTATGTTTTGGACCGCAGCAGCCTGTTTGCGCAGGTCCTTGCAGGCGCAAATGCCAATCTCGAACTGACAAGCCGGTCGGCATCGACAGCCATCTTGACACAAGCAGAATGGCTCGTCTTGGTTGGCAGCAGCTTGTGGCGGACTGTTCGCCACCTCACGGAGCTGCGAGCGACGTGCTCGTAGGTCCACCTCAATATGGAGGTGCTCTCGACACGCGCGGCTCACGAGAGTTGCGTGCTTGTGCCAGAGCTGGTCAATGATCTCGTCTGAGGTGTAATAATCTTGATTGATGATGCCCTCGGTCGCGTCGAGTTTCGCATCCATGTCCTTCTTCGCGAGCCTGTGAAAGTGATCCTGGAACCGCTGGCGAAAGGTGGAAGTGCCAAACTTTGCACGATACGGCTCAGTTGCGTTCTCCATGCGAACGGCTTCCTCAAGTGGACCCAGGAGGCGCGCGTCCATGAGCAAATGCCACATTTCCTCGAGCTGGTGACCAAAGTTGAGAGCTGTGAATGGCTTCTGCTCTTCTTTGCCATCACCGCCGCGCATGTGAAGAACGCGCGCACCACCCTCACGCTCGGTGTTGAAATGCAGCTTGATGTCCGAATACACGGCGCGGATCTCAGCTACCAGCGCGAGATAGAGGCTCTCCCAATTTCCCAGTGGCAACATCTGCACTTCACCGATTCTCGGAAGCTGGTCGTCGTTTCCAGGGGCTTGGTAGGCTTGGACGGCGCAGAGAAAGAAGACCAAATTGTTTGCTCCATCTCGAACGCGATACTGGTAGCGGGGCGCCAGCTTCTGGTGGGTGAAGACACTGATTGCGGTCGTGCGAAGGCTCTGCTTGATATGACCGAATGAAAAGCCAGTGACAAGTCCAGCCTTGATTGTCTCTCGGGCGTTCGATGGAGTAATCATAGGAGCGAGTCCAGCGAGGGTGCCCGCAGGCTGGTGCTGTGGGCTGGTGGGTGGTATAGGAACCTCCATGTTGGACGCCGCAGTGGTGATGAGGTTGGTTGCAGCGACGTGAAGTGGTGGCGGATGACGCCCGAGGGGTCTTGAGTGCTTGTTGAAGTCTTGCAAGGTCAGGAGAACGATATTGAAGTTGCAAATGTTCGCCGCCGTCAAGTGTGCAAGACGTCGACCATGTTGGTGTACTGGACGTCGTTGTCGTCGCTTCAAGTCGCTGTTGAAGCCGCGCTGAATAAGGGACCTGGCAGCTTCCTCATTGGTCAACGTCGCGTGACCATCGAGACTAGCGTCATAGCTTGGAGCTGTCGCCGTTTGCGAGACGTGAGGTTCTCGAGATTGAATGGTACTGTGTGAAAGATTAGGCAGCCATGTGGAAACTTTTGGAAGATTTGCATGTGAGTATGGGCGTAGGCGGACGAAATTCACGTGCGCGGGATATTCACTCGCACGTTGTCTCCTTTCACGCGCGCACATGTAGTGTAAAGCAGATGAGACAATCCTAATTAATGTTTTTACATGATCAATTCACCCGTTAAGCAATCTGTGCGACTTAGTATTAAGCCATGTTGTCAGCGAGGGCGGATTCTACAAAGTCTTGGCACAGAGGGGCAGACTCGCTCTTTTTGCTATGTCTTGACGTGTATTTCATAAGTCTGGGTCTTCTAATCTGCTTGCATTTACTGCCCTCGTTGAGTTCTTGTACAGCATATTTTGTGGCCTGTATCTACGATGTGGCCCGCTTGAAATGTATTCGATGCACATGTCGCAAAGGCCGAATTTGAACACCTGCAATGCATCTCCAAATTCTGTCGACGAATGCAACTATTCGCCTTCCAAAATCACAATTCCCCCAACCCTCTACGTGTTGTGCTGCTCACAACCCATTCAAAATCGAAAAATCCACAAGACATGTAGTCCAGCTTCGCTTCACTTAAGTGGGTCCTTGCCCAAACCCTAATGCCCCAAATCCAAACTCTAACCGGGGCCGTACCTGCATCGGCGTTAACCCACCACAATTTTCTCGCAATCGCATCCACTTTTTCGTCGCCGAATTCTTCCTCGTACCATGTCCCGTTTGGTATGACATTTCTCGCAGTTATATACGAACCTGCATGTCGCTCGGAGTTATGAGTGGGTTACATGTGGATTTTTGCATGGTGAGTGAGTCTGTGCGAACTGAGGTTCGTCAGCGACAGATTGTTATTTTGTCCAGTAATGGGGTATTATGGAGCCGAGTTGAGGCTATGCCTGGTCATTCTTCACATGCAAGCTACTATTTAACCGCGATTCTCTCTGAGCCTTGCACGTGGTGCCAGCACTCTGCTTAAGATGTTTTTCTTAAAACCGACCTGGCAGCGTCGACGGGCATGTGGAGGAGTCCCGCCGACGGTGGAACACCCATGAAGAGGAAAGGAAAGTGAATGGATATATAATGCAAAGTGATGGCCGAAGAAAACAAAATGTCGAAGCAACTCCAGCGCAAGAAAAGCCCACGGCCATCACTACTCTGTCAACCCATCAACACAACATCACCCTAACATCAAACATGCCCTCCAAACTAACCATCCTCATCACCGGCGCAAACCAAGGCATAGGCTACCACGCCGCGCACCAACTCGCCGCCACGGGCAAATACACCGTCCTGCTAGGAGCCCGCGACATCACCAAAGGCCAGCGAGCCGTGGAACAAATTCTCTCCAACGAATCTACCAACGTCCAAAAGGGCGATATCCTCCCCGTACAGATCGATCTGTCGTCGGATGAGAGTATTGCCGCAGCGGTGAGGGTTGTCGAGGAGAGGTTTGGGGGGTTGGATATTGTACGTTTCGCATATCGTGCTGTTGGGATGTGGGGACGTTTTCGCTGACGAGGAGTTATTGTATAGTTGGTCCACAACGCCGCCGAAGGCGCCAACACCCCCGACCTCTCGACCCGCGAGCAATACCTCGAATCCTTCAACACCAACTCCTTCGGCCCCGTCGTCGCGACGGAAGCCTTCCTGCCCCTGCTGCGCAAATCCGACGAGAAGAAAGGCGGGAAGCGTATAATCTGTTCGTCCTCCTCCACCCCACCCCAAAACCGCTTCCCTCCCTCCCACCTAACGGTTTTTCACAGTCCTCTCCTCCCTCCTCGCCTCCTCCACAGCAACAACCTCCCCAGCCTTCCCCTTCCCAGCGCACTACGTCTCCATCTACCGCGCGTCCAAAGCCGCGCTGAACATGTCCGTCCTCTCCTTCGCTTCCCTTCTCGGAGAGGAAGGGTTCACGGTTTGTGCGCTGGATCCGGGGTACAATAAGACGAGGATGACGGGGTTCGGCGGGGATAAAGATCCTAGTGAGGGGGCGCGGGTGATTCCTATGGCGATCGAGGCGGAGAGGGAGGAGGTGCATGGACGGTTTGTGCATTTCGAGGGTGGGGTGAGGGGGTTTCATGATTGGTAGGGTGGTTGGGCCTTGTGAGGCGAGGTGAGGCGAGGCGAGGTGAGGCGTGAAGTGAAGTGTATCATGGATGGTGGTGAAGTCGTCGTCAATTAGCTTTTTAAGTCTTACGTACAAGATGTAATTGGTATAGCACATATCTTGCTGACAGCTTCTTCTCCCGCCTTCTTTTCTTTCTTTTTGGTACACGTTGAAAAAGGCCTCCAGAGGAAATGAACGAATGCCGGCGTTCGGGTCAGAGCATGATCATGACCGTCGCCACGGGTATCTGAGAGTAACGAAATAACGACAACGAACGCCCTCCGCCGTTAGAACGCCTCGCTTTGATGAGAACAAGCAATCCTCATCCTCGTGCTGAATTTGTTCATCAACCTTTCAGGTTGAACGAGAACTCGCTGGCGTTGGCGCTGGGAAAGTGCTCAACTTGTGGCCGAGCAGGGCTTCGTCCAGGCATCGGGCTGCCAACCTCACTCCTTGCATGGGTGTTCTGGCGGCTGGTCGGGCGATGAAAGTATTCCGGCTGCTTTCCAGCTCTTCGATCATTCTCTTTGTCGTATGTATTCAGGTGTTTCCTCTCCCTCGATCGAGACTGATCCCACTCTTTTCCGCCGATTGTGCTAGCGACAGGAGGCGCTTGCCTAAAACGCCTGCCAGAGGCTTGCCCAGTGGGTGAAACTTCGTCATAAACTAGCACGATCATCCACACACCAACAGCGCCTGAGTGTCCCAGAAGTGGTGTGCAGTGAATCCATCGTGGTCGGCCTTCTCCTTCACCGTCTTCGTCAGGACGAGTCAACCATCTGATTTTGGCTGTAACACCACGTCCCTCAGCCAAAGCTTCTCCTAGATCTGCACGAACACGACTGCTGCCGCCGATGCGGTTGAGGAAAGGGGACTGCAGGATGCCTGGAACGCGTAGTGACGGGGACGTGAAGAGGATGCGGAGAGATGGTGCCGGTCGGATGAGGAGGTACTGTGGGACAGTCAGTCAGCGGTTCATCCTTAAACGTTACTTTCTCACTTACGTGTTGGTAGACACCTTCGAGCTTGCCATTCAGTCGTTCCTTGACGCTGGTTGCTGCTGCACTCTCAGACATGCTCCTCTTCTCCTTGTCCAAAATCTCCTGGCTTGGATCTTTCAAGAGTAGACGTGGTCGGCCGTGCAAGCTCTCGCGGTCGCTTTCATCGACATACTCCTTGTGCATGCGCCCGCCAAACTTTCGTACGGTGTCCAGCTCTGCGCCGTTGAACATTTCGCTGAGTTCTTGGAATTCATCCTTGCGGTGTGGATCTTCGTCTTCACCGGCAGCTTCAGCTTCCTGCTCTTTCTCAAGCAATGTTGTCAAGCCCTCCATCTCATTACAGTCCTTGATCAGACCAGACACATCCACCTGCGCACCGATGAAATACCTTATATTCCCTCGGCTGTCCATGAGCGGCGCCGTCATCAAAAGGTTCATGAATGGGCTTCCATCTCGACGGTAGTTGACAAAGACTTCGACATGCTCTTTGCCTGACGTGCAAGCTATTGCCAATCGCCGGACAGAGTGAGGGCTTGACCTGGGCCCTTGCAAGAATCTGCAGTTGCGGCCAATAATGTAGTTCATGCCATACTGTGTCGTTCTCGTGAACTCTTCCGATGCGAAAACGATGGGGTTGTCAGTTCTGCTGGGATCTGTCAGGCAAAACACTTCAGCAAGCCCTTCACTGGCCTCTCGCAAATGCGGCGCCAGTGTTCCAGTGATTCGCCTTTGGATGCTCACGCTGACGACTTGGATCCAAATGTGAGTGACATAGGCAGGGAGATCTTCTTGTACGAGCTGCTCGAAAGCACGATTCGCCTTCTCTTCAAGCATCGCATTTCGTGTAGGCTTTGCGACCTCTGCAGTGAAGCCTTGGCCTTTGATGGGTTCCAATGCCTCTGCAATGGCGTTCGCATAGTTGATCGCACGCAGAGCCTTCAGTGCGTCGAGGTAATAAATCAGGATGGGTATGCTCTTAGGACGGTGAGAATTCAGGAAGCCAGTAAACCTGAGCAGTAGCTTGGGGTCCTCGAAGATTGTTCGCAAATGGTTCGCACTGAACAGCTGCTCAGCGCGCTTCTCCAAAGCGTACATCCCAACTTCGAGTTCGTCTTGTAGGGGTGCTACGAGATCCCAGGACCTTGGATCGTCTTCAATGACTGGCTCTAGATATTGCGCGTCCGTGTTGTCCGGACCTTTTGTTTGTAGGGGTGGCAGGGTGTGAATCGATGTCGCTGATGTCTCTTGCGAAAAGACGGACCCCGCACTGCTACGCGCGCCTGGATCGTAGACATTATCATCGGTCGTTTCTGGCGACGGCGGCGACGAGTTCAAGGCATCGTTGGCGGCAGGGGATCTTGGAGGAGGGGGAGGAATTGGCTGCGGCGCAGGCTTTTGTTTGCCGCTGCTGCTAAGAGGCGGTCAGTATCAATGCTGGCGTTGAAGGATTGATCGACCATCGCGTATCTGAAGCGAAGCGAGGTGGAGGCGTACCTGGTCCTTGTAGGGATGTGAATCCCGCTTTTTGAGAAGTCGGCTGGGGACGCTGTTTGACCTGTGCCATCGTCCATGCCAGTGAAGTCGGGCGACGTCGGTATGTGCTCGCCATGAGGACTTTTGCTGTTCTGCCTTTGGTGATTGGCACCCCCTTCGGATTGCGTCGCGGTCCTTCGCGCACTGTAGCGTTTTTGGAAGTCTTCATTCTGGTAGTCGTAGGTATCCGTCCCAGTAGGTATATGGATGGCAGTGTCGGCGTTGTTGACCTTGCTGCGACTGCGATCGCGGCTGCTCGATGTACAGTTAATGGGCCGCGGAGAGCTGGCCACGTCCTTCTCCGTTGCGCGCAGCTCGCGCCGGCCGTTGGAGGATTGATGGGGATACTGTCCACCCAAAAAGTCGTAAGCGGAGCTGAACGCCTTGAACCGCATTTCGCGAGGCCCCACTGGAAGCAATGGCAGAGGAGTGCATGCAAGAGCAATCAAAATTAATGAAGGAGAGGGAGGGCCAGGGGCGGGCGCAGGTACGGACGACTGGAGGTGGAGCTCTGCAGCCCCAAGCTGGCCAGCAACGGGCGAGCTAAAGTCGAAAGGCTAACTGCGTGCTGTGTGTGGTGACGCTGAGAGAGACGGGAGGTGACGGCAAGCGCAGCTCCTCGGTCCCAAGCGACAGTGTAATAGATTAAAAGTCATGTTACGCACAGCATAGCAGAGCACCGCAAAGCATACGTGTGGCGAGGGTATAAGAGAGATGACGCACCAGGCGATATACCGGAGCCATGTCTGATTCAGACTGAGGGCGCGCCTGTCGCTTCAGGGATATTCGTTGCACCAGGTTTCCGAGGCCTATACCAGAGTCGCGCTTGGAGGAGCCGCTGTTCTGCCTCGACATGGACGCCGAAGTCAGAATCAAGGGCTGCGGCACCACCTGCGACGTCACAGAAGCGCGCGCGGACATCCAGTCATGGGCGCGGTGAGGGGCGTGGTGGTGCTGGGGGCGCAGAGGTGGAGGGAGGGCGGCCGGGAGGGCGAGGGCGAGGAGTATCAGCAGCAAGCAAGACGAAGCAACGACGATATGGCGGCCTGGTGCGCGTTGGGTGTTATACCTGCCTGTCTGCCAGCGTCGTGTGCTGCTACTGCACGCCCACCCACCGCCGCACGAACGCTGCTGTGAAGGCTCTCCCTGGTGCTGCGTCGCATCTGCATGGCAAGTGCATCCATCTGCTGTCGACAGAAGCCGAGTCCGCGCCCGGGCCTGCCGATCCAGTGATCCACCCAGCGACTCCATCCCCATTTCTCGCTCCCAGCCAACCGCAATCAGAGCCGTGCTTGCGCCGCAGGATCGTGGCAGAGAGAGTTTGCAGACGATGCACAGGCTGCGACCAAGTGGCTTCCGCTGCGCGCGTGCCCGTTGCTAGCCATCCCGCTCCATTTCCTTTTGCTTCACCATCGCGATTCAGCGACATCGTCGCATTGTCCCTCTTTGACCACCACCGCCGTCGCCGCAGGACTGGTGCTGAGCCGTCGCCACGCTGCAATCTCGTGGCCGCCCAACTGTGTGGGCAGATGAGGTCCCTCGGGCCCCCTGCTCAAGTTCTGCAGTAACCCGCAGTGCCAGATGCGCTATGGCGATCGTCTGCCGACCCTTGCATGTGCGAGGATTCGGCGCGCAGGTCCCACGCCAGCGCTAGAGCGGTTTGAGCAGCAACGCTTGACGATAAGAGCGTTGACAGCTTCCTCCAACAAACTCAATCCGACCTGGCAATAGCAGAATCGGGAATGCTTCGAGACATAAAAAGACCACGACGCCCCTCGTGCAGGCAAAGAAGTGCATCTTGCGCATGATACAAACCACCCCTGTCGCGACCGCGATCGTGGATCTGCCCACAATTCCAGCTGTCCGGGTACCTGAATCGCGGCGACGCCCGGTGCATCCAGTCTGTGCTCATGCCCCATGTCAAGCTCGACATTAGGCTGCGCGGCGGTGGTGAGCGCATGCATAAGCCGTCTCATACTGCCACTGTGCTGAGAACTCTGATGCCCGCGGGCTCGAAAAGATGAAACAGCGGCACAGCGAACACATCGCCTCGAGGATGAGAGCCACGGCACTGTGCTGCAGTTGCTACCATGTGATGGTGAACAGTGGTTCGCGATGAAAATCGCCGCAACCAGGTTGAATGGAGGCTTTGGCGTGACAGGGAGAGTCCCGCGACTTAATTTCTGAATTACCTTCTGGGCAAATGACGGTCCATTACTGGACTGAGATGGTATTCTTGATGACGACTTCCCCTCTGCCGCCCTCATGGGTATCGCTGCCATTCAAGATCGATGTTTGTGATGAGGTCAGCCTCATGGTAGTGGTGGCTGGCAGACAGAGGAACTCCGAACAACGTCGAAGGAATAACTCCTCCTCATCCTCAACTTGCCATAGCCTGCGCCTCTACGCCCTCGTCCCGCCTGGGAGTAACGGTTCTCTATCGTCTATCACATCACGGGACTGGTCGTCCTTTGGGGTGCTCTCCTCAACCGGTCCAAACAGAACAAAGTGCTGCAAAATGAAGATGATGTCGAACACCAGGGATATGTTCGCAAGACCGAACTTTAACGGATTCCCTGTCAGGCCAGACCAATCACTCTGCAAGCTGCTGTCAATCACAAGCTGAAGCAGACTGCCAATACCGCCCGTAAAATCCAGAAGCTGCTGGGTAATGGACCAACCGATCGTCGACCTGCGGCGGAAATTGGCCACTACCTGGGGTATGTACTTGAAAACTGTCATGACGAGTTTGATGTACTCCATCGTATAGACCTGTGATCTATTAGACTCGTATCACAAAACAACACATGTGATCAATGAGCAGACTTCTCAACGCCTCATTCATTCAAACTTACCACATCAATCCATGCCCACCCTCGAGCATCGCCCGCCGTCCCTTTCGAGACCACGATGATGATGGTCGTCAGGAGTGCGATGAAACTTCCCCAGATTAGGCCCATGGTAATCGAATTCACATGCCTGCGAACGCCCGGCTTGTGCTCCCAACGCCACAGCCGGGGCCAAAACATCGAGTAGGTGACCACGCTCATCGTCAGGCCAATGGCCCCAAATGCCAAATCATTGATGCGAACAGTTGGTTCTGGAGAGACTGTGTGTCGTGCTGCGTACTGCGCGCGGATTTGTGGTGAGAAGAGGAATAATGCGGTTGACAGAGTGTAGCACGAGAACCCGTAGCAGTTCAGTAGCGGGAAGTCTGGTAGTAGGCCTTGGGTCGTCTTCCTTTGTATGTTTAGGACGGCTTGCGGGAAGAAAGATATCGTCCATGCCAGGAAGTAGATCCAGCCCAGTAGCCTGCAACGGATGAGTACTTGTTGCCAGTCACATGCGATTCTTCATACCATGAGATGATTATGGCCGCCTGATGTCCATCTGTATCCGCCATGATGAGTCTCATCTAGACAACATAAGGTTTTTCTATACCACAAAACTTTCCATCACTTGTGAATGCAGCGTCAATAACAAGCAAAGGTGAGTGAAGCCGAAAACGCCATCGCTCGCCATTTGCTGCCTCAGGCGCTACAAATCTCGTCGGCGCACCTTCCTTTGGTGACAGCGATCAAGTGCCAAGCTCAGGAAGACGCACGGACCTTGATCTGCGACCTCACTTCGCTAGCATCCAGAGCGCGTCTCCCGTACTCTATCTACAGCGACGACCGCCAGAAGCGTGGCACTGCATCAAATCCCTCTTCGCGCTTCTAAGTAATCAAATGACCACCTCTGCACATCGTCAAGACATGCGCAACCCCGCCTGCGACTTGCGCCGCCGTTGAGACCAGCACCAACGGGCCCGCCTCACCCGCAACACCTACAAACCGCGTGCACGTGCGCCACTCCCGTGAACAGCCTCTCAAACACCGCAAACATGGCCACCTCCGCTGCTTCCCCGCGACGCGCCCACCGCACACCTGCGAGACCGCCGCGCGCACTCGCCTCCATCGAGCCAGCGACCGAACCACCTCAGAAGAAGCGCAAGTTCCTGCCTGGAGGCCCAGGAGGAGGTGGAAGATACGTGGACGACGAAGGCAACGAAATGCCTCGAGAAGCAGTCGCTGCAGCGCAAACGGCTTCCAGAAGTCGGCCCAGGCGCGAGACTGCAGGGAAGCCTATACCGAAAGAAGGAGAGACCCCCCTAGCGACCCGCTCAGCGATGCAGACACGACCACGGCGAGAGCGACCTGAGAGATATGTGCCTGCGCCTGCGACACCGCGACCCCGATATAGCAATGCTGCTGCCGCGGCTGCTGCTAGCCAGGCCAGTGATGGATACAAGCCAAGAGAAGAGCGTAGTTGGGAAGAGTTTCACCCAGAGCTTGACCTCGATCAAGGACTCATGGTATTTCCAGCAGATGAGGTTGATGGTAGGACCAGCAAGAACGACCCTAAGTTGCAAAAGCTCACCATCCATGGCTTGGATGGCAAGCCTCTGACAAATGGAGATGTGGACATGAAGGATGCGTCTACAGATGGAGTTCCAAGCCAGCCTTTGCCCAGTCCGGTGGTAGCGACGCCCATGAAGCGCAAACCAGGAAGACCGCCTAGGAGGCCCGAGTCGATGCTCAGTGGTCTTGGATCACCGCCTGCTCCACGAATCATCCCACTTCCAACCCACAACCCCAAGGAGCGCCTGAATCTACCCAAGCCATCGTTTCGACACTACAACCACTTCCTGCAGTATGAGGAGAGCCAGAAGGAGAACAAAGCAAACTACGTGGATCGTACTATGGCTCATGTAGGATACCAGGAGAGTGATCGCTTCGAACTACCTCACAGAGTCTTAATTCGCCTGTCCGAAGGCCAGCAAGTTGAGGACGAGGCGGAAGTGAGCCTGAGACTGGAGAGCGATGGCCCTGCAGACCCTGGTCAAGGCCCGCCTGCGATCGGCAAGGTGGAATACGACATGGACGAACAGGATGTAGCATGGCTCGAGGACATCAACGAACAGCGCAAAGCCGAGAACGCGGAAGGAATTAAGCCAGCAATCTTCGAAATCACCATGACGCAGATCGAGAAGGAGTTCCATGCCCTGGAAAAGCGGATACCGAAGCCTCAACCTCGACATGCTCAAACACACAGACCACGATCCAGCTCACAGGCTGCCGTCAATGGAGATCCCAATCCGCCGGGCGAAGAGCCAGATAGCAAATGCTCAATCTGCGACGACGGAGATTGCGAGAACGCGAACGCCATCATCTTCTGCGACGGCTGTGATCTGGCGGTACACCAAGAATGTTACGGTGTACCATTCATTCCCGAGGGTCAATGGTTCTGCAGAAAGTGCAAAGAGATTGGGCGAGGTACCCCGACCTGCATCTTCTGCCCGAACGTGGATGGCGCATTCAAGCAGACAAACACTCTACGATGGAGCCACTTGCTCTGCGCAATCTGGATCCCAGAGGTCACAATCGCAAACATGACCTTCATGGAACCAATTCAAGACGTGGACAAAGTTCCAAAGAATCGATGGGCCCTTCGTTGCTATATTTGCCACCAAAACATGGGTGCCTGCATTCAGTGTGGTAACAAGAACTGCTATCAAGCATTCCACGCCACCTGCGCCCGTCGCGCGAAGCTGTTTCTGAAGATGAAGTCTCAGAATCAGGGCGGTATCGACACAAGTGCTTTGAAGGCGTTCTGTGACAAGCACGTCTCGCAGGAGTGGCGCCGCACGCATAGTACGGACCAAGCAACCGCGGACGCCAAGCAGTGGTACAGACATACTTTCAAGGGCCGAACTTGGGCTGAGAACCAGCGCATCGCTCTCGAACTGGGCGCACCGCCACCCCCAGATGGCGGTATGGGTGAAGGCATAGCAGCAGACGATACTATTGCCGTCACTAAGAAGCGGAAGAATCAGCCGACCAAGCTGAGCTGGAGGCTACCATCGGGAGCCCCAGTCATCCCTTCTGTCGTCTACGCCTCGGTCGAAGCAAGCCTTGCACGATTCAATGTCCGTAAGCGGAAAGAATTCGTTGAGAAGGCTTGCAAGTACTGGACGCTCAAGCGTGAGGCTCGACGTGGAGCTTCGCTGCTGAAACGGCTTCAGTTGCAGTTGGAGAGCTTCTCTAGCATGGAAGTCACCCGCCGCAACTTTGCTGGCATGGGCGCCGCTGGCGGACCACGACTGCAGAGACGCATCGACTTTGCTGAGATGTTGCAAACTGACATGGGCTACCTGAAGGAGCTCACTGCTCAGACGCGGCAGCGTGAAGAGCTTCGCTTGAAGGAGGCGGAGCTGCTGAGAGAGTTGGTCGACACTGTCTATTTCCCCATCCCGCCGCTGCTTTGGCCCATCTTGCGGCGTGCGCAGAAGTAAGTCATCCCAAATTCATGTCTCGTTCGCAACGTACTAACATTTGCTGCAGGCTTGACGAGAAGACCCGCATCTTCAGCGCCGGCTTTGAGCAGATGGAACTTCGACTCAGCGAACGCTATTACACTTCAGTTGCCGACTTCTCACGCGATTTCTCGCGTGCCGTCGCCCAAGTGCTGGCTCCTCGTGACAATATTGAGGCCTTCTCCGATGCCGACATCGAAGCTATACACAGCCAGCTCAACCAGGTCGCGCCGGGTACGGCAGAACACCTAGCTCTGACCCAAGAGCAGAAAGACCTCAAACGACTTGCTAAGCGCATCGTCAAGCCTGTCAGAGAGATGCTGGAAGCAGCGACGAGAAAGGAGGCTGAACTTCGAGGGAGGGAGCTGGAAGAGGAGATCCGCAAGCTGGATTCGATGGGAATCTTCGCTTCATCCGTCACCAAATCCCTGGAAATGGATGTAGATGACGAGGTCGAAGCAACCACCAAGCGCCGATCAGGCTCAGATGCCTCTGCCGTAGCAGGTGCGTCTCCAGATGCTCCAGACACAGAAATGCCGGATGCTGACGACCACACGGATGAAGCGGGTCTTCAACTGAACGGCGCAGGCAAAGATGACACGATTTCCATACCGAACAACAAGCACACACCAGCGTCGAAAGCAGCCAGCTATGCATCGTCAATCCCAGATCACTCAATCAGAACGAGAAGCGACAAGCCTGCAGAGCCACTTTCGCCTCCAATCTCAAGATCCTCATCAGCACCCAACGGCCAAGCTGGCTCCACCAGCGGCGATTCGGCCACCAACGCTTCGACCGACCACGACGTCTTCGCACACGGTGGTGTTCCCTGGTACCTCGAGCCCTTCGACCCCATGGGCACGACAATTCACGAGGAACGCTACACCGGCCGTGCCGTGCTGCGGGATATGTCAGAGGAGCTCTCAGACATGGATGAGGACACGCTTACGGAGCTTGCCGTCAACGGTGCTGAAGCCACTCCGAATGGCAAGACTGCAGCGGGTGCTTCGAATGGTGATGCGACGTCGTCAGCGGCGCCGGCTAGCAGTAAGAAGGCTGCGGCGAAGAAGAAGCGAGGCAGGAGGCAGCATTGGTCGAGATGATTGGGGATTGGGACGGAGTGTATGATTTTGGGACTTCTGGTTTTGTAGAAGTAAGCTCTGATGCGATCATGATAGATGGAGTTTGTTGTACTTCTAGCGGTAGATTCGAAGAGGGATCGAAAGGGTTGCTCGTTGGTAGATCGAGTAGTTTGACTACAGGTATCCGAATACTCATGGAATGCTCAACACGTCTTGGTACCACTACATCGAGAAGTTCTCTACTGTGGCAAAGAGGTGATCATGTCCCCCTGCTTCTTCTCCAAATCTCAACCACACGGCCTCCAGATCGCAGCTTTCCCGCCACGGTCTCTCGACGGCGTACTTCCTACCTATACCACGACCGCAGACGTGAACTTCGACCTGGCTCTTTTCGCGTCGCAACCTCTTGATATCTCTCATCATCTTGATCGTGATTTCCTCGGATGCGTTTCTCATACATCTCCCCACTACCCTTCTTCAACTTCAACCACCCCCCTCAAAAGCAGCAACCTGCTTCGCAAGCTGCAAGAAAAACGGCTGTCCATTCGCCATATGGTTCGCTGCAACACAACACAAATATCAGCACACACCCTCCCATAAAACCCCCCCTCACTCTCACTTACCCTTCGACCCCCAAGCACTCCCACTATTCCTCTGCCCACCCTGCCCCTCCTGCAATTTATACACCGCGGGCGCCGCCTCCCTCCCCAGAAAACCCTTCACTTCCGCGGAGTTGAATCCATTCAGAGGCGTGTGCTGCTCGTCTGGACCATTGATCGAACTCGAGCTCGAGGGCGCTTGGGGTTGTTGCGTCTGCTGGGCGGCGGCCGCGGCGCGTTGCGTCCAGACGTTTCCGCCGGGGGCGGAGGAGGGTGGTTTGGAGGGGTTTTGGGGCGCGGGGGAGGCGTATGTGGAGCGGGATTGAGGGGTGCGGGAGGAGGAGGCGGAGGTGCGGTTGGAGGTGTTGGTGTTGTTGTTGGAGGAGCGGGTGGTTTGCCAGGCGCTGGTGGAGTGGGGTGGTTAGTTAGGGGGAATTTGGAGGGTGGAGTGGGGACGAACTTGGGTTGGGAGTTGGACATCTTTTGTGGAGGGTGTGGTTTTGAGGCGAGGGTTGTCTAGATGGATTGTGTATTGAGGTCGTCGTCTCCGCACGTGCACAGCCAATGTGAAGCTTGTGCCACCTATGTACAGTTAAACCTCTTTATAGCGATATTACATATAACGATATCCTTGCTATAGCGATACTGCTAGCTGTTACTAACTTTCCTACTATAAAATATCGTTCCTCCTACTTATATCTATATAATAATAGTATCTTAGATTTACTTACTAAACTATTATTATAGATATATCTCTAAGAACTATATTTTTAGAGGCTAAGAAGCTCGTACTATACTAGTAGTATTAAGACTACTCTTTACTTATATAGAAGGAGCTCTATACTTAGTTTAAGAGCTAATTTAATAAGCCTATTATAATAGGGGGTTATAGTAATATATAGAACTCTAATTAACCTAGTACTAGGTTAAGCGTAGAATAAACTTCTACTTTCTCTATCCTCGTATACGGCGAGTATAAAATACGTACTAGGGAATTACGTATACTATTACGTAGAGAAGGTTTACTTTAGTCTCTTTTAGGTTTCTAAATATCTCTTAGTATTCTTTTATAATTACCTCCCTCTCTAGGGAGAGCTAACCCTAGCTCGTTTCCGAATCGCCTACGTACCGTA